TATTTTTTCGACGACCGAATTCCGCAAATAGTTTTGAAGAACGAATTAGGTCTAATTTTGTATTGCAACAAAAAAAATAGTCTGGCGGTTTTCGATGTCCCTTTTTTCTCTTTTAAAAGTTCTACATTCTTTTTTGCTTTTGTCTAGAAATAGTTTTTGCCTGCCTTTCTGCCAACGCAATCATAAAACGTGTGAAATTGTCAAGTTCTCATAAATCGTTAATTTTTTAAAACACGATTTCTGTCATCATAAAGTGTGAGAACTTTATTTTTATCCCTTCGGATTACTGTATCACTTCCTAGTTCGATAAATCAAGTTTAATTCTCTGTTTCTCTCGAACAACGTTTAGATGAGGTGTTTTTGATAAAAAAGTTCAAAAGATCAACTTATTATAGAGTTGGTTTGAAACAATAGATAGATGTTATCTACAATAAGCATGATCATAAAAAAATCTAAAAGTATATGAGCCCTTGTTAGTAACTCGATCCCTTTTTCTCCAATTGTTCTCTTTTTTACTTGTTTGGTATAATTCTGATAAATATTCATGAACTTATCATGTCTACGCGTTGATTTAATCCACTTTGGGAAACCCCTGTCATAGACAAAAGAATGATGTATTCCTGTATTATATGTAGTTCTTTACAGTTCCTCTCTTTTCATCAAAATTAATATTCATTTTCACTATTATTATTATGCAAAAAAAATCGGAGAACTATCAAAGTCCAAACAATCCCTCGATGTTATGTTCATAAATCCAACTAGTTGTTTATCACTGAATCTGTCAGCTTGAGCGAAAAATAACTCTGAGAAAATACCTTGCAGGAGCAGCTTAGCTCAAAAAAAATAACATGTGTCACGGAGCAAAAAAAACTATTATTATTCTTATTATATAACCGAGAAGCAGAACTATATAGGCCGGTGATGTTTAATCTGTTATTTTCTCTTTTGTTGCACCCGATCGCCAGCCGGGGTGTTCCCCGCACAAAAGTTCACAAGATCACGTAGTAATAAATCATTATGTCTATTTTATCCCCCGTTTTCTACTGATTATATCTCGACGCAAAATGGGTGGTGACCTCTTTGAAATTTGTTTTGACGCAACTCTTCGGGTTGATTCGCGCAATGTGCATGATGACCTAACTGAGAGTATTTGAATGAATATATTAGAAAGGGGAAGACGGTTTGCGCAATTTTTGAAGACGTTTTCTGAATAAAGACCACATGTGTCATATGGTGGCTGCCTAGATGCCACCTCAATGAGATATAGGTCATTTGAATCTTATAAAAGGTGGACAAACCGACTGGCTCCAATTATAATTGCTCTATTGTAATCCATTTAATGGGCCATCCAAAGCTTCTTACGAGACTCAAAATTGCATAAGTATCTACGTATCTCAGAAAAAACACCGACATCATCAAAGATTTGTTGTGATTATTATTATTTTTCGGATCTTGTTGACTAATCCGATCGGAATTCATTTATCCATTATCTTCTCATAAGATCTATAAGCGGAAGGAATGTGGTTACATTCCAATCTTTTTCTCTTTCTCTCTCTCTATTTTGCAAAACCTATTAGTTCCCGAATTTCGCCATATTTTGTGGTTGTTTCTCATCGAAATGTCATCACGTGAAACGGAAAACCCCCTTGTTCACAGCTGATTTTTGATGTGTCTTGTGTTTCTTTTTCTCTTTGCACTTGTTATCATACGTTTATCATGTGTATACGTTTGTCTACAGCATAGTATTATATTAATAATAATAAATATGACCAGCCCCCCCCCGTCTTTCATTTTTTCTACACCTAATAGGTCATTTCCTATCCCCCCTCAAGTCTCGGTCATCAGCTGATTTTTTTCCTCTACGCGCGCGAGACGAATGAAAAGACTACTTGAAAGAGAGAGCACTTTCTTTCCCGCGCGCGCGCAACTGACAGAGAGACACATATAGACAAATAAAAGAAAGAAGAAGGAATGTTGCGAACATTTCTCTTGTCACCACCTGGTACGAAAAAATACCTACGTACTATTATTACAATGACGATAAAGGGCGCGCAAACAAAGAAGCAAAATTTGTTGCACTTTTTGGTGTGCTCTTTCGGGGAAAGCGTTTGACCGCGATCTTAAGGCACTTGTCTCTTGGTTTTATGCTTGACTCGACGATGGAATGTTATATTTGCATAACCTTGGCGAATTAGTTGGATGATGTCCAAATAATATCTGTTTTCGACTAAAGATTAGTATAGTCGCGTACTATACTGAATTTGGCAACGGATTATTGGCGGATTTTGAAAGAATAAAATGTATCACGGTTTTTTGTTGATTGGGAGGAAATTGGTTGTGAATCATATTTCAAAACCAACTAACCACTTTATGAATAAATCACATCTTGTTCAGTCAGGTGGCTGTTTAAGTATTCTTGTCACTTTCTCCATCCATCCTCCCTTTTCCGTTTCACAACGAATTGTTGCAATTAATTTGGAGATCTGTATGCACAGCTGATTCAAATGAGGGGGTTTCGACTGAAGATCGGATACAAAAAATAACAAATATGTCTGTGATTCATTTTGATCACGATGTATTGTGTGTTGGTTCTAGAACAACATCAAACAATTCTTCTCTTTATAAGGACCACCCATTAAAATATATGGAGTTAGTTATCTCTTTGCTACAATCTGATCGAGAACAAAGTTTGAAGAGGTCAATAATCGGTAGTCCTTTGGGAGTCGCATGCGTATCTTGATCTGATTTTTGGTTAACATAATCTTTTTCTGGACACTCTTTCACTTCCAAAACTGAAACCTTCACATTTCAATCGCTGAAGCCATATGATAATCCTCGAACAAGCCTATTAGTAAAATGACAGCACTAAAGTGCATTTCCCCTTTTTCTCCCTCCTGAAACAAAACATCCGGACCAGATATCCAATTTTCTAATCGCTCCTCTTTCCTTTTTTTCCCCATTCCCTTCTCACACTATATAAATCCAACCACCCTATTGGAATGTGCACTTACAATTGGCATAAATCCAAGTGTTTTCCCCTTTCTCGCGCACTCTCGTTTTATTGGCTCGTTGCCAAGAAAAAGAGAGAAGAAGAAGGAGAAGTATAAGGCTTCCCTTTCTATTCATTCCATTTCCAGCTGTTTTCGCGCGTTGGCTCGTTGCCAAATGCAATTTCTGTGTTTAGTTCGCGCGCGCGCGAGACCCCGAGTGTTCTTTCTTCTCCGTTTTCTCCTTTTTCGGCTGGCTGGCTGTGCGTCTCGTTCCGTAAAAAGTACATGTTTTTTGGCGCGCAGCCAAGTCGTCGCGGGTGGTCGTCTACAAACAAAAAGTGCGCGCGCGAGGAGAGAAATCGAAAAAAAAAGTGCAAATCATTTGATTTAAATTGCTATTATTCGTCGTCTTATCGCACTACACGACCACCCATTTCGAAAAAAAACGAAAAGACGATTATTTCAAACAAAAAAAAAGCGGGGTGGTGGTGCGCGGGAACAGACAGGTGCCAAGATGATAGGCTGACCTTCGACACCAGGCACCTCCTTTCCTTGGAATGTTCTCACACACACACCCAACTAGCGCGTGTATTTGTGTCTTCTTATTCTTTTTTTTTTTATTCATCGTCATCATCATCAGCTGACTTTTTCTCCTTTTTTGCCGTTTTCCCCTTTTTTTTTCACTATTCAAAAAGTGCATGGTGGTTGTTTTCCGCGCGATCGAGTATACGTAATAGATTTAGATTTTGGTGGTGCCTGAAAAATGCACCTGGTTTGTATTTATGCACTTTTAGGTTTACTTTATTAGTATAGTCAGTCACGAGATTTTTCGGCCAAAACAGCTGAGCTCCGTAATTTTATTTTGTTTTATTCTAGTTTACTAGCAAAGTACGCACATTTTTCGTGTTTCTCGAAATATCCTCGATTTAGCCGAACTTTTGATCCACACACACACAAAATGCAAGCAGCAGTTGTTCAAATTTTTCGAAAAATGTGTGTAGTTTAGTGATTAACATCTCTCACTCACATTTTTTTTTCAAAATCTTCACACAATTTCTGATCACTATTTTTACTCTTCAAAAAATAGGCGGGTTACATCAAATCCACTCCTCCACCGGCTAATCTGTCTAATAATCCGATCATCGAAATCTGAGACCATTTTGTGTTGTCTCGTTTTTTTTTCGCGCAGACAGTTGTAAAAGTGTCAAAAAATGTTCCATATGTTGTCTGGGTCCAAAAAGCTGAACTTTTGGACTTTTATCTTCTTTTCTTTCCCTATTTCAATTCAAAATTAAGAGTTATTTACTGGGGGCGCATCCCCACGTCATTCTTTTTTTTCCTCTGAAAATATTTTCAGAAGCTTGATCAACAAACACTCTGAAATATTCTTCGTCATTTTTTTTTGCTGCATCGGCATTCTCTCTCCTTTCATCTAAACCCCGCCCACTTTTTCATGTCCTTCTCCTTTTTCCCCTCCCCCATTCCAAACAACCAACACATTCGTTCACTTTGTGTGTGTATGTGTATGTGACGTGAGCGAATACACATATAATTGTGGTTTGGCATCGTGCCAAGTCTCATCCTTCCTTTTCTCTTTTTTCCCTCCCTCCCTCCCTCGTTTTCTTGTTGTTTCGAAATCTTTTTTTTTCGAAATTTTTCGTAATGTGTGTATATTTGTCTGCGTTTCTTCTTCTTCTTTTTCTCTGCTTGTTTTTGGCTCGAGGCCAAGTTGGCGCCGTGCCAGTCTTCTACTTGGTTTTTTCGTCTTTTCGTCTACGACTACTAGAGCTAATCATATATTCATTTCTTGTTGTTTTTGCGTTGCGCCACCCGTTCCGTTCTCAGAATTTTTTCCTTTTTTGCTATATATTTATTTATTTTTTTCGTATAGACTTCGAAGTTAATGATCTCGAAGCTTATACGAACACCCATGTTTTGGGTGAAAATGAGCAAGTTTTAAATATTCCTTATTTTCAGATTCAACCTTCAAACTCTAATGATAAAAGAAGAATGTCAAGAACTATGAGTTTTCTAACTTCTTATCGCAATAATAACAATAATACAATTGTTAAAAAACAAAAACCGATCAAATGCGTCGATGAGCTTCCCGACGCAGTTCTCAAAAATGTCTTCAAATAGTAAGTTTTCATTTTTTTTTTCTTTTCCGGGTCCCCAGTTCCCATGATCATTATTATCAGTCACTTTTTGTTCGCAACTAACTAATTATCATACAAAGTTAAAATGCATGACAAAAGGTTTCCCCGTGAGAATTTCTCGAAAATGCCATTCAAAAATTCGTTATCTAATCATTTTTCTCCTCCATAACTCTTTTTTTTTCGCCTAAACCATTTCATTTCTTTTTATTATAGTTGCGATTTGGTCGATTTATCGCGTTGTTCTCTCGTAAATCATCGTTTCCGTGAACTTATCGAAGATATGGAAGACAGTCGAACTGAACCAATCAGATGTTCACAAAAAGCTCGTATTTTTGTGTGTGATCGAAGACGAGCAATTTTGGAAGGAGTTTCGAGTTATAAAGCTGTTCGATTACCAAGATATGATGCTAAAGGACAGCGAATTCTTAAAAAGAGAACAACTTCAACTGGAACGGTAAGTCGGGCAAAAAAATAATTATAAGGAAAAAGGGGAATGAGCAAAGTACATACATCTCATATATAAGTATATTATTATTATAGAATTCATCTGAAGAAAGCAGCGAAGAAAGAGTCCCAAATAAAGTTCAAAATACTTTGCCATTTATTTGTGAACAATATGCCGATAATAATCAATCAAATTGGGCATTTCAATTTGATTTTCTTCCATGGACCGCAAAATATGAGATTTATGAAATCTTCCTTCGCAATTTCTGCTCATTTTTTGACCGAGAACAATCAGAAATGGAAATGAATTTTGGAAATGGACGAACACCATCACCACCAAGATCAGGAGAAACTCGCAGTTATGATAAATTACCTTCCTCACAATCAAATATGGCCGAGCCACCTATCACAAGTTTGACACATAAGGATATTGAAGCATTGAAAGAAATGTCATTGGGACGAGTTGAAAGATTGGCTGAAAATATGAAGCATTTGAGAAATGTTCATTGTGTTTTCAAAGATTCTTGTTGTTATGCTTCAAGACCTCCAGTCACAATGTTCTGGTTCCTTACAATGTAAGTTGTTTATTCGAAATTTCCCAAAAAATATAAGTATTTTGATTTTTGTAGGATGCGCTCACAAGTTTCCCGAATCACATTTGATAGATGCCAAGCATCAGTTCCAGTCGAAGCTCACGAAGTTCTTCATCTCGCAAATATTCACCGACTCACAGTAATTCAACCAGATTCAATGAAACCAGCAATGGTTATCCGACCAAAACTTCTCATCAATTGGCTTCATCTCGCTGAACCACTTCGTAAAAAGATTTCAATTCATTTGACTGGTTGCAAAGAAATGACACCAAAAGGTCTCGCCGCATTCGTTGCCGCCTGGAAAGCTCGACCAACACCAGCCATTTTCTCACAAATTTCAATCGATGGAAATTCCTACAAATACAATGATTTTGTGAATGAATTGGAATTATTGCAACACGAAAATGAACGAGAACCACCAATTTCACCATATTCAAGAAGTTTTGTCGAAGAAAATGCGCATGCTGTTGTTTTGGAAAAAGTTCTCGTAATTCATCACTCAAAAGATTACAAAATGATGTTGAGATTCAAATATTGCAAACCATCGCGAAGAATGGTTTTAACTTGTGAAGTAGATCATATTGTTGAACTTCAATCTCTTTCGCCAGTTTCCACATTTTCAAGATTAAGTATTGGCGGAGGAAGATCGAATAATGGATCATCATCAACACTCAATGAAATCCGAAGTGTTCCATCGCTTTACTCATTGTCTCCAAATAACACAACAATGAATACAGAAGATAAACGAAGTGAGTTTGAAATTTTTAAATAAATTTTTCACAAATATCAAAATAATATTTTGCAGTTAACCGAACGATTTCTCAAACAACAATGCGAATTGCATCACAAGGATGTCGCGAATCTGGTTCAATTGTTTCAACTCCATCATTTGTCAACAAATTGATCCGTCTTTTATCCTCATCAAACTAAACTTCCTCTATCTTCCATTTGTACATAATTGTACAGATATTATACATATTTATGCACAATACTCATTATTTTTGTCCCGTTTATTTCGTGTTGAATATTTATTATTGATCGTTTTATCCAACCCCATGACATTCATTCATTGTTCTTATTTAATATTGACCAAGTCAATTTAGGCAGTTTTATCATTACTTCATTATAGGTATTTTCCAATTGTTTCTCCAGTTATTGTACAGTATCTTTTTCCATTTGCACATATCCCGAACCCTTCCTAATTTACTTTATTATTTCAATCCTAATTATTCTAATTTTCAAACAAATCTATACGGAACCACTATTTCTATTGTTGCTCATCCACATTTCATCCCAACCCCCCACCAAAATTCTATATATTTTTGTCACTCGCTTCTTGGTCATTCTAATTTTCCCGGAAAGGTACTGTATCGGAGAACTTTTTGGAGAATCAAAAACATTTTGCTCGTTTTACCACTTTCTTTCTCTTCCTGTATATTATTTATTATTTGATATTAACTTCTTATTCTTTCAACAACACTATACATTTCACTCAATTCAACAAAAAACTCATTACGATTTCACACAACTCCCCATCCCCAAAATAAGATTTTGTTTATTTTTGAAGAAAATATCTACTGAAAAATAAAAAATATTGAAGTTATACATGTTGTTACGTCACACAAATACTATAATATTTTCAATTAGACAAAAAAATGAAGAGATAATTTTAAAATATCGTAATCGATCATCGAAACATTTTTTTTCTAAAGAGTGCAATAGAAATATGTCATTTGCAGAAAATATGTGAGTTCCGGAACATTTATAACGAAATTGTGGTTTTGAAATGAAAATGAAACTAAAAATAGAACTTTGATACCAAGAGATGAAGATTAAAAAGTGATTGAACTTTTTTGGATTGAAGTTCAATCATTGAACTATAAAGATAACTGATCTTTGAGGGTTGGTGTCTCGGCTTGAACTTATAAAAATGATGTTCCAGAAAACAGGGCCCAAATTGATTTCGAAAAATTTTTCACAGGACAATGTTCCAATAAAAAGTCTCAAAATAAAACGTTGATAGTAATAAACCATTCCAAAGATTTCTAATCTACAACTTTCTTCTCAACTTTTTTTTTGCTGAAAAAAACGAACTGTCCTAATTGATATGAACTGATAATAGTTTTAGTCTGACCAAAATGTCAACTTTTCTCATTTTCCTACTATTTTCATTCCTACAATCCATAAATTCATATAGAATTCTCGTATTTTCACCGGGTTGTAGTAAGTCACATTTAATATCAAATGGAAGATTAGCAGATGAATTAGCACAAGCTGGACATCATGTGGTATGTTTCAGAATGTTTCCATGATCAGTTTAATTTCAAATCTTGATATTTTGTTCAGACTTTGTTGGAAATTGATATGTTGAATAACACAAGAAACACAAAAACTTCCAAATTTGCAACTCGAAGAATAGTGGAAGGTTTGGAAAGTGCCCCAAAATTTCAAAAATTATTATCCGATCTTTCTGAAAATGTTATGCATGAACCATCTGTTTTGGACATTGCACGTGGTTTTTGGAGTTATCAAAAATCATTCAACGAAATTTGCGAAGAATTTTTGAAGAATCATAAAATATTCGACGAAATGAAGGCGGCCAAATTTGATGCATTTTTTGGAGAACAAATAAACATGTGTGGTTTCGGTTATGCCCACGCATTACAAATTCCGAGAAGATTTTTGATTGTCAGGTGAGAAAAGGTGAAAAGGACATTTTCGAACAAACCACATTTTTTCACATGTTTATGCAATATAAATATCATGTGAAAAGGTATATGTTAATTATTAGGTATGGAAATTAGAGCGGCACAAAACAACAAGGAAGTTGACATTTACATTTTATGAGAAACCAGAATTTAGTTTGACCTTTTGATTTTCGAACAGTTCCAAGGGATTTCCAAGATGTCCAAATTTAACGCAAACTAATTTGATTCCTCAGAACTTTTTCAAAGTTAGCCTTTTCAGTTGTCCTTTTCACGGCCCAGCTTATGATCAAATTGGACTTCCAATGGCAATCGCGGATATTCCTATGACTTCCGATTTAAGCCCAAATCCAACAATTGGAGAAAGAGCAATAAATATTGCAAAAACAATGACACAATTATGGGAATTTAGAATTCTGAACATGTATTTGACTGACATTTTCAGAGCTGAATATGGACAAGAATTCCCACAAATTCTAGATATTCTTCGTGAAATTGATTTCTCGTTTGTGACAACTGATGAAATTGTCGATCATTCTTCGGTTACTCTTCAAAATGTGTTACATGTTGGTGGTTTAGGAATTCCAGAAGATCATTCCGAACTGAAAGAACCATTTTTGAGTGAAATGAAGAAAGGAAAAAATGGAGTTGTGTTGTTTTCTTTGGGAACAATTGCAAATACAACAAGACTTCCGAAAACTGTAATGCAATCATTTTTGAAAATTGTACAACAATTCCCAGATTATCATTTCTTGGTTAGAGCTGATAAATATGATGTAGACACTTTTGAAGCTTCCAAAACTATAAATAATGTGATAATATCCGATTGGCTTCCACAACCACAGATTTTGAGTGAGTTGGGCTCTACAGATTTCGAGAAAAATAATGGAATAACTTTCAGATCATCCACGTTTGAAGCTGTTCATAACTCACGCAGGTTATAATAGTATTATGGAAAGTGCCAGAGCTGGTGTTCCACTAATAACTATTCCATTTATGTTTGATCAGAATCAGTAAGTTTTAGTAACACCTCAGGTTTATATTGAAAAACTATAAATTTTTAGAAATAGTCGAGCAGTTGAAATGAAAAAATGGGGAATTCGACGAACTAAAGATCTTCTGATTAGTAATCCAGAATCAATCAGAGAAGCGATTTATAAAATATTGAATGAACCAGAATATACACAAAATGCACATCGAATTCGAGATTTGATTGCATCGAAACCAATGAGTTCCAAGGAAAAGTTCATCAAAACAACAGAATGGGTTATTGAAAATAAAGGAGTTCCGGAATTATTATTCCAAGGTCGAAATACAAATACAATAATCTATTATAATCTCGATATTATTCTACCAATTTTCCTGTTTTTCGGATTTATTTTGATACCTTCAATTATCAAAATGTATGTCTGGAGTTGTTTTGGACACTTGAGCGACAAGAAATCAAAAGTCGAATGAATGAATAGCATAAATTTTTGTAAACATCGGCATCTTTTTTATGTTTGCTTATTTATATAAAGTTCAACATCACCCACCACCCAAATAATGTTATAATCCTTTGTAATTGAGCAGGTAATTATTGGGGAAAAACGGTTTCATGAGAAAAATATGAGGACAAAGTGAATGGTTTGGCATACCGTGTAAGGTAGGGATGGAAACCCCTCATAACTCAACTTTTTGCGTGAACCTCTTTTTTTATCACCTAATTCATAATATCTAAACCAACCCGAAAAAAACCCACCTGTAAGCAACTTTGAACCGATAGCACTTAATTTGACCAATTACGTCATAATTCTCAATTTCCAGCGACAAACATCTTGAGAAAATAATTAGCAATGATTCATTTCTTGTTACTTTGAACAAGATCTTTGAACTTTTGCGATGCGCCTGGAAAGAAATATAAACTACAGTAATTGAGAATTTCCAACTTACTAAAAATCCTTGTCATTTCCTAATTCCATAATCGCAAAAATGAATAGTTTTGAAAAAAATACACGTCAAAAAAAGCCACGCAATATGTTTCACGTTTAAATTCAAATTATGAAAGAATTATATTTTTTTTCTTTCCCTTTGAAACAAACAAAAATCGATATAGATTTCGAAAATTCGCAATAATCCTTTTTGTTTTTATTCAATATTTATGCCACTTTTTTGTGATCGTGTCAAGCGGTTTTTGTATTTTCAGGTTAGAATTTTCTTTTTTTTCCAAACTGCATTATTTTCTTTGTTTCAGATTTTGTTAGTTTCCACATGTCTCGTTTATATTGTCATTTTCGATAAATTGTTAGAAATATCTGGAAAATTTGGAAAAAGTTTGGAAGAAAAACGACAGACTCATTTATTTGACAATGCTTGTAAATTTGTATGGACAGAACCGTTGGATTCGACATTGCGGGTATTATTTTGATTTTTCTCATTTATTTATGTGTATCAATTAGTTCTTGATTATTATTATTATTTGTATAGTGTGTCTAGTCTAGAGCAAAAATCAAACAACCAAAAAAAAGATAAGGACCACTTTCAAAAACCAGGACCATGTGATGTAAAGTAAACATAACACTTTTGTTGTAGAAATATACAAAATTCCCGGGATTGCCAAAATGTGAACGAATAAATGTGGAACTTTTCAAGAGATATTCAGCAACTGGGGAATTTACTTTTATCTCTCAAAAGTATGCGAATTCAACAGATTGTGAGATTCAAGAAATTGAAGGAGCATTGAAACCAAATCCACAGGTTTTTATAAATTCAAGAAACGAAAAGGTAACTTTCCACTAAAGTTTCCGAATTCTCTTTTGATTTTCCAGTTCATACCAAAGCTTGGCGAGCTTTTCTGGATCAATGCCAATAATTTTATGATCTCTTGTTTTCATCAAAATATTCTTATCTTTCAAAAACCATATATGGGGTTGAAGTTGGAAAAATCGGAGAAATTATACATCACTGGACCCATCACAAAATTTTTGAAAAAAACGCAAAAGTTTTCGGTATCGATGTTAGTTTTTGATTCAACATCAAGAGCTCAATTTGAAAGACATATGAAAAATAGTCTGAACTTGATAAAAGGGCTTGGTGGAGTGGTATTTGAAGCATACAATAAGGTTTGATCTATGTACATTTTATGAAAAAAAGTTTTGTAAAATAACTGAACCTAGGTTGGTGACAATAGTGCCATTAACATGCTACCGATTCTAGCGGAACAACTCGAAGAAACAGCGGAATCAAAAATTCTTGATACTTCAGGAGATATAAATATTTACAAAATGTTGCCAAGCAATATAAAATTGGATCCAGAAAAAATCAAATGGATTTGGAAACAATTAGATTCAGATTATATAACAATGTTGAATGATGATATAATGCATACACATCGCGGTTTATTTCATTATCCTTCAAATAATTTTGATAAAGGATTCTCACAAAATCCAACAACTTTTTATTATCGACCATTTTATGTCAACTTGTATATTTATTTGAATAATTTTTGGAGAAAATGTTTGGATGGAAGTTTATTGACTGAAGAATTTTTGGATTCGTGGTTTAGATTTGAACGAATTTTCGGAAATCGTCCACATTTTTCTCTATCGTTTTTAGCATCTCTGACTCACGATGATCCAAATAATCTCAATTTTATGGATAATATTTTGCACGAACGTTTACAGTATCTCAATGTGAGTTTTTTTAGTGTAGGAATTGAATTGTCATAAAACTTGATTTTCAGGAAAGCAAACGACTTGAAAACACATTTCTGATAATTATGGGAGATCACGGAAATCGAGTTCACCCTCTGAATCGATATACGTTTGCTGGGAAAATAGGTAATGTTTTTTAATCTGCGTAAATCTCAACGCTCTCACTTCCAAAAATGCTCCTGAACTTGTTTTTTTTCAGAAGAAAGAGCACCATTTTTGTCAATAATACCACCGATAAAATGGCAATTTGAAAAAAAAGAAAAATATTATAACTTGCAATCGAACTCAAAAAGATTTATATCAAATTATGATCTTCGAGAAACTATTCTTGATATCTTGAATATTCCATCAAACAGTAAAAGAGGTTAGTAAATTCCTCTTTTTTCCATTTCAAACATTTCTATACATAACAGGAACTTCTCTGTTCGGTTTACAAAATCGTCATAAAACTTGTCAATCGAATAATGTAATAAGTAATCATTGTCTTTGTATGATTGATGGAAGCGATGAATTAGAAGGTATTCCACCAAATAATTTGAGATATGAAACAGTTTTGAAAAATTGGTTGGAAAATGAGAAACTTGGAACATGTTTCAATTTGGATGAAATAAAATGTGATATGGAAACAATACAATATTTGATGCCAAATAATTATGTGCAAGTTTGGGCGAGGACAAAAATAAGTGAAAAAGAAGTTATGAGGAGGAAAAAAGGAAAGAAAACTGCTGTAAGTAATATTTTTCATGTATAAAATTGAAGTTCTAATTTTCAGGTAATCTACAGTCAAATGAATTGTTGGATTTCTTCTGAAATAATTCTAGAAACACAATTTCGAATACATCAAGGATCAGCAAATATAAAAATAGTTTATCCACCAAAAGTTCATGTTCCAAATCACATAAAACTTCTGAAAATTAACAATTGCCAATATTTCACGTATCCAAAAGATTACTGTAATTGTATTAAGTAGAATGAATTTATGAATTATCTAAATAGTGAATAAATTATTGAAAGTTTCATTATATTTTTCCCGAAGTTTGTTCCCGAATTTGTCCAAAATCAGTGATTCTTTTTGACAACATGACAATTGTTTTTTATAATGATAAACCAATAAAAGCGAGCCATCGTGATTCTTAATTTCATAATCATCTTGAATTACTCGACTTGTATGATGAATTCCTTGTTCGAATACCATTTCTGGTCGAATAACACATTTTGTAAATCTGGTTTCCATTTGATCTCCAGATTGGGTGTTGTGAATACTAATTGGAACTTTGTCATCTCTAAAAAATAATATTTTGAATACACTTTTTTTGTTGAAAAAATTCAACTTACTTTATCTCAATGTACTTCAGAGAAACTCTTTGTGCTCCAGTTTTTGGATTCTCAAATAGTTTATCCAAAGTTTCCAGCATTTTCAAGTTTGACGAAGGAACGAAAAATTCATCAAAATCATTGAAAAATGTATATTTTGAAGTGCCAGTCATTTTCAATAAACAATCTGTTATTGTAATAAGTTGACCGTAATACCAAATATATTTTGGATCAAATGGCAAATCAAAGATAGTGTATTCAAGGTGACCAGAGTTCCTATAATATTCCAGCATTTTTCGAAGTTTTTGATTTTCCAAAGTTTTTGGTTCAACATAAACATTGACTTTCTCAACACCTTGAATAATATTATATTCCATGAATTCGATAATTCGCTCAACCGAATAAAAATTGCCATAAAGAACTGGAACACAAATTGACATTGAGATTGGTTTTGATAAGTTTTGTGAATTTTTTTCATCTAGAATATGATGATGAATTGGAAGAGAAAGACGATCAGAATTAGAAGAAGCAGCTCGACGAATCTTTAAAAATTACTTTTTTTTTATTTGAAGCAAAAAACTAACCTCGATAGATTTTATATCACCGGTAACTTTTGCAGAAACTTTACAGTTCAAAATGAAGACTCCATACTTTTTTCGATGATTCTCTGAGAATTCATAAACTCTGACTTCCGGGGATTGCTCAGAATTTATGAAACATTCAAACACATCTTTGTCTTTCAAAGCCATCTGAAAACGAGGTTTGAAAAAAAAATTTTTACCGTATTACAGTACAGTAAATATTTCCAAACTGCTTGAGAAATTTAGAAAAAACTCACTAAAATTCTAACAAATCGATATCCCATATTCCCATTTCTTTCATCTAAAAATGTCGAAATCGCATAACCATCGTCATCAAGTTTATAAAACTTCAACGCATTTTCCGGAGGTTTTTTGAATTTTTGTCGAAGTATCACATCTCTGAAACATTTCAAGATTCAAAAAATAATAATTCAACTCACGGTCTTGTAATTGATTTTTCATTATCATCAATAATACTACTAGAAATTGCTGAATTTATAACAATATAAAAATATAAACCTAAAAATATTGAGCAAAAACAAAAAATTGCAATTTTCCGTACTGTTATCCGTGGCATTTTACAATTGACCCGTTTCTTATCTATACAAAATTATTTTTATCGATAACTTTGAAAATTTTCAAAAGTTTGTTTAGGCATTGTAATACAAATATGCTTCAAATTTTCAATTTATGTGAAATTGAACAAAAAAATAAGCAAAAAAAAATAGAACTTTTGTTTTCTAAATTTCGAAAAAAAAGAAGAAAAGAACAACTTTTATTTATAACCGTAACCATAGAAAATATGTAATAATTTTAAATTTACACGAAAACAACACCCGATTTCACTGATGACATTTTTCTAGGACCATTTTTGCGAACTCCACAAAAACATAGCTGTTCAGAATAAGCAGCAGAATATCTAGGAGATCTCAAACCAGTCACAAAAAAGTTTTGGCAAAAAGTTGGAAGTGAAAGAAGAATCTGGAATTATTGTGAACATTTAACATGAATTAAAAGTTCTGCCTTGACTTACATTATATTTTTGAATTTCATAACCTATAGTTTTATCAAAATACAGTGCAATATGAGATAAAAGAAGAGATGCACTCCAAGAACAAACAAAAACAAACATCAAAGTTGAGAGCGATTTCAATAATTTTGTGTCAGAACATTTTGTATTGCTTGTTATACTGTTACAATGTCGCAATATTCGACGAGCAGATTCGCGTTCTGAAAAAATGAAATTTTACAAATTTCTCTGAATCTTATCACAAAGAAAAGCTTAACACAAAATATTGGCCCAATTTTTTTGAAATCCTATTAAAAAATCTCGGCAATCCGTTCCTGGTCCAAATTTTCCGACTTGATCCCCAACTTCCAAAAAATAATTACCTTTGAAATGAAGTCGACAAGCTGTGATGAAAATTATAATCACAGCTAAGGCGATTGTGCAAAATGTCACAAGAGTTCCCCAAAATCGAATATGCGGTGGTGCGGCTAAACAATTATTTAAAATTCAATTTTAATCAGTCAACTTCAAACAAACCAAGAGTTACTGTGCAAATCAGAAGATCATCATGATTGATATAAATTTCTTCGATGAATAAAGCAAAAGTGGAAAATGCAAAAGGTGGAATACACAAAACTAATAAATATGGACCTCTTCGCCATAATTTGTGTCTGCAAAAAGTTTTCTGACTCATTTTTATTTTCTTGTTTCTTTTTATTTTTTGTTTGGTTCATTATTTCAATGATATATTTCACTCCTAATTATTGAACGGATGTTGGATTGAATTTCGCGTTTGAAATTTAATCCGAACTCGAATAAAAGACTGGCGGAAAAAAAAACTCCCACAGAAATGCATACCTTATAGGCATTATAACAGCTAGAAATAGATCGATTGACATCATCAAAAAAAGTGTGGATTGGAAGAGCATTGCAAACATGTAGACGATTACTGAACGATAACAATCATCTCGATGAGTTCTCGTGAATCTGAAGAAATAAATTTTTTTTGGAATTTTATATATTTTTATTCTGAATATTATAAATTTCTTGACTTCTACTAAAAAAAATTCATAAACTCCAAAATTTGTTGAAAACGATTCTGAAAAAAATTCCAAACTTTGGATTTTCATGAATTGAACTATAGCATAACAATAATTATCGGAAATGTTCGAAAAAAATTAGAAATTTCAATTATTGTTCTAAATATGTAGTCCCAACTTTCAGTTGTTTACTAATAAATTTGACTAGAAAAATAGACCTCTACAAACTTTTGACTACAATTTTCTAATCCATCCAGGATCAAAAATACTTTTTCCTTCCTCATTTTTTTCCAGAAATTAATACCAAATGTTTTTTGGACCCTCTTATTTTTAGCAAATATTTCAACATTTCAAGTATTTACGTGACACATTTGAATACCCTTTATGAGAGCATTGAAACACAATCGAAAGAATGTTTTTTGCTCTTCGCATCTTTTAATGAATCTAACTCAAATCTAAGTTTGTTTTAATGATGTCTCAAAAAACTTATATTATTCACTCACCTTAATTTCATTTTCACAAAAATCAACTCTGAAACTAAACAAATAGTATGAGCAATGGTCGAGATAACAAGTAGACATCCTGAAAGTCTTGAGAATAATTAATTTTCAGAAAATATTATTCTTACCCATTTTTGTCCTTAATGATTTGTGTCGAAAAGTGGCGATAATCAGGTTCAAATTTCCAAACAAACCAATCAGACAAATAATTACAGTAATTGTTTGTAAAGGAAACGATAATCCAAAATAATCTAAATTCATCCTGAAAAAAGCACGAAATTCGTATGTGTATATTTTTGATGATGAGTAAAATAAAGAGTGACAAATAAGTAAGTAGCGTCATTTTTTCTCATATATTTCGAGTCATACGAAAAATTGAGAACTAACAAAGTGACGCCCGGAAGTTTGCAATTTTCATTCGAAAATTTCCCACACTCAAAAAGTCAACACCTCGCAAAAAAATGTGGAAAAAATCATCCAGTTTGTTGTTCGGTTTTTTTTTCATTAAAAAACGGTGGGCGGGGTTTTTCTTAATTTTTTCTCCAGAAAAATATAAATTTTTATATTGTCGTTCCGAAAATAAAAGAACCCCCGTTTGAATTGGCGCTCACGTACAGTAGACTAAAAATGACGTGACACATGCATATCAAACTGGTTGGCAAATAGCCAACGTGTAAATTTCGCATTTTATTTTTCAAATAGACTCCAAAATTTCGCGAAGTCTACTGTAGTATTGGTTTCCTAGGCCATGTCGGTTCTCTTCCAAGGTTCTTTTTTTTTCGGAAGGACAATACAAAGTTTAATGAGACAGAATTTTGAAAAAAAATCCTTTCAAATCCGTGCTAAACCAGATTTTTTTCAAATTTCTTATTTCGAAAAAAAAACTCAAAAAACTCATCGAAAATTCTGAAAATACATACATGTACATATTCCCCAAGGTTTCTAAAAGGCGGAGCCTAATTTTAAGCCAAGCCTTATGAACATAAAGAGACATGTGATGTCTGAAAATGCAGAAGCCTAACTGAAAAAAATTTGTTAGGAATGAGAAAAAAACAAAAAAAATACCAGATAGATTGGAAAAAAATAAATGAGGAAATTTAAAAGTTTTCATGGAAATGGAAAAAAGTTCAACTGGAAGAGAATGAGAAAAAAAACAAATGTTTTCCGAGAAAAATCTCACGCTCAATCAATTTTTTATTCAATTTATCAGAATTTTTCTATTCTAGGGAGAAAAATAATCAGAAAAAATCCGAGAATTAAAAATAGTAGCTGAAAAACAAGTGCATTTAGACTATCAAAAAATAGATGAAAAATAAATAATTAGAAATTCTCGAATTCATATCTAAATCTGTTTTTTCCTTCCTTTCTCACTAAATGTTTTTTTTGAAAATATTGAGATTAGCTGAAAGTGCTTTGTGCTTGAAATCCAATATTTATTTATAAATTTTGCAGGCCATTTTTTGGCTCGATGATTGTTTGGTTGGTTCAAAGGGAAATGAAAAAATGTTGAACCGATTTTGGTGTCATGTTTGTTTTTTGGGAGGAAAGCAGAAAGGAGATGAGAATGAAGACGTCTACAACAAAGATCTTCGATCATGAAATTAAAGGGAGGACTTTTCTTATTCTCGAAGAATAATAACGATTCAAAAAATGAAGGACTTTGACTTTTAAAAGAGAAAAAACCTTGTTTATAATTCATTGTAACACAATAAATAATTCAAAAAAGTGCCGTTTAATTTTAAACATACGAATTTTCCAGGAATGAAAACCTAAATATAATCTACTTTAGGAATAGTAGTAATCTTTTCTATAGAAACATGAGTTGAATGAAGAAGAAATCGAAAACCAAAAATTGAAAATTAAATTTTTCAGACGTGACCTAATGAAATCATTTATAGAAAATTCATTTTGAATTTAGATACTTTTATGTCCACGTGGCAATAAAATATAGATCAGTGACATTCGAAAAAAAAATTGCATCACAGAAATCTTCACATTTTTCTCTAATAATATTTGATCCACCTTTTCAACAATATCCCCTCTCATTTTTTCTTTCTTGTCAAAAAATTGCAGATTATTCCAAAATCCGGATTTGCTCTTTTTTGTTCTTCTATTTTCACACTTATTGTTCAAAAGTATTAATTGCGACTTTTCACCTTCTTTCGCGCACAATAAATAATAAATGGCTCCAAATTCGGTGATGATCCAAAAAATCAACAAAAATTCTTTTTGGAGACAATCACACCTCTCAATTCATTCATTTCGCATTTCGATTTCGAATTTGAATTTACGATGAAAAATACTATAATTTTGATCAGTTTTCTTTTTCAATTTGTTCATCTAACTTCAATCGATTGGTGTGAATATTGGGCGAGAATGGGCAAAAAAGTGAGTTTGTTATTTTGAAAGTATGAAATTATTAATTGGAAATCAACTTTTCAGACAGAACGTCCAGAATGTGCGGGATATGAATTACCAAATAATGTAAAAAGAACAGGTATCTAAATAAGTTCCATACGTAAAAATAATACTAATAACAAATAAAATAAAAGTATTTCGTAGTGAAGAACAATTGAGCCAATTAGAATGAATAAAAAATGAGAGTTTTGCAGAAAACGTAGTTCAATGCCCAAAGAATGAAATGTATAATTGTATTGATTGCGAGCCGACTTGTCATAACTTGATTCCAAAATGCCGTAAGGTCCGTTCATTCACAACAATATTTACAATTAGAGATACAAGAGTTCAACGAAGTGTGAAGGTACACCCAAAAGTGTGTATTTGTTTGATTGTTATTATTATTATTATTTTGTTATTGAGTTGTGTTGTGTGCCTTTAACACTGTGTTGAGTTCTAACGTGTGCTCTTTTTATTTCTCATTTAATTTCGGAAAAAAATTATGTTAAAGTCCTAATATAATCTCAGGAACAATGCAGTCGTGGATGTATTTGTAAAACTGGATTCGCTCGAAACTCACAAGGAAAATGTGTTCAATATCGAGATTGTCTTCATCATCATCCACCAACTATTCATAATGAATCAATCAAAGAAGAAGATGATGGAGCTGTTATGAAAAGTTTGTATCTAACTTTTCAAGTTTAACCATCTTTTATGATTTTCAGCCGTCAAAAAAATGGTTCCAGTAATCGTCAACGATGTTTGGAAAGCTTTCTTCAACTCGATTCGCGTTCCAGAAGAACAAAATAGTAAACAATTGGAATTGAAACCAGTTCCAACAAATGAAACTGAAGACACTTTCTCGGGAACTGAAATTGAGAAAGAGCACAAACGGATTTTCCAGAAAAACTAATTATCTTGTTAAGTAATGACAAGAAACAGTAAATTATATTAATTACTCATTGTTCTTATAAAGTTTTTTAAATTCACCCACCTTTAAAAATTGGAAAATGTTTATTCATTTGATGCATAATAATTGAAAATATTAATTCATTCATAAAATTCTTCAACATCATGGCTTTTTTGATTCGTCATCAATCCAGATTTGGACGATCGTATATTTCCATCATCTTCAGATGCATCACACTCCGAACCCTGAAAAAAATTATTTTTGATTTTCAAAAAATATTAGTAATTTCAGACAAACCTTGACCATTTCTGATGTGAAATAATAATTCAAAACAATTCGAAAAACTTTGATAGTTCCTATCAAAACCATAATAAATGAGAATACTCTGAATTTGAAAAATTGTTCGGTATCATATTTGACATAGTTTTTACTGGTACTATGGCTTGTTTCATGATCTTCTTTTTCGAATTCTTCTTCCAAATTGTTTTTCATAGAATCCGATAAAATTGATACTTTCAAAGAAGTTTTAGAGACCGTCGGATTTTTGAAAATTGATTCGAAATATGAGATGACATCGAAATTTGTCGTTGTTTCGTTTTTCTTGAAAATTTGAAATAGAAGATTTGAAGAGCAAAAAACTGCGGATCTTTCCGTTTTATTGTTTTCACATTGTTTCCAATAATGATGTGATCGACAGCCAAATCGATAATATTGAGTTTGATTATTACTATGTTTCAACTGAATTGTATCTCGTCGTGATACACAAAGCGGTTTTGCTGGATAACATCTTTCAAATGAAAGAATTATTGAGGGACCTGCTGGGAATGTATATCTTGTTGTATTCTGAAATGTTTTTCATTGTTTTTAATTATAATTAAGCGAGCAGAAAACTTACAGTGTCATAAAACGCCTTTATGTATCCTTCCAAACATAATTCTTTGATATTTATGCCATCCTTATGTAAATTTTCGAAGAATTTCTTATTCTTTGTATTAACATTACTGATAACGTCTCCAACACCAAGCGAAAATCCATAGAAGTTTAGCGAATCTGATAGATAATACAGAATAAATAGTTTTAATACAAGTCGCATGTTTTTATGATTTCAACAGAAGGTTTTTGAAAATTTGCAACTGAATGCCACGTTGACAACATGGTTTTCACGTGGAATCACAAACGTGGCCAAAACGTGTTCAAAATTGAAAAGAAATGAACGACATTCTCAATGGGGCGCGTTTTGTTCGCTTAAATTTTCTCGTGTAGTTCTCGAGAACTATTTTTGTTTTTTCATTTTTTTTTTGACTAGTATACTCTTCGTGAAGTGTAATTGGAGAGAAATCTCAGGGTTCCCAACTGTTATACTTTTTATGTGATCTATTCTCAAAATCAGAGTTAGAGGGGGGGGTTCCCGTTTTGAAGAAAAAAATCCCCTGAAGTTACAATAAGCGTGTTAGATGTTCTAAAAATTGCAGCGCTCAAACCCTCAAAAAAGAAAAAATAAATAAAAATTCACGAATACTTCTACCGTACCCCTCATCAAAGGCGCACACAATTTTTCTCCCGTGTCTCGCAACGTGCGTTGATTTTTCAAAAAACGAAGCGGTGTTTGCACATTATTGATGGAAACATTTAATGTGACGCCAAATTTTCAGTGATTTCGTTTTTTATAAGGGGAGGAAAACAAAACTATTTCTGTAGATTTCTCGAATGTAAGATGAACAATGGCTCTAGGTATTTGTTCAGGAGATTAGCAATATTCAATAAACTCTATTTTTCATCGGTGTAAGTCGGAATGTTTCCTAAAACTCTTATAAATTCAAATTTAGGCCACAAGCTTCTGCGCTCCCAACATTAGAAGCTGATCAAAAATTGGTGAAAAGAGGAGATTTCAGAGGAGTTGCTGCAACAAATTTGAAAAATCGTTCAAATACAAATCCAGATGTTGTGTTATCGAAAATTCAACAAAATTTAGGAAAAAATTATCGAATTCCAGGAGATATTATTCTTATTGATGTTGTTAGACAAATTGAAGCCGGAAATGAGAAATTTATAGAATTATTAAAAAGATCAACAGATCGATGGGTTCCTATTTTGATATCTTCATGTGGTCATCCATTATCGAATGTGGATAAAATCATTCGAACTGAAATTCTCGATCGATTATGGAATTCGCTCTCCGAAAATGGTAGGTGTTCAAAATTAAATAGTTAAAGTTAAATTCTTTGGAAATTTCAGTAGAAACTCTTCCTGTCGAAGCGTGGAATGCAAGATTCGCTGCTTTGAATCAGAATGAGGCTGATTGGAATGTGACTGAAGAATTAGATAAAATGGAAAGAAGTGGAATCCAACCAAATGCTGAAACTTTTCATGAATTAGTAACTCGTTTGGCAAATTTAGGAGATGTTGATGGTTGTCGAAATATGGTTTATAATATGGCTCGGAAGGGTTTTCCCGTTGATTCGAACATCAATGCATCTTCGGTTTTTGTTTTCTCTGTCAGAGGACATTATCAAAAAGCTGATTCATTGTGTGAAGTAAGACTTATTTAATATTATATAAATTCAAAATATATTTCAGCAGGCAGCAGTAAAATATGGTGAACAAGGTGCTGAATTGGCATTTGGTGCAGCTTGTCGAGCCGCGGCTTGTAGAGGAGATATGGATAGATTGAGACAAGTATTGAGAAAATCAGTGAAAGAAGGAACCACCAAGTTAATATTATCATGTAATGATATTCTTGAAACAATTTGGTTGATGGCTGAAAAAAGTCGAGATGGAACTGGGCAAGAATGTGCACTTCTTGTTGAACAAATGTTGAATTGCACATCAAGAGATGCTGGATTTTTTCGAAAATTATATCGAGAAGTTGAGAGACATATTTGTCATCGACATTATTATACAGCATTATCACTTTTGGAAGACACGAAAAGAGTATCAGAATGTTTAGAAAATCAGCAAAGAAGTCTATTTTTAGTGCAATTAATTGGAAAATTAGCAACGCAATTGATTCGATCGCAAGAATCAACACATTTGATAAGAGATGTTGCAAATCGTGTTCATTTTACATTCAATCGAAGAGGATCGTAAGTTTATCAGATGAATTCCAGAAAAAAATACTCAAAGTTTTTGTTTTTCTAGTAAACTGCGTATTCGAATGTATGATGATTTGGTTTATTCAGCTTGTCTTTTAAAAGATATGAAACTTGACGAAAGATTGGAATATTTTCGAACTTTTGTTGATGAAATTGATATTTCTCGTGAAAGAATTCATATGACACTTCCACTTTTGACAAGCGAAGAAAATCTTGAGATTCGACTTTCTGCACTTTATCGTCTTTCAGTTATGGGATATCGAAATTGGTCGAATATTGATATAAATCCGATGGTTTCAATTATTCTTCAACCACTTTATAGTATGAATTTTTCTCTTTTTTCGCCGTAAATTCTTCTATATTTCAGATTCTGGCCGTCCGTTTAGAGATCAAAGTAAATTGGATAAATTATCAAGAGTTTTGAAAAGTTATGGAATAAATGATAAAAATATTTGGCATATTTTATACAATTGGTCGAAAAAGAAACAAAATGAAGAGAAACATTCAGAAGAAGATCAATGGAAAAGACCATTTTCGCGGGATTTGAGAGGATGGTGTAGAGCTTATTATTCAGAAACATTTGAAAATCCAAAAACAACTACGAAAAAAGCAGTTTCGATTCCATATGATAAATTCAAAGTTTGTGTAGATCAAGGAGATATTGGAAAATTGACTGCGATTTTGAATAATTCTGGATGGCCGATTGATACAAATTATGAAGAAATTGCGCCGAAAGTTATCGATTTATATTTGAATCATGAAACTTGGAAAAACACTGAAAATATGTTGGCTGATTTATCGGCACATTCAGCTGAATGGCAAGAGGAATCACATAAAACACCGGTCAAAAATTATCATTTGCTATGTGTTTTACGAAGGTTGGTTATTTTTAATTTGGAATTTTTTTTGAAATGAAAAATAATTTGTGATTATTCGAGAAAATACGTGAACCTAGTTTATTCCATTAAAAAAATTGGAAAATCCTAGCCCATTACTAATTTTTTGGCATGGATGGAAATTAATTGGACTTATTCAAAAACTCCCTCCAGAGCCCAGCTATATTGCACCGAAACACTAACCTTTAGCCAAACTCCTTTGAAAAATTGAATAACAGCTGTGTAAGTGTCAGTTCCGTTGTCTTCTGATTTCAAAAATAATTCGAAAATTTTTTTTCCTCTAACGTAAAATAATTTTGGGTTGCCACGTCACAATTCCATTTTCATTTTCATTTCTCAATCTTCAATTTTTGCAGATTGGCTGAAGAAGGTGAAACATTATCAATTAGAAATATAACTGATTATGCATATGAACTTCGAAATTTATATCCTCACGCAACTTGTCATTATGATGGTTTTTTCGAAACTCAAAACGAATACAAAAGACTTTTCTCAAAATGTTTTGAAAGATTGGAAAAACAAAAAATGACAACAGAAGCAGTCGACGAACTCATCGATTTTCTGCGATGTTTAGTAAAACTCGAATTGATTCAATTGCATCCAACAGAAAATCTTACTGTATTTTTCATCAATATTGTTTTGAAACGAATTGGTTGGAATGAGGCGTTGAACACGTGGCAAAAATTCTTGTCAAGTTTGCATTGTCCAAATGGAACTGTTGCTCTTTTACGACATTGTTTAATGCAAAATTCGGATGAATCAAGAAAGAATTTACAATTTGTTATTCATCGAGGATCAACTTTTTTGTCACATTCAAGAATTCATGCAATGTATTTATCAGTTTTGATTGGAATGAGAAAATTTGAAGAAGCTGAAAAAGTTTGCGATTTAAATGAGGGAAAAATTGAGGCAAATGATTGTTTGATGGCGATGAGATTGATGAATTCACTCAAAGCAAGATCAGTGAGTTCATGTTTTTCTTTGTGATTCATATCACTCACATACATGGCACTGCTCCCAAAACTGTGAGGGGGAGATCATGACATTTGGAAAAATTTTTCGAGGGGGGGGGGATCATTTTGGAAATTTTGAATTCTCGCCTGAATCAAAATTTTGATTCGGGCGGGAAGCTAATGAAAATTCACGCCCGAATCAATTTTTTTTAAACAAAACAATTGAAATGATCATGACATTTCAACATTTTGGGGATAATTTTGATCATTAATTTTGATCATTACATGCGGTGTCTGTTGTGCGAAGATGCCATGTTCACTCATTTAAAAAAATGTTTTTTTCCAGTTCGACGAACAATTTATGCTTGATTTCTCAGCGATTTGTCTTCGCCGATTGAATTTATCAAAAAATCCGGAAGTGGCGCAAAATATGCAAGCAGATTTATTGCGAATTTGTGATTCGAGACATATGGGACCGGCTGCATTGCGTGTTTATGATCTATTTTCGAATTATGATGTGAAATTGCGTGATGAGGAGAAGAATCGATTGGCAACAGTGATTGAGAAACATTCAGCACTTTCAAAGTTAGTTTTATGGGAGCTTTGGGGCGTTTTTTCGGGAATCTAGGATTTTCAAACGATGAAAATCTTTGTTCCAAGTAGAAAAATGCTACTTTTGGGGCAAATTTTGAAAAATAACAAAATTCGAAAAATACTTTGTTTTTCTCTAGAAGTCTTCCAGTCCCTCTTCTTATAATTTAAAATCAAATTCACATCCAGATTTTATTTTCTATTTGATGTTTTTGTAGAAAATGGATCTTCAAACCGGATGGTTTTCTTAACATCCAAGCTGATGATGAAATAATAACTCAAAGTGAAGAAGCAAAAATTGAGGAAAAGCTCAAAAAAGAATTGAAAGCGGGTTTATAATAGGTTTTTTTTGTTATTTTTTATTTGTTTATTTTATGTAGGTTAGATTAGATCTTATTGTTATTTTGTTTTTGCCCTTTACAAAAATTTATTTTTCAAAAAAAAAAGAAGTTTACAAAAAATTGGGGTTTACAAAAAGGGCAAGTTTTGGGTGGTGATGAGATAATACCTAGTTCTCCAGCATAATTGAAAGAATACAAAAAATAATATACCAAACACGGGATTTGGCAGTGGCTGGGACAAAAAAATTGAAAAAAAACGGAGAAGTGAACTAGGTGCTGAACTAAATATATAGCCAGATTATTTGCAGACGCATATTTTTTGAGATTTATACATTTTGTAAGTGTTTTTGGGTTTTTGTTGGGGGATTACTTAATAATATGTACACGAAATTATATATTTACAACAAATACACTAGATTTTACTGGGGTAAATTAAGGGTGTTGTTAAAGAAGAAGTAAGGAGTTACAAATTAAAAAATGCAGTAAATAATATGAATGAATGAAAGATTAAATGTTACAGTATTTACATAGTTTTTTCGAGGAAACTTTTGATGAGTTGCAAAGATTTGAGAAGAGCTGATTGAACTTCTTCGACACGGTCGTTGAAATCAGTTCTGCAAAAAATTAAAGAGTTTTTGATTGAAAATAATTTTTTTTAATTAAAAATTGGTTACCTTTGATGTTGAATTTCAACTTCCAAGACTTGCCAAAGTCTCATTAAATTAGTCAAACTTTGTTTGATCGCCAAAGTTTCCTCTTTTTTCTTTTCCATATATACAAAACCAAGACCATTTTCAACGATCACCAGGACCGTTTTACGAAGATCTCGTAAAATTTCCACGCCAGCGTGAGTATTTTTCATTTTTCGAACACATTTGTCGAATTCGTTTTTCTTCGATGTTCCACCATGGAAGCGTAATTTTCTCGCCTGTCCACACACTTCCGAGAATTCTTTTTTGATAATTTTGGCGGCTGCTACAGTTTCCACTGATTGTGGAGTATAGTCATCCGAATTGTCAGTTCTTCGAATAAGTTCACCAGTCTTCGAATCCACAATCCAATAGGCTTTCTGGAGAAGTTTCATAGTTTGTGGATTGAATACTCGTCCACATCCACTGCATTCCGCTTCGAAATCCTTGTCGCGAACTTCGAAATTATTTCCGCAACAACATTTGATCTTTTTGATATAATCAGTTTTCTCCAAAATATGAAGTTTGTATTCTTTTTCCCATTTTTCGATCCACAAAGCATAAGCTGAACAAGTCATTGGCCAATGTGGTTCGAATCCACAATCATGACACCAATGAATTCCACATGAATCACAACATGTTGAATTATATTCATTTGGTGATACAATTATCAATTGTTTACAAGATGGACATTCTCCAATAACTCCTGGTTCAAGTTCGTAATTTTCGACCAATTCAGTTGCGCTGAGCTGAAATTCGTTGACATTAGCTATTTATTTTTCAAATTCTAAATTACCTTGGTGTAGAAGTTGAGAAGTGGAAGTGGAATAATTGCTGGTAAGATATCATAAGTTGATTGATCTTCAGCGAGAACAAATGGGATTTCGAGAGGAACTTGCTTCATGCGAATTTTCTCAATAATTTGTTGTCTCAAACAATCTCGACATTGCCACGAATCATCCAATTCGAACATTTCAGTTGAATGATCGTTTGAACATCTCGCACATTTGATTTTATATGTGTTGACTTTTTGAGAAACTTCTTCACTTTCCGAATCACCAAATTCGATATCATCATTATCAAAATCGATTCTTTCAAATGATTCACTATTATTTCTAGTGTTTCTACCTTCAGTTCTGACTAATTCAGCCATATTTTCTGGTGTCAATACTTCTCCACTTTTTGTGAGTGAAGTACTATTAAAAGCCGCTTGATAATTGGAACGAGATTGTTCGAAGCGATTTTTCACAAATCTTCTTCCATCAGCCAATTCCGGTGCACTTCCATCTTTCCATTCTCGAACCAAAGTCGAAAGAACCTTTACAGTATCTTCAAGATTTGTGCAATGTTTCAAAATTGATTTGAGAATTTGCCACGAGAATGGTCCAGTTGGAGCAACAGTTGAGTTCAAGAGCAATTTCACATGATTCTTCTTGACACTATTTGCTTGTTCCAAAACGATAATCAAAACTGGAGCTGCTTGTGGTTCTTCTGAAACAAGTCCAGAAGCATTGATTGATGCACGTTTTTTGTCTTCATCGAGCCATTGAACATCCAATTTATCGTTTTGCAACAGTTGTTCGACCTACAAAAATTCAATATTTTTTAATCACATCCACTTCCAACCAAAAAAACACACCTGTTGAACAAAATCGCTTGTATTCCAGTTGGAAATATCTAAAAGTACCCATTCAAATGCGACAGGTGTTCGAAGAATCGACGAAATATCAAGAAGATATGATGGTTTTTGTGAATCTCCTCCAACATTTCCATCCATACTTTCCGGCTGATTGACACTTTCAATACTTTCGCGTCTAACATAGACGAGATCATTTTTCATCGGCTTATCCGAATCAGTTATATAATCACCTAGACAAAATTTGAAATCTCTAGATGGTTTGTAAAGCGGCTCTTCAATATGTACACTTTGTTCGAGCTCACTTCCTTCCAATTCATCCATATTTATCTTGACTTTTTGTTGACTACGCGTCTTTCCCGCTTTTTTGGTGTTGTAATTGCGGTTGAACAATTTGCCAGCAAGAACTTTATGATTCTTGTGCGGTTTGTAGATAGTATATTGGATCTTTGGATCCTCAACTTCTTCATGCGAACTTTCTTCAGCACTCGAAGCTTCAGCCTCAGCTTCCGCCTCTTTTCTTGCTTTTCTTCCGCGCACCTTCTTTCCTTCTCCGATGTTAAGAGCATTCAGATTGGTACCTTTGCCGGTTGCGGTTTTAACGCAAACTTCATCGTTGTCATCAAGTTGATGAAGAGCAACCACATTCGATGTTGTATCTAAAAAAAAACACAAGGTCAAATGGACTTTAGAATTGAAAGTGGTACTTTGTGGTTTTATCAGATTTTGTTATCAACTAGTTCGAAAATTATGATTGAACTGTATGTTTTATTTAGATGTTCAATCTCACCTTTAGCCGTCATAACACGTTCAACAATTTGGACAGGCAAAGTGTCGTCGTTGTTAACGAGCAACTCCAATTCCGTAACATTGTCCCAACGGTTTTGTTTGTTCAACGAATAGATGACATTGGTTGCGAAACCATCGCTGATTTGGTTGACACGTTGAACACGACGACGGCCAAGAACACGATGAGGATCGTCGATGGTTTTGACGAGCATCGCACCGGCTTTTTCAACTTGACGCGCATGGCGAGCAGCTACAGCACTACGTCTGCCCTTCTCCTTCCTTCCTGTCAATTTTGCACTCAGTTCCGGAAATTCGGTTTCACTGAAAAAAAATTAATTTTTTTTTTTGAAATAAAGAAAGTTTTTGTTCTAAACTTTGTGAATCTGAGAATTTATTTCAAAAAACATTTATAGGCTTTCTGATAATTTCTACAATTCACCCTTTGAAAAAATGAAAAACCTTCTAGAAACCAAAAAACTGGTCGATGGGTACGGTGTGAAAATATTAGTAGTAGTAAGCATGTTTTCGGTTGGTTTTGAATGTTTCGAATGAAAACAGCCGAAAAAACTATTTCTTTTATAAATGTCTGTGTGTTGGCTGGGAAGAGGGCATGTGACCATATGCCCTCGTGGGTTGTATATTATAAAAAACGAGAGAAACAGAGATGAAAATAAATGTTCTTGTGATTTAACAATACAAACTAGAAAAGCGTCAACACGGTGTTTGCTTGTTTCAATACTCTTTCTAGGGAAAATTAGTTATTGGAAGGGACCAGTGGACTTCGAAAGAAAAGTTTTTTTGTTCAAAAAATCACGTGACGTCCAACAAAAAATTTGTAATCTTAATTGAGTCATACGATTTTGTCTATTTATTTTTGGATCCACGTGACTCCACAGATCATTTTTGCTGAATTCCTGTACCTCTTCACCGCCTTTTGTTGTCATCTCAACTTATTGACGTCATGGCGAAACATATCTCTCCTCTCTTCTGTTTCAATGAACTATCAAACTATAGTGTAGTCCAAATACACACGAGTGTATTGTCATTTATTATTTAAAAACCTCTTCAAGTAAATATGCTAATTCCAATCAATATGTAGTCTGATCAAATACAGTATTATTATTATATTCATGTTGCTATTCACATGACTGACACCTGGCCGATCAAAGAACAAAAAAGACATTTGATACGACATTTTTTTTTGGTGGCCAACATGAAAAGGAAAAGTTCCCAGATGGTGTTCACACATCTGTTGGATTGCGCATGTTTCGAGAAATGACACAATTTTATGCGTTTTTTTTGTCTGGAAAGAATTATTGCGAAAGAAGAGAGAAAGAGATTTTCGATCTTTGTGATTTACGACAACATGCCATTTCAGTACAACTATAAAAAGGGGTTTTCACTTTCTTTAGTTTTAATGTTTATTTTCAATATGGAAAAAAAAGTCCCCTAGGAGAAAACTTGGAAAATTCTCGAAAAACAAAATTTTGAATTCGGAAGTAGAGTAAACTTTTAAAAAAATTCGAAGATCGAATTGTTTGATCTTTGAGTTTTAGATTCATTCTGATGGATTTCTTGTTTAGTTTTGTACTAGCAGCACATTTTTAAATCCTAAAATTCTACAGTAATTTGATTTCGATCAGACTGATTTGGTCAAAATCGGTTGACTGATTAGCAAAACACAAATCCCTTGTGAATTATCATTTTCTGAATACTGCTCATTATCAGATTATTTACTGGCGCCACTTTGACTGATAATATCAAACAATTTTTTGATGATCCTACAAATTATGAAAAACAAACTCACTTGAGGTCAAATCCGACATTTTTGTCTTGAACGGACATGAAAACAGGTTTGATGAAAGGAGGAAGAGGGAGACCGCGCTGAGCCTGAAAATAATCTACATATTTTTCAAAATTGACACCTTTTGTGTCCGCCTCAAAATCAAAGAAAACGAAAAGAAAGTGGGTGTCATCGGGTCGGAACTGAAGATCGGTCATATGACAAAAGTTTTTTTTTGTTCCAGAAAAAAATAACAGAAAAAATAAAAGAGAAAAGATAGATTGCTGCAATTCTCTCATTTTTTTCTGTTGTTATTGGACTGTTGTGTGCTGCTTGAGAATCGAAGAGAAAAAGAGGAAGAGTTGAGAGAAATATAGACCACGAGGTGTTATTGAGGGGGTTAGAGACGCAGTGTTCAGAATAACAATTATATTATTGTGACAGATGTTGTCGACGAAGGCGACGATGGAAAAGAAGAAGAAGAAGACGAAGAAGACTGCTTCCTTTTTTGAATGGTGAAGTTGAAGAAATAGTAGGTGAAGTGGTGAGAATTTAGAGAAAAGCTGGGGTTTATTGATCTTTTTGGTGGAGAGATTCTAAATAACATGTTGAAAAATCACTGAAAGATCTAGCATAGAGATAATATTCTCTTGCTTTGTTTTGAGCTCGAGCAAAAAAATACTATCAGCTTAGCTAAGCTCAAAAACAAATAATGCTCAAATCAAAATGAGAAATCGAATTGATTATTTTTCGATTTCAGTAGACGAAAAAAACAATAAAAAACCTGAATTTAATTAGATTACCATCCTTCCGCTCTTGAAAAACACTAACATTACTTCAGGAAAAATCGATTTTTTTAATTCACTTCTGTGAAAAGTGAAAACAAATATGGACATCGGAGGAATAAATAATATTATAAATTTCTTTGTTTATTTTGAAAAAGTCGAAATATCTAGGATGGAAGAGGGGTTCATGAAATGGGGAAAGAAAATGAGAGTTTCAGCGACAAATAATAAGTTATCAGTGAATGTTTTTGTTCGAAAAATATAAAGATAAGAGTTATTTTTTGCAATTAAAAAAGCAAAGTTTTCTTTGGTGAGTACTGTAGCCGATCAAATATACTTTTCAAGTTGATAACAATGTAACCACATACATAGCTATACGAAAAAGATGAAATATATTTGAGACTAACTAAATCCTTAATTCTACCCCCTAAAATGTATGGATTATCCTGCCTGCTTATAAAATAAAAACACAAGACAACATCAAAAATCAAACCAAAGTACAACCAAAAAATTGAACACAAACAAAATGAACAAATAATTTTTCCATGACACTGCAGAATGAAAAAAGTCAGCTGATTTTTTTTCGGCAAAATTTTTCCAGTCTTTCTGGCGCCAAAAAACAACAAATGTTGGAAGATATTATATTTACTTTATAGTCAAACAGCAGAGCAAGCAAATATAAGGAAAAAATATATGATTTTTCTCGCTTCGCGCTGCGCAGACAATATTCAAAAATGTATAATATTATATTCGTCTTCTTTTTTCTTTTTTCGTCTGCTAATAAATAAAGACCACACGCAGCGAAAGAAATTCGATACAACCAACACAACCATGTGTACATGTATAGAAAAAAGGAAGAAAAAAGAAGAAAAAGAAAGTTGGGAGAGGAAGAAATAGAAAGAAGAAAGCTAAAATCGATACGACACCCCTGGAGACACCAAAAGTGAGTAAGCATTTGAAAAAATAAACAACAAGCAGAAAATCGAAAATATGTAGAGCAAGGGATTCGAAAAACTCGATTTTGAAAGATCAAAGTGAACTTCTGGCCTAATTTTTATCCAAAGACTCCAAAGAGATTTTTTTCAACAAAACCAACAACAAATCAGAAATGATGAAAACTAATAATATTTCAAACAACTTTCAAAAACATAAGAAGAAATGAGATTGATAAGATAAAGAGCCAATTTTTATTTTTTCAAACATTTCCAAAAAATAAACAAAATCATGTTTGTCTCACTTTATTGTGAAGCGTAACAGATTGACTAACTTTCACCTTTCATTTCCTTTTTTCAAAAAAAGAACAAGTTTATGAAAACTTGTTTCGAGAAAAAGTCAAAATTTTGTAGATCAAATATGTGACACCCAAAAAAATAAGCTTTTTTCTGTTTTTTTTTTTGAAAATAGAAAAAAGGGTCAGTGTTCAATTTCATTTGAAAAGTGTGCAAATACCATTTTTGACGTAGTTTCTTACATCTTTAACTATCTATAAATAAACAAAACTCTCAAACTCTTTCTTTTTTTCTGTCATATTATAGTTAGTTCGTGGATGGCACGTTCGAAAGAAAAAATGAAACCGACAGAAAAATAAACACATTTTATTTATATATAGAATAGAATAGACAGAAGTCACAACACACATCTGTTTTCAATTTATAAATTATTTTTTTCGAAAATTAAAATATGTACATACATATAATTTTCGTGTGAATTCACTTACCCTTGTTTTATTGTTCATGAATATTAGCGAATTGGAAAATATTTTATTATTTTTCCGAAAAGAGAAACAAAGGAAGGTGTCACAAGACTGAATGGATGGAAATGCTGGACAGAAAAACAAAAAAATGTTTTTTCATTTGTAGTTTGGTTTCGACAGGGAAAAATAAAAATATTGATAAATATGGTAGATCATTTGAAAATCCCAAAAACGTTTTCGAGAAGGTTTGCCAAAAAATGTATTTTTGGGGACCTAGAAAACTTAGGTTGAGATATATAAGATAAAGGACCTAATCATCAAGGATCAGAGCCTAGTGAACGACTTTGAAAAAGAGCCACGCTTTGTGAATCACAATGGATAGGAACGGCGCCAAGAGAGCTTGTGTGTCAAGTAGTCGCGCCTACAGAGTCTCAGTTTCGAGAAGGTACACCGAAAAACACTTTCGAAAAACTACAACTTGGATTTTTTTTCAATGTTAATTTCAGAAATTGAAAAAATCCAAATTTTTTCAGAACCAAGAGCTAATTTCCGAAAACTTTCAATTTTCACTTTGAGTTAGTGAAAAACCTACCCATTTCTCATCTTTCAAAAACTATTTCGTCATTTTTGAGTGACGAGATATATATGAGTGATGAAAACACTGCATAAATTTCCAAGAAAATGACTTGTTTTCTTTTTTCGAAAAAACTTCACATATCTATCAACAAGAAAAAAAGTACAAAATAATCTAAAAATTGCATAATTTATTACATAAATTCATAAATTTCACCGAACTCATAAAAAATTAAAGTTTTTTTTATTTGGGAAAATTGTGGGGGGATTTCAAATTTTGCGACATAAACTTGTCATATAATATTTACACACTACAGTACTTTCAGCTAAAAAAGAAATAGAAAACGAAAATTAAAGAGAAAAAAGTAACACTGTATATGGCAGTGAAAAGCATTTGGGTTTAGAAAAATTATGATTATTATTATTAAAAAATTATTGAGAATATAATGATCTGCTGAATGTGACATAATCAAATGATCTTGGAGGTGCTCCTGGTTCATGTGATGGAGCCATTCGAGCCATACAATATGCTGCTTGATCACGGGGTAATTCACGTTCCAATTCTTCCGCAGTTATGAATGGCTGAAAAATCGAATAGATTTTTTTGTAAATTTTCAATTTTTCAGAGTTTTAAATCATATTTTTCAGCTATCCATATTTTCCCAAAAATTCTCGAAAATTGATTTTTCTACACTTCAAAATAATTGTTTCTCGAAAAAATTATTGAAAACCAGTTCTAAAATATAATGAGAAAATATTTTCAAGGAGAATGGGAAGTTAAAATTTTCCATTTGGCAGCTTTAAACGACACTCCAAAAATAACTATGCCTGAGATCCCACAGGGACGGATTTTCTTTTGATTTTTTCTACATTTCAAAATATTCTATATTTCGAAATTCCCAATTCAAAAATACCTAGAGAGCTTCGGAATGTTCTCTATATAAATCTTTAGATTTATTCGATTTGTAAAAAAAAGTTGAAATTTTCATTGCTTTCCAATCGGCAGGGACGATTAAACGACACTCCAGAAATGACTATGCCTCAGATCCCACAGGGACGGATTTTCTTTTGATTTTTTCTACATTTCATATTGAACTTTTAATTGAAACAAATTTGAAAAATCATTCGAATTTCAATGGGAAAAATGAAAATTCTAATGATTTTCTTACAAATTCCTTTATAAAGAAGTTGAATTTGCGAGATAACAGGGACGAAATTACGATATTCTCAAAATGACACTGCATTTTGTTTAGTTATGTATTTGAAAAATATTTTTTCCAAAACAATTAAACCAACCTTTCCAGATGCTAATATTCTAAACGAATCAATCATTTGTTCAACAGTGTCTTGATCCGAATTCTCTTTTGTCATGAAATCCAAGAACGCTTCAAATGGAACACGACCAATTCGATTTGGATCAACGTGTGCCAAAATGCGGTGAAGTTCAGCATCTCCTTCTCTTCCTGGTCGAACAGCGCCGACAGAAATGAGACATGAGCGAAGTTGTTCGGTGTCGAGACCAGCACGATCTTTGTCGAAATGAGCAAATGATGAACGGAATTCGGCAATTTGCTCTTCACTAATTCCTTTACTATCACGAAGAAGAACCTGAGAAAAATTCGAATGTTCAAAAATCTATTGATCATTAACATGAATGGTTCATAAAATCTAACCTGGTTTTCAAACTCGTTGATTGTCTTATTGATACTTGTAAGAAGTGTTTCCCATCCAACACGAAGTGATTCCATTGAATATCTGGAAAAAAATTAGATTTTCATCAGAAAAATTATCCCGTTTAAATAAATACCTAGATTTTCTATTCTCAAATACAAAGTTTTCTTGCATCTCTTGATGAATTCTTTCGAGTTCTTCAAGATTTGGTTTGTAACCAAGTACATTTCTTTGGACATTTCGAAGTTGTTGAATCGAATCTTCCAATCTTCCACGTCCACCAAGTCCAATTGCCAAAACTTGTTCGAGTTCTCTTTCGAGCCATGGACCAACATTATTTGCTTTTTCAGCAAACATTGTTCGAAGACGTTCGTTGTCTGAAAAAAATGCATTTAAGGGTGAGCAACTACACCTGGGAGTATTAAAAGAAATCGGACAAAACAACTCCACTTACTTTGTTGTCTTCTGAGTTCAGCTTGTAATTGCGAATCTCTTCTTGGAACCGATGATTGAACTTCTCCCCATTTTCTACGAATATCAGCCGCAGCCAAATCAGTGTATGGATTTCTCAACAATTCTCTATCCAAACCATGTGATGTGACAAGATGCTCAACTTCTTGTTCGATTGAATTAATGCTCGAAAATTCGCGATCCGCGTCTCCCAAAGTCGATTTGAATTGATCGTGTGCGCTAACAAGTTCTTCGATTTCGCGCATCTCATGAACAATAACAAGATCAGCCAAATCTTCGCGAGCTCCATCGAGCCAATTATTGAATGGAGCAGCACGTTTGGCAAAATCGAGATAAAGCGAATCGAGACGTTCGGCAATTCTTTCAGCATCTTCCAATTTTTCACGACGTTGTGAAGAAAGTTGTCCAAGACGATCCCATTGAGAGCAAATTGTTTGACATCTTGCATTAATTGGACCAATATCTGGATAACGAAGATTATTGAGTTCTCTTGCAATTGCGGCAATTTGTTCAACACGATCTTGATGAGCTCCCAAATCACTTTCAAAAGCTTCGTGGCGTTTGCGAAGAGCCTGAATTTTTTTTTCATTTTTTTGCTAACTTCTCCCCGAATAAAAAAAAACTAACCTTGATCTTATATAATCCGCAACTTCTCCAATCTTGACTTCTCAAAGCATCTTCTTTTCCATGTGCCCATTCTTCATGCAATGCACACTTTCTTCTGAATTTCTCCGCCAAATGTTCCAATCTTTCTAATCTCATAATTTCCGACAACAACCATTCTTCAAATCCTTTTTCCGAATCTTCAAGTCCAGCCCAAGCTGCATTAATATCTTTGATCAAATGTCCATCACGTGGCAAGAAAGCTGGACGATTTGAGAGACGAAGACGAGTTTGAAGTGTATTGAAAAGTGTCTCAAGACGACCTTTATCTTCAATTCTTGGTGGTTTTTCATGTCGACGATAATTGCGATAATCTTCGAGTTTTTGTTGAGCTTGTGGAAGAGTATCATCAGTTGAACGATTTGCCAACCATGGCATCCAACGAGCAATCCAAGCAAGAAGCTGAAAATTGAGTATTTAATTTTGAATTTTTTTAAAACTTTTCTTTCAAACTCACATCAGATGCCAAATTTTCGTAATCCTCCATCATTTTTTCATTTTCTTGATTGACTTTCAAAACGCGACAAATTCTATTAGCCGCAGTTTCAGCCTAAAATTTTCAATTTAGGTTTAGATTTTCTTTTTTTCTAGACACCTTTCTCATTCCACTGAAATAATGATAATAACACGAAACATAGGTCATAACAGCCTTTTCATCAGGTTGTGAGTTGGCCAAATCTACAAGAAAATGTTAGTTGAAAACAACTCGATTAATATGTTTTTTGCAAAAAAAAACAACTCGGACTGGACATGAACTTCACAATTAATTTTGAAAAAAAGAAAAACCACATCACTCTCTCACATCTTTACGCCAATCGCGTTCTGGTGGAGGAGCCACAACAACACGTTGTGGTGGTGGTTGACGAATTATTGGTGGCTGTTCACGCATATTGCGGAATGCGTGATAGAAGCAAGAGACATACGTCATTGTGGATTTTTCATCCGGATGACGCGCAACGTCTGTGAGGTTTCAACATTTTTTAGAAAGGGAGAATAGAAACGATCATTATCAGTTTGAAGTTTTGAGAAATTCTAGAGATGAGAATATATTCTTACCTTCAGCGTCCAACATTCTTGGAATATCCAAGTGTTTTTCAGCAACATCAAAAGCCAAATTCAAGTTATGAATTGGATCTCCTTTGTGAAGTTGAGAATAATCCAAAAGATCTGGTCGATGTCTATGAATCAACGCGCAGAATGCAAGACCATCCTTCCATGAATTATGGAAGTTTTGCACATTGACATTATTGTATGGTGCAGTTTTACGTTGACACCAAAGAAGAAGTCCATCACGGGCGGACAATTCTGAAAATAACTAAGCTTTAAATATTTTCCAATAATAAGTATTACCTTCAACATTAATATCTTGGATAGCGAAACGCAAGATGATTGTCCAAATCAAACCGAGTGTCATTTTCACATTTCCATCAACAATTTCTTCGGCTCCAATTGATACCAATTTGACACCTTTTGATTCGATGTATTCTAATGCTTTGTTGACATTGGCAATCTTGTGGAAACGCATTTTTCCTCGATCTGGTTTTGGAAGTGGTTCACCGGAAATCACTTCCAACAACAACATCAATTTAAGACCATTTCGAAAATCTTCTTCAATTGTGTCGATTGAAGTTCCAGCTTTTCGAAGATGTGAATTGCACCAAGCGGTGAAGGTCTGAAAATTTTATCAATAAAAAACTCAGTTTTACAGTTTGAAAGCACCTTAGCTGAAATTTCCTTTCATAAAACTAATAAACACACACGAAACTATTGCTACAGTACATTCGTGTGTGTTTGGAAGCAGGTCTTGTGGCGAAGCGCCATGTTTCGTTTCATTTACGAATTTTTCTTTTTTTTTTTCTTCAGAAAGTTCACTCTCACAATGTTCATTATCTAATTTTCAGTCTCGTTTAGTTTCAGATTTCCCTCCCACTCAAAGTTTTTTTTCGAGAGTTATCTTATTTTCGTTTTCGAGTGACAAAAAGAATGTTGTTGTAATAACAGACCAAACTCTTCTTTTTTTTCTTGCTCTGTTCATCTTTTCGAGCTTATAATTTATCAATCGAGTTGGTTTTGATTCGCGTTCGAAAAAACATTGAGAGGGAGGGTTAGAATAGCATTTAACATACGTCTGACGAAAAGCGAAATTATATACCTTTTTCTGTTGTTTTTCCCAAGCTGGATCAAGCAATCCTTCACGATCCCATTCTTCTTCTTGTTGGGTATAATCATATCCCGGTTGATGATACGATGGAGGTTGTTGGTAGTAATCAACCATAGCTGAAAAATAAGATTTTGAAAAAATGAAATATTTTTTCTCTATTTATTTCATAAAAAAGGTCACGTTTGATCACTAAAATGATCACATAAATAAATCAAAAATGAATAACTACATCCATTTCGATGAAGCAATTACAAAAATGAAACAAACAAACAAGTTTTGGTTATCCTGGCGGACGAAGGAAAAAGAAAATGAATAAGAATTATGAGATGAGGAATAATAATAATGAATAGGCAAAAAGACGAAGAAGAAGAAGATGGGAGGGAAATCCAGAATACACTTGACTTAAAAAGGATTCACAAGGTCAGAGAATGTCTCTAAAAGGACAAAATGTATATAAAAGGGCGATTCTATTGTTTACGAAAACATTGAAGAAAAATGAATAACTGTTTTATTGGTGGATCTGCAGAATTAATTTATAGTTAGGAAAAATGAAGATTTTCAAGGATTTGGTATGAACAAACAGTTCATTTCGATTTAGAAAATGAGAAACATTTTTGAACCAAAAAATGTGGATTTCATGAAAAATAGGGTTTGGCTCAAACCCTGAACCTGAAAGCATGGCATTGAAAAAAAAATGAAAAATAATTTGACAACAAACTGGCAACTCTGTTGTCATGTCTTATCCTTCTTTTTCTTTTTCTTCTGTTATCATCATTATCCCCAGTTTCGTCTCTCAAATCTCAATTATCTTTATTTTTCGCTTCCCCTGATTCCGCCGCAGAAAAAGAGTTCTTGTTGTGTTGTAACACAGCACAGTAGACAAAAAAAAAGAAGAAAAAGAAAATGGCACAAAAAAATGATGAAGAAGTTGAACTGTGCCAACTCAAACAAAAATATTTCGAGAGGAAGAAGAGAATCACAAAGATATATGAGAATTTACGATGTACTTTGCGGAAACAGCGAAAATTACGAGGTGAGGAAACATCTATCTTTTTTTTGAGGAAAAAATAACTGAAAGAGAAAGAAAAAACGAAAATGAAAATGAAATCGAATCGAAAAGAATAAAAACATCCTGGAAAAAATATCGCGGCAAATGCAAATAGATCAAATAAACATGGAAAATAACAATGTTTGATTATCTTTCCAAAAATGTTTGTAAATAAATAGAAAAAAAACATTTGCATACTATTACTATCTAGCTGCAGTGTATGTTAGTCATATAATAAACGAGAATTGAAAAAAAAAACTATTTTTACTTTTTTTCGAACAAAATGAAAACAGTACAGAAATGGAGGGAAAACCGGTAAATTTATATAATATGAGTAATCCGATGATGGATCATTTGATGAGCAAATACTTATTGATGGGGATGACACAATTTAATTGATAGAATAAATCGAAAAAAAAACGACGAGTAAGAAATGTTGCATTTTTGTAAATAAGCAAAAAGGATAAAAAGTTACAGTAAATATTGATTTTTGTAACTCATGTCTTTCTCGCAGAAGTTCTAAAAAAAAGTGGAAAATAATTCCGAAAAAAACGATTTCACGTGAAATCACGAGTCATCATAATTCATTTCAATTTATTTTGATCTCGTATTTCAGTCTTTGTTTCATTCCGGAATTTGGAACATTTAGAAACTACTAGAAGAAAAATCTGGCCAACGCCAACCAGTGCTTACTCATTTTTTTGAAAGAATGGAACATTGTTCGTGAGAATTTTTTCAAGGTGAGTAGACTTTTGGGAAATTTTGAGGAAGGATATTTTTTCAAAAAAAAAATGTTCCAAATTTGTTTTTCTAAAAAGTTCACCAAAATAAAAATTTTTTGCCCGTCACATCATTGGAACATCAAAAAACATTTGAAAAAGAAAAAACAAAACACAGCGGCCGCAAAAAAGTGAAGTCATTGAGTGAGCCAAAGCCGCTATCCACTTTGAGACCGGTCACACTGCAGTCATTCATTTATTATTGGTTGATTCATTCGGTCACCCGATAGCCAGCCAACTTTGTCCGGTTTTTCCGGGCTTTGTCTGCGTCTCATCACATGTGTTATATATGTTTTGGTTTTTCCTTTCTGTAGAAAAAAAGAAGGAATGAGTGCTCTCTCTACACTCTTGAAAAGAAAATGTAGATGGAACACAGACACTTTTCAGTTGACACAATCAATTGATGAAAAAAAACATTTCGGAATTTTATAATTCAGAATATTATTATTCTGATCTTTACACTTCTAATAGTTATACAAATCAAGACAAAAGGAAACAACAACAGCAAATAATATGTAGTATTATAAATAAATAAACAAACAGTTTGGGTAATGTTCTGAAGTTCAAATTTTGTTTGTAGTTTAATACGCTCCGCATAATATATTATAGGAAGTATGCGAAATTCTCCAGAATTTTTTGGGACCTGACACGACTAAATTGACAAATCTCAATGTGTAAGAGGAAGAGATTCAGAAAAACATATTTTTGATCCACATTTTTGGAAAGTTTTGAGGTTTAGGCAAAAGTTTATTACAATGCGACAAAAAAAGATAATTTCAGAGATAAATATGTTTGATCTACCGTAAAAAGTTTTGAGATTAAGTACCGAGATGCATGGAGAATTGAAAAAAAATTTGTTCAGGTCTTTTTGAACTACAAAAAAACCTTTATTCTAGAAAACTTCTTTATCTAAACCAAAGAAAACTGAATAATTCAGAAACTCAAACCACGTTGAAAATTTTTTATCCACCTGTCCAATTTCTCAAAAGGATTACGATAAAATCCGAAAACAATGCACTCGAAAATATTTTTCAAAATCAAACAAAAATCAACATATTTTAAAAATAGAAGCCGAAAAGAAAAATAGAGAAAATCTGAACACCTTTCATTCATTCAGTCATTCATTTCTTCATTCATTCATCCATTCAAAAACACTGCAAATATTGAAACAAGCCTTTTCCCGCGGGCGAGCGCGCGAAAAACAAAAAAAAAGAGAAGCAAAAGAGGGAATTTGACGGAAAAAGAAAAAATAACAAAACAGATGTGACGATGAGATAATATGTAGTTTTGAAACTATTTGTCAAGATGGTCAAAAAAAAGAGAAAAGTGAACTTTTTGTAGCTTTTTCTGATGGTAAATAAATCAATTCATAATATAACATAACAACAAGACGATTATGAATCAACACTTTGAAATCGAAAATGACCCAGATAGTTTTTTGTAATCATTTTTTTTCTCTATATTGGGTCACACTTTTCAATTGTGGAAACCAATTGAGCCCATTGTAGTAGCCAAATTGCTACTGACTTCGGTCTTTGAGAATTCTGAAACAAACGGATTCCTTCTATTATTTTATGATATTTTCTTACTGAAATGTTTTCGATATTCAGAAACAGAATACATCAAGATTAAACTATCCATAAGTGGAAATGAACTTAATGTCGCTACAACCATACCGGTTTCAAGGTTAATATTTGTTTTGAAATATGGTAAAATGTAAATGGGTAAAACTGGAAAGTCGATGGTTATCGAAGGAACTATTATTTGACGAATAAGTGCATTGACCAATTGTTTTTGAAGAAGTTGATTTCTTGGGCAAAACATTTTGACTTTTCCTCGAATTTTGAAATGCATTCGAATTCCACAATATATCATGATAGAATATTGGATAACAACTAGAGAAATTGTGATAATACTGACTGATAAATGTTGAAGATTCAAAACATCTTTACTATCATAAATCATAAAAATCAAACCAGGCACTTCAGAAATATTCTTCTTGTAATTTTCGACAAAAATATCAGACATGAAGCTCTCTGATTCTTCATTAATTTCCATCAAATCAAGTGTTAATTTCCAAATATATCCAGAAATCAAACTAATTGCAAACCAAATAAATAATCGAAAACCATTGAAATATTTTGTTCTCGAAAAATTCAAAAGGAACCAATATCGATAAATAAAAATAATTGACAAAAATGAGAGAATTGTGCAATATAAACTACTGTAGATTTTTAGAAGCAAAGTTTTTGCATTTTTACTCAACCCGAAAACAGTTTCAATTGTGAAGAAAATATAACATCGATTATAAGAATGTACAAATGGATGAATTAAAAATTCGAAAAATGAGAAAACAATTCCAATCAGTGCAAATATTATTATCATTTTACGATAAGTTTTTGTTATTGTTTTCACCTTAAAAAGGGTCAGATAAATCAAAACAGAGTTTGTTAGAATAGTTAGAAAAAATAAGACACTTGAGAATAATTTAGTTATAGTTAAGATAGTTAGAGATTTCAACATGCTGAAAATAACTCTTATAATCAGAAAAATTCTAGTGCGGATATGAAATTAATCAAAAATCTCAAGAGTACATTCGTACAATGATATAAGTTTTATTTTTATTTTTTTTTATAATTCACAAAAAATATATTAACGAGAATCCTAGACTTGTTTTTTTGTATTTCTGTTAAAAATAGACGTATCTTCGAGAAAACTTTGAAAATTCAGAGCCTCAAATAAAACCGGAAAATAACTGGAGACAAGCACCGAATGGGAAAAAAGAGATTATCTTCATCTCATCCAGAAGATTGATTATCCGTGTTTTCAGTGCCTTGTCACTCCACCCACAAAAACACAACTTTTTAATATATTTACAATTTATAAATATTAAATTCTCAAAAAAATTTTTGGCTGGAAATCAGACCCTTCAAAAAAAAAGATGTAAGCCCCTAGTTATACTTGCAAAATGCTCTAAATTTCAAATTATGTGAAAACCCCGCTCAAGTTTGAATTTTCCAGAATAAAATGAAAATTTTCAAACCACCGCCATCAACGCCCACACAAACGCGCCCTATCGACAAAGACCACCCACGAAGGTAATACGGTAGGTAAAAAGTATTTTTTGGGCCACCCAGTTTTTTTTCTTTTTCCTCGTGTTTTTTCTAGGGTAGCCACGGGTTTAGGGTTTCTTTTTAGGGAAATGAGTTTGAAACTGAGGCTTTTGGGTTGAAAATTGCTAGGAATTTTGAAAGACCACCCACGTGAAAAATGGGGCTTTGAGATAGACCACCCACGACGAAAACTGTGTTTCGGGGATTTTCAGTAATCACAACCCACGACGAAAAGAAAACTACGTAAATTCATGTTTAAAACTATACTTACTTGCTTTCTCTAGAATGTTCTCGAAGACCACCCACGAAGAAAATTTGAAATGAATTTCGGTTTCTCTCTCAGGCCAGAATGTCACGTCGAAAATAAATTATGGTTTTTTTATTTCAAAAAAGATCACCCACGTTGAATAATCGATTCTGAATTTTGAAGACCACCAACTTCGCAAAAACCTAATTATTTTACAGAACACCCAAAGTGCTTCCATTGACATAATGAGTCAAGACAACTACCGGCGACCATGCAAACATCAACCAAGTCCACTGAACTTGTGAGTTTTCGTCTTGGGTGGTCCTTTTCTCTTTGATTACACCTAAATATGTTTTGTTTAGGGAACACTTGAGCTACGAGAATCTGTTCCGCTATCAACAGTTTCTTCAAACTCAACAACAACAGCAACGAACAATCACTCAAGAAGAATGGAACGCTTATCAAACTTGGAACGCGATTCAAAAATCATTGACCAATTCGGAAGCGCCGATGTATTATAATCAAAATCCATTGGAGACGATTTGTATGACACCATCGCCTTCTGAATCGAGAAGTTCGCATCATTGTGAGCGTTTTTAACGGAAAAATTTGTGGGGAACCCTAGGGCAACACAATCATCCTATCATATCAATTTCAGTTAATAAATTTTCAGCCATGAGTATGTACAACTTGTTGGAATCAGTCTCACCATACCAATTCGAACAACAACCCCAATCACCACAATATCCTCGTCCAACTTTCGAGAATATTCCACCACAACAACCCGAAGAACACCGTAAAATCTTCACCGCGGACACAGTTCATAGTTTGGTCAAAACTTCAAGAGATAACACAAAACCGCGTGTTGTTTCCAACAAAGTTTTCGTCGGACGTGTGAATCCGTCAATGGAGAGAAGTAAAATCAACAACTTTTTCGCAAAATTCGGCGATGTTTTTGTTGATTGGCCGGTAAAAATGACAAAAAATGGGAATCGAAAGAGTCTCACCTCGTATTCATATTTGTTTCTGGTTTATTCGGATGAATCGTCGGTTTTGAAGTTGATGGAAGATTGTATGAATCCGTCGACTAATAATTATTATGTCAATGTTCCAGAGAGCAGAGATGATGTTGTAAGTTTCTATAATAATATCATAATTATGATGTTGAAAAATGACGAAAAAAAAGAAAAAGAGTCTGTTTAAAAAACAATAAAACCTGCTGCAGCACTGAATTTTCAGCGCTGAATTTATAGCGCGGCTGGGAAAAAATGACCTAGGAACCGACTCGGCCCTTTGAATGTTTTTTCATTTTCAAAAAAAATTAAATTTTCAATTTGCATATTTTCAGATTCAAATCCGCCCTTGGTTCCTTCACAATGCTTTCTACATCCATCCATCAGCTCGTGAAAAAAGCATCATCGACATTCACCGCACCGTTTTCGTCGGCGGACTTCCACGCATCGTAACAGCCAAAGAAATTGCCGAACTTTTTGGCGAATTCGGTCGCGTTCTTCTCGTCACAATCGATCTCGATCAAGATTATGGTTATCCAAAAGGCGCCGCGCGAGTTGTTTTCGAAAAAGATTCGTCATTCGCAAATGCTTTGGAGAGAAAATATTTGAGTTTTAAGGATATTGATTCAAGTAAAACTCAAATCGAAATCAAGCCATATGTATTGGAAGATGCTGGATGCGATCAATGCGGAGGTCTTTGGTTCAACCCATTTATTGATATTATTCAACATTTGAATGATTCAAACAAGCGAAGAATCAAGCAATTCGATATCTGGGGATATAATGGATTATTCACAAATCACCTCGACAATGATTTCAGCTCAAGTCTCTCTATCAACACTGTCGATGAGAATGATGATTCAGAAAATCGCGATCTTCGCAAAGGTTGCGCCGAATTCCTCAAAGCTGCCAGACAATTCAAACTCGACGATAATCCTAAAACCGTCTGGTTCAATGGTGTTGAATATCTTCTTGGACCAGATTATTGGGCGCTTGTGATGAAACAACCAAATTTGGGAATAAATCATTCTGAGCAATCGATTGAGTCAAGAATTCAAACAAGATTGACATTGAAGAAAGACAAAATGTATGGAAATAAGAGCAATTATTGCAAAGATAAGCCATGTCGCCAATATTATTGTTCTGTAAGTTTTTTTGTTGCGGAATTTCGCTTAAACATTTTATGTAGATAGAATTGTTCCGAAAACTTTCATTTTCTGAACTTTAAAAAAAAGACACAGTAAAATTTCATTTTTCTGGGACCATAAAACCAAATCATGGTTAAATAAATAGTGAAAAATGAATATTATAATTATTTTGAAAATTTCTGAAATTTTAAAGATTTTATTTTATTTAGAAGTTGATTTTTGAAAGTCATCGTGAATTTTTCAGTCCTGCTCACACCATCTTCATTCTGGCACAAATCACTCGCTTCTCCCCACCGGTAAACCAGAACGTCGTCCAAGAAAAGACAAAAACATGTACTTTGTACAAAATCATAACAATCCAAACAAATTCCACATCCCAGCTCATCTGTAATTATATTATTATTATTTCTATTATTTCCCATTTTTCAATGCCTTTAATAGCACATCTCCTCCACATGTAAAATTATAATAGCAAAGCCAAATTGCATTTTTTTTTGTTGAATTTTTAGCAATTCCAATTCCAACCATTGTTTTATTAACATGTCATTTTTTTAAAACTTCTCCATTTTTTCATTTGTTATTGCACTAATCTGTTTTTCTCCAAAACTATCATCATCATCATGTTCAATTCTCATAGAAGCATTCCCCAAAAGTTCATTTTGCCCTCCTCCCATTCATCTACATTTTCCCCATTTTTATTTTATTTTTTGCTTATTCTTATTTGTATTGATTTTTAGATAAAAATGTAAGTCCCTATCAATTCAAGAACCTTTTTTGTTATTCTGTGATCTGAGAAAAGGTCCAAGTTCTCCAAATTCGTGACAAAATATACAAATTCTTGAAAAAAACGGCACTCTCGAAACTTGAAATTCAGAATTCACCCTTTTTTTTTTAAATTGAAGTTCAGGTTTTTAAGAAAATCTTATTATAAAATTGAAATGATACAAAAAAAACTGAAGTATGAAAAATTGAATAAAATGAGAGGTGAAAAGTTGGTCCAATAATTTTAGTATATATGTACATTAAAAATGCGTGCGGCCAAAAAAAACGGCAGACTGGAAAGGGAGAATTAAAGCGGTAATTGGAAAAAATAAAAACTAACATCTAACAAAAAATAAGAAAAAAACAACATGAGATCTGAGGTTATCTAAACTGGAGAATTGCGGGATTGTTGAAGAAGACGGCGACGTTCGAGAGTTTGACGAAGTTCGATTTTTTCGGCGTGGAGAACATCACGAACTAAACCACGAACAACTTGTTGAACTATTTGATCATCATCTTCTTCGCTTTCCAGCTCTTCCGAAATTACAAGAACTCTGAAAATGTTTTTTTAAATTGAAATCCAGAATATAAGTTTTTAAAAGTTATTTACCTCGATGGTGTCAATGGAGTTCTTTCAAGTTCACCTAATAAAACATTTGGATCTGGTCGAACAAATGCATCATTTCTCAAAAGCAATGATGCTTTTCGTTCAACTTTTGAATTTTCCTCATATTCAACATAATTCAATAAATCATTAATAACAAATCGGCAAGATTCTTCAATTTCGAGATCTGTTTCGATATTTTTCTCGATTCTTGGTGTTGGTTTTCGATCCTTCACTGAATTAACAATTGGAATCGATGGTTGCACTGAAAAAAATAATAATTTTGGTTCGAAAGTTGGAAAAAAAAAATCAAAACAAACCTTTAGTGGGCGACCAAATATCAATATTATTTTGACAAATCGAAACTGGTGCTGATGCAGGTCCTTCTAAATCCAAATCAGCAGCTTTTGGAATACCAATCGATAAAGATGTTGGTCGAGAAACAGTTGGACAAACTTCAGGAATCGATTCACTTTTACTCTTCAAATTTGCTGATGGACTTGTTGTGTTCACATCAAAAACCGATGAAGATGGTGACACCGAGAATCTTCGGAATTTTTTGACAGTCACAGGGGTTGATGTTGGACTTGCTTGTGGAATTGCTGGCAATGATCCCCAAACAGCTGTAAAATGATTTAAAAGTTTCGGAAAATATTTCAACAAAAACTTACGAAGTGATGAAGAGCCCGATGATTTTTTGATTGTTTTCATCGATTCTGGATTTGTTTGCGAATCAATTGGTTCAGAAGAAAGAGAAGTTGCATCAAGTGATAAAGATGATCCAGACATTTCTCGAATACGATCCTAAATTATTCTTTTGATCCACCAGAAAAAAGATTCCAACTCACATGAATATCATGAACAGTTTCAGTGCAAGTCAATGAAGAACTTCTTACAAATCGTTTTTCTCGTTTTGCTCTCAGAATTTGTTTTTCATTATTGTTATCTTCTTCTTTAACACAATCAATATTTTCACTAATTTCTTGTGGCTTCTCTTTATTTTCAGAATCTTCTTTCACAATAATTTCTTCATCTTTCTTTTCAGTCATATCAATATTTTCCTTTTCTCCTTCTTCTTGTTCTTCTTCCTCTTCTTCCTCTTCCAATGTTACTGTCATTTTTGCCATAACTTCTTCCTTGTTTCTCTCGCAATATAATTGCATCTCTTTGAAGTATTTCTCGAATTCGTCCTGATATTCTCGAACCTATTATACGGTAAAAATCAACAGAAATACATCACACCATGCAAACAAAAAATATACCGATAGTTTTGATTATTAATTAAGAAAGCGAGATTAAAATAAGTAAGAAGTTTAGAGGAAAAGCTTCACAAAACTACGTTAAATATCAACCAACCTTTTCACTGCTAAGCTTAACACAATTTGCATCTATATTCAATAATGTGATTGATTTGTTTAATTTCATAGCAGAATGAAGTGCGAGAAGTCCAGCAAGTGCTACAAAAATTTTGTTGGTTAATATTTAGAGTTAACAAAAAATCTTACCAATCGGATTATCACGAATATCAACCCGTAACAATGCGACATTGTCAGCTATACATTCAGCGAGAATAATAGCTCCTTGACAATCGAGCATTGTATTTTGGAGACCAAGTCGATGAAGATGAGAATTTGAAACAATTGCAGGTTTCAATCTGAATATTCCATCAACTCCCAATTTATTATTTCCAATATTCAATGTTTCAATTTTTGTATTTTCTTTCAATGCTTCTGATAAACAATCCATTGATGCTCCAGTAACATGATTATTCCAAAGAACCAATGCTGATAATGCACTATTTTCAAGAGCTTCTCGATTTCTCAATGCATCACTTATATGTCGAACACCGGCATCTGACAGATTATTGTTACGTAAATCAAGCAATTGAATTGAAGTATTTGACATAATCAATTGATGTAAATGTGATCCATCAGTTCCTTGAAGCCCGTTGTCACCGAGATAAAGCTCTTTTATACTCGTATTGTTTTTAAGGGCACAAATGAGAATCAGCAAGTTTTTGCCTGACATTTGTGTGTTTTCCAAGTGAAGACAGGAAAGCGAAATTGGTGGAGTTGCACGAAGTGAACGGCAAAGAAGTGGAACTATTTTATCGGTAAGTGTTGTATAACGAAGATTCAACATTTGAAGAGATGTTGACTGGAAAAATATTGAAATTTGATACAAAATTAAATTAGGTAAACTAACATGCTTTACAGCCCTGAATATTGCAGTCCATCCACGTTGTTCGATTTGTTTATTAAATGATAAATTCAATCGAACACACGAATCATAAAATTCGATCATTTCTCCCAACGAAATCGCACACTGAAATTCAAAAGTAAAATAATTTGAAATTTTTCCAAATAAAAAAAAAACTAACTTCGTCGTTCAAAAACGTATATTCAAAATCGATAGTATGAAATTGTACCCGTTTGAGAATTTCTTCCAAAGCTTCCATCTGTTCGTGAGTTACCCGTTGGCCTTTAAGACATAACATTTCTTGACGTTCAGATGTTTTTCGATGGAAGAATCCAATTTGTTTTTCGACAGTAGGACTAGGTGGACATTGTCTTCGTTGACAAGCATCTCGATAAGCTTGAACGATTTCTGCTGGATCAATCGAATCACCAATATTTCCAGAATGGAAAATTGAAATTGGAGCTTCATGAAATCCAGTCACAACTTCGGTATCTTCAGCAAATCGAACACTTCGATCGTGTGAACAATGTCTGATACGTTCTTCTGAAAATATGTTGAGATTAGAACTATACAGTAATCCTTCAGAAAATGTAGATCAATTTTTTGGAAATTGAATTTTTGAAACGTGAAAGGATTTTTCAAAACTGACCAGTGGTATCTTTATTTGCATCAGATACTTTCTTCCGTACAGAATTTGCCGACGAATGCGATTGTTGTGTTTGCGGTGGAGACTGTGCCGCATACATTCCAGTCGTAGTCGGTGGAATCGGTGATGCCGGAGAAGAAGTCGCTGAACCTGGCTCGTATAAACCGAGCAGATCCTGAATAATGATCAATGATATTTCTATGCAAATCAAATAATATGTCCTCTTTTGATAATTTATTCAATGACAAAAAAGTACAAAAAAGACCACCAACCTGTAAACCCGTTAAAAACTTCATCGACATATTGACTTCCAGTTTGAAGAGTGCAACGAAAATGTGGAAAAGTGAACAGACAGGGAGAGAGAGAGAGAGAGAGAGAGAGAGAGAAAAGCAGTATATAATAACAGCAAAATTTGGTTGAATCAAAGTGCAAATGAAGCACCCATTTTAGTCCACAAATCGAAGCGACATACCTGAAAAAATAATATTTTTGAAGGGAAAACAATAAAAAAACACATTTTTGAAGAGCGTGAAATCTGCGAACGAAAAACGAAAGAACAAGCACTTGATATTTATTTGCGGCAAACATCGAAGAATGTCAGCAGAGGCTCTCACTTGGATATTTACGTGGGTTGTTATGTATGAACAAAAATGGTTGAGAAACAAAAAAAAAGGTGAAAAAGAGAAGAGATACATCAAAATGTAATATGATATATTTTGTAGATGGATCGAGAACAATTATGGGAAGAAGAAACCTCGTCATCAATTTCAGAACATCAAAAAACAAAAAAGAAACAACAATTCGAAACTGGAAGGGACCAAATTTGGTTAGCAGAAAAAGAAAAGAAAAACACCAAATTTTGGCGCTGAAACACACCCACGTCTATTTTGCATTTTTCTGAAAAAACAAAGCGAAGTGTCACAAGATTTTGTAAAAACTTAAGCTGAAATGGAATTTCATTTTGAAAATATAAAAACATAAATTGTTTTCGATTTGAAAAGCGCAAAAATAACCACGTGGGCAATGAATATTCATTTATGGTCTTTCGAAATCGATAATCATTGAAGTGTTATGACATTTTATTTTTCTAACTAGTGAAAAATTCCGGCTATTGCACTTTTACTGATCTCGTGTGCACATTAACATATGTACTCTTGGCATAAGAACATGACTAGACACGAAAAACATTATGAGCCAAGTTTTTTCAGTTGTAAATACATAGGTTCAAAAACTCAAAAAAAAATGCTGATAGCAAGGTGAATGTTGTTATCAGTGAAATGAAAATGAATACCAGGAACTCTTATGGTTGAAAACTAACGGATATTAAAAAGAACAATATTTGTATCGATTTTGGAATACAGTAAACCAAAAGTTTTGTTGTTACAATCTGATACAATTCCACTTTTCTTCGAAAAATTTTGATAACTATTGAAAATGAACAAAAATAGTTATTGAAAAAGTTTTTTCCTGAAGTTCAAACATCAATTCAGGCTCATAAAATATAATGGTATCATGAATATTCTATAGAAACTGAATAAAATAAAATAATATTATTATATTATCAACATTGGAAATAAAAAACGAAAGAAAAAACTTTGTAGCGTCTCGAAAAAAAACAGAAAATTGTTGATAATAAGCAGTAAAACTGAACAGGCGAGATGATCAACTAACTGATAAATGGAATTTCATGAAAACAAACAACTGATAAACGATCTTCAAAAATCGATAGATAGATAGATAGAAAGTAGATTTATATCAAAAACGATTGATGAAAAGAATGTTTCGTTTTTTTGTCGCTGCAACGAGAAGAAGCAAGCGATGATTTGTTATAATATAATGGTGATTTTTATCATGACAATAAATATAAACAATTTTTATATGAAATAAAAAACGGAATGTGAAAGAAGGAACGGAAGAAGAGAAAATAATGGATGGAATTGACTGTATATAAAGTTCGAAAAATCACCAAAAAAGATTAAAACTGAATGTTTGATTACTGTAGGTGTCACTCAGTCAACAAATGATTTATAGATGAATCGCAATAATTTGTGTTAGATTGTTCCAGCCAGGTTAAAGCATTATTTTTCAGATGAAAAAAAGACGAAAAAAAAAATGAAATCGACAGGAGGAAAAAAATTGGAAGAAAAATAGGAAGATGAAGACAGACGAAAACGAAGAAAATAACAACAACGAAAAAAGACAACAATAACAACGTCGCACACGAAAAAAACAGCTGGCAAGTGGCGGAAGAACTTCAAATCGCAAAATAAGTGGAAATTATGATAATTGGAGATAATTGAATTAGCCTTGGGCTAGGTAGAGAGAAAAAAAACGACAGAACTAAAATAACCATCGATTCATTTTACTAATATTTACTTTTGGTCCATTTCAAAAGAAAAACATAAATTTTTGTTGGCGAGCGTCGAAGTTTGTGCTTTTTACGATGGAACTTTGGTCATTTGGTTTTTTTTTGTTGGAAAGTTGAGGCAAAGTTTGATATGACTCTAGCTTAGAAGTGTTTGTTGCAAGATCTGTTGAATTCGATCTTTTCAGAATCATCTACTACAGTAATTTTCTAGGAATTTCAAGAATAGGTTTAAGCCGAATGTCTTTTCAAATTTTGGTCTAAACTCTGAGCTCAAGGAATTTTTTCCAAAGGACATCAAAAAAGAGACTAGAGTCTAGTCACTGAACTGCATCAACAAATGTGTTCCAAGACTTCAATTCCAAATCATCTGATACAGCGAAAAAACAATTTCCGGCAAAACTGTGATTGGAACAAAAAAGACCAGAGTCTGGCAGAAAAAAAAACAACAAAAAGTGACACGTTTGGTTGATCAAAAACCATTTGTTTTATTGATTCAGATGCTAAATCAATAGACAAAAAAAGAAACAAGGAGAAAGAAAGAAAGAAGGAAGTGATTTGAATAATTGGAAAATTATTGTTTCCGGGGGAAAAAATAAAATGGTTTTGAGAAGAAGAAAAAAATGAAAAAAAGTGCCAAAAATAATGGTAATAAAGCAACAAAAAAAGTGGTTATGTACCTGGCCACCGGGTTTTAGTGTTTTGACACATAACATAACGATAGAAAAAGAGGGGAAGCGGCAGACAACCAAACACAACACATAGTTTTCAAAGAAGCATGGCCGGAAAACATCACGGCATGTTGGAGAGAAACGAAAGACATAAACAACTAGAGAATGTGTTGTTTTGTGGAGAACGAAAAAAAAGAAGAGAGAGAGAGAGAGATGAAAGAATAAAGAAAGACAGAAATATAGATAGATAGATAGACAAGATGGCGGCGAATTGGAGAGCAAAACGATGCGAGCGAGTGAAAACGAGCACGGCTGCCGAAAATCAATGGAGAAAAACGAGTGCGCCATCGTTTTCCTCTCGCTTCTTCCTTAGTGTTGTTGTTTCGCGGCGTCGCGAATGTGACGGCGAGAGCGATTGCAAAAGAAAGGAGCAAAAAAAGAAGTGTGCCGCAGGCTGTTTTGGCGCTTTAATCAATTCGCCGCGCTCTTTCTCTCTGAAATTCTCCTTCTATTTCGACGACATCTCACGTCGTCGTCTTCTAGACTCGAGCTAGCCTCACAACCATTGGTACGAGCTGCTGCAGTAGCAGGGTTGTCTATGTGTATGTGAGCTCGCATTCCTTCTCTGTTACTATCGAATCACTTTTTTCTCCGCCTTCTTGTTTTTTTTCTGTTCACATATTGTTTTTTTTGTAGATACATACATATTTATTTACCTTTTGTCATGTACTTCTTCTTTTCTTCCCGTATCCTTCTGTTTTATTTGTTTTTTTTTCGATCGCCGAGACAAGAGATCCACTTTTACTTTTATTACATATATTTTTGTTCTTCGTGTGCTTTTTCTCTAACCTATCTATGTATACAAGTCTTTTTATGTCTAACTTACTATACTTCAAAGCTTCTCATGAATAATTATCGATTTCATTCATTCTTCTTTTGCTTTAGAAATGCCATCCTGCTTTTTTTTCAAGTTGAAGAAAAAACCAACTTGAATTATGTCGTAATGACAACCATCTGCTGAACATTAGGTCATGGGAAAAAATCAAGCCCTCAATCGTTTTTTCTTCGTTTTTTTTCCCAACATCGCATAAATTTGGCACTGGGTTCCACCAGGGATTACTAATCCCTTCGTTCGTTTGTTCGAGGCCATTAAAAGCTGAGCTTTTGAATTGATCATCGTAGTATTCTGTAGAACATTTATTTATTTATTTGACCGAATAATCGGATTTCTCGAACCTCCCCAATTTCTTCTTTCGAGAACATTATTCTGTCATTTATTCATAATACTACCTTCTTATTTCCTGTTTTTTTTTGTTATTCGAAAATCGAAAATTATTCTCTGAACTTCTATAAATACTTTTCGACGGCTTTTTTCCCAATTTTCTATTTATCTATTTTCATGATAACGCCCTAAATAAAATTCCATACTTTTGATTGATAATTATTAATATCTTATTAATTGAACATTTGGTCCAAAGGAACTTTACTGGATACGGACATTATTACTAATAAGTTTGGGCCAGATTTCTTTGAACTTTTTGTAAATTACTCAAACTCTGCAAAACATTTTCTGGTAGATCAAAAATTATTTTTTCTAAATCTTTCACTTTTTCGTCGATGTTATTGTGCCAGGTCTAGAAAATGCGTGAAAATTTTCCGAACGTTCTAGCCATGAGATGAAAAACCAGTTAGAATTTTTGATAATCTAAAAAACTCTGTTTTGAGATAAACTTTTTTATGCTCTCATCCATCCCTTGAAAGAATATAATTTCTTGATTTTCTCTTGAAATAAAACAAATTGTTTTCAAAATTTAATTTGTAAATTCTCTCAAGAGATTTATGATAATGAAGTAGAACGGTAATATCACAGAAATCGAACTTTCAACAAAATTTCGAGGCACTTTTCATGTTCATCTATAAATCCCCAAGGGATTACGTTGAAAAAAGTTCATTGAGCAATTTTTGATCAAGTTCAAGTTTTTTTTTTGAAACACCCATACCAAAGATGCGCTAACTTTTGAGATATACTTGATACTCGCTTTTATCAAAACCCCCTTTCTATTACTAATGTCGAAGTTGTTAGCTGATTCATAGTGAAAAAAATTTGTTAGCACTTCATTAGCTTTGTGAGATGAGATATTCTCGCTTAATTTTCTCATTCGATTGGAAAACTTTTTTCAAACTCTTTAGTTGCCTATTGATACGTGATGCTGATTCATCTTCTTTTTTTTCAAAACTCACACGTTCTGAAAGACAAGTTATTTTCGTCTAGATTCGAAGTTCTACAAAACGAATCTCGAATCTCATAACTACAGTACATACACATCCTTCCGATCACAAAAACAAAAGACCGGAAAATAATAAAAGTGCAAAATCTTCTTCTTCTCAAAATCCTTCTTTCCCTTCTTTTTTTCATCCAATTTCCACACACACACAAGTTTAGTTTATGTACATTTATTGAAATTAGTGCAACTCTTTTTTTTATTCGCCAACTACTACTTCTGCCATCCATCCATCCATCCATCTATCTATCCATCCATCCATATACATATATCAATGTACACCCATTCACATATATTTTTGTTCTGCGTCTCCTTATACGCCAACCAGGCAAGAAGAAAGAAAGAAGGAAAGAAACGACGACTAGATGTCGCTGTCGTCGTAGTCCGTCTTCGCCGTCTTCTTCTTCTTCTTTTCTCTATGTATGTATATATTTTGAATGTGTGGTAGTAGTATATCATTCTTCGTTTTGGTGTGCTCTTTCTTTTTCTCCTCCTCGAATTTCGATGAAACGTGTTATTCTTATTGAACTTATCATTTTATTTTCCAGGCGAAGATATCAAAGCAAAGCGGGAAGACAACAAAAAGAGGAAAAAACGTGATGAAGGAGTGAGAGAGATCTTGAAATATTCGACGATTCCCATATTTCAACTAGAAAAACATGGCAATCCCGCGTTTAAGGTTTGTGCCTTCTTTTTTTTGTTGCTTTTCCCAACGGGCAATATTTTCAAATATATTTTGTTATGTTTTTTTTTTCTGTTCATCTTTTTGCCTTTTCCTATTCCACCCCATTTCTCTATTCATACAAACATTTCTGACGTTAAAAGTTATGTAGATTGTGTGGTTCAAATGAGAGCACCCTAATTGATGATGACATGTTACAGTAGTTGTTGAGGCGAAAAATGAGGGGAGAGGCAAAAAAAAAAGAGAGGCGCACACAGCACAAACTGATGGCTGAACTTTTTTTTTTGAGAAGAGACAAGTCAAGCGGAAGAATATTACTGAGCAATGACCAGAGTTCCGAATTTATCGAGCTTTGAAACCCATAGAAACTGAAACCTTTGTAGGTTTCGGTTTCATACGGTTTCGGTTTCGTTTGCAAGGGTTTCGAAACCCTCGGCAAAGGGTTTCGGTTTCATACCTCTAGGCTCGAAACCCTCGAACGAAACCTTTCGAAACCTTTTGAAACCTTATGAAACCCATTTTTGAAATTGAATCAGTGAAGCTGAACTTGATGTAAATTGTCTGAAAATGGGTTTTTGAGTAGGGTAAAGCTTGAATTTCAGCTTCTGCTATCAATTTAAGCTTAAGCTTCATCCCAGAAGCTGTTATCAGATTATCAGTGAAATTTCAAAATTATCGGATTGAGCTGGGAGTTGGAGGAAATGATGTTTGGTGATTGTAGATGACATTTTTGGTAAGTTTAGAGCTCCAGCTTCATCTCAGAAGCTCTTATCACTCCTTATCACTAAATTATCAATATCATCTGATAAGGCTAAAAATCGGGATTTTTGGGTTTTCGAGTATGGGGAATCATGTGCTGATATTGATTTTGTCTGAAAATCACTTTTAAAGGACCCCATCACTCAAAAAAATGTTTTTTTCTGAAAATGAGGTATTTGAACACGGGGAACATTTTGGTGAGGTATGCGATCCGGAACAGACTTTTAAAGGCGCATGCCAGGTTATTACACATGTTCCGAGATTTTTTTTTCAAACTATCATAACTTTTTTTTTCAAGCGTTTTTGAAATTTCGACAACCATTTTGACGGGCTCGACGTCGGCTACATTTTTTGTGTTGACACCAACTACCGCACTTCGCACCTAGGGGATGAAAAACACGTTTTTTCTCTTGAAATTGTCAATTTTTGATGAAATTTCGAACAAAAATGCATTTTTCATCCCTTAGGAGCGAAGTACGGTAGTTGGTGTCAACACAAAAAATGTAGCCGACGTCGAGCCCGTCAAAATGGTTGTCGAAATTTCAAAAACGCTTGAAAAATAGAAAAGTTATGATAGTTTGAAAAAAAAATCTCGGAAAATGTGTAATAACCTGGCATGCGCCTTTAAAAGTCTGTTCCGGATCGCATACCTCACCAAAATGTTCCCCGTGCCCAAATACCTCATTTTCAGAAAAAAACATTTTTTTGAGTGATGGGGTCCTTTAAAAGTGATTTTCAGACAAAATCAATATCAGCACATGATTCCCCATACTCGAAAACCCAAAAATCCCGATTTTTAGCCTTATCAGATGATATTGATAATTTAGTGATAAGGAGTGATAAGAGCTTCTGAGATGAAGCTGGAGCTCTAAACTTACCAAAAATGTCATCTACAATCACCAAACATCATTTCCTCCAACTCCCAGCTCAATCCGATAATTTTGAAATTTCACTGATAATCTGATAACAGCTTCTGGGATGAAGCTTAAGCTTAAATTGATAGCAGAAGCTGAAATTCAAGCTTTACCCTACTCAAAAACCCATTTTCAGACAATTTACATCAAGTTCAGCTTCACTGATTCAATTTCAAAAATGGGTTTCATAAGGTTTCAAAAGGTTTCGAAAGGTTTCGTTCGAGGGTTTCGAGCCTAGAGGTATGAAACCGAAACCCTTTGCCGAGGGTTTCGAAACCCTTGCAAACGAAACCGAAACCGTATGAAACCCAAAGTTTCGCGAAACATTGTTTCGGTTTCTATAGGTTTCGAAACCTGGGTTTCGAAACTCGGAACTCTGGCAATGACAGATTATGAAATTTTGATTTTTTTTATGGGGGAAAATTACTGTGAGAATATTTTTTTGACGGAAAATATACGAAAATATACAAAAACAGATAAAAACTGTCAAAAATTTTCGTGAGAACGTCTCGCAATTTCTTTCTTCAAAAATAAGTTTTCAGGGTAAATGCAAATTCCGAGGAGAGATTGGTACATCCAAATCATATGGTCTACCATAAAATGGAGCACCTTGTTCAACAAATGCTCGATCCGGAAAATGGTGTTCCCATTAAAACGGTGAAAAGTTTTCTATCAAAAGTGCCATCCGTTTTTACTGGTCAAGATTTGATCGCGTGGATTATGAAGAATCTCGAAATGTCTGATCTATGTAAGAATTTTTTTTCTCAAATTTTCATATGAGCACACACAATATTTTTTCAGCCGATTCGTTACATCTGGCACATCTGGTTGCATCTCATGGTTACTTATTTCAAATAGATGATCATGTGTTGACAGTCAAAAATGATGGGACATTCTATCGGTTTCAGACACCTTATTTTTGGCCGTCGAATTGTTGGGAACCAGAGAACACGGATTACGGTATGCTATTTTCTTCTGGATTTTTTTGAAATTGTTTTTTCAGCGGTTTATCTTTGTAAACGAACAATGCAGAATAAAGCGCATCTAGAACTGGAAGATTTCGAAGCCGAAAATCTGGCAAAACTTCAGAAAATGTTTTCAAGAAAATGGGAATTTGTATTCATGCAGGCTGAAGCGCAATACAAAGTCGACAAAAAACGCGACAGATTAGAACGACAAATTCTGGATAGTCAAGAGCGAGCATTTTGGGATGTTCATCGACCAGTTCCTGGATGTGTGAATACAACTGAAGTCGATTTTCGAAAGCTGTCAAGATCCGGAAGACCAAAATATAGCAGTGGAGGACATGCGGCATTAAATGCAGCTGCATCATCGGGTAGGTCTATAATTAAATTATCCCCCAGCTATAGTGAATGACAAAAAATCCAGACATTGATGATTTTACAGTAAGAAAAATACCACCATGAAACTTTAGCAAATTGAATTATCCAATTATCCAGATGACATATAGCTACAGTACCCAAACTTTTTTCTGCAGGTTGTGGACCATTTTCAACAAGTGCTGCAGCTGCGCACGCAAGTATGCCATCAACATCAAATGGAACTGCAACAACATCAGCTCAAGCTGGAACATCTTCTGGAACAACAACTGCGACAACAACACCATCTTCATCTTCTGGAACTGGCGGATCTTTCCGAAATAATTATTATGCTCGACCTGGTTTACGTCGATGTACACAAGTTCAGGATACTTTGAAATTAGAAATCAATCAACTAAATAATCGATTATCGAAAAATGTTTTGAGGACATCGAAAGTTGTCGAAAAGTAAGTATAAGAATTTTTTTTCCTGAAATTTCCAACTCGTTAATTTCAGCTATTTGTCATACTTCGATCAACGTCGACTTTTTGATCCATTCCTAGCCCAACCAGGATCGGCAATCGATCCATTCCAATCGCAGCCAAATCCATGGATCAATGATACTGTTGATTTCTGGCAACATGATAAAATGTGAGCTTTGTCTTATATTCAAATTTAAAATTTGAAAAAAATCGATTTTTGTAGAACGGGTGACATTCAAACACGTCGACTGAAACTATGGGAAGAATGTTTCGAAGAGCTTCTTGCTGATCCACTTGGTCGTGAAACACTTCAAAAGTTTCTCGACAAAGAATATTCGGGTGAAAACTTGCGATTCTGGTGGGAAGTTCAAAAATTGCGAAAATGTAGCAGTCGCATGGTTCCGGTTATGGTCACCGAGATTTATAACGAATTTATTGACGCGGTAGCCGCGACTTCTCCGGTTAATATTGATTGTAAAGTTATGGATATTACAGAGGAGAATCTCAAAAATCCGAATCGATGGAGTTTTGATGAAGCAGCGGTGAGTTCAGGGAGACGCTAGTTTTCATAATTTAAAAAAATTGGAATCTATTTTAGGATCATATTTATTGCCTCATGAAAAACGACAGCTACCAAAGATTCTTGCGTTCGGAAATCTACAAAGAACTATTAGCACAATCACGCAAAAAGGTTAGTTCGAAAAACCCGAAACCCTGGAATGTGATTGAATGTGTGTTTCTGAGCTTTATCTGAATTCTCGCTAACTCTCTTTTTTCCCTATTCCTAGCTAGTCTAACACCAAACCTCGAGAATCCTCCGATTTTATTTTATTTTTTTGATTTTTTGAATGAATAAGTTTTACTAACCAATTTATGCATGATTACTCATTTCATTCACCTTTTATTTTATTTTTTGGGTGAAACAAACATATTTTCAGTTGGAAAAATATTATACCTTTGTCGTAAATACGGCTAGACCACTTATTTTTGATACAGTACTCTGTTCTTTTATCACATAGGATGTTTTTTTAAACTAATTATTAATTAGGTTCATACAAATTTCAAAATAATCAATTTTCTGATCTGACGTCATATAAGGTTTCAATTTATTCTTCGAAAATTCATCATTTTCAACAACTCTGTTCAAAACTACTGTAGTTTTTATAAAGCCATAAGCTAGAATAGAACTAATTAAAAACAGTTTTACACTTGTAATGCTCAATTTTTTTTGATTAGGCTCATCAAATTTTCGTGTAGGCTTACTATAAGTTTCCTAAACTATCAATGAATATTTTCACAATTCTTCCTTTTCTTAAACTTAAATCTCAACATACTACCTACAAAAATTATTGTATATCCCAAGCATCCCAGCTTTCGAATTTTCTTTTCCCCCTCTCTTCAGACAACATTTACATCGTTAATTGCCCGAAAAGCATCTCGTCGTATTGGTTCAACAATATCTCGAAATAAATCAACTCCACCATTTCTACAATCAAGCACATCTTTGGGTTCTTCACTTGGTTCAACAACAACAAATACAAATACAATTCATGTATCAACAAGTCAAAATTTATTGGTTCCACCTCCATCTAACTTGTATGTTTGTTTGATTGTGAATGTGCTCCAATTAACCTCTCGCTTCATTCTGTTTTGTGTTGTTTTTCTATTTTTTCCATGAGTTTGCACTTGATTTTCTTTCAAAATATTCAAAAATAATTCAATATATTTTTTAGGTGAATCAAAAAGGTCCGAAAGGTTTTCTAACTGGAAATCTTCCATCCTTTTCAAACGCCGTTCGAACAAATCTTCACGTTGGCCAACAAGGTTCATCTTGTTCACCAACCAGTGCTCTCAATCCGGCTCCCTGATGTTCTCAGCTCTGCTCACAATTAATAAGAAATGAATTTTAGCTTTGGAGTATACCTTTTTTCTCGTTGTTTACTATAAAAACCCATAGATTCGGTTGCTTATAGATGGGTTTATAATAATAATAATAATATTTATTTTCTTTGTAAGAAAACTTTTTCATTTGTAAAATTTTCGCTGGGATTTAACTCTAACAAAAATGTTGTTATGGTTTGTTGATATTAATTCCTTGCCAAAGTCATAGATTTGCTTCTTTTTTCTTGTCAATTCCCAAATTTCCTCTAGTCTGATAGGTTCCCACACCAAAGTTTCGCATTTAATTAAACAATTTTTTGTATTTCAAACATGTTCAGCTTTTCTTTTCAGATTTTCCACTTTTCAAAGAATCTCTCATTTTCTTTTGTACTTTTGAATTTTTTTGGATTTTAATATAATTATTGTATGTTTTTGTAATATTCGGTAAATTCAAAAAATAAATCGATGATTTTCGATAACAAAACTTTATTTCATAAATCAACTTCAAGACCGATGTTTTTGTCGATCTCTTGATCCTGATCTCGACCTCGATCTTCTATGCCTTGTTCGACTTCTGGATCGACTTCTTTTCCGCTCATCAGCTCTTCTTTTCAACATTTCACGTTCTCGTCTTTCCTGCTCTTCAATATATCGCATCTCTTCGCGAACCTACAAAAAAACACAGATTTTCCAACCAAAATCTGAAAATTGCGTGGTTTTTTCTGATTGGATGAGAAAAGAATCCATACATAAAAAAAAACAACAACAACAAAAAGAGAAAGAAAGAAAAAAGGTTCTTTTTCTTCTTTTTCGCTTTTTTTTCAGTGCTGCAAGTATTTTTGGCGCCGACGCGGAGGAGCAATGACTAAAACGGAAGAAGAAGAAGAAGAAGAAGACGACGAGAAGGCGAACATGTATATATATATATATAATATAAGTGATGTCAGTTTAGTCTTCGTCGAATTTTTATGGTGCCGCTGCTGGTGCGGATTAGAAGAGAAGAGGCCAGCTATTTTTTTCGGATGCACAGGATTCTGATTTTTTCGAGAGAGAAAGAGAAATAGGGGGATTCTGAAGTTTTTCAACTGAAAAGTTTAGTAATCTATTCGAAGAAATCATTTTTCATTTATCAAAATAAAATTGCGCCTAATAATTAGGTGTAGAGTTGAATCAAAAAAATCAAAGAATCGAAAATCTCAAAAATAGAATAAATTGATTTGTTGGCTATCAGTATTTTTGACTGGTTACAAGAATCAACAGAACCAAATGAAACTAGAACTTTGATGTGTGTTTCATTGAACAATTTTTCTCAAACCAATAAATTATAGCCGAAGAGATGAATTCATAAAAGTTCAATCTTATCGGAAATGCAAAGAACCCTATAATTATCTTTTAGTACTCATAATTTCAGGTTAATCTAATGTCAGTTTTTTCTCCATTCTTTCACAAATAAAGAATGTACTCCTATACTTCAAAAAATATATGTTTTATTCTAGCATTCCGATTAATCTTTATTTTAACTTATATAAAATTCCAAAAAGAATCAATTCTTTCCGAATTTTATAAATTCATTTTCAAGTTTTTTCTTGTTATGACAATTGTCGAAACATTCACAATGATCTCAGTTTATACCGTACCTTTTGTGATAACATATATTCTGTAAGTTTTCTATTTTAAATCAGAGAAAATATTCAGAATATATTCATTATAGAACGAAATTATGTTCGAATGTATTCCACCCTACACTTTCTCTCAGTTATTTACTTTTCCTTATAGCGATTCAACGATTTTTCGTAATTATGAATTTCGGAAATCTAGCGATTTATTCTCAAAAGAAAGTTGTATATTATACAGGCTTCATAATTTACATTTTCGAAATATTTTTCTCAGTCGGCAGTTGCGCTGTGAATTTTGGAAGATGCAAGAACTATCAAATAATCACACAAAATTATACGTGTCCCTCGCATTTTTTTCCAGAGAATATACACACTTTTAATAAACTTATCAACGGAAATAATATCATAGATAATATTGATATCAGTATATTTTATATAAAGTATGTACTTCCAATAACTAGCTTAATATTATATATAATCATGCTTTACCGTATACACTCAAATCCTGACTTGATGTCAACAACAAAAAAACAAGTTGAACTAGCAATTATCTATCAAAATATACCTAATTTCATAATATCAACGGTGAGATTCATGAAATTAAACATTTTCGAATTACTTAAAACACAGGCTCAAGTTGTTCTTTTCATCATTGTTTATTTGAATCCGGAAAACTTTGAAAATGGAAATGGAACTTTGAGTTATTTTATGTGTTCGAATCGATTCGAATTGGATTATATAATACCTATCAGTTACACTCTTGGAAATTATAGAAATATTATATTTGCTCTCAAATTTCATGGAGCTGTTCATCCAAGTTCTCAGAATATTCAAAACTAAAACTGTATATATTTTGGACATAAAGACTTATTTTGTAATTTTAACTACTATTTGTATGCAAATAATCTCAAACTTTAAGTTGGCAAACTTGCATCTAAGTTGAATAAAAAATCACAGTCAACAAACAAACAAAGGTAACCTGTTCAAAAAAATTCAAAAAAGAACTAACCCTTTTTTCAACTTCAGCATTCTTATGTTTTTCTTCTTCTTCTCTTTCCAATTCTTTGCGATTTTTCTTGAGTTCTTCATTCATTTTTTGTCGTATTTTTCTTGCCATTTCAACTTTTTCATTATTTTCTTCATCACTACTTTTTTCCTCTTTTTTCGTTTTCACCATTTTCTTCGTCAATTTCACTCGTCTTTTTCGATTTTCAATCTCGATTCTTTCTTTTTCTGATTCTGACATACTTGAACGAACTTCGAGCATTTTAATATCTTCGTCTTGTTCATCACTTTCACTTTCAACTTTTCGAGAATATTCTCGTTTTTTGGACGTTGTTGGAGGTGGCGAAGGTGATGAATTTGATACAGATGGTGACCTTTGTTTGTGAGCAACCTTTTTCTGGAACATCGGCCGATCTCTTGATCTAGACCTTGACCTTGAACTTGATGAACTGGAAGGCGATCTTCTTCTCCTTTTCACACTTCTCGATCGACTTTTTCTTCTTTTGTAAGCCCTTCCTTCTCTTGATCTACTTCTAGAATATCTTCTTCTTCTTTCTCGACTTCGACTTCTCGAACGTCTTCTCCGACGATCTCGACTTCTAGATCTCGATCTTCTTTGCACAGATGGCGATCTTCTTCTTTTTCGAACTGGCGAAGGCGAAGATGACAATTCTTTTGTATCACCCCAATCTACACCTTCATCATCATTAATCCGTTGCTTCGAAAGTTGCCTGAAAATTAATGAGTAGCGTCAGGATCTTTTGAATATTGCTACTTACAGAATTTTCCGATAATGTTCTGATGGTAACTCTGGTCCAACTGATACTTTCTTCTCATCGTCTTCAGAATCTACAAAAAACAGAGAATTAAAAAAAATCAGGAGATAAATACAAACCTTTCTCATCATTTCCTCCAAAAGTCGAAATAAATTCCGGATGTGCTTTATCATCATCTTCATAAGAATTATCCAAATCATCCATCATTTCATCAATTTTCGATTTCTTACTACTGTTATTAATAAATCCGAGAAGTGTAGCAGTTGCGCCGTTGTCACCAACAATACAACCTTTTCCAACAATCGCTTGACGTTGTTGACGCAAAAGCATACGTTCATGTTTCGATTCTCGACCCTGAAATGATTAAACTTAAAAATCGGGAAAGTTTTTTTTTCAATTTTGTGAATAAAACTGATGTTTTTATAAGGCGATGTTCAAAAAGTATTTTTTTGATGAAAAAAATTGATAACTGTACTCGGTAAAAAGGTAACGGACAGAGAGTTGCGATTTTTGTCGATCAATTTGTTTTAATTGAGCAGCATCTCGTTGTGCTTGTTGATCAGCTCTCAATAATGCACAAAATAATCCTCGCTTCACACCATATTCTTCGCCATTTTTATTCACTTTTCTCTGAAGCTCTGGATTCAATTGTGCTGTATCGAGTTCCACATCTGAAAAAAGAAAAAAATAACAATTTTTAAGAAAAAACCAATATCTCATTAAACCAACTAACCAATATCATCAAGTTCTTCTGGATCTTCATCACTTCCTTCAGCTTCTCCGTCCCCCTCTTTTTCATTTTTGGATCCTCTAACAACTTCTGAATCGTCATATGAAAATCCAATCGATGATTTTTTGTCGGCGCTTTTCTTTTTCTTCTCGATTTCAGCTTTTTTGTTTGAATCTTTTTCAATTCTCCAGAATTCTTTTTCAGAAATTTTTCGAAGATAACTTTTCTCGGAAACTCCTTTATAATCATTGATAATCAAAACTCGATATCTTTCGAATTCACAAACAATTTCCGATTTTTCATCACCCATATTATTATCTTCTTTTGGTTTTTGTGTTGAATCGTCCATGAGATCCATTTTCGAGAGATGTGATCGAGCATCAAATCGATCGATTGTTATTTTTGCATCTCCTTGCCATGGTCTCAATATATTCGAATCTTCAGCTGCTTTTGCGATACTTCTTTCAGTATGAATAATTGATTTTCGCCCATGAACTTGCATAAACTGCTCTGGATCTTTTCTCTGAAAATTTGTATTTGATTTTTGATATGAACCAACGTGTCTAACTTTTTTCCGAAAAAATCGTCGTCTCATTGAAAAATGATCTCCACTTATTTTCGAGTTAGTTTTTGAAATGAGGAAAATAAAATAAAATTTAAATAAGTAATAAGAGAAAACACGTTTTCGGGTCACGTCACGCGTGAATATTATTTAATTTGAAAATTTCTTTTCACTTACGATATTGTCGTAATATCGTTTCTTCCTTTCAGCTCTTTTCGTTTGATCTACCATGGCATTTTTCAGGATTTTTTCCTGTTTTCTCGCCTCGTGCCACATACCTGAAATATTGTTCGCTTGTTTTTTTTGTTGAAACAAAAGAACGAAGAAGAAACTAGTTATAGATAGAAAAAGGGGGTTAATGTGACCTTAGTTGTTTACACAACTTCTTTCAGATACTATTTGTTTCATTTCGAAAATGCTGAAGATACTTTCTCTTATTTTATTAACAGGATACATAAGTCAAGGTTCAATATTTTTCATTGTATTTTAATCCTTTTTTTTTTGAACATTTACAGCTGATTCTGTGAATTGTCATTTGCCAAAAGATACTGGAAATAACTGTGACAGCAGTCCAATTACATTGAAATTCTATTTTGATCGTCATACAAGTAAGTTTTGATCGAAAAATGCTAAAAACGTTGAAAACAAAAAAAATAAATCTTCTCCCGGAGGAAAACACAACGCTTCCTTTTGGTTTCTTCGTCCACGGCCACGGCCACGAACTAATTCATTTTTTCCCAGATGTTTGTCAACCACTGTTCTACCGCGGTTGCTCCGGAAATGAGAATCGTTTCAATTCACGAGACGAATGTAATAAAGCATGTGTTCCAAGTATGATGCAAAAACCAAAAAAAGCGGATGTAAAGAAAACCGAGGAAAAAAACGAAGAAGAAATTTCAGATGAAGATGAAGAGGACGAAAATGAGAATGATTCTGGAAAAGATATGACTCTTGTTGGTAAATGAAATTAGGGAACCATGATTCATTTTTCTTGGTTTTTTTTTCAATTTTTTAAAAACCTTCAAAATTTGTTGGGAAATGTTTATCCGGAGATTCTAAAATTTTGAAACTTATTTTCAGTAAATCAGTGCAAACTTTTAACCGACGCAAAAATCTTCGACAAAGCCAAAACCTGTGACAAAGGATGTGGAGTTGGCTGGAAATGCAACAAAAATAATTATTGTTGTCCATACAAAGATGTAGTTTGTAATATGCCAGCTTCATCAGGATCAGAAAGTATTGCATTCAAACATTATGGAAGATATGCCTATCAACCAGGACTCAAAAATTGTATTCGATTCTCATATTTTGGTGTTGGTGGAAATTTCAACAACTTTCTCACTTATAATGATTGTAAAAAATATTGTATGAAATAAATAAATAACATCAATAAACCCGTTTATTTTCAATATAATTTTTCTTTCAAAGTTATCATTGAATTAATTTTGGCGATCGATTGACTCGAACTTTTCGTGGATTATCAAGAACTCCAATCAACATTCGATCTAATTCTCCAATCGAATATCTTTTTGGCTCTTGTTTTCGTTTTATTTCATCTCTCATTTCTCCATTTCCAGGTGTCGACTTACTTCCAAGTTTTCCAACTTTTGGAAGTGTTCCCGAGGTAAACTTCTGAATCATTGATTCAATCGTGACTCGTTGTGGAGAATCTATTTGACCAGTTCGGAAAACATTATACTGCCATCTAAAAAAAAACAGAATTATCAGAGCTACAGTAACCAATGATATACTTATTGACTACAGCTAGACAAAATGCGGCACTTCCATCTTCATTTGTATGATCGGGGAAGGTCCAATGAACTTCTTTTGAAACTAAAGATGGATTTCGGATAACTAAAACACCCCAAGTTCCACCATAAATATCTTCAAGAATCCGCCGAATCATTTGCATTTGAGTTACAGCATCTTCAGTTGTTTCAGCTGCTCTTTGAATAACTGCGCGAATTGGAGAAGTTGGACAATTATTCAAACCTTAATCCATATTAGAAAATAAATGGAAAGGTTTTTTTCTCAATCTTACCTAGACCACCTGAACAAAAAATGAGAAGGAGTAAAAATATAACAGTGTTCATGTTGTCCATTCAACTGACTACTGCCATCCTCCCACCCTCCTTCCTTCCTTTTTTCATGAAAAAAAAACGAGAGAAACTCGATTCAAGTAATTTTTCTTACTATACATACTGTAGTAAAAATTGTCCTCGTTCAAAAATGTTACTTTTCGGTTCGGTACGCCGAGACGAGAAAGAAAGAAATAGTTTGAGAAATGAGGAGAGTAGGTGAGAGAAACTGGTTGATGATTTTAAAATGTGAGAGAAGTAGCGCCTTTTTTTGCATGCCAAAATGTTACAAGTGGCTGGACAAGAGTAACAAAAAGCGGGAAACACAAAACTAATTATAGAAAACGGAAGGTCATTTTTGTTCTTTTTTTTGGAGGGAAGGAAAATTTAACATTTTGCAATTTTGTTCACTGAACTTTGAATGTGATCCGTGACAAAATTTCAGCTAAAAATTGGTGTTTCAGAAGTGGTCAATTATACTTTAAGAAAAAATGATCCATTTTTTTGTAGAAAACCCTAAAACTTTATCGCTCTCATAGAAGCTTTTCCCTTTCCGTTCTTTGAAATAACATGTGCAGGTTGTTATACAACGCTCCCATGAATTATGTTTTGTTTTACAATCAAATGCCATTTTTTCCCTCGCTTGTCGTGTAGAAGTACACACATACACAGACATATGAGTCATTGCCCTCCTAGCGAATCTGACTACCGAAAAATCGATATTGCATTGCTCTTCTTATCTTTTTGTTCTTTGAAAAAATGTATGAAGGTTTAGTAATCATTCCTTTTTCATTCATTGCTATTGCTTTCATAATATTCTTTGGGTTCTATATTCGAAAATATCCCATCTGTGCTCCGTGAGTTTTTTTTAAAAATATAATTAGTTTTTTCAAAAATTATTTGAAATTTTTAGAGAGGAAAAAGTTGAGAATCACGAAACAATCGAATTGTCTCCAGCAGAACAAGTATAAGTAAAACTTTATTTATTAACATAATATTCTCGAATTAGAATTCTCTTACACGTAGATTAAATATTTGTTATAAGATGATTTTTATTATGAAAGCGAATAAACATCTTTTGGTTTGAGCGAATATTTTTTACCTTCCATCGGAATATCTTTTGAAACTTTCTTGATTGACAGTAATAATTTTATCAAATGATCCAAGTGTGATTTTTCGACTGATTTGATTTCTTTCCATCGTGAATATGATGATGCCGCCCAACAACCCATCAAACATCCATAAATTATCAAGAAACTATAATATTTGTAGACCAACTCGCTGAAATTAATTTTGATATTGCTGATTTGTGAGGTGAGAATTTTAGGAGGGATTAAAAACTTCCAGAAGATCTGCCAGCTTTTGAAGTGAACTAAATCACTTCTAAACTTACCGATTGTTTTGAACTGAACTATACATTACACTTTCAAATAAAAGTGGATGAAGAACTCCAACCCAACAAGTAAAACCAACCAAAATTGTGATATAAGTATGTAAACTCAAAAGTGCAACACAATTATAAACACATCCAAAATACATAATAAAATAAAGAAGAAGTGTTGCATAGGCTCCAATCAATAAAACAACTCCAATTGAAACTGCATCGTATACAAAAGCTTCCAAAAAAGCGCAAATCAAGATTATAAGTGTGAATACTAATTCCGCGTAATAACATAGTCTTGTCCGCGACGCTTAAATTTTCAAATTTTCATTTCCCCCTGATTCTCGAGACTCACTTGATTGCATGAAAAAACTTCGCATATAATCATTGTGTTCGTCCTCGATTATTCTTGTCGACATTTTTGGAAATGAAATAGAATGAGAGCGTTTTCACGTGACTCATCATTTTGGAATATTTTTCTCACGGAGGAGGTTGACATGATAATAAAAATGTTTACTGATAACTAAATTTATTCAATTGGTATTGATTGTTGTAGTAATATGAGAACGTATATTTTTGTTGCTTTTTTCAGTTTTTTAGTTGTGGGAGGTTAGTTTAAAGAAATAAAAAACTTTTTTTTGTGAAATTAACAACAGTATCTGAATTTGTCAATTTTAAAAGCACGAATCTCCCCGATCCGATTCAAAATTGTTTTAATTTGATTTTTTTCTAGATTGCCTAGTTTGTGAAACATGTGATGGTTCAACATGTTTTGATCGAGATCGATGGCTTCAAGAATCTTGTCCACCATCAACCCAATATTGTTATCGACTTTCAATTGAAGGAAAAGCTTTCCGACGTGGTTGCTCAGATTATCCTTGCTCAACTCTTCCAGGAGTCGAAAAAAATATGGAGTGTAGAACTTGTAGTCATGATAGATGTAACAATGAAAGAGATCATTATTCATCGGATCATGGAAGTGGATTAACTTGGAAAAAATCGGCAAGTTCTTCAGGATTTCAATTATTACTGATTTCTCCATTTTTAATTCGCAGTTTCCAACATATTTTATCATGAAAAACACTTTGAAAAAAAATGAAATATTTATTACGAATGATATTTAATTCCACCCGCAACCACATGTTTCAAAATGTTTCATTTCATTTATTTACAATTTCAAAGATAAACGGCACCTTTTCTGTCAGCCAAGAAATCAAGCAAATCATTTCGAATTTTCGGATTACAAAAATAGTAAATCAGAATCCTAATAGCAGATGTGAACATATATGTGAAAGAAACAAGATCAGAAAAATATGTGTGAAAATTGGATGAAATATTTGTTGGGCCATTCTCGTCTTCTCCCATTAGAAGAGTACTCTTTCTACGTTCCAACCAAGTTAATATCAAATGAAGAGAATTTGAAATGAGATACGATGCAACAATTGCGCCCATCGTGAAAACTGCACTTCGAACTGCTGGTGACATACTTTTCAGAGGTGGGAATGATAAACCCATTGCCGAAACTGCAAAATAAAATAAGTTGATTTGAAATTACAATCAACAAGGCATAATAGAAACTTACTAGTGGAAGATTTGTGAACTGGTCTAGCTGTCAATAATCGATCTTCTTTATAGCTAACTTCAGTAACAATCGCTTCTTTTTGCAAACTATCCGAAAACATTCTCTTCACAATAACCATATTCAAAACAAGAAGCAAAACAAATGGAACAACTGTTTGTGCCACTGTCATAACATAATAATCAAATATATAATAAGCATTACTTTCTTCGGCCCATAATTGTGGTCCAGTGCTTTTTGAATGAAAGAAATATGTGCAATCTTCGAATTCCTTGACTTCAACAGAAAATGCAGTTGGAATTCGAACAATCATACACATAAGCAAAGCAAGAACTACAGTAATATGTCGACCAGTTGTTGAATGAAAAGCTTTGAGTATTGGACTCCTGGAAGAAAAAAAACATTATTGAGTTATCTTAAAACACAAAAACCAACTTGTTTTTGGATGTCCAAAATAATCGTTCAAGCGTGGCAAAAATCAACATATAAGGAATTGCGAGTTGTGTGATTCTGGCTAATATATAAACAGGAATAATGTAAATATAATAAATGATGAAGAGACTGTCGATTTCGAGATAACTGAAAATTGCATCGACACCAAATAAAAGTATATATTCTGTGCAAATTGCGAAATCGAGACATGCAAGAACTGATGGATATAAAGTTGCTGGTGTGTTTGAGTTTTGTTGTTTTTTCGAGAAAATTATGATTAAGACTGTGTTTCCAGCAACTCCTAGACATGATATTATAGATGCGATTGAAATCAATGCAAAGCGTGTCAATGTGTATTCTTCAGCCTGGAAAATGTTTTTTTAAAGGAATTTTTTGAATACAGTACAAAGAATCTGAATCAATATTCAGAATTTCTATAACCATCAAAAATTACTTTTGATGTAATCACTTTTCTGCAATAAGTTTTTCCCTTCAAAATTTTTTTTCCAGAAATAAAATACTTACCATTCCACATTCTTCAGCTGAAAAATTTGCAGTTGCATTTGAGTCGTTCATCTGAAAAAAAACCGAACTTTTTTGCAAAATCCGAGATACTTGAAAGAAAATCGAAAAATATACCGTAGTCAGAAAGATGTGCGAAAAAGTGAATCAGATGTTCAATTGAGCGTTTTAAATGGAAGTTTTTTTGCTCGAGTAAATGGACCGCCCCTTTGATTAACTACACCATATGGGTGCAAAAAGTTGTAAAATGTTTGGCTGACGCGTTTCAGTACAGCCATTTTTTATAGCATTTTTATATTTATTTAGCACAACTAGTCTTTGAACTAACTAGAAATACATGTTAAAAAAAATTCACGAGCATTTCAATCGATATTTTTTGGCCTAATCCTACAAGGTCTTCAGAAACTACTACTTTTTCGGCTCAAAATACAAAGTCTAAAAATAACCAAATAAAATAAATATTTACGGCGCTAAGTACTCTCGGTCAAAATTAAAGAAATATGTCTGTCAATCCATCAGATGGGGGGGACACGCCCACCACTTTTGCTTTTATGAATTTCGAACATCTCAAAAAACATTGGGAAAAAGAAAATGATCAAGTAGTCCCAAATGAACACACAAACTGAAAATAAAACTGAAAATATCTGGGAAGAGGAAGAAAAATACTTGTCTATGACCTCAGAAAAAAGTATTTTGGTTTTTAAATCGGATCTAACATGCATGATATCTTTGGATGATTATTAATTCATGACATGTTTTTAAATTTTCGGGGGAGATTTGCAAGAAAAACGCGGAAACAATAAATATAAATCATTTTTGCTGGAAGTGAACTCAAATGGATTTTGTTTTTTTTTCGCTAGAATGAAATATTGAATTAGGAGTACATTTGATTTTAATAGATTGCTTTTTGAAATCTCGATTTCAAAAAATCACGTTTTTTTGAGTTTTTTTTGAATTTCAAAATGAAGCAAAATTCTGAACACAAATATTTAAAAGTGGCCCTATTCAAAAATTCTAATAATTAGGCCCAATTTCTCTGGTTCCATTCCATAAGACAAAAAATGAGTCATTTTCTATTTAGCTTACCATAAAATTAAGATAAATATTTATGATAGACCAAAAAAAATTGATCACAATATTTATTTTTTCTAACAATACTTATATTGTTTTTTGGTCTAAAGAGCCGATGAACAAGAGAGCTCAAAATGAAAGAAAAAAGGATTTGCACCCGAAATTATGGGAAAAACCAAAGCCTTTCTATTCTTCTTCAAGAGAACTCCGTCTGGAATTTTATTTTTGATTTTCTCCAAATGTTTTTTTGCTCAAAGGTATCAATTTGAATCGTGATGAGTCAGAAAGAATCAAAGCAAAACACAACTTGAATCTGATTACTGTAGGATAGAAAAACTAAGAAAACAAAAAACATTTTCAATTTCCTCACTCAAAGAAAACAAAAGTGTGTAAAAAAAACTCACTAATTTAATTGAAACCTCTACTTTTCAAAAAAAAAAAAAAACGAAAATACGAAAAAAAAATTGAATGAAGAAAAATGTTTGGAGAGTTCTGAAGTGCAAAAGAGGCTAATAACGAACCTGAAAAAGATTCAACGAGCAGATATTTTTTACTAGAAGAAAGAGAAGAAAAAAAGAAAATGAATGAAGAAATTCAATCCCAGACGAAAGGAATATTCAGATTGAAATATATTTTTCAGAAAAAATAGGAAATGTATCATCGCGAGAATACTATTTATTTACTTTGCAGATTTTTGGTGTGGACTTCGGAATATTGAAATAAAATACTCGGAAAAAATGTTCGAAAAAATTTCAATTTATTTTTTGTTTTCGTCTTCCAAGAAATCATCACTTGTCACAAGAAATAGGTTCAGAATATTTCCCTCTTTTTAGTATTCATTTTGAACAAAAAATGAAAACAACAATTTTGTGTTGAAAATGTCAGAAAATTATAGAGAGAACAAAATTCGATTTGTCTAGTTTCGAAATAAATTGGTTAAAAAATGAAATCAGGGTTCCAGGAAATGTATTTCAAAAAGTGCAATTAGCCACGAAATGAAATTAATCCGAACGGACAATTTCGAAAAAAAGCGACAGAAAAATCAAAGAAGAGAGTAATTTTCCCGTCTACTTACTTTTTTTGTCTCCTCAAAGGCACAAAAAATATCTTCAAGATTTTTTCTCGTTTATTTTTTTTCGTGAGGATCCGAAAATCTCATGTCAAGTGGAAATTAAGATTAGAAGAAGAATCGAGAGAAGAAACCTTTTTTGTCCAAAAAAAGAAAATAGAAACAAAAAATAATAAGAATGATAAAAATGATGATTGTGACCTTTTCAGACAAATTGTTGTTTCAGATTTTCTAGAGAGGGAGAGAGAGAGAAGAGGATGCAAAACGGATGACGCTAATTTTGAGGTGATTTTCGAACTTTTCCGAAATAAGTTTCAGCTGCAAGAATGACATCACAAAAATATCTGGATTTACTCGAAGTCTAATCATTTTCAAGGGTTTAAAACACAATTTCAAATGAAAAAAACTTCCTTGCACTTTTTTGAAAAATAAAAATCCGTCTCACATTTTTATTTTCAATAAATAAAAAACCCAAACTTGTCCTCATTATTAAAAAATCCCAAGATTCCCAAAATTTTGATGTGATAATTTATGCTAAAAACGAGAGAGCGGAAAAATTGGCAAACGAAATGAAACTGTGTGCTAAAGTTATAACAGTGAAAAAAAACTTCCAGCAAATATTTTTCTTTTGAAAAAAAAACAAATATAAAAAACCATGGAAAACTCGTCCTTATTAAAAATGCCAATTAAAATCAGAAAAGAAAAAAACATGGCGAAAAAAAAAGTTCAAAACTGAAAGAAAAAACAACAATTTGATGGAAAATCACGAAAAAATGACGATAAAAGACAAACAAATGTTTTTAACAAGATTAATGGGATAATCTATCTTTAAGAAAAAATCGGAAGAATTCTAAATCCTCCCTCCTTCTTTCTCATGTGAATATATGAAAAAACATCATCTTGGCTCACGTTAAGAAGATTTTGATTTTGATTTCGAATTTCAGGTGGATCGTAGAACCAAGTGGGGACCTTTTTCTTGATGAGGACCTAATCTATTATATTTGATACATTTGGGGGCTCTCATTCTAATCATAGGGTATTTCGAAAAACATTCCCCTCCAGTATTTGTGCTCTAATTTCGAACTCTGAAAATTCAAATAACTATTTTTCCCGCAGACTTGTCAATCCGATTGCCCTCAAAAATAATTTGGATTTTTAAATCCGCTTTTTTCTCAACTGCTCTCGGGCAAAAAAAAACATAAAATAACAAAAACAAGGAAAAGTTCGTCATAATTAAATATTTTTCACTTTTTTTTGAGAGTAGGCCCAAAGAGGAGAAAAACTCGTTAAGTTTATGTGAAAAGACGAGCGGGTGAGCCATTTTGGATACATAAGATTAAAAAGGTTGAAAATGTGCTATTAATGGAAAAAAGATTTTTGAAGATTTTTTAGAGTGACGTGGTCTTTAGAAAAAAACATTCTAGACAAAATTCCAGATAAGCATTGATGAATAACAGAGAAAAGTTTAGCTGATCTGAGATGATCTGGAAGACTCGTACCACAAAATAATGATATCAGATTTTTGATTCAAGCTACCGTATACCTAATAAAATGAGCAGAACACAATATTCTTGATAACATGGCGTGTTAAGAAAATGAAAAAATAAAAACATTATCAAGAATAATGAAATGATTTATTTGCGGTTTTTGTTGGAATGAGATATTTGCAATGGAAAACAGGTGATTCGAGAATTGAGAGTGGATAAACTGCTGATCGGAAATTAGCCAACAAAAAACATTGAAAAAAAACCACAATTTTCAATTTCCGCACATTTAACGGTGAATAATAAAAATGATCGATCAAAGTTTTAAAATCAGTGATAGGCAGAAGAAATATCGCTTAAGAAATTTGGAACACCGAAAAATTTTCTGATTGTAAAAAAAAATTTGTAAGTTTGAAACAAATTTTGGGAGACCAAAAAACATTAGATAAAAAATAACAAAACTGAGGATACATACCAAAAAACATGCCAACGCTTTGTCTGGAACAACAACAATTGGCTGAAATTCATCTTTGATGAAACATAGTGGAATAAACTTCTGAAAACGATGCTGACATCAAAAATTGCTATGCTCATGTGCGGTATATTTTGGAACTCTGAACTTGTTTATTTTCACACAGCTTTTGAGCTCCGTGGGATGAGCTCGCGTTTTTTTCAAGTTTTGGCTTCGGTTCGTTTGGTTAACCCAAAGTTTGTCAATATTTTTTTGGTATTTTTTCAATCTCCGGTCCAAGAAGGAACTACTATAAAAAAGCAAGCCATAATTGTTATTTTTTCCTATCAAGATGGCAAAGTTCATTTTCCAATTAGGGATTACTTTCTATTTTTTGCCAAGTTTGAACAATTGAGCTACTTAGTTAGATATTGCAAGTCTTCGAACACACCAAACCACAAAATCTTCCTAGACTCTTTCTTTATTTCCCAGGAGAGTTTATCTTATTTCAATTAGTTATCATAACAATGACTTTTTTGGGGGGTTTTTTTATGATCGTAGGATTCTATTTATATGATTTTTTGGTGTGAGTCAGAAGTTTATACTACTATAATTGGTGGTTTGAAATCTTTCATTAAAAAATTCTTTCGTTAAAGAACTTTCAAAAATTGACAATTTAAATTGTTTCAACATGACCCTTCAAAAACATTCAATCCACATTTTCAATGTTTTATTTAAAATTTAAAATTATTATATTTAACCGCATTGATCTCTTATTCAGTAAAACCTTAGTCAAACTCATCCATTTTTTTTGTAATTTTCATCTGATTACTCAAAAGTGCAACATCAACTTGTGTACACTGAGCTCAAAAGCAAAATGGCTTATTCCAAGTTTTCATTCTCTTCTGAAAACGTGTAGATGATTTTTTCAAATGTTTGATATTGTGAATTCAGAAAATGCTTTGAAACTAAACTTTTTTAATTTTTTGATTCGTTGTTTCAAAAAAGCTCCTCCAAAACAATATAATTTTTTTTCCAAAAGTTCTGTAATCCTCAATTGTATTCTTTTCTGAATTTTCAAAATGATGAAGTCCTTTGTATTAACTATAGTGATATCATTTTCGAATGTTTTTTTTCAAAATAATGATTTGTTTTTCTTCTTTCTATGCTGCAAAACTTCTCATGTTTTCTGTTTTGGTAAAGTCTAAAAACATTTTCGAAATCATGAAGCTAAATGTTCGTGATCAGCTTCTCATCTTGAATGATTTTTGTTTTTGTGTGTCTAACTTTGCTGATTTTTCAACACATGGCTCTGCGTACGTGGCTTCTGACATTTTCCAGATTTATTAATCATCAACTTCATTATAGCTGCTCTTCAGGGAATATGATTCTCAGATAAAATATCACTCAAAACTTGTTTCTTTTTCAATTTTATGCAAAAATACTCTAGTAAAATAATGATTGTCGAAGAAAATATAACTCTTTCAATTTTTTTCTTCTTTCAAAGTCTAAACGTAATGAATAATTCATTATCTGAATTTCAATTGCGTTTTTTGTTGTTGAAATTCTAGGTCTCATCCTCTTATTACAAATTATATTTTAGATGCCGGCAAACTGCACAATTATGGCAGATATTGGCCATTCTTATATTCTTAAATTTTCACTTTCTATTAATTTGTTAATCGCAATTATTGCAATTCCCGTACTTGCAACAGCTGGATTATATTTGAGAAAAAAACAACTTTTTCATGTGAACACTCGACTTCAAATTCAATTGCAAATTCTTGCTCTGATTATGCATTGCGTTGGAAGGTTAAAATGATTGTTAATGAATTATAAAATAAATTTTCAATGTTAAATTCCAGATTGGGGCTTCACATTTTCGATCTCATAAATTATTTCAGTGATTTCAAAGATGGTTGTGAAATTCTCCCGGATTTTTATAGATGTTTATATGCTCGTGGATTATATAATGTTGGAATGACAATTACACAAATGTGCTCAATTGCACTAGTTTTTGAAAGATCTGTTGCTTTATTGTATAGCAAAAATTATGAAAATTTTTCGAGTTTATTTGGTTTCTTCCTAGCCTTTTTTCAACTTGTTCTTTCATTTTGTTTTCTCTTCAATTTATACAAATATGCACCATTTGAACCAAGTCAAACTGTCGTTCTCTATTATTGTCAGGTGAAAAATTCTTTAAATTTCAGTTTTTAAATTATATTTTAAAGACCCTTGCATCTGGAACTGGTTCAGTTTGGACAATCAACGCTCCTTTATATGCAGTCATGATTGCTCAAGTTTTGTGTCGAGTAATTTTTGAAATCCTCGATTCTATTAATTTTGTATGTTGTTTGGATTCCAAAATAAGTTGCTCATTTATTTATTTTCAGAAAATGCGGCAAGCTCATCAGAATCAAACATTGAGTACGCGATACAATTTGGAGCAAGGGCAAAGGTGGGATTTTAAATTACTAGTGAAGACATATTTTTGTGAACCAAAAAAATGTTCTGCTCTGATTCAAAACGAAAATTTTTGCAATTAAAAGTTTTATGACAAAGCACACGTAGTAGTCAGAAAAATTCCAAAAATAATGACATGAAACCACGAGGCAATTTGCACAAATCTTATTATTTGTAATTATATTTTTGTTAACAAAACTTGCACGCTTTTTTTTTCGATTTCTGGTTTTTTTTCCAGGTCTATAACAACTCTCAAAATTTTTGTGAATGTTAACACATTTTTCTATGCATTTTTATCAATTGTTGGAACATCTTTACATTTCAACGCAGCTTCTTTCACCAAAGCTCATTATTTTGCTATAGTTGAAAGTGAGATTTCTTTTTTTTTTCAAATTTAAATTCCAAAAAAAAACATTTTTTAGTGATTCATTTTCTTCCAACTTATGGTATCCTACTTTCAATTTACATCTATTGGACTTTAAGAAAATTAGACAAAAGTTTGAAATCTTCTCTGACAAAAAGTATAAAAACCAATCCAAATATGTATTTTGAACAATTCAATATGCAAGTCTTATAATATTTTGATTCACCTCTGAATAAAGTTTTTTATTCTCTTCTCATTCATTTATTGTTGATTGTTAGCCTTTTTTTCCAAGAACCCGCCCTCCCATTTTTATTATTCATTGCTCATTTTTTCCCACATTGACTCCATTTTAGTTATTTTATTGGAATTATATTTTATTTAAAGAGTCCAATATGATAATTGAGCATTTCATGTGATTTATCAAAAATCATATTTTTAACTACCTAGCAATTTAACCGATTACATAGATCTCGGTGAACTTTGTAAAATTCATCAAAACAATGGTTGTTGACTGTGATGTTATGGCTGAAATGGGCCATTCTACAAATCTTCGAATTTCACTATTGTTGAACTTGACGATTGCAATAATCTCGATTCCAATTTATATTTATGCATTTTTATATTTGAGTAGTCGTCAATTATTTCATAAAAACACAAGAATCCAAATCCAAGTTCATATTTTTGGATTGATTATGCATTCTTGTGGAAGGTAAGAGAAATTTGAAAAAAAAAACTTTAACGCCAACTTTTCCCATTAATATTTATTTCATTATTCAGTTTATTTCAAAAACATGAAAAAATTAATGTTGAGCGCATTCACAAGATTGACACTTGCATCCTCCTTTACATCCAGCATCACAACATTTTTTCTCGCTTGCAGTTTTACAGCAGAACTTCTCACAACATTTACCATTCGAGCACTCGCACTTTTCAACACATTTGCATCCGCTGTTTTTGCAATCTGAAATTTGTATGAATTTATTTGGAAATTCTAGTCCAAATTTTGAATTGAAAATAAAACATACCACATTTGCAGACCATTTTGAATTTTGTTTTGAGTTAACTGATGAAATGTGATATTTTCAATTAGTTTATATAGTCTTCCAAGGTTGGTCAATCACAAAGTAGAAAACAAAAAATAGTATTGAAAAGTGAGATACGCACGTTTTTCTACCTTGTGATTGTGTTTGTTAGGCATGTTTTATCAGGCTCGATAAAAATGCCTAATCAAGGCATTTCCACTTTGTACCTTGTGATTTGCAAAAACATGGTTTCAGAATCGCTCTTCATACGTCAGACTTGCTTAATTATTTCAGTGATTTTGAAAATGGATGTCAGATTTTACCAAACTTCTATAGGTTATTGTATAGGTTTTTTTCAAAAAAAAAATTGAAAATCAATTTTGAAGATGTTTTATTACCCGCGGACTTTACAATGTTGGATTTTCAATAACTGAATTTTGCTCAATAGCACTTGTGATTGAAAGAATAATTGCATTGGTCTACAATAAAACTTATGAACATTCCTCAATTTTAATTGGAGTTTTCCTTGCAGTTTTACAGTTTTTCCTAACTTTTTGTTTTTTGTTCAACTTATATTATTATGCGTCTTTTCAACCAAATGATAATATTGTTTTGTATTATTGTCAGGTAAATTGTTTTCAAGATCACAGTGGGTAAATATTAAGAATAGTTTGTGATTATCAAAACTTTTGAGTTATTCCAAAATTGTTCCTCTCTTAATTTTATACCAAAGACCCAATTACAATAATATATAATTCAGACGCTTGCCTCGGGAACAGGTTCAGTTTGGACAATTAATGGTCCTTTGTTTATAGTTATGATATCTCAAATCATATGCCGAATTATTTTTCATATTTTGAGTCGGAAAAATAAAAAAATGCGCAATTCAAATGACTTTATAACATTGAGTAGTCGATATAATCTCGAACAAGGAATTCGATCGATAGTTGCATTGAAAATATTTGTGAATATAAATACATTTGTATTCGCATTTTTATCGATCGCTGGGACAACTTTACATTTTAACTCTTCTCGATTTTCCAAGCCCAATTATTTTGCACTAGTTGAGAGTGAGTTTTCATTTGTGAATAAAGTAAACATTTGTGTTCTTCAGTGATTCAAAATTTTCCAACCTATGGAATTTTTCTATCAATTTATCTTTTTTTGACTTTGAGACGACTTGATAAAACATCTCGAGTTTCACTAACTCTAAGTATTCAGGCAAATCCAAATCAATATTTTGAGATCTTTAATAAACAATTAAAATGAAAAATTTTATTTTCTTTTACAATTTTACAAAATCTGTTTTTGTATTTCCACAATAAGTGATATAGGTTTGATGTAACCGTTGTTGATTATACTCGTATGCTCGACAATGTTCATATTTTGCACCTTTTTCGAAATTCTCTGGCTTCAGTGGTTCTGTTTCTCCACTACATGTTCGTGGAATACAAATAAAATTGAGATTGGATAAATCAACAAGAGAAAGAAGATGAAAAACCATATATGATATTATCAATGAATATTCCATTAAAGCATATTCGCGAGGAACTGAAAAATGAACATATAAGTTCCAAAATAACATTATCTTGTCTTGGCTACGTTCATCGAAACAAAATGCAATAAAGAAAAACTGACTGTAAGAATGGCAAAGTGACGTTTTTGTCCATCCGATATGAAATTGAAAGTATTGTGGGGCATAATAACCAAAGATCACAGAACATAAACCACGCACAGAGAGAAGAAAACCATTCTGTACAGTTGGATTTCCAACAAAAATCAACAAATATAAAGATGTTACGACGAACAAGTTGATTGAAGAGGAAATTGCAAAAACTGACTTACAAAACTGATTTGCATCTGGAATGCAGTGATGTGGAAAAATAAACGTACTTGATGTTATCAAACAAACCTCTAAAATCACTATGCATTGTTATAATACTGAAAAGAGCTAAAGAAAGGGTTTCCAATGCAGTAATCAATGGATGAAGTTCAGAGAACCATCGAATCAATGAGCTTTTTGCGTGCTTGAATTGCTCATTGAGAAGAATATTTTTGAAAATAATACTTTGCAAAACTCGAACTGCAATTGTGAGAGTAGTTGAGAATCGGAAAAATACATTTGCCCAAACATTTATCTCCATCATATTTATTATTGATAATAAACCATCAAATGGGAATCTCAGCAATGTCTGGAATACATATTTTTTTGTTGTGAGAGAATTTTAAAGTAGTTTTTGAAAAAAACATTTCAACTATCATTCTTCTGTGCATTAATTTTCACAATTCGGAATGCTTGTTTTAGAAGGATTATTTATATTTTGCACATCAATCTTTAAAATGAAAATATTTCAACTCACTGAACATCTGAAGGGTTTTCCACCATATCTGACAATTAGCGAATTGTCGACTAATTCTTCTTCAGTATATGGACGATAATCAGTTTGAAGTGCCGAAATAATTGCAGCTAAAATTGAAACTCTCATTTCTTTCTCGATGACATAAGTTTTTTTAACTCACCACTAAACGCAGTTAACGAAATAATCGTAAAAATGAAACTCGCTCGAAGATACGGAAAATTCAAATAAGCAATTTCCATATTATCATCTTCCACATGGCCATACTTCAATTTCCGATTTTCTTTTGATGATTTTGGCACTTTCACTTGAAATAGTTCTGCAGGCAAATATTCATCAGCATTTACACAAAATGACATTTCTGGAAGAAAAACTGTGAAGAATATGAAAAAATGACGAAAAAGAAGAAGAAGGAAGATTGAGAAAAACTAACATAAAAGATAAATTGCAGATCGAATAAAAAATATGATGAAAAAGAAAAAGAAGGAGGAGTCCATTTTATTTAAAACATTTTGAAGTTTCGATTTTTATGATTATTGACTTACTCATTGATTTGCAAAAAAAAGTTTAAAACTTCGAAAAAATCTATCAGATAATTCAATGAAAGAATACTGTAGAAAACGTGCACATCCTAGAGAATGAAACCGGAATATTTTTCCAGGAGGCAAGTTTCCACTGAAAAAATGGTCAGAACTTCATTATATGTACTTACTTCATACAATGGGTATTATGAGAGAATTTTAACACAAAACAAAAAAGAAAAGACAAGACAAAAACAGCTGAAACTGTACTAATTAATATATGGTGTGACCCAATAAAACCCCAAAAATTTTTGAAGAAAACATTGATAGACATTCAGCTGGCCAGTCAGAAGAGATGGGTGGTTACGATAGAACGCTCTTTTTTTTTTTTTGAAAAAAAAATATCGGAGATAAATCTCGCGCAAATGAATGGGAAAGGAGAGGATTTCATTGTGACGTAGGCATCAGAAATCTACAGTACACATCATGGTCGAACTTTTTATTTGATAACAAAAAAGGTGATGGATTGGAAAACTTGGAATGACGATTGTTGTTATTCATATTAGAACGACTATAGAATAGTTAACATAAGGAAGAAGAGAGAAGAGGTTGTCCAGTTTGCAACCTGATCTAACGAAACCAGATGTATGATGTTAATTAATTTTTTGATTTTCTGATCTTCTCAGTAATAACTTTACTTTTTAAATATCAAATTCATAAAATATGTACATACTTTTTTCACAATCACAATCGTGCCGTAAATTAACTGAATCCAAAAAAATGTCTGTGGCATCGCAACAAATGTGACCTCTTCAGAAATTGTAGTTTTGCCACGTCATAACTCATCTTCTCAAAATGCTCATTACAATAACTTGAATAGTAGTAATCGAAGGTCAAAAAATACACTTCACAAAAGTTTACATTTATTTTTATTTACAAAATTTAGTGAACGATCACTATTAGCCCGATTTTTGAACGCTGAAAAGCGAACATGACATCAGACTTCTATTAAAAAGTTTTATCATCAATAAAACTTTTTTTTCTGGATTATCATATAATCCAGAACCAATCTACCGTATCCCTCCCTAAATATAGCAAATACAGTTTTATAACAGCGTTGATAAAAAAGAGAGACACCTCGTTTCTGATCTATGAAATATTTATAAAAATGAGAAGAAAAAGGGATGAGATGATCTAGATCTCACAATTTTTTGGATGTTCAATGACCCTCCTCTTTTCCCCCAATCATTTGTCGAATTCAGAATCAGCTTATTTGTAGGATTTGTGACTAAAAACCGTTCTGCCCGCCTTTTTCTGTATAGTTTTTTCTTTGGAAAATCATAAAAACTTGCATGAAAAAACACGTGTTTAACAAATGTCAATAACAGGTGATTTAGCGGAACTTTATGAGCCACTTTCGGAAAAAATATAAAATGAAATCGATTTTTCTGCTAGAACTTTTTCTGAATTTCAAAGTTATTCAAACAGTCACGTGTCATTGCTTTGGGTAAATTTTGTTTTTTATCGAAAAAGAATGTGTTTGTAAAACTTTCCAAAACAGGTTTTGAAAAAGAGAAAGAGAACTTTAGAAATTTTATGATACTGTTATTCTTTTTTTAGCAGCGGTTGTGGTTTAACAGAAGAGTGTAAAGGTCAATATTGTTATACAACATGGGTTCTTGAAGGTGGAGAAGTTGACAAAACAGTTTGTTCATAATTTTTCATACTTCTCAAAGTTTCTCTCCATAATTTCAGGGATGTGTAACAAGCCGCCAAGAACTATCAACAAGTCAATGTGTGAAAACCCGTAAAGGATCTGTCACTTGTGTTTGTAGGTTTTTGAACTGAACTGAACTGGATATCATTTTTCTTTGTTTCGCTTTCCATATAATTTTTCTTCTGATTGATCTATTCATCTGACAAATCGAAGACAGTTTTTTAAAGACATTGGATTTTTAGCAGCGGGGAAATAAGTTTTCTGATGTTTTAGATAAAAATCTATTAAAAAAGTGACGTGATGTCTGGTGGATCAAGTTTATTTGAGGGGATTCAAGGGGGAAAACTGATCTATTTTGCATCGCTTATGTTAGAAAGAGAAAATATCATGTTTAATGCAATTCAATCATTGAAAGTTCAAAATTTCTGTTTTTCCTTTTCATGTGACACGGAATACTGTAATAGCGAAGAATTTGCAATTCCATCGGATGCAACATTTTATACACCTCCAACAATCAAATGTGATTTATCAACTTCGACAGTGGCCAATGATTTTTGTTTCGGGCATTCATGCGACTATAATGGATATTTTGTAAGTGTCCACTTCAAAAACAATTTCTCTTAATTTTCGTTTTTTTTCTCTAGCAGACGAATGAATTTGGTGATGTGTTCGTTAGCGAAATCGATCGTGAATGTTCAGATTATCCTGGTAAAAATCATAATTGCGGCTTGAAAATAAATGTTTATGTTTTCAGATATGTTGAATTTTCTTGGAAGAACAAATAGTTGTCAATTAGTTGAAAAAAGTCTGACATGTTCTTGTGGGACAGCATTTTGTAACAAACAACAACCATATGAAGTAAAGATCGGAAAAGTCAAATGTTACAAATATGATCCTAAAAACATGTATAAATCCGAATTCTGTTATGGAGATTTATGTTATCGTTGGAAAGAAACATTATATGGGGTTGAGATTCTTGGGTGTATGAGGTTAGCTTTTATTTAAAAAAAAATAGGGCCACGTTCTGAAGCATAGCTTGTGAAAAGTATTGGATCAGAATCAGAGCTAGCAGAAACATTCCACGCGTTTTAACGGTGTGCAAATTAGGTTTCCCACTTTTTAGGCCCGTTTCATACACCTACATTAACTATACATATATTTATAAAAATCACATAAGAAAACTTGTTTTTTGTTTAGCCTTGGCTATGCGGAAGGTTTGGAATATTTATCGAAACCAGGAAGTGAAGGAAGTTCTAACATATTGGTACGATTCTGTGATGAAAACTTGTGTAATGGCGATTATAAACCTAATTGATATTTTTTTGTTGATTTTCAATTTTTTAAATAAAGTATCCAACATGTTATTCAAAGCTAAAATGTGTGTCTGCGGCTCGTTTCTCTAACCTAACGAATAAATAACTCGAACAGCTGAACTATGAGAATTTATTCGGAAAAAAACATGAAATTGATTTTCCTTCTATTATTTTTTGAGAATTTGGATAATGTTTTTGGAGTCACTTGTCACTGTGATATGTAAGTTTGGAGATCATACATTCAAAAATCAAAACAATAAATAAATATCTTGATATATCCAAAATTCCAATGCGGATGGTAAGAAACATATGATCAGAATGCGCGATTTTTAAAATACTTGCCAAAAAACCTGATATATTTTAAAAGATATGTTGTTTGTTTGTTTGTCTCAAAAGATCAGGAGATTACATAGGAGGGAAATGATGTTTTTGAAAAAATTTCAGCGCAACTTGTGGAGAGGCAGCAGAGTGTCAAGGGCAATATTGTTTCACAACATGGATTTTGGCGGGTGGAGAACGAGACACAATGGTTAGTGAGGAAATTTTGATCTAGATAAGTCAAAAGAAATCTAATATCTAACATGTGACCTATTCATGACGTTCTGGGAAACATTATCTTCCGAATTAAAAAAAATTCTAACAGGGCTGCATTTCAACTCGACAAGAACTTTCAACAAGTCAGTGCGTTGAAAACAGGAAAAAATCAGTCACTTGCATTTGTAAGTTTTTGTTTCAAGCAAATTTCCAAAAACCTATTCAATTTTTTTCATGTGACACGGAATACTGTAATAGCGATGATTTCGCAATTCCTACTGATGCAACATTTTACACTCCTCCAACAGTCAAGTGTCTCGAATCAGTCTCAGAAATTGAGGATGATTTCTGCTTCGGTCATTCATGCAGCTATTGGGGATATACTGTAAGTGGCCACTTCAAAAAAAAACATCACTTCTTCTTTTTTTTCTTGTTAGCGTCAGAACGAATTTGGTGATTTGAAAGCGTATTCGATTGTTCAAGGATGTTCGAATGCGATCGGTAGGGAATTTTTTAGTTGAAAAAAATCAGGGGGTACACAATAAAAAAAATAATTTGAGATATGTTGAATGTTTACGGCAAAACTAACAGTTGTTCATTAATTGGAGATTCATTTGTGTGTCTTTGTGGAAGTGAATATTGTAACAAACAACAACCTTATGAAGTTAAAATTGGAAATACGAAATGTTATCGATTTGATTCTCAAAAAATGTATCGATCTGAATATTGTTATGGTGATTTATGCTTTCGTAAAAAACTTCACACGGCCTTAATCTTGGTTGTGCAAGGTATTCAACCAAGAAATCTTTCGTTTCAGTGAAACATGTAGTTCTTTTTTGCAGTTTTGCCTACGCAGAAGGTTTGGAACATATGTCGGAACCAGGAATGGAAGGCGATTCTTTTGACACATATCGTTTATGTGATGAGGACTTGTGTAATGGAGAATATACTCCTAATTGAATTTTTGTTAAAGAAAAAATACTTACAAACTTTTTAATTTAATTTTCAAAAAATAATGATAACTTATAGAATAATCTTTGTCAGATAGAGATTGAAGAGCTAGTTGAAAACAAATGAGAAAAAAAACTATAAAAATAATTTAAAAAAAAATGAAAGAACGAGGAATTTTAAGGCATCTTCCTCTTTTTTTCCCACAAGTCCTTGCTTGTGAGCAACTGAGTATGAGAATGCACATCCCGTCCCAAATTATACATTTAACAAATATACCCCAAACTTACGTGATATAATTTAACACAAATCACTGTGTTCCCCGTCACCCGAAACCAAACCCAAAACCCATTAAACTAACTTGAAATGAGTTGCAGTTGAATAAGAACAAAATCCTCAAATCCATTTTTTTTTTCGAATCAATCCGCATTGAATTTTGAGTGAGACATCAACATCGGCTCGTTCAATTCCGAATTCTCTCGCAATCTGGAATTTCTCTGGGTCATAGAAAGAAAAATAAACTTCCTCTTACCTTCAATTGAGAGCTCTCATTGAAGACAGGCCGAATACAAAATAACATATTTCGAGAAATGAGCGTCCAACCTGAAAAAAAAAGATCTAGCGTGATTTTTTTCGAATATATTTTTAAAATAAAAACGTGAACACGACAAAATAAAAAATTCATTCCAAAAAATTCATTCCAATCGATATAGAACAACGAAAAATTGTTAAAATCCCGCGTGATCTACACTACACTATTCACATTTGAGGGTCTAGGATTTATAATTTCATTGGGAAAAAAATAAAACTCATTCATAATTAGCAAAAAAATCAAACTCAACGTTCTTCTGAATACTGAACAAGAATGTTTTTAAAGAATTTTTCTTTTTTGGAGAGCGCAGAGAAACAAAGGAAAGTGCGCTCTATCGAACTGTTCGCACCAGTTTTTTTTCATTTTCAAAATTTATTTTTTGTGTTTTTTTTGATAAAATAAAAGGGCTCCCGTTACACTTTCCCTGGGAAATACTGTAGGGTTTTCGCGTAGTATTTGCTGTTTAGTGCATTCAGTTTTTTAGCGTGTTTGCGGATTTTTTCAAGCCATATTTTTTTCTTTGAAGGTTGGGATTGTCAGAAAAATGAATCGAATAAATATTCGAAGTTCTGATTTTATTAATTTTGATTTATTGCAAAACTAGAATTTAAAATTTTCAAAAAACAAAAATTGGTTGAATAATGAAACATGTTGAAATCAATTTTTTTTTAATTTTCACGCTGAACACGAACAAAACGTTTGTAGATCTTGAAATTAATGTGTTTGTTAATCCCTTTCAAAAAATCCATTTTTTCTGACAACAAATGTTTACCAAGGCCAAAATGTTTCTCATTCGTTGATTCTCGGACACAACTAACTAAAGTCTACTACTCGAAAATGATAAGATTCTCTCAAAAGAGTTTTATGTCAAAGATCAATAAACCAGTTTTTCTTCTCATTATCAACAAACATAACACAGTATTTTGTCTACAAAGTACGATTCGAAAATTGGACAAAAATTTGTGTTGACAAACGAATTTTCGGTTATAAAAACCCATCGGTCGTCTCTCATTTTTATTCTTTCTCAAAAATGTTTTTGATTATTTTATTCTCTATTATTTTGCTGTTCATATTTCATGAATTATATTGGAAACGTCGAACATTTCCACCTGGCCCAACTCCTTTTCCAATTCTTGGAAACTTGCCAGCTATTTTTGGATCGAAAGCTCCTGGAATTGAAGCGTTTCAAGATTGGTCAAAAGTTTATGGTGATGTGTATACAATATGGATGGGAACTGAACCGACTGTTGTTATCACAAGTTATAAAAAATTGAAAGAAACATTTGTTGATGATGCTGAAAGTTATATTGACAAAAAGATTTTCCGAGGATTTAATGAAACTATGAGAGGTTTGTTTGTTAAAAAGGTTTTATTAATTTTAATTTTTTGTATTTATAAGGTGGTGATTATGGTGTTATTGATACAAATGGTGATGTTTGGAGAGAACATCGACGATTTGCACTTCATACACTTCGAGATTTTGGGTTAGGAAAAGAAAAATTGCAAGATTCAATTCTTCTTGAAGTTGATCGAATGATGCACGATCTGAGAAATAATAAATCAGATATCGATATTCAAGCATTATTCGATGTTTCAATTGGAAATGTTATCAATCAGTTTTTATTCGGAAAGAGATTTGATAATGAGGACCAATTTCATGAATTGAAACGTCTTATCGATTTATTTTTTGAAGTTCAAGGTGATATGGCAACCTTTTTGGCTTATTTGATTCCTTGGCTTCCAAAAAAAGTTGTTGAATGGATGACTCCAACATCAATTGAATGTCGAATGGGTGTTTTCAAGTTTTTCGAATCACAAATTGAAGAACATCGGAAAGAAATTGATTGGGATATTGTTGAAAATCGAGATTATGTTGAAACATATTTGAGAGAACAGAAAAAGCGAGAAAAAGAGGAGGGAGATTCTGAAAGTTTCAATGATATGCAATTGAAGAATATGTGTTTTGATATGTGGTTGGCTGGAATGCATACAACAACAAATACAATGGGTTTTATGATTTCATATGGAATTCGGTTTTCTGATTGTCAAAAAAGAATGCAACAAGAATTAACTGAAGTAATTGGAGATCGAACAGTTATTATGAAAGATAAATTATCTCTTCCCTACACAAATGCATTTATTCAAGAAACTCAAAGATATTGCAATCTTATTCCAATTAATTTAACACATGCAACAACTCGATCAGTTAATATTAATGGTTTTGATATTCCAAAAGGAACATCTGTAAATCATCAAGTTAGTAGTGTTCTTTGGGATCCTGAAGTTTATCCAGAACCAAGTGAATTTAAACCAACACGATTTTTGGATAATGATGGAAATTTGAAAAAATCTGACGAATTTTTGCCATTCAGTGTTGGACGAAGAGTTTGTTTGGGTGAAGGATTGGCAAAAATGGAACTATTTTTATTTACCGCGAATTTGTTTAATCGATTTGAATTTCTTCCGGGAAGCAGAGGATTGCCATCAATGGATAGAGATTTCTCATTTATCTCGAAAAATCCAGCATATACGTGTACAGTAAGACAAAGATACTTGTAAATATGTAGAAATTCTTGTAAATTAAAAATTTAATTGAAATAAAATGTTTATTATTCACTCGAAACTTCAGAAGAATGATTAGTTTCAGTGGCTATTTCAATTGCTGGCGGTGGTTTTTCTTTGTCAATACGTTTGATACTTTCATCACCTTGTGATAAACGATGATAAACATCGGCAGTTTCGGGATTTTTGAGTCGAGGAGTCATTCGAACACATGTTAAATGTGGACAAGTTGTTGGATTATCTTCGACTTCAGTTTCGATAACACTACGAATACTTTTTCCACTTATTGCAGCGTCTCTTTGGCGATTTCGGAGAGCCTGAAAAATATGAGTTAGGCTTGAAAAAACGAGCAGAGTTGATATATTTACCTGTCTTCTCTGAAGATGAATTTGTTCACGATTCCGATCATTACATGAACATACAAACATCGTGTAGAATGATAGAAAAATAAAAGAAACCAACTGACAAGCTTCAAGTAAAAAACTCATATCTCGAAAGTGAGGATTTTAAAACAAACAAAATTGTAGAAATAATTCAAATTTTGAAAAAAAAACATTGCGTCATTGATCTAAACCAAGGTCACGTTTGCTCGAAACAATTAAGTTGAATATTATCATAATTTATTTGATTCTATTTTATCAAATAAAAATATTGATGATAAAAAAAAGTTTGCATCGTCATTAATTGATTTAATGCGAATGCGATTCGCAATATTTGTATTTCTAGTATATTTTTGTCGAAATGCTGACTTCGAGCCAAATTTATGCGATAAAGAAATGATAACCCAGTGTGATGAATATGCAGTTTGTTGTGATATTGGTAAAGGGCAATATGGTGAGAGCTTTTGTTAAAAAGAAAAACATTAGTCAAATATTTTTGACTTGGGATTTTTCGAATTTCTGAAAATAATTTATTCATAAAATTGCAATCCATTTCAGAAAGTTACTCAAAAATTCGAAAATGTTTCTTTTTTTCTTTTGAAATTCCTAGAATCATTGTTCCAATTTCATAATAATTTTCAGGCTGCTGCCCATTTACAAACGGAATTTGTTGTCCCGGTTTTCATACATGTTGCCCATCTGGTTTCCAATGCACCGATTCAGGAACTTGTAAGCGTATCTAATTTTTTTCCAATTTTTAATGTTGAAAATAATTAAGCGGGTCAGAGTCTCATAAATTATCTTCTTATTAATTAAAATTGAAAATTAACAAAAAAGGTTTGAGAGAGCAAAGGAAAATAGGAGAGAGAGAGAGAAAGTAAGGAATGTCTGGCTGAAGGAATGGATCAAAAATGAATGAGATAGAAAATGCCCTAACTATATGAAAAATGAAAAAAAAAGTGGAAAATAATTGGATGCATAAAAAATTGAGCATACTTTAGAAATTCTACTATTCTGTTTCTAACTTTTTGTATTTGGCGGTGTTTTTGGGGGGAAATGAGAATAAATTTTCGAACAAATAATATTATACAACGGATGATGGTTGATTGGCAAGTTGTTGCTCTTTATAATTCGCCTCTTCGGATTCTATCGATTTTTTGCAATCTGATGAAAGTTGATTCATTTGCGCAGTATGTCGATCACTAAGTTGTGATTCTTGTTTTTGAGATCTAGAAAAATTGATTGAAATTAACTTTTTTCATAAAATGTTTAGAAAATCTCACTTCATTTCTAATCGTTTTCTCTCCTCAATAAACATTTTCACATTTTTCTCATTCAATTCTTTGACTCGTCGATCACGCTCTGCTTTTGTCTTGATTCCCTTGTCCTATAAATTAATTCCATGATTTTTTTTCTAAATCAAAATATGTTCTCTTACCAATTGAATGACTTTAGCATCATCCATACTTTTCTTGGTTTGTGTTTGTTTCAAATCTTTTCCTTCGGCTTCAAGTCTCAATTTCAACGCTTGCATTTGTGTTTTTTGTGCTTCGGCCATCAATTTTTTGAGCAACTCATATTGTTCAATGATTTGTTGTCTTTTCATTTGAAATTCTTCTGAATCATGTCTTTCAATCAGCGCTGACCATTCTCCAGTTTGTGAATTGACCAATGATCGGACCTATAACATATTCTTAATATTTCTAGAACCAACAACAGAAAACAAAAAACCAAGAATAGAAGTTAGTACCCACCCGATCATTATTAATCAAATCATGTGGTACAGGACTTCCAGCAGCTGTAGCTGGCGATGCAGTTCCATCTGAATTACACGTGGCATTTGATGAACATGCAGCAGATGTATTTGTATATGTTGTAGTGGTTGAACCACATCCAGATGAAACTGAAGCTGTTAGACTTCGCCTTGAACCTTTTTCTTTTTTCGTTGATCGACGACTCATCAATTTATCGACATTTGTTTGCTGAAAGCGACAAAAACATAGGATGGATATTTCTTAAATTGAATACAAAAATTAATTTTCCCCAATACAAGAACGGCAACCAAGTTGGAATAAAAAAGCGGGTTTGAAGCAAATTATTACGGATATTACGGAAGATAGCTTTTCGAACTTATAATTAGTAGAGATTATAAATATAGTAAGTAAAAAAGTAAAGAAACCAAAAAATGACATATTTCTTTTGTCTGGTTAACGGAGGAACACAAAAACTTACCATCCAGAGTTTTGTTGAATTTCGACGTGTGTTAGATGGCTGAACATAATTACAGATACTTTAAGTTCCCGTGAAATTAAGAAAAAAGGCGACAAAGGAAATTAGCTCGTTCTAATATAGAGTCAGAACATAAAATATGTACATATTTTTTTAACCAACTTACCTGTTGTTTTTGAATACTTTCACGTTGCTTCTGATGTTTCTTTCTCAAATCTTCCAAATCTTTCTGGAATTTTTTGAGAAGTTTCACAAAAGCTTTGTCTCGCCGCAGATCTTCAACTTCAATCGGATCGACCTGAAACATAAAGCTTGAATTGTTTGGAAAACTCTCTTGGGAATCTACAGGCATTTAAAGGAAGAAGAAAAAAGCGTAAAATGGAAAATGAAAAAAAATCCCTAAATGGATATATTTTGACCTGAAGTGCTGTTGATGTCGATTGGGCTGCCGCCGTTGAAGGCGGAGCCGGTGATGATTTTCGTGTCAAATTTCGCGTCAGATTAGCAATCGCCTACACTTTTCATGATAACATAAATAAATATCCACTGAACATACCTTGAATTTATCAACAGCAACCGGTTGTGGTTGTTCGGTGTTTGCTTTTGATGTACTTGTTGCCTGCGTGGAATTCTGTTCAGATCTTGCAGTTCCAGGAGCCGAATTATTAGCGAGTAGATCAGCTGATGATCCATTTTGCTTCGGAGGTTGCTTTATACTTTTTACAGTACTTTTTGAGGCAGGAACATCGGCGGCAATATCACTATCATCCACACCCATATGAGCAAGAGCTTCTTGCCTTTTCTTCTGTTCAGAGAGGTAAGCACGTGGATCAGCAAGAGCATCGACAAGACCTGAAAAATGATAAAAATTGATTAAGCCTACACAATTTCAAATGTTCTTTTCCTAACTTACCACTCAATTCATCTGGAACATAAGTTTTGATAACAACTTGAACAAACAAAATTGGTGACAATATGAATGATTGATTTGTATCAGATCTCAAAGAAATATGTCGATAACCAGCTTGTAGTCCATCCAATGGAAGAATTCTTTGACCAAGTTGTTTTCCATTTTCATCATAAACTGCAAATCGAAGAACAGCTAATTCGGGAAGAACAACTTTTCGGAAAACAAATGGATCTTCGTTGAAAACTGGATTTAATCCATTTGCAGGAACAACTCGAGTTTTGTGCTCTTTTCGAATTGTATCAGTTGGCAGACCATACATCTCAACTTCAACATATGTTCCAATTTTTCGATCTGATAAGAATTGTCCGGAAATCACTCGAACACTACAATGCGCCGCAATTACACCATCCACTGGTGATTCGGAAAATGGATCAAAAGTTCGATCGGGTCGTCGAAGGAAATCTGGTTTCAACAAATAACCCGATCCACCATTGTATTCAAATTTTCCCATATTTAATTGCATATAAACATCAGGTGTTTGGAAGTTAAGAGATACCATTTGACAACCAGCATTCCAAAAAATTTGAGGTAAGAAATTACTGGAATCGACACGTGCTCCTTTCGGATAAATTCTTGACAATTGCCGTTTGTTGTAATTAACAAATTCTGGAGCAGATTGTTTGAGGTAACCAATACCAGCCCATTCAGAAAATGATGACATATGAAAATGCAAATTGTTATCTGAAATTACGAATATTAATTTAATCATTTTTAAAGTTTGAAAGGTACAGTAATCTTACTTTCTGCCACATCAAACCCCGAAAATTTGACAGGATGTGTATAATTTACTAATGAAGATAACAATGGATGGATATTTGTTGTAGCTCCAGTATAATTATATTCGGCAAAGATTCGTTCTTCTTCTTCTTTCGTCAAAACAGGCTGAAAAATAAATATTATTTTGAGTTTTGAAATGTGAATGATCTAAGTGTCATTGTGGTAACTGACAAAAACATTATTTGGTGTTAGGTGGAGTGTAAAAACAGAAAACGGTTAATACAAAGCATTTGAACAAACTTCTTTTCCAAAAAAATTAAAAATTAAAACATAAAATTCCATGCGGAAGGATGATTCCCCTATTGAACTGGTTAGATGGAACGGACGAAACAAGCGTGAAACTGTGTTAAAAATAGTCAAAAACGGACAGAGTGGCAAAAATGAATGAGAGAGAGAGCAGGCTCGAACCTTCTTTTTGCGACTCGATGCTGTTCGCATAAAATCCATTACTCCCAAATCACCACCGTCCGAATCGAACGCTTTTCTCGACATTCGAAAACTTCGTTTCTCACTTCGTGTTCGTTCCAAAGGTTGGGACGAAACAGTGAGAAGGCTATTTGGCGAAGCAGATAATAATTGTTGAGATGAAGCTGCGGTTGGTGGTGGCGATTTAATAGATGGTGTTGCATTATTATCTGGACAGCTCACTATCGAACCATCAGGCAGCTGTGTGTTTGTTTTTATAGATATTTGAAATTAATCATTTTTTGGGTCCCGCTAGATAAATATTATAAATCATAAATAACAGAAATCAGAAAGAAATGAAAACAAATGTTTTTGAAAAATAAAAAAAAGGAAATTAAATCAGATTATGGTGATAGTTAGTTAGAGTGGAGGAACACTGCAAACGGGATATTTTAAAATAGAAACAAGTCACTAACCTGCTTTTTCGAGAAACCAAAACCTTTCAGATTTTTTGCAATGAAATTTTGTTTCAATTCAGGATGCGCTTCGTCCATCTCTTTGTTATTCGGAATTTCACCTGAAATTAAAATATTTTTTAAAGAAAAGAGTTAGAGTGAAGTAAGTTGTTTCCCTGCTTAACAACAACTACAACTATTTTCTATTCAAATTTTTCAAATTTCTTTTCTCATTGTTTTTCTTGATCTACCCCATGCCACTCGAGAAAAAGAAAGAGAAAATATGAACACATCTAAAGGGGTACACCGAATATAGAGAAAAAGCCGCAAAAACGAGCCACATTCTTTACCATCTTTGCATTTTACAATTGGCGAAGGAGTGGTTGGACTTGTGACAACACTGGATGGTGTTTGATGGGCTGATGATGTTGAGGGTGAAGCGGTTGAATCGGCTTCTGGATGAGCACGTTGATCTCCAGCTGCAAAAACGAACAAACGACAGTAGTGTGCAAAAAATCGAAGATAAAGAGAGAAATAGAGAGAGAAGGGGGATTTGAAATTTTGAATGGGATTAGAATAGAAGGTTATTTACAAGAAAGGTCCAACATATGTAGAACTTAGTGACTGACTGAGTTTAGGCTTGTGCTTAAAAACTATAAGATTCAACTTGATCAGCAACTATATTTCATGAAATTCTTCACACGTTGAAACTTTTTAATTAAAATTTTTGGGGAAACCCCTGAAGGTGAAAGTCGTTATTTTTTCAGAATTTATCTTTCGAATTTCCAAAAAAAAAACTTCACTTTGCCTTCAAACAAAATGTTTCAAAGTTAAAGGTCCCGTAACGTCGCAAGATTCAGTGATCTTAAACACTTCTCTATGCTTTTTTATGTTGATTGAAGTCGAAAAAAAAATTTTTCTGATTCACCATGAAAAAAAAGGACCAAAAGTAACACATTAAAAAATCAGTCTAAAAATGTTGGGTCCACGGCCGAGAAAACCAAATGAGATCGAACAAACGCGCGCTGCTGATAACCGAAAAAATATTTTCTTTTCGCGAAATTTTTTCTATTGGTTTTTGGCGTTTTTCGCAGTTATTTCGATAGGAATGAATGGAATAAACCTGGAAATAGAATGGACAAGGAAATTTAATCGAAAAACAAAAAAAAATTCTTGAAAATCGAGCAAAAATGACAGAAAACAGAGCAAACAACGTTTTTTCAGATTTCCAACGCAGTTTTTCAAGTTTTTCTTCCTCAAACCTTGATATTATCCAGATGTACAGTGCTCATTTTGAAGAGGAGAAAATTCTCAACAAGAGGTTTTGAGTTTTTGGTTGGAAATTGTCGATTTCACAAGGCACAGCTGGTTGAAGAAATGTTCGAGATCAAACACACATTCTCAAAACGTGACGCGAAATTCTTGTTCTGGCTGGGATTTGATGAATTCTTGGTTTTATTCAATGGTTGATACATCATTAGAACCAGAATTTTATGGCGATTCTTCTGATATATGACAATCATAGTGAAAGAATAGATTTTGATGATTTCCATTCGCTTGCGAAAAATACGAAAATTTCGATAAAGTTTTCATTGATTTTAGCGATTTGAGCTTGACTTTTTTCAAAATTTGAGAAAATAAACATCACAAATGCTCAATTTCATTCAGTTTTCTTCTTTTCCGAAAACATGAAATGAGTTCAACGTATGAACGGATCAGAAAACGAGCTAATTTGAGAAAATTCAAAATTTTGTAAAGAATTATCGGAATAATTCTACTGAATCGAGTGATATCTCATGGTAAAATATCGAAATGACTTTTGAGTATACTGCTCTGAGAAATCGAGGGAAAAAATTGAGAAACTCACGTTCAAATCGCTAAAATCAATGAAAAATGTATCGAAATTTTCGTATTTTTCGCAAGCGAGTGGAAATCATCAAAATCTATACTTTCACTATGATTGTCATATATCAGAAGAATCGCCATAAAATTCTGGTTCTAATGATGTATCAACCATTGAATAAAACCAAGAATTCATCAAATCCGAGCCAGAACAAGAATTTCGCGTCACGTTTTGAGAATGTGTGTTTGATCTCGAACATTTCTTCAACCAGCTGTGCCTTGTGAAATCGACAATTTCCAACCAAAAACTCAAAACCTCTTGTTGAGAATTTTCTCCTCTTCAAAATGAGCACTGTACATCTGGATAATATCAAGGTTTGATGAAGAAAAACTTGAAAAACTGCGTTGCAAATCTGAAAAAACGTTGTTTGCTCTGTTTTCTGTCATTTTTGCTCGATTTTCAAGACTTTTTTTGTGTTTTTCGAATAAATTTCCTTGTCCATTCTATTTCCAGGTTTATTCCATTCATTCCTATCGAAATAACTGCGAAAAACGCCAAAAACCAATAGAAAAAATTTCGCGAAAAGAAAATATTTTTTCGGTTATCAGCAGCGCGCGTTTGTTCGATCTCATTTGGTTTTCTCGGCCGTGGACCCAACATTTTTAGACTGATTTTTTAATGTGTTACTTTTGGTCCTTTTTTTCATGGTGAATCAGAAAAATTTTTTTCGACTTCAATCAACATAAAAAAGCATAGAGAAGTGTTTAAGATCACTGAATCTTGCGACGTTACGGGACCTTTAAAGAAAATAAGAGTTAACAGATAGTTAGAGAAGTGGTGAAAGTGTGAAACAACAAATAGTTCAACAAAAATATTGACACTCTAAGCACCCGCATGCTCATGCAAAAAACCAAAACAATTTTTCAGTTTAGTTTTTTTTCTAATAATCATACCTAACGGCGATTGCCGTCGCTTGAATGACAATTTTTGTCTTAGCGACGAAAAATTGGGCGACTTTCCCAGACTTCTCGAAGCCGACATTGTCATTGCAGACATCGATGTTGAAACCGATGAAATTGAGGAGGATGTTGTTGCACGTTCGACATTCACAATTATCGAAGCGGTTGAGCTGCTTGGCGATGGTGTTTCACGAGATGTTGAAGATGTTGCAAGTATTGGTAATGGTCTAGCAACATTTGAAGATGACTGAATTGATGGATCATCATCATCATCCGATGTTTCATCTCCTTCTTGACCGTCCGAACCTGCACAAAGGCAAAAAAACGGTGAGGTTTTTCAATAAAAAATAGGGTGATATGATTGGTTTTTTAGCTTGGTTAGTATAAAAATCGGAAATAGGAAAATATAAATCATCGTTCCAAACAGTAAAGCGAAAAATAAAATCAAATCAAAGGTGAAAAGCAGACCAAAAAAAAGCATATAAGGTGTCGGTTTTTGTTGAGTTGTGTTGTTGTTAATTTTGGTTTCAAAAATGCGTAAGTATGAAAATACAGAGAATAGATGAATGAAATGGCAAAAAACATAAAATAGAAAAAAAGATGAAAACTCACGTGGCGTAATTGAATCTTCACCAACAACTTCAGGAGTTTCCATAAGTTCATCTTCTTCATCAAGTTTTCCTTCTCGAAGAAATTGTTCAAGTTGATGCCTTTCAATATCAGCTTTTAATCGTTTGTTTTTGATCAAAATTTTTCTTCGAAGTCGATTTGGAGATGGAAGTGGAACTCCAGGTTCAAGGGGAAAATCATCAAAACTCTTCGATAATAACATATCTCCAAAAATATCCACACAATATTTTGCCATTTTCAATTGATTCGATTTACTACAATGATTCTCAAATGACAAAATAACCGGAAAATCAGATCTTGCGAATGCAGTATCTCGAATTTGCACAAGAACATCTTTGAAAAACACATCAGTGCACATAGCTTTTCCATGAGTTATAATTGGTTCTCCTTTATTTTCACCGGTTCCATCCCAACAATCCAATTCAATACATCGACAACCACTTAATAGTACCTGCCGATAGATTTCAGACGAAGATTTTCCACCGTATTGTCGACCCGTCAAATACGTGTTATGTGAGCTATTAATATAATAGTGTGATAGAGGTTGATCCATATCTTGATACATTTCAATGCGATCCAGAAAAACTGGCGGATTTTCATCAGACATTAAGTAACGCAAAAATGCGTCTCCCGACATTTTACCTGCAATTTTTTCAATTAATCAGGTTATAATTTCAGAAATTTAAAAAAAACTAACCATTTTCAATATAATTACTATCCGTTTCATATTTGGCAATTAATTGTTGTACTCTCGCATTATCAAAAAATGGAAAAAGAATCTCATTTAATCGTGGATCTCTTTGTCCTTCGTTCAAAAAATTCACCAATTTTTCTTTGGTAAGATATTCTTTTTGACCAGATAACTTGACGAACAATTCTTGAACTTCGGTACGTGGACAGATTTTGTTGTATAGTTTGAGGAATTTATCAAATGTCAGAATATCGACATCCAATTCTTCTCGCTCCTACAAAAAATCATTTGTAATAATTTCAGAAAGCGTTGATTTCTATAAAGATTTCGAGATAGATGAAATATATAGAAACATGCTGAAAAAATCACATGCAAAATACCTTTCGCCTTCTCGATCTTCCACAAGTGTACCAATTCCTCAATTTTTTACGCATTGATCGATGAATGACACGTGCCGGGGTGTACTACAACAAACACAATCACTGCACAACAATTAATAAGTATGAAAAATATAGCTTTTGAAAATGAGAGAAAAACACCACTATCATTCACTATGGGTTCAAATAATCAGAAAATAAACGAGCTCACCTTATCTCCACCAAGTCCCAAATCATTCAAACATTTTTGAACAAGTTTTTCTGGTTTACCAGACGAAAACGTTTTGATGATAATTTTGATTGGAATTTTTCTTCGCTCATTTACATTTAATGTTAGCCATTTCCAGCTGAAAAAATTCAGATTATTTTTAATTAAAAATTATAGAAAGAGCAAAAGAAAAACGTACTATTTGTGAAGTTGCGTGGTTGGACAAACATGTCGTATTCGTGATGTTTTCAAAATCTCATTCAACCCATTTCTCCACAATTTTGCAGTTTCAACACTTTCAGCAACCAAATAAAATGATTGAACATTTACAAGATCTTGACCATGTGAAATCCAAACAGTTCTTTCTTCAATGGTTTCACGTGCTCCACGTTGTTCAAGTTCAAACATAACACGTCCATCTTTTGGCAATGTTCCAGGTCGAGCTTCCCATATTTGTCCCATATCAAGAACAACTGCATCTTTTCCTTCAACCAACCAATAAAGAAAGAAACCAAATTCATCAACACGAACTTGTGCATTCAATTCAAGACATGTGCTTTCCTAAAAATTGTATATTCGAATTACTGTAACTCCTCGTTTCTTGGAACCATGTTTCTACTAACAAGATCAATATAATTTTTCTATTATCTTATCATCTGCTATTGACAAAAAACTGTGTTAGCGTGTATGCTCCCGTCTTTTGTTATCTTTTTTCGCTGCAATCCAATATCAAAAAAATTTAATAATAAAAAAATAAGAAGAAAGGGAATTCAAAAAATGTGTTAACGACAATTTAAAGCACTTATCATAGAAAAGCGGCGTCTTTTAGGAAAAAAAATCTCGTTAACGTTAACATTATTGCTCTTATTACTTTTTTACGTATGTAAAATAAAATAAAAATGACTTACATCATCATATCGATCGAATATTGAACCTTGTAGAATTTGTTGAGGAATCGGTGGCTTCCAATTAAATTGAAACTCTTTCGCCATTTTATTCTGGAAAAAGAGTATATTATATTATTATAATTGGAGAAAATGAGAATGAATAAAGATGTTGAAAAAAATTGTGCTCACCAGGAAAAAGAGTATAAAATGGAAAAGGGCGGAGAGTGTTTCGTCGGCTGTCTGATAATAATACTATTATTATTATTGTTGTTGTTGTTGTTGTTGTTTTGTTGTTTCAACGACGAACTCGTTCTCCTTTTTCACTCTCCACCTGATCCAAACATTGATGACGATCGACTTTTCAATACTTTTCGCCTTTCGTCTTCGTTCGACCTTCTTCTTCTTTTTCTTCGTCTTCTTCAGTCAACAGAATAATAAGAGAGAAGAAGCAAAACGAGGGCGGGGCTTGAGCCTTTAGCAGAGCAAAAAAGGAGTTTTTTGCTGCTAGCCGGCTGACTCAAACTTGTCGTCGCGAACCCTATAAGAAAAAAAGAAAATGAAATGGTGAATTTAATTTTGAGATGAGAAATGGCGTGTATTGTTTGCGATACAATAATGAGAAAATATTGAGAGGGGAAATGAGAAAAGGTCTAATGAAATTGGTAAAAATAGATAGACAATAGATGAAATTAAAAACTCACGTCACGTCCAAAACTTCAAAAATATTTTGTATAAATCTATTTTTCAATGTTAACTAATAAAGTTCTATTGACCTTTTGTCAAACAGAAAGAAAAACGAGATTTTTTTTAGAGAAACGAACGGAAGTCCATGGCTCAGTTCCAAAAAAAAAGAGAATAGCAACAAAAAAATCGTGATAAATCAGAAATACAAGTTTTAGAGCAAAAAACAGAAATTCTGAACTAATCTCAATTATATCCAATCCAACCAATGGCAAATGTCAAACTTTTTCTCCCCTCCACGTTTTTTTTTCTTCTTCTTTTTCACCAAATTAATCTCCCTGAAAAGAAGCAAAAAAATAGGCGGAAATTAGTCTCCTCTTCTTTTCGTTTTTTCTTCTTCTTCTTCTTCTTTGCTGTGAGCATCAAAGGAAAGAAAAAGAAGAGTCAAGATTATTTACATCATTGAATATACATCATCATACGATTAGACACTACTAGTAGCTAGAAAACGAAAAACGAAAATGACGAGGTATCTCGATATTTATAATATTAGAAGTGTGTGGGTGAAAGAAAGAAAGCAAGAAAAATTGAAACAAAAACACTTGCTCACAGAAATGAAATTCAATTTGTTCCACTTCTACTAAATATGTATGTATATGTGTATTGAGCACATAAAAAATAATTGAAAAATGCGGATTACATCTGTTTTTGATTTCTTCTTCTTGCCTTTTCTTCGTTTTGAGGAGAAGCGACAAAAAATGAGGAAAAGCTCAAGAATAAATATTCGCCCAACCCAATCAACATTGTTAAAGGAACATCAGTACGAGTGGGAGGAGGAACAATTAGAACGAAAATTTTCTATTGTTAGGCAAAAAAACAGCTGACCTAAATATACGAGAAAGGCTCATAGAAAATTATGAAATTCAATAAAATGAGGAGGTGGAGACGAGGTACTGTAGAAATTCAGAAAAATCACATTTTATGAGTCATTGTTGTTCTGAAGATCGAGAAGATTTTGATCTTGAATACTGAATAAGACTGATGAGATGAATTAGAAGAATTTGCAATTAGTGAATGATCAAAAAGCACAAGTTTTCGATTTCTGAAGGTCAAACAATTGTGATAAAAAGGTAGGACTTTGAAAAAATATCGTCATAGGGTAACAATAATTTAAATATTAGAAATTAGAAGAGAACTTGAGATATCAGTGTTGAAACAAAAATTATGAAAACATCTCACAACTATTGAAGTTCAATTCAGCAAAATTCAAGTCTGATATCTCTGTCAAATCTGCAAAAAACTTGAGTGAAAATTTTTCAATAGCTCATCAGACACCAGACAAAAAAATTGAAAAACATATGATTCACTCGATTAAAACATATGATGAAAAGTGGATTGAAACGGGAAACAGAGAAGAGAAGAAAAAACCCTACGGGAGGAAAATAGAAGAAGAAGAAGAAGATTTTAGTTGTACATACAAACAACAACTATGCAAACTTTCTCCCAATATTTCGTTCTCTCTCTGTTTCCTTCATTCCCTTCTTCTGTCTCCCGCTATCGATTCGATTCGATTCGATTTCAAATTTTTATATTCCATTCTATTCATTTATATTCATTTTTTTTCTCGTTTCCTCGTTTGACTATGTTGTTGTTTGACATATACATTTAGAATACATAGAATAGAATAGAATAAAAACACCTGTTTAGTATTCGTATCGGGCGGGGGACGGCAAAAAGGTGATAAAAAAATAAAGAAAAAAAAACATTTGAGGAGGAAGAAGAAGGACCAATGTGGAAAAAATAAATAAAAATAAGATGAAAACGTGTGTCAATTAGCAAAGAAATCTTGTCAGCTGCTGTCAAGTCTAATAAATAAAAAAGTATTGTGATTCAAAACAAGAAGAAAAAACTTCTCTATACTTTTTTCTGCGTTTCTTTATGCTAATTAATTGGTTGATTGGAAGAGTGATGACGTCAGCAATTTTTTCCTCAATAAAAAATTTGTTGGCCAACAAAAAAAATAATGGATTGTTTTCGGCAAGACAAAAACAATAGGCTCCGCTAGGTTGGCATTAGAAACGAAACGGTGTGACTGACTGGAAAAGTGCCAAAAACTTCAAAGAATGAGCAACAACGGAAAAATTCGTACTAACTAAAGTGTTCTAGAAGAGTAAGTCGAACAAAAAATGCACATCGTTTTCCTCTTCTTCTTCTCTCGATCCAATTACAAATCTAATTACCATAATTATATCTATATATCTGACCTTTTTCCAATTATAAACTGATCTTTTTCTCATTTTAGACTAAAAAACTTTTTGTCTTTTCCCAAATGAAAAGGGTTCAACTCAAAAAAAAACAACAATAACAACAACAAAATAGTGGGAGAAAGAATGGAGGAAAAAAATGGAAATCGGTCGAAAAAAATCGGCAGCGTAGATAAATAAATAAATGAAAAGTGAGAGAGAAAGGAGAAGAGCACATGGTATTTATTTTGTTTTTTTTTTTGGTTTTTTTCCGCTCCGTTGGTTTCTTTCGGATGTTCCAACACGAGAAAAATTTCCATATCGATTTCTGTTGTTGTTGTCATGTTATGTACAAAAAAGTGAGAAATACGTAGAAAAAATATGATTTTTCGGAATGTTTTGAAAAATTGTTGTACCAGGAGAAACAACCGGAAATGTCATTTGGAACGGAAGTGACCACATACATTTTTTCTGGATCACAAATCGCCTACGTAGAAATTCTGATCGAGTTATGGGAACTTCTTGGAATTAATTAAACTATTTTTGAAAATCATGAAAAGTTATTTTTACTACTACCAAAAACGTGACGAAGGAAATAAGAAATTGATAAAAATTTTGGGATCATAACTTTCAGAAACATACGATAACCTAAGAACTTGTATTTCTAGGCTTCGCTACTTGAGATAGGAAATTTCTAAACCCAGTCAGAGTGGATCTCAAGAAGTGTCTCCTTCCCAGAGTGGACTTCTAGATGATCCTAGACAAATAGGTTCTATGAGCCTTTGACAACTAGGTTTTCTAGACTGGCACGCGACTCTCATAAGTCAAAATAATTCTGATAAAGTTTGTAATTGAAAATTGGGCGTACAATTTTTATCGTTGGAAATCGCAAAAAAATGTGAAAAAATTCCGAAAACACTTGCAATCAGACAAAACACATTTTATTGAAGCATAAAACGTGTGGAAAAAAAGAAAGATTTTATCAAGAAATATTATTTTTATGATTCGAATTTCCGTATGGCTCATTGAGCTTGCCGCTTCGATAAGTTTATAACAAAAAAAAAGATGAAGACGAAAGAAAAAGTACTCTCTAATGAGATAGGTAAAAGCTTTTTTCCTCATTCATTCATTCACTCATTCAGTCAGTCATTCGAACATTTTTGTTGAAAAAAATTGGGGAAAACTGGCGAAAAGAAGAAAAAGAAAAGAAGGATCACTCAACAGGGCAATAATTCAATAACGCATACGTGCCTTCTTTTCTTTATTCTCTTTTTTGCGCATCTTCTTTTTTTTTTTGGTTGGTTGGGTAATTGAACTGCAACTGAAAAGAATCAGGCTCAAATATCGAGAAGCTCAAAATGAACAGCAAGAGTCATTACTAATAGTAACAACAGCGAAAAAAAATGGCAAGCCCAAATTTGTTGTTGTTGTTTTGTTGTTTTTTTTGTGAGCTTCTGCTTTTTTGCTATATAGGAAGCAAAAAAGCTATACGGATTTCCTCTTGTGTTTTTTTTTTCCAAACTCATTGGCTCAAAAAATCAACTTCTTATAATCATTCAAAAAATTTTGATCTCATCTTTTCGAAAAAAAAAGGTTCGAGCATATTATAATTATCATCAAATTATCACAAATCCCATGGGAATTAAAATCAGCCAAAAAAATAAACAGAATATAATATCAAAGATAAATTCCCCAATTAATTCAAATTATCATGCTAACTATCAATTATGCCTAACCATAAATTAATTCGAGAAAAAAAAAGAAAGAATTGAAAAAGAAGGAGGAAGAAAAAAGGGAGATGACCTAATCAGATTAACTTTTGTTCTAATCAAATATTCTGAATCTTGAACTCAAGAAGGAGTCTCAAAGAAGAAGAAGAAAAAAAGAGAAAAAGTAGAAAAAAAAGTGGATGCCATGAAAAAAAAAACTAAAATCAATAAAAACAGATGAAGAAGGAAAGGAAGAAGAAAGAAGTCGTCGTTGTCGTTGTATTCCAATATTCGCAATAGCGAAAAGAGAGAGGAAAAAAGAAGTGTGTGCCTTGAGGCTAGTTGTATGTGTCGCGGCTATGTTTTTCCAGCGACAACTAAAAATATAATAGCGATTCAAGAGAGGTTCGATTCGCGCAGTAAAAGGAAGAAGAAGAGAAGCTAGCTGAGGAGTCTGAGCATCGCGGTTAGACATAGCGAAAGAAAAATGAAGAAGGAGGAGGAATGACTGAGGGTGAGGGAGGGAGGAAAAAAAGTAGAAGAAGTGTGTGCTGGAAAGGGATAAATAAGCGAAATTGAGAATGCAAAAAAAGACGATCATTTGGGGATTTTGAAGGATCGTTGGGCATGCTTCTTCTTCTTCTTCTTCAATTATGTGTGCGTGTGTCAATTATGAATTTTCTGCCGCGCACACTGAAATTTTTTGACATGAGCAAATATTCGAATGGGTATTTCATATTATTTTTTTTTATATATTTTCGTTTTCATTTTCATTATTATTTGAGGGAAACAGAATGAAGAGAAGAGGAGAAAAAACGGAAGAAGGAGGTATTATATTTATAAATGGGGTATTTATGAAATACTTCCTAGTTTGAGCCTTTTTTCAATCTTTGCTTTTTCATAACATCTTTGGTTTTCGGATAACGAGAGAGAGAAAGAAATTCAAGGTTGAAATCTTCGAATAAGTTGTTTCTTGATGCTTGGATTAATTAGAAGAGCTATATTTGTAGTTAAAAGCTTTTCTAAACTACAAATTAGTCGTATACTTCTGAAGAAAACATATATACATATATATATGCTTTGGAAAAATAATTTTAAAGAAAATTGAAAACGGGGGAGCAAATTGGCTTTTGTTGGATAACCTGATTGTGAGCAGGTTGAGATATATTTATATTGTTCGAAAATTTTCAATTTAGCGAAAACAAAAAAAAATTAATAAAAACAAAGAAATGAAATTTGTGAATTGCCACGACAGCATTTCACGTGGCATTATTCATTTTTTGGAGAATGCTCCTTTTTGACTCTTATCAAATTTAATTTGTAGCGGTCAACTGCTTGGTTGTCAGAGAAATTTTTTGACTCAATGTTTATGAAATGTTTTACATATAAAAATAATTTTGAAAACAGGTGTTTTTGAAGGAAACTCTGTATTTACCAGTACTAGGACAAAATATTTCAAGAATTAGTTTCCAGGTGAAAAATTAAATGCACTTTCTATACAAACCCCCCCCCCACCAAAAAAACTTACCTTTTCTCGAAACTCCTATTCAAAACATACAAATCCTCCTCGCTTCAACGATTTTTATCAAGCGACATCTCGAAAACTACTTTTCTTCTTTGATTAGCGTCGTTTCCGGCATTTTCCTGCAAAGAAGAATTAGAAAAGTGTGAAAAAGGCAATTAGAAAGTTCATTTCGAGCACTGAATTTGATAAGTATTTACCTTTTATGCTATCAAAAACGACAAAAATGTATTGAAAAAAAATTGAGACGATTATGGAACGTTTGTTATTTGACGAACAAAAATGAAGAAATGACAGATCATAAAAAATGACACACGCAAAATATGAAAGATTACTTTTCTTTTTTAGCGTGTACTTTATAAAAATTTACCAAAAAAATAAAAAAATAAAAAAACAACTCTCAAAAAAGACAATTCAAATTGGCGCACACTATATTCAAGGCGCGGCATATTATTGTGTGTGTTGTTCCCTGCAGCGATGACTACGGTAACACTCAGTGGAATGTGTAAAGAATATTTTCAAATTTCAATTTTCGCGTTTAGCTCCATCTGTTTTGTTTTCTCTTCTTTGTTTGCGGTTAGAGTTACTTTCGGGCACAGCTCTAGTAATAATCAATAGTCATGTTCATCTATTTTCAGTAAAATGTCCACATCTGCAGTTGAACAACGTAATCAAGCCAGTGGCGACGGACAAACAGAAGTTGGAGTTCCACTGAATCTTCTTACAAGACATCCACTTCAAAATAGATGGGCTTTGTGGTATTTGAAAGCAGATAGAAACAAAGAATGGGAAGACTGTTTGAAGGTACTGTTTTGATATCTACTATATTATAGTTGGACAACGGCTGAATTTGATCGGCTCGGCTTCGAGCCGCTTTCAATAAAAAAATTGAAAGCGGCTAATCGGCTATTTTTCAAGCCGTTTTGGTCAGCCGATTAGCCGAATGATTTAGCCGAGCCGCTTTGATTCAAAGCGGCTCGGCTCGGCTTGGAGTGAATTTTTGAAATTATCAGAAAAATGAAGTTAAGATGGGGTTTTTTGGTACGGGGAACATCGTGGTGGGACCCTTTTGGTCTGAAAATGACTGTTAAAGGCATGTTGTCATCAAAAAAAAATTTTTCTGAAAAATTCAGATTTAGGGTTTTTCGGTACGGGGAACATCGTGGTGGAACCCATTTGTTCTAAAAATGAGTTTTAAAGCCATTTTGTCACTAAAAAATGTTTTTGAAAATTGCTTATAGAGCACGGGGAACATGCCGTACCGAAAAATCGAAAATCTAAAATTTTCAAAAAAATTTTTTTTTGATGACAACATGCCTTTAACAGTCATTTTCAGACCAAAAGGGTCCCAACACGATGTTCCCCGTACCAAAAAACCAGGCATGTTCATTTTGCCGGCATTGCCTGCTTTTTGCCGTTCCCCGAAAAAGCAAAGCCGCTTTTGCTTTTACACGGTAAGACTATGAAAAAGCAACAGCAAAGCAGCCTGCCGAATTGCCGGCAATGCTTTTTTCACTCCTTCCAAAATCATCTGAAAGCAGTGAGAATGCATTGACAAAACAACCTCTTTTTGCTTCCCTAACGCGCGCGCGAGACTACTTGAATAAATGCATACGCGGACGGTTCGCTGTGTGTTGCCATGTTTTGTGTGTGGAGGGGCGGAGCTTCGCTTGTTGCCTTCTGTATTTTGAAAAAGCAGCCCGGCAGGCAGCCGCGGCTGCTTTTTTTTTTTGCTTTTTCCTTACTTGCTTTTTGCCAGCAAAAAGCAAAGCCACGCCCAGCAAAGCTGCTTTGCTTTTTGCCGGCAAAGCAAAATGAACATGCCTGCAAAAAACCCTAAATCTGAATTTTTCAAAAAAAATTTTTTTTTGGTGACAACATGCCTTTAAGAGTCACTTTTGGGTTAAATGGGTCCCACCACGATGTTCCCCGTACCAAAAAACCCCAAAACCCATGAATAAATTATCTTAACTTCATTTTTCTGATAATTTCAAAAATTCACTCCAAGCCGAGCCGAGCCGCTTTGAATCAAAGCGGTTCGGCTAAATCATTCGGCTAATCGGCTGACCAAAACGGCTTGAAAAATAGCCGATTAGCCGCTTTCAATTTTTTTATTGAAAGCGGCTTGAGCCGAGCCGCTTTGAAGCAGCTTGAGCCGAGCCGTTGTCCAACTATATACTATATTGAAATCAATAACATCGTTTTTCTTTTCAGATGGTTTCACTCTTTGACACTGTTGAAGATTTCTGGGGAATCTACAATCATATTCAAACTGCTGCCGGTCTTAACTGGGGATCAGATTATTATCTTTTCAAAGAGGTTAGGGTTCATATGCTATTAATTAATTAAAAATCAATTTTTAAGGGAATCAAACCAATGTGGGAAGATGTTAATAATGTTCAAGGAGGACGTTGGTTGGTTGTCGTTGATAAGCAAGTAAGTTTACTGTTCCATAAACACTAAACCATCTCAATTAACTAAGAAATCACCTCAGAGAAGAACACAGCTTCTCGATCACTACTGGCTTGAGTTGTTGATGGCGATTGTTGGCGAACAATTCGAAGATCATGGTGAATATATCTGTGGAGCTGTTGTCAATGTTCGCCAAAAGGGTGACAAGGTAAGAAATAATTTTATATCTTGCAATGTTCTATATAAAATTTTAAGGTATCTTTGTGGACTCGTGATGCTACTAAGGATGACGTTAATCTTCGAATTGGCCAAATTTTGAAAGCAAAACTCTCGATTCCAGACTCGGAAACTTTGAGGTATTTTTGTTAGTATCGAAAATCCGAAACAATAACTTTCTTACAGATACGAAGTTCATAAAGATTCATCTGCCCGAACCTCATCAACTGTCAAGCCAAGAATCTGCATCCCAGCGAAAGAAGCACCACCAAAAGCTGAAAAGGCAGCAGCAATCAGCGGAACCGCAACTCCAGCAGCTACCACACCAGTTCAATAATGATCTCCACAGCTCTACACCCATAATTCTGCAGCCCCTATAAATTTTGTCAAACTTCTTGTATAAAATCCCGACAGAATTCTTGTAATGTTCAACAAATGTTTACTGGTATGTTCCCCTTTTCTCGTGTTTTTTGTTTTGTTTTGTTCACTTGTAAAAAACACGACAAGGTTCTGTCATTTTATTTGAGAAAATATGAATATTTATGTGCTTTATTCATTTTTACATAATATTTGTGCATTTGTTATACTTTCCAAGATTATATATATATTTATATTTACTCTTCTTTTAAACTGGTTTTGATGTAGTTGTAGTTCTTCGTTTCTTCAATTTTTTCACTGGTTTATGTGTAGTTGTAGTTGTAGTTGTTGATTTCTTTCCAATCGCATCATCATGTTGATAAGAATCCATATCCCTTGACATAATTCCATTAGGTCTATGCCCACCTTGCCATTGATTTGAAGCAATATTAAGTCCAAAATCTGTAGAACCTCCACCGCCACGTGGAATGTGCATTCCATTATACGGAACTGGCACTCGTTCATCTTGTCCTCCAAATCTTTCTCTCAAATAAGCTGGTCCATATCTAGAAGCATAATTTGCAAGTTCTCTCAAACTTGGAAGTTGTCCTCCTTGATTATTATTATTATTGTTGTTGAAACTTCCCATCAAATCATTAGCAGGCGCATATTCAGCTGTAAAATATAGATTATTTATTAGATATTTTCTGTGTTTGGTGCTTACATGGTACAGGATAATCAATATTTCTAGACGTTGCTCCATTTGATCTACCTCTCATTCCTACAGTACTTCCATAATAACCTGCTCGACTTCCACCAATTAATCCAGAATATGGTGCACTTGGTCGAACTGCATATTCTTCTGGATGTGGTTGAGTTCCATATCCAGATTGTCCTCCTCCCAAATTAACAGTTCCATATGGATTTCTTTCATAGAATCCATTATTTGGTGTTGATCCAGATCGACTTGCTCCATATCCTCTTCCTAAACTCGACCCATAACCTCCTTTATAAGCCATTCGATTAAAAGGAACTCGACCCGCATAAGGACTATTTATATTTCTTCTCCGAAATGTGCTCACTTTTTTAGATCGATAAATTGAATCCGCTTCTGTTGGATCTATTTCATCATCTGGAATTGTTGCAGAACTATCAATATCGGGAACTATTGCATCAGGTGGAAATCCACCATTTCCAGGTGCAAGAATTGAATTTGTTAAATCTTCATTTGGTAAATATGCATAGACATTCGATGTGATCAATGAAAGAATACACATCAATGGCATTGAACCGACATCGCTGCGCATCTAAAATATCGGGTTTTATTTCATGAGTAAGAGGATTTGAAAATTATGAAAATACATGTTTTAAAATTAATGTTTGGCCCGTGAAAACGTGATCCGGTTTCTAATTATTTTTCAATTCCAATTTTTTTCGTTTTGCTCAAAAAATCCTGTCACGTGAAAATCTTACCTCGTTCGGGCAATAATCAAGTTTAGTATGTTCAGTAGCAATGTTTTGATGGAAATTTTGAAAAATAAACGAAGAATAACAAGATGAAAATGAAAAGAAAACAAGAATGGACAATGATCTGCCGGCTCTCGCAATCCTCCCGACCAATTTTGACATATTTTTGACAAGATAAAAGCATCGAAATAGTGAGACAAATAGAATAGACGCAGACAGGTCACGGTAGATTATTGTTTATATGTTTTTTTATTTCTATGGACACGGATAGACAGGATAATCTCGGTTCAGTTTTTACTTGGAGAATGAGTCAATTGATGAAAAAAAAAGGTGTGATTGATCTACAGTATATTTCATTTAGGATTGAAAACGAATTAAAATATTATGATTAATTGAATGATGATGTTTATTATTTAGTGATATTGTAGCATTTGTATAATTTGACATTAACAACTTTTGGTGCATATGTTTTGCAACAACCCCATTCAGTTGATGTCATTTTAGCAGCGAGTTGAGTGCAATATTTGTTAACATTATCTTTGGTCACAATTGCTAATCCAGTTCCATACATTTTATTGATACATGCGTCTTGTTTTGAGGCGGCCGCGATTGTTGTATTCGCTTTGCAAGCATTCAAAACAGCGACTGATTTGTTGATTGGAACTTTGCAAATTGTAAGGAATGGTTTTGTCAATTTATCGAGTAATGCCATTAAATCTGTGCACGAGTTGACTGAAAAATATCATTTTTTGGAACTCTTCTACAAATTGAATTTTAAATCTAGATATTTCACACTTTCTAGTTTTAGAATCCCTAACGTTTTAGAAATTCTGAAAATCTCAGGATTTGTGAAATGTCCAAATTTCTATGAATCTTACACGAGGAATATAGGGAAAGAGCACTAATTGCTTTGCTTGCACTATTGTTGATAACACATGATTTTCCAGCTGTAAAAATATTATTTATGTAATAGAATAATACTCGTTTCTTACTTGAAATCAAAGTTGTTGTGTCATTTGGATCTTTGTATAATTGTGGTTCGATGCAAGTCAGAATCTGAAATCACAAAAATCCATCAGTTTGTTGTTTTCAAAAACAAAAAATCACATACTGGTTGAAGTTCTGCGGCTGTGTAGAAAGTGACACCGAATTTGACAGCCTTTTTAGCGACAATTGCACGATTTGGGCATGTTGAATAGATAACTGTGGCAAGTGTGGCAATAATCGAGCAAAAGGCCAATGATCGGATTGACAACATTTTGATGAATGATGATTTTGGGTTCGAAACATTTCGATTTTATATGGCTGAAAAGGGATTATGATTATCGGAAGAGGAGGCGCGAACCAAATCGCGCGCACACAATTAGTGAACTGAACATGGGGTACAAACTTTTTCGATGGATAGATATAGTTTAGGGAATTTCGAACAACGTTTTAGTATGTGGTATTTTATGATGAACACAAACAAGAAAAAAGGGCAGAATGATCGAACATCTCATGAATGATTTATTGAACATTCCAGATTTTTTTTTGGAATTTTCTGGAATCCGGGAAATACGTTTCAACTGATGTGAAAAGACCACCCTAACGAATTCAAAAAATTTGCATTCACTAAACACTATGGGCAATAACTTACAGTATTTTTCGAGGTGACTAGAACGCCTGTGTATTTGGGAATCCTGAGCAGATCATTTAAAAATGACAAATTTTCAATTCAAAAATTCAGAAATTTTTGTTTACACGTTTCTAGTTCACGCGTAAAATTATTTTTCTCCCAAACATTGAAAAGCATTTTATTATTTGAAAAATAAAATGTTACATTTGGTGATTACCAATTCCAAAACGAATACATTCCAATCTGGCACTAATTAAAACGTGAGTTGTATGGGAGCAACATTTTTAGACAGTCATAGAAGACGGAAGTCACAGATCTGAAAGTTAGTTTGATCTCAGAGCGATTTACGTGTTCTTTTGATATTTCTCCTTTACTTTTGGGTTTTTTCGTGTCGTTTTAAGACTTGCTATTTCGTGAAATGCTTTTTTTCCTTCACATAATATTATGAATCTTTGATGATCTTAATTATATTCAATGTTTCTCCCTCGAAACCAAAACACAAAATTAATTCCAAAAAAAAGTTGTCCATCTGAACTCGCTGAACTTTCTTTCGTGATCTTCAGTTTTTCGATTATTTACTTTTTATTGACACTTTGATCTCGCTTTCAATTGCAGTTATTACAAGACCGTTGTTTTTTTCGGTAAACATTTTTTGTCAATTTCGAAATAATCCAAATCTGTTTGGATTTTTTTCGACAACGAAAAAAAAATCAATTTGTTTTTCCAATTTCGTTTCACACGAAAATTTGGGGACGAATTGTTGTTACTTTTCTCACGTTAATTTCGAAAATGTGTTAACAATAAGTGATGGAATATTTTTGTCAAATTTTTGAAGAAGGGGTTATCATTGGGAAATGTAGAATAACGTTATTGAAGAGTTTATTTATAGCAAGTTTTTCTGACGATATACTGTAGATTCCAAAAAACTTGGAAATCTGAAAGAAGTCTTTTGAAATTCAGTTTAGGCTAATGCAGAGTTTTACAAGGGCGAATATCGTCAGAGAGAATAATTAACACAAGTTTCTGAACGTGTACGAAAATATTGGAGATATTTGCTGTATCAACTTGAAATTTATTAAAATTCCGACTTGCGAAGGATTTCTTCAGAAAACGTTATTCACAAATTCAAAGTAGAATAGTTTCCTCCTATCTCAAATTTCGCTATAAAAAACTTTATTTATAAAAATGTCATGGATTAAAAAAATGTCGATAATCAGAGAAAGATTTATAAAATCTATGCGGTACTTGGAGTTGTGTGGTGGGCTTGATGATCAGCCTTCTTCTTCTCAACAAATTTTTCATAAGCATCTCTATCAGATTCGGATTGTTCCTTCAAATATGCTTTAACTTCAGTTTGGAATGCATCGAAGGCAGTTTTTCCTGCTTCGCGGTCACTCTTTGCGGCTTCGAATTGATCCTAAAATAATAAAATTATCAGATTTACGTCTGTAATAAGACAAATATAAAAAAAACCTTGTATTTCTCGGCGATTGCAACGATTCCAGCAGCGGCATCCGAAGAAACTCCAGCAGCAATGAGTTCAGCTTTAGCTTCTTCAGCTGTTGGCATAGTTGGAGCAGCACAAACAACTGCGATGATTGAGGCGGCAATGAGGAATTTGGACATTTTCAAAAGTACGAATCTATATTGATCATACTGTAATAATCTTCATCTTTTTATAGTCGGGTAGGCGGGATAGTGAAGAAGACAAGGACTAGTTTAGTCAAATAATTCAAAACGTTTTTTTGGTTGTTGTGAGAGGGGATCAATTAAAAAAATATTATTCGTGTTTATGAATAGGTTTTTTATTGTTTGTGACACAGGTTAAACGTTTTTGGATTGGAATGGATTTTGTAGATAATTTGAAAAAAATGGTCAAGGATGGATTATTTCGAAATTAAAAATAAACAATGGCATTTAAGGTTCACGTGATTCATTTTTGTTTTTGGAATTAAAAACAACTCAAACTTTGTAACGGTGAAATTGTATCAAAAACGTGATTTGTGCTTCCTTCGGTTTTTTTTCAAATCTGTGAAATTTTGGTGATTGATCACTTTTCTATTAAATAGGTTCATTTTGTCAGCTATTCCGAATCCAACTTTGAGAAAATGCCTGAAACTCCAAACGTTTCCTGATCTTCCCAAATTTTTTGAGAATTTAATCTGTCTACATCTGATCAATAGGAGACTAGAAGATCAGTACCATTACTCTGATCTAATTATGACTCATGTTTGTTTACACCAACAAAACTACAGTATTCCTCCTCCAACAAATATTTTTTGCCATTTAGTCATAATTGCCCTTCCAGACCACCCTCCGGAACAATTCATTTTTTGAACGAAAAAAATATTCAAAAAACCTGTCAATCATACACTTCAACACCAATAGAAACTACAAAAGATTATATTTTGTTTGGGTTCAAAAACATAAGCTTTGCCCAAAGATCAGTTCAAAAATTTATATCCTGTTTTAGAAGATCAAATTATGAATATATAGAGAAAATAAAATGAGAAGCATATCAAAAACAATTCTAAAAATTGAATCGATATTCTACATTGTTCAATTATTTTGCTATTGTTGTTTTTCGATATTCGAAGAAAATGTGGGAAAAAATGTAGCAATCATAATACAATTTCTGATTTGCACAGCTATAAATTGAGAATCTTTATATCACTCGTAAATTGTATGGATTCACTAACTCTATTCATTAAAATTTGGCATACTGTAGTCTGTTCTATAGGTTTTCTTCTCAATGGTTTACTAGTTTATTTATGTATTTATAAGTCACCAAAATCTCTTCAATCATACGCAACATTTATCATAAATTTTGCTATAACTGATTTAGTCGAATGTTTTTTCGATATGTTTCTTGCATATCGACTTATTCCAACTCCTGGTTCTTTTGTTATATTTTTCGTTTACAATGGTTTTTGTACATTTTTTGGACAAAAGTTCTGTACAGTTGGGTCAGTTTCATATTCAAATTATCTTCCGAATTCGATATTGTTCATTTCAGAAACAGTATATTTCTTCATTGTTTACCACATGGACTATGGTCCCTTTTGGTTTCTTTCGCTTACCGTCTTTATATTTTTGCACATCCAGCATTATCTAGAAAACAGATTATTCAAATGTTACTAATAATCTATATTCCATCATTAGTTCAGATATTTCTTCTTGCTCCATGTTTTAGTGATCAAGAAGTTGCTCAGAGTCGAGCATTGACTTATATTCCGCATTATGATGTGAGAAATGAAACTATTTCATCAGTGATTGTAGAAGGAAATTTATCAGTTATTTATACAATAATTCATATTTGTGCCCCAATTTATCCAGTTTATATTGCAATTTGTATAATTCGTCGAAAAATAATACAGACACTCGAATCAGTTGAAATTATTTCAAAAGATACGAAAGCAATGCATCAACAATTATTAAAATGTCTAACTTTCCAAGCTATAATTCCAGTTTTTCTTTTAATCGGAGTTTGTATTTTTCTCACTTGTTATTTTTTCATCACTACTCCCATTCTAGAAAGTGCAGTATTTTGCATTGCCATTTTTACGCCAACTTTGTCTCCAGTCACTTATTTGTATTTTGTTCGACCTTATCGATTGTTTTTCAAGAAACCAAATGAGATTGCGAGTCGATTTGCTGAAACTACAAAAAATCCGAATTCCCAATATTTGTCAAAAGCTGAAACATCCTAACCTTTATGTGTTTTGTAATATAAAAAAAATTATTACATATAAAATTAATCGTATATGAATTTATGTTTCGTGAATTCCTGTAGATCATCTCCAAACAACTAAAAATTTTTGAATTATCCTTTAATGTGATTTTGGGCAAAGGCCTACGTTTGAACTGGTTGAAGTTAAAGTTTTGAATTTATAAGAGAATCCGTTCCAACTGATTATATACATAGAAATATTTTTTAATGAAATAATATCACTTTTTGGATCACATGCATTTCTCGCCTCATTGTTCAGTTGTTTTTCCAAGTGACAAAAAACGGTCGTTGATCAACGATTTTTCGTATAACTTTTTGATCTCGGCTTTCTCCGGAATCTAAATAATCCCAGTGTTCTTCTTTGTTCCTAGACTATTATCAACTGATTTCTTATTCATTCAAATAATGAAATGAATATTCTATTCAATATTCAAAACAATATGAAAATGTAGCATTCATAATATACAATGTATTTTTACATCGTGTTAATATATAAATAGCGCTTGGTATGTCGATTTGTTATTATATCAAAAATCATGATGGACCCTCTCTCATTATTCATTAGAATCTGGCATACTGTAGTTTGTTGTATCGGATTCGTTTTGAATGGTCTTCTCATTTATTTGTGCATCTTCAAATCACCGAAATCTCTCCAAACATACGCAACATTTATTATAAACTTTGCGTTGAATGATTTAGTGGAGTGTTTTTTCGATATGTTTCTTGCTTATCGAGTTGTTCCAACTCCTGGAACTTTTGTTATATTTTTTGTTTATAATGGTTTCTGCACTTATATTGGTCAAGGATTTTGTAAGATTGGGTGAGCTTAATTAAGTATCTGTTAAACGCGGAATCTTTCTTTTCAGAAACAGTATATTTCTTCATTGTTTACCACATGGACTATGGTCTCTTTTGGTTTCTTTCGCTTATCGTCTGTATATATTTTCTCATCCAGCATTATCTCGAAAGCAAATCATTCAAATGTTACTGATTGTCTACATTCCTTCATTTGCTCAAATATTTCTTTTCGCTCCAAATTTCAGTGATCAAGAAACAGCTCAAAGTCGAGCACTGGTTTATATTCCTCAATATGATTTAAAAAATAAAACAATTTCATCAATGTCCGGAATCGGAAATTGGTCAGCAATGTATTCATTAATTCATATTTGTGCCCCAATTTATCCGGCTTATATCGCTATTTTTATAATTCGTCGGAAAATAATTCAAAAACTTGAATCAGTTGAAATAATATCGAAGGAGACAAAATCAATGCATCAACAATTATTGAAATGTCTAACTTTCCAAGCCATTATTCCAGTTTTTCTTTTAGTCGGAGTTTGTTTATATCTCATGTGTCAATTCGCGATTTTTAGTCATCCAATTTTGGAAAACGCAGTCTTTTGTATTGCTATTATGATGCCAGTTTTATCTCCAGTTACTTATTTGTATTTCGTTCGACCTTATCGAATGTTTTTCAAGAAATCGAATGATGTTGTGAATAAATTCGCTGACACTTCGAAAAATACAACTTCCCAAAGTTGAAACTTCGTGATTTCAAAAATTGTTAATCTTTTGCAATAGTCAATTGTAAATTGTGATCATAAAGTATTTAAATTGCAAAGAAATTCTCGGTGAAAAATGAGAAATCGTATTTTTGAAGTTATTCCAAATTTCCGTCTTTATTTTTATATATCTCGAAGTAGTTCTAACGACAACAATCAGTTCTCCCATTTTCTTTAAAATTGAACCTATAACTAATTTTCTGAATTCTGCGACAGCTCAACTGGTTCATCATTCTATCAGTATTGTCATAAATATTATTTTCACACAACCAAAACGATTGTAGCGTTCAAAATACAATCGTTTCTACACATCGTTTGACGCTATAAATACCTCCACGTGTCGTATTTTTCTCATAACAAAAAAGTTATGGAACCGTTGGCATTATTCATCCAATGTTGGCATACTGTAGTTTGTTGCATCGGATTCTTTTTGAATGGTCTTCTCATTTATTTGTGCATTTTCAAATCTCCGAAAACCATTCAGTCATTTGCAACATTTATTATAAACTTTGCGTTGAATGATTTAGTCGAATGTTTTTTCGATATGTTCCTTGCTTATCGAGTTGTTCCAACTCCTGGAACTTTTGTTATTTTTTTCGTATACAATGGATTTTGTACTTCTTTTGGCCAAGAGTTCTGTAAGATTGGGTAAGTTTCATATGGTGAAAGAGAAACCTCCATTCCTATTTTTATTCTAGAAACAGTATATTTCTTCATTGTTTACCACATGGACTGTGGTCTCTTTTGGTTTCTTTTGCTTACCGTCTTTATATATTTTCTAATACAGCTTTATCTCGAACTAGAATTGTTCAAATTTTACTGATCGTTTATATTCCTTCATTTGCTCAAATCTTCCTTTTCGCCCCAAATTTCAGTGATCAAGAAACAGCTCAAAGTCGAGCACTGAAGTATATTCCTCAATATGATTTAAGAAATAAAACAATTGCATCAATGTCAGGAATTGGTAATTGGTCAGCATTGTATTCTCTCGTTCATATTTGTGCTCCAATTTACCCAGTTTATATCGCTATTTTTATAATTCGTCGGAAAATAATACAAAAACTTGAATCAGTTAAAATAATCTCTAAAGAGACCAAATCAATGCATCAACAATTATTGAAATGTCTAACTTTTCAAGCCTTTATCCCAGTTTTTCTTTTGATTGGAGTCTGTTTGTATCTCATTTGTCAATTCGCAATTTTTAGTCATCCAATTATAGAAAATGCTGTTTTCTGTATTGTGATATTTATGCCAACTTTGTCTCCAGTCACTTATTTATATTTTGTTCGACCTTATCGATTGTTTTTCAAGAAACCAAATGAGATTGCTAGTCGTTTTGCTGATACTACACGAAACACAAATTCACAACAACAAATGTCAAAAGTTGAAATTTGATCATCATTTTTCTAAATCGTATGTTTTTTTTTCTAATTTCTAAAAATTGTAACACGTAAAAACCGCAAAAAAATATCTGAAAATTCATTTATTTTGTAGTTTCTTGCAATATTATTCCACTGATCACTATTTTAATACTCCAAAAATTATAATAAAATATTTTTGTAAATATATTTATACATCATCGAAACGGAGCACAACTGATTTTAGTTCCTGAATTCTGTCTGACTTGAATAATTGCAGGAAGAGGTTTAGATTTTGATGTAGTCATTGATTTTTGAAACATATTAAAATAAACATCGCCTTCGTTTGCAAACTTTTTAGTTTCGTTTTGTTTGGAAGCATTTTTCGAAGCAAATAACTTTTTCAAATATAATAAATTCTGAGGGATCGATAGAAGACAAGCCGGAATCATATACAATGGGTTACTGTAAAAATGATATTTTAAAAATTACTGTACTCTTATGATATTGTTTTCTTACAAATGATAAAAAATATCGATAAATGTATGAAAAATCCAAATTTGTTTCGATGGAATATTGAGCAAAAGTGGTAAAATATAAGCGGTTGCGACGCAGAAAATAGCTCCGACTGCTACCATTGTTAATTGTTTCATACTTTTCAAAGTATTAATATTTTCTCGAAGTTGATACTTGATTGATAAAGTATAAACAGTATTTCGATGATAATTTGTTAGATACTTCAATCGACGAGAATTTCGAAAAACCAAATATGAGAATCCGATGAGTGTTGAAAATGCAAAACTGAGAACATAAATAACCAACATGTAAATTGTTATGATTCGCATTACAGTAAGAAATGAAAATACTGTCGAAAAAGTGAATCCAAATATGAAAAGTATATAGAAAATCCACGTGCGTTTCTTTTTCTCATAATCTCGAATGAAAAATGTGGCAAATGATCTTTCAAGAATTACCGAAAATAAATTCACAATGAAAAAATAACAAAATTCATATCGAAGAAGTGCACTGATATGCAATATTATATCTCCAGTTTCATCGAATATTTCTAGAAAAACTCGTTGTTTTTCGACTCGTGAGAAAAATATTAAGATTAACTTACTATTTTTGTTATCAAAATGATATAATTGTGCATAAATCACTAATAGTTTACTGGTTCCAATTGAAAACCAAGATAAAATACTACAACAATAAAGTCTTTTGAGATTCCAATGATATGATCCAACGATAAACGAAACTCGAAGTGCAAAAATAACCAGAATCGTTGAGATGAAATAAAATATCAGATAAACAATTGAAAGTGAGAAGGATGGAATTGAAGTTTGTCCATCAATAAAAAGTACCAAAGCCGGAGTCATTAGAAATGATTTATTTTTGGCGATCGAATATTCTTCCATTTTTCTGAAAATGAAAATAGACAAAGGGTTCATCAAAAAAGGAAATTAACTGAAAGCAGCAAAAATAAAAGGACAAATCTGATGTTATAGTCAGTCCGTTGTATGCAAAAACCTATTCCTTGTTATGTAAAAAAAGAAACTCATCGAACTTTTGATAAAAGGAAAAAAGGAAAAGCTCACAAGTGTACCATAAATTGGACCTGGTCCAATTCAAATAGTTATAATTTTTCACAGAAAAACGTTCCTCAAATATTGATCAACGAAAACAAGGAAAAACAATAAAGGGTCTTAAAATTGAATGGAAATTGAAAATAGAAATGCATTTAGCGTTTTCTTTATTGCTTTTTCTGTATGAGTTGATTTGACGAAATCAAATAAGAAATTCTTGGAAAATAACTCATAGATGTTTCATTTTTAATTTACAATTAGAAGATATTCAGAAATATATCAATGAATAAGAATAGAATTCTTCAATGGTCGACAAACTTTTATTAGAAAAACAGCCGGAAAAAATGATGATTATATCTTTTCAATTAAGTGAAAATAATATTGTTTTTTTGATCGAATATGAAAATATTTTCTTTTATTTTTGTATTCAAGCTAGACAAAATGAAAAACAATAAGTACATTCTCATCAAATTGATTAATGCTAAATTTCAAGTGGGCTGAAATAATTAATGCCGGGTTTCTCACAGTTAAAACGGTCTGAAAAATTTGAACTACATTTCACAGAACTTTGAGAGAAATTACATTCTAATTAGGTTCAGTATGTGATTTTGTTTAAAAAAAGTTTCATCAGAATGTATTATCCCTTCCCGATGGAATATCGTTAAGTTCTCCAACTCGATTGTTTTTTCGAAATAAATCTGAAATTAAACATTTTTTCAATCCACAAAAAATCAAAACCAACTGAAAAGTGATAATCGATAACAATCAATAATTAAAATAACCGGAAGTGGATCAATTGATGGATAAATTGCATAAAGTAATGTTACAATATGTCCCATTTTATCAATTTGAATATTGAACACTGGTAAAAATAGGAAAAGCGAGACTGGGAGATACATGAAAAATAATGGAATACAAGATTGGATAACTAAAGCATAAAATAATTGTTTCTGAAGTTTTCTTGTGAAATCAGATTGACCTTGTTGATCAAGTTTTTTGATTGCTTTATATATTTTTATCCAGAAAAGTGCGACAATTGACAAAGATATTATCTGAAAATTCAATTTATTAAATTGTATGTGAAAAAGTGCTGAAAAATACAAACAATAATAGTTGCCATAATAATCATTCCTGGAATTATCTCAAAATTAAATTGATATTTTAAATCATCGATAAAATAATCGCTTCCAGTGTAAACAATATTTTCAGTATCCACGTCATAAACCAATTTCAAATGATCTTTGAGAATCAGAGTAACTCGATCATTTGGTTTCAGAAAATAATAAGTTGTTGATGTCCAAAAAATACCACACATAATTGGAATAAAAAACCAGATTACCATATATTTTCCACGGAAATATTTCAACTTTCCTTCTCTTTGAATTGCAAAATATCGAAATATGAAATGAACTGCGATTAAACTTATGACAACTCCAAAACATCCACAAATCATATTTACAAGAACTTGACAAATTGATCTATTCGTTATTATTGTTTTTGACAGATTCATTACAACAACAAAAACACTTCCAACTGATAAAATAAACTGAAAAAAATAAAAATCAGTGATATTTTGAGTAAGACGCCTAGAAATTTACCGGATTAACAATTGCTTCCAAAATCGAGAAAAAGATCGAGAAAATACAAAAATAAATAATGAGATATTTATAAGTTCCCATCTTTTTTGGAGATTTATAAATTGCCAAAACAATCAACAAACAATTGAAAAACAATGTTAACACCAGTGTTATAAATTGTAGGGAATTTTTGAATTGATCAAAATTCATGTCTGAAAAGAATGTTGATTGTGAAAAGATTGAAAATTGAGATGAAAGAATCAACGGAAAAAGCACTTCTTAGAATTTGCACTTTTTATTTGTACCTTCAATTTATGATCCTAGAATATGTATTCTTCGAAAGAATGAATGAAGTATTTAGATATGAAATGATATCTGAATTTTTGAAAATTGAGAGATTCCCTCGAGAAATGAAAACCAAAAAAATAAAAAACAATTTATGGGTCTCTCTAAAAATGAATATCCTGAACTTTTGATCAAAATCAGCAACGGGAAATTAATTCAAAGAATAAATTCTGAACTTTGGTTCCATAATAAATTTTGATAATCACAAAATTAATAAATAATCACGTTTGATTTTCACGCTTGAAACATTTTAATTTTTCATCATTTCTTTATTTTCGAAAATTGGTTGGCAAGAAACAAAAATGTGGCGGAAAAGTAAGTAGATGTACTTTAGATATTAACCTTCAAAAAGAAAAATTTTGAGAACAGGAACTCGACCAGACATCGAAACAATACATCCAAAAATTGTGAGAAAAATCAAGATATCTGTAAGTTGTGAAATCATTTTAGACAACGACACTGCCTGTTGTTTAATTTTCACACACTGTTTGAGCGGAGTGTCGTTACTCAGCATCTCCTGGCGTACACTATTGCGAACGAAAAGTGTAGCTACATTGTTGTATGACGCACGCTACAAAGACCGTACGCACAAGCTGCAAAAACGTCTACAAAGATCCTACACTTTTCCTTTTTGAACGAAAAGCGTACACATATTTTCGAATCGATTTTTTCGTTTTTGCGCTGCGAATTAGGGAAGGTTTAAACGAGAAAATATAACAAATTATTTATGTATCAATATACTTTTAAAACACAAAATCAATAATATAACAAAAATCATGAAAACATAATAAAAAAAGTTAGAAATTTAATTTTTTCGAAGATTTTTTGAATGTGTTGGTTGTTGAGGGTGTGTTGAGTGGTTGAAGTCGAGGTTGAGGGCCAGAAGTCGGATGGTGGAGCATCTTGGCGTTGATTTTGACGCTGCTTTGATCATATCTTGTAGGTTGTCCCAGTTTTAGCATTCGGCGTAGGTGTAGGTGTCAAGTGTCAACCTGAAAAATGGGATGATGTTTAATTTTCTAGTACCTCATAATTTTACGTCATGCAGAAAAAAATGGCGAGGTTATAGGCTATCTCCCCTGGGCTAAATGCCTAATAGTTACTAGGTTATCGGAAGTTGGTCGTCAGTTCTATTTACAGACCTTCTACTTATCATAATTATAAGATGTAGCTCCAAGAATTTATCAGCCAACTTTCAGTTATGTTTGACAGGCCATTGGCCAGTAGGGTTCCGAAATCCTAGTCTTCCCGGTATTTAAGTTATACTCACCTTCAAAATCATCTCCTCGAGCTCGAGGACACCTCCGGAGAAGATTCTCGTTCCTTTTGCTGCCATCATGATGCAAGTTCTGGGAGTTGTTCGGATGGTGATCTGAAATTCAACAAGTTTCAATCAAATTCAGGTGTAAAAACAATAATAACGAGAATAAGAAGACTGATAACTATCGATTAACTCTGATTCTCAAAGTCTCATTGAAGAAAATTCCGTATTTTTCAAAGATATTTGAAGATTTTTCTTGAAAAAACTATACTTCTTCTGACCAAAAAGATTTCTAATCGCTTCAATAACCATACTCAACTTCTAGAATCCATGTGGATGAAATTCGGCTATCATTTCATCTACTTTAGACGTTTTAAAAATAATTTTAGGCCAAAAAGAAAATAGAAAACAAAAATAAAATAATAGCCGCAACGCAACGCGCTTGCAACGCGGTCCTACAATGTAGCTACACTCGCGAAAAGTGGCAAGTGTACGAAAAGCGTAGAAAGAGTGTAGGGAAAGCGTACGTTATCGTGCAAAAAGTATACGCCAGGAGATGCTGAGTTATTTTATTTTTACAAGATTGCGCGTAGGATTTAGTGTTTGCGGGCAGTCGGTGTTGACACACACTCTTATTTTTTCGTTCTTTCTTTAGGTTTTGGATATTCTTAATTCACGTATTTTTGTTAACAAACATGTTGTTTTTCCATGAATTTGAATCAAACTTGTTGTTAAATTAATATTACATCTTGAATTTTTCTTCAGTTTGGTGTTCTTATTTAGATTTCACTCATTTCTATTTTACAGGAAAAACGTCAGGAAAATGTTGGAAATGTCGAAACAATTTATAAAGCGAATTTTAGTTGACTGATATTCAAAAACGAGGAAAACTGGAGGAAAAGTGAGTTTTTCAACATTTTTTGAAAAAGTTTCAAAAACAAAACTTGCTTCTTTTTCCCCGAGACGTGATTAAGCGCTGGCAAGCGAGTTTGAGGTCACTTTTGTCGTTGCGTAAGGGTGTTGTTTAAAGTTTAAAAATTTAAATTTTCCACGTCATAACTTTTATTCATTAGCTGTAGACTTCAAACTCATTTTCTTTCCCAAAAACCGCAAAAAAAGCATTTTTCACATCATCAATCTTATTAGTTGTTGTTCACTCCTCACTTCATCCAACCCAACTTTTTTCTCTTTTTTTCATCTCATCTCAATAATCAAAATAATAACCTCGGCGAAAAAAAGATGGAAGAAAAAGCATCATTTTGGATGGCTCGAGTAGTCAGTTGCTGATCATCATCTTTTCTTCAAAATTTGCTTGACAGCTCCCCTATGGAGAAAAAAAAGAAGGGGAGCCTAGCCGCAAAGATTTGCACCACAGATATATTTTATATCATTCATGAGATGTTGCAATAAGACTGAAAACTTTTTGGAATTTGAAATGCGATTTTGAATTCAAATTCAAATTCGGCTTATTTATCTATGAATTTTCTCTTTTCTAAAATAAAACTAATACGATTATTTTTGATTGTCAACTACCGTATTGCGCAATCCTTTTTGATGTCGGTGTTCATCAAAAAACCGAAACACTTGACAAATTTGAACATGTTGACCGTTCGATTTATTTATTTTATGATGTTTTTTTATTACCTTATGTCAGCTAATAATATTTTTCGGACATTAGTTTTTGAAGCTGGAATGAGAAGTGGGACCAAGTCCGATTAATCGGATGGATGTTTCTAAAAAATGACCGTGGCTACAGAAGCCTACAGAACCCGAAAATTTGAACTTATGTAAAAATGTTCTCAAAACATCTTGAATTGAATTTCTGAGTTTTGATATTTATTTTATTTTTGGGGTGAAATTTTTGGAATTCAAAATTTTTCGTAAAATCAGAGATCCCTGCAAATTGGACCCGGTTTCCTATTCTTTTTCCTTAATCTTCCTTGTCCCATCATTCTCACCTTTTTGATTTTCGATAACTGTACAGTTTTTCCAAGGTTTTTTGTGTACAATTATTTCGCAAGTAATTATACAAATTTCACGCTCAATCGCACTTTTTCCATAAGAATTCCTCTTTTTGTGAATAAAAGGACGAAAAAGATAAAAATCTCGCGCACCTTATACTTTTTTCGATTTCAACAAAACATCCCTTTTCCTCGTTCTTTTGTATTTATATTTATAATTTACTCGTTTGTCGCGTTTTCTTCTCGTTTCCGTTTTCATTCAATTCAATCCTATTTTCATGTTGTTTAATTTGAGCACAAATCCATAGACGAACACAGAGCTCGTTAGAAAAGCATCAAAATTGTGTTAAGCATAGCTAATATTTCCTCCTCCACCCCGCCAATCCCAACCAACAAATATTTCATTTTCTCGCTCGCTCACTCTCTCACACACAATCTTGTGTTAGACATTTGGGCGCCTCGCTCCCATCGCTTCCGTAGCGCAGTAGGCAGCGCGTCAGTCTCATAATCTGAAGGTCGTGAGTTCGAGCCTCACCGGGAGCATTTTTTTTTTGGTTTTTGGAGTTTTTCCCAAAATATTTTATTTTTGGCTTCCTAAATTTGGCAATTGTTTTCAAAGTGTTCCCTATTGTTGTTGTTGTCCACTTGAAAACTACTCTACTCTTCCCTTTCCCTTCCTATTGAAACCGTAATTTCGCGCGTCATCTGTTGTATTTAGTAGAAGTATCTAGTATTATAATAATTGACAAGTGCACACACCCGTCTGGTGCCAATCAAATTATCCCACCCTTCGACAAGTCAACAACAAAACGTGTGCTCTCGATGTGTTTTTTTTTTTCATTAGCATCGCCGAGTTTTATGAGGGTATTAAGCTACCCCCATCTTTTCATTTTTTTTGCCGTGTTTTTTTTTGTGACGACTGCAAAAATAGAAGTTTTACATTTATGGTGGGATAGAATATAAAAGGGGAGGAAGAAGACGAGCTGTCAAAACGATTAAGTGAACATTGATGAGAAATAGACCCCTGTCAGTTTTCGGTAACGCATATCATTTCGATTTTTGCTGTAGAACCGAACGAACAATGCCGATTGTTGTGGTTTGATTTCGGAATTTCTATTCGTTTTCTGTCTTGATTTGATTTTTAAAAAAGTGTGGGGGGGGAATGTCTTTGAAGAATTAGGGCACAAGAAATCTTCTAATTTATCTTAAAAGTTTGTTAGGACGTTCCAAAAAAATAGATCAATTATTTTTAACATTTGGAAAAATTATCCTATTTTTTGAAATTGTTTTATGAGGCTGATTTTGGAATATCGAACTTTCAAAAATTATTCGCATTTTAAGGTTTTCTAGATTTGGTGCCCCCAAAAATTTGTAAAAACAGTTGGGAAGAATGCGCCTTTACCAAAAAATCTCTGAAGTTTTGATACATCAAACCTTTGAGCTCTCTTCTTCAAGATTTTTTTTGAAAATAATCGCATCATAGATACCTTCGTTGTGCATAATAATTTCTCCATTTTTTTTTCAACATATTCCAACTTCTTCGTTTCTCCTCTTTTTCTTTTTCTAATATTTGCTCTGCCCTCTTATATTAATATGTGGTGTTGTCTCTTTCTATATGTATGTACATGTTCACATCCAACTACTACTACTTATCGAATATCTTATATATGCGGTGTGTGTATTTACCTAAATAATGTCTCTTTCCTGTTTTTCGCGCACGCTCTCACTACACTCAAAATTTACATATTTTCATTTGCTTATTTTCATTATTATTGTTTTTGTTATCTTTTTCGCTGTGTCGTCTTTTTTTCGAGTGAGAAATGAATAGGGAACTGGATTTTTCAACGAAAAAACACTAGCTCTGTTAGCTTCTAGATAAAATATGTTTAACAAGGAATGGTTTTCAATGTTCCCCCAAGGAAAAAATCGAGAGTATGTGGAATGTTGAGGGTTCCCGTGGGTAAGAAAAACCCTAACGGGAATAAGGAGAAAAATGCCTTATTCTCGAGAAAAAATGTATTTTAGGTCGATTTTTACCCCATTTTTTGATTTTTAGAGCATCTGTAACTCGATTTTGAATCTATTTCATGAACTTTTGAGTCGTGGAAGTTGTTCAGAATGGTCGATTACGTGTTTGTGAAACTTTTTATCAAAAAATTAGACATTTTTTGAAATTTGGTTTTTTCAGTCGGGGTTTTTCTGATCAAATGGTCACCAAAAAACACAAAAAATAATTTTTTCCATTTTCAAATGAACGGAACTTGAAAAATTTATGACGGTCAACAGACGTAATTTGGTCCGTAGAATCCAAAAATCATAGTCTCGATTCACACAAACTTCTCCTTCTCAACGAAAACGTTGATTTTCTATGAATTTTTCAAACTAGAAATTTGATTTAGTGGACTTTTGGGACCAAAATTATTTTATTCCTAATTTTAGTCGAAGTAATACTAAAGTACGCCGTTTGCGCTACAAATGGATTTTTAGACTGACATTTTTCATCAATTTCGAAAAAAAGTTTCGATTTTTCTAAAAAATTTCATCGCAAAAATCAATAACACCAAAATTTTCTAAAACAAGGCATTTTTCTCCTTATTCCCGTTAGGGTTTTTCTTACCCATGGGAACCCTCAACATTCCACATACTTTCGATTTTTTCCTTGGGGGAACATTGAAAACCTTTCCTTGTAAGATTATGCCAGTTTAAGTCAGAAGCCGAGACTTAATAGTTTCTGAAAATATCGAAATAGGACTACTGAACATTTTTTTTACCCAAAACCCCTTTTAATATAAAACCAAGTAAGTAAGTCAGCTTATGTATATTTTGAATCGTCTCTCGAAAACCCAAAAATCCTATTTTCTCATTCAAAACGTCTAATCTAATCGTTTCCCTCTTTTCGTCGCGCGAAAAGTTACTTACTTATGAAAATTTTCTCTTCACAATTTATTCTCTAAAACATGCCGCCTCTGTCACTTCCCCCAAAATATTGCACATTTTCCTTTCGGAACTCTCTTTTTGATCTACAAAAACCAATTTGTTTTTTATTTCAATGGGTGATAATCTGACCTTTTTTGGGATGCTCCAGATGCTCCAACACCTTTAATTAGACCATCCGTGCCTATTTGTTCGACTTTTTACTATATCTACATAAATACTTTTTAATTATTTTCACCTGTCCCTGTGTCAGGTGAAAAAATACTAGGAAAAAACTAGTGTGAAAAGGAAATTTAATATTCATTGGATAAAAAATGGAGAAAATATTTGGTTGTTTACCAACAAGTTTTTTTTGGGGCGCCGAGGAAAGAGCGCCTATCAATTTTTCATTAGATTCGTGTCATCTTGATGTGAATGAACAAACTTCGAAAAAGTCGCGCTTGATTGATTTCTGCGCTTTTTCTCGAAAAATGTTGCTTAGAATGTGGCCAGCTTTGAAACGGGCCAGGTGAGCATTTTTAGGATTTCCGAATCGGTGTTTATAGTTAATTGATTCGCCAGAAAAAATACCACTCTTTTTTGCAAAAAAAACAGATTTTTGAGCATCAAAGTTTGAATATGGGTCTGCCTTTTTGAGTGGTTCAACTTGGCTTGGTTTCTCAGTCCTGATGAAATTTTGGAATTTTCAAAAATTCTGAAATTAACTCTCTAAAATCTCCATTTTCATTTCCAAAGTGGAAACCAAAACAAAAATAAATATTTACTTTTGGAATTTTGCAAGCCTATGCCCTTTTTTCGCCCAAAACATACACCCAAATCCTAATCCCTCCACCAAATCCTCCTAATTATGATCCAACAATAATTTCACCACACAACCAGATGACAAAACATACCAGCTATTTTGTGTGTTTCATTGTCTTTAGATACATTAGTAATTATTTCGCAGTTCATCCATGTAATACAGTATGTTTTTTTTTGTATTACATCACACCATGGGTGGTCTATTTTCTAGTCATTCACCACCTGTGTTTATCTCTCGCTCTCTCTCTCTCTCTCTCTCTCTTTCCCTATTTTTCTGGCGTGTAAATTTGAGCACTTTTGGTTGAGCACAACTTGTTACTTTTTATTTCAGCTCACAGCAGGAGCTCCCAAAAAAAAAAGTTTTTTTTTTCAATTCCATTTTTCGACATGCTTCATTGCTTCTGCCTTTATTTTATATTATTCATGTTTTTTGGCTGGTTTGAAAAAAATAGTAATAGTAATAATAATTTGTTGCGTGGAGGAGAAAAGAGTACTTGGAATTTTTAATTTTTCCGCGCACGCTTCGATGAATTTTTCAAAAATTGTTTTGCCTGAGGCGAAGGAAAAAGAAGAGGAATGTGTACTTTTAAAATAGCATTGTTCTAAAATATGAGAATAAGGTCAAGTGAATCGGACTTTTTCTGGGTTCTGAATTTCCTAAAATTTCGGGAAAACCTAGTTCATTTAGAGCTGAAATTTGGGAGAGTTATGACGTGGCAAAGTTAAACGAACATTTCAAGTACTTTTGATTTTTCGAGATACGTTATATTTCATATGTGATTTCACAGAACTGTTCTAGAGATTCTGAAAAAAATATTGGAATCTTGGAACATTTTTGTGAACTCAAAAAATATTGTCTTTAAAAAAAATTCAGTTTCATTTTTGACCTAAATTGCTACTCCGTAGTTTTTATTTGAAAATAAGTTTAGGGCTCCAAAATCCAATCCCACCTAATTCTGCACTTTCTCTGAAGTATTTCTAAATTAAAATTTAATTTCGAAAATCTTGAAAACCCTTTCCTCCTCCCATATTTTCCCATTCTCGAAATTATTAAAACATACTAAATCTGTTCACCGCGTTTCTTCTTGTTCTTCTCCAAAACACTTCAAAAATTCGTTTCCTCGGAGCCAAATCTCTTTTCTCTTATTCTGCTCAATAATTTGCATAAATTAGACTTCCTTCTTTTGAAGTTGCACTAATTACTTGAGCCAAAACTGACAATCTGTCACTTTGACACTTCTTCTAACACATTTTACATATTTCATTTTGTGACTGCTGCTATTTCTTGCACCAAAGTGTCGTTTTATTTATAATATTTTTGTTCGGGGTGTCGTCTGTTCTGGATTAGTTTATGTAAGAAGAAAAGAAGAAGAAGTAACTAAGTAACTAGAAACAGACACCATTTTTTTATAATAAACAATAGATTCTATTTTTTGGCACCCAAAAAGTACCATAATAAAAAATGGATACTACTAGTGCATTATAAATAATAATAACCCGGAAACTCAACTGTTGACCTTTATGCATGTAAAACAATGCACTCTACTACCGTAATATTTGCCTACCGTATTACAACCAATTTTGGCACCATTTTATGTAAACATAGGATTTATGTTAGAGAGAAATATTTTTAGAGAGAGAGGCTAGAGAAATCTGTGATTTCGAAAGTTTTATTTTTATGTATTTCATAATTTATTTTTTATTGAGAATATAATTTTTTTGGGTTTTTTGCGAAAAAAAAAGTACAGTAGGGCTACAAAATTTGTATCATGTACTTTTTGGAAATTTGCATATTCCAAGAAAATTATATATTTTTCAATCAGAACTTTTTTCTGAAACTCTTCTTGAAATGAGATGCTAAATGTCCCAAAGTTCACGCCAATTGAATTTAATTTTCAAATCCTATTTTGCCCCTCGCAAAATTCCTAAATATTTTTTCAATTATCACCTCTCATCATCTTCACCTGTCCATCAATATTTTCAACATGCTCTAATTGTCTTCCAAGACAAATTTTGTCACCTTCTGTCCATTTCACCATTTTTTTGCACCCCCTAAACCCCGCCCATTTTTTGCATCATTGGCCCAACCCACTTTTTTCTATTGTTATGATTTATGATGTGTTCATTCATTCATTATATATTTTCTTTTCCTAGATTTTTATATTTGTACAGGTACTCGAAATATCTCGCTACTTGTGGATATCTGATTTTTTTTACTCGTAAAAAAGCAAAAAGATATTTATTTATAGATTGGTATTTTGATCCACTTTTAAAATTTTTTGCTTTTTTTTCTTTAAAGAAAAAAATATAATATTGTTCCAAAACTTTTCCGCTTACTAACCGGGCGAGTCCCGTAAGATCAGGTGTCCTTTGAAATTTGATCCGTTTTTTTCCTCGTCCTCTTTTTCTTCTTATTTTCTTCCTATTTTTCGTCGTTTTGTTCATCTCCTCTTACAAACATTCCACTTATTCTTAATTCCGAAACTTTTGTTTTGTCGTATTTTATTTTTAGTTTTTTTTCAGAGCAAAATATGTTACTTCGGTTAGCATTGATTTTGGGAATTTTTTCCACAATTCATGTTCACGCAAAGAAGAAATGCGAGCAGATTACAATTCCACTTTGCAAAGGAATCGGATACAATATGACATCTTTTCCAAATAGTTATGGACATGAAAAACAAGATGAAGCTGGATTAGAAGTTCATCAATTTTATCCATTAGTTGAGGTAAGTTGTTAAAACTCTCTCAAAGAAAAACGAAGTTTTGTGCTTTGACTTATGGAAGAATCTATTTTCAGTTTCTTTTCCTGATCTTCTTCTTCAAACATAAATTTTTCAAATTCAATTTTTCTAGGTCGGATGTTATCAACATTTGAAATTCTTCCTCTGCACTCTCTACACACCAATCTGCCAGGACAACTATGAGCGTGAAATCCTGCCATGCATGGAAATGTGTCTCGAAGCTCGCAGTAAATGTTCCCCAATAATGGCAAAATATGGATTCCGCTGGCCGGAAACACTTTCATGTGATGTTCTTCCAAAAATGTCGGATGGCAAGATCTGCGCAGCTCCACCAGATACACCAAAAAAGAAACACGAACAACAAATTCCAAAGAAATTCAATCAAAAACCAGAAGTTGGAATTTATTCGGATTTCGATCAACATAACACAAAAGAACAATGCGAATGCACCTGTCAAAAACCATTTCAATTTGTTGAATCATCAAAAGCTCGAGTTGGAAATATTTCAAATTGTGCATATTCTTGTCATAGTCCAGCATTTGTTGAAAATCAAGGATTAATTAACAATTGGATGGCATTTTGGTCGATTACTTGTTGTGTTCTTTCAACATTCACATTTTTGACATTTTTAATTGAAACTGATCGTTTTCAATATCCCGAAAGACCTATTTTCATGTTGGCTTTTTGTCAATTGATGGTTGCTGTTGGATTTATGATTCGATATTTTGTTGGACACGATGAAATTGCCTGTGATTCTGGATTCCGAATTAAAGGAAGTGATGAAAACAATTCCGGATCTTTATGTTTTGTGGTACGTTTTCATTCTTTAAACCTTAATGACTCAAAATAATTTCAATTATTTTTCAGGTATTCCTCTTGACATATTTCTTTGGAATGGCTGCATCTGTTTGGTGGGTAATCCTTTCTTTAACATGGGTTCTTGCTGCTGCCTCAAAATGGTCTTCGGAAGCAATTGCTTCATATTCATTCCATTTTCATGTTATTGGATGGGGTCTTCCGGCTGCTCAAACTGTTTTAGTTTTGGTATTCAATGCAATCGACGGTGATCCAATTACTGGAATTTGTTATGTTGGAAATACTGATTTATTCTTCCAACGAACATTTGTTTTGGCTCCATTGGTTACTTATTTCGTTTTGGGTGTCATGTTTTTGATGATTGGATTTTTCAATTTATGGAGTATTCGAAATGAAGTTCAAAAACAACATCCATCTTTGGACAATGCTCATAAAATTACTCAATTAATGTCGAAAATTGGAATCTTCTCATTATTATATACAATTCCATCATTGCTCATTATATCAGTTATGTTTTATGAGCAAAATCATCGACAACAATGGGAAATGGCTCAATTATGTTCGTGCTCACCACGTCAAACAATTGCTGATTCATCGCTTATCATTTCACTTCTCAAAACTTGTTGTATGTGTATTGTTGGCTGGACATCTGGTTTCTGGGTTTGTAGCATCAAAACATTGTGCTCTTGGAAAAACGCGATTTGTTGTCTCGGACAATCAAGAAGTTCTCCAAAATATCAACCTGCTGATATTTTATATGCTAAATCGGATATGTCATCTCCCCAATTCTACAATACAAATCTACGCCAAAATATTCACCACCATCATCATTTGTATGGCGATAAATTATAATTTTGTTTTCAAATTTTATTTGTAACATCTAGGAACTTTTTTTGTACATATATACTTATCACATATTGATCTCACATCTCATATTTATTTCGGTCTGAGCCCAGGATTATTTTATCAACGAGCTTACTGTCTTTCTTTATTTGAGCACAATAAACATTGTAATCATACTCAGGAGAACGACCGCGAAATCTGCGCGAAACGCGAACCCCAGAAGTCCGCTAAATCGCCGCGCATCCGCCGCGCTTTAGCGGTGTTGTTACAGCGTTTCGCGTAAATTTCGCGGCGTCCTCTCAATTTCAAAACAAAATGTCATCATGATCGATCCTCACATTCAGGTGATCATAATTTTTATTTATAACACTCACCCAACCTCGAACCCACAACCTCTCACCTCGAATACATTTGTTTTACCCACTTGACCATGCGCGCACGTGACGCGAATAGCGAAAATGTTTTTTATATACCATGCTACTGCGCGAAAATGTCGCGAAACGCTCCAATTCGGTCGAGGAAGCCCGCGAAATTTCCGCGAAACGCGAAGTTCCCCGCAATTCGCGCAAATTTCGCGACGTCCAGTCGACCGAGTCCCAGATTGCGCGAGGTTTGTGCGAAACGCGTGATTCTCCCGCGAAGGTTGAGCGAATCGCAGAGACCCCGCTTTTCGCGTAGATTTCGCGGTCGTTCTCCTGAGTATGTAATTTGTGTTTTGTCAAGGAGCACCTGAAAATATAGATCAACAAAATTACCACCTGTCTCTGAACTTTCCGACCAAAAAAAATTACCTTGGTAACCAAAAATCTCAAGTGTATTCCTGATTTTATTTTTGTTTTCAGTTTGATTTCAGTTTTCTAATCGCAACTCTTCTAAAAATGGATATAGAAGCTTTATCCATTAGAATTTCATGGATCGGATTTTTCCTGACATTGGTCATAAATTCTACAGTACTTCATACAGCTTTTCATCATTCGAATAATATTTTCGGAAGTTATAAATACCTTATCATGAGCTTCTCGTTAATGGGAATTATTTTTGCGACAGCCGAAATATTTTCAAAGCCGGTTCGTTTCAACCGAATTTTTTTGAATTGGTCCAGTAATTTGAAAGGACCAATTCAAAAATATTCAAAATAGGTTCCAATCCCAAAAATTTTAGATGATTTTTGATGTCGATTCTGCATTCATAATTCTCACATTCCTAAAACCAGCTCGTTCTTGGAAATCATTTATTCTCCTAGGTTTGTCTTTTGAAAAAAGTTCAGATTGTTCAGACCCAAATTTTCAGCGATGTTCGCCAGCATGTTTGCTGTCACCATACATTTGTTAACAATTCAATTTGTTTATCGATATTGGGCTATTTTCAAGTAATTTTTCGTTTTTTTAAAAGATAAATATAGATTTATAAATAGCTAGAATTTCAGAATTCAAAACGTCAAGAAGTATTTCGGAAAGTTGAAATGTGTTTTTCTTTGGTTTACAACTTGTGCTTTTGTTTTTCTTTGCATGTCCCTTATGTTATATATTGCAAGGCCAGACACGGTCTCTGATGAATTTCTACAGTAATAACAAAAATTCTAAAATAACCCGAAATATGAACTTTATTTTTGCAGGAATCGAACAAAATCAAATTTGAGTCTAAATCCTGAATTAATGACATATTATATCGCAATGATTTATCTTGAAGGAAGTTTTAATTATATCGAAAGTTTTCCACTTTTAGTTGTTATAATTATGGTTGCTGCACATTATATCATCATTTCTTACTGTGGTTTTCAAATGTTCAAAAATATGAACAAGAAAATGATATCTTTGTCAAATCATCTTCAAAGAATCAATAAACAATTATTCCGAACTTTGATTATTCAAGTTTGTCTTCCAACTCTTTTCATTTTCACTCCAATGTTATCTATTTATATCATACCATTTTTCAATTTGGATCTTTTTATAAATGCCGGACCAATTGCTTGTTCTTTATCTTTCTATCCATCAATCGATGGTCTCATTTGTTTATATTTTATTGTTGATTATCGAAATGCTCTCAAAGGTAAGAAACTGAAATGGAAACGTATTTTCTAATTTCGAATATTTTTAGCTGACATCCTATACTTTCTCAATTGCCTAACTTGTCGAACAAAATCAGCAGAACCAAAATCACCAAAACCACCAAACGAAAAATACTAATTGAATTAGAGTTCATAAAATCAAATTATTTTATGAACTCTGTCTCCTTGGAGGTTTCTCCTAATAATCAAAACGGAGGCTTGTCAATGAACTATATATTTTGCCAATTGAAAAACTACGGTACACTTCTTTTTTTGTTCTTTGTTGTTGTGAGATTTTGTTCTTTGTTGATGTTACAAAATAAACTATTTCTAGAAGTGGAAACATTACTCTGAAAGTTGGCACAACTTTCTCATTTTTCTGGTGGAAATCTCGCTGGTTCAGAAAAATAACTATCATCTGGGAATTTTGTTCCAAAGTCAGAAAGCAGAAATGGATACAGTATCGAAAAAATGATTTCATGAGACTTTCCTTCTCCCAAAGGACTTCAAACTGTTAAAATTTTTGATCAATGGAAAATTCAATTAGTACCTTTTCCCTTCCTTGTTCTTTTGTCCGTATACATTTCTTGATAAAAAATTATAAAGAAAACAATTTTGAGAACAATTCAAAAATTCTTATATTATTCACAGAATCAAATCATTCCAAGAATTATTTTTTTCCCGAATGACTTTTCAAAAAATTAACACCAGAGATCTAAATATTTCTAATTAAAAACTACAGTACGCTTCTATTTCCTATCATTTTTGTTTTTGCTCTCGTCATGAACTTTCATCGGAAAACAAATAAGAACAGCAATTTCCGGTAAGGCTTTGAATATGCGATCTTCAGATTTATTTACCACGTCATACATATTTTTGAAAACTATTTCAAAAAATAAAAACTCTATGAAACTTCATAGTTAGTTACCCTCGGGATTATTTCGATCGCATCCAGTTTTTCCAAATTCCGGAACCCGAATTCCAAAATAATGACGATGGTCCCAAATATATTCACTCGATTTTGAATAGAAAAACCGAAGAGCATCTGAACAATTGAAATCTTCGTTAAGTGGTTGACCAATACATTCAACATATTGTTTGTAGTCTTGAATCGGTTCTCTGCTCATTCCATTTGGATACCAAATTTCAGTTCCATGATGATATCTTTGATCATAAATTGATGAGTTACACGGTTTTGCAAACTCTCCATTTATTGTTGAATTTGATTTAAGACAAGATGGAAGATGTGGAACAATATCTCGACGATGGACAACTCGAAAACTTCAAACAAAATAGTTACATCACAAGAAATCGTTGACCAACTAACCTATTTGGTACCAGATTATCAAAATTCCTTGCATAATCATAATTTCCAACTCTCGGTTGTCCAAACGTCACCAACTTTACATTTTCACCATCCAGAAAACCTAATCTAACACTTTTCACAGCTGCCAAAGAAGCCAATGCTCCACCCAAAGAATGTCCAGTGAAATAAAACTTGTAATTTTTGAACTTCGAATTGTTCAGGATTTCCAAAACAGGTGGCCATAATACTGTATGAGCTCTTTTGAAATACGAATTCACTTGGCCGATGTCAAGAAATGGTTTACTCTTCCATTGATCAATTCCTTCTAAAAACACTTGAACTTTTCCACGAGATCCTCGGAAGACGAAATAAACACGTTTATGAGTGTCAGATGCGACTGAAATCTTTGAAAGTTTTGTAAATCATAAAAAATGGATTCGTAGTACCTGCATAATTTTCACAAATCGTTCCAAGTTCATCACAAACCGCTTTGTTACTTGAATATAACTGATACTTGGAAACATCTTTAAAAGTTTGATTCAAACAGGAAACATGCTGATTGCCATAAGAAGCCGCACAAAGATAAATCAATTTTCGTGCTTCATCTTCACTATATTTTGTAAGGTGATTAAATTGGAATGAATAATTTAATAGAGAAATTATAATTATTATCAAATTTGAAAACATGACAGTCACGCTTGTTTAAATGATAATTTCAGCAGTTTAAATAGTTCACTGATAACTAAAAATACTAAATTTGACCTACAATATTTATGTTGTCATGGAAGAAAAATAGTGCAGTTTTGTTTGTTTTGAGGCCCACGTGAAAGAAAATGATTTCTGACATTTGAAGACTACTAAAACAAGTTCGCTGAACTGGAAAACTCACTTCGTGGAACCGTTCTCTTCAAAAATAAAGAATGATTTTAATCAAGACGAATTTCGAAAAACCCCAAAGCTACAAAATATTTTGTTCTTTGCAAAGATCAAATTCTTTCGTAGGCTGAATAAAGATCAGAATCCTCCTCCTTCCATTTTACTATTTCTGTACTTATTATCATTTTAAAATCTATCTCTAATGAACTATAAAAAGAATAGAACATTGAAATTTTTCCAATTTTCAATGCAAGTATTTTTTGGTGAAAACAACATATTTTTGTGTTAGTCTGTCAATAGAAAGGACAAGCAATTCGGGAAAGAAACAAGATTTGTTCTTCTTCAATTTTCATTTTCAAATTTCATGCGCGACATTTCATTTTTTATATCACAAAAAAGATCAATTTTTCAAACAAATTTTGAAAAAATCCAGATGTCACCAAAAAAGTTCAACTGACACAATAATTGTTTCGATAGTCTGTCTGTCATAGAACATTTTCATTTTTGATCACATTTTTTGTCATTTAATTGTAACAATTATTTTTGGTTGGTGGTGTCAAAAAATGTGTTTCCGTCGAAAAATTCAGTGTTTTTCCGGATTTTTGTTCCACCGTCTTGTTCTATGTTTTGTTGTGCGCTGGGTTGATTGAGAAAAGTAATCAATCATTTGTTTTTTCTTTCGCCGAAAATGATAAGTATAAAGCCGTCGATCATTTTTCAGATCATATTCATTTCCTTTTCTAATATTTTTATTTTTTCTAGAAATGAAAGTTACGCCAATTGAAGCGACACAAAAACCAGCTCCAACAATATCGGCTCCAACAATTTCAAATTCAAAAACAGATCAAAACAAAATTGAAAATGAAAAAACCGGAGGTGTTCGTTATATGATTTTGATTGTTTCAATGATTTGTCTCTCATCATTGATGTCAAATGTTGTCTGTTTCAATTTCACAATTATGTGTATGCCTGGAATTGGAGAATCAGAAGATCTTGTTGCTTTTAATAAAACACAATACGATGGATATACGCGAACTGAGAAAACATGGCTATTAAGTATTGTGGCGGTTGGTGCAATGATTGGTGTATTTCCAGTAACCTATGGAATATCAGTTTATGGCGGGAAGAAAATATTCACAAGTGCTGGAATTCTCACAACAATTGCTACATTATTAATCCCTATTTTTGGGCCGCTAGATTTCAATGTATTTCTAGCATTGAGATTCCTCCAGGTTTGTGTTTTTTGCTCATTTAAAATGTCACCTTATCTTCGGCAAAACTGAAAACTTTGCTTTCAGGGTGTTGCATTTGCTTCAGTTTTCCCAACAGTTGGAAGTATCACATCCTCGTGGGCTTCTTTGACCCAACAAGGTCTTTTCATAGCAGCTCTCACTACATTTGGCCAACTTTCTTCAATTTTTTCAATGCCAGTCGCAGGCGAACTTTGTGTTTCTCCATTTGGTTGGAAATCTGTATTCTATCTTCATGCATTTATATCAGTTATAGCTTTCACTATCTGGTTTTTTATCTTTACCGATTCACCATCAGATAACAAATATGTTCTGACAGCTGAATTAAATGAAATTCAACGTGATAAATCGAGTGAGGCAAATGCAGCAGCACACGAAAGAGCAGCGATTCCATATTTGGAAATTCTAACAACTCCATCAATTTGGGCTGTTTGGGTTGGAGCATTAGGAGATTTGATAGCTGTTCAACTTATTCATATTTATTCGCCAGTTTATCTTCACGATATTGGAGGATATTCAATGAAAAAGACTGGTTTAGCCGCAGCTGTTCCTGTATTATTCCAATTTTTCGTCAAATTATCAGCAGGACATTCAAGTGATAGATTACACGGTGTATCAGAAACTGTAAAACTCCGGATTTTCAATACAATTGCTCTTGGTGCAAGTGCCGCTTTCTTGATTGCTCTTGGTTTTGTTGACCGAGGACATGGATTATTAGGATTAACACTTATGACATTAGCAACAGCAATGTTTGGATTCAATGGTGGCGGTTTCAGTAAAGTGAGTGAGGAATTCTGATAAATTTTCTGAAATTTTTCTTTTACAGTGCGCGGCTCTAGTTTCTCGTCAATACAGTCACTTCGTAATGGCCAATATTCAATTTTTATTGTGTTTTTCGATGTTGTTATGCCCTATTTTGGTAAGTTTTCAAACTATAGTAGATCACAAAACAAAAGTTCTTCTTTAGGTCTCATTTCTTTTAAAAGACGGAACAATTGAGGAATGGCGAATGGTTTTCTTTGTTCATGCTGGAATTCTAATAGTTTGTAATGCATTTTTCTGTTGGTTTGCAACTGCAAAACCAGCACCGTGGACAGATCGATCAATTAGTGCATCTTCTTCCAAAAATACACCATTGTATACATACCGTGTTTAAATCGAATTCGTATTCAATTTCTCATGTCTAATATAATTTACTAAACGGGTTTTGACGTGTAAATACATGTGATTTGCGAACAATAAATATGTATATTCTTAAACTGATTATACTCCAGCCAATGCTTGATTAATACCACCCATTAAATTTACCCGACGACCATTGTATTTTTTCGAAATTTCAGCTTCGACTTGTTTTTGAAGTTGACGTGTGCTCTCAACGACTTGCTTCAATTCTTCGTTTGTTTTTGCAACAACATTTCTGGCCTCTTCTTGTTTGTCAAGCATCAATTTTTGAAGTCTGAAAAAAAAACTTATAATTTAATGTAAAACCAAACAAAAATTCAAATTATTTTAAATATTTACCTTTTATATCTTGCTTCGAGGTCTCGTTTTTTCTCCAAATCTTCAACAACTTGTTCGACATATTGAGGAGAACCACGAATTTTATAAAGATGTTTCTTCTGCGAGTTGTTCAATTTTGTTATGATTTTTTCGATTTGAGAAATCCATTCTTTCAGATTTTTATCAGTAACTTTTGCAATTGTTTCTGGTCGTTTTTCTGCTCCACGAATCAAAGCATCGGCTGAAGTGTCTCTAGTCTCATCTTCTAATCGCATTGTTAAAAATGCGAGAAGTTCATTCAATTCTTGTTGTACGATTTTTTGAGTTTCGCTGTTTTCGAGAAGATTTAGAGCATCTTGTCCACTTGCAATTTTTTGTCCAACTGCTCCTGTATCATCTGCAACGACTTGAAGATCTGTTCCAAAATCAATTTCACCACTTTCAGCTTCTTCTCCACCGAAATCAATTTCATCATCTCCAAAATCAATTTCGTCACTTTCATTTGTGTTTCCAGAATCTGCTTTGAGAAGAAGATCAAAATTTGGTTTTTCAATTCGATCAGGTTTTTCTCCATATTTCAATTCATAAGCAGTGACATCAAGGCCTCTTTGAATAAGCAGAGATAACGCGGGAAGAATATTTGAATTTTTCGGTGTGTTTCCTTGGTGCATATAATCTCTAAATAATTGGTAATGTTCACGAGACGATTCCAAATTAGATACATCTTTTGATATTTCTTCAAAAAATGCTGGAAGTTCAGCGGCAAGTTCGAGTAATTCGGCACGAAGAGATTTACCCTGAAAAATAATATAATAAATACAACATTTCAGATGTTTTTTTATACCTTCAAACCCATTCGTACTAATTCTTTTTCATATTGCTTTTTGCTATCTTCAGCCGTTTTTATATAATCGCCATGTTTCTTGGTTGCATCAACAACAGCTTGATCATTTTTTGCGATTTGTCTTTTCAATCCAGGAATTTCATATTGAGCAAGTCTTTGAAGAGTTTGTGCAGCTTCAGCCAAATATACATAATCTTTTCTATACAATCCTTCAATTTCTTGCCAATCTTTCATACGCTGAGAAGAATAAAATCCGAGAAAATTCTTGGTATCCTTTTCAGTTTCCTTGAGTATTTCAATAATTCGAACACAATGGAAATAATTTATGTCTGAAAATTCAGTGAATTTTGCTGATTTTTCCATGAAAAAATCACTTACAACTTCCTTGAAGTAGTTTAATGATCTCTTGATTTTCTGGCATATCCAAAATAGCATGTTTAATCTTCTCTCTGATTGATAAAACATTTTTCTGCCAATCTTTATTACAATGTCGTCGACTTACTAACCAATCTAAAAAAACAGATTGAATTTTAAAAAATTTAAATAAAATTATCACGGCTTACCGAGAAGTTTACTACTGTGAATATCAATTGGCAAATCGTCTCCCATCGCTGAAAATTTTTATATTTATGAAAAAGCCTATTTACGATGAGAAATCGCTAAAAATGGATGAAAAACTGGAAAAAAATGAAGTTCCAACTTCAAGGAACATGGATTTTTGCTAATTGTTGGTCTTGTGTGGATGGAAGAGAAAAACAAAAAATGTTGGGTTTCTCGTCCATCGCTAAAGGTACACATATTTATTTCGTTTTTGCGTCTCGTCACGACTTTATTTTTTTGGGTTGAAATTCAAATCATTTTCGCTTTTTTTTCATGCTCACGTTTTCAGAAGTTTCTTGTGCAACTCTTGTCGTAAGATCAGCAGAACATTACAACGGAATAATTTCCTTATATTCTTGAGCTTTATCTAATTGCATTCTGTGGGGTTTCTCTGCATAATTGATTTCTCTTTCAGGGTAAAAAATGAGCACCGCCACCAACGGCCATGCATCCGGAGATGCCGCAGCTGCTACAGCTGAAATGACTAGCAAGGATTATTACTTTGATTCTTATGCTCATTTTGGAATCCACGAAGAGATGTTGAAAGATGAAGTCAGAACCATCACTTATCGTAACTCGATTTACCACAACAGACATCTTTTCAAAGACAAGATTGTCATGGACGTTGGATCAGGAACTGGAATTCTCTCCATGTTCGCTGCTAAGGCTGGTGCCAAAAAAGTTTTCGCTGTAAGTTGAATTTTTGTTTATCTTTAATTTTTCACATGATCGATCTTCAGATGGAATTCTCCAACATGGCCAACACTTCTCGTCAAATAATCAAGGATAACGGGCTTGACCACATCGTTGAAATTGTTCAAGCTAAAGTTGAAGACGTCAAAGAACTTCCAGGAGGAGTCGAGAAAGTCGACATTATCATCTCCGAATGGATGGGTTATTGCTTGTTCTACGAGTCCATGTTGAACACCGTTTTGTATGCTCGTGATAAGTGGCTCGCACCTGATGGTCTTCTTTTCCCAGACAAGGCCAAGTTGTACGTTTGTGCCATCGAAGATAGACAATACAAAGATGACAAGATTCACTGGTGGGATTCCGTCTATGGATTCAACATGTCAGCTATTCGTAAGGTCGCTGTCACCGAACCATTGGTTGATGTCGTTGATAACAATCAAGTCGTCACCAACAACTGTCTTCTCAAAGACGTAAGGTTTTACTTTCTAAAATGTATATCACTTTCCTTTTTACAGGTTGATCTTTACACTGTCAAAATTGAAGATCTTACATTCACATCTGACTTCAACTTGAAATGCGCTAGAAGTGACTATGTTCAAGTAAGTTGATTTGTCGCTGTATGTAGAAAAACTAAATAATCTTCCAGGCTCTTGTTACTTTCTTCACCGTCGAATTCTCAAAGTGTCATAAGAAGACTGGTTTCTCAACTGGACCAGACGTTCAATACACTCACTGGAAACAAACCGTCTTTTATCTTATGGATGCTTTGACTGTGAAAAAGAACGAAGAAATCTCGGGAGTGTTCAGTGTCGCACCAAACAAGAGAAACGAACGTGATTTGGATTTCAACATCAAGGTCAAATTCCGCGGAGAAGTTTGTGACTTGGATGAAGATAACACCTACACCATGCATTAGACATTTTTGTTATAACCAGATTGATACTCATTTTCATTTTTTTTTCCCGTTGACCTGTTGCTTGTTGTTCGATTCTGTACATACCTTGACGCGGGTTGTCGCCTTTGTTATCTTGCGCGCTCTGCTCGGTTTTCAATCATTATTTGTCCAATTTGTTTTTTTTGCGAAATAAATCATTTCAATTCATAGTTCACGTTAAAAATTAATATTTCGTTAATGAGTCGATGCAAAATATTTATCCTCGTAAGTTTGATTTTGAAAAAACAAAATGAACGTTCAGCTATGAACCCAATGCCTGGGGTTAGTTTCACCGCGCCGCCACCTCCTCCACCAATTCCACAAGGCGTTGAATTAGTGCTAGAAGCTTCCGATCAATGGAAAATTCAAGAAATCGGGTATGATGGTGTTGAAAAATATATCAAACCAGAAACATTCACGGATAATGTAGGAAAATTGGCTAGAAAAATTGATTGGATGAAAATCGTTGGTTCAGATGTTCCAACAAATTCAACCAATGAATTAGATGATGAAGTTAGTTTTTTTTTCCAAAAATAACAATTTTGAAGTTTAACAAAATGTGATATTTTCAGAACGTCGAGAAAAAGACGAAACCATCTGAAGATCTTGTTGTTCCTGAAGTTGGACCATGGAGTTTTGTAGCAAAACAATTGCAGTGAGTCTACTCCAATTAAAAGAATAATTCAAAGCATCACATATTTTCCAGTGAATCTCTTCAACAATTAAATGTTCTTCTGGATAATCTAAACATTGCAAAAAATACGGATTACATGAAACCATTAACAGTTCTCGATCCAATCTCAAATTTTGAAACAAACGCAGAAATGATAAATATTGGAAAAGGAACTCAATGGATTTGGAAAAGAAGAGCAATTCAGGAAGCAGCCAGTGTTCTAGAAAATGCTGGAAAACAGCGACAAAGAGCAGCGTCGAGTTTGGGACTTTCAGATGAATATATGTCACATATGCAAAGAACACAATTCTTTGAGTAAGTTTTATAGTTTTTTTCAAAAAAATCTATATATTTTCAATGAGAAAATTAACAGGGAATTGAAAGAGATGCGTGATTTTTGGCGAGTTCGCAAAACTGGTGATCGAATTTATGGAGATCTCTCATATAATATTTGTAAGTTCTTTTAATTTTGTTTTAAAATTGAATATTGTTAACACAAATTTAATTTCAGTCGGTACAAAATACGAAACTCATACACTTTTTGATATCAATCGACGAAATGTTGGAAAAAATGAGACATCAAATGAGAGTATTCTAGAAGTATCTGTTCCGAAAGATTTAACTCGACGAACTATGCTAAATGTATCGATTATTAAAGACGAAGTTCAATCTGGAAATATGTATTCAAGTGGAAATGATGAGCATGAAATATATTTGAAAAATTGTGGAGTGAAAGAAAAAGACAAGTTTGTTCATTGGAAAGATGCATTGAAATGGGCACAGAATACGCTGTTTTGTAGAGACACTTTTAATAATGTAAATCCTTAAAAATATTTAATTTATAAAACAAAATCTTCATTTTCAGTTATGTAAAGATGCTATCAAATTGCGTAATCGACTTTCTGTGATACGGGACAATGTTTTGCTTATTTCACTTTTTGATGATTATTTGCTGCGAGTTGAGCTCAAATTTTATCCATTTGAAAAAGGAGAATTGGAAGAAGAAGGCGATAAATATTTGAATCGAATTCTTCGTGAATTAGTTGTATCTTTTGAATGTACCAAATTTTTGCGACCACAAATGTTCACATCTTCGGCGATTACACATTTACCCGAATCTTTGGATATGAGAGGATCGATGGCTTATAGTGCAGATGAGGTTTGTTTAGTTTTGAAGATGCTGAAAACAATAAATAAGAACTCATCTCGATGGAAACAATGTAACCATCAATACTATTCCACCAATTCTCTCTATTAAAAAATCTAGCTTTTCCATAATTTCAGATCAAAATCAAAGCGATCAAACCAAAAACATTGCTCGAACGTCTTCTTGATATGGCTGGCCACTATCATTTGGTGAATTTGACTGGAAAAATTGTGGAAAAATGCGCGTCACAAACACGAGATCCATGTTTGACACATCGATGGGTTCAAAGTGGAAGAAAATTGTCGAAATTGACTGTTTATATGTCATCAAAAGATTATGAACCAGTTCTTGGAAGGTTTGTATTTTCAAATATCTGATTTTTCAACAAAACAACTTTCCAGCATGCGTAATGCTTTCAACGTCGATGTGACAACAGATTGTGTGATTGTCGAAAGTAAAGAAGGTGTTAAAATGATTTGTCACAGAGATCCTGAACAAATTATGTATAGTTTCAATTATTGTGTAAGTTTTTTTTATATTTCAGACGTTTTCCTTATCAAATATATTTTTATTCCAGGTTTGCACATATTCGATTTCATTGATCTCTCTTTTGGCTAAAAATATGTGGACAACTCCATTTCATACATTACACGCAAATATTCACGCATTGGATGATGAGGGAAAACCAGCGCCAAATTTGATTTTGTGTAATCAAGACGCCACTCAATCAGTTTTGTTTGTTTTTCGAGTTGGCAAAGAGCCAGAGATTCGAATTCGAAAGTTTGTTGTTAATGATGCGGTAAGTTATTTATTTTAGTTGGAAATAATTTTTTAAATTCATTTCGAGTTTGGAGAAATATCTTTCTCGTGGATTTTTAGTGTAAAACTTTAAAATAAAAAAATAATGTTGGAAAATGAAGAAATTTCCTCGTTTTCCCGGTGATGAAAAGTTGAATAATTAGACAATTTAAAAATGAGTGAAATTTTTTCAGACAATGAAACCAGAAGAACATAAATGGCGAAAATTGAACTACGAAAAATTGGCTGGTTCAACACTTTGTCGAAAAGTTGATGTTCTCCTCGCATTTCTACGCGATGCTCCTTAATCTCAACTTTTTTTCTCTTATTCTCATTTTTTGCACCTTGTACTATAGTAGTGTAAGTTTGTCTATGATCTCAATAAATTATCAATTTTTTGCTTGAGTTGATGTGCTTGAACATTTTGTCTATTTGTTCATGTAGGTTTGTATATTTATGTATCTAAATAACTTTTTTCTGCTGCTCACGACTGGTTTTTTGTCTCTCTGTAATGTTTTGTTTCGACTACGATGTTGTTGTTTGGATTGTTTTAGTGGAGGCGAGAAATGGAGGAAAAATAGAGAAAAGCGGAGAGTTTTGAAGTTTGTTTCAAACTTCCTTAAATTTTGAACTTAAAAAAATGAATTAGAACTACAGTAACCTTTCAGTTGGACATTTGGCTAGAAAAATGATGGAACTTTCTGCCACGTGGAACCAATGGAATCGAGATTTTAGGATAATTTTCGATAAATTTAATTTTTGAGTTCAATTTAGCCACGTGGCATGAGAAATCTGAAAATTCGTTTTTTGGTTTAATTCTGCCACGTGGCATGGAAATTTTCAAAGATTCGAGTTTCAACTAAAATTTTGCCTCAAGAAATTTGAAAATGTTCACTTTTGCAACGTGACATAATAAATTTGAAAAAAAAATCATTTTCAAGATTTTTGCACACTTTTCTGTGGGTTCAAAATAACAATAAAAATAAAAATTCAAGTTTTCTGAATTTTTGGATATAAAATTACAGAATAAATAATTTCAACAAGTTACAGTAACTCAAAAAAATGCCAAAGAATGTTTCGTGTTGTCCTTTTTTTGCATTTGAGGTTGAAAATCATTCGTACTTATCGATGTCGCGGTTCAAACTAATTCTCTAAATCAACATTTGTCTTTTCTCTTCAATCTCTTTTTTCTCCCTAACTGATATCAAAAAAAAAAGAGACAAAAAATAACTTTGGGCAAATTTGAAGGCAAAAGGATAAGTAGGTAAATAATGAGAAAACTACAGTATTCTGGAAAAGGGCGGGAATCGAAAATAATATATAAAAAGAAAAGAGTTGGCACAGAAAATAGGTAAATACTTTCTTCTTCTTCTTCTTCTATTTTCATATTTCTTCTTACACCCTTCTTTTTTTTGATGTTTCCTTCCACCTCATTTGAAATTCTCAGTATAAAATGAAATAATTTTTCAAATTTTTCAGAAAGAAAATGCAATCAGTTTCAATTGTCGCCCTTTTCGTCCTTGTTGCCTGTGTTTTCGCACAATATTCAAACCAAAATCAATAGTGAGTTCTTATTTTAAGATATTTTAAGAATGATCAACTATTTTTCAGCAGTAATAACAACCAATATCAAACCACTCGTGCTAATCAATATTCCAATACCAACCAATATCAAAATACCAATTCTCAATATCAAAACAGCCAATACAGTAACCAATATGGACAAACCACATCGTCACCATACAACAATCAATACAACTCAAATCAATATGGATCAACAACATCTGGAAGACAATTCGATCAATCTTTCAACTCTGTCTCGAAAGCTTCAGCTGTTATGTCCGCTGTTGGAGCCATCGCTTATGCACTTTTGTAAATTTTGATTTTGTAAATACATTTTCTCTTGGCTCTTCAATTCTCATTGAAATATGTTTTTTTTTCATCGTCCATGATAATTTCGAGCTTTTTCCCAATTTGTTTGTTTGATTTTTCTTTCTTTTTTCTACTTCGAATGCTGGTATTCTTATACTGAACAATGAATGAGTTTTCTCTTCAGAAGAATCGTAGAATATGTCCAAAAATATTTGGAATTTTGCCAAAAATCTGATGTAGACCACCAAGAAAGACAAAAAATCTGAAAAATCTGAACGTGCAATGGACTTCAGCATATTCCCAATAATTGGTCCGATTTTCGACAGATTTCTCTCCTCAGATGACATAATTATCCTCAAATCCAAAAAAAGTTAGAACAAATCGATTTTCCAAATGTGATATTTTTCTGATCGGGATCTTTGAGCAACCTTTTTTTCTAAAGCCGTTCAAAAAATTTCACAATATTTGAAACACATTGCGACATTGCGATTCAATGATCAGTGGCGAGAAAAATAACATCGGAGTCAAGTGCAAAATGTCAATAAATGAGTAAAACTAAACATTTTTGTGTGTGTGTGTCTTGCCCCAAATTTTTTACTGCCATTTTTTGTTAGGTAAATATTGAAAATGAAAGTTATTTATTTTTCTCAAAACAATTTATGTATGTTTTATTTACAAAATTTACGAAATGTTCAAATAATTAATTGAGTGGTCGACGAGATGGGCGGGGTGGAGATGGAGGCGAAGGTGGGACCGGGGGACCAGAAGGTCTTGGTGGAGAAGGAGGCGAAGGTGGAGCTGGAGGGCCAGAAGGTCTTGGTGGAGAAGGAGGCGAAGGTGGAGCTGGAGGGCCAGAAGGTCTTGGTGGAGAAGGAGGCGAAGGTGGGACTGGAGGGCCAGAAGGTCTTGGCGGAGGCGAAGGTGGAACTGGAGGGCCAGACGGTCTTGGTGGCAATGGTCTTGAAGTAGATGGGACTTCGGTTGATGATTCTACAGGTGAAACGCTTGAGGGTTCTTCCGAACTAGGCTGTGGAGCTTCACTCGATGGAGCTGCTGAAGAAGAGATCGGTGCAACAGATGGATCTGGAGCAGCACTTGACGATGGCACGATCGGTGCTGAAGTAGACGGTCCTTCTGAACTAGACTGTGGTTGTTCGGTTGATGGCGCCGCAGAGCTTGATTGTGGAGCTTCACTAGAAGGTGCTGAAGTAGACGGTCCTTCTGAACTTGATTGTGGAGCTTCACTCGACGGTGCTTCACTCGATGGAGCTGCTGAAGGAGAGATCGGAGCAACTGATGAATCTGGAGCAGCACTTGACGACGGAATAATCGGTGCTGAAGTAGACGGTTCTTCTGAACTTGATTGTGGTTGTTCGGTTAATGGCGCCGCAGAGCTTGATTGTGGAGCTTCACTAGAAGGCTCCGAAGTAGACGGACTTTCCGAACTAGGCTGTGGAGCTTCACTCGAAGGTTCTGAAGTAGACGGTCCTTCTGAACTTGATTGTGGAGCTTCACTAGAAGGTTCTGATGATGGAGCTGCTGAAGACGGTCCTTCCGAACTAGAGTGTGGCTGTTCAGTTGATGGCGCCGCAGAGCTTGATTGTGGAGCTTCACTAGAAGGCGCTGAAGTGGAAGGTCCTTCCGAACTAGGCTGTGGAGCTTCACTCGAAGGTGCTTCACTCGATGGAGCTGCTGAAGAAGAGATCGGTGCAACTGATGAATCTGGAGCAGCACTTGACGATGGAATAATTGGTGCTGAAGTAGACGGTTCTTCTGAACTTGATTGTGGAGCTTCACTCGAAGGTGCTGACGAAGATTGTACGATTGGAGCTGAACTTGGCTCTATTGATGATTGTGGTGCAGCACTAGAGATTGGTGCTTCAGAGCTCGGAACTGGATTCTCAGTTGATGGAGAAGAACTTGAAGATTGTGGCTCTTCTGAGCTTAATAATGGAGCAGCAGATGGTATTTCAGAGCTTGAATTTGGAGCTTCAGTCGATAATTCCAATGGCAAAGGTGCCAATGACGATTGAGAAATTGGAGCAGCAGATGAGGAAGGTGCAATCGATGGTGCTTCAGATGACAAAACTGGCGGAGAAGTTGAAATAATTGGTGGAAGTGTAGTCTTTTTATGTGGCTTTTGTGTTGGTTTATGAGGCGGTCGACGAGTTTTCCCGTGATGATGATGATTGTGTGGTCGAGCTAGAACCACAGACAAGAATAGCGCAAGAATAAGAGCGAATTTGATTGGAGAAGTCATTTTTGAGTTATTTTGAGAACGTTATTGTTCTGTTTATATAGTATGCAAATTGTTGTAGTCCCGCCTCTTTTTACAGGCGCCGACTGATAACTAACAAAAAAAAAGTTATTTTATCATTGAACAAAAATTGATGCTGATGAGCTTATTTGACGATTAAAAATCTTGATTTTCAGGCCAAAAAATCAGAAACATAATGCAATGTTTTGAAAAAATAACTTCAAAGTTCTCTATGATCCAAAAAAATTGGCACAAGTTCGGGTAAACATTTTTTTAAGAAAAAAAAAACTGGAGCCGTGTTTTCAATAAATTTAAATGGAAGTTTTTGAATCGCAAAATTGAAGAGCAATCAGTACGGATACGATAAATCGGAAAATCTGAAAAAAAATGGGGTCTTACTCCAATTCTTTGTTCAGCAGGCCACAAAAATTACCGTACTTCATTACTTTTTCAGTTTTGTGTCCTTATATTTTTATTCCCGAATCCAGTTCCGATTTCATTGATTCAAAACTTCATTTCTCAAAATTTGACTTTTGAACTTGTGCCATTTTTAAAATAATGACTCAATACACTTTTTTTTTTTTAGAGACACACCCATTTTTTATGACTTCAATGTAGTTCCAAATATTTTCCTCCGGATGTTTATGACGTATTTTCAAATGACATCAAAACACCCACATAAAGAACTTTTTTCGAATTACGTATTGTCTTTTTTGTTATCACCTACTATTTTGTTATTTTGAAGACATGAATTGGTCTCGCGATAAGAATAGTTCAAAAGTATCACATGAGTCTTTGATTTAGAGCAAAAATGCTTCGATCAAGCAACCCGGTAATCTGTTTTTCCGGTTTTTGAAGAAAATCGAGTTGAGTTTTCGAAAATATATTCAAGAAACTAGATTTATTCAAAAAGACCCTTTTAAAATGAAATATCACGGAAGAAATAAAAAATTGATTTTGGAGGAATGGAAGAAGACGATGGAGCAGAAGATGGGGCGATCGAGGATTTAGGAGCTGGCGATGTTGATACTGGGGCCTTGGATGAAGCTGGAGCTGCTGAAGACGAAGCAGCTGGAGATGAAGCAGGTTTTTGAGTTGATGGTGCTGGAGAAGATGATCCGGGTGCTTTCGATGAAGATGGAGATTTTGGAGCGGAAGTAGATGATTCTGGTGATTTAGTTGAATGTGAAGCTGGAGAAGACGGTGGGGAATGTGGATGTTCCGATGGTTTTGGTGTAGCCTTGGAAGCTGGATGTGGTTTTGGTTTATGTGTTGGATGTGGCTTTTTATGTGGTTTTGAAATAGCCAAACCAATAACACAAACAATAAGAAGAATTAGGATTTTCGAATTCATGTTTATTTTTCGATATTCAACCTGATTCGGAAAATCTCTTTTATAGTCCTATTATTTTCAGATCCGCCCACAAAATATGTAAATTTTCTTATCAGTTCATATGGTTTTTGTTGTCTGAAATTTACGTCACAAAAACAATACGTACTATAGTTTTATGTGATACTTCAAAGTTCAAAGAGGAAAAATTATCGAATGGATTTTCAATAACATAGGAAGATCTGGGAGTTATTTGGTGGAACAGTCTTGGTGAAAATCTAATTTTCAAACGTTAAATTAACTGGATAGCTTGAAAAACGGAAACCAACAGGTTTTGATTCCAGAAACTAATAGGTCATGATTCATATAAATTTTGATAACTTCAAGAAAAAATATTTCTCAATGTTCTTTGATTTGTTTCCTGACATCATATTTTTAGCGTAAACTCACATGAGTTCGTAATCTTCAAAATTTTATCAACAAAACTCAAATGACCGGAAAAGCAATCAGTTCGTTGATAAACATTGCGATACTTTGTTTCCGATTGCATCAGAGTATTTTTTCTGGGAGTAAGATTTTCTAACAAGACATCTAACAACTAAATTCCGAGAACATATAATTATTTTCAGAAACTCGACAAATCAAACTCGGCTCCAAGTGTGTGTATCAAAACATTCTAATGTTTGATCATTTCAATTTGTGTCAATATTTTTCAACTTTTACCCATAATTTTCATAGACAGATATCAGCTGAAAAACCACTAGACAACTTCGTTATCGGCATATGAACTTTGAAATACAGTATGAATTGTTTTCGTTGTGTGACGTAAATTTCAGACAACAAAAACCGTCTGATATAAATTTGTGGGCGGATCTGAAAATAATAGGACTACTCAGAGATTCGCTGGCCAGCTGGTCACTAGGTGGGACCGACTGCCCATCTGAAATTGACACGGACAACCACATCGCCCGTATTTTTTGCCAGACGACATGGTCGCGAGGTCGTTCAGTTCATGCAGACCACCTCGCCCAGGTTGTCCAGCTCGAGCCGACCTCGCCTCCAGATCGTCTCGCTTAAGAGAAAAAAGTCCAAAAAACTTGTGAATCCGAGCATTCTAGAAGAAACTGGCTCATTTTCTGTTTTTTCGGAGTACTAGAAACCTTAGGAAGTGAAAAAACAGTAAAAATTGCACTATTTTGAGTACAAACCACCGTCTTGCTAGCTTTTCAGGATTTGAAACACACAGGCCACGTCGCCGGAAAACTCAAGGCGACCTGGTGGCCGAATCAAATTCAGCTCGTTTTGAACTTTCCGGCCACCTGGTCCTGATCTAGTGGCGAGCTGGCCAGCGAATCTCTGAGTATAAAAGATTTTCAGAATCAGGTTGAATATCGAAAAAAAACATGAATTCGAAAATCCTAATTCTTCTTATTGTTTGTGTTATTGGTTTGGCTATTTCAAAACCACATAAAAAGCCACATCCAACACATAAACCAAAACCACATCCAGCTTCCAAGGCTACACACAGGGTGTAATTCACTACCTCAAATCGCTAGACCTCAAATTTTTCATTAATTTTTGGGTAGATCAAAAATAATTTTTCTCTAAATCTCTCGTTTTTGCGTTGAATTTCGTCGATTTTAGTCCCACCCCTAAGATCGTGTCAGGTCTCAAAAAATGCGCGAAATTTTTCGGGTAGTAAATTACACTCTGTGCTACACCAAAACCATCGGAACATCCACATTCATCACCGTCTTCTCCAGCTTCACATTCAACTAAGTCACCAGAATCATCTACTTCCGCTCCAAAATCTCCATCTTCATCGAAAGCACCCGGATCATCTTCTCCAGCACCATCAACTCAAAAACCTGCTTCATCTCCAGCTGCTTCGCCTTCAGCAGTTCCAGCTTCATCAAAGGCACCAGTATCAACATCTCCAGCTCCTAAATCCTCGGTTGCCCCATCTTCTGCACCAAAATCATCGGCTTCTTTGTAATTCAGATATTTTTTGTATGATTTCGTATCGCAATAAAAATTTTGAAAAAATCTTTCGATTTTTCTCCGAACCAGATTTCTACAGGAAATTTTAGCAATTTTTCCCAACTTTACAACAAAAAATACAGTAACCATTATTTATGTCTCAAACCTTTACACAACTTTTTGTTGATACTGTACTCTCAGACCCAGTTGATGATGTTTCAATATCAGTAGGACTAACCTCTTGATTTTGATTGTTCTTCTCAAATTTATTCCTAATAAAATCCACACAAGCACACCTTCGTTTTCTTTTCTCCACTTTAAATGATCGTTTATTTTGAATCAAATCAATAACCGTTGGATTTTCGTCAGGCTGCAAATAAATGATTTCAAAATCAGCAAAGATTTGTTTTACAAAAAAACCTACATTGAAAACCGGTGGTATTTTCTGTTTCTTTTTCTTCTTCATTTTTTTATTTTTCACTTTTATTGGAATTTTTGGAATAACAGGTCGACTTAATGGAAGTGCTGAATGATATCCAAATTTCGTTGCATTTTTAGATTGACATCGAATATATTTTTCATTCGAAATATGAAATGGATCTGTACATTGTCTTTGATTATTCATCGAATCCAATGTTTTTCGAACAATTCCAATAACTTTTTGAGGCAATTTCAACAATTTAATTCGTTCAATTATCAGATCTTTGTCAGCAGGACTCAAGAATTTCGTGCGAAGACAAAGAAATAAAGCATCTGTATAGATATTCGGATTATTTTTGTTTTTCAGCCATAATAAAATGATATCCGCAATAAACATTTCCTGCGCGAAAAAATCGCAACTTGACAGAATTTGAATCAATTGATAAAATGGAAGTCGATGGAAATCCGATAATTCGGCTAATTTTTCAATTGAAAGAATAGCTTCGAGTTGAATTTGATGTTCTGTTTCATTTGAAATTGAAATCGAATCACACACAATTAATGCTTGTAGAAGATTATCCGCTGAAGTTTTTGATTGATCAATCAGAATCTGTAAAATGTTCACTTTTTGCAGAAAAAAAACAAACAAACCTGCTCTATTGTCATTTTCATATTTTCCATCAAAAACGAATTAGATAAAGATAATAATTCGGTTATCGAAAAATATGACAAAGTTCTTCGAAGTTCTCCTCTTCTGATATACAGTGCGTTTCATAATGATAGGTTCACCCCCAAAATTTCTGAAATCAGCCGAGGTGTGAGTTGTAATAACAATCCGAGTTAAAAATAAAAAAGAGCACACAAAATTAGCTAAGAAAACTCAATTTTATCTGAAACTACCAAATAATAAAAAAATAAATGACCGGAGTTCAAAAATTTCAAAAATTTAGCGTTTCAAAACGATAGGTTCACCTAATCCAGAATTCCCATTGGAGACATATAATCGAAAATCAATACTTAGTTGGACCTCCATGTTTAGAAATGACATCATAGAGACGATTTGGCATCGAGTCAACAAGTCTCTTGAGGTAGTTCTTATCGATTTTATTCCATTCCGTCTCGATGGCATCTTTGAGTTGGTCCACAGTATCATATTTTTTTCCTTGAGCATAAACTCGGCGAACGAGCTCCCCCATACGTTTTCCATCGGATTAAGATCAGGAGAACACGCTGGCCAATCCAAAACTTTGATTTTGTGGCTTTTGAACCAATCTTTTGATGATTGGCTGACGTGGATGGCAGCATTATCCTGTTGAAAAGTGAACTTTCTGGTCCGGAACCGCCTCAAATATGGCAAAAGATAGTCATGGAGGGTTTTTTGGTAATCTAACGAATCCATCTTGAATGAAACAAAAGCTATTTTTAACGTTCCAGCTGCAGAAAATGCGCCCCAACACATAACCCGTCCTCCTCCAAAATTTCTCTTTGGGAAGCGAAGTTGATCCTTTCTGATATCATGCCAGTATGAGTTGTAACCATCCGGACCATCAAGATTAAACTTTTTTTCGTCAGAAAAAATTATCTGAACAAGAAAACATCAATATTTGATGTTTTTAGAAAAATTACTTACCTTATCCCAATCTGTGGCCATGTTGGCTTTTGCGAAAGTAAGACGGTTGTCTTTGTGGCGAAGTGTGAGACGCGGAGCTGGCACCAATTTGGCTCGAACGATTTCTGGGGATTGGTCTATGGCTCTCCAAACTGTAGTCTTACTGATATTCAAACCCAGCTCGTTTTTGATGTCATTACACGATTTCATTGTGTTCGAAGCCAACCTAACAATCCCTCGTTTATCTCTCTCCGTGAGTTTTTTGGGAGCTCCAGTGTTTTTCATTCGCTCATAGTGATCCGGATTGTTGACAAATTGATTAATACAGTTGAGAGATCGTTTCAATTTTGACGAAATCATTCTATTGGACCATCCGGCGATTTTGAATGCTCTAATTTGAGCTTGTTCCTCTTTTGTAAGATGACTTCCCCGCGACATTGATGAATGACGTGAAAAAACGAGAACAAAAACAGAAACACGTTAAAATAATCAAATATCACTCGTATTTTCCAGAATATTCGATAAAACTCCTACCACGAAACATAACTACAGTACTACTGCGGGTGAACCTATCGTTTTGAAACGCTAAATTTTTGAAATTTTTGAACTCCGGTCATTTATTTTTTTATTATTTGGTAGTTTCAGATAAAATTGAGTTTTCTTAGCTAATTTTGTGTGCTCTTTTTTATTTTTAACTCGGATTGTTATTACAACTCACACCTCGGCTGATTTCAGAAATTTTGGGGGTGAACCTATCATTATGAAACGCACTGTATTTGACAAATGATATAACTGTTTTATTGTCAAAATTATTCAAAGAAATCGAGCTCATCACATTTCCATCCTCTTGTTGTTGTTTTATCAGATTTGATACTTTTATAAAATCTTCGATATAAACATGATAAATATTCCTAGAACTTGTGATTTGTATGATTCGACTTCGATTTATTCGAATCTTCTTTTCTTCGTCCGGAACACTTTCAATTTGTTGCTCAGAATAACTGAAATAAATACATTGAAGCATTGTTTTTGTTGAAAAATTAGAACTTACGGTTTTTTATTAGTTTGCATTGTTATTTTATCACAAATCGAGTTATTTAAAAAATTGAATCTAAAAATGAGGCGAATCGAGATCACATTTTTTTGCTGACGACTATTTGGGTCACGTGTTTAAAAAAAATTGATTTTTGAAATGTCATAATTTATAAACTCGTCGTTTTCAAGCACATACGAAAAATGGAAGAAGCTCCCGACAAAAAAAATCGAAAAAACAATAAAGAAATGATATTGGACATGATTATGATGAAAAAAAAAAAGAATTCGGAGGCCGGTCAAAATAGGAGTGAAATTCTGGCGATGTGAACAAAGAATGTTTTGGGGAATGAATGAATTGAATAAAAGAAGAGGAATTAGAGTAAAATGGGAAACTAAACTATCTTCTATGAACATATATAAATGAGATTATCAAGAGAACAGAAAACAACAACAAATTGGAGGTGATTTTTTGGAGCGAAGAAAAATCAACCTGCGAAACTTTGAAGTCGCTCATGATTGCTGAAGATGAGGATAGTATGATGTCGATTGAGAAGATTGGCGGAAAAGTGATGGATTGGTTGAAAATTGGCGAGGTTTAGAAACATTTTGAGTTGTGCCAGCTGATGTGGGATAGCGACTTGTGAATTGCTGCATAAATGTAGAATACATCTAAAAAAATTACAAAAAAATACTTTTGAAAATATTGTTAGAATAATACCTGTCTTTGATATTCTTCATTTTTCGACGAGCTTGGTTCCGGGGCATCTGGTTCAACAAAACTCAAAATTCGACGATTTGGCTTTCCTCGAACTGGCGGAGCTGGAGCACGGTTGAAAGATGGTTTCACATTTGCAGCAGCTTTCGCTGAGTTTTCGGAATTACGTTGTGGTCCCCAAATATAATCCGCTGGAAGAACAGACGACAAGGCTGTATACATTTTGTCTTCCTTTTCCAATTCCCAACCAGCCGGTTCCATATCAGAACTTTTCAGATGCATTTCACGGGTTATCTGAAAAATAATTATTATTTATCATTTATTTATTTCTTTGATACTCACGATTCTCATTTTCTCTGGATCATAAACTTCGAAGAGTCCAGTGACAATTTCAGTTGCCGGTAAACGGAAAATCGCCGAGATTGATTGACCAAGAGAATTGATACCAACTAAAAAATTGATAAAAATAATAGAAAAAAGATTTTTGTGCTTACATTCATCGGTGTTCAATTTTCTGTGAACCCACAACTTCTCCGAGATGCAGAATCTCCACCCACGAGTTTGTCTATAAAAATTGATAAACCTTTTGAGCTGAAAATAAAAATCTGCTTACAGTTCTCTAGCCGTGTTCAATTGCCAAAACTCTTGAGGGAAATTATAAAAAATGTAGAACAATTCGTGAAGTCCAACTTTTTCGGGCATCGTTTTGCTCATATCGATAGTTCCTTGTAATGTTCTAGCTGTGTAATATACACTCGGAAGTTCATTGTATGCAACGCCCATACAAACAGGAGGTAGTGGATCTGATCCAAATGGTCCCGCAAATGTATTCCAAACTGGCCTAAAAATTATACATTTTATTGATAAATTGAAATTTCTGTTGGAAATTTACTTTTGATCATTTTTGGTGGGAACGCCCAGCGAATTCATTTCAACGCCACAAGCCAACATTTCGATCTGAAAACAAGTTATTTCTAATTTCAAATATTGAAAGTTTCAATCATACCATTCGATCTTGTTCAGGTGTTGCTGATTGTTGTTCAGAATTGGTTGGATTGTTTCGATTTTTCATCAAATTCAAAATCGGCAACATTGCGGCGAGTCCAAATTGATCATCCAACATTGATGGTGGAATATTTGTCATTTCTCCATCTTCTCCCAATTGAATTCTGGGGCAATCTTTTCTTTCTGGGACAGCATCGTTTCCACTATCAAACACCGGCTCTTCGTCTACTTCTTTCTCAGTTGGCGTGTCGTCGACTTTAGTTTCCGGTGTGTCTGTTAATTTTTGAGGTGATCCATTGATTCTTGAATTCAATCTTCCACGACGCTCCGGAACTTTTTGGCCGCTTTTTGACAACTTCAAAAATGACAAAGGTGACGCGTTGTTTGTGCTGTTTGCATTGTTGTTTCCCTTCTGAAACACGTTATCCAAAATTGGTATGCCAAACCACGAAAACATAACAACGAAATGATGAGTAATAAACGCGCATCATTTCATTGAATATGTCACGTGAAAATACCTTTCTTGGGGTTGAATTTAGAGATTTGAGTGGCTTTCGAGGAGAAGATTCTGCAGAAGCGGCCAGTTTCTTTTTCTCCGTTTTCTTCACCATCTCAATTTCAGATGAGTTTTCTTGTGGTGGAGTATTTCCACGACTGAGTGATGATACACCACTGTCGTCTGTAGAAACTCGCTCATCCTGAAAAATAGAGAATTTTGAATATAGTAAGGAGGCAAATCTGACCATTGAATTCACAGAAGTTGGTCTTGGAGATGATTCATTTGAAGATTCTTCTTCACGCTTCTTTTTAGCGGATGTCTTCATCCCATTGGATTTCTTTGTTCCTCCACCTGCTCCAGGTAATGCCGGAAAATCTTCATTTGTTATCGAAAAACGTGGATCTGACATGTCAACAGGGTTGAGGCAAATTCCACGTAAACGCCAATTTATGGCACGTTGAGATCTGCTGACGTTGGATTGAACTGTTTTCTTTGATGATGATGTTGTTGAAATTGCTGGACTCGACTCACTACTCTGAAAAACAAAAAATAAAAGTTTTCTGTCAATATTTCTTTCTAATCACGGAAGAAAATAGAGTTATGAGATTCTAAAAATACGGAAAGGTTTTAGGAAAAGAAATAAAAATTTGCGAACAAAAATTTCCGCGAAAATTTTATTGACATGAATAAATATTTCTAGACTCGCGGGTAGATCAAATTCTTACCAAATCATTATTTTTCAAAGCTGGACTACTTTTAGTACTCGAAACAACATCTGTCGATTTATTTGCATCTCCATCATTTGCTGAACTAGGTCTCAATCGACTCTTGTTTTTTCCAATTTTCACACTTCCATCAGTTGATTCGCCAGGCTTCACACCACGCCGTACCATTTTATTCGGAACGACGAGGTTTTACGCCTCTTTTCAGAAACAAATCTGTAAACGATATCAGGTAATAGTTAAATTCATCTCTAAACTCACGTTCGATAATTGGTACAGAGATGTGAGAAATACAGTTGTCACGGAAGAAGAAGAAAAACGAAGCGAAATTAAAAAAGTTTGGCCTAAAAACTACAGTAGAGAAATAAGGGCGCACGCGTTTTTATTTTTAGGTCTCGCAACATTTTGTGTGTTCGCGGCGCGCTAAAAATTATTTTTTTGCGATTTTTCTATTTCAATTTTTTTTCATTTTTTAGATTGTTTATGATTACGAAAATATTTATTCATCAAATAAAAATTATAACACATTTACAAAATCAATGAATCTGGAGATGATTCTGGAGCAGCAGAAGATGATACGATTTCTGGTTGAATTGAAGAAGAAGGTGATTGAGTTGATGGCGAATCAGAAGATGGTTGAATAGAAGAAGGAGAAGGAGAAGATGGTGATTGAGATGGGAATGGAACTGGGGGACCAGATGGTGGTGGGTGTGGATGATCAGATGGTTTTGGTGGAGGAGGAGGTCCAGATGGATGTGGTCTTGGTCGATGTGAATGTCTATGTGGTTTTGAAATTGCCAAACCAACCAAGCAGACAATGAGAAGAATTGTAAGTTTCGAAATCATGTTTTCGATATTGAATTAGGTTCAGAAAGTTTCTTTTATAGTAAATTTTTGCTTCGGGTCCGCCCACAAAATTGATAAAAATACTTTATCAGCTCATATGATTTCCGTTGACTTATATCAACATCATTTAGAAAACAGGTCATTCGTTTTTTGATGTTGTGTTCATCTGAATGAAAAAGATGAGATGATACTGAAACCTGGACTAAAAATTTGTTCGTAACGATCTGAAAAATATCTAGAATTATTTCAAAATGAAAATTAAAAAATACGCCGGCAAAAATAGAGTTCACGTTTCAAATATGTTCTCCATTTCTTCAAGTTCTATTTTACTTGTTAGTTTTCCTATAGTTTTCTAGATTTTTTGTAAATTTTCTGACATTTTCATAGTACTGTATCTTAGTGGTTGAAACCTGATAATTTCAGTCCATGCCTTTATCTACAGTATATTATAAAAGTATTTTCGATAGTTCCAGCTTCAAAAAGGTTGTTCGAGTTCTTTGATTTTCATTTGACATCATATTTTTGGCGTAAACTCACATGATTGTTTTTTATGTGCAAGTTCGTAATCTTCAAAATTTTATCAACATTTTTGAATGACCGGAAAAGAATTATACGCAACTGATAATTTCTTTTTGAAAATACGGAAAAGGTTAGGTCAAAAAGCGAATGTTCGATGGAATATAGGTCGCAAATATATGAGATTGAGATTCCAATAATTTATTGATTTTCTGAATTCAACCAGAGAAAAACAAATGACTGTGCACAGATCAAAAACATGTAGATCTACTGTAACTCCTGGCTTTGGCCAAAAAAATTGACGCGAGTCACCACTTTTTGTATATTTTCAGATTATTCACAGATTCCGTTATTTTCGTTTGATTGAACTTTTTGAAACATTTCACCTGACATTTTTTTAAAATTGATAACTGAAAATGGCTTGAAGTTCATCGATTCTATAGAATTCGATGGATCTCAAAATAAAAAAAATAAAAATTTGCATATTTTCTCTAAAAATTTAACAAAGTTGTAATTGTTCTTTGGAATGACGTTTGTAAAAGTCAACGGAAATCATATGAGCTGATAAAGTATTTTTATCATTTTTGTGGGCGGACCCGAAGCAAAAATTTACTATAAAAGAAACTTTCTGAACCTAATTCAATATAAAAAAAAAATGACTTCGAAACTTACAATTCTTCTTATTGTCTGCTTGGTTGGTTTGGCAATTTCAAAACCACATAGACATTCACAACGACCAAGACCACATCCATCAGGACCACCTCCACCAAAACCATCTGATCATCCACACCCACCACCATCTGGTCCCCCAGTTCCATTCCCATCTCAATCACCATCTTCTCCTTCTCCTTCTTCTATTCAACCATCTTCTGATTCGCCATCAACTCAATCACCTTCTTCTTCAATTCAACCAGAAATCGTATCATCTTCTGCTGCTCCAGAATCATCTCCAGATTCATTGATTTTGTAAATATGTTATAATTTTTATTTTATAAATAAATGTATTTATTTCACTATTTTGTCTCTTCTCTCTTGTGTGGACGCCCATATTTTGAAAGCGCGTTTTGGATCAATAAAAAAACAACCAAAAGTTTAATTAAATTTAAAATATTTTTCAGATTAGTCGTGGTTGAAAATATGCGAGATGATGTTTGTTGGAAAAAATGAAGCAATAAATCAAATTTGAGCGATGGGATGATCGAGGAACGGACGAAATTTCAAAGGTTAGTTCTTTCTTTGGGTTCGATTGAGTAATGAAGGTTTAGTCGGAGGCATACATGATGGAGGGAGGGGGGTTAAAGGGAGGGGTTAACTTTAGGTGAATTTTTGAAGGTAGAGGGGTTAACTTTTGAATATTTTGAGGTATTTTATGCTTTTAGGGGTCAAAAATCAGTAAAAAATTGGGTTAGGGTGGTTAACTTTTCGAAAATTTTGCCTGGGAGGGAGTTAACTGAGGGGCTCTCGGAGCGACTAGTTCAAGTACGGTCGGAGGGAGTTCTGTAGAGTTCGAAAATTTTAAACTGATTTGTGAGAAGGGGGATATATTGGGTTTTTGTGGATATGGGTAAGTATCTTGGTGAAAAAATGATCTAAAAATGAAAGAAAGTTATTTCATGAAAAAGTCGCTTGATGATAGTAAAGCCGGAATTATGTTTTATATTTTTATTTTTTTAAATCATTTTTTTGAAGTTTGTTTTTGTTATGTGATTTTTTGTGACTTGATTTTTTTCTCAAACGGTGTAAAATACAAATCGATTTGAATCTTGCACTGGATGAGGTCATCACCCAATTTTTTGAAATAATGTATAGAATCTCTAGTTTTTTGTGATAATTATACTCAAACAATGTTAATTACAAGATATATAATCAGAATGAAGAATGAAGACCGACGGAAGCCTGTCATTTCATTCTTGTTTATTTCTTGTTAGCGGCTAAAACATTCTCATCAATAAGTGGTGGTAAATTTTTGTGTTTCTTGTCTGGAAGAGTTTCGGGAAGTTGTCGACCTTTGGTTTCCGGTAGTTGAATTTGAAAAGCAATTGCATCAAAAATACACATCCCAGTCAAAATGGCATATGGTACACTTTTGTATGGACACTGCAATAACATAACTTTTTAGAAATAGAGTTAAAAATGGATGGAATTCATACCAAAATAAATAACTGTGGACCAAGAATAGTTCCAAATCTGCTCGCTGTAGCTTTGAATGACACTGCTGAATTTCGAATAACAGTTGGATAATATTCCATTAGAACCATAGTTTTTGTGATAAAAACTTGTGAGGCTGTCGCGGATGCAAGTAATGTTGAAAAACGAATTATGAATGCATATTTCTCATCGATTTCAAAGAAATAAGTTAGGAAAATGATGAATACACAAAGAGCAATTGTCAATTTCGAGATTAGATGGATTTGTTTTCGACCCAATCGGGGGAATTTTATATCAGCTAATCCGAATAAAATATTCAAAGTCCATCGAAGAGATCCCATCATCAAAGCATTCACATAAATTGATCCCGAAAGTTTTTCGATATTAAAAACGAATCCATAATTAGTAAATGATGTTGAGAACCTGAAGAAAATCAGGGGATTTAGTTTTGGACAAAGAGAAAATTGTAGTCAACTCACATTCCAATCCATAAAATCAATGTGACTCCAGTCATGTTTCGATTCCAGAAAAGATGTCTCATATCATAATTTTTCCTCTTACTCATCCTTTCCTCTTGTTTCACTCTTTCATTTTCAATAAGCTCTTCAATATTTCCCAAAGAATGCTCATTTGCTCCTCCATCAATTGCTAGAATTTTCTGTAGAACTCGGCGAGCATCATCAAGTCGACCAGCTTGAATGAGCCAGCGAGGTGATTCTTGTACAAATCTTTAAAAAACGTTTTCTTTAAATTTCATTTTGAGAGAACTTACAAAAATACAATTGCTCCTGGAATTGATAATGCAAAAATGGCATATTGATATGTTTTCCAGTCATGACAGAAATAAGCAACAACACTAAGCATCATATAATTTGGTGCCCAACTAATCATAGTTGCAATCCAAAATCGATGTTGTCTTGGAACATGTTCCATCTTATAAACACCATAAGTACTCAGTAATCCACCTTTGAAAACTGATAAAATAGTTCGAAGAATGGTAAAAGTTAGAAGATCTTTTGCAAGTGTGCAAACAAGACTCAATCCAGAAACCATGAAAAAACAAACTGATAACACTTTCAATCTACCGTATCTATCAGCAACAGTTCCAGATAGAACTGATCCGATTAAAACTCCAAACATTTGAATTGAAATTGATGTTTTCACCCAATCACCTTCTTTGCAATAATGTTCAAAATCAACATTTATTGATCGAAAATCATAATGTGCTCTTATTCCTGAACCTGGACCTGTACAATTTCCAAGGACAGATCGAAAATCATCCGATTCTTTGCAAACATCATAAATGTTACCACATTCAACTCGTTTAGGTGCAGCGCCTAGAACATTTTAAAATCTATTGGAGTCCCCAAAAACAGTCTCTTACCAGCATACATCATATATAAAGTGTTTCCTGATCCAGACAATAACATAAATTCGGAAAATAATAAAATCAGCCAACAATATCTGCCAAGCCGCATAAAATTATCAAGCGTTTTCTCATTTTTCGGGGCTTCTTGCGATTCGAGTAAATCATCATTTTCAGCACTCAAAGTTGCTGTCGATGCCATTTTTGATGATAATAAAATGTAATGGAATAGCGAAAAATGTTTGTTGCCAAAAAATTTGCATAATCCCGATTTTTCATTGATAGAGGAGTAAAGTACATTTTTGTTTCAATGATTTCTTGCAGTGATCTGAGGTGTTCTTGGAGTCTCATTAAGTTCTATTCAAAAATAGCTAACATAAAAAGTTATGTGTCAGAATTGGGTAGATATTTTTCTGTTTTTCCAGGATCTTTTGATTTTTGCAAAATAATTGAACTAACTACACAATATTCGTTTCTCACAGTGAAAAAAAAGAGACAAAAAACTAATTTCAGTTTTTTCCAAAAATAATCAAAAATCAACGACAATTAGGTTATAACTTAACTTTGTCGCGCGGTTTTATTCAACTCAAGTTTTAGTTGCATTTTTATTTTCATTCCATTTATATGCTTAATTTTAGAGTTGTTGCTGGAATTATTTTATTTTTGGTAAGTCAAAGGAGGATTCTAGTAATAATTATTTGAATTGCAGATAAGTTTGCCAGGTGTTATTATAAATTTCTATGTTTTCTATAAACTTCTGAGGAAATCAGGGCAATTCAGTGGGTTTCAAAAACTATGTGTTTCTAAAACTATACCAAATATGATTGTTTGCACAGTTTTTCTTTTTTGGTCAACGCCACTTTGTATACTGTGAGTTCTAAATTCATTTTTGAAATTCATTTATTTATCACTTCAGGACTCCGGAGTACACAAAAATCCCGCGTGATTTGAATGCAACACTTGGTCAAATTGCAGGATGGGGTGCTTATATTTTCGGGCCAATTCTTCAAGTTTTCCTCTCAATAAATCGATTTTATGTGCTGTATTTTCCAATGAAAAGTATGAAAATGTCAACAATTCCAATAACTAATATCGCAATTTCTTTTGGTATTATAATTGCAATTATTTATACGGTTATTGGTCTACCAAGTAAGTTCTGAATATATTGGATTTGGATTAATTTTGGGATTTTAAAGTTTTTTCAGATGAATGTGGATTCGTTTTTGATACAGAGATTCTAGCTTGGAGGCCAGAAGCATATGAATGTGCAGAATGGCTGGCTGATTTTATATTCTTCTCAGTTCTCGGGTTGTCCATAACTTCAAATAGTTTCAATTTTGCAACATTTTTGAAGCTTGTCTTCAATCAGGTAGTAAGTTAGAATAATCTCCAAATATGAAAAAATAATATACGAATGAAAATTCCAAATGAAAAGAAATAAATTCAACTGAAAAAATTCATTTTCTGAATTTTTGCAGGTGACTGGAGTGAGTTCTGCAGAAGGCAAATCACGTCGAAGAAAACGTACACTGATGTATATTCAAAGTGTAATTCAAGATAGTTTACACGCGTTTGATATTGTGAATGCAACATTCACTTATACTTTGAATGATGCAGTTTGGTTTCAATTTATTTTTCTATCAGTTTCATTTTTATTTATTCATGCGATGGATGGGTTTGTATTTAATTAATTAATTTCAAAAAATATTCATTCGAATTCAGATTTGTCATGTTCTTTTTCCACTCCGAAATCCATCCAACTTGGCTGTGTAAAAACCAAAAGAAAACTTCTACAATCATTATTATGTCACGTTCAAGAGTTTCAACATTACCAAGTGGTTAGGCAATTCATTTGTGTTGTTAAAAATAAATTATTATTATTTATTTTGCAAAACAATTGGGGGCTGTTATTATTGAGTAAGCGCCTGATTTTATTATATAATTTTATGTGTCTCGTGGATATATTTTTAATTTGTTTCATTGAGTTTGCGGAACTAAAAAATTCTGACTTGAAGAATTGACAAGAAAAAGGGAATTTCTATTTTGGTTCCACGCTAAATCGAAAAAAAACTTTGTTGTTAGTGTATTTTCTCCAAGAAGTTCAAAAGTTTGCTTTGATTCGAATTTCTTAGGCTCTGATTTTTTCATCCAATAAAAAAAGGAAGTTGGATCACAATAGTTTCTATGGAAAATCAATGTTCAGTTTGTTTTTCTCTCAAATAATTTTAGGTTTTACTTGTTATTTTGATCTGCCATTCAGCCTGTTCAAAGCCCAGAAATTTTTTTCCGAACTCTGACTCAACGTTTTTTTGCGCCATAACACTTATATTAATTTCAAAGTACAATTTTCGGCATGCACCCCCGAGCCACGAACAAAAAATCAAACCATCAAATTTTCTTGCGTAACTTAATAATGCCCAAAAATAATAGGTTTTCCTCAGGGTTTTTTGCCATATTCCAATAACACATTCTCATTCTTTCCGATTATGACTATAACTGGCTGGTTTTCTATTTTAGCTATCGCAATCTTGTTTTTGGTTAGTAAATGATCCCTCTTCAATTTTTGAAAAAATAGTTCTCTTTCAGCTCAGTTCAATTGGTTTTGCTTTGAATTTGTATATTTTTTGTAAATTTTTAAAACAACCTCGACCTCTCAGCGCTTTCAAAAAATTTTGTATAATCAAAGCAATTCCAAATATGATTGTTTGTGCTGCTTTTCTTTTTTGGGCTGTTCCACTTTCAATTGCAAATTTAGACTATGAAGATATCCCATTACTAATTAACATTATAGTTGGTCAATTTTCTGGTGTTGGTGCTTATATATTAGGACCAATTCTTCAATTATACATGGCTTTTAATCGATTTTATGCATTATATTTTCCAATGAGAAGTATGAAAACAAGTCGGATTAATTTGGCAAATATCGCAATCATTATTGCGATTTTTGCATCGTTGATGTATACATTTTCCGGATTTTTACCAAGTAATTTCCAAAAATTTTAAATCGAAAAACAGAGGGTCGAAACTAATTTTTGTAGATGCTTGCGGTTTCATATTCGATCCCGCTATTTATTCCTGGAATTCTGAAACTAATGGATGCAGTCGAACTGTTGTTGATGTATTTTCCTGGTCTATATATTTTCTAGCTTTTGCCTCAAATAGCTTTAATTTCATAACACTATGTAAACTAATTTTCGAGAAAGTTGGCGGAATGAGTACAACTGATAATTCGAGTAGAAGGAAAAGAAGTATTAGAATGTTTACGCAAGTATGTGGAGTTATAGGGAATTCAAAAATGTGTTCATGGAATTTGATTTGACTGAACCACAAAAAATGTTTTTTGATTTTTCGAAAAAATTAAAAAGCCACAGATAATGTTTGAAAACTGTTCCAGTTTTCTTCTGAAAATATTTGGATGTTTTAATTGAAGTTCTTTAAAAATCAGTCTAAACTTCCCCGTCTTATACCTTCTTCATTCCAGAGCTCTCTTCAAGATTGTTTACATCTTGCTGATATGATAAATGCAACAATAGTTTATAAATTTTATAGTGTCTTATGGTGGGAATTTATATTTCTATCAGTTTCCTATTTGCTTATTCACGTTCTTGATGGAGCTGTTATGCTATATTTTCATCAAGAAATTCATCCAATGTTTATCAAATCATCTCGAACAAAACATTCCACTCAATCAATTCCCTCAATGTTTATTTCAGTAGCATAAAATAGTGTCCTTTTTATTGACGAGAATTCGGTGTAGCTATAAATTATTATTTTTTGTAGCTGAAAATACAAATCCACGCAGATTGGTATTATTTCTCAAAGTAAATACAATAATCAGATTTCACACTTTTTATTTATATATTTTTTGCTTTTAGTGCAATAAAGGAACCGTTGAAAGGAAATCAAAATTTGGATGGACAAAAATAGAAAAAAGAATAGAAAGAAGAAAATTTGACTATGGAAAAAAAACCTACTACCTACAGTTATTATCCGACCGGATTAAAAATTTTCAAAAATCGAAAAAAAGGAGATCTCGGGGTGTGATGTACATTTGTAAAAGATGAAAAGAAATCGATCCTGAAGTCACAAAAAATAAAAGGAAAAAAAACGAGGAGACAAGGCCTAGACAGCATTTGGTGTCGTCGCAACCGAAGAAGAGGATGTGTTTGATGTTGTGGTTGAAGCTGGCGATGATTGTTGTTGAGCTGCAGCAGCTGCAGCGGCAGCGGCTGCAGCAGCAGTGGCTGCATTTGCTCCGGTTGGTGGAGCAAGTCCGTGAGCTTCACGAGCTTTTTTGAAGTCCTCATATTCATCTCCAAGAATTTGTGCAATTTCGCCTTGCATAAATGCCCATGGCATCGCAGCTCCGACTAGCGGACATTTTTTGTCAGATGGGCAATAGAGATCTGTTGATTTGCATTGATCCTGAAATTGAAAAATTGAAGAACGGTTTTTATAAAAACACTGAAAAAGTGATGTGAATAATTGTCTCTTGAGCGGAAAAATTCAAAAATCTTGAAAATCAACCCTCTTTAAAAAATTCAGACGAACCTTGATAGACTTTCGTGAGCATGGGAAGCAGAATTTGTGTGATGGCACACTTGGACATTGCACAAAATGTGTATCTTCTAATCGCTCATCACATAATGTGCATCTCAAAACACGATCTTGTGTTTGATGTTGTTGTTGTTGTGCAGCAGCAGCGGCAGCGGCTGCAACCATTGCTCTTCGTCGACTTTCCATTGATGGTGAATGTGTAGAAGTTGGTGAAACTGAAGTCGTTTGTGCATCTCCTGAAAATACTATCCCTATGTATTTTGTGTCAATTTGTGAAATTCGATTTTTTCATCAGGCTTGACTAAAAAAAAGTTTACTTCGAGTAAGTCAATATTTGCCAGGTGCAAATACACACAAACCGTTTTTAACCTCAAGTTCATTTTGAGCGAAGTCTCAACAAAAAATCTTGGTTTTTTTGGTTGAAAGTTTGCCAAGGACTTTCTGGCGGCCCAAAGAGGAACACCAAAAGAGTGTCATTGGGGCCATAAGGCGCGCCTGGCACGCAATACCAAAAAAAACCGGTTTGCCTTCTGTGACCCTCTCTTTTACTCTCTTTCTGTATATTTTTCTCGAGGTCATTTTTATCGCGCGCGCGCTCGCGGAAGGAAAATGAAGAGAGAATTGAATTGCGCAAAATACAGGTTCTTCTAGATACTTTTTTGGTTAGAAAGAGGAGATCGAGATATATTTTGTAGACTTACCACGTTGAACTTTTCCATAAATTTCAGGCTTCAAATCCTCCTCATTTTGATGTTCTCGCTTCCTTAAATTGATTTGTGGTGTAACTTGTGGAAGTGTTGTTTGAAAATTGGTTGGCAAAAGTCCACCCAATCCAGCGGCCAAATGGAAAGTTGACAATTGTTGTTGTTGCTGCTGTTGAAGTTGTTGCTGTTGCGCAACTTGCGACAATGATCGCATATGTTGTTGTAATAAATCATCCATAGTTCGAGGATTTGATGTTGCTAATTGAAGTAATCTTTGTTGAGCAAGAGCTTCAAAATTCAATCCAGCTAAAGGTGCAAATTGTTGAGTTGGGGTTGGACGTGGCGGGCTGATTCGTCCAATATCTTTTGCAATTTTTGTGTGACTTGGGTCAGCTACCGGGAATCCGTGTATCCTCTTCATTTGGCGAGCATTTTCCAAAGCTGTTTCAATTCTGAAATTTTTTTTTTTGAAAACAAAATAATGAAAAATATTTTCCTGAATTGAAATGAATTTTAAATTTTGTAATGTGATTTTCAGGTACAGTATGCTCCATAATTTTGTTATTATTTTTATTATGATTATTATGTTATTGTTATCAACACGTGACAAACAATGATGTTTTGTGCACTTTTTGTTTGGGGGAACTCTTGGCGCCGTCTGATGTTTCTCTTGTTTTCTACCCTCTTTTTTTCACTCACCGATCACCTTCATAATTTACACATCCTCTACATACTGGTTCAACATAATCATTGCACATTGCCCAAGGCCATCGAGGATAATCGCACAAAAAACATTGTTGTCTTTGAAAATTTCCAGAATTTCCGTTTGATGTCACCGACGATTTTCCGTTTTGCGCGGCCGAATTTTGCGACGTCGCTGTCGCCGTAAGCATTTCTGCAAAATAACGAAAATCGAATTATGATGCTGCATTATTATGATGACAACAAAAAAGGAATGTGTGTTGGTTTTTTTCTTTTAGGTAAAATGCACAAAGAAGCGTGCGAAACAAAATTTACATATACGGAATATTCATATGATTATCATCAGAAAAAGAAGAAGAAGAAGAGAGTCTTACAGTATGCAAAAATGAATAGAAATGAAACGAAAAAAGAAATTGGTAATTTGAGCAGCGGGCAAATGAGGAAGAGACGAATTTATGTTTTTTTTTTGGTGCAAAAGAGTGGATGGATGGAATTCGGGGTGAGAGTGCATTGAATTTACATACAATCTACATATACTTGAATACAAATGAGAAGAAGAAGAAGAAGAAGAAGGCAAAAAAACGTATGGAATAAGAATATTTGTGAGGGGTTCTGACATGAGCATGGAACAAATAAAATATGATAAGGAGAAAATTGTTAGATGACGATTATAAAAAAGAGAATGTGAATGAGAGGGAAAAAGAAAGAATAAAAAAAAAAGAAAAGAAAAGGTCCAAAGTTTTCGGATTATTATTTACCGATTTTTTTTTTGATAAGAAGAGTATCATGAAACGTCTCGATAAGGCGAGCAAAAGCTTCGTTGACACTTTTTTGCGGAATTATCTCGATGCTTAATACGTTGGGAGCACAAAGGTTATCAATTTTTGGGTGAGTCATAGAACATGCCCCCTTGGGGTGGGGTGGGGACCAAAAATTTGGTTTTCACGTGGGAACACAGTGGTGCGGAATTTTTTTTCCAGAATACTATTTTTTTGGAATAATAACACCTAAAGTCAGTGCATTAAAGTTAAATGGGAAGGGTTTCCCTATTCATACAGGATCATTTCAAGTCCTCACTTCCATTAGACTTTTTTAAAGTGCTGTAGACATATTTTGAGCCTTTTATACATTTTTTTGATGATTCATCTTTGGCAATTTATAATTTTTTTTTTGAAGAAAGGAAAAAATACCAAAAGATAAAACCAATAGAAATTCAAAGTACAATGTGCAAAGTAAATAAAACGGATTCGAATTCTTTTAAAATTTTTCAAGGTTCAAGAAAGCAAAACAATGTTTGCAAAAAGAAGAAAATGATTTTTACACCAAAAAATAATGGCCGTCCATCAGCAAAAAAAGTGAAAATGACAGGCTCAACGAAAAATTGACCAAACGATCGATGTGCTCTTATCTATCGAAAAAAAGGACGGCCTTTCAAATCGTACGATTTTCAAATATTATTATTTTTATTGACAACAGGACACGAAAAAATTCATAACCGCTCTTCGCTCAAATAATAAAAAAACGAGGTACATAGTAATAGTAATGTAGCTCTTTCAAGGTCTTTTTGCGAGAGGAATGAGAGAAAGAGAAATAGTGCGCGAGGTCATCCGCCCGCCCTAGCGGAAAACGGGTTTAGAGGAAAACGCACAAATGACCTTGAGGTCCGATGGATTGTCGAGATCGGGATTTGTTCGGTTCGGAAGAAAAAAAAAGGAAAGGAGAATCGAATCGGAAGAATGCGCGAAAGAATCTTCTTCCACCAACCATGTGATGTTTTTTATTCTCTCGTTTCCCGAAAAATTATGACTAATTTAGGGTGACATGACCGGAAAAAATCCTGTTGAAGTAAACAAACTGATCTTGTAAAAAATGGACCAAAGGAAAATTTTGAAGCTGAGCCCGATTGAATGGCACCAGATCTAGATAATGTGGCTTATTTTCAGTATTTCAGAATTCTGAAATTCCATGAACACGTTAGTCAAAGAAGTTCAGGAATCATTTTTAAGGTGGTAATTTATTCGGATTTTCTTCTCGTAATTTTTTAGTGCTCAAAAATTTATCCTGGTTCACCTCTTTGAGCTTAAACCCCTTAAAAAAACATTTTTATGATTCGTTTTGGGAATATTTTAAAAGGTTTGAAGAAGCTTCAGTTTTTCCGATTTCAAAATTGGGAAATTAGTTTTTTTTTGAAAAAAATTCCAGAGAAAAAGTTCAAATAATTCCTTACCGTTAAAATGTTGTTGTTTCAAAACACCGTAATAACCAAAGTGACAAACAAAATATTTTGAAAAAGCGAAGAAGGAAGTCAATCAGCTCACGTCGGAGGTCAACAAAACCAAAAAGCAAAAAGGAGAAGATTTCGATTATTATGTCAATAAATAATCAAATGTATACAAAAGACCTTCGAACTTTTCTATATCTATCTAACAAAAAAAGTTCAAAATTTTTCCCCACCAAAAAAAATCAAGGCTAGACTGACTGTCAAGGCTAACTCAATGTGGTTTCAGGTGCAGAAGGCCAAATGGCTCGGAGAGAAATTTCGAAGAAAAAGAAGGGTCGGAGGCGGTTGACAAACACATCCAAGAGAAAAACTGGTAAGAGGAGCACAAATAGACACTATTATATGTTTACTGGGAATGAAGGGGTGTTTGCTTGCTAAAAATTGCCTGCGAAAATGCATATTTTTAGATGGCATAGGTTAACACAGCAAAAAACTGGTTATGTTTTTTTATTGTGTGTATTTTTAGAGCCGAGGCGACTGGCCGAGCCGATGTAACTTGTATTTTATAATAATGTGAGAAAAATAGTGGGCTGCTCTGAAGAAATGGGCGGAGCTTGGATTACAGACTTTTTTTTCAGAAAGAAGTTTGGGAGGATGAAGCTTCTGCTTTCCGAACCAATTTGAGGAGACGATAATAGGTTTGGTGAAAATGGAAAATATCAACTAGAAACTTTTTCAAAACTCCAAACTATTGATTTTGCCACATCATAAACCTCTTATCAGAAAAAATAATTGACATTTTTTGACCACATCCTTAAATTTTTAAATGGGACCAGTGTTCGAAGTGGTGAGATTCATTTCAAAAAATAGTGAAAAATAATTTCGAAACTTTATTCAGTCTCACTCGACAAGTAGCCTAATCTTGAGAGCTTCTATGGCAAATAACCAAGATTAGAACTTCTAGTTGTCATGTAGTCGCGCCTCTAGAGTTCGATTGTCAAGGTTCAGTGCTTTTAGAACCTAGGTCCAAATCATCCACTACTAGAGAACTAAATTGTTTAGGAGCTGCCAATTTTTTTTGTAAAAAATTTCAGAAATTCTCAGAATAATGTTCATTTTTTCTCACAATTATCCCGCTATACGAAGTACTTTTCCAGCTACAAAAAAAGTGGCTCAATTTATGAAAAAAGCGTGCACGATAAAAATGTATTCGTTTAGCTCGCTGGAAAAAATGTAGTCGTATGCGAAAGAATATTTGTAGTCTTTTCCATGCAATTTTTTTTCTCGCTGGCCTCCATGTGAAAAAAACCAAGTACCTGACACCGTTTGGAATGGAATACTAATTACGTAACCCTCTTCTATCTCTCTCAAAATAAATTCTATGAACCGGTTTTTTGAAATTCATCGCCAAACAGAGAAGAGATTAATCTGACCTTTCTTCATTCATTTCACATGTTCATTTTGAAATTCAATTTGAATAAATAAAATGAGATAGAATTTGGATAGGGTAACCCTAGATGAGATACTGTAGAATTACGTAACCGCATTGCGGAAAAAGTGTGTAATAGATAAATAATTGCGGTTGAAGCATTAGAATAATAATCCGAAAGATGATGAGAGAAAGTTTCGGAGAGGTTTGATAAAGACCAGATTTTATACATATTCATGCTGAAACAAAACGTGTTCAATTTCTAACATGAATTGTATTCTTATTCTCAGTTCAAAATATGTGAGAGACAGAAAAACTTTATTTATTTGTTGATCACGTGTTCAAAGAGCCGATAAGATAAGAAAAGAGCATTTTTGAAACATTTTTCAATTTTAATTAGAAAGGGAATCTAGAACTCTGATCAATCTAAAAATAAAGAAAATAGTGGAGAAATATATATATATAGAACAGAACAGATAAAAGTGAGAAAATGAGTAAAACATCATCATAATAATTCTTCCTCCTTCTTTCCGCGCGCGCATTTTCAAAAAAAAACGCCAAAAGCCAGCTTCTGCTTCAGCTTCTTCTCTTTCTCTTTTCATATCTGGATATTATCCTTTCACTACGTTTTGCCATTCAAAAAGTCCGGTCCAAAGGCAAGTACTAGTCGTTGAAACGAGTTGTGTAGTTGTCCTCATCTTTTTCTTCTTCTTTCTTTTTTTTGGCACTATCCCAATTGATGAGACAGTGTAAAAGACAAAAAGAGACAGGTGAGAAAGAAAGACCTGTTTCTGTATTACATTTACCACCCAAAATCACCCATGGTGATTATTATTGTATTTGATGTATGGATGTATTATGGTTTTAAGTGGTTTTGTGTAATCTTCGAAATTTCATTTTGAACATGACATTTTTGGAGAAAGGAACTTTGCAGAACTGAGAAATTTAATTAGTGTTTTTTTTTTCTGCAAGAAAATGACCTAGAGACAGAACTATTTGGGAAAATAGTTGTTGATCCACGTGGAATAGAAAACTGGAGTAAAAGTTCATAGGATAAAAAAAATTGGCAGAAATTTTAAGCGAGACATTCTGGCGCTTGAAAGTTCTTGGAACGAAAAATTGAATTCTTTGGAATTCTGATGAAAAGTCAGAAGTGAAAAAGTTTTCAGATACTCAAATTCTTGAAATTATAGTTCAAGGCTTGCAGAGAATTTTAAGATTATGAAAAACAAATTTCTGAAGATAATCAGATCTCAATCCTTTTTTGCACCCATTGATCGAACTTTCAAAAATCAGAAATTTGTACGCAGTCATCTTGTTAATCATTATTGCACTCTAAAAATAGTACACCTTGCACCAATCTACTCTAAAAGACAAAAACCGCGAAATCCAGTTCTGATCAAGGTCGACCACATCTCTACCTCTTTCCGTCAATGACATTTTTTGTTCTAAAAAACTTTTTTCTCACATCAGTGTAAAAACCCTGACTGGTTCAGTTTGGCAAAAAAAATTGGAGAATCATCAGATTTAGACGACTATACGAGGTCAGAGACACGGAAAAAAAACACCAAAATAAGAAAAAATCGGGCGAAAGAAGCAGAAACAGAATATGAAGAAGAAGAAGAAGGAGAAGTATCTAATAGTAAAAGGTAAACTGGTTTTTGTGTTCACCCCGATTACACAATCTCTACTCAAAAAATTCGAATTTTTGCCGACCGAAACAATTGACCTTATCGAGACAAAAAAAGAGAAGAAGAAGAAGAGAAAATGGGAGATGATAGGGGATTTAAAAATGTTTCGAGAGAGAAAACTGGAATTTTTCAGGGTGTCTCTCTGGAAGAAGTTGATGAAAAGGTTACCAGAAAATTCTGGTTTGACATCGAAAATCAAAAAAAGAATTGCAAAGTAAAGAAAGTGTTTATTGTTGAATCAGGTGATTTTTATGAATTTTTAGATGTGGTAATTTAAGCAATGAAGATTTAAAACATATTTCAAGAAGAGCACTACGAAAAATGATCAGAAAATTTTAAAAATGCTAGGGGAGACGACAGAAAATATCACGTGGCAGAAATTTTACTCAGACATTCCCACGTTAATGTGATCGCACAAATTTAGAATTTACTAGAAGATTCTTAATTTTTTTAAATCTTTGCTCGTGATATTTGTTTCAAGAAGAAAAGTGAAGTTATCTCGAATATCTCAAAAAAACAAAACTCAAAAATATACTCTCTTTGAAAATGCAGGTGGTTTAAAAAAAAGTTTTATTGCGTCATAAATTTTCAGAGAGCATTGTGATGTTTTCTAACTTTTTAAAATTAAAAATAGTCTTGGATCAGAGAAATTCTGCACAGCTTTCAAGAACCCGAAGTTTGAAATATCTGAATCTCAATCTAACAAGGTCAAAAAGTCGAAGAATCTCACGAATTCTGGTAGATCTTATCAAGAAGAAATATATAAACTTCTAATCGTGAAAACCAAACCCAGACAATGATTATGAAAATTTCAAAAGTGCAAAACGTGTCATTGTCATTGGCTAGACATTTGATGATTTTTCCCGTTTCCTAGTGACAAACTTTTTGATCATAACTTCATATAATTACAACGTAGTATAGATACTTGTTAGGTTCATATAATATTTATCATTCTTTTAATTTTAATTTTCCGTTGTCCGTGTCTGTCCTTCACAGAAAAACAAGTTAGGCAACACTCAAAATAAAGACAAAACTGTAATCACACGTCTCAGCGTGACCAAAGAAAAGAATACCTTCTTCTACCTACTACCGTATGTATTTGAACCGGTTTGGGTTTTTAACAACAAAAATGATAAACTCTTACTTTTTTCATCGACAATTTATCGAAATCTGGGGGATTTTTTTATATACAATATTTGTTCTTATTCAAAAAATAAATAAAACAAAATTTTTTTTTTGGAAAACAAACAAAGGTTACGGAGTTCAAAAGATAGTTAGTGCGCTCAGAATGTTAGTGTTATTTTTTGGCTGCAATTTTTCATAAACCGCTTAACATATTCAATTTTTTTTGTCAATTGGGTGTTTAAAAATGTGGCAAAAGAGGTCAAACAACTTTTTCAAAATGAAAACAACACAGAAAAAATTGAATTGAATTGAATGGCATTTCAGGTTTTCACAAAACCGGACCTAATATTGTCCAGGTTTTATTTTTGTCTCTATATTCTTGGTGTGAGAGGTTGGGGGTAGAGAGTTAGGATTCAGAAGAAGAGTTTGATTATCCCAAAAAAATAGTGACTAACCTCAATTATGATTGGTGAACAAAATATTGATAATCCTGCCTTCTTAATTCGAATTTTTTGAAAAATGAAAAAAGCATAATTGAAAAACTGAAATGCCAGTCGGTCACGCGAAACACGTAATAAAAAAGACTTTTAAAATTAAATTTTTTAATCAAAATGAGTTTGGAGCATTTGAAATCTTACGGATTTCACAAGTTTTTTTGAAACCCCTTATTATGAGCACTGATTTTCAAGATGTTTGAACTTCACCAGCATGTTCAGGTTCCAACTCTTCTCTCACAAACCATGTTTCGAAACAAAAGTAATCCTCTGACAATTAACCCCAAAAATGTTACATCATTTTCGCCCATTTTCAAAAAAAAAACCAGAACCGGTCGGGTGTTGGTTAGAAAAAAATCAGAGACAAAACTTCATTATTTAGGGGGAACTGTGAGTTAGTTCAAGTTTGACACATCGACATCGGCAAAATAACATTCGCGCTCAATTCCCATGTTGTATTGATCTCCAGTGCCGTTTTGGAATTTTGAAGTGACAACGCGGAACCAGCCGAGCTCTCCCTAAAACCATATAGATTTTTTTAGGTGAAAATAATTTTGAAAATATACCCAAGCTTCTCCCCAACTGTTTCTAGCAATCCAATATTCGACTCCATTTTCATCAACTCCCCAACCAGTCAATGAAATAATATGATTTGATTGTAAATCACTCTTCTCTGAATAAACTCCTTTCACATATTCATATTCGAATTTCTTTGTTGCTCCAATTCCACATGCCAATGGTCCACCCTTCTTGATTTCAGCCATAATATTTTCACGTCCTTTCACAGTTCCATAATCTTTGACATAATAACGAGTATAATTTGTAAGTGAGAAACACTCATTTGGCCAACATGATCCACAACGATGATATGGGTTACATTCTGAAATGGTTTTTTTTTTAATTTTAAAATGAAATTCTAAAGTTACCTCCATTTGTGGCTCTGTATACATTACATCCTTCTTCAACAAGTCCTTGAAGTTTTGCGTGCTCTAAAACATCTCCAACTTCTCCTCCTTGACAATTTCCACGTCCGTTGCAATCAATGATTTCTTGTGGTGACAATTGAGTCATTGGCCAGCGACCTTGTCGGGCAATATTGAAACGATCATTGAGAGCTCCTGAAAAATATTCTTATTTTTGGTTTCAATTTCTCTAGGGCCAACTCACCAGTTGTTCCGAAAACCCAACACGATCCACAGTAGACCGGAATATGTTGATTTCTTGTCGGACTACAGTAATTCTTTCCGCTCACATTTCTCCAGTCCCACGCGGCTGGCAAATCATTGGCTTGGAAATTGGCTGATTCCCATTCTCTTGGAGAGGTTTTTGATTCGAAAACTCTTCCGGATTTTTTGACACATCCACATTTACTTGGATATGGCAATGATTCTTCCAATTCTTCTTCTTCTTCAGATGATGATGTATCGTTTTCCTCGGAGGATTCAGCAGATTCAGATGATTGGAAATATCCAGTTTCTAGTTTTGCATATTTGACTGGTTCCAGATCAATTTTTCGTTGATTTCTTGAATCGGCAATCTCAATCGCAACATTTTCTGGATCTTCGATGTAGACGATTTCGTATTTTCGATTATCAAAATCTTTTTTCAACATTGAAGTATATGGTTTTTTCAAGTTCAATTTTTCATTCGACACTTTATGTTCCTCATTGACCTCTTGATTTACCTCAATCTCCATTTCTTCTTCTTCAGCCGAAACTCTCAATTCTTCAGGTGTCTCTAATTTTTCCATCGCAACAAATGATTTACTAACTCGAACAGCTAATTTTGGAATATTCAACCATGTTGCTTGATTTATTCCAACAAATAATAAAAGTAATAAAATAGTAAGCTTCATTTTTTTTTTCGACGAGAAAAGAATAAAAAAAACGAAGAAAAAGTTACAAATGAAAAAATATGGGACTACTGATAAGCAAAAAAAAAGAGGGTGAACTGATAAGACAGAAGAAATCGAACCTCTAACTAATTGTGCAAGCCGCCGATGCTCGTTGATCTGGACGCGTTTTCTCATTCTCATTTGTCTTTGAAACAGCATTTTCGATTGCTGTTTCAAGTTCTTCATAACCTTCGATACTATTCACATTTATATCTCTTTCATGATCGGTGATCTCCCAAATACTTTTCTTCAAACTTCTTGTCAAGAAATACACCTCAACTTCACCTCTTCCTCTAACACAAATTCGGCCACGTGGGCAAAACTCAAATCTTCCGGTTACTGTAGCTTTTTGGAATGTCTGAAAGTTTTGTGAAAAATCTAAAATTTCATTTTCATTTTGAACCAACCCATTTTGAACATTGAATTTTTCCAGGAATTCCCAATGATTCCATCTGACTTGCCATTGTCACAGTTTCTCCGAATAAACAATATCTTGGCATTTTTGTACCAACAACTCCAGCAATAATAGTTCCAGAATGTAAACCGATTCGAAGAAGAAATGGTGTATGATTAACTGGATCTTCAACTGATCTCGCTTCCCACATCATTCCCAATGCAACGTGACACATATTTTCAGCATGTTCAGGAGTGTAATCAGGAATTCCACTGACAGTCATATAACTATCAGCAACTGTTTCGACTTTATACACTTTTCGAAGAACAACAATTCGATCTAATTTATGAAATATCTCATTCAATAATCGAACAATATCTTTTGGTGGAGAAGCTGGAATTATACTTTGAAAAGCTGGAATATCACAAAACATAACAGTTGCTTCATATTCACACGGTTCGATATGTTCACCAGATAGTAATTGAAGTGCAATTGAACGAGGAAGCATATCTTTTAAAATTGAATCAGTCTTCTTATTTTCGATTTCCAAATCTTTGGTCATTGATTCAAGTTGCTCGTTGTTAGCTTCAAGTTGCAAACTGAAATAAAACAATGGTTATTTTCAAATTGATTGTTAGAACTTACTTGACTTCAACATCTGATAATCTTTGTTGATTCAATAAAATAAGATCTCTTGTAGCATCGTGTAAAGGCATTGCAGTTAATCTCATTCCAAATTGCATTAATTCATTAATTGAAGTTACATAAGGTGAACACATATAAATAATATGTTTCTTAGTTCCCAATAACATCATTTGTCCTTTCAATTTTAAATGGCATCCTTGTTGAAGATCGTTATTTTCACTGAAACGAAAAAAAATGTTTTAATACAGTAATTCATCAAATATTCACTAACGGTGTTTCAGCTCTTTCAGTTCCTTCTTCTTCAATTTCTTGATATTTCTTGCGTTGTGGTGGAGTTTTGATTTGGACAACAAAAACAGCATTGATAAAATTGCAGATATTATCGAAATCGAGAGGAATTTGAGGTCGATTGATTTCGATAATTCGATGAAGAGGGGTTCCAGGTTTTAGAAGATCAGTTGGACAATGATTGCTGAACACGATTTTTTGGGTTAATCAGGGAAATATTTGGTTTTACTGTAGATCAGAAATTCCATACATATTTTTCAAAAACTTACAATAATTCATTTCCACACTGCACCAATCTACAGGATTCATCAATTACAATATGATAAGGACAAGCTCGAGAAAAGTCATCAACCGAAACTCGAAGTGGATCTTCCAAGATTTCTGTATAAGCAGCATCTGCTCAATATCAAATTTCAGAATGCATGCTTCACTTCACAAAAACAAAACTAACCTGTCAAGAGACTCCCATTTGATCCTTCTGATTCTCTTCTTTGTTCTCCAACATGTTTTATCGAAAATATAACATGTTCTTCAACTCTTTCACCTCCCATTTGCATATGAACACTTCTTTGAGTTCTACCTTGAACTATCAAATTGATATCCAAATTGAAAACTTTTCGAGCAACTTCTTTTACAACACCTTTGACAATATGATAAAGTCCAGGACGAGATGTGAAATAATGCAAAATAAGAGATCCATCTTCAGTCTCTTCACATCGAAATGATGGACCACGAAGATTTGCTTTGTAAACAACATGATCAATAAAATAATGAAGACTGTCAAGATTATCCAAAAATGTTTTTAAATTTGGAGAAAGACTTCGAACCAATTCATCCCATCCAATTTCCATTGAATAAGTAATGAGAAATGCGCCATAAAGCTCCCAAACTTGATCTTTTGTGATTTCTATAAATTTATTTGGAAATCCCAGATTTTACAAGATCAAAACGTACTTAAAACCAGAGCAACACTATCAACCAAAACATAAGTATCTGTATCACTGTAATAATGATTCACAATATTTTCTTTTCCATTTTCAAAACCAGATCTGTCCAAAACATTCATCCATGTTTCTTCTCCAAATTTTCGAATAACCAATTGTCGAATACTTTCATGAATAAAGCCAAACTTAAATTATTTTTACTAAATTTTGCAAAAAAAATATTTTAGAGAAGAGAAAACTCACCATCTTGGATGTCGGCGGGGAAAATATGAAAAATATGGATAGCGTGAGGATGAGGCATTCTTAATGAGGTAAATAAATGAATAAAATATCAGAGGTGTGTATTGGAAACACGATAATTTTTGATGTTTTTGAGGGGTGACTTGAGACCTTCTCAAGTTAAGGGACCAACATTTTGGCCGAGAAGAAACAATTTTTTTCCAAAATTAAAACCCTGAAAAAAATTTCGCGTGACCTGCTCGATATTTTTAGCACGCCAAATTCAATTCGGCTCATTTCACTTTTTCAAAAATATCAAATTCCGTTGGTTCTTTATTATTTTTATAAACTTTCCAAGAATTCGGTAAGTTTTCATTTTTCCGGAAATATTTGGTTTGGGAAACTTTTAAAAAAAATTAAAGTCATGTTAGTTACTTTAGGGCTGTTAACGAGAAAGAGAAGACTTATTGGTTAAAAATATAATTCCTAAATCAAAGACTCGCAAATTTAGCTCATTGTAGATCAGGCGGGATTTCAATATCTTTTCGTCTCTTCTATCTCGCTTACCAGAATTTCTGAACAAAATTATTTTTTTTATGTCAACAAAAAATTTATAGAATTAAAAAATTTTCACTTTTCTGTTTCAAATTATTGCGTGACCTTTTTTCATCTCGACATTTCGATTATGTTTTGCTCATTCATTTCAACATTTTGCTATTCTCGAGCAATTTTCGTTCAATTATTCCACTTCATTACACAAAATCGTAAGTTTTTTAAAATCTCTAATCAATATTGAAGTATTCATTCTGTTGCAAGCACAAAAAATATGAAAATTGAAATATCATTACCTATCAAAGTTTCCAAAAAAAAAATAAAATTCAGACAAAGAGAAAAACAATTCAAAAAAGTACAAGATAAAAATATCTCATCCTGAGCAACAAAAATTCAATAAAAAAGAAAATTGTATTTTAAAGTAAAGAGGAGGTTCGGACGGTCAGGCATTTTCGAAAATGAAAAAAAATTATGCTAGATTTGTAGTTGAGTGAGTGTTTTTGTGAAAACCAATGAGAAAAATCACACAAAAAATGGCACAGGTTTGAAGAATAGGATAAGGGTTGAATTTGTTCGATTGTTGTGATTTTTTTTTTGATTTGTGAGCGAGAAAAATGAGATATGTGGGAGACATAGATATTTAGAGAAAATTGAAAACAAAAAACAAGAAATTGAGCATTTCGGTCAGGTCTGGGGCAAACTAAAGTGTATGTACACTAGTACTAATTAGGCATTTGAGAGGGCACAAATTATTGAGCATAAGTCACATAAGAATCAGGCACATTTGAAATTGTTGGTTTGTATTCTTCAATCAATGGTTCACTCTGAAAAAATAGATTTTAGTTCTATTTAGAGAGTTTTTATCTACTGGGGTGATTCATGAAATATAATTTTTTCGAATAAAAAATCTATTCAAGAAATTATATTTTTACCAAAAAACATTTTGAAAAAAAATTACCTCTTCGGAATTCTGATTTTCCTTCTTCTTTCTTGGTTTTCGACCGCGTGAAGAGTTTTGTTTATGAAGTGCTAGTTTTTCTTGTAATCGATCACCAACAATTCCCATATTTGAAGCACGCATCGATTCAAGTTTCATATCCCATTCGACGACTAAAAATACCACTTTTGAATACAAAGAGATAGAAAAGCGTATGCTTCAGAGAGGTAAAAATTATTGAGCATTTGATTAGAGCTTCAAAACTGAAATTTAATTCGCTCTATCAAATTTCAGAAAAAATCTTTTCAATTGTTTTTACATCTTTTAAAGCATACATTGGGAACAAAACACTTTGAGCACTAGGAAAAAAAACACAAACCTTTGAGATTTTTACAATCAGTAACTGGATGACACGTGTTCAAATGTCGTTTCATATTTCCTTTGTAAACTGTCACAAAATCGCAATCTTCACAAATGTAAGCGTCCTGTAAAAATAAACACACAACATACAGAAAAAGAAAACTATATAGAATATAGAGTTGTGTGATGATATAATAACATACATCAGGTGGAGCTTGTTCACGTTTCGGCCCATTCTTTTGTGGAGTATGGAACTGAAAACATGACGTTTTTCAACGGTCTCCATGTTTATTTAAATAAAAAGGTTGTCGTCGTTTAGAATTTGGAGATTTTTTGGAATTATGACAACCCTTTTTACCCCAAAACACTTACCCCTTCATAATTTGAATAAGCTGCACCAGCAGGTCCGCCACCATTTGGTGAACATAAGTCACTTCCTCCATAATAAGATGAAGATTGCGGTGAGAGTTGAGAACCAGAACCAGTCATCATATGATTCATCGCTTCATAATCATTGAAATCAGGTTGATGGAAACCATCTTCGGTTTTTGGTTTTTTCAATTTACTTTTGTTGAGTTCACCACTTCCAGGTCGTTTTATTGGTTCCGTATTTTTGCAACATTGATTAATATGACGACGAATGTTACCCTTAAATTACACTTTTTGTTGAAAATCTTAAAGAAAATCCAACATACCTTATAATGACTAATAAATCGATCACAAAATGGACAAACTGGTGACATTCCATCTTGTCCTGTTGTAATCGCACCCGATTTAATTGCGGCATCAGTTCCAGGAATTGGTGGATTTACACCTGATGCAACCGCATCCAAATAATTCCGACCGATAATTTCTCGACATTTCTCATTTCGTCCAATATGTCCTGTCAAACTTCTTCTCGATGGATAAACTCCTCTACACGCCATACACATAACTCTTTCCTCATCTGGTCCTTCTAAATCTGTACTTGTATCCGCATTTAATGGCGGTGTTCCAGAGGCACTTGATGTTAAACCGGGACTATTTAGAGAAACATCATCACACGGTGAAACAGTATTTGATTGTTGTCTTGAAACTTGTGGCGATTTTCTTTGCTCGATTTTACTATTATTTGTTGGTCGAAGTGGTTCAGGTCGCATAACAACAGCAGACGGAGCCATTAAAAGTTGTTGAGTTTGTGGAGTTGAAGATGTTGATGTTGTTGTAGCTGTTGTTGGTTGATAAAATTGTTGTTGTTGAGTTTGTGGAACAGGAACATAAGGCCTTGGTTGTGGATGCTGCTGTTGAATATAATAATGTTGAGTTATATTATTAGTGCTATAAGTTGGTTGTTGTTGTTGCTGTTGCTGCTGTCGATATGCATAAGGTGGATCAAATCGAACAGGTGGATCAAAACTATTAATCGATGATATTGGTTGAATTTGTGGTTGTTCAAACAATATACTTTGTGTCAATGGTGCTTTATTAACATTCCATTGATTATTATCATTTGCTGAATATGTTGAATTATCACTAAGCATGGCAAATGTTGAACTGAATAATTCGGATGTTCCAGTAACTGATGTTGATGGTGGAGCTGTTTGCCATGAATAATCGTGTGGTTGCTGCTGTCCAGACATATTCTGAAATTAGAAGAAGAATTGTATTTTATATAATCAATGGTATAATAAAACTAATAATAAGAAAAATTAATTGGACCTAGATGGTTATCAAAGGCCATGTGATAATTGATTTTTTCGGAATGGCGGAGGAGGGAATGATTTGTGGGTGGCAAGAAAAAAAGAAGTTTTATGACCTAGATTAGAGGTTGTGGCGGATTTGAAAATGAAGTTAATTATTTCATTTTAAATCGGGAAAAGATTGATTGATTTCTCATTCCATAAATTTAATCGAATTGTACTTGGTCAACCGAAGAAGTAAATCAATAATGAAATGTTGCGAAAAATCGTAAAAAAATGGTGTCCTGTCGCGATCGACCGACCAGAACTACTACTAAAAATTGGGTAGAAAAAAAGATGGTATCACATTTCTTCCACACGTAACGATGCATGCTATCGGTTCAAGGCCATCTTTCATATATGTCTCTTTTTTTTGTCGCAAACTGTACTAGTATTGACAGCGAAAGGCTCCCCGGTGTTAAAGATTTATGACTTTTAAACATTTTCATCAACAAAATAATTTAGTTAAGTTTATTATTGAAAATGGGGGTTTTGAACCGAGAATGTACTCACCTCTTGCTTGATAACAATTCTTTTCAAATCATTAGCCGAACTACTACCACTCCCAATACCCAGAATTTGCTGAAGCATACAGACGAAATACTAAGCCGCGCCTGAATAAAAACATAAATTGATATTTGAGTGTTTTTTGATGATAGGATCGAAATGAAAGAACACTTTAAAAACAGATGATCTGAAGAAGGAAAAGAAGAACATGCCGATGATGATGATGAGGGAAATTGAAGAAGAAAAGAGATGAAATTTTCCCACGGTCTACAGATTTTTTTTTGAAGAGAAAGGGAGAGAGAGGTCAAGATTGCGCGGATCTTTGAAAGTTGATTTTTGGAGAATTTTGGGCTGAATTTGGACTATGGGGCGCTTTGAAAACCTTTTCTTCGCGATAATTGAGAAACAAATATTCAGCAAAAGGTTGAAATGAGAAGATTCTGTCAAAAAAGGGTTCTGCACAAAAAAAAAAGAAAAAAAATTGAAAAATTTAAATTCAAAAAAACAGAAATGGCCGAGTCGGTTCCCAGGCCATATGCTAATTTTGAAAGCAACATGTTGCAACATGAACGTTTTTTAGTTTTTTTCTTAAAAGTTTGACTTAAACTTTGTTCGGTCACTTCATTTTTCATTTTATTATGATTTTAGAGCAATGGAGAAACATCACAGTGATTGGTATATCAAGGAAATTGGGTGCATGCGACGATTTGTGGGAAAAATGGATCGATCACTTCGTTTCAAGCCTGTGTTGGGACGAACAAATAGAGAAAACGCGACGCAGACACAAAAAACCCCGAAAAATTTTTAAAAATGAGAATTCGTGGACCATCGCTTCAAGACCCAAACAGTTGGCTGATTGCCAGCCTTATAAAATTTCGCGGTATTTTCAGTTTCGCGGTTTTTTCTTTCGCACTCTACACGCTCTCTCTGTCTCTATTTGTTCGCCCTGAAACGAAGTGCGATGAAATTTGTGAGTTTTTTTGGGATAGGGTTTTTAAAGTAAGTTTTGTAAAAAAATATTGTTAGAGTTAAAAATGTTAACTGCAACTCGAAAAAGTGCACATCAAAAGTTAGAAAGACAAAAACAAGTCTAGAAAGCAAAAAAGCTAGCCAGAAAAGAGAAACTGGCCGGATGCGTTGACGAAAACTAAATTTGTTGTGTGTGTGTGTGTTAGGATGAGGCTGGAGGAGAACTTATTTTGACATGTACTGCAACTACATCAAATTATTTTCTGAAAACACATATGAATGAATGTGACGTGGTCAGTAAAAAATTAAGCGAGAAAATAGGTGTTTTTGCGTTGGGACTTTTAGATAGGCAGGTAGGTAGTAGAAATAGTAGTTGTGTCCTTGACAAAAGCACATGACACCCACATAGAACGAGACACTGAAGAAATTGCTAGGAGGTTAGACAGTCGAAAGTTCGATGTGTCCGATACATCAAACATTCTTGACAGCGGGAATTCGAAGAAATAGACAAACAAGATTTGAGTAAAAAACAACTCTTGTATTTATCTTGAATTTTTTGAAATTTTCAATTTCTATCGGAACTTAATGAAATTCTGATTGGATTACTTGTGAAAATTGTGGGTCACCTCAATCCAGAGTTAAACTTAATCAATAAAGTGACCAATAACACAAACAAAATCGAATTACGACAAGAAGACGAAAAAGAAAAGAAGAAATAGATGAAAAAAAAGAAGAAAACCGGTTAAAAAATCGCCTTCTTCTTATTCTTCTCATTTTTAACCGAAACAAAAAACGCTATCACTAAACAGTGTGAATAGAATATCTTTTTTCTTATATTTTGCGAAGAAAACGGCGTCGCGGAGCACATAGAAAAATATAACAGCAGTCACCCTTCTTCATCGAAAAAGTAACAGGACTCGGGGCAACAGTTGCATTCTGAATGTGTGTAGGACGAGATAACAGATATATTCGAGAGATTCCAGACATTCTGGATGGGCAATACACTTCGACTACGGACGTGTTGTAATACAAACCACATCAGCACCAGCACAAAAAAATCTTTCTGGTTTACAAAATGCGCCTTTGATTTATTATTTAGGTCCGTACACAACAGAACGGAGTTTGAATTGATTAAAAATGTTCATTAGAGAAGTTTATGATTAAAATTTAAAAATCAAGATAAGAAAATATTTTTAGAAAAACAGTGAAACATCTATCAAGAGGTCAAATTTGTTGAATGATGGTAAACAAATCGATCAGAAAAACAATAGTAACCTCCTGGTGTGCCTAGGCCAATTTAATGCAATTTATGCAAATATCTAACAACCAGCCAACTTTATTTTTTTATAATACCCCACCATCTGTCATATGAACGACGAATGGGTGGTACCAGGAAAAAAACTGAAAATGGTTTTGTTTTTGAATCGTTCAGTTTAGTTGAGCTGACAAATAAAAATTAGGATGAATAGGTTTACAGTAGACTTGGATTTGGTTGATCTACTTTGAATGAAAAATGATTGATGAGTCGGCTTTTACGAATAACAAAATTTTTAGCATTTCAAAGTTCGTCTTCTGAAGAAGTGTTGAAAAATTCGTGTATGTACTTTCCTGTCCTACTAACCTTGGAACCTAGTGACCTTGGAGACACATTACTGTTGGTCAAAATCGAAAAGACCGTACGGTACGTCGGGAATCGGAAAAAAACACATAGGGGTGCTAAAAACACAAAATTGTGGCCAATATACACAAAGAGTTCAACTATTATTTTATTATAAACAAAATGACTCAAAAATCGATCGAGTGCGGGAAGAGGGACCAATTTAATGTAAGAGGGACCTTTATCCCATCTGGCTATGAAAAAAAAAGAAAAAAGGCGAGAAGAGAGGGATGAGCACATATAAACATAGAGGAGGATGAGAGACAACATACTTCAAGTGCATATTTACAACAAAACACCGGAGTGGAAAACAGCTTGGGCTTGGGTCGAATACATTTTATGGTTTTGCAAAAATATGCTTCGACATCTCTAACCATCTCTGTTTCTATGATTTTTTATGGAATCAGAAAAAGAGAAAATAGTAAAAGAGAAAATGAGAGAGGGAGAGAAATAGAAAGGAAAGAGAAATAATTTGAAAAAAATCTTTGAAATTGTGGGAAAAACTAATCCCAAGAATTAGTAGACCGCCTTCAAATAAATTTCTGCAGAGTTCTGAGAATCAAGTAAAATAGCACTCAAAAATGCGATTTCACATTAGGTTGCACATCTCCCAAAGGACCACTAATAAAGTAACACGAACGGGTAACACAACACATGTGGTCTGCCGCCAATTCCTAATAGGATTTTCGTGCGCCACACAAAAATGAATACATTTAAGCTTGATTCGGGTTTCAAAAATTTATGTATTCAACATTCGATTTTTTACTATTGTTATTATAAAAAGAAAATATATACGCACATTAATCGATGGAAAAACAGAAATAACATGAGGTGTATATCTACTACTATGTGTACTCTTTGTTGTTTTGACCTTATGATAATAAAAATAGGCGTTTTAGATGTCGGGGGGTTACTCAGAAGGTAAATTGTAAGGGTGCGGTTGGTAGAAGATGGTGAGGAGAAGGGTTGTAATAATCAAATGAACCGCCACTGATTCACAATGACGAATTAAACAAGTAGAATTGTATAAATGGGAAAAGGGCGTTTAATTGCTGGGAATTTTTGAATGGTTTTTCCCATTTCAGAAGAAAAGTTTCCCAAAAATTTTTTTTCAAAAAAAAATCTGTCAATAATGTAACCACCAGATTATAAAATTTTAAACAGAGTTTTTTTTTCGGAAATTGACGCGATTAAAAATTCAATCCGATTTATAGATGCGTACCGACCAAAAAATGTTTCTCATCGCCTTTCGAAATAATTAAAGGTCTACTCGATTTTGAAAGGTCAAGTGTTTTCGAGATTAGAGTTTGACCTTACTATTTATTCATTATAAATGTCTAGAAGTAGTAAGGAATCAATAGGAAAAGTCTGTGAACGAAATATTTAGTTTAACATAGTTAAACCTCTCCGAGATTCAGCAATAAAATTTACGACTATCATTATATTTCTAATATTTTGTGGAATAGAATAGTAGTGAACTGAAAGAAGAAAAAAAACCTGGCGGGTAACTTGAAACTCGTTGAGAAATCGATATGTTCGGGAAGGAGAAAAATTGAGATAAATGCAGACATTAATAAAATACGAAAAATGCATACGTTATTCATAATTGAGCAATTTTATTGTCATGCACATACTATGGATTTTTTGGCGCCAAACCACCAAAAAAATTGATAGTAAGTACATGTCTCATGTTATTATCACAAAAAAAGTCAAGGAGATAAGAACGTTACACACTAATTATATGCTATAAAACTTATTGATTAAAAAAAGTTGGAACCACTAATCGATTGATATGGGCAGAAAAAAAGGTGAAGTATAGAAGAGTGCTTGTGCGCGCGCCGGCAGGTTGAGTAAACACTGAAACAGCACAGGGAAACACATACACACACAGAAGCAGCACTCAACTGCTGGCTGCCTCCACTAGTTTACTCTTTTACGATATATATTTGTACATATATGAGTGATGGCGGCGAATGGTGCTAGAAGCGAAGACGAACACTTTTTATTTGCTTGAGGATTTCTTGAGGAAGATCTACTTGTATTGTTTGAACGAACAGAATAATATATGAGGGACATTTAGACAATTAATGCATTTATTAAAACAATCCAGAAATTTGGGGAAATAAGAAAAAAAGAGAACCTCGCCCAAGATAAAATCAAAAACAGTTTTACATTCATTCGAAAGCAAAAAGGCGCGCCTGTAGAATACACAGCAGTATGTTATAGTTCGCAAAAAGTGTATGGAAAAAAAACGACGCGTTTGGAAAATATTCATGAATAATCATAGTGAGCATCATATTTGAATAATTCATACTAGCCGGGCCTAGGCGTCCGTTAATCTCTACCCGTCACACACAAAAACATTTTTTGGTGGAAATGAAAAAAGTTGGGCCTCTTAAACTGTTTTTCATGAGGATGGATTATTCTTTAAAAAAAGGAAAAGACTATTGTATTTTTTCCTGCGAATAAACCTATCGATGACAATAAAATGTACTTTTCGGAGTATATTTTTTTACTCGAAGTGTGAACTGGAAAAAAGACGCAGACATAAAAATAAAAATACATTCACTCTCTTCAGTCTCTCACACATATACAATTAGAGAGACTGGGCGAGCAAGTTGACATGTTGAATTCATTACGCGTGATTGATGCTGGCCTGCACTACCACCACTGCCGCCAAGGACCACCAAAAGCATCCGGACACACACACAAATTAGGCTTGCGAGCCAATTTAATTTGATCAAATTGCTCGAAAGTTTTTTCGAATGAAAAATAATGAGGCACTCCAATTACAAGATTCCTAATTATTCATATTTTACATTTATGTGAATCATTTTTTTCCAAACATTGTCTGTGTTGGAAAAAGTACACGAGAATAATCTACGAACAGTGTCCCTATCGATGACTGATTGATGATGACAAGTTCAGCACCGAACCTGATACTCAAAATCGATGCCAAACATTACAACACAAAACTGTTTCGGCTCGTCACTCTCCTCTTTTTATCCACTATTTATTTATATATATATATATATATATACCCAATGTGACAGATGTGCCTCTTCTGCTTTTTTCTCTACAACACAGCGGCGACCGGGGCTCCGATAATAAAATAAAATATTCGAAATGGCGGGGTGAACAAGTGGGGGAAAAATGAACAGCAAAAAAAAAACATGAAAAAAGTTAGAAAAAAAGAACAAGTTCAAATAGTTTCATAATTAGCACATTTGTGTTTGGCACGTTTATCACAGAGAGAAATTTGTTGGCAGACTACGATTAAAAAGATTATAACACCGATAAAGTACATACAAGTTCTGAAAATCGAATTAAATTTGCACTATGACAATTTGAAATTATTTTACTCACTTTAAAATATCGAAAAAGCTCAAATTTGTGCAGCATTCCATTCCACAACAATAGTTCTCTTCAGCTGATTTACAACCAAAAAACACTCGACTAACTGGCTCAGATGGTTCAATTGCGAAAAACTAAAATAAATATGAACAATTAGAAGCCAGACAGTTGATTATTTTTATAATCTTTCAAATTTTTTTTCTTTTTGAAAATCATTCTTGTACTTTGGCTAACCTTTCCGTATAATGATGGAACATATCGAGCCATTGGATATTCACAAATCAGGGAATAAGGAATTGAACTGTAGTTTGATAAATCCTGATTAGTTCCAAAATAATATTCCAAATCATTAAATTTGAACGGAAGTGAGAGATTAGTGATCACCATAGTGTTATGTAACAGTGTGAACATAAACAAAACCTGGTAAGCGAAACTTTGGTTGCCTCGCGAGGAAACCTGTACTTGAAAATTGCCGGGTTGAACGCTATAATTAAATACATGTTTATTAATTCTGAGAACAAAATCATGTGAAATAATGGGACAAAAAAAACGAACGAACCTTTCGAAGTTTCGAGAACTCATTATGTTGAGAAAACCATTTTTTGTTTGAGAATTATTCTGAGGATTGTTCGAAACGTATTGGATTATTGGACTCCTGGAAAGGATTAAATAATATAATTTTTGTTCGACTTTTTTCGCGAGTGGGCGTGATATTTAAATATTCAAAGAAAAGCCTATTTTCTATATTAATCTTTTTATTAAAGATTTAACATACCTGAAATCATTTTTCTCTTCAATTTCTTCGATAATTTCGGGCACATCATAAAAACCCGAGAAACGTGAAGAAAACACGCATTGAAAAAGACAAAGATAGATCAAGAAGAGATTCGTCATACATATAATACTCAACTCAAATCAAACCACTTCTGAAAACGAGCAAGGGCGACGACAAAATGAGAAGAGGGAAAATAATTATTGGTTTCGAACAAGAGGCAAATTGTGCATACAATCTGTGTTGTTTTTCTGAAGAAAGAAAATGAAAAAAAAACTAAATAAAAAGAAATTCCCACTACTATGAATTCATTCTAATTCTAATCAGAAACCGATTACGAACAAAAATGAAATGAACGTCAAGGTATAATCCAGACTTACTTATGAGAAAAAAAGACGATGAATGGATGAAGAATGACTTTTGTTTTTGTTTTCAGCGAATATGAAAATAGAAGTGGATGAGAAAAATTATATTATATTATTTAAAAAAGTGCATGTTGCGATTATTTTTGTTAATTGATCGAACATCAACTTTGGCTAACTCTCGATTTTGAGAATATTTCTAAATCGTATTAATTCATTATAATTCATAATGATCGAACTAAACCTCTTAATGTTTTTCGGAATCCTCTATAAAATATTGTGACTGTTAATGAATCTATAATAGGGTATAATGATAGAAAAATGGGATGCAAGTGTTCTAAAGTTTGAAATTTAATTTGAAAAATTGGCATAAAAAGTATTATACTACTCGGAATATAATATAAAATGCAAGGGGTTGAAGATTGGACGACGAGGGTCCAAAACAATTCTCGGTGAATTTTTTGGGAAAGGTTTGATGTCATACGATTCAAGTCATACACAATGCGGAAAAGTTTGACAGCAGACACAATGATTATTATAAATGTTATGATCTGAACTTTTTTTTTCAAATTGTAATCGTTTCTGAACTTACAATGATGACGCTGACTAATCCTAAGCAGAGCAAACTATTCATATGAGGTATCAAATTTCCTGAATTTTCATCAATGAAATAATAAATAACCGAATAATAACCAGCGGTATGAATATCTATACTATATTCCGTGAAAATAGAATTCTCAAAATAATCATCAGTTATCTCAGATGGCATAACAAAAAATATCCCAAAAGAGACCCAAATTGCTAATAGAAATGATGCAAATATTGGCCAAATAAACCAATATTTGTGAATCAGAAGAAGTCGTTGGAAGAACAATTTTCAAACGATAGAGAAAATGTATGGATAGTAAAATGATGCATATTCCTTGACTGACTGATTGTAGAACTGCTAAAACTAATCCAAATGGACGATATCGGAATACACTTGTTGAAATATAAATGAAACCAGCTTTATGGATATGAATAACGGGGAGCATAATAGCATCCAATGTATTATAAAACATCAAGAATGATGCATAACAAAAAAGAAGATATCGATAGTTTCCTATCAAACCTTTTGTTCGGATGGAAAGATAAATTAGAAAAATATTAGATAAATAAGAAAGAGGTAAACAGAAGTACGATAACATTGAACACATGATCAAAAATAAAAATCTTCACTAATTTGATACAAATCCCAAGTGGATACGATGATTTCATTCCATGCACATTTGATTTCACAGAATATTCTTTCGTTAAATAATAATTTTTTTGACGCAATTTAAGCAAGTCAGAAAATGATGATTTATCCAAAGAGAGTCATTTTTCGAGTGGATTTCATACTGATTGTGAGTATATGTTTGGAGGTATTCACTTATTAATCAATAGATTAGTTTGTTGACTATTGTGTTTCCCGAATAATTCAGACTACACAAGGAAACTTCTAAATGATTTGCACTTCGCGTTGAATTTTTGATCTAATGAGAATTAATTTTGACTAACTCTTGATTTTGAAAATATATCTGAAATGGTAAACTAAATTTGTTAGACATTTGTTTAAATGAAATGAACCTTTCAAAGCTTTTCGGAAACCTCTGTAAAAAAGAATAACTGTGAGTGAATCCAGTATTGGATAAATTGAAAGAAACATTGGCTGGATATATTCGAGTAGACCAATTTTTACTTGGAAAACTGGAGCAAAAAGAAGTATATATGTTGGTAGATAGAAAAGTAGAAACGGAGTTGCAGACTGTACAATAAGAGTCCAGAACAGTTCACGGTGTATGTTTCGAGATGATGTAGATTTGAGCAAATTCACATCATGAACAATTTTGTAAAGCTTATAACCCGAAATGAAAATCACTAGCATTGACATCATCTGATGAAATGCGCACATTAAAAAACACATTAAGGCTAATGTGCTACTCACAAAAACTGAACCAACTAGAATCAAACATATCAAACTCAGTTCATTAATTCTTATTTTTCCTCTGGCTTCATCAAAATAATAGTAAATAATTGCATAATATCCCGAGTTCCGGATATCTATTTTAAACATTTCCAAAACATTTTCCTGGAAATAATCATCTGTAAATTCAGTAGGCAACGCGAAATAAGTTGCACAATATGTCCAAATTATTATCAGTATGATATTAGACGCAGGCCAAATCTTCCAATATTTGACAAGTTTCGAACTTTGAGGTGACACTACTTTTAACCGATATAAAAAATGAATTGAAAACAACATGAAACAAAAACCTTGACTGACTGATTGTAAAACTGCTAATATTAATCCGAACGGACGAAATCTGAATGCACTTGTTGATAAATAAATAAATCCTGCATTATGAACATGAACTATTGGAAGCATTATTACATCCAAAGTGTTGTAAAACATTAGAAATATTGAATAGAAAGAAAGCAGGAATCTATAGTTTCCAATTAATTGTTTCTTTCGAAATGATAAATAAATCAAGAATATATTTGTCAAATATGAAAGCGGTGAACAGAAATATGCGAACATATCTGAATGATCTCGCAAATATTTTTGCAGAAAATTGGTTGATGATAAATTAGAGAGTTTCATGATTTCCGTTTTTAACGTCACATAAGTTAATTTGAGAGTATTATTCATTGTTCAAAAGTTCACTTGGATGAATGTATTGTGGGTTTTTGGTTTTATTCCAAGACTTTAGTTTTCAAAAAACACAACATAAGAGAAAATTGTAAGATTTCCAAATACTTAATAATCAATAATTAGTTATGTTTATCAAGATCAGGTGTACCAGCAATAACTTGACTTTCAATATTACATTCATTAACACCACGTAAAAATCGAATAACTCCATTTTCTCCGAAATCTTCACCCCATTGATGAACACAAATCCAATATGGGACACCATTATCAACTCCCCATCCAACAATTTTTGTCACCATTCCACCTTCTTGATCTCCATTCAAATGAACATAGATTCCTGTTTTATAGTCCCAGAAATCTTCATAGAGTACGAATGAAGCAATAACTGGTCCATTTGTCATTATTTCTGTTTGAATATCTGTCATCTTTTTGCCTACTTTATAGTGACCCTTTCCTGAAATTTTCATAAGTTATCACTTTGTTGTCGAGACATTCTTACCAAAGTGTTTATCTTGTTTGTATTCAATTGGCCAAGTAACATTAGATGTACATTCTTCTACACATTTTGGTGTATGATATCCTGGACACGGTGGTCCAGTTGTACCATCTGGTTGAGGTTTATCGCACGGGTAAATTGAATAGGGTTTACAACCAAATTGATCAACATATTCTCCTCCCGTACAAAGACCGTGTGTTTGCCACCATTTTAAAATATCTTGTGGCCAACTTCCATCACATCCCCATCCATCACCACAAGCTGAAAGTGTTCCGATGCAACAAGCAAGAGGATCTTCGGCAGATAAAGGCCAGTTAAATGAACCATTTGAAGCTATACATGTTCTATCCGAAGCTAATTCAACTGCTACTAAATGAGCAGCAGAGCCTGTAAGATTAATCTGTCGAAACGTAATTATGAATAAAACTCACCGCAATCAGATTGATCTCTAACTTTTCCTATCTCCTGACATTGTGACCAGTATTGTCTAGCATCAAATGTTGCTGGAATACTAATTGATTCTTTTGGGATCGGCGCATTGATCTCGTGATCTTCGTGGGATTTGATGAATCGTATGTTATTTACTCGAGCTTTTTTCTCGTAGAAACTGTACTTTGATGGAGAACCTTGCCATAATGCAGACTGGCAAAATGGAAATGCGAGAAAAATGTTGATGATCAGGAGCAACATGGGAAATGCATATAAATTATCTTATCAGTAGTTTTTGAAAAACGCGATAGAACAATTACATCACTCCATTTCAAAGTTTCAAAGAAACATTGTAAGATAATTTTTTTCTAAATTTTCCAGCAAGTTCCTCGCTTTTTTTTGTACAGTGATTAAAAACCAGTCAATCCATATCAGTCGTCCGGTCATTATCAGTCTTTTAAAAATCGTTGCAAAGAAAGAAAAGATTGATGAGTGTATCTTTAAAAATCGATCATACTTCTGCTAACCGTTTTTTTTTTCATAAAAAAAAGTTATTTTCCATTGGTAACTTCGATGTCTTGATGTGAATCATCTGATGTTCATCTTATAAAATACGATACGTCTATTAATAGCCTCTCAGCACATTTCCGATAAAATTTTGATTCATCAATCAAGCAAATAGACAGTGTTTTTAAGATCCCGCCCAAATAAAAATGACATTCTTCTTCTTCTTCCTTTCAGTTCTATTAATATCATGACATCGACTTTCAAAGACGACAACATGATTCGTATCATAGTTTGTATTTCATTATTTATTACTACTGTATCAGTAGCGGTTCCTTTTGGTCGTTTTGATTTTTCAGAACAACAAGGTTAGTTTCGACCGTATTCACGCTAGGTTGTTTAGTTCGACCGTTTTTTTTTCAGACATTGCTGATTTCTCAAATTCAAACAAAAATGATAACGTTTTCTTACCTTTCCGTGATACTCCAGAGAGACTTATAAATTATGAAATGGATAGCTCAAAAGAAAGTGATGCACTTCATTCTGAAGATGATATTTTCTATAAGTTCGGAGATCTCGCCACTTTGCCGATAGAAAAGTTATCAGGGCCGAAAATAGCGAATGGTTTCTAATCCCATGACTATTTTACTTCTAAAAATCAACCGAACAAGTTTTTCCAATTTGGAAATGATAAGAAGTGATCTCATTCTGATAGGTGTATTTGTGTAAATATATAATGATGATCCATCTCGAATGAGGGGTCTTAAAGTTTATTTGTGAAATAAAGATTCTTTGATCTTGATTCCTTTCCCAAAATAATTACAAATGATATGGGTGTTCAAAAGTCAAACAATCAAAATTCTTATGATTTTGTTTGTGAGTACTTTGAAAAAATCATTTTTCAATATGAAAATCAAAAAAACCATTCGGATTAAACATCAAGCATTAACAAAGCTGAAAATAGTTCATTGAGCAAGCGAAGCAGGTGAAATTAAACTTGTTAAAATAATAATAATAATATCTGCATATTGACCGTATTTTTCAATTTCCCACGCGTGCAATGTTTGAATTCACAACTACTGATGTTTGAGAACGATTGCTCGCATTTGATCGAGCAAAAACAAAGATTGTTTTTCCTTGTCGATTTTTCAACCATGCTGGATGCATTTCTGAGTTGAATGCAAACATAATAAAACTGAAAATTAAACTTTTTTTCATATTTATCTCGTGTTTTCAAATTTACCCATCCAATGCGTAGATAAACACAAAACTTATGGACAAAAATATGAATTGATACCACAATTCATCTCTCCATGTCCAAACATAAGTTGCATTCAAACTGTCAATTACGTGAATTGTGTCTTGAAGAACACTTTGTACATACATAATTGTCCTTTTTCTTCGTCTTCTCGAATTTTCTTCTGAACTCATTCCAACAACTTGATTCATCAAAAGTTTCACGAAAGTAACAAAGTTAAAACAGTTTGATGTTACCGAGAAGCAAAAGATCAGAAAAATCATATTATCCGCGATTGCATATGCACAATCGTCAGTTTCTGGTCTCCAGGAAACGATTGCTGGGTCGAAAACATAACCACATTTACCCGGAAGCCATGGCATTCCAGGTAATGCATAAATTGTCCAGGATGATGCCATCAATGAAATAACAACAATCGCAATATTTGTAAATGGAACTCGATGTTGTTTCATACTTTGCATTGGAAAATATAAAGCATAAAATCTGTTGAAAGACATACAGATTTGTGTTAAAGGACTCAGTGTGTAAGCGAAAAAAGCAGCGAGTTGACCAAGTGTTGCATTCACGTAGCGATTAATATTTTTGTATTTCGGATTACTAACAAAAATATGGTATTTACGAACAATTTTCGGGAAATAACTCACTAAATACAAACAGGAACTGCCCAAAACAAAAATATTGAACAAACTATCATATTTGGAACAGTTTTAGTAACACATAATTTAAGAAAACTGTTCCACTGACCAGTTCTTGTGACAAGTTTATAAAACACGTACATATTGATAAGTAATCCAGGAAGAGCATTTAAAAGTAAAATGATTCCACAAACCTGGTTGAATCCGAAAGCGACCATTAATATGAACGTTAAAAGAAATAATAACGATAAAAATAATTTTGGGGAAACAGATGATTTTTGAAAGTCTACAGGTGATCTTTCTTCTAAAAAACAGCAGTTCTTCAAAATATTTAAGTACAAAGTAGCAATGAGAGTTGTTGAAATCTTCAATTTATTTTTAATCAGATGGTTAAAAAAATAGTTGCAGTTGATACCTAGAAGTGTTCTGGTATGTACATTTTAATGAAAAATACTTCTTATATGAAAACTGAAAAATTAAAAATCGTAGAACAATTTTTATGATCATAATGGTATTGCTTTCGATTCGTTTTTATTTTATTCTAACTTTTTTCACGATTTTTGATTTTTCATCTTGTAAAATATAGGAAAATTGTCGGTCTCCAATACGAAATTCTGGTGAACTTTTGAAAAATTTTTTCAATGAATTCAAAGAGTACATTGAGATTAAAACATTGTTCTCAACGTTCACAGTTCTATACATAGTATAAAATATTTGTAGGATGACGTGGATTTTCACTTTATAATTTTTAGTAACAATTGTTCTTCAATCGCGTCTGCGATAAAAATATAATCCTCTACATTTTGTTCCCTGTCGGTTTGATGAAGATCATAATTTTTCAAAAACATTAGTTTCTCTTCAAAAATTGTATTCCCTCCATGACGTGGCAGTTTGAGAAATTAATTCCTAGAAACTTTTTTTGGTACTTTCAAATTTAAAAAATTGGTATGATTTTATCAGCCTTCTGTGAATTTATCACTATCGACTATGTAATTGTGAATACAATTAAAAACAAAACATTAATTTATCAATAATGAGATCAAATTAAATAATCTAAAATGCGATTAATCACTTTTCTTAATTTTCCATAATATCATCTACTAGTAACATTCGTTCTGATATTTTCAGTTTTTTCACATGTGGCAAAGTGTATAAGACGTGTAGATCTTTTTGATGTCTTTGTTGATGTTCCAGTGTGTCAATAATCCCAATGAGCAAAACAAAATGACTGGGTCCCAAATTCGGTTGCGATAAACAATAATCAAATAGAGCATTTGCGTATTCTTTCCTTTGTTTCATTATTATTTTTTGAGCGTGTTCCGATAAATCGCTAACAGCTGAAAATAACTAACTATTTTCATCTGAAAAAAAATGATGAAAAATACCTGGATTGCATAATAAAATAGCTTTTAATAAAATGTATTCAGTTTTACCAACATTATAACGAATAAGCGGTTGCATTGACATCACCGCTTCGCCGTATACACTGCCTCTGAAATAAAATATAAGATTTCAAACATATCAATACTCTTACATTTTCATAAAAGCAGCATCACCATCGGGAAATATTAACTCGTCATATTTTCGAGATACCGAATGAAATGAGATGTGCAAATTCATACACGCCAAAGTACCATGTTGCACAAGTCGTATACGATCTTCCAAATCTAATTGATTGAGATACATAAATGTTTTGGAATACTCCACCATTGCTAACAAATCAAAAGGAAACCATTGTTTTCTGGTCGGATCGAAAGGAGGTCTTGGTCTAAGTCCACCTTCTTTATTTGGTGGCGGTGGTGGAGGAGGTTTTGGAATTGGTTCAGTCGACCATTTCATTGGTCCCATTTTATTAGCTAGACTTATCAGCGTTTTTGATGTTAGCAGATTTTTCAAACACGGAATTTTTGTCGATTCTGGATTATAAGCTGAATATCGAAATTCTTCCACTTTCATTTCGAGATAAACCAACGAATCAATAATTTGTTCATTTATATTTCTCTGTGTTGTCATAACTCGCAAACAATCTGAAGTTGTTTCATATTCCAAATCGATCACTTCTTCTTTAATCGCATTCTCTCGTTTCTTAGTCAATTTCACAAATTTCCCACTTTTAGCCTCTTCTTCATCGACTTGCATAGCAAGTGGATTCATTCCAACACTAATACATTTCTCGTAGCGACAAGCACGGCATTTCACGGGATTTTCTGAACGAAAAAAAATTGTAGTTTCTATCTTTTTCAGTTTTTTTGCATATAAGGTGCAAATTGATAAGGTCTCATTATCGAACAAATATCAAATAGAAAGTATGAATTATATTTTATTATAAATTTTATATTTTGTAAGATCACATCGTGTGATTTGTAACATCACAGCAAGAGGGGAACAATTTATTGCTTTGTACTTATTTTGTATCAAAAGATCATTTTGGTCAATCAAAATATAAACAATTGAACCTAAATTGTCACGAAATTTTGAATACAATTAATTATCTTAATTTACACGAGAAGATGAAGGTTGTTTCTTTTCATTCTATTTTGTTTTCACAAACCTCTTTTCATTAGATCAAAACAATCGCCTTCCAATTTACACTTGAATTGTTTTTCCGACATAATTACTCGTCGAAAAAATGTTTTACAACCATTACAAGATTCAACTTCATAGTGAAAGCCATTAGCTGGTTTACCGCAAACCAAGCATTGAGTTGGTCTTTGATGTCGATGAGTTGTTGAAGGTCCAGGTTTTGAAGTAGATGAGTTAGGCGAAGTTATTGATGGAAGCTGAACAAAACTTGATGATTCATTTTAAAACAATCTGTTTGAACAGATGTTTTTTTAGTTGGTTTCAATGGTCAAAATTCACAAACCTCATCGTTTACTTCACTATCATATGATGTAGATAGGGATTGTTTGAACATCGGAAAATCAATACCTATCTGCAAAATTGAGAAAAAACTTTGAAGGGATTAAATTTTCGAAAAAGAAAATTGGAAAGGAGCAAAAGCCAATTCGAAATACAATGAATGTGGGAAAATATATAAATAATTTAGATCAGAAGACGAAATGATTCGAAAAGATAACTGCGAACAAAAATTATTTTCATGACGTAAATCAACTAATCACTTGATAAGTCAAAATTCGGGTTGATACATACAGAAGAAGAAAAAATTACGAAAACTGTTATCAAGTAATTGAAAGTGGCGAAAACATGTACGTATGTGGTAAAAATGTTTTTCAAAAAAAAATAATATATATATACATATAGAATAGATAGACATATATATTATTGACATTCATTTTTACATAGCAACCGTTAAAACGAGACAAAAGAGCGAAAAGAGACGGAGAGACGCAGAGAAATATTCTCGATCAATGTTGGCAAATACAGTAAATATGACTGTCTTTGATGTTACACCTAGTTGATATTTATTTTTATTCAACTTTTTGTTTTTTCTTTTCATTAGTATTCAAAAACAAAGATTTTCTCGAAGGCGGTCAAAAAATCAACAGAGGTTTTTTGTGTCCTTTTAAATCTCTGTGTTTTTTTTTGGAGCGGCGAAGTTTTTGATAGATACGAAGTCAATCAATAATTTTAAATGAACAGTCACGCTACTGTTAATCTCTGGTCAAGATCAATTTTACACACATTGAAATGAGATAACATTGTCTACACCATTTACAAGTAATTTTGAAGAAAATAACAAAGATTTCTGATCTCATAGCCATGTTTTCAAATTTATATGCAAAAATTGGAAAAAAAAACAAAACAAGATTTGATCGGAGAAAAAAAGAACAAAGGTTGATAAAGAAAATGATGTGGGTTGAATAGTTGTTCAAAAATTGTTGGGATTAAAAAAAACGTTTCGTATTTTTACACGGCTTTCGAAATGAAATTTGGTCACTAATTTTTTTATGAAATCAGTCTGAAAAGTCCAAAAAATACAATTATTGTGTTTGGTTTTTGATTTTGGATAAAAAGTTCAAACATCACTGATTTCTGAGACTTTGTCGTTTTCATTTTGGTTTACCCGGAAAACATTTGGAAGTGCATTGATAAGATTCGCAATGATTGTTAGTCTCATTAACAACAAACTATACCAAGTGGTTAATTTTTTTCATAAAATGAACGCAAGAAACAATAAATGTACCTAACATAAAGATATTCATCATGAAAAAATTATGGGACGCGTAAAGAAGGAAAGTGAATTGGTCTTGTTTTACTTGCGCAAAATCGCCACGGCGAGATAGAACATGAATGACGTTCGAAGCTGGCCGGCAACTACGTCACTCGATTTATCCTTGGAGAAAATTGGTGATGTTCTTTTGAATCAGATAGAGAATGAATGTTTATCCATTGTGAAATGTGGTAGTTTTTTCTTCATATTTTGTCTACGCTAAAATTTGGAGAGATAAATTTGCAGAAAAAACTGGGTACAACTTTGATATTATCTGAAGAAAAGAAAACAAAAAGAAAAAGTACAAAGTAAGCTAGCACTTAGAACGAGAGGCTATAATTTAATCAAGATTGATTTGAACTCAAAGATAAAATAGTTGAGTTCACTGGAATTATTAATTCGAAAATATCGTTCGATTTAATTATTTTTCCAAAATGCAACATAAATGTTATCCGAGAAAATTCTGGATGAAAGAAAACGAAACATTTCCCGTCCTTGAGAATCTATCGCAGGTCAGAATCAGATTAAAAGTGATCTTACAGAATCTTTTTCGATTTAAAGATAACACGCACTTTTAGAAGATTCAGAGAAATCGGATAATTGATGAACAACACGGAAGTGCTTGAACTTTTGGTCGTTTTTTGAGTCTCAGTTTTTTAGAGGTTGAATTTCTATACGGAATTCTATTAAAATCATTATAGTTTCATGAAATCAGAAAATTGTTTTCGAGTATTCCAAAACTCCAGTTGTTCTCAAATTTCTCAAACTTTATTAAAAATTATAAATCATTCAATTTTCTTTTTTCGGATGATAACAAATAGTTTCAATACTTTGCAAGTTATCAGAAATACTAAATATGAAATAAAACAACCTACAACAAGAAGAAAACCAAAAACATCCAAATAATAAAAACCAATAAAATTAGAAGATCCAACTTCGGGAGTTAATTTATCGAAAGTTGGGAATTTTATGGCGAAATCAATGTGTTTTAGAAGTGTTTCTTTGGGATCATAAGGTTGATTCAGTAACACATTTGCAAGTTCTTGCGCTTTTATGGAATACCTAAAAAATATAAAGATCGAGGAAAATTTGGATGATTTCTCACCTCTCATTTTCAACCATTTTTCTTACAATCGGAATAAGTTTTTCGGCTTTAAATCATATTTATCAAAAGTAGTTGCTCCTCCATGTCTTTCCAACATCATTGCATTATTGAATTGATCATTAAAAAGTGGTATTACAATTGTTGGTATTCCAGAATAGGCAACTTCAAAAGTACTTCCCAATCCTCCATGAGTTACAAATAATTTAACTCTTTTATCTGCTAATAATTCAGGTTGAGGTATCCATTTTTTCAAATATACATTATTCGGAAGGTCTTTTCTGATATCATCATCTTTTTCATATTTCCAAATAAATGTAATATTTGGTAAAGATTTGAATGTTTTCAATAATCCTTTCTTGAAATTTGATGGCATTTCGAAACTTTTCACAACAGTTCCAAAAGAAACAATTACAGTAGCTTCCCGTTCATTCAATATTTTTGAATATTCTTCTGGAAGTGATCCAATTGTTTTATTTTTATTTATTGTCATTCCACCAACATATACTATATTTGGAGTACTTGGAAGAGCAAAGTCCAAATAAGGATTCGAATTGACAATGTAGAACGTAGATTTTGTTACAAGTTTCGTCCAGTGTGGCAATTTTCCATCTTCATTTATCAATTCATATTGTTTTTCGCATAATTGAAAATATTTTCTGGTCTCGAAAAATTCGAAATACCAATCGTTCAATCGATCAAAAAATCGGGCATTTTTGCCATATTTGGAAAATGCACCAGGAACATAACCAAGAATATTTGGTTGGCCGAATAAATATTGTACTGCTGGATATCTGACAGATGTCATAACTGATATTATTGATTTTATTCCGAGAAGATGTGCAACATAAAAACCACTGATTTCAAAAGTTTCCGCGATTATTGCATCGAATTTTCTGTTTCTAAGGTTATTGAGAAGATCCTTATCATTCAACAGTTCTGAAATTTGTTGAGATTATAAATTAGCTGAAAATTTATAACCTTACTCTTGACTGGCGGATAAGCAAGTTCAGAGAATATTGAAGGCATAACTAAACTTCCGAATAATGGGTCTGTAAACATTGGATCATCCCATAATCTTAAAAATGGATCTTCTTTCGGTGATTCAGATACTTCGATGACATCTTTTGGATAGAATATTCTTTCAATACTTTTATTTTTTATTAATGATTCAATATTAGCTGTCGGAAATATCTCACACTCCAATACAGTCTGAAAATTGATCACATTAAAATTGTAGCGCAAAAGATAAACCAACTAACAATTGTATGACCTTGACTAGCTAACAAATCAGCCAATTTTCCCATGAATTTCATATGACTGTATCCAATGACTGGATTCGAAATCAAAATATTATAACTTTGAACATAGGAGACTAGAAGGAAATAAATGAAAAACATTTTATTTTCTTGCAAAAAATAGACAAATTCTTGACTTATTATAGTGCTACTACATAAAAAGAGGTGGAGAATTATTGTTGTCAAATCCGATTTCAGTAACTTGATTTTCATTCGATCAGAAAACATTTGATAAACAACAAGACTCTACATTTTGGTCTTTTGTATCTTGTAGTGAACGCTTTTTGTGTTCACAAAGCAATTAGTGATGTTCAGTTTTTCGTAGACTAATTCGACTTTATTTTACTCTTTTTTCAATTTAATAAAACAATACAATTTTTTGAATGTGATCCGAATCAAAAATAGAAATAGACAAATCACAGCAATTATACAAAAATATGCATCAATGTAATAAAATGCGATGAAACCATTCGAATTGTTTTCCGGAACAAGACTTTTTAAACTTGGAAATTTCGCAGCGAATTCGATATGATTTATGAGAGTTTGTTTTGGATCAGTTGGCTGATTATGCAAAACTTGAGCGAGTAGCTTTGAATTTTCAGCAAACCTGAAATTGTTTTTTTATTTAGAAAAAATGTTTTTTTGGAAAAAAACTTACTTTGAGTTTTCTAGTAATTCTCGAACAGCTGAAATTAATTTTTCCGATTTTGATAGGTCAAATTTGTTATAAGCAATTGATCCTCCATGACGAGAGAGCATCATTGCATTATGAAATTGATCAGAGAATAATGGAACCTATAATTATAAATATCTATTCAAATTTTGATTTTCTAAGAGAAAAAACATACAACAAGTGCAGGTTTTCCAGAATATGCAACTTCCATAGTGCTTGCCAATCCTCCATGAGTTATGAATAATTTAACACGTTTATCAGCTAATAATGCAGATTGAGGCATCCATTTTTTGAAGTAAACATTTGGCCCAATTCTTTTTCTGAATTCCAAATCATCTCTTTCATATTTCCAAATAAAAGTCACATTTGGAAACTTCTTGAACATTTCAACAAAACCAGATTTGAAATTTTCCGGCATTTCGTAAGATCGAACAACTGATCCAAATGATATTATCACTGTATTTTCTCCGAGTATATCTTGATATTCATTTGGAAGAGATTGTTTGGGTGATTTCTGAACATTAAATCCACCAACTGGAATAATATTTGCAGTTTTTGGAGCAGCGAAATCTAAATATGGATTGCTGTTTGTGATGAACACGGTTGAATTATTGACAAGATCCTGAAATTCAATCATTTTTTTTTAAGTTTAAAAAAAAAATCAAATTTCACCTTCCAGTATGGCAATTTATATCCTATAAGTCTATCGAATAATTTATTTTGCATATTTGAGTAAGCTTGATGTAATTGAGTGAAGAAAAAATCGTTGTAAATATCATTCAATCTATCCCAAACAGTCGCTTCTTTTCCCATTCTTGAAAAATCTCCCGGAATATATCCTAAAGTCGGAGGTTGTCCGAAGAGTTGTTCTGTATAGGGATATCTAACAGATGACATTATTGCAATAACTGAACGAGCATTTATAAGATGAGCAATATCTGGAAGTTTTCTGGATACTCGAGAAAAACAAAGAAAAAGAAGTGTAACTCACAGAATCCGCCCAATTCAAAAGTTTCCGTAATAACCGCATCGAAATCCTGATCTTTCAAAGATTGGAAAAATTTTTTGTCTTTCAATAATTCTGAAAATTTTGATTTTTAAAAAGATTTCCTTTTGTTTAAAATACCTGAATATGTTGGCTCCCATTTTTCTTTTACCACCATCGGCAAACTCAAACAAGCCACAATTTTATTGTTCATATAGATCGAATCCCAAAAATCGGGAAGTGTATGTTCTTCATTTTTCATTCCACTGAAATGTGTTGGACGATATTCGATGAACTTCACATTTGAATTTTTCACAAGTTTATCCAAATTGGGCAAAGGAATGTGATAAATATTGAGCATTGTCTGAAATTATGCAATTAAGTTTTAAGAATTATCAAAAATTCAATAAAATCTTACCACATCATGTCCAATATCAGCCAAAACATCAGCAACTTGGGCATTAAATTTGACGTGACTAAACCCCAATATTGGATTTGCGATCAGAATTTTGAGTGAAATAACATCGTGAGGAATAAATATTGAAAATAATAGCAACAGTTTCAACATTTTCGCCAACTGTTTTTTGAAATAAAACTTGTTATTATGAAAAGGTCAAAAGAAATGAGAAACGAGACGAAAAAGAAAAACAAATGTATTTATTTGATCTACATTTCCTTCATAAAAATTGGAGGTCCACTAAAAAATTTGAATATTGTTTGTGGAAAAAGGGGCGGACTTTAAATAGAAAATGTTTTCAGAATAAATGTTTTGAATTTCAAAATATTCAAAAATGAAATAATAGATGCAAAACTGAAAAATGATTACTCTTGTTTTTCAACTTTCAAAAATCTTAAGTTCATGTTAACCGGTATTTTTCTAAATTATAAGATGATTTTCACATTGATCAAGTTGAACTAATATTTTATGAACAAGGAAGTTTTATTTTCATCAATCCTTTTTCATTTTGAAAATCCGAAATTTCAATAGTTTCGATAACAGATAAATTATATAAATTGAAAATCCTAGAATAACTAAATATGCATCCAAATAATAAAAAGCTATCAAGTTGTTAAAATTATTTTCTGGTACCAAACTTTTGAGATTTGGAAATTTTGCAGCAAATTCCATATGGGATAATAATAATTGTTTTGGTTGAATTGGTTGGTTATGTAAAACTTTGGCCAAAAGTTCAGCATTTTCCAAGAAACTGAAAAACAAATTTTGTGAATTTATTTTTGTACAGTGCGTTCCATAAGTATACGCGCACCCATAAAAATGATTTTTCGGCTCTCAACTTAACTTTTTGAGTAAAAATAAGTTGTTTAACGATAAGTACGTGTAAAAATACATATGTATACACTTTTCTGATATAAAAAAGCAACAAATAGTTTTTCGGGGAAAAAATATGAAAATTTTGGATTTTTCAGCGTCTCAAAAGTATACGCGCACCCTATCAAACTGTAGTTAGGAGGCATCTGGTAGGAAAATAAGTGCTCTGAGGTTATTTGGCATGCTGAAAAACGTAAAATCACTTATTTTTACCTATTGGTAAAATATTTACCATGAACATTTATTTTGTGGAACAAACATTTCTAACCAAATTTTCCAAAAATTCGAATTTTTTTAGAAAAATTTTCTGTTGTTTTAGAATTGTTAGGACCAGTCTTAAAATGTGTTTTTTGAATTTTTGACACAATTTCGTAGCAATTTGACTGATTTATCTTCTCGAAATTATGAGTTTTTCACATAAAATACATGAAAAACGGTCAATTTTCGATCTAAAACTCATCGTTTCGTTTTGCAAACATCAACCTAATTGATAAAAAGCAATTAAAATAACTGAAACACAAGTTTTAGTCACTTTCAAAGACTTCTCAAACATTCAACATACATCTAAAGTGTATTTTGAATTTTTATTTGAAGAACTGTTGCAATCAACATTTTTTAATGTTTTGCTTCAATCATAAATTTCTCTTTTAGTTCAGTTTTAGTCCAATATCTTTTTGTAAATTGATCGATCAACGTTCAAAAATTATGAAAAAATGTGAAATTGAATTGTTTTTCAATTTTATTCTGAAGTGGGTAGGAAAATTCACAAAAAGAATAGTTTTTCAAAAAAAGAAAAAAGTAAGTTTCATCTCAAACATTCTCTTGGGCAGTTTCATCGAGAATCTCAATAATTAGAACTTTTGAAGATATTCTAAATTTTTGAAAAACAGTTTTTGTATGCATATCAGAAAAATTTCTGCCCAGAAATTGAAAATCAAAAAATATTTTTCCCGACTTCTTTGAAAAATTGAGCGTTTTTCATGTATTTTATGTGAAAAACTCATAATTTCGAAGAGATAAATCAGTCAAATTGCTACGAAATTGTGTCAAAAATTCAAAAAACACATTCTAAGACTGGTCCTAACAATTCTAAAACAACAGAAAATTTTTCTAAAAAAAATCGAATTTTTTGAAAATTTGGTCAGAAATGTTTGTTCCACAAAATAAATGTTCATGGTAAATATTTTACCAATAGGTAGAAATAAGTGATTTTACGTTTTTCAGCATGCCAAATAACCTCAGAGCACTTATTTTCCTACCAGATGCCTCCTAACTACAGTTTGATAGGGTGCGCGTATACTTTTGAGACGCTGAAAAATCCGAAATTTTCATATTTTTTTCCCCGAAAAACTATTTGTTGCTTTTTTATATCAGAAAAGTGTATACATATGTATTTTTACACGTACTTATCGTTAAACAACTTATTTCTACTCAAAAAGTTAAGTTGAGAGCCGAAAAATCATTTTTATGGGTGCGCGTATACTTATGGAACGCACTGTATTTTCCAGAAAATAGTTACCTGGGTGTCTCTAAAATTTGACGAACATTTGCAATGAGTTTAGTTGGATTTGCTAATTCATATTTATCATAAGTTATAGCTCCTTTATGTCTCGATAACATCATCCCATTGTGAAATTGATCACTGAACAACGGAACCTAGAAACAATTTAGTATTTATTGGTTTTAGAAAAAATTTGTCTTACCACAAGTGCAGGTTTTCCAGAATATGCAACTTCCATAGTGCTTGCCAGTCCTCCATGAGTTATGAATAATTTAACTCTTTTATCAGCTAATAATGCTGATTGGGGCATCCACTTTTTGAGATGAACATTAGGCCCAAGTCTTTTTTTGAATTCCAAATCATCTCTTTCATATTTCCAAATAAATGTTATATTTGGAAATGCTTCGAAAAAGTTTGATTAATCCGTTTTTGAATTCTTCGGGCATTTCATAAGATCGAACAACTGATCCAAAAGATATAATCACTGTATTTTCTTTAATTATATTTTGATATTCTTCTGGTAATTTATAAGTAGCTTCTTTGTCAACTGTAAATCCTCCAACATGAATAATATTTTGAGTTTTTGGAATCGCAAAATCAAGATAAGAATTTGTATTTGTGAAGAAATATGTTGATTTTGTCACAAGTTCCTTCCAATCAGGAAGATTATATCCAACAATTGAACTATATAAAACTTGCTGAGCATCTGCATAGGCTTTATGCGAGATCGTACTAAAGAAATCATAATAAATATCATTCAATCTATCAAAAACAGTCGCTTCTTTTCCCATTCTTGAAAAATCTCCCGGAATATATCCCAAAGTTGCGGGCTGTCCAAAAAGTTGTTCTGTATACGGATATCTTACTGATGGCATTGTTGCAATCACTGAACGAGCATTTATAAGATGTGCAATATCTGAAAAAGTTTTGAGTGAAGAATGAAATTGAATTCTAGTTATCAACCTACAGAATCCTCCGATTTCGAAAGTTTCTGCTAACACAGCATCGAAGTTTCGTGCTTCAAGAGTTTTTAGAAATTCCTTGTCGCGGAGAAGTTCTGTAAAATATTATTGATAAATGAAATTTGTCTTTAAAAGTTTTCTATGTTACTCACTTGTATATGTATTATTCCACATACTGGCGAAAAACGCAGGTTTGACAAAATATCCAAGAAGCGGGCTGTCCATCGATTTTGTGGCCCAGAATTCTGGCAAAGTTGCAGTTTTAGCTTTACGGAGTTCTTCGAAATTATCAGGATAATAATGGATTATTTCAACGTTTGGATTTTTCACAAGACCGTCCAAATTAGGCATTGGAATGTGATAGTATTGCAAAATTGTCTGAAATTAATTGATTTCATTTTTAAAAATTGAGAATTTGAAAAACTCACCACATTATGACCAGCATCGGCAAGAACATCAGCGATTTTTGAATTATATTTAACATGGCTGAATCCAACTGTCGGATTCGTTATCAAATAATTATAGGCATCGATTGAATAAATTGATAAAACTATAAAGATGGTTGAAATGAACATTGGTCCAATTGACGGACATAAAACAAAACAAACTTTTAAACAGACTTTTTTCAAGGGAGGAGTTTGTTTTTTGATCGCGAAGAACGTGAAATTCAAAAGAAGGAGAGACAGTTAATTTCTAGGTTTCAATCTACTTTTTTTTTCTAATTCTTCTGATAACAATTTAGAATTTTAAAGTTATATTGAACATGACAACAATGATAAATTGTTCGAAACTCGAAATATTTCCTTGAAACGATAAATTAGGTAAATGGGGTTTTTTTTTGAAAATGAGAAACAAAGTGTATTGGAATGCCCGAATACTTTTTTCGCAAACGGCGTGGGGGCAAAAACATTTTTGATCTATTTCGAAAAGTTTTGGGTCTAGAGAAAAGTTTATCGATGACTCTATATTAAAGATAACCAACCGGCTATCCAAACTATTTCCAACTGGTTAACTGTCTTTGAAATCAGCTTAGAGATGATTTCAAGATCCTGATCCATGACGAAAGGCTAGCACAATTTCAGACTTCAAAATTCTGCTTCCAATTCCATACTCAATCACATATTCTCTTTATCAGAAAAGTTTCATCGAAATGTTTTGAAAATTAAAAGAAAACATTTTTTTCCAGTTTGTTGCGGAAGTTTTTGTAAACTACATTTTTTTCCAATTTTGGTCAATCAGGAAACACCACAACACATATTTCCGATTCTTATTTTTTAGATGTTCATTGTTATCAACTTTCAAATTAAAAATGAATGTTGTAGTGTGGGGTAATTTGACTGATAACAAAAAGATCACAAAAGCGAAACAAGAAAAAAAAACTCTAGTTATATTACCTTTTTTAAAATTCGTGTTATGGTTTTGAAAAATAAGGGGATTGTTCTGGAGTCTTTTGATTAATTTTGTTTTGTTGAACTCTGTACTAAAATTTATTCGGCTTCAAGTACTATTCATTTTTATTGTTTCGCGGGACACTTTCATGAAAACGTTCATAAAATAATTATAGCTCATAAAATAACATGAACAAAAACAGTAACATTGATTGTTTTTTATACAACGAAAAATTTGAGACGATTCATCAGAGGGACTTTTTTAGAAGTTGAGTTTTGTGAAATATCTAGAAATAAAACGTGGAAACAGTACTACAAGCCTACTTGGCAGCCACGTTAGCTCACGCGAAAAAAAACAAAGAGGGAATTTGATTTTTGGAGCAATTTCGGAATGATTTTGTGATTCTAGTTCATTTCTATTGCATGTGTTATCCTGCAAATTTTTTACAAAAACAAGTTTATCAAAAAATAAATTATGAAATAAATAGATTTGTGGAAGAATTAACCTCTGAGAAGATCTCCGAAAGTTTTGGCGGTGTTGCACAAATTGTCGGTTTGAAGCTGAAAAATCAAAAGATTTTTTACCATTTATCAAAGTCGATGAAACTCACTCCACAAAGTGGAAGTTTGTTTGAGGCTTTCTTGGCGCAAGTGCAGAAACGAGAATCGCAATCAGCTTTTGAGGCTTGCTTCTTTTTGTGGCATTTTGTATGAGCAGCACAACAATTGTCAATAGCTTCTGAAATTTATTATCATGATAGTTTTTTCCCAAACATAAGTTTCAAAGTTCACTTACGGAGTCTTCCCTTGCAATCATTTTTCACCAACATCTCAGCCAAGTTTGCTTGGAGAGCATCTTGTCCACATGAAAAACGAGCCGATGCGAATGCGATAACCAAAACCAACAAAACGATCAATGATGAGTTCATTCTGCAAACATTTATGTTGTCTCTTGTATTTTCAAAAATCATTCTGATAAAAATCATGTAATTCACATGAAATATCTGAGAAAAAATGAGGAGAGGTTCAAAGAATTTTTTTGGGTGGTTGAAGTCGAAAATGAAACAGCGAACAAATGAAAATATCGGATGTTGATTCGAAAATAATAAAATAAGAATAACAAATCGAGTAAGATAAGATCAAGTTTATCTTGTGAAAGGCGGAACGGGTAAAATGGGGGGAAGGAAGAATAATAATGGGAGAAACAAGCCAAGATAAGCCAAGGTGGACAGGTTTTCTCATTGATCAGAAATGGATTAAGCTAGAAAGATCCAATGAAAAGCATCTTGTCGTTGAAATAATGGCAAAAGGCACACGTGAGAAATGAACTGGATGTGGCTATTAATGATATCATAAAACGATTGCGATGTGTTGACATTTTTTTAAATATAACTCTGAAAAATATTTCTCTAATATTTCTTACACGAGATTGTCGATCCCAAATGCTCAGTTTGAAGTTTTTTTCATCACATCTTTGATTCAAAGAAAATTTTCAACATTTTTGATTTTATTTTGATAAATTAGAAATACATAGCCTGTTATTATCAAATTCAAAAAATTCAGATATTCTACACTCGAAATTTCACAAAAATCTTTATATACAAACAACACATAATAATTGAAATGATTGAAATTTTAAAGTGTGAATTGGCTTGGATCATATCGTAAACTATCCCGGAAAATGTATAACAAGAAACATAAAAGTGGAAGAACCAATAGCATCAGAATCAAGGTTGAAACAAAACACCAGCATAAACTTCTTGGTTGATAAACTCGTTGGCTTAGATCATCTTCGGTATCTGCAACAATAACACTTTTATATTTGTAACCAGCAAAAAATGTGAAAAAACACTTACCACAACTTTCAGATCTATTCGATTCGAGGTCAAAATATGATGGCGGGAATTCTCTATCCCATGGCGAAGTTTCTAGACTATTCACATCGAGAACATAAACTGGTGGTAGATCATTTTTCGAGCATTTTGGGGAAGCCTCTGAATAGTCTGGCGGTGCTTGCATCTTTATTTTTTTTTGATAAATGAAGATAACGAGACGAGTATTTGAACTGTTTTGTTATCTGATCTGAACAAAAAATATTGGGAGGAGTTTTCGAGTTTTTTGTGACGTATGTATGCAAAAAAAATGGAGAAAGGAGTAAAGTCTACGGAAAAAAAGAGTAGGAAAAGTGCACTGAAATTCTTTTAGACAAAAAAAAAACAAACAACAAAAAACGAGCTTTCAGTTTTTTTCAGACCCACAACCAGGAAAAAAGTGAAAATCTAATTTTCTGAAGAGAACCGGGGAACACCGTGAAGAGAGGAAAAAACGGAAAAAATATAAGAGAAAGCAAAAAGAAGAAATGAAGTTGGATGATATTAAATATTCATAAAGAATTTTTTAGGTTGAATAATTCTACAAGGAAATGCAAAACTTTGCAATTTTTCTACTTCTTTACATCAAACAATTATTTCGGGTTCTCTGAAAGCTTTAAGTGGAAAATAGTTCATTCACTTTCGCGTACAGTAAGAACCCATGATATTTTTTTCTGGTTATTTTTAGTAAAATGTTGTTCTCTCGATCACTCTTGACCATTTAAACAAAATTGTACTCGGTACAAATAGCTTATCACTATCATTTTTTTTGTGCCCCGAAGTTGATATTCACGTGAACTATGAGTTCATTTTGCAATCAACCACACACAAAAATATTCTTTTTTTTTCCTTGACGTTGTAAATTTGTTATCTTGGAATAAGGAGGAAACTGATGTAAGTAAGTACGAACTCTATTTTTAGCCATTTTTTGTTGGATTATTGGGAGTGGTTGATTGGGGACACGGAAAATATTATTATGATGTGGTATTATGAAGTGAAGTGAAGTGATAAAATTAAGTAGGAAGATGAGTGTTTCTTGGTTGAGATGTTGAACTCGGAAAACCGGAAAATAGGGTGATGTTTTGAAAAGAATATTGTAATAATTGAACTCTGTGATGTTTCTTGAAAAATATTTGTATCAAAAAACAAATGAATTTTTTTTCAATATGAAAAACAATTATGAAAATATTTTTATGAAAAATTTGAGTTATGTGAGAATTATTCATTTTACGTAGCTCGTTTAAAGAATTTTCATTTTTGTGAGTTCAGGTTTTCCGACGAATATCAAAAACTGAATAGACCCACAAAAAACTTCAAAAATTTTCTATGGAAAAATTTGAACATCACACATCTGACTAATGCGTGTAGTTTGACTTTGATGATTATTCAGTAAAGAAACGTGCGATTATTAAGCCTTATCAGAATATTCTCGAAATTTAAACCGATTAGAATTCTCTGAAAAAAACAAAAAATTCAAAAAATCAATTGCTCTGACGTTAGTTGCAAAAGAAACGAATGCATATATTAATTAAAAAATTCTAGACCTCATAAATTTTAACGAGTTTTTGAAGTTCATCTTTTTATAGGTTCACTGGAACCTATTCAGAATTGCCTATTATCCTCTTGGGTCGAAAACAAAACAGGATGTTGGTCAAAAATCAAAAAATCATCGCAGACAAGAAAATGTGAGAAAAAATGAAATAAAAACTTGAGTAGAACCCTCCTTCTCCTTTTCAGAATCTAATTATTTTTGTAACTCGGCTAGCCTTTTTTTGTTTTTTGCTTTCTGGATGGATCAAAAACTTGAATTATGCAAGAAGGATACAATTGCGATAGAAAAGAAGAAAAATTGAAGAAGAAGGAGAAGAAAAAAAATAATTTTTTTATTCTGAATGCGGAAGAATTGTGCAGCACACTATTTTTATAGAATCTTCAGCGAGCAATACGAAACAAAATATAGAAAAAATAATAGTTTTTCTTTTCAATGTGACGAATTCTATATATTTTCATGTATAAAAAAATTAAATAATTTTTTTTTTCGAGAGATCAAACGTGACTTTTGAATATGATTTTTTGAACTTTTGATTTTTTCAAAAAAAAAATCTGGAGATAATTGAAGGAAATATGGAGTATAAAATACTACTGGTCTGAAAATCTCCACATTTCATGTTTCAACGCAAAAAAATTACATTTTTTTGAAAAATATTATGTGGTCGCGGACCTCCAGAATGAAAACATCATGTGAAAAAATTGAAAAATATAGTTTTAAATTATCATAATCCATAAACGACTCTGAAAGTGTTCACGACAAAATTGGAAAAAAATACTCTTTTCAAATGCAATAATTTATAAGAATTAACTAGGGGCTGTTAGCCCCCAGGCGTAACAGTCTTCTCATTTATTTCAGTTTCACTTTTTTTCTGTGATTATTGTCCACAGAACATTGACTTACAATCAAGTTTATAGAAAATTTCAAGTTTTTTAATCAAAAAATGACTCTTGGCAAAATCAGGAAGGCTTCCAAATTTTGCCATGGATGAAGTCATTCATCAATTTTTCAAAAAAAAACTTATTTAATTATTTTTTCGAATTAAATGTACTCGTAAGATGTTGAACACACGAATTACAATTGAATTTATAGAACATTTTTTTTGAAAAAACTCGGGCCGATTTTTTTGAAAAATTCGGGCCGATATTTTTTTTGAAAAAACTTGGGCCGATTTTTTTCAAATGCAATAATTTATAAGAATTTATAAGAATTATTTATGAGTAAAAAACTGCAAAACTTTGAAGTACACAAAACAAAATGTTTTCTCTATTTTAAATTAAATTAATAAAAAAAATTCCAGCACATATTGCTCACATCATTTTTTTCAACGCATTTTTTAAAATGTAATTATATAAATTATATAATTACTCTGCAAATGTTCAATATGAAGCTTTTCTTTCTGAAAAAAAATTTAAAAATTAACCTTCGCTTTTATTTTTCATTTGACAATTATTTCATTGTTGAATTTTTTCTTAATCTTCCTGAATACTGCTGGAGAGACTGATTCCAAGTCAGAAAAATTGTTTTTTTCTGATCCCACATAGTCCAGATGGGAATTTTTATAATGTTAGTTTTGATTTTTATGGTTTGATTGTATTATGGTGCGTAAGAAGAACGTTCTACAAAAAATATGAAACATTTCTAATGTATGTGTTTACAAATATCCTGCGTCCAACAAAACATATATTATTCATTTTTAAAAATATGTATTCCGATATAAAATAACATTCATTTCAACTATGGTGTTGAACTAAATAAAGCATCTCCGATGAAAAAAATATGGCCCGGGGCAACTCGCAACACATTTTTTTAAGAATTGTTTTGCGACCCCCAAAGACGCTCCAGAATTTCATTCTCTCTGAAAAATGACTGAATTTCATGAAGTCCCTATTTTTCAAATACATAAAATTTCATCATTCGAATTAGATAGTTATAGTTTATTGTTTATTTTCATAATGCGTATGTGAAAAAACAGTGCTTCAAAAAATATTAGAAAAAAAAACAATTTACGATGATTTTTCTTGTAGGAAAATATTTGGCGTCAACAAAATTTTCAATCTCAAATACTTTTCTGTTGAACTTTGTGAAAAATGTTAATTTCAATCCGAAAAAATAAGAATCTTGGAAGAGAACCGAAATGGTTAAGAAAACCAAGACTACAGTAGACTTCGCAAAATTTTGGAGTCGATTTGAGAAATAAAATGCGAAATTTCCATGCTGGCGATTATTAATTAATTTATTTCACGTGCACTAATTTTAAATTGATTTTTATTTGTAATTATTATTTAGTGTAACTCTTTTGTTTCTATTTTACTGAATATTCAATCATTTGAATATGATAGCAATAGTTTATTGTATATTTTTTATGCGTATGTGAAAGAAAACAGTGCTTCCAAAAAATATAAAAAACAATTCAAATTTACGATGTTGTTTCTTGTATGCAAATATTTCGCGTCCACAAAACACAATTTCATTCATTTTTTTTCAGAATTTCAATCTGAGAATAAGTTTTTTTGCTGTTGATCTTTATGAAAAGAATATAAATACATATATTATTGAAAAAATGCAATTTAGTGAAATGCATTAATTTTCCAAAGCCATAAATTTTTAGACTAAAAAAAACTCAAAGTTGTGTTTTAGTCTTTTTTAAATTTCAAATCTTGAGCCCCCCATCTTTTTTTTCTATCCAAAATCAGATTATTTTAATCTCCAAAAACTTTCAAGTTTTCTCGAGTCAAAAAACTTCATTTTTTGGAGCACTTCAAAAAATGTGTGAATTTTTGCTCTTCAAAAACATTCCATTTCAAACAGTTTTCTGTTGTTCAAAAAAAATTGGATTTTGCTCAATTAGATGTTGGTTGCTATGCTTTTTCCGCCAAAACGAAAAAATGCAACACTCAATTTTCAAAAAAGGTCCCAAAAATAAGTAGCGCACATTTTTTGAAGTACATTTTTCCTGGAAACGTTTTTTTCAGAAATGAAAATATAATCTGAAAATAATCGCATAAACTCGTCGTGTGCCTTTTGTTATGAAAATGAAGTTTTTGTCCAATGTTATTGTCATTTTTTTCCGAATTCAAATTCATATGTACATACATAGATTCATTCATTCTCGCTTATCAAAAGCAAATATTGAGGCACTTTGTGAAATAAAATTGTATTTGTTACACTTTAGGTTTTTATGAATGTTGGAAAAATCGACGATATGTCTCATTCTATTAACATTGATATGTGTTAGTTTTCTACTTTTTCGAGAAAATTCGTGTGATTTTGATGGAGGTTATCATTATGGAATGTGTGAGTTCATTTTTAAAAAAATATTAGAACTGTTTTTTTTTCTGCAGTTGTGAAAACATAAGGCTGTAACATTTTACAAAAATTTTAAAAAATGTTTTCAAATCCGAGTTTTTTCCAGCTCTTCTCCAACTTCCTTTCAATATTTCTTCGCGGATACAAGAATTTGCCAATTCATATTCAACCGCATCTCCTGAAGTACCAGATGAAGGAACTGATGAAATTCTAAATGGAAAATCTATTTTATCATACTACAAAGAATTATCCAAACATGCAGATCTAATCAGTTCTAGAGTAAGTTCCAAATTCATTTTTCTGAGAAACCCGATTTATAGGATAAATTACAGTCTGATGGTGGAATGGTTCTACAAATATTAGCCACTTATGCTTATAAAGATCATTATTCGGCAGTTTTAGCAATTCCAAGAAAAATGGGAACAAAAGTGTTTTGTAGATATATTGATCAAAATGGTACAGAAATTGGAAAACCTATGGAAAGTGTGATTTATCCATTTTTTGTTGTTTATTGTAGTCGAAGAAATGATACAACAATTCTGGCTATAACTATGACTGAAAATGATCCAATTAATACTGATAATTCAAAGTTATTGATTCGTAGGAAATTTAAAGGTTTGTTATTTTTCCACATTTTATCATTTTGATTTTTGTGATAAGCAAATTAAGAATCAAAAACCCCTTTTTTGCAGAATACCAACATCACACGGCATTTTGTCTTGCTCCAATTTATGGAAAAGAACCAAAATGGTTACATTTTGTCGAACTCGTTGAACATTATAAACTTCAAGGCATCACCCACTTTTTTATTTATATCAGAGAAATTTCGGATTATGATTATAAAATTGTTGAGAGTTATGAAAAATCGGGAGAAGTGGAAGTTATTCGAATTCCGGATACAAATAAAGATGTTATTGCTCAGCAACTAATGGCTGTTGCTGTGAGTTCTATTTTTTATTCAAAAATGAAACGATCAAACATCAATGTTTTTAGGATTGCCTTTTGCGAAGTCGAACTTTTGCAAAATGGTCGATTTTTGCTGATATTGATGAAAGATTAATTATGACTGATCCAATGAACACAATCGATAAATATTTGAGAAACTTCAAAGATGAAAGTATTGGTTCAATTGCTTTTCCACAAAGATGGATTATGAAGCGAGATTTATTGCCAGAAAAATTCGAAAATGATGATCAAGTTGTGAACAAGCTTCCAACACGCGCGTGGCATGAAACATCAGCGCCAGGAATGAAAGGAAACCCAGTTTGTATGGTAGAACAAATCAATTGTTGGGCCAAAGACATTGTGAATAATGAAAAAGTTATTCGAATGCTAGTTCATGAGGTCAAAGAATTTTATCCGGGCTACAAAGATTTATTCCTAGATCATAAAATAGGTTATATTCGACATTATCGAGATGTTCATATGCAATCATGGGAAGCAAATAATCGGAAAAAGATGAAACAATTTGGAGAAATGTCAAATACATCTTATCCAACTGTTTTATCATCTCAACTTCTTTCGGGTGTTTTAACTCGCCTTCATCAAGTTTACGTGTAATTTATGTATGTAGAAGGGAAATTGCTTGCTCGGGTATTGTTAATTTATTTTTTTGTTATTTATTTTTTAGTTTCCTTTTTATTTAATTTAAGATCAAAAATAAATTTATTTCAAAATCTCGAAGTTGTTCGAGACATTGTAACACTGTTGTATGAAGTTGGCGCAACTTTGAAACCAAACATCTTCTTAATAGCATTTCTATAATCCTTGCTCATATTATAGTAAACAGGAAGAGTCAAAGCAGAAGCTGAGAAGATAAAAGTTCCACAAGACAATTGAATTGCTTTTTGTAAATCTGGATCCATTGGGATAACAACACTTAAAACTCCACAAAGATCAGTTGTCAACCAACCACAAATCACCAAAAATACAGTAACTAGTAAACTTTTGAAAATTGCTTGCATTGAAGTTCCTACAAATTATTTTGTTTTTCAGAAGATTCAGAAGTTTTTCGAATAAATTTCCCACTCTTTGATCGTTTTATTTTATAGTAAACATAAATATAAATCGGTGGAACAAATAAATTGATAACAAAAGAAGTTATTGCAAATAAATCATAAGCATGTCCAAGAGATTCTGGCAGCAAACAATACACAATTCTATAAATAATTATAAATATTATGAATGAATGACATCATTCAGTTTTCGAATTCAAACCTATTTGGATCTCTTTGTTCCATTCCGACATACAAAATGTATAAAGCATAAAATACTGGGAAGATCAGGAACATGAAGACAGCAAAACTTTTATTGTACTCAATATTTTTATATTTTCCAGGATATGTGATTGCTAATAATCGATCAATTCCAATTGCTAAAACACAAGCATTTGATGCAAAAGCTCCGAAATCTGCAGGAATATTCATGTAAAAACACATCCTTTGAGTTGTCTCATAAAATATCGAAGCAACAAATGCAGCAATATCTGCGAAGAGCAACAAATCGAAGAAACAACATGTTCCGATTAAAATGTTGCAGATTGATCGTAGATTTCTGTTTTCATTAAAAGTTGGATTATCTTCAAAAACGTAACTTCTTTCTTACTTGCTATGTATTGTTACCAATACTAGGATCAAGTTGCCTGTAAATCCAACCAAAAAGATAGACGAATATAAAACCACGAGAATTATAATGAGAAGATCCATTTTATTAGAATATGAGAATAATGGCTTGATTTTTTCATTTATATATGTCTAAAGACTAAGGAGCATAACAAAAAACTAATTTCCTTTCAGCTTGATTTTTGATATAATTTTTTGAGTAACATTATATTTTTGTCGATGTATTCAGAACTACCAAATTATCGATTTTTCGTTGCCCGAATAGTTTTCGAATTGCCAAACGGTAGTCTCTACTGATTTTGTAATAAACAACTATTGTACATGAAGATGCTGTATAAATGAAAACACCGCAAAAAAGCTGGATCATTTTTGAGAATTTCGGGTCCATCGGAACAACTATACTTAACACGCCACACAAATCAGTTGTCATCCAACCGAGAATTATTAAAACAACTGTTATAAATAGACTTTTAAAAATAGTTTTTGTTGAGTGCGCTGAAAAAATTTTCTTCTAAAGTTCAGTGCGTGTTTTTCAGAAAATACCTAAATGCGTCCTTTTCATTCGAAAATATACATAAGCATAAATAAATGGCACAAATAAATTCATAGAAAAAGAAGTTAATGCAAAATAATCATAAGCTTTTCCAAGAGAAACTGGCAAAAGACAAATAACAGTACTGAAAACAATTGAATTTTACTATTTTTCAGATTTTCCAAAACCTTTCAGAATCTCTTTCACTATAACCAATTAATAATAATGATGTTGAATAAATGAATGGAAATAGTAAAAATACACAAATATACAAAGTTCTTGAACGTTCAATATTTGAATAAAAAATAGGATTTGTGATTGAAAGTAGTCGATCAATTCCAATCATTAAAACACAAGTATTCGAGGCAAAAGCGCCAAGATCAGCAGGAATACTCAAATAGAAACATAGTTCTTGAGAGGTTTGAAATGTTACAGAAAATACAATTGCAATACTACTTGTAAACAGTAACATGTCAAAAAAGCAACAAAAACAAATTAAAATATTGCAAACCGATCGAAGATTTCTGTGTTAAAAGAAAATGAATTTGCCAAAAGACTATCAGCCAACTCACTTATTGAAAACTGTTACTAAACACATTATCAAATTGCCTGAAAATCCAAGAACAAATAAAAATGAATAGATGAATACCAAAACTTGCACGTAAAACTCCATTTCAACCTGGAATTAATTTTTTCTATAAATATATTTGAAAAATTGTCTTTTCTTCACAATTAAAAGTATTTTTCGAATAAAATTAGAGTCTATTCAGAAAAATGTAAATTTTGAGAATGATGTAATCACAAAAGGTTACTGTACATTTCAAAGTTCATATTCATGTTTGAATTTGCAGTTGGTTTTTTTTCAATCTAAAAAAAACTGGAAAATCATAATTCATTTTTTTCTGGAAAGAAACTAAAGAAAATTAATTTTTCACAACGGTATTTAGCATTTTCTTCGTTGAAAACCGGAAAAACGAAATCGCCAAAAAACCTAAAATTAATTAGTTAATTTGTACTATCAGAGCAAAATAACTCTTCTGAAAAAAGCATCGGTTAAAGTAAAAAGAATATATTTCTAAATCTAGAAATGATCTTTAGTTTAAAAGGGAAATTTGAGATGAGATAATTTTTATTTCTGAAATTTTTGATCAGTATTGAATTTCACACATTTGTTTCATTTGTCTCCTCGTGTTCAGAATTATTATTATTTCTTATCAAACTGTACAAAATCATCTATCCACAAAAAAAACAATTTCGGAGAAACAAGAAATCAAATGCACAAAGAATAGCTTTGTGCCACCTCGTTTTTTAATATTGTAGATAAATCATCATGTTTGATAATTTCGTGTCAAAGAAATACATTTTTCCGTCATTGTTTGTTTCTTTAACTATACCCAATATATCAGTGATTTATGGTTTCAAATTTTTCTTGTCCAAACTAGATACACTAATTTACTTCTAGATCAATTGTTTCATTCGCATAAAATCTGAGTTATATTTGGAGATTTTCGTATATTTGCAAGAACCAGGAAGTGAAATCCAAAAAATATTCTAGAACCTTTTCGAACAGAATCCCGGAAACAACTTATAAAAACAATTAGGAAATACTATTATCTGGGGTCTCACTGGCAAATTCAACATAGTGGAATTTCAAGTTTTTTTTTCTTAAATACCGGTGCTCCTTAAAATAACATCTTTCAATCATCTTTGAGAAGGCTCCCAAAAATAACGAAAAAATGTAGTCCGATTACATCACATTGTGTAGTTATTCAGTTTATCAGTATTGTTCATTCCGAGTTTAGTAAAATGTAAAAATTGATAAAAATAATTCGTTTGCTTGGTCTTTGAGTTACAGTAATTGTTGACGTTGAAGGTTTTTGCTCTTTGATGAAATTTCACCTGTCAATAAAAATTTCAAAATTTTGTTCGATCAAATTTCCAGCTGTATTTTATTTCCTCTTCACAAAAGGATTGGCAGCTGAAAACAAAACCCACTGTTTTTTATTGCGATTAAAACTAATTTAAATGCCATTTGAATATCATTTTTTCACCTGTTTCTTTTTTCTTCGGAAGTAAACAATTTAAATGTCAAGATTTATAATATTTGATTCTGCACAATTTGAAACTAGTAAAGAAAAATATAGTTTTGAGAGAATTCTAATTCTGTATTCATTCGTAATGACCGAAAGCCATTTCTGATAATAACATGTGATATAAAGTTTTTTTTAGAAACTAGATTTTTTGAGATTAAAAAACAAGTACACAATAGCTATATTTGGAGATATACTTTGTGACGTTCGAAAATTCGAAAACTATAATCCAGCTATGACACAATAAGTCGTTATCGAACAAACAATGAGATACAAGAATTCAGAGTTCAAAAACAATCTGTGATGAATGGTAATATTGTACAAGATCTTTGTTTAACCGAAACAAACTCCTAAACATAATATAATTGTTCTATCAAATCACAAATGATACAATTTGAAATAATCAAATTCAGATCAGATATATAGTTTTCCAGGTGTCGTTATTGAGTTTTCAAGATCTAATTTGTAAACATAAAGTAAAATTACATTTTCAAATAACATCAACCAACAAAAACCTGTGGAGACCTAAAAATAGGCAAAACCAAAATTTCCAAACTTTCACTGTCACCTGGTTACGGTACCTTTTTTCAACAAAGATAAGAAAAACAAATATTATTCGGGTTTTCCTTGACGCAACATGTGTTCTTTTGTCAGATTATGTACCAACTAAATTCTGAAGGCTTTCAACTGATATCAATATATCAGTTCATTCTAGTGTTTTTGTGAACATGTTTTTTGCACACTTCCCCCTTTCCGGTTTCCCTTTAAAAGCTGTAATTTAAATTAAAAACAAATACTTTAATTTAATAATGTTTCCGGTATCATGTTTTCTTGATAAGATCAGATCACCAACTATTTCCTGATTTCCATTTTTAGAAACAAAACTCCGTGTTTTTTTTAAAATTTTTTGAATACCGGAATACGAATACAAAATTTGTGGTTGAAAACAGAATTATTTGTATTCTACAGAAATTCAAAAACATGGGTGTTTTTTGATGGATGTTGAGTTACGGTAACTAGAATATTTGAAGACAATTAGACTTCTAGGTTTTTTTTCATTTAGAACTTGTATATATACTTTTTCAATATTTTGTTTGAGTTGAGGCCAATTGACGTCAAACTTCGTGTGTGGTCTCGGTCAAACACAACAGTTGTTTGGCCACCTATATGTTTTACCCAAGAAATAATGCTATACTGATTTTTTTGTTTAAAAATTTGCTTTTCAAATATTTTGGTTGAAGTCCATTACTTATCTTTGTTGAAAATAATTTCAAATTATAAAAATATATTTTAGTTTTATGAAAATGTTAAGTGATCGCAAATGGTTCTGAACATGATAAACATTTATTTTCATAATCCCCAATCTAGAGGATTAACATTAACAATATTTGATAATGAGTCAAAATTACAGTATCTTGTGACGAATACAAATCAGATCTTGTTTTTTTTAGCTCTCTGCAAAGCAGGAACTACAAAAAATATGATTTTTTAGTTGTGTTTTTTAACGTAATTCAATTAGGTGTTCAAACCAAAAAGCCAAAAGTTAGATATTCAAAACTCATAATTAACTTGTTTATTTGTCAGATTGATAACATTTAAAAAGTAACTATTAATTATTGTAGCAAAATGTCGAGTGATCAATTTTGGTTTTCATATCAAATCTGATGTTTTGAGAATTAGGAAGTCTTAACAATAAACCTTAGTTCTCAAAAAAGGATTTTATTAGGAACAGATTATCCTTTCTCAACTTCTGTAGTTTTTATTTTTACAGAACTACACAAACTGAATGACTAATAATTGTGGAATATACAACAATAGAGATCTTGACAAATTTTCATGATTGTTGTTATGTGATCTTTTTGGATTATGATGAATTGCTAATAATAAACAATTATAGCATCATTTAATCCTTATTAATAATACTATTGTTGAAAATCAGAGTTTTTTCAACATCAAGTACAATAATGCTTGATTAGAACGATGATATCAGAAATGATGTTATGAATTCAAAGAAGTTTCAGAAGCTGAAAAATACAGAAATTGAATGAATAAATAACTATTGAAAAGAGAATAAAAACTAGAGAAAAAACTGTCGGATTATTATGGAATTGTGCTTATCCTAAACAGTGAACATAAACTGGTGTCAAATTTCCACGTGAAAATCTCAATTTTTCATTGAAAAAATATGAAAATTATTTTTATTAAAAACGTGACAGTCATTTTCTGTTTATCTGTAATGTTTATTTCCAAAGTATTAGCTATATCTCGTCATTTAATGAAATAACATCCAAATTTTCTGCATACATTGTTTCTGATCAAATCTGGTGTCTTTTACTTCCAAAATGTTGATTTCTTCGCACTTCCTTTTTGGTCAGAAGCAACAAAATCAAAGTTCTCTATGCTTGACCTTAATTATTTTTCTAATATCAAAAAGTTCTCGATAATGAGCTTGACTTTGAATGTCAATTAATGATACACTTTCTATATTTATATCAGTTTCAAAAGCTAGATTTGTTTTTTTTATAATTGTAGTTAACGTGCAAAAACTATTTTATGCCGATGTTTGCTCGAAATAATAATAGTCATAATCATGGATTATTTTAAATCTGTGGACTACACATCTTCTATGTAGTTTTTGTAGATCACTTTGGTTGGAAAATTAAGATGTAAACAGATTAGTTCGAACTTTTTTGATTCAGATATATGAACTTGAACTTCAAAATTAACACGCGGAGAAGAAAAAATCGAACATGTTTGTAAGATCAGAACACTTTAAATACAATACAGATACTGTAACATTTTCAAGACTGAATTTCAAGATTTTGAAAATTATAGCTATCTAGATTCATGTAAATTCGCTATGGACAATTTTTATTGAAGTTCAACTTTGCTACCAAAATAGGTCTTCTGTACCAAATTACAACATTGAGAAGAACTGTATTTTTTAACTCCTGAACTCCTCTAAGTCTTGGTTCATTTTCGAGCAAACACCTGCAAATCCCGCCCAAATCAGAGCCTATTTTGGGCGGGGCGATCTCAAAAAATTGCTTTTTAAGGAACGACGGCTAATACAATCCATCAGATCTGCACAAATTGCAAATATCGTGAACTCTCTCGCTGCTCCAACAATCTTTGCTTCAACAATGTTCACTGCCATAATTGCTGTCGGAACTCTCGCCACCATCGCTTTCTCGAAATCTCATCATCAACATCACCATCATCTCGAAGATTCAACAAAATTCAAAGAAATGATCAACACCAACTACCCTAATGAGTAAGTTATTTTGTTAATTTTAAGATACTCATTGAATAACTATTTTCAGTCAACCAAACAAATTGTGTCTCGCTTATAGCGAGGATGGAAGATTATTTCATAATCTACAAAGAATCTGCAAACAAAACAACCAAGCCATCAATTTCGAAATATCCGAGGAAAGATCTGCCATTCATGAAAAAATATTCAACGAGCTCAAACTCACCCCAGAAGATATTGAAATAGCGTGTTCAAAGAGTGATTATAATAAAAAACTGAGCGCCACCGAAATATACGAATTTATGATTGACGATGTTTTGAATGAACTATGCGGAAATTCGAAGGAGGCGGATGAGTTGATTGATAGAGTAGCCAGTTTTGGAAGTGTTTTTCCAAAAGAAGTCAAATATGGTGTTATGACAGAGTATGTTTTAATTAAAATAAACAATAATAATTATTACTTTTCAAATTTTCAGAGAGAATGCCAGCGGACGAACAAAGGCAGAGCTTCTCAAAACAGTTATGCTTAAAAACTCGGCCATCGGCGTGAAGCTACTGAAAAGATACTTTTCTTCTGTGGACAAATATCCAATAGAAATTGATGAGCTTTTCCCGTATTAATAATGATGTTTCATATTTCTCATTCCGTCTATTAGTTGCACCTCTTCTACCCTTTCCAATCCTCTTCTTCCATTTATCATTCCTCCTTCTTTTTCTTGTTAATATGGTCAATTCTTGTGTTAATAATATCAATTAATCGATTTTTGTACTTCAAATTTGAATATGAATAAATAATTAAAAAAAATATCATCTTATAGTTCACAATCCTCATAATTCTCAGACAGAAATCTTACAAGAAAAGGTCGCGGACTCATCGAATAATCATCACAAGGGATGTTCACTCCTTTTAGAAACAAAACTCCGTGTTTTTTTAACGATTCGAATACCGAAATACGAATACAAAATTTGTGGGTGAAAACACGATAAATTGTATTCTACAGAAATTAGAAACCATGGGTGTTTTTTGATGGATTGAGTTACGGTAACTAAAATATTTAAAGGCAGTCAGGCAATTATTTTAGTTTTTCTCAACGCTTTTTACGAACAATTAGTTTATTTGTCCCAGTTGACTTCGATTCTTTGTTTGGTTTTAGTTTTGACCAACTGACGTTAGAGTCTTCGTGTGTGGTCTCGGTAAAACGCAACAGTTGTTTGACCGCCCATGAACCCAAGAAATTGCTATACTGCTTTTTTCAAAAAAATATATATTTTAATATATTGTTGGAGTGAATCATTTCGTTTTTGTTTGAAATACTTTTAAATTATAGAATTAACAATGATTCAATATCTGATAATGAGTCAAAATTACAGTATCTTGTGACGCATACAAATCAGATCTTGTTTTTTGTAGTTTTGCAAAAGAGGAACTACAAAAAATATGATTTTTTAGTTGTTTTTATTGACGTCAAGTATGTATCTCGTGATTTGTTTTCAAAATTCCAGTTGACTTCTTATAGCAAATAATTCAATTAGGTGTTCAAACCAAAAAGCCAAAGGTTAGATATTCAAAACTCATAATTAACTTGTTTATTTGTTAGATTGATAACATTTAAAAAGTAACTTTCAATTAGTGTAGCAAAATGTCGAGTGATCAGTTTTGGTTTTCAAATTTACTCTGATGTTTTGAGAATTAGAAAGTCTTAAAAATGAACCGATATAGTTCTCAAAAAAGGATTTTATTAGGAACAGATTATCTTATCTTAACTTCTGTAGTTTTTATTTTTACAGAACTACACAAACTGAATGACTAATAATTCTGAGATTGAAATCTTGACCGAATTGAGATTTTTCATTCTCAAAATGTAATGATAACAAATTTTAAGTAATTCACAGATTCTCACAGAATTTCTTAAACCAAGTTCCCAAAACCTTTGATTTTATCACCTTGCAAAATTTTGATTTCTTGGTACTTCCTTCTTGTGCAGAAACTAAAAGCCAAAGTTCCTTGTTCTGAACCCTACAATTATTTGTATTATTCATTGGGAAAAATAAACAATTTCTAATATCACAAAGTTCATAATTTTGAATGTCAAGTAATAACAGGTTCGATATTTGATTTTCGGTTTGTAGCTAACGTGCAAAAAATACTTCCATGTTGATGTTTGCTCGAAATATGAACGATCATCAAGGATTATTTTGAATCCGTGGACTACTTATGTCCTACGTAAGATTTTCTCCACTAGTTTTGGAGATCACATTTTTTGAATATCACTTTTCCCAACATCAAGCCATCCAGCTTTTCGAGTTGTTCTTCTTTTCGAGTCCGCTCCCGAATAAAAAAATTAATGTTGATCTCATCTAATTTTGTGGTTTAGTGGAACATTTTTGAAATTTAGTTTGGAAATTTCGTGAATCATTGTTTCACGTAGATTTGTTGTGGATAATCTCTAATACAATTCAGCTTTCGCACCAAAATATGGTTCTTTTCCAAATTACAAAACTGTTTTTTCTTTAAATCCTTCAAGCCTCGGTTCATTTTTGAGCGAACATCAGCAAATCCCATCCTGATAAGCGGATTTTAGGGCGGGGAAAGCTTTAAAAAATCGTTTTAAAAAGAATCCGCGGCTAGTAGAATTCATTTTTTTGCTATCAGTTGCGCCAAGCTCATCCGCCTCTGTCCCAACAATGCAAGTCTTCTCAATTATTGTTCTCGGAACTCTCGCCATTGGAATCGTCGCTAAAAATCATCATGCCCACCATGAAAATGTCGTTTCTACCAAATACCCTGAGCAGTGAGTTTTTTTGTTAAACTTAAGTTATCGATTAATCGACTTTTTCAGGAAACCAAATGAATGGTGTCTTGGCCACTTTGAAAAGGGTAGATTGTACCACAATCTGAAATATATATGTCACAAAAATTACCAAATCATCAACCCCAAAATAACGGCGGAAAGATCTGCAATTCATAATAAAATATTCAACGAGATCCAACTCACCCCGGAAGATGTTGAAAACGTATGCATGCACAGTGATAATCAAGAAAAGTTGAGTGCCACCGAAACATACGATTTCATGAACGATGACTACATTGCCGTTATTTGCGACAACAACAAGTATATGAATCTAATGGATCAACTGGTCGAGTTAGCCTATGATTTTCCAAGTGAAATCATGGCTGGTATTATTCCAGAGTATGTTATAATAGAAATGACAATTGAATAAACATAATTTGAAACTGTTTTCAGAGGTGAAATGAACAACAAAATAAGAAGAGAACACATCAGGAACAACATATACAACAATCCAGCAGTTGCAACAAATCTTCTCGAAAGATACAATGATTTCAAATCAGTTCCTGCCCTCATCCAATCATCATTCAAACATTAGAGAAAAAATGACCCTCATTATTCTCATTCAGTCTATCTTCTTCTCTCTTTTTCCGAATCCTTTTCTCCCATTTTTATCCCTCCACTCGTTAATAAGAACCGATTCTTGTATTGTTAATTTTTTTCTATTGCATATTGATAAATAAATATTTTTTTAAAGTTTTCGTACTAGACAGGAGCTGTTAGCTCCCAGGCGAAACAGTCTTCTTTTTTTAAAGACATCGATCTTGACAACAGATCTTACAGGTTCTCTTAGACATTTTAGTAATGATATTCAAGTAAAAAACACGTTTTAAATAAACACCGTGAAACACAAAAATATCCTATTCAAGTTGGTGTCGAGAAATGTCGAGAAATCCAACACAAGGAGATGATGAGTTTTCTAGTAACTCGCAGATTCTTCTAAAAATTTAAAGTCAATTTGTTGTATGTTGCAGTTCTCAAAACCTTTGATTTTATCACCTTGCAAAATTTTGATTTCTTGGTACTTCCTTTATGGGTAGAAGCTAAAAGCCAAAGTTCCTTGTTCTCAACCCTACAATTATTTGTATTATTCATTGGAAGAAATAAACAATTTCAAATATCACAAAGTTCTTAATTTTGAATGTCAAGTAATAACAGGTTCGATATTTGATTTTCGGTTTGTAGCTAACGTGCAAAAAATATGTCCATGTTGATGTTTGCTCGAAATATGAACGATCATCAAGGATTATTTTGAATCTGTGGACTACTTATGTCCTACGTGGTTTATGAAGATCACATTTATCGCTTTGTAACATCAATTTTCTGGCTTAAAATTGAAGATGTAAACAGATTTGTTGGAACTTTTTTGATTCAGATATATGAACATACGGACATGTTGCCGGGTAAATCATGGGCCGAGCTTCTGTGTCCGTATCCAATAATGTTCACCCGGCCCAACGATACCTCGCCGACAAACTTTCCCTTTGTTCGGCTGTCAGTAACCTATTCCTGATGTCCATTTTTAGAAATAGATCTCCATGTTTTTTACGATTCGAATACGAAAAACAAATACAAAATTTGTGGTTGAAAAAAAAATAATTTGTATTATTTTGAGTTACGGTAACTGAAATATTCAAATTTGAACCAATAAACTGCGAAACTTCTTTTTTCAAAAAAAAATCAAAAGTTGTGATTAAAATGCTTGAAATATTGGGAAATATAGTTTACAACTAGTTCATTAAAAGTCAAATGTTGAGTGGTTGCAAATCCTTTTGGACTTGATAGTAATAATGTTTCATAATTCGTAATCCAAACTTGTTTCTTATTTTGAAGAATTAACAATGATTCAATATTTGATAATGAGTCAAACTACAGTATCTTGTGACGAATACAAAATCAGATCTTGTTTTTTATAGTTTTGCAAAACAGGAACTACAAAAAATATGATTTTTTAGTTGTTTTTATTGACGTCAAGTATGTAGCTCGTGATTTGTTTTCAAAATTCCAGTTGACTTCTTATAGCAAATAATTCAATTAGGTGTTCAAACCAAAAAGCCAAAGGTTAGATATCCAAAACTCATAATTAACTTGTTTACTAGTTAGATTGATAAATATCAAAAAGTAACCATTAATTATTGTAGCACAAATGTCGAGTGATCAATTTTGGTTTTCATAAAAAATCTGTTGTTTTGGGAATTAGGAAGTCTTAAAAATGAACCGATATAGTTCTCAAAAAAGGATTCCATCACAAACGGATAATCCTTTCTCAATTTCTGTAGTTATTAAGCTTTTCAGAACTACAAAAAATGAATGAGTAACAGTTGGAATGAAACAACAAAACATATCTCGCCGGATTTTCATAGTTATTTTTAATTGTGAGTCAAAATTACAGTATCCTATGACGAAGTTGTTTTTTGTATCTCGTTCCAGAACCGAAACTACAAAAAAATATATAGATCTCCACAAAATAATGAGCTGCTTTGGAGGCGGGGCGAGCTCAGAAAAATTGCTTTATAAGGGGCCGTGAGTTGTAGAAATCAGTTTTTGCACAATATACTGCGAATTCGAGATCTATCTATCTCTCTTCCTCTCTCTCAAAAAAAAAATGCAATTCGTGGTTTTTGTTGTTATTGGATGCTTCGCCATCAACTGCTACTCGAAACCTCTCCAACATCGTCGTCATGAAATTTCGACAGAATCTGAGAAAAAACTCAACACCAGCTATCCTAAAGAGTATGTTTTTTTGTGAATTTTAAGATTTACAATAATTGACTGTTTCAGAGGACCAAATTCATGGTGTCTCGACTACAGCCAAAATGGTCGAACGTATTACAATCTCAACCACATTTGTCGCCAAAACAACCAAACCATCAACTCCAAAATATCGGCGGAAAGATCTGAAATTCATAGTAAAATATTCAACGAGTTCCAACTCACTGCCGAGGATATTGAAATTGTTTGTGTTCCGAGTGACTATCATGAAAAATTGAGTTCCGATGAAACATATGAATTCATGACCGCCGACCATATTAATATCATTTGCGACAATGACGAGTATCTGAACCTAATTGATGAACTGGTCATTTTTGCCTATCAATTTCCCAGTGAAGTCCAAGATGGTATCATTCCAAAGTAAGCATTGAAAAAAATTAAACCAGAAAAAACGTATATATGAATTTTCAGAGGTCAAATGAAGCCCAAAATGGGCAGAGAACACACCAGGAACAATTTGTTGAACAATCCTGAAGCTGCAACCGAACTTCTCAGAAGATACCTAGATCACAGAGCTGTTCCTACCATGATCCAAGTCAACTATAACAAAAATTGGAATTAATTGTTGAAGATGACCGTCATAAAATATCATTCAGTCTACTAATTGAACCTCTTCTCCCCATTTCCCCAATCCTCTTTTTCGATTCTTTTTGCTTCCCTCGTTAATAAGAACTGATTCTTGTGTTATTTATTTATTTTTTACTACGAATTGATGAATAAAATTTTTATAAAAATGTGTTGTTGCTATTTTTTAAAAAGTTCAGACTCTATAGAAAAACCGAAGTCGAAATATATCTCGAATAAAGCAAAATTAGATTTCTTGTCCAATTCTCAAAGTTGTCGTTCTGTGATTTTTCTGGATTATGATGAATTGCTAATCATAAACAACTAGCATCATTTAATCCTTATTAATTAGACTATTGTTGAAAACCAGAGTTTTTGAGCAAAAAAAGTACAACGACGCTTGATTAGTTACATCAACATCACTAATCATGATATCATCTTATCTCACAACTAGAAATTGTTGAAAATTCTTTAGGAGAGAGGGACTGTGAAAAAAATGAATGAAATTTTATTTTTGAAGTTTTTTTAATCAAATATTCACAGATAACCGAGATATTTAGAAGCAAAACGCAAAGGCTTTGTTATTTTTTGTTTCCATATATCTTTACAGATTTTTTTTAATTTCTGTATTTCGATTTCTTGGTACTTCCTTTATGAAGCTAAAAGCCAAAGTTCCTTGTTCTCAACCCCACAATTATTTTTTGCCATTTAGTTGAGAAAATAAACAATTTCTAATATCACAAAGTTCTTGAATTTGAATGTCAAGTAATAACAGGTTAGATGTTTGATTTTCGGTTTGTAGCTAACGAAGGCGAAAAAATATTTTCATGGTGAAGTTTGCTCGAAAAATATTGAAAATAAGATAATAATCAAGGATTATTTCAAATCTGGGAACTACACATCTTCTTTGAGATCACATATTTTGGATTTTTCTGATACAAATATATATGAAAACGAATTTGAAGTTGAAAAAAACACAGGAGTTAACTGTAACATGTTCCAATTTGTATTTGTTTCATAGAAATTCTAATACAATTCAAGTTTCTTATTGAAGTATGTTTTATGTGTAGAATTACTAAACTGAACAAGAATGCTTTTCTTAACTCCTAAACTCATGTAAGTTCTTCAATGTTCTGTTGGGTTAAGAGCAAACATCAACCGAAATCATTATTTTTGGGCAGAGTTTGGGCGGAGACAAATGGGCGGAGATTATAATGAAAATAGAATGAGGGAAACGTCCAAATTGCAGATCATTCTTCTTATTGTTAGAAGAAATGCGAGCCTTCTCGATTCTTGTTCTCGGCTTTCTTGCCATTGGCTGTTTTTCGATCAAACATAACGATGAGTAAGTTTATTATGATAGTGAACTAATTATTTTCATAAATGTATTACTTCAGATTGGCAGACAGATTTGCGGACATCATGGCGGACGCTGCTGCTTACCAAGCCAAGTATCCAACTCCAACAATAGTTGAAAATGGTGTTTTCCAAAGGTACGGCGAAAAGAAAATTCAATTTGAAAATGTGTATGTATTTCAGAAGTTATATGTCGGACAAAATGAAAAGACAAATCATTCGAGATAAGCTCAAGGCAAATCCTCAAATTCTTTCGGATCTTCAGAATTATTTTAAGTGATCTCAATTATCATATTCCTCATGAAATCTCATTCATTATGATATGATTACACCTCTGATCATCCAATATTCCTCTGTAGCTAAGAATCGATTCTCATAGTTGAAATTAACTCATTTGCTTGATTGATGAATAAAAATTTTGTTAAATTGTTTATTATTTTTATTGAATTCTAAAATTTTAGACTACCCTCAAAGCTGTTCTTGGTATGACTTTGAAACCAAACAATTCTTGAATTGCGGATACAAAAAATTGACACTGATAATAATCGTCTTCAATCACGTACAATGACGCTTGATTGGCTAATCCAATTTTGTTTTCTTGCTACTTCCTTTTTGGTCGGAAGTTAGAAATTAATGTTCTCCAGCAATTATTGTGGCCTTTTTTCGAGAAAATAAACAATATTTTGTGTTGTTCTCGGTAATTATCTTATCAGTTTCACAATTTCAATGCTTGATTTGCTATTCGTAGATAACGTGCAAAAAACTTTCAACATTTTTTACTCTTCCTTTAGAAGTTAAATGAAAAAGAAACTTACTTGTAGTTTCTCAAATTAGACTTTTGATTTTCATTTTTTGTATGTAATTAGCTTTGCAAAAATTTCGATTTCTTGGTACTTCCTTTATGGGTAGAAGCTAAAAGCCAAAGTTCCTTGTTCTAAACCCTACAATTATTTTTTGCCATTTATTTGAGAAAATAAACAATTTCTAATATCACAAAGTTCTTGATTTTGAATGTCGAATAATAACAGGTTAGATGCTTTATTTTCGATTTGTAGCTAACGTGCAAAAACTACTTTCATGGTGAAGTTTGCTCGAAAAATATTGAAAATAATAATAATAATCAAGGATTATTTTAAATCTGGGAACTACACATCTTCTTTGAGATCACATATTTTGAATAACACGTTTTCGAACATCAGATCATCTTATAGCTTGTTCCAATTTTCGAGGCTACACATCTTCTACATAGTTTCTGTAAATCATCTTGGCTTGAAAATTAGGATGTAAATATATTCATTAGAATTTCATACAATTTATATGTTCAGTAAAAGTTGAACCTAATGAGCTCGCAATCAGGATGATTTTCTCGGATTTTGTGTATTGTTGTACAGTACTTTTCAAAAATAATAACCGTTTTCATATAAGGAGAAGGTTTGATTCAAAAATCACCCTCTTCAAACAAATGCGAATCTTCTCAATTATTGTTCTTGCATCTCTTGCCATCGATTCTTATTCGACAAAATCTGACACCAATTATCTCTATGAGTAAGTTTGATGATAGTGAACTAATTTGTAGCATGTTTATCAATTGATCAATTCAGGGAGCCGAACAGTTGGTGTGTTTATCTCCCAAATGGCCGTTTGTATTATAATCTAGAATACAATTGCAAGAGAAGCAAAAAAATTGTCAATCCATTAAAAACGCCAGAAACAAGTAAAATACACATCTATGCTGCTGAAAACTATGAACTTTCCGCTGCTGATATTGATACCGTTTGTATTGATGCTTCTACCTACTATGATAACTATAACCACATACAAGAATCTGAAACATACGATTTTTTGATGTCTGATGAATTGCATGAAATTTGCAACAATAAAGAGTATGAGAACCTCATTGAGAGTCTTGTTAATTATGCAGTAATGTACAGAAAAGTTAAAGATACTATTATTCCAAAGTAAGTTCACCAACAAAATAAAATTCATTTTCAAAATGTGTGTATATTTCAGAGGGGAATTCTCGCACAGCAGGGAAAAACAAATGATTCGAGAAATTCTCAAATCAAATCCTGAAATCGCTTCAAATGTCAATAGTGATTCAATGAATATGCATAACTATGAAGATTTGTTAGGTTGCTGTTAGTTATAAAATCTGATTCAAACTACTATGTAACAAACACCTCTGATCACCCCCATTTCTGTTGAAAAGAAACGATTCTCAAAGTTAAAATTAAATTATATTGTTACTTGATGAATAAACTTTTTTTTTTAAATTTTCATTATTTTTTTTTTCAATTTTAGAATACACTCGAAGTTGTTTTTTGCATAACTTTGAAACCAAACAATGCTCGTATTTTGGACCGATACTCATGGCTGAAAAAATTACAATAAAAATCTGAACAAAAATTTGAATCACCAATTTTTGTAATACACAAAAACATTGAACGCGGATGAAGTGCATATAAAAAGTCCACAACAAAACTGAAAACGTTTCATAGAATCTGCTGGAAAATCCAACATAAATGTTAGACCAGCAAACATATTAGTTGCAGTCCAACCAAGCATTGTCATAGTAACAATTATCAGAAGACTTTTGAAAATTGCTGGGGATTCTGAAAAAGTTTGTTGTGTGAGGAGATCGATAAAATTTTCAAAAAAATCTAGAAATGTTGTCCTACTTTTATTATTAGAAAAATGTTTGACTTTGAACCAAACAGAAAGATAGATAATTGGTACGAAAAGATTTGATATAAAAGAAGTTGTGGTGAATAATTCAAATGTGTCTTTCAAAGAAGACGGAATCAAACAAATAACTTTTCTGAAAAAAATTGAACTTGATATTTTCAATCCTGAATTTTTTCAATGTTTACGTTTCAATATCGGTTTCATGAAATGCCCGACTGATCAGAAAAATTGCATAACTCCATGGAATAAAGTTCATAAAAATAATGTATTTCTTCTTGTTTTGTTCAAGAGTACGGTAACTGGAAATACAGTAAGAGTTACGATAAAAACAAAACTTTTTCTTACAAAAATGGTTTTGAAACTGATAACAATCGATCAATTCCAATCACCAATAAATACAGATTTGATGTAAATGCTCCAATATCAGCTGGAATTGACATATAAAAACATGTCTGTTGTGTTGGCTCAAAAATGAAAACTGAGAAGATAAAATTTAGAACCGTTGTGAATAATAATATATCAAAAACTGAAGCAAATGCGATTAGAATACCACAACAAGTTCGAAGAGAACTGAATTAATACCTTGTTGTGGTTGACAATGAATCACCTAACCTACCGATTTTTTATTGTGATAATAACAATAATAGAATTACCGAAGAAACCGAAAATGAACAAAGTTGAATAAGAGAACAGTAAAAATATAAGAAGTGGGTCGTGCATTTTTTGGCAAAGTTATTTTGATTTGGAAATTGTTATTTATTTACTAGCATAAATATCACAAATTCAATAGCCCTTTTTATTGTGAGTTAACAGAATAAATTCGGCACTTTTCAAAACAACTACAAAAGATCAGAGAACCTCAAGAAGTGTTCAATAAATTCTATTCTTGTAGGAAAAAGCTTACTGAGCAAGAAAAAACGGAGCATTTTCTATACAAAAATGAAACGACCTATTTCAAAAACTTGGGAAATGATCTCATCCAGTGCAAGATTCGAATCGATTTGTATTTTACACCGTTTGAGAAAAAAATCAAGAAACAAAAAATCAAATAACAAAAACAAACTTCAAAAAATGATAAAAAATTTGTCTCAATGATTATTTGGTTAAGTGGATTCAAAATTTTCTATCTAATCGTACATTTCGAGTAAAAATAGTTGATAAATATTCGTCTGAAAAATACTGTTTTAGTGGAGTTCCCCAGGGTGGAGTTCTTTCACCTATTCTTTTTGCTATTTTTGTGAATGACTTAAACTCGGTAATACTCCCTGGTGTAAAATGTAAACAATTTGCTGATGACTTGAAAATTTATTCCACAATAACTGATAATACATCTTGTTCCCATCTTCAAAAGGTCATTGACAATATTAATAATTGGAGTAAAAATAATCTGCTAACTCTTAACTCTTCTAAAACACAATTTACATCTTTGGGATATATAAAGGTAAAGTTTGACTACACTATAGATTCTATACCTATCAAATTTGAAAAGAATATTAGGGATCTAGGATTTATAATATCACAAAAGTTGGATTTTGAAGAACACTGGAAAAAATATGTTTCTAAAGCTAATTATGTGACATATCAAATTTTCAAGACTTTCGAAAGCAAAAATATAAAGTTCATGATTAACTTATATAAAACTTTTGTACGGCCAATATTAGAATATGGAACAGTGACTTCTCCTTCAACTAAGAAATTGAAAAAAATCATAGAAAGTGCCCAAAACAATTTCACAAGAAAATTATTATTTAGACACAAAGGGAGATTTATTAGATCAGATGAGAAGGATTATAAGTTTAATGAAACACGAAATAATGAGTTTGGTTTGATGAGCTTGGAAAATCGTAGAATTAAAATCGACAACTTATTTCTATATAAACTCAACACAAATAAAATTGATCTTATTTATGGAAAACTCTTCACCTTAAAAACGGATTCTAAAACTCGTAGTAAAGTAAGATATCATTACAAAGTTCCAAAAACGAATATTCGCAAAAACTTCTTTACTCACCGCACTTGCTCATTACAAATTTCAGATTCACCAAATAATAGACCTACATTAGCATAAATACTCGCGCATAACCATCCCCCGGGTTCTAACTCGTAATCCTGCATCAACTTTCTTTGTCTTTTCATGTATTTTATGATTTTATACTTGTTTGTCACGTTGTCCCACAACGTATTCAATAAATAAATAAATAAATAAATAAAAAAATGAAAATATAAAACATAATTCCGGCTTTCCTATCATCAAGCGATGTTTTGATGAAATAACTTTTTTTCATTTTCAAATCATTTTTTTCACCAAGATACTTGTCCATATCCACAAAAACCCAATATATCCCCCTTCTCAGTTAAAAAATGTTCGAACTCTACAGAACTCCCTCCGACCATACTTGAACTAGTCGCTCTGAGGACTCCTGAGTTAACCCCGCCTCCCAGGCAAAATTTTCGAAAAGTTAACCACCCTAACCCAATTTTTTACTGATTTTTGACCCCTAAAAGCATAAAATACCTCAAAATTTTCAAAAGTTAACCCCCCCCCCTCTCTCCATCATGTATGCCTCCGACTAAAACTTCACTACTCACAATCAGTCGAACCCCAAAAAAGAACTAACCTTTGAAATTTCGTCCGTTCCTCGATCATCCCATCGCTCGAAATTGATGCATTCCTCATTCTTCTTCATATATTCCAACCAACATCATCTCGAATATTTTCATCCACATCCACTAATTAGTCTGAAAAATAATCTGAAAAATATTTTCATTAAAATTAAACTTTTGGTTGTTTTTTTATCGATTCAAAACGCTATTTCAAAAAATTGGCGTCCATACGAGAGAGAAGAGACAAAAAGATAGTGAAATCGCGGGTGATCTACAGTGATTGGAAAACTTGCGGGACTAGGTTAGGATTATTTTAATTTACCAAAAAAAAATAATTTCGCGATGTTTTAGTTGAAAAATAACAAGTCATAGATCGACATTTCTGAATTTTCTTGAAATTAGATTTTTCCATGACAAACTATTTTTAATTTCAAGTAAATCCTAGATATCTTTCTTATATACTAGTTGCTTCTAGAGCAAAAAAGGAAAAAAAAATAAAAAAAAATGACACTCGGCTTGCCTGTTGTTTAATTTTCACACACTGTCTGAGCGGAGTGTCGTTATTTTAATTTTACAAGATTGCGCGAAGGATTTGGTGTTTGCGGGCAGTCGGTGTTGACACACACTTATTGTTTCATTCTTTCTTAGGTTTTTGGATTTAACGGTGATCTGTCTGTCCTCTCGACCTACTTGTGTGCCCTAGATTTAAATTTAAATAATTTGACGTGAATCATTTTGCTCATTTCTTTTTTATAAAAAAATGATCCGGTGTAAAATACAAATCGATTTGAATCTTGCACTGGATGAGGTCATCTCCCAATTTTTCGAAATAATTCACAGAATCTCTACTTTTTTGTGATAATTATACTCAAACAATGTTAATTACAAGATATATAAATTTGATAAACGAATTTCAAATCACAAAAAATTAGAGATTATATAATTTTTAAATTTTATCCCAAAACTGAAACCAAAAATTCTTATCTCACTACAATCTTAGGTCTATTACCCTCAGAGCTTTCCAATATTTACACATTTCTTTAAGTAAACTCACGATACATTTTTAAAAATTAAGGCGGCAATTCAAGCGTTTTGAAAAATCAGAAATGAGCAAAATGATTCACGTCAAATTATTTAAATTTAAATCTAGGGCACAAAAGTAGGTCGATGCGGAAAAAAAGTCAAGAAATTATGCCCGTGTCCTGATAATCTTCGAAGCATCTTCGAACTTCAAAGTTCACATTAACCAAAAAAACCGCCATGTCAAATCTTTGCCTTCGCACTTTCTCACAAAAACCGGTTCTTATGCCATCAAAAACGGCATCTCTCTTTTGCGTAATTTTCATTTGTTATAAAATTATTGTGTTACATTTTTGTTACTTTTCCTTTTTTAGTCATCTTTGATATCATATAAACTTTTGTATAAATCAATTCATGTTTAGAAAAGTATTCTATAAACAATTTCTCGCGACTAGTCATTTCTCAAGCTTGCACTAACATTTTATGTTGCGAACGCGAACAAACCGAAAAAAAGAGAGGGGGACTAGGAATATGTGACCGATGTTTTGCACATTTTCCTCGTCCGTCCCTGCTTTCATCACACGTATTTTTTTGGCACTCGGTTCGCGGTTGGTATACTGTATTGACTTGTGCAAACACGGCGACGCACAAATGCACAAAAATGTCTCGCGTCTCTCCATTTTGCGCGCTATTTTTCGAAATTGGTCTCGCCACGAACCCCGAAACGCTAAAACGGCACCCGTTCGCTCCACCAAAGCTTATTTCCATGCAGTTTTTCACGGCGATAAAGATGGTGTACTCAGATTTTGATTTGATGCAGCCGTTCTTAAGATTTTGGTGGAAAATTAAAGCATGTCCCTTTAAACAGCGAACCGAGATTTTTTGTTCAGCAACAAAATACGTGATCATATGCAAAATTTGCAATCGATTAATTCATTGTCAGTTTTGTTTGTTTCAGCATGGTTTTCGAAGACGATCCTCCAAGTCAACATCTAAGACCAAATTCTTTCGAAAAATGGGGCCAACAAGCAACAACATCTGCCTTTGGAATTATGGAATCTCTGCGAGGGCAAGGATCGTCTTTTGCTAAGAATTTGAAAAGTTTCGGCAAAAATTTGTTGAAGGAATCAAATTCAGCTTCATCGCCATCAACACCGGTTAGTGTATCTGTGAAGTTTTGATTTTTAGTTTGAAATTGTTGTTTTTTTTAGGCAGAACACCGTGATGATGATATTCGTTTAACTTGGCTAACAAATCGAATTGTTCTTGCTGATACTCTTCATACTTCGAAAGAAGGATTATTGTCTGTAAGTGTTTGAAGTGTTTTCATTTGAACCCAAGCTGAAAATCAAGTTTTTAAGGCTGAACGCGCTGTTGTTCGTGAAATGATCGATTGTCAACCATACGTTGTTGTAAACGTCCACGCTGAACCTTTAAAACTCGATGGATATGCAAAATCCATTCATATTCCTCTTGGTGTCAGCGCCAAAGGTGGTGTTCCAAGTCAACCGACAATTCAAGCATTAACACCAATTCTCAACGAATATTGTCTTCTAACAAATGATGCAGCAATTGTATTTTTTGGAGCTGACGGTGAGTTCTCAGAAAGTATTCAAAAATTAATGTTCTTTTTCAGAAAATGTTGTGATTGCTGCTGCATTTTGTCTGATTGCTTCGAAATCAGTTCAAAAAGTCTCTGATTTTTTGAGTGATTCAATTCAATCAAGATATACACGTCTTCCAACAACTTATAAATTGTTCATCGAACAGACAATTAGTGTTGTCAAATCATTGATCAATGGAGAAACACCATCGGTTGGAATTGTTCTGAATGCTTTGATTATTGAACCAGGAAATGTTGTGATTGATGGTAAGCCACACAGTTATTATTTTATTTCATTCATTTATGACAAAAATAATCGATTTTTCCCGAAAACGAAGAAAAAAAGAAAATTCGATTACAGGCGAACTTTATGCATCAATTCAACAAGGCGTCAATCATTTGAAAATTGTTGAATTTTCTGCAAACGAGTGTCGAAATCGAAACGGGCAACTTGTTGTAAAATTCCAAAATTTCGAAATTTTGGACGACGTCGTGATATCAATTGGACAAAAAACAAACGCGGTTGGTTTTTTTCAAATTCATATGAATTTCAGGGAAATCGATAAATGATCATTTATCGATTGCCCTGAAATTCGTCAGTTTTTGGAGTAGGTCAAAATGCTTTTTGATCAAATTCTATTGAACGTGGCGGGAAAAATGTACTTTAATGTTTTCCAAAAATCAATTTTTAAAAAAGCAAATGGACAAATGAAAAACTAAATATTCAATTCTTAACTTCGAAAATCATCAGAGTCTCTTGCCAAGTAGTCGAGCCTAAAAAGCTCTAATGTCAAGAGTCATCGCCTAGAAAACCTAATTTCAAAGCAGTCGCGCCTAGAGAGTCAAATTTTCATAGAAGAGTTCAAAGTTCATTTTCAATTCAATTAAAAAAAGATCATAATTTAATTTTCAAAGAAAAACAAAAGGTAACACCTGCCTTGTTTTCCTAATTACCCTTTTCTATTCCATTCCAATTTTGTTCTTTTGTTTACCTCATTTTCCTTCGTTCTTTCGGGGTTTCGATGATGAATGGCTCATTATTACCTAATGCTGGTTTTGACTGACTGGACACACGAAAATCCATTTTGACCTCATTCTCTCTTTTCCTCTCTACGTTTTCCCATTTTTTGGATGGATTAACTAACTATGTGTTTATTTGCTTTTGTTTTTCTCCCTTTTTTTCAAGCTGTTTGAAATCGAAACCATGAGACGATTATTTTCAGCCAGAAAAAAACATTGTCCAAATAAATCTAACCTGAAAAGACGGAGAAAAAGATGAAGACGTAGAAGGAGATTAGGTTTTATCGATTCAACACATTTTTGTTTGACATGTTTTAGTATGAGCTGCTATTTTTGAGGTCTTGAAAATTGACACCGTGGATGAATCGACTCGCGTTTTTTTTTTTGCGTTTTTTGTTTCATCTTGAAATGAATTTTCGAATAAATAGTTTTTTTTTGTTGCAGAAATCTCCATTATTCACCGCTCGTTTCAACACGCAATTATTGGAATCAGAAGATTCGGATATTGTTTTGACTGGGGATATTATGGATGTTTCAAGACTTGTTGCACAACCTGTGCAGGATTTGAGGTAAGTCTCATAGATTTTTGCTTTTTTTTAAATTTATGTATATAAATCTAAAATTCCACTATAAAAAAATACTTTTTTCCAGAATGATTGTGAATTTTGCAACACGTCGAGCTCCTACTTTGACAAACATGCAATTTGATAGATATAAATTGCTTTGTGTACGAAATGAAAAAGAATTGGAAGGTTATCAAAGAAGTTATGGATATGTTAGTGGATCAGATGAAGAATCGCCGATTTTGAGAAGCAAACCAAAACCTCAAAAAAAGACAAATGGTGATCAAGAATCTTCGTCGTTTTTCGATACTTTGCAATTTGAAGACTCAGCACCACAAAGAACTGAAAATCTTTTGGTAAGTAATAACACATGTTTAGAATTCAGAATGATACTATTTTTCTATGATTTTCAGAACACTGAAGAGAATAATGTTGATTTATTGGGTGGATTTCAAAGTGGAACAAATATTTCATCACCATCGACTGCTGATTTATTATCAACAACACCAAAAGAGACTCCAATTTTAAGTGCTCCAACACCTTTGGCAAGCGAATATGAACCAGCAATTGATGATTTATTAGGTCTTGGAGGATCGAAAAGTAGTGAAAGTAATCAATCAACTTTGGTGGATTTTGATTTTGGTGCACCGATTAAACCGACTAATTCAAGTTCTAATTTGAGGTTTGTGATTTCATAAAATTTAAGTAACTAAATATTTTGTTTCAGCAGTTCACCAATTCCACCAGCATCCAATCAACCTTCGTCGAATTTTGATCTTCTTGGAAGTTTTTCTCCACTCAAACCAACATCAACTGCAACTCCGCCAAATTCGATGGCATCTTCTGCTGCAAGTAAGATATCTAGTTTTTTGAACTCACAAGGAATGATCGACAATTTGACCCCCTGGATTTTGATGATTATTTTTGCAAAATGACCCATTGGGCGAGTATATAAAAAGCCTAGGGGGATTTTGTACACTTCAGCCTATTTCCAGAATTCTGGGGACCTCGTTTTTTTTAAAGGTAATACTTTCAGGCTTCGGAATATGGTTCAGAAAATTTTTAAAATGTGATTTTCGAGTTGAATCTTTGAAATATGAAATTTCTAATCGCGTTTATAGAGCAAAAAATATGACTAGCAACAGTTTTAAATATTTACTTAGCCACACTCTACAATTTTAATTTTTTCGAATTTTTCAGTTTTGGTGATTTTTTATCCAAAAATTTTTTTTTCGGTAAGAACAGTTGGAAAAACACAATAGAAAACAGTTTTAGCTTCAAAATGATTTTTTCAGGGATGTCGTTTTGGGTCGGGCTTTCGGGGCCCCCCGAAAAATTAACGGGCTTTTTCGGCCCGGTGCCCTTTTAAAAAATATAAGAGGGCCCCGGGGCTTTTTTAAAGCCCGCTCATATTCAGGAAGTGGAAGCAAACAAATTCGCGAGACGTTAGAAAGGCTGTCTCGACCATCAATGGTGGTTGTTATGGTGAAAATTTTGAAATGAAAATGAAAGAGTTGTTGAAGATGTTGGTTTGGAGGGTGTGATTGGTGAAATCGGACAAATTTTTATCATTGGTGCCAATCACGCCAATGCACCAAAGAAGTTAAATCGACGCCAATGGTGCAATTTGCACGTTTTCACCAATGACACCAACTTACAGAAATTTCACCATGTTCACCAAACACATAATTCACCACCCTACACCATCTGAACTAACACCATAACATCAATCATACCAATACCATTCACACCTTTCACACTATCACCACTTATACCACCAAAATAACACAAAACCAGGCAATTCTTTCGACCTTTGCATATAGAACAATTTTATCGGGCCGGGCTGGGCTCCGCCCGGCCAGTCACGAATTATTCGGAGTATGGCCGGCCAAGCCCGTGTTGTTATAACGGGCTCTGGGGCCCCCATTTTGTTCAAAAACGACATCCCTGAAAAAAGTCGAGTAAAAAATGATTTTTTACTCGACTTTTTTCGTCACCTATGAAGCATATTCCAGAGCCTGAAAGTCTTACCTTCAAAAAAACGAGGTCCCCAGAATTCTGGAAATAGGCTGAAGTGTACAAAATCCCCCTAGGCTTTTTATATACTCGCCCAATGGGTCATTTTGCAAAAATAATCATCAAAATCCAGGGGGTCAAATTGTCGATCATTCCTTGTCAGTTGAGACAAACATATTTTTGTAGATTCGAAGCCTGTGTCAACTGTTAATTCGCAATCGGATTTTGAGGCATTTTTATCGAATTATCCCGAAAAACAACAGCCGACGAGAAGTGTTCCGCCTTCAGCGAATAAACAGAAAAGTAAGATTTGGGATTTTTATAAGGGTCTCTAGAAATTGGAATTTTAAAAATTCCTTTTCACTTCCAAAGATACATCTTTAATTTTTTCAGCCATCCCACAAACCCAACCCGCCTTCAAACCTGCCTTCGGAGAAGCTCCATCAACTGGTCCAAAAGTTTCATTCGACGCATTCAGCGATTTATTGGGAAAAGAGGGTTTCAAACCAACGGCGAGAGAAGCGCAGAAAAAATCGATCGGAGCACTTTTGAATGCTGAACAGGCGAAAAATTTGACCCCCGAGGAAGTGAAAATTCGCGATTGGACTCAAGGAAAAGAACGGAATATTCGAGCGCTGCTCGGATCATTGCATAATGTTTTATGGGAAGGAGCTGATCGATGGAATCAACCTTCGATGGCTGATTTATTATCACCAGATCAAGTATGTTTAGATTCACCAGATCAAGTATGTTTAGATTCACCAGATCAAGTATGATCACCAGATCAAGTATGTTTAGATAGCTTGGATTGTTTTCATTCTAGAAATCCTGATTCCAAAAATGAATTTCACGAATTCTAAATTGCAGATCAAAAAACAATATCGAAAAGCGTGCCTGGTTGTTCATCCTGATAAATTGACGGGTTCACCTAATTTGACATTGGCTAAATTGATTTTCACCGAACTCAACGATGCCTACAGTAAATATCAAAATGATCCAAACATTTCATAGATTTTTTTTCTGGTTCTTCTTTTTTATCGCTTGCTTTTTTTCTAGTCAATTTTCGGTGTTTTTTTGTGTTCTTCTTGTGATATAAATTATTTTTAAACGCTTGATTTTTTGTAGCTCCATGAGTCGTAATTTTCTATTTCCTATTTGATTTAATAATTTATTCAAAAGATTTCAGCAAAATCCTAAAGTTTTTAGATTAATGAAGAGTTGTAAAAAACTATAAATAAATAGAATAAAGGTAAGATCTTTGGGTCGGGTTTACTAAAGTTATATAGGCTGTAAAGCTGTTGGTTCTACAATTGAGACAAATGATTTTTTCTTTTTTGCTTTTTCTGGAAAATTTCGAATCATAACTCTTGTTGATGTTGTTTCGAAATAATATACAATCGTATTCACAAAACATCCCAAAAGTAATCTGAAAAGCATTATAAAACACTTGAAATCAGCGGAAAGTTCTGAATATCGAGTTGGAAATGTTCGAATTGCTAAAGATACAATTGAATAGAAAGAAAGATAAATTGTTATTGAGAAAGTTTGACGAATCATTCGATTTTCTTGTTTATTTGTTGATATTCCAACTGACAAAGTTATTGAAGATGTTGAGTTCTTTTCTAAAATTAAAATATTTAGTCTATTATTATACCTCGATGTTTCTCACTTTTATTAACAATATAACGATTATAAAAACCTTGTCTGATTGCTTTCATATGAACTACAACTGACAAATTTATAATCATACTAGTTAATGGTAGAATCAGAAGATATTTTGATTGGAGATTTGTTATCCAATGTTGCCCAGGAAAACAATCAGAAATAAATTCGAGTCTTGATTCTTGAAAATTTAGAGGACATTCAGAAATATATGGAATATACATTATTATAAAGAATAATGAGGAGATTATGAAACAGTAGATAAATATTCGAGTTTGAGAGAAGATTCTAGTTCGAAATGGACAAATAATTATGAAAAGCCGATTGATTGTCATTAGAAGACAAATTGGATGAGTTAGAAGATAAGATAAGTTAGTGATGAGTGATATTTCATGACCGTAATCAAATCGAAAACCTGTATTTATTTTTGTTTTAAAAAGTATAGAAAAATAGAAAAGCGAACCTTCATACTGTTCTTTGGTTAGAATTATCCCAGGAAATATCAGACATTCTATTCCAATTTTTGCCATCAAGCCAAAAATTGTCATTGTTGTGATATAAGCTCGCGGAATTGATTCTTCAAAAACTCTCGTAACTTTTGTTTTCAGAAGCTTTAAAAATATTCGAACTCACTATCCTTTCGATTATTGTAAACTGCCAAAAGCAAATAAACATCAAAAATCGCTGCAAAACTGACAAGAGTCAGGAAGAAAATTTCCATAGTCGACAGAATTGCAGACATGTTTTTTGGAATAATGAAAAAAATCGTGGAAAATTAATTTTCTCACAGATCCTAGATTGTTTTCCAAACATGTTGCTTTTGTTTGTCACAAGAATTCAAACATCAAAAATTTATACGGAAATCTGAGTCACACAAAATACCAATATTTACATTTCAAATCACATTTTTTTTCCAGAAATGGCATTCACTCAATTGACGTGGAAAGACTTTTTGAAAACATTCGAATTTGTCGATCAAGCGGTCAGTGTTTTTTGAAACATTTTGATAAAGATTGATGTCCTTTTTGTTTTTCTCTTTCCAAAAAAACATCATGTTTTTGTTTACCATTCCCACAAAATGTTTTTTTTTCAAAAAATAAAAATATTTTTCTAGTTCGATTCAGTTGTAAATATGATAACTGGTGATGGAAATGAAGATGGTTCTTCAAATGATTCGAGTAATAATAATAGTGAAACTGCAATTCTGACTGCTGGATCACAAAATACTGCAGTTGTATTGAAACGAAAACGAAGAAGTGATAGTAATTATGAAGAAGCATCGACTTCGAAAAAGAGTTCGTCGGAAGATGATGGAAGTGATAAAGAGGATTTGGGAGCACTGAGGTTCGTTTGGTTTTGGAGATTTTTTTCCCTGAATAAAACTTTTCAGGATGAAAAATTCACCTTAAATTTTACCAAATAACATTTTTTTATTCCAAGTTCCCGAAGAATGTTTCTAAAATTGGGATTTAAAAATATAAATTTCGCAAAAATCTAATATTTTTTACCAAGATGGAAATTTACAATAACAAAATAAATTTTCAAAAATTAAAAAACGTGAAATTTTTACGTGACCTATATTTCGTGGCATTTGCATTATTTTTACCAAAAAAAAAAACAAATCATTTCATTGCTTACTCGAAAATGTCCGAAACGATGTGAGAAATTACCTCTTATCCCTACATTTCAAATTTATCTATTCATTTTCCAGGTTTTTGTCGAGTATCACAAGTGTTATCATAAATCCATTGAGAAGATCAATATATAGTGGAGATGATTCTTGGGTTCCTGCTGATTGCGAACAACTTGCCGAGTTTCCCAAAGAGTTGCTGGATAATTACAAAAAAGTGCATCCGAATGTTGAAGCGCCGCAAAAATATAATTTGGTGAATGGAGATTTTGCGGTTCTTGTTAGTAAAGCTGTGAGTTGATATATTTTTTTTTGAAAAATTGATGAATTTTTGTAGAGTTTGGATGAGGCTGGATCAAAAAGAAAAACGAAATCAGAACAAAAAAGTCGTGAAGAAGTTTTGACAAATAATCCATTAAATGCTTCCGCTGAAAAAACACCATCGGCTGAAAAAACTAGCAAAGAAGAAATTAAAGAAAAAACGTCTTCAATTGAACAAATCGAACATCCTCTTCATCATCTTGCAATAACTCTTTATGATGAGAAAAATTCGAAATATGTTGTATCCCTTTTCCGGAGTCATAATTTCGAAAATGTTGTTGCACTCTGTGAAAGATGTCGAGAAAATCCAGAACTTTTTCGAAGTTTTCCACGCGATGTTGATATTAAGGAGTATCTTTTAACGATTTTCAACGAATTGCGAGAAAATATGACATGGAAAACAGTGCATATTGCAGCCAAGATTGGATTAATTGAATATTTTGAAGAGATGAAAGAGCATAAAAGAAAACGATATTTTAATATGATTGCACAACCTGAAGGATTAAATGCACTTATGATTGCTGTACAAAATGATCAATTAGAAACTGTTAAATTGATGTTAGAACAAGGAGCGGATATTAATATTGTATCACAAGAAGGTGAAAATATATTACATATTGCGGCTTTATCGAGTATGGAAATGATCAAATTTTTATGGGAGACCAAGAAATGTGCAACAATGTTGAATAAAAGCGATGCTGCTGGTAATTCTCCGATGTATATTGCATTGACCAATGGATATTTGAGTAATGCGAGATTGTTGAAGAATTTGGGAGCAACTCTGACTGCGGCTGAAGCAACACATGAAGCAACACCTTTGATTGGATCAGTGAAACGGGGAAAACTCGATGTTGCGTGGGTTTTTTGTTTTTTGAGTATGAAAAAGTAATGTGATGAGTATGTATTTTAGAACTCTGAAAAAGATATTGGAAATCAAACCGGATGCATTTGAAGAAGTCGAACCGACAACTGGAAATTCAGTTCTACATTGTGTAACAACGAAAAGATGCCTAGTTATGCTGATGGAAAAATATGTGAGTTTTACTTTTTTGTTTCAAAAAATATTCTGAAATCCTCCGTTGTAGACCAAAAAACCAAATTTCATATATTCGAGCTCAAAAACTCAAGTTCAGAACACAATTCTACATTTTGTGGGTTCCCATTTCCAATATTTTTTTCTCAGAAAGATAAAGTTAACACAAGCGCCTGCAACAATCTGAAACAAAACCCAATTCATGTTTTCGCTGCCAAAGAAGAAATCGGATTAGTTATGACAATTTGCTCATTTTCCGCTGATATTGATGTTCAAGATGGAAATGGAAACACTCCACTTCATTATGCTGTAACCAAAGGAAATCTTGATATGACAAGACAATTATTGTGTCTTGGTGCAGATCCGAATAAATTGAATCATTTCAAAGAGTCGCCAAGACATATTGCAGCGAGATTTTCGGAAAAGTTAGTCGTATTTTTACTCGAAATTAAAAATCGTTTATCTTTTTCAGACAGAAGGCAGTTGATATGGTACGGTCTTTGATTATTTGTGGTGCGAAAACATGCGATGTTGGATTTGTTGGTTGCGCATTCGGATGTATGAATCGAGAAGGAATTGGAGCATATCGAGCACATATAACATCTGAAGATGAAAAGATCAAGAATGCACAAGTTGCAAAAGATGCGACAACTGGAGCCTATGAATTTGAGCTCGATCCGGATACTCATGTTTTGAATGAAGCGTATGCGGAGAAAAATGAAGTTCGAGATTTTCCGCATAAAATGGCCCTCGAAAGAGTGAAAGAGAAATTAGAGCAACTTGCGAAAAAACAAGATAAATCAAATATTGTCAATGTTTTGGCTCTAGATGGTGGTGGAATTCGAGGATTAGTAACTGTTCAAATGTTGATTGCTCTAGAGAAATATTTGGATAAACCGTTGATTGAATATTTTGATTGGATTGGTGCAACGAGTACTGGAAGTTATATTATGTCAACTTTGTTAGTTGGACAAAATATTCGACAAGCTCAGCGGTATTATCTACAATTCAAAGATTTATTATTTGATTCGTGGAAACGGCCATATGATGCGAATATTTTGGAGGGTTTGATGAAGAGATTATTTGGAGAGAATTTGAAAATGGGAGAAGTAAAGTATCCGAAAATATTCTGCACAACAGTTCGAGCTGACACTTTTCCAGTTCAACTTGATTTATGCCGAAGTTATCGATTACCATTAACTGACAAGGAAAATGATGAACTTGGTTTTAAAGATCCGAACGAATTGACATTATGGAAAGCCTGTAGAAGAAGTAGCGCGGCTCCCACGTATTTTTCAGCATCAGAAGGTACGTTTAAGCTTGATTTAAAAATAGTTTCACCTGTTATTCAAAATAATAAAAATAATATTTACAAACTATAAATAGACATTAAAAGTTTAAAATAATCATCGACGAACTCTTTGATGATTTATACTAACTATTGTTGAGATTTTTGGGCCAACTGTCAAACTTCCATTATAGAGAATTTTTGATTTCTCAATTATAATTGCGCGAATTGTTGGACTTGCCACAAAATAAACTAAAAATGTCATCATTGAAGACGCGGAAATTCTAGAATAGAATATTATTTCTTTTGTTGAATGGGATAATTGACTGTATTGATCCTAAATGAACAAAACATTAATTCTAGATTAATTTTTCATGGAAATACTCACTGAAAATATAGTGATGAATAGATTCGATAACTCATATCCTAGAATAAAAGTTGTTGTTGAAATTGATTGCACTAATAGGGCTCTCTCAAATTTTTGACGAATTTTAGAATTACTCATAATTGGCGGGAGATTTCGACTGGCCACACTTGTTCGATCTAAAATATTTTTTTTCAATAAAGTTATACCACAGGTGAAAATATTTAATTATGAATTTACTTCCTAAAGATTGTGTTGCATTACTTCTTATCAAATTATTGGTCAAATCTCCGCGTTTCATTGAAAGATAAATAATTAACATAATATTTAGAATCATTGAAATTAATGGGATTATAATTATATATTTGTTTTGAAGAAGAGTTATCTGAAATTCATTATCTACCAAAATTGTTCCTCCAGATATATTTTTATTTACCCAATGTCTGTCTGGTTGACACGCTGCTTCAAAACGAATTGTTCGTTGATTTACATTAATTTGACAATTTGAGAAATATGGAACTAATAAGCAAAACAAGTTGAAGATTACCAAAAGTCCACAATAAATCCATATTCGATTTTCTGTGAACACTTTTGACATTGGCTTATAAACTGTGTAAATTCGTTGAGTTATCATTAATAATGTTAAATATAATGGATGCATGTATGAAAATGTGCAAATAAGAGTAAAGATTGGGCCAACAGATGAGCGAAATTCTGACAGAAAAATTTTTATGTCCGGAAGTACTTTGTATCCAGCCGGCTGAAATATTTACTTACCTGAATAAGTGATATCATCCATAAGTATTGGTAATATAAATAGAATATAAAGAGTTAGGGCATCTACAGTATTTCCCATTATCATATTGTAAATATATACAACTGGGATTCGAGCTAGAATATAGTTTTGAGATTTTATTAGTCACATTTTGTTTTTCATTTCATGTTCACCTGGACACTTCGAAATGACTAACGAAACAAAGTTCGGTGATAAATTATTTGCAAATTTTGTATCCAGAATTTATTTCATAAAGATGGGGATTTTTGAAAGAAAATGGGACAGGTTATAACTATTTTAGATCACTAGATTTTTTGAAAGTATTTCCTCTCTGAGTCCTAAACTACAAACTACAAAAAAAGTTTGCAACTCTTGTCAATGATTCTGTCAATGACAAATACTCACCTTTATCTCTATGCACCAAAATCACCAAATAAAAATACAAATTGAAACATATTGAAAAAATGTGAAAGAATGAAAATATGAAAAATAATATGGGTAACATTTTTCTGAAATAACTAACTAACTAGCTTATTTCAAATCTCCCCGTCTGAAAAAAGTCAAAAATCACCTGTCAAAGGAAAAAACGAGATTATGATATGCGAAGCGAAGAGAAATGACTAATTTTTAAATTAATTTAGGGAAATATATCGATGGTGGAATGATTTCGAATAATCCGACACTTGATTTGCTCTCCGAAATTTGTTTCTGGAATACGACTTGTCAGAAAAGCGGGGTATGATTTTGAATTTAAAAAAAGAATCACTAAAGTATGTTTTTTTTGCAGAACAATGGAAAAGTTGTTGATATTGGATGTGTTTTATCGGTTGGAACTGGTGTTACACCTGTCAGTCCAGTCGATCCGTCTGTTTTTGAAATGAATGATTTGATGGGATTATTGAGAGGAATTCGCAATTTATCACTTGTGGTCATTGATCAGGTTAGAAATTAGAAATGAGTCAGAAACGGGAAAATTTGATTACTTTTTTGGAATGTCTTGGATGAGAAATTCTCACGATGTTTGCTCGAAAAGTGCATTTGGTTTACAAAAAAATTTTAGAGACAAGTTTTCAGATTTTTTCTTAAAACAATTGGTCTTCGAAAACTCAAAGAATAATGATTTGCCCGAAAATTTCATTTGGGAATTGATATATTTCTGATTAGCTCTAAGTTGGTCGGAATTTTTAAAACGATTTAGGAATTGAACCTTGAAACAGAAAGGTTCAAGTCGAAAGCCTAGAACAACCTCAGAAAATGCAAAAAGTGCTGTAGGGGACATGTTTTTCCAAAAAAAAATTGGTTAATTTTCAGGCAACGGCGACCGAAGGTGCACCAATCACCCGATCTCGATCTTGGTGTCATTCACTTGGAGCACCGTATTTTAGACTCAACGCACCGATTTTCAAGGTAATATCTTTGAAGTTTTTTTTTTCGCAAAAAATAATACTTACATGTTTCTAGGACATAATATTGGACACAAACGACGATTTGGATTTGGCAAAAATCATGTGGGATTCAGTGGTTTATTCGCATACACACAGGTTTGTCTCACCAAAAAATCTTTGTTAGTTTAGCTCGATCAACCAAAAAATTTAACGAGGAAATTCTTTAATTCGGTTGTTATTAGATCAATTTAGTTAGAAACTTGTGTTTTGGAGCCTAAAAGATATAAATTTCAGAAAGGACTTTGAGGAAATTGCGAATCTTTTGAAAATGATTGGAACAACTGAAGAGCGAAAAAAATATTTGTAATTCTAATTTTAGTTTTAATTTTTCGATACGTGTATAATAATCATAATAAGCTTTAATTAATTGTTTTAATAAATTTCTTGTTTTTTTTTTGACAGATTTTTCCTCCCAATCCCATCCCGTGTTAGGTAAATAATATAATGCACATATGTCTCAATGTTTATGCAATTTACACTCTTAAGTGTTTTCTTCTGTCAAGTGACTAACCCTAAAGATTTTGATACTTGAACGCATGAAAGCGGAAACAGATACAAATTTTATTCAAATCCTTTACATATTTGTAGCGGAACTGATCTGACCATGAGAAGAGAATATATCGCATAATTATAGTGCATGATTTTTATTATGGGATTTTCGGGGCACGAAAATGGATTACGGTATGATTTTGGAATTTCGACTTTTTTCATTCACCAGCTGACTCCCAACGTATTTCTTTCATTTTAAGGATCCTTGACTAATTGCATATTGACCTCATCCATGATGCTCCTCTTTTTTGCTCTAATATATATTATAACCCACTTGACTAAAGTAATCTATATGAGCACACACACAAAATAATATCATATTACTGTAGGCTTGGATGTTTTTTATTTGAATGGATTTGATTAGCCATTTTTTGGTGATGCGTCCATTTTGTAGATTGAACACTAATTTTATTTTGAAAAGAGAACAGCGTGTTTTTTTTTTTGGAAAAGTATAGTATGTCTTTTTCAGATTCTGCATCTGAACATGTTTTTTTTTCCAAAGTTCGAAAATTTTTCAAAAATAAGTCGAATACAAAAATTTCACAAATTTTTATTTTCCTAGATTTTCTAATTGCCACGTCATATAGTTCACGTTTTTCCCACATTTTTTTAATTTTCAAAAAATGAAACCAGTAACCCTTGTCCATTTTTCCTGATCCTCCTACTTTTCCCAAATTTCGAAACAATGATGCACTAATTAAAAAAGCTCATAAATACAACTTATCCCTAATGAAAATTAATGTTCTTCTCCTTTTTCTCATTTTTTCGAAATGTACAAATTTGGAAGCTTATTAATATTAGTTAACTCGTTGTCAGCCCATTAAAAAATGAATTTGGGCAAAGAAAATGAGGAAAATTGTTTTTTTTTTGAAATTTTGAAAAAAAAAGAACATGAACACTTCTTCAAAGGAATAAAATCGGAATAAACAAATGTGTCATTTTCACACTTTTCTCGACTTTGAATTTTATTCCATTTTGTATATACAAATTCAAATTTGGTGCGTAAAAATAATTGCTTTCTATGTGTTTGTACATGAATAAATTTGTACAATTAAAATCCCTGTATGTGTAAAAATTAATAAACCATAAATTTTTTGATAGACTGGTTTCGGACAGTCAGTAAAATAGAAATAGTCAGATTTTTTTGGTTTAATCAATCAAATTATCAGATGATTAATCAAAACTACACTTTTTTTTATATTTTGTTGATGTTAGATTTTTTGTTCTGTTCCAAAACAGAAAACATGTATAATAATTCCGTTTGCACTTTTTCTACCTCAAGTGTCTAATAATTGTTCGCCCTGTCCAAGTTCCTTTTTTTTGCGAACACCTTCTACCAAACCCACCCCAAGCAATAAATACTTTTTTTCATTTCTAATTGACACTTACCTTTTTTGACATCGAGAAAATAGCTGGTTTTTTTTATTTCTCAAAAAACGACGACATTTTTTTGGTGATACCAACTTGTATTGTTTTGTTATTTAACTGTATTTATTTATTTATTTATTTATGTGTTTTTTATAGTTTTTGATCTTAATTCTAATGATTTGATTATTTTCGATTGAAATTTTGTAACTTTTTTCAAAAGATATTTTACTTTACATCCCAAAAATGTTCATTTATAAATTCACTTGTTTGTTTGTTTTGAGATGATGAGCCCGGAGCCATATGCGATTTATCTCATGGGGCTAATTTTATACTTATTTAAAATGTGTGGGAAAATTTATTCGAACTTGATATTTGAGAGTTTTGATTACTGTAGTGGGAAAAAATGACTTTTGAATTTTTTTTTGAAAAAAAACTAGATCTAAGGATTACTGTAGAAATCCAAATTTTATTGCGTTTTGTTATGTTTGTCCTTGTTTTTTTTTCATATAAAAGTTCATAGTAATTTTGTATTTTTGAATTCGAGGATTTTTAAAATTTGACTGTAAACATGGTTCTGTGGTCATAAGTGGGTTCAAGAATTAAAATTTTTTGTGATTTTCCCCGAAACTGTTTTCCCCCATCCCTTCTTACTTACTTTCTTTCATTATTTTCCCATCATATCATCGAGTTTTTTTCCTTTTTCGTTTCCTCTCATTTTCTTCTGATATTAGTTGATTTCCAACCCAATATAAATCAATAGTCACAGAACAGTACATAGCTGTTTTTTTCTCCGAATTCCTTTCTTTTATTTTCTTGCCCTTTTTCTAGTCATTTTTTTATTGGCGGTGTTCGTTTGTCCCCTTTTTTCTTATCACCCTCTTAAAAGATTTCAGTGAAAATTCGATTCTCTCGCTAATTTGATTAGTTTTTTTTTTCATATTTCAGTTTTCACCTTTCCCTTGTTGTTTTTTTTTGCTTGTCGTCTACAGATTCCAATTATTACTATTATCAATATATGAACAAATATTGATATGATTTTTTTTCTTGAAAGAGTACGGTAGTTTCTAATTTTTCAATGACCAGTTTCTAAAAAGTCTAATTGGATTTATGACAAAAACTACAGTAGTCGGTCATCTGGAACATTGTTAATTAATTTGTTGTTCACTGAACACGACAAAAATGTTCTCTAAATATTTTTGGAAAAAAAAATAAAGACTAGGATTAGTTTAAGAATGTTTCACTAGTAAATGTGTAAATATATTTGTTTTAAAACGTAAATATTTTTGGTGTCAATAAACATTTTGAAGCCACGTCCAAAAAGATCAAAAGTTGTTTCGGAAAGTGGCATTTTTCTAAAATAAGGGATCGAGAGAAAAGTGCATAATAAAAAAAATCATAAAATTTTATATCAAGAAAATAAATGTCAGTTCAGTTAGTTTTCCAGATATTTTTTTTCATGACAAACTTTTGATAATAAATCTTATCACATTATATTTTCTTCATAACAGAAAACACAGTAATAATGGGTTTTCATTTTCCCCCAAAAGTTTTAGTAGTTGGTTCACAAAAAATAAAAAAGTGCGCGAAAAAGCCAACCAAACAGGAAAAAGTTTCATTTCTTTGTTTATCTAATAATATCCGCAAAGAGGTGAAAAAGAGATAATCCATCAAAATTTATTATATTATAAAGAATTTATTATTTCTTGATAACCTTGAAACGTATTTTTCTCCAGCTTTTTTTCTTCTCGTTTGTTGTTTTGTTTTTTTGATTTTTTTGTTCCAGCTTGAAAGATCAGATATTTTCATATTTTTTTTCAAAAAACAAAACAAGCCGGAAAATATATATGTTTTTTGTTTATGTTAGTCAAACGGGAGAAAAGGTACTTGAGAACTGCTGGACACCAAATTAGTTAACATTTTTTTTGGAAATTTGTTAAGTTTCGGTCATTTTACTGTTTGTGTCTTGTGAGGCAGAATTTATTGGGCGTTTTGTTTTACGGGGTATTTCGGGTGGAGGATGTGAGATATTTGGCGCCATTTTTTCGGAAGTATGTATAAATAAAAGGAGGCTGAGAAAAATTTCATTTGGATTTTTTTCAGTATTTTTTTAGATTAGGTTTTCAGAATTTCTGAAAAAAATATACAACGAAGATTTTTCTGAATTTTGTTCTTGGTGCTAAAAGTAACCCAAAATATTAGTTTTAATTTTCTTAAACTTGAAATTCTGTGCCTGTTTTTGAATATTACAAGCAGTTTTAATTATTTCGAAAATGAAGAGCAAGGTTGAGTTCACATGTTTTAGATTTTCACCCTACAGTACTCTTCTTCCATGCCATATTCATATCTAACATAAATTACACCCTTTGTCATATGCCTTTCTATTCTTTTTTTTTCTCCACCTCACACCAATATTTATCCACCAAAAAACAGATTGCCGACACGTTGCGCATGCGGTAAAACATATTGTTTATAGGTGCGAAAAGTCGTAAAAATCTCGCGCGCGCATTCGCAAAAATTCCATGTGTTCCACCAAAAAGGTCATATTTTATTGTATTATTCATTATCCATTTTTTGTCGATGAGGAAATGAGAAATCTGAAATTCTTCTTCCTTTTTATTCGAAGTCGAAAAAAACTTTACTTCAAAAACCGTACCGCCCGGTTTTTATTTCGGTTTTTATGGGCAAAATGAACACAGACACAAAAAACTTTTGCCAAATTTATTGTATTTTATTTCGGTTCATTTTTCTAGATAACTAATTTTCCCAAGTAGAAAAAATGAAGCCACGCCCATTTTCTAATACACCACACCACGCCTATCTTTTTTCTCGTGGTTTTGTTCTTATTTTTGGTGTCGTTTGGGTGGTGGTAATAAATATAGACTCCGCCCATTTTCTCTGGATTTTCCTTTTTTTTTAGAGTTTTGCATCTCTTTTGTTATTATTCTCTTGTTTTCTTTTTTTCTAGGAGGTGTTTTTTTTGCTGGAAAAAAGTATACATAGTTCTGGAATGAAGTTTTTCGAATAATTTTTTGAAATCAGGATTCTGGAATCATTGATAGTCTAAATTATTTTTTGTACTAATTAATTATGATAGTAATTAGAGCGCATCATTTTTTTTTTTGGGAAAACGATCCCACAACTAAAAGATTCTCAAATCTTTTTTTTCAATCTTCAAAGTCTTTTATACATTTTTCTGCCTCCGTGTACTTTTTTTTTGAATAGAATATCCGCCGATCCTTTGCTAAACTTATTAGATTTACTACCTTTTTGTGCCCCTCCCCGATTCTTTTTTCCCCAAAGGCAAGCAAACATGTGGAAAATCTCATCTTTTTTCTTTTTTTTTATTTTGGTTTCGTAAAATTAGGGTATAATTTTCATGTCTTCTTTTTTTCTTGAAATCGAATAAAATACAATGTGATGGGATTTGGTGAAAAATTATATATTTCAAAGAAGCTGGGCTACTGTGAATATTTTTACGAGAATAGGAAAAAAAAGAAATCTTGCAATAAATCTCAATTTCAACACTTGAGAGCACCAAAATTTGCATATTTTCAATTTTTGAACGGACATTGCCAAACTTTTTGTTTTCCGAAAAAAGAACTCAAATTTCACGCATGATTGCTGTTTGTTGCCGCCAAGTGACACCTTTTTTGGGATGCACCCCAGCTTTTTTTGGGAAAACAATTTTCAATGTATGTATGTAGTAAAACAAGTTACTTATCATCTTACGTAATTTGTGTTTATTTTTCCAGTCTTAATTGGATTTTCTTATTCATTATAATATTTCCATGCTTATTTAAACCCATCTCATTTTCCCAAATCTTCCAAAAACCATTTTCCCAAAAACTTTTTTTACGTTTGTCCGGTGTGTAGTAGAAATTTGCATAATCATGTTTGAAACACTTTTTTTCTTTTTGATATTGCGGTTTTTGAAATCAAGTTTTTTTCCAGAATTATTTTTGGATGATGAAAAGATGACGATCAACAATTTTTATATTTTGATTTTATTTGGATTCCTCGCAATTTTTGGAGAATGTCGAGGTTAGTTGAATCATTCATAAATTTAGAAAAGCAAAGCAGCAACAGCTTTTCGATCAAATTAATATCAAATTTCGGGTTTAATCCTAAAATAAGCGCTTTTCTCTTCCTTTTGCTACCATCAAATTGAGCCGAATGAAAGCAACAATTAGTAGAAAGAACGGGTGAATGACAATTGCATTATTATCCTTTTCTTCTTCATTCACACAAATCTTACTCACAAAAGTTGCATGTTGTTTTTTGTTTCTCGAAAAATAAGAGTCCCTAGGGGTAAAAGGATATTTGTTGTATCAAAAAGTATAAAAATGACAAATATGTGACAAGTTTCGGATGTGAGAAAAAAAACAAGTGTGTACTTTTTGAGTGGTCAGTGCAAAAAATGAGGGGGTCAAGAGAATTTTTCTGGAACAAAGCTGAAAAAATGTTTGAAACGTGAAACATCACGTGGCAATAAGAACGTGGAAATCTCTATGCGGGGCTATTTTTCCAACAATAATTTTTCAGAACCCGGTCGAGAAATGCGTGCGACTCGAATGTCTGTAGTGGATTTCTGGAAAAATGAGACGAAAGGCGACGGTTTGAATATCAGGGTGGCGCATGGTGTCAACAGCTGGCCGGACCTTGTCGATCAACTACACGGTGAGCAGAACAAAAATAGAAAATAGGGAGAGGGAGGGGTGTCATGATTAGAACAAGAGGGGAAGAATATTGCGCAACTAATGCGCTCTTACGGTTTGTTTCTGCAGAGCCCGACAAAGAGCAGGCACATGAGATAATTAGAAAAAAATTGTCGGGAGGAGAAAAAAGAAAGCTTTTCCCATAATATGCAAAACATATTTCAGAACCATTTTTGAACAAATCAATGATGATCGAAGGCGATGTTTTTATGCAAGCCCATCGAAGACCGCGACATCGAGCTGTTCCGGTCATGAAAAAAGCCGACACAAAATTGGCAGACCGAATAACGTTCAAAGAGTGGTTGAGAGAAGTGGCGACAATGCATAAAGGTAACTTGGGTTCGGATTTCTTCACTTATGTTAATGATGACCTCTTGACCCAACAAAGTTTTTTCGAGGAATCTTGAAAATTGTTAAAATATTGAAGTTTTTTCCACAATTAATGCTTCTCAATAAGGAATTCTATCAATTTTTGAAAGAAAAAGCTTCGTGGGTGGTCTTCGAATATCTTTCACTTTAAATAAAATACAACGAAAACAAAGTTATGACCTCACAATAGTACAGTAATCGATCATGTTTTTGGTGTCATTCATGTCTGCCGCAATTTCTTTTCCTTTCTTCTCCCAATTTTTCTTGGTAGTCACCGATACCAAAACAAAACAAAAAGATATACATTACGGATAAGGGACATTGTTATTGTTTTGTTCGCTTATCCAAATATTATTAGGTGAGCAAATAGATAATTTGGTGTCAAAAGCGGCAGTCTGAAACTGACATAATAATACACACGCGATAAACTTAGAAGATAGATAGACTGGATAGATAATAAATCAATAGTGTTGTTATTACTGCATTGGTGACAGGTGTACACCAACAAACAGACACCCAAGATTAAGCTGACAGCTATGAAAAGATGGAAAAAAATATTGGAAAAGGGGAAAGTTTTCCAGTGGAAAATATCTTTTTTTTTTTCAGCCATTAAAATTAATTTCCGATCAAATGAAGTTGTTCGTCCGGTACTTCAAGATCTGTATGCTTCACAAGCTGATCCGACTTCGCCAATCTTACAATATCCAGTTATTCTGCATGCCAATGTTTTCAGATCGCCTAGAAGTGTTGAGGTGAACACGAGTTCCTCTTGATCCAAAATCAACCTATTTTTTTCAGACTGAAGTTGATCCTTCAACATTTGTTGAAAAAACAAAAGATCTTTTCCCTGATGCAACTTTGAGTTTGGGATGGACAAAACAATCGGATTTCAGTCATTTGCATCCAAAATACAAACGTCTTTCTTGGCGACAACTTTTCCATATTTTGGAATATATCAGTCGACTTGATCAACCAGTTATGCTTTCAATTCGTCTTTCAGTTGCTGCACATTCAAAAGATCAACTTTTATGGCTTCTCGGAATGGATCAATCTATTTCTCTTCTTCTTTGGAGTGACGCTGATGATCATGTTAGTCTTTTTTTGTTAATTCAGGAAGTGTTCCTTCCGTCACGCGATTTGTGCACTTTTCTATGGAGATTTTTTTTTTAGATTCAAAATTGGCAGCCTATTATGGACCTTCGAAAATCAACAACAAAAAATAGAATTTTGTATGATTTGGATCCAAAACATCGAAAAATTCTGCAAACAGAAACAAATGAGCCAGTTGAAAATTCAAATAATTTCGATTTGAAAGAATGGCGAGCTGTTGAATTTTCTTCATCAAGCTCTGAACTTTCAACAGTTGTTCGATCTGAAAAAGGACCAGCTTTCCTTGGTGCACCAACTGCATTACTACTATCACAAATGTCACCACCAATGTTTCCAGCAAAACAAAGAGTTCAAGGAAAAGTTCATTTTCTTCCGAAAAAATCGGTGAAAAGTTTGAATGTTGATGAAAACACAGGAGTTGCGGTATATCTAATGGATAAAGTGCAAGACATTGATTCACCAAGAATCAGAAATAGTTTGGAGGTGAGTTTTTTTCTAGGATTTCAAATAGGTAAAATAATTGATTTTAGGTTTTCATTGGATTTGATGGAAGTGTAAAATTGATAAATGGAGTGAAATCATCGAAGGTGAAGTCTGTAAGCAGACAATCAATTGGTCAACTTCCTGAAAGTGAATGTTATGATTTTGAAATCATTGACATGGGTTTCAAAATAGCTGCAGATGTTTGGGAATCAGAATGTGGAACATCAGAAAAGCGACAAAAGAGACATCTTAGATTAGAACTAGAAACACCATTCGAAAAGTTAGTTATTTCTCTATCAAATGATAAAAAACTTTCTAAAACTGTTTTTTTTTAGAAATCGTTATCTTCGAAATGTTGTTGTTGCGAAAAAAGGCGACCCAGCTATCGATTTTCTTCTCGAAGAACTTCATCATAGCTCATCATCAAATATTTCATATATTGTATGTCTTCTTTTATCTGCCTTATTCCTACTGTATCTCTAAACTTTCTTGATTTCTTTCATATTTTTTCTACCTTGACTCTTTTTTGGTGCTCCATGTTTTTCTGCATTTACATAACTTTTTTCTTAACTCTGTGATATTTCTATTTTTTTGAATATTTCATGTTTCAAACTCTATATATATATTCTATTGGATTCTTATGTACCAGTGAAATCATTTCCGATTTGTTTTTTTTCCAACCCAAACAACAAAGTCATCAATGCGTGTATTACTCATCATTTTTCCTTTTTTCTCAAACTGATTTCTCTAATCATCAGTTGATTTTTTTGTTTCAATTTTTGTCTATATAAATGTGTTTATTTCATGACCAGTTCTGATAAAAATGAAGGTTATTATTTTACTTTTTTTCGATTTTCGGGTTAACTGCGGGTTTATTTGGACTTTTTGAGGGTAGTAAAACTACCACGACTACAACTACAACAACAACACCGGTAAGCTAAACATTTAGAGCAAGTCTGTACCAGAAAACGAGAAACCTTTTGTTCTGTTCAAAAAAAAATTCAAAACATTCTTCTGAAAGTTTGAAGTTCGAAAAAATTTCAGAAACCCAAACTGTCATTGGGAAAAGAAGTTTTGATTCCACCAGCTGAGAAAAATGAGGGATCTGCAGTCACAATTCCATTAAATAGTCCACCTACAACTACAACAGTTAGAACAAATCCAAAAACAACAGTACGAGTTTCAACAATAACTCCAAGAAGAGTTGTAGGAGATGAGAGAGTTGCAACAACTACAATCAATCCAAGATTCACCCTCGGACCAAAGTGAGTTATAATTAACTACGGAAATCCCCTCTACCAACCGGTTTTTTAGAACTTTGCCATCATCTGATCGTCATTCATCTTCTGGATGTCCAAATCGAATTGATGCATTCACTTCTGCTCCAGATCATGATTATGCTTTTTATGATAAAACTGTATATATAATTGATAATAATCGAATCAGAGAATCAGTTCCAATTTCTCAACAATTTCCAAATGGCCCACAAAACTCTGTGAATGGCGCCTCTTTTGATGTCGAACGTCAAGTTTTGATTTTGATTGAAGACAAAGAAGTTTATGGCTACAAACTTGAAGGTGGATCGTGGAAACTTCAATCAGTCTTCCCAAAAACTCTTCCATCCTCAATTCCTTTCACACCAAACGCGGCTGTCAGATGGCATAACAAACATCAACTTTTATTATCTGTGAGTTTAATTTTCTTGAAAAATAATAACTCATTTGAAAATAAACTTGGAAAACACTTTCAGAATGGTGGAAAATTTGCGCTCTACGATCAATATTGGAACAAATCATTGACATCTGGTCGAACTGATTCATACTTCGAAAATCTACCAGATCGTGTTAAAGGAATATCGGAATGGATAAATGGTCGTGCTTATGTTTTCACACAAAGTTTGGTTTTTGAATATCAAGAAGAAAAGAAAAGTACTGTAGGAGAAGGAAAACCATTGGGAGATTTTTGGAGATGTTAATGCATTTGTCAATAAATTAGTTTGATTTTCGGTTGTTTTGATGATTTTAAAAATAGAGAAATGAACATTTGAATTTAAAAAAAACGGGACACGTCGTATTGTTCACGTTTTAAAAATTTCAGAGTTTACCAAGCGTTAAAATTTTAGAAATACTAGAAACTTATAGAAAACACCTTTGGAATTGAAGAATTCTTATCCGAAACTTTTAAAATAATTTTATATTTGCGGAAGCTAAAATTAAAAAAAATTCAAGCTGGTTAATAATGCGAAACATGAATATCGCAGGAAAGAAAACAATTCATTACAACAACTTCAGAACTTCAAGCTAAGATTGAAGTTGTAATTTTTATAAACTCTAGAATCTAAAAGTGTGTCACCCAAAAAATTCAAGTCAATCAAATATTTCTGAAACATTCCTATCTCAAAACATTTTTTTTTATTTTTATCATCCCCCAACTTTTACTTTTCTTTCTAATCCAATCCATTTCAAATCCCCCCAACTCAATTCTTGTCTTCATCAAGTGAAAAAAAAAACAATCGCAATTTGATATCAATTCGAAAAACGAACCAAATCCTTGTATGTTTTTACAACATTGACCGATATAGAGATTTGTACACAAAGATAAGGCTCTTCTTTTCTTATTTCTCTCTCAATTCCTTCTGGGTCATCCGTCCGCCTAAAGGCAACAGCCAAAAGTCCTTCACCTACTAACCAACCCCTCTCCCGAAATCGGGTAATTCCGCAAAAAAAGAGACTTTTTTGTCTTTCATGATCAATTGTACTATCTTTATCGCAATCTTTAATGAGTTCGAATTCAAATTCAAAATCAAGTTCGAGGAATAAGGAAGAGTCCAAAAATGCTGATTCTGATTCTGAATACTAATTTGATAATAAGATAAAAAGTTTTTTGGAGAGGATTTCGAAATGGAACGAGATTTTGTCTCTTGGCTGATTCATTCATGGATACTTCTGGTTTTTGGCAAGAAAATGGAAAATCAAAGGAAAAAGAAAAAAATGACACGCGTGGTTGAGTCAGCTTTTGTAGATGTATAAATATATATCCGTGAAGGAATTTATGGTTTTTTTAGTTGGATATGAAACTTGATTTTGTTCTTTTGGGTAACATTTGAATCCTACCAAAAGCAAAAGTTTTGGTCCAATATTCAAGATGTCTACATCTACTCTGGATTCATGTAAGCCAGGAAAATTTAAGTTACCATCATGAGATAAACGTTTTCTAGGGTAATATTATAATTTCTATTGAAATTCAATAGATATTTTTCTCTTCAAAACTAAACATGTTCGAAGTTAAAATTTTGAGTTCATATCCAAATTCCAAGAAAAAACGCAATCCAAAACTTCTCTCCCTTCCCTGTTTCCGTAAAATTTGTATCAATCCAATCATAAATTCCTGGCTAATAAATGCGCACTCATAAATATTCACCTTTCCTTTGAAATCTGCCCGGACAACCGCAAAATACAATTTGTGAAAATACACTTTTTTGTCTTGCGCAACATTCGCTTTCACTTTGGGAGAGAAAAACTCATCCATCGCTCCGAAATTCCATCTCTTCTTCTTCTTCTTCTTCTCGTTGTTTTTTTTTATTTCATTCTCGATGAAGTCAGTAGTTGACACGGATCGTGTAATGATATCCTTTCGATGACCCAAATTGGCGCTTACTGCTGACTTTCTCTCTCCTCCCACCGTCCCCAACGTCGTCCTCGTTTACATTTTTTCGCCCGACCGTAGCTGATTCATTTCTCCCCCCGTTTGTTAATTGTTCTGGTTTCAGTATCCGGCTGGCTGGAAATTGCTTATCTTTTTCGTATTCTTGTTTATTTTTTTTTGTTTCGCATCTCGCAAAACTTTTTGCCTCATAGTACGAATATTTTTCATAATAACCCAAATATTCGTTTATCCTGTAGATTTTTATCTGAAGGTCAAGGTAATCTATATCTTCTTAGATCTCCTTACTTGGTTTATCCAGACACCCCGCTTCCTTTTATTACTATTTTTATTCATAATTTTATTTTCCTCTTCTTTCAAAAAAATTTTTGTATTTTTTTCATTTTGCATTTTCTATTCCCCTTCAAATTCAATTCCAACATTCTTCGTTTTGACCACCCCATATCCAGTCTTTTTGTTGAAAATAAAAAATCTGATAATTCCAAAAATTCCTGACCGCACCCATCTTATCCGATTTTTTTCTTATTATTCGTTCCCGACACTGAAGAGAAAAAAACTTGATAAAATTTCATCAGACCGGAGATATCCACAACTACACTCATCCAAATTAAAATGTAATTCATCCTTCTTTTTTTTCTCTTCGAAAGTTTCATCGTGTTTTTTGCATTTGTGAAACAACAAACATGACCCACTTTTCTTTTCACACCTTTTCTAATAATTTCGTTTTTTTTAATGTTGCTTACTTGTTTGCACTTTCTTTCTTCATTTTTTCGTTTCATTTTTTCACGAATCCATATTTTTGTAGGCGCCGATGCGCTTGTTGATCGCAGTTGCCCTTGTGGCACTTGCAACCTTCACAGAATCAGTTGATCCTTGTAAACGTCAACCGTTCCGCGGAAGATGTCCATCATTAAATGGTGAAGCGCCAAAACGTTCGCAATTTGTTTTGAGATATTATTTGAGAAATGGAGAATGTGTTAGTTATCCATACGGTAAGTTCAAATAATTATTTGAAACAATTTCTGAATCTTGTCTAATTCAAAATGTTTTAGGACATTGCGCGCAAGACCCAAGTGAGCCAACATTATATAGATACAAGGAAGAATGTGAGGATGCTTGTATTTCGAATGCGCCAGCAAATTTGGGTGCACCGAAAGATGTTGCTCCAGAAAAGGTTAGTTGAATTTTTGCTGAGCATGATTTTGCATGTCATCGAATTTTAGGTGAAAAAGGTTGAGTTTTATTCATCCACTGAGGCTACAACAACAACTTCGCCCAGCGAAGATGTTACTTCAACTGGTCAACCATTTGAATTTAATGGTGAAGATTTGGATAAAACAACCACCACAACTACTGAAATGCCTTTTGAATTCACCGAAGAACCAGTCACTACCACAACACAAAGCACTGAAAAACCTACTGAAAACCCCACCACTCAAACTAGCAGCACAGAAGTTTCAACCACAGAGCATGTTACTACCACAGAAGTTACCACAGAAGCTAGTACTACCACAACTGAAGAAGTTACCACAACAAAACAATCCACAACTCAGGCGCCAACCTCAACTGAAGCTGTTACCTCCCCATCAACCACAGTCGAGGTTACCACCGTTACAACTGAAGCACCAACTACAACATCAACCGCCACACGAGCTCCAGTTACTACAACTACCACTGAAGCTGCTACAACCACAACAGAAGCTCGCGCTCAAACCACAGCTGGACCAAGAACTGGTAAGATCTTCCGAAACATTTTTTTTTCAATCGAATTTTTTTTCAGAATGCGAACGTCGTCGTTTATCAGCCAGTCAATCTACAATTCAAGGATCTTTCATTCCAGTTTGTACAGTGAATGGAGATTTCGAGAAACTTCAATGCGAAGTCAACGGAGAACAATGTTTCTGTGTTGATGCTCATGGTATCGAAGTTCCAAACAGTCGATCAACTGGAAGAGTTCGACCAGATTGTAATTGTGAGTTTCATTTTTAATTAGAAACTCATTTTATATTCAAAATTTCTTGTTTAGCACTTCAATCAACAAAGACTGTCAGTACCAAAGAATGTGTTGGATCAGCAATTGTTGGACCTTGTCAAGGAAACGTTGCTCGTTTCTTCTATAATGAAGACAGCCAAAAATGTGAGCAATTCACATATTCCGGATGTGGTGGAAATGGAAATAACTATGAAACCCGTGAATCTTGTGAAGATAGATGTGCTCCACCACCAGTTGGACTTCCAAAATGTGAAATCGGAGAGCCACTTAAAACAAAAATCGGAGTTCCATTCAACTGTGCCAAGACAGATTGTCCATCTGGATATCGATGCAGCGTTGTTCAACATTCAAGTGTCTGCTGTCCAGAAAACACTAAAGCTGTTGGACTTCAAACCAACGGACGTGCTTCCAGATGTTCACTTCCAAAACAAAGAGGACCATGCGATAAATACGAACTACGTTTCTATTTCAACGCTGATCTCAATGAATGCAAATATTTCTTCTGGGGAGGTTGTGAGGGTAACACCAATAATTTCGAACGTGTTGAAGATTGCGAAAGTGCTTGCGGAGTTTCACAACATTCACGTGTTACAAACAAACCAAACACTGAAATCAGAACTACACAAGGTATCAGAATCACTCCAAATGGTAGAATGAATTGGGAAGAAACTGAAACAACAACTCCAACTGGACCAGAACCACCAGTTCCATCAACCACCACAACATCTGCTCCAAGAACAGTTGCTCAAACCACTACAGTTCCAACAACCACAAGAAGATCAACAACTACAACTCGTGCTTCAAGAATCTCTCAAACAACTCCAGTTGCTTCAGAAGAAGAGGAAGAAGTTGTCGAAGAAGAAGAAGAGGATCATCAACCAATTCATGTTCAACCACCAGTTCCAGTTCAAAACACTGTTTTGCTTGGAGGTATCGAGGATTCGTCAACTGACAGCGGTTTGCTTTTTAATGCTTATTTATTATTTTTATTCTAAGTTTGCGCAGTGTCGCTTCAAAACCTCAGTTTTCATATTTATGTTTTAACAAAAATATTCTGTTTTGCTAACTATTTTACGAGTCAGGAAATAATTTTTTGTTGATAACTTCAAAATTAAATTAAAAAACTAACTTGTCCAATTTTCAAAAACAATTTCAAGAAATCTCAAAAAATCCAAACCATAACCACAGTAACTTTTAATCATTGATTCCTGACTATAGTACAACTCAGTCAAACTGATTTAATCTGAAGATTGTATCACGAAAATTTCTTTGAAAAAAGCAATATCGAAATTTTGACCTAAAACAATCCTGACTCGTTCTAGGAAAAAAAAATGAAATTTTATCCATAATAGCTTATCCTAACTTATGTTATTTTATGTTTCTAATTCCAAACAACTATTCAATATTTTTCAGTGAACCGATGCTTGCATCCAAAAGATGCTGGAAACTGCCGTGGGCAATTCGTTCGTTGGTTCTTCGATGCTGAAAAGAAATCATGCGATGTCTTCAGCTACACTGGATGTCAAGGAAACGGAAACAATTTCGCTAGTCAAGAAGAATGTCTTGCTATTTGTCATCGCGCTGAACCAGTTGTTCAACAACCACAACTTCCAGACTTCAAACAAATTTGCAGCAACGATGTAGATGCTGGAGAATGTAACGGTGTCTTCGAAAGATTTGCTTTCGATAGTGAAACTGAAGATTGTCGCGCTTTCACTTATGGAGGATGCGGTGGAAACGGTAACAACTTCGCAACAATGCAAGAATGTAGACAACGTTGTGTCAAATCATCTACCGAAACACGTGTCAATATTTGCGAATCAGACATTGATGTTGGAGAGTGTTCAGGAGTTTTCCAACGTTTCGCTTTCGACAAAACTATCAACAACTGTAAGAAATTCACATACGGAGGATGCGGTGGAAATGGAAACAACTTCGCCACTCTTCAAGAATGTACCAACAGATGTATCAACAAAGTCTGCCCAGAAACTCCATCCTGCGATGTTACTCGTTGTCAACTTGTCAATGATCGTTCAGGATGTCCATTCTGTTCGTGTCCACCAGTCAAACAACCAATGCCACCAGCTCCAAAATGTGCACCAATCAAGAAATCCGAGTGTGAAGAGCCATGCATCATTTTCAGTAACAGAAAGGGATGCGAGGAATGTGTCTGCCCACAAGATCCAACCAAATCCCCATCATCAGTTCAACCCCCAGCTCCAAGTAGCTTCCAAGCCGGACCACCAGCCAGTTCATCAACAAGACCAACTGAAGCTGCTCCACCAGCACCCTCAAGACAATGTAAGTTTAAAAATGAGAATTAAAAATTAATCGGAAGAAATGTTTTCAGTTGCTGCCAATACTTTCGAACAAGCTAAACCATCTGAACTTCCATCACTTCCACGTCAAATCGCTGATCAAATTCAAGAAAAATGTCTTCAACCAGTTGAACCAGGACCGTGCAAAAACTTTGCCGATCGTTGGTATTTTAATGTTGATGACGGAACTTGTCATCCATTTAAATATGGTGGATGTGCTGGAAACCGTAATCATTTCTTCACTCAAAAAGAATGCGAAGTTCATTGTGCTCGATTCTTAGGTTTGTGATTTTTGAAAATGTTTACTGATTGCTTGTAATTTTACCATTTTCTTTATTCGCATGAGCACTCACTCACCCCACGCACCTGAATCTATTTTCAGGCAACAAAAATGCACTTAACACATATCTCAACTCACAACAACATCAACAGCTGGAACCTCTCAAGAGACCCAGACAACACAGTGTTGCGAATGTGCATGTTTCAAAACCCATCGAAACCTCTTACACCTCACCAAAAATCGATGATTATACACCGCCTGCGCCAAACAACAATCTCGTTGGATTGTCGCCACCAGTTCATCCAACATATTTTACTTATAATGGACAAGATCAAGGAGGACATCGACAATTTGCTGCTGGAAATCAACAAGGTCAAGGAGTTCAAGTGCCAGTTCCAGAAGGAGTTGTTCCACTCAAACAAAATCGAGGCAATTTTGATGGGCGTGAAAGATTTGCAGTTGTTGATCATCCAAAACAACAAGCCAGTCCAAATTTCCAACCATCCAAAGAATGGTTCCAAACAACTTTGACACCATGGTGGCTTCAAAATCCAACAACAACTTCTTCAAAACAAGCGCATGTTCAAACAATTGATAACACAATTAGATCAAACAGCTTGTTCAATCTTGGAAGACCACAAATTCAACCATCTGAATCCGGATTCCAACAAGAGAGATCAACATCCAGAGTCCAAATATCAAGAATTCCAACATCAACCCAACCAGCTGGAGATCTTCGAGAACAACCTGGAAGTATCGAGAGACCTGAACTCAGATCACCCGGACATCGCGAACAATCAAGAGTTCAAGAGCAAAGTGCAGCTTCAGAAACTAGAACTGGATCACAGCAACAAGTTGTAGAAAGACAACAAATTCCAAGAGTTCAAACTGTCAACGAACCAAGATTCCAAGGATCAATTCAACAGCAATCCCAAGGAAACACTCGTGCTGCTGAAGTTTCAACATCTATACAACAAACATCAAGATTACCAACTGCACAGAACAATTTCGAAGCATCTCGATCTCCCGGACACCAACAATCTAATCAATTCACACATCCAACCAGAATTCAAGAAAGTAATCAACAACAAAGATCGTTTGGACAACAACAATCAGTAGAAACTAGAGTACAACCAACTCCAAAATCTCCAGGACATCAAGAATTCTCCTCTTCTTCTAGACCTGAGAGTACAACAACATTACCAAAAGTTCATTCGCGATTTATCACAACTCGTAGTCCAATGCCAAATGCACAACAAGAATTATCTCGATTCCAAAATGTGCCACCACGTCAAATCGATCCAGTTCGTCCAGGTCGTTTCCAATTTGATCCGTCTCGTTACACATTCTACAATGGTGATTATTATGGTCCAACTATTCCCGGAATTCGAGTTAATCGAACTGATGGAGTATTTGTTCAAGGAGACGGAAGTGATGCAGAAAGACAAGAAGCGATCGAGGCATTTGAGCAATTCAAAAAACTCTCGAAAGGATTCCAACAAGAAGCAGAAAAATATTTGGCTGGTCAAAAAAATGGAAAACTTCAAGAAAGCGGAGGATTCATTTTAGGACAAGTCAGAAATACTGGCAAAGGTATTTTTTAGAGAAAAAAATAAATTGCACTCACTCACTGCACTAACACATTACTTTTTGTTTCTTTGGTTTCTATTCTTTTTGTTTCTATCCACCACACACGTTCTTTTTCAGGACTCAACGACGAATCTGAAGAGGAAGAAGTTCCAGAAGTTGAAGAACCAACACACGGACTTCGCCGCCCAGTTGCTCATGGTGTTCCAATTCAACCAACTGTTCCACTTGTTGTTCCAACATACAGCTCTCCAATCCCAGCTGTTCGTGGAGGATCTCCACCAGGATCCGAAGGTAAAGTCGATTCACTTGAACCACTTGAGACATTCGAACCTCAACCACCTGCACCAGCGACCACAATTGTACCCCGACTTCCAAATGTTGCACCACAACAAAGAATTCAAGGTTTTGTTGTCACAACCACCACAACACGAGAAGTTCCACCCACAGTCACTTCCACAACTTCTACCACACAACAACCTTCTACCACTCAAGAACCAAGCACCACAACTTCTCAAGCTGAAGTTGACACTGAAGAACCAACAACTTTTGAAACTCGTCAACCAATTATTAAAGAGGTTGTTGAAGAAGAATCAAAATCACAAACTGTTGATCTTGAAAAGTTTGTTCCACGTGCAAAAGCAGTTTCAGAAGAATTTGAAAATGATATTGCATCTGGAGAAGGATCAGGTAGTGAATTCGAAGAAGAAGTTGAAGAGGTTACAGAAGTTGTGACAACCACAACAACTGAAGCTCCAAAACTCAAAAAAGTTGAAATTAGACCAAGAGGTTTCACCACAACCACAGTCACACCTAGCACTGAACTTCCAAGCACCACATCATCACAAGTTTCCACAACTTCAACAAATGATTCCACAGAAAATCAAACCACAGTCACAGAATCCACAACATCCACACAAGTTTCTGATGAAACCGAAACTTCTCCCACTGCTCGTGTCATAACCACCGAAGTTCCACAATCCACTGAAGTTTCTGCCACTGAAGCTGTCACAACCACCACTGGATCAGTTCCAACCACATCCACAGTTGAATCTGATTTCGCATTCAACAGTGATGAAATGGATGAAAATACTGAATTAGTCGAAACTTCAGATAATATTCGTGCTGCTGGATCAAAAACTTTGGAAGCTGCCAAGGCTGTCGAAACCAAGAAAATCGAAAAAGCCGATAATGGAGTTAGCCGTGTTGTTGAAGAAATCAGCATTGATCAAAACTCAGGTACTTTCAAAACTCTCATACGTAGAAAAATTCAAATTTTCCAGAGATCGTTCAAATTTTGAGCACAACTCCAAGCACTCCAGCTTTCGAGCCAAAGTTCGATGGAAGAATTGCTTGCGCTATGCCACCAGATGCCGGAACTTGCACATCTTACATTCCAAGATGGTTCTTCAATTCTCAAACTGGACAATGTGAACAATTCGCATATGGATCATGCGGTGGAAATGATAACAACTTTGTTGATCGTAGCACTTGCGAGAGAAGATGCATGCCACGTATGTAAAAAAAATACAAAATTCACAAATAAAAATGTATATTTCAGATCACGTTATTCTTGCTCAAGTCCCAGACCGTTGCTCATATGAAAAAGATACTGGAAACGGTAAAGGATACAATGTCAAATGGTACTTCAACATGAAAAACTTGAGATGCGAGCAATTTGTTTTCGAAGGACTCGGAGGAAATTCCAACCAATTCGAAACTCTTTCCGAATGTGAACGTATTTGCACACCAGCTGCTAATAGAGGACCACTGCCAAGTGAAGTTCAACAAACAACTCCAGTTGTTATTCACCCAGAAGTCAGCGAAGAAGAATACGACGATGAAGAAGAACCAATGGTTTTGCCAGGAGGACTTCCACCAACTCTTCAATTCCGTGAAAATGTTCAACTTCCACCATTGGTCGCTGCTGAAGTTGTTACTCAAACTGTTCCACTCCCAGAAACATCAGCTGGTACAACGACTTCAACTGCTGCACCAGCTGTTGTCACTTCAACTGCTTTTGCTCCAACTCATCAACCATCAAACCCAATTATCCCAGCTCTTCAAACTGTTCCACTTCCACCAGTTCCAGAGATCACACAAACAGTTCAAGAAATCACCTCGACAACCACATCTACCTCAACCACAACTCAAGCCCCAACAACAGTTACAACTGCTCCACCAGCCAGTGAACCACGTCCACCAGCCGCTCACGCTGCCAAGACTGTAGTTCCAGAAGAAAAACCAACATACAAAGCTGAACCAGTTTTGGGAAGACAACAAATTCCAACTGCAAATGAGGGACAACCACTTGTTGGAGCTTCACCAAAGGAAACTGTCAATTATCAAACTGGAGAAGTTCGTGGAGCTGTCAAGGCCTCAGGAATCAGAAGTTTCAATGCTGATGAGAACAAGATCAGTGCCAATATTTTCAACAACAACAACGGAGCTTCATCAAATGGACTTCCAGCTTGTGCCAACGGAAGACAAGAAATCAGATACGCTGATGGAAGACCAATTATGTGTTTGCCAGGAAAGAATCAATGCCCAGAAAAATCATCATGTTATTTCAATGGAATTGATTTCGCTTGTTGTCCTGATGAGGAAGATCCATATGATAAACACGTTTTTGGAGGATACAATGGAGAAGAAACCAAGAATGGTTACAAAGTTTTCGGAGGACTCAACATCAGAAGATTAATGGATGAAGTTCCACTTCGTCAAAAACGTCAAGCTGCTTTCAACATTGATTCAGTCGTTGCTCCACTCCGATTCGATGCCGAGAAACCACGAACAGTTCATCGTGCTCTTCACATGAAACCAAAGAACTCTGTTCCACGTCAAGGTGCCAATCCATTGTGTATTCAACCAGTTGTTAAAGGATCATGCCAAGAAGCTCATCTTCGTTATTTCTACGATAGAATGAGTGACTCATGCAGACTCTTTGAATATTCTGGATGTGATGGAAATGCCAACAACTTTGGATCTCTTGAAGATTGTCAACGTCTCTGTGTTCTCGATATCAAAAACATTCAAAACGGACGTGTTGCCACAACCACAGTTGATCCAGTTGTCGCTGTTCAAGAAGACGAGAAACTTGCACCAGGACAATGTCCAGGAGGACGTTCTCCACTCGGAGGAGCATCACCAGTTCTTTGCGGAAACACCACTGAATCAATCGGATGTCCAACATCTTATTACTGCCGACGTGGACCACCAGATGTTTGTTGCCCAGGAACCGATCCAAAACTTTTGCGTAAGTTCCATTTTTTTTTTTGAATTTTTTTTTTCAAAACAAAATATCAATTTTCAGAACAACCAGAAGATATTGTTAAAGATCAAGTCCGCGGTGTTGTAAAGAATGAATCACACATGCCACGTGGATTCAATCGTCAAATTTTCCTCTCAACTCCAAAATACATGTGCCCAGATGCAGCTGACCCATTAATACTTGAAGATGGTGAACCAATGTTGTGTGGAAGTGGATTTGATGGTGTTAAGATGTGTCCAAAGGGATACTATTGTGCTATTGATTCAGCTAGAAACTGTACGTTTCAACCATAAAAGGTTAAATAGAATCTGACAATCAATATTTGTTTCAGCAAGACTCTGTTGTCCAATGTTTGGAGATGCTCAAAGAATCGCATCGGAAGAAATGTTCGCTCAAAGACTTTCTCTTGTTGAAACCACAACTAGCAGAAGACCACAACCAGTCGAAGAACAAGTTGAAGAAGAAGATGAAGAAGAAGAGGAGGAGGAAGGAGAAGAATTCTTGGCACATTTGCAAATGAAACCAAATAAGCCAAAGGATACTGTAGAGGAACTTGGTAAGCAATCAACAGTCATGTATAAACCCCAACTAAATGATTTTTCAGCCAAATCATCTCCAATTGCTGCTGATACCAATTCAGAAGGAGGAGTTTCTATCGATCTTGGAGCTGATGAAAAACCACACATTGAAGAAGAAGTTACAACAACAACAGTTCAACCAATTCAGATTCAAGACAAATCAGTTTGCCAAATCAAACCATCAGAAGGACGAGTTTGTACTGAAGCTGAAGTTTCAACACGAACAAATCTACAATATTTCTACTCGCCAAAAGACAATCGATGCAAACTTTTCTTCTTCCGTGGATGCGGTGGAAACATGAATAGATTTGAAAAGAAGGCCGACTGTGAAGCGTTGTGCCTCTAAAATAGTTTTGTTTTTATTTTTTTCTTATTCTTCTTCATTGTTGCCAAACCTCTCAAGCCTTAAGAATTGTACGTTGTATTGCCCTCATTTCGCCCAACTAAAAAACCATAATAATTACAAACAGACTCATAATAATGATAATAATCATACTTTTTTGACATTTGTGATAAAAATTTTAATAATGATAATAATTGTTCATTCTTTTCTCATTATTTTAAGCATATTTCCCACAAACAGTTCCATTCAATTGACTAGCCGTGTAAATATCTTCCAAAAGACCATTTGAAACAGTCAAACCGAGGAATGGATTATCTAATTGAGCATTATCTGGAGCGTTGTTTCGCCATTTGAATTCTGTGCTTGTTGTTCCATCAGTCCACACAAAACTATTAGATTGGGTACAAGTTACTGTTAGCTTAGATTTCATGCATGCTTCAGTTCGAAGTCCACCCAACCAAACATAATTCAAACTCAATTCCTTCGCCAATTTTTGGAATCCAAGACGTTCCTCTTCTGAAGCAATACCAGACAATATCGCTCCTTTCGATTCACAAGAAGCGATAGCTCCAGAATGATCTAGTTTTTCTTTAGTTACTAGAACACACCAGGGACCTTTTTCCCGAGTGAAAGCAGTCCATCCAGCAGGACAAGTGGTTGATGTTGGACAGGATTCGATGAGAACAACAGAAACCGCAAGAAGAACGAAGAACTTCATTTTGTGTGTAGTTTTCCAACAAAATCGGAAACTTCTTTTATAGCACAAACTTTTAGAGTTTTCGGCGTCGTTAAAGTTAATTGCGTGGTTTGTAGAGCAATATTATTTTTATATTTTTGCAGAAAAAACATAGGAGATCAAAGACAAACGATGAAAATGTAGAAAAAATAACATTTTTTGTGTGAAATGTAGTCAAACTAGACTAGACTTTTCTAATTAACCGAAAAGAAGATGTATTGAAATATTTGGTTCTGTTTTCCTCATTATTTGCTGAATTTTAGTTAGTTATAAACATAATTTGTTGACTAAACAATACGCCACAAATCATTCTACTTACCTTTTTTTAATCAACAACATTTTCTAACCAAAAATCTTGACAACCCTCCCAAAAACCTCACCAAACTTCCAAGCTCCCATTTTTGTTTGATTTCGTTGCTCCAAAATCTTCCATTCGTTCGTTTTGAAGAGCAAACTCGATAAATTTGACCAATTTCATTGTTGTTCGCAATTGAGCCTGTAATTATGAAAATGAAAGAAAAATTCAAAAAGCTGATGGGAGAAAAATAAATAAACGGCTAAACAATAGGCAAAAGGAGTTGTGTTGTATGCGTAAGCGGAGTGTCGTTGTATTCGCGTCCCCATGGATTTTTCATTTTCAAAAGTTTGAACGTTATTTTGCGCGCCCTACTTTTTTTCTAGTATTTTCCGTGCTAAAAGCGAAGTTCGAGAGAGAGATTCTTCATCAAAGTAAGTCCCGGGGTTATAGTTTGTGAAGGAATATCAGGGTTCCTGTTGAAAACGCCCAGGGGTTCCCGTTTCACTTTTCCCGCGGGAGGTGCTGTAGGGTTTGCGCGTAGAGTAGGAAGGGATAAGGAGTTTTAAACTTTACAGACGAAAAAATCAGTCAAAAATAAAAACTTTTTCACTGCGGACTTGTCAGAAAACAATGGGAATTGGCTAAAAAGTGAAAATGAACAAAAAAAAACAATACAATGTTGTTTTTTCGCGCATTAATTTTGAGGTAGATCAAACTGAAATCTGAAAAGTATGCATTTTTTCCTTGCTATTTTCGATAATGGTCATTTTTTCTAGTTCATCCTAGACTCACCTTTACTCTTTACGTTTTTAAAAGGAACAAGTCAGCTTCCGAAATTTTTCAAAGATAGAAATGAACGGGTATTCATTCCACCAGTATTGTTACGTCATGACGTGTCACGTTTTATTTTATTTTTTATTTTGCTTTGTTTTGCAATTTGTTTTTTTCAGAAAAGATGCAATATTTTGCTAGTTTTCTGATTTTTGCATTCTTCGCGTGGTAAAAATTTATTAAAAATCAGACAAATTATATTTGCAGCTGTAAATTAATAAGATAACATAAAGTTTCAAAGTCGAAACCTTGTTTTATTATTATTTATTTGATGTTTGATTCTATTGATGACTATATTCTAGGTTTTGAAATTTTATTAATTATTAGTATTCCATTCTATATTATCGGTTTTTATTGTATTTTGAGAAAACGATCAAAACTTGCACATAGTTTGAAATGGAGTCTTTTTATTTCTTGTTTTTGGTGTGTTATTCAAGATTTAACAGTGTCTATTCTCACGAAACCAATTGTTTTATTACCTGAATTTGCTGGTCATCCATTAGGTCCTCTCACTAAATATTTTAGAATTCCAACTCTGTTTCAATTATATATGGGATTTGTTGCTATTGCAGGTTTTTCGATCTCTTGATACTTTGATTTTTTGTACGGATTTATTTTTAGGCGTTGGTAGTTCGTGTGTTTGTTTGATGGAAAATCGGTATTATCATATAAAACCATCGAAAATAAGTTCACTAAAAGTTCAAATGCGATTATACTTGTTTAATATGTTTGCAACAATAATATTCATGATAGTTATTTATATTCATTTACCAGATCAACAATATGCTAGACTTGTAATTATTCAAACTATTCCAAATCTTCCTAGTTATATTAAAGATATGCCATTCTTCATACTTTCAACAGATAAATCTCAAATATCATTTCATTTTGGTTGCTTGTTTTCTGTAATTGTTATCGAATTCCTATTTTATTTCAGTCTAACTTATTTTGAATTATTCATGATAACCAATGTTAAAATGAGCAATGCGACTCGAAAACAACAACGAATTCTATTTTTTGGTGTTTTGATACAAAATATTATACCCATATCATTTCTGCTCGTCCCAATTGTTTATGGCTTCATTTCTTCGTTAACAAAATATTATAACCAGAGTTAGTCGGCGAATTAGCGTCACTTAGGTCATTGAAATTTCTTGCAGCTTTCAATAACATTTCTTTTATGCTATTTAGTTCGCACGGCTCATTGCAGATTCTTGTTATGATTTTGATACACAAATCGTTTCGACAATTTTTATTCTGTCAGAAACAGGTGAAAACGTTTTCCACAAACACATTCTATCGTACCACTGCGGGGGAAACAGTTATTATTAAATGCTAAACTTTTTTTTGGCCTTTCTCTAATTTTCTAGTATTTTAAATGAAAATAAGTTCACATTCGTCGCTTTGTTTGTTCTTTTTTATAGAAAAATTTCAAAGCTGAATTTTTTCATCTTGATTGTCAAATTGTCGTTTTTAGACTTGATTTCATTGGTCGAAAGTCGGGAAAAGTTTGATATCCTCAGAAAACCACGAAATATCATTAAAAGTTGTTTACACCGCCATCATAAAATCTTTTCATACATTTTATTGTCAAAAATGAAAACGTGTTTATCTTGAAATATACGTGAATTCTATAAGCAGAGTAACTTGAAAACAACAACCAATTTTATTTTTTTGGTGTGTTGATACAATATATCATATCATTTTTCATTGTTCATTTTTTTATGGCTTCATTTCCTCGTTGACAAAATATTGTAACTAGAGTAAGTTCTCCAAATAGTACATTACAAGAACATTAATTAATTAACCTTTTTCAGTTTGCTTTTTTTTAGTTAATATGTTTTTTCTCGAGTCCTCGTTCCATACGGAAAAAAATTTCGAGACCTATTTTTTTATTTAATTTTAGAATGAATCTTTGCACTTTTTAATTTTCGTTGGTTTTTAAGTTCAAACAATCACCAAACGTCGCGAATAAATCATGAAAGAAAATCAAATAACATTTGTTCACCGAAAAAAGTTAACAATTTCTCCTAAATTTTTTTGCTAACTTAATTTTTTTGCACTTTCTGATTTTCTCTCTGTTTTTTCGATGTTAATGACTAGAGATGATTTGATAATCAGACAACATGACAATTCCCGGAATAAGAAGTGGGCTGGACATAGCTTATTTTTGGGATCAAAAATTTGTTCAAAAATTATATTCTGGTGTTTTGTTTTGCAAAACAAGAAAACAAACAACTTTTTTTTCTTCCCAGATCGTGTGAAATGATTTCTCCACTCAAACTTCTCCAAGATGTTTGCACATTAATTGCAGTTTTACTCAATTTTTTATTGGTTTATTTGATTGTTACAAAATCACCAAAAACAATTGGAACTTATAAATATTTGATGGTTTATATTGCCATTTTTGAAATTATTTATTCAGTTTTTGGATTTGTATTACAACCGGTGAGTATAATTTATGAAAAAAAAACATCGAAAAAAATCTAGTTGGGTCTGGCTCCGCAGATTACTCCCCCACGCATTGCACTTTCTCTTTCATCATCTAATAAAGAAGTTTTGACACCAAGAACAACACATTTCTGATCTCCCAAATGATTATCTGGTTGAGTATCTTCCCATTGAAAACCTTCAACTCCTTTTGTAAATCCATCTGTCCATTCAAAACTTGTCTCTTTTGTACAAACATCGCTCAATTTCGAATTCATACATTTTTCTGTTCTGCGCGCTCCAACATAAATATAATTTTTGTGCGAAACTTGAGCCATTTTTGAGAAAAGTTGAAGTTCGTCGGTGTTTTCAATACTGGAAATGACTGCAGAATTATTTGAACAAATTTGTTGAGCTTCTGCCAAGTTAATATTTCCGAAAAACACTTGAACACACCATTCTCCCATTGTTCGATTCAAACTTGTCCAGTTTGTTGGGCACTCTTTCTCAACTTTGATTCCGAAATCTGTATTATTCGAAAAGTTGGTCTTTTTGGAATTTTCTAAACTTACATCTCAAGTTAACAAAAATAAAATAGACCGAAAAAATAACAATCAACAGAATCGCTAACAAAAGAAGAAGAGCTTTTGGTCGATCCGAATCTTTTTCATTTTTTCCCAGAACATCAACAGCTTCAAATGGTTGTAGTTCAATATCAGATTTTTCCGAAGATATCGACATTTGAAACAAAAAATGAATGTAAAAAATATATTGACATAGCGACTTCAGCGTGTTTATGACCATGAGAAAAGACAGCCGACAAAAATTATGAGAAAATTATGAAATTGAGAAAAAAAATCAAAAATATTGTTTTTGTAGGTAATTCATTCATTCAATTCGCGTGTTCTTTTGTTTCAAGAAATTAAAACCACAAAGTTTATTGATTCAATTTTAATTGCAATTTATGGTGGACTTTATGCATGTTCAATTGCACTTCTCGGAGTTCATTTCATTTATCGATATGGTTCTCTTGACAGTGTTAAAAAATTTCGATATTTTGAGGGCTATCGACTGATTTATTGGGGAATGATTCCAGTTATATTCACAGTTTTTTGGAGTTTCATTGCTTATTTCATATTTCCTCAAAGTTCAGAATATAATGAAGTTATTCGTGCTGAACTTTGGGAAATATACGGAATCAATATTGATAATATTTCATACATTGGTGAATATTTATTTGATGAAAATATTCAAGGAATACAACCTATCATGTTTAAATCAGTAGTTGGATTATTATTACATTCAACAATGATAAGTGCCTCAATGTTCACGGTGTTCTATTTTGGATTTGTCTGTTATTTGAGTATTCGAAAATCATTGAAATCAAAATCCAAATCTTCGTCTACAGATAGATTACAAAGACAATATTTTTACGCATTAGTAGTTCAGGTTAGAAATAAACTATATTTTCAAGTAACATAAAACCAATTTTATTTTTCTAGACAGTAATTCCTTTGATATGTTTATATATTCCTATTCTTATTGCATTTTCATGTGCAATAACATTACAAAATATTGGTGGTTTTAGTAAAGTTGTTTCAATTGGAATGGCTTTATATCCAGCACTTGATCCACTTCCAACTCTTTTAATTGTCAAAAGTTATCGAAACGCTTTGTTAAATATGATTTTCAGAGGAAAAATTATTGGATTAAAAGTTAGTTCGGTCATTGAACCTTCGAAAACTTTTCATAGAGTTTCAATTGTCAATAAAATCTGAATAATTTTTTAAAGTAAATTTATTGATTATGAAGGTTAAACACAACAATTATAAAAGGAATGTGATAAAAGAAGTAACCCGTAGTTATCAAAAAATCAATCAGAAAAAAAAACTTTAAAATATTTACAAAAATTGTTGAAGGACTATGGTAGTCAAAACTCCGATAACAGCTGAAATTGGGAAGCACAAAAGCCAGAATAAGCAAATCTTGCGGAATGTTCCAAATGAAACTCCTTCATGAGTTGATTTTGCCATTCCAACGAAAACGACAGCTCCGACAGTACAATGAGTGGATGAGATTGGAATTCCGAGTTTGACACAAACGAGGACTGTGAAAGCAGTTCCGACTTCAATACAGAATCCAGAAATTGGTGACATATCAACAGTCATTTCATGAGCCAACAATTTGATGGTACGATGTCCAAGGGTAACAAATCCAAAGATCATAGCAAATGATCCATAAGCCAACAACAATTGTGTATCATCTCTTGTCTCAGCATTTCCGAAAGCATATCCAGATTCATAACACAACCAGATAGCGAGAAGTGGTGAAATAGTATTTCCAGTATCATTTGCACCATGAGTAAATGAAAGCATAGATGATGAGACGATTTGAAGAGTATTAAACACTTTTTTAGTCAAACGATCTTCTGGTACATATGCCCAGAGATATTTGTACCATGGAAGTTCTTTGATATTATCAGCAACATCTGGTTCACGCATATCTTTGATTTTATGACCTTTTGGAGCTTTTCCAGATTCCAAACGGATTTGGATTTGTTTAGTTTCTTTGTCATAAAGTCTTTTAGCTCTTCCTGGAAGCCAATTCTTCAATGGGAAAGCAAGAAGGGCCCATCCGGCAATTCCAATAGCGCATGAGATAAGAAGAGCTTCCCACCAGTTGAGTTTATCTAGTCCAAGATCTAGAAAAAAATAGATAAATATATTTCAAGGAAATTGAAATTTAGAAAAACTTACATTTTGATCCATCATAAAGACAAGCATATAAATTGACAACCAAAGTGAAGCACAAGAAAATTGGGCAAAGTTTGAGAGCCCATTTAAAAGTATCTTTCCGGATCAAAACTGAATATTTGACAACATAATAAAAGGCTCCAGCGAAAATTCCAGCAATAACTGGAGAAATGAACCAAGAGACAACAATCTTGATAATTTCATCCCATTTGATTCCAACGTTTCCACGAATATAGAAAGATGTGGCGACTGAAGCACCAACAATCGCATGAGTGGCTGATACTGGGATTTTGTAGCAAGATGAGAGAATCATGAATGAGGCAACACCGGCGAGAGAAGCTGTTTGAGTGAGCATAAAATCGATAGATGTATACTTGGCACATTCTAATGGTGGTGCTCCTGGAAGAATATCTGGAGCCTTCCATCCTCCAACAAGTGTCGCATTTCCACAATGATCGACAGTGTCGTAATGATTTGTTGAATGATTGTATTGAGCGTAAACATCGAAAATTTCGAATTCAACAATTCCTGTGCGCAAAGTCTCCACAACCTTGTAACCTTAAAAATATATTTTATTGTTTTTTTTCTTTTCGGTAAGCGTCAAGTTTTTTTTTAATTCAATTTTTTTTTTTGTTACAAAAAAAGAATACATTAAAAATGTCAGCGGTATCAAGGCCATTGACCGGTCATGTTTTTTGAAATATAATTTTTCAAACCCCCATATGACCGGTCAAACAGGTGTGATATCCGTTCATGTTTTTTTTTGTTTTTCATTGTTTTTTGAGTTTAAAAACTGATAAGATATGTTCGTTCTTTTGTTTAAAAAATGACTGAAAATTGAAGAAGAGAAGAAAAATCAACTCACCAAGTAAAACAGCACCGAGAACATTGAGAATAGCGGAGAGAACGTAGGCTTGCCAGAGTTTCACAGTTCCTGCTCCAACAGCCGGTCCCCAATCATTACAAGAATCATTGGCTCCCATACCTTAAATCCATAATTTAATTAAGAGTTCATTTGTTAAAGTTGATAAAAACTCACCATAGGACACAAAGAAAGCGAAGACAAAGGCGACAATAACGAGCCATGATATCTCGTGCGTCCAATTTGGCGCATACTGTAGCAAAATATGCAGCATTACTGAAAAAAGTAATTAAAATTTCAATCGCAATCTCGCTTATATATAGTTGAACAAAAAACAGTTAAAAAGTGGGCGGAGCTTAGACGGAAACGAAATACTGTATCTCTTACATAGTAAAAAGAAACTGTGTAAGACAAAAAAAGGAAATAAAGAAGATACCATCAACTCAACCCCCGACGATTCGAGTGTGATAAAACCCATTTTTATCGTCTGACGGGTAGTTGAAGGAACCCTCTTAAACATATTGGGTTGAGTAGAATATTGTGTAGAATCTAGCGAGTATTTTATATAGGGTTTGAGAAAATATATAATTTTTGAAGAAGATAATAGGCGGGAACTTGTGGAACAAAATGTGGGCGGGAAAACTGAAAAAAACGGAAGGAAACGAAAAGAAAAAACACACTATTCTCAAGAAAAATATTGGTTTTTGTAATGTTTGTGTTATATTCAGAATTACATGATAAATATAATTGGTATGGAAAAAAAATCAATATTTAATTGTTATTGAAATATTCAAATCATCGAAACATGTTTTTTCGGATTATAAAACACACTGAACGAATTATTGTTTTTTTGCTGTTTTAGTGCATATCGATGGGAAAAATTCGGACATTTGTGAGAAAAAAAGACAAAAACTTGATTTTTTTTGTAAATAAAGTAAAGTTCCAGAAAATATGACACATTTGGCCAATGTGTTTTTTTTTTCAGTCGAAGTGCGAAAGAACTTTAGTTTTTCGATCAGATAAAATATTTTGAAAACTTTTTTATTACTCATGTTTTTGAAGTTATCAGGATAGGGACTCTATACAATAATTACGGGTTCCTTCGAAGCTTTTTGTGAAAAATAGTTCCAACATGAAAATTAATACAACAGGAATATTCAATGTTTTGAATTTTTCATATTCTTTCAAATTTCTTTCTTTTGATTTGTTCAAGTTTTGATCAGTTCAAAGAAAATACTTTGTGTATGGTCCAGATGAAGCGGAACAGCTTTCGAGTGGCCAGAAAAAGTGGAAAAATTTCATAGATTTCAGACGTTTTTCAGAAGAACGTTATAAAAAATCATCTATCGAAAACTTCTCAAAATTCTCAGAAGTAATCAATATTATGCATGAAATCCTATCAAAACTCAAAACAAAAAAGGCCCAATTCAGTCAGATGATATCACCTCAAGATTTCTGTTCATTCAACTTTCTACACTTCCGTTGAATCATATGTTGTTGTTATTTTTTTGAGGTGACAAAAATAGCGCAACTAACAAATAAAGAAGATGATAGTTGTTCTTTTCGCTAAAGGAGAAGATTTCTCCCGTTTTCTTTCATTTCTTTTCGTTCTTCTGAACTGATCAATTTTTGATATTTTCTCAATTGGTCAATGGCGGAAATCGAATGAATACTTTTTGTCGGTGAATAACAAAAAAAACCGTTTTTCAACACAAAACTGATAAAATCAGTTTATTACTGTATTATTTTTTGGAACCGTCCCAAATAAACGTTTATTTTGCTCACAAGACATTAAAAAACCCGGTGGTGAGAAAACATGCAAATAATTTTTCTGTGATAACATTCTGAGCTCAGATGTTAATATGATCAGGAAGAAAACGGAAATAACTCAAATTTGAAAGTAGGATTTTTTCAACCGATAAAAAATGACACATTTAAATATGAGATTGAAAATTTTTCTGCACTCTTCACAACAACTTTTTAATTCTACCATAATCCAAATCAATCGATTTCACATATTTGTAAAATCACAAAGTTCAACTGAATAGAAAACTGTCATTTTTCTCGACCAAAATACACATAAAATCACAATGTACTCAAATGTTTTTAACAACCTATGCAATAATAAAAAAAGTTAATTACCGTATTTTAAAGTTGTAATTTCTCTTGGTTTTTTCTCAATCTTTATAGTTGACCAATGAATGATCTATCAATTCTTGCCGGGGTTTGAAACCTTCAACACCACAATTTGATTTATGATAAGTATATATCGGAAGATTGCCAAGGTATTTTGAGAAAAATTGTGAAACTTTGGGTTTATTTTCAGTTCCTGTTAGATCCTGAGAATGTTGTTGCTTCTACGGTGATTTGTAGACGTCTGGAGATGTAAAAACGTGAACCTTGAACGCGGCATTTTGCAATTTATTTTTCAGAAAAAATGATTCGAATCTAAAGAAAAAAAAACATAAAATATCACGTCTTCATTTAAATCCACGTGTTCTATTTTCAAATAAGAAAATGAGTTGATTCGTCATTTCTTGATTCATATTCTACTGTATTTGGTTATGAAATTATATTTGTTCTTCCATCATCAAAAAAAAAAACACAGTTGCGAGTTCTGGAAATGGAAATGATTTTTGTGAGTTTTGGGTTCATCTCTCGAACGGAAAGATTTTGAATCCCTGAGGAATAAATACTAACAAAATTGTAAATAACTTCTGAATTATTGAGACACTAGAAAAAAGAATATTTCTCATGTTTATTAAATTATTATGGTACCCGCAAACAACTTCAAATATAAATTAACAAATAAAAAAAATACCAAAAACAGAACAAAAATTAGAAGTGGCATTCAAAGGAGAAGCAAAGTTTAGTCTCAATCTCTGGTTCCGGACATTTCGTCGATTTTCGAACTCGATTTGTTGGTTCTGGAACTGAATCAGGATATGGAGCTGGCTCTCCAAAATCAATTGATTCATTAATATCATTTCCAATTGGAATAAATTGTGGTTCTTCGTATCTTCTTAATTGATTCTTTCCAAGTCTTTTCAAACACGATCTTTTTCTCGATTGTTTTCCACAATTACAATTCGTCCAATCGGACCAATTACTCCACAATATTTTTCGATCATCTTCGAATTCCACTGAAGATGATCTTTTAGATCGAATCAATGAAAATCCATCACCAACTGGAAATGGGAATGGGGATACTGTAGTAGTTGTTTCATCTTCAGAAGTTTCTCCAAGTCGATATCCTCCTTCGGAAATTTGCTTTTCCATATCATTTATCATCCAAGATAAAGCTCGAGCTGTATCTTCTTCAACATTTGCAGATCCAGATTTAATAGTTTCTCGTCGAACGGTCTGAAATTAATTTGTTTTAAAAAAGGATCTTTGGAAAGATAGAAAAAACTCACAGTTGGTTGTTCAGTTGTGGTAGATGTTGTATAAACTGGTGTAATTGTTGCAAGAAGTTGTTTATTCAATTCAACTCGATGGCGAAGAGCCGCAAGACGAGCTTCAAGTTCTTTAGTTTCCTCAATCATCTCACGATCTTTTTCTGATGCCCAACTTGGAACTTCAGGAGCTCTTCGAACTTCAAATTCTGGTGCAATATCTGTTGGAATCACAGCAACCATCTTTTGTTTTTTAGACAATCTGTTCAATTTTTTGAGACGTCTTGTGACAATCTTCTTCTTTTTCGGTCTAATGGGTTTGTTTGTGATTTCAACTGTTAAAACTGGGTTATTTGTTGGTGATACAATTCTTCTTGGATACGGTCTTTGTTCATTCATTAAAGTTGGGAAGGTTTGAAGATTTTGTTGAGCTGTGATCAGAGCTATTTTTGGATAAGAAATTGGTGCTGATGGTTCAGTGATATATTCTGGTTGACGTTGAGTTGAAGATGTTGTTGGTTCTTGAGTTGTTGTTGTTGTTGTTGTTGTTGTAGATGGCATAAACATTTCAGTAGGCAATTCAATATGAGTATTAACTTCATCTGGAATTTCAGCTGACAATGATTCTTCAGATGGTTTAATCGAAAAAGTTGGTAGACTTGGATGAAGTAATGGTTCAATTCTTTCTTCTGGCTCTTTTCCAATTGCAAAAGATCCCAAACTATGAACTGATTCAGAAGGTTCAATTTCTTCAGATTCTTCAATTGGGAAAGATGTTGGAGGTAATAGTTCTGGAGTGACTTCTTCAATATCATCCCATCCACCTTTGAATGTTTCATGACTTGGAATTTCTGTGATTGTTGTTGTTGCTGGTTCAGTCGTAACTTCTTCTGTTGTTGTTAATTCTTCAGTTGTAGTTGTAGGCTCTTCGGTTGTTGTTGGTTCCTCTGTGGTTGTAGTTGTAGTTGTTGTAGTTGTTGTAGTTGGAACTTCTTTTGGATATGCTTCCGCTTCAAAAGTAAATTGTTCTCTTGAAAATTGTGGAATATTTGGTGGATACGTTGGCCTTTGTTGGAATGATCTTGTTGGATGAGTTGATGAGATATAATAAATATTTCGATTTGATTTAGTTGTTGCTTCTTCAGGTGTATCCGGTTCATAATCTTGATAAAGTTGGCGCATGGCTAGTTCACGATCTGCAGTTTCGAAATCTTCATAATCGAGATTGTTTCGGCGAGGTGGTGGAGAATTGCATGATTGGAATTCCTTAAAAAATATTTGATTTTAATAAAAGGTAAAACCTGGAATCACCTTATTATGTCCGTGACATTTATAACCTCGAACTGTAGAACAAGCACGAACTCGAATCATAACATTATTCGAGCAAAATGACCATGGTGACCACATTGACCAAGAAGATGAGATAACTGGATCATATTGGGCATTGATTAACCCAAACAACATTAACAAAATAACAAAACGCATGTTGAAAATGAAAATGAGGATCAACCAACACTATTTTTTCGATAAGAAAAAATGTGAAGATCCTGGAAGAAAACATGTTTGATACTCGGAGATACTATCAATGAGATATTTAATGAGTTTGATGAAATGAAATGAAGGAATGTTATTGGATTACTACTGGGAGGTTGTTTTCATTTGAATTTAAGTGAAGGTCATAAAAATTAGATGGTGATTTATTTATGAGACAGGATTATGTGATCGAAAGGTGTGAAAAATAGAACAAAATGAAGATGAACCTTTTTAAAAAACTCTCCAGTTTTCCAAAATTTTGGAAAACTGCAGAGTTCAAATTCTGCGTGATTTATATTTCACATTCAGAAGAAAATGACATTTTTCAAACAGTATTGGAGAACCTAGGAATATTTTTTGAAAACATTTTTGGAAAACATTTTTATTCCAAAAAATGAATCGCAAAATTTTCCCGATTCGCGGAAAAAAACATCTTATCAAAACTATGTCAAAAATGATGTATGTTATCTAATAAACACTGCCTAACTTTTTACGCCGATTTTTTCTGTCATAAAAAATTTTGAGTTCTGATCATGATTTATTTTAGTAGAACTCATTAGCTGGTAATTAGTAATCACAAAGAGACCCCCAGACAAGACAGAAAAAAACCGCTAAACCCAAAAAAAAAAGAAGAAAATTAGGTATTGTCGCAAAAACGGTTGGTAAGCCGATGTATTGTCGGTCAATCGGGTGAAAGTCACAGAATAACGAAAAAAAAGGAGAAAAAAAGATAAATTGAAATTGATGGGCGTTATCCATTGTTTTAAATGTCAGATTTTTGAAATCTGGATTTCTCTTTTTTCAAAAATAATATGAACAGCTTTTCGATTATCATACATAGCTTTCATGAAATCGAAATTGATAAGTTTCACTTTTAATTATTTGTGAGTGTTTTATGAACCCAAGAAATGAATATTTTTCACAAAAAATTGTGAATAATAATTTTCACGTGACATTTTTTCGAGATAACTTTTAAAATCATTTCAATAAAATTCCATTTCTGATTGAGAATAATAAAAAAGTTCCAATTTTTGTGGAACAAATCTTTCTTATCTTATCTTTTTAACAACCGTAAACCAAGTTTTGGAACTTTTAACCTAATGACATTTCTTTGAATTCTTGGAAACTTCAGAAATACCCTATAATTTATTCAAAATCATTCTCAATACGTAAATTCTCACTAACAACAAAAAAAAACATGAATTCTGTGAGAAAAAACTGCGGCAATTCGACCTTTATTTTCTCGGAAAGTTATCTTTTGAGATGATCTATTTTGTGAATGAGGTTTTTCTTTGGCTTTTCAGATTTCAAAGGTAGATTTTGAAGATAGTTTCTTTTTCTTTTGTTGTTGACAAGGTGCAATTGAAGTTTATTAGATATTTCGAGAACTATGTATTTTTAACAACAACTTTTGAAATATTATTAATTGTCATTGCATTTTGGATAGCTGCTTGACTTGAAGATCTTCCAAATTTGAACTTGGATTTGATAAAATTTCGATAAGGAATTATAAAATACATTGTAACAATTGGATCAATAATAACAGGAAAACATACAATTGGAGTTAGAAAAAATTCTTGGAAATAATATTGAGAACCTGAAATATGAAAATAAAAAATATCTAGCTTGAACCTAATGATTAATTACCGGTTAGCAGACAATAATAATAAAACGAAAACATTGGAACATAACAAAATAATGGAAAAATAGCTTGAATAACTAAACCCTTCAGAAAAATTGCAGTCTGATTCATTGTTTTCGATGATTTGAAATGTATTGATTTCCTGATTTTTGAACCCATGATTAATGAGATAATTGGTGTGCAAAATGTCGTAAGAGCAATACAGCATAAGTTCAAAAAATTAGGGATTGTATTCATCTTCAAATATGCAATTGTTAAACCATTGTCTTCATCAATTTGTGGAGTTGAACCATCAAGTGGATCCAGAACAACAATTATTATTGATAATATCTGACATTTTTGGGATTATTTTCGAAAGAAAAGTTTTTACTCACCAATGACGCGATTGTTGGAATATAGAAGATGATATATCTCCATAAAATTGAAATTTTCTTATGATCCAATGCTGATTTGAAAGTCACAAATTTGTAATAAAACATGAAACAAATTGAGGAAGCTGCTGCAACACCAACAACTTGATGTAACATATAAATAAAATAACAAAAATGTGAATTGAAATATCGACATAAACCATAACTTCGAACTTCTACTGGTAATTTTGATGCAATTATTCGATTTTGAATAAATGAAATGAGGCAAGCCAAAAATAGTTGAGATATGGAAGTTTGAAGTAATAAAAATTTCATCAATTTGAAACTTTTGGGAGATTTTCGAATAATCATATAAATAAGACATCCGTGAAGTAAACATGCTAATAGAAAATAAATTATATAGAACCAAAAATGTATATCAAATATGCTCATGATATGGAAATGAAAACTGAAATGATATTTGCACATTTTTTTGAAGTAAAATAATTATAGAGTTGAAAGTATCTATGACAAGGGTTCTTTATTCTTTCGAGAAGTTCTTGTTCTCTTTTTTTTAATTAGAGAAATTTTGATTTATATTTTTGTTTTTCGTTCCAATTTTGGCCAAATAACACGTTTCTTCAAAAACGAGCAAAAAATTCTTTGAATTGAATGAAGAAGGTTAGAAAATAATAATAGTAGTTTAGACATGAGATATTTTGAAAATGGCATAAGACTGAAGATCAGTAGTCTATAATTGTGCTACCCCTAATGGATTTAGGGATAAGTGATTTGCGATAAGGAACTACACACAGAATAGTTATAATTGGATCAATTATCGTGGGTAAACACGTTAATGGAGTTTGAAAATATTGTTGAAACTCAGAGTCAGCTCCTGAAATGTGTAGGTTCAAAAACTTGGAACTTTTTTCTGGTCCTGCTGGTGAAAAATCATTTCAGTATTTCGACTTACCTGTTAAAAGGCAATAAAAATATAAACCATAAGAGGGAAAAGAACAAATCAATGGAAAAATAGTTTGTATAGTCATTCCTCTCAAAAAACATCTAGTTTCTCTCAAAGTTTTGGATGAAACATGGTTTTTCAAAATATTTTTGACTCTTTTGTACATTGGAATAGTTATTATTGGGATGCCGATGGTTGTAATCAAAATGCAAGACAAGTTTAACATATTAGGAAGAGTGTTCAATTTTAAAAATGCAATTGTTATTCCATTTTCAATATCAGGAGCATAGTTATAGGTATCGAAATGTGTATCAGAAGTATCTCGAATCACAATTAAAATGGATGAAACCTGAGATATTTTCATGTTGAGAGGTTTTGAATAACAAACATCTTACCAGTGAAATGAGAGTTGGAATATAGAAAATCAGAAAACCGCGAATAGTTGACATAGTTTGATAGTTAATCATTGAATGGAAAGTTGAAAATTTGAAGTAGAAAATATAGAAAATCGAAGTTGATGCAGCAACTCCAACAACTTGATGTAACATGAAAATAAAATAACAAAATTTGGAATTGAAAAAACGACATAAACCATAACAACGAACTTCCATTGGTATTTTGGATGCAATTATTCTAGTTTGTAAAAAACTTGTTAGAATTGCTAAGGTTAGTTGGAAGATTGATGTTTTTAAAAGAAAATACTTCATTAATCTGAAGGATTTTGGTGATTTTCGCATAATTAGGTAGATCAGAAAAGAGTGGAGAATAACTGCCAAAATAAAATAGAAAATGTAGAATAGAAACTGATAATCTCGCATATCCATTATGAGAAACAAATAAATACTCACGATTATTATTTTTCAGAACAAAATGAATAAATATCTCGTGATAAGTATTCCCTCTGGGTTTATTAGTAATTCGGATTCGAGTGAAAAACAAAATGTCAAACTCAGGTATGACTAACTTTTTTTTAATCATGAATGTAATCAATTTTTTATGTCATTGAAATTTATAAAAAGTGCATTCTCAAAAATAAGTTTCATATATTACATTTTTATTGAAGTTGGATTTTTTGAATCTTGTTTGATTTTGGAACATTTGAAAAAAGATTGAAGATAATTTCTATAAGGTATTATATAATAAACAGTTACGAGTGGATCAATTATAACAGGAAGACAAACAACTGGGGTTAGAAAATATTGTTGAAGTTCATGTTCGGAAGCTGAAATGAACATTTTTACTTGAAAAAAATTAATAACACTAATTTTCTAAACCTGTCAAAATACAATAGTAGTAGAACGAAAACCCTGGTATATAAAAAATCAAAGGACATAATGCTTGAATAGCCAATCCTTTGAGAAAACTTGCAGTTTGTGTTATTGTTTTTGCTGATCCTTTCAATTTCACTAATTTTCGTATTTTTGAACCCATAATTAATGATAATATTGGTGCACCGAATGTTGTTAATGCAATACAAGCAAAGTTCAACTTATTTGGTAAGGCATTCAATTTCAAAAATGCAATTGTGATTCCATCTACAGTATCATTAGAATTCTGGAGTTCACCTGAATCGCGCAAAACAATAATTGTAGAAAGAACCTGAATTTCAATGAAATAAACTTCTAATCTCGGTATTTTTTAACTTACAAAAGATGAAATTACGAGAGAATGAAAAACAAGAAATCTCCATAAAATAGAAGAATTACTAAATACAAAAAACGATTTGAAAGTTATAAATTTGTAATAAAACATAAAACAAATTGATGTCGCAGCTGCAACTCCAACAACTTGATGTAACATATAAATAAAATAACAAAAATGTGAATTGAAATATCGACATAAACCATAACTTCGAATTTCAACTGGTGAAATATGAGCAATTATTCTATTTTGTAAAAAAGATATCAAGAGTCCTAAACAAAGTTGATTGATCGATGTTTGCAATAAAAAATATTTCATTAATTTAAAACTTTTTGGAGATTTGAATAATATCAGAAAAATTAGAAATCCCTGGAAGATTAATGTGAATACAAAATATATCAGATAAAATATGGATTGAGCATCTCGCATGTTCATTTTTCACTGAAAAATCGTGTGCAAAAGAGTTTTTGGAGGAAATGATGATTATAGGTTTTGATGTCTGATAACATGTGTAATGTCAATTAATTGCATTTGTCTATACAGATCACGGGAAAAAAGTCATCGTGATCTTTATGAGATTTTCGTACTTCTCACAATTTGAAAAACTTGGGTCAATGAGGAATTACGAGATTCTGAAAATATTCTACAATATCGTCTCAATCATGTCTTTCATAATACTCACTTTCAGATGAATCTGTTTTTCTAAATTTTCTTGTAATATATTTTCGATAAGGAACTATAAAATAAAAATTGAATATTGGGTCAATTACAATTGGTAGACACATCAGTGGAAGCATAAAATATTCAAGGAAATCACTCTGATAATCTAGGAAATCAAAAATTGATTACAAGTGGAATAATTTTACCATTAAACTTACTTGTTAAAACACTAAAATAATAAAAAGACATGAATGGTAAATATATGGATAATGGTAGAATCGACTGAAATGTCAAGCCTTTTACAAAACTCTTAGTTTGTTCCAAAGTTCTTTGAGACATTCCACCAGAAACAGCTCGTTTGATTTTCTCGCGATAAATTAGACAGAACACAGGTGAACCTATTGTGGTTATCGAAATATAAATTAAATTCACAAAGTTTGGAATAGTGTTCAATTTCATATATCCAATCACAATATAACTTGGATCTTTCGATAAATTTTGGTATGTTTCAAATTCACTATGATCACGAACAATTATCACAATTGAGCAAATCTAGGAAAAAAATCGATTTTCTCGGAAATTTCAGACTTTATGACTCACAACTGAAATCACGGATGGTGTGAAAAATATTAAAAGTGCTCGAAAATATCCCTGATAATTTCCAAAAGTTAACGATTTCATACTTTGATATTTGTAGTAAAATGTAAAACAAATCGAAGTAGTCGAAGCCCCATTAAAAATCTGACAAATTGTTTCTCGGAAACATAATTATAAAGAATGAAGTAAAGTGTACCTGATGTAACAAGTGTAAGAAAAAACAAGCTCGGGAGCTTAAATGTCTACAAAGTCCATAGGATCTTAGCTCAACTGGTACTACATTTGTCAATAATCGATTTTGCATAAATGTAACAGCAGCTGCTAATATTATTTGAAAAATTGAAGTTTGAATAAGAATAACTTTTAAAAACTTGAAACTTTTTGGGGATTTGAATAAAATCAAATAGATCAATATTGAATGAAGGAATAATGTAGAAAAAAATAAAGCAGGGAATAAAATATTGGCAGCGGATAGAAAACTCATTCCTCATAGATTTAGAAAAAATCGAATCTAAAGAACTCAAATTATCAAATGAAAATCTATGCAATGAATAATTTTCTTTTTTCCAATTTCAATCATATATGCAAAGCACATATCGAAAAGAAATCTAATTATAAGTAGGTGTAACTCACATTTTTTATCGACGTCTGTTTATTTCCTCGTATTCGCGTATAAAATAAATGGAAAAAATATTATGTGCGAGTGTTTTTCAGGTACATAATAATCATATTTATTTTATTCTCGAGATAGTTAATTATCTTTATTTTTATTTCAATTTTGATCTTTCAACAACAATAAAATATAAACTTAAGTTCAAATAAAAGTGAAGACGTCCTTTTCCTATTCGAAAAATTATATGTTATAGCTAAAGCAGCCCATCAGACTGGAAAGGATAATTCTCAGAAACCAAAAAACTAGGATTTTCTTCATGAAAACTGTGATTAAAACCACATTAAGTTCAAGTTCTTGTGAAAACTCTTGAATCATCATTTGGTTTCTTTTTTATCCATGACGTAATTCGATTTCTGTAGGGAGTTATGAAAAATATTGCGAGAATTGGATCGATTAAAGCTGGTAGACTTGAAATAACTGTCATCATATATTGTTGAAACAATACTTCTTCTTCTAGAAATTTCGAACTACATAATTAAAAAATATTACAATTTTAAACTAACTTGTGATTATACAATAAAGATATAAACTGAAAAGTGGAACATAGAATAATATAGGTAAAATCGCTTGGATTGTTAAACCGGACAAAAATCTTTGACTAATTTGTTGTCTTTTTGAAGAGATTCTTGAATTGATATGTTTCATTATTTGATTTCGGAAATACAAAGATAATGGAGGAAGAACAAATACACTTCCAGAAATTATGATAAAATTAATTGCACTTGGAATTGATTTCAGTTTCAAAACACCAATTTCAATGTAGTCTGTGTATCCAACATTTTTCACCTGATATTCTTGAACTATTTCGGATGGAAGAGATTGATCAAACACCATATATGTTTCACTCAAAATTGATATCATAACAGGAATGTGGAAAAGTGCAAAACTTTTAAGCATGTGTGACGTTGTGAGAAATGTCATTTTTATAATACGGTATTTGAAATAAAAAGTGATAACAATTGACATTCCCCCAGTAAAACTTGTAGTTTGCAATACTTCATACAAAATGAAACAAATATGTGCTGGATAATGTCTACAGTAACCATAACTTCGTAGAACAACAGGAACTTGTGTTGTAATCATTCGATATTGTGAAAAACAGCAGACTGTGCATAGAATAATTTGAACAATTGATGTGTTAATTAAAATAAGACGGATTGATTGAAGTGCTTTTGGTGAATGAAATATTATTAAATATAGAAGAAGAATTTGAACAGTAATTGTTGAGACAAAGAAAATAGGATAGAAAATTGAGAGGATTTTTTGATAAATATCACTTTCATTCATTTTCAAGCTTGCCTCAATTCAAAATAAAACAAAACAAAAATCCACCTGTTTTTTCAAGAAAACATTAAATTTGATTATGTTTTCAGAAATAACAAATCAGTGGTTTTTGCTAACAAATTTAATTACCTGTTCATTTCATTTCCTTATGCAATATTATTATTATTTATACGAAACTTTCCCTTTTTATCATGTTATGTTTCGTAAACTGATAATTATCGAGCAAGTCATAAAACGTGTCCCGAACTTTTTTTGAGAAGATTCAACTTCCGTGAATTGATCGAAAATCGGACCAACGATCATTAAATATTGTGTTCTATAAATTTCTAATCTAGAAACAAGAATCAACCTATGCTTATGAGAGGCTTATCAGTTTCATTCCAGTTGTAAAATGCGAATTCTTTTTTTCTTATTTTTACTTTTCCATTCTTTTCGATCAGATGATTTATCAGATTGTGCAAGTAATGTGCAAAAAGCGACTGGATCACTTATCGGAATAGTTTGTCAACTTATCAAATAATTTCAGACTTATTATATTTTCTTTTAGATTAATGGAAAATGCATCGCTGTTTCGAGAAACACAGTAGCTGCAAAATCTGCGACAGCTTGTAAAACAGTCGGAATAAATCTGACAAAATTATCGATTGATGATTTGCAAGAAAACGAGGACATTCGAAGTAACCTTTCAACTCTTTCGTATTTCTTTCAATCATATCAATTTTCAGTTTTACTTGAAGACAATTTCATAACACAGGCTTATATTGGTTTGAGTACAGATGGAAGTGGAACATGGAGTTGGGAGAATTCCGACACTTCAGATTTTCGAAATTGGGATACTCCTCCAGTTATTGTTAGCACTACAACTTCAATACCAGTTAGATCAACATGTAAGACTAGATTCCAATCAAAATTCTAGAAAAATAAATGTTTTAGTACCTCCATCATCGCAAAGAAGATCAACAGCAGTTGTGATTGGAATTGATGCCAGTTTATTCTCAACAACTTCATGGACTTTTGCGGTAAGTTCACCGCAACATTAAAAACTTTTGCTATCAGTTGTCTAAAAAATTAATACCATCTTATCGCCTCTTCCCACACATAATGACTAAACTACAAATTCTTTCTAGCAAATTGATTTCGCAACTTCTCTTGCTGATTATATCTCACCTCGCGGACCATCGGAATTTGCTATCTTCGCTTATGGTTGCACTCAAATATCGCCATACATTGTTCAATTTCCAAACTTTGTTTCAACTTATGAAGATGTTCTCAAAATGATATCAAATCTCAATGAAACTATTTTACATGATTGTGTTCGAGAAAATCCTTTAGATTTTTCAACAATGTTCAATTATCAACAATGGACATATTTCAATCGATATAATACTTCACCAAGACCTTTCAAATCCACATATATTTCAATGATTTATTTCAGCTCTTCTTCGTAGGTTTTTTTCCAAAATTATTTTATTCTTTGAGAACATAAAACATAAATGTTCCAGAGATTCTAACAATATTAACAACGCGAAGAAACTGTATACAATGCCAGACAGTAGTGTTATCACAATCAGTGTTGGAAATCAAGCAACAAGTATTTCTCAACTATCACTTCCAGCTGTAACAAATTGGATCAGAGTAACAACATCTGATGAAATTCGAGATTTAGTTCCGACAATCGATAACATTATATTCGGAACAGGAGCAGAATCATCTTCAGATTCCAAAGTTCTCGCGACAGCAACTGATTGTGCATTTATGAATTCGGAGGATGGAAAATGGTATCCAAATGGAAATTGTACTACAAAATTAAGAATGTTATGCGAATATATTCTGACTCCAAGAGAACCTGCTACTACAAAAACTCCGACTGATAGTTGGAGTGATCCATGTTATACAGAATCAACGAATTTCAAATATTATCCAACATTGGCAAACTCCAAGTGTTATAAGGTATACTAATCGAAAAATTTTACAATAAACAATCTATTACTTTAGGTTTCTTCAGTGCAGCAAAATTTCGCAACATCAACTAACTTATGTTTGGGAAATTCAGAAACGTATAAAATTGAGCCAATATTGACATCAATTTTGAATCAACAAGAAGATACTCAATTGAATGATTTGGTGAAGGATTCAACTGATGGAATGTTCTGGATAGGTTTGAGACGAGATCCGGACAACTCAGAAAATTGGAAGTTTTTGAACGGCGATCCAGTGACCTACAGTAATTGGAGAGATGGTTATCCAAAAACAGCGGATGGTTGTGATTGTGTTGCTTATGTTTCTGTTGATCAAAAATGGATAAATACAGATTGCAACAAAAAACTGTTTTCGATATGTTCATTCGAATTTAATGCGACCATTTATCAATGAAAATGGGGGTCGGGACATTATGTTTTACGGCACAGGTGTGATAAAACATGACATTCTTTATTTTTTGTCAGCTTATCAATGAAATATTTATTCTCTCTTCTGGTAATTTTTTATTCGTATTTATTTTTATTTATTGCTTCCGATGATCCATGTTCAGGTTTTATTTATCCTGCAACAGCTAAAAGTTTCGGATTGGTAAGCATCTAATTACAGTATACATAGACTTCATTTTTCAAAAGAAAGTCATTTAAAGATTGGTGGTAAATGTATATTTGTTTCAACTAGCACTTTAAATCCACTTTCAACATGTGGTCATCTGGGAAATACTCCCTTTACTACGTTATCAATTGATTCAAACGCGGATAACACTTTGATCTCAAGTAAGTTGAAAGATTTTAGAAAATGAGTAGATGAAACTTTAAATTTGTAGAAGCACTGGTAGCTGCTGGTGTACAAAATGCTGCAATTGGTTACACTGGAAAAGGAGATATTTGGAAATGGGATAATGGAGATCCAACAACTTATTCGAATTGGAGTAAGTCAGATTAGTGTTGAGAGAAATCTATTTCGAGTTTTCAGAAGATAATCCAAATCAAGTGCATACAACACCCACACCATTACGATCTACATGTAAGTTTTGAGGCTGCGGTCGAATTCTTGATCTGATTTTTTAATCACCGAGTAACTCGAAAATATATTAACTCAAAAAAAAAATACAGAATCCGCAGATAATCCTTAAAATTTTCAGATTTAGAGGCTCCTAAAACCTAAAACCTTGTAATGCCTTCCAATTTTTGTTCAAAAAATTCTATTCTAGTGATTTCTTCTTCTAAATTTCTCAATATTTCCTAATTCAACTAATTTTTAAAATAAATGCTCAAATTTTAGAATTCTTCTGAAAATACCAAGAAATTGCACTATACATGAGTGCGGTTCGAACCTGGCTCGAAAATTCACTAACCAAATTATTTAACGACTTGACCACGCGTGAACATTTTCCCATTTCGTTTCCAAATTTAAAATTTTGCATCTCACGTTTTTTTTTCAAAATGTTAAAAATTGAAGAGCATTTCATAATTTTTCAAAAACCGAAAAGTTCTAATTTTTTCGATAAAAAACATAATGAAAATATACAGTACCTCCTGCCAATCAACGAAAATCAGTTGCAATCGTTTTTGCTGTCGATGCAACTTTGACATCAGCAAATGCTTTCACATTTGCGGTAAGTCTAATCAACTACATTATGATATCCTGAACAATAATTTTTCAGCAATTAGATTTGATTTCTGAATTAGTTGATTATATGTCCGCGCGAGGACCAACAGAATTCGCAATTTTCGCCTATGGTTGCACAAAACAAGATCCTTTCACAATTCAATATCCATATTTTGAATCGGATTATTTGAAAGTTCAAAAAATGATCGAAGATTTGAAAAATACAATTCTAAATGATTGTATTCGGGTAAATCCACTCGATTTTCCAAGTATGTTCAATGTTCAAGAAAACTTATATTATAATCGATATACAAATTCACCAAGGCCTTTTAATTCCGGATATATTTCGATGGTTTATTTCAGCTCGACCACGTAAGTTTTGGGAAGTGGTTTTCAGAGAAAAAAAGTTTTTTTGAAGAAATGCTACGAATATTGGACAAGCTCGCCTACTTTATCCACTATCAAATTCAAGTGTAATTACAGTAAATGTTGGAAATCGATGTAAGTCACCAGAATTTCTTCATTTAATTTTTGAGAAAAACAATCATAAATATTTCAGCCGCCGATGTTTCATCTTTCACAATTCCATACCGTCAAAATAACATTAAAGTCAATTCAGTTGAGGATATTCAAAATCTACTTCCAACTATCGATTCTATTATTTATGGATCTGGGTCTTCTTCAAGTTCTCAAAACTTTGTCCTGAATTCTAATAGAGTTCTAGCAACGACTGATACGATTTGTAGTTTTATGAATGCTTCTGATGGATTTTGGTATGAAGATTTTGAATGTGCGAAGAGAAATGTTTTGTGTCAATATTTTCTGCCAACACCAGAACCGCCACCAAGAGAAAATCCGAGAAAAGATGTTGTAGATTTGTGAGTCATTAGATATATTTCTAGAAAATACCTACGATTTTTTAGATGTGATTCGGAATATACAAACTACACAATGTTTGATATTCTTGACAATGATAGATGTTACAAACTTTCTGTGCAGAAGAAAACATTCGCTGATTCAGAAACAACATGCATCACAGATGACACATTATTTTTGCATACTTCAAAACTCGCCTCAATTTTAACACGAGATGAACAAATTCAACTGGATAGTTTTGCTGTAAATCAACAACCTGAAGAAGGAATGTTTTGGTTTGGTCTAAAACAAGATCCTAAAAATACATCAAATTGGATTTATATCAATGGAGATCCTGTAAGTTTCACAAATTGGAGAGATGGTTTTCCAAAAATAGCTGATGGTGCAGAATGTGTTGCATACGTGGCAAATGATCAAAAATGGATAAATACGGATTGCGCAAAATCATTATATTCAATTTGTTCGTTTAAATATACTGATTAATATTTTGAAAATTGAATAAAATTCATACCAGTTTTGACAGAAAATATGAAAACGAAGAAGAAAAAACCTATTACTTCACAGAAGTTGGTGATTATGAGGAGGATAATTGAGGAGCAACGGGATTGGATGGAAATACATGAAAATGAATGTAGATCACAATAAAGCACAGAATGAGAATGGAATGATGATAAAATATGATTAGATTCGGGCTTGCATACCACCATTGATACCGATTGTTTCACCAGAAATGTAACTGGCTTCATCAGAAACCTGAAATCCACGAGTTCTCTTTCATCGAAAAATTATGTTTCGGAGATCAAAAACGCCTCATTAATCATATCTTTTTTTCTTCTAATGCACCCGAAAACATTCCTATCGAATGATTTCGTGAAGTGATAAGAACGTCAGCAATAAAATGTCTTCCCCCAAAAAAACTAACCAAAAATGCGACAGCATCCGCGCATTCTTCAGGTTCTCCAAATCGATTTTGTGCAATTTGAGATAACCATTTTTGTTTTTCGGTTTCGTCGGAAAACAAGGCTTGTGAAAAATCGGTTCGAATAATCCCTGAAAAAAAATATCTTGAACTTTTTATCTTTGCAATGAAAGCTTTTATTTGCACAGTGGCTCGTGCTTTTTACAAAATTCGGTTGACTTATTTACTAAAAAAAACTTTTTGCGAGGAAAAGCACATGACGAATTGTTCCTCGAGACTTTTTTTGAATGCATTAAACATCTATCATTTGGCTAACTTTTTCGATTCAATGAAAACAGTTGTTTGTTAAATGATAATCAAAGGTCACTTGCCTGGTGCAATTGTGTTAACTCGAATATTTCTACGTGCCAAATTCAAAGCCAATGATTTGCTTAAACCGGTTAATGTTGTTTTCATCACTGAATATGCGCCGATATCGTTCATTGGAGAATAGCCTGAAAAAATGAGATTTTTGGGGGAATCATACATTTTCAACAAAAAATTACCAGCGACAGAAGAAACAAAAACAATATTTCCTCTTCCAGATGCTTCTAAATGTGGAACAGCCTCTTTTGTTAACTCAAATGCTGATTTTACATTTAAATCCAATAATTTGTCCCATTGTGAATCTTCGATACTCAAAAGATCTCCATAATGTGGATTCACCGCTGCGTTTGATACAAGAATATCGAGTTTTGTGAATTTATCCAATGTAAAATCGATTAACCGTGTTCGATCCTCTTTTTTACCAACATTTGCGGTTGTTCCATGAGCGTCGATATCTTCTAAACGAAGTGCAGCAACGGCTTCCTAAATTCATTAAATGTTTTTTTAAGTAATAAAAAGAATGAAAAGTGACTTACATTAACATTTTTCTCCTTCCGACTGCAAACAACTACTGAAGCTCCAGCGGCTCCCAATTGTTTTGCAATAGCAAATCCGATACCTTTAGTAGAAGCTGTTACAAGAGCAACACGATCAGTCAAAAATTTAGTAGCCATTGCCGATGCCATTTCTCAACAAAAATAATATAAAAAATACCCTTCGTGCCTGAAAAAAAATCATTTTTATAGTTAGTAACGTTGAGATATCTCCACAAAAAACAACAAGGAAAAAAGTGGTGTGTCATTCATGTGAACATTTTGCAGGCCAATCTGGCGGGCAACGATAAGGGCGGTTCGTAGTTGCGGGCACAGAAAGAAAGAGAGAGAAAATAGGAGACGCAGACAGCGGGCGAGTCTGTGGAACTTCATGTGTTTTTCAACGGGGAACGCGTGAAATCCAGACGAAATTCACTTAGTGCTGATAAGTTTTACAAAAATTATTTTTTGTTTTCGTTTTTATTTTTAGAATTTCAAATATACGATGTTTGTAATTTAAAATTTGTTCAATGGTTGAAAAATTCATAATTTTTTGTTATAATGGTGAAAGAACATATAAAATGAGTTATAGAATGTTAACTTTCTATTTTTAGGAAAACGACTTTTTGGAAATTTGTAAAAATTTAAGATTTAGCACATTTTCAGCAAACATTTCGGATAAAAACGATTCAAGATGTTTTTCTACACGAAAATTAGTAGTTCTAAATCCAGAAAAACTTTCGAAATTCCATCATTTCCCCCCGAAACTCACCACGCTAGCAAGAAAACAAAAAAAACGAGAAATGAAAAAAACCGAAAAAAAAACAAAAATTCGAAAATGTATTTCTGCAAACACACAATGTCACGCACAATTGCACACATAAAAAACGGAGGGAATTTTAATTATTCATTTTTTCAGTTTTTCCAAAAAAGTACTGTAACTATAAATGCAAAACAAAGCGAAATGGAGAAACTACTAGTTGAATTACATAAATCAGATTTACAAAGGCATTGTTGAACGCGTGTTTTGTTATCCCGAACTGTTGTCTCGATACAACCTTCAGTTAAATTGTCTGTTTTTTCCGCGCACCGTTTTTCAACATAATATGTGCTATCCTGAAGAAAAATAAATCATTGAGACTAGACAAAAACAACCGGGAAAAATACCTGGTTTTTTCCTACAATCGATAAACATCCATAATTTGCATTGGAGCAAGTATGATTATTCACAATTCCTTTACATTGCGGTTCTGGACTTGATAGAAATATTCCACATGTGAAACAATTGTACGAATATGTCACCAATGGAAAAATTAGGAGAACCAAAAAACAAATTGGCCTAATCATCTGAAAAAGAGAGTTTTGTTGTTTTTTGTGTCAGCACAACAGCAAAAAAACTTAAAAAAAAGAGAGAGAAAGGAAGAAAAAGAAGAAGCTTATGTAGATACCAAAAAACCCGAAGAGCTCATTTTTCAAAATGTTGCCGGTTTTGGCACATTTCGCGAATAAATTTGTTCTTTTTGTTATTCTTGTTTGGGCATATTAATTTGGAAGGAGGAGGAAAATTTGAGGACACTTGACAAAAATGTTGGTTCACACTACACTAAAATAAAAAATGATGGATGAAGTGAATAGGTTTTTTTTTCCAGAAAAAGAACAAAAAACTATTATTTAAAATGCAAGTGAACCCCTTTTCTGAGCAAAAAAAAGTGCAGACTGACTCTTTTCTCATTCAGTTTTCTTTTAAAGTGCCTCAAATCCGGCCCTCATTACGCATGATTTGATTCTTTTGTTGGTCCAACTTATTCAAAACGTTCTCATTTAAAAATAGCCAAACTTTGCTTTCTTATTTTATTTTATTTCATTTTGAAAAGAAAAATTATTACATACAAATATAAAAGAAATGTTTCACAAAAAGGCAAAGGCGACCAAAAAATAATTGGTTTTGACGGTGGAAAATAGAATAAGTATAGAAGAGGAGAAGAAGAAGGTCCAACCTAAGCAAGTGTAAGGATTAACATTTATTTCGCGACACACATTTCTTGTCCTTATTTCGGTAGAAGCCGTGTTTACACTGACATACGTCGATTACACATTGTTTTGTGCAGAACAACTGAAAGACAAAGGTTAATTAGGAAAAAAAAGAGGGATTAGCATATTTTGAGGTTTGATCAAATTCAAAATAGAGAATGGATCAAATTTCAATTTATGTACCTATTTCGTTCCCAAAAAAATCTAAAAATAGATATACTTACCACCATTCCATCGATACAATTAGGTTCACATGATGTTCCACAAGCTAGAAATTCTTCATTCTCTCCGCATTTCTTCTTATTTGGAGCAGATTCGGTTCCCTGAAGCAGAACCAGAACCACAATTAAAATAATTGAGAACACCAAGAACACTTTCATTTTGAAACAAAATAACAAAGTTATGATCAATACTTGTTACACTATTTCTTTTACTTTTATCATCTAACTTTTTATCGAGAAAAATAAACAGTTTTTTGTTATGAAGGAATTGTGAAACATGTTGAATTACTGTTTGCTGATGAACAAATTGTTGGAGTTGTGACTAGAATTCCAGCAACTGCGGCATTCAGAAAACAAGAAATCGAACCCGCGCAGAGAGAAAGCAAAATGAATTGAGATATTCTAGATTTCCTGAGTGGTGCGAGTCCACCAATTATTTCGATTTGAATTCCAGTTGATCCAAAGTTCGAGAAACCGCAAAGTGCGTATGTGGCAATTAGGACCGATTTTGGGTGGAGTTCATTGGTTTTTTGAAGTTCACCCAAGTTTTTGTAGGCAACAAATTCATTCACAGCGGTTTTGGTCCCCATCAGTTGAGCAACTCTGAAAAACATTAGATCCTTATGTTTTTCTGAAGTTCTCACTTTAAAGTTTGCTCCACATCAGTGACTCCCATCATATAAGCCAATGGGAAAAACGCATAACCAAATAACATTTGAAATGTCCAACCTTCAAAACCGATAAGTACACCTAGATATTCCATAACTGCATCGAGAAGTGCTAAAAGTGAAATCACAACAACTAAAGATGCTCCAATTGCAAAAACAGATGGAACCATTGCAACTCCGGCAGAACAAATTGTATCGAAGAAAGTTTTCTTCTCACTAAATTATTATTGAAGAATTAATGTGTCTGCAGACAAAATTCAATTGCTTACCCATGTTCTAAATGTAGATCTTCATCTTTCATTTGAGGAATATCTTCTTCAGGAAACATCATCTTCGAACACGCCAAACTCAAAGGCGCCGAAAGAATAGAAGCTGTCAATAAATATTCAGGACATGCTCCAAGTTGCATATATGCTGCGAATACAGTACCACCGGTACACGAAAAACCACTTGTTAAAACCGCAAAAAGTTCGGAATCGGTTAGTTTTGACATATATGGAGCAATAACTAAAGGTGCTTCTGACATTCCAAGAAATGCGCAAGCCCAAACATATAATGATTCGATAGTTGTTGTGCCAATCAAAAGTTTCATGAAGAAACTAGCTTTTGCTAGAGCAACTTGAATTATTCCGAAATGAAATAGGATTGCAACAACTGCAGCAAAGTAGATCAAGGTTTGAAGTGACTGAAATTGAATTCATGAAAACACAGTAATCTGAAAATTTAAAAGATACCGTAAAAATGAATACTGAAGATAAATTGCAGATTTTCGGTGGTTCCGCAATAAATCCATAAACAAACTGTGCACCAACTTGTGCAAAGTCCAATAATCCTACAACTAAATTTGAAACTTGTTGGAAAAACCATCGACCAAGTGGCCATTTAATTATAATCAGAGCCATTAAATAATGCATAATTAAAGCATTTACAACAATATTCCAATTGATTTTTCTTCGATTATTGGATAAAACAATCATGGCGAGTAAGAAAAATGCATAAGCTGAAAGACCTGTGAGACGAGAAAAATCATCGATTGATTGAAATATTGTGAAAGCCAACAGGGCGATAATTATAGACAATTGTATAGATCTGAAATTAAAAAAAAATTGTTCAGAAAATTAGAACTCAATCAGAAACTTACATTGGTACATATTTTCTATTTTTTGAAAATTCACTAATTTTCTGCTCAAAGTTTTCATAGAAAATTTTGAAACTAGAAGTATTCACAAAAATGTTTGCCAGGAAACAGAACCATCCAAATAATGTCACATAAATCAAAGGGCTTGCTTTTTGATAATTATGAATTGCTGCAGCTACTGTAACTTATCTAGGTTTTATGAGTCACTCAAGCAAAGCTCACCCAAATATCCATGAAAGATCAAAACTAAAACAATGTACAAAATATAATCCTTGACCAGTTTTTTGTCAAACCACGTGGTCTGTTTGGAGAACATGACATAAAATGCAAATAACTGCCTTTTTATCAAGGAACAATAAAATATAACTTCAAAAAGGTTACATTTTTTGGGCGGAAAAATGAAACCTTTGTTGATGTTAACAAGAATTTTGCAAAAAAAATTAATTCTGACAAGAATGTATTCCAGAGAAAATGTTGATCGTTCTCTAAAATTTCAAAACCAGACATCTACATATCTTTTCTAAAAACTTTATACAAACAAATAAAAAAAAAATACAGTAACAAGAAAGTTCCTTATGGAATTTCAAAACACGTAGAATTTGAAGTTGGATGACAAATAATTGGAGAACTAACAAGTATTCCAGCAATTGTTGCATTCATAAAACATGCAATCGAACCAGCAATCAAAGCACGTAACATCATATTAGAAATTGCATTTCTTCTATTTGGTGCCATTCCACCAATAAATTCAATCTGCATTCCCATTGAAGAAAAATTAGAGAAACCACAAAGCGCGTATGTTGCGATTAACACAGATTTTGGGTGAAGAATATTATTTTTCTGAAGTTCTCCAAGTTTGTTGTAAGCAACAAATTCATTGACAGCTGTTTTGGTTCCCATCAGTTGAGCAACCCTGGAAATTAGATATTTCAATAAAATAATGACCACATTTTAAACTAACATCAAAGTTTGTTGAACATCATCAGTGACTCCCATAAGGTAGGCAAGTGGGAAAAATGCATAACCAAATAACATTTGAAATGTCCAACCTTCAAAACCGATTAGATCACCAATATAACCCATTACTGTATCGAGAAGTGCTAGAAGTGAAATTATAACAAGAAGAGTTGCACCGATTGCAAAAACAATTGGAACCATTGCACATCCAGCAGAGCAAACCGCATCAAGAAGACTTTTATTTGATCTGAAGAAAAATCGGTTTATTCCAAGTTTCTAATGAAATTTTAACCTGTGAGCAATATGAATATCTTCATCTTTCAATTTGGTTTCTTCAGTTTCCGGAAACATTATCTTCGAACAAGCCAAAGAACATGGTGCTGATAAAATTGAAGCGGTTAGCAAATAAATTGGACATGCTCCCAGAGCAACATAGGCTGCAAAAACAGTTCCGGCAACACATGCAAAACCACTTGTCAAGATTGTACAAAGTTCCGAATCAGTTAGACTAGAAATATATGGGGCAAACATCATTGGAGCTTCTGTCATTCCTAAAAATGTGCATGCCCAAGCATTGACACTTTCAATTGTTGTTGTTCCAATTAAGATTTTCATGAACCATTTGGCTTTGATTAAAACTGTTTGAATAATTTGGAAATGAAAGAGAATTGCAGTAACTGCTCCAAAGTAGATCAATGTTTGAAGTGATGTGAAAATGAAAACTGAACGAAGATTACAAATATTCGGAGGGCTCGCAATAAATCCGAATACAAAAACTGCTCCTTCTTGCGCATATTCAAGAAATCCTACAATTAGTTTTGCAACCTGTTGGAAAAACCATTGTCCAGTTGACCATTGAAGAATAATAATTGCGAGACAATAATGCATAATAAACGCATTTGTAACAATATTCCAATTGATGAGCTTTCGATTATTTGAAAAAATAAACATGAACAGGATAAAAAATACATAGGCAGAAAAACCAGATAATCTCGAAAAATCATTCAATGACATAATAATTGTGAATGCCAACAAAGCGACAATAATGCAAATTTTTATTGATCTGAAAATAAAGAAATGTTGGAATTTGATATTGAAAAAAGCAAGACTTACATTGGAACAAACTTTTTGCGCTGTGCCAAACTATCAAGACGTTTTTCCAAATCATCATAAACTTTTCGAAATTGCGAAGTATTTACAGCCAAGTTCAAAACAAAACAAAACCATAAAAATATAGTTATATAGATCATTGGACTAGCTTTTGTGAAATTGTGAATGGCAGCAGCAACTAAAATTCTGATTCTCAGATTAAAAAGAAACAAAATTGTATTGTAGAACTCACCTAACCATCCATGGTAGACAATTAAAAATGCAAGAAAGGCCCCCAATCCAAAATAAGGTTGGCAAAATTTTACAATTTTTTGGATGAAGTTCATATTGTTTTCCAAACTCTTATTTGTAACTAAAATTTATTTGAAATTTGCAAAACAAGTTGATTTCAAAAGAAAACAAACTCACATTCCATACTTTCTCCAATAATATTTGAAGAAGTTTTTGCATCTTCAACCTTCATCTAATGAACAAAAATTTAGTGTAAGTAAATAAGTAAGAAAACAATGCGAAAAAAAAAGATGAGAAGAAGTTAGTTTTGTGTGAGAAACGAGAAATGATAATTTATGAAGGAAAAAGGAACTAAATGCTTATCATCGACTCATAATTGATTTCCCCAAGCAAAAAAAATAAAAGAATGAAAAAAAAAATCAAATTCTCTCGCATACATTAAAAAAACAATGTTGTTGAACATGTTTGCACTTTTTTATGTTTGTAATAAAATACAACAGAGAAGAAAAAGAAGAATTTTGAAAAAAAAAGAGCAAAAAACATGCTCGATAACGGGGGTTTAAATGACTACTGTAAATGTCAAAGTATTTGAGGAAAAGAATTTTTCTTCTCTTTTCAGATAAGAAAAGAAATACCGGAAATAAAAACTTATAAAGAAACAAGTATCAATCATCTTTTTTTCCGTAGTTTAAAACGAGTTTCTTTCTTGGTTACATTCGATTGTCAAAAATTTTTAAGCGTGACCTAAAATAAAATTACGTGTTCTATTTTTTTTTTCGCAGTCCAGATTTTCGCCACACAACTCGATCATTTCTTTCAATTGTCATTGTACAAAATCAAAGCGTATTCGAATCATCATCTAAAAATTTGAAAAAAATGACAACATCACAAGGAAAAATAGTGTCGGATAGTTGCGAAATGCTTGAAGGAAACTTGGATCGCCCACGAAAATGTGTCGTTATTCATCGACGTAGAATGGCGGATGATTTGGAGAAAATTGAATTGAGATATGTCGCCTATAATCGTGTTGACAAAGGAGAGCAGACAACGGTAGGAGATATCAATTGTTAATCAAAAAATTCTAAATTTTTAGGCTTTTGATGTGATGGCTGATGCTGCAAAATACATGAAAGAACAAGCAAATGAAGTTAATTACAAAGAAGTTGGCTATAACTCGTGTACCAGTCAAGCTACAAACCAAGTCACATTCCCTGAATCGAAACAACAAAAGAAGCTTCGCCTTTGTCTTCCAGTTCTCAATGTTTGTCTAGTTGTTTCCTGTTTTCATTTTCAAATTTCTGAATTTTCAGAATATTCGTGCTCGCTTTGAAGCTGCTGAAAATAATGAAAAAGTAGATCATCATACTCGTCGAACCAATGCAACACTTCGTGCACTTTGTGATGAAATTCTTGAAGAAGCCACGTATACTTTGCAAAATGGGACTCCAATCACTGCCGATCTCATGAAGAAAATCCAAAATATTAATGATTTGACGAGAAAAGTGTTGGCACAAGAAAATGAGACAATTGATTCGGAGAGAGATGATAAAGAATTGGCGGTTTCTCAATCGAGCCCATATCATCAACAAAAGTAAATGAAGTTTTGTGTGTGTGAATTTGAGAAATTGTTTGAATATCAAGAATTATCTAGACAAATCATTTTTAAAAGCCTTGAATCTGATTTTTTTTGGTTTTTGCTGAAAAGTATGAGGTTTTGTGGATATTAAGTTAGGTAAGTCCACATAGAGAAATTTGAGTTTGATTTTTTTACAATGGTTTATGGTTATTCGGTTGTTTTTGAAATACCGGGTTACTGCAACTCTAGTTTTATTCATTGAAATATCTGAATTCTTTGAATAACAGGATCATATATTGTTTTTAATCGAGATCAATTCAGCTAAAGTCACGGCTTTTTACGGGGTATATCGAGAGACGCAGAGAAAACGAGAAAATTTCTTGAAAAATATAAATCCAAAACATGAAATTCAAAAAAATTGCATATTATTGAATTAAAAATACGTGAGAAATAAAAAACTAGGTCAAGTGACGTGGATTTAAAAACAGTATAGGTAGCCATGTCGTCAATTGCGATGCGGTTCTGCGTTGCGTGTTGACCTCGATATTTTCCATTGAATTTGCCAAATTTTCATTTCTAAAAACGTGTCGCTCACACGCATCGCAACTGACGACATGGCTACCTATACTGTTTTTAAATCCACGTCACTTGACCTAGTTTTTTATTTCTCACGTGTTTTTAATTCAATAATACCCTTTTACAATTTGTTAGTCTCATAACAAAACAACAACAACGGAACACACAAAATTTTTGAGAGAGTGCAAAACATGCTATTTTTATCAATAGGGCGCACTTCCATTCTTACTTTTATTTTCTTGTTTTTATTTTTCGAAAATGTTTCATTCGCGTATTTTTTGTTGTTTTTTCATGAATTTAAATGGAATTTGTTGTTAAATTCATAATCACCTCTTTTCCTAGTACAAGTAACGTAATTTCAGTTGATTTTCGATTGTTTTATACTAAAACTGGTGCTCAACAAGCTATTTTATGGAAAAATTTTCTTTATTGAATTTTTCTTACTTTTGCTGTTCTTTATATAGATCATTCTGATTTTTCTACATTACAGAAAGATCGTCAGCGCAATGGTGGACGTCCATGGACATATCGATACAATTATTGGAGCGAATTGTTTTTGAAAGATTTTGAATTTCGAGGAAAACTGGAGGAAAAGTGAGTTTTTTGGGAGGTTCTGAGTTTTATGAAAATTACACTAATACATTTTTCGATCTTCAAAGTTTCGTGTTTTTCTCTACGTTTAAGCTACGCCCGCAAATGATGAGGTAGAAACAAATCAGAAATATTATAATTTTCCTGCAAATCTATTCTGACCTCATATATCTTCTCTAGTGATAAAATCTTCATCCCGAATGTCAAACTAAAAAGATTTTCCAGATATAATTTAGAATATGAGAAATGTTTATAACCGGTTTTCTTCACCAAAACACATTTTTCAATAATTTTATTCACAAATTTTCATTTTTTTTAAATACGGTTTAGTGGCACGTTGAAGAGATGATGGAATATTCTCACAAGTCAAATCGTGTTTCTTGAAAACATAACCAACAACTTGCACTACATTTTCACGCAACCTTTCCACATATTCTTTTTGCATAGTTACATGCAGAAACTTCACGTTTTGCCTCATAAGTTTTGCCATAAAATCGGACCATAAATAATTGGGAGAAATCGTTCGATAATGATTCAAAAACGCAATATTTTTTGGGACTACATTAACTTTATAATCGGGTTCCATTCCATAGGCCCAATGTAGAAGTATTGCATTTACTTTGTCTGGTCGAATCATTACTTTAACTGATGTATAAGTTGGATCATGTGTCAAGTTATAATTTGAAGCTTGAATATCATTTGAAACTTCTTCAATATTATTGTATTTTTCGATAGATTCCTCAAATTTCGCTATTCTCCTCATTGAAAATACTGATTCAGCAACATTCTCTCCTAAACTTCTGATATAGGACAAAATAGGTTTTGCTCTAGGTATCAGAAATTCATCATGATCAATATTCAACAGCCATTTTGAATGTTTTCTTGCTCGATAAAAACACTCATGAATCTGAACCATATGTCTCATCATTGCTGCATTTGTATATTCAGTATTTATCATTGATACTTCAGCAAATCCACTTCTCTCATATTCATCTAATATCATTCGAGTCATTCCATCAATTTCAAAAACCGAAAAATAGAACATAGTTGCTCCAATCAATTTGTGATGCTCAACAAATTCAGCGATTTGCATCCACTTCGCATCCATCCCATATAATTGTCCACTACAAACTCCCAATTCATGTTGAGGTTCTTTGAAAAGCCTATGAACAAACGGAATTGGCAATTGAGGCTTCTCATCTTCTGCTAAACTCAAAGAAATGTAACTTGCTCCAACTTTTCGTAAACAATGAACTGATGTCAATGGGAAAAAGAAGGCTTTGTAAATTGAGTCCGGAATCTCAACACGATTGCAATCGAAATATCGACAGTACACAGGAATTCTAAGTATTGATTGGAAAATTTTGATAAAATATAGAATTCAGCTGAAACATACCCAAGTTGAGTTGTCCTTTGTCTGGAAGTTGTCACAACAATTTCATCTTCATATAGAAATGCGGATATTAGTCGAAGTTCGCCATCATCCAAGCCCTCCTGAAAATAGAGTGTGATTTTTTGTCGTTGGTTTAACGACTTTCGAAATATCGTACTTACACTCGATGTTACACCGTATTTTGTTAGTAATTTGAGCTTTTCGATACGTGGAATTTCCCAAGTTGTTTTATTATTCCAAGATTTAATTTTGCATTTTGGAAAATCTTTTTTCTCTTGAATAAACACATCATCAACATAAACAACTTTGTCAGTGAGTTGAAAGAAATCCTTTTTTTGGTTGAAAATATAGATAGTTAGAACAAAAATTATAATAATTATTGGTAAATATATACTGTTGGAACACATTTTTGAAATCTTAATATATCGAAAATGAAAACGTATGAAGAGATTTCCGCCTTGTTGATATTCCGAGAAAATATTGTTTTTACATTGAAATCTTTGTCCTAATATTCTTTTGATTGTTTTCGCAGATGTAGTTTCAGATAAAAGAATATGATCTTCCGTATTATCTTCCCTATTCCGTATTTTTATTCAAATTGTTTGTAGTATTATTCAATATCATAGACGACTAATAATTTACATGAAAAAATTCTCCAAACATTATACGTTAAGGTTAATTTTAAAGATGAAAAGAAGTTTTTAAAAATTAGAATTTACATCACACACTTGGCTATCATATATATTCTACCATTTTTGGATCTTGATATAAGTTATTGTTCAGCTCCTTTTATTAATACATCATCATTAGATCCATTTATTGTTGTGGAATGATTTGAATCTTCATAAATAAATAATAATAATATACTTTTAAAATCAAATTTTGGAATTAGTAGGCGTCCGAACTTTACTGATAAATTCATCAATTTTTCCTTGAATCCTTTCGTCAATATCAAAATAATGTGTTGCTCCTTCAAGTGTAACCAACTCAACATTTTTCGAAGTTAATCTCTTCACCAGTTTAACGGTGTTTTGATGAGGAACTAACTAAAAAATAATTGTTTTAGAAATTTCAAGAGAATAGTTTGTACTTACGTCATCTGCGGTCCCCTGTACTACTGTAATTGGGCATTTGATAGCAATATCTCCTGGTGTTTTTGTTACGCATGTCTAAAATTATTTTGTTCATTATAATTTACAAAACATTATCAGAAACCCACATCCGAATATTCTTGAAAAGCTTCAACTGTTACAAGAGCTGCGTGTCCATTTCTTGATGGTGGATAAACCAGAGAACCTTTCTTTTTCAAAAGTTCCAAAGCTCCAGGAGCTATTGTATTCACAAAATTGAGATCCAAATGAGTTCCAGGGCAAAACATGAATAATCCTAGTATGTTATGAGGCTTTGATTTTGCAATATTTAATGCGCAATGTCCCGCAGCACTTGTTGAAATTATAATCCATTTTTGATTCTCTGAAAATTAAAAAAACGTGTTTTTTCAAGAACAAAAAAACTGACCAATTCTCTCTTCAATATCTTTTCTCCATTCATTTATATTCCAAACATGATCAACTGATCCAGGATTTTTATATAAAAATCTCTCAAAATACACACTATCCTTATAATTCTTCTCGAAAAACGCTTTCAATTGTGTTCCGTGTCGATTATTGATCGATGATCCTAATCCATGACAATACAAAATATTCAGTTTCGATTTTATTGAATTCATATCTGAAGACATATTAAAAAATAGTAAATTTGGAACCGGTTAACAATAAAAACATTTATAAATGAATAACTGATATAAACTACAATGTAGTCAACAAATAAATACTTACAAACATTTTGTGTGGAAAAGATAAAAAAGAGAACACATGTAAAACGAGAAAGAAGAAAAAAGAAAGAAATGACCATTCTGTTTTTCTCTGCGTCTCTCAAAAAGTTCACGCGGCATTTGAGTTTTCAATAAAATCGGATTTTTGGCAATTCAAATGAAACAGAAGAGACAGAACGGTTTATTATTTACTGCTTGTTGATCATCTATTTTCAAGAGAAATTTCATTTTGCCTTGGTTGCGGATCACGATTTCTTATCCAATTCACAATTGCATTGCATGTGATAATGTTAAATAAATCTCTCAAAAATTCTGAAAACTATTTCAACTTAACCGTCAATTTCAAGATAAAAATCTCACGGAAAACAGTATTTCGGAAAGAATCGACACACACAATAACAATGATTCCATCGACCGCGGGATAAAATGAGAGAACTGCAATGAATGGACTTGAATTTATACTTATATCTATATTAAAAAATGGAACGGCAAACATCAATAAAACAGGTACAAAAATGGTGGATGATGGAATTAATGTCTGAAATGTTATATAATCAATCAAATTTCTCGAGAAGTTTATCCGACCTGCAACATAATTGTTGCAAAAAGTTGTTGATTGATTTTTTTGAATTGAGATGAGAAAAGTATCAATTTTCCGTTCATATTTCTTTTAAGCATATATCCACAATAAAATATGATTGAATAATTCAAACAAACTATTAAATTTAGACCCAACATCATAAAAAGTCCATTCAAATGTAAATTTCCATGTGGCTCGAAAACAATTGCAGCGAAATAGGGTACATTTGAAATATTAATTCCGTACACTTTTCTCATTTCTTTGCTATAATCATTTTGTATGCTCTGACCAGACAATGTGATGAATTACCTCAAATAATTATTCGAGAAATCATCCGGATATCCAAAAAACAAACTAAAAACGCTAATAATTGCAATTATGATAAATAGTACAACCCATTTCGAAAAGTTTTTGAACCCAGTAAAATATTTTAAGTTTGTCTTTCTGAAAATAGCGCGTTTGAAAAAATGATTATTTGAAATTTGAAAGCTTACTTGAAAATAACCCAGTATCTATAGATGAACTGAATTGAAAGTAAACTAATCGTCATTGTGTATGAACATGAAAGAAACACTGAAAATTATATAAACTTTTAAGTTTATGTGAAACAGATATGATTTTTGAGTTTATTGACGTTGAAAATACAATTGGTTTTCTTGAAAATATTAAATGTGATATTTTCAAACTATATTCGAACTTACCCATGATAATTCGTGTCACATATTGTGGACAATTGAATAGTCTTTCTAAACTGAAATATAGAAAACAAGAATTGTAATTATGCGTAACCTAGAAAACTCTGATACTTTTGAACCATCTACAATTTTTACCGGTTTAACTAGTGCTTCAAAAAAGGAGAAAATAAATCCCATTGAAGCAAAAATAATAATCAAATATCGATAGCTGCCGAGGTATTTGTTCCTCTCTTGTTGCGCAATGATTATGACTAAAAAGTTCATAAAAAATGTTGAATAGAACCCAACATCGGATATTTGTGAAGATTTCTTCAAAAAATATCGCCAATTCATTTTATGTTTCTCAGTTTTCTGATTATTATTATATTTTTTACGATCGTTAGAGAAAGAAAAAGTTTAACCACGGGGGAATAGCTTATTTCCCTTATTAATCTTTAGTTCTGAGAATTACAGTATACATGCACTTTTCGACTACAAATTGAACAATGACGAAAATACATCTGAACTCTGATAATTATTTTCGAAGAACAAAAAATTCTATTTACGTTTGACACCCATTCTGAATTCCTTAATGAGAATGAGAACCACAAGTCCATCGATAGCTGGATAAAAACCAAGAGCATTGATGAAAATAATTGTAGAGATACTAATGTTCAAGTTGAAAAATGGTAACGTATGAACAACAAGAACTGGTATAAATAATACCACAGATGGGATTGTTATCTGAAAAAACGTATCTCATTAGGAACAAGGTAACAACTGACAGAACCTGAAAATAAAGTGCTCTGATGAATTGTATTTGAATATTTTTTGTTTGTGTTGAGATAAATATCACATTTTCATCCATCGAATGCCATAAATGATAACCATAGTAAAAAATCACTATGTAGTTTGGAAGTATCAAAATTAGAACACCAACAACACACAATGTCCCTTTTAGATTTGTCTCAAAGTTCGAACTGTGCACCAATAATGCAAAATGTTCTATATTTCGAATTTCCAAACCGTAGACTTTCATCATTTCATCACTGCAAATTTATAATATTTCTCATAAGAACTTATTAACGTTGTTGATGACATACTCTAAAAAATCATCGATAAACTCATTTGGCATCCCACAGAAATTGATAACAGTTATCCAAACTAGAAACATTGTGCAACTTGTTCCACCCCATGTTATTAATCCAGTTATACCTTTGAAGTATTTAATTTTCTTTTTATCAAAAACTAGCCAATATCGAAAAACAAATTGAATTGCGATAAGGTGGATTGTTATAAAATATGAGCTGGTGAAAATCACTGAAAACCTATTTAAATTTCTGAAATTAATTTTGAAACATTACACATCAATATTTTTGTTACAATTTTTGGACAACCAAACGGTCTTGATAAACTGAAGTAAACCAACGAAGAATTGTAATTATGCAAAAGCTGGAAATCTTTAAATCTTTATAAAATAACCTGAGTTTTTGAGTTACTGGTTTAACAAAAGCATCTGACGTGGCAAAAAACATTCCCATACACGAAAATGAAATTATCAGATAACCATAGGTTTTGTTAATATTTTTTGAGTAGTTCAGTACAATGTGGATCAAAAATAAATTTATTGAGAAAGTTACTATAAATCCAATAAAAGTGAAGTAGTTGGTAAAATCAATCCAGTAGATACCCATTTTAGTAAATGTTAAATAATCAATTTTCTCAATTTGTATCTAGGGGAGAATTTTGTCAAAGCACTTTTGAGACAATACTATTTCGTATCTAGATGTCTGTTGGCTTAAAATAACTCTTCAAGATCATCCGGATGTTTTTATGATCTCAAAATAAATGTATACCGTACCAACCGTTTCTTCCTATACGTCTTCCGTCAAGTTCTATTTTTGTTCTTGTTTTTCTGAACTTGTACACATTTCTGTATTTTGTACTTGTTTTGAAAGCATTTCTTCTTATATTGAAAAAATTAATTTCCCGATGGACTTTTTACAAAAACAAAAAGGACTATTTTTATTCTATTTATGGTAATGAAAAATAAAAGATCAAGAACACATAATTGAAAACCTTCTGAAGACTTGTTAAACATCCGATAACATTTGTTTGTTCAAGCAACTGGTTGAGTTCTGTTTTTGACGATGATAATTTTATGGTCATAACAGAATATTGTTTTGAGAAAACTTCGAACTCGTCCTGAAAACATTGGAATTGTATTTAGAATGAGAACTTGAAATTACTTATGACAAAGTTTCTGAAAATATCTATGCAGCAAATGACAACAAGACCGTCAGTTGCAGGATAAACTGAGAGACCAGCTAAGACAGGGGATGTGTTTATACTTATATCAAAATCAAAGAATGGTAATGCATAAATAGCAAGTACAGGAAGAAACATCAACACTGTTGGAACCACTATTTGAATAACCAAAGCACGGAATAATTGGTGATTTAACCTTTTGTATTGGGATGAAAACAATATCATTTTTCCGTCCATGTGCAGCTTTAGCATCGTACCACAATAAACAATAACTGCATAGTGTGTGGAAACTATGAAAGCTAAACTTGATAAAAACATCAAACTTCTTATACGAATTTTCTTTCCATCATAAATTATTGCTGCGTAATAAACAACAGTCTCAATATCCATTCCATAAACCCATTTCATTTCTTTTCTATAATTATGAAAATGACAAAAAAGTTTGGTACAAACACACCTCAAATATTCGTCACTGAATTCATCTGGAATCCCAAATTGAGTACATCCACACCAACTCAAGAATATTGATACACTAATGATGACAATAATAAGAAAGTTCTTGGGTCCTTTGAAATATTTCAAGTTTGTCACGCTGAAAATTATTTACTCAAAGCGATAAATGAATCTGTGCAACATACTTGAAAATTGCCAGGTAACGATAAATATATTGAAGCATGAGAAAGTATATTGTGACCGAGTATGAGCTTGTGAAGAGTACTGACATATGTATTAGAAATATACTAACTTTTTAACTTACATAAAATTGCTCTGCTAATAAAACTCGGACAATTGAATGGTTTTGAAATAGTGTAGAATGACAGCGATGAACGGAAATTATGTGTCATCTGAAAAAATTAAAATATTAAAGAAAAATGGAAAAACAATACCGGTTTAGAAAAAACTTCAGCTGTAGACAAAAGTATTCCGACTGATGAAAAACAAATTATCAAATTTTTGTAACTCCCAAGTAATCTAGAAGAGTACTGTTTGGCTATATGAATCACAAGTGAATTTATTATCAGTGTGGCAAAAAAGCCAAAGTTCGAGATTTGCATAGTTAATTCGAGAAGGTATCGAGACTTCATGTTGATATTCTGTACAAATGAAGTCTGTCTATGAAAAAAAGGGAAATTAAATAATATTGACGAGGGTTCTCGAACAACACTTTCACAGTTCATTTGATAGATAGCTTTATTGCGAAAACAAATTAAATTTACGTGGGTTGACCGTTTGATGATATATTATAAATACGATTCCGTTGACAAGTACAGCGATAGTATATTTCTGAAAATATCTAACATGTTCATTGGATTGTGTTATATACAAACTTTTGACAGCTTTTCTGTAGTCAGACAAAATGAACATAACAATAATACTATCGACGGCGGGATAAACAGATAACAAACATACAATTATAGATGCTGGGAAACTGATTTTGATATTTAAAAAGGGAATAATATACATTGTCATCACTGGGAGAAATATTATTAACGTTGGAACAGATATCTGAAAACTATTCAAAATATATTATTTCAAATTAAGCTTTCCTTCACCTGAGCAACAAGGACTGTGAACAATTGTTTCTGAACCACTCGGTTTTTTTCCGAGAATGTATTGAGTTGTTCTGGTATTTTCAATTGAATCACAATTCCACAGAATACTATTATTCCATACAGAATTGAGACAATAATTGCAAGACTTCCCATCATCTTAACACCATTCCAATGAATTGAATTATCTCGTTCCTGAATTTCGAGTAATAAATTATTATTTTTAGTCGTTGAAAACTCACATAAATTATAGCACTGAAATAGGGAATGTCAGAAATTGTCAAATTATAAGAATCCGAAAATTCCTTTGATAAATATAAAAAGGAATATTGATTCCGATCTCCATGATAATAAATAGAAAAACCCCAGAGGAACATAACAAATCCACCAAGTATGAACCAGATTATATTATAGAAACCGGAAAATAAAAATAAAACATTTTCATTGAACAAAGCAAGATATCTGTAGATAAATTGAATTGAAAGCAGATAAACTGTGACTGCATAGGAACTGGTAAATAACACTGGACACTTTAAAATTGAAATTAGAAAAAAAGAAAAACGTGAACTCACGCATAAGCAGCATTGATATTTCTTTCGAACAGTTGAATGGTCTTTCAACCGAGTAGAACGTGAGACTTGCGTCAAAATCGTGAACCATCTGAAAGCATGGAAAAACATCTACAAAAATATTGGACAAGACTCCACTCTTCACATTTTATTTTTCAAATATTTATTCAGCAGAAAACCCAAATTATTATCTCACCGGACGAATTAAAAATTCCGTAAAAGAGAAGAAAATGCCCATTGAGGTAAACAACACAATTAATATCCGATAGCTTCCGTATAAATTATTGGCATGAAACAGAATCAAATAAATGAGGAAAGAATTGACAGTGAGGGTTGAATAAAATCCGATATCAGCAAGAAGATTCGCCTTCTCGTTCCATTTCAGAGCAGACATGTTCTATCTATGATTACAGACATGATTTTCGACGAATAAAAAGAGATTCGATTGTAGTTGTCGAATACAAAAAACACGTACTTTATCCAAGAACATTCGATGCATGACTCGTTCTTTTCTTTATTTGGCTAGTCTCATTGACAGACTGATTTTCGGGAACATATATTGCAATTCTATTAAAGGTCAAAAATCGAAGAGATTTGTGAATATAACTTTGGATAGCATATCGATAATCAGTTATGATATACATAACTGCAATTCCATCAATCGCTGGATAAATTGATAAGGAGCAAAGAAGAAATCCAGTTGGAAAACTAATTTTCAGATTGAAAAACGGTAATATAAACATAGACATAACTGGTAAGAAAATGAGAAATGTTGGAAGTGTTATTTGAACAACTAGAGTTTTAAATAATTGTCGATGAACTCTTTGATTTGTCATTGAAAACTTTTTCATTTTTTCTCCCATTTTCAAATGCATTATAAGTCCACAATAAATGATAATAACATACTGAATAATCACATTTTTCGAAACACTCGCCATTGTTGACACTCCCATCCAATTAATATTCCAATCAAGATCATAGATTATTGCTGCAAAATGTGTTAGTGTTCTCACGTCCACATTGTAGTTTTCCAAAAATTCTAGAAAAATATATGCATTTGAGTTATCATTTTCCACTCCAAGAAAATAAACAGAAGCTGCCCAATCAAACATAAAATATGCCGAAAAAAGAATCCACAAAAATATTTTGCCACCTTTGAAAAATTTGATCCGTTTTTGGCTGAAATTGTATACATATTTCATTTTCTTCCAAAAAAGGCCTTCCCATTTCTTTAAATCATAATTATAACTCACTGAAAAATGGCCCAATATCGATAAATAAACTGAACAGCAATTAATGATATAGTCATTGCATAAGTTCCTGAATACGTCACTAATAATATCTTTGCCAGTTCTTTTGAACAATTAAAAGGTCTGGTAAGACTAAAGAACACAAAACTTGCATTATAATTGTGTGTCATCTGAAAACCCTGATTTGTTTTAAAGGTCATATATTTCAGAAAGTCACTGGTTTTATGAGAAATTCAGCAGATGCAAAAAATATGCAAGCGGAAGAAAATGAAAGAATCAAATATTTGTATGTTCCAAATAAACTTCTTGTGTGTTTCAAAATAATGAAAATTTGTAAAAGATTAATTGAGACTGTTGTAACAAATCCAATTTCAGCAGCAAGAAATGCAATGTCAACCCAAAAAATTGATGACATCTGAAAAAAGTCATTTTCAATAAAAATCATGTTTTCCTTGACTTGACTGAAGAATAAATTCACATCCGACATCAATTATTATTTCCTTTTTTCAAAGAAGAAAAAATAAGCTATGTTCTTTTTACTATTTATATTAACTATATCTACAAATTCAATAAATAATCAACATAAACATCGAGATCACAAATACAAAGAAAAGTACAGAGAAAATGAGGTATTTGAGCTAACTTCTGATGATTGTTTGAACGAGGCACAAGTTATGGATATACTTATAAAAAGGAAAGATTATTCAAAGCATAAATTACCGGGTAAGTAAAAATAGAAATTATATCACAAATTAAATGTCATAGATCAATCTTAGAAACTTTAGAAAATTAAAAATAAATTATAACTATAGTATTGTTTTGTTAGTCCAACTAGAAAAAAATGAGTGAACTTTCGCGGCATGTTTCAGCTGTCAAAAATCAGAAAAATTGCAAGTTCTAGCCTTTGTGTAAAAAAAGTTGTCTAACTTTTCTCCTAATATAATTTTGAAATGAAATATCCAATTAGCAGCAGCACATGTTCGTAACTAACATTTTGCACCAACAAAACAAAAAAACATTTGCAGAAAAAAACGGTGTCACAGTCTACGTTGAATTTTGGATTCAAGAGATCAATTCGATTTCGGAGATGACGAATGATTTTGAATTAGAAATGTATATTAATGAAATGTGGTCTGATCCGAATCTCCAATTTCGTGGACTTGGAGCTTGTAAAGCAAATATGACATTGGATCAACAAACTTTGAAAAAGATATGGACTCCAAATACATGTTTTGTGAATTCGAAATTTGCAGAGATTTATGATTCACCTTTTGAAAATGTGTTTCTGACGTTATTTGAAAATGGAACAGTTTGGGTGAATTATGTAAGTTTTAGAAATAGCTAGATTGTTATCAAAATAGTTTTCAGCGTGTTCATGTAAAAGGTCCGTGTAGTATGGATTTGGAAGATTTTCCAATGGACACACAATCTTGTCGCTTGAATTATCAAAGTTTTTCATATAACAATGAAGAAGTTCGATTGAATTGGAATAATCAACGAATTCCAGTTTTTGCTATCAAGGAAGTGAGTTATCAAATCATTTTAAAAAATGAAGAAAAACCTTATTTTTCTAGATTCGAATTGCTGATTTTTGGCTTCGTGACATACGTCCAACAATGATAAAACGTGAATTCCCCGCTGGATTTTGGGATGAACTTATTGTGACTTTTGTGTTTGAAAGGCGCTACATGTGGTATTTTCTTCAAGCCTATCTTCCCACATTTTTCTCCATTTTCATAAGGTGAGTGAGAGCTTGAAATAATTGCGCGATTAAAGAAAAAAAAAGAATTTTCCAGTTGGTTGGCATTTTCTTTGGGACCACAAGCAATTACACCGCGAACAATGATTGGTGTAAATGCACTTTTATCGATGATATTTCATTTTGGTTCAATTATGAAAAACTTACCGCGAGTTTCGTATGTGAAGGCAATAGGTGAGATTGGGAAATTTGGAAAGGCGGAGACAGATTTTTTTATTCTTCAGGGATTTCTGGACTAGACACAAGAACTTGAAACGCCCTGAAAATACCAAATTCTAGAACTTTTTGTTTACTGCAAAAATAAAATATGAACTGATTTTTGAAAAGTATCACATCATGTTTTTCTAGACTCAAATGTTTTTTTTTTCAAACCAAGAATTGAAAAAAAAGTTAACAAAAGAAGTGTTACTAGAAAACGAAATAATTCAAATGATCATAATTTTGTTATTTACCAAGGAACAAATACAAAATTGTATTTTTTGACAGATGTTTGGATGTTGAGTTCGATGACATTTGTGTTTTTATCTTTGATTGAATTAGCGATTGTGGGTTATAAAATTCATATTCAAAAAGACGATAGTATGATTGAAACAATTGATCGAATTGCAAGATTTCTATTTCCGGCAGCTTTTAGTATTTTTAACGTGAGATCTTTCAAATGTTTTTTTTTGACGTCAAAAAGTATACAAATTTCAGATAATCTATTGGGCGAGATACGGATTCAAAGTTGGCTGATCCGCTCCATTCGACTCCCAGGAATATCATTTACACCAGACAAAAATATATATAGTAGATATTTCTCTCATTTTCGTTTACTTTGCAGATTTTCTCCTTATTTTTTGTGTGTGTTGAATGAAAAATCGCAGGAAATCATATATACATAACCAAGGTTTAGATTTGCACTTTTCAAACAATTTGCCAGATGCATTTCACTATTTTTTCGTTTTTTGTTTTTTTTTTCTCATAATTTTTTTTGTTTTAAACATCAGTGAACAGGAAACAAAATTATTGGGAAAAAATACAAAGAACTTTCAAGAACTGTTAGTTCAGCTGTCGATCGATCTGAAACTTACGATTTTTCATGTTTCACACTTTTTTCGAAAAAAATGTAATGAATACTAGCAGTTAACATATTCGATTTCCTTTTTTCTCCTATTTTGTTCTCGATTTTTTATTATTTCAATTCTTTTCAGTGAACCCTCATAAATTCAGGATTTTTTTCATCTAACATAAACGAAAATTAAAAATGTCAGTTGTTTTCTTGTTGTTTTTTTAACAAAGTGGGATCCGATTTATTTATGTGATTTTTATGTGATGTGACATCAAAAAGAAACTAACTACATGGTTTTTGGTATTTTTCTGATTTTTTTCGTTGGCTGAAAGTTATTATATACTTCAGAAAGTTTGAAAAATAATTGAACTATTTAGATTTTTCAAATTCCATGAGTTTTCAGCCCGAAATTTGTTCTCGCTACCCAATTTTCTTCCATGCTCCATAAGAATTCATATGAAAAATGAAAAGTGAAAACAGTCATAAATTTTTAACAAAGTGGGAACATCGTTTTCCTTCAAGATGTTTCCATATGTGATGTGACATCAAAAAGAAACTAACTACATGGTTTTTGGTATTTTTCTGATTTTTTTCGTTGGCTGAAAGTTATTATATTTTTCAGAAAGAGTTTGAAAAATAATTGAACTATGTTCAGATTTTTGAAATTCCATCAGTTTTCAGCCCAAAATTTGTTCTCGCTTCCCAATTTTCTTCGATGCTCCATAAGGAATTCATATGAAAAATGAAAAGTGAAAACAGTCATAAATTTTTAATGGAACATCGTTTTCCTTCAAGATGTTTCCATATGTTTATGCTTTTAAGAACTCATTTGTTTTAGTTTTTTCGTTTTTTTTCTTCAGCTTACTCTTTTTTTCTGATTCAAAGGTCATCTCTTTGTTTTTTATTTGATTAAAAATTCGTGAAAAATGGGATCAAAACACATCCACACATCAACACATCAAATATCTTCTTCTTCTCGAAAAATGTGTGGAAATCCAAAAGAATACATAATAAATCTTATAAAACAAAAGGTCCTTCTCGTACCCACAGGAAACCAAATGACATGGATAAAAAAATCAAATAAAAAAAAAGAAAAAGAAACACAATTGTCTGACAAGTGAGCATATTTATCTTGTTGTAGATATTGTTGTGTTTATGTGTAACATGATCAATTACATTTATCTTTTTTTTCAAATAAATATAGATTTCGTGAGATTTTTGAGTTTTATTTGAGTCATCAGGTTAGTAGGAATTCAGAAAACCTTTGAAATATTTTTTGTGAACGATTTAAAGTAGTTAGAAAACCTTCAGGTTCCAAAGAAAAAATTTGAAGATCAAAAATATTTTTTCACCTTCGCGTAGAATTTAGTTCAATCCTAAAAAAATCAGTCACGTCTCAAAAAAATACGGGAATAATTTTGGGTAGTAAAACACTATGTGTGAATTATCAAAGCTCCTTTTTTTTTAAAAAAGTAAGTTCACGTAAACTTTATTCAGTTAAATTTCCCCAATTTTTAGGATCTAACTAGATTCAGAAATCTACAGTAACCCATCTCTTTTCTTTTCTCCGGGTCATTTTTCCGCGTCAGCTGGGTCATTGTTATCTTTTATCTCACAAATCATTAACCCTCGCTTTTCATTTTTGTTTCTTTCTATTTTTAAAACCTAGTTACAGTAATCTTTTCAATGATTGCACTTTACTAGTTAGCTAAATAGTTCTATTTAATTATTTGCTCATTTGAATAATAGCTAAATTTTCTTTTTCTGTCTCCCTTTTCATTTTCGAAACCGGGAAAAACGAAACATTTTTCGAATTTTTCATGTCAAACTAATCCTAACTGGGATTTATTCAAACACGTGTACTTTATGTTTTTCGGAAAACAACGAAAACTATAAATTTTTCTCGCGCGCAAGAAAATAAAAAAAACAAATTGTTTTCTTATAGTTAAATGAATTTGGAAGAAGACGAAGATTATGCAAATTTATCCCACGATTTGTTTTTGTCTGTTTTTTTTGTTGTCACTTACTTTTGAAATATTTTTGTTCTATTACTATTTGAAGTGAAGTAAGTATCTCTCAGAGATTCGCTGGCCAGCTCGCCACCAGATCGCTGCGGCCACCTGGAAACCGCATGGCCGCCAGGTCGCCTCGAGTTTTCCGGCCACGTGGCCTGTGTGTTTGAAATTCTGGAAAGCTGGCAAGACAGTGATTTGTACTCAAAACACTGCATTTTCTACTGTTTTTTTCACTTCCTAAGGTTTCAAGTGCTGCGAAAAAAACAGAAAATGAGCCAAATTTTTCGAAAATGCCTCAATTCACAAGTTTTTCAGACATTTTTATGAAAATTCATTTTGACGCGGCGAAGTGGCCACCACATGGTAGCCATGTGGCCGTGACCTAGCCAGAGCCTGGCCACCTTGCCAGCGAAAAAACCGGGCGACATGGTTTCCATGTGGTTCCCAGGTCAGCCAGCCTCCCCACCTGGTGGCGAGCTGGCCAGCGAATCTCTGAGCTGGTAGTGTTTTTTCGATGTGTGAAATTTTCAAAAATATTGAATTTCATTTCATTCTTTTTTGGCGGCGAGACAAAAATTAATTCCGGGGCTTGGACTTTTGATCTATCGAATTTTCTTTTTTGGTGGTTTAATTTTTGAGTTTTAGAGTTCACAATATTTTATAAATGGTTTTGACCATCTGAATCGGGATAACGAAAAAAATTCAGATTTTTAAAAAATTTGTAAGTCTATTGATTTTCCTTTGATCTAGAATCTGTTTTTTTTTAAAATTCATCTAAAAATAGTTACTCATCTTTGATCGATGTCCAAAAATAACCGATTCATAACCATCTTATACTATTTTATCATTCATGTCCTTTCTTTTTTCTCACTAGTCCCATATTTTCCTTATTCAGTCATTTTTGCTATCGTTTACCCCCTCGCTTTACTTATTTTTGTCTATCTATACATTTTTTTTCCAGAATTTCTAGTCTACCATGAAATAGTGGCCGCCGGCAAAATGGTTGGATTTCGAGAAAAAATAAGTGAAGTAAGTGAAACAAACAACAAACTCATTTTTCATTTTCTCCTGGATTAGGAAGTTACTTCTTCTGTCTATTTTTTGTCCGTTGTTAGTTAGAAAAAAGACAGATGAGTCTACTTATTAGGGGATATAAAACAATGTGTCACGTTTTCATTTTCCTCATTTTTGGGTCATTGAAAAGTGCGTAACTTGAGAAGATTATTCGATACGTAACACTTCATTGGAAACTCGATACACTAAAACATTATAAATGATGAAGAATGAAGAATGTGTTGGCATTGGCGCCCCTGAAAAAAATGTGGCCGCGTGGCGCAATGGATAACGCGTCTGCCTACGGAGCAGAAGATTGTAGGTTCGAATCCTGCCGTGGTCGAAATTATTTTTTTCCGGTTTTTGTTTATCTATGCTCCATTATCTACTCTCCTAATCTTAAGAGAATTCTCTTTCTCCTTTTTGTTCGAACCACTAAACCACGCCCACAATTTTCGACATTCCTTTCTGCGCTCTTCTAGATTACCAACTTTTTTTCTCGTTTTTTTCTTCTTGACGAGTTTTTCTAGTATTCATATAATTTTTTTGAAAATTTGGTAACTTATAAGGTGGAGGAATCATGGTGTTTCATACGAGATCGACAAAAGCGTCGAAAAAGAAACTTGATATGGCAAAGGTAGGTGTTTGAAAATTCATGAGACTAACAGAAATCGAAAATTCCTACGTTGCTCATCTAGTATTAATTCTGTGTGCACGTGTGTGTAAATACAAAATTCCCGGAGCAAAAATCAAAATCTTTCTAATTTTTTCTCTCGAAATCAATTCCAAATTCGATTTTGCTACACATTTTCTGTTTCTCGGGGCAAAACAGAGAACATTTGATTCGATTTTTGAAGGACGACAAAATGTGTCAGACAAGGATTTCCGAGAAGACAAAAGGAAAGCGAAAAAAGGTTCAGAAGTTTTAAGCACAAATTGAATTCTTTGGAAAATTGAGAGCGAAAAAGAGAGACTTGTTTTTGCATTGAGTTCGAAAGCTTGAAGAAGCTGCAAACTAAAATTAGGGGCTTTCGAAGAAAAGTTTGATTGAGGAAGAATTCGAGAATAGTCTTTAAACTTAGATAGGAGGTCATACTTTTTCAATTAAATTTGATGAAACAATTTAGGGACTTTTTAAATCGGACCTAATTTTAAGGATGTTTGAATGGGAGTTATCGCTATTTAAAGTACTGAAGTTTGATTCATACATATTCAAAATTGGGCCAAATTCAATATTTGCCAAACCTATAGCCTAAAACATACATATCTGTAACAAAAAGTTCCGGTGATGTCAAAACAACTTGTCATATTGACAAGTTGTAATAAATGTAGTGACCAAGTCCGGGCGAACAAAATGAAATGTGTCACTAAAACCAAACAAATTTTCGCGGAAATCGTGTTCATCAGATTCCCTCGAGGGCGCCAAAGATGACCCTATATCCTATTTTTGGTGGGTAATAGAGAGGGGGAGAGAGAGAACAAAACATGATCGAGTCCCACGAGACTTTTGAATTTTATTTTTTTTTTTGTTTCTCCGTTTTTGCCTGCCTGCCGGAAAGCATTTCTGTGGTGAAAAATAATCTAATAAGCGAAATTTGTGTGGTCACAAGAACAAAGCTTCATTCTCTTCATTTTTTGACAAAAAATAAAACGTCTGGAATAAAGATCGGAAACTGAGATTGAGATGTTTGCACTTTTTCATATTTTCGAAACGAAACAGCCTGGAGCGGTTTGAAGAACGAAAATAAAAATAGAAAATATTTTTCATGTGGACCACAAAAATGAGAGCCACGTTCAACAAGAACATAGTCTGCTCTCATTTTTCTTTCTCTATAAAACGGGTCTCAAGAGATTTTTGAAATAGTGTGAATCATCTTTGGATTAGAAACAAAACACACAAATTTGAATTTGAATTGATTGAAAACTTGAATTTAAGAAAAACTTTCCAAAAATATTGGATAATTTTCTCAAAATCAAAATTAGAAAAATAATTCCGAAACCTATTTTTGTTTATTTTTCAGTTTGCACCATATGCTCTTCACCTGGCAATGGTTGTTGCAGTCGCTGTTTATGTTGTAGGTGGTGCAATTGCAATTCGGAAAATTGAAGCATCTCCAGTCCAAGTTCCGGTAAGAATTAATTTCGAAAATATTATCGAGCCCCATCTTCATTTGAGATATTATTTGTCATTTTACATATTTTTCGTCAATTTCAAAAATCAATCCTTTTCCTTTTTCCGACTCTCTCCAGAGATTAAAAAGATAACACCTTCTCACCAAAAAAATCTTGTAATGTTATCGCCCACTTTTCACTCGAAATCCTCCCCAGGGAAATTCGTTTTTTTGATGCTAACCGCTGGAATTTTTCTCTCAGCTGGACATTCGGGGAAAAATCAGTTGTGGTTTGTTGTTTTTCTAGGATGCGACCGCAATGATGAAAAAACGAAATATTTATGAGGAACCAATTATTTCATGTGAGGATTCTTAAAAATCTGAAACTAAAACTAGAGAGAATTTTTTGCAGTTAAACGAACACAGGATTGTGTGAAATCTGCGATTGAAAAAATTCGAAATTGTACAAATGGTAATCTAACTTTGACACATATTGATAACTGTTATAAAAATGATCTTGTAACGATTGAAAAAATATCGGAGCATCGAAGAGCAATGCAAAAACAAGAAGGTAACTTTTTTGTCTTCTTTTTTTTGGGTTTTCATATTCTCATGAAAATACACTTGGGAATATTGAAAAAGAGGGCAACGACTCATAAAAAGATGATTAACTATCTCAAGTTTTTGATGTTTCTAGAAATGGCAACAAATATTACAAAGTCAAAGGGAGAAATTATTGATGGATATGAATATTGGACACTTATGGATTCAGTTCTCTTTTGTTTCACTGTTATCACAACTATTGGTTACGGTAATGTAGCACCGAAAAGTTTCGAAGGTCGACTTTTTGTAATTTTCTATGGTTTGGTTGGTGTTCCATTTACAATGATGGCAATCGCAAATATTGGAAAATTTCTGGCAACACTTTTGAAAACGTGGACTCGACCATTTTTGATTTGTTGTCGGAGGATCAAAAAACGACTTGTTGAAAAGAAAACGAATGAAATTAAAGAGACTCAAAGACTTATGGAGAAATCGAAGAAAAAGGCGAAGAAAATTGAAGATGATGTTTCTTCGAATGGCGAAGGAGATGAAGATGATGAAGAAGTTGAGGAATCAGAAGGTTGGTGGTTTTTGGTGAACATTTTTGACCTTAGGGTGGGAAACAGAGATAAAAAATTAGATGAAAAAATTAAGAATTACCAATACCAAAAACACCAAGTGAATATGAAGATGATGGGTTGTCTAGTAAGTTTTCACCATGTTTTTTCCATGTTTTTTTCAAATTTTCATTTTCGAATTTTTCTTCAAGCACCCTATGCAATTTTTCACTTTTTGCTATTCAAATCGCTTTTCGAATCCTGAATCTACCAGTTTTTTATTTCAGAAACCGAAACATTTGTGCTATTTTTTGCATTCGTTGTTTATATTGTAATCGGGTCGATTGTGATAGCCGCTTATGAACCAGAAATGGACTTTTTCGAGGCAATTTATTTCAATTTTGTCACGTTGACAACTATTGGATTGGGTGATTTGGTTCCACAGTCAGATACTTATTTGGTGAGTTTTTTTGTTGAGAAGCAAGTTCGAATAAATATTTTTCATATTCAACTACTGCTTTTCAGGCTATAACATTAATATATTGTGCCATTGGTCTTGCTCTGACTACAATTGCAATTGAAATTGCTGCAGATACTTTGAAAAAGTTGCACTATTTCGGAAGAAAAATCGATAACGTGGCAAATGTTCAAGTGTGGTTTGGTGGTCAGAAAATATCAATGAAAGCGCTTGTCAAAAATCTCGGAGATCAATTCAATGTTCCTGTTGAAGAGCTAGAAAAACTGAATCTCGGAAAATTTGTTGATGATGCGATTAAAGTTGAAGCCGGCGAACTGACCACCCTTAGAGTTTGTCTAGATATTTTTGAGCTTTTCTTCTAGACGCTTCTATTTTCAGAATGATCGAGCTTGGATGAATTCGAATTATTGGAGAGCAATTGAAAGTGGATCAATGCATTATGTCGATGATGATGATTTGGTGACACTCGATTCAAATCGTAATTATTATTCAGAGTTTTGATTGGACTTGATGTTGTACATTTTTCTTACTTCTCATTTTTTTATACAAACAACAAAAATACGGGATTTTCTAACCCTTTTTGACTGACAAGTGCAATTATAGAGCATGTTTATTTATATTTGAACAATTTTAATAAATTTAATTTTTGGAATGTTTATTTTTTTTGATGCATGAAATCACCTAAATAACTCACTCGTTTTGCGGTGGTCTTTCACTTTTCACTTACTTACACACTCACTAATACTTTTCCCAATTTTCGCTCACCTCTATCCATTTCAGTGTCTAGTGAATCTCGTCAACTTCTTCTAAAACTGCCACATTCAAGTTCGCGGAACTCACATACCATAACAATTTTGAATGAACCTCTTCTTGAAGAAGAAAACTTGGATGTTGCATTTGCATCAGAAAGTTCAGAAGCGGAAGCGATGCCAATGCCAGATTTCCAAATTATCGATCAACCTGTAAGTTCAAAAATAGTTACCGGAAAAATTGTTTGATTTAGGACACAATGACAGAAGCTGAACTACGAAGAGCTTCAGAATGTCGACAAATGCAACAACTTTTACAAGCTTTTAAGGACTATCAAAACGGTTGGTTTTTATAAGAATCTTGAAATAAAAAAGAAATGTTTGAAAATTTGTAGAAATAAATGCGCAAGATGGGCGATGGAGTGAAGAAGCGAGAAAAAGATATTTGGAATATCAACGAGTATGGAGCAAATTCCGACAATTCAGGAATTCACCACAACAATAATAATATTTGGTGTTTTTTGTTATTGTTTTTTACTTTATCTGTATATACCGGTACTTTGAATAAAACTCTCAAACGAAAAAAAAATCAAATCAAAAGATTAGAAAACATTATTTAAGTATCTAACGTGGCCTACATTATTATTTCAGAAATTCATTTTCGGTTTCAGATTTAACGATTAAATGATTTTCTCATATTTTAGCGGGAACCCAATTTCTGCAAATCAATTTCACCTACAAAGAATTTTATGAGTGGAAATTTTTGCAAAGTTTTTACCGAGCGGTTTGTTATCAGTTCATGGTGGTTCTGGTCAACCTGCAGGTATTTAATGTTGTTTATCACAACTTTATTAAGTATTATTATTTTCTGTTTAACTTCCTATTACTTGCAAGTAAGTTAAGTTCTAGAAAAAGGTTTTTTCTTCGAAAAAAAAAACAAAAATTCAAAAAACAAAAAAGGAAAAATGACCTTGGCCTAGAAAACCAAAGCATTGTCTGCGAGAAATACACGAACATTCATTTTTTTTGTTGTTTTTTGTACGCGTACTTTTTTGCAACCTAAAACTTTAATTATTGAGTGTATTCCAGATGTCGAGTCAATTTGAAAACATTCCCGGAGGCTCTTATCGTTTGAACACAGGTTATTATATTCCTCTTGTTGGGTTTGGAACATACAAAGTTGTTGGAGAGAGTGTGAGTTATTATTCGTTTTTTTTCTGCAAAAAAACTCGATGTTTAGGTTTTGCCAGCAATTGATGCTGCTCTAACTGCTGGATATCGACTTTTTGACACTGCCAAATATTATAAGAATGAGAAGGAAATCGGTGAAGCTTTGAAAGTTCTTCTTCCAAAGCATAATCTAAAAAGATCAGACATTTTCATCACATCGAAAATGTTCCCAACTTTTCCAAATACATTGGAAGCAGCAAAGTTTGATTTTGAAGAAAGTATGAGAGATTTACAAATTGATTATATTGATATGTATCTTGTACATTTCCCAAAACCAAATGCTACTAAAGATGATGACCCAAAAAATCCGGAATATCGTAAAATTGTTTATCAAACTTTGGAAAAATATTATGAAGCTGGACGAGTCCGATCTATTGGTATTTCGAATTACGAAATCCGTCATATCGAGGATCTCAAAACCTATGCCAATATTCAACCAGTTGCAAATCAACTCGAATATCATCCACATTTTGCACGAATTGAATTGAAAAAATATTGCGATGATAACGGAATTTACTTCCAAGTTAGTTTTGTTTTCAAACATTCCCACTTACAACAATCTATTATTCCAGGCATTTTCATCATTGGCTCGACATGAACCAGCTCTCATCGAAGATCCAACTGTTGTTCAACTCGCTGCCAAACACAATACCACTGTTCCTCTTGTTCTTCTCGCTTGGGCACTTTGCCAAGGTGTTGGAATTGTTCCAAAATCTGTAACACCATCAAGAATTGCTGAGAACTTCAAAGTGATTAATATCAAGTTGACAAGTGAAGAGATTGAAAGTTTGCGAAAATTGAATAAAGACCAACATTATATTAGATGTCATGGATGGCTCGTCGAATATTGATAAGAAAATGTGATTTTTTGTTCTTGTTCCATAATTGTGATAAAACTTGCATAATTGTTTTTTGTGAAGAGATCGTTGTGTTGATTTCAGTTTGATTCTTTATATCTCTGAATTTTGAAAATGAGGTGAAAAATAAGAGTTTCAGAATGAGAATTCCGCAGTTTGGATTTGGCACATATAAAATAACAGAAGCTTCTGAAGTTTTGTCGGTTTTGGATGATGCATTAAAAGCTGGATATCGACTTTTTGACACGGCAAAAGTTTATAACAATGAAAAAGAAATCGGAAGCGCGCTTAAGGTAACAAACATCTAATTTTTGAAACCAATTATTTTAATATTCAGATTCTTCTTCCAAAACACAATCTCACACGAGAAGATATTACAATTATTTCCAAACTTCATCCGACTGCTCAGAATACTTTTGATGAAACAATTCGAAGAGTTTATGAATCACTAGATCTACTTCAAACGGAGTAAGTCCCTTTCCCTTACATAGTTTTTTTCAAATTCACATTTTTATTCTTCAGCTACATTGACATTTACCTCATTCATTATCCAAAGCCGAATGAATGTCAAAATGAAGATGAAAACAATGCCGAATATCGTCGTTTGACATATTGTGCACTTGAAAAATGTTTGGGTTCGTTTTCACCTCAAAAAAACAGGTTTTCTCTCTTTTGACCATGAATAATGAGAAAATATTTTAGAGGACGGCAAGATTCGAACAATCGGAGTCTCTAATTATGAAATTCGACATTTGGAAGAAATTCGAGGATTTGCAAAACATCTTCCTGTTTTGAATCAAATCGAATTACATCCACATTTTACGAGAAAAGAATTGCGAGAATATTGTAGATCAAATGGAATAATTGTTCAAGCATTTTCATCGTTGGCGAGACATAATGAGCAACTTTTTGGAAGTGAAATTGTTGGGAAGTTAGCGGAAAAGTATGAAGTTCCTGCCACGGTTAGTTGGTTTAAATTTGGTTTGAGAAATGATCTCAATTGGGCGGAAGGGCTTAACTTCTGATAAAAACTAATGTAATGATTCGGCCATGCTAAAAACGATAAGAGTAACAATTACTATGAACGTTTGTGAGCCTCATTTTGGAACTCCCAGCTTTTCATTTTTATTTTTAATTATTTTTTTTATTTTAATTTTTATTTCGATTCATTTTCAGTCAATAATCCTTGCTTGGGCAACGAATCAAAACATTTTGATAATCCCAAAATCAACAAATTTCAATCGAATGGTTCAAAATCTCAATGTTCCTCAACTTTCAATCCCTGAAATCGAAGCTCTTTCTGAATTAAATATTAACAAGAATTATGTTGGACGCACAACCGGTTGGCTAGTTCAATAAATGAAATCTCTTTCTTTCTTCTCCTTTTTCTCCTTTATTAGTACAACATCACCCGAAAAAATGCCAAAAACTTATCTTATCTTCACATTCTATTCCTCCTCTTCTTCCTCTCTGCCGTTTATGACCTGAATCAATTTCACTTTTTATTAATATTATTATATTTTATTCAGGCATTGTGGAAGAAGAAGAAGGAAAATCACTTTCGATTCGGTCGAAAAGCGCACAGACAAAGAATCGAAAAAGATTAGCATAATTTACACGGACTTTGACCGAAATGGCATTGAAATCTTGGCTTGATGAAAAATGAGTCACACCAGCCAATAAATGCTTTTGTTCGGCAAATTAATTAGATCGGTTCTAATAATTTTTACACTAAAAAAGTTTTCAACTGATTGAGTGAAGATCATTATGAAACTACAAAGAATGACGTATCTTTGAAAATAAATCAGTTGGAACGAGAATTGAGAACAGAAGTGCGAAAAGCTGAAACTAATTCACAGATTCTGAAAAAATAGAGAAATAACACGAAGGATTTTCAAACAGCTCCAAAAAATCTCAAACTTGCCATGGTTTTTTTTTGAGTATGCTAAAAATATTCATGAAGAGGTCACGGTGAACTCTGTTCTCGGAAAAATCCTTTTCTCAACACAGAAATGTTATAATTTCGAAAATGGTTGATCCATAAGCAAATCAAAAACACGAGCCAATACAGACAAGAAATGTGATTTATAAAAAATGGGTCATGTTTATCAGATTTCATCTGATTCCCTAGCTCCTAATACAATTTTCTTGGTTTTTACTCGTGAATTTTTATTCCGTATCAGAGGTACAGTAAAATAAGTCTGGAATTAAACATACCTGTTTCCCTTTCCGTCTAGTAATAAGTAATAATACAAATTTAATTTCTTCGGATTTCAGGCGTTGGCTGAAATCAAGGTCACGTCAAATTTTGGTAATTGTAATTTTTGTTCAGAAAAAAATCAAAATCTAAATTGTGCTCGTCAGTGTTCTTGAGAAACTTTCGAAGGGCGATTAAGTTCCGTTGACAACTTTTTGTGATAAATGGACGTCGCTATCACTCTTCCAGTTTTTCCCTACCGAGATCTGAAACTGGATTTTTCCAGCCAACAATCTTTATCAGACAGAATCCACAAGATGAACAAACTACAAGAAAATTCCGATCATTTGCACTTGTTTCATGGATTGTAGCGCTGAATCTCATTATCTTGCGTAACATTATTCTCATAAATTATACATACACAAATTTCTCATCAAATATCTCTACACAATACTACGTTCCGAGTCGTTTCGTATAGCAATGAAAGAAATGGGCGAAACACACACGCGGAAAAAACCGAAGCTGTATTATCTTACGAAATGAGGTGGGCGGTGCTTTCAGGTTTTTTTCGTACTACAGAAGAAGCCTTGTGCAAGGTCGCCTCGGGCGGACTATAAAAGCTTGACTATTCCTGGTATTCAATATCGTCAATTTCGACAATCACAACTTTCAACATGCAAAAGCTCATCGTTGCCTTCGCTGTCGTTTCAGCTGCCTCAGCTTTCCTCTTCCCATCAGGAGGAGGCGGTGGATGTGGATGCGCGTAAGTTTTTTTTTTCAAACTTTGTTTTTTCTTCAATTTTTCAATTAATAATTCAATTATTATTTGCAGTCCACCACCACCACCACCACCACCATGTGGATGCGGAGGTGGACTCCCACCACTTCCACAACTCCCACCTCTTCAACTTCCACAAATCTCTCTTCCATCCCTCGGAGGAGGTGGATGCGGAGGTCCAGCTCCATGTGCTGCACCAGCTGCCGGATATGCTGCCCCACCCCCACCACCAGCTGGAGGATATGCTGCCCCACCTCCAGCTCCAATCGGAGGATATGCCGCCCCACCACCACCACCAGCTGGATACGCCACCGCTGGACGCAAATAAGCGACGAACATTTTCGACACCAATTTTTAGTTATCCCATCCTTACTTTTATTGTTTGTATATCTGCCTCAACACACATCGAAATGTTCTCATAATTTTATGAAATGATTTTTTGTTATTATTTCAATAAATTGTTTCAACTTCTAATTCTTCTGTTATTGATAATCCGAGTTTAGTGAGAAGAAAAAAAAGAAAATCAAAAAAGGAAACATTACGCAAGAACCTGATCGGTGTCTATATTTGATAATGAAACGAGATTAATGCCGCTAAAACATTTTAAACAGTTTTTTTTGCCGATTTTGCCTTCGTAGCGCCCCGCTTTAGAAGGTGTAATGTTGCGTATCTAACGATTCGAAAACGCAATAAAGATTTATATGTGAAATGTGAAAAATGATATGGAACCGTAGTGTTGTGTGTTCTCCGAAGCTATACGATTTGATTCAGGATTTCTCGAAAAAATGTGTATCGGAAGCGAAGCTTATTTCGTTTCAAGATCAAAATACAAAGTACACACAAAATTACACAGTTTACCTTTCCCTCAAAATAAAGTTTATCAAGATAAAGTTACGCAACATTAAATTCCCCCTTTTCGATTTCACAACACACAACATGAGAAAAAAAAACTGTTTCCAACCTCCCGTGATAATTATCCAACCTGTCTCCCCTCAAGTTTTTTTTCCGACTACAAATGCCAAATATACCAAATCCAAGTTTTTTTCTTTCTTTATTCTTTTTTTTTCCAATGTGATTATCAATAGTGCGTGACAACAAGCTTTTCGGTCAGACAATTGAGGAATTTCGAGGTCAAAACGTTTCACTTATTGATGACGACACAAGCCCTTTTTTTATTTTTCATATTCGAAAATATTTCGTTGAAGCTGAAGCTTATGATGATTGCGAAAGAGAAAAAAATGTGTAAAAATTGATAAGTTCATATAAGTTGTAGTACATATATACATTGTTGAACGTTCAGAAGATTAATGAAGCGAGAAAACGAAGACCGGTATATTATGAAACAAAAAAGAAAAATGGATGAAGATATATTTACGAGTGTGTTAAGTATAATTTAGATGCAATCAGTTTTGAGGTTTCGAGAATAAGAAATTACAGTACCCCAAATTTCGAATGCATTGTTTTCGACTTTCTGGCGAACATGGCTAATAAGGTTGAGCATAAACTTTAGCTTCCAAAATCTACAGTAACCAATAAATTTAAAGGTAGAGTTCGAGATGAAAATAAGTTAGGCTCATTGGAGAGAAAAATTTGCAATTTGTATATTCCTCGATGGGTTTTTCATGAAAATCGGTAATGAAAGAGAAACCAGCGCCAAACTAGCATATTTGCACGAACTTTTATTTTCAAAACAAAAAGTCTGAAAATATTCTTAAAACTCTGCTAGGTGGCAATTTCGTTGAAATTTTTTCTACTTATTTTCAAATGATACAAGTCCTGTTACCATTCCAAAAAAAATGAATTGAAAAATTGTGAAAAAATTCTGACAAATCTGTAAAACCGAGCAGCCAATACGCTCAAAGCTCTACAGTACTTTAATTCTGATTTTATGAGAAATGAGAAATAGATATAAGTTTATAAGTTTGATAATTAATCTAACATGATCACTCTTCTATTTTTGAAAATTTGCAATTCCTGCTCTCTATTTTTTCAAAAATAATGAATTATTCTAACGTTTTCCCAATTTCGGTTCTATCCTGGTATCACGGTCACAAAATTGATTCCCAAACCAAAAATTTGTGAGATATGTCAATTTTATCGGAAATGGTGAATAATTTACAGAAACTAATTTTCGTTCAAAACGAGTGTTAATGAATTGTTTTTTTCGGCCAATAAATGTCGCGAAATTCAATTTTTCCTTAAATCCATAGAATGGCACCTTATTCATTTAATGAAAACACTCCTCAGATATCATGAAACCTCGATGTTTTATGTTTCTTCCCACAATAACAGGAAAGCTTTTGGAACCAATAAAATCACATTCAACTCAAATCAACCGAATATCATATGAATAATAATATAATAATGAATATATGTATCTTCTTCTCCTTCTTGCCCATTTCATCTTGTTTCTCCGTTTTTCATTGAAAATTGGATATTTCGCAAAATTATCTCTCTTTTTTTCCCATCTTTTTGAATAGTTGTTAGACCTGTCCATGTCTGGCAGATATCCTGTCCAGCTTCATCTTTTTTCCCTTCTTCTCCTTTTTTTTTACCTATCCTCCACCCTCGCGTATCATCATCATCGGACCGCCCGTAAAATGTAGCAATTTCTTGTTTCGAATGGCATTTTTGAAATGGGCGGGATTTCGATAATCTTGTATAAAAGAGTCAACGATGCCCCCATAAACCATATCGAATTTCATTTTCGACATCTTCTCTTCTAACTTAATCATGCAAAAGCTCATCATTGCCTTCGCTGTTGTTTCGGCCACTTCGGCCTTCCTCTTCCCATCATCAGGTGGATCTGGATGTGGATGCGCGTAAGTATTTCTTTGAATTTTTTCTCTAATTTTTGAAAATCAACTATTTTTTCAAAATTTGTTGTTTTTCAAATGATATTTTTAAATATATAATTCAATTATTATTTGCAGTCCACCACCACCACCACCACCACCATGTGGATGCGGAGGTGGACTCCAACTCCCACAACTCCCACCTCTTCAACTTCCACAACTCTCTCTTCCATCCCTCGGAGGTGGATGCGGAGGACCAGCTCCATGTGCTGCACCAGCCGCCGCCGGATACGTTGCCCCACCACCAGCTCCAGCTGGAGGATACGCCACTGCCCCAGCTGCCCCAGCCGGAGGATACGCAACTGGACCAGCCCCAATCATCGGAGGAGGATCATACGCCGCCCCACAAGCCCCAATCGGAGCCGGAGCTTCATACGCCGCCCCACAAGCCCCAATCGGAGGAGGTGCCGCTTACGCCGGAGCCCCAGAAGTTGCCCCAGCTGTTGGAGGAGCCTCATACGCCGCAGGACAAGCTGCCCCAGCTGCCTCATACGCCACCAACCAATAAGTGGTTTAATTAATTATATCACTTATTTGTTTGTATATGAGTACCTCAAACATCAGTTGAATTTCTATTATCTCAATAAGTTTATTTGCAATTTCGTTATCTTCTCTAGGATCAATAAATTGTTCCAATCAAATTGTTGTGTTTTGTCTTTCACCTGAGTTTGCTAGACCTGATTTCTCAATTTATTTCACTGATGCAACCACAACTGTAGTTTGTCGATTGCTTCCAATAACGGACAATCCCCATTTGCTCAAGCATACTGTACATAGCTCTGGGTTACATAATATGATCACAGTTCTGTAAAAAAAATTCCTATGGCGGGAGTTTTGGTACATGATTAAAAATTTCTAATTCTTGCCACTCTTTAGTCAAAACTTACCCATCTAACGAATGAATTATAATCCATGGGAGTGTTATAACAAAAAATCGTAGCCAATTATCCTCAATCAATATTGCTACGAAAAAATAAGTCAACAATGCTATCACATATATCGAGCTCTGATAAAACATCTGAAACGAATTACTTGACTCGATTCTATTAATCGTGGTAATTACCTGTTTCAAAAAGCTTTTCTCAATTTTCTGTTTTCTCTTCGACGATTTTTGGTCGATTGTTGATGAAAGCACTTTGTTGCTTTTCCTAACTTTCAGAAAAGTGCAAATATTGAGAAATGTCACACAACAAATCACAATCATATGAAAAACAAAATCAATGTAGAATGTTATGGAAGAACAATCATCATTGTCACTGTATAGAAATACCCAATATTTTTCTTCGTAATACATTTTACATTCTGAGAATAATTTAGAGTTCAATATTATGTGTCATTGAGATCAAATTAAGTATGAAATGACTCACTGAACTCAAAAACGATGACAGCAATAATTGCTAATATAACCCATAGAATAGTGAGAATATAATACGTTTGTTTCGACTTGAAATATTTTGAGAATGTGTGAGGAAAATAAATTGCAGTGAATCGATTTATTGAAATTAATAAATGTGATTCTGTTGCAACATCGTATAAAAGATACAAAACGAAACCACAATGATAAGAATATATTTTCATGATTTGAATATTCCTGGAAACAATTATGTACATATAATTAGAGTTCGAAATTCTAATTAACAAACCAAATTAATGATGGAACCAAGTAAAATAAAGCAAGGGAACAATAAATACCATTAGATAAGGCTTGATTCGCTGAAATAATTCCAAAAGAGCTGTTGAGGGAACTAACTTTTCGGAAGTAAAATAGAACTGAGAAATTTGTCCAAACTCCGATCACAGAAAACTGAAAAAAACTTGATTTCGATACAGGAAATCTATTCAAATTCAATAAAGCCTACCGGAAATAGAATAACTCCAAGAATTCGTTCGTCCGTCATTTGTTATTAGAGAAAAATGAAAATGCTAATTGAATGTAACCAAGGAAAAAAAAGTAGTTCTCTAGGGGTATAATTACGTCTGCTTGCAGAGAAAACCACGTTGTTTGAATTTCTTTTTACGTAACTGCTGTAACTCGGCCCATTACAGTTGTTGATTCCACTGGAAATACCATTTTAAGAAGAATTTTATGAATTTTGGATTCTATGAATTTTCGAAATTCAATGTTGCAAATAAGAGTGACAGCTCTGAAAAAAAACAAATCTGAAAACTTTTTAGAGATATCAAAAACTGACCCATCACTGGCGTGTACAGTAACCCAAGCAAGCAAAGTGCAACATAATCGAATTGTATCATCTTTCACTTTTGGGCTGATTATGAAATAGGTTATAAGTTCAGTTGTAAAAAGTACACCTTGAAATATTGTTTGACGTAAGAAACTGTTTTCTCGAATTCGTTTTTCAATAAACAATGAATTCAATTGAACTGTTATTTTCCGCTGTTGTGATTTTACACGGTATAATGTGGCAAAATCAATTATAACAATACTGATAACTACTGTTATGTATTTGCCAAAATCCAGATAGTATGAAAATAATTGACAAATTTGGGTATTTGTGTAGACAAACATGTGAAGATTGTAATCATAATATACAACACATGGGACTGCATAAAATTATTTCAAGAAAATTCAATTGGAGTTACCTGCATAAATTACGATTACAAATATCAACGAAAGTAATGCAACACAACAACAGAAAATGTAAGTATTTTGTTTGCTGAATATATTTGTATATTGTAGTGGAAAATATACTGCGCAGAAACGATTGCAAGAAATTAGAAAATGAGACATTGTCGACATTTCATAAGCAGTTAATAAGATGAATCCAAAAAATCCAGATGAATTAATCAAAAACTCATTTCCAAAAAATATCATTGGGGAAACATAAGTGAAAAATAAAAAAGAATGGATTCCATCGGCCAATGCTTGATTAAAAGTTAGAATTCCAAAAGAACTATTGAGGTTTGGTATTTTCCTGATGAAAAAGACAACGGACCAGTTGCAAATTACACCAAAAAGTGAAATCTGGGAAATATTTTAAGATAGATAGTGGTGGTAAAATCTAACTCACAACAAAGATGATACTTGCAATTGTGTAGGTGTTGAACATTGTTTTTTATTTTTGATTTTCTGAACAAATTGAATTCTAGATGCTAGACAAAGTTCCTCTGGGACCAATCAGACAAATTAGGCTATATTCAAAGTATTACCGTAACTTGGTTGTTCGAACTCAAAATAATAAAAGTTCATATGTATATGCATTATTTTTATTCGAAGTTCTGGGAAAATTCTCGACAGTAAAAAGATAACATAATACATAATAACAACTTTATAAAAGTCAGAATTTACAAAATACTATTACCAGTTTCTCTCAGCCACGCAACTGTTATTTGAATTAGGATTATGTGAAACTGTAATTAATGCCATTGAATTGACCATAGGTTGAATAATGCTAGGTTTTTTGCAAAATATGTCTTTGAGTTTTTTATTGAGATAATTTCTGAATTCAATGTTACAGTATAAAGTCACCGCCCTGAATAAAATTGCATTAAACAAAAAACTGTTACAATAGCTCTTACCCGTCGCTTGCATGAACAAAAACCCAAGCAAACATTGAACACCAGAATCTGAGAAGATCGTTTTTGGTTAAAGGACAAATGATAAAATATGTGATGAGTTCAGTGACAAAAATCGAGCCTTGAAACAAAGTTTGTCGAAGAAAACTCATTTCGCGAATTCGTTTCTCAATGAACAACGTGTTTATGTTTCTTGCAACTTTGTTTCTTTGAGATCTAACTTTGAAAATTGTGCACAAGTCAATAATCACAATACTGATTACAATCATCATATACTTGACAAAATCTATATAATATGAAAATATTTGACACAGTGGTTCCAAACTGTATATAAACATATATAAATCTTTTTTGTAGTAAAAACGACAGGAAACGGAATATAGAACAGTTGGACAAAGAATTGAGATGATCAAAACTACGAGACATCCATAATATGTTTTTGTTTTGTCGAAAAATATTGTGTATTTTATCGGGAAATAAACAGCACAGAAACGATTACAAGAAATCAAAAAATGTGACATGATTGATAAATCATAGCTGAAAAGAAGAATAAATCCGCAAACACTTGAATATTCCATCATTATTTGATTATCGAAAAATATCATTGGGGAAGCATAAATTAAGAAAAAAAGTGAATGAATTCCATCACCGATTGCTTGATTTGCAGTTAATATTCCAAAAGAACTGTTGAGATTCGGAAGTTTTTTGATGAAAAACACAACAGACCAATTGAAAACAACACCAAGAACTGACCACTGAAAAAGAAAAAATTTCTATTTTCTGAGAAAAAAATCAACTTACACAAATCAGTAGAAGACCGAGAGAGCGTGTATCTAACATTGTTGTTTGATATTTTGAAATGATTTGTACTGACGGTTTTATTTCTATATTGTAGACAGGCCTCTTTGGGAATCCCAATTAACCTCATTTTCAATTTATTTTTAGCAGATTCTGGGAATTGAGCCATACAAAATAGATTACGGTTATGTTGTTTGATCTGCTGCAATGTTGAAGTTTCATCAAAAATTTCCACTTCTTCTTGGATGAAAATATACGGTAATATTTTCATCAATTATTATATTATTCGCTTAACAAAAAACACTAAATTTAGGTTTTAATTAACCGGAACGTTTCTTAATTGATCAGAGAACTCAATATTTTCCAGTTCGTGAATTTGGAAAAAAAGTCAGATTTTATTCTATGTTTCTTTTTTTCTGAAACATCGCAAGATTTAGATTTTTTCGGGATGCACAAACAAAACACAAATGAAAACAAAAACTGATGATTTTTTCGATTTCCAGGAATGCTTCGTTATAATTTATGAATAATTGTCACATGGATACCTGTTGATTGAATTGAATTCAAACCTCCAAGGAATTGGTTGTCAAGTGAAAAAAGAAAGTGTCACAGATTTTGCGACTTATAATCTTTCTTTATCATTCTGTTCTGTCTAATTCACAAAAATGAATTCGACATGCTTGATTATGAATCAACTTTCAAGTTCAATTTCGTTGAAATTTGCATTGTTTCTCAATCTTTCTCTGTGTTTTATCGCGATTCCAACGTTGTTCTGGGCTCTTTCTAAACTATCAACTCTACAATTGCATCATAACACAAAAATTATAATGTCTGCACATTTGTTTGGATTTTTGTTGCATTGTTCTGGTAGAGTAGTTCTTCATTCATTGGACCTTTTTAATTACATATTTCGTGATCCATGTAATATGGTACCATCAATTTATCGATGTTTTGTATTCCGACTTTTTTATAATATTGGTTTGTGGATCACAAATTGCACTGTATTTCCTTTGATGATTGAGAGAAGTATCGCAACTTATCGAAATGGATCTTATGAAAATAGTTCGAAATTGATTGGAATTGGCTGTATTGTTCTTCATTTTATCTTAACTGCTATCCCATTATTGATAGTATATTCGAATTTGCGATTTGAAGGTGTTTTCATGCCTTATTGTCAAGTTATCAAACCCGCATTTCCAACAGTTGCACAACTTAATGGTGTTGTTTCAACAATCGTTCAATTAACATGCCGAATTATTTTCAGTATTCTATTCAGATTGAACCAGGTATTTTCAGTAAAACACAACTCAAAATGCACCTTTTCGTCATTATGTACTCTATAGAATGACAATCAAAATAACATAATTGCAGTTTAGATCTATGAAATGAAATATGAACTTTTCAGAAATGGCGTCAAAAAAGTTTGGAAGCTAATTTGTCTACACGATTCCAGCTTGAACAAAACATCAAGTAAGACACAAACATCACTAAAATATTGAGAAAATCGTTTTTAGCACAATGGAAATTCTCAAAGTTTTCGCAAACTTGACTACTGTAGTTCAAACCTTCCAAACGGGAAGTTTTTTATTACTTCTTCACACATCAAATTACTTTAACTTGACAAATGAGATCTATATTTCTTTGATGGAAAGTGAGTTATACCTACTATTAAAATTGTTTTTTATTGGAAACTGTGATTAATTTTTCAGTAAACGCAATATTTCCATTGTATGGAATTGTGACTGTGGCTATTTTGACAATGAAAATTAAAAAGGTGAAACTTTTTATTGTTTTTTTGAAAAATTTTTCCCAGGTTGCAAATAATTGAGTGGGAACCTTATAATTTCTCATAATTTAGATCCGCCTTCGTGTTCGCAGTATTCTTAAAAATCACGTCAAAACCGACCCAAACATCTATCTCATTAATTTTGATCAACAAATTGGTTCAGTGAAGCCAAAAAAAAGTTTAACATCTAATTTTCTATGAGTCGTTTTCTAGTGTATACTTAAACTTATTATTTAACACTTTTTTTGTCTTCTTGATAAAATATTTTCTGATTTGAAAATGGATAGTTCTCTATGTCAAAATGAAATGTTTCCATTGTCGAAGTCATATTATCTCAAGTTTTCATTAATTTTCAATAGTCTTATTTCAATTTTTACAATTCCTTTGCTCATTTGGACTTCAAAGATGTTATGGACAATGAAATATGCAAAATTATTCCATATTAACTTTAGAATTATAATCCAGATGCACATTTTTGGATTTTTCATTCATTGTTTTGGAAGATTAGTTCTTCATCTTCTCGATTTATACAATTATATTTTTCAAAATGAATTCTGCAATATGGTTCCGAATATTTATAGATGTTTCATATTCCGATTTATGTATAACTCGGGTCTTTATATCACAAATGCTACAGTAATTCCTCTAATAATTGAGAGATTTATAGCGACAAGAAAAAGTCAAAACTATGAGCAAAAAAGTTTGTTCATTGGAGTATGTCTAGCAATTTTTCAATTATTATTAGCTGCAATTCCTTTGTCATTTTTATATGCTAATTTTACTTTTAAAGCAGACATGTTTTATTGCGTGGTAAGTCAAATAATTTGTACGAATTGATCATTGATGTTCCAATTTTGCAGACAGCAAAAGCCTCAAATCCTCTGACGGGACAAATAAGTGGACTTATCGCAATTTCTGCTCAAATATTTAGCAGAATATTTTTCACATATCTTCTACGAATCAATAAAACTGCAAGAAGTCGTGATCAAAAATCATCGCTTTCTCATCGGTTTCAACTCGAGCAAAACTTGAGTTCAATCAATTTTCTCAAAATATTTTCAACATTATCCTCTTGTTATCTTATTTTCCAAAACTCTTGTTTTATAACCCTTCTGCATTTTGCTTCATCAATGCCTTCAGAATATTATTATGCCACTACAGAATGTAAGTTTATTGATGAACTTTAAAACTTTTTGGTTAGAAGTAATTATTGAATTAGAAAAGGCCATGACATTTAGTTCAAATTAGGGGGTTAGGTTAGGTTAATGTTATTGAAGAAAATGCACTTCCTTCTGAAGTTCTGTTCAAAAATATAATATTCCAGTGAATGCCACGTATCCTTTGTATTCGATAGTTACAATTTGTCTAATGTCAATTTATATCCGAAAAAATCGAACAAAAATCAACAATGAACTTTTGGCACACGTTCGAACTGGAAGTGAACACTACTTTTCGCATCTAAAAAGGATTTTGGACAAATAAAAGAGCAAATGAATAAGAGTATGAAAAAAAACATTTTTGCATGTGTTTCTATGTTGTTTCTCATTGAATCCACAAGCTCTCCCTTTTCTCTCGCTCACTTCTTCATTCATTTTGCTTCGTGTTTCGGCCACTTCTCTCGCTCTATTTCTCATCCCTAAATTTTTGCCCCGTCTTCTATTTCTTCCCCCCTTCTTTCGGTTCTTTTTTTATTTTGTTTTCTTTTTTATTTCAGCAGCCAGTGTTTTAAAATGCGCGCGCGCTTTGAATTTGGCATAAAAATTTTATGATTTTTCTTCTTCTCGAGAACATTGATTTTTGCGAACGTCTTCATCGTGTGAACTTATAAAAAGGGTTTGGACATTTAAAAAAGTTTTACCGTAATTTTGAACTTCTAAAAACCTGATGTACTTACTTTGAAACATTATCTAGTTTTCTAGTAATTTTTTGCCACATCATAACTCATTTATCTGTATCAAGAATTTCTGACAAGTATATACCAATACTTAGAACAACCCTTCGTATTAATCTCTTGAGCCGAACTAGACAATATTTGTCACGCGAGATTTAATTTACTTAAAAATTCTAGGAACTGCTTTCAAAAACAACAATATCCCAAAAATCACAAAATTATCAATTAGAAGTTTTTCGGGGAATTAAGTTCTCAGAGATTCGCTGGCCAGCTGGTCACAAGGTGGGGTCGACTGCCCATCTGAAATTGACACGGACAACCACATCGCCCGTATTTTTTGCCAGACGACCTGGTCGCGAGGTGGGTCAGTTCATGCAGACCACCTCGCCCAGGTTGTCCAGCTCGACCCGACCTCGCGTCCAGATCGTCTCGCTTAAGAGAAAAAAAGTCCAAAAAACTTGTGAATCCGAGCATTCTAGAAGAAATTGGCTCATTTTCTGTTTTTTCGCAGCACTTGAAACCTTAGGAAGTGAAAAAACAGTAAAAAATGCACTATTTTGAGTTCTAACCACCGTCTCGCTAGCTTTCCAGGATTTCAAACACACAGGCCACGTGGCCGGAAAACTCAAGGCGACCTGGTGGCCGAATCAAATTCAGCTCGTTTTGAACTTTCCGGCCACCTGGTCTTGATCTAGTGGCGAGCTGGCCAGCGAATCTCTGAGATTTTCAGGTTTTTAAGTATTTGTGAAGTTTGAAAATGTTTTTCTTATTTTCCAAATTTCGAACGTTCACTTTTTCCGAATCATTCCAGGTAGCTTTTTCAGATTTTGATCCAAATTTTATTGTTTCAATTAATTTTTTTCGTATTAATTTTGATCTATCAACTTCAGTAACAAATCTAGAAAGTTTGATTTTAAAAGTTCAGAAAAACAATTTTCAAATTTTTGAAATAATATGATGGTTCCAAATTTTATCAAAAACTTGAGACAACCTCTGAACATTTTAGAACCATGAATCAGAAAAAAATATTTGGAACAATCCCAAAAATCATTCCAATTATTTCTCAAAGTTTTCCAGAGTTCGAACATCATCTGAAAATGTTAGAACTCGAGTTCGTTTTTTTTTTCAGATGTTTTTCAGATAATGTGAAAATCAGCTGCTCTGAGAAATAATTATATAGTCATTATGTATGTTCGAGTAGAGCATTTCTAGATTTATGTTTTAGAAGTTATATACAATCAAAAAAGTGAACAAATGAATTATTTTCGATTCTCATTTTTTTGTTTAAAAATAAATCTCGTCTAATTTTAAAAATAGCTAAATTTGGAGAAAATAATTTTGACAAAAGTTTCCCGCGAACTTTGCACCGGAAATAATCAAATCAGTCTTAGAAGTGGCCCGATTCAGAAGCACCAAATTTTAATCATTGAAAAAACTGTCTAATGTTAACATGGTCCTATTCAGACATCTTGAAAATTAGGTTCATTTCAAAAGTCTAAGGCTTATGAATGTTGTGGTAGATCAAGAATCTGTGTTTAATATTTGATTGAAAGGATTCTCTTCTTCACTATACTATAATTTTGATATTACCTGTCTTTCCCAAACACTTTTCTATAGAGCCACTTTCCTCCCCCTTTTTTTCCAAAAAGTATGTGTTTCGAAAAACATTGTTGTTCCAAAGATTGTGATCTCAGGAAGTCGTTTTTTCATCAATCGTTCAAATATTTATTTTTTGTGTTCTCTCTTCCTATCTTTCTCTCACCATCAATTTCAATTTCAAACCAAAAAACTGCTGCTTCGACGTCTCAGAAGTGCAAATAAACAAAACGAAAATAATTATGTGTGCGTTTGAAAAATGTTTCTGACCATTCATCGATTTTTTCTGCCCTCTTCCTATTTACACAAACTTCAATTAACTTATAATTAAGCTTCTCCTTCTTTTTTCATCACTCAATACTTTTTCAATGTTTCCCCCCATCACCTTCTCTTTTCCCTCTTCTCGCTTATAAATTTTCGTGTCCTTGACCATTTTGGACGTATGCCAAAAAAGAACGACAGAAGAAAAAATGAAAAATATATATGTATGTATGTGTTTACTCACCTTCAAAGAGGCACAGAGACATCGACGTTTCCGACGGTGATGATTTTGATGATGATGATGGTTTTTTGTGTTGTGTTGTTTCGTGAGTGTATAGATATATAGATGTGTGAGTTTATTTGTGTGTGTGTGTTGTGAGTGAATGAGTGTGTTTGTGCCCCCAGCCGATATCGATTATATTTCTTATGGCGAGAAATAAAAAAAAAGAGAAACTTGTTGACCTATTGTTGTTCCATGTGTTCGACGCTTATCTCTTCTCTTGTTCGTTTTGGTATTTAGATCAAAACTGAATTGTTTTTGGTTTTCTAAATAGAGTCAATGCAAATAACAGTACATAGAAACTGAATAAATTATAGAAGAAAACAAAGAAAAACGAAGAATTTCATAATAAGTTCATCACATGACATTTTTCATTGTTCCTTCCCTCCTTGTTTTTTCTTCTTCTTCTTCTTCTTCCAAACAGTTTTTCCGCAACACAATACGTTTTTTCCAGTTTTTGAATTCGAAAATGCCAAAAAAACGAGTACGAAATTTAAATCCGAATCCGGAAAGACCGTGAGTGAAAGAATCCAATAAAATATGGAACAAATTTTTTTCAAATTTTTGTAGAATGATAAACATCAAATTGGAAGATACACACGATGATGAAGCATATGGACTTCAACCAGGAACTGCTCCTATTTCAAATGTTGTTCATCGTCAAAGAAGAAAGGATAATGAACTCAGTCAGCTGATGGTAGGTGATACAAGATATAATTGTGAAGAAACCTTGAACATCTCACAACATTTTTATACTGAAAGAGTACGAGTGTACTTTACTACCGTTATAGAAATTCTGCATTTTTTCAATTACTGATCTTGTGACATAAAAAGCTGATGAATGCCTGAAAATTTTGGAAAAAAATTCATTTTCGGTGAAAAAAAGTGGAAGCAAACTTCTAAAGTAATTTACTGGAAAAACTGACAGTAATACTACTTCCATTTTTTCCAAAAATGAATTTTAATTTTTTTTTCTAGAAAAGCATGAATATGAGATAAGTTCACGTGATAAGTCACCTGTATCGGAAAATCTTCAAAAATTGGACCGATGATTTTTTGGGTCCAATTCGGAACTTTTTTTTTTCAAAAAACCGTTTTCGAAAATTACTGTATTTCCAAGGGAAGAAGAACAATCACTCATTAATATTTATTTATTTGGCAAATTTCCAAGTTTATAATTATTATCTCCAAGGGCTTTAACTGATAAAGGACTAATTTTTGACCATTTAATTAAAAAAATGATTTTCTGAATTTCAGGACAGTCTAACTGGATATTATACTCCGGTAACTGGAAGACGAAGTAGTAAACCTGTCATAATTTATGATGGTGGAACAATTGGAAGTAGCAGTGACGAAGATGATAAAATACGAGTTCGAAAGAAAATTGAAGCAATGAACAAGAAAACACAAGTAAGTTATATTATTTCGAAAAAAACAAACAAACAATAACCTCACTTGACAAATTTTTTGTAACAACGCAACAAAGTTTTGTTCATCTTTCTTCATTTTACCTATTTTTCTCTTTCTCTCACCTTCTCATTTTTTTTAGCAACCCTTATCAGTCGATGTCAATTTGACAATGGACGCGTCCGCCGAAACGTCTGGTATGTTTGTTATTTACTTTTTCATATTTCCAAGAAAAATAACTCATTTTAACAACAGATTCACAGCAATCTTCGAAAATCCAAAAAAATCTGACCGATTCGTTATCACCATACTTTAGTGCTATGAAAGAGAAAAGAAGAACAGTGAAACGCGGTGAATTTTTATCTCTTTCTGGTGTCCGACAAAAGGCCGCAACAACAGGTGGGTGGCCTAGAAAACCGGTGGGAATCTCGTCCCCCGCGAAAAGTATTTTGTGTGTGTTCCCGGATTTTTTTTTCGTGTTGTTGTGTTGTGTTGGTGTTCGTGTGTTCGCGCTTCATCCAATTGATTTTTCTTTTCTCCAACTTTTTCCGCAGTTCGAAGATTATTTTTAGACTTGTCTTCTTCCGAATAAATAATACTATTTTCGTCGATGCTAACAAAAACAACGTTCATGCACACACACAGACACACTTTTGTTTTTCATACGAAAACAACACTCTCTTTTTTTTGCTAACAAAAATAAGCCGAAATTCTTTTTTTTATAGATCATAATTCCGAAGGAGGCGCGACAACCGATTCGACTGTTTCGCCCGTCGTTGTGATGCCAGAACGACGAAAAAATACGGCAGGAATCGGACCAGTTGTCGGCCGACGAAGAACGCAGAATAGCGCAAGTGCTGCGCTTTTCAGCAGTCCAGAAAAAGAGATAAATGAGGATGATGACTCTTTTCAACAACGCGTCAAACGTCCACGAACTCCGAAACAATTATTCTCCCCAAAAGCTGAGCGAAAAATGATGCAATTACAACCAACAACAAGTCAAAATAATGAATTATCGCCTATTTCAAGTGATGGAGAATATTATCAACAATTGAAGGAGAAAAAGAAAATTAGAAAAAAGAAGAGTGAAAAGCTGGGAAGTCGAAAGGATGGAACTCTGATTAGTGGAGGAATTGATGATAAGGAAAATATTGTTGATGATGGTAGTATCACAGTAAGTAATTCATTAATATTTTTGAGATTGTTTCCAAACTTATTCTCAATAATTTTCAGATCAGCAGTGAACAACGTGAAATGTTCGAGAAAATTAGGCGAAAAGTTGCTGCTGAAATCGATTTAGGTGAATCAACCTCTGGACAATATCAAGAAAAAGTTGACAAAGAACCACGTCTTCCTCGAGCTATTCGAATTGGTCGATATCAAATCGATACATGGTATTCGTCTCCATTTCCAATGGAATATATTCATGTGCCTATTTTATATATGTGTGATTTTTGTTTGAAATATGTGAAGACTGAAAATATGATGGTCAATCATTTGAGAAAATGTAAACTTTATCATCCACCGGGTACTGAAATCTATCGTAAAGACAATGTGAGTGTTTTCGAAGTCGATGGAAATTGTGCCAAATCATATTGCCAAAACTTGTGTCTTCTTTCGAAATCATTTCTCGACCATAAAACACTTTTCTATGATGTCGAACCATTTTTATTCTACATTGTCACAAAAAATGATAGCGAAGGATGTCATTTTGTCGGATATTTCAGCAAGGTAAACAATTTTGTTTTATTTTTTCCAAAAACACTTAAATATTTTCAGGAAAAATATAGTCAACAAAAGTTTAACTTATCATGCATAGTCACTTTACCAAGTTATCAAAAGCAAGGTTTCGGTCGATTCCTAATCGATTTCAGTTTTCTCCTATCGAGAACTGAAAAAATGCCCGGAACTCCAGAAAAACCACTGTCCGATTTGGGCAGAATTTCATATGCGAGTTATTGGCGAACTGCTCTTTTTGAATGGATTTATAAGATGGATTTGGCCAAAGATTCGCAATTCTCAATTGAAGGTAATTTTTATTGTTAAAATATTTTCAAAATTAATATGAAACATATTTCGAAATTCCCACACTAACCTCAAGAATGTGTATTTCCAAATCCGTTTTTTTGCGAAATGACGAATTTTCAAAATACTTAAATTATGACATCATTCTTTGGGTCACGCAAATATTATTATTATTCTCATTTCAAAAATTTGCAGATATTTGTGATGCAACTGGAATTGCTAAATTCGATATTGTTGAAGTTTTCGACACTCTTGGCTGGTTCAAAGTTGAAGATGACAATATTGGATTATTTATTGATTATGAATTAGTGAATTCACATTGGGAAAAAGTGAAGAAGGATAAAAGTCGGATTTGGTTAGATGAAAAATGCTTAAAAGTAAGATATTTCTTTTGAAAATTTGAAAATCTAATATGAATAAACAAAAATATCGTGTCAAAATTTATAGAAAAACACGATCATTTGATTTTTGCATTTTTTTACAGCCCTTTGCAGTTTTCTAATGTTAATATAAAATCTATATTTTTTGCAGTGGACGCCTCGAAATTTCTCCCCATCAAAAGATAATTTTCGATCACCACTTCGTTCACCAATCACACCAATGAAAACACCAACATCAGCGACGACCAAAACAAGCACACCAAGTGGAGTTTCGTTAGCTGCTGTTGGGAGTACGATTAAAAGTGTTAGTTGTAATGTTGCATGATTATATGTATTTCATTTTCAATTTTTATTTTTCTTTTTTTTTGTTAAATTTTTAGTTCTGTCCGTTTCTCGTTTTGTGTGTTGCGAGGTTACGCATGACCAAGAAAATATATATATCGAAAATGTATGAAGATTGGTTTTTACAGGGAGTTTCGACAAGTCGTCGAGCACCTGTTGGAAGAAATCTGAAACAAAAATTTGAAGAGGAGAAGAGAGAGATTCTTGGTAAGTTTTTGGAAGAAAGCTTAAATAATTCCTAAATTAAATAATTATTCAGAAGATTCAACGAATAGTGAGAGTGAAAGTTCAGACGAAGAGGATGAGAAGTTTCGGAATCGCCGAAAAACATGGTGCAAAGGTAATTCAATATTTTTAACAAGAATTATTTCAATTCAAAGTTAATTTTTTGTAGAATCGATCAACAGGAAAACACGTAAACGCGATGATTCTCCGGAAGATGATACACCAAAAAGAGGAAGAAAAGATACAGGAACATCATCGAAAAAAGGAGAAGAAAAACGACGAAATACGTTGAATGGTAACAGTGGAAATATCAATGGAGATTCGAGATCAAAGAAAAATCAGCGAGGAGGAAAAATGATATTTGAAGATTCGAGTGATAAAAGTAACTCTTCGAGCACTAGTTCCGTCGAATCTTCTGATGAGGATGCTGTTTATACAACTGGAAAACCACAAAAAGGAAAAACATCAAGACCTCAAAAAAATCAGCGCAAAAAACATGTTCCACCTCAAAAAGGTGGAAATAGAACTCAGAATCAAAAACCAATCCATAATCCTGGCAAAGTTTTTCCAAACAATTGTGCAAAACAATCAGCTTGTGAATCAACAAAAATTAAAAATGATCCGATAATTGAAGGAGCATCTGAAACAAATATCGGAGAAAAGCTAGAGAAAACTGAAAATGAGCAAGAAGCTGAAGAAGTTGCTGGTGCGGCTGTAACTGTGAATGATACTGGACCTTCTCATCAAGGAAATTATGAAGAAGATGAGAAAGATTCGACATTTATTGTTCATCCAAGTACAACAACAACAACTACAGATGATAGTGATAATAGTGGAGGAGAAAGTGATGAAGAGAAAAAACGAGATTGTCAAATTGACACTAGATTTGATCGAATGACACCACTTTCAACAACAACTGATAATTCAGCAATAAGTAGTCGAGCTGAAACACCAAGACCAATTGGAGATCAACCAATTGGAGATGATATGATTAATATGGGCTTCGAGCCAGATGATGATGATCAGACATCTCGATTTGGTGCGCCTGAAGAAAACGATGGTCCACCAGCACTCGATCTTTGTCCAGCTGCGCCACTTCCAATTGGAGATGATGATAATCCACCAATGTTGAATATTGTTCCGGAAAATCAACAAAGAAATTCACTTTCTCTCGATGTTTCACATTCGATTCAAGAGCCCGACGGATATTCAACAGAAGACGAAGCTCCACCACAATTATCACCAAATTTCGGAAAAACCGAGCAAGATGAGTTGAGTGAAAAAGAGAAGATGTTGGAGGCGATGGATCGACCACCAATGGCTCCGGTTGCGGCTGGAATTGAGATTGATGAGGACGAAAAATTGTATCAACAACATAGTGCAAATGCACAAGTTGGAATTGGTTAGTTTAATTTTTTTTTTCGAAATAATTTTCACGTGACTAACCTTTCACGTTAATTTTGTTTTTTTTTTCATTTTAAAAATTGAATATTTTATTTTTTAGGATCTGTTGGAGCACCTGGTTCGAATCAAATGATGATGCAACCACCGATGTCGAACAACATGATGACACCAACTTCGCAACATCCATATTCTCAAGGACCTGGGTAAGTAGTGGGATGGTTTTTAGAAATATAAATCTAGATAACTTAGAGCTTCTTCTGAACTTTGACAAATTAATTTCCAAGTTCTGACCTTCAAAATTGGTATTTTTCGTTTAGATTTTGGCAGTACCAAATTAATTCCGACCAATTTTTTAAAATTTTTCAAAAAATTATCTTTTCTAAACAGTTTTTTTTTAAATATAATGAGATTCAGGGGAAAATATAAGAAACTGAATTTTTAAAAAATAATAATTTGGTCCCTGCCTGGTTCACCAAATATCATACATAAAATGGGTCCCCAGAATCGGGGTGAGGGGCTTAACTTTTTTCAAAAATCTGAAGGGAAGGGTGCCTAACTTAGCCAATTTTCTGCTGATAATTTACCAAAATTCCCAGATTTGTCCAAAATTCGCTCAAAAATGTGAGGAAGGTGTATACCTTTGGAAAATTTTCAAGAAGGATCTCTAACTTTGAAAACTGACGCAGGGGACCTATTTTATGTATGCCAAATATTTTTTCTAAGTTTTCTCATTTTTCAGATCGATGCAACAAGCAACGCCTGGAAGTGGCGGGGTTCCATCGTGCAATCCAATGTACAATCAAAGTACACCCGAACAACAATCTCAACAAAATCAACAAACATTCATGAGTCCATCAATGCAAGGAATGCCCTCTTCAGTCTCATCAGTTCATTCGGTTCATAATTCTTCGATGGAAATGCCTGGACCATCTCAACCTTCGCAAGTTCAACAGGTTCCACAACAACAACAACAACAGTATGTTCAACAAAATGATATGATGCAAAATGGTCCATCAACATCGATGGCACAATTTGGAAGTCCTCAAAATGTGCAGCAACCTGTTTCACAGCCAGTTGTTACGCAACATCAACAGCAACAGGTTCAACAAATTCAGCAACATAGAAATAGCGGAGGAAGAGAATCATCGAGTAGTAGAAAGCAAAGACAGGCTCAACAACAGGCTCAACAACAAGCTCAACATCAGCAACAATTACAGCAGCAACAACATATGCAGCAAATGCAGCAACATATGAATATGCAATTTCATGGTTATCCTCCCGGTTATTCAAATTATCCGTATCCACCATTTGACGCTTTCAATTATCAATATTGGCCAGGTCAAATGTTTCCACAATATTATACTCAACCTGGAAGAATGCCAACAACTACAGCAGCGACAGCAAATCAAGCATGGCCAGCTTATCAAAATGGAGCCGTCGCTGCTCAAGGATCAAATGCGAATCCTACAGGAGCAGTCGCAGCCGCTGGAGTTCCACCCCATCAATTTCCGCCAAATCCAGCTGCTGGACCATTTCCCGGATTTCCGCCCGATCTCTACTCAAATTTTTATATGAAAAATGGATAGATTTATGGAGTTTTTTCGAAAGATAGGGTACTTTTTATCTGGTATTGCAATGTATTTATTTTTCATTGTTTTTTTTTCACTTTAACAGCATATTTTTTCCAGCTTTACCTATTAACCCATTTTTTAATTGAACCAAGTTCCATGTAAATATGATCTCATAAATTATTTTCGGTTTTTTTTCGAAAATTATAATTGATCTTTTTTTTAATGAATTCATTGAAAAGCTGTACTAATAATGAAAAAATGAACAAATAAAGCTGACCTACCAAATCAGGATATATAAAGGTTGCTCGGATCAAATCATCAACAAAAATGTGGAACTTGTTTGTAGTTTGTTTATTCATCTTGTCAACTAGAGTCTCGTCGGATATGTCAACTTGTGCCAGAATGAATGATTATGGAATGGGAAAAATTGCGCAAGGTTTGTGTATTACAAGTTGCAGTGTTCAGAATTGTGGAACTGGTCATTGTGAAAATCGGGAAATTGGAAAACGAAGTGTTCGAGAAAAAAGACAAACTCGACCAACATGTGTTTGTTCGAGATGTGGACTTGGATCTTCGACTAAATTGACTGATTTTATTGGTGCATTTCTTTGAGAAAATTGTTGAATGAAGAAGTTTGTTAGATTTCTCGAAGAAGTTTTGCTTTTGAAAGTTTTTCAAATGAAGTAATTCTGTAGCAAACATTTTGAAACTTCGAAGTTATTCTTTGATTCTTTCTATAGTTCAAACTTTATTCACAACAAATGATTTAGCCTCTGATTTCTTAACCGATGAATTAACCATAGTCACCATTGTTGTTGAATCTTTCCGATTCGCAAAAACTGGATGAGTGAGGTAAAATATCCAAGGAACAATTACAGTTTCACAATCATTTCCGAATGGTCGAATTATCATCATATAATATGTGTAATCAGTGACTGTTAGGTAGACAACCTATGAAAATAAAAATAAATATTCTCAAATTTAAAATTTAGTTAGTTACCGTGAAAATACAATAGGTGAAATATGGCATAATCATTGAAACAATTGTAATAGAAAGTGATAATTCGGCTCTTCGAGATCTCGAACTTTTTGGTTGTCCTTGTTCTTGAGAAGCTATAGCACTTCTCAATTTCACAAATAATGCAAGATTGACCAATAAACATGCAGCCATCCAGAAAACTGTGTTCGCCAAATGAAAAAACGAATTGCGGAATGTACCGTAAGATTGAGCATAATATATTGAAACACTTCCGAATGGATAAGGCGAACCTAATTGTCTACAGTAACCAACTGCTGGAATTAGGAAAAATGTGAAACAAATTGGATAAATTAGAATAAGTGGAATTGTAATTCGTAGAATGATCCCATTGATCTACAAAAAATAGAAGCGTAATTGAAAAATTAGATTATTTGAATAAATACCTGTACGTGCGTATTGGGAAATAATAAAAGTATCAATCTTAAAAGGCATAACAAAAAAGGCAATATCATTGCGGCATAATTGAAATAAAATGTGAAAAAGAATATGAGTTTGAGATATTGATTTGGTTCGATTGTAGAACACCAAGATGTGAAAAGGCGAGTTGCGGGAAGTCGGAGCATCATATAATCAGCTAGAAAATATGCAAAACTCTGGAATTAGTGAGTTGATGGAAGATTTCAAAATGAAGATAATATGGGAACTTACAAGAAATTGCGATAATGATAAGACTAAAAATATATGATTGTTAATTGGTAACTTTTTCGAACTAAAAACTGATTTTAATAAAACACCGAATATTCGACCTATTATAAAAGCTGTTGGAATCATATAAAATAATGGGATTAATGCAATTAAAACAGGCCAAGTTATATAAGTATATTCATAATCTCGATAGGTTTTATTTCCATATACAGCTCCACTTAGTATTGACATCTGTAAAAAAATTGGTGAAAGGTTTCCAAAATGAATTTTAATCCCTATCTAAATTGATTTTTGTTTTTATAGAATGGGTCCGTATTTTCAAAAAAAAAGTTGTCGAATCACAATTTAGGTGTACGATATTTTTCAAATTTTTGTACAGAACGGCCCGCGGAACCGTTTTTTTTTTGGAAACATATTTCGTATTTGAAAAAAATCGTGATTTTTTTCTGCAACTGAAAAAAAAAACTAAAAATAAAAAAAACTACTAGTTCGAAAATGTATGTTTTCGCAGGTAGCACATAGATTGTGTAAATCCAATAAAATGAGTTAGGATATGTGTTTTTTTTCATTTTTTTCCGCCTTACGCAAAAAATTGCCGAAATCAATTTATCAAAAAATAACATGTTTCTGTGACTGAACTATGGATGGAGAAGGTTGTAGTCACGTTTCCGAGAAACTATATTCTACTTATGTTGGATAATGGGATTTGGAAGTTTAGTTTGGAACTTTTTTATCCAATTAGATCCAAAAGTTGCAGAAATTTTTCAACAAGTAAAATTTTTACAACTTCAAAAAATCTGAAATTTAAAATAAATTCTGAAGACTTCCTGATGATTTTTGCTGACACATAAAAACAAAGAGATTTATTCGAAATTGGTATAACTCGATTTTCGAGACCAAAATATAAACCAATTTGATCTTGATGTTGATCTTGTTCTTGTTCTTCCGTAAAATCAGAATCAGGAGTCATTTTTCTTTTTCCGCGGAAGAAAGTCACATGTCAAGATTTTGGGACATAATTTCATTTAAGGTGAACTTTTTGGAGAAAAAAAGGGGGATTTTGTAGTTTTGATCTGTGCAGAAAAAAAAAGAAATTTCAGAAACTGAAAGATCTTCCGAAGAAAATTTCGAATTCTTGAAAATTTTAAAGCTATAAATTATTCGAATAATTACAGTTGTGAAATTTATCTTCGGAAATACAGATTTTAGAATCTATCGAATTCTTAAAAAAAGGTGAACAGATTTTATTTTGGTTGCAAATATAAATCAAAAATTAGTTTCGGGTTTAATAACGTCATTTGAATGCTAACCTCATTTGACTCGACAAACATGGATGGTAAAACCATCTGGAACATCTCACAATCAACCAGACCTGCTTTGTTGCTGAAAACTAGAAAAAAAAACAAAAACAAAATCAGAAAAGTAACGCTGACAAATAACTATTTCTAAAAGTACCTTTATTTATAGTATTAGAATAATAACATGCGTCAAGAAGTCCATTAACAAAAAGTGCAAAAAATCAGGTAGTAATGGATTTTTGCGCATTCGTGGAAACGATTACGGGAAAACTGGAATTTGTAGCCGCCAGTATTTTGCGGGTTGGTTTGAACATTGGATGAGTGAAATAAAGGAGCCAGGGAATTATAACTGCTTGTGCATCATTTCCAAATGGTCGAAGAATCATTAAATAATACACATTGCTCGGAGAAGTCAGGTAAACATACTGGAAAACACATGAAATTAATTCAATCATATTCAGATTTGCTTACTGTTAAAATTGTATTGTTAATGAAAGGTATCATTGTTGCCAATAATGTTAAACTCAACGAAGATTCTGCTCGATCTGCCATTTTTTTTGTACGTTCTGAACTGAAACACTCCGTTTCTCATTTGTTTTTCTATTGAAAAAACCTAGCGACTTACGTATTCACAAACATTGAACTTCTAAGTTTCCAAATTGTAATACAAGTTGCTGAACATGTGAAACTACACATTATAACAGACATCACCAAATGAAATGGTGTATTACGAAGGCTGAACCAAGTGCCTTTATAATAAATATAGATTGCGCCAAAACGCAACGGTTCACCCATTTGTCTACAGTAACCCAATGATGGGATCATGAAAAATGTGCAGCCAAATGGGACAAAGAAAAATAAGAGTAAACCAATTCGCATGATTATTTTTATTAACTGAAATTTGATCATTTCATCAGGCTTGGAATAGATTTTCAAATTGGATGCATCGATGAGGGGATTTTATTAGATGCTTCCAAATTACGGCCCGATTCAAACTCACCAACTCATTATCTTTTGGGAACAATAGTATGATTAATCGAACAAAACAAAGTTCAAAAAGTGCCATCATCACACAATAATTGAAATAAAATGTAAGCAAAAATATCACTTTAAAATAATGATTCGGTTGAACACTTGCACACCACGATGTGAAAATTCCAGTAGCTGGAAGTGCGAGTCGAAGATAATCACTCAAGAAAAATCCAAAGTTCTGGAATAAAACGGATTTGACAACAGAGAATTCTCTGAAATAATGAGACTCACAGAGCTGAAAAACAACATAATCAAGAGAAAAAGGTTGCCATCCATATTTCCAGGTCGATTTCGATTTTTATGATGTGTTCGATAAATATGAATCACAACACAAATTGTTGGTGGAATATAAATGAGTGGAAGCATTGCGAGAATTGTTGAGAATGTGAAAACATAATGAAAATCGAGATATTCTTGAAGACCATGAATTGAATCTTCCATTTTTTTTTTTTTGAAGAAGTCGGGATCAGCTAAATATGAAAAACAAAAGAAGTTCAGCTAACTGCAGACTTCAAGTTTGATCAAAACACTCCAAGTAAACATCAACACCTTTTTTCACTTCCCGTATTGCGCAAATAACCAATTTATCGGAAAATAATTGAAAACTTAATTATTGTGCACAAAGTACTTGGAAATTTGGAAACTTTTCAAATTCTCAGAACTTCCTAACAAGTGAGCAAAAATCGGCAATTTTGTGAATGAATATAAATGTTGGTAACTCATCTGAATGTGAACCTTTCTTATAATGTTGTTAATTCACTTCCGAATTGATCTGAAAATGATTCACACCTAATCAGAATCTGATTTTCAACAAACCGTTCTCACACAAATCACGGTTTGATAAACTGTTATGATTTATTTATGTATCACTATAAGAAGAGCATCATTTTGATAAAATATGATAAGCTACTCATCATTTTTATTATGCACTTTTTCCAGCTGTTATTTCTATTCATAACACCTGTGGTTTCTAATTCAATTTCTTTTTCTGAATCTTTTCAAACATCTTGGCAAGATGTGATTTCTGAAAATGAGATTCAATATTCTTCAATAAGTTCACAATGTGCGAGAGATACGCAAACTTGGCTTAAATCTTTGGCAATTTTTAAGCAGATTTCTGAAGAATGCATTATCACGAGAAATTGTACTTTTGTTGAATTACAACTTTTAAAGAATAATTTATTTTCAGCTAAGCGTAAGTAGTTTTTTATTCTCAAAAAATACATTATTTTCTAACTTCAGAATTGGATGCATTTGGACGTGTTCCTTCTAGTGGAATTCTAGAAATTCCTCTACTTTTTGAAGGATCTTATGTTGAATGTCAGAGTATTAGTGGAATTGAGTATGATACAAATTATTGTTATCTTGCATTATATCCAAAGAAAAATCGGCACTGTGGAATTGTGAATGTTGTTCCTGGTTTGACATTTATCCGTTCAGCAGTTTGTATGCCAAAATCATGTTCGGAAAATGATTTGACTCAAATGTTCAACAATTTCACAAATTTACCATTCACTGCGTGCAAAGCAGGATGTGTTCATTATGATGTTAAAAAAAATGCAGCTTTTTGGATTTTTACAACTTTTATGATATTGGTTATCGCAATTGTCATAGTTTCAACGATTTTTGATTATTTCAAAGAAAAACTTCCGTTTTCTGAAAAAAGTCTTTGGATGAGAATGCTTTTGGCTTTTTCATTATGGACAAATGCTTCAATTATTTTATCAGTGAAAGAACAAAAAGATGGATATATCAAATCTTTAGATTGTATTCGATTTTTATCAATGTTATGGGTTGTGACTGGTCATACATTCACAAATTTGACTCCAACTGATACACTTTTATCAATTGCAAAAATAATGAAAGAATTCTGGAATCATCTAATTCTGAATGCAGTTCTTTCTGTCGATACATTCTTTTTGATATCTGGAATTGTTGTGGCTTATATGTTTTTCAAAACTCGTCCGAAATCACAAATTATGAAATCTCCAATGACTTGGATACTTTTCTATGTTCACCGATATCTTCGCCTAACTCCTCCTTACATGATTTTCATCGGTTTTTTCACAGTTTATGGAAATTATATTCAAGGACCAATAAGTGCAACACAAATGAGTGAGTCATTCAAATTATGCTACATTTTTAGTACACAAAAGTTTCAGATGGAATGCGCGATGCAACAGAAGCTTGTCAAGAAAAATGGTGGCGGAGTTTGCTTTACATAAATAATTTTGGCTCAACTGATAACACTTGTTATAGTGTAACTTGGTATTTGGCAGTTGATACTCAACTTTATTTGATTGCTCCAATTCCAATTATTGCTTTATATTATTCATTTTCGGCAGGTGTTGCAGTTATTTCAAGTTTGGTCTTAGCTTCGATTATTACAACTTATTCTTTATTTTATGAATATAATCTTCCGGCTGATTTCACAGGACAAGGGTGGGTTTAAAATTTTCGTTATTTATATTGAGCACGTTTTTGTTTATAGAGACCCGATAGCATTTTATGGAATTGCTTATGAGAAACCATGGGTTAGATGTCCTCCATATTTTATCGGAATTTTGGTTGGATATATTCTCGGAACTTATGGAAAACGAAAAATACACTTAAATTGGAGTCTAAGTATGATTGCATGGTTTTTCGCATTCGTCACTGCAGTTGTTTGTATTTTCGGAGATTATGATTATGACGCAGGTTTGAAATGGAGCACATTTACTCGAGCAACATATTATAATTTTGCCCGAATTTCTTGGGCGATCGCAGTGTCTTGGGTTATTGTTGCAAATCATTATGGTTGGGGTTCACCAATCTCCAATTTTATGTGTCATCCAATTTGGCAACCGCTAGGACGACTTTCTTATTGTGCATATATTGTTCATATTATGACGATGGCGTTGTATTTTAGTTGGGATGATAGAGCGTGGCATTATTTTTCGAATTTACAAATTGTAAGTGGATCACAGGAATTCGGTGGGGGTTTTGAAGTTTTAAATTCAAATTTTGCAGTGGCTGTATTATACTGTACCTATTACCGTATTCGCATATTTTTTTGCTTTTTGGTGGAGTTCATTTTTCGAATTACCTTCATTAAAGTGAGTATTTTATGAGAGGACTTTTGATCTTATATTTTTTTCCAGATTGGAGAAAATTCTGATAGAATCAATTATTGGAAGTGGAGGAAGAACATCGAATAAAGTTGAAACATCTGATAAATCAGAAGATAATAAATGAATCAATGCATAATTTTTTAGAAAACAGAAATAAATTTATTTTCGAAATCCCAAAATATACAAATAGAGAAAATTAAGATATAAGTGAAGTAGAATGCAGAATTTACTTTCCGACGTAAGAGTTTCCGAGACCAACAGCTGGTGGAGGTGGAGGTGGGGCATATCCTCCGGTGGCAACTGGTGGTGGGCCAACGGCGACTGGGGGTGGAGCGTATCCTCCTCCAATTGGAGCTGGTGGAGGTGGTGGAGGTGGTGGGGCGGCGTATCCTCCGACGGCAACTGGTGGTGGTGGAGGTGGAGGTGGTGGAGCAACAGCGTATCCTCCGGCTGCGACTGGAGGTGGAGCAATAATTGGGGCTGGTGGGGGTGGGGGTGGTGGGCAGCAACCTCCGCCTCCTCCAAGGTTTGGCAATTGGAAGCTTGGAAGTGAAAGTGGTGGAAGTGCCAAACCGCCTCCGCCTCCACATCCACATGGAGATGGTGGGGGTGGGGGTGGAGCACATCCGCAGCCACCGCCGCCTCCTCCTCCCAAACCACCGAGCAAGAATGCTGATGAAGCCGAAACAAGGGCAAATGCGACAATAAGCTTTTGCATTTTTTGAAGGTCTTACTGAAAAACACAAGGTTTTTTGAGTAAAAGAAAAGGTGAAATAATGAAAAGAAAAGAAGAAATGAAAGCTTGATGGTTTGAAATGATTGTGTGTCTCAGTTTTATACCGTTTTCCATGACCGCCCCAACCGTTTTTTTCCTACAATGTTATCTGGAAAAGAACCCGTCTTCGATCTTCTTTCAGCACTTTTTTTCGCCATGTAGTACATTTTTTCAGCTTTTCCGTTTGCGCGACATCGTTTTTTTTTTGCTTCTCCAATGATATGGGCTAAGTCTGGTTTCACTCGTCTTTTGGCATTGATATGTGATATGATAAGATAGAAATTTTTGTGAATTCGACGGAAAAAAAGTGGCATTTGAAAGAGAGAGAAGATAAATTAAGTATTATTGTTATTATCATGAGAAGCTTGTTGATAATTTCGACTTTTTTGGCGACCGTTGGCGCATTGTTTTTGAGTGGCGGTGGAGGATGCGGGTGTGGGTGAGTTATTGGTTTTTTGTGAAGAGGGAGACAAAGCATTTTTCTAATTTATTTGAATCAGTGGAATTATGCCTTTCGGTCCAAAGTACACTTCAAGGAAGAATCAGATGTGAAACTCTTTTAGTACAATAAAAGTTCCAAAAATGTATGAATCTAGTTTTTTTCTTCCAGAAGATTTAGATTCCCTTGTTGGTCTTACATTGTTTGTAGGTAGATTATATAAATCTGGTCCCGAACACAATCATTCAGAGCCCTCAAACTTTATCTCAAGAATATTTTTTCCAGCGGTCCAACATTGAGTCTTTGCGGTGGTTGTGCTCCTCGTCGTATTCCAGCTCCAGCCTTCCAACCTCCCCCACTTCCAGGTCCACCCCCACCACCTCCCCCATGTCAATGCCCACCAAAAAGTTGTATGTCTTGCGCCCCAGCCCCTTCAAGTTGTGGATGTGGCGGGGGAAATGGTTATGCTAGAGGTGGATATCAAGATGATGAAGACGATGAAGAATATTCGGAAGAGGAAGATGATGAGAAAGAAGAAGAAGATGAGGAAGAAGAGAGACGACGACAAAAGATCAGAAAATTCAAGCATAGCAAAAACTAGGTGAAAGATTTGTTGGTTTTTTCTTTGTTTTATCTTGTTTGTATTATGATGTTTGTACATAAAAATATATTTATTTATTGTATAACATATAATTGGAAATTCTATCTGACCGGCTGAACAGGTTTGATGTTACGTTACGCAAAATACGAATATGGGTAATAAGTTTTGTGTTATCACCTGCCAGCTTCAGAGATGGATCATTTCAGATTTTGGGATTCACTTTTGTTTGAGTGAGATTTTCTAACTCAAGCGGTTACAGTTTTTGTTTTTGAAATGCGAATTGATTGTTAGAATTCACATTTCCCTAACTCTATTTTTCACACAGCCAAATAACATTTCCCGAAAAAAGAAAAAAAAATCTGGTAAGAAAATTTATTGATTCTATATTCAAAACATTTAACGTCTGCGAGTTCCATCTTCGAAGAAGACTCCACCATCGACAGCACAATATTTTGGACAGATTCCTTTTTCTCCAGCTCCTCCAGGTTGTCCTGGTTGTCCTGGTGCACCTGGTTGCCCATCACCTCCTGGTAATCCATCATTTCCTGGTCGTCCTGGATTTCCAGGTTGTCCATCGCTTCCCGGTTGTCCTGGGCTTCCTGGTTGTCCGGGTGGGCCACGTGGTCCACGTGGTCCAGCTGGTCCAGGTTGTCCTGGAGAGTTAGATGAATCTCCTGGTTGTCCTGGTTGTCCAGGTTGTCCGTCATTTCCTGGCAATCCTGGGGCTCCTGGTTGTCCTTTTTGTCCAGCTGGTCCTGGAGATCCCGAACCTCCTCCAACTCCTGGCTTTCCTGGTTGACCAGGTGCTCCTGGAGCTCCGTCATTTCCTGGTTTTCCTGGAGCTCCTTGTGGACATGGCTTGCAAGGTGGTGGGGTTTGTGGATTGCATGGCTCTCCAACTGGTTTTCCTGGTGCTCCTGGTTGTCCACAAGCTCCTGGTCTTCCTGGACGACCTGGTCTACCGGCTGGACCTGGAGGTCCTTGAGATCCTGGCAAACAACAACCGTCACAAGTTCCACCGCCGACTTGAATGCTACTGTCAATCACGAATTCATCATCGCTATATCCGGATTGTCTTCCAAATCGAGTATGGTTACGCGCCGACGTCTGAAAACGCTTACATTATTTTCTTATCTTATCCAGTTTTCATCCTAGAAAATAAAGGAAAAAGAAAGTGTAATAATTAATATACAAACCTTGACATTAGCCATCTCATCGAATAAATCCTTGGTAGTATGTTTACAGAACATCAATTCTCTATCAACTTGTCTTTTCATTCCTTCAACATAGTTATGCAACATTGGAAGGGTGATGCATATCTCAAAAACAACAATAATAAAAATTAATATACAGAAAAACAATATGACTTACTCCGAAAACAGCTGTTACAGCAAGTGTAACTGCCGAGTAGGCAATAAATTTGTATGCTTTCACACGTGTTTCGGAATCCATCCTAACCTACTTCAATGAACTTCTCCATTTTCTTTTATATGATTTCTTAGCCAGTATTTTGTAAAAAGTTTAATTACTTTTTATGCTTCTTTCTGGACATTTTGTTGTGTGACTTCTTCTCCGAAAAAAGAGAAAGTGAAACTGTCTTATTTTTTTGATTTATTTTTCTCTATAAAGATAATTTCATCTGGACTTATTAGAATGGATGAATGATAATGATTTATTGAAATGTTTAACACAGAATTCAATTATTTTTGGCGGACCACGAAGACGTCACTGAAAAAAAATTTGTCAACAAAAATAAGTAAACAATTATGAAAAAGTTACCGGTTGATTTGATCAGCTCCAGAAACAGTTTCATTAACTCCGAATTGTTTGACATTTGGTTCGTTCCAGTTTCCGAATCTTTTGAAATCATTGAATGAGTGAGTAGTTTCTCCAGTTACTCCATTTCCATTATTTGCCCAATACCACAATCGAACATCTGAATCAAGTCCTGAATAATTGTTTGTAACAGATTTCCATTCTTCGGCATTTGTAAAGATTCCAACTTGGAAACCGAGTTGCTAAAAATTATGATGATGATATAGATTTCAAATTTTGTTGAACAAACCTTAGCTCTGTGAACAGATGAATCGATGAATTCAGCATTGGCAGTTGTGTTGTAGGAATACATTCCAGATTGAACACGCAAAAACAATCCACCGATTGGGATCGAATTGGATTTCAAATTATTGTAAACATCTTCAACTTGATCAGTTCCACTAACATTGCTGAATTGATTTGGTGTCATATAAAGTTCAACACGAAGACGATAAACAAGAGCATTTCTGATGGTATCAATCATGTTTTGATCGAATGAAGATGTATTATAATTGAAGGATCGGATATAGATTGTTGAATATCTATCGAGGCGAACATTGATCAAGGTTCCATTACTCAATGGTTCATTGATATCAATTGCATATCCATCGATTGTTGAATCTTGAAGAATTGGCAAAGCTGAAACAGCCGAGACAAACAAGAAGAAACTGATGACTGAGAACATTTTGTCAGTATGAATTTGCATTCTTCGGGGCTACCTATTTATACCGTATACAAACGTTATCATGTTTAACGAATATCATCAAAATGATCTCACTTTCGAGCAAAGACCTATTTTTTGAACACCAAGAAGCATTTTGCGAAAATGATGATTAGAGAATGTCACGCTGTACGATTTCCAATTTTTTATAGGAAAACTTCCAGATCTACTGAACAAATCCAACTGTGATTCAGATATTTCATGGTAACGTATAAGTCTATTCAAAGAACTCATTATAAAACCAAAAAATACGTATTATTATCTGCTACAACAAGAGTTTACTTCCTAGAACAAAATGTTACATCGCTAAAAATAGCTGATAAGAGCTACAATTTACTTTCTTATCAGAAAGCTTGTCATACAAAGATCGTCATACGTGAATTCTTGGAAGTTATCTAGGAAATAGTTGATCACTGATGTTAGGGTTCAACATGTTACCATTATTCGTTATAATTTTGCATTTCGAATGAGATCATTTTGATGATATTTCCCTAAGTTTGATAAACATCGTGAATTGTATAAATAGGTAGCCCCGAAGAATGCAAATTCATACTGACAAAATGTTCTCAGTCATCAGTTTCTTCTTGTTTGTCTCGGCTGTTTCAGCTTTGCCAATTCTTCAAGATTCAACAATCGATGGATATGCAATTGATATCAATGAACCATTGAGTAATGGAACCTTGATCAATGTTCGTCTCGATAGATATTCAACAATCTATATCCGATCCTTCAATTATAATACATCTTCATTCGATCAAAACATGATTGATACCATCAGAAATGCTCTTGTTTATCGTCTTCGTGTTGAACTTTATATGACACCAAATCAATTCAGCAATGTTAGTGGAACTGATCAAGTTGAAGATGTTTACAATAATTTGAAATCCAATTCGATCCCAATCGGTGGATTGTTTTTGCGTGTTCAATCTGGAATGTATTCCTACAACACAACTGCCAATGCTGAATTCATCGATTCATCTGTTCACAGAGCTAAGGTTTGTTCAACAAAATTTGAAATCTATATCATCATCATAATTTTTAGCAACTCGGTTTCCAAGTTGGAATCTTTACAAATGCCGAAGAATGGAAATCTGTTACAAACAATTATTCAGGACTTGATTCAGATGTTCGATTGTGGTATTGGGCAAATAATGGAAATGGTGTAACTGGAGAAACTACTCACTCATTCAATGATTTCAAAAGATTCGGAAACTGGAACGAACCAAATGTCAAACAATTCGGAGTTAATGAAACTGTTTCTGGAGCTGATCAAATCAACCGGTAACTTATTCAAAATTTAGTTTCTTATTTAGTTAACAATTTTTCTTTCCAGTGACGTCTTCGTGGTCCGCCAAAAATAAGTGAAAGACTTGTTTTTATTTTGTGCAATAAATGTTATTCATTCGAATTTCTTATCTTGAATCATAATCAATCATGTGAAAAAAAATAACAACCAAGTTTCAATTGTTCTATAGTCGACGACAGACAAAAAATACGTATGTTTCGCTACTGATCTTCGTAATCATCAAAACATTATTGAGAAGTTGGGCTATATTCAAAGAAACAAAACAACATTTCATGTTTGTTGATTTGGTGCAAATATTTGCAAAGAAATCAAAAAGAAAATATTGTTGAACAAAACACGCTACTATATAAAAATATATTAGGAATACTAAATTTTTAAAGATGGGAATACTAAATTTTTAAAAATGAAAGCATTACGTCCATAATTGTGAAATATTCACAGAGAAGTATGGATCAATTGAGAACTTCTTCAAAAACCATACAGAAACTCTTGACTATTTCTTACACAATGAATTACCATTGATTTGCTAAAAATAAAAACAATCTTTCTAATAAAAAAAAAGACGTATGGGAGCTAAAAGTTCCTAGTCTAAAATTATAAGTATTTGATACCCTTAAATCATAAACAATATTTTAATTGTTACAAACTTTCCGGATATAAATTTTTCTTAGTTCCATACGTTCATTCTGATTCATTTTAAAATGCAAAATGCAATTTTCTGGTGAAATTTTACCTGAATGCCCAGAATTATCCAAAAATCGCACAAAAATTTGAGGAAAGGGGTTTAACTTTGGAAATTTTTCAAAAAGGAATCCTAACTGAAAACAATAGCTCGGGTGACCTATTTTATGTATGTTCTCATCAACAAAATTTGAATTATTATAAAATATAGTTATTTTTATTGGATTCAGTTATGAAAATTTTTCCAGAGTTAAAATGGAAATAATTTTTAGTACGACGGTACAGATGTGCAGAAACTCCAACACCAAATTTTTTCCAAAGAAATTAACGTCCACAATTAGAATTTCAGACTCTGTTCTCTTCAGAACCACACAACGAGATCTCGTCAAATTGAAAAAAAAACAAGTTTCATTCAATAATATTTATTTGTATGTAATTAGTTTAAAATACACGTAGTTTGCTCACAGAGCATGTCGGTTTGGTTGATAAAAAACGATGAAGAGAGATCAGAATATTGTCGATGTTCGCCGAGAGAATAAATTATGATGGGACGGCGAATTGTTCCATTCTGACTCCACGATCATTGTTGGCAATCTTCTTTTTCAAGTAGAAGTTGTCTGAAAAATAATTGTACATAAGTTGATGCAAATTATTGAGAACGTTTTGTTACCTTTTCCTTTGTTGTGTTGTTCGCTCGACGCAAAAACAGTGTCGAACAAATACATGACGACGATGAAGAATCCCAAAACACGCTCGAACATTTTTCTGAAAAATATATTCAAATTAAGAAAAATATTGAAATTAATCAAATTGAATCAAGTAAAAGACAAGGAACGAGTAAAAGAGAATAGTGAAATCTAAAGATCATCAGGCCTCCTTTTGTACGCGACAAAGATAGGGGGGAGGGTGTTTTGTTTGCAAAACCACGAGAGATCTCGAGACGTAGACACGAAAAGAAGACAGTTGTTTGGATGCATGGGAGATGCACGTGAACACTTTTAGGGAAAGGAGTGAGGACACACAATGAGGTTTGGTCAATTTTGAGTGCAGAAAAATGAGAGAGACAGGTCATGAAAGGTTTATTGGTGGTTTGATTTGAGCCAAAATTGATTCCAAGAATTTTCAATGCAATATTGAAGGTTGTGGAGCTTCAATTTATCTTTGGAAAAATGAAAACAAAGAAAAACCATGGAAAATGGAAATTTATGAAAAAATGAATTTTTTTCAAAACAAAACCAAAAAAATTCTCGCGCTCGATAATTGGTAGATCAAAAATGAAATTAGAAAAACGAACATCAATAAAAAAATACTGTCCGTTCGCCAGCGAAGGAAACGCGCCCCATCGCACTTCTTTTTTCTGCTGCCCCGATTTTTTTTTGTTTTTGAAAAAACGGAAATTTTCGTTTTTTTTTGTGTTTTCAAGTTGTTTTCGAAACTTTTTAATAGTTTTTTGATTTAGATAGATGAATTGGGGGTAGAGTGTTCACCTTTCACGTGATTTGTTTTGTTTTATGAGTTTTTTGTGATAAAAACCGCAATTTTTCAATTTCCAGGATTTTCCGAGACCGAAAAATGTCGAAAAAACCATCTTTTCGAATGGTATTTCGAATTTTCTGTCATCTCTAGGTAAGTTAGCAGTACATCAGAGTGTTCAAAATGCATATTTTTTGATTTTACAGATGTTCGAAAATTGCACGATTTTGGCTCAAATTTGCACAGAAAGTAGATTTTTGGTATGAATATATGAGAAAGAGGCAAAGACATACATTTGAGGAGGATTGGGCATCTTCCCTATCAATATTGGAGCAGTCTCATCCCAATTTTGAATTATTTTAGTTGGTATTTATGACAATTACGGGAAAAATCGCCAGCCGGAAAGAAAACTTGATTATATGGCATTCGGAGCAGGAAGATTATCAATGTGAGTAGTGAGGTAAGTGTTCTTAAGCGCTCATTCGGCTTTATTTGACAAATTTTAGAAATAAAGTGCAAAAAACGTTTTTATTTCTGGAAAATCTTCGAAAAGTCTGTTCTTTTCACTCAAAAAACGTTATTGCAAATCGCAATGCTAGCTATCTAAACTGGTTGTACATCCTATTTCATTTTTGACAAGTGAAAATATAAATTTTTCTTTTTATATGCACAAAAAGTTAACTTTTATCAAGATAAAGTTTGAACAGTATAAAACTCAACAAAAAGCTGGAAATTGCCATCTAAAATCTTGAATTAAAATTCTTTTCTCGATTTTGCAACATTCTGAACATTTCCAGGTTCATCTATTCTACTTGGCGCCACTATCTTCGACTGATTCAACAATTGCACGATTTTTTTCAAATATATTCAAGTTTTCATAATTTTTTTCTATTTTTTCTGTTGATAAACTTTTGATCCAGTATGTTTTACTGGGAAACTGCGTTTTTTCATAAAATAACAGAATTTTTACTGAAATATTATTGTTTTTTGCAGTTTTTTGGCAAAAAACGATGGAAATTTGAGTGGAAACAATATGTAAGTATTGAAAATTGCATAATTTTAATTTGATAATGCAATCTTGTAGAACGATCTCTGAAAAACTGGAAATTTGCATGAAAAAACCCCGAGAAAAAACTTCATGTTTGAATCGCCGCGCAAAAAAATGTGCTGTTTATCAATGGGGCGCGTTTGCCTGCGTTTCCTTCGCTGGCGAACGGACAGTATAATATCTGGTTTTTTCCAGAAAACCAGATTTTTGAGGTGAGGTAGCTCATTGGCAGTGGTAGCCGCTGACAATCTCAGCGTCCCGAGTTCTAGTCGCGGCTTTGAAAATTTCCTTGTTACTTTTTCTCATTTTCCCAAAAAAATTTTGGCAACAAAAATCTTCTTGCGCACGCGCTTTTTTCTGTCAAAAGATCAAAAATCCGATCATCTGATTTTTTCCCAAAATTTTCTTTTCCAACTTTTTCTTTTTTTTCTCCATTTCCAAATATTCAACACAACACGTGACTAGAAAAATCAGACCATTTGATAACATTTTGCGCAAAAAAACACATTTAACAATGTGAGTAGTTCTCTGGAAAAAATGTATCGGAAGTGATTTTTTTTTGCAAGCCAAAAAGCTTTTCTCAAGCAGTTGTTAAAATAACTTTTGTGTAAAATTCTCGGACATTGAATGAGTGAAAAAAAAAGACGGCGATTTTTGTTGTTTTGTGATATTTTGTGTGTGTGTTGATAGATAAAAATAGTTATGGGCGCGGAAAAGAGAAAAACACAGAATGAATACTCGTTTGAAATGATCATATGATTTATTTTTTGGAGATTAAAATTGACACGTGGTTTTTTTGGGTCAGGGTTAGTAATCGTTTTGAATTTCAATGCCAAGTTTTTTTGCTGTTTCACAGAAAGTTCCAATTTTGGTTTTGTGATATTTCAAAATTAAATAAATATTTTTAAAAATTCAGTTCAAAAACTGCTATAGGAACCCTTTCATGAAAACATGACTTTCCTAAAAATACCCGGATTCTGAAAAAAACTTCTCTGATAAAAACCGTCACTTTGACCTGCGAAGTGAGAAGAAAACCATAAAATCACTTTTTTCGGGGGGCTTCCCTTTATTTTTCGGTGCAGAAAAAAAGCGTCCTTCAGTTTTTTCGTCGAAATGTGATAAGAAAATGATTTTCAATGTATGTGTTTAGAACAACGATCATTGGAAATATGATTTTGATTTAGTTGAGAAAAATCGGTTATTTTTACATGAAACAGGAAAATTGTTTATCGTAAATGGATTATTTGAGATTTTCAATGATTTTCTCCTTTTCTTGAACGTAGATCTCATAATAAAGTAACCTAAAATTAGTTGACCAGAAAAAAGTTTCAATTTTTCAGGCCCGATTCAAATTTTGAAGTTCTAAATTTTATTTACAATTAGGTCATCTCGAAAAAATCCAAAAAAGCTCTATTTTTCCTATTGTCAAAAAAATTGTTTTTCTCTTGAAACTGTATTTTTCTGTTCCAAAAAGGAAGTTGAAACAAACCTATAAAATATGTTATCATATGATTTCGAGAGTTTAAACGGATCACATTCAGAGAACAATCATATAAATAAAAACTCAAACTATCTATTTTTCTCATTTCTGATCAAACTTTGTGTGTTCTTCGACTTTTGAGGACGTTTTTTTGAAATTGCATTTGTTTCAAACACAAACATATTTTTTTATAATACGTAAAAGAGTATTGAATGATAATCGAGATATCAAACAAAAACTATATTTTTTCTAACAAAAAAAAATGTACGAAAAGTGCGTAGACCTTTTGAAGTTATCTGATAAATTGTCAATTCAATCATTCGTTTTATTTTGAGTAAAGCAAGTTAGACAGAGATCCAATTACAAAATACGCAGAATCAAAACAACTCCGATTTATTTGACAAGAACAAAAACAATTCCAAATTCATCGAATAATCACAAAAGCCTTTGAATTTTCAGTGCTATTTTCCTCTCCGATTCCCGATATTTTTTTGATTCCAAAAAACTTTAGAATAGCTCTTCGATACGGGGAAATATACCAAAAATAAACAATTGGAGAAATTGCTGGAATTATTTCCAGACATAAAGTTGAAGAATATTCGATAAGAGGGTGATAAAACATCAAAAGCTTTTCAATAAGAAATAAAAATACGGCAATAACTGTAAACATTGGAAGAATTGCTTGATAAGTTAGAATTTTAAGAAGTCGACGATGCAAAGATTTTGTCTCTTTTCGAAGATGATCTGTTGATTTATCAAGAAGTTTTATGATTTTATTGCGGATTAAAAGAATTGCAGTGTAGATAAAAATTGGAGCAATCACAAAGAGTGACATTCCAATTGCGACAGGTTTCGAATCCATATTTCCAGTTACCATTTCTACAGAAATTCCTGTTTCATTAGGAAAAAGTTTCATGAAACTTTCGAAAACATCAATTTGATAACTGATATCACCAAATGAAAGCAGAATGAGAAAAATCAAAGATGGAACATAAATAATGCACAATGATAAAATAATTCGAGATGGTTTATGTGTTGTTTTTTGATTTTCCAAAATGTTGAGACGAAAGTAAAATGAATATAAAAGCGAGAATTCGGAATGGAGAAACAGGTGAAGACTTATTATATAACCAAGATAGCATGAATAAATATATCCTGTTTTGTAACACATTCCATAATTTATTTGGATAACCGAATTGTGAATCGGAATGATTCTTGGTTCCACGAAAAATGATGAAACTGCAGCAAGAAGATCACTGATTGCAAAATTTGCAATCAAAATTGAGTATGTTTTAATTGCAGCAGGAGATTTGAAAATAACCAAATACAGCAAAACAGTATTCATGAAAATGCCTATTATATTCACAAAAGCGTTACAAACACTGAACAAAAACATGACAAATGATTCGTTTTTGATCAACAAGATTTGGTAAGTATTTGCACTATATTTCTCCGGTAACAAAATAAGTCTTGATTGGTAAATTGTGTGTCTACACTACAAAACTTCATTCAAAACAACTTTTGGAGAATAAAAAGTTCTCGAAAGTTTCACAGCCTGTTTAACAAAAATTGTAAGAAACGCGTTTATATAAACTGGCTCGAAGTCAAATCGATTTTTTTTTGGAAATTTCCATATAGAAGTGTTCAGCATCTTCAAAACTTTAAATTGATGAATTCAGAGAACAACCATTTTTCCCCAAAAACTCCTAAAGCAGATAGATTTCTTACAAAAAAAAACATGTTCGAAAAGTGCACAGACCTTTCGAACTGATTTGATAAATTGTCAATTATGTTTATTTTGAGTGAAGCAAATCAGAAAATGGATTTATGTCAGAGATCCAATTGGGTTAGAAAAAATCAATAAAAAAATACTACAATTCATTCGGGTGAAAACACTAAATATTTTAAATTTATCGAACAATTACGAATGCCTTCAAATTTTCGGTGCTTTTTTCGATCTCTGATCTTCCAGACACTCTTGTCATTCCGGAAAATTTTCGAATAGCTTGTCGATAAGGAGAAACATACCAAAAATAAAGAATTGGGGATATCACTGGTATTATTTCCAAACATAAAGTTGAAGAATATTCGATAAGTGGATGATATAACACTCCAAATTGTTCGATGAGAAATAAGAATACAGAAAGAACTGTAAACATTGGAAGAATTGCTTGATAAGTCAAACATTTTAAAAGACGACGATGCAAAGATTTTGTTTCTTTTCGAAGATGATTTGTTGATTCATCAAGAAGTTTTATGATTTTTTTGCGGATTACAAGAATTGCAGGATAGAAAAAAATTGGAGCAAAATTCAGACAAGACATTCCAACTGTAACAACATTCGAATCAATACTTTCAGTTACCATCTCTTTCGTAATTCCAGTTTCATTCGGAAAGATTTTCATAAAACGCCCAAAAATATCATTTTGATCACTAATATTACCAAATGAAAGAAGAATGAGGACAATTAAAGATGGAATATAAATAATAAATAATGATAAAATTATGAATATTGGTTTACGTGGAGCTTTACGATTTCCTAAAATGTTTAGACGAAAATAAAATGAATATAACAATGAAAGTTCAGAATGAAGAAACAAATGAAGACTTATGATATATCCAATCCAGCACGAATTAATATATCCTGTTTTGTGACAAACTCCATAATTTATTTGAATTATTGTATTTTCAATCGGAATGATTCTTGGTTCCACGAAAAATGAAGAAACTGCAGCAAGAAAGTCGCTGATAGCAAAATTTGCAATTACAATTGAGTATGTTTTGAGAGCAGCTGGAGATTTAAAAACAGCCAGATACAGCAAAATAATATTCATGAAAATTGCTGTTAAATTCACAAAACCGTTACAAATACTAAACCAAATCATGACAAATGATTCGTTTTCATCAACAAGATTTGGAAAATGTTTGCACTCTCCCCGGTAACAAAATAAAAATATTGATAGGACAATTGTGTATGTCTACTATAGAGTGATTCAAAATAATGAAGCCATAGTTTTCATGGTGAAATTTGTAGTCTGAAAAAGTTGAAACTACACATAATTAACTATTAAAAACTATTTTCAAAAATATTTCATATCAAAGCGAAGTGTTTATCGAAAAATGACAATAAGCTGCAGGTGGTTTTAACATTCAAAAATTGCAATTTGGTTTCTGGTGAGTATTTCGTGAGCAAAAGTAGTTCATTGTCGATTTGTTCTTCAAAAACACGCTTTTTTCAATGTCTACTATAAATATTTATTCAAAATCAATTGAGAGAAAAAAACAGATTCTAACAACTTGGAGTTTGTTGAAATATAGTTCTTGAGTTTTTTCGAACCCCAATGAAACCGAGAATCGCATGACGATAAGGTGTCATATAATAAAAATATATCAATGGAGACAATGCTGGAATAATTTCCAAGGATAAAGTTGAAGCACATTCTGAGATCGGGCTGAACATTATTCCAAGTTTTTCAAGGGTGAATAAAATGATCCCAGATATAAAAATAATTGGCAAACATGCTTGAAAAGTTAGAATTTTTAGAAGACGTTGATGTAAAATTCTTGTCTCTTTTCGAAGATGTTCCAAGTTCTCATCAAGGATTTTTATTATTTTACTACGAAGATACAGAATAGTTGGATAAATGAATAATGGTGAAATCATGAAAATCATAGTTCCATAAGCAATCGGACCAGTTCGAACATCAAGATGACCAGTCACTTGTTCCATTTTCACTTCAGGAAACCATTTTGTAATAACTTCCCATAAAACTAATTGATCACTATCTTCGCCATTTGCAAGTAAGAAAAATTGAACAAGTGAGGGAATATAAATTATTAGAAGACTCAAAACAACATTTCTCGTATTTGCTTCCCAATCACAGAGTACTTTATATCGAAAATAAAATGAATAAAGAAGCGAAAATTGTGAATGTAAAAATAGATGAACACCAAAAGTATAACTAACATAACACCATGAAACATCCACAATTTGATAACAAATTCCATAATTTACTTGAATTACTGAATTCGAAAATGGAATCAGCCTTGCTTCAGCAAACATTGAAGATATTGATGCAAGAATATCAGTTATTGCAAAATTAATAATTACGATGGAATAGGATTTTAGATGGCCAGGTGAATGACAAATTGCAAGATATAAGAGTAAAGAATTCGAAAAGATTGAAAAAATGTTGAAAATACTGTTGAACAAACTGAAAAGGAACATTTTCAGAGCAAAATAACAATATACGTTGTTGTTATTTCAGTTTTCAGATAAAAAACAGAGAAAATTGGAAAATGATCACATTATTGCAGGAATTAGTCTGGCTGGCGTATTCATAGAAAAACAAGAAAATCAAAAATCAGCTCAAAACAGGAAGTAACGTTTCCGACCCCCAAACTTAGATTGTCGGAATCAATTTTTTGGAAGTTCTGAATCAGGTTCGAGGAATCAGAAAGAAATCGATTTCAAATCCTTTAGACTTCTTGAAAAATGGACCCCATCAATTAGAATTGTCCAGGAATATTCGCTGCAATTCATAACCTCTTGAAGTCTTCGGGTATTTACAATTTGTCCCCAAATCAAAGTAAAACAAAAACCAATTCGAAAAAAAGTGCGAGACTTGACAATTTTAATTATAATTTCTCTTTCTTTCAAATCGCACTAAACTAATTGTAAGTCAGAACGGATCTCGTTTCAATTTATGATTTTTGTTTTTTTCAATGTATTTTTCCATATAATAAATTTGCTAAATTCCATCCTCAAAACCCCTAATCCTATTGTTTGGCCCTCAAAAAATAAACTTTACTTATATAAATCAAAAAAAAAAAGAATTTTCAAGGTTCAGACACCTGCTATTTATTATTATTTTTATTCTTTTCAAGAGTTTTTACGCAGCTGCTAAAAGGTTTTTCAGAAAACAAAAGAAGCTTTTTTGGGGCCGCGATTTGCTCATAGGCACCTGGTTGGAAAATATTTTGGCTACTATTATGTTTGTATTACAAGGTCGGAGAGCTTGTTAGTTGGGATGAACTTATAATTATCGAGTCACGCAACAACACCTTGTTAGATATTAAGTGAGGGTTGTTAAAAGGGCAACACATATGGTGCCACAATTTATTATGTCTCTGTTTGTTTTGGGTTTTGGTGTCACTTTTTTGTGGCGTGTCGTGTTGAACATATGAAACTTTCCAGATGTTTCGAAAAATGTTTCATTTTCTTTTGTTTTTTGTTGTCTATTGATTTTGAAAATTATTTTTCAAATGTGAACTTCTCTTATTATTTTGACACATTTTTTTGAAGAATTTTCAGAATTTAGGAATGTTTTTTCAAAGTTAGTAACCTCAATTATTTTAAAGCTGAAATTTAAAAAACTCACATTATCATGGAAAATTCCGATCCTCTCGCCTGGTTCTCAATATCCACGTGGTCCAAGTTTCAATTTTTAATGTTTGGTGTTGAATAAGCACTGTTTTCTGAAAAAAATCAGAATTTTTTTGAATTATAAGAAATTTCATTGAATTTTTTGTTTCCAAATTTAATCTTTTATCCCGAAAAATTCCCATAAAAGTTTTGAATTGTTTTTATTTTCAAGTATGGCTTGCCCAATATTCTCAAAATCTAACCTCCCAAGTCCATATTAATTTCCAATTAATTATCTCTTAAAACTCACAGCACGAGGTTTTAGCACCACGCGTTCTAATTTCTTTGTTCTATGTTCACACCATCTTGACACCCAATAATCGGTTAATCGTGTCTTTTTTCTATGTATCAAAACCATATATTCTACATATATATGTTTTTCTGACTTGACTTGAGGTTTTTGAAATTTCTGCTGTCAAAACATCAATCAATTTGAAGCCCAAAATATCCCGCTGATTTTACAGGAAGCGCTTCGCTTCATTTCTCCCTATTAATTATTTGTGACAGGCTTTGACACCAAAAGACAAGGTGTTGATTTAAACAAACATTATATTTGAACTCTTCAAGGTTTTTTTTTCAATTCCAAAAGTTTCAAATAAATTTTTTTGTTGTAATCTAACACCATACTTTCACCCACTTTCACCTATTTATCCATCCACCAAAAAACATCTTCCCTTAAAATCCACACACCAGGTGTACATATCTGACGGCACTCAAATTACCTTATTTTATATCCTGTCAACCTTCAAAATTTCCTTTTATTTTTCTGTTTTGCTTGGAAAAAGTATACTCTTTTTCGTCTTCTTCTTCTTCCACATCATAATAATAATAATAATAAGAATAGTAAATCGTTTTCGTTTTTCTTTTCTTTTTTGAAAAAGGGCCAAGCTATGCGCGAAAACGATTTCCGTTTTCGTTTCTAGTCGATGAAGTCTTTTGTCAAGTTTTGAAGGTTTTCAGACGGGCTTTCAGCTGAATTTTCCTATTGATTTAGGAACTTTGAAGCGAGAGAGATTTTTGGTGGAATTTTGTATATTTATTTGAAGAAAATAGGAAACACAGTAACTTTTTGAAACACTAAAAATAATTTTAATTTTTCAATGTGCCCTATCAAAAGTTGTATTTATATTTGCTTGAACACAGCATTTTCGCTCTAAAATAGTTTGAGATTCTGAAAAATCTTTCAATTATTTTTTGAGTCTACGTATTCAAAAGCTTCATTTTCAATCAACTTTGTTTTAACTTTTTCGAAAGTGCATCAAATTACATGGTAATTAATTAGGCATCTAATTAACACTCATTTTTTTCGAAAAATCCAAATGTATCATTTATTTCACCAATTTTTCCAACTTTCGCTGAACATTTAAATTCACAAGTTCTCGTAGAAATCAACCAAATTCCCTTGAAAGTTCAAACTTCATCCGAGCCGAAATAATTCATTCCTTCTTCTGACATGTTTCCGGTAATTCTCCCAAAATATGTTCTCCTTTCATTTTTTTTCATTTTTTCTTCAGATTGCAGAAATTTTGCAAAATGCAACGTTCTTCGAAAAAAATGAGGAGATAGACAGTGTACATCTGTCTGACTAATATTCCATTTTATAGACTCCAAGAGGTCAAAAGTACAAAAAAAGTCTTCTAAATTTCGTAAGTATATACAAAAATGCCCAATTTGGTCAAAATGAAAAATCATTTTTCTAGTTCGCGAGGTCAGTTTTACCTTGTTTTCTAGTTAAATTTTGTATAGTCCGATCTTTCCCAACATTTCATTTGTTTCATTTTATTCCTTTATTCCCTTCTTCCAAGCGGTTCCCCCCTTTTTTTCATGTAAAAACAAGCACAATAACATATGTTTCTTGATCTCAAAGATAAACAAAACATACGGTTCCTTTTGAAAAGTCATTTCCGACATAATAAAACATGTTAGAGATTCACAAGTATACTAAAATTAACTTCCGATGTTTTTTTCTGTTACAAAAGTATACTTCAATTCAACCCCTAACAGCAGACATCTTTTGCAGAAATAAAAATATAATATTTTCGATAACCTTAACCCAACAGAAATTTTACTTATTTTATATAGAAAAAAGTTACACCTGCGACTATAGAAAATGCACATCTGCAAAATTATTTTTTCTTTCAATTTTTTCAATAACCCAAAAACGTGGATGCAGCTGTTCGAAAGCATACGGTAACTCAAAGACTGATTCAAAAAAGATAAACCGAATTTCACACCTATCAATCAAGCATGCGCAGGCCCAGAAATATAGAGAAGTGTGAAGTGTGCTGCTTGGCAGATAAAAACAATGATAACTTTTTGAAGTGAGAAGTATAGGCTTTTAGGAAAAAAGACTATATTTGAGAATTATGTAGTTTTATTTTTAAAAATTGAAATTTTTAGGACATTTGTTATTAAAAGATTTTTGAAAGTGTGAAATTTTGATTGCTATTAGCGGTGCCTTTGAAAAAAAAGGAAAGTGAGAATAGGAATTTTGGGCGGAAAATGTCTAGATCTTAGCTATTAGGATCGTAGTATAGATTTCTAAACTCATGTTTATTGTTCTGTTGGGTTAGGATCACCAAGAAATTATATAAATAGTTTTGCAGATTATGTCTGCTAATAGAGGTTGAATTGAAGTATACTTTTGTAACAGAAAAAAAACGGAAGTTGATTTTAGTATACTTGTGAATCTCTAACATGTTTTATTATGTCGGAAATGACTTTTTAAAAAGAACCGTATTTATCTTTGTTATCTTGAATACTGTATGTATAGCCAAAACTTTATAAAACTGTTCGAGTCAGAAATCACGAAGGAGATTATTTCAAGTTCTATCGTTTTGCTTCCAAATATATTTCAAATTTTAATTATACAGTACTCCTAGAATATTCCAAAACTTCTGAAGAAAAAAATCAATGATGCATGTCACATTTCAACTTTCTTTTGATCATCTGTTTTTGTTTTGTTTCGAGACTTTTTCCGCCGACAAAAAAAGGTGTTAACATCGAAGTACTCTTTTGTGGAAAAAAGAAAATACCGACAAACAACCGGGAATTTTCTTTTTGATTGTATTGCCTTCCGGAATCCGGATAATTTCGGATGAAAATGATTAATTTCTTTGATACGTAAATTTTATAGAATAAAAATTCCCCAAAAGCGAAATTTCAGATTGGCAAGTGTTAGTCGTATTTTTGTTGGTAAAAGTATAAATATTCGAATGACAAGTGTTAGGTGATTTTGGGAAGATTTAAAAAATCTGAAATCAAGAAAACTATAGTGAATTCTCTCACCTTCCTACCTTATTGAAAAATCTGTTATCCAGATATTCCACAATTTCAATTGAAAATATATAAATATACAAAAAAGTTTCTAATCCCGTATTGTTTACTTCCGCTCATCTCAACCAGCTAAAATAATAATTATTATTCAAAAAAGATTCCTTTGAATACAATACCGCTTCTTTTATTGTTACGTAATTATTCATTCATCTCTTCTTTTTTCTTTTCTCCACCTAATCAACTTCTAATTTACATAATAAGATTAACCATGTTAACACGCTACTTGAAAAGTTTTAAGGTAATAACCTTGCAAAAATATACTTCTACAGTAATCAGAAACCAATCATGAATTAGAATTCTAACCGTTTTCTTGATTTAAAATTTGAAATCGGGTTACCATCCTGTAATTTTATATAAATATATCAGTGATCCAATATTCGTTCATCAAAAATATGAAACAATGTTCTGAAATGTTGTTCCAATACCTTATGTTTCCTAAATTTAATCCAAACTTTGTCAAAACCCGAGAGATTCTCCTATTTTGATTCCAATCAACCAAATCTTCCCAAACCTCGCTTTTCCCATTTTCATATTTATTTCTGATAATTTCTTCCCTTTTTTGCCAAAACCGCACTTCACACCTCTCTCACCCATTAAGCCCCGCCCCTTTTATGGGTGGAGACCAAGTGTGGTGGTGCACTATAAATAGGCCGATGATAGCTTCATTCAATTTACATCTGTTCTTTCAATTTTACATTTTTATTGACTATCTCTGTCTCGCTTCTTTCTTTTTATAATACATATTTTTGCTTTTTAGATATAATAATTTGATTTTTCAGGAAGATGCATGTTTCAAAATTTTTGCTAGTCTTGCTCCCTGTTCTCGCCAATTGCACTGGTTTCATTCGTCTGAACTTCACATCATCTCGACGAATCAATATCAAAATTGAGATCATTGATGAATCTCAAAAATCCTTCGAATTGCCCCTCTACCCAAACAGTACAAGATCAGCAGTTTTTGATTTGCCTGAGTATAAAGGATATGTTGATTATAAAATCACAATGATTAGTATGTTCACTGGAACCGTAACTGGCTCAATGGTCCATCGCCGGATTCATCTTGACCAAAAATATTCGAATGATGCCTTCAGTTCTGATGGTATTCTTTTGTCAATTCAAACAACTTATGAGTGTGCAGGGTGAGTAATTTATTTATTTATTTGCTAAGGATTATAATTCTAACTATTTCAAATTTCAGAAACTTCTATGGTCCTCGTTGCGAACAACAATGCGATAACAAACTCGCCAATTTGGCTCGTAAACGTTGTGACAAAATGGGAAAAATCAGATGTGACTACGGATGGATGGGACCAAAATGCAGTCAAGGTATGTTCATTTGTTTACCCAGGTGTAACCTTCATTAATCTCTTTTATTTTAGCCGTTGATCCACGTAAATGCTCATGCGAAAACTCAGGAATCTGTGTCACAACATCTTTCTCAAATACAACTCTCGAATGTGAATGTCAAAATGGTTTTGCTGGAGACAAGTGTGAAATTAGTCTTGGAAGAAACGAAAAAGCTGTTCCATCAGAATCTTGTTCAAACAAAGATGTTTGTCTTAATGGAGGAACTTGCTTTGCGAATGGACCAAAACATTTCTGTGCTTGTGCTCATGGATTTGACGGAGAATTTTGTGAAATCAGTCTTCGAGGAGATCAAAGATCTATTTCGGAAATTGAAAAGAAAGAAGGATACAATTATTTTGTTATAACTTGCACAATCTTTTCTCTCTTCATTTTATTATGCATTGCCTGCTGTTTTACTTATCGTAACCGCGGTTCACGATCAGATGCTCTTCAACGCGGACAAACCTTCGATTTCCCTCAAATGGCTAAAGTTGATGTTGTTATGGTCAAATCAGATGAAAAACAAATATATACTATTGAAAATGATTATACGACTGCTCCAATTAAATCAACTGATCCAGTTTATTCAACAATTCATCGCCCTCCACCACCACCATCTCAATTTCCCCCACCGACACCAATCTGGCCCTAAATCCCAACCCTATTTCATTTTTTTCGTTTTTCCTCCTCGATTTATATGTATAGGTCTTGGTTTTTTTGTGCTAGTCATATTTGATCTCGGTGATTTTTTTCTTTTTTTTTTGTTTTAAATTTTTTATTTTTCTTGCCAACATTTTTTGTGTATTCTACGAGTACTTTTGTGCCTTTTTCTTCAAAAGAATTGAATAAAAACTAAATTCATACACTTTTCTTGACTTGTGCTGTTTTCCCAGTAGATGCTGCTAAAAATTTCCAGGAAAAGTTTTGAAATTTTTTGAAAAAAAAAACTAACTGCTTGGCGTTTTTCCAGTTGATGTTGTTGTTGTATTCGTCGGCTGATCAACTTTTGAATTAGGACGACTTTGTTTCTCAAATTCTTCATCAATCCATTCAAGAGCCACCATATATTTTGCCTCTTTTCGAACTTGCAAAATCTCGAATCCCATTGAAATCAAAGATAATGACATGAAATGTGCAAATATAACCACTGAAAAATCAATATTGATAGTTTCGAAAATAAATTAAATTCAAAAACTCACTAAATTCAGTTCCTAGAAGATTCGGAGTCATATCGCCAAAACCAACAGTTGAAAATGTAGAAAACGAAAAATAAAACGAATCCAACACTGTGAATTTCTCAAAATTCACCATGAGTAAAGAACTCAACAGCCAAAATGAGCAATTATAAAATATTGCAGATTTTAATGAAACCATCATCAAAGGATTTCCAATACTATAATGCTCTCTGAAATTTGAAAAAAAAAATGCATAAGATTTTAGTTGGACAGAGACAAAAAATGATTACTTACCCATATGCCCATTTTTCAATTTTTGTCAATATTTTCAGCATATATTTTCCATTGTTCCGAAGAACAAAAACCATAAGCGGGATGCCAAGAATACCATAAATGACTGTTATTATTTTTCCAACACTTGTATAGCAAGTTATATGACCATAACCTGTTTGAAAAATCAAATATAATATAAGCACATAAATATTTTTGCAAAAACCCACCAATCGTTGTTAAAATTGTGAAGGAATAGAACAAGGCATTGGAATAAGTCATTTGTGAATTTTGAATCTTAACACCTTCTCGTGCTAACATTGTGTCAATCATTTGGCTTTTGCAATTTCCATTGTTAATTCGAGGATCATACAAACATTTTGTGAAGTGTTTTACTACTTCTACGATTTCACCTCGTTTCTCCTGAAATCAATTCATTTTTGATTGATGTAAGTGAATATATTACAGAAAATAATTACCTCAATTTCTTTTTCCTTCAAAGTGTTGCTTCTTTCAATGAGCCAGAATAATAATCCACCAAGAAGCGAATAAAATACAATGGCCACAAGGAGAATAACGACTTTGAATCGATGGAAAAACCAACATTTACCTCTGTCCGATTTTTCCTCCTTGTCAGAATGATGAAGTCCGCTAGAAATAGCTTGATTGCATCACAAAACAAAAACACAGATGATGGTGTTATTTTTATCGATCGCGGGCGCGATTCAAATTTTTTTGACCACGCGTTGCAACGTTTTCTGTGTGTGTGCAAACACTGTTGCGTACTACAGTAATTTTTATTTTTATTTTTTTTTCACGAAATGCATTTCCAGTCCATTTTCCGTGACAAAACTCTTTTTTCCCACTAAATTTTTTACCTTGTTTTGAACACCGAACTATTCCACCCGCCAATTCCACCCGACTGATCCGCAACCTTATTTTTATGCTTCATGTAGCGTTGTAACAACTTTTTTCCTTCATCTCGTTTACATTTATTATAAACTTTATTTTGCTTACGATTCCTGGAACGGAACATTTAAGTAGATTACTTCTGTCCTTTCGAAAAAACTCACATTTTTCTTTACTGACAATATTACTAAATAACTGCAGTTTCACGTTAGAATTTTTCCTCAAAAAAGGTCACGTAAAAAAAACAAATTTATTTGAAAATTAATTGAATGGATCTTGCAATAATATTTGCTCGAGATTTATTTTGATAATGTCCATCTTGGTCAACCAAAACACTAAGAGTTTTATGCTCCGAAATTGCAGTTGTTATTTCTTGAAAATGTTCATCAAGAATATCATCGTCAAAATTCTGAAAAGCATATATTTTGATGATAAAATCGTAATGTTTTCAAAAAAAACTTACAAACGTTGCATGGTCTTTGAAATTTGATAAATATTCAGTAACGATTTCCTTTTCAATAATTTGATCTTTTCCTCCATAAAATACCACCAATTTTGTAGAAATCTCATTGAACTTCTGAATATGCGGTAATAAATTTTCTAAATCCAAAGTCATAGATGTTTTCAAACTAGCATGAGCAATTTCACCGCTCGCAACTCGAAGTCCAAACGCTTCAAATGCTTAATAAAAAACTTGAATGAATGTCCCAAACATAAATCTTACTTTTGATGAGAAGAGCATCCCGTGCAAAAGTTGGTAAATAATTCGAAATTGTGTCAAGAACAACTAATCCAAATTTTGAGCGAATTGCTTGATGTGGTCGAAGACCAGTTGGAGCAATAAGAACTAATCCAAGAATATTCATATTTTCTTGTTTTTCAATTACAGAAATGAGAGCATTTTCGCATCCACGACTATGAGCCACAAATACAATTTTACCTTTAATTGAAAGAGAATCGAGAAGTGAATTTGTGAATAACTGGCGCTCTTCATTTGTGAATTTTTGGTTTTCATAACCTGTACAAATTAAAAATATTTACAATTTTTAAAAGAATCTTTCTTACTTTTAGTTATGCCAAATCCAGGATAATTTATACCGATGAATCTAATTTCTAGAATATCCAAAGTTTCTCGAATATATTTGAAATCTCTATTTGATCCTGGCGCACCGTGGAATCCAATAACAGTTCCCACATTTGAACCATTTGGCATTGAATCCTCATAAACTGCTTCAATGTGAATCTCTTCATTATCTTTATTGATATAAATACATTTTCTGTGCATTTTTTAGAAATGTAACAAATAAGAAATGACCTTTTTTTACAATTTATTTTTTTGCGGAACAAAAACAACAGGTGACAACATGGAATTGATTGTTTTCGAGATAAGATCGGCGCGGAATTTATTTTGGAAATGGTTGTCTTTTTTGATGTAGACTGAAGCGCCTTTATGTTCTTCAAAGCTTTCCAAAACTTGCTCGATTTCCGGTTCTTCGTCGAATTTCTGAAACAATGTTTTTTAAAATCGCTGAAAATTCTTTTCAAAATAGAAAAACTTACAAGATCTACTAAATCCTTGTATTTTTCCAAAACTTCGAACATGATTTCCGGCTCCATCAAATGATCTTTTCCAGCATACAAGAATAAAACTTTTGTCTGAAAATAAATAATATTTATTTGAAATTCTAAGAATATCAATACTTACCTTCAGCTCATTGAGTTTCTCAATGAATGGAAGTTGTCCAGCTAGCATAACTCGATTCATAGTTCGAAATGCGCTTATACATTCTTCCGGATTTTGAGGTCGAAATCCAACAAACTTGTACACTGAAATTTTGTGAATTAAAAAAATAAAAATTTGAGGAAAGCAAGTGTGCTCTATTTCGTTATTTTTCTCTGTGCTCTCTTCGAAACACACACTGTTTCGTTTTTTCCAAGAATATTTGAAACTTCAAGACTTACGTTGAAAAATGAAAGGATCGGCAAGAAATTTCGGAAGAGTGTCATAAAATCGTTCAATATTTCGAAGTCGCTGAGGTGGAGAAATACCTCGATGTGGTCTGAGACCGATTGGATTACAAAGCACCAAGCCATGAGCCTGAAAATTATAAGGAATTTTACAACAAAAAAATGCTGAAACTTACATTGTTTTCAACTGCTGTTTGAAGTGCATTTTCACATCCTCGACTATGTCCAATATAAATAATTTTTCCAGAAATATCAATTTCTTTGAGCAAAGCATCGGTGTACATTTGTCTCTCGTCATTTTCAAAACTTTGTCCAGGATAACTTTTCGTATTAGAAAAACCAGGATAATTGAGGCCGATATATCGAATCCCAAGAGTTTCTAAATTCTCTCGAATATATTTGAAATCGTTGTGTGATCCAGGTGATCCATGAAATGAAATAACAGTTCCAATTGAGCTTCCACTTGATAAAGAATCTTCATAAACAGCTTCAACTTGATGACCTTTTCCAAAACTAACCAATTTTTTGAATAATTTCGGATCCGCCATTTTCTTTTTGGCAAAATGCCGAATTTGATAATAAGTTTGAAACATGTACCAGTGTAGTGTTCCCTTGAAAAAAACAATAAGAAAAATAGAAGAGGAATAGAGAAAAAGTGTAGACAAGAGAGATAAAAAAGAGTGCGTATTGATCATTTATTGCAAAAAATAGTAAACAAAAAACAACTACATTGTAGGTCAAGACTTCAGAGAGGCCGAAAAAAGTTGACACCTGGGTTGATTATTAGGCGCTAATGTTAGGAAACGGATCATTAGACACACCTTATTTATTTTTCGCAGCTGGCAGAATCGATGGATTTTCGGATTGAAAAATGACAAAAAAAGGGAAATTGAGCCAAAAACACGTCAAAATTATTCACGCGAAAAATAGTTCTGTTTTTTTTAGAGAAAAAATACTTGGGACTTTTTTCTGCAAAATTCTGAACCCCGCAAAAAAGTTGTCATTATTTTAATCCATCCTGGTTTATTATTATTATTGTCATCATTGTAACATAGTTTTTATATACTAACAATAGAGTCTCATAACTGTGAGAATACAAATATACAGTTTCTCACAATTAGAATTCATTTTGATTTGATTCGTCATTGTTCATTCTCTCCTTCGTTTTTTTTTCGCAATCCAATAAAATATCAATTTTTTGTTATGTCTCCTGCCAGTCCCAAAAATAATATTAGAGCTTCGTCTTCGAACATCTGTGATGAAAAACGTTAGTTCCGACAGATGTTGAAAGAATTATCATAGAAAAGTTTTATACACTTCTTTTTCGACATTCAAGTTTCAATCGACAATTGGTCATTTTTTATTGCTCTAATTGCTTTTTGATTTGTTGTCAATTGAGACGGCAAAAATGAAATGGGATGAGGCACAAAATGTGTTTCAATTGTTAATTGTTTTCTCCGCGGAGTCCTTTTTTCTAGAGGATTCTTGCAAAACTGTCTCATTTTATTGTGTTCCGTCGTACCGGTCACAACATCTGTAGAAATTCTGTTAGTTATTTTTGGAAATTGTTGACTGTCTGAGATAGCATACTGTATCAGATGTGTCCTTTTCAGTGAAACATCTGTAATTCTTGATCATCTAACAAAAATATTTATTTTTGAGAGTTTGTTGTTGACAATATTGAATTGGGTACTGTACCAGATGTGTCTTGTTTTTCCAAAATTTTGATATTCAGGAAGATTCATGAAATTTCTTTATTTTTAGGATGTAGGAGTATTAGAAGTTATATTTTATGTAATCCTTGATGGTTCTTTTTGAAAAGTCATTTCCGACATAATGAAACATGTTAGAGATTCACAAGTACACTAAAATTAACTTCCGATGTTTTTTCTGTCTCAAAAGTATACTTCAATTCAACCCCTAACAACAGATATCTTCTGCAAAAAAAAAATATAATTTTTTGGGTGACCCAACGAAATTTTTTACTTACACCTGCGACTATAGAAAATGCACATCTGCAAAATAATTTTTTCATTTTTTTTTCAATAACCCAAAAACGTGGATGCAGCTGTTAGACGAATACTGTAACTCAAAAACAGGTTGAACCGAGTTTCACACCTATCAATCAGGCATGCGCAACAAAGTGTGAAGTGTGCTTGGATAAAAGTATGACAGCTTTTGAAGTGAGAAGTATAGAAAGTTAGAAATCCACCATTTCTACCTTCAAATTTATAAAGTAAATTTACCCAATTTCTCGGAGCAATAAAGAAAACACAAAAAAAACGAAAAAAACTACTGTTTTCCTTATTTTATCAAAGGCGCACAAATCATAAACGTGTGTGGGTCTTGCAGCAACGCACAACTACGGTAGTATTTGAATCAGTTTTTTGTTTTTTTTTTCGTCGACGCGAACAAGAAAAACGTGTGTTCTGCATGCTGCGAGCATCAAAGAATTGATTTGCTATTTTCGGGGCCTTCTATATTGGTGAGTTAACGGTTTACACTGGTAGATTGGAGGATTAGTCTGATTTTCACGCCTCCGCCGTGAAAATCTGTACTAACTCTAATCTCAATTCTGTTTTTCCGTTTTTCCTCCTTTCTCATTTCAAGTTAGCTCGATGATTTTTTCGCATAATTAACTTGCTCAGAGGTGTTCAATCTTTCCAAACCTCGCTTTTCCCATTTCAATATTTGTTTCTGATAATTTCTTCCACTTTTTGCCAAATACCACACTTCACAGCCTTCCCAATTGCAAGAAACCCCGCCCATTTTTTGGGTGGGAACCAACTGTGGTGAATAATAAATAGGGCGGTGATAGCTCCATTCAATTCTTATATTTTCTTTCGTTCTTACATTGGTTTTATTAGCTAATAACTCTAATTCCAGTCGTCCTCCGACATACATAAAATAGGTCCCCCGAGTCAGTTTTCAAAGTTAGGGTCCCTCCTTGAAAATTTTCCAAAGTTAAACACCTTCCTCGCATTTTTGAGCGAATTTTGGACGAATCTGGGAATTTTGGTAAATTATCAGCAGAAAATTGGCCAAGTTAAGCACCCTTCCCTTCAGATTTTTGAAAAAAGTTAAGCCCCTCAGCCCGATTCTGGGGACCCATTTTATGTATGTCCTCCGAGTTATTTCAAGAACTTTTAACTTAACTTGTAAGCTTATTATTGACGTAATTACAATTCTAATTTCATATCCATATATTTCACATTTTCAACTGAAAACATATAAACTTACCAAAAAAGTTTCAAATCCCGTATTGTTTACTTCCGCTCATCTCAACCAGCTAAAATAATAATTATTATTCAAAAATGATTCCTTTGAATACAGTACCGCTTCTTTTATTGTTACGTAATTATTCATTCATCTCTCCTTTTTTCTTTTCTCCACCTAATCAACTTCTAATTTACATAATAAGATTAACCATGCATGTTCACAGGTGTATTTACTACAAACATACCTTTGATACAACGCTACTTGACAGTTTCTAAGTTATATCTAACCGCGTGAACAATAATCTACAGTACTCGGAAGATTCTTCACACAGCTGTACATCCAGTTTCAGCACACCTGCGCAACTTGAATTTTTCCTTTTCTTTTTAAACGCAGATGGCTTGTTAGTCATTTTTCGCCTATTTCGGATATAAAAACGAAAGAATGAAGGACAACCCAATTTTTATCAAAACCGAAATTAGAATTCAAATCCTTTAGTCAATTTCAATTAAATTTGAAATGCAGATGTTTTTCTTTCTCTCATTTTCCAGTTAGCTCGACTTCCTTCCTTTTCTAATTCATTTCAACTTGATGGTAGCAATTCGTCCAGTCTCAGAAAAAGAAAAATATCGTTTTTCATCTTACCGCCCGCCACTATAGCTAATTTCGGAAAAACAAAAACTATTCGTCTTTTTTTGGCGTTTCTCAGGTTGTATACCTCTTTTTGAAAAAAAAGAGAACTTTTTAAAAATATTTGAGTTGGTCGGTGAGTTCAAATGTGGCTTGATGTGAGGTGTAATAATAAGTTAGTCATCGATTCATAAATGTGTTGGTTTTTCGTATTCATATGTTGTAGGACCATGGATTTCATTTTTTTTATTTAGTAAAAAAATACAACTTTTTTTTCAAATAAAAATAGATAAGGATCAATTTTGTCACCCAAATTAACACATTTGGAGTCAGCTAAATCAACAGTTTATAATCCTATTAGCACGTTATCCCTAGGTTATTGTATCGAGTTCTGGGAGAGTACTGTACATTCTTCGTAAATTGTATCTAAAAATTATATCCCTGGAGAACTAATCTCAATTTATTTCTGAAATTAACTGAAAATGTTTCGGAAAAAAATCTCTTAATTTTTTTCCATCTTTTGTACTTTTTTGAATTATCTATCGATTTAGTTTGTTTTTCTCCTTCCAGATGTTCATCCGAAAATTCAAAAACTCTTGTTCTTTTCCTATATACAGTATTCCTTGTTTTTTGTCTTCCTTCTATTTCCGTTCACCATCTTGTGCATAACTCCGCCCATTTTCCCTTTTTTCTTCCACTGACTGACTGACTGGTGTCTTTTCTTTTCTTTTTTTTCTAGTCACCACACTTGCAAATATAATTTTGATCTACCGCGCGAAATTTTTGAGTTATAATTTGAAATTTCAACAAAAATATTTTCGTTTTTTTCTGCTTTATTTCAAGCTTTTACCATCGCTATTAAATATTATTTTTCAGCACTTCATGCAATAAAAATCAATTTTCAAAAGTGTCAAACCTTTCCCCCAACTACTAACATGCTTTGCCTCTTCCTTCTCTTCGCATTCTTTTTCCAAATTTCAAATGCCCACGGATCAATCGAATTTATTGTGACCGCCCAACAAAATGTCTCTTTTCTGACCGAAATTTGCTCTGAAGTTCGTTGCAATAACATTGACAAGAATAGCCGAAAACAAGAGCTCATCGCAAATTTTCCATACAGATCGTATGGAGGAAAATTTAAAAATTATCCAACGGTAAGATCTTTTGTTTTTTTTTTGAAAAAAAAAGCTATGAAAATGTAATTTTTCAGCACAACTACGATTTCCACATGATAATTTTCAATGCAAATGGAGGTAAGATTAGATTTTGAATTAAACCAACAACCAACCAGCGTAACAAAAAAAAAGATTGTAAATATTATTATCAACATGACCTGCCGTAATATCGGCAAATGTCAAATAACCATTTTATTACCCAAAACAAGGCACCTGTCTATTGTCATTTTCTTCTAGATTTGATCGGAAGAGCCTTCAACAAACAAGAACCTGATGCAAATTGGAGAACAAATACAATTGAAACATCGGACGGATTCAATGTCAGTTACACATTCCGAACAACTTGTGACAAGTCAGTTTTTTATGGGATAGGTGGAAAAAAAAGGGGGGGGGGTACAATATTCCCATAGATAAATATGAGAGGATTATGACAAGTGAGATTGGAATATCCGGATTACGGTAAAAAAAATTATGTGGGAAAAATGTGCTTGACGTGAACTGTTGGGAGTTTTTAATTTCATTTTTAAATAAAAATCTTTCGCAAATAATAAATTGTGGATTTCTTTGTACAATCGTAACCAAACTTTTCAAGAATGCAATTTTCAGGAGCTACTTTGGCTCGAAATGTGAAATCTTCTGCAAAGATTCTCCGCTTCATCATATCAAATGCTCTTCAAACGGCCAGCCTGGATGTATAGAAGGCTGGACTGGCAAAGATTGTATGACTCGTAAGTTTATTCTCATTTTTTCGTCTCTCCCGTCATATATTTTCTTTGACTCTAAACACACCTCGAAAGAGGGGGAAAAGCGCGAAAATGTGTGTCGCCACATGTGGCTTTAGATGCTGACACCTCATTGTGTCATTGTGAAAAGGCGGCAACATCAAACACATATTGTGATATGTTTCTGATTTGGGTTTCCTCCTCCTAGTTCAACCATTTTCCTCGTTAGCCATAAATGTTTTGGTTTTGAGGATCATTTTTTGATGGACAAGGTTAATAGGCTTCTCTGATCTAATTAACCCAAATTGTATTGCATTGATGTAATTAGAATGAATGTGTTGAAGAAATACGAAAAAAAACACCTGCGCGCGCACAACGGGATAAGTTTTTGATTGTTTTTCTTTCCCGATGTTTTTATAAAAGTTTATGGCTAATTAGAAGGCGGGGAAAATGTTTGTGGCACGTGGAAAATCTCAAAATTTTCAGCATTATGCGCGAACAACTGTAGCGGAAATGGGAAATGTGTAGCAGCTGGACAATGCAAATGCAATAATGGATTTCAAGGAAATGATTGTTCGGAATGTGTTCCAAGTGTTGGATGTGTTCATGGTGGATGTGCCAATAATCAATCATTTACTTGTCAATGTTTACCTGGTTATATTGGTCCACTTTGTGATAAGGAATCAAATCGTTGTGAACGCGAAACACTTTGCCAAAATGGTGCGATTTGTTTGAATGAGAACAATTCGCGAGGATATCGTTGTGAATGCCCCGCGGGATTTGTCGGTGAATTTTGTCAAGTGCCAATTGATAGTGTCAAATGCAAACATGTTCGAGGAAGACAACCAAATATGTGTTTGAATGGTGAGTGAAGTGGGAAAAAGGAGGTATTGTTTTTATGCTAATTTTTTGCATCATAAACGCGGGAATTTTACGATGAGATTGATGAGTAAAGATGTTTGTAAATGTTTGTAAAAATATACATTCAAATCAGAATTTTTTATAGGTGGCACATGTTTTTCATTCGATCAAAAATTGATGGAATGCAAATGTAAACCAGGATTTTCTGGAAAATTTTGTGAGATTGGAGCAGCTGCGCCAGAATGTTCGTGTCAAAATGGTGGAACTTGTTCTGGACAAATTTGTCAATGTCCAACTTGTTATATCGGAGATAAATGCGAGATTTTTGATGCGGTCTGCCTTGTTGATCACTTCAAAAATGCTACCATTCAACATCATTCCAACACAAAAACAGAAACTCTCGAAGTTTCAAATGAAGTTAATATCATGGCATTTATTCTTCTCCTCATTTTGCTGATTGTTATTTTGGGAGCGATTTATGTTGTTTTGTTGAAGATTCGCAATCGAAGAATGAAACCGGAAATTGAAATTGAAGTTATGGCGACGCCAAAAAAATCATATAAGGTGAGAATATTTGGGGCGCCAAATTGTCTTGGGTTAATTTGAATTAATTGCCTTTGTTGCGAGAAACTTGGAACTAAAATTGGATTCTTTGCAGGTTTGCGTAATTGATCCAGCTCAAAATCAAAATTGTCATCATCACGATAATTGTGAACCTCCACCAGCATATTCGCCACAAAAATATAAATCGCTACCAACTCGAGAAGATTCATTTATTTTACACCCCTCTCCTCCCATTATAGTCTGAAAATTTGATCTTTTTGTTTTTTTTTTAGTTTTTTCCCCTTGAATTTGATACATTTAATAACGGGTTTCTTTTCTTTGCTTTTTTTGTTCAAAATAGCGGGTTTTCCATGTACATAAAAATCCCTGTCCCCAAAATTTCCCCGATTCTTGTGTTTAAAAATTGCCCCGAGAGAAAAATGGCCTGAAAATACTCAAAATGGCCTGTTTTATTATAGATTCATATAGCTTATATTGTGTTTTTTGTTTCATTTTCCAATTTTTTCGATGTTTTTTTTAATGTATTTATGCAATGTATAATAAGAGTGATTTTTCTCTTTTTAATTTGGAATTCGTTTTTGCAAAAACATTGAAAAATTATCAGAAGGTGTTTGTTTTTTCTCATATCTAATTTTTCCCACTTATACTGAAATTGTTTCCGGTCAATAATTTATACTATTTTTCACAAAAAAATTTCATTTCACAAAAAAAAATTATCACATGACTGTTTTTAAAAGTTTCAGAAGCTGTTTCTGAACAAAACCCGCTGAAATTTCTGCAAATAATGTGATTTTAACTTGAAATAGAAGAAATCTGACAATTTTGAATTGAAAATCATGGAAATTTGGCCTCAATCTGAATTTTTTTAGTCATAGGGTAAATTAAAATAGGAAATATGTTATGGGATAAATTATTAGGTAGCCATGTCGTCAGTCGCGATGCGTGTGAGCGACACTTTTTAAAAAAAGAAATGAAAATTTGGCAAATCGAATGGAAAATATTGATGTCAACACGCAACGCAGAACCGCATCGCAATTGACGACATGGGTAAATATTAAACGGCGATCTGTCTGTCCACTCGACCTACTTTTGTGCCCTAGATTTAAGCTTAAATAATTTGACTGGAATAATTTTGCTCATTTCTGATTTTTCAAAACGCTTGGATTGCCGCCTTAATTTTTTGAAATTTAGTGAGTTTTTTTTGTTTATAAAATGCATTGTTGTAATTAACATAGTTTGAGTATAATTATCACAAAAAAACTAGAGATTCTATAGATTTTAAATTTTATCCCAAAACTGAAACCACACCTGACGAGAGAGTGTCCCAAATTTTTTGTGCAGTGTGAAAATTTTTTTCAAAAAAAAAATGTGCAGCGTGAAATTTTCAAGTTTTTTGAAAAAAAAAAAGTCCGCGGGCAGGAGGATTCGAACCCTGGTCTCATGCTCGCCAGTCTAAAATGCTATCCTCTCGGCCACATCTCTTTTTTCTCCCTAGGGGAAAATGTTGGTGGAAAAGGAAACTGTTTTCAAACGAATGCGTTGCAACGTTGCTCAAAATTTGAAGTTAGGATAACTAAGCTTAGGCTTAACGGATATAGTTGATTTTTTTCCAATAGATTGCTAAGGTCATAGGCAGTGTGGAACACCATGAGTGCAGTGTGGAAATGCCCTATTTCGCTGTTATTTTGAAGTGTCCATTTTGATGGTAAATATGGACATTACAAAGAAACGGACGGCATTTTTTTCGAGCACATATCAAGGGTTGGTATATTCAGAAAGTTGGTGTATTTTTAAGCGTAGTTTTTGAATTTACCCATGTGCAGTGTGGAATTTGAAGTTTTTTCATAGAAAGTCAATTTTTTTGAAATTTCAGTGACACTATGGTTTGCTAAGCAGTCACGTAAATTCCACACTGCACATTATGTTACCACACTAAAACAAAGTCTGCTGAGTTGATTTTCACCGAGAAACTTCGAAAAATTCGCAATCTGAAGTTGATTTTGAAGTTGGGAAAAAATAAAAAAAGTTAGCTCGAATGAAGATTCGAACCTGGGCCTTCTGAACACTAGCAAAATGGCCTACCACTGAACTAAATGTGCATTTATTTCCCCAAGTTAAAAGTTGATGAAAAGGAAACAAAGTTTTTTTTCGAAAAAAATGCAGTGTGACTTTTGAAAAAAATGTACAGTGTCCATTTTGGACACGTCTCGTCAGGTGTGACTGAAACCAAAAATAATCATCTCACAGTCTTAGGTCTATTATCTTCAGAGCTTTCCAATATTCACACTTTTCTTTAAGTAAACTCACGATTATTTGATATTTTTCAACTAAAACACCGCGAAATTATTTTTTTTTGTTAAATTAAAAAAATTCCTAACCTAGTCCCGCAAGTTTTCCAATCACTGTAGATCACCCGCGATTTCACTATCTTTTTGTCTCTTTTCTCTCGTATGGACGCCTTTTTTTTGGAATAGCGTTTTGAATCAATAAAAAAACAACCAAAAGTTTAATAATTTAATCAAATTCAAATTATTTTTCAGATTAGTGGATGTGGATGAATTAATTCGAGAAGATTTTGGTTGGAAAAAATGAAGCAATTTCGAGCGATGAGATGATCGAGAAACGGACGGAATTTAAAAGGTTAGTTCTTTTTTGGGGTTCGATTGAGTAGTAAAGTTTTAGTCGGAGGCATACATGATGGAGGGAGGGGGGTTAAAGGTAGGGGGTTAACTTTTGAAGTATTTTATGCTTTTAGGGGTCAAAAATCAATAAAAATTGGGTTAGGGTGGTTAACTTTTCGAAAATTTTGCATGAGAGGGGGGTAATGTTAAAAACGGAGAAGGGGGATATATTGGGTTTTTGTTTTGTGGATATGGGTAGGATATGGGTGAAAAATGATTTGAAAATGAAAAAAGTTATTTCATCAAAAAGTCGCTTGATGAAGCCGAAATTATGTTTTATATTTTTATTTTTTTAAATGTTTTTTTTGAAGTTTGTTTTTGTTATTTTTTTTTGTGACTTCATTTTTCTTTTCTCAAAGGGTGTAAAATACAAATCGATTTGAATATTGCACTGGATGAGGTCATCACCCAATTTTTCGAAATAATTTACAGAATCTCTAGTTTTTTGTGACTTCATGGTGAGTCAAAAACCGTAAAAAAAATTGAGCAAAAAAAGTCATTTTGATCCATAAAAGTGAGGTAAATCGGAATTTTGGAGTGGCTTCAAAATTATTTCTCAAAATTTGTAAAACTGAAAATTTGTTCCGAAACTCTTTAGATTTGTTTCGATGAACTTCACATATCCTAACTCTCCTTTTTTCCAGCAAAACCCAAATGATCTTTAGTTTTAGTTTTTTTTCTAGAAGGTCATGTGTTCTGAACACTTCCTCGTTACGCCCAGCTATCAAAAAAAATGAAGAGAAACAGAGAATAGATACGAACTTTTTCGCGTTCATTCTCTCCATCCTTTTCAAAAAATGTCTGCTACACAATTTGCTGATGGATTTCAAGCTTTTACTGAAAATCCACATAACTTTTTATATGCCTCCAATTTGACAGAGATTTGGGCCTTCGAAAAAACTGGTGAGGTTTAGCAGTTTTTTTTTCAACTTTTAACATAAGGAATAACATTTTTAGATGGATCAATTCTTGGAGGTGGAAAACTTGCAACAATTTCTACAACTCAAGAAGGTGCAACTTGGCAAGTATCCACATTTCCAGCGATTCGTGAACCATCTGAAAATATTAAAGAAACATTATTCAGCACTGGTTTTGATGCACATCTACTTTTGACCCTAAAATCAGGAGAAGCTAAATTAGTTGCAGCTTATCAATGGGATTATGAAACAAAACAATTCAAGGAATATCCTTTAGAAATTGATTCATCAGAAGTTTTGGAGCAAGGTGAAATTGATGTTGTTGTGGCTGAACATTATGTTGCAAGCACTCAGAAAATTGTGATTCTTTCTGGTTTGAGTGGATATCATTTCTATTTGTATGACTTTTTAGATGATCGTTCGAAAATTACTGGAGAATATGTTGGATTTGTTGAAGCCAACGGGGTGAGTTCTACACGAAGAAGATCTTTTGAACTTGAATATATGGGTCTGAAAATTCCCCAAATTTCTAAATCAAATATTTTTCAGCGTGGTCGTGCTCTCAACGCTTTTTCCAATGAGAAATTCGTCTATTTCACATTTGGAAGAGAAGGTTGTGGATTCCGCTGGGATCGATCAACAGTTTTGAGATATGATCTCATCGAAAAAGAGTTGACTGAATTGCCAGTCGCTGGAGATGGCCCAACATTTTTATATGATGGAGCAGCTTCAACTTGGTATATTCCAAATGAATTCTGGGGATTCTGTGTTGGTAGACATACTGGAGGATTTGATGGACAATCATGGGTTATTGAAGGATTGGAACAAAATGAACTTCGATGGGTTAAACGAGATGCGGAATTTGAGAGTTTGGGAGAGGAAGAGGATTATGTTGTTGTAACAAGTCCAATTGCTGTAGCTACGTATTTGATCACAAAAGAGAAATCATTGCAAATCCATCATAATTAATTATTGTTTTTTGAAATATAATTAGTTATTTTGGAAAGTCGCAAAATAGGTTGATAAAATAATCTTACTTCGAAATTGTTTTCCCTGGAGAATAAAAAACATAAATTTGTATTGTTCTGATTTTGAATAATAAATTAATATTTATTAACGAAACGAATATGACAAAAAAATTGAATCTCGTGATTCAAAGTCATCGTCAAGTCTTCGTTAAACAACGATTATTCACACCAATTATTTTTCATTTTTCTAAAATTCTCTTTTTCCAGCAGGATTACAATTAACTTTATATATATATATTCGTGTTAGAATTCTAAATCATAACATTTTCAAAATGTCCTTTTTTGGATTTGGAGCTCCGACTAGAAATTGGAAAATCGGAGAGTTCGGAGAATACCAGAAAATATTCAATACATATTTCCAACATCCTTATCTACCGAAGAGAAGATTTTTCAATCAATATTTTATTTGGGATTTGCAAGTTACAAGAACAGAGTTTGAAAACGATGTGAGTGGTTATAACAAATTGTGGTCAATAACAAATTATTGAAGCTATTTAGGCAAAATTCTACCGAATTATGTTTCAATCATATCCAAAAGAACCCAATTCGGAAAGTGCTCGATTTATTGTTGATTTTGAGAACCGCGGAGATCCAAATAATCCACTCACGAAATCAACAACATTTTTAAGTATTGAAACACCAACTTCACAGTATAGTGTTCAGGAACATTATGATGTTTTGGATTATTCTTCAATGTGTGAAAAATGGTTGACTGATGCTCTGTTTTACAAGAACTATGAAATTTATAGTTTGTCTTTGATTTCGGTAAGAAGTTTTGTTGCCTGCGAAGAACAATAACTGAGATCTTTACAGCCTCCAAAATTTGATATTCCTACTCGAGCAACTTTTCACATAAATAGATTGGAAATTGAAACAGATGAAGATGAAAAAGACATGTTGTATGCATATTATTGGTTGAATTTTTTTCAAAGTCGGTCAGGTAGTATAGGACCAAAGATAGTGAAAATTAGATCATTATTTATTGAAATGAAGATTGCTGGAAATCAGATGGTAAGTTGATTATTGCATTCATTCAACAATTAAAATTTAATTTCAGTTAAAAGAAATAGAAAAAATCGAGATTCATGGAAAGTTTGATATCACCGCAGATTGGGTTAGGAATTATAGTGGATATTGCTTTATTTGGAGAAAAATGGAAGAAGAAAACAAATTTACAACCACTGAACTGAAAACATTATATGAGAAGGTCAGATTGACGGAAAACCGCGTTGGAATATTTTTAGATCAAGGGAATGTAATACAAAATGATCGAATGCATACATGGCTTAATAAAAATTATGGAGCAAACATGTCCTTTGATATTGGTTATAAGTGTCACGGAGCTGGAAATGATTTAGTCACATTTTACTCAAGAACAAATAGAACTGTGATTGAGAAATCATTGGAGTCGACTAATGTTGGAGTTATGAAGGTCGAAGACTTTCTGAAAGAATGATTTTATATTGTACTTTTTTTAACGCTTTTTAAAATTGTATTTTTTTTTTGAATACGTGCCAAATTAATTATGATATGTTTTATATATCTTACTCGTAACTCGAGAATTTTCTGAGTTTTGTGCAAATAAAATTTTGGCTTGGGGAATTTTTTGAGTTCCAAATTTCGGTCCACTTTTTTCTGTCAATAGAAAAATAAACAAAATTTGTGTTCCCTGGAGAACATTTGTACTTTCGACGTTGATACAAAAAAACATTATTTGTAGCTTTCTGTTTTTGAATAATAACTCAGAGATTCGCTGGCCAGCTCGCCACCAGATCGCTGCGGCTACCTGGAAACCGCATGGCCGCCAGGTCGCCTTGAGTTTTCCGGCGACGTGGCCTGTGTGTTTGAAATCCTGGAAAGCTGGCAAGACGGTGGTTTCTACTCAAAACACTGCATTTTCTACTGTTTTTTTCACTTCCTAAGGTTTCAAGTGCTGCGAAAAAACAGAAAATGAGCCAAATTTTTCGAAAATGCCTCAATTCACAAGTTTTTCAAACATTTTCATGAAAATTCATTTTGACGAGGCGAAGTGGCCACCACGTGGTAGCCATGTGGCCGTGACCTAGCCAGAGCCTGGCCACTTTGCCAGCGAAAAAAAACCGGGCGACATGGTTTCCATGTGGTTCCCAGGTCAGCCAGCCTCCCCACCTGGTGGCGAGCTGGCCAGCGAATCTCTGAGAAGTTATTATTCATTAACGTAAGTTGTTGAAAAAACCAACTGAATCTCGTGATTCAAAGTCATCGTCGAGTCTTTGCAGAATAACAACGCTGATTCACACCAAATATTTTTCCATTTTTCTATAATTCTCTTTTTTCCAACATGATTACAATTAATTCGTGTTAGACTTTTCTAATATCTTTCTCAAAAATGTCTTTTTTTGGATTTGGAGCTCCAACTAGAAATTGGAAAATTGGAAAGTTTGGAGAATACCAAAACACATTCAACAAATATTTCGAACATCCTGATGAGCCAAAGAGTAGATTCTTCAACCGGTATTCGATTTATCGATTTGTTGTTTCAAGAGGATCGTTGGAAGATGATGTAAGTTATTTTCAAAGAAAACGACATGAAAATATATTACATGTTAGACACGATTCTACAAAATTTTATTTCATTCATGGCCAAAAGAACCTGTTTTTGAATCAATTCGATTCGTGCTAAGAATTGAGGATCGAGGAGATCCAAATAATCCACTTATGAAATCAACAACATTTATGAGCATGGAAAAACCCAATTCTCTTTGTCGATTTCATAAACATTATGATATTTTGGATTATTCTTCAATGTGTGAAAAATGGATTATTGATACTGTGTTTCATAAGAACTATGAAATTCATACTTTGATTCTGGAATCGGTAAGAAATTTTGATGGTGTGTAGAAAAAATGGTATAAATTTTATAGGCTCCAGAATGCTTTGCCTCTGTTCAAGGGAAGTTTCACGTAAAAAGACTCGAAATCAATGCAGATGAATATGAAAATGATACGTGTTATATGTATTATTGGTTAAACCTTTTCAGATATCGGCCAGGTTGTGTAGGGCCATTGTCTGTGAAAATGAAATCTCCATTTATTGAAATGAAGATTGCCGCAGTTCCGATGGTGAGTTGAAATCTAGATTTACTCAATAAATATAGTTGATTTTAGTTGGTTGAAATCAGTCGAATCGAGTTAAATGGAAAATTTGATATCACCCCATTTTGGGTTTTGACCTACAACGGCTTTTGTTTTATGTGGAAAAATATGGAAGAAAATAAGAACTTCTCGTCTACTGAACTGAAATTGATATTCGAAAAAGTAAGATTAACGGGACCGTGGATTGGAATATATTTGGAACAAGGAAATGATAAAAAAAATGAATGCATGCTTAAATTGCTTGAAAGACAGTATGGAAGTAATTTATCACATGATATTGGATACAAATGTACCGGAGTTTTTAGCGATATTGTTACATTTTATTCAGAAGAAAACAGAACTGTTATCGAAAAGTCAACCGATTCGTCTAATTTAGGAGTCATGAATGTGGAAGATTGGTTTATTGATCTCTCAGTACTTGAAGAGTACGGGCTTACAAGGAAAGGTTTTCAATGTTCCCCCAAGGAAAAAACCGAGAGTATGTGGAATGTTGAGGGTTCCCATGGGTAAGAAAAACCCTAACGGGAATAAGGAGAAAAATGCCTTGTTTTAGAAAATTTTGGTGTTATTGATTTTTGCGATGAAATTTTTTAGAAAAATCGAAACTTTTTTCAAAATTGATGAAAAATGTCAGTCTAAAAATCCAATTGTAGCGCAAACGGCGTACTTTAGTATTACTTCGACTAAAATTAGGAATAAAATAATTTTGGTCCCAAAAGTCCACTAAATCAAAAATCCAGTTTGAAAAATTCATAGAAAATCAACGTTTTCGTTGTGAAGGAGAAGTTTGTATGAATCGAGACTATGATTTTTGGATTCTACGGACCAAATTACGTCTGTTGACCGTCATAAATTTTTCAAGTTCTGTTGGAATGTAGTAAAAAAGAATAAATAAAAGAGATAAACGACGACAATGACGGCTTGCGATGGTTTGACAATGTTGAAATATTAGTAATTGAAGGTGGACGGATGTTAGGTTGAGTTACATGAAATTGAGAAGTGTGAATTGGTTGGCGACTTTTAACTGAAACAAAGAATTTATCAACTGCTAAATTAACAAAAACCTTGATCTTTCGATCTCGGAACAAATCATCAAAATTAACTTTCCTGATTTTTCCATTTTGTCTGACTCGACAACTTTTGGGTCCCAACGACTTTAGCACCACAGCTTTCTCCCAAAAACACTTATCCTGGCGATACTTCTCCAAATAGACAGTATCACCAACTTCAACCGACTTGACCCCGATTTTACAAATTTTGTCAAAAAGCCCGTTCAATTCAATTTTCTCTAAATTCCGGCCATTTAACTCACGTTTCGATTTACTCAGCAAATCCAATTCGATTTTCAACCTTTTCCTTTCAACAAAACTCAAGCCAATTCTTCCAGGTGTCGATCGATAATCAATCAATTTGTCCAAAACAATTTTAGACACCATCTGGCGGCGTAGAGACCGCCTATCTTTTTCTGTTTTTTGTGTGTTTGCAGTGGTCTGCAGTTTTTTATTAGGTGTTTTGTGCGTTGCACATTTATTAGGCGGTTTTTCATTAGGTTTTCATCGGGTCAATTTCCTAGGTTATTTTAGCTGTGTTTTAGCAATTGTAAATTGCTTGGTCTTTGTATTCTAATTGTGTATTGTAACTTTTTGTATTTTAGTCTTTCAATAAATTTCTATCATAAAAAGGTCGCAAACACAACAGTGGCGATCAGTATTCGGGCTCATTTTAGGAAATTCGCGCAGCTAAATTAGGAATTTTGTCCGTATTTTGCTCGTAAACGTTGTTTTCAGATCGTAAAAAGCTTTTTAGTTGTTCGCAGCGAGTAAACCAGTTGATTCATTGAGATTTTGAAGAGCCATAGGTAGATTAGGTTCAAGATGGTCAATGGTCAAGTTGGAAATGTGGATGTCACGGAAATTCTCGCACAATTCGCACAATTGTCGGAAATGTTTCGAACCACATTGGAAGCGGTGACAAGTCAACAAAGAGCAAGTGCTGGTGGTGATGGTGATACTACAGACGGACGAGGTGAAGCACATCGAATCAATAGTCTAAATAGCCGCACACCAAAGTTCGAATTTGACATGGAGGATGGAAAAACGTTTGTAAAATATTGGACTCGATATGGAAATATATTTGAGAAGTCGGAAGCATCGGAAGAATCAAAACGTCAAGTGTTGTTGGGAAAATTGGAGGATGATGTATATGATCAATTTTCAGCATCCGTGGCGCCAAAACACCCAAATGAGTTGAGTTTTGAAGAAATTGTGAGTTTGTTGAAAAATATGTTTGATACTCAACAATCTTTATTTCGTAAACGATTTGCTTGTATGACGCTGAGAAAAACCGACGAATCACCACTCGCCTTCACCAACAAAGTCAACGAAACCTGTGAAAAAGCTCAACTCGCCGATATCAAGATGGAAGACTGGAAATGTTTTTTCTTTCTTCGAGGGTTGGAGAATGCTCAGGATGTGGATATGAGAAATCATCTGCTTGATTTCATGGATTATGACAAGGAAGCACCAAAGAAAACGATCAAGGATTTGTATGAAGAGTGGATGAGAAGACTGAGTTTGCGAGCTGATTCGGAGAAAATCGGAGGTCCATCAACTGTCCAACAAGTTCGTGCGTTCAGCAAAAAGAAGTCGAAACCGAATCTCGTCAAGGATGCTCGAGATAATGAAGGTCAAACTCGAAATGGTCGTCGTGTAACCAAAGATTTGTCAAATGTTGAGTGCTGGAATTGTGGAAAAATGGGACATTATTCGAGAGATTGTCAGCAAGTTATCAACCAGGCTATTGTGCAATGCGGAAACATTGGGTCGAATAGATTGTTGTTGGATGCTGAAATTGATGGGAAAATGGTGAAATTCCAACTGGATACGGGTAGCGATCGAACAATCATAAGTCGAAGTGATTGGGTTAAGATTGGATCGCCGAAGCTCAACCAGAAAGCTAGCCGGATTGTATGTGCAAATGGTAGTGAGTTGAAGCTTTTGGGAGTTTTCAAGGGCAAGATCAACATCAATAGTGATTGTTGCGAAGGAAATGTGCATGTTCGGGAACATGGTACTAACTTGCTTGGCTTGGATCTCACCAGATCATTACCGAAAATGAGTGGATTATTGGATCTTGTGACCATTGAAGCCACGAAATCAGTCGAAATGGTAGAAGTGGAGAAGAAATTGGATGTCTTCGAGGAAGAATCGCAAATTTGCTTGCAAGTAATATCGTTGCCAGAACTACCAGATGCCGGATTCGAAGGTCGAGAGACAGAATCGGTGTCAAATGAGTTGTTATCCGAAACTTCGCCAAATGTGGAAGATTCTGGGAGTTATGTTCATGTTGAATATGTTGGATCGGAATCTGGGTTATATTTTTGGGTCGCAGTTGACGCCGAAAATGGTTGGCAAGAAGTTCGTTTGACGGAGTCGATCTCGACTCAAGCGTTAGTATCATTTCTGAAGTCCATTTTCGAAAAATGGAAAACCCAAATTTGTTGTTTCAAATTGTGGAACTCAGTTCGTGTCGGAAATGTTTGCTGAATTCTGTGCTGATTTGGAAATCGAGCATATCAAAATCAAGTCTAATAGTTTGTCGGATCGTTGTCGGGACACATTTCATTTTTCAAATTCTTTGAAAAAGAGGGAGGAGATGGTGTCTAAAATTGTTTTGGACAAATTGATTGATTATCGATCGACACCTGGAAGAATTGGCTTGAGTTTTGTTGAAAGGAAAAGGTTGAAAATCGAATTGGATTTGCTGAGTAAATCGAAACGTGAGTTAAATGGCCGGAATTTAGAGAAAATTGAATTGAACGGGCTTTTTGACAAAATTTGTAAAATCGGGGTCAAGTCGGTTGAAGTTGGTGATACTGTCTATTTGGAGAAGTATCGCCAGGATAAGTGTTTTTGGGAGAAAGCTGTGGTGCTAAAGTCGTTGGGACCCAAAAGTTGTCGAGTCAGACAAAATGGAAAAATCAGGAAAGTTAATTTTGATGATTTGTTCCGAGATCGAAAGATCAAGGTTTTTGTTAATTTAGCAGTTGATAAATTCTTTGTTTCAGTTAAAAGTCGCCAACCAATTCACACTTCTCAATTTCATGTAACTCAACCTAACATCCGTCCACCTTCAATTACTAATATTTCAACATTGTCAAACCATCGCAAGCCGTCATTGTCAATGTCTAATCCAAATGTTGTTTCGTCACATAATCCTTTGTCGTCTTCAAAAGTTGTATGTATGCATGTTGAACGCCGTTACGCAAGTTTGAATGATATTTGTTTGAGACCCAGTAGGATCCCCACCCTTTGTGTTTTTCCTGGTTGTGAGATTAAGGCTTGTCCACCCGAGTCATCGGACACCGTGTGCGTGAATAACAAAAGTTTTAAGTCAAGATTGATTCTTAAAAATCCCAAAATAAATTCCGCACCTCCGAGCCGCCAATCCTATTCCGAAGATCGAGGACCCGCCGAGAAAGCCGAAAATTCACAATATCCATTCCAAGATTATCATCAAGTCAATCATGATGAGTCAACTGATCAGTGATGCTGAAATCTATCTTCATGTCAAATTGTATTATCGTGTTGCATGTTCATATTGTTGCTGTCTCCTGTTTTGTATTATTGTCCACATCTCCATTGCTACTTCATTTTGTTATTCGAAGGGAAGAAGTCATCTTAGAGGGGAGGTGTTGGAATGTAGTAAAAAAGAATAAATAAAAGAGATAAAAAGAATCAATCTTTTTTATATTAATTTATTTTCACGTGCACGTGTGACGTGGCAGAGGTGGCGGCGTAGAGACCGCCTATCTTTTTCTGTTTTTTGTGTGTTTGCAGTGGTCTGCAGTTTTTTATTAGGTGTTTTGTGCGTTGCACATTTATTAGGCGGTTTTTCATTAGGTTTTCATCGGGTCAATTTCCTAGGTTATTTTAGCTGTGTTTTAGCAATTGTAAATTGCTTGGTCTTTGTATTCTAATTGTGTATTGTAACTTTTTGTATTTTAGTCTTTCAATAAATTTCTATCATAAAAAGGTCGCAAACACAACAAGTTCCGTTCATTTGAAAATGGAAAAAATTATTTTTTGTGTTTTTTGGTGACCATTTGATCAGAAAAACCCCGACTAAAAAAACCAAATTTCAAAAAATGTTTTATTTTTTGATAAAAAGTTTCACAAACACGTAATCGACCATTCTGAACAACTTCCACGACTCAAAAGTTCATGAAATAAATTCAAAATCGAGTTACAGATGCTCTAAAAATCAAAAAATGATGTAAAAATCGACCTAAAATACATTTTTTCTCGAGAATAAGGCATTTTTCTCCTTATTCCCGTTAGGGTTTTTCTTACCCACGGGAACCCTCAACATTCCACATACTCTCGGTTTTTTCCTTGGGGGAACATTGAAAACCATTCCTTGTTAGTGACCCTTAAAACCCCTTCACAAGAAGTGTCGGTTTATCAATCCATCTGAAATTGTATTTTTTGAATACGTGCCAATTTTATTATGATATGTTTTATATATCTCACTCGTACTTCGAGAATATTTTGGGGTTTTGCATATTGGGCTTTGGGAATATTTTGTGATTCAGAATAATTTTTGTTTATTTATCAATTTTTAAAAAGCTTCATTTCCAGAATAAATTCTTCTGTTCTAAACCAAGCTTATTTTTTCTTTTTGGTGAGTGATTTAACACAAGATTACATTGATAAAAACGGCAAAGTACACATTGCTTGTAAACAATAAATTGGCAAAGTATTTTTATCATTGAATTTGTTTTGTTTGATTTTAAAAACTTTGTCTTGTCCGTAATAATAGTGGCAAAAATTAATGTTTTCCTACTTTTGTTTTTTACTAATGTAAGCTTATCATTTGTCAATATAAGATAAAAACCTTGTGGTTTTTCTCATTTTTGAAATAAATCATTGTTCTTACAACAAAAACATGAATCCTTATATTCAAACCAACGATAATCCCGATATCACAAAAGAGCGTAAAAATGCAAGCTTTGATGTGGAAAAATTCAGTGAGTTTTATGTTGGTGGAAAACGTGTTTTGGCAGTTCGAAGAGAAGTTGAAAAATATGTCGAAGATCGGAAAGAACTTCGAGATCCGATTCCAAGTGCTTTCATGAGTCGAGAAGAACTAATTGATAATTCAATGAGAAAAATGGTTGAAATGGTTAGTCATGAAGATATGTTTGATATCACAAATATTGAAAAATTGTCATATTATGCATCGTGAGTTCTATTTGTCAGTCATTTTTTTATTCAAGAAGTTATTTTCAGCTTGGTTCATGTTCGTGAAGTTCATGCATTATCGCTGCATTATCTCATGTTTGTGCCAGTTATTCAAAGTCAAGGAACTTCTGAACAAATTGAAAAATGGATGACTCTTGGACTTGCAAGAGCAATCAGTGGAACTTATGCGCAAACTGAATTGGGACATGGGACAAATCTTTCGAAATTAGAGACAACAGCGACTTATGATTCAAAAACTCAGGAATTCATTTTGAATACGCCGAAAATTAGTGCTGCAAAATGGTGGCCAGGAAGTCTTGGGAAATTCTCAAATCATGCAGTTGTTGTGGCAATTTTGTATACAAATGGAGAGTGTAAAGGTCCACATCCATTTGTTGTGCAAATTCGAGATACCGAAACACATAAAGTTCTACCAAGTTAGTTTTAGTTTACAAAATATTCACTGAATTCATTTTCTAGATATTAAACTTGGAGATATTGGGCCGAAAATGGGAATAAATGCGTCTGACAATGGGTATATGATTTTCAATAATTTGAGAATTCCCAGAGAAAATATGTTGATGAAACACTCGAAAGTTCTACCAGATGGAAAATATATCAAACCACCTCATTCAAAACTTGCATACGGTGGAATGGTTTTTGTGAGAAGTATGATGGTTAGAGATATTGCAAATCATCTAGCAATTGCTGCAACAATTGCAACAAGATATTCAAGTGTTCGAAGGCAAGGAGAAATAACACCTGGAAAACCAGAAGTTCAAATTTTGGATTATCAAACTCAACAACTTCGAATTTTCCCATCAATCGCAAGAGCAATCGCATTCCGTTTTGCCGGTCAAGAACTCCGAAATATTTTCAAAAAAGTATCCAAGCAACTGACTCAAGGAAATGCTGAACTTTTACCTGAAATTCACGCACTTTCATCAGGTCTCAAAGCTGTTGTTACATTTGAAGTTCAACAAGGAATCGAACAATGTCGACTTTCTTGTGGTGGACATGGTTATTCAATGGCTTCTGCTTTTCCGGAACTTCTCGGTTTCTCTTGTGCAAGTTGTACTTATGAAGGAGATAATATTGTGTTGCTCTTACAAGTTGCAAAGTTTCTTATAAAATCTGTTGAAAAAATTCGAAGTGGACAAGGATCAGATCTTGCTGAAATTTGTGAATATTTGAATCGGAAGGAAGCTAGAAATTCAACATTGAACGATTTCAAGACTTACACAAATTATGATATTGTTTCGGACATTGAATTTGTAGCACGTCGTCAAGTTTTCAGGGCTTTCAATAAATTTGAAGAGGCAAAGAAAACAATGAGCAAAGAACATGCTTGGAATTCCTCTGCTATCGAATTCTGCAAAGCTTCCAGAGTCAGTTTTTTCTTTTTTTGACGAACTAAGAAAGTACAGCTTATATTTTCAGTGGCACGTGAAACTTTACATCGTTCGTAACTTCTTTAAAAAAGTTGACCAAGATGCTCCACAAGAAATCCGACCAGTTTTGAAAAATCTTGCTAGACTTTACGCATTTGATTTGATCGCTTCAGCAGCTGGAAACTTTATGGAAAATGGATATATGCATTTCGAGCAGATTCAACAAATCAAAAATGGTTTTTATGAGTAAGATTTCGAAATTTGTTGTATTGTAACAAAAAAAGTTTTTCTTCAGATGTTTGTCAATTCTTCGCCCTGACGCAGTTTCAGTTGTCGATGGATTTGCGATCAATGAAATCGAACTTCGAAGTGTCTTGGGACGCCGAGATGGAAATGTTTATCCAGCACTTCTAGAATGGGCTCAAAACAGTTCATTAAACAAAAAAGAAGTGTTGGCACCTTTTGAGAAACATATCGGACCAATGATGAAAAAAGCTAGATCAATGTTGTAATTTGATTTTTCCCTAAAACAACTTTGATAAAAATTGTGCATTGGCCTCTTTTGCAAAAAGTACAACATCGTAGACATTCACTTTTATCAAAAAAGATAGATAAGAACCCTCAAAAACTTCCCATCAAAATAGTTGCCGAAATGTCATTTATTGTTTGGCAGCAAGGCTGTTGAACAAAGCGGTGAAGAACTCTTTCTCGTTCTTAGCAATTTTCGAATTGTTGATTACTTTTTTGGCCTCGTCGATTGTCTTCTTGCTGACTTTGACTTTGCTCAAGATGTTTTGCTGGTTTCTTTTGATAACATCAGTGAGACTTTCAAAGGCTGGAGCAGCTGCGCACAAGCCAATAATGATAAGGAAAATAAGAATGATCTTCATGATTGGATGATCTATGTTGGAAATGATTCTTGAATTCCTTAAATACTAGGTTTTATTGTGGGAAGTTCCACAGTTTCACAATTCAAAATACAAAATCACACATAAATTAAAATTTATACATAAACTTTCGGAAAATCTTCCTTCTTTTTCACATCACACACTATAACAAACACCCGTAAACTGACAAATCAATTGAGTATATCTATCAACCCGTGTAAATCTTGCCAACATATTTGCTGGACATCCTTTTGTTCCAAAACTTGTCATAGCAATAAGATGAGTTTTCTCGAAGTCATCTCGATATTCTAACCCACCACCGCTGTCACCGTGACAAGTTCGTGGGGCAAAATAATCTCTAGTGTCGAGAGATGTAGCGCAGATATAATCAGATGCATCGATTGGGAGATTGTCACTCCAGGGACGAGCTCGTGGACAATCAGGATCAATTCGCATTGGAATTTCATGAATCATTGGACCGCTCTCGTTGAAAACTGGAACAATATTTTTTGGATGATATTATTTTGAAAATTAAACAACGATTTGATAATGACACGTCTAATAAGTTTCAGTTTTTAATTTAAAACTACCAACTTACTGTATCTTCTCCCCCAACCGGGAACACTCAAAGTCTTCGAATGATACATTTTCTTTCTTGGCAAACAAATTGGTGCAACATTTTCATTGAATTTGATACGATTCTCAACTTCTACAATAGCCCAATCATGTCCATCAATACATCTTCCAGCAACAAAATCGCCATCAATCAAAACACTTCGAATCGTATTGAAAACTACATCGGGTTTTGAACAATTTTCATTATTTGGAAGATTTTCAGTGAATCCTCGAATACATTCTCCGCCATATGCGATTTTTCGAGTTTTTTGGAGATCTTCGATATCACGATACATTGATCTACTGAAATGGAACAAAAAATTTGATGAGATCCTTTTGCAAATTTTTTGAAGTTTTCTTTGGTAAGTTACCCTAACCTTTTCCCTACTTACTTTGCCGGTAAATTCATACACAAATTACCACCCACTCCAATCGCTGTAATAAAACCATGCGCAGCTGTAAGGATGTGATAAGGACTTATGATACTACCACCTAAACGGTTGACGCCCTGCAAAAAAAAACTCTATTAGATTAGGTTTTTCCAAACTCTCGAGACTTACATCAACTGTGAAAGAGACAGCCCATGGAAATCGTTTATGTTTGGATTCTTTCTGAATTCCACAATCTTCAGAGAGTTGGATACTTTCAGATATAGATTGCATAGATGTTTCACGGACTGAAAACTTTTTTTTTTTTCATTTTCAGGTTAAGTTTCGACTTACACTTTGGACCAATCCAAACTGGATTAAAACTTGATAATTGTCCATTGGACAAAATAATAAAAAATAAAAAAATAAAAATGATTATATGCATTGAACTGAACTTATTATAGCAAATAAGATGATAAATTATAAAAAAAACAAACAAATAAAAATCTCGTTCACCTTGGTTGTAATAAACGAAAGGATGACAAGGCTTTATATAACATTGTCTCTGGTTTGGTTGAAAATTATTATCATTTCTATGATTTATTATTCTCTCGAAAGTTAATTAGCCTTTTTCCTCTTTCTCTATAATGACAACGGTTCCACACAGACACAGTTTGAAAAGAAAGGAAATAAAAGGATTCTTTGACCATTGTGAACGTCTTTTGATCCAATTAGCAAGTGTTCAAACCTAATAGAATGTAGCAAAAAAGAAAACGGAGCAAAAAGAGGAAGAGTTCGTAAACACACCAATCACGCCCCAATTGTCCACCCAACAAATTTAGTTATTGGTTGTTGTGAAAAAAATCTTGGGTTTATTTTTTTCCAAGAAAAAATGTCTGACACACCAACTACTGTTATTGAAAAAAGTTTGCATATCGATGAGGTAAGTAGAACATTTTGAATGGAAAGTGATACAGGTTCAATAGAATGAACCAAATTTTTAGAAACATTTTTTCAAGCTACAGTACCTTTGAAATTTCATACACTCGGAAATGACTCAATTTTTTTTAGAATAAACTTGACAAATTATTAAATTAGTATTAAAATCAGAAGTTGCAGTTTGCTAATTCCGAAACTCTATCAAATCGATGTCTTCGAGATGAAGAAGAAGTTATGACAATTTGTGAGAATATCGAATACGATGGAGAGGAGCATCTTTTCATAGATCAGGTTTGTGCTCTCACACCAAAAACCAAAAAAGTTCAAAGATCTTGTCAAAAGGTTCCACTTGAAACATTGTTGTGATGTCAGTGAAGAAATGTCAAACATTTTGTGGCCGAGTCCCTTGGGTTGCGAAGGGCCTCGAACCAACTCGTTTTTGTTTTGTGTTTTATTATTTTGTGCTTTCGCCGCCCAGTGAAAAAAAAATAAGTTTTTGTTTTTTCGCCTTTTTTCAACATCCGATAACTCTATCTTTTTTTTGCAAAAAACTAACATAAAGTTTGCATTTCCGTTTTGTTGTGTTATAGAAAAATGTTAATGTCACACGGAGAACATCGCGAATCATTCAAACAACGGCGGAAAAGTGAAAAGAAACGAGAGAGGCGAAGAAGTTCGGGAAATCCACAAACCCGAGAAAGTTTGGCGGTTTTAGCGCAATTAATGTTGCCAGCCTTGATTGAAGAAAATCCACCACCGGTACTTAAGATTTGAAAAATCAACTTCTTTTTAAAATCTTCAAGCTAAATTAATTTCAGGATGATCAAATTGCCACTGTTACAAATATCAACAATCGAAAGATCTCACAAACCCGCCGACCAGGAAATCGACTACTTCAACGAGCCAATTTTCATATGCGAAAAGGAGCAGCTGGTGTTTGGGATGTGAGTTTTAGATATGTACCAGGCCAAAATGGGATCATTCAAAATTTTAATAAAAATCGGCTTAAACTGTTTGAAGAGCGTTTCTCATCATTTAAAGTTGAAAGACTCAAGTGAGAGGAAATTTGAATTTGTTGAGAGTATGCGCGTTCATTTGATTTTCTTCTTTGTACTTGTCTAGTGAGTATAAGATAGGTTCTTGAAGAAAAAAATAAATGTTTGGAAATATTTATGCTAAATCACGGGTTTGTTCAGAATTTTTTCTTTAATAAGAATTTATTTTCATAATTTGATTGTTATAGATTGCTGGACGTGCTCAAGCAATCGGTCGGCGAAAAGTTGAACAACTTCAACAGAAACCTCCACTTTGGATGGTAATTCTTCATCGAGCATATCATAAATATGGCTTGAAACATCTGGTTTTAATTCTTGTTTTTGTTTTGTATTGCACACTTGGTGGTTTAATTTTCTGGCTCATCGAAGAACCATATCAATCAGATTTGAAAAACACGTGGGAAGAAGTGAGTTTTTTTAGTTACTGATTTTTTTATTTCAAAAAAGTTCTAAAAATAAAATTCTGAATTGGATCATTGAACTAACCGAGCCAGATTCTGAATGAAAAATTAGTGGAAAAAAATCTTGCCCATTCTTCAAAATCCCTATTTACTTCATCAAATATTTTTGCAGCGAATAAAAGAAAACCGAACAGCTCGAGTCAATGAAATGATGAAAAATATGTTCAACAACAGTGATTATTTGATTTATATTAAAGGAAATACAACAAATCGACTTCATGAATTTCTAAACAAGTTTGTTATTTTCACCTTCAAAAAATAAATTAAATCCCCATATTTTTCCAGAGAACTTTCGGTTTATGAAAACCAATTGGGTGTGAAATGGAGCCAACAAAAAAATGGATTGGGATTTTTGGAATGCAATTTTGTTTGCTGGCACAATTTGTACAACAATTGGCTATGGACACATTTACCCAATGACAGATTCTGGGAGAATTATCACAATGGTTTTTGCACTTTTTGGTCAGATTCTGAAAATTCTATAGTTTAAAAATTATATAACTCTCAATTTTTTCAGGAATTCCACTGATGTTATTGGTTCTTCAGGACTTTGGTAAATTATTAACAATGTCGATGAAATTTCCGTGGTTTCAAGTGAAACGATTAATGAGGAGGATTTTGAGGTGTTGTACAAAGCAACCGATTGATGAAATGCGAGAAATTGAAGAGCAAGAAAGGAAGGATCTGGATATTTTTGATCTACCATTGCCTGTTGGAATATCGCTGATTGTTATTTGGGTAAGTAAGGAAAACGTTTATTATTTCATTTTCTATAAAAAATCTCAAAAATTCCAAAAATGTTTTCAGATTTTTATTTGCTCATTTGTTTTATCAATAATGGATCCAAATTGGACAATTCTCGAATCCTTTTACTTTTTCTTCACCTCACTGAGTACTGTTGGTTTAGGTGATCTCGTTCCAGCGTCTCCAAAACTTCTTCTCACATTATTCGGTTTTATTCTCGTTGGTCTTTCACTTGTTTCAATGGTTATCAATCTTCTTCAAATGAAAATGAAGAAAACTTACGAAACAGGAAATCAAGAAGGATTGAATAGTCGAAAAGTTACAGCATCTCTTGGAATTATTCAAGTGAGTTACAGTGGTTTCAAATTTTTTTCTTGTGTTGTTGAATATTTTTGGGTCACACATCAAGTTCTACTTTGTGTTCTTTGTCGAACTGATAACATTTTTCAATAAAACCAAGAATTCAATTACATAAATTTGGTATTCAAAAAAAATACCTATGTGACATTTATGAATAAAGATCAAATAAAATTGGAAAAAAATATAATTGCAGTGTTTCGAGGAGGAAGAGAAAAAAGCGGATCAATCAGAAAGAAGTTTGAGCAGATCTACACAAACAAGTTTGAGTCTACCAGGTGTTAAACAGGTATGATTTCATTTGATCAATGCCCAGGAATTTCTATTTTTAGAGTCAACGAAAATAGAAATAACTAACATAAACCAAAAAAAGAAAGACCCCCTAATATTATTATTATCATGAAAAATATAGATAAGAAGAGAAAAATGTGTATTTTTGGTAACACAAGAATGATTCTCATGACTAACCTAACAAGGAAACACTATACAGGCAAGAATAAATGAATCATACGTCATTCAGGTTGTATTACGATCAGATGGTGTTCATTGGATAAACACTTCAACCAGTTCGCCGACCAAATCTCCTGATGAGGTGAGAAAATAGTTGGAATTTCAAAAAAAAATAAATGTGTGATCAATTGTTTCCTGAAGATTTGGGAACTCATTTCAAAATTTTCTGAGAATCTGTAAGGATGAGATTTCTAAAAGTGAAAAGTGAAGATCATCAGTACCGCGCATATGCCAAGAGGGCAAAAATTCAATTTTCAAGTATCAGAGTCTAGAAAGAATCCCTCCAGTTTTTTCAGTTAAAATTGCAAAAAAAAATTCGGAAGATTTTGAAACCAACCAAAAAATATGTTTTTTTGGTCTGTTATTTTTGCCAAATCTAATTTCCCAAAAACATTTCAAAATCCTTCGAAAATATTTCGCAGATCTAAAAACATTTTCACTTATCAAATTATTTCTTGGAAAAGAAAATCCCTGAAAAAATCCACGAAAACATTTTTATTTTTTGCAGGTGACTCATTTAGTCGAACACGAGTCAGGACTTCGAGTTTGCGAGCAAATCGGTGATAATAACAACGATGAAGATTATTCTGAAAATGATAGTATGTTGTATGAAACTGATGTTCTTCTCGAAGTCGCCGAAAGTTGTTCGGATGTTGAAAAAGGCGCCGATTTCGACAGTAGTTTGTCTCATTGATGGGTTCATAGGTTGATTGAATTTTTCTCTATCACGTGAAGAAAAAAGAAACATAAAACATTGATCTGTGTTGTTGTTTTGACTGTGAGGCAGGTTGTCGAAAAATTTATTATAGTTTGTTTATCGATGAACTGATGGTACATGTGATGTCAGTGAAATGACTACACTAAATTCAGGCCACGTGGGAAGACATCGAACACACCGGAAAAATAATAATAAAACATCAATTCGAAACATGTGAATTGACTGCTGACAAACATACGATTAGATTAGTCACAGGATTCTTCTCAACATTCCGAAAAATTTCGAAAGCGGAAAAAAATGTTGATTTATGTATTAGCGTCTTGCAAATCAATTCAACTCTTATCAATTATCATCTATAGATAATTATTTCGGAGAAACTAAGAACAAAAAAGAGCATGTCACCTCACATGAATAACTTTGAACGAATTATAGTCTGCTTTTTGCTTTCTTTCTTTCTTTTCTAATAAAATAAAATAGAAACTTTTTGAACAATTTTTCAAATTTCCGGTCTTTTTCACTATTACGAAAAGTGTAATGTATGGTCCATTCTTTTTTTTTTGATTGCTTGCTTCTTGCTTCGCTTGCAAAAAGGTGAGAGTAGTTCAAAAATCTTCAGACACAACAAATGAGACAAAAACGAAAAGACAGAGAACAGCTCTAGCTATTGACGAGAGCAGCGAAAAAACGTGTTGTTTTTTTTTTGTTTATGATTTTCAGATTCTGAGAAATTTGTTCCAGCGATTTGCATGTTCTCTCCACAAACAATGTTCCATTTTTTATTCTATTTGAAGAGCAAAAAAGTGCACGAATGTTGTCTTTGTTCTTGAAAAAAGATACATTTTTGCAGAAAAAAAGAAGAATGAACAAATAATTTTTATGGAATGTCACAGAAAAAAAAACACGCGAAAGAAACAATTCAAGTATGAGTACAACGTGAAATTTGGAAGGAAGGAAGGAAGGATTTTGGAAAGGAACAAATTATATGTAAAGTAAAGATTTGGTAAACCCGGAGAGTTAAGATAACTATGAAAAGATAGAGGAGAGGGAAACAAATTAAAGCTTTCGCTTAATGTTTTCTGGTGTGACAATGAGCAATGTGGAGGAATTCTTGACGTTCGAGGCAAATTTCCAAGTCGTCAATGATGCGGAAGAATAAAATGCCAACACCATCGAGATTCATTGTTTTTTCACTGTGGACTGTTTCACTGGAAAAAGAAAATATTTGTTTTAAAGATCTTTGAGTGAGTTCAGGTTCAGAAAACATTCATAGGACGATAAGGTGTCACCTGTTTTTTTTCTTGTTTGAAAATAAACAAAAAATTCTGTTCTATGTGGTCTATTTCATATATGTTTATAATAATGATTCAGCCAAGAAGTACTGGTTCTATATATGTGTAGAGAAAAAATGTGGGCGAGGAGAACAAAAATGCAAATAAGGACTGGTTGTTCACACAATTTTTCTCCTCACCATCAAATTTTTTTCGAGAAACTAACCCATGCCCAATAAAAAAACTCACTGTCCATCCTCGACGGTATAAACACTGAATCGCCAAACACCGTGTCCACATCCACCCTTGTTTGGTGTGAACATGTGAGTAGTTCCAGCGGCAGAGAAATGCATCGTTCCGACTTCCATTGTTGGAGTTTCGACGCGAACGATGAATGAGCGATTGACTTGAGATCGACAGTCGATTTCAATCTAAACCAAACAATTTCTGTCAGATTTCTAATTCAAAAAAAAATTCTTACCTGTGTGGCATCGGCTTTGCAGATTTCGAATTGTGTCAAATCTTGTGATAGGTTCGATGAGTTTCTGCGCAATGCTCCTTTAAGTCCAGCAATGGATTTTTTGCCAGTCATACTGACCGACTCGATTTTTCCGTTATATTCGGATTGGCAAGATGAAGAAGCGGCAAAACGACCGCATGATGGAGATGAAGTTCCAAAGTCAGATTTGGATACGACGAACATTTTTGTATTGTTTCTGAAATTTCAGAACTTGTTTCAGAAGTGAAGACGAACACGGAATGAAGAAGAAAGAAAAAAAACGACAAAATGTGCACTCAAAAAATTTTGAGACTGATATAGGGAAAAGACACTGCTATTTATTTGAGACTCCGCCCACTGTGTCTAGTTGTTTGTTGTGACTCCGCCCATTTTATGTGATTGCAAAGATCAAGAAAAAGTTCAAGGGAAAGTCTGATTGTTCCGAGAAGGTTTTTGGTTGGTTGGTAGATTTGTAGTTCTGAGGATCAAAAATTATGGGAAAATGAATCAAATTAAGAGGACAAAAAGGGAGAGGATAAGGTGGTTTTTGAACATTTTTAAAGCGCTGATGTTTCAATTGAGGTGCAATTTTCTGTCTCATCAAAGCTCAAAACCTCGAAAACAATATAGTTAGATCAAGTCCAAAACAGCCTAGTTAGTTTAAAAATAAATTAAATTTGTTCAGCTGTCCTCCCCCGATTAGTCAATTTATCAAAAAAGGAAGTGAATCGAATCGCGTGTTTGACATCATTTCTTCGGTCTTGAATAAGCAGAAAAAGAGCATAAAAAACGGAAAACTAATAAACAACAACAATAATAATAATAATAAGAATGAGTAGGAGAAAAAATAAGAAAAAAATAGAAGGAAATGGAATTTGAAGCAAGAGATAACAACAAACAAAATATAAGACTGACTGAAAATTTTTATACACATTTTAGTACGATGGAAATACAAAAAGCGACGAAATATGGAAGTGCAAGCAAGGACAGAAGGAAATTAAAGAAGGAGAGGAGGTGGAGGAGGAGGGCATTGAACTATTGGGTATCAGAAAATGAGGAGGCTCTAGTATTTCTAAAATATGTTCAAGAGGGGTTTCGAATCTGATGAGATTTGACAGGTCAAGGAGCCGCGCCTTGAAAGTTTCTCCAGCAAGTAGGTGAGCCCAGGAAACCCTAGTTCTGAAGACGCCTCACCTACAGAAGTATTTTTTACACGGATGAGCATTTAGAAAACGTAGTTCTCAAGAAACGTTTAGAAAGTCACTTTTGAAATCTAAAAATTACAAATTGGTTTTTTTAAGAAAAACATGTTTGGAACTTTTTTTCGGGAATTCACAAACTCCAAACTCTAGAAAGAATTTTTCAAATGCAAAAAAAACGAGGAACCGCAACGTCATATCAACAAAAAAAACGGAATTAAAAAGTACCTGTGTACATCAAAACAGCACAAGACAAAACAAAAAAACACTAACAAGGAAAAAACAAACCCTCCCCCCTCAACTTACGAACAACACAAACAGCAAGATGTACTTTGGCATGTGTACTATTCAAAAAGGACAAAAATAGAAGAAAAATCTTGGCAATATTCCAAAGCTAAAAAAAACCTCCAAACTCAAAAAAGACTCAAACGTTCTTCTTTTTGGAGGGAACACTAACAAAGTAGTAGTAGACTGGCACGGAGCACATTTTGTGTTTGAGCTCAGAGAAAAAAAGAAGAGGAGGAGAAAAGAAAAAAGGATGTGTAAACAAGTAAATATTTATTGTTAGCAAGTTTTTTGGGGTTTTTTGAAATTCTTTTTATTATAGGGTTCGGGTCCCTGGAAAATCTGAAACCTTTTTCAAACATCACATATCAGAGAAGAAGTTGACCACTTTAAAACTGGTCAATTCATTCACTCTCTCTCTCTCTCTCTCTCGTTTTCTGTCATATCAAACTTCACAAATCTCTTCTCATCACACACTACAATGAAATGACGTTGAAAGAATTTTTCGCAATATTTACATTTCTGGAATATTTAGTCTTATGTATTTATCATCATTGAGTGAGTGCCAAACCTTTTTTCTAATCATGACGAATTTTAGAAAAAATAAATGCTTTCTCGTTCAAGCTGGGGAAAAACCTAATAATTAACTCAGACACGTCATTAGGAAAACGAGAGAAAAAAGTTTGTTTTATAAACATTTGAAGGAAACCAAATAAAATAATTGAAATGTTATACGTCAGAAGCAAGCATGAAATAAACAAACTTCATGAATATTTGAATTTGTTCCGCGTTTTGAATTTGAGATTTTTGATGTCTGCTGGGCAAGTGGATCTTTAGATGCGGATCCTAGACAATTAGGTGGGGTTACTTGAGAACTAGACTCTAGGCTCTGATCCTTGACGAGTGAATCTCAGAGTCTTGGTTTTTTTAGAACTTTTAGTGAGCAGCTGAAAAAATTGTTGTAATTAATTACGCGTGAACTTTTGGGCTATATCTCATTTCAGGGAATTTCCATTTCTCATTTAAAACATTTTTCAGAGAATATTTACATCTAAATGTATATTCAGAAAAATTTCTTCCTGGAAAAAATCCGCTTAATTTTTCTATTAATCTACACAAATCGCATCTACTAGGAAAGGGAAAATTTGAATTCAGATTGCAGAATGTCGAATTCACGTGAACAATTTTCAGCAGCAGCACGCGATTCTCTTTTTTCATAAGCCATTGTTTTGGTTGTTTTCTCTCTATCACAAAAATGAAATAACAACAACAACAAACAATAACAAAAAATGCAATTCTTCTTCTTTTTCTCTTTTTTTTCTGCTTCTACTACTACTAACTCATCTAAACAACAACAACAACATAAACATAAACAACAAAGAAGAAAAAACACATATGTTTTTTGACAGGCGCCTCCCAAACGGGAATAGTGCACCCTTGAGATCCACCTGGGTGTACCTGACCCCAACAGGCACACGCATGTTTTTTGGCGCTCTTGTGGGCCCTTGCACTTTTATTTATGATTGAATAATGTGTACAATTTTTGCCCGGTTTGTTGTCATATTGTTAGTTTATGCGTGGGGAAAGCAAATTTTGTCTTGTCTTGTGTGGGAGGATAATGTCTTCTTTTTGAATTTGAATTAAATTATATAATGTGAATCGAATTTTCTTGAAAAGGAAATTTTTTGCAGATAATAGGAGATAGGGAGAAGAAGACAGATTTTGTAGCGGCGAAACTATAAAAATCCGCCGTTCCTAGGATACTGAAAAATACGAAATGATCTGCAAAAAGATTAGGGGATTATACGAATAACATAGGGGGGATCTTTTTAGGAATTAGTTGATCTATTTTTTCGGAACTTTCAATGATCACTGATTTATGGAAATCCCAGAAATTAATATACAGGAATTCCAAACAAACGTTTTTCGAAAAATCTGAAGTCTGAAAATTATGACTTCAAATAGAAAGTTCAGAAAATCTTTTGATCCACATTTGTTTTCGAAACTTTGAACCTTATCTTTTCATATTATTTTTGATATCCCGAGATTACATTACACCGTGGATTTCATTTTATACTGTACAGAAAAAACATGTTATTGACTTTGAAAATGAAAATCCTATCAAACTACAAATTCAAAGAAAATTGGAAAACACCTTGACAAAAGTTGCATCACACAAACACAAAACTATTTCAGAAAATTGAGAAAACCAACCACGCGCAGACGCAAATCAGCGAAAAAGGAAATCGACTTATCTATCTATCACTGTCTTTCTGTCATTCACGTGAATTCCATCAAGTTTATTTTTTTTTTGCCGCGGTTTTTTCTCGGAACAAATCATTTATTCAAAAATTCCGTACTCGTGTACTCGACTGTTTTCATGATCATGTTCTCACTCAACCACGATGTTTTGCAAGGATTAGTCTTGCATATTATTACGTTCAGGAAAAAAATGAGGATTTTTTCCAGTGTGTCTACGTATTTTCCAGGGATTCTTTCATCCAATATTGTGACATTTCAGATCAGATTATAGGATGAAAAAAAGATAAGAGGGTCGTGCATTTTCGAAGAAAGCGGCAATCATTTTCAGAAAGATTCTCATGGCCCCAAATCAAAACATTTCTCTTTTTTCTTATTAATCTTTACACCTGATCAAGAATCGAAAAGATTTTATTTGGTTTTTAAAAATCAACGAAAACCAGTATAATCTTCAAGTGTCAATAAACCATGGTTCCGCTGAAAATAGACTATCTAAATAGCTTTTTATTATATAATTTGTAAACATTGAAAAAGTATACTTTTCCACAAAAAGTTCCAAAGATCAGTCTGCAGAGAATCTGTACCGTCCAAAAAATGTCTGCAGACTTTTTTTCCCGCCAGCTGTTTCCCGTTCCCCCCATTTTGCCCTTTAGTTAAAAAAGTACAAAAATTAGACATTGAATAGAGTTTGGTGTCGTGCCAATTTGTGTCTTTTTCTTTTTCTTTTAGGCAAAAAGGTCAGCGTCTATGGGAAAATCAGCGCTTTTGTGTTTTAAAAGTGCACCGCGCAATAATTTATATTGAAGAAAGAAGAGAAAAGTTTTGAAATATTGCAAGTCTGGGGTCGAATGATCAAAAAGTTTGTTTTCCAAAGTTTCTGGGAACTAGGGTTATTCATGATTTCCCAATTGTTGATAAATCGAACTTATATTTGACCATCACCGGAAGATAAAAGATAATGATTATGTTTGCATAGCCAGAAATAAAGAGAAACGAAAAAAGAGAAGAAGAAAATGAATTATGATCATTGCAAAACAGAAGAAAAGAAGAAACCGTTCGATGATGACGAAAACAGATCAAAAGTTATGCGAATCGAGGAAACCCCATCAAATATTTAGCATTTGTAAAATATCGAAGCTAACAGGTTGTGTTCTATGAATAAATGAATGAGAAGGACATGAGGATTAGAGCAAAGATTTGAAAATTTTTTTATGAATCTGTGAGATCGGGAATAACATTTTGTTACATGGTTCTTTGTTGAAGTTTTTGAGCTACTGTGTTCTTGAACATTCACAAAGTTCTAAAGTTCCTTGTGAAACCAACTTCAAAAAAAAATTAAATTCCTTTGTCAGTGGAACAAAATTTTGAAGCAACACGTGAGCGAAACCAGTTTCGTTGTTTGTTGTAATTTCTTCTCACTTGTCTCTCATATTCAGAAAACATCAAGTTTTCCAAAAAATAGAATTGACCCAGGGAAATTTTCGAAGAAAAATGAAAACAAACTCAAAGAACGCCATGTTTTTCAAAAATCATGAGGTTCTAAAAATTAATCGACTCACTCGTGTTTTCCACTATTTTTGTCTCAATTTAATTATAGAGACAACTATGTTATTGTTTCTCAGAAAATCAACCACAAAAACAACGAGGGAACACCAAGACTACAGAAATAACTGGTTTTTTTTGTCATGACCTGCTTGCTCTGTGCTCATTGATCATCATTTCTGTGTTGTTCGAAAAAAATATTTATGCAAAAATACTTCCTTCATTGCGAAAAAAAATCTTATTATTTTGTCTATCAGAAAAAAATGTGTGCTAAATACCCCTGGATTTTTTGTGCGTCACATTTTTTTTGACACGCAATTTCATTTCATTTCGAGAAAAAAATGAGCTCATCAGAGAAGGAAGAAAATGAGAGAGCTCAAGCTGGCGGAAATCATCAAAGTGTTCAGAAAATTGAAACGTGGAAAATGAAATCGGCTGATGGTTTGATTGATGCTAGAAATTCGTTGAAATCTGAGACTGTGAAGACGGATGATTTGGAGAAAGCAATGGAAAATTTAATTGAGAGAAATACGGTCGAGGATTTTGAAATGGTACGGAGCTAGAAACTTAACAAGAAAAAATAGCCCATCTGGTCCAATTTCCTAAAAAAAAAAAATAAGATTTCATAGATCGAAAATTTGACAAATACACTTTTGACTCGCCTTGATGGAATTGAGAATTGGTTATTGAATCTGAACGAATTGTTTGAACAAACTCAAATGTCTACAAATATCAATTAGGAAACGGTTTTAGAATGAATGTCTAAGTGTGTGAAATAAATTCGTTTTCTTATTTCATGACGTTTTGTGAGAGAAATGTGTTTTAGTGATCGTCGGTTAAAGTTCGACCCTTTTTCTGAAGTAAACATTGGAATTATATTTGCACAAACCCAGAAAAGAATGTTCGGAAATCTGATTCATCAAAATTTAGAATATTTATTTTTTTCTAGTTAAAAATTCGGATTGAACCTGAGCAATGGCTTTATCTACAAGTTCTTCACGACCTTCTGCAGTCTCCAATAACTCATCGACTTCCTGAAAATTCGATTTTTAGTAGCTCAAAATCTCGATAATTATTTCAAAACTCACTAAAACTTTATCAAAATTCTCGAAAAAATCCTTGATTTTATTGCCAGCAGTTTTCAGAAAACTAACAAATTCATTCTGTTCTGGTTCAGGTTTTAAAGGCGCAGCAAATATTTGAATAAATAATAATAAGAGAATAATAATTGTGAAATTTCGCATCTTTGATTTTGCTGAAATTCTTAAAATGAAGACAATCAGCAAAAAATGAAAAAATAAATTTGAAAAAAAAATAAAAAAATAAAATAGAACACGTTTTTGGTATTTGATTTTTTTGGGATGATTGTTGGACAAATATACGTCGAAAATTGACCATTTCGAAAAATGAAATTGTTTGTGATTAGTGTCCTTATTATTTTGGTCTTCAGTGTATCGGAATCGAGTTGTGATTCTTCAGCACAACTTAAGAAGCTTTTGAAAACTGCTATCAATGATTCTGGAATGGCTGATTCTTTGACTGCTGCAAAACAATATTTGGACAAACATTCAAATGTGAGTTGTTATCTGATGAAGGCAAGGCTCCTTGCCTGGAAGGATCAGAATTTTTATAGGCGCTGGTCCTTGACAATTGTACTTTCAAAAAAATGAAACCCTGACCCCAAATTTAAAAATTTTTTTCAGGACATAATTGGTGCTATCAATGTTGCATTGGTCAGTTTTTTTCAAATTATTCAGTTCCTGATTTCCATTGATTGATATTTTTCAGAGAGTTGGCCGAATTTTCAGCGATACCAATCGAACCAAAGAATTCCTCGTGGAAAAACTCGACGATTTTATCAAATTCACCGATGATATTGACTAAATCTTTTTTCTTTTTTTCACAAAAATAAATTTTGTTTGATAAAATCTTGGTTCCAGAAAAATCGTAAAGCTAAAAAAATTGAAAAATCGTTCCTTATCTCGGGAAAGATACATGTTTTTTACAGTAAAAAAAATTTTGATATCAAAAATTATCCAGCTTTTTGTGTAGAGGGAAAAGTCCACCGAAAAGTACGGTGAGAAATTCGACATACAGAAATAATTTCGAAAAATACACGACCTCTAAAAATGGAAAGTGGGTGACCATGCTTGCATTTATTTGTTGACAGCTAATTTTTTCCGTACGCACAGAAGAAGAAAATCTCGTTTATTTATGTAGTAAAACTACTGTATTATACAGAAATGAATCCAGTTATATGACGGCCACTTGAACCACTTTCAATCTCGTGTTTTCTTTATTATTCCCTCATTTTTGGTCATCTTATTATGCTTCTGATATTCATTATAATTTCAAATTTTGTTATTTTTTCAATTAATTGTGAAAAATTAGATGATTCTATCATTGATGGTAGTTTGAAAGATAGAAATTTGACAATGGGATTTGCCAAAAAATTGAATGATTCGATTTATGACTCGAACTTGAATTCAAGAATGAGCAATAAGGCGTTTCTTAAAACAAAGTGGGTTTGAATGTTATTGTTGTTCGCAGAAAATTTTAAAATTGATTTCAGACTTTTGGAAAACCTGAATAATTTTTTCCCAACCGCTGATGCTAATGAGCAATTAGAAATTTTATCAGCAGCATCTCCACCAAATGATGATGTTTTTCTAAATTCTGTTACTGAAAGTCCGTATCCAACTTTGATGCCTGATGATCCTTTATTGGAATTGGAGTTAGCGACAGCGCCGTCGACAAAAATCAGGTACCCAATTTTGACTTCTGCTCATTTTTTATTAGCTCTTTTTCAGATCTGAAGGTCGAATAACATCCGAAAAATCATCTCTCGATTCAATTCGCGATTGGCGTCGTCGACTCTACAAAGCCTTCAAAAATCGAAGAAAAATCAAAAAATCAGCAGATCCTGAAATCGTCGAAATGTCTGATCCTGTTCCTCTTGTCATCGATAAAAATCGGCAAATTATTGCAAGTCGAAGACAAGAACCAAATTGGCAGTTTGGTTCAAAATCAATTCAAACATATGGAAGAGATCAACATGGAAAACTTATTCCACTTTTTGGATTAGATCCAAGTTTTCTGAATCCAACACAGAAACCAATTGAGTTTGTTAATTTTTTTTCGGAAGATTTAAGAAAAAAAATTCTGATTTTTATAGACCTTATGAACCTCGTGATATTCGACTAACATATCGATCATCTCATACTGGCGAACCTGTTGTTTATATTCCAGCTGCAACTCGAGTTGGCCAAACTCCTCAACCAATGCAATCTTTTCCAGCCCCGGTTGCTTCATATCTCGTTACAGTAATCCTCCTAGGCCTTTGAGAAAAGGTCTAGGAGACATCTCAAATAACTAGATTCTTTTCAGGCAATGCCACAACCCATACAACTTCAAGTTTTACCAAACTTCAATACACCAGCTCCGCCAGCTCCACAACAAGTTCAGCTGATTTTTCCACCAGCAACAAACAATGAAAACGATGACGAGAAATTTAATAATGTAGGTTTAATCTAATTTATTTTTTGAAAAACATTATGGACCCCTTTTAGTGTATGAGTTGTGCGGCTTCACAAACTGATGAAAAATGTAATAGTCAACGGCTTCGATCAATTATTTTGAATGTAAGTTTTCCCCGAATCCCGAAAAATTCAATTTGAAACAAAAAATTATTTAGAACATCGTTGCAAATGATGCCGAATCATCGAAAAAAGCTGTACAAAGTCAAGCGGAAGCTGAGACAGGGATATTTTTCGATGCAATTTGTGGAACTGGATTTTTCAGTTATATAGGTAATTCTTTCGAGAAATTTTTGATTGTAAAAGTGGATCATATTTGAATAATAAAAAAAAACATTTAATAATTTCAAAATAAAATGTCAGGAGAACTACGGTTACTAAAAATTATTTTAAGTACTTTAAGGAGTACTGTACCTCAAAAAAATTGGAAGTACATTTTTAGAAAAAATCTATGATCTGCACTTTCAAAAATCTTGAAGTTACTGTAGATTCGAAGACTAGAACCTACAAAAAAGGTTCAATTCTGATTTACAGCCAGTAATGTTTTCTAAACTTTAAAATAATCCAGTTTTCGGTGGCCTGCATCCGGCCCTAATCGAATTCATCTCGTCTAACAAAGTAAGATGTTTTTCAGCTCACACCGATGAATTTTGCCTGGCCTCCTCAGGCGGTGTAAATTGCTATTTATTCTCGCCAGTTTGCTCAAATCAAGAAGACCTTCAAAGAAAAAACAAGAAGAAAATGTTTGTTAGTCGTAATCGGGTATAACGTGTGTGATGGATTTATTTTATGTATTTACATGTAAATAATATCTGATATCTTTTTTTTACCAACTGTGTTTTCCGTCTTTTTTCTGCATCGATCGAAGTGGTTCGCCTTGAAGATATGGATTTGGTGCGGATCGCTTGCGACGTGGAACATACTGAAACTTTATTATTTTGATTGATTTATTTTATTTCAAATAATTGAAGAAACCCACTTCATCAGAATTTCTTTTGTCGTGGAATTTCTTGGCGATTGTATTTTGATGCATATCATTTTCCTCCAATAATTTTTGCAATTGCTCTCCAACATCTTGCGCTTCCTTTTCAGCACAATTAAACATATGTTCCTGATCACAAATACAATGTTGTTGTGCTTGATAATTTCTCGAAAAATCGGCACTATTTTCAAATTCCTCAATACATCCGTGTTCTTTCGTGTATCCAACTGGACATGGATTTGGTGGTTCACAATAAGCTGGAAGAACCGAGTCAGTCTTGACTTCCTGTCGTTCTTGATATTGATCCTCTTCTTGCAATTTTTGTGAACCTTCTCCAGCTCCTCCTAGAACTTTGTTTTAATTTTGCTTGTTGTTGTTGTTTTTCTAATAACTCACCAGAAATATGCTTTACTCCAAAATTTGAGAGATCTGGATAATTTTCAGCATCTCTCGAAATCAAATCAATAAAATCTCCAGACGGCAAAACGAAATCTCCTGGCTGGAAAAATATTAGATTAGATTATTTTTAATTTTCTCTAGGGGGCTAATCGGATCATGATGTCAATTAGATTAATATTTTTTTCACCTGGTCTCATGATATATTATTAACAATTCATGTGAGTTTTTTTTTCAAAAAATGATCATTGAGTGAAAGCAAAAAATGAGTCAGAACTATTATCATCAATTTTAATTTAGGGTGATAAATTATAAATTTTAAGATAAAAAGTGGGACAGCTGTTTGTGGACGAAACTTTTGTTGTGACCACGTGAAATTCGGATTCTAGGAATTTAGGATTTCTAGGTTCGGCTACTTGACATGGAAGCTCTCAAGGCATAGCCACTTGCGATAGTGGATCTCTCGATGAGGCTACTAGTCAATTAGGTTGATTAGGCGCTGTGAACACAGTTTGCTTACCTTTGAAAATTTGATTTTACATTTTTTTTTCAAGCATATTTTCCTCCCTTTCCTATGTGGAATATTTTGAAGATTAGAAAATGTTTTTCATCGCGCATTAAGAAAGATTATCGAGAATTTTATAATACTTAAAAAACGCCTCCGCATTCCTGAACAAATCTGAAATTTGTGCATTACAAAAATTCTTATTAGTCCTCGAGTTTTGTAGTAAAAAAACACAACAGTCGCTATTTGAATCACTAACTAGAATCAGAAGAGAAAATCAATAAAACGTGATTAAATCTGAAAATCAACTTACATTTTCGACATTCAATGCCGCCACCAATCCACACACCAAAACCCCAATAACAAATCGGATCATCCCGCTGTCTTCAATATTCAGAGACACGGGCCGTGGTTTTTTCTCGTGGGTTTCAAGATTTTCTGCCGGCAAGCAAGAAAATCGAGAAGAGAGAAAAAAGTGACTGAAAAAAATGTGAAGGAGGAGGAGGAGAGCCTCGCGCAGCTCCTCTCTTCTTCTTCTTCTTCTCAAACACACCAAATCGATATTCTGAAGCGGACTAACATACACACACTTCTTCTTCTTCTCCCTCTTCCTCTCTACTTCACTTCTTCTGAATCATTCACGTCATTTTCCGTCGGAAAGAATGAATAGGGGAATTTTTCAGAGTTGGGATGAGAGACGAGCAGAGAACGCGATTTTTTTGTGCCATAATGATATTATGAAAAAATATGGCTGAAAAAGAGGAAAAATGAGAAATGCGGAAGGGTTTTCGGGAGAGTTTGTCGACGAAAAAAATATGAATATTGAAGAGCTCTCGGATTTCGAAAAAGGGAATATTTATGGAGGAGAAAAACAATGTTGGAACTTTTTCCCACAGAATTTATTTTCGAAAAACAAATTTTTAAAATTTCCAAGTCTTCTTTCTCAATTCAATGTGAGAAAAATCCTACAGTAATCCCTTTTGAGTAGGTCACTCGAAAATTGCACTTTGTTCGTTCGTTTTCCCATTTTTTTTTTCCTTGTGAGTATATTTTTTCAAGACAAAAAACACAAGAAAAATGTTGCGAGTCGGAAAAATTGTTTCATAATTAGCTCAATTAGGAGCCAGTGTAGTCCGTTTTTTTCTTAAAAACAAAACAAGAAAACAATTTGAGTGGAACCGATCAATGTTTTTTGATTGACATTAGAATTTTCCTTATCAGTGTCCAGCTCAGCGCAGAATTTTTGATATAAATTTACATACATTTCCATTTCAAAATAAAAAATAAATTTTTCTGCCGGCTGCTTCGGAATCGAATTATCTAGGATCCTTTTCGAGAGCCTACAAAAAACGAAAAATGAATAGTGTTCCGTTTGTTGAACACTCAGCTTATTCATTTTTGACCGCTCCACCCGATTTTTCAAATTTATTTCGTCGTCATTTTGAGGTTTGGCTCTTTCGTATTTGATAAAATATTATTTTTTGATAAGCATTCTTTGTCGGTCATTCAATATATTTTCATTTTCTTCCAGCGAAAAAGTATACGAAGAATGAGCTTCGAGGAGGTTGATCAATTTATGGTAAGTTGTGTATCATCTTATGCATAAAATGCATGTTCCGATAAGAGGTCACCTCAATCAATATGTCTGTCTCTCTTTTCCTTCTGTATTTGTTCTATCTATTTTCTCTCCTGTTCGTGTAAGTTTTTCGTTTTTTTTTATTTTGGATGCAACATTTTATTTATTGCAAATTTTCCTCCCCTTATAAAAAACGAAATCACTGAAAATTTGGCGTCACATTAAATGTTTCCATCAATAATGTGCAAACACCGCTTCGTTTTTTGAAAAATCAATGCGCGTTGCGAGACATGGGAGAAAAATTGTGTGCGCCTTTGATGAGGGGTACGGTAGAAGTATTTGTGAATTTTTATTTATTTATTTTTTTTTTGAGGGTTTGAGCGCTGCAATTTTTGGAACATCTAACACGCTTATTGTAACTTCAGGGGATTTTTTTCTTCAAAACGGGAACTCCACTCTAACTTTGACTTTGAGAATAGATCACTTCAAAAGTATAACAGTTGGGAACCCTGAGAATTCTCTCTAACTACACTTCACGAAGAGTATACTAGTCCAAACAAAAAAAAATAAAAATTTTATAAAATTAATTTAAAAAATTAAATTTGAAATGTCACACAAACTTTTGACACGTTCGTGATAAGACCCAAACCTAGTATGTGTTGTTCCTTTAAACAGACTACCAAACGCTTTCTTTCATTTTTGCTGATTCATTTTCTCATTTCAGCTGCACTTTCACTTACATCAATTTTGTTTGTTTTTTCAGATGAGTAGCAATGGTGGTAATATATTTACACGAGGGCTATCAAGAATTTCAAGAAGAAAGAAGAAGCTGAAACCAATTCAAGAAGTATTTACCGACCAAGATCGTTCATTACAAAACAACGATTTCAGCGCCCCTTCAATGTCATATGAAAGACCGCCGTTAGTTATATTTTAATAGGGTACAATATTAAAGTGGCAGTCATTAGAAGAGGAAGAAGATAGAGGAAAATGCGCTCTATCTCACTAACCAGACGCACTTTTCCTTTTTTCTTCTTCTCTTCGGCCATCGTCAATTATTTTTCAATACGAGTTAGTCTGTCGCCAAAAACTTTTCTTCTTCCTGCAATATATTTACTTAGGTTCAATTCTTTTTTCCGCAAAAAGTTTCCTTTTCTGTTGAAATGTTTGAAAAAACAGAATAATGACGAAAATATGCCTTTTGTTATTTTCGAAGACAATGTTGTTTTTTTCTTGAAATTTTTCAAAACAAAAATTAATCATTGATTTTGCAGAAAATTGATGGATCGGCTACGACGATCTTTACGATTACCGCGACGTCGAGAAAGAAGTAGCGATCGACAATTAAGTCCACAATTAACAGGCGGTTCAAAACAAGAACAATGGCAACCTGATGAATCTGCAGTTCGCGCTGGTTCATGCTTTTTCAATGTCAAATATCTTGGCGCAGTTGAAGTTTTCGAGTCACGTGGAATGACAGTTTGTGAAGGAGCACTGAAAACATTGCGATTATCTAGAAGAAAACCAGTCAAAGCAGTGCTTTATGTGTCAGGTGATGGATTGCGTGTTGTTGATCAGGGAAATTCTCGTGGATTACTTGTTGATCAAACTATTGAAAAGGTTTCTTTCTGCGCTCCGGATCGATTAAATGAACGAGGTTTTGCGTATATTTGTCGAGATGGAACATCAAGGCGATGGATGTGTCATGGATTCCTAGCAAGTAAAGATTCCGTATGTTACTTTTTGCAAGAAAAGCTATTTTTGTTTTCAACTATTCGCTTTGATCGAATAATCGAATTAAATCGCCATACCACATTATTATTTTTTCACATCAACACTTTATGTTCGGCGAACCAGAAAAAACTTTTTAACACGCAATTCGTTTTTTTTTCTTTCAGAAAGGTGAAAGGTTATCTCATGCTGTCGGATGTGCATTTGCAATTTGTTTGGAAAGAAAGAAAAAACGAGACGAAGAGAATGCAACATGTTCAACGACAAATGGAACTAAAAGTGCTGATGTACTGAATCCGAGCTGGAATGACGATGAACCATCGAGTAGTTCGGCGGGAATGGCAACAAGATCCAATTTGGCATATCAGTCATTTAGAAAACATGTTTCTATTGAGGATCGATATCTTGTAAGTTTTATCAAATGACCCGTGGAAACGTAGAACTTACAGATATTAAAACATAGAAAAAAATGTCTGAAATAAGAACTATTGATTTTTGTAAGACATACAGAATAAAAAAACTTGGAAAAATCACATGGACTAAAAGAAAAACCTAGTCCAATCGTTTGCAATGATGAAACAATTTCCACGGCCTTTTAATAAATTTCTTCATTTTGAAAATGATTTCGAAAAAAAAAAATTATGCAAGAACGTGTTAAATTTTACGTGTCCTCGGCGGAAAATTTTCTTTATCTGTTCATTTTCGAAATCTCAAACAGCATGTTTCCAGGATCCACAATCTGTCATAATCAACGAAGTTCCTGCTAGCAATTTCAATGAAGAGATCAAACATATTTGCAAGCCTCGTCCAACATCAAATCCAGCACTTTTCCAACGACAAGGCTCTCTTCGAGCTCCAGAAGCTCCTTCAAGTCAGGAAAATTTCAAACGAATGATGTCGCTTCGAAATGACTCATCAACTTCTACAACATCATCCAGCAGGCATTTTTCACCTCAAAAAGTTGGTTTTTTTCACATTTGTCTTTTGTCATATTGAAAAAAGGAGCGGGTTGAAATAGAAAAATTAGCATAAGTCCTAAGTCTATATAAACATTATAAAACAACAAACGTTTTTTTTGTTCATATGGCAAAAAAATTATTGAATGAACTGAAAAACTATGGTTGATACTGAATATATTCGTGCTGTTGCACATTGTATTAGTCATCGAGCTCGAATTGGAGTGGCTGAGAAAGTTAGAAAATTGAAGTTGGCTCATTCGAGAGCAAGATTGCGATCTTATACGCAAGCTTATGAAAGATCTGAAGTTCTTGATGAATATTTACCAAGTTTATATATTCGACATGATTTTGATAAGCCAAGAAATCTTCAATTAAGAAGAAAAAGTTTGGAAGATGAAGATTATTCTTACGATTTGGATTTACCAAATGTTATTGAGTTGAAAATCAATGTATCATTATAATATTATAACTATCCATTCAAAAACTAATTTGATTTGTTCCAGAAAAGCCTATACAACGAGCCAATCTACGAAAGAGACGAAGATCCACTCGGCCTTGGTCTTTCGCCTTCTTCATCAACCTACGTGAATCCAGTTGATAACAATGGTTTGAATGGGCTTGATTTGAATTGGACCAACGCTGCTCCACTTCCTCATCCAACAAATCTCATTGGGACACAAAATGGAGGAGCTGGAGATTTTGCGAATTGGCCAACTGAAAAATCAAATGGAGGACTTCCGTCGCCACTTGATGAGGTTCAAAAACAGTTTGAAGAGATGAAAACATCAACTTCGAGGAATAAAGCTGATGAATGGTTGGATGATGTTTTGAGAGTATCAATGACAATGTCGCCGACTTCAAATGTTAGTTTTCGCAATCTTTTTTTTAATGACGTCGCCAAAAAAAATAACAAACGTTTTCTCACACAAAAAAAATAATTTTTGTAATTTTTTCCAGAAATCATCCGCGGCTGTAACTCCCTCTACATCATTTTCCAATTATTCGCAACTCGAAAATGGAACAAGTTCAAAATCTGGTCCGCCGCCAGCTCATGCGCCACCACCATTGCCTACTAAACAAGCTATTTCGAATGGAAATCCATCAATGTATCAACCGGTTAGTTTTTCTTTTTTGAAAACCTTTGAAGTGAATCACAAGTTCAAAAAAAAATCGAAATCTTTATTTTACTTTGAAAGAATATCAGCAATATTGTGTGCTCCAATTCCTAAAACCAAAGTAGTTCCACCATCAGCCACAATTGTTTGACCAATAATATATTTTGAAAGTGGGCGATCAGCCAAAAACGCGATAAGATTTGCAATATCTTCTGGTTGTCCGAGTTCTTTTGATGGCAAACATGCTTTGTGAGATGCGAAGTAATCGTAGAGTTTCTCACCGATTTGTTTTGGAGCTCCTGTAGCTTCAAGGAAACCGGTTACTACAATTCCTGGGTTCACTGCATTTACACGAACTCCATGTTCAATGAGCTCCAGAGCTGTGTTTCGGGTGTATGAATCGAGAGCAGCTTTTGACATTGCGTAGAATGAAGAATCGGGGAACTAAAAAACAAACTTTATAGATAAATAAATAAAATATATCTGAAAACATACCCCATGTGCTCCTGAAACAATACTTGAAACATTGATAATCTCTCCTTTTGTTTGAATAATATAATCTTTTGCTTTTTTTGTGAGTTGAACAACACTTCTCAAATTCAATGCGAACATTCTATCATAAGTATCAATATCTTGAGCCAAACCTTGTGCTCCAGTTGCATCAGGAACAGCTGAACCGGCATTATTAACAAGAATATCGATTTTTCCGAATTTCTTGATTGTCGAATCGATGAGCTCATCTTGCGCGGTTACTGTAGTAACATCACCAACTACTGAATTCACATTTTCCTCTGGAACTCCTTCGGCTAAAATAAGTTTCAAAGTTTGTTCCAATCGTTCCGCATTTCTTCCAGTTATCGTAACTTTTGCACCATCTTTTGCGAGAAGAATAGCAGTTGATCTACCAATTCCATTTGATGAACCAGTAATAATAGCAACTTTGTTAGAGAATCTTGGCATTTTTTAAAATGAAAAATGATATAAATAAAAAGGCTTACCGAGTCCTATTTATACTCAATTTTGTAGTTATTGTGATTTTGTAGTTATTGTGACAGAGAAAGATAGTGAGAATTAGAGAGATGCAACCATTATATTGAAACGTGGTTTGTGTTTGCTTTTTCGTTGCCTATGTTTTTATTTGAAAATTGGAAATACCATCAAATTATAGAAAAAAGTATTGTTGTTTTTGTACAAAAACGTTTTACAGTTTGAAAATCAACTCGCGCAAATAATCAAAACAATTTTTTTCAAAAAAAAAAGTTCTATTAGACAATCATTTTTTGCAGGTTCTTGCACCAACTCGAATAACTCCATCGCCAGTGAGCAATGTAAATTGGAATTCTTCACCAGTAGCTGCTCAAATTATAGCCAAACAACCAAAACCAATTGATCCATTTGATGTTCAATGGAGTCGATTAGCAGTCAATCCAGCAGCTGAAAATGCATGAAACCCTCTCCCTGTTTTTATATATCTATTTTTTATATGTAGAATATTTCACACGATATTTTGATTTGATAATTTTTTAAACTTTCTTACTAACAGTTTTTATATATATTCTATAGAATTCTATTCATTCCCATAATAATAGTTTCGTTTTTTGTTTGAAACTTTTAATATAGGTTATCGATTTGAGCTTTTTCATTGTTTTTCCAGCCGTTCTTGTCATTCTTTTTTCTTCAATTCGACGATGATTTTTTTTCTGTATTTTATACCGGTCTATATTTTTATTGCGCTTTGCCATCGAAAAAACAAAAATAACACCAAAGAAAATAATAAAGTTTTGCTTTTTCGTTCGAAAATTTTCAGAAATTCTGATAGGTTCTGTTATCACTTGCCTGCTTTAAATATCTGATAAAAATTACAGGTTCCAAATTTAAGGAATTTGAATTTTCAGACAAATGTTTTCGAGGTTTGGTGGTTTATTGGGAAATGCCATGACGGCTTGTACAAGCAGATTAACAAGGTATGTTTGGGAAATTGATATCTTGAATAAAAGTTAAAAGTTTGAAAATTTACAGCCTTTTACCGTCAACATCACCATTCCAACAACAAATCGCATCGATCTCAACATCTCTTCCGTTTTGCAGAAATAATTTTCTTCAATTTATTCACTATCGAAATGGTCCACCAAAACGAAGAGCTCGATCAAAGGATAAAAGTCCAATTAGTGGATATAATCATTATAAGGGAATTGTGTTGAAAAGTGAGTTTTATTTTTTAATGGGTGTTTATATTAAAAGGTGATTTTAATCCATAAAAATGAGCTAGAATAGAAAATCGTCAATTCGAAGTTACTTTCAAATGACGATTTATTATTTTTATCCATAAAAATGAGCTAGAATAGAAAATCGTCAATTCGAAGTTACTTCCAAATGACGATTTATTATTTTTATCCATAAAAATGAGCTAGAATAGAAAATCGTCAATTCGAAGTTACTTTCAAATGACGATTTATTATTTTTATCCATAAAAATGAGCTAGAATAGAAAATCGTCAATTCGAAGTTACTTCCAAATGACGATTCATTATTTTTATCCATAAAAATGAGCTAGAATAGAAAATCGTCAATTCGAAGTTACTTCCAAATGACGATTTATTATTTTTATCCATAAAAATGAGCTAGAATAGAAAATCGTCAATTCGAAGTTACTTTCAAATGACGATTCATTATTTTTATCCATAAAAATGAGCTAGAATAGAAAATCGTCAATTCGAAGTTACTTCCAAATGACGATTTATTATTTTTATCCATAAAAATGAGCTAGAATAGAAAATCGTCAATTCGAAGTTACTTCCAAATGACGATTCATTATTTTTATCCATAAAAATGAGCTAGAATAGAAAATCGTCAATTCGAAGTTACTTCCAAATGACGATTCATTATTTTTATCCATAAAAATGAGCTAGAATAGAAAATCGTCAATTCGAAGTTACTTCCAAATGACGATTTATTATTTTTATCCATAAAAATGAGCTAGAATAGAAAATCGTCAATTCGAAGTTACTTTCAAATGACGATTTATTATTTTTATCCATAAAAATGAGCTAGAATAGAAAATCGTCAATTCGAAGTTACTTCCAAATGACGATTTATTATTTTTATCCATAAAAATGAGCTAGAATAGAAAATCGTCAATTCGAAGTTACTTCCAAATGACGATTTATTATTTTTATCCATAAAAATGAGCTAGAATAGAAAATCGTCAATTCGAAGTTACTTTCAAATGACGATTTATTATTTTATCCATAAAAATGAGCTAGAATAGAAAATCGTCAATTCGAAGTTACTTTCAAATGACGATTTATTATTTTTATCCATAAAAATGAGCTAGAATAGAAAATCGTCAATTCGAAGTTACTTCCAAATGACGATTCATTATTTTTATCCATAAAAATGAGCTAGAATAGAAAATCGTCAATTCGAAGTTACTTCCAAATGACGATTTATTATTTTTATCCATAAAAATGAGCTAGAATAGAAAATCGTCAATTCGAAGTTACTTCCAAATGACGATTTATTATTTTTATCCATAAAAATGAGCTAGAATAGAAAATCGTCAATTCGAAGTTACTTCCAAATGACGATTTATTATTTTTATCCATAAAAATGAGCTAGAATAGAAAATCGTCAATTCGAAGTTACTTCCAAATGACGATTCATTATTTTTATCCATAAAAATGAGCTAGAATAGAAAATCGTCAATTCGAAGTTAGTTTCAAATGACGATTTATTATTTTTATCCATAAAAATGAGCTAGAATAGAAAATCGTCAATTCGAAGTTACTTTCAAATGACGATTTATTATTTTTATCCATAAAAATGAGCTAGAATAGAAAATCGTCAATTCGAAGTTACTTCCAAATGACGATTTATTATTTTTATCCATAAAAATGAGCTAGAATAGAAAATCGTCAATTCGAAGTTACTTTCAAATGACGATTCATTATTTTTATCCATAAAAATGAGCTAGAATAGAAAATCGTCAATTCGAAGTTACTTTCAAATGACGATTCATTATTTTTATCCATAAAAATGAGCTAGAATAGAAAATCGTCAATTCGAAGTTACTTTCAAATGACGATTTATTATTTTTATCCATAAAAATGAGCTAGAATAGAAAATCGTCAATTCGAAGTTACTTTCAAATGACGATTTATTATTTTTATCCATAAAAATGAGCTAGAATAGAAAATCGTCAATTCGAAGTTACTTTCAAATGACGATTTATTATTTTTATCCATAAAAATGAGCTAGAATAGAAAATCGTCAATTCGAAGTTACTTTCAAATGACGATTTATTATTTTTATCCATAAAAATGAGCTAGAATAGAAAATCGTCAATTCGAAGTTACTTCCAAATGACGATTTATTATTTTTATCCATAAAAATGAGCTAGAATAGAAAATCGTCAATTCGAAGTTACTTTCAAATGACGATTCATTATTTTTATCCATAAAAATGAGCTAGAATAGAAAATCGTCAATTCGAAGTTACTTTCAAATGACGATTCATTATTTTTATCCATAAAAATGAGCTAGAATAGAAAATCGTCAATTCGAAGTTACTTCCAAATGACGATTTATTATTTTTATCCATAAAAATGAGCTAGAATAGAAAATCGTCAATTCGAAGTTACTTTCAAATGACGATTTATTATTTTTATCCATAAAAATGAGCTAGAATAGAAAATCGTCAATTCGAAGTTACTTCCAAATGACGATTTATTATTTTTATCCATAAAAATGAGCTAGAATAGAAAATCGTCAATTCGAAGTTACTTCCAAATGACGATTTATTATTTTTATCCATAAAAATGAGCTAGAATAGAAAATCGTCAATTCGAAGTTACTTACAAATGACGATTTATTATTTTTATCCATAAAAATGAGCTAGAATAGAAAATCGTCAATTCGAAGTTACTTTCAAATGACGATTTATTATTTTTATCCATAAAAATGAGCTAGAATAGAAAATCGTCAATTCGAAGTTACTTTCAAATGACGATTTATTATTTTTATCCATAAAAATGAGCTAGAATAGAAAATCGTCAATTCGAAGTTACTTTCAAATGACGATTTATTATTTTTATCCATAAAAATGAGCTAGAATAAAAAATCGTCAATTCGAAGTTACTTTCAAATGACGATTTATTATTTTTATCCATAAAAATGAGCTAGAATAGAAAATCGTCAATTCGAAGTTACTTTCAAATGACGATTTATTATTTTTATCCATAAAAATGAGCTAGAATAGAAAATCGTCAATTCGAAGTTACTTTCAAATGACGATTTATTATTTTTATCCATAAAAATGAGCTAGAATAGAAAATCGTCAATTCGAAGTTACTTCCAAATGACGATTTATTATTTTTATCCATAAAAATGAGCTAGAATAGAAAATCGTCAATTCGAAGTTACTTTCAAATGACGATTCATTATTTTTATCCATAAAAATGAGCTAGAATAGAAAATCGTCAATTCGAAGTTACTTTCAAATGACGATTCATTATTTTTATCCATAAAAATGAGCTAGAATAGAAAATCGTCAATTCGAAGTTACTTCCAAATGACGATTTATTATTTTTATCCATAAAAATGAGCTAGAATAGAAAATCGTCAATTCGAAGTTACTTTCAAATGACGATTCATTATTTTTATCCATAAAAATGAGCTAGAATAGAAAATCGTCAATTCGAAGTTACTTCCAAATGACGATTTATTATTTTTATCCATAAAAATGAGCTAGAATAGAAAATCGTCAATTCGAAGTTACTTCCAAATGACGATTTATTATTTTTATCCATAAAAATGAGCTAGAATAGAAAATCGTCAATTCGAAGTTACTTCCAAATGACGATTTATTATTTTTATCCATAAAAATGAGCTAGAATAGAAAATCGTCAATTCGAAGTTACTTCCAAATGACGATTTATTATTTTTATCCATAAAAATGAGCTAGAATAGAAAATCGTCAATTCGAAGTTACTTCCAAATGACGATTCATTATTTTTATCCATAAAAATGAGCTAGAATAGAAAATCGTCAATTCGAAGTTACTTCCAAATGACGATTTATTATTTTTATCCATAAAAATGAGCTAGAATAGAAAATCGTCAATTCGAAGTTACTTCCAAATGACGATTTATTATTTTTATCCATAAAAATGAGCTAGAATAGAAAATCGTCAATTCGAAGTTACTTCCAAATGACGATTTATTATTTTTATCCATAAAAATGAGCTAGAATAGAAAATCGTCAATTCGAAGTTACTTCCAAATGACGATTTATTATTTTTATCCATAAAAATGAGCTAGAATAGAAAATCGTCAATTCGAAGTTACTTCCAAATGACGATTTATTATTTTTATCCATAAAAATGAGCTAGAATAGAAAATCGTCAATTCGAAGTTACTTCCAAATGACGATTCATTATTTTTATCCATAAAAATGAGCTAGAATAGAAAATCGTCAATTCGAAGTTACTTCCAAATGACGATTTATTATTTTTATCCATAAAAATGAGCTAGAATAGAAAATCGTCAATTCGAAGTTACTTCCAAATGACGATTTATTATTTTTATCCATAAAAATGAGCTAGAATAGAAAATCGTCAATTCGAAGTTACTTCCAAATGACGATTTATTATTTTTATCCATAAAAATGAGCTAGAATAGAAAATCGTCAATTCGAAGTTACTTCCAAATGACGATTTATTATTTTTATCCATAAAAATGAGCTAGAATAGAAAATCGTCAATTCGAAGTTACTTCCAAATGACGATTTATTATTTTTATCCATAAAAATGAGCTAGAATAGAAAATCGTCAATTCGAAGTTACTTTCAAATGACGATTTATTATTTTTATCCATAAAAATGAGCTAGAATAGAAAATCGTCAATTCGAAGTTACTTCCAAATGACGATTTATTATTTTTATCCATAAAAATGAGCTAGAATAGAAAATCGTCAATTCGAAGTTACTTTCAAATGACGATTCATTATTTTATCCATAAAAATGAGCTAGAATAGAAAATCGTCAATTCGAAGTTACTTTCAAATGACGATTCATTATTTTTATCCATAAAAATGAGCTAGAATAGAAAATCGTCAATTCGAAGTTACTTCCAAATGACGATTTATTATTTTTATCCATAAAAATGAGCTAGAATAGAAAATCGTCAATTCGAAGTTACTTTCAAATGACGATTCATTATTTTTATCCATAAAAATGAGCTAGAATAGAAAATCGTCAATTCGAAGTTACTTCCAAATGACGATTTATTATTTTTATCCATAAAAATGAGCTAGAATAGAAAATCGTCAATTCGAAGTTACTTTCAAATGACGATTTATTATTTTTATCCATAAAAATGAGCTAGAATAGAAAATCGTCAATTCGAAGTTACTTCCAAATGACGATTCATTATTTTTATCCATAAAAATGAGCTAGAATAGAAAATCGTCAATTCGAAGTTACTTCCAAATGACGATTTATTATTTTTATCCATAAAAATGAGCTAGAATAGAAAATCGTCAATTCGAAGTTACTTACAAATGACGATTTATTATTTTTATCCATAAAAATGAGCTAGAATAGAAAATCGTCAATTCGAAGTTACTTTCAAATGACGATTTATTATTTTTATCCATAAAAATGAGCTAGAATAGAAAATCGTCAATTCGAAGTTACTTTCAAATGACGATTCATTATTTTATCCATAAAAATGAGCTAGAATAGAAAATCGTCAATTCGAAGTTACTTTCAAATGACGATTTATTATTTTTATCCATAAAAATGAGCTAGAATAGAAAATCGTCAATTCGAAGTTACTTTCAAATGACGATTCATTATTTTTATCCATAAAAATGAGCTAGAATAGAAAATCGTCAATTCGAAGTTACTTCCAAATGACGATTTATTATTTTTATCCATGAAAATGAGCTAGAATAGAAAATCGTCAATTCGAAGTTACTTTCAAATGACGATTTATTATTTTTATCCATAAAAATGAGCTAGAATAGAAAATCGTCAATTCGAAGTTACTTTCAAATGACGATTTATTATTTTTATCCATAAAAATGAGCTAGAATAGAAAATCGTCAATTCGAAGTTACTTACAAATGACGATTTATTATTTTTATCCATAAAAATGAGCTAGAATAGAAAATCGTCAATTCGAAGTTACTTTCAAATGACGATTTATTATTTTTATCCATAAAAATGAGCTAGAATAGAAAATCGTCAATTCGAAGTTACTTTCAAATGACGATTCATTATTTTTATCCATAAAAATGAGCTAGAATAGAAAATCGTCAATTCGAAGTTACTTCCAAATGACGATTTATTATTTTTATCCATAAAAATGAGCTAGAATAGAAAATCGTGAATTAGAAGTTACTTTCAAATGACGATTCATTATTTTTATCCATAAAAATGAGCTAGAATAGAAAATCGTCAATTCGAAGTTACTTTCAAATGACGATTTATTATTTTTATCCATAAAAATGAGCTAGAATAGAAAATCGTCAATTCGAAGTTACTTTCAAATGACGATTCATTATTTTTATCCATAAAAATGAGCTAGAATAGAAAATCGTCAATTCGAAGTTACTTTCAAATGACGATTTATTATTTTTATCCATAAAAATGAGCTAGAATAGAAAATCGTCAATTCGAAGTTACTTTCAAATGACGATTCATTATTTTTATCCATAAAAATGAGCTAGAATAGAAAATCGTCAATTCGAAGTTACTTCCAAATGACGATTTATTATTTTTATCCATAAAAATGAGCTAGAATAGAAAATCGTCAATTCGAAGTTACTTTCAAATGACGATTCATTATTTTTATCCATAAAAATGAGCTAGAATAGAAAATCGTCAATTCGAAGTTACTTACAAATGACGATTTATTATTTTTATCCATAAAAATGAGCTAGAATAGAAAATCGTCAATTCGAAGTTACTTCCAAATGACGATTCATTATTTTTATCCATAAAAATGAGCTAGAATAGAAAATCGTCAATTCGAAGTTACTTCCAAATGACGATTTATTATTTTTATCCATAAAAATGAGCTAGAATAGAAAATCGTCAATTCGAAGTTACTTACAAATGACGATTTATTATTTTTATCCATAAAAATGAGCTAGAATAGAAAATCGTCAATTCGAAGTTACTTACAAATGACGATTTATTATTTTTATCCATAAAAATGAGCTAGAATAGAAAATCGTCAATTCGAAGTTACTTTCAAATGACGATTTATTATTTTTATCCATAAAAATGAGCTAGAATAGAAAATCGTCAATTCGAAGTTACTTTCAAATGACGATTTATTATTTTTATCCATAAAAATGAGCTAGAATAGAAAATCGTCAATTCGAAGTTACTTCCAAATGACGATTCATTATTTTTATCCATAAAAATGAGCTAGAATAGAAAATCGTCAATTCGAAGTTACTTCCAAATGACGATTTATTATTTTTATCCATAAAAATGAGCTAGAATAGAAAATCGTGAATTAGAAGTTACTTTCAAATGACGATTCATTATTTTTATCCATAAAAATGAGCTAGAATAGAAAATCGTCAATTCGAAGTTACTTTCAAATGACGATTTATTATTTTTATCCATAAAAATGAGCTAGAATAGAAAATCGTCAATTCGAAGTTACTTTCAAATGACGATTCATTATTTTTATCCATAAAAATGAGCTAGAATAGAAAATCGTCAATTCGAAGTTACTTTCAAATGACGATTTATTATTTTTATCCATAAAAATGAGCTAGAATAGAAAATCGTCAATTCGAAGTTACTTTCAAATGACGATTTATTATTTTTCTCCATAAAAATGAGCTAGAATAGAAAATCGTCAATTCGAAGTTACTTTCAAATGACGATTTATTATTTTTCTCCATAAAAATGAGCTAGAATAGAAAATCGTCAATTCGAAGTTACTTTCAAATGACGATTTATTATTTTTATCCATAAAAATGAGCTAGAATAGAAAATCGTCAATTCGAAGTTACTTTCAAATGACGATTTATTATTTTTATCCATAAAAATGAGCTAGAATAGAAAATCGTCAATTCGAAGTTACTTTCAAATGACGATTCATTATTTTTATCCATAAAAATGAGCTAGAATAGAAAATCGTCAATTCGAAGTTACTTTCAAATGACGATTTATTATTTTTATCCATAAAAATGAGCTAGAATAGAAAATCGTCAATTCGAAGTTACTTTCAAATGACGATTTATTATTTTTCTCCATAAAAATGAGCTAGAATAGAAAATCGTCAATTCGAAGTTACTTTCAAATGACGATTTATTATTTTTATCCATAAAAATGAGCTAGAATAGAAAATCGTCAATTCGAAGTTACTTTCAAATGACGATTTATTATTTTTATCCATAAAAATGAGCTAGAATAGAAAATCGTCAATTCGAAGTTACTTTCAAATGACGATTCATTATTTTTATCCATAAAAATGAGCTAGAATAGAAAATCGTCAATTCGAAGTTACTTTCAAATGACGATTTATTATTTTTATCCATAAAAATGAGCTAGAATAGAAAATCGTCAATTCGAAGTTACTTTCAAATGACGATTTATTATTTTTATCCATAAAAATGAGCTAGAATAGAAAATCGTCAATTCGAAGTTACTTCCAAATGACGATTTATTATTTTTATCCATAAAAATGAGCTAGAATAGAAAATCGTCAATTCGAAGTTACTTTCAAATGACGATTTATTATTTTTATCCATAAAAATGAGCTAGAATAGAAAATCGTCAATTCGAAGTTACTTTCAAATGACGATTTATTATTTTTATCCATAAAAATGAGCTAGAATAGAAAATCGTCAATTCGAAGTTACTTCCAAATGACGATTTATTATTTTTATCCATAAAAATGAGCTAGAATAGAAAATCGTCAATTCGAAGTTACTTCCAAATGACGATTTATTATTTTTATCCATAAAAATGAGCTAGAATAGAAAATCGTCAATTCGAAGTTACTTCCAAATGACGATTTATTATTTTTATCCATAAAAATGAGCTAGAATAGAAAATCGTCAATTCGAAGTTACTTTCAAATGACGATTTATTATTTTTATCCATAAAAATGAGCTAGAATAGAAAATCGTCAATTCGAAGTTACTTCCAAATGACGATTTATTATTTTTATCCATAAAAATGAGCTAGAATAGAAAATCGTGAATTAGAAGTTACTTTCAAATGACGATTTATTATTTTTATCCATAAAAATGAGCTAGAATAGAAAATCGTCAATTCGAAGTTACTTTCAAATGACGATTTATTATTTTTATCCATAAAAATGAGCTAGAATAGAAAATCGTCAATTCGAAGTTACTTTCAAATGACGATTCATTATTTTTATCCATAAAAATGAGCTAGAATAGAAAATCGTCAATTCGAAGTTACTTTCAAATGACGATTTATTATTTTTATCCATAAAAATGAGCTAGAATAGAAAATCGTCAATTCGAAGTTACTTCCAAATGACGATTTATTATTTTTATCCATAAAAATGAGCTAGAATAGAAAATCGTCAATTCGAAGTTACTTTCAAATGACGATTTATTATTTTTATCCATAAAAATGAGCTAGAATAGAAAATCGTCAATTCGAAGTTACTTTCAAATGACGATTTATTATTTTTATCCATAAAAATGAGCTAGAATAGAAAATCGTCAATTCGAAGTTACTTCCAAATGACGATTTATTATTTTTATCCATAAAAATGAGCTAGAATAGAAAATCGTCAATTCGAAGTTACTTCCAAATGACGATTTATTATTTTTATCCATAAAAATGAGCTAGAATAGAAAATCGTCAATTCGAAGTTACTTCCAAATGACGATTTATTATTTTTATCCATAAAAATGAGCTAGAATAGAAAATCGTCAATTCGAAGTTACTTTCAAATGACGATTTATTATTTTTATCCATAAAAATGAGCTAGAATAGAAAATCGTCAATTCGAAGTTACTTCCAAATGACGATTTATTATTTTTATCCATAAAAATGAGCTAGAATAGAAAATCGTGAATTAGAAGTTACTTTCAAATGACGATTTATTATTTTTATCCATAAAAATGAGCTAGAATAGAAAATCGTCAATTCGAAGTTACTTTCAAATGACGATTTATTATTTTTATCCATAAAAATGAGCTAGAATAGAAAATCGTCAATTCGAAGTTACTTTCAAATGACGATTCATTATTTTTATCCATAAAAATGAGCTAGAATAGAAAATCGTCAATTCGAAGTTACTTTCAAATGACGATTTATTATTTTTATCCATAAAAATGAGCTAGAATAGAAAATCGTCAATTCGAAGTTACTTCCAAATGACGATTTATTATTTTTATCCATAAAAATGAGCTAGAATAGAAAATCGTCAATTCGAAGTTACTTCCAAATGACGATTTATTATTTTTATCCATAAAAATGAGCTAGAATAGAAAATCGTCAATTCGAAGTTACTTCCAAATGACGATTTATTATTTTTATCCATAAAAATGAGCTAGAATAGAAAATCGTCAATACGAAGTTACTTTCAAATGACGATTTATTATTTTTATCCATAAAAATGAGCTAGAATAGAAAATCGTCAATTCGAAGTTACTTTCAAATGACGATTTATTATTTTTATCCATAAAAATGAGCTAGAATAGAAAATCGTCAATTCGAAGTTACTTCCAAATGACGATTTATTATTTTTATCCATAAAAATGAGCTAGAATAGAAAATCGTCAATTCGAAGTTACTTTCAAATGACGATTTATTATTTTTATCCATAAAAATGAGCTAGAATAGAAAATCGTCAATTCGAAGTTACTTCCAAATGACGATTTATTATTTTTATCCATAAAAATGAGCTAGAATAGAAAATCGTGAATTAGAAGTTACTTTCAAATGACGATTTATTATTTTTATCCATAAAAATGAGCTAGAATAGAAAATCGTCAATTCGAAGTTACTTTCAAATGACGATTTATTATTTTTATCCATAAAAATGAGCTAGAATAGAAAATCGTCAATTCGAAGTTACTTTCAAATGACGATTTATTATTTTTATCCATAAAAATGAGCTAGAATAGAAAATCGTCAATTCGAAGTTACTTTCAAATGACGATTTATTATTTTTATCCATAAAAATGAGCTAGAATAGAAAATCGTCAATTCGAAGTTACTTTCAAATGACGATTTATTATTTTTATCCATAAAAATGAGCTAGAATAGAAAATCGTCAATTCGAAGTTACTTTCAAATGACGATTTATTATTTTTATCCATAAAAATGAGCTAGAATAGAAAATCGTCAATTCGAAGTTACTTTCAAATGACGATTTATTATTTTTATCCATAAAAATGAGCTAGAATAGAAAATCGTCAATTCGAAGTTACTTCCAAATGACGATTTATTATTTTTATCCATAAAAATGAGCTAGAATAGAAAATCGTCAATTCGAAGTTACTTTCAAATGACGATTTATTATTTTTATCCATAAAAATGAGCTAGAATAGAAAATCGTCAATTCGAAGTTACTTCCAAATGACGATTTATTATTTTTATCCATAAAAATGAGCTAGAATAGAAAATCGTCAATTCGAAGTTACTTTCAAATGACGATTTATTATTTTTATCCATAAAAATGAGCTAGAATAGAAAATCGTCAATTCGAAGTTACTTCCAAATGACGATTTATTATTTTTATCCATAAAAATGAGCTAGAATAGAAAATCGTCAATTCGAAGTTACTTTCAAATGACGATTTATTATTTTTATCCATAAAAATGAGCTAGAATAGAAAATCGTCAATTCGAAGTTACTTTCAAATGACGATTTATTATTTTTATCCATAAAAATGAGCTAGAATAGAAAATCGTCAATTCGAAGTTACTTTCAAATGACGATTTATTATTTTTATCCATAAAAATGAGCTAGAATAGAAAATCGTCAATTCGAAGTGACGATTTATTATTTTTATCCATAAAAATGAGCTAGAATAGAAAATCGTCAATTCGAAGTTACTTTCAAATGACGATTTATTATTTTTATCCATAAAAATGAGCTAGAATAGAAAATCGTCAATTCGAAGTTACTTTCAAATGACGATTTATTATTTTTATCCATAAAAATGAGCTAGAATAGAAAATCGTCAATTCGAAGTTACTTCCAAATGACGATTTATTATTTTTATCCATAAAAATGAGCTAGAATAGAAAATCGTCAATTCGAAGTTACTTCCAAATGACGATTTATTATTTTTATCCATAAAAATGAGCTAGAATAGAAAATCGTCAATTCGAAGTTACTTTCAAATGACGATTTATTATTTTTATCCATAAAAATGAGCTAGAATAGAAAATCGTCAATTCGAAGTTACTTCCAAATGACGATTTATTATTTTTATCCATAAAAATGAGCTAGAATAGAAAATCGTCAATTCGAAGTTACTTCCAAATGACGATTTATTATTTTTATCCATAAAAATGAGCTAGAATAGAAAATCGTCAATTCGAAGTTACTTTCAAATGACGATTTATTATTTTTATCCATAAAAATGAGCTAGAATAGAAAATCGTGAATTCGAAGTTACTTTCAAATGACGATTTATTATTTTTATCCATAAAAATGAGCTAGAATAGAAAATCGTGAATTCGAAGTTACTTCCAAATGACGATTTATTATTTTTATCCATAAAAATGAGCTAGAATAGAAAATCGTCAATTCGAAGTTACTTTCAAATGACGATTTATTATTTTTATCCATAAAAATGAGCTAGAATAGAAAATCGTCAATTCGAAGTTACTTTCAAATGACGATTTATTATTTTTATCCATAAAAATGAGCTAGAATAGAAAATCGTCAATTCGAAGTTACTTTCAAATGACGATTTATTATTTTTATCCATAAAAATGAGCTAGAATAGAAAATCGTCAATTCGAAGTTACTTTCAAATGACGATTTATTATTTTTATCCATAAAAATGAGCTAGAATAGAAAATCGTGAATTCGAAGTTACTTCCAAATGACGATTTATTATTTTTATCCATAAAAATGAGCTAGAATAGAAAATCGTCAATTCGAAGTTACTTTCAAATGACGATTTATTATTTTTATCCATAAAAATGAGCTAGAATAGAAAATCGTCAATTCGAAGTTACTTTCAAATGACGATTTATTATTTTTATCCATAAAAATGAGCTAGAATAGAAAATCGTGAATTAGAAGTTACTTCCAAATGACGATTTATTATTTTTATCCATAAAAATGAGCTAGAATAGAAAATCGTGAATTAGAAGTTACTTCCAAATGACGATTTATTATTTTTATCCATAAAAATGAGCTAGAATAGAAAATCGTGAAAAATTTAAATAGAATGAAAATGTTTTTCTTGATTATTTTCCCCACTTTTCCAATTCCTCATTTTCAGCTGTAATTCGTCACCCAAAAAAACCGAATTCCGGTAACCGTAAATGTGCAATTGTGCGATTATCAACTGGAGCTGAAGTGTGTGCATATATTCCGAATGTCGGTCATAATCTTCAAGAACATTCACAAGTTTTGGTTCGCGGTGGTCGAAGACGTGATTTGATTTCGGTTAAAGCTAATATTGTTCGCGGAAAATTCGATTGTGCTCCAGCTGGTGGACGAAAATAAATGAACTTTTTTCTAGATTTTTTTAGATTAGACTTTTTTGTTGTATTTTAATAATCCGATGAATTGTTTTTGTTTTTCTTCTGAATTTTGAGATTGGTTTTTGGTTTTCAAGCCATTCATTATTTGAAAATTTTCAGCACTAATATGAGCAAGAGCTTATCAAATTTTATAGATGGAGGTTTATTTGAGCGACGATGAAAAACTATTTCTGATCGCTGGAATCGAGGATAATATTAGGAACGATGGAAGAACGTAAGTTTTTCACAAACATTTTTGATTTTTAAAGAAAAGCCTTCTAATTCAGATGCGCTGACTTTCGCCAAGTTGTTTTAGAACAAGGAGTTCTAACCGGAACAAATGGATCTTGTCGAGTTCAATTAGGACACACTACAGATGTTTTAGCTGGAATTAAATTGGAACTCGAGAGTTTTGACAAAGATTCCGAGAAGAACACGCCACCGCCTTTCAAATTTTTCGTAGATTTTTCTGCGAATGCCAGCTCACAATTTGCTGGAAAAGGTGGAGATGAATATGCGGAAGAATTGTCAGCGGCTCTTACAACTGCCTATTCGAATTCGTATGATATTTTGGGTAATTTGAAAAAGTTAGTTGTATTATTTTTGTTCCGTTTCATATTTAAACCACACTTTTTTGCAGAGTTCAATTAGCTGATGGTTATCGATGGAAGATTTATGTTGATGTGACTGTTTTGCAATGGAATGGTTCTGTTATCGATGCGATTTCACTTGGTGTAATCGGTGCACTTCATAATTTGTCGATTCCAGAAGTTGAGATTTCACCGGATGATGGCGGAAAAGTGTCGATTGTTTTGAAAAGACCAAGAACTGGTGGAAATGTGAGAGATGAAGAAGTGCCGGTTGACACGTGGAAATTGGATGTTAGCAGGTAGGATATTTTTGAACTATTAGTGTTTCGAAAGAAAATCGAGGAACTTTTCTCGGCTAAGAATTGCAAACGGTCACGTCGAAAATTCATGACGTATTTTCAATTTTTTTTTAAATTTTTAACGATTTTTTTTCTGAAAATTTTTGACGTCTTTTATTTTTCATTTCTGGTTTTGAATTTGCCTGAATCGTTTTTTTTTCTTAATTTTCACAAAAATGTAATCAGGACATCAGTGATCTACTGTGCAAATTGTTTGTTTCTCTCAAATAGACATACTTTCTCGTGTTCAAACTACAAACATTGCTTTTTTTGATAAATTGCTTAATTTGTAAAAGCGGACAATTATTTTTTCAAAAAAAAATCTTTTTTGAATTAGAAAATTTCTCAAATTTCAGATGTCCACTTCTCGTAACAGTTTCAAAAATTGGAACAGGAAATGTTATTGATTGTACACCAGAAGAAGAAACATGTATTCGATCACAATTATGGGTTGGATTAACACCAATCTCAAATAATGATTTTGAAGTGACATGTGTGAAACAAGTCGGTTCAGGACTTCTCGAAATCGAATCTGTCAATGAAATGATCTCATTATCATCTGGAGCTGTAAAAGGACTTCATTCTGCACTTTTACATCGTTTGAAAACTGAAGAATATCGAAAACCCGGTCATTCATTTTTATTATAATGTTGATGTTTTTGTGGCAAAAATATTTGTATATCCATCCCCTTTTTCATTTTTTTTTGTTGATCTTGTTTGTTATTTTATTTGTTTGAAACTCTATGGAAAACCAATAAACTTTTTTGTTTGAGAAAAAGGTCACTTTTTTGCGTTCTCTTACAAGCTGTTATTATGACACGCCAATTATTATTCGATGTCTCAAGGAAACACTTTTTCTTGATTTTTTGTGTGATTTTGGCCCCTTTTTGGATTGAGAGTCGAAAAAAATGAGAAAAAGAAGAGAGGATGAGAAAAATCGTGATTTTTTGGGAAAGTTTGCATAAGAAGAAGAAGAAGAAGAAGCTGAGATGAAATGAGCATACATATATGCATATTGGCGGGAATGAAACAAGAAGAAAAAGAAGAAATTGCGAAGAAGAAGAGCCTTTTTGAAAACGGGACGGGAGAGATTTTTATTGTTTGCTATTTGATTTTGAAAATGAAAATGAAATTTTCGTCACACTTATTTTTCTTTTTGACGATCGTTTTTTTTTTGTTTTTCATGATAATTTGGAGTTCTGAAGTTTTGGATTGTTTATTTTATGTTGAAATTTAGATTTGGAACATTTTTCGAAAAAAGTAAGTATCCATGAAGTTTTGGATTTTTTACAGTTTCAAAATTATTTATTTTTCTTTAAAAATTCAAAATCAGAGTTTTCAGAATTCCAAAACTATTTTTTGAAACGTTTTCTAAAAATTGAAATAAAACTATTGATTACTGTACTTGGAAATTGAATTTGGATGGTTGTCAAAAAATCCATATTGATTCAAGAAGTACTGTAGCCCGAGAAAAATTTTTGGAAGTTTTTGAAGGTGTTTTCCTGGACGAAAATAAAGTTATGACGTGGCAAATGTGCAGAATTTTCAGAATGTTTTGTTCCGATTCTGATTTTCCAGCCAATGTTGCTCACGTCAGAAATAGTTTTTCGATTAAAGAATATAGGATTCTGGTGATCCAGTTCATACCAAAACCAATGTTTTTGAAACTCTTACTTTTTCAAAGATAGTTTGAGCTGACTCATTTCCTCAGATCCAGTTTGTTTTTTTTCAATTTCTGAATTTACAGAGCAACTTTCCCTTTAAAACAATCACGCGCATCTTTCCCTTATTATATTTCCTGTCCTCTTTTTTCTGCCACCGTACAAAAAAAACTGTTCATATTTTCCCATAAGAGTTTTTTTTCTTATTCTCCTACGTTTTCGTCATTCGCGGCATCGCATGCATGCCATGCTCACTTGCTCCGCGCAAGAAAAAAAACACGTCAAAACGAGAGTTTCGTCATCAGTGTCCATCGCGTCTGCGTCTCTTCTATAATCTATACTATTTCAGTTGACAGTCAGGTGAGCGAGCTTCTTGAGAAGCTCCAAAATGACGCGCTTAAGACAAACACCGGCAGCACACGCATCTCTTATTACGGCGCGCGCGCAAAGCGAGAAAAAAATATTATCAAAGTAAAAAAATTTGGCAAAAAAAGAGAAGCCAGAAATTCAAATCCCCATTTCCCCAAGTACGGTATTCCTCTGCGTCACTAACATCGTTTCGAGACCACACCATTGGGCAGAGAAACAAAGTCAAAGACGCACATATGGGTCTCGCAGCGACTGAAAGAAACACCGTACTTGGGAAGAGTGTCATTTGAATTTCTGGGCTCCGTTTTTTGCCAAATTTTTTTATTTTGATAATAGCATGAGAAATATGGAGCGTGTTGATTTTGCCCAAGGCTCCTTATTTGTTCGCACCGAAAGAAGGTCAGCTGGAGAGTACGGTATTCATGAAAAAAAAAACATTTTTCGCAACTTCACTTCACTTAAAGATGAGATAACTCACCCAAGAAAAAAGAGCTTTTCGAAATCCACCATTTTTGCTGCGTGTCTCTATTTACCGAAATGTCTTCTTTCCATCTTTTTACCAGTCAAGGAGTCTTGAACAAATATTGCCAAAAGCAAAAAATTAGAAGATTCGGCTGCCAACCCACAAAAGTCACTTTGTCAACTTTGAGCAGCAAAAATTTTTTGGTGAGCGAGTCTCACTCTTTTTTTTTGTTATTTGAAATTGATTTTTGATTGGAAGATTGGATGGTTTTTGGTATGATACGGTGTGTAGTACTGTAGGGAAACCGTGGCGGTGAGAAAATTTTTATGATGAAAATTTGAAAAATCCAGAAGGCCAACCAAATTTCGAAAAATTGAAATTGACGATTTATGAGTCAAAACATTTTTCAAGATTTAAGAAAATTTTGAAAATTACTGTAGCTGGAAAGTTTTCAGAGAATTGCAAAAAATGTAAAGAATAGTTTCAAATTTGGAATCTGGAACACAGCAACTGGTTACTGTAGCTCACAACAATTCCAGAAATTCTTTCGGACCTATTTCTACAGTAATCCTGGTCACTGCTCCCTCTACAGTAACCCTCCTAAATTCCCATTTCTCATTATTATTTTCATATTTATTTGTTCACCTCGTCCCATAAAAGTTCCTCCAAAACTCATATGGCTTTTCTTTCTTTTTTACAACAATTTATCCATCTCTTCTTCTTCTTTCACATATGGTTGGAAGGTGCTTTTAATGGCAGCGCTCATCTTTGCCATGTGTGTCTTTTCGCCTTCAAAACAACTTTTTGCTTCTTCTCCTTTTCTCCAAACACCGTAATAATATCCGACAGAACAAACTCCGCCCAATTTTCATTGCCAAAATTTACACGTGCGAGCGAATTTCTCTTTTCTTTCTGCCTTTCTCAAGAACACATCCTTTTCATTTCATTTCATCTTATTTTATTTTGTTGTTTTTTTGCGTGTTCTTTCCGGTGTTGGGAACACAAAAAAAAAGAAGAGGCAAAGTAAATATTTTGTTGGTGATTGATAGATATTTACTGACTTACTTACTTGGCAATTTGCTGAAGTGCGAGTGGGAAAGGAGTACTGTAGGATTTTCAGAAAACCTCTGGGGTCCACCTGGAAATTTAATTTTAAAAATCCCATGGGACTTTTTATCACAATAGTTCTATAGAATTCGTTTTTCTATAGAATAAACTCAATCTGAATGATCTTGTGGAGACCTTTGTATTTTAGATTCTCATAGATATGGGGGCTCCACATTCAAATTGTGTGAATCTCTAAAAATATCCCACCACCCCCATAGATAATCAATCAATTCCCAAAATGTGTGTGTGTGTGTGTCCCTTGTTTTTCGGGCAGCCAGAAAAGCGACAAAAAAGTGTAACAGTTGGTCTGCTCCTATTTCCTTTCTCAAAGACTTTTCCTCCCATTTTCCGACATTTGTCTTCTTTTGGAGTTTTGGGGATAGTAATGATACTTCTGGTGTTTGGCTCACATTTACAATCATTCGAATTGTCTGGCGATAGGCGAACGCTTTTATGGCTTTGAACTTTTGCGCGAATAGCAGACAGAAAATGGATGTGGAAGGCGGGACAAAAAGACGAAAGTGGGAGGGAGGGGTGGTACTGTAGGTTATTAGGATATGGAGATTTTGTGAGGGTGGATTTATTATTACAAATTTATTTATTTTTGATGATTTTTTTTTCTTGATTCACTGAAAAAAAGTGCATATTCCTGCACTCGTAAGATGAATGCATAGAAATTGTATTCTGATACAAAAATTTCATTTTCCAAAAAAATCATTATTTCTAATTTTAAGATAATTTTTTACAAAAATTGATTTAAAAAATAGTTTTTCGCAAATATTCACCTTTCACACCCGAGTTTTTTTTAGAATTTGCTTGAAGGAGAATTCATATTTTGCTTTTTTGATCAACCTTTTCGCTCCATCTTTTATTTTTTTGTCGTTCAAAAATATTTTCTAGTTGAGATATTCATTTCGTTTTCACAATAAACTCTGTCGAACAACCTCGCTTATTTCTAGAAAACTCTATAAATACACCATTTCATCATTCTCAATATACGAATGTTTTGATTTGCCTCAAAAACTAACCAAAAAAAACTTTTCTACGACTAAAATGTCATATTTCCTCCTCTTCTGACTCATCGCTCGTTAACCAGAAACAATCATTTCTGTCTAACATTTTCGATAAACAAATGATCACACCAAATACAGTATCCCACCAAAAATAATTAATTTTACACAATTTTGTTTTGCTCTGCTTCTTCTTCTTCTTCTTTCCCGTATATAACTTTTTGTAGCCACATATGTCCCATATACTTTTACTTTACACTTTTGGTGGGCTCCTGCTTGCCTTTTTCTTCTCCTCCCATCTTCTCTTCTTATTTTTTTTTCCATCTATTTCTTCATCTGATCTATCTAAGCGTTTTTGGTTGGCTCCTCTTCGGCTCTTCGAACATATGGCTATGTGAAAAATAGAAGAAGAAAAGGAAAGAGGAACATGGATTCCAAATCAATCGATTTTGTTCACTTTTCTCTTTTCCACTTTACTTTTGTTTTTCTTTGTCTGAAATTCCTTTCCTGTGAGGGAAAGGGCAATGTAGACTTTTTGAGTTGGTTGAGTTGGGCCCAAGTCCGATTTGATCTGAGGAGGCTTATCTTTAAAAATAAATCCTGAAGTGGACAATTTTTGATTTTTTGAAATAGCGATGCTAAAAATTTAGTCACCTGATTTGAAACCCCTGGTCCCTGAGTCTTGGTCCCACAAACATAATTTTAACCCGAAAACCTGAGAAGTTCCTCGACCCAATTTTCAAAGACCTTCTTTCCCCATTTTCTTAGAGTATTTCCAAAATGTGTTCTATAATTTGTCCTATATACATTACAGTACCCGCGCATACCATTTTTTGAATAAAAACCCATCCGGTTTGGCGCCCTCCACCTATATTTTCTTCTTTCTTGTTCATACCAATAATAATTGTACAATAACATTAATGGCTTTCTTTATACAGTACCCCCCCCCCATTTTCTCATATATGAATACGCTCCGCCCATTTTTAACCTTACAAAGTTGTGTTTCTTCATTACATATACATATTCCGTTTGGTTTTCCAGAAATGTCAGAAGTGGATGATTTTGCGCAGTTAATGCAACAACTTCAAGGCGCTGCTGGTCTACCGGAAAGTGCGATAACAACACCCGCAGCTTCTTCAACACCATCAGGAAGTGGATTATTGCCAAATGGAAAGAAAACTAAAGGACGAGTTAAGATTAAGATGGAATATATTAATAATAAATTGAGAAGATATACGACTTTCAGTAAGAGAAAGACTGGAATTATGAAAAAGGTTTGTGATTTATTTTTTTTTGGACACAGAGGACCAATTTAAACACTAGATTTTTTCTCTTGAACACTATTCAAGTTAAAAATTTTTGCAGGCTTTCGAATTGTCAACTTTAACGGGTACTCAAGTAATGTTATTAGTCGCTTCTGAAACGGGTCATGTCTACACATATGCCACTGCAAAACTTCAACCAATGATCTCATCCGACGCCGGCAAATCATTAATTCAAGCTTGTTTGAATGCTCCAACTTCAGATGATGATGATGTTGCTCAGCATAGTCGAACTGAATTCACATTTGATGCCGGAAACGGAACAACTGCAAATATGAGAAAACGAAAAATAATCGATCAGACAAATCAGTTACCAACAGTGAGTTTTTGTTTATGGCTATGGGAACAGAGCAGATATTTTATTATTACAACAGAAGAAGGAGCTGAGCTCAAAAACTAAAATGGGTTTTTTCTGAGGTTTTGTTTGGTTGGCAGAAATGAGAGTGTGTAATATTATAAAAGAAAGAAAGATACGAAAAAAGGATCTCTTCCCTTTTCTTTTTCTCTATTTTTGAGCACTACTGCTATTTGAAAACGAGCACATCCAAAATATGTGAGGCCGCCCGCTCGGGTTCTGTTGTAATATGGACTTTTTCATCGTCGCACGAATTACTGCAATTAATGAGTGTGTTTGTGTGTGTGGGAGAATAAATGAGAAAAAGGAATTGAATTGATTTGAATTGAAAGGGGTGAACAATTATAGGAAGGGGTACTGTAGTCTACAAAACTGGTTAGAAAATTGTTGTCCGGAAACTACAGTAATCCCCAGAGTTTCGAGAAACACAAGGTTTATGGAAAGTGGGAAAATCGAATTTAAGATTTTTAGAAGAAAACACATGATCAATAAATATCAAATTTCAAAATTCAACTCCTTCCCTATTTCCAGGTCCAATTCCCACCATTTCTTCCAACAATGGTCACATCAACCTTATTCCAATCATTCAATGAAGATGATTATAATAACGATGACAGCGGAGATGATTCAGATTCCGAAGAAGCGGCAAGTGATATTATAAAAGAAGAAGAACCACAACCCGATTCACCTGCTAATAAAAAAGAGGAACACGAAAATGTGGCAGCAAATTTGCAGCAAACACTGAAAGAAGCACTTCGTGCAGCTGCCAGTAATCGACAGCAACAACAAAAGAAAGCAAAGATGCAAAATACTCCAAGTAAAAATTCGTTTGTAGCTCCGTTTTTATTACAAGGTATGTTTTGATAAAAAAATCTCACAACTTTTCCCGCATGACACTATCTATCCACTTCTCCACAGGTCTAACCTCCACTTCCACTAATAATGGCACAGTTATCAAACTTCCACAAGGCACTGTTTATACAAATTCAGATGATGGTAGGTTTTTGCACATCTTCGCACTTTCGATTTACCGTGTAAAAAGAAAAATCGCTTATCTCAATATTTGATTTCAGGTGGAGCTAACGCGACTTCTTTATTCGCAGCCGCTTCAAAAACCGCTGACGATGTTCCTTCGAATTCCTCAAATCCATTTTTGAATTTCCCAATCAATTTACAACAACTCATGGAATCTGCAGCTTTAGGTGTTCAAATTGCAAATGCTGAATGATTGAATCATAATTCGCCCCATTGATAATTAAAACTTACTTTGTCCCTTCCTTTTGGTGCCTTCCTTCTGACCATGTCAAAAAAAAGTGTCCTTACTTTAATATGTTTTCGATTTTTTCTTCTTTCAATCAATTTTTGATATAATTATTATATACATAATTTTTCTGCATGAATAAAATTAATCAATAAAAGTTTTCCAAAAAAAAACAGCAATTTTATTCGACACACAAATTAATTCCACAAAATCGACAATTCACAAAATTACGGTCTTATTCCAAGAAATGACTAAATTAACACAAAAAAAAACTAATTAATTAATTAAAAAGTAAAAAAATGAGAAAAAAAAACAATGAAAAACGTCCCGTTTCGCGCACTTGCGGATGGATATGAGTGATTGCTTCGAGTAGATGTAACAGAGAAACAACAAGAATTTTGGTTCTTTTTATTTTTAGTTTTTTGGTGGCGCAGCTCCGCCGAGTTGACAAACTGCATATTCGCCGGATGTCATCCAACTGTTATCTTCGTCGTATTGCTACAAAAATTTCAGATAAAACGTTTACAGTGCGTTTCACAAGTATAGGTCCACTCCTGAAATGTCTCAAAATTATCGTAAAAATAATTTTCAAGTTGTAGCCCTTCATTTTTCGAAAAAGTACGTAAAATTAGGTATGTTTACCGAATTTTATCCTACTTGGACATGTTTTTGATTTTATATTTGAGAAAAATTGAAAATTGGCTATTTTCTGTGTTTCAAAAGTATAGGTCCACCTATATCAACTATGAAATGATGATTTCTAACCTGGTTTTTTGTTGTTTATTGTTCAGTTAGGATTGCCCCAAGCCTAATTAAAGCATATTCAACAAATGCAGTTTTCCATTTCTGGGTTTCTGGAGCCATTCCTGGTGATCAGACCCACTTTGTTCTGTTTATCAGACAACATGGTTCAGTATCCTTTCATTTTCTATTGAGATCATGTCAGAAGTAACTAAAAACCTCTTTAATGTTGTATTTCTTAGTTTTCCATTCAATAAAACTCAATTCATAAAAAATGGAGATCATTTCAGACCGAAAACTGTCAGTTATTGTTTCAAATTTCTGGAAATTTCAAGATTTTCCAGTGAATACACCCAAGTCGTGTCACAAAACTTCATATATTATCTGTTAACACGGTTTCTATGATCGATTAAATTGGTTCCATAATTTTGAAATAAACAAATCTTGACTTCCTATCGTGATTGTGCGAAAAACAGGACTTGTAGAATTTCGAAATTTTTATGAACAACTGAATTTTCATATTATTATTCTACAAACGATTTTTTATGAAAAGCATACCTCAGATCAGTTCAGAAACATTGTTTACAACTATTGAAGTTCAAAAAAACAACTTTAAAAAACATTTTTCATGTTTCAGTACAGTAAAATATTTTTTGAGTTTTTTTGAAATTTCGGAACTTTGTTCCATAAGCTTGATAGCATCACAGAAAGTGTTTTTTTGAGTTCTATGAAATTCTCGGTGATATTTTGAATCATGTGGAGACATAGCAGTCATATCCAGTCACAAAAACGGAATAAAAATGGATGAACTTGGGTGTATTCACTGGAAAATCTTGAAATTTCCAGAAATTTGAAACAATAACTGACAGTTTTCGGTCTGAAATGATCTCCATTTTTTATGAATTGAGTTTTATTGAATGGAAAACTAAGAAATACAACATTAAAGAGGTTTTTAGTTACTTCTGACATGATCTCAATAGAAAATGAAAGGATACTGAACCATGTTGTCTGATAAACAGACCAAAGTGGGTCTGATCACCAGGAATGGCTCCAGAAACCCAGAAATGGAAAACTGCATTTGTTGAATATGCTTTAATTAGGCTTGGGGCAATCCTAACTGAACAATAAACAACAAAAAACCAGGTTAGAAATCATCATTTCATAGTTGATATAGGTGGACCTATACTTTTGAAACACAGAAAATAGCCAATTTTCAATTTTTCTCAAATATAAAATCAAAAACATGTCCAAGTAGGATAAAATTCGGTAAACATACCTAATTTTACGTACTTTTTTCGAAAAATGAAGGGCTACAACTTGAAAATTATTTTTACGATAATTTTGAGACATTTCAGGGGTGGACCTATACTTGTGAAACTTGTGAAACGTAGTGGAACTTTTTTCAGCGGCCAGATTTATAAGATCGCAACGGACCTGAGAAAAATTGGTTTACCAAAATTCATGAAAATCAATTTTTGGGCACATCTGGACTACAAAACTGTTTAATAATTTTGAAAACACCATGAAACACTGATTTTTGAAAAAAATATTATGTGCGATGTGAAATGTCTATTTTAAAAACACATCTGGAAAACAAGACCGCTTGTTTGGCATTGGCCCACTTTTTTCTTTGAAATGAAAGCGAAAATGATAAATACACGTACACAATATTTTTTAGTTCACGTTATAAAAATATTTGTTGTGCCAAAAATTAGGAAACATTTCATTTTTTAAAAATGAAATTTTGCAATCAGGCAGCATTTAAAAAAGGTGAGTTGCTATCGGGTTGGTCATTTTTGGTATGCCTAAAACGGTGCATCACAGCTTTTTTTGCCAGCCCTTGTTTTTTTTGATCTACAGAAAATTTAAGAACTCACTCTGATCAGCTCGTTGATAACTTCTTTCCCCAAACCGGCAACAGTTTCAGCTTTCAAAGTGCGTAGCGCGAAAACTGGGCATGGTTCAAAACCTCGTAAAGCAGTCTAAAAAACAATTCATCTATGTACATATATCTAAACCTCGGAGAAAGAACTTACATTAAATGATGTGTCAAGATCCCAATCTCGATCTCCAACCAATTTTCGATAGTTCAGATCCCCTTTGAAAATGGCGAGACTAGATGTTTGTAATTCTTCGTACAAATCAGGACACACAGTTTTCATATCACAATATGCGTGTGGATAGGTCCAGAATCGATGATTTTCGAAAATGATTTGACCGTCGGCAATGCGTTGTTTCAAGCGTTCAGCAATTTTGGAGCAAGATTCCCCGTTGATTTGTAATTGTTCCAAAGTCCAATTAAAATCTCCCCTGGTCACGTCAGAAACAAACCAAGGGAAAGATTTGCCATGAAGATGAACTTGATCAGCAAAACCCATTGAAATAAAATATTCTGCGAGCAGAAGATCACCAACCAATTCAACACCAGCATTGTCCAAAACAATATCAATTCGACGATTTGCTGGTTGTTCTCCACGACGTTTCAAAAGTGGAAATAGAACACGAGCCGTCAATTCATGAATATTATCAACAAGGATGAATTTATCACGTTGAGCAGATGCATTCATTGAAGATTGTTCAAGTGTCAAATTATCTCCACCTGTCAATGACATATCTGCACGATTTCCCCATAAACTCATTTTTATCATTGTTGCAAGTCCGAATGTTTCATGAACTGGAGCATCTTCCGCAATTATTGGTAAAAGATATGCGCAAGATTCTTCAATTTGGCCAATGCTGAAAACACACAGTTTTTTGTTTTTGTTTTTTTCATAAAAGATAACTCACTGATCAGTGAAACTGTCGCGTTTGTTTGTCTGAAAATAATCAAACTCGCGCATCTTTACAGTTGAATAAACTGCACTGTAGATGTATCGATACAAATAACATTCGACAAATAGCCAATCAGCTCGATACCAAGTCACTGTCTCTTGTTCTAATTGCATATCATGTTCGCGCAACTCTTGCAACATTCCATTCCACATCATAGCATCGTCAGCGTTGTCAATCAAATTTTCTAGCGGTTTATCTGTCATTATTAAATAACGAAGTTTTGAGAGAACTTCGAGAATTGATCTGACATCTCCGTCAGCTTCTTCACCAATATCCGTTACAATATCTTTGATACCCGTTTTGAGAAGATCAACTAGCTTCGTCACTATTTTAGGCCAACGATCCTTCACAGTTGTATAGGCAAATGTCCTGCAATCGATTTTTTCTCATTGATTTTCAGTATAAACTGAAACTTACCCCTCTTTGTTGCCATTCAACTTTGGCGCAATCTTATCGACTTCATCGTTAGACGCCATTTTATTGAATAGCCTGAAAAAATGGAATATAGGACGAACAGAAGGCAAAAATATGGCGAACAGAAGGCAAAAAGAAAAAAAAAAGAAAAAATAATAATTGGTTGGTGTTTGCAGATTCGGCATTTTATTTGACGCGCACAAGAATTTGAATTTTCGAATTTTCTAGAAACCCACGTTTTAAGCCGCATCATTCTTCTTCTTTTTCATTATGTGTGATTATTTTGTGGTTTTGCACCTCTCTGTGGATTATCCGCTATAGTCTAATACCCCCGCACGTTGCCATAGTTTCCTATATCCTTACTTTTTATCTTTTCCCTAATTAATTTTCATATTTCTTTTCATTTTGTACTAGTAGTATATTCGAAAACATTATTTTGTTCAGCCAAAAATGACTTCTGAGAAAGTTGACATTTCACCAAAACAAGACGGTGGAGTTTTGAAAAGAATCATCACCGCTGGTCAAGGAATCGCCAAACCAGTCACTGGAACCACTGTTAAAGTTCACTATGTTGGAACTTTGGAAAATGGAACCAAGTTTGATTCGAGTCGTGATCGTTCAAGCCAATTCGAGTTTGTTTTAGGGAGAGGACAGGTATTTCAATTTTCAGACAGACATTTTGAAATTGTAATCGGTTTTCAGGTTATCAAAGGTTGGGATGTTGGAATTGCTACCATGACAAAAGGAGAAGTTGCCGAATTCACAATCCGATCTGATTTTGGATATGGAGATGCTGGAAGTCCACCAAAGATTCCAGGAGGAGCAACTCTTATCTTCGAAGTTGAATTATTCGAATGGACTGCTGAAGATATTTCACCTGATAAGGATGGATCTATTCTCCGAACCATTATTGTTGAAGGAAGTAAGAATGCCAATCCAAATGATACAAGTGAAGTAACTGCTCATATCGTCGGTATTCATAATGGTAAAGAATTCTACAATCGCGAAGTCACTTTCTCGATTGGCGAAGGTTCGGAAGAACATTTACCAGAAGGAGTTGATCGCGCTCTTCGTCGGTTCCAACTCAACGAGAAATCGAAGATTGAATTGAGAGGTGCTCGTTTCACTTACGGTAACAATCCACCGGCTGGAACTGACATTCCACCAAATGCCACTCTTGAATTCACAATCTTCCTCAAATCGTTCGAAAAAGTGCCAGCCACATGGGAAATGTCGACTGAACAAAAACTCGAAGCTGCACAAATTGCCAAAGAACGTGGTACAACATTCTTCCAAAAGGGAAATCTTCGGTTGGCATATAACAAATACAAACGCATTGAAGATGTGTTGGAATACGAGAAAAGTGCTGACGAGGAAGCGAAACAAAAAAGAAGTGCTCTTTTGCTCAGCGCATATTTGAACCTCAGTTTGGTTACTTCGAAACAAAACGAGCAATTGGAGTGCATCAAATGGTGTGATAAGGTAAAACAAAACTATCTTCAATTCAAAATTTTGAAATATCTAATTAATTTCAGGCTCTCGAAATCTCGCCAGAAAACGTTAAAGCCCTTTACCGCAAAGCTAGCGCCATGTTCACCTTCTCTGATATTCGTGAGGCTCTTGAAGTTTTCGAGAAAATCGTTGCAATCGAACCAGAAAATAAGGCGGCTGCTCAACAAATTCTTGTCTGCAAAGCCAAACTTCGTGAGCAAAATGAGCGTGATAAGAAGAGATACAAGAACTTGTTCTCCAAAATCTCTGACAACACCACAACCAGCGATGATAAAGAAACTGTAAGTTTATCTACTATATTTTAATCTCTTCAAAAAAAATGCTTTCAGGTTATTTTCGATGATCAAGTTGCTTCAACCAGCTCTGACAGTACCACCACTGCTTAATCATTGAATAAGAAACAGAAAAAACTCCGGTATTATTCTTCAAACTTTTGATGTTATTTGTGATCTCTTTTTCCTGTTTTATTATCTTTTTCGCACCCTACCCCGATAATATTGATTAAATTATTTATTTAGATGAACCCCTTTCAAATTTCAATTTCATCTCCAAGATTCCCATTATACACACATTCATAGCTCAATTTCCAATTTCCGGCATTCTGTGAACTTTCGAATGCAATGAGAAGAACATGACCGATTGATTTCAACGGTGTTTTATCACTACCATTTCGAAGTCTGAATATGTTTTATTTTGTTAATTTCTAACAATAAGTGAAAAACATACGTCGCCAGTTTTCCACGTTTATCATCAGTTTCACCATCGAAAAACTTCAACCGATCATTCATATTCAATTCAAAATCCAATATTTTTATGATCGCATGATGTTCAGGTTCACAAGTTATCAAATATTTTTGAAGAATATATGGATTTTCAGTTTCTGGTGGACTAACAATTCCAATTTTGTTATTGAATGTGATTGTCGGAAGAGGAGATCTGTCCGATGACATTTTATCTTTTCTAATTATTCAGGATTCAAACTCACATTACATCATAATTCAATTCAAATCCTCGATGATCATTTTCATCTTCATCACTTTTGAAATTGATTACAACTTCGTTATACTTTGCCAAAACCTCAAAACCAGGTTCAAGTTCGCCGGAAAGTAGAGAAATCCGGAATGCTGTTTTCAGATCAGAAATCGTCACATAATCTCGACTTTTTTCGGTATCAAAATCCAAAAACTTTAGCAAAACTCTTGAATTTTCTGGAGCTTTTATAATATGAGTAATCGATTCCAAATTCGAATAATTTTTCATCGAAATTGTTCCCGATGTTTCTCCAATATGCCAAATTGTTCGAATTCCTTCGGCCGGTTTTTGACACATAAAAAATTGCGAGTAATAACACGAAATCGACTTCCAACCATACAAATTTTCATCAAGAGCTAAACTGACACATTCTTCATTATCAGAATTTGGGAGAAATTCAGAATATGTCATTGGTTTTCCATTGGACCATGTGAAATTTCCAGCAGTTTCATTCCATCGAAGTCCAATCCAATTTAGAAAATCCGGATTTTCCCGACCAAAAATTCCTGGACAAAAAGTTTGACGTGTACTTTGTGTTCTAGATTCTGAAAGATTCAAAGTTACCTTTGACAACATCCGCCTGTTCCTGATTATCGATTGAAACCATATGACTTTCTCGTTCATTGCAATATTGTTCAGCAAATTCCCATTGAGCTGGATGCGAAGCTGATAAATAGCAAACATCCAATTGAGCAACATGAATCCAATTTTGAGGACAAGGCAAATCTCCTGAATTGAAAACTCCATTTTTAACGTTCCAAACACAAAAAATGAATACCTTGACCGAGTGCAAAAATGAAAATTAGAAGGAAGAAGTACATGTGAGTGAGTGAGTGACAAACAAGTGTTTGGAAACGAAATGACACATCATTTTGAGAGATGGAATCATTTTACACAAAGCATAACTCAAAAGTTCGAAAATTACATTTTTATTGAAGAGTTTTAATTTTACAAATAGTCACGAGCTAAAATATTTATCTTTGCGTCAAGACAAAACTAATTTATTTTTCTCCGAAGCTATCGAGGCCGACGATGCGGTATTGATTTCCGGTCAAGCGATGATCTCTTTTTGACAACTCAACTCTGAAAAATTTAGATTTTGGGATTGATAATAAAGATCGGGTAATTCAGAAGCACGGAATGAAAGTGATTGCATTTTAATTTTTTAATCAATTAAAAATTTTCTAACTTTGGAATAGTAAAGCTTTCAAAAATAATATATATATTTAAAAAATAGAGCAGGCTTTACTGAAAACTCTAAAATCACTGTTTTCATTATTACATTTACACGCACGAAAATACAAATTTTTACTTTGAATTCAAAAAAAAAGCTCTAACATTTTTCTTTCTTTTAAATTTATAACGTGAAGTGTTCTACTTCGATAATTTCATTTTTGTAAAACATAGCAAATCATTTCTATTTTTCGAAAACCCGAGAAAACGCTCACCTTTGTGGAGTACAATAATTTCTACGGAACGCTCTTCCAACATCCAATTTGTTGAATGGATAACTCATGTAACAAGCTCCGGCAACAAAAGCAGTTGTAATTACACCAGAGTAAAATTGTTCGAACCACATGCTGAAAATTCATATATTGATGGTTTTATACAATTTGGTTTCAAGCAGGAAAAACAAGAACAAAAACGAGGAAAAAAAGAAAAAGAAAATACGGCCAAATTAAACAACAGGCGTGCGGAGTGTCGTTGGGAAACATTGGTTTTCTAGGCCAGAATTTCTCTTCCAAGGCCTCGGGAGAGATGTGGGGTTGGGTTACTGTAGATTTGGACGTGGTTTAGATATTTATGACAATGGAATGCATTGATTGAATATTTGAAACTGTGAGACTTGCAATTTTTATTCTCGGAGATAATTATCGAAACTTGCTCTGGCTACACAGGAGAAATCACCTTTTATAAAAAAAAGTACACTTGAAAAATTAGAAAAGATTAGAAAGTTGATGAAAATTTATTGATCTCTGATAGATGAAAGTATCGAAACATTTGGAGCTTTTCAAACCTGAATCTCATTCACTCCTGAATATATTTGAAAATATAAAATAAAAATTTGGTGATCAAACTACACTCTTTTCCCGAAATTCCTGTCCTTCTGTGTATTTTCCATGATGTTATTCAAAAAATCGTGCCATCTACGTAATAATCCACTTCGTCATGCTCGCCAAAAACGTCAAACTGTCAAAAAATCCCTCGTGAACACCTTTTCTCTCAAACAGAAAAAAAAACAAATATCCGAAAGAAAGTGTGGCGCACATTCTCAATTCACTTTCTCCTTCTCCGCGTTCGCCGAAACCCGTATTCAAATAAAAATAAATTCAGTTGGCTGAATGATAACGCGTGTTTGATATCAGGTCATTTCACTTTTCGCGCATCTTTCCTAATCCTGGTGTCATTTATGTATTTTTGACTTCTCCATTTTTGTTTTTATTTTTGTAGATTTTTGATGATCCTTTTAATAATTATTTATTCCAGATGACTACACCAAAAGAGGTGAAGTCGAAATCATCGAAAAAGAAATCGAATGCACCGGAGCCGCCAAAAAATGGACCTCCAAGAACAAGTCCTCCAAACACAATTGAAAAAAAGGGGATTTTGAGAAGTTTGTCATTCCAATTTTCAAATTTGACAAAACGAAAAAATGATTATGATTTGACACCAGAAGAAGAAAATGGATATGATGATATGGGCCCAGTTCTTGGTGTTCAATGTTTTGGAGTTCTTATGAAAAAATATAAGAGAAAAAAATCGACCAGCAAAATGGGCCAAACGATTTTTTGTGTTGAAGGAATGCTTTTTGATTTATTATGCGACTGCTTATCGCAAAACTTTTGAAAAAACTCGACGAATTGATTTGCATCCAAAAGGAATAATTCCTCTTATTGGTTGTTCAATCGTTTCCGGTGGAGATACTGATAAGAAAAACTGTTTGCTGATTGCTCATCCACAATTTCCATCTGCTATTATTATTGCAGCTCCAGATCATTCGACTCAAGACAAATGGTTGAAAGCATTGAGAAATGCGACAAAAGTGTTAGTTTTTGTAGCTTTCCGAAATGTTGAAACACAGTAAAATTCCAAAAAATAATCCAAAATTTTTCCAGGTCGTACAAAAACACAGTTGTTGGTGAAACAATGATTCGAGAACTCGAAAATCGTGGAGTTATGTTGAACGAGGAGAAGAAAAGTTACGAAGAACGACTTGAAGCTGAAGCTCGCGCAAGAAAAGAAGAACATGATCGAGCTGATGAATTGGCAAAAGACAAAGAGGAACTTGAAGCTGAACGCGAAAAATTGATAAGAACCACGAAAAAATTGAAGGACGATTTGCAAAATGTGAAGAATGAGCTGAAAATGACAAATGAAATGAAGAAAACATTGGAGCAAGAGAAGATGTCGTTGAATTCAAAGACTGAACATTTGCAGGCAAATATGGAGAGTTTGAATATTGAAAAAGAGAAAATCCAAGATCAACTTGCCGAAATTGTTAGGGAAAGAGAGAAAGTTTTGATTGATAATCAAAATTTATCCACAGATAAATGTCAATTGAGTAATCGTTTGATGGAAATTGAAACATCAAGAAATTGTATAATGACAGAAAAAGATAAAATTGAAATGCTGTGAGTTTTTTTACTTGATTCATGTGATTTTAAAATGATCCATTTTTTAGCTTGAAATTGAATGAACAAAAAACTTTGGATTTGGAAAAAGAACGGCAATATTACACATGCAAAACTACCGAATTAATGGATAATTTGAAAGAAGTTAACGAGCAAAAAGAACTCACAGAATCGGAACTCAAAGAGCAGATGATGGCACGAATTGGTGCCGAAAGACAACTTCAGGCAGCCGAAAAAGCGTTGGAACACCTGGAGATGGCTCTTAAAATGACTGGAGCGCAAATGACAGAACTACAAGAGCATATAATGCCAGATGTGCATAAACTTCGCGAATTTTTCGAGCAATGCGCTGAAGATGCGAGATTTGATGCGAATCGCACACAAGTTATGAGACAAGCGATTTATGCAAGAAAGTGAGTTTGAGACGAATTTAATAACAATTTATGTGGAAAATTGCACTTTGTAACTTGTCCCTTTTAGGAGTATTTTTGATTTGGCTTTTTTGCAAAAACACTACGGTGTTGGTGGAGATGGAGAAGAACATCAGACTGAATTAGAAATCGAAGAAGAAGAATCGGAAAATGAAAACGAAGAAGAAGAGTTTGATGATGAAGACGATGAAGAGGAAGAAAATCACACTTCTAGTCGTAGAAGAATCACTTGCACTAATAACTTCAAACGTTTTGGGTAATGCACATATAACCACCCAAAAACACACTTCTAATGCAAAAAAAAAAACAATTTTGCAGATCAATTCGTCGTTCAAAACGCGGTCCTCGTTCATCTCTTCGTGCCGCCAAAAAAGAGCTGGTCTCTCGCGAAAAAGAATGTCTTTCACCTTTAATGCAATTGTGACTACTACTTTTCTATTTTATAACTTATTTCCTATTTATCCATTTTTGACTGACTTTAATAAATAAAAATGCATCGTTTCACACTTCGATAATTTTGTCGACGGAAGTTAGAAAACTTAGATTTGAAAAAAAAAGTATTTTGAGTAAAATGTCAGCTGTGGCGGTGCCTACATCTGCTAAAGAGGCTAGAAAGAAACGTATTTTATTCAAATGCGCTCTAACAAATACGATCTCAGATGTTTTGGCGAATAGAGAAGGATGGGCTCCAACTTTGTGAGTTTGAATAAATTGAAATTTGAAAAATAGTAGAATTCTGGACATTGTACAGTAGTTCTGACGTACAAACTGCAAACATTACTATTGCAATTTCCAGTTTTTGTTTCAGAAATGATGATTGGAACTTTTTTGGGTGACTCGAGAATGGATGACTAATTGTTACGATAAACATAAATTCAACGACAAACAATTGATTTGTCATTTTAGAAATGATTTCGAATTGACTCGCAAAGATTTTCTGATCAAGAATTATAAAAAAGCGCGAAAGGCCAAAGAAAAATCAGGAGTCGATGTGACAAATGAATTCAGCTTCATTCCGTCAAGCTATGTTCTACCGGTTTGTATTTATGAATTTGGAAAACTCAAATATAATGTGGAGCTTTTTGCAGACAGAGTATCATTTGTTTGTCGAGGAATTTCGAAAATATCCAGCCGAGACAATTTGGATTATGAAACCAGTTGCTGGAGCACAAGGAAAAGGAATATTTCTTTTTCGAAAATTGAAACATGTTCAAGATTGGAAAAAGGTCCAACCTCTCTGAAAATAAAAAAAAACAACCAAAACTACATTTTCAGAAAGATGCATCTGGAAGTGAAGCTCTTCCTTATGTTGTTCAAAGCTATATTGCCAATCCATATTTGGTTGGTGGAAAAAAGTTTGATGTTCGACTTTATGTTTTAGTCACTTCGGTAAAATCAATATCCAGATTTTTATTTTGAAATTAGATTTATTTCCAGTTTCGTCCTCTCAATGCTTGGGTTCATCGAGAAGGTTTCGCAAGATTTTCACATTCGAGATATTCGACAGATAGTGTAGATGATGCTTGTGAGTCATTGATAAACAATCTAATTGAACTTCTAATATCTCATTAAAGTTGTTCATCTAACAAATGTGGCTGTTGCAAAAACAGCTGCGGATTATGACCCGGAACGTGGTCTCAAATGGAGTCTTCCAAAATTATTTCGATTTTTCCGATCAATGCACGGTCATTCAAAGGTGAGCGGCGACTTCTAAGAAAGTTCTTTGATCCCATTAATTTGTCTCAGGTATCGAAGATGATGGAAGACTTGGCAAAAGTGATTATTGAGAGTTTGAGAAGTGTGCATCACATCATAATTCAGGATTCACATTGTTTTGAGTTGTATGGATATGACATTCTTTTTGATGAAAATCTTAAGCCGTGGCTGTTAGAGGTTCTTCCGTTTCTAATACCATTATTTTAAACATTTTATGTATTTCTTTGTCAGGTCAATGCAAGCCCATCACTTACTGCGTCATCTCAAGAAGATTTCGAATTAAAATATCGAGTTTTGAATCACATGTTGGATGTTTTAGATATCGAGAAGAAGTAGGATTTTTTAAAGAAATTAAAAATATCCCTTTAATTTTTATAGATTACTCGGCAATGAAACAGAAATTGGTGGATTCGACATTCTTATCCGAAACAATAAACCGGTCGAAAAAAATCGTATGCCAAATCACAACAATTCCAATTTCATTCCAACACTAAATCTACGACTAGGTTTGATTATTTTATGATTTTCTCGCTGTCTGTCTCTTTTTCGATCAGCTATCTTCTAGCTTCCTCATAAAATTAGCCAATTAAAAGTGCATAAAATTCGGGCAGGTGTGAGTGTATCAAAAGTACGAATAGATGAAGAGGGAAAAATGAAACCAGCTGATTTGTTCTTGTTTGATTCTAGTCTAAAAATATAGTCGAAAGGAATTGTTGTTTTTGTCTGGAAATAAAAATAAAAATAAAATTTTTAGGGTTAAATTTATTTGATTTTCCTATTTTGTTTGGGTGGTTTACGACAATATTTTATTTGTAGATATAGAACAAAAATGCTTTTGACACTTTTCATAATTGGATTTTTGCAGACATTTTTTCATTCCTCAGGAAATGGAAAATTCACAAAGTTCATTTCAAAAATCTGAGGTTTTGCGATTCAAAAACTCCCGAGAAAATTTTCAAATAATTTCATTCGAACTTTCAACTCAAAAGGTTTTCCATCATCATCAAAAATAAAATTTCTACTAACCAAAAAAAACTTTAGTTTCTGTTTTTTTCTTCCAATTTTACCCAAGTACTCTCTTCTCTTCGAACTACAAGTTAATCCTTTCTATAGGATTATCTTTGTTCATCTCATCCAATTTTCCAAAAGCCATTTTTTTCCAGGTGACTATGTCGAACAAACTCCAATGCCGTAAGATATAAAAAATGATGAAGTCCAACACGAATACACTTTTTATCGATATCTACAAATCATTTTCTTTCTTCCAAAGGTTACCGTATGAGATTCGGAGAAAAATTGAGAAGATGAAGACGGGGGAGCAGAAAAAAGTGGGCGGAGTCTTGGCTCAGAAGAGCTCATCTTTGCTCATTTGTGAAATGGAGTTTGGAGGAGAATGGTGTGACTTTTTTGCTGATCTTTTTTTGTATTTTTGATCTTTCTCGGTTTTTCTCAAAACTTCTAATTTTTGTCATCTCCTACGAATTTCGTATATATTTTTCATTCTCATTTCCATTTTTTAAATTGAAAATAAATTTTTTCTTGAAGATGTGGGCCAATTTCACAATATTTCTACTGCTCGTCAGTAGAGTTTTATCAAATTTCAGTGGCTCCGAAGCATATTTTGATAGTAGTGAAGAGGCTCCGAATATTATTTTGAGCCATGTAAGTTCTTCGAATTTTTTTTCGTTCACAAATCAATTTTTGAATTCAGATGGAAGATGTCGATTTGAAAAATTCTCAAGATCGAGAAGATGGTCGAAATGACACTTCTACTTTACCAGTTTTTGTGCCAGGTGAGAAAATGCTCATTTGCGGATGAAATATGATTATTGAGTGAGAGAGAAAAGTGTGACAGAGCACACAAAAAATCAAACTTTTGCAGTTGTCATAATTTATGAGATGGGAGGGAGCAGCGAGAAACCCGGCGGGCAAAATTTATGAGGGGTATACTGTGGGGTTTGACGTGTGACCAGATGTACGAAAAAAAAACTTCAGGTTTTTTTTGAAACTTTTTCTCTCTTTTAAGTAAGAGTGCGTGGAATTTTGAATGACCATGCTCCAAACGTATCTCTCATCTAAATCTCTCCGACAAAAATTGGCTGGCTCGCTTTTTTTTCTTTCTCAATGAGCCTCGAATAATTTGATTTGTAACCAATTCGAATCGGAAACGAAGCAAAAAAAGAAAAAAAGAAGATGAAGAAAAAGAAGAGGACAAAAGAGAAGGTCCACAAATCAAAATGGGTTAATGGGATAATCAGTTGTTGTTGCATGTTGAAGATACATGGTGTGTTAGGATGACGCAAGAAAAAAAAACTGAGTATGAGTTTGGGATAAAAAATATTCTGAAAATTGGAATCACGAGGAACTTAAAGTTAAAAATACTCAAGGGAAGTTTTCTAGAACTTCAATTTGAAAAAAAGTTCCAGAACTTTGTTTTTTGTTAAAAATAATAGGATTGTTTATGGAACCAGTTTTAGTTCAGATTTTATTTTTAAATGAATCCCCAGGGGTTCAACATTAATGTGCACTGAAGAAAATATCGAAAACCACCTATAAACCTTTAGTTCTTTTTAAGTAAGAACTTAAGCAATGGTTTGAGTTCGAAACCTTTGGTTTCATCTCTAACAAATTTATTGAACTTCAAATATCTAATTTTCTAGGATCATCAAAACGACTTACCGAATACCTTCTATCAAAACATAATCTGAATGCTCCACCTGATGGTCTTCTTAACGTTCACTATGAACTTGAACTTGTTCACATTCTCGGAATCGATGAACTCAAGCAAACTATGACAGTTTTGATCTACGTTGATGAACATTGGCAAGATCCATCACTTGTTTGGGATCCGGCACTCTACGGTGGAATTAAGAAAACATGGATTCCAATCGATAAAATTTGGGTGCCCGATATTATTATTTTCAACATGTGAGTTTGACAAAATTTGATTAATTATTTTTGAAATTGCGCATTTCACTGAAGAAAAAAGAAAAAAGAGAAAAAGGAACGGCAATTATAATACGACATGTATACATTCATAAATAATTGTTACATGCGAGATTATTAAATTTTTGTTCCAAGAAATCTTGTTAAAAATGAAAAAGAGAAAGAAAAAAGTTATATATTATTAAAATGTTTTCTTGTTTTGAACTGGGCTCCCAAGCCCATCTGAAGGGTAAAAGCTTCCAGGTTGGCTCATGAAGATTTACTGTCAGCAGTCCGAGCTCCTGCAAGAATTCATTATAATGGAACTGTAGTTGCTTCACATCCTGCGGTTCATACAGTATCTTGTGAGATCAATATCAGAAATTTCCCATTGGATCATCAAAAATGCGCAATAGAAATTGCATCTTGGGCTTATGGACAAGAAAAAATTCGACTTCACGCTCACACAGATCATTCTCTTGAACACTACAAACGAAATGAAGAATGGCATTTGATTCGAATAAATGTGACCGAAGAGAAATATGTTCACGAAGGAATTGAGGTTTCCGAAGTGAAGTTTGAACTTTATGTGCAACGTCGACCTCTATTCTACATGGTTACTCTCACATTTCCATCTTATATTATGTGTGCAATTTCGGTGGTTGGATTATTTGCGAGATTTAGTACAACTGGAGAACGAGAAGAGAGATTTACTCTTGGAGTCACTGCTATTCTTACAATGGCTGTCTTGTCGCTGGTTGTTAGTGAGAAGGTTCCACATAGTTCAACACATGTACCATTGCTGGGTAAGTATTTTAGTCTATACTTTTTTGGCTGAAATTGTTATTGATGAATGTTTTTATTTACAGTTGCATATTTTCTGTTCAATATGGTTATTGTTTCGATTGCTGCAATGACTACAGGAATTGTTATGAAAGTACACAGATTGGGAAGACATGGAGATGAACCATCGGATTTTTGGTTGAAACTTTTCCTAATTAAACCAATTTGCCAATTTAATAGACCTAATGTTAGTTTTTTTTAAATTTTCCAACATTTATTTTTCTCAACTCCTACATTTAGAAACGAAAATATAAGATGAATCCGGATGAGCCGAACCACGTGGTACTTGTGTCTGAAACAAAAAATGGTGAGATAAAGAATGGCATCCTCCCCCAACAACAAACACAACAAGTGCAAATCATCAAAGATCCAGTTCACGCAAGATTAGAGGCTCTTGAAGAATATATCAAGAAAATGATGCATCGATGTGAACATATTCAGGTACGTGTCGATCAAAAGACAACTGGTGAAACCCATAAATTTTCCGCAAACAATATTTATGGGTTTCGGTGATTTCTGCACAAAATTGAAATTGATAAATCACTTTTAGCTCGAGATGAACGAAATGGAAAGTCAAGATAATCTGGCCGAAACTCGTCGAAGATCAACAAATGGATATGTGAAAATCAGCGAACGCCTTGATCTTATATTTATGACTTTCTTCCTTACAACAGTTACCATTCCAGTCGCCGTTCTCTTTTATTTGACTTAAAGTTTCCAAAACTATTTTATTCTCAAAACGGGTTCATACATATTTGGTTGATTTTGTATATATTTTGATGCATGAATATTTCATTTTTCAAAATCACAATCAGAACACCATATTTAACTTTTGTATGGTTTATATACTTCTCCTTGGTTACTTGGCACACGCTTCGGGCATGGACAATACTGAAAAAAATAAAATATATTTCAAAAAAAAACCACAAAATTCTTACCAAGGCGTCTTGTCCATCAACTCCAGGCTCTCCTTGTTCTCCCGGAATACCTTCTGGGCCTTGTCTTCCTGGTTCTCCACGTATTCCAATACTTCCAACTGGACCTTCAGCTCCGGGAGCTCCACGATTTCCACGTTCACCAATTCCTCCAGCAGCACCAGCTCGACCTTTCGGCCCCGCAGGTCCTCGAACTCCTTTCTCTCTAACACTATCCATTCCACGTCGTCCAAGAACTCCTGGAACACCAGAAGGTCCTTCCGGTCCAGCGGCACCTTGTTCTCCATTTCTCCCAGGCATCCCATTGTGTCCCGGTCCTCCTGGTGCTCCGTTCTGACCACGTGGTCCACGTGGGCCAAGGTGTCCTGGAGTTCCCGGTGGTCCCATTTCTCCTGAAGGGCAGTATGAACATCCGGGATCAATGTGCATAGTTTGAACATCAGATGCTTTGTGCCCTTGTAGACCGGGTGCACCATCTTGACCAATCAATCCGTTGAGTCCTGGTTTTCCTTTTGGACCTGGAGGTCCAGCTGGACAATTATTTTGTAGGTTGCAGTCTGAAAATTGAATTAGTTAAGTATTCAAAAATCATTGAGGAAAAAAACAAACTGCATTCTGGAGATATCGATGGTGGACGTGCTTCGACACCCAAAGAAGGTGGAAGTGCATACGAGTCAGCAACCTTTTCATAATAAGAAGTTGCTTGTCTTTTCGTTTTAGCTTCTCCAGCCATAGTCTTCAAATCTTGCCAAATCGCATCTCTCATAACAGAAGTTGTCTCTAATTCAACTGCGAAATCCTGCCAAGTCGAGTCCAGATCCATTTTGGCTTGATATAAAAAAGCAAAACAAGTGACCACAAAAACGACACATAAAAACAATACCGGAAAAATGATTGATTCAGGAGACATGGCTTGTTTTCTGGATTTTGATGAAAAACAAACGTTCTTTTATAGAAAAGCTGAGACGTCATGTTGTGCAAAAATAAATAAAAATAAAAATAAAAAGGCGCGTCAAAACCCAAAAAAGGAAAAAAACCAGTTGGCAAATGACCACAAATCCACCTCATTTTTTATTCATGAGAAAACGGTAAACAGTTGGTTTTCTAATAAGGTCTGGTTATAAATCACAAAGTATTTCCATAACAAGATAAGTTACAGTAATTTCAATATGATTTCAAATCTGGAAATAACTGAAAAATGTACACAATCTGAAGAAGATGTAACACAATCGGAACAATCCACAGACACTGTTGAGACAAAAGAAGCGCTTCGATCAGATCCGCTCTCTTCAAGCAAATCGGAAATCAATGATCGTAGTATTTTGGAGAGATCAACATCGACAATTTTGACATCGATGGAAGTTGTATCTGTTGAAAATGATGTTGAAATTGATGCCCATAATCCCGAATCAATGCTTCAAATATTTCTGCAAAGTTTTGTTCCATTTTTCCTTGGAGGAATTGGTTCAATTCTTGCTGGTTTATTATTGATGTATGTGAATAGAACACTGGAATTATTGAAAGAAGTTCCGGAATTATTGGTTTTGATTCCACCGTTGCAAGGATTGAAAGGAAATTTGGATATGACTTTTTCTGCGAGGATGTCGACTATGGTGAGTAGACAAAATTTTATTGATGATTAGGACGAATAATGATAAGATCATGGGGGAAACCTTATAAACAATAAAAAAACATAATTGATTCATAAGAATATTTGATCTTCTAACATTTTTCTTGATGTGGAAACTGTACTTGTTGACATAAGTCTAATAAAAGCTGTGAAATCTTTAGCAGCTTTTTGAGCTCGAATTCGATTGCTTACACATTCTATAATAGTTACATATCGTGAAACGCCAGTGTTGGAAGCACAACAATAATTCAATAACGAATTTGCAAATTTATTTCTTTCTTGTTGAACCAATTCTCTACCATAATCTGATAATTCCATTACTGAAAAAATGTTTTGCGAAGAATACTCTTATTTTAATTCCACTAACCTGGATGACAAAATGCTATGGCTTTCATAAGCAGATATTCCTCATGTGTTAATCTGTTTTGAATAAAATTTTTGATCGTCCAATAACTAATAGGGATAAATGAAATATTATCTGGTCTGAAATACCGTTAATATCTTGAAGAGATCAAATTTAAAACTCACATATTCAATCCAAACATCACTTCGGCATCGGATTTTCTGAACTCAAAAAATATTATATTTATAAGTTAATAAAACACCTACGTCAGTGTATTGTCATAAAATAGTCCATCGGGTGATTGCAAAGCGTCTTTTTTGTTCAAATAAGATTCAAAACCAGATGTAATTGAGGATATCATGAAATGAGTTTCTTGAATCAATACACATTTGTCTTTATCATCCAATTTTTCGAAAAATGGAAATGTTTTTGCATATTCGATTGTCATCAAAGCATCAAAAACACCCCATTCTTTACTGTAACAATATATATTTAACAATCAAAACTCAAAAATTATTACTCACATATTAAATTCTTCATGACTGAAAGATTCGACGGGATAATCATATGATTTTTTCTGATTCTCAATCTCTATTCTTTTTTTATTCAGTTTAATTCGGATTTTGATAGACTCTGATTTTTGCATAGGATATCCAGGCATTGGTTGAAGTTTGGATGCTAAATTTAGGATGGAAGGAGCTTTAACAACGTCATTGAGATTTGGATAGATTATAGGGTTATATGTGGAAATGCGCAGTTTTGTAACTTCAGAATCTATATGTGCAAGGACACGAAGCAATCTGGTCGTTTTAGTGAAAGGAATCTGAAAGAATATTTATTTTTTATAGAAGTATAATCATATTAAACCTCTAAATCTCTCCAAATTTCCCAGCAAGTCATTGATTTATTTCCTAAGTTCATACCAACTTTGAGACATTTTTTAAAACGACATTCTCGACATTTATAATGTGATACAACTGTCGAATAGCAATTTCGATCAAAAGGACATTTTGAGTAAATAACTTTTCTTCCCATTGATCGCAGAAAAAATGATTTACACCCATTACATGTTTGAGCCTGAATATAAACAATTTGACAATCTGACATAAACTAAAATGCAACTTACGCCATAGTGATTTCCATTCGATTTTTCTTCGCAAACTAAACACTTTTGTCTGATAGAAAGCATTGAGGAATAAAATGTGCGACAAAATAAATGGCGAAATGAAATACTTTTTTCTTTATATTCATGCAAAGATTTTCAGGATAAAGAAAGATTAGAAGACTATAATATTGAAATATTTAACAAATCATGCAGTTAAATTGAGGGGGTTTTGATCTTCCTAAACGACATACAATGAACTTGACAAAAACTGACAATTTTTGGATATTTTAGAACTTGATAATTTAAATAAAACAAAATATATATCAAGAAGTAAAAACAGAATTCAGAAAAATACTTGATTTTCAAACATTTTTCTCGATTTGGAAGTTGTACTTTCGGATATAATTCTCAAGTACATGGCAAAATCCTTAACATCCTTCTGAGCTCGAATTCGATTAATAACATATTCTAAAAGTGTCACATATCGCGACGCACCGTTTTTTGATTTCAAGCAATATTCCGATAAAGCCTCTCCAAATTTTTTTCGTTCCTTTTGGATCAATTTTTTGCCAAAATTTGATAGTTCGTTCACTGAAGGTTTTTTTCAGCTTTTGAACCGCTACTTTTTTCACTAACCTGGGTTACAAAATGCGATAGCTTTCATGAGCAAATATTCTTCGTGGGTTGGTTTATGTTGCACAAAATATTGTATCGTCCAAAAATTGATAGGGATACACATCATATTTTTTGGTCTGATGCGAGAATATTTAAATTAAAAAAATATCACATAAAAACTTACATTTTTGCACCAAACATGACTTCCACATCCCACATTCTTAATATTAAAATATTGACAATTTTCTTACAATTAAATTGAAGATTTTGGGCAGTAGATTCAATTTTGTTCATATAACTAACAAGCTAGAAATTTCACAAAATTCGCAGATACATTTCAGTTTGAATGTGCTGAATCATCTGCCCATTTTTCTTCCAAACTCACGTTATTTTATCATCATAAATTAATCCATCAGGTGCTTGTAAAACATCTTTTTTATTCAAATAAGATTCAAATGCGGAAGTGAGCGAAGTTATCATAAAATGAGTTCCTTTAATTAATGCACATTTGTCTTGAATACTCAATTTATCGAAGAAGGGAAACGTTTTTGCATACTCGATGACCATTAGAATATCAAAAACTCCCCATTCTTTCCTGGAAAACCAATTAATTTAGTTAGAACTTAATGTTAGCTTGAAGTTTTACGTATTGAATTCTTCTTGATTTAAGGAACCATGGAGATTAATAGGATGATTCTGGTTTTCGAAATATATTCTTTTTCGATTTTGTTTCAAACGTATCTCTATAGATTCTGTTTTGTCCAAAGGCCACCCAGACATTGGTGGAAGTTGTGAAGCCATATTGAGAATTGATGATGCGCCTACAGCATTTTCTAGTTTTGGATAGATTATTGGATTATAAGTAGAAATGCGTAATTTCGCAACTTCGGAATCGATGTGAGCAAGATTTCGAATCAAAGTGTGTAGTTTTGTGAAAGGGATCTGAAGAAATTAATAGGTTTTAAAGATAAGTTTCATCATTTTACCTCTAGTTTTTTCCAAATCCCAAATTCGGTTACTGATTGATTTTTAATTTGCATTCCAAGTTGAATACATTTTTTCAATCGACATTCTCGACATTTATAATGAGATACAACTGCAAAATAGCAATTCTGATCAAAAGGACATTTCGAGTATTTCCTATTGCTTCGCATAGATCTTAGATAGAACGATTTACACGCATCACATGATTGAACCTGGATAACTTTAATTGTTCTTTATCAGACAGAATCAGAAACTTACTCCATAATGAATTCCAGTCGATTTTTTATCGCAAACCGAGCATTTTTCAAAAAAAGACATATCTGTATGCAATTGGTGTAAAAACAAATGAAGTTTTGAGGAATTATGATTTTTATCCCTCCAGAGAGCATTAGGAGAACATTCCAAGAACATTGACAGATGAAGTTAAGCATCTTATATACGTAATATTTAAGATATAAAAAACCAAAAGATGAAAATTTGATAATTTCTGACGTATGCTTGTGATTTTTTTCCCGGAGTACATATGTACGAACAATACTATAATGAACACCAAGAACATGTTTTATCTCGTTCGTGATTCCACCATGAATTCGCAACTACAAAAAATTTATCTCTGCAATTATAATTTGTTTCATTGGAAAGTAAACATTTTATGGATTACAATAATGAAATCATGAAAATATTTGATCTTCAAACAATATTCTCGATGTTGATGCTTTACTTGCTGCTTTAATTCTCATATAAACTCTGAAGTTTTTGAAAGCCCTTTGTGCACGAATGAGCAGGCTGACATGTTCAAGAATGGTTAAAAATCTGGAAGGATTGCTGGTAGTGGTCAAGCAATAACTTAGAAGTATATTTCCATATTTCTGACGTTCTTGTTGAATTATTTGTTTACCGTATGGTGATAATTGATCAACTGTAAATACGCAATTTGTAAATAACTTGGTTTTTTCCCACAAACCTGGATAGCAAAATGCTATTGCTTTCATCAACAAATATTCATCATATGTGAAGTTGTTCCGAAAATAAGGTTCCAATGAAAAGAAATTCATGGATACATATGGCATTCCATCAGGTCTAAAAATTGGAGTATATCAAAATAGGTTGATTCGCTAAACTCACATTACTGCGGCAAATAGAACCTCCAGATCTGATTTTCTGAATTTGAAAAAGAAATTGTGTAATTATGATTACAACTTACGTCAATTTATCATCATGGAAAAAACCGTCAGGAGTTTGTATTACATCTTTTTTTCCTGAATAGGAAACAAATTGTGTCACTAAAAAGGCAACTATAACGTTTGTTTCACGAATCAAAATAATCTTATCCTCATTTTCTAATTTTTCAAAGAACGGGAATGTTTTGGCGTATTCAATAGACATTATTGCATCAAACACGCTCCAGTCTTTGCTGAAATATAGTTTTACTTTGCATAACTCGAATATATTTTCTTACTTTATACATTCCTCATAATTTATGGAATCGTGATATGTATTTACATCATGATTCTGGTGCTCGATCGAACATCGTTTAAGAGTCAGTTTTTTGCGACTATCGATACAGTCCGATTTTTTCAATGGCCATCCAGGCATTGGTTTGAACTGAGAAGCTAAATATAAAAGTGATGGTCTTTTAATTGTATCTTCTAGTGTTGTATAGAATATAGGGTTGTACGTCGAGAAGCGCAATTTAGTTATTTCGGAATCGATATTAGTTAGAACACGAATCAACGAAATTGGTTTTGCGGTAGGATTCTGAAATATGATAATGTATTTCGCGAATTATATTTATGTAACATGTAAAATAATAGATTAACTCGATAGATATGTTCAGTGTATTTGATTCATCATCTTCTTGTTCTGAATGTTCGTCTGAAACTTCTTACCTCTAATTCTTTCCAAATTTCCCAACCAGTTATTGATTTATAATCGATTCTCATTCCAACTTCAATACACTTATTGAGTCGACATTCTCGACATTTATACTTTGATGAATCCACGGAATAACATTTTTTATTGAAAGGACAATCAAGATATGTCACTTTTTCTCTCATTGATCGCATAAAAAACAATTTACATCCAGTGCATGTTCGAACCTAAATATCACACAAAGTAACTTGCCCTGATCACACAAAATAACTTACTCCATAGTGATTACCAGTTGATTGTTTATTGCAAACCAAGCATTTATCGAAAAAAGACATCGTTGAATTTTGCATAGAATTATTAAATATTGTTTTTATGATCAAATGTGAGCTTGGCTTTATTCTTATTAATTCCTCGAAAAGAGCATTAACATTTGAGTTCAAAAACCACACGAAAGCACAAAATATCAATACATTAATTCAGGCGCACATCGGTGAATTCGATCGTCCTGGAATTCGTGGAAAAGTTTTGCGCAACATTGCTGTCACTGAAGCTCAATCAGTTTATGTTTGTTTAATTGCCAATTTTGTATCATTTTTGATTGTTTTGATACGATTGGATGACACTTTTGATATACCGACAAATGAAACTAGTATACATGAAACAACTCCACATATTTACCTTCATAATTTTCTATTTCTCGGATCTTCTTCAATTATTGCTGTTGCCATTAATTGTGGAATTTCTACTATAAGTAAGTTTGAAACAAGTCTCAAAAATCAACCAATTAATTTTAAGTGCTCGCATTGGTTGTGAACTACACATGGAAAAATAATCTAAATCCGGATAACATTGTGACGCCACTTGGAGCAAGTATTGGAGATTTGTTGACAATATCTGGAGTTGTTGTAATTTGCTATCTTTTGCGGCCACTTTGTGAATTCAGTGATTGGTTTCCGGTTGTATTATTAACAATATCTGTGTTATTTATACCAGTATGGTTGATTCTAGCTAGTAAGTTAGAGATAACATGTTCAAGTATTATTCTACGATCAAAATTTCAGAAAAAGATAAATTGGCAATGAAAACAGCAAAACAACAATGTGCCACACTTATACTTTCAACATCAATTTCTTGTTTGGCTGGACTTATTCAAAGTAAAGGTGCTGTTGTTTACCCAAATTATCCAGCATATCAAACTCTTATATCTGGATTGACTGGAAATCGTTGTGCAGTTCAAGCTTCACGAATTTCATCACATTTGGAAGTCAGAAAAGAATCGGAATTATCATGGAACGAAAGATTGTCCCCATATAGCTATTATACATCTCAAGCAAATGAATGTAAAACAGCAAGATTATTGTTGTTCACAAGTTTACCGTTTCAATTATTTTTTATGACACTTTCATATACAATTTCATTTATGATTGGAACACCAGTCGAAGATTCACCATGGTTCTTTTTGGGATATTCAATTGCTGTACTTATTCAAGTTGCAATTATTATGTTTATCACTCAATTGATTGTTTTTGGTCTTTGGTATTTCGGATTGGATCCAGATATTCACGCAATTCCAATGATGACTGCTGCGGCTGATGTTTGTGGATGTGGTTTCTTATATCTTTTATTTATTATTCTGGATTCTACCTGTGGATGTGTTTTTGTAGTTAAATAATATCAGAATAAATAATTTCGCTATAATTTTTTCTCAATTTTCTCGAAGGAAATTATTTATCGATTTTTTAAAGTGATGAACAAACAATTTAGAAAATTAGTAAGAAAACAACTGATCTTCCAATTCTCTTCTCGAATTCGAAGCTCGACTTTTTGCCACAGTTTTCATGAATGTGATAAAATCTTTGTATTTCTTTTGTGATCTGCTCAGAAAATTGACATGCTCAATAATAGTAATAAATCGTGATGGATCGTTTCGAATAGTCAAGCAGTGATTCAAGATAATAATTGCATATTTTTGCTGTTCTTTTTGAACTATTTGTTTGCCAAATGGTGATAAATTATCGACTGTAAACAAGCATTCGCGATACATTTTTAATTAAATCTTACTAACCAGGGTTGCAAAATGTGAATGCTTTCATCATCAAATATTCTTCCTTGGTGAATTTGTTTCGTGAATACGGTTCCATAGTCAAAAAACCCAGTGTTGCAAGTGGAATATCATCAGGTCTATAAAATAAAACCCCATACACCAGAAAATAAAAAAATAACTCACAAATCTGCAGCCATCACCATTTCGAGATCAGTTTTTCTAAATTTCAAAAATGTTTGTGTCTTTTAACTTCACTCACGGGTGGGGAACCTGGCCTCACGTTGGCCTCATGTTGGCTTTGGTGGTAAGAACATAAGCCATGACAGGTCCAAGTGAAAACCTGGCTACCTGTCCTGTCCTGGACAGGTTCATTTTTTAGTCGAGAAAAAACACGTCGAAAAAAGAGGAGATAGATTATAAAAGAAAAACAAATAAATTCAAAACAAACTGGAAAATAATCTACCTATGAAATATTTCATAGTTTGAAGCTGATCCTATAGCTTCAAGTGTAATTCAGAGCTTCATCTAATCATTTAAACATAGTAATTTTTAAACAACTCTTCTTTAATTTTAAAATCAATAGTAAACATGAATTAAAAACTTTACCCAATAGTTTTCAATTAAGCTCAAATCTCACCTGTTAGTTTTGTTCCTCCCTCCCCCCAAACCTCAAAATAAACTAACTTGACTGGCCCGCTTCCGTGAGAAGTTGTTGATCTCTTCGAATGTCCTGTCCAAACAAAACATCTCCTTGTTCGGAAACTTACATCAAAAAATGACAACTGTGAATTTGATGAAACTCCTGCATTCTGTGACTGTTGTCTCTAAAAAAATAAGAAAATTAAAAAATGCACCAAATTACCCCATTAATAACATTTTCTGCGCTGAAAAAACCAAAAAAATGATTCAGTTCGAAAAAAAAACGTTCAATCAATAATATTCAAATAAAACACATATTTATCTCTTTCTCTCTAACCCTCTCTCCATTTCCCACACTCTCTCACCCCCCTGCAAAAAAACAACAAAATAAACACGCTAAACAACGCGCACGAGGAATATCGTAGTTTTTCTTTTAATTTTTTTGCACGACATTTTTATTTTTTGTTTTTTTTTTCTGGTTTTTGAGTGGTTTTTTTCAGCGCAAAAATGTTATTAATAGGGTGATTCGGTACATTTTTTAATTTTCTTATTTTTTTTCAGAGACAACCGTCACAGAAAGCAGGGGTTTCATCAAATTCACAATTTTCATTTTTTGATGTAAGTTTAAGAATAGGCGAAAATTTTGAGAAAAAAAATGTAGAAGTTTCAGGCTTCCGAACAAGAAGATGTTTCGTTTGGACAGGATGTTCGAAGAGATCAACAATTTTTCACGGAAGCGGGCCAGTCAAGTTAGTTTATTTTGAGGTTTGGGGGGGGAGGAACAAAACTAACAGGTTAGAATAGAGTATCATTTAAAAATATTGGGTAAAGTTTTTAATTCATAATTACTATTGATGTTAAAGGAAAGTTGTTTATAAATTACTGTTTAAATGATTAGATGAAGCTTTGAATTACACTTGATGGTATAGGATCAGCTTCCAGATTTTATTGAAAAACAAACTATGAAATATTTCATAGGTAGATTAATTTTTTCATAGTTTTATGCACGCGATTTCCAGTTTGTTTTGAATTTATTTTTTTCCTTTTTTATAATATATGTCTCATTAAAAGGTTGGTGCTCCGCCAGAGAATCTCGCACATTGAAAAAAATAAAACATTTTTCTTTTTCTTTTTTCAAGATTCCCATTCTTTGACTGAAGAATTCTTAAATTGGGACAACATGAGGCCAGGCCAATTTCCCCACCCTTGACTTCACTTAACTCACGTTAAATTTCCATCATAAAAGAATCCATCGGGAGTTTGTAAGGCATCTTTTTTATTCAAGTACGACTGAAAATTGGAGGTGATTAATGAAATCATGTAATGAGTTTCACGAATCAAAACACATTTGTCTCTTTCAAGTAGCTTATAGAAAAACGGGAAAGTTTTTGCATATTCAATAACCATTAATGAATCAAAAATAATCCATTCTTTCCTGAAAAGATAAACTCAAATCAAAGAGAGCATTATTTTTCTTACACATTGAATTCTTTACTATCGATGAACTCGGATTGTTCTACTTGAAACTCTTTTCTGACCTCAATATCAACTCTTCGTTCATTCAGTTTTTTGTTCATTTCCACTGTTTTTGATTTAGTCAATGGCCATCCTGGCATAGGTTCGAAAGTTTTGCCCAAATATGATTTTGATGAATCACTAATCATTTCTTGCAATCCAGGATATATTATGGGATTGAATGTAGAAGCTCGTAGTTTTTCGATTTTCAAATCAACATGAGAAAGTATTCGAAGTAAACTATTGATTTGTGTGTGAGGACTCTAGAACATAATGTGTTTTAAACTTTTTTATCACCGCAAAATACCTCCAACTCTTTCCAAATTTCCCAACCAGTTATTTGTTTGTTTTCCATATTCATACCAACTTCAAGACATTTTTTAAAGCGACACTCTCGACATTTATAATGTGATACAACCGTGGAATAGCAATTCTGATTAAAAGGGCATTTCGAATACGTAACTGTTCTCTTTGTCGATCTTATAAAAAATGACTTACATCCCATACATGTGTTGATCTGAAAATGTTTATTTAATGTACCTCAAACTTTTTAGTCGTGGACTTACCCCATAATGTTTTCCAAACGAGTCTTCTGAACAAACTGAACATTTGTTGTGAGACTGCATTATTGAAACGAGAGTTTTGTTTTCAAAATGTAATGTAAGTAAAGATAGAAGGGCGTTACATGAAGCAAATGAGCATTTACAACAGAAGCCGAATTTAATCCTCAAAATCCCTATTTTAAATACTTAAATTCACAGAGATCAATGCAAATTTCGAAGCATGAAATAAAATTATATATAAAACAATTTTTATAATTAAAATACAAGGGTCAAAATGAGATATTTGAAAATATGTTTTGTCAATTCCAAGATTGACGGAGAGCAAGAAAATGATCGTGATGTGTTTCATTTTTCTGAATATTTTTTCCAGTCAATGTTCTCACTTGATGAACTCTTGCTTTTTCGAAGAACATTGAGCGAATCTAAAAAAAACTTTAAAATGTTTTTCTTGAAAATGAAATCCAGTCACCTTTTTCTTGAAAGTCCTGTTTGTCAATAAAAATAACACGGGAAACAAACTTGTATCAATATTTAAAACCATATTCCAAAATGAAAACATCGGGAATAAATAATCAGCAGGTACAAAAGCCATTAGTCCATAACTCGCAAATAGAGCGATTTTGAAAAATATGCTAGTTGTTATTGGAACAATAAAACTTTTGCTGAGTTCGTAAGATTGGGAAAGTTTGAATCTTTTATTGAGTGATAATTTTCCTTGTGTTTCATAATAAACTCTTGAGGATATACATGTTAGGTAGATGAATAACTGAAATTGTGATTGAATTAGAAAATTGGGTGTGAGACTTACTATTAAAGAGGAAATTATGAGTGTAGATCCTGTTACAGCTGATACAGCTTGCATTGTGAGTCCTTGAACATACATCATAGAATATATATAAAATCCAAACATAATTACTTTGAAAATAATTACAATGATGAATAAATATTTGAAACTTTTTGAAGAATGAAAATGAATTGCTCTTACTGATAAATATCTATCTAAAATATAGAAAACTATTAGATACTTGTAAATTAAAACTAATTTCCCTACCAAATACTATAGAAAAAATCGTCCACGTCACACCGAATTCACCATATCTGTGCAAAAAAATTACATAGTTACTCCAATTCGCACTATCACATTGTTCATTTTCGTAAAAATATCCCAGGTACCAACATCTTGTGATAGTCACAAAATAAGATAGAAGTAGTGACGTTTGAGAAGAACATAGAATTCCAAATAAAATTCTAGTAAATGCATCAAGAATGTTTGTGAAAACAACTAATCGCAAGAAAAACAATTGAATTGATAAACCTGACAAAATTATGAAGTACTGAAAAAACATAACAATTGCCCAAAGCATTTCGAACTCGAAATAGTTTTTTTTCTCGAATTCTGAAAGCGTCTACATTCAGCCAACGCAAATTATATGTTGCAAACTGATATTTATTAACTTTAAAGTTCAAACATCTATGCATTTAAAATTATATACTTGCAGCTGCTAGAAAATCAATTTTGAGCCGAGTTCATTTATTGATAACATCCAATATTCCTACTAAAACCATGATTTTCAGCAAAATGATATGTAATAGGAATCATTGATGGACCTGACTTATAATTAGCATCTGAATGAATACAAGGATATTCATCTCTTTGTGGTAGTTCACAATAATAAGCATTGACACAAGTGAAATCGGGATTAAAGTTATCGGTGTCGCGCATGTGATAAAATGATTGATTGTAACAATTGAAAATTATATTAATGTAGAAATCATCTTTCGGTAAACGATTTGAAATACTTTTAATTTGTGGAAGATTCAAATGTCTGTAGTTTTTTTCCTTTTTTTAAATAAAAAAGTTCAAACAAACTTTTTCAAATCCATTTCGATTTCTTCTAAATCTACTAAATTTATAATTGACTTCAAATCAGCTTCTTTTCGTTGATACAATGTTGGTCTATCCGCAAATTTTATTGTTTTTATATGAAACATCCCACTATTTTTAAACTTGATTTTTCTGTAAACCGGTTGAAAATTATCAGGTGTCAAATATTGAAGAACTAAATCAGCATTTCTGCTCCAATGAGCCCATGATGAATTATAGCGAGTTGGACGAGCAAATGATTTACCAGTATCATTTGTGTTCAAAGGTTTTGAATATTTGAGAATATTAGTTATCGAAAACTCATTCAAAAATGGACTTTTGACAGTTTCATAATCTCGTTTCACATAATTTACAGCACTTATCAAAATGCTATTCATATGTTCTTTTTCAAATTCTTCATAGTAAGAGCGTGAATTAATTGGGATAAGAATATCATCGAGATCTAGACTCCCAATAAAACTCGCAGATTCTTTATACATCAAAATACAATCTGTATGTGCAGCTGTTTGTGCACGAAGTTCAACATTACTGTTAGGTTCGAGCACTGGTTCGTTATGTTCTGCGAATTTTATTGTTAACCATGGCTCAATTGAGATGTAACCCTAAAAATATGAAACTTTGTAAGAAATTCTTATTCAAACTAACTAGTTTTTCGTATTCTCGAAGCAATTCGAAATATGATTCTATCATACTAACAACATAAATATGCAAATGTGCTCCATACTTTTTTGCAATATGTACTTGAGTTAGAAAAACTTGCCATTGTTCAGCTGCAAATTGTGGAGAAACGCAAAATATTACTGGTTTTGAAGCTTTTCGAATAGGATATTTGAATGGAATAAGTGTTCGAGAACCAACTGACTCAATTTCAAGTTTTGCCATATTGTTGAGAGTGTTGGCTTGAGCAAGAATCATCAGATAATCACATCGCTCAGAAAGCAAGTTTTCGCTAAAATTGCTTTATAAATGCAGATAATCTTCAAAATGTTACCTAGTTAGAGTCGCTTTCGTCTTCATTTGATTGCCATCAGAATCGGTGGCAATCAAATCAATTTTCATATCTGTAATAATTGGCACAGTTCTTTTATTCATAGTTGCAACTATTGCGATGGCATTTTTTCCAAGTCTAAATTTTCTTCAGTTTATTTCGAAAAAACCGGCTGAAACTTACGATTTTGAATTTTTATAATAATAAACTGAATGAATAAAAGTATGAGTGTGTTGAAGAATTCTTGTGTTATTTGATTTTGATAATAAAATATAATATGTTCTACCAAAATAATAAATAAAATACGTAAAAATCAATAAGTTCCATTTCATCCCTAAAGTGACCAGAAAATATTTTATCTCAAACTAATCTTACTGGTATATAGAACAATTTCCGATATTAAATTTTGATTTAAATTTATTGAATGACTAAAATCTTCGAGAAAGATCAGTAAAAAGCAGAACTAAAAGTTATTCTAATGAGGATGACACCCTTTTTCCAAAACGAATTTTGGATTTGTTGAATAAAAATATCGAATAGGTTTCATTATTGAAGTCTTTGGATAGTCTGCTGTCACACGAATACAATTTACTGATTTTCTTTGTTTGATCTGAACAATTATCCTCATGAATTCAATTTTTGAAAAAAAAACATACGTGGCATAATTGTGGACCAGGGCATTTTTGATAACTAATTTTTGTTCGATTGAAAAAATAACATTGAGATATAATATCTTCATAATAATGATAATTTGGAAGATTTGGAAGGATTTTTGAGAGACTTGGTTTTGCTAATAATCTGAACTTATTTTCGAATTAGAAGTCAGATTTTTAAAAATGTTTCAAACCTTCTTATTTCTGAGTCAATATCAGCTAAGTCATCAGAGCTCATATAATTATCCAGAGCTGAATCATACTGTCGTTCTTGCACATCTTCTTTATGATGATGTAGCCATTTTATTTTCATATTGATTAGTGCAGTTTTACGATTCATCACAGTACCAAAACCGTTTGGAATTATTGGCGGACCGTATAACCAAGTATAATTCGCATTTTTTGGATTTAATATAATTTTACCAGGTAAAAAAATTTCTGTCTGTTTCATAGATTTGAACATTTTTGAGAATGAATAGATATTTGCATCACGAACTGTTAAAGCTTCAACATGTTCTTTGTGATAGTATATATAAACCGTTTTTTTCCAATTCCAAACCGCAGATTGAAATTCTTGTAAAAATGTTGGAAGGCGTCTTGGGATTATTATTTCGTTTAAATCCAAAAATGTTATAAATTTGGCAGTTTCCTAAATGCTCTTGAGGTCTTTAGATTTGTAATATCACTTACCTTATATTTTAACAAGCAATCTGTATTTGCACTAGCTTGATTTGTATATTCAATTTCTCTGTATGGATCAATAATATTTTGAGGAACATCTCTGAATTTGACACTAGCCCATGGTTGAATAGTTAGATAACCCTGAAATGTTTATTTTCTTTTTAATTTGTTTCTGAATTCGCTACTTCTTTTTCATATTCTTTCATAAGATAATAAAATGATTCAATAGCACTGATATAATATAAATTGATGAAACCCTCAAATTTTCTGTATAAATGAGAAATGAATAAGAAATTTTGCCACTGTTCTCCTAAAAACATTGGATTTATGCAAATCACAACATCGTGTTTTTCCATCGATGGAATTTGAATTGGAATATCGGTTATTCCATTATCGCCAATCATTGAAATTGTTGTTATATTCGGGATCAATGTGAAAGTAGCGAAAATTGAAATTATCTCACATATTTCATGTGGTGTGATTCTTAAAAATTTTGTTCTGACGACAATTGAATTTGTCGCATTTTTAGCACGAATTGTTAAAATAGGAACATTTAGAAAATTCCATTGTTCTAAAGACATCCATCCTTTTCTTATTTTACTTCCTGTCATTGACATAACAAGTGCAAAAGCATTATCGCCTAAACTTTCTGATTTTTCATAAAAATATGAACTTGTTATAAATGCTTTATAATCATCGCGTTGTTCAAAATGTGGAAGATGTTCGCTAAAAATTGAAAAAAAAACAAAACTTTTGAAAGCTGACTTGATAAACTTACAAATTCTCTTCATCTGCTTTTCTGAAAAATAAATAGAAGAAAATTAAAAATAAAACAAGACTGAAAAAAGTCCGAAAATTTACCATATTGATCAATATGAAATATATTTTGCATATATCTCATAGAGAGATCTAAAAAAAAGTGAAACTTCAAAAGTAGAACAACTTTTTGTAATCGTAAAATTTTAAAGAAGGGAAAATTTTGAAATAATCAGAATTAATTTGGAAAATTATATTTTTTTAACTTTCGATTTTTTTCAAATAATTTCAAAATACCAATTTTGTCAGTGAAGAAAATGTTTACCACGTCATTAAATTGCTAAAATTTAATTTTCAATATATTCTCGTTCATAACTTGGATTATAATGCTTTATTCATACATTTTCTGATTGATTAAATTATAACGAAAATGTGGACAAAATAAGAATAAAATGTGGGGGTGAAATATGTACAATAAGCTCGATTAACTTTGTTTCCAAAAAAAATTTGAATTCCTAGTTGAACAACGAATTGAATTAGGAGAGGACGTAGAATGCGAAGATTCCAAACAAAAATGCAGAGATCAAAGCCGGTGCAGACATTGGAGCGCTGTTACATCTGAAAATTGAGAAATGTTTGATTTTCTTCTGATCGCAGGTGTTTTTTCTGTGTTCGCTCCACGCACGAGATATAAAACAGCTGATTTAATATTTATTTATTTATTTTTGGAACATTGTTTCATTGATTCTAATTATTTCTAGTTTGCTCTTTCTCTTTTTCTTACCCATCTCCATAACAACAACAAGTCGAATAAATTGCTCCGTTATTTGAACTATTGAAGCAGTTTGCTGGCGCCTGACTAATCCCGGTGGACGTCTGAAAATGATGATAATGAATAATAATTTTTTGGTTTGGTTATATCCAAAACAACAACTTAATTATTGGGAGACATGTGATTCACGGTAACTATGGAAACCGATTTCGATTTCGAAATAAAAGATGTTGTGTACACAGAGTTTCGAAAAACTTACGGTGCAATTTCCGATTTGACATTGTTTGGAGAAGACATTTCTGGAGTAATCGATGGTTTTAACACACGAGTTGGCGCCTATTGGACATTCCTGGAATGATAAGGAGTTACAGAGTGTTTGTAGTAGATAAAATAATTTTCTTAGAATTCATTTTTGAACTTCTGAATTCATTTCCTGAAGTCTTCAAAGTGATAGACGCTCAGAAAAAGTACAAGTTCAATAGAATCCCAAATCCCAAAGCAAAAAATAATTACCTGAAGTGAAGTGCTTGTTGTGATAGCATTTGTATCAGCAAGTGATCCATAGGAAATCAAATGGCATTTGAGTGAATCTCCAACATTCAACAAAACCAAAAGTGTCAAGAAGCACAAAGTTCGCATTGTTTCTGAAAAGTGACTCCGAAGATCAGAAGTTTTCTCAAAAAGAAAATCTGTGAGAAAATCAAAAGCAAAACAAAAAGTAAAAATATTAGAGGGTTGATTGAATGAAGCTTGTGAGCGAGCGAGAAAAAACTTGTGGCTGCCCAAAACTACCCAGTAATCATTTCGGTTGCCTAGTAGCCCCCTTGTTATCAAAAGCACCTGGCTAGTTAAAGAGGGAAAAATTATTAGAGAGAAAGAATAAAAAAGGAGAGATTTTGATTTTGGTTGAAAGGGCTTCGTATATACTTTTTTGGCCGCATTTTTTTGATCAAAATGCGAAGAGGAAGAAAAAAAGAGAAAAACGTAATATATTATCAGCGATGGGCGGGGGATTTTTAGATTTTCGGAGTTTTTGTGATAGACAGATTTAGGGGAAATTATAATGATTAGAAAAAGTGCAACTTCATTGAATCATAGTTCAAAACAGACCTGTCGTTTTTGGGCGGCCGGGCCGGGCCAGCCCTTCAAAATTCAAAAAATGCGGGCTATTTCGGCCCTCCGGCCCTTCTTTTTTTATGAGAGGCTGCTTCAGCCCTTTTTCGGCCCTTCATAAATTTTTGATGACAATTTGGGATTTTTAAAAATAGATGATTTTGCTCAAATTTTCTGCATTTGGGCGAATTTCGTAAATCAGAATAACTTATATTGGTGTTAGTGCACCAACATTTCTTCGAAGTACTGTTTTGGTGCAGGATCGTAATGGTGAAGCACATGAATTTCAATAAATTTTACTTTTATTATCAATCCACTATTAGAAACACGGAATTCGCCAATTTTCTTCCGCCAAAAGGCAAAAATTCGAAAGAAACATTATTGAAAAATAGTGGATTTACACAATAAAATTTGTTGGAAAGGCCGGGCTGAGCCAGCCCATTTTCCCTATTTGGGCTGGCTAGCCCGGCCCTTCAAATGGCTGGCCCGAGGGCCGCAAATAGCCGTAAAACGACAGGTCTGGTTCAAAACAAAAAAAGATTCCAACTTCAAACAGGTGTTTTTTGAGGAGCCTTCACAAGTTCAATCTGCGTGCTGAAAACTGTTTCGCTATCCAAAACTCGTAAAGAGGAAGTTTCAGCATCTTCAGGATCCTATGAAAATATAATATTCATAAAAATTGGATATTTTCAATAACTCACCAAAAAATCATTGGTTAGTCGGAGCAATTTATCTTTATCCTCCTTCTCTTTTTCTTTTTCCGCCGAACCAGTTTTTTCAAGTTTTCGATCATTCATGGAACAGAAGAATGTGCAGAAACAAAGAAATAATAGCGGAATATAATTCAAGAAAATTGTTAACATTTTGTAGACTTTATCAAAATAGGAAATGGGAAAAACGGATTTATTTAGTTGGATTTTTATAAGGTCACGTTCTCACGTGAAAATAAGCCTATAAAATTAGCTTCTCTTGTGAGAATTGGTCATTTTTATCAATCAAAATGTTTGTAAATTGGGAGATTTCCAAAATATTAACACTCATATTTTTAACAGTCATTTCACTCTCAATTTGTTGCAAAACACCAAAAAGTAAGTGTATTGTTCTAAAAACTTTCTAGAACTAGATAAATGAAAGATAATTTCAGATCAAGTGAAACAGAAAACCTCACAAAAACAGAAAAACAAAAAGAAAAAGAAGGGAAAAAAGAAAGGATCAACAGGAAAATCTGAATTGAATTCCTCGTTTGGAAAAGAAGTGGATGGTCTTGCACCGTATGATAAAAGTTTGGATGATGAAGAAAGATCGCAATCTGATAGAAGTCCGACAAAAAAAGTAGAAAGTCAACAAGGTCCACCCCAAAAGTTTGATAAAGCGACAAGAGATCGACATATGAAATATATGAAAGATAAAATTGCGTCGGAAAAAGAAGATGCGAAATCAAGCAAATTTAAGGTGAAAGGTCCAATTCATATTCCGAAAGAAGCCACGAAATACGATGTTAGTTTCCATCAGAGTACCGCAAGATTTTGTTTTGTTTCGAAACAAGGCGAAACATGAAACTGAGTTTTCTTGTAAGTGTCACTGATTTTCATGAATTTCGAAACAAAAATAGCACCACTCAAAAAAATTCACAACACTTCACAAATAAAAAATGATCAGACAATGAAAAAGATCAAATTAGAAAAATATTAAAAACGTGACACGGTGCAGGCGTGACGTGTTTTCGATGCAAAACATTTTCAAAAAATGAAATGCTTCACGTATTTTTTCATAACACATTTAATTTCTCGAAATGTGTCAAACCAAAAAAGAGTGACACAAAAAAATGTTTCACGTTTTGAAAAAATTAATTGTGTGACACATTAAAATGTGTCACACAATTTTTGTATGACACATTCAATTTTTAAAAATGTTTCATTGGTTTTCAACGAAACAAAAATTATCAGCTGTTTCGTTTCGCCACATTTTACAATTTTATGTATTAGAGAATTTGATAGAAAAAGCGACCTGGAAGTGAATTTGAACACATTTTGAAAGGATTAGTTTGTGAAGATACTATTTCACTTTTGATAACTTATGAAATGGACCCGAAAAGTCGAGCCAAGTCAGATTTTTTGAAAAAAAAAACTGACAAGGAAACCTTTCGGAACCGCCAAAAAAATGATAATTTTTCCCAGCAAAAGTCCTCCACAAAATTAGCTTCACCGCCAAAATTTTCAAAAATTCGGAAATTTGATTTTTTCTGAAAAAGTTGGTATAGCTGAAAATGAGGCTGAAATGAAAACTTGATTTTTTTTTTTTTGAAAAATAGGTGTTTTTATTTTCCACATAAAATCAAATTTCCGAATTTTTTGAAAATTTTGGCGGTGAGGCTAAGATTTTGTGGAGGACTTTAGGTTTCTGGAAAAACAAATCTCACCCAAGAACCTGGAGCAGTAGCTGAAAAATTGCCCACCTGGGTTCATTTTTCAAAATTACCCACCTAGTGAAAATGTTTTTCTCGACTGAGTCTGGCCTTGAAAGCCCTTAGATTTTTTGTCCACTTACAAGGTTAGGTTTTCCGAGAAAAAATTGCCCACCTGGAATATCAGGTATTGGGTGAGGTTTGCTGGGAAAAATTATCATTTTTTTGGCGGTTCCGAAAGGTTTCCTTGTCAGTTTTTTTTTTCAAAAAATCTGACTTGGCTCGACTTTTCGGGTCCATTTCATAAGTTATCAAAAGTGAAATAGTATCTTCACAAACTAATCCTTTCAAAATGTGTTCAAATTCACTTCCAGGTCGCTTTTTCTATCAAATTCTCTAATACATAAAATTGTAAAATGTGGCGAAACGAAACAGCTGATAATTTTTGTTTCGTTGAAAACCAATGAAACATTTTTAAAAATTGAATGTGTCATACAAAAATTGTGTGACACATTTTAATGTGTCACACAATTAATTTTTTCAAAACGTGAAACATTTTTTTGTGTCACTCTTTTTTGGTTTGACACATTTCGAGAAATTAAATGTGTTATGAAAAAATACGTGAAGCATTTCATTTTTTGAAAATGTTTTGCATCGAAAACACGTCACGCCTGCACCGTGTCACGTTTTTAATATTTTTCTAATTTGATCTTTTTCATTGTCTGATCATTTTTAATCGTTACACTCGTTGAAAAATCAAAAAGTGACTCAGATAGAAAGTGAAAACATTGAAATTTTGTAAAATGTTCTGCTAAAACCAAGTGAAACTGTTTCACAAAAATGTTTCGTTGCGGTACTCTGGTTTCCATTATCTTAAATTCACCGCAAAATTCGAAATTCCCATTTTCAGCTCGAAAATCAACGATGTGAAGCTCCGAACGATATTGTGCTCAAAAAAGTGTATTTCGATGAGAAACTCAATGAGAGATACATAATTGGAACTGACTATGATGATATTGAATTGGATGACACCACTGTTGCACAATCAACAATGCAACAATCGACACATGTTAGTGGTCGAGATACTATTCGAAAGAAAAAAGGGCCATCGGGTATCACTTTGGATCAGACTTCGACTGTTGACACAAAAATTATGACTATTCAATGATTGAAACTCAATAAACTGAGTTTTTGAAGAATTTTTATTTCTTGAAAATTTTGATTGCAAACTTCTGTTTCAATATCTCCGTTTCAAAAAATTTTGATTTTTTCCCTCGATTTTTCGACCTCGCATAACCTCATTCGAAACACAAAAAAAAAACACATCAAAAACATATGTAAATAACCGTATTAATAATGACTCAAAATCTCGTTTTTTTGTTTCGAGTCTACATTTCAACAGCAAAAAAAGTTCGACCGTAATCCGCTTTGGTTGAAAAAAACTGTCATCGATTTAAAAAACACAAATTTATTTATGATATAATTTACTGGCTGACTAACTGAAAAAAATGAAAATGAAAAAGAGAATTTTGAATATTCTTTTGACAATTGTTTTAACAGTGATAGGATTTCCAACTGACGAAGAATTGCAGCAGGTAAGAAACAAACCTCTTTGTTTTTTAAATTAAAAAAAAATAATTTCAGACTTTCCAACGTACAGATATAAATCAATTGAGAAGTGCGTTGACTGATTTGCGACAAAGATGGAATACGAAACTTCAAGAAGCTCCAACTGCTGTGACGTGGCAAGCTGGAACAGGCCAACAAGTTCAGAAATTTCCGATTCGAGAGAAGAAAAGAGATCGGATAAAAGATGAAGGAGACACTTTACATCAAATTAATAAAAAAGCTGGGCTCAATGAATTACTGTATCAAGGAGATATGGTATTAACTACGTGAGTTTTTTTCTTAACAAACGAAAGTATAATTGATTGAACAAAATTCCAGTGATCAAATAACAACAATTCTTGGATCTCAAGATGTTCGCTCAAAAAGGCAAGCATATCGAGATCGATATTATCCATCAACAATTTGGGGAACCGCTGTTTATTATTATTATGATTCTACTGCCAGTGAGTTCCATTCAAAAAGTTATGAAATATTTCCGAAATCAAATATTTTAGCTCCAAAAATCAAGAAAGCTTTTGAAGCTGCGGTGGCTTTTTGGCAAAATGTGACTTGCATTAATATTTATCAAAGTTCTACAGCAATAAATAGAATTCGAGTTTTTCAAGGACAAGGTTGTTATTCTTATGTTGGAAAAGTTACCGGAGTACAAGATTTGAGTCTTGGAAAAGGTTGTGAGGAATTTGGAACAGCTGCACATGAATTGGGCCATGCTTTGGGATTTTTTCATACTCAATCGAGATTTGATCGCGATAATTATATCAAAATTAATTATGCTAACATTGATGTGAGTTTTTTTAATGTCTCTCGTCTTTCTCAATTGCTATTTTTCAGCAATCCTACATCGAACAATTTGACAAAGAAACAAGTTCTACAAATTACAATTATGGAATGCCTTATGATTATGGATCAATAATGCAATATGGTGCAACTTCAGCGTCTGGAAATGATAAACCAACAATGATTGCAAAAGACACGGAATATCAAGATACAATGGGTTCAGATTTTGTTGGATTTTATGATATTTCAATGATGAATGAGCATTATAAATGTAAAAGTATTTGTGTGACTGGCTCTTCGGCAAATTGTACAAATGGAGGATTTGCAAATCCACGTAATTGTCAAACATGTATTTGTCCCAGTGGATATGGCGGAGCATTATGTAATGAAAAAGTCAGTTTAAATTCTTGTTATTTGTATAAAAAATAAAAATCACCAATTTCCAGCCATCTGGTTGTGGTGAAGCTTTGACTGCTACTGGGGAATGGCGAAATTTTACAAATACAATTGGAGATGGTCTACCAACACTTCGTGATAATCATACACAGTGTTATTATTGGGTTTCGGCGCCCGAAGGACAAGTGATTGAAATTCGAATTGCAACTCTGAATGCTGTCACAATCGATGGATGTATTTTTGGAGGAATTGAGATCAAAACACATAAAGATCAAAAACTAACCGGATATCGATATTGTTCTTCAGCTGACCAAAATACAACTCATACATCTAGTGGAAATCTAGTTCCTATAATTCTATTCAATAGATATGCAACAACTCGAGCAGTTTTAGAATATCGATATGTTTCTGCAAGTTCCGTAGTTTCTACAACAACTCTTTCACCAGTTGTTAATAGTTGTCAAGATCTTCATCCAAAGTGAGTTCATTTTTTTTAGAATTTCTGGTGACTTTTATTCCGTTTTCTTGCAGCTGTCAATTACTTTCCCGCTTTGGGTTCTGTAGATTTCACCATACTAGGAAACATTGTAAATTTTCATGTGGACAGTGTCATTTTACTAACAATAACCAAAATAATAGCAACTATTTTACTAACAGAAATGGTTTCTTTTCGTATTTCAAATTTTTCTAATCCAAAATTGTTCCAGTTGTGCTGCATTTGCAATCAATGGTTTTTGTTTCAATATTTTTTATTCGATCGAAGCTCGTCGATATTATTGTGCACTAACTTGCAATTTATGCTGGACATATCTAACTTTTTAAAAATATTTTTCAAATAACCCAAGTTTACGTGTATGTATTTGATGAAATAAAAAATAAAAACAAATTTTAGCTGGAATCTTCAGATGTGAACTTGAACTCTTGAGTTTGAAAAATTGAAATTCAGAAGGACTTATGATTTTTGATTTGAAAACATCTTGAGATAATCTTCATTTCCGAATTGAATAATTTATTGTTTGCATGGCAACCAAGTGGAATAGACATCGTGGAAAAAAAGAGGGGAGAAAACGGAATTTCATTTTTTTTATTTCTCGTTTTCTAAAAATCGGTCATGCGAGTTTTGAAAGAGTATTCGATTTTTGATGTTGAGCAGCATTGTACACACGAAGATTTGTGGATTATTTATAAAGATAAGGTTAGTTGAACTTTTGGTGAAAATTTATCAAGAAATGGCAAATTGAGAAAGGGGAAAGTGGTGTCAAAAATAGTTAATTAAAAATCAAAAATCACCTGACACGTGACCCGGTAAACGGCGTTTTGAAATTCATTTTTGATAATTTTTGAATACGAAAATGAGCCATTGAACTAAGAAGACACGTTGAAAAAAATGCTCCAATTTTCAGTGAGTTTCCGATTTATTTTTCCAGGGAAATCTAGAAAAAAAACAAACTTTGAGCGTATTTCAAAAAATCTGAATATTTTTTCTCAAAACTTTTAAATTATAATGTTCTATTCAAAAAAGAATTCGTTCAATCCAAATAAAAAATAACCATTCTTCCGAATGAAATTTCGATTTTTTTAATTCAAATACTGAAATCAGAGATCCTCGTGAATTTCACGTGCTCTCATAAATGTTTAGCCGTCTGATGTTCCAATCGGAATTGGATATCGGAAACTATTAGAACGTAGAAATTTGCAATCAAAAATCAGCCGGTTTAGCCTTGAAATTCAAAAAAATGTGAATCTCACAAATTTCTGAGCTCTGCTCTAGAAACTATCAAAACAAAATACAATTTTCTCTACTCGCTAACGCGGAACTTCCTGAAACAAACAAATTCCTATTTACATCTATGTACATTTCCAGGTCTACAACATGACATCGTATTATAACATGCATCCGGGTGGATTGGCAATTCTTCGATATGCCGGAAGAGTGAGTTTGGGGGAACTTTTTGATAAGAAATCCCCAGGGAGAATTGCAAGATCAAAAAACAAAAAACTTTCTCTTTTCAGGATGCAACTCTTGCTCTCCCATTTGTCTCAGCTCACAGTTTTGCTTGGTCAATAATCGAGAAAAAACTTGAAGAATGTTTAATCGGTGTTGTCAAGAGATAAAAAATTATTTTTCTTTCTGAAATTCCCTTTGAAAACAGCTTTTGAGAGAACAAATGACAAAAACAGGCTGAAAATTTGTGCACTGCTCAATTATTCATCTGAAAATTGCAATGGGTTGTTGTTTTTGCTTTCGATTTTTGTAGATTCCTTCCGTCGAGAGTTCTAGGTAAAATTATCTCTCTAGAAAAAAAGAGAATATTTATAGTTCAAGTTTTTTTCTGTTCTAACCAAAGAAAACAAATCACGATTAATTATTTTAGCCTAAATTTTGCTTCGTTTTCTTCTCATCAGCACAGCTGTTTTCTCCATTATTTTTAAGTGTTGATTTTTCTACCTTTCGATTATTTTTTCTCTCTTTTTCTCCACACATTTTTAATAATTTTTTTCATCGCATTTTTTTCTGAAGTCTGATGTGGCAAAAACCCTGCGGTTTCTTTTCCAAGGAAAGTTTCTGCGAAGATCTTGCAACACATGACACTTGATCTCATAAAAAAGAAGAGATGGATCTGTCAAATTGACACGATATGTCTCCATTGAGAATGATAACCTATCAAAGACCAGCTTCAATTTGACGGGTTCATTTTTATTGTGAAGTCTAAGCTTCAACAGATTGTATGTTTTCAACTGGAAAAGAGAAGCCTAATGATTTTTTTACTATAATTTTCTTTTCCACTCATCAAAATTCTCCAAAGTTTTTTGAAAAATTAGAAATTTATTGGTTCATAAACTAGTTCGAGTAATTTTTGATGCAAAATTTTTCCTGAATTAATATAACTCCTTTTTTTGCACAACTAGCAATTTTTCACACTCGTGTCTGGTCCAGTTTCAAAACGAAAAATAAAAAAGACGAGTTTAATTAACTCGCATTTTTTCTGCTTTCTGCTTTTTTCACATACATAATATTCCCATTAATCTTTGGAAGTCGTGAAACTGTCAGCTATTTATTTTCTATTTTATTTTGTTTTGCTTCGGGAACTCGTCAAAAATCTGATTTCCTTTTCTTTAAAATTACCAAAGTTGTTGTTTTTATTGAAACAAAGTTTCACTTTTTCAGAAGTCTATCCATTTCATTTTTTTCGTCCTAAACCTAACCCTAAAAACTCTTTCCATGGCCAATATAAAGAAAAATTGAATTTCTATTTTTTCTTCTGCTCATTTCATTTCATTTCGTCTTCATTTTTTGTCCTCTTTGGATTAACCTATTTACTTTACGAGAGCCATAGAGAAAAGTGGAAAAGGCGGACCAAAAAACATTATGAACAAAAAGTTTTATGAGTTTTTTGTGTGCGCGCTTCGAAATTCAGATTATCATCATCATATGATCTATTTTTGCATGCTCTTTTCTATTTTGAGTATTAAGTTGTTTTCAAATGAACCAAACATTAATTTGAAAAACGAGAATATTTCGGACACTCTCGACACTCAACAAAAAGTTTCAAGAAGATTTTTGATCCATAAATCTTTTTTTTTTTCATTTTCCCCAATAATGAAAAATGAGAATTTTTCTTGAGGAAAAATCCGATTTTAAGCTAAAGCTAGATACTTGGATAATCAATCTATCCTCTTGTTTTCTTCTGAAACCTGAAAATCAATCACAAGATTGTAGTACACTTTTTTCTGGTGGGACACAAATGTCAGATTTGACATGTAAAAACAGCAAAAAGACTCCAAGTGACACATTCTTTGTTTTGTTGAGTTGATATGAAAATTATTTTGTGAGGAGATCAACTTTTTGTTCTTTTCTTGGAAAATGTTTCGAAAAAATGATGCTAATTTATGCAAAACTTTTCCTGCTCCAAATCCAAATTTTCTGCCAAATGTCTTTTGAAGTGCCTAAAAGGTTTTTGCAAACAAATAATTTCCGGTTTGGCTGAAAATTCAGAAAATCTGAACTTATATAAAGGTCGACAATTGTCTGTTCAAAGTTCGCACACAACTTTTTTGCTCTGGGAAAACTAATACCTGAGTAATTTGAGAGTAACGTAAATTTTTGACTTTTCAAATGTGTTACTTCACTTTTTTTCATAGCGATCAAACTCGAAAGAAATTGAGTTAATGGAATGTTTTCTACAAATCACATTTTCGCAATAAATGTTTTTTTTTCAGCTGCTTTATTTTCAGAGAAAAAAATGTTCCGAACTTTGTGTTGGAACTTTGGAGTTTTCTTCAAAAATATATTGAATTAACGAAACCTTTTTAACTTTCCTCCAAAGTTTTGTGATCGGCTAATGAAAATGTTGCACTCCAATTCAAAGTCCAAGTCCAAATAAAACCCGCCTAAGGCAAAATTAAACATCCTAACATAAGAGGCAAAAAAAAGAAGAAAATCCACTGGTCCCCAAAAAGTTCACCTCCATTTTCTTTTTCCTTCCAAATTCAGTTTTTTATCCAATTTTCTATGAAACTTTCTTTTTCCTTTTTTTTTGCTCCAAGAATAGATTAAAACATAATTATTTATTTGTTTGTTGGAAATCATTGAAGCATATTATTTATTTTTAATTCTGTTCAAATTAACAAAGTTTGTCTTGAAATGAAAACAATTAAAAATTCTGGATTTCTATGATTTTTTTCCTATTTTTTTTCATAAATTCCAGAATCTTTGAAAGAATTTGAATGATGAATTCAAAAGTCAAAATTTTACGTTACTCTCATATTACAAGTATTATTTTCCCCATTGCAGAAAAACGTTTTGTGCAAAGTTTGGTCAGGAAATTGTCAACCTTTTGCTAAGTTCAGATTTTCAGCCAAACCAAAACTTTTGTTTGCAAAAACCTTTTATGCACTTCAGAACACAAAAAAAGAACATTTTTTGCAGAAAGGATTTGAGGAAATTAGCATTATTTTTTGTGAGAAAACAATTTTCAAAAATAAAGAACTTTTCCGATTGAACAATAAAAATGTTATCAAAATTTTTGGGAACATTTTACTTTTCCGTTTCACAACTTTTTCCCTATTCCATTCGAATTCTTCCATTAATTGAATTTTTTTACCTAGCGAAAATGCTGAAACGTTTGTTTCAGCCCTAAAAAAGCACATTTCCCCCATTTTCCTCGACACGCGATTTTTTTCGTCTTCATTAATTCTTTCCTAAACCTTTTTGTTTTTTCTCTGATGTGAAACCAAAAAAAAATCCACGTCATTTCTTTTTTTTTCTAAAAAAAAAGTTAACGGTTTAAAGAAAATAGATATAAATTGAACTAACGAGTTCAAATCCTGTTTCCTTCCTTTTTGATTGTTCAGATTTTCTTGGGATTCCAAAACACTGTAGTTCTTCTTCTTTTTTAAAATCCGAAGTTTGAACTCTCTTGCTTTTTTCTATTTTTTTCCTTACTCTCAAAAATGTTATTCAAAATAATTGATATTTATTGCGTGACCTATAAATTTCCAATTTCCAATTTACCGAGCATTTTCTCAATTTTTCTCCGCAAAAACATGACAAAATTAAATGAGATTTTTTTATAAGAAAAATATTTATCCATAATGCCTATTTTCTTGCAATCATCTGAATATTCATCGCCATCTTCTCATTCTTTTCCAGACACCATCCAAAAAACCCAATAAACCAAAACGACAACAACAACAAAAAGTTTTTTCCTCTCGTTGGAAAAATATTCATTTTTATTGTGATTTCGATTTTTTCTCCTCTTCTTTTTGAAAAGAAATTATTATAGCGGGTTTTTTCAAGTAATTTTTGATAGTTTCCGGCAATTTTCAGATCTTGGATATATATTTCCAATTTCTCACCCTTTTCTGTTTTCTCTATTTCTGAAAATCTCTTCGAACAAAAGAGTAACCATAAACTAAAAAATAGTAAAATTGCAAAACCCGCCAAGTGTCGGTGAACCTCAATTTTTAAAAATTTCCGGCAATTTTCAGATCTTGAACATCCACATCTCTATTTTTCGCCCTTTTTGTCTATTTCTGAAAATCTCCCCCAAAAAGAGGTAATCCGAAATTTGTACATGGTTCATGAATTTTTATTGTTTTTCAATATTTGTCTGTTTTTTTCTTTTCTCGCCAATCATTCAGCTCAAACTAGGTTCGGCGACCAGATGAACCATGAATTTTTTATAATTTTTTGTGTGATCAAATTATTTGTTGTTATGTTATGTTTTTTCCGAATTTTTTGGTCTCGGGAAAAGCTTAGCAGAGCTTCGACATCTTTTTTTCTATTTCAGAAAAAAAAAGAGAAGAAACGTTTTTACACCTTTTTCACTTACTAATTGATTGTTTTGGCTAAAGTGGCGAACTTTTCGAGGAAAAAATGTGTGTTTTGTTGGTAAAGACTAGTCTGAAATTATTTTTTGTCTCCCTCGAGAAATTTAAAAAAAATCATGTTTTTGTTTTTCATTTTCAGTCTGATCTCCAAATGTGTTCTAATTTTCTCTCTAATTTTATCTTATTTTTTCAAAAAAAAAAAATCACTTCTCAGAATCAGAAAAGTACTGTAATTGAACTTTTTGTTTTGCTTTTTTTCCTTGAGAAGTTCATTGTTTTCTGCTAGCCTTTTCTCTCGTTTGTTATTTGTTTGTTTAAAATTCTACTCATGTCTATAATTTATCATTTCTATTTTACTCCCTCCCATTCTACTTATGCTAAATAACACAAGTTTGTCAAAATATTTACAAATTCACAAGTGCTTTATGATGTGAGCCAAGTCGAGCCGAAAATTTTGTTTTCTCATTTGCCACTTCCCTCAAGAGACCTATAATTTACTGTAACTCAATTTTAGACGCCCTATTTCGAACAGATTTTTCTCCACTTTTCCATCTAGAACTTCTTTCATTTTCAGACAACAACAATTCGCAATTACATAAAATATGTATTAAGTTTTCTAGCAAAATCCAGGAAATATATTTTTATTTCCTCATATCTTTAATAAAAAAATATAAAAATATCAGCGAAACAAGAAAAAAAGTTTTCTCTTTGAGTACAATGGTTTCCAATTTCTGTGAATAGCAGCTCAATTACACTTCTTTTTAACAAATGTCATTTTCTTGCTAGTTTTTTTGTGCTGTTCCCAGTTGAGATAAATCTTTGATCTACTCACTTCTCCTTAAATATTCTATCCATCCATAACTTTGTTCTTTCTATCTACCCAAAACATCTCAAACATCTCATTTGTCTTTTTTTCCTCTTCCGTTTTTTGTTGTTTCAAAATGTTGCTAATCATCCAATTTTTTTTGGTTTATTTCAGATAGTCAGTCTTCAAAATGAATCAAACAACCATCAATTCTACAATCCCAATAACATCAGAATTTGATTGTCAACCTGAACCGTATCTACTAGTTGAAAGAATGGTTCTTGGTGTGTTTTTTGGTGTCATCATATCAGTTGTCTCATTTTTCTTCAACTCATTCCTATTTATTATGTTTGCATCAAATAAACAACATCGAAAAACACCTAATCTTTTCATGCTTTTATTATCATTTTATGATATTTTCATCTCAATCACATATATTGCTTTGATGTCTTTGAGAATAATCATTCTTTGGACCTACAACTTCACACTCCATACATTATGGTAATTTTGTTCGGAATTTGATTTCCGTATTGAATTGTCTGTTTTTTTCAGGAGTTATTACATGGTTCCAATGTTAACAATATCACATGTTGGTATTACTTCTTCAGTTTTTCTTATTTGCTTTGCTTCAATTGAGCGATATTGTATCACTGTTAACAACTTCCTAGTTCCACATCTTCACAAATATCGACCGGTGAGAAATGGGAATTTTTGAATAGGATAAACTGAATTTGGAGATTTAGAAAATCCCATATAACTTGAAAATTCATTTTCAAATTTCAGTTGATCGCTTTAACTGCTGTCTTATTTGGTGTTATCAGCAAAGGTTCATATTTATTCGAAATCGAAGTGAAAATCGACGAGGATTGTCCAGGACAATTGAAATATTTCTATGTCTCAATGTCTGATTGGTTCAAAGCTCATCCCGAATTCAATTCTTTGTTCCGTTTTTGGTTCAGAAATATTTTCACAATTCTCGCACCTTTTTTCACTTTGCTATTGGTCAATTTTCTGCTTCTCAATAAGTGAGTTCATTTAATTTTCTTCGTGGGTTTTTTTTTTGCAAAAAACCTAGTTTTTACAGACTTCGAGAACAACACAGAAAATCAGCAAAAGTGTCGGAAGAAGATGACAAACAAACTTTAAAGCAGAAAAAAGCTCGAATTCGCGCTGCAACTCGATCAATTGTTATTATCGTTTGCACATATTTATTTTCAAATGCACTTTCTGTAGTTATCACACTTTGGGAGAATATCAATTATGGATCTCTTGTCTATCACGATCGATTTTATACACTTTCAGTAGATCTTATTTCTCTTCTAACTGTTTTGGCGTCAGCTTTACGACTTCCAATTTATGCACTTTGTCAACCTCTTTTGAGAACTGAAATGAAAGCAACTCTTGGTGAGTTATCCCTACTTTATTTTTCATTTCGAAGATTTATCTCAATTTTTCAGGCAAACTATGCAACTTTTCCGAATCTCCTGAAAAGAAAAAAGCGCTTCTTGATTCTCTACAGCTTCCAACCACTCAACTAATAACTAATCTTGACGGCGATTCGCCCAGTATTTCCAGCAAAGTTGAATTTGTTTAACAAACTTCTATTTTTTTTCAAACGCACTGGTAATTTTTGCAATAAATATTTTGGCTGATGTGAAGTTTGATTACAAAAAGGCATTCAAAAATGTCCAATCCATAAAAAAAATAAAATTGTGTTTTATCACGTAAAAAAATAATTGGGTCACGCCTCTTATCAGATCTTACAATCTCTCTTGAGCAGTCGAATGATTCAGTCAGTTCTAGTTTTTGAAACACTGTAAATCGGCCAGCAATCTAAACTAATGTCATCTCCAAATGCTGAAATACCTGTTCCAACCGATCAACAAATTTCTTCAATAAATCCGGATAAACAGAAGATCGACAGAAAATTTGGCGAATATTCTTCCGGGTAAATTTTACTTAACAATATGAAAAATCTTCTTTTTTGATTCTCTCAACTTTTTTTTATAGAACACGTGACGTGTTACACGTCTGAAGGTGTTAAAAAACAAAATGGAGAAACGATTCGTCGAGGGATTACTTGTCGAATACGATAATGTTCTGGAGGAAAATGAGAATGAATTGATAATAAATTTTGTAAGTTTTTTGAAATTATTGTAAAATGTTCTAAAGGGCGAATGAGGACATTTTGTAAAATAACATAAAGGAAAATTTCTATGAATTGAATGCCGACAATTTTTATTTAAAAAAATAAATGGGAAAAGCACAAAAGTGAGACTAATATTCATATTTCAGAAAACTGACTGGGAATTTCTGAAATTCAAAAGCTTATACAAGGACTTTGGCATATTGCCAAAATCGAACTGTATTAAGATCGAAAACGTCAACACTGAAATCGGTGAAGATGTTATAAGAACAAATTTGGAAACAATGTGTTCTGTTATAACAATCGAAAAATATGAGAAATCAGAATCTGTGGAATTTCGTGACGAAGGAGAATGTTGGAAGATGCTGCAACATCTAAGCCAAAATGCAATATATTTATTTGGGTGAGTTTCTAGAAATTTGTTTCGAATCATACAAATAGAAAATGTTTCAGTGATAATCTTCTCCCTACCGTTGCCGGTTCTTTCACTGTTCCTCTACGACATTTGATCACTTCAACCAACATCAACACGGCGTAAGATTTTTCGAATCAATTTAATCTAATAGAACGATTCAAGTAGAAAAAATTATGTAAGAAGAATCATTTTTTGAACTTCGATTTACCAAATATCAAAACCTATGTTTTTCTACGCAAAAAAATCTTTGGATGAAATAAGATTTCAAAAAAAGGTAAAATATATTTTCTTGACATTTGGTGAATCGAAATTTGTTGTCTGAAAATGTTTTTTCAATTAATTTTTTTTTGCTTGAATCACCCCATAAGAACTTATGTTTCACAGTTTTTGTATAATGGATTTTTACAGACCTATTATTGTCGAAAACGATACACTTTTGAGACAATGCACCACGGAGCAGCTTATAAAGCAAAAAGAATTTATGGTCAGCGAAAAACTGAACGCTATCAATGCTCAAAACAAACTGAAAAATGAAATTGAGTTTCTTAAAAATGATTATGATTTTAAAAAATTCAAGTCGGTGTGTTGTTCACGTAAGTTAACTTATTTTAAACTAATCTCGAATTATCAATTATTTTACAGAAATTGATCAAAAAATCGAAAAATGTGACAATGAGAAAGCTACAGCTATGAAGAGAAAATCGGAGGGTAAGTGTTGGAATTAATATTAAAACTATTTTATATTTTTCAGAATTGAAAGAAGCGATTGCAAGTGGACACGAAAATTCTAAAATGCCATATTTCCAGCAAAGTTGAATTTGTTTAACAAACTTCTATTTTTATTTTTTTCAAACGCACCGGAATTTTTTGAAATGAATATTTTGGCTGATGTGAAGTTTGATTCCAAATGTGTTAAAGATAGAAAAAGTGTTAATGTACTATGATCTTTTGTAGAGGGTGGCGATTATAAAGTTGAAATGATAGAAAATTTGCATAATTCTCATGTGCCCGGACATTCTGGCACAATTTTTTTACATTAATATTTTTGTGTGTCGAAGTTTTCTCTCGAATTGTTTTAAAATATTCACAAGTTTTGAATATTAGAACTCTAGCCTATAAAAATCTAAAATGGAGGATCTTTTACAAAATCGCAAAAGGCCTCCGATGAATCAGGTAACTTTTGTCACCTATCTGACTCTTTCTTCATTTTGATTGTTATCAAGATTTTAGGTACAATTTGACGAGAAATATGTTTATAATCGCAAGACGAAATCAGCCAACAAAAACAAGTTTCAGTTGAAACATTTTAGTCGGTAAGAGTAACCTAATGAGATTACCATTATGCTGTATTCACAGGTTTTATTCTCCATTTCTGAATATTCGAGAATTTCTTCTTGGAACTTTTCCAATTTTCACATGGGTTAAAGATTATAATTGGGGACACGATTTGAGTTTGGATGTTATTGGTGGTTTGACTGTCGGAATTATGCATGTCCCACAAGGTACATAAGTGTAATTTTTAGTTACAGTTTTGATCAATCAAGTTTCTAGGTATTGCTTATGCTATTCTCGCAAATCAAGAGCCGATTGTTGGATTATACACATCTATAATCCCTGCATTTTTATACATGATTTTTGGAACATCGAAACATGCCAGTATTGGTTCTTTTGCTGTTTTATCTTTAATGACTGGAATTTGTGTTGAAAGAGAAATCGAATTGGAAGACAAACCAACACCGATTGAAATATCTTGTGCTGTTGTTTTTACAATTGGTGTCATTCAATTTCTGATGGGTATTTTGAACTTGCAATTTTTGATGACTTATATGTCAGATCAAGTTGTTGCTGGATTCACAACTGGTGCTTCGATACATGTCTTGGTTTCACAGTTTAAAGATTTATTTGGGTTGTTACATTTGCCAAAAAATTCGGGGCCTGGATATATTGTGAAGGTTTGTGATTTTCTGATTCCGATTATTGTCTCGTAAGTATTTGAAGGTTAGAAAAATGTTTGTCCAACCAAAAATAAACTTTAGATGTTATCTTTTCTTCGCGATTTCTTTCATCATTTTTTGTGTTTCAGAATGTTTTTGGAATTGTTACAAATGTTCATCATTCAAATTGGATGTGTGTTGCAATCGGCTTCACCTCAATTTTCATACTTCATATTGGAAAAGAATATATCACCCCAATTTTCAAAAAACGCGCTCAACTCAACATTCCAATTCCTTGGGAATTAGTAGTTGTTATAATTTCAACGATTTTCGGCGCTGTTATCGATGCAAAATCGAGCTATGGAGTTAGAATCGTTGATAAAATCCCAACAGGTTTACCATCTTTCAATATTCCACGATTTGATTTAATTCCACGAATTTATCAAGATGCAATAAGTATTGCTGTTGTTATTGTGGCAGTCCATCTTTCCCTTTCAAAAATGCTAGCAAAACGAAAGAATTATGAAATCGATGCTGGACAAGAATTCCTTGCTCTTTCAATTTCCTCAATCGGTAGCAGTTTTTTCCCAGTTTATCCAGTTTCATGTGCTTTGGGAAGAACAATGGTTGGTGTTGAATCTGGTATTGTTTCTCAAATGGCTACAGTATTCTCTTGTTTATTTGTTGCATCAGTCACTTTATTTTTCGGACGGTTTTTGGAAACATTGCCAATGACCGTTTTATCCGCAATTATAATTGTGGCATTGAAAGGAATGTTGAGAAAATTGGGAGATCTACAAGGGTTATGGAGAGTTTCCAAGATTGATTTTGTGAGTTTTTGAAGCGAAACAAGAATAGGGTGATTATATGAATGAAGAATATTTCAGTCAATTTGGTTGGTCGCATTTCTGGCTACTGTAATTGTTGATGTTTCTGAAGGTCTACTGATTGCTGTGGTGTATGCTCTATTCACTACAATTTTGAGAGAACAATAGTGAGTTCTGATTTTTTCGATTTGTACTGAAGTTGGATTGAGATCTAGTGTTTCACAAAGTTCTCAAACCTATAGTACACACGTTATTTTGCAGCCCAAAATGGCACATTCTTGCAAATGTTGGTGATTCATCCGAGTTCTTGGACAACAAAAGATATCAAGAAACAGTATATTTCAAAGGAATCTGCCTTTTCCGATTTGATGCTCCTCTTCTTTTTCACAATGTTGAATGTTTCAAAAGATGTGCAGAAAAAGCCTATGAAAAATGGAGAAAATCCCACGAATTCTATGTGATCGATGTTGAGAAAAGCGAATCAAATGAGATGATGTTATTAGAAGTTGGGGTAATTTACCAGTTTCTTATCAATTTCAAATTAAATTAAACGTGGAATTTTTTGAATTGCAAAAAAATCACCTGTTTTTTTTATTTTGGTATTTTTTTATGATGACTTGATCGAGTTTGAAATTGATAAAAATCAAAGAACAAATTCAAAAACAATTTTTGATTAAAATATCTTTTCAGAAACCAACATTAACTCGTCACTTCATAATTGATTGTTCTGGTTTCACATCCATCGATTTAATGGGTGTAAATGCGCTCAAAGAAATTTTCTCGGATATGAGAAAAAATGGAATATTGGTATATTTTGCAAATACAAAAGCGCCGATTCGGGATTTGTTTGATAAATCCGATTTTTATCAAGTTGTTGGAAAAGAAAATTTATATCCAAGTTTGGAAGATGCCACAACAATTGCAAGAAATCGTCAAAAGTTGTGAGTTTTTTCTCTGCTTTTTTTAAATGGTAGTTTTTTTCAGACTTGGTTTCACCTCAACTTCCTATATTCCACAATCATCACAAGAAGATGATCTACCGGAAATTGTTATTCCTAATAATTGACTTTTTCATGAAATTTTTGAAAAAAAAATTATTTGTATTTTTCTCGACTCGACCAAAGCCCATTCCCGAAATTGAACAATGATAACCAAACTGTTATCAAATTTATGTTATCACTATCACACGGCGCAAAAATAGAAAAAAATGAAGTTGCTTCTGTGACTTTTTGTCATTTTTTGTGGCTGATGTGATGGATCGAATTGGATAAGAATATTTCCAAGTGACAGTTGACATAAGGTCACTCCTGGATTTTTTCGAGTAAACTTCAAGAGTTCAAAGAACACACAAACTTGAGTAAATATTTGGAGCTGGAAAATAAATAGTTAACCTAACTACTGATAGCTTTTTTATTCTGAAGAAGTTAAACAAACTGTCTCAATTCAAATATTGTTTTGCATCAAACATGTGACTATAAAAAAGAAAAACATATTTTGAAAAAGAAGATGCAGTTTTGATAAGATTTGTTTTGATTGATTGAAACAACAAAAAATGGTTCGGTTGATCTCAGAAAGGTTTGATCGCTGTAGATTTAAATAACAAAAACTTTGAAGCTTTGGAATGTATCTTCAAAATATCATTGAACAGATTTATCCGACCATAGATTAAGTTGAGAGAAAAAGTGGGAAGATATCGGACTCTAACAAGATTGATTTGCTCAATAATGTTTACAGCAAAAGGTTAGGGTCAGAAATGCGGAGGAAACAAATTTGCACAATTTTATACGAAGTTCCACAGATACAAATTAATAAAAATTTATGAAATGAGAAATATGTAATAGTCTTTGAAAGCTGTGACAAAATTCATTTTTTCACAGACTCTGAGATTTCTCTCAAGTTCAGTCGCAAAATAATTTTGTTGCCAGAATCATAACCCAAGCAGCCGATCCTTGATTGAGTATTTTTTACGCCTCTAATAGCAACATTTCCAAATAAGATTGAGTTTTTATCATGTAATATTTTCGGAAAAAGTATCTGTTTCATTGATCAAATATTCCCCAAAATCTTTGTTATCTTTCAAAAGTTAATCGCATAAAACAATATGTTCAAAACTTGAAAACAAACTGGACTTTCCAACAACGTGATATTTTTCATTTCACTTCACAAACATCTCATTCTTCTTATCAATCGACAAAACAGAAAAATGAAAAAAGAGAAGCACCACGTGCCTCATCTTATTTCGTTGATAATATTTTCCTCGTTTTTTGTGTGCCCAATGTGCTGATCACATTGCGACCAACGAATCATCTATTTTTCTTACTTTTTTGCTGATGAGAGAAGATGAGAAAAATGAGAGATAGAGACATTGTAAAATGTTGACAGTTAGATAGAGTTTATGATTTGATAAGACAAGATATGGAATCAAAATGTTTTGCTCGATGATTTTTTTATGGTTTACCGATATGTAATTTGATAAAGTTGTTTGTGAGATGACAGAAAATAAAATGATTGAGAACAAAAATTGTTGAATATCAACTTGGAATATGTTGAAGTTAGGCTGGTAAAAACAAACACATAATAAGTGGTTAAAAGCTGACCGAATCACACCACGGTCAATCCATGGCTGGCCAGAGTACAATTTTGAAAAAATCTTGATTTCAGTTTTTAGAAGTCTAAAACTGACGAATTCAGAGTTTTTAGAAGTAAAAAACTGAAAATTCACAGTTTTCATACCGTAAAAAGTTGGCGTACAATTTTTTATTTTGAAAACCACGATTTTGGCCAGATTGTGGACAGAATGGGAATTTCATATAAATCGGGCCGTAAAAAAAGAGAAAACAAGTAGTAGGGCCAATATTGAGCTCCTAGGAACCACAACAACCAAGGACCTAAATAATTTAGGATTGAAACTAAATAATCAGGCAATTTTCAGTATTCGGAATCAGATCGTCAAAAAAAACAACGACCATGTGAATCAGAACTTCTACGGTACCATCAAAAATCTTGCATTCAACACCATTGAAAAAAATACATTCGCAACAACCCCGGAATGTTTTGTTATCATTCAATTTCATTCCTTTCAAACGTGACCACAATCAAATTGGTTTTCTGCAACATGTTTCAAAATTGAACAATGAACCACATTTCTTTCACATTTTCCAACAAACAACTGTTTCGACCAAACTTCATCGGCACGTGGTTTATCGAAACAAACACCGCCCATCGCACATTTTGTGTGTTCTTTAGACGGTTATCAGCACGTGTCGAGGCCAAATAATAGTCCCCGCCTATTTTTATGTGCACTATAAAAGAGGACCATCTAACCTTGGACACTTTATATCATAAGATATAACAAATAATGACTGTTGAGTTGCCAGCAACCCAAAGAGCTTTGATTTTCGATACTTTCAATGGACCATTGGAAGTTCGTCATATCCCAGTTCCTGAACCAGCTGATGATGAACTCTTGGTGAAAATCGAATATTCTGGAATCTGCCATTCAGATCTTCATGTTTGGTTGGGAGATTTGGCTTCAATGAGTGTTTGCCCATTGGTTGGAGGACACGAAGGAGCTGGAACTGTTCTCAGAGTTGGAAAGAATGTCACCGGATGGCAATTGGGAGACAAAGCTGGAGTCAAACTCATGAACTTCAACTGCTTGAACTGTGAATACTGTAAGAAAGGACACGAGCCGCTCTGTCATCACATTCAAAACTACGGTTTCGATCGTTCGGGAACATTCCAAGAATATTTGACAATTCGTGGAGTCGATGCTGCTAAAATTGACAAAAAAACTGATTTGGCATCAGCTGCTCCAATTTTGTGCGCTGGAGTTACTGTTTACAAAGCATTGAAAGAATCAAATGTTGCACCAGGACAAATTATTGTTTTGACTGGAGCTGGAGGTGGTTTGGGAAGTTTGGCTATTCAATATGCAAATGCTATGGGAATGAGAGTTGTTGCTATGGATCACGGAAGCAAAGAAGAACATTGTAAGAAATTGGGAGCTGAATGGTTTGTCGATGCCTTCAACACTCCAGATGTTATCAAACACATCACTGATGTAAGTTTCTGATCATAATTTTTAAAACAATTTATCTCAATTTTTGTTTTTAGTTGACCGAAGGAGGACCACACGGAGTAATCAACTTCGCCGTCGCTAAGATTGCTATGGAACAAGCTGTTCAATATGTTCGCAAACGTGGAACCGTTGTCTTCGTCGGACTTCCAAAAGACTCAAAAGTCACAATTGACACAACTCCATTCATCTTCAATGCTATCACAATCAAAGGAAGTATCGTTGGATCAAGATTGGATGTTGATGAAGCTATGGAATTCGTTACTCGTGGAATCGTCAAAGTCCCAATTGAACTCGTCAGATTAGAAGATGTCCCAGATGTCTACCAAAGAATGTTGGATGGAAAAATCACATCAAGAGCCGTTGTTGACTTCTCTTTGTAAACTTTTTTCTGATTGTCTATATATATTCATGTATGTTGTCTAGCTTTAGCGACCAGAGATTTTATGTACATAATTATCCCCACAAATCCTACTAAATTTCAAAATTTATATACGAGTTTCATTTTGTGCTTATGAATAAATGATTGAAATTCTACTCATGCCTTTTTGATAGTCTTCCCTGGCAGATTAGTATCAATAAAATAGAATGGTTGAAGACGTTAAAGTTCAACGAAAAAATAGATTATTCAAATGACCGGAAAATGTATATCGAAAAGAACAAAATTAATAAGATAATAATTAATAAAAAAAGTTTTTAAGCCCAAATTGTTTGACCCTGAAATAGAACCAATATGGCTTAAAAATTCTTAGAAAATTCTTTTATCAGAAAATTCTTTCAACTAAAAAAATCAGAAGAATACTCGATGTTGGTTCTCTTTTTCGCTTCTTATGTTTAAAATTATAATTAAAAACTACCGTATAATCGTCAATTTTTTTCGTGAAATTAATAATTTTGGAATCAATTTGTTTCGTCGAATATTATCGGTCTAATTTTGTAGCTAGTTATTATCAATGAAAATTCAATAGAAAAAAGCATAATTATCTTTATTCAGTTTTAGTAGGCTTGTGTAATAACTCGTAACAAATATAAAATGAAAAGAATCGAATTACTATACAGGTATAAAAATCGCAATATTTACAAGGAGAAGTCAACAACGGCTCTTGATGTGATTTTTCCATCCAACATTCTTTGGTAAACATCTGGAACATCTTCTAATCTGACGAGTTCAATTGGAACTTTGACGATTCCACGAGTAACGAATTCCATAGCTTCATCGACATCCAATCTTGATCCAACAATACTTCCTTTGAGGGTGATTGCGTTGAAGATGAATGGAGTTGTATCGAAAGTTACTTTCGAGTCTTTTGGAAGTCCGACGAAGACAACGGTTCCACGTTTGCGAACATATTGAACAGCTTGTTCCATAGCAATCTTGGCAACGGCGAAGTTGATTACTCCGTGTGGTCCACCATCAGTCAACTGGAAATATGTGAAATTTTATATTGCTTCTTAAGATTCACAATGATCAACTCACGTTTGTGATATGCTTGATGATGTCCTTTGTGTTGAAGGCGTCGACGAACCATTCAGCTCCCAATTTCTTACAATGTTCTTCTTTGCTTCCGTGATCCATAGCAACAACTCTCATTCCCATAGCGCATGCATATTGGATAGCCAAACTTCCCAAACCACCTCCAGCTCCAGTCAAAACAATAATTTGTCCTGGTGCAACATTTGATTCTTTCAATGCTTTGTAAACAGTAACTCCAGCGCACAAAATTGGAGCAGCTGATGCCAAATCAGTTCTCTTGTCAATTTTAGCAGCATCGACTCCACGAATCGTCAAATATTCTTGGAATGTTCCGGAACGATCGAAACCGTAGTTTTGAATGTGATGGCAGAGCGGCTCGTGTCCTTTCTTACAGTATTCACAGTTCAAACAGTTGAAGTTCATGAGTTTGACTCCAGCTTTGTCTCCCAATTGCCATCCGGTTACATTCTTTCCAACTCTGATAACAGTTCCAGCTCCTTCGTGTCCTCCAACCAATGGGCAAACACTCATTGAAGCCAAATCTCCCAACCAAACATGAAGATCAGAATGGCAGATTCCAGAATATTCGATTTTCACCAAAATCTCATCTTCGGCTGGTTCAGGAACAGGAACATTACGAACTTCCAATGGACCATTGAAAGTATCGAAAATCAAAGCTCTTTGGGTTGCTGGCAACTCAACAGTCATGTTAGAATAATTCTTTAGAAGAATGATAAAATGGGATCAACGGGTTCGAATAAATAGTAAACAGAATGGGCGGAGAATAAGATTGTTGTTCAATAAAACACGTGGTATCACATTCAGAGAACAGATTGCAATATGCTTTGTGTAGCACTTTGGGTAGCAAACAACGTTGCCGACTTTTGACCGGCCAAATTGTTCCTATCAGCACGTTGTATTGCAAGTTCTTTGGTTGAAAAGCGTCACATGGTTTAGATATTTATCGGAGAATTGTTGTTTACTGTGTTGGACACTTCTCTCCTGATTAAACTATTTGCAAAGTTGAAGAGATAGGATCGAACCTCAACACGTGGTATGTTATAAATATTTGCACCTCAAAGTACGGACATAACAACTCAAAGTAACAAACTACACGTTTTTAGAAAACTACAAATACTATAGTTTTTATGATGAACATTATTGAAAAAAAAAAGAAAAACAGATGAAGAGAGTGGGATTCGAACCCACGCCCCCGACACAGGAAAAGTCAGGCCTGCCGGCCGCGGGTGTGTAGCAGGTATCTCATGGTTCGCCGGACCGCAGCAGGCGTGCGGCAGGAGTTGATAAATTTTTCGTCGGCATGCCACACGCCGGCCAGAAATTTTTTCAGCCGACAATTTTTTGAAAATCAAAAGGTGTAAGAATATGCGAAGTAGTATTCCCAATTGTACTTCATAAGAATTTATCGAATTTTCGAACAGTGGAACTTCAAAACTTCCAATGGAAGGTCATTTAGGTAGTATAGTTGAATTTCTTGAAATAGAAGCGAACTTTCATAAAATACATGGGACAAATTTTTGAAAAATCGAATTTTTCATTTACACATTCAATAATCGAACGGTTTTCAGTTCAAAGTTTGATCTCTAAGCTGGCTTAATTGTTTTTTCTCAACTAAATAGTATGAAATGCATATCATTTTGTTCGTAATGAAATTTCACATTCAATAGTGCAAATCATTTTTCACGAAAACTTATACTTGTCGTGCGCAAAAATCATATAAAAACAAAGGCGCACACAATCATTTTGTTTGGTCCTACGCGGAAACGCGTTTGTGTGTACTTCTCACGGACAACTTGCAAAAATTTTTTTTCGTTTTTTTTTCATTTCGTTTTGTTGCTGTGTTTTTTGGGAGTATTGTGTGTTTAATGGGTTTCTAAGATCTGCATTTTAGTTCGGGGAGAATAATAATGAAAATGTACTTGTCGGCTGTTTGGAAATTTCTTTGAGAACACCAAAATTCCTCACAGCCACATACGTCTTCAAAAATGTTTTAGACCGTAAATTTGCATGAATAGCGTATATTTTTCGAAGTCGAATTAGGTTTCTGGGGCGACAACACAGACGGCAATTCAGACTGCCAATTTTACTTTTTCCGTCTTATGTTAAAGTAACCCCTGTCTCGGCAATAGTTCTAAAAATCGCCTAGCGTTAGGTTAATGTCCAACTAGGAAATTATAAAACCCAAACAAAAAGGAATTCTGTATGTTTTAGTGAAACTTCTGTTGGGTACTTTAGAAATAAGTTTGCCACTAGGATATTCATTATGACTTAGGTGAACAGCGATAGTACTTTTCAAAACAAGAGTTTTTCTTTGTCAAATTCTTGTACTTCTATCTTATTCGTTTAATTCATCGAAAATAATATTGATTACAGACAATTCACCACGATGGATCTCGAAAAATTGGGGAAATGCGTCAATATTCAACTAATTCTTTGTGAGTTGATTTTAGAAATGTTGTGAATACGATCTCAATACTCATTACAGGTTGCTCGTTTCATGATTGGATACAAATAAGATGAAAGATGCACCGATTTCCAACAAGGTAATTATTTATCATTTTTTTGAAAACATGCAAGTTTAAAAAAAAACTTATCTCGGCCTTCTGACCCTATTATGCCTCGGGAAAAAAGCAGCAAGTCTTGCTACAAAAATCGACTTTTACCCAGCTTGCGACCATTTTTAACAAGCTTGCTAAAATTTTCATAATGGATAATGGAAAAAATGTAGCAAGCTTGTTAAAAATGGTCGCAAGGTAAAAGTCGATTTTTGTACCAAGACTTTCTGTTTTTTTCCCGAGTGTATTAGAAAACAAGTTGCAATCTCAAAAACTGGCGAATTGTTAGTCAATTTTTGACCGAAACCCCGGTTGAGTTTAGTCAAAAATTTCTCAAACTCCATCCACCTGTGTTCCATAATACGTACCCCGAGTCCTCCATTATTTCTAAGTTCCCCGAGTCTGCAAGCCTCACTCCTAAAAATTCCCCCCAAGTCTTTATAAATATAGACCCGTTATTACTACTACAAGTTCCCCGAGTCTCCAGGACTATTACCAGATTTCTAACAATTCCATACAGAATTGTTTCTGATTGTGAACATCGAAAAATTTCATAAATAGTTTTCTATGCTATGAGTTCATTGATAAGTTTTCTTTCAGAGTCAACTACGCCTGGATTGGTACTACATGTGGATGGAAGTCAAAGGCCAAACCATCAACGATCGCCTGGATCTTAAGTATTTATCAGTTTATTGTTGTTCAATAAATATTTATTGAAAATTCTGTATTTTATTTTATTTCAGCTGAATTCTTCCTAGAAATCCCAGAAAAAAGCCTTGAGACCTGCCACACACCTGCCGCACGCCGGCCAGGAAGTCATGCCAGACAGTACTCCGACGGACAGCGGCAGAAATGACCTTGGCATGACCGCGGCAGGTCGGCTGCAGGACTGCCAGATTTTACCTGTGGAAGGGACTGGTGCCTTAAACCAGCGCCTTAGACCGCTCGGCCATCTCTCCTTGCGAAAATGCCATTCAATTTATCAAAATAAACTGCAAGATATGAAATTGTAAATACCATTCAATACAAGCCAAAAATCAGAACTTGTCTTTCAAATTTTCTTGTGATTAACATAGTTCGAGTATAATTAACACGAAAAACTAGAGATTCTATAGATTATTTCAAAAAAAATTATTTGATGACCTCATGAGGTGCATTCAGTGCAAAATTAGTTAGTTTTCAATTTTACACCACATCATTTTTCAAGCCAAAAATCAGAATTCGTATTTTTTCCTACACCGAGTAACACAGATTTTCGAAAATTTTGTTCTTTTCTCCCCGGAAAAAAACTGACCTGTATGCATAATTTGTGAAAAATGACCAGCTTCGAGTGTCCAAAGATTGCAAATTTCATCCCAAAATGCGAAAATCCGATTCAAAGAACAAAATATTGTCCGGCTCGAGTGAAACACCAATTACGATTGAAAATACCCGATTTGTATGTCTGAAATCGGAAAAAGGTTTGATTCTTCAAAAAGAATTTGTGAAACTCACAATTCAGCGATTGCAATACTTCCAGATATCTTTCAAGTCGTTTTTTTTCGTCTTCAAAGTTCATTTTATGTCGAAAAACGCAATTTCTTTCCTGAAATAAAAGATAATCATAAAATAAGAAGAAAACTAGAAATAAATAAAGCAACAGCAACAACCTAAATTGACTTTTTTGAATTTTTTTGAACGGCGAAAAATGAGAGCGACGAGGAAGTGTGCGATGGAGCGCGTTTGCTGTTTTGAATGGTTTTTGTCAATTTTTTTCTGCAACAGGAAGAAAAACGCATGGTTTATCGGATAAAAACGTATGATACAAAAACATGAAAAGGTTTCTCGAAGTTTGGAAATGCGGATGAAATGGCAAAGTTGAGCAAACTTGTATTAGAATATCATAAAGTTTCATAAAATTAAAAAGTGTTTTCTGAGTAGGTCGAGCGGAAGGACAGATCACCGTTCGATATATGAGAAAGATATTTCTCTACATTTTTTCAAAGTGAAAAAGCTTAAAATTGACAAAACACGTCGTGCCACCACACAAATTCGAGGAGACGCAGACATTCATTTTCGGTTAGAAAGTCGCTGCGAGACCTCAACACATCAAAGGGCGACGCCGATGTGGTCTATAAACGCAGCGACAGACGAAAAGCGGCGCGGCCATGTGCTATGTTTTGTGTGTGTGTCTGCTTGTCTGCTGTGTCTGCCAACAGCACACTGTATCGCCCGAGGGGGAAGGAAAGGCGAGAGATGTCTCTGCCTGTGTTAAAAGTCTGCGTCTCCCAGAAATTTAATTTTTGTATCGGCTGGCATAGCGTGAAAAAGTACGTTTGAACCAAAAAAAGCAAAAAAAAAACAAAAAAAACCGAAAAAAAAATAGAAAAAAAGCGGGCGGAGCTTGGCCGCTTGGCTGACCTTTTTGGTATTCTCGGCCATGTTCGGAGAAAAAATCAATGATTATTGTTTTTGTTGTTTTTTCTTCTTTTGTTTGTTGTTTTTTTAGTATTTTCTTCCGGATTTCAGTGCTCGAATTTTCAGATTGGACAATTGTGTTCAGAGCAATGGAATGTGATGAAGAAACAACCGATTGCTGACTTAAGTGAGTTTTTCGGGAAACATTTGAGAAATGATTAGATTTTGGTTAGAAAATTGATTGTAGTTTTGAAATTTTTAGAGGGTAAGGGGGGTGGGGGTCTCGAAAAAGGAAAATTTCAAAGAAAGGTCATGACATTTGGGGTGCTAACAGATGTATGCACCAGATTTTTTGGATTCTCAAACAAGTGAAAATGAAAAAAACTGAACACGCGAAATTACGATTTTTTTTATTTTGGAATTATTTTCATTTTGTTTTATTTTTTTTTGAATTGTTTTTACAACTTCACAAACCAACCCCCACTGCAAACCGAAAACAAAACATCATTATATATCTTGTAATTAACATCGTTTTTGACTATAATTACAAACAAAAAAACTAGAGATTATATAGATCTTAAATTTTATCCCAAAACTGAAACCAAAAATAATCATCTCGCTACTATTACCTTCAGAGCTTTTCAATATTCACATCTTACTTTCAGTAAATTCATAAGAAAGATTTGATTGAGAACGTTTATTTTTAGAACTCTTGTACTTTTTTCACACAACTGAATTTTTGCTGACCACAGAGAATCATTGACGTTCAAATAGTTGGTCTTTGCATAATTCGTTTTTGTCATTTTGTTTTTTGGAAATTTCCTGATTTTTATTGGTAATTTGATAAACTTGTTTCTTCTTTCTTTATAAGTATCAATTTCTAACAAAATCGTAAAATTTCAAACTTCGAGACTAATCGGAAAAGGTCAACCTTTTTTTGTTATTTTGAAACTGTCACATCTCACATCATTCATGTTTTTCAAAACCAAAACCATTTTCATCTTTGATTTTTTCATGTTTTGTATTTTTGCTGGTTTTAATATATGAAACAATTCTAGATAGATACGAATAAAAAATAACATCAAAAGTAAAGAATGATTAAAAATTGTTGACTTTAGCGATTAACAGAATAAATTTCAATCTGAAATTGAAATTGTTGTTTTCATTTCTTTTTTATTGTTTTTGTTACTCTCATTTTCACTTATTTTTCCAGCCGAAATCATGCAGGTCGTTGATTTTTCTTAAAAAATCTTCTCAAAAACTTTATAATTTCAGGAAAATTCAAATTCACCCAAAGCTGCACCAAAATCAATTTTATTAAAGAGACCAAGAAGTGCCGAAGGTTAGTTAGTTAAGAAAATGTTTTTGCGTTTCAGAAATTTAAAAAAAGAAACGATGTGTTTATTTTTTTCAGACAAAGACAACCATTTTCTGAAACCTCCTTCGCCAGTTGTTATTAACAATAAATATATTGTCGAAAGAAAGTATACGCCTCAAATAATGCATGAACCAATTGATCCAACAAGTATTTTACGGTTGGTTATTTTTACTGAAATATTTCCTAGAACCCAGAAAAAATTCATGTTTTAGGGAATCCCGAAAAATGAGCAATGCGAGTAATTTGACTCTTCCTGGATCTCGAAGACCATCAACAACTATTGAATTTGGAAGAAGTCTATCCCACGAAGGCACTAGACATAAGTAAGTTATCTAACTTTTTCCTAACTAATTAATTAATAATTCAATGTTTTGTAGAGTAACCATCAATGAAAATCGCGAAGAAAATCCAATCGATCGATATTATGAGAAAAACCATTATACCGTGACGGGAAACAATCAAGAAACTTTCAACCGTCTCCCAAAAACTTTTAGAACTCGATTTCAGGTTGATAAAACTGATGGGTTCAGTAGGAAAAGTGCTTTCAGTTCACCTGGAGCACTTGGAGATGATGTGGTTCCAACACAAAGAAGTATGTATATAACAACAAAAAAATTAAATAATTTTTTATATTCCAATTTTTACAGGATTTGACAAATCGTTCTATTGGTTTGCTATGAATCGAAAAAAATTTGGTTTCCGATATTTAGCATTGTTATTTTTAGTCGTACTTTATACACTTTTTGGCGCCACAATTTTTTATTTGATCGAGGGAACAAATGAGAGAGATGTTGTAAAGATTCGAGAGAAAAATTTGGATATTTTGCTGGATGATTTGGCTAATGAACTCTCGGGAGCTGTCAATAATCCAAATATAACTTTCACAACAAAGGCAATGAAAGATTATATTAGGGTGGAGTTTTCTTTTCAAGTAAATTTTTTTCATTTCAATTAGAATTAATTTTTCAGAAAGCCTACATCGATCTTCAAAAACAAGAATCTCAATATAAATGGAGCACATATTATCGTTTGGAAGATCCAGAAAACAATATGAAATGGACATTTTCGAGTGCATTTTTTTTCTCGATGAATGTTTATACAACAACGGGTTATGGTGCAATTTCTGCTGAAACAATCGCTGGACAAACTTTTACAATGCTCTACGCATTTTGTTTCGTTCCAATGACTTTAGTTGTTCTTCGTGATCTTGGTCAACTTTTTCTTGTGAAATTCACCTGGATTTATGCGCACGCTTTGACGTGGTTTAGAAATATGCGCGGGGAGAAAAATGTGGATGAGGATGAGATGATTCAACTTCCAATCAAATTTTGCATGGGAATTCTTGTTGTTTATTTATTATTCTGCACCACGTTTGTATATGTTTATGATGCTGTATCAGGCCCAAAATGGTCCGATGGATTACCATATTTCACCGCATTTTATTTCTCTTTCATCTCGCTTACAACTGTTGGATTAGGAGATGTTATGCCAAATAATGAACCGGTAAGCAACATCTGAAAAAAATAATTCGTCATTCTTTATCTACAGTACTCACCACTGGTCTCCATCTTATTTTTTATTGGAATGGCAGTGGTCAAGGTTGTTAACAGATCAACATATATTGCAGTTGAAAACGGTATTTTCGGTAAGGAATCTTCTAAATGGTTTTGAAAAAAAGTAGAATTTTTGGAATCTATTGTTATTTTTTTTAGGTATAATGACAATGGTTGAGCGTAAGATCGATAATAAATTGACACCAAAACACTAATCGAATTGCGATTTCAAAAACATCTACCTCGACTTCTTCGGAATCTGAACCGGATTCTGATGAATATGAAGAAGAACGTCGCAATAATCTCATAAATAGTTTCACCGTCCGATCAATTGCAACATTTATGAATTCGAATCAAGATGTTTACGGTGGTGGATTTGGTAGAGTTACTTTACGGCGTGGTGATTTACAACAACTCAAAAATCAAGCTCGGAATAATAATAATACAGTTCATGGTTTCCGTCATCATTCAACTGTTAGAAGTATATCTGAAACTTTACCTAAAACTTGAAATGAAAAATACATATGTAAATAAAATATTGAATGTACAGATAGGATAATAATAATACAAGTATTTGACTCTCGCATTGTTCAACTGACCGTGTCTAGGTGGATTATCATGATGTTTTGTTGAAGTATCAAATAATGAAAGAAAACGTAACCTACAGTACCCAACCCATTGGAAATAATTTATATGTTTTCCGTCACGTAAAATCTTTCCGTTTTGTAGGCAACTTTATCATGAAATAAATCACCAGCAAAGAAAAAAAAGACAAAAGAAGGTAAAGTGATATCATCGGTTTTCGCCCATTTTTTCTCGCAGGAGAAAGATTGCATTGGTTTTTGATTTGGTCAAAATTACAGTAAACTGTGTTTTTTTTGTTCTTGAACATCTACAGTAACCCATCAAATTATTTTCAGATAACAAAAAAAAGTTTGAATTTTCGGTGATCATAGAAAAACGGTTCCTTTTTGTCTTTTCTTTTTTTTTTCAAAAATAACGGGTTTTATCAATCAATTTGATAACTTTTTCACACTTTGTGGTTATTGTTTGGTGTTGCAGTTTTTGTCTAAAACTTTTTTCATATTTTCTTTTTATATATATATTTTTTTTTGACTTCAGTAAAATATTGTTAGAAAAAGTTCAAAGTTTATTCAAGGTTACATATTTCACTTATCCTCTTTGAAGTTAAGACAGCGTGACAACCTGAGGTGTCCATATAAACTCTTGACATTTTTCCAGTAAACAGTTTTTTTCTCGAATTTGACGAGAGAGGAGTTTTTCCATGACAAACGATCACTCATTTCATGAGGTAATTTTTTAATTTTGAAATTTGAGAAATATTTTTTCCATAAGTTTGTTTGTCTTTTCCTTTAGAAGCATCAAAAACATTCGACAGTATTGGAAGAAATCGACGAAGAGCAAGATCCGAGTGTTAAAGATGAAGAAGAAGTTGGAAATGAACGGAAACGTGGAGTGTCGTTGGAACAGCAAGGGATTACGGTAGCTGATATTTTGGAAAAGACAAAAGAGGAGGATGAACTGGAAAATAAAGTGGATGAGAAAAAGACGACAGATCAAACAGAAGATGAGCCAGAAACTCAGAACTCTGTGAATTCAGTTCACAGATATGCAAAAAATCGGGAAAATTTGGCGTGAGTCGTGAAAACTTTCGATTCACTGAACTGGGCTAGAAAAATTTTAGCAACTTTTCTAACATAGAAAAACTTTTTCAGCAATTTTCAAAACTTTTTCAAAACAAATGATTTTTCAGAAGTGGTCAAGAAGCAATTGATCGTTATTACGAAAGAAATAATTATACAGTAACTGGAAAAGATCGAAATAGCGAATTCTATAACAAACTCCCAAGTCATTTGCAACATCGAATGAATGCGCCAAATTTTGACAGCACAAGTCGACACAGTAAAATGAGTAGCCCTGGTGCAAATGGTGAAACTGTTGTGCCAAGTGGAAGACGTGAGTTTGAATTTTATTTCAAAACTGAAGTCGGCCAAACATTTTTTCGAATATCAAAAATCATTTAAAAATTACGTGTAACGTATATTTTTCAGGATTTGATAAATCAGTTTATTGGCTTGCATTCAATCGAAAAAAGATTGGATTCCGTCATATTTGCATGATTTTTCTGATTCTCATTTATACTCTCCTTGGTGCTGCAATGTTTTATTCTGTTGAATCAAGATTTGAAGAAAAGAAAGCATTGCTTCATGTGAAAGATCTTGAAAAACTTTTAAGTGAACTTGCAGCAAATGTTACTGAAAATGTTAATAATCCGAATACAACTACAACTATGCCAGAGATGAGAGATTATATTCGGGTAAATGATTTATATTTGGTTCTGAACTTGAGAACTTTGTGTTTTTTCCAGGAAGCTTATATTGCTTTGATGAAATTAGAGGGTCAATATAAAGGGAGCACTTATTATAAATTAGATGATGTTGGAAATAATTGGAAGTGGAGCTTTAAAAGTGCATTTTTCTTCAGTATGAATGTTTATACTACTACGGGTTATGGTAAGTTTATTTGTTACACAAAACTGATTCAAAATTTTTATTTTTTTAGGTTCAATTGCACCCGAATCAGATTTAGGACAGTTTTTAGTTGTTGTTTATGGTTTCATCTTCATTCCAATTACTTTAGTCACTTTGCGTGACTTGGGACAACTTTGTTTAGTTCATCTTACTACAATGTATGCACATATCAAACAAAAATTGCGAGAACTTCAAGGGGAATAAAATTGTTGATGAAGATGAGATGATTCAGATACCTGTGATAACATGTTTCGGAATACTCACAGCCTATCTCGCATTTTGCACATTTTTCATTTATTTCTATGATCAAGCACTTGGACCAGATGAAGGAATCCCATTATTTTTATCTTTTTACTTTTCATTTGTCTCATTGAGTACAATTGGATTGGGAGATGTTATGCCAAATAATGCAACATTTTCGCCAATTATTTCAATTATGTTTTTCTTTGGAATGGCTCTTACAAAAGTGGTTAATAGAACAACATATATTTGTGTAGAAAATGGAATATTTGGTGGAATGACAATGATTGAAAATAAATTGGATTCAATTGTAAATTCTGAAACATCCAAAGTAGATGACATGGAGCCTTCAACTCCACCGAAATTTGCTCGCGCAGTTAGTGTCGATGCTGGTTCAGTTTGTCCGGATGGCACAAATCCAAACGATCTATTGAATACTATGACAGTTCGATCTTTGGCCACATTTATGCGATCGAATGCCGATATTTATGGAGGTGGTTTCGGTCGTGTACAACTTCGACGTGGAGATCTCATGAATCCTGATAATCAAGCAACTATCAGTAGCATATCACAATTAAGAAGACGGAGCAATACAGTTTTATCAAATGGGCAGAAAAGCAAAGAGGAACCATAATAAACAATTATAATAAATAAATGTGAATAAATAGATTTTGGTTTTTTTAAATAAAAAGTTGATGATAAATTTGTCTGGAAGGCAATGTAAAGCAACAATTATCAAAGACGTAATTAATTTTTTATCAAGAGACTATAATTTATGAACATGATACCAGATTATTGAAACAATGTGACGAGAAAACGTAGTGATTTTTGATGATTCAACATGTGACTGGAGTAAGTGGACGTGTTCAAGCACCAAAGCATACCGTAACATAAAATGACTATAGACTTCTGGAACTTTATGATACTAACGTTTTTTGCTGTAGCCTTCTCATTTTTAACAATTTGTAAAACAATTTTCAAGCGCTCATTATTTTCTCAAAGTCCACAGAATAGTTTATTTGCTTTCTGCACATTAGAACAACCTCGTTTCAACAAAAACCTCAACTTTTTCCTGCAAATTTCGGAGTATTTCTAATCATCAAAAACCACTACGTTTTCTTGTCACAATGTTCTAATAATCTCGCATCAGTGTATTATAGTTCATCAATTACAGTTTTGATAAAAGAATCGAATTCCGTCAATGATAAATAATTTATGTTTTTGCTCGGCTACACAACAGTTCTTTATCAGACAAAAATGAATGAGAAACTGTATTCAAGCGAGTGGCAATGAAAAATGAAAAATTTCGAAACAGAAACAGAAACAGGAAACATAATAGACTAGAGAACAGAAATTTTGGAGGAAAAAATAAATTCCAAAAAAAAAAAAAAACAACAATGTAATAAAAACGAAGTCAAAGTCGAAATAACATTTTGAATCTGACGATTCAAATTAGAAGGCTACAAAGCTACAAACAAATGAGTCAAGGGTACAAAAAACTATTCAAACATTTTTTGTTTTTTGTCAGTGAACAGTTTGTTGCTAGACTACATTGTAACCCTCACATTCTTGCTTCCTTATTTCAAAGGTCGATTTTTTGTTGTTTTTTTTCTCATTTCTGTCTCCCATCAAAATAATATTAATTTTCACATGTTTTTGCACAATTTTTTGCTTATCGAACGTTCCAATGCCCGAAGAACCAGCAAAAAATGAAATGCATATTTGCATTGTAAAAACAACCAAAAAATCATACCACAACTGGCAAAACTCCGCCCCTACAGTATATAATGAAAGAGGTTCACAGAAAAAAGTTGTGTTTGAATTATTTCAAAAAATCAAGAAAGATGGTGGCGATTTCGACACAGAAAATCAAAGTCGATGCGATGATTTCGCGACAGTTTTTGGCGGCGGATTTAGATGAAATCAAGCAAATGCAAGAAGCTGCAAAAAATGTGAGTTCTTGGGATGTTTTTGGATATTTTTGATGAACTCTATGTTTGTAGATTGTTCCGAAAAATGAGATAGTTTGGAGAAATGTGGCATTATTTGCTGCTCTTCATTTTGGTGCAGTTATCGGATTATTCCAATTAATATTTCAAGCAAAATGGATGACACTATTCTGGGTTTTCATATTACACACAGCTGGATGTACCGGAGTTACAGCTGGTGCTCATAGATTATGGTCACATAAATCATACAAAGCTAGACTTCCGATGCGTATTTTCCTTATGATTTTAAATAGTATTGCTTTACAAAATGATATAATTGAATGGGCTCGTGATCATAGATGTCATCATAAATGGACAGATACAAATGCTGATCCACATGGAACACATCGTGGAATGTTTTTTGCGCATATGGGATGGTTGTTAGTGAAGAAACATGATGAAGTGAAGATTCAAGGTGCTAAATTGGATTTATCTGATTTATATGCTGATCCGGTTTTGAGATTCCAAAGGAAATATTATATGTTGCTCTCGATTTTATGTTGTTTTGTATTACCAACATTTATTCCTGTATATTTTTGGGGCGAATCTGCGTTTATTGCGTTCTACACTGCGGCATTATTTAGATACTGTTTCTCACTTCATGCAACTTGGTGTATCAACAGTGTTTCTCATTGGTAAGATTTCTGCAAAGTTTCCCAAATTTTATAAATATATTTATTGTAGGGTTGGATGGCAACCATATGATCATCAAGCAACATCAGTTGATAATTTGTGGACTTCAGTGACTGCTGTCGGAGAAGGTGGACACAATTATCATCATACATTCCCGCAGGATTATAGAACTTCTGAACATGCTGAATGGTTTAATTGGACAAAAGTTGTGATAGATTGTGCTGCTGCTTTAGGACTCGTTTATGATCGAAAAGTTGCAGCTGAAGAAATTATTCAAAAACAATGTAAAAGTCAAGGATGTCCGATTGAAAGAGCAAAAATGTTGGAAAAATTGGGATAACTTTTAAAAAAATGTTTATTGTACATACAATTAATAAATTATTCATTTAATTTCATTCCATTTTTTGACAAATTATTCTCCCGTATTATAAATATATAACCGTCTTGTATTGATTCTCGAAACCGGATGTTGTTCTTCGGGTTCATCTTCCCATTGTGGTTCATATCGATCAGCTGTTTGAACTGATGCCACTTTAATACACGTTGTTGTTTGTGTTGCACTGTTTCTCATTTTTGCACGCTCATCAAATTTTTCGTTCAACATTTTTTTCCTGCAAAAATATACTTGAGTGTATATAAACTAATAAATGTGAGTTTAAGCGAGAAGAAAAAACACTACTGACTGGTGATTGCTCATAAATCTCATAAAGAATTTATTGGTTCCATCCATTCCTTCAGTATATTTATCTGCAATATCTCCTTCGTGACTCATTTGTTTTTTCTTCGACGGATCGATTGATCCCAATTCACTCACACCAATTGACACTTTACGACTTTCAGATGCTACAAAAAAAAGTGTTTGGAAAAAAATCACGAGAATATATAAAATAATTTCTAACCTGTTGATAAAGAACTTTTAAAATCATTTTCAATATCTTGAACAATTTTCTGAAACAAAAAGTCGAGTTTCATTTGAAGTACATTTATAGACATTGAGACTACAGAAAGTCCACCAAGAATAAAAATAATTCCACCAACTGCGACTGAATGATTTGGTGTGATATCACCAAAACCGATTGTAGTCATTGAAACGAAGAAAAAATAAACAGATTCGAAAAACGTCCAATCTTCAAAGATTGCAAAATATCCAACGCACAATAAAATCCAGAATCCAAGAACTGTGAATGCCAAAAATAATGGGATAGGTTGTTGACCATTTTGACCATCAAGACTAACAGATTCAACCAGTGGTTCGAAATCAGTTGTGCGCCCTAAAAATTGATGTTCTTGGTTGGGTCTTTTCTGTGTCTGGAAAAACACGCCAACTGTCTAATAATTATGACAAATGACTTGTTTATCAATCAACATGGATGTATGATCCTTTTCGTTTTCAAGAAAGAAGAAAGAAAAAAAGAAATCTTGGTGTTTCATTTTTTCGCAAAGAAGAAATTAATTAAAAACTCTTTTGCAACACCTGACAAAAAATAGATGAAAAATGATGTTTTCCAAGAGCTCTTTCAATAAAAAAAGTTCTCACCTCCTCAACATTCTTTGGTTTTTTGAACCGCAATTTTTGACAAATTTTGTGGAAATATTTCCGTCCAGAATTCTGCCAAAAATTATTGACACCGTGGAATAACATATTACCCCAATCATTCAAAATTGTAATAACCATCGGAATTCCAATCATCGCGTAAACCATCGTGAAAATTCTACCAAGAACAGTTACAGCCGCCAAATCACCATATCCAATTGTTGTGTAAATTGTTCCCGAATAATACAATCCACCCCAAATATCCCATTTTGGAGTATAAGAATTATCGATTTTTATACCCATTTGAGAATCATATTCCGATAAAACTCGCCGAATTTTCGCGTCAGCAAAACTTGAACCATACAATGTTTCATTATAGAGTTGCTAAGAAAATAACATTTTTCGAGAGAAATGCGGAACACTTTGTCACTCAATCATATTTCTGAGGTATTGTGACATCTCAACAAAAAAGATTGTACTTATGATTTTTTTCACGGGAGGGGAAAAGTGAGAAGTGAAAAGTACTTTGTGAGTGGGAAGAAAATATTTTCGAATAGAAAATTACATGTGTACTCATTCTCGAAAAGTTCTCGAGTGAATTTGAACAAACCTGAATTTTATAAATGAATTCAGTCTTCGATGCCAAACTTGCTCTCAAAATTTTCAAAGTTTCATCGTCTTTCATCTGTTTTTCATTGTCAGCTTCGAGAAGAATAAAAATCGCAGCTCCAAAAAAACTATACAAAAGTAGAACTAATATTTTAGCCAAATGATGAAGATTGTATCGCTCGTAGCCAACGGCCACCAAGTTCCACAACATCCTAAAATCATATTAAAAATTAATGAAAATTAAAAATATAGATAAATCATTTTAGACATACTCATTTCTTTGTTCGCGAGATGAAAAAATCATGATTATGATAAGTTAGAAGAAAAATGTACAAAGGAAGAATATCAATATTTTCAACAAAAATAACTAGGAAGTTTATCTCTTAAAAATAGCCAACTATCATGTAAGTTGATATTTTTTCTCAAGCGAGACGAAACTTGATTCTTTGTACTTTTTTTCATACCTTGGATTGCGATTTGAAAGAGCTGCTAAGATCATAACTTGAAATAATAAAAGATCAGCACATAAACTTATGAAATCTCATTTAAAACTAACAAAAAAATTTCAAAAAAAAAATGGAGGAGATAAAAATAAAAATAAACTTAAGTGGAAAAAACGAAAAAAAATGATGAGGAGGTAAAAGAGAAGCAGATGTCCGAAATATCACTATTTTCTGTAAACACAACTGCTCATTTACACATACATTTAATTGCACAAAGCGAGAAAGATATTGGATCATTGAATGAAAAAAACATGGAATTGGAATTGGAACTGGATCTGAAACAATTTCTGAAATAAAAGTTAGAAACCACGTGTTTTTAAGATTAAAAAGTTTATATCTAACCTACAATTACTTACTTCATATATATTTTTTCAGACTCTCAACCAATTAACATTTTTCATTTCCTAATGCCGACATCAATTTGGAATGAAAATCCAATTGAATATTTATTATTCAAAAAAATATATTCGATGATTGTTAGTCTCATCTATCCACTCGCATTTTATTGTGTTCTAACAAAATCCAAAAAAGTTTCACATATTTTGAAAATTTTACTGATACTCCATCTTTTTTGTATCACTTTTCAATGGCTTGTCAATGCTTGGCTTGCAGATCCATTTTATTTTTATCCAATGAAAATTACACGGTATGATGGTTTGTTATCAAATTATTTTCCAGCAACTACTTTATACATTTTGATGTATACCTCTTTTTTCTGTGAGTTTTCTCAATCTATTTTTCAATTCGACTTTGAACTTATTTGCTTATTGTTCAGTTTCGATTGGTTCTTGCCTTCTTATTTATTTCAATCGATTATTTATAATCCAACATATTTATTATCCACGCCCTTCAAAATTCCAAAAACAATACGAAAAATATGTGTATTTGTTTGTTTGTTTTTATTCCATCATTCCAAATGCATTCATCATTCCACAAGTTCCTAATCAAAGTTTAGCCAAATCAAATGCTGTCAAGATTTTCAATTATCTCCCAGATTGTATTAATGATTCAAATGTCGTAGTTGCCTGTGATGCCAGCACAAATTGTATGACAAGAACATCTTACAACTATATTATTTGGTTATCTTCGATTGCATTTATAATGACAAGTTCTACAGTATACTCTTCAATTAGATTATCACGAGGTGTAAAGACAAAAAGCACTGCAACTCGAATCAGACATAAAAGGTTTCATCGAAACACATTTCTTCAGGTTTTATTTTGAAACTCGTAATTATGTGATCTTTGCAATGAAATATTTTAAGGCTTTCATTCAAATGTTTTTCGCTACTGTTCCTAACACAATTGCCAATTTATCAGTGATTTTTCAAATCGCAACTCCCGGCCTCGTTTACTTCATCGATTTTGTCTCTGAAAACCATTCAACGTCAGGCGTCGTCACATTATTTTTGTTCTATGAACCTTACAAAGAATATATAATTAGTTTATTCAAAAAGACCACCAAACCAAAAGTTATAGTAATTATAATTCGTGATAAATGAAGTAAATTTTCTTATAAATTTTCGAAATAAAATTAAAAAAGAATGGGCCGAACCGGGGATTGAACCCGGGACCTCTCGCACCCAACACAGCGAAATTCTGGTAGATCTTCTGCAGTCCTGCCGGACTCCTGCCGAGGTCAAATCTGCGGTAGTACTGTGAGGTACATGCCGGCAGGACCTGCCGGCAGAAGTGCGGCAGAAGTGCGGCAGAACAAAAAACGAAATTTGAGGTTTTCGTGCGCTAATGGGTATATCAAGCAAAACAACAACCAATATTTATTATGAAAATGTAAAAAGAACGAAGTATAACAATAACAAGCTAACTTAGATTTTGAAAACCTATTTAAAACAAAGTAAATGAAAATCTCCACAATATAATTACTTTTCGATCCTCATGGCGGAACATTTTCTTCTTCTTCCTCCTCGCCAATCCAATAGAACTCCCCTTGATTCTCTCGAAAAATTGGGCGTGGTTCTTCAGTTCCTTCTTTTTCAGCATTTACGTAACCTTCTACATATTCTTTAATCTTTTTCATTCTTTCAGCTCCGTGTTCTTGCTTATACCACGATCTATATTTATTTCTAGAAAAGTAATTTTTTTCGAGAAAAACTTTTTACGTATTTTGAACTTACAAATAATTGGAGATTTTGGAGTGAACCAAATCCTGAGTACGAGTGAATTGAGCGTGTTCTTCTGATGAATCAGCATATTTCAATTTGAGACCAGCGTTAATGATTTCTGTAAATAAAAAAAATTACACTTATTCAAATGTAATGAAAAAACTAACTTGGAAGTATTTCGACTTGATAGCTTTGAATTTCGACTAATTGAGCAATTCCGTTGAGCGAACGAGGTGTATACGCGGTGCAGTGAGGGTCTTTTTTGATCATCTTTGAAAAATACTTGTTTTGAAATTTTATCAATAACTTACTTTGTCACAAACGGTTCCTGTTGCGTTGTATACAACCTTGTCGAAGTTGGTGGATCGGAATTCTTCCGCAAATCTCGCCATCGCTGATTTAAATTTGATTTGAATACCACAAGGAGTTGTGTAATATTCATCAGCATATTCTTCTGGATATTCAAAACGAAAGGCCTGAAAACATAACATTTCAAAACTTTTTTGATATGAGCAATATTCAAGAAAAAAACCTACTTGCAAACCAGGCGCTGAATTTCCATTTGCTGTTTCTTCTTTATTTCCTTTTTCTTTTGACTTTGACATTGATAAGTTATGCTGAAATGTAGCTGTCATTTTTTTTTTCATTGGAGGCTTTCTTATTTCTCAAATAATTAAATTTTTTAGAAGTTTTGGCAGTTCAACTAAGATTCATTTCAAACTTCTAGCGATATTTAAAATTATATAAAAACACTTTTTTGACGATTTTGTTTCAAAATCTCAAACTACTTCGATACTATTCTCAGAATTTAGAGAAATGTTATTTTTGAATTCAAAATCACATAAAAATTACCATGTCACATAATAAAGCATGAAGAAGGTATACGTCGCGAATATTATCATCAACACCGGATTGTTGAGCCATTTCCAAGAATTCCCCCGAATTCCATTCGCTGGTGAGTTTTGCAGTTTTCAAATTAGTCTGAAATATGACTATTTTATTTCATTTTAATTTTTAAAAAATTTTGTAAGATTTGAAACTCTCCAGAAAACTGTCTGACCTCTCAAAAAAAATTTAAAAAATTTTGCAGGCCATCTAAAAGATTTTCCGGGCCTTAAAAAACTTAGGAACATTTTGCAGGCCATCTAGAAGATTTTCCGGGCCTTCAAAAAATTGGAAAAAATTTTGCAGGCCATCTAGAAGATTTTCCGGGCTTTCAAAAAATTGGAAAACATTTTGCAGGCCATCCAGAAGATTTTCCGGGCCTTCAAAAACATAGGAAAATTTTGCAGGCCATCTAGAAGATTTTCCGGGCTTTCAAAAAATTGGAAAAAATTTTGCAGACCATCTAGAAGATTTTCCGGGCCTTCAAAAAATTGGAAAACATTTTGCAGGCCATCTATAAGATTTTCCAGGCCTTCAAAAAATTGGAAAAAATTTTGCAGGCCATCTAGAAGATTTTCCGGGCTTTCAAAACATTGGAAAAAATTTTGCAGGCCCTCTAGAAGATTTTCCGGGCCTTCAAAAACTTAGGAAAATTTTGCAGGCCATCTAAAAGATTTTCCGGGCCTTAAAAAACTTAGGAACATTTTGCAGGCCATCTAGAAGATTTTCCGGGCCTTCAAAAAATTGGAAAAAATTTTGCAGGCCATCTAGAAGATTTTCCGGGCCTTCAAAAACTTAGGAAAATTTTGCAGGCCATCTAGAAGATTTTCCAGGCCTTCAAAAAATTGGAAAAAAATTTTGCAGGCCATCTAGAAGATTTTCCGGGCTTTCAAAAACTTAGGAAAATTTTGCAGGCCATCTATAAGATTTTCCAGGCCTTCAAAAAATTGGAAAAAATTTTGCAGGCCATCTAGAAGATTTTCCGGGCTTTCAAAACATTGGAAAAAATTTTGCAGGCCCCTCTAGAAGATTTTCCGGGCCTTCAAAAACTTAGGAAAATTTTGCAGGCCATCTAGAAGATTTTCCGGGCTTTCAAAAAATTGGAAAAAATTTTGCAGGCCATCTAGAAGATTTTTCGGGCCTTCAAAAAATTGGATTTCGAACAAAATATCAACGTTTTTTAAATTATATTTTTGTCAATTTTTAAAGTTTGAAAACACGTACAGCAATCTTATCACTCCCATATGAACAATCGTTTTCGGAGTCCCAATAGACTCGTCTAGCCATCTCCAATAAATTGATCCTGCCATTTGTTGTTTTTGGCAGTGATTTCTTGGTACCATCAACCATTTCCACTACGTTTTCAACAAATTCTTCTTCAAGCTTATTTTTCGATTTGTCCTTGGCGGACTCGTTTTTCTTCATATTTACTTGGTCTCGTCGAATTGGTCCTTTCTGAAATTAACAATATTTATATCTCAATCCTTTTTTCTTTGTGGAAGGGTCCTCGAATGTGTTTTGTAACTTTTGATGGGATGATTTAGTCGAATTAATCGACGTGAATTTGTCAATTAATTGACAAAAAATGTGAGTCTTTTAAGGCGATTAATTTCACGTTTTTGTCAATTAATCACTGTCATTTCTTGAAAAAATGCGATTGATTCCACAAAAAATACAAATTTAACGTGAAAAAATCGCAAAAAAATGACTCGGATTTTCTGTGAATTAATCGTAAAAATTTCGAAATGAATCACCCCATAAGATAGAGGAGCTTTTCTAATTCAAGATATTTCCCAGCTTCCGAGCCACCCAATAATATTTTTAAGCGATGAAAAGGACGAAAACTTACCGGAGTCGAACTTTTCCAGAAGTTCTCCGTTCTCGATTTTTTTGTCGGTGGGTTGTTTGAATGTGAAGAAGAAGACGACGACGAATCGTTTTCTTCTCGTTTCTATAAATCATAAATTTTCTCATTGACTACTGAATTTTTATATTTACCACTGTTGGTCGATCTCTAAATGGTGTCGGCATTTTGCGCAATTCGATCGATACCTGAAAACATATGTTTCGAATTTTAACGTTTTGAAATTGAACAATTAAAAAAAAGTAGACGAATAAATAGGAATAGTAATAGAGAAGCAGAGATAGATAGAGAGAGAGAGAGAGAGAGAGAGAGAGAGAGAGAGAGAGAGAGAGAGAGAGAGAGAGAGAGAGAGGGGATGTAACATAGAATGCGAAAATTTTTCCTATATTGATTTCAGGGTGTTTAGGAGAGGATTTTCATAAAATATGAAATCTCTAAACTTTTTTCAAGAGGGCTCCTCCCACTTTTGAAAATGCCCCAATAATAAATAATAAATAATACAATTTCTGCTACATAGTGGAGTCGTTTCGAACCAAGCAGACCTGAAAGTTCATTTAGTTTTTCCTGTGTGAATAATCCAATTCCGAATAGAAATTTTTATTTTAAATATGTTGAAAAATAGAAAAAATTGTTTCGTGGTTATGCTTTTCTGTGATGTCAAGCATGTACTGGGACGCCAGATAATTGTACACAAATTACACGTCCTCCAAAAGTAACATGACACCCTATTCCCCGAACAGTATTGACATTTAAAAATAATCGATCGCCATTCCACTTTCCTTCAGCCAAACCAGCATTTCCTTCGAGATGCTCGGTAATTCTCTCTGCGTGATCTCTCTCGGTAGCTAAATTCAGATTTTTCATGGCATTTTCGAAAAAGTCAAATCCGCTCGTTTCTTCTAGTGGCTCAATCACAACTTTTATAACGCCATCCACAGTTGCAGTACAAACAAATCGACCGCATTTTACAACATCATGATCAACAAACATAATGTCATTTGTAGTAATTTTTGTATAATCTCGAGAAGCAAAAACTGCGTAAGGGAAGATTATTTTGCTGTGGTATGAAACGAATTTTTCTGTTTGGAAAACATCGGACTTGTGCAAATGTTTCAAATCAATCAAAGAATCGCATTTTGTCATAGAAGGAGGTCTTAGCGATGGAGTGCAAGCAACTAAATCCGTTATCAATTTTGATGCATCGGGGTTAGAATATCGCAGTGTCACTTCTCGGCGAATCGCACAATTCAGCAAAAATCTTAAATGAACATTGAAAACCAGACTTAGAAGTGAGAAAAACCTGTTGATCGCAAATTCGCAGAAATTGTTAGTGATTGCGGTGTGGAAATCTCCCAGAATGAATTTGTAAACAGTTTCGAAAGTTGAAGTTGACAAACTAGATACATTCCCAAACATTTTGATGCAAAATGGCAAATGATAAATAATTTCCTAAATATATATTTCTAGAATATCTCTATGAAATCAGTAAAAAACGGTTCCTACATGCATCTTCGGTGTCAAATATTCTTCATATCTATCAGGAATCAGATTTTGCAACGCATAACACATTTCACCAAAGTACTCATCCTCAACAGATGAATTTGTGAACATTGCATTTGTAATCATTGATAAAATAGTGATAATTAGTCTAGCGAGAGGTTTAAAAACGTCTGAGCAAAACGCGACAAGAAAAAAAGTCGATCGAAAATGCTGAAAAATATTACTGTGAACTTAATTTACACAGAAAAAACAGACGTTCATCTTTTCGGTTCCATTTCTGGGATCGCCGGAGTAGGAAAATTCGCTAGGTAAGACTACATGTTTTGCAAACTCGTAGTATCTAGTCTTATCATTTTCAAAGATGTCATATTTCGTGGCGTTGGGGACACCTCGCTTAATTTTGAGAAAATCCGCTTCTAAAACAGATATATTTTCTATAAAATATTAGTTGTGAAAAATACCTCGCAGAATATCCGAAAAAACTCCTTCTCCAAAATTATGGAGTAAGTCAATGATAGTCTGGAAAAGCAGAATGAAATAAAGAACTTCTGCAAAGGTATGTCCGAATCCGTTCTGACAACGTTCTGCATCTTTACGCATTTCATCATCTGTTTTCATATGCCTTTCTAAAGTCTGATATTAGTTCCGCGCTGTACTGAAAAATAATACCTTCTCCGTATTTTTTGTGAAGTGGGCCTTTTGCGAAGCAGTAGAAACATGAGTAAAAAGCGGTTGCAGATTTCATCCCGAAAAGACTACGCTTTGCCTGAATATGTGAAAAAAAGTGAAGATTAAATTAGTCTAATTACCGGTTGATCCGCTACAAAAGACCTCAATCTGAACACTACTTTTTTCTCCTCAATCACCGCAGAGTAGTGATCAATGTCACTTCTAACCATCGGAATAATTTTATTCCAAGTAGTCGTGGTAGGATCCGAAGGTGATAAAACGATTCCGTGTAAAATTACATTTGTCGCTTTTTGCATTGTTGCACATTTCGTGTCAATGCAAATCGACGATACAACCCAGATCTTCATACTAAAAATCATAAATTTATACAGAACACACATGGAGAATAATTCAAACGTACTTTGTGTGACCTTTCAGAACGATTCCGTCCACACTTCCTAGAAGTGTGAGGTTCAATTCTTCTGAATCTTCAAAATCCATTCCAACTTTAAAATGCTTTCCATTCAAAGGATGATTCTTATCTTGTCCGGAACGGACATCTTCTCGAACATTTCTAATTTCCTCAATATGCATCTTAGCTAATTGGTCTAATTGATCATTCACAGGAGCCCGAATGAATTTGGAAATGAACCCGCAACTAAACCAATAATATTTAAATTCTCACTAATCTTTTGAATAATCGATTACCACTTATCGTTCTGTCTTTTTGCTGCCCCACACTTCGAACAAATGTAGTGTTTCGAAAATCCTGACAAAGAAGAGTTCATCAACGTTTTCACTTCTTCTTTGACATCTGGATGAAGTGGAATAATTCTCCGCTTCAAACCTTGAAAAATACAACTATTTCATGACTAAATAAGCAATCAAACCATTCTGTGAGTCGTGATCTAGAAGACTGGCTGCAGCAACCACTAAAGCATCATCACTACAATTTCTAACTCGGAAGTGAAGAGATTCATCTACAAAAAAGCTAAAATATTCAGCTAACAACATATGTTGTGACACCCATTTTGGCAGAGAAACCAGAACAACATCGAAGAAATTTATATTTTAGATTCTGAATATTTGCAAAGCGAGAACTACAAATTTTCTAGGGAAAATTTGCAGATTGGAGTCACGTCAATATTTCACGGTTCTTCTTTTTTTAAAATATAAATGTTCTATTCGAAATTGGATACAGATAAAAAACTTACCTGTTTCCTGAGCCATCAAGTTTTCTTCGATTTGTTGCACCAAATCAGCATCATCAATTACAAAATCAATATCCTCTTCCTGATCGCTATCTTCATCTTCGTCACTTTCTCTTTCTCTTTCTATCGGTTCATGAACTTCATCTCCACCAAGCCGTCCCAACTCATCTCCTTGCAGTTCAACATGTCTCATTTCCTCTCGATCTTGATTGCTGTCGCTTTCCGACTCATCATCAAGCGCCAAACGCGGTCTCTTTCTACCTGAAATTATGCTCAATATGATTTGTAACCTTTCATGAAAAACTAACCGAGAGTTTTGAATCCAGTTAAAAATTTGCGCAATCTTCCCATTCCAACTTCGCTCAATTATAAGTGACCTTAACTCTAATGAAGAAAGGCCCACCGCAATATGCGGTAAACCGAGTTTACAAACATTATTCTCTAGGTCAGACAAATCTTTTGAGCAAAACCCTCTCAAACTTCGCTCAACTCCTAAACACCCAATTTACAACAAAACAGACTTTCATGGTTTTTTGGGGGAGTGGGCGGGAGTAATAACAACAGTGGAAAGTCAAACACCTGCAAATCTAGGACTCTAGTAATAGAAAATAAATTTCCATAGTACTCGTACATGAACCGATTTGCAGACAATTGACTATGACAAGAAAATTTAGTCAGAATTAAGGAAAAGAAAGAAAAATAGGACGATTTCGTCAGCCCTCTCTCTAACATCCCAACGAGCATGCTTCACATTCGTGAAAACAACGGAGAATTGTGATAGAAATAAAGATTCACACTAAAAATTCATCAATCAAAACGAAAAACCCGAAAAACAAAAAAAAGAACGAAAAAACTTTTTTGAAAATTGTCCGGGAGAAATACACACAAGCGCGTTTCCGTGTGGGACCCATCGGAATTATTGTGTGCGCCTTTATTTTGTTTTTATTTACGTGAACTGAACACGTTTGTTTTGGCAAAAAGATATGTTCCCCATTCGACGTAAAATCTCGTTCTGAACAAAATGGTTATGAATTGACCCAAAAATAATATTGCTAGCTCGCAAAATACAAGAATTTGGTTGCAAGAACTCCATTTACTCCGAAATGCTTATTTTGCAAATTTCTAAGATAGGGTATTTATCACGAAAAAATTACTTCGATTTTCAGCAGATTTTTGCTGAAAAATCACAAAATATTCAAAATTTAACACAGCAGAGATTTTTCAAGCAAAAGTTTACACTGTGAAGAACCTTTTTTGCAAAATTAGAACTGTTAATAACAATTTAGTGACTTCTCGAGCCATTTTAATACTATAATGCATCGTCCAAATCGTCCAAACGGTTTTTTCCCTTTTTTTATTTTGGCGCAAACTTCACCATTTGTTAAAATTTTTTTTACTTGTTGCGAACATTCAAAAAAATTCAGTGAGTTCCCGGGCCACTCTAAGGCCTTTAGAAATTTTCCACGATCTCAAAAAAAATTCAGTGAGTTCCCGGGCCATTCTAAGGCCTTTAGAAATTTTCCACGATCTCAAAAAAAATTCAGTGAGTTCCCGGGCCACTCTAAGGCCTTTAGAAATTTTCCACGATCTCAAAAAAATTCAGTGAGTTCCCGGGCCATTCTAAGGCCTTTAGAAATGTTCCACGATCTCAAAAAAAATTCAGTGAGTTCCCGGGCCACTCTAAGGCCTTTAGAAATTTTCCCCAGGCCAAAAAAAAAATTCAGTGAGTTCCCGGGCCATTCTAAGGCCTTTAGAAATTTTCCACGATCTCAAAAAATTCAGTGAGTTCCCGGGCCACTCTAAGGCCTTTAGAAATGTTCCACGATCTCAAAAAAACTTCAGTGAGTTCCCGGGCCACTCTAAGGCCTTTAGAAATGTTCCACGATCTCAAAAAAAAATTCAGTGAGTTCCCGGGCCACTCTAAGGCCTTTAGAAATTTTCCACGATCTCAAAAAAAATTCAGTGAGTTCCCGGGCCACTCTAAGGCCTTTAGAAATTTTCCCCAGGCCAAAAAAAAATTCAGTGAGTTCCCGGGCCACTCTAAGGCCTTTAGAAATTTTCCCCAGGCCAAAAAAATTCAGTGAGTTCCCGGGCCACTCTAAGGCCTTTAGAAATTTTCCACGATCTCAAAAAAAATTCAGTGAGTTCCCGGGCCACTCTAAGGCCTTTAGAAATTTTCCCCAGGCTTAAAAAAACTTCAGTGAGTTCCCGGGCCACTCTAAGGCCTTTAGAAATTTTCCACGACCTCAAAAAAAATTCAGTGAGTTCCCGGGCCACTCTAAGGCCTTTAGAAATTTTCCCCAGGCCAAAAAAATTCAGTGAGTTCCCGGGCCACTCTAAGGCCTTTAGAAATTTTCCCCAGGCCAAAAAAAAATTCAGTGAGTTCCCGGGCCACTCTAAGGCCTTTAGAAATTTTCCACGATCTCAAAAAAACTTCAGTGAGTTCCCGGGCCACTCTAAGGCCTTTAGAAATTTTCCACGATCTCAATAAAAATTCAGTGAGTTCCCGGGCCACTCTAAGGCCTTTAGAAATTTTCCCCAGGCCAAAAAAAAATTCAGTGAGTTCCCGGGCCACTCTAAGGCCTTTAGAAATTTTCCCCAGGCTTAAAAAAACTTCAGTGAGTTCCCGGGCCACTCTAAGGCCTTTAGAAATTTTCCACGATCTCAATAAAAATTCAGTGAGTTCCCGGGCCACTCTAAGGCCTTTAGAAATTTTCCCCAGGCCAAAAAATTCAGTGAGTTCCCGGGCCACTCTAAGGCCTTTAGAAATTTTCCCCAGGCCAAAAAATTCAGTGAGTTCCCGGGCCACTCTAAGGCCTTTAGAAATTTTCCCCAGGCTTAAAAAACTTCAGTGAGTTCCCGGGCCACTCTAAGGCCTTTAGAAATTTTCCACGATCTCAAAAAATTCAGTGAGTTCCCGGGCCACTCTAAGGCCTTTAGAAATTTTCCCCAGGCCAAAAAAAAAAAAATTCAGTGAGTTCCCGGGCCACTCTAAGGCCTTTAGAAATTTTCCACGATCTCAGAAAAAATTCAGTGAGTTCCCGGGCCACTCTAAGGCCTTTAGAAATGTTCCACGATCTCAAAAAAACTTCAGTGAGTTCCCGGGCCACTCTAAGGCCTTTAGAAATGTTCCACGATCTCAGAAAAAATTCAGTGAGTTCCCGGGCCATTTTAGGACTATTAGAAAATTGGCTTGGAGTTTTCAAAAAATTCAGAACCATATTAGGCCAATAAAAGAGCCCTTCGAAGATCTAGATATTTTTTTTTTGGAAAAACGTTGAACATTTTATCGTCCTGTCTTCTGATTAATTTCAAAACTATAAAATTCAAATATTCTCTTTATTGTGTTGACTTGTGTCGAAGTTGGAAATAACATGAAACTATGTAGTGAGGTAATTTGGCGACTTCTAATGAAAATTGCATGTTTCATTTGAAAAATCGTACGAGCCATAATTTTTTCTCCACATTAGGTCAACTTGTGTATCTATTTTATACAAATAATCAATTAAAATGCCACCATACTCTCAACCTATAGGCATTCTTTTCATTATAATACAAAAAAGTGAAAAATATCTTGGCAGACCTGCGGCAGATCTGCCAAAATTCCATAACTTCTGCCGCACTCCTGCGGAAGTCATGCCAACCTCGGGATACCTGCCGCACACCTGCCGCACATATACCAGAATTTCGCTGTGAAAGCGAGAATCATACCACTAGACCATTCGGCCACGAGGAGAACCGAACAAAATGTCATAGATAAAAACAACTGCCGTCCAGAGAAAAATACACAACGTTGAGAGAGGCTATTTGTTTTTTATTGTTGAAACAGTGGATTTTTTCCGAGTTTTTTATCAATGAAATAGAAGGGATTAATGATCGGAAAAACAAAAAAGTGTCTATGAAAAAAAGTGAAAATCTTACAAGGACTTTTCGATTGCACAACTAATTATGCGTGGACTAATTAAGCAGGCAAGAGATCTGGACTTTATTGTATGAAATATTATATAATTGGGTGGAAAAGTTTTGTTGCCAAGGTTGAAGAGTTTCCGGATTTTTTTCTCAATTTATTGCCATTCATCCGCTAGCTTCAGTTTCACTCTTCGAATAAATCGGATAAACCATTTCTTTTGAATAAACCATTTCTGAACCAGTTTGATTCTTTTCGTTTTCAGAAGTTAAAAGAACTATAAACAAATGATAACAATTTATCATTTATTGTTGTTTTTTGTAATATCCCTCAAGTTTCTTTTTTTCTTTCTATTTTTTTGCTTGTTTCCTTGCTTCCACATATTATTATTATACAATTGACCAGTTATGACCATTTCAAATCGTTTTTTTTTCTCATTTTCTTGGAATTTGAATCCAGTCCGGTTCGGTTCGGTTCACAATTTCATTTAATTGACACCTTTTTCGGGAGTCAGTTTATATGTTTGTGTATTCATCTCACTTTATTACAGAATAGGCAATGATTCTATTTTTGATATTCTTATTTGCCCCAGTATTTTCGCTGCCTCGAATTCAGAATGAGATGATGGCAGATCCTGAAGTCATTTGTGATGTGAGAGAAATCCGAATACAAGTGAAAACTACGAATGGGTTTGCAGGCAATCTTTATACCAAGGTAAGAATGATGAACAAAAATGAAATAAGTTTCGAGAAGGTCTCTAATTTTTACCACGGGACTTTTCAATCACGGGACTAAAAAAACATTTTTGAAAATAATTTTCTCCCAGGTTTTTTATTCTCCATTCTCGTTTTTTCAGGGATTCTTCCATAATTCAAATTGTCGAATCCGTGGAAATACTGTTCAAAACTCACTCGAACTAATTCTACCAGTTGATGGTGATTGTGGAATTCGTCGAAAACGACAAACCAATCCACGTGGCATACTTCTAGACACCACAATCATTTTAATGTTTCACCCAGTTTTTCTCACTCAAACTGATCGATCTTATCATATTCAATGTCAATATACCGAAACAGATCGAACTGTTACAAATGCTCTTGATGTTAGTATGCAACCACCATCTGAACTTCCACAATCTGTTCAACAAGCTGATCCAGAACAAGCACCAGTTTGTAAATATGAAGTGTTGATGGGAAGTGAGAATGGTCCACCATTATCTCATGCAACTGTTGGAGATGCCGTGTATCATAAGTGAGTAGTGCTTTCCTATTTTTGGAAAAATATCCCTTGCCTACTTCCAGATGGTCTTGTGAAGGTTCAAATAAAGATATGTACTGTATGACAGTTCATTCTTGTATTGTTGATGATGGCCAAGGATTTGGTCAAAAATTGGTTGATGAACATGGTTGTACTTTGGATAACTTTATTCTTCGGGAAATTGAATATAAAGAAGATCTGAAAGCAGGACAACTTTCAAATGTATTCAAATTTGCTGACAAACCTACAGTATTCTTTTCATGTATGATAAGAGTTGAATTGAAAGAAATGGCTAGTGCAACTTGTTCTGTAAGTTTTTAGCTAAACAAAAAATTAGAAAATTAGAAAAATTTTAGCCGCCTTCTGAAGCTCAATGCACAATCAGTCGAGCCAACAAAAATCTGACGAATGATGTGATGACTGAACCAAAAGTGACTGGAGAAATCCCCAAAGATTTCCCGCGTCCACCAAACGTTACTCATAGTTCAAAACACAGTGGTTTGAATAATTATTCTGGAATAGATGACTCATCTGAAGAAGTTGAGGAAGATGATGAAGATCCTTTCCCGGATGCTGACAAACCGCTTCAGATTTCTCCAGCAATGTGAGTTCAGAAAACAATTGAACTTTTTCTTAAAATTTTGATTGATAGAAGAAACAGGTTAATTCGACGACGAGATGTTGATGATCGAAAACAATTTGATTTTGATGTGTTTGCACCTTCTGTAGATGTTCGAGATTTAGCAGAAACAGATATCAAATCTGGTGATTCAAAGAAGAACTCCGAATCATCAAAAACTGATGTTTGTGTTCCAAGATTCACAATGTTTCTCAGCATGTTTATTCTAATTATTTTAACAATTGTCGCAATTGTCAGCTTATATTTGTTAGTTGTGAATATAACTGAGAAATCGAAGAAAATTCGAAAAGAAATGCCAAATCCTCTAAACTTTTGATCTTTCAATCCAAGCTTTAATTTTCTCTGAAACGTGTACATATATTTATCTCTGATGTGAATAATAAACTTTTTCATATATGTATGTTAATTAAAAAATCTCATTAAATATTTACAAAGTTTTTGGAAGGGGGAAAATATAAACCGGACTATGCAAAAAAGAAAAAACTGGGAAGAAAAAGTGACACCCGAAGTTTTGGAAATGAGAAAAATCTAGAAAAGTATAAGGAAAGAAAAGGAAAAAACACAGATAAAAAATTAATAGAGAATGGCTAGTGGATAGAATGTAGACCTGCTTGAAGAAGGGGATGCTGGGCATGCGGTTGGGCAATTCCAGACAATGCAGCAGCAGCTGTTGCACCTGCATTTCCAGTTACTGGAGAAGCAGCAAACAAATTCTGAAAAAATTATAATTATTCTCAAGCTTCTAGAAATTGAAAAAAATACTGTACCTGCTGCATTCTTGCCATCAATTGCTGTTGTGTAATTTGTAATTGTTGCTGCGGTGTCAGCGGTGAATTGAGTTGCGAATTGAATTGTGAACTCAACGAGTTCAACTGCGACTGTATTTGCAGATTCAAATTCAATTGTTGAGGAGTCAATTGCTGCGGTGTCAAACTTCCGAGTGTTGATGGAATTGAGATGCCCAAATTATTATTGGCAAATGGATTCAGCGGAGATGGTGTGCTGTTGACAAGTTGAACAGCCGCAGTTGCAGCAAGTTGTGCTTCATGTGATTTTGCTTCTTGTTCAGCTCTTGCTTTCATTGCATGCGATTTCATATGAGCGTTGAGTGATTTGACTTTTTCGAAACATTTATCACATAATCGACAATGGAAGAAACCATCAGCACTTGGTTGTGCTCCTTTTTTTGTTGTTGTTGATGGTGTATGATGATGTCTTGGTGCAGTTGGCTGATAATTCTTCTGAATTCCACCAAACAAATCTTTCGCTGCAATTGGTGATAATCCAACCAAAGGTGTATCTCTTGGTGAACTCATAATTGGTGATGTAAAAGCTCGATCTCTGAATGGTTGTGGGGCGGCAGAAGTATCCATAGCACCAGATCCATCAGTAGCAACCGATTCAACATCGGATTCAATTGATTCTTGCAAACTACACTTTTTCATTGGAATTGGAACATCTTCCATTTTCATGTTAATCTCCAATAATTGTCGTTTTCTTCGCAAATTTCTCAATTTTCGATAATCATCTGGACACACCTTTTTCCAAGTATAATAAAACTGAACACATTCACGAACTGTTTTTCCAGGCAACTCATTGGCAACAACATAAAAATCTTTCTCCGATTTATAAATAGCATCTTGAAATGCGAATACTTCATCCGGTGTCCACATTGCACAATCATTATAAAGATGATTCAAAATACTTGGATATTGTCGCCAATCGAGAGTATCACATCGTAGAAGATCTTCAACAGCAGCTTCAATATTTCCATTATTTTCCATCAAAAGATGAATCGCAAATTCTTTATTAGATCCAGCTTTTCTACAAGCCTGACTATTTGCAAGAAGTTCGAATGCGGTGATTTGATCAGGGTCAATGTCATTAAGAACATCACAATTGAAAACACATTCATCTCGATCTTCAATTGCTTCTAATTCACTGTCATGAACTTCTCGATCATTCCATTTCCGAACTCGTGCTTGATATTCTCGTCCAATATTTATGTGTCTAAAATGGTACTAATTAAAGATTTGTAATGGAAAATAAAATAAAAACTTACGGATTTGGATCAGAAATATGTGGTCCACCATTTTCCGGTTGAAAATCATAGTAGCACTCTGACAAACATGAAGCTTTTCTCAAAATCTCCGATGGATCCACAGATTGTTTTCGTTGTGGAATCGATAAATGATTACTGTCACGTGGATTCATGTTTTGTTGATTTTGAATCAACAAATTCTGTCGTTCTTCGCCTTGTGAAGATGATGTTGATGCGCCTGATTCTTTGCGTAATTGTTCAAGTTCGTCGGCAAAACTTGGCTGAAAATGTGAATTTAAAATGACTACTATAAAAACTGGATTTTTTCTCGTCTCGAGTGTTGTTTTTTTGATTTTTAATCAACCCGTCTACCGACTTGTTTACTTCGTCGTTACATATTCTTTTCCTTATCACTCAAACAAAAAATGTGCAAAAAATATGGGCTTCTTATCAAAAATGGCCGGTACAAAAAAATTTTGCAGAACTTACTTGATTCATTTGCTTAATATAGAATCCATTTTTTCTCGATGGTCCATCTCCATCTTCACTTCTTTTCTTTTCATTTGCCAAAATCATTTTGTTGTTTTCATCAAGGCTACTACAACTTGGCACATTGGTGATCTGAATTTAAATATTGAAGATTTTTTTTGAATTGATATTGGAGCTAAAAATTCCAAAAAAAAATGGGGAAAAAAACTAACCTCGGTCTTGATGTTCTTGGCGATCGAGCAAAAAAGTCCAGAACCGTTTCTCATTGGCGCCAGGATTGGCGGCGGTGTGTACGGTATTCCGCCGACTTGTGTTAAATTGGACGAAAGTGGCGAATTGGCAAGCTTCGGCTTGAAATGATGAAATGCACTTCGCGGTGTACGAAGTTGGCTGAAAACAAAAAGAAATGAAATTATCACAGTTCTTTTTGTCCTCCCACTCAACCACAAAAAAAGTGTAGAAAAAATCATAATGAATATCACGTTATCTATTATTATCTATCAAAATGTATGTGTGCGTGTGTGTAGAAAAAACATATTATTTTATAAAGAGGGCAAATTTGAACACCATCTATAGATACAAAAAGCAGAAAAAATGAAGAGAGGAAAAAAGGGAGACCCCGGACGGAGTTTTGCAGCAGAAAGAGCAACAGACAATTATGATTGAGAACGATAGACATTTAAGTTGCTTGTTTTTGTGTCGATACGATTCGATTTCAACAAGGAACTAGAACAAGAAGGTGTGCTTTCTGATGTTTTCGTAAACTTTGACCTTCTATCTATCATTTAATGAATGAATTTTTTGATGAGAAAAACAAGACAAAGTTCGAGAGGCGTGGCAAAAAAATAGAAGACGAGGAAAAACAGATGAGACTGATTCATTTTATTGTTATGAATCACTTTGATCGGAGAGGGGGATGATAAAAATAAATGAAAACAGATCAAGATTTTGCAAGACCACTCTTTGGGAAAATCGAAATTGGGCCAGAGGTTAGTAGGAGACTAAATTTTCAATATCTCTGGTTCATTTTCAGGGTAGCCCTATGAAAAAATCAGAATAACCCAGATTCAATTTTTTAAAAATTCAGAATTGGATCATGTTTTAAAATCAGATACCAAACTTCTGAAAGAAGCCAAAAAATTTTTCGAAAGTTAGGTCCTAACAAAAAAATGTCTGAATGTTTTTAGGAACAGTTTTCATTTCAAAAACATTACCAAGAAAATGAGCAAATGATAAGAAAAGGCTCCGAAACGTCTAGGGTCAAAAATTCTCGACTACAAAAAATCGCTGACTGAACTTCTTTTTCAAAAAAAAAAATCCTTGTAAAAACAAATGACATCACTCAGTCAGTCAGCAAAGAAACTTGTTTCAGTCATCATGTCAACCTCAAAAATAACAAAAACAACTTCAAAATGCACTTGTATGTATGATTTTTTGATTTCCACAAAAAAAAACGTTTGCATCAGTTTTGTCTCGCGATGACTGACCTTTTTGTTGTCTTCGCCGAAAAAGATATCAGCTGACACATGGATTGGAATCAGTCAATAAATTGAAGACGGCGAAAGTTAGTGGTGGAAAAACTTGATTTTCCAGACAACAAAAAAAAGAACCAAAAAATGAAAAAAAAAAGACCGAATGAATCGAAAACGAACAGAACAGACCAAAAAAAATTGCAAAACTAGAAGAATAATAACAAAGAAGAAGAAGAAGAGAAAAGAGAACGAGAGACCACCATTGTTGAAAAATGTTCATCATTGACAAATACCTTTTTGTTGATTGATGTTGAACGAAAAAAGTGCAAATCGTTGAGAGATCACGTGGAAATGAGAGACATAGAGATGACGAAGCGACAAAAAGTGCGCGAGGCATTTTTTCGCTGCTTTTTTGTTTACGCGAACAGCAAAAGGACATAAAATGCGGTTTATTGGTGGTTTGGAAAAAAAGCGAAGGAAACGAAACGGGAAATAATAATAATAATAAGGAGAGACTTGAGGCAAATCGCCGACCGAAAAAAAGTGTACTTTATTTGTTGTGTTTGTGAGTGGAGAAAGTCTATGGTGGTTTTTTGATCTACGGAGGAATATATTCGTGTGTAGTTCTTGAAAAGTCTAGATGGGTGGTCTCTTGTGTGTTTTGGAATAAACAAGGACGTCTGAAGTGGTCTGATACGTGCATATTTTTAGACAGGAACAATCTGGGGGGAGTTCAAAAAAAGAGCGTAGGAAATTTAGAATCCCGGATCAAGAAATTTGGCCTGGCCCGATGAAGTTACGTCTGATTAATCTGACCGTTGTGGCTATGCAAAAATGTCATTTTGAAAAATGTTAAATTCAGAAACTATTGAATTTATTCTCAAAAAAAAAAACTCGCAACAAATTCAAAACAATTCCTAGGAAATTTCAAAAGTTTGTAAACAAACTTGTTTCAACTCTCTCTCTAAAAAAAGCTCATTAGGTTAATTCGTAGAAAACTAGTACTCGTAATCAAAATTAGCACCAATTGATTTGACCAAGAAAAAAAGCTTGACAAAGATCTATCGCAAAAATAAATGAAATTACAATTCGATTCAAAATAATATAGCCAATCAGACTGCTTTTGAACACACAATAATTTGCACCTCGTTAGACTACGACGACAAAAGCAAAGAGACAACGAAAAAAAAGTATTCAAGTGAGCAAAAATCGTCTCGCATGTTTCGGTGCGCATAGATGAAAAAGGCAAGCAAGCTTCAGCTTCAGCTTCTCCCTCTTCTTCTACTCGCAGAGAACAACAAAAAACATGTATGTAGTGTGATCTACATAAAAACTAAGAGAGAGAGAGAGAGATGGAGATAGAGAAAGTCACGAGACACCCTCTCTCTCGCAATTTTGTTGATGTTGCTTGCTGGCTGGCTGGCTGCAAAACGAGAAAAAAACGACGAACAACAAAAATGTGGAAAAAAATGAAAGAGAAATCTAGGAAGAAAGAGAGAAAAAGAAAGAGGGAGAGAGAGATTCGCGAATAACTGCGCCTGCTGCAATTGCACGTCCGACGCCAACAGAAAAAAAATAGAAAAATGTTTTTTGGCCATTTAACAAACACAACGGGATTCGCTTATATGCTTTTGCAATTGACATGGGAGAGGAAATATGGTGATGCAATTTTCGAATCGGATTGCATGAGATTAGATTTCAGATTCATCGAAATTTAGGCAAACTGACTCTGTGTTCAGAACTCGTATTTTCATTTCAAAGTTACTAGAAAAAATTTCGATCGATCATTTCAAAACTGTTCTTTCAATTTGGCCCGTAGAAACTTGGCCTTCTCGGCTCATGTTCTGAAAAATCAGAATCTCTAAGCGCGGCTGCTGGAGAACTAGGCTATCTAGGTTTGGGTGCTTGGCATTGAAGCTCTCAAGACGCGGCTTGCCAGATTGGATCTCAATGCGTTGGTCATAAACCAGGTTATTCAGGCGCGGCTACTTTAGACTTATGATCTCTGAGAATTTAAAAACCGTGACATTAGCCCAGGTGTGGGCCTGTTCTAAAATGTTTGCCCACGCACCGGAAATTGAATCATTGAGGCGATCATAAAAATAATCAGAAATTGATTGATTGATAATTTTTGATGGAAAATAGGCCCACGACCAAGTTTGAAAATAGCTCGCTGCTTTTAGAAATCGTTCATTTCAGAATCGTAATTATCATATCCACAATTACAAAATAAGATTCTCTTGCACTAAAAATTCAAAAAAACTGTCTAAGATATTGCATTCTTCAAGCTGTCAAATATAAGTTTCACTTTCAATTTTTAATTCTTTCCAGATAAGAATAAATTGAAATGAAACAGACAAAGAGACGTCTGTCTAGCATAAGCACACAAAAAATGAGCCCAGATCAAAAAATTTCAATTACCCCATTGAATGCTCTTGAAATTATAGTCTCAGACCTATTAACTTAGTAACCCGACACTAAATTGCCAACTAAGCGTCAGCGGGAAAAAAAGACAATTTTAAAACTAACTCTACTCTAGTTTGAACTCTGATCCACTCTTTTCTTCTCTCTCCCTTTTCTTTTGCAAAAAGCAAAAAGAAAAAGATTTTATGTCTTTTTCTGGAGGCCTTTTTCCTTCTTCGCTTCTTTTTTTTTTGCTATGAATGAGAAAATATAAAACGTGGATGGATGGATGGAAAAGTATAGTTGCGAACGACTGATTTTTGTTGTGTAACACACAGGAAAAAAATCTATCTATCTAATTGATATTAGACAAGGGAAAACATTGATTGGAATGACAGAATGAATGAATGATATTTTCAGACACATTCATTTTATTAATGGAAAAAAGTAGATGGATTTTTTCTGAAAGGGTCAAAAAGATTTTTCCCTTCTCTTCATTCTCCAGGCAAAAATATTATTTTCTTCAAATTCTAAATTCCTCAAACGATCTTTGTGTCGGGAAAAATAACAAAATGTTTAATTGTGGGAATAACAATTCAATTTTGTTCAAATTTCCAATCGCACGTATTTCATTTTTATGGCAAACAACAAAACGACAGAAATACATTCATTTCTGTATCACTAAAAACATGTTGCAAAACAACGATGTACTTTTTTGGAAATAAAATTGGGGAAGGACAAGGTCATCAACATGAGATAGTGATTCTGCACTCTAATCAACGAAGGATTAGTGGTGGCGTTGAATGTTGCAACAACAACAAAAATCGAAACACTGGCAAAAAAATGTGTGCCAGATGTATCTGGTTTAATCTGCCTGCTGACACACACGGCAGCAAATAAAATTTTGTCGTTGGCTTGAAACAAATTGAGGGAGTGAGGGAGGGAGGGAGGAAGGACAGCGAAAGGAAAGTGATCTTACAAAACTGTAGATCTAGACTAGACAAAAGTGAAGATAATATCAAAAAAGGAGAGGCGGAAGATCCTTTAAACTTTCTTAGGAAGTTCACTGAGTTTTATTTCTATTCGAAAAAATTGCTGAATCTTTTAAATAAGAATTGACGAAGTTTATCTGCAAAATTCAGAAAAAAAATGTTTTTGATTCACCATTAAACATTTTTAAAAAACTGTGGAAGATCTTGAAATTCTAAAATTAACATTTTCAGATGTTTCAATCAAAGAATTTTGAAGATCTACATCCATATGAATTTGAGGTCCTACTGTAACCATTCCCAAAATAATTTCAATTTAAAAAAAATTGATGTTCGAATAAAAAAATCAAATGAACAACCTTGCGAATCGAATCGCAACACAATTTACGTGCAAAAATGCATTCGACATCAAAAAAAACTGTTTAGATAAAGTGGCGATGGCTGCGATTCATTTTTTTTTTGGTTGTTTGTGTCGCGGCGTCGCCGCCAGCATTTGCAATATATAAAAGTACACATTCTTCTTCTTCTTCTTCTTGTTCGGCGACTTTTTGGACGATTGCCAGTTTTTGTTTGAGGAGATGAAAGGAGGTCGAAAAACGAAGTCACATGATGATGATGAGAAAAAAGAACTAGGAAAACAGTGATGGAGAGAGTACGGGAAGCAATGAGACACAACACAATCAAAACAACACGCAGCAGCAGCAGCAGCAGCCACAAGCAAGAAGTATTCCCGGAGAAGAGAAAAATGCAATGATTTTTGATGATTGAAATACTAACCAGATGCAAAAAAATGTCAAAAAAAAGGGTGACAATACGCGTGAGACATTGTGTTTGAATGATCGAAAATATACAATTGTTGGGTTGTGTTGTGGTTTGAAATGGAACAGAAATACGCAACACAAGGTTACGGTTATGGGAAAAACAACAATTTGAATAAACTTTGATCATTGTGAGCCATCTCCAGATGAAAGTCCCTTTAATTCATAATTCAAAAATCTACATTCCAGAAACAGAAAATAAAAACATGCATGGCGTGATAGAAATATCAGTGAAAGTGCAAAATTTTCAGAGATTTCGTGATAACTTTTCGGAAACTCGTTGATCTTCACCGAAATTTTTTAAAAGTAACTTCGACTCTTGGAAGAATCCCTGAAGTGAATATGGCCTAAAAGCAGAAATATCAAAAGAGCCGACAAAGTATACTGTAATAATTCAGTGATTGACAATAGATTCCAAATAATGAAAACCCGTAAATAAATTCCCAGAATTCTTAGCCGAATATACCTGACTTTGTTTTCTGCAGTCAAAAAGTGCTCTGCTAAATCTTTTTTACTTTATTTTATTTTTAGCCCTAATTCCTTATTAATCGTCTTTTTGCCCTTTCAAAGTTCCTATCAATTTCTAGAAAGTTTTTATCGAATTGCCTATCGATTTCTCTCCCTGCAAAGTGTAAAAATTTCCCTAAATGTGAATGTGAAACAAGTTCCTGGGTGGTCACGAGACTCGACAGATGAAACAAAATCAGGCACCCTTTATACATTTTTTTCAAACAGTTTTTGCTTTACGAAATCATTCTTAAAATTCACCTGTTTTTCGCCCGGTGGATGAAATAATATCACATAAACATATAAAGTAACATGAAACCCTGAACTAACCTTTTTAATGCCATCAAAGATGCTTTGCGGGTTGGAACATTTGGATGAGATCGTTTTTGTTCAGGAGTTTGAAGTTGCGATGTTGTTGACAGAAGATATGGTGAATTGGAACTTGACATATTATTATGATGATCGATTTCCATCTGAAGAAATATAAAAATATAATTCAATATTTATATAATGTTTGCGTGCGAAGCGGTTGGAAAGCGGGCCAAAATTGAATCTAATTCAATCTAAAAGTTAAATGAAGGCTACAAAGAATATGTGAAAAAGCATTCGATAATTTGAAGAAGAGCGAGAAAAAACAAAGATCGCAGCCAAAAAAATTGGTTCTATCAAAGAACAACAGTTACAGTAATACTACAAGTCCATGTTGTTATTTGGGAAGATATTTATATACTTTGAGAGGAAAAAAATTGGCAAATTTTTGTTTTGAGGATTAAAATTTCAATGCAATGAGTTTGAAAATTGCGCTAATCTGAGCTCGCAAGCTATCTATAGAAGTTTGGAAAATCACGTTTTGACAATTTCTAATTTTCGATCGGGGTAAGATTCACCGAAAAGTCCAAAATAGTTTGAATTTTTTTAATTTGTCATGTGGAAGCCTCGAAGGTGCCACGTTGTTGTTAAACCCACCTTAATTGGTGATAACATTCCTGAAGGTGTTGCACTCGTCATATCCATAAAATCGTTAGATTGATGTTGCTGTTGCTGTTGATTTTGAAGTTGATAGCTTCTGAAAGAAAAATCTACTGAATGTTCCATTGCTTTGTTGTTCGAGCTCAAATTATCAGCGGAAATTAGAAAACCGTGATAGATAGACATTGTACTTTTGTGAATAACAAAACAAAGAATGGTCGTAGTGGGAATCTGTTAATTTGGTTTAGACTTTGCGGTAAGTTTTTCGGTTTTGGATTCTATTTTTGTTCGCGCACAAAAATATCTGCGTCTCGTTTCTCTCACTGGTTGGGTCACATTGTTTTTTTGATCTTCCTAACAATCACTCACACAAAAAAACAACACACATCGGGGAAAGAAAAAAACAACAAAACAACCGAAAAAAAATCGGGAAACAAAAATGTTTTTCTTTTTCAGCCCGAAAAGTGACTCGTTTTTTTCTTTTTTGATTTTCAGAGTTGTTGAGAGAGTTAGAGACGAAGAGAAAACACGAAAGGCGAAAAAATCAAAACAAATAAAATTGGAACGAAATGTGTGTGAATGGGTTGGTTGTGTTGAAAAAAATAACAGGGTAAATTCGAATTTATGTTTTCAGGTTTTACTAAAAATAGTGCACTTTTTCTATGGAATTTTTATTGGGCCATTTCCTGACAAAACAAAACTTTTACAAGGTTCCAATTGAAAAATATTTAGAGAAAAATTACTATTGACTTACGGTCGGTCGAATTTTATGTTATTTTTTTTTTTTGAAAAACAAAAAAAACGTGACATTTCTGCAGTTGTTATCTTTGGAACAGCAATAACAAGGCTGGATGATGTTTGAAGTTTTTCAAGGGACCCAGAAAATATAAAAAGGAACTCACGATTCTTCTCCAATTGTTTCGACTTTGATCTGAACCTGATTTCGACGAAAATTGTTATTTTGATGTTGTTGCTGAAAATAATTGGTCTCGGGTTTTTTTTTGAAATTCAAAACTAAACCAAAAAAAAATAACAAAACAAAAAATTTTGAAAAATCTAGATTCTCTAACCTGTCCATTATTCATCATCCAATTTTGATTTCCATATTGAGATTGGTGATGATTTTGAGACATGAATTCGTTTGTTTGCCAGGTTCGTGGAGTCTGAAAATATTCAACTAATAAAATGTCATTTAAAAATTCAGCGACATTTTCAGATCTCCCTCCAACCTACCATATTATAATCTGAATATTTTCAGAGGGTTAAACTGATCAAATATATATGAGAAATTTCAGCTGTCAAGAGCTCTACGAGCATGAAAAGTGAGCCCGACTAAATGAGAAATGTTCAAAAAACTAAAATTGTGTGGAATATGAGTGTTTCGATTTTTTATTGGAAGAATTGCAAATTTCAGTTGGGAAAATTCGTTTCAGAAATCAAACCAATAACTCCAAAAATGTGCCTGAATCTGAATTTAATTTTTCTGCTGGCGTTTGAGTTGAAAACTTGATTTGTAGATATAAGAACTCGAAGGCTCACAAAAAATTCCAAAAATCTCATCAGGCACAATTCACGCAATTTTTCTATCTATTTTTGATTGAAATTCAGTTGAATTCACTTCCAAAAAAAGATGACGTGGCGAATAACAAAAATGTTCTATATAAAACCACATTTCTCATGTTACTGTATCACTAAAGTGTTTTAGCAATCAAAATCACAACATTTTTCCACGTAACTTTCTCGAAACATTCAAGAAAAAACTCTGTCGATTCGGCCGCCTTTAACCAATCTCAAGAAAAATTGACTTTTGCACCTGCTCCTTCAATATTTTTTCTTCGTGTGGGAAACTTTACAAAACACTTTCGTGAATGTTGACTAAAAAACTCACTTTCAAGAAAATTGTACCCAATTTGAAAACAAAAACATCACAAGAGGTTCTGATAGTTTTTTTTGGAAATAACAAATGACAAATGTTCCAAGTTGGAAATTCCAAAGTTCACGTTCACGTTTCCGAAAATTTGGAACCCTCATTTTTTAAAAAATTTTTGAGACAAGACCTGTTTTGATAATTGACAATTGTAGTTCTTATTTTAATAACGTATTTGTACTTTGAGATAATTAAGCCCTGTCTAATAGATTTTCAGTCAGAATCTAAACATATTCTATTTTTGACACGAAAAACTTTGAAAATGTCATATTCACACCCGGAAGTTGAAGAGAAAAGTAGTATGTTTTTGAGAAGTTATGTGGGCTCGGAATTTTCAGCCAATTTCCCCAGCTCCTTGATAAAACTCACATATTGATCTGGATACATGTGATGCGATTGATTGGCTGAGAAAAAATTGGGAGCCAAACTACACTTCCTTGGTGGAATATGATTGTAATTGGGTTGTGGATAGTTTGGTAAATCATCAAATCTCACACGGTTTCTTGCAGATGTCGATGGTGTCATCAACATTTCTTGCTGCTGCTGAAAAATATTTATAAATAAACTTCTATTTATGTATGATTCTGAAGCAGCGGCAAGAAAAAAACAGTGCTCAGATTACATAAACTCAATTCACCTGTTGCATTGTTGATGTTGGAAAAGATGGTGGCGGGGTGACATTTGGTGGAGAAAATCGAATTGGATCGAACGACAATGTATCTTTGTGCTGCAAAAAAAGAAACATTCTTTGACCCCTCTTAATTAAACTTTTATGACAATGATGATACTTTCTTTTTTTCGTCCTCATCAAAAGAACAAAAAATGTGTGTTGAACTTCTTCTTCCCGAAAAAAAACTAGCCAATTTGTTTATTTTTCTTGAGGATCAAATTCAAACTATAGACAAAAAGTGATCAATCTTTACACACTTTGGCTAGCCGAACCAGAGTACAATTTCAAGAAGAAAAATGCATTTCTGGGTGAGCCTTCTCTTTAGGCCCGGCTACTTGACGACTAGGATTTCTAGAGTTTCCTACTTGACACTGCAACTTTCAAAAGCTCGGCGCCTTGTTAGAGTGAACATATAGACGTGGGTCCTGCACAATCAGATCTAGACTCGGTTATTTGAGACACTTACACAGCTTAAGGGCGTCCGATCCGCGAAAGACCTGTAACCGACCGACAAGATTCAAAGGTGTTTTACGAGTCTTCCGTGGGTCAACCACAGGTGGTTCACAGGTCGTTTACAGATACTTTGTGTTTTTCCCTTGTACAGGTGATTTACGGGTCTTCTACAAGTATTTTGAAAAGTCTTCTACAGGTCTTTTGTGGGTAGTTTTTCAAGTTGAGGGAATAATTTGTGAAATGACCCGTGAATGACCTGTGAATGACCCGTAGGAAAGTTGATTCATTTTTGACCAATAACTGAAAAAATGAAAAAAAAATCAGAAGAATCGTGGACCAGTGCGACAGGGAAGAGTGTGTTCACTGAGACATTTTCAATGAGAGATCAATCACTTGATAGTTTTCAACTCTGAGAAAGAACCCGTTTCCACTTTTGCTGACCGATTCTCAGAGCTGCTAAGCAATTTTCTAACATAAGTTGTAGGCTTCCAAAAAATATTTATCTTTCGAAAATTTCCGATTTCCGGCTCATTATTTAGGATGTCGACGTTTTGATCAGAAATGTTCAGCGGGGTCGAAAACTCTTTATGATGTGGCTGAGTGAAGTTCAGCAAAATAAAATAAAATCGACCAAAAACCTAAAAATTGAAAATCGGTCAAAACACAAGATGAATTTATAATCATTTTGTTCAGCTCGAAATTCTGCGTCGAATGGTATTTACCATTTACCACCAAAATGGTTTTAAAGGGTAAAAAATTAAAGGCGCATGCAATTAAATGAAAAGGTCCTGCAGCGATATGTGTGTGTGTACTTCTCTCGGACGAAATGCACACCGCGGATTTTTTTCTTTTTTTTCGTTTTTTTTGTGTTTTCCACGTTTTATCGAGAAATTAAGTGTTTGAAGCTGCGAAACATGTATAAACCATGTTGCCCACCTAGGAGCAAGCAGCAAATTTCTTTAGAACTTGAAAATTTATTCATAAAACAGGAATTTAGACCTGGAAATATAATTTTTCATTTTCGTTGATTTTTCGATTTTCAAATAGTAGAACGAATATATTTCGCAGTTTCACTCAATTCTAGCTAATTTTAATAAATTATTCTCGGAAGTTCCCTGTTAGAGTTGAAAATTTTGATGACATGCCGTTTCTTGATTCTTGAATTCGTCACAACTTATAATTTACTAATGTACGTAATCGTAATATAAATTTATAGACTGCCTCAAAAGCAAGGATATTAATAACTGTGTTAGAATGGCAAGATCAAGATGGAAAGAAACTCATCGAATCCGACTTCAACAAGCTCAAAAGCATCGTTTATCCATGTCACTGATCACACGCAGGTTTGATAACTTAAATAAGAAAGTCAGATTCTAATGGTTCTTTATTTTCAGATGAAGTTCCTCAACCGCCGTCAAAAGAAGACTGATTCAGTCTAAATTCAAATCAACAGAGGAACCTTTGCCCAAAAGATGGACTTTTCTTGTGAGCACTTCGAGAAGCAACTTCCAGCTGACACAGTCTTCTCTCACGACGAAATGAGCGACAGATTGGTCTCACCAAGAATTGTGAATTCAAGGAATTGCACCATATCGCCTTTACTATTAAATGACAAAACCTACTCCAACTGCCACCGCACCCAACTTCCCCGCAAATCAAAGAGATGCATCGGAAAGACCATGAAAAATAAGTTTTTCTGATTTTTTTTTTATTTTCTAATAAATTTTTATTGATTCAAAAAATTGTAATTGGTCAACCGAAAAGTAGAAAAAAGGTCTTTTACGGGTCATTCACAGGTGGGGCTACAGGTCAAAATCGACACGTCTCAGACCTGTCACAGGTGTTTTGCCCACGGGTGTTTTACGGGTCTGTCACAGGTCCGCCGCGGACCGGACGCCCTTAAGCTGTGTATGCTAGTAAATCATTTTTGAGAAACACGGCCAAAATGTTAAGACCCTGTCTGAAACAAAAATCTCTAACCTGAATCTGATTCGACAAATTCGATTGTCCTGACATGATTGATGGACGATTTGACATTTCCGTCGCTGCCGCGATTTCAGCATTCCCGTTTTGATACTGAAAAAAAAGAACACAATGTAAATAAGTCCACCATAAGATTTGTTTTGCGTCACAAAACTGCTGAACGAAGGAAAACCCCCGAGGGTTTTCATTTTTTTTCGCTGTTGAGAAAAATGAGAAGAGTACAGAGAGAGGAAAAGATCAGAACAGAACGTATAAACAACTCCAGAGAATTGCACTATTGGTTTATGGTGATCGAAAACAAAAATTACGTATTTGTATTCACCCAAGAAAATATTTTAACAAGAATTCATGTTATTTTCTTGTTTTCTGTAAGTACTACAAGTGATTGGTTCCCAAAAATATTTTCGAAAATTTTCTTTCGTACTTTTAATTGTTTACATTATTTTTGGCGGACAAAAAAAAGCTGGGAAATTTATGAGCGAAAAAAAGCGGAAGAATAAATCAAAAATGTCACAATTTTGGAGCTGATGTTGAAAAGTATAGTCAGGTTCACAAATTTCAAATTTCAGAAAGATTCCTGAAATCGGGCCAACTGGGTTTGGGAGTTTTGAATTGGATCAGGGATTTGTTTGAAAATTGTCAATCTGGACAAATTCAGAAGTTCATAGTTTTTTAAATGAAATTAAATTTGAAAACCCTCAGAAATCGAGCCAGGTTAATTGAAACCAATCTTGATTTTCTCTATTAGTTTCAACGTCAACAAAAGTCCGTAAAATTAATCAGAAATTTCCATAAATCACTTAAAAGTTATTCTCAACCCAATCAAAAATTGAACTTACTTTATGTGGAAAATTATGTTGATAAAATTGATTAACTTCTCGATTCGGTCTAGTTACTGTAGATATCGATCGGCGCGGTTGAAATTGTTGATGATTATTATGTTGCGGATGTTGAAAATGTGGATGTGGATGTTGTTGATGCATGGAATTTCGAGGGGGTTCAGAACCCCACTCGAAATTCGGTGCATTTATAGACGAATCCACGATGGCACCTGGAAATCAAAATGTACGAAAATTATCAGATATTTCTGGGAGCAAAATAAAAGAGCTGGAGAGGGGCAGATAATTGGAATGGGACGTGTATATACATATTTTCGCAGAAAATAATAAAGTACGTGAGATTTTTTTTGAGAAAACAACAGAAAAAAAGTGCTAGCCTAAAAACTGACACAAATCGAATTATTCTTTTATAGATATCAAAAATTAATAATTCACGAAAGAGTTGTGAAGATACACGTGTAAACATTATCGAGTTAACTGTACGATTTTTCGATTTTTTCTATTTTGCAGAAGAAACAAAACAAATCTCAAAAAATCCCTCTAATGACATATCTACAGAAATAAGGAGAAAAAAAAACGAAAACAGCGCGAAAAAAGCAAAAAATAATAACATTTTTTCGGTTTCCATGGAACAGATACTAACTTTGATCAAAAACAAGAAGAAAACAGAAAAATGATTTTTGATGCATTTTTTGTGATGCAGAATAATAGGCGAGAGAACAAGAATTGGTTAGAAATTGGCTTTCGAAGAAAATTTTAATAAAAGGTTCAATTTTTGAGAAAAAAAAGAAAAATATAATTAGCGGGTTAGCTAAAAATGAAAATGTTATTTCCGCCGAAAAAAAGGGCTTGTGCTCAATTATTCACGTATTTGTATCTAGCGGCGAAAAAATATGATGAATAATAAAAAATTTCTCTGCGCGCACTGATTGAGCTAATTGTCGAGCAAGCATGCAAAAAAATATAAAATATATATGAGGGAAAATGTTTCGTTGGCACCATCTTTAAAAACAAAATAAAATATATGTAGACATCGTGAGACTGTACAAAATAAATCAATGATATCTTTTTTTTTGAAAAAAATTGACCGTTGGTCATTTTTGTGCGGGTGGAACTAACAGACTGAAACTTGAGAACGGAGTAAACAGAACACTGAGAACAGAAAATAAATTTGATGTTGCAAAAAAAACACATATAAAAGAAATAATATTCGGCGGCCGGAAAATGTACTTGAAGATGACAAAACACAAAGAGAGGGCGATTCGAAAAATGACCAACCAAAAATCAATTTTCGTCTCAGAATTTATAGATCCTCTCTGAAAATATTCAAAAGAAAAAAAGAAGCTTCAAGATTTCTTGGACCTCTAGATCAATAATCGAAACATTTTTTGTCTCTCAAAAAAATGAGTGACAAAAATGAGAGAGTTTGAGAGAAAAAAAGAAACATACAGACGAGTGAGAGAAAGAACAAAAAAATAATGATAGCGTTTTGCAAAGTGCATTTTTCTGTTCATTTTTTCTCGTTCGGCGGCTTGAAGGCAAAAAGAGGGAAAAAGATAGAGAGACGCAGAGAAAACCAGAAAGATGATAAGTTGTGAGATAAAGATGAGGAGACGCAGGTGCATGAAAGACAAGAAACTGAAAAAAATTGTTGAAGAATAATGATGATGATGATGATGAGGAGAGAATTCTTGATGATGATGGGACAAGAAGAAGAAGAAGAACAAAAAATGAAAAGAAGATGATGAAAACGGAGAAAAAAATGTAGAGAGAAGCGCTAGCAGGGCTCTGGAAAATTAGTTGCATTTTTGGCCAATTTGTAGCAGGAAATGCTAATTTGCAGACACAAAAAAAATGATGAGAGAATAAAAAAATATGATGAGCAAAAAAACATTGAGAAAAAAGGGCACTGTAAACAGATGTGAGGATGGACGAAATATATTAAAGGAGAGAGAGTGCAGGCGACGAGAGTTACTGAACGTTTAGAGAGAAACCAAGAAGACATTGGAGACGCAGAGAAATGAGAAGGTAAAAGATGCAGAGTAGTATATCCCAAAGGTAGTAGAGTCAATTTCAATTGAACTATAAAATTTCTAGATTCAGGAAATTTTATATCAAAAAATTGTGAATAAAAATATTTTAAATAAAAAAGTTAATCATAGTGCTTTATTCGTTATTTCAAATAGCTGGTTTCAATACTCGCTGTAGATCAAAAATATTTTTCTATATCTAATAACCTTTGAAGTGGTTAGAGACACAGAGAAATAAGAAAAGTTTAGACGACTAGAGTTAGATTCGAGTTTTTTCATGTATTTTGAATATTCAGCTAGAGAAGCGAGAAGATCAGAGACGCAGATATCTCTATCACAAAAAGAGAGTTCAGACTAACAGAAAATCCGCTCTGAAATGCATAATTCGAATTTATTAACAATGAAATTTTGAGAGACGCATACAATTTGAACTCTTTCAAAAGTACAACAAAACCAAACGAGAAACGTTTTCAAAACTTTCTCACCAGAAAAAAAGGCAACACATACACAAAAAATGCTTCTTCTTCTTCTTCTTCTTTTTCTCTTCGTTTTTTCTGCTTTCTTTTCCGTTTTTTTCTTTTTCGTCATGTTCCTTCTCAAGAAAAAAAGGTCCGAGTAATGCGATGAGTGAAATAGTAAGCGAGATGAAGAGACGCAGATATGGAAAAATGAGAGCAAAAAGGGTAACTCCGTGGGTGTATTCTGGTCTCATGGATTCTGTATTAGCAATGTGTTTTCAGCTTAGATAGAAGATAATTAGGAGCTGAAAAGTTAGCCTAATTTTCTCTGCGTCTCTGGCTATCTCTAGCTGTCTGACCCTTACAAAAATGAAAGCAAAGATCGAACAAAAAATGTTCACACGAACTAACAATTAAATATAACTTTTGAGCAATTTCCGGGATTACGCAACACACAAAAAGGAGCAAATGAAAAAAAAAAGAAAATAGAAATGGAAATTCTCAACTCTCAATAATTTATACGTCATGAATAACAACAAAATTCCCTCTATGAATAACAAATTTGGCCAGCAAAAAATGAAAAGAAGAAAAAAGAAAAGCAAAAAAACAAAAAACAAATTTAGCTCATCTCGCACAGAAATGTGGGCGTTACTCGTTTTTTTTGAAGTTCAGTCCATAGAATCTCAAGAGAGTCAGTCATCTGATGGACAAATCTCAAAAGTGCATTTTTTGAGGGAGGGACGATAAACAAAAAAATGACTAGTAGATGTTTTTCGTGCGTCTGGAACAGGTGGATTTTCAGACTGACTGGTCTATTGTTTTGACTCCTTGAAAGGAACGAGGACACGTCATTTTTACTTGGTAAAAATAGAAATGACTCAAGTTCTTTTTTCCAAGAAAAAAAAAAGATTATCACGGCTTTTAAAAAGATCATCAAGAATTTTTAATCTACATAGCTTACGAGAAAGGAAAAAGCAAAAATCCCCGGAAAAATTTCATTAAAAATTCAACGAGAGAGCAAAAAATCGATGTCCAAGTTTTTTTTTCAATGTTTTCTTCATCCTCAAGCTCAAGCTCATATTAATCGAGAGAGAGAGGCCAAAACTTTTTTTTTCATTTTCTTTTTATCGAGGCGCCGTCGCCGCGCGCGATCTGAAAATGAGAAAAAACACGGAAAGAAGAAGAAGGAGGAGTAGAAAATAAGATGAGCGAAGAAAAAACGAGAAAGGCACAAAAATAATTAGAAAGGAGCAGAACAAAAAAACGATACTTGTTTGGGTTCTTTTCGAGCAAAATACAAATTTTAGAAAAGGGGTGTGTTCGGAATTTATTAGAGGTCAAAAATTTCCAGGATTTTCCAGTTTCAAAAAAACATCTACGAAAAACTATTATTTGAAAAACCAGAAGGTTTATAAATCCAATTCGGAAGATAATCCAAAATCTAAAAAATATCCGAAATTCCAACTTCGCTATCTGATCCCAGGGCACAGTTTTGTGGGCGGAGCTTCAAATCAATCAAAATTATTGCAAAAGTAAAAACAAACAACACTCTATTTTAACGTCAGAAATCAGAAAAAACCTGATTATCATTCATTCGACCCAGCTCCCTCTTCTTCTACCAAAAAATTGAAGAAAAAAAAAACAAATTTTGGATGATTATTTAGGGAGAAAAGTTCATTCTCTGACCAGAATAATAAATGTATATACATAAATATTATTTTGCAAAAATATGGCAACATTTAGTACATTCTCTCTACAAAATGAAAAAAAACCAACAGATGAAGGAAAAGAAAAAAATAAATAAATCGAACGAATGTGTAAAAAAAAAACTATTATTATTTTCATTATTATCATTTTTGTTGCTGCTGCAGTAGAAAAAGAAGAAGAACAAAAAATGACAAAAGTCGAGTGTTAATACGACGGCAAAACGATAAGATCAAAAAAATTTGAATCAATTTGATTATAATAAAAAATTAAATAAATTTTAATCTTTGATTCGTTGTTTTTGGAGGAGCAAATAAATAAATACGATTTTTCAAAAGTCATGTGTTTTTGAAACTTTGGAAAAATTGGCGAATAAAAACGAAAGAAAACAACTGATAAGAGAATGTGAAAAATATATCAAAATGACCTTATCGATCTTCGGTTGTTAGAATTCCCCTGTCAAATTTGAGACAATAAAATAATTAGCAAACAAACAAAGCAGATAAAAACATCTAACATTTTCTGAAAAAGTGCCAAGATTTTTTTTCAGAGACAGATAAACAAATATCGAGGCTCAGAAGTCACAAGATTTGAAATTTTTCAAAGTTTTTCATGAAATTTGGCACCAGAAAATGTCAATGAAAACTTTGGTATCAAACAAACAAACATCTTATAAATCACGTACAAAAAACATTGGTTTCAGAATTGACGGAACGAAACGGAAAAAAAGACCTACCGTTTTTGAAAAAACAGTGTGACCGTTGAAACATTGGACATTATTATCAAAAAATTGAATCGTTTTGCTGGTCTGAAAATGTTAGGTTGTGAGATAAGGAAAAATCAAATTCCAAACTCACAGAAAATTTGGAAAAATTGTGATTAGTTGACTAGAAGGTGGAATGAAACAACATAATTCGAATCAAAATTTTTGTCATCCGCAAAAATACCAAATCAAATTCTCGAATATTTTCCGGAATTTTGACATAATTCAACTGAAAAAATAAACTTGAAAAACAATACTTTTTGTCTGAAATTACCTGTTGAATTCTGAAAAAACTGTAAAATTTTCCCATTCATCCCCAAAATCCCTCTTTCAATTTTTACGACGACTTCAAAATTATGAGAAAATAAAAATGACTCATTTTCACATTTGGAAAAAAAACCAACCAAGAGGTCACGCAATTTATTGTTATTAATTTCCATTCTTTTTTTATTTTTGAAATAAAAACAAATTTTTTCTTCAATTTCCAATTCATAAAAAACTTTTATATAAAAATAAATAAATATCACAAAGAAAAAACAAAAATATCAAAGTTCCAATCATAAATTTTAAATAAAAAAAATAGAAAGACACCTGATCAAAATGGATACAAAAAAAGAAGGAGACCTACAAAAAGTGATATTTCAAGTAAATATGACCCATTTCAAAAATTGTGGCAATTCAAAGTAATTAAATTAAAATATTATCATTGTGATTATGAAGAGTGACAGTTTAGACATACCACTCTTTAAAATCTTTTTTCTTATTATTCGCACTTGGTGGTCCGTGTCCATTTCCATTTCTCATTAAAGTTGCACCATTTCCATTTGTTATCACTGATCCTTTAATTGGTTCATAGCCATTTCCATTGATCTGAAGAAAAAATATGTTGAGAAGGTGGAAACTTTTTTGGATAGTAACTCACGTGTGTTTTTGCTATCAGCGGCTGCGTACAACTATCATTATTTCGATCGTGGTTCATTGGGGGAGAAAGTTCTGGAGCAATTGCGGTGTATCCTGATTGTGCTTTCATAGCCTGGAAAATAAGATTATTTGAATTTATAATCAAAGGAGATCTAGATAATTTGCCTATGCAGAATAATATTTTGTAATAAAAAAATCCTGAGTACTTTATTTCAAAGTTTTCAAATGTGAAGTCTAATAAAAAATCTTCATAAAATTTCAAATATTTGTTTTCGAAAATGAAATTTGGTTCTCTAAAAAGGTCACGTGAAAAAATCAATTAATTTTTATTAAACTTTTCAACTCCCTCTCAAAATCGAGAACCGAAAATCCGAAATATTTTCCAATGATAAAAAAATTCGGTATTCTTTCCAATTCGAAAACAAGGTTTTCAATGATCAATTTTCTCATAACTAAATAATTCAATTCAATTCCACTCACCATTGTATAATGTTCGGAATTCGGCGGATTTTGTCTACATTTGAACACGAAAAACACAACAGCTGCAATCGCAAATATCACAGCCAAACTCGAGCACATAATAAGTGGAGTTCGCGGAAATTCGCCATTTTGTGTATCTTGCATCGTGACTTGTGTTGTTGAAATAATTCCAAATGGTGTTGTCGGTCGAACTGGATGCAGATTAAAAGGCGCTGATTTTAGAGTGGTTTTTGGTCCCAAACTCGAAGTGATTAATGCAGTTATTTCAGCTTCCTCCTTTCGTCGATTATCTGAGAAAATTTAAATTTAGGATTTCTTTAGATTTTTTTTGAAAATATATTTTCGTGAATACTTAACAATATTGAAAATGCTTCACACAAAAGCTTCTAAAGGTTCGAAAAAAAACTAAAGGTGGGAAAATTGGAAAAAATAAAAAATGTTCGAACCAACAACAAAAATCCACACACATCAGTCAAGTACGGTAGGTGAAAAAATGGAGGGAAAAAAACAGAAGAACTCAATGGAAAGGAAAAAGGCGACTAATTGAATTAGGTGCAAAAAATGCAAAAAAAAACGTAGAAAAGTAGGGGAAGGAAAAAAAAGAAGAATCTGAAAAAAATAGAAGAAATGCACTTCGATGATTAGTGTTGGCGGCAGCGGCGACATGCAAAAAAAAAAAGGAAAAAGTGAGCAAAATTAGGGTTGAGCAACTAAAACTAAAGAGTTCACAAGGGAAGAAGACTTGAAGGATTTTTTCTGTATTTTTGGCTGTTGAAAAAATTTCGGGCAACGACATTTTGTGAGTTGCGTGAAAAATTCCAGAAAAACTATATATTCTCGAGAAAAAGTCGCATCTTTTACATCAGAACACGGAAAACATATACATTTTTCATTTGAGAGCGAGATAGAGAAAAATAAGATGACAAGTCAAGCTCGGAAAAAAATAGTGAGTCTGAAAATGATCATGCTTCTTGGGCGGGCTCTCACGCACTTTTTCGCGCCAGGGTTGTCAAGGTGACAAATTTTCAACATGCTTTTGTTGTTTTTTTGAGGTGATAAATTAGATTTTTTTTCAAAAGCCAAAAAATCTGCGCAAAAAAGCTAATCAATGGCAAAATTTTTCATTTTGAGAGTGGGATTAGTCGAAAATCGTATATCCTCTCTCATTTCTAATCCAGGTGAAAAAAATGGGCGCAAAAAAACAACAAGCCAATTTTTCTTCGCTTCGAACAATGAAAAATCGAGGTTTTTGTGTGGCGCAGCAAAAAAAGAAAAGAAACCGGAAGAAGCCTTTTTACCTTTCTTCGAGATTTCTAAACGAGTTGTTAACAAAAAAGGGACTTTTTAGGAGAGAGAGAAAGAAAAATGGGAGACACAGAGAAAGAGTGAAGAGCATTCACAAAAGCTTTGAAACAAAGATTGCTTGGTAAAAAAATGTGTGTGTTGATGAGTGAAAGGTGATTTTGGCGGAGAACTTTTCGATGACTGGGGAAAAAGTTTAAAGAAATATTTTTTAGTGGTTTTTTTTTTAAAGTTTTTTTTTAAATTCTTAATGCAAGTTTGCAATAACGATTACAGATTTCGGATTATATTTTATTTTAGAAATTAGATTTGAAAATTTCTAGAATTATTAGCCACATCAAAAAAAATTCTGACAAATTCTGTATTTCTCTAGAGATCGATTTTTTCAAATTCCATATCAGAGTTCTTCTAAAAAATAAATTTTCCAAGCTCTGAATTCTCCGCCAAATGAATTCTACACACATTTTCAATGAAACGAACAACAAGAAAACACACTGCAAAAAAGGTGAGAAAAAGCGAAATCAAATCAAAAATCCAGTCAGTCATTCCACATTCCATCTTTCGAAATCTCACCATAAAAAGTAGTCGGTTTCGAAGTTGTCGACGTGGTTGTTGTCGTTGTTTTCATCGCAACTGTTGTTCTTCCAGTTTTATTAGTTCTCCAAGCTGGCCCAGTTACTTGTGGTTCAGGTAATTCTTCCGCCTGACTCCAAATACTCGATCCAAGATAATCTGGATTTTTCTCAGCCGCTTCTTGAATACTAGAATACGGTCTAGGCAAAACTGTCACTTTTTTCAGAGTTGTCGCAACTTTTTTAGTTGTTGTAGAACCAATTGGTTCTGGTTCACCAAATAAATCATCAGCTGAGCCTTCTTGTGGATTTGGCTCATCTGTGATTAGAGACAATTCAAAAACAGGTACTGTTGATGGTGTTGTTCTCATTTTTTTGGTGCTCGTTATGATTGTGGATGTAGAAGGAGGAGAAGTAGATACTGTAGTTGTGGTAGTAGATGCTATAGATTAAAAAAATGAATAGAAGTTAGTTTTTTTGCGAAAAGAAAGAGGTTTCGAGGAAAAACATGTGTGTACTGTGTGTGTGAAGTTATGCTGTTAGTTTTCAGAAAAATCTGGAATTTAAAATCGGGAGGAGAAAAAGAACTCACTTGTAGTGGTTTTGAGAAAAGTTGTAGTTGTGACTGGTTCGGTTGCAGTTGGTAAAACCGGCGAGAAGAAACCTGAAAAAAAATGAAGTTAAGTGAAGTGGAGAAAGAACGAATGATTTCTTGAACTTATTTTTTGGTATTCGGGTAATGGGATAAATACCGATATTACAAATTCTCTTCAAAAATCGAAAATCACGATCTCTAGAATTTTCCCACGTCACAACTCATAGTCAATATTCAATAAACGTTCCCCCAAAATATTACCAGTACTTCTTCCATTTTTCTGATTCTCAACCTCTTCATCTCCACCTTCATCTTCGTCTAAATCCTCATCAGAATCATCAATCTCTTCAATTTCAAGAGCCGGTTCAGATTCAGAAGAAGAAGAAGAAGCTAAGGGCGATTTTCGAACGGGTTCTTTATAGTTCGACGCAAATACAGGTTGGAAATTAAAATTCTGCTGTTGGCAGATTTTATCCTCTGGATGCATTAGGCACAAAAGTGATGGTTGTGGTGTGGTTGTTGTTGGTTTCATAGCTTTTTTCAGGTGAGGGCGGATACTTTAGGTTTATAAATTATTTAGAAAATTGGCAAATAAACGAGTTGAAATAATATAAAATAAAAGGAAGAAGTAGGAATAGAAAGAAGCATGATAATTGGCAATATGACACTTTTTTTTGAGGAAAAAAACGGAAAAAGAACTTTTTTTCTACTTGTTTCAAAAGCAAGGGTGAAAAAAAAGAAAGATGAATTTTAAAATATTCATGAGCTCAACTTTTTCTACCCAGCTATATTTCTTCGGAAAAAAACGAGAAATATTTTTGATTTTTCTCTGGAACAAGATGAAGTAAATAAAAAATAAATAAATGAATTATTTTGCGGTTCGCCGGATCTCAGCCAGTCAGAATTACAATTCGTATTTATTTTTTTTTCGTTACAATTTGTGTTCATTTTTTCTCTGATAACGGAAATTCGAACGGAAATTAGTCAGATCTTGCATCCAGAACAGAACAGATCTAGAAATAGAAAAATATGAAGAAAAAAAGTTGGGGCAACAAAACTTTTATTATTTGCTTCTTCTTCTTCCATTTTTTTTCGGCACAACAATAAAAAAGGTGGTCAGAAAGAAGAAAGGCAAAAAAAAGTTTTTTTTTCTTGAAACGGAAAAAATAATCGCAAAAAAGTGACGATTTTTATTTGGTCTGCAAGCGAAAAAGTTGGAAGTGCAGAAAATTAGCGGAACTTTTTTCGGATGAAAAACATGTCCAGAAACATGTCAAACAGGTTGCTTAATTAAAAACAAAAGTTATTCGCATTTTTTTCAGCCGGAATCGAGAAGAAGGAAAAATATACGATGCGCATGCGTGGCAAAAAATCCTAGGAGCGATAATTTGATTTTCCAACCAACATCCAGTCGAAACGGAAAACACCAACTAATTTTTAATTGGATGAAATTGCAACAAAAAACAAGCAAAGAAGGTATAAAATCTAGTGAGAGAAGACTAAAATTGAGAGTATCCTAGAAATAAGAACAGAAAAATGATGGTCCCAATTTACTCGATAAAATTATTGGGGGTGCGTGAAAATATGGATGTTGTGTGGATGAGAAAAATTAATTCGGGCTAATTTTTTGCTGGTCCCAAAATCTATAGAGGGCCATCAAGGCCATTAGTGAAAATTAAAAAATTTTCCAAGATAACCCAAGGTTCTGAAGTCTAGAAATTGGCCTGAAAAATCTATGGAATCCTAAAAATAAAATCCAATTGAAAAATTTTGTTACTGTTTTTGAAAGACCTCGCAAAATGAGAAAAAAGTTCCAAAATTATCTGACATGAGATGATTTTTCAAAAGGACCTCTATAGTCAAGATTTTTAACACCCAAAAAAGAGTGAATTCTCAGCCAACCACAAAAAACGCCAAACGCAGCAGATAGCCAACAAAAAAAAGTTTGAGCGCCATCAAAAAATCCCCAAGGGTGCGATACACCAACCACCCTTTTTATATTCTTCGGGAGCAAATTTTTTCGTGAATTTTTCTGCGGAGCAAAAAAAAGAAAGAGAAGAGCAACGAAAAAATGAAGAAATATCTAGGATGGGAAGTGCAAATTATGCAATAATATTTATTCAAATGAGCATTTTTCGAAACTTTTTTCGATGATTTAGAATTTGGAATTTCAAATTTAAAGACTTCCGGTGTAGACGGTTTTTGTTCTTTTAAATTCAGAAAAAAAAAACAAAAATTCAGAAGAAAAACAAAAAATCATGAAAAGAAATTTCGAATCGAAAAATGAGGTTGTTTTTCATTTTTCTCGACTCACTCCAGTTATTTTAATTTATGCACAAAATTTTTGGAGAAAAATTGAGAAAATCGACATATGTTTCAGTTATCTAGATTTATAAGGCAAGGCGCCAGGAAAAAAGTACATTTCAAAATGTTGAAAAAAAGGAGATTATCCTTTTTGTCGGCGAAGATTTTCAACGTGGAAAAAAAAAAGAAAAAGAAGAAGACTTATACGAAAATATTATAAACTAATTCCTTTTTGGACTACTTTATACAGTTTTCAGATTGCCAAAAATCTAGCTGACCACACAAGAAAAATAATAAGAAGATTAACAGATTTTTCCCAAAAAACAAGAAAAAATTAATAATAAAAAGCAAGACAAATATTTTTCTTCGTTTCCAAGGGAAAAAAAGTTGCCCAGAATTGAGAAATAAAATTTTTACGATTCTCAAAAGCCAAAAATATTAATTTTCAGTCAGTTTTATGAAAAAGGGAGCCTTTAAATAGGCGTGAAAAAGTGAGTAGATCAAATTTCAAAATGGCGTGCATTTTCATTTTCAGATTCAATTCCATCCAAAAATATACATAAAAAATAAAAGTATCTAGAATTTCACACTTTTAACGGACATTATAAAAAATAATAGACCTTGTTTCGCAAAAATCCGATCCGGTTAGAGAAAACGAAGAATTGAGAGACGCAGAGAAATGCGTGTACGCGTAATTTCACCTGGTCTCTCTAATATTTATAAAAGGGCTTCTTCTTGGGATTCAATTCTTTCGTGTTTTGATGAAATTGATGTGACTAGATTCAGGAACTAATATAATTCAAGGGTAAAAAATACACCAGGTGGTGTGAAAAAAAAGAAAGGTTTCGGTGAAAAATCGAGGTTGGAAAACAACGAAGACCTAATATTTTTGGGAACCAAAGTAAGGTTTCATGAATAGGAAGAGAACAAAATTAGCCGAGTCTAGAAATATTAGTTGTAAAGTAGTTGCGCCTAGAAATTTCTAATGTCCAGGATTTGTGTCTATAAGGCATAGTTCTCAAGTAGCGGTGTCTAGAGTATCTAATTGTCAAGCTTCGAATTTTTTGAAAAGAAAAACGTAAACATGCAAAATTTTGAACATATTTTGGTGCCAAAATATGTCACCATCAGACCGAATTTTTTGAACAAAGATTCAGATTTTTTGCAAAAATATTTCGGGGGTCTTTTTGAACTGGGTCTAATTTTCGGAAATATTCTGAAAATCAGATTTCAATCTGCATTTATTCAAATGTTTTGTGCAAAAATCTGGAACAATTTGCCGGAGCAATTTTCGCCCAGAAATCTGAAAGTAAAACTATTTCTGAAAATTCAAAAACACATAACATTTTAAGAAAAAATGCGGCCAGTTCAAAAATTCAAAACCCTAATGAGTTTCAGAGTTATGTTTTCAATTTCAAGAAACATTGACTACTGATATTATGATAATTACCAACACCAAAAACCTAAACAACCACGCAACCACATTTCCAAATTTTGAGGATCCCTGTAGTTTTCAGAAGAGACTATGGAATCAGGGTTAGTGAAAGAGGTTTCAACATTTTGGGACCCTTTGTGACCTACCCAAAATCAAAACTCCCCGTAAACAAAACAACTAACCTTGACTATCGTCCGTTTCAATATAACAACTTTGTTGTTCTTCGATTGATAAACAACTCGGTGCCAATGATTCAATCAAAGCCTCGTTGGAATTCTGAAAATATTTTCAGATTTTTTTTAAGATTTTCAGATTTTCTCTCATAACACAATGAATAATTGACAGCTTTTCTATTCTTCCGAGAAAAAATAGAATAAGAAAACATATTTACAAAAAAAAAAGAAGAAGACGGGAATTTCAGACAACTTGTCAATAGGAATTTCAAATTTGTCTCTTGGGGAACGAACACATTTCAACACATTTTTTCGAAAAAAGAGCTCAAAAAATAGCTCAAGATACTTGAAAAAATGCCGCTGGGAGAAAAAAAAGAATTCCGTTCTAATTATTTTCCGTTTCTTCTTCAAGAATGGAATGGAATGGAAATTAATTTGGTTTACTTATTTATATTTTTTCCGGCCTGGTTCTGCTGAAAATAAGGCAAAAAACTGAGTGAGAAGAAAACAATTCTATAGCCAAAAAACATCGAAAAAATATATAACTAACCAAATCTAAGAAAAACGCGAAAATATTCAAATATTCTATTCTTCTTTTAGTTCTCTAGAAGGACAAACAAATTCCTCTTTTTTTTCGAAAACTTGAAAACAAGACAAAAAACTTGTGAATTGTCTGGCAGAAAATGTTTCAAGAAATGTATGTTTTTATCGAAAAGTAGATATTTCTTTTTCTTCTTTTTCAGGAGGACAAAAGAAAATGCAATTTGGACACAACAACAAAATAGCCGAAAATATGTATGTAAAGTGTCTGACTGACTATTACTTATTACATTCAACTGACACATTTTTGGGCACAAAATGAAAATGTGTGTTGAAAATGGGATGGCATGAGGGAATACATTATTTGTTTGAAAATGAAATTAAATTATTATAGAATGAAAATATAATTATTGAACATGTTTCAAAATGAGAGATTTTTATGAAATTGGCACTTTTTCTCGATTTTTCTAGGAATTTTTCAGAATTCTACAAAGTATCAAAAATCTCCCACTAATGAACTTGTATTTTTCAAACTTTTCAGATTATTTCTAGTAGAGATGAATTTTCCTGATACCAAGACGAAATTCATTTTTTTTATCTAGAAAAAAACATCTCAAAGTCTAAATTTAGATTTCTCCACTCTGAAATTGCGGGTAATTTCACAAGATCTATCACCTCCTTCTAAAATACCACCACTCTATAAAATTATTTTTTCCAAAATTCTCCCCAACCTAAAAATAACCTAATGACGTTCGGTTGACCACAAAAAACACCACTTTACAACTCCGCGAAAAATATTCTCAAAAACATTATTTTTTAGTCACCGACCAAACTGAACAAAAAATTCCACATGACTGCTTTGAACTTCGAAAAAAAAACGTTAGTTTTTAGACATTTCGAAAAATATAATCTCTAAACCCAAAACTCTAACCCAGAAACAAAAAAAACCAACCTCATCCATGGTCATCATAATTTCAGCAAATTCTTCGTCTTCTTCTCGACTCGAACTACTTTCACTAACTGCTGTGGTTTTTGGACTTCCAATACTATGAACACGATTTGAATCTGGAAAATAATAAGATTTATTATTTTAATTTTGTTAAATCTAAATATTTAAAAGAAGAAAAAAGTTCAGTTGATCAGAGATTTGTTTTTTTTTTCAGACGAATTTTCGTAATTTCTGAAACTGACATCTCCCAAAAAATAAATATTCATGTTCCTCAAAAAAAAAGAGAAGTTCGTAAAAATCCTATTGGTTCAAGTACATGAAACAAATTGAATGTACTTTTTTAGGACGGGGAGGGCTATAACTCTCAAGTGCCTCCGTTTCTTGGCACATATAAATTTGATGTGTTTTTTTTGAGTGAAGGTAGGTTAGATTTTTTTTTGGAAAAAAAGTGGATTTTGCAGAGAGAAAAGAAATTCGTCAGATAGTGATTTGTCTGAACCTAAAAAGGTTCACACCAATAAATTATTAAGGTCTTTCGCACTTTGATGGAATACAAAAAATCTGGGAAAACTCAACTCCCACTTCTTTCTGTTTTCTCGGAGAAAAAATCTAGTTTTGGATTCAAAAAAGGAAAAAAGTTTCGCTCCCGGGTGGGCTCGAACCACCAACCTTTCGGTTAACAGCCGAACGCGCTGCCTATTGCGCCACGGAAGCAGGCGATTCGGCTGATAAAAATTGTCAATTTGTTCTAGTGATAAGAAAAAAGTGCGAAAACAAAAACTTTCTTTTTGACACAAAAAAAAACTAGGAGGTGTTTGAGTATTTTTTCAATCCATTTTTTCCTTCTTCCTTTCTTCTTCTTCTCTTTTTTATATGGCCGAGAGCTCTTCTAAAGGGAAGCAAAAAAAAGAAGAAAGAAATGGAGGGAGGTCAGGATATTCAGAGAAAAAAAAGCATTTGCAAAAACTACTACTACTACTACTTATAGACAACACAAAAAAAATATGAAAAATGAAAAATCAAGAGACGCAGAGACTATTCAATCTAACATAAATGTACCTTAAAGCAAGTGTGTGTGTGTGTTAGAAGAAATGGATAAAATATATGAAAAAAAGTAGAGGCAGAGTGTGTGAAAATAAAAAAGAAGCCTATAGGCTTGGATGGATGGAGGGGGAGGAAATATTTAATGTCCATAAAAGATTAGACTTCTTCTTCTTCTTCATCTTTTTCTTTAATTTATTCATAAAAGGTTCTTCTTCCGGTAGTGACGCGAAAAAAGAGAAGAAGTCAAGATTTTTTGTTGACATCTACATGTTTTAACTAAATTCAACATGTGATACTTTAGAGGAAACAAGAAAAAAGTGAGCAGAGACCACCCATAAATTTTTAGTATGCGGCAGGCTTGCTGAAATCGCGTGAGGCACTTGCATCAGACTCCGCCCCCGGGACAGCGCGGGACTGTCCAAGACCTAGAAGGCCTAGTAGCCCAATCGTCTACTAGGCCATCCGTCTAGAGATCCACTTTTGATAAGGCCGGCACCTTAAGATCTTCAATGTCAAGTAACCAAGCTTACAAAAAGTCTACCCACGTCATAACTTATTTTCCCAGAAAACAAACTTATTTCGAACTCTATCGAGAAACTATAAAAAATCCTCCTAAAAATAGCAACTCTCTTATTTTTCGTATTTCTCTCTTCAAAACTAATTGATTCTATTATTTTTGTTTTCTTATTTTGTCTCTTTGCACTTTTTTCGTATAACCGAAAAAAAAATGAGTGTGTGAGAAAATCCAGAAATAGTAAAAACGTAGGAATACTACAAAGGAAGATAAAAAAGGCTGCTGAAAAAAAAAAACAGGGGGATGAAATAAAATGAAATTCGATTCTATTCCGTTTTTTCTCGTTTTTCTGCCTTTTCTTCTACCAATCTTCGAAATAAAATAATGGCAATTTGAAATCGGATGGGAATTTGACCCTTTTCGTTTTTTTTGTGGTTTGGTAGGGTGATGAAGAAGATGACAAGGAAATCGGTGCTTTTTCGGAAGTGGTACAAAATCCGGAAATTTGCAAGATTAGAACTAAAAATAAAAATAAAATAGTGGAGGCTAAATACATCAAAAATGGATTATGAATATGCAATCCTGTCAGGTAGGTGAAAATAGAAGAGAAAAAGGAGTGAATGATTTTTGAATTTTCAATGAATAATTTAAAACCTTCTATGTAACTTGTTACACTAGAGCTCAAAATGTGCAAATTTTTGGTTGGGAGGTTGTGAATTAGGCCTGACTTGTGAGGGAACATGTGAAACATCCGATTGTTTGAATGACTGAACTAGGTCATCAAAATATATCGGACCAACTAAGTTTGTAAGAAAAACATTTTCAGTAAATGTATTTGTAGAAAATTGCCGGAAAAGGATCAGATTTTGAAACTTATTCATGGTCCGAATCAAAACTCCCCAGAATCTTCTTTCAGAAAAATATAATTTCCGAAACAGTGAAAAAGTTTTTTGAAAAGAAAACTTCAGCTGCACTTTACAAAAGAAGCAAAAAATATTCTCGATCACCTCAAACATAAATAAATAATCCACACAAAAACGACTCGTTCTTTTCTTTTTTTTTCCATAAAGAAGGATCGTTTATGTGAAAAGTGAAAAGTGAAAAAAGAGAAAAGAAGTGGAGTGGATTGGGAGCTCTTTTCTCTTTGACTCATTAATTTTTAAACAAGGTGTTGGCTTGGTGAAGAAAAAGTAAAGAAAAAGAAGAACTTTTGGGAAAGAACGTAAAAATAGGAGCCACTAAAATTAATCCAAACTAAAAAAAATCATGGACGGACGAGGAAAAAAATGGAGCAAGGAACGGCAGAAGGATTAGAAATGACGCGGAAAAAAAACAATTTTTCATTTTTTTTTTCTTTTTTTTACATTCTTCGAATAAATTTAGGCAATTTTCGAATGTAGCAGAAAAGAAGAAGAAATAGGAAAAATTCAAAAATCTGTGAGACAATAATACTGAATTTTTGATTTTGTTTTCGATGAATTTTGGGAAAAACAGAATTCGCCGAGATCTCTCAAATTCTTTTTTAGTTTTGGAAGAAGAAGAAGAAATTAGGGAGAAGTAAGTAAATATGTAAATTTTCAATTATGCGATTCGGCAAAAACGGGAAAGAGAGGGGGAGCAAATTATAGGTTGAGTTCGAAAATTTTTAATGATAGCTTTCAGATTTTTCCCCAAACTTACTGCTTTCTAACAAATCCAAAATCATTAATCCATTTACATTAACTCCAGAAACTTCTCCTTGATAAGAATCATAAATCTCATTTGATCTTCTTCTTCGAAGTCTTCTCAATTTCTTCATAGATGTTCCTTCTAAATGTCGAGTATTGAAAGCAGCTCCAATTGATATTCGAGTTTGCATATTTAACAACAACAAATCAGTGGCCTCTGAAAACAACAATTATTTTCAGACTTTCGATATGATTTCAATCGGACTTCAAAATTCTAACTCACTTTTTGGTCGATATCTCATAACTGGTAAATTATCAATCTGAAGTGTCATATTTGCCTCATTTCTCGATATTTTCACAACATGCGCATAACCATCATTCAAAGTTTTTGTATAATAATTGACACGATGATCTCGATTTCCCAAATTATAATATGCATTCAAATATCCTTTATTCAAAAATATTGTAAAATAATCTTGATCAGCTGCACATTCAATCGATATTAGAACACCATTTGGTTGAGTTGTTGAAAAAGAAAAAACAAAATAATCTTTGGAAGTAGTTGGTCTTTCACTTGGCAAATATTCATAGAAAATCATCGCCGGATTTCCATCAAATCTCACCGATGTTGATGGATTTTGACACCTATCTCCAGAATGAGCTGTTAGACTACAATCACATCTAATAGAAGACCAAAGTTGGATACATCTTCCGGAATTCGCACACGCTCCAGGATCACATCTCGAGACAGGTCCTGAAAAATGAAGATTTTTATATTGGCAGAAAAACATTTGAGAAAATCATTCCAAAAGTTTAAAAATAAAAAATGAAAAATAAAAGCGTAGAAGTTCATTTTTACCATGATTCTCCGGTGAATGTCTAGGTCGATGTTCTGAATTCTAATTCAACTTTCTAATTTTCAAATCAACTTACCACTACATCCTCGAATAACATTCAATTTATTATCAGCTTCTTCAAAAATATCAATTGAATTTTCATTAATTCGAAGCGATGAAATACATCCACGAAAACTATTCGAAGGTCGAGACAAACCAAGTGGATTACTTCCAATATACAATTTTCCCGAGATTCTTGGAATTGTTTTCTTGAATTTTGAAACATCAAGGGACATTGTTGTATTATCAACCAAAATTATATGTTCTGGATTTTTCTCGTCTTTGTAAATCAAAACATTGTGCCAACGCATATCACTCAAATGTTGATGGTACGGTAGTTTTGGAGATAACACGTGGATTTCTTGGCCAGCAACTCGGTAGGTATACTTCAGTCTGAAAAAAACATTTGATTTGACAACGAGTTTTCTGCAAACATAATACGAATTTTTAAATTACTTACCTTCCATCATAAGTTTGAATCTTATAACTCTGATCATAATCATGTTTCGGAACTGAATACATCAACATCGAGGATCGCATCAAAGTTTGGAATTTGAATTGAATTCTAAAACTACCAGTCGAAGTGAATTGTGCAATCTTTTCACTTGAAAACGATACAAAACCACTTGAATTTGAGAATGAGATCGATGACGATTTTGAAGTTTTGATGTTTCGCTGTCCTTTTTGATTTTCTCTTAAACTTGATTTTCCAGTCCGAATCTTGTTTTTCAAATAATCTTCGCCATTGAATATGAATTTTGCAAAGTGTCCAGCGAAATTTTCATCACGTGGATTTGGTGCAGATGGATGTACAGAATGGCCGATTCCTAATTCATCTATTGCAATTGTCAGCTCCTTTTTGAGGTAAACTATAATGATTCGATTGATTTTTTTAAATTATATTTTTTTAAAGCTGTAAACTCACTGCTATGCCCCCAGAACCCGTCCAGATATAACAATAATTTTTGACCAAGTCTTCTGATTTGCAACTCATGCCAATGATTATCGGAAAGTGATTTGCCCCAAGAAAATGTGTTATTTGAACCCGTGTCTTGAATGAATAAATTGAGCAAACTATCATTGAGAAATACAGTGATACGATCTTTCATTCCATTTACGCCAGTATCCAGAAGTACACCGCGTGAATTTGAAGTCTGAAAAAATTGGATGTTTTTTTTTAGCTTCCTATTGAAAGAAGAACTAACTCTAAATCTAATAATGATATGTTCAACTTGAGAATATTTAGTGTGTGCCAATACGTGGACATCATCATTTGCTCCAAGCATTTCAACACTTTGAACTTCTTGTTCACATCTTCTTCCTTCAAACATTGTATTCGAACAATCACATTCAAATCCATTCAACCTTTTCAAACATTTCGCATAATTTTGACATGGATTTGGATCACAAACATCTAAATCATTCGATATTGCACATCCCAATTCAATTCCACTCATATTTCTCGAACTATTCTCAAAATTCTGCGCAATTTTCGCAGAAACTCCATTTATTCGAATATTCTTGATACATCCAACAAATCCTTTTTGTAATGCTATCGACCAAATTGAAGATGGATATATTATTGAGTTATTTGGAACATTTCCAATATAAATCGGATCATCAATAATCAAATTAGAAGACACTCCTGGAGTATTGAAGTCGATTTTGATGGCATCAACAACAACTGAACCAGTTCGAGACATTCTATCTAATTGAACATGATGCCATTCACCATTGCTTATTTTATTTGCAGTTGTTTGTAATCGAACAACACCAGATCCAAGATTAATTATCATAAAAAGATGACTATCAATTAGTTCGAAAGCTAGAAAATCAGTGGCATTGTGTTGCATCACACCATGATAAAAAAGCAACCCATCAGATGATGTGGATCGGAAGTTGAAAGCTGCAACATTTTTTGGAATATATTGGAAAAGTTATAATTTTAAAAAGACATACCAAGAGATCCACTTGAAAGACTATTCCATTTCGGGAGTTCGAGATAAGCAGATCCTCCAGTGAAACTTAAAACATCTGATTTGTGTGCAGGATTCTGGCATGAATATGAAATATCGCCTCCTGTTTTGATAACACTTCCTCCATAACTTTGATCAGCCAAATTGACAAAAAGAATTCGAACAGCATCAATATCATAGCGAACCTATGAATTTAAAAATTTCTAGACGTGTCATCTTCAAAAAAAGTTTTCTACCTTCTTCATACATCCTCTAAACGAAACTCTATTAACATCTTTCATTGGATTTGATTTCGGAATCGATCCAAGATATGCAAAAGTATTTGTGATCCACTCAACTTCAGGAGCATATTGTCGAATTTCATCTCGTTTTCCATCAACAATTAATGTCATCTGAAAAATATATTTATTATTCACTAAACTAAAATCATCCAAGAACATGCTAATGGGATATTTGAACTGAAATCAGATTTGAGAAGGAGGAAAATTGAACTAAAATTGAAGAAAAAGGGAAAGCTGGAGATAACCATTGTCAGCGAAAAACTGCAAAACCGTGCTGTCAAAAAATGAAATCGAACCAAACCCGCCCGAAAAATAGATATTGAATGAGTTTACTGTAATTTTCATAGGAATCACACTGAACTTACATGAATAGCCATCATTTCTTCCGAATGCTACAAAACCCTTTTTTGAGAATTTTTCTTTTATTTGAGATATAATGAATTTAAAACGTGATCGTTCATTATTCAGTTTCAAAAGTAGATAGATAATCTTACCATATGAAGAGATCTTTCAAGAACCACATAATGCCACGAATCATCATCATATCTTTGCGATGGAAAAGCGTTGAACATTCGAATCAATCGAGCATCAGATCCTTCGAATTTTGAAGTTGCGATAAGTGCACCATCTTGAATCATCAAATGAATAAAACTTTTCTCATCTCCAGCGAAGAATAGCATTGAAGTTCCATGAACTGTTTTGAAAGATAGAGTGATATTTTCGCGAAGTGCAAAAATAGCAGCAGATGTGTTTGTGGAAACATCATAACCAACCCATTCATCACCACCAAACGTAAGTTCACCATCTGATTTCTCTGCAAAAACACGTTTTTCTTGGAGAAAAATCGAAAAAAAAATCAATAATCTGCGGTACACAAAGTGCCACGCATTATTTCGTTACAAGACACAACTGGATTGTGTTGTGTGTCTTTAAAATACGGTAGTAAAAAATAAATGGTTTTTTTATTTTTCAAATTTTCAATTTTCAAAAACCCACCATTTTCACAATTTTTCCCGTCGTGATCACTCAAAGAGCAATCACATTGAGCTCCTTCATTTGTCGAATAACAAATTCCATCATTCTGACAACTGAAAACCTCTCTTGAACTCATTGTTCTTGTTCGGCAATGATCATCTTCATTTGTCCTTGCTCCTACGGCTTCCAATAATTGCGGTGATGTTACTCCTACAAAATTTGATTTTTTTTCATTATTCCTGGTTTTTGAAAAAAAAATCAATCTGTGAGGTGCTGAATTCCACGCTTGGTTATATATCTGTGAATTGATGAGTTTACATTCTAAGGGTACACATTTTCAACACACTTACTCTCTTTAATTATGTCGATTTTTGCTGAAACAGTCGATTCGAAAACTTACACTTTTTATCTATTTAGAACTAACCTTGAGGATATTGTCGATACATGAGATTTCGAACGTTAACCGCAAGATGTCTTGCATATCTTCGTAATGGTGAACTCATAATTGGTAACATGTGCATATTTGGTGGAAGTCCGCCAATATAAACATCCGAACTTTTGAGAACATTTCCGAATATGAAACTTCGCTGATTCAGGATTTTGAAAACCAAAGTGAAATCAAGTTCTAGTTTAACATTTTCCCAAGATTGAAAAATTGTCAACGTATGCCATTTATCGTCATCAATTCGAACCTGAATTATTCTTTTTTTGATATTTTTCATTGAGATCTTTGAAATTCCTATTCATCAAAAATTTCAGAAACAGAAACATCAATTGTTGATTCCCTAACCCATAAAAAAGAGGTCGGTCAAATGTTTCGTTGAAAAAAAAACGAACTGAAAAAATAGTCTCTTGGGAATTCGCTGTTCCTCAAACATAGTTAAAGTATAAAATATTTGAGAAATTCGAAGATTGAGTGTCTTATTTTTATTTTAAAAAATAGAGAAAAATAGAAATATGAAAAAAAAAAACATACTTCTGCGACTCGAATTGTGTTGATAGCTCGTCGTTGTCCAAAATCATTCGAACTATCACCGATTCTAAAATCAAGCTGTAGATGTCCGTCAACTATTGATAATGAATAAAAATTGCCATGAACTCCTCCGTCATCAGAATACAGAAGAAGTCCGTCAGATTGACGAGTTTTGATTTCCATTGATAGTGAATTTTCGAACGCGTGTGCCCATTTCGGATAACTAGAAAATAGCAAAATTGTGAATGGGATTGGAATTTCTGATTTGAACCTGGACCTCAGGAACCTTTTCCAAGTTTTCAGATAATTGTAACAGTTTTTAGGAAAAGTAGTTCTAACTCAAATTTATCGAAAATTGTAGTCTGATTCATCGTGAAGAAGAAATTTGTGTGTTGTTTGAGCTTTGATGATTCGTAGTGCAAAATAATTATTTTCGGGAATAAATTTATATTTATTTTAGCTAGTTCCATTAGTTTTCTGAACTTTAAACTCTCATGTGATTTTTCGAGATCTCCAATACAGTCACAATTCTCGAACCTAGCCTATATAACAAGCTCATATTTTAACCACTTCTCTAATTTCATCATGACTTACAGTAACCCATAACTCACCGTGCGTAAGAAGTTGGTGATCCACTCAAAATAATGGCTCTTCCAGATATCACCAAAAAATTCGAAATGACCAAAAATAAAATCCAGGTTCCACCGGTGTCAGCAAAACGTGGTCGACACGTCGCTTTCATTTTTTTCTCAATTTTTTCCAAAAAAATTGGATTACAGATTTTTTCGATGCATAATAATCTGCAAAATGCTTTATTTTTGTGTACAACAAGTTGGTCAGTCGAACAAAAAATGTGGCTCAAAAAATAAAACGAGTGAAAAAGAGGGGAGAGCACAAAATCGGAAATATCATGAATAATTAATATTCACAATTAGAATATTCGCCCCATCTCATTTTTTTTTATTTCGAAAGTTGACTTTGAGCTAAACTCTTTTTTCCCTTGTTGCTCGAAAATTTTGTTTTTTGAAGAAAATTGTTCAGACGTTTTCAGGAAGGTATAAAATATATTTTGAGAAGAGAAATTCGAGGAAATCACGAAACTACACTTGTAATAATTAGGGGCCCTTTTTGTTTGGGGAAAAAAAGAAGAAGCAAGGTGAAAAAAGAAAAATGGTGGGCAATTATTGTTTCAACATAATTAGACGCTAGCCGTGAATTTCAGACTTTTGCTCTCAAAAAAAAGGAAATTCAAAAAATCCCGGAAAACTCGGCGAACCGGAAAAGTACTTGCTGGAAAAAAAGATGTGCGAAAAGATAACTGGAAAAGAAATCCATTTTTGCATAAATAGATTTTTTTTTTCGTCGCCGAGAATCCTCTTAAATAAAAATAAAGTGATTCTGATTTTCTGGAAGATATTTTGAGAGAAAAAAGTAAATGTCCACACATGCAAAAATCCATAAGAACCCAGAAAAATTAGACTAATTATGTGTTTTTTTATTCGAAAATAGAAATTTTCAGAAATGATGGATTACATTATTATTTTTTGGGCATTATTTTTTATTCCTTTCTCTTTTTTCTCATTCTGAAAACGAAAATGAAAATGAAGAAACCCAGTAGAGCTTGAAAAAAAATAAACATGGTCAAAAGAATTTTTAATCTTGTTTTGATATGCGACGCCACAAAAACGTGAGAAAATGTTGTGGAAAAAATTGGGGGGCACATTTTAATCGAGTTTCAGTTTTTCCGGTTCGTTGAAAGTGCAAAAGTGAACGCGAGGCGGAGAAATTGAATTTTGGTTTAATTTTTCTGAAAGACTATGGCTTTGGCTTCAGGGTTTTCCGAGAAATAAAATGACGATATTCTAGAGATTAGGATTTGAAAAAAGATTGAGTCAGAATTAAGTCAAGACAAGTCAGATAATGTTTCAAAACGAAAATGTTTCAGTTTCGTTGTTTTCGTTTTTTTTGTTGTTGTTAATAAATGGCCATTTGAATGAAACAAGTGTCTCTTGGGAGCGGTGGAAAATTCGGGAAGAGGAATAAAACGACAGAGATTTTTGCCGCCAAAAAGTTTATCTCGATGTGATGTTGTGTACTACTAGAGACTAGAGTATTTGAGATTAATGAGGTTTGTGACAATTTTTGAAATATGAGTTTATGGCAGGCAGGATCTTGGTGGATTTTTAGAGGTGTCTTCAAAAGATCTGAAGCTTTCACTTCGAAGTGCAGTTATTTTTGAGACATGAAAAAAATATTTGATAATAAAAAAATTGAATTTAATTAGAAACTAAAAAATCATGAAGTTCAGAGTTTCGATTTTTTAAATACATTTCAGTGAAACCAAAGATTTTCAACAACAAAAAATTATTTGTCATCAGATGAATTTCAAAATTGAAGCCTCCAAATTTTCCTGGATTTCAAAAAAAAAGGAACTTGAAAAAACAAAAAATGTTTGAAATTTCTCAAAAAAAAACTTCAAAAATCAAACACTACATTTATGTAAAACAAAAACAAACAAGGTGTTTGTATATTCCAAAAAAAAACGATTGGATCCTAAAATATTCCCGAGAGATTTTGTAAAAGTGTTCTTGAAACTTTGGTTTTCCTGAATAATTCTATAAACTTTCACAAAAATCAAACATCTCAATGTTTCAAGAAAAAAGGAAAGAACATTGTTAGTTTGGAATGTGATTCTATAAAAAAGGACAGATTGAGTTTTGATGTCAAAGAAACGAAAAAAAAGAGAGAAAAGTTTTGAATTTCAAAAAAATTCAGAAAATAGATTAATTTAGGAAAAACGAAGGTTTCTAGGAAACGTATGAAAAATCCAACAAAAAAAAATTTGTGAAAAAATACGGAAGAATCTTCCAAATCCTTCCGAAAACCCAATTTTCATCTCTCGAAAAAACCCGGTTCCTTGAATAATCCAAATAATCACACATAAAATAGTACACTTTTAGATATTTGCATCTCGAAAAAAACATACACATACGAAATATAATTGAAAATTTCTAGGAACGAAATGCAAAAATATACATCCAAGAAAAAAAATGTTTTGGGCAATGTCAAACGTTCGAAAAAAAGAAGAAGAAGGAGAAAAAAGAAGAGCAAAAGTTTTATTTTGGCGGGCGGGCGGGTCGAGAATCCCCAAGAGCAAAAACCCGGACAACCGCGAAAAATGACTGAAAAATAACAGAGTTTCATTTACAGTGGCGTGCATTAGTGATGCATATTTGTGTTTTTTGGGTGTAGGAAGGGTGAAAATAGTCAGAATGGGGTGAAATTTGGCAAGAATACGTAAATCAGTCCTAAAAATTATCTAAAATCGAAATATGACTGATTTTGATATTTTGCCACGTGGAAGTTATATGACGTGCAAAATGATGAAAATCGCATTTTTCTCAATTTTTGCAAAACCAACTCCAATTTCTTTTTTTGTTCAATTTTTGTTAGTTTTCGAGTTAGACACTATATTTTAGCTCAGTTCAGTTATTTTGGTCCAACAAACCAAGTGTTTTGATAGAAAATGAGATCTATAGTAACCTCCTGAAATGTATACCTTCACTGAAGCATGCCATCGTTTTTGACCATGGCTGAAAGGGTGAAAAATATGTGGTTTGATTGATATTATGGACTCAAATGTTGTCAAACATTATCAAAAACTTATTTGAAAAGTTTCATATGAAAATTGATCAACTTGTTCCAATTTATTAGAGGATATGTAAAAAATGTTAAAATTTCTGTCTAACAAACTGCTCAATTTTCATGCATACCTTATTGAGAGAAGCTTGAAAGTGGGTTTTAATGACCTGAATATGTTCCTTTGATATATCTGAATCAAAGTTATCATAGATTATTATCAGTTTCCAACTCATCTCATAATTTGGTGATGCTACCAATCGATAACGCTCAATTAACGTGGTCGAATGAAAACCAGGCGTTACTAAAACACTGTTTTTCGAAAAATTTAAATAGAAAACCCAAGGAAATCATGAAAAAAGCTTTCAAAACGATTTTTGAACATATTTGAGCCAATTTGGGATGATAACAAAAAAATTATGCCCGCAGTAATATTCAGACAAAATGTTCATATTGAGATTTCCATAAAACCGTTGAAAACCATTCAATAAAATGATATTTTTCACGGATAGATCGGTTGATCGGGATTGATTTTGATGCACAGTGGTCCATCGAGTAGAATTCGCAGAAAAATACCGTTAAAAAACCCTCTTAATAAGAAAAATCAATCATGAACTTCGAATTATTCCGAAAGTTGAAAATCAAGATTTTTCATTTGTCCCAGCATAATTCTGAATTGGTAGTTCCATGTCAGGACAAACTTTCAAAACATGTTTTTGATGATGTTTGACAACATTTGAGTCCATAATATCAATCAAACCACATATTTTTCACCCTTTCAGCCATGGTCAAAAACGATGGCATGCTTCAGTGAAGGTATACATTTCAGGAGGTTACTATAGATCTCATTTTCTATCAAAACACTTGGTTTGTTGGACCAAAATAACTGAACTGAGCTAAAATATAGTGTCTAACTCGAAAACTAACAAAAATTGAACAAAAAAAGAAATTGGAGTTGGTTTTGCAAAAATTGAGAAAAATGCGATTTTCATCATTATGCACGTCATATAACTTCCACGTGGCAAAATATCAAAATCAGTCATATTTCGATTTTAGATAATTTTTAGGACTGATTTACGTATTCTTGCCAAATTTCACCCCATTCTGACTATTTTCACCCTTCCTACACCCAAAAACACAAATATGCATCACTAATGCACGCCACTTACAGATGTTTTTTTTGTGACCAGAGTTAATTAAGAATGTGTTCTTATTTGCGGGATTATTTGAGAGAGAGAGAATCATAAAAAAATAGTAGTAGTAGTGGTGGTTTTTGCAGAATTGGTTTCATGGGATGCGCAAAACGAAATTTGATATTTTAAAATCTAGGTATATATTGGAATTCCAATATTGGGTTTCCAGGTTTTGATGACAAATAAATATTTTTTTGAATATTAGAAATTGGGAGTGGTGAGCTAGAAAGAAATATTTTTGTAGCTCCCAAAGAAATATTTGAAATTTTCAAACTAGTTATAATACTGTGAAAACGAGAAAAGGTTCATAGAAATATTGTCTGACTGAAAATTCCACATCATCAAAAATTTAAAAGCTTTCAAAAAAGTTCATCGTACGAACACATATTCTACACATTTTCCATCCCATTTCTCTCTCCTTGCAAAATGAAATAAATAAAATAAAAAATGCACCAATGCGGAATGTAGAAAGTATGTATCTATAGATGTAATACCAAAAAGAAGAAGAAGAATAAGAAAAAGAACATGACCGGAAACATGCCTCTTCTTTTCTCACAACAACAATAATCAACTGATTCACTCGAAAAATTCTTTCGGACCACCCTTCTTGCCAGTCAGCCTAATCAACGCGTTTCTTATGAGAAACCAACAAAAATTGAAATTGAAAGAAATAAAATGTGAGATGAAGAGACGCAGATAATGTATGACTTTTAACAGGCAAAAATTCTTGTGGAGGAAGGACGAATGATTTAATTTGAATAAATAAAATAAATCAGTTTCTTGGTGAATAATTGAATAATTTATGGGTTTGTCAAGTATTTCAACTTGTTATTATGGATTTACATGAAAAATATTATAAGAAAAGGGCAAAACATTAAATGTCTGAAACTGAAACAAAATTGAATTTACGGCAACATGTTTTATTTTTTTTGCATAAAGTGAGAAATGTCAATTTTGCGGGCGGGCAGGCCCAGTGGGACTTTTGGAAGAAAAAAAAAAGAAAATGATTTTTCTGTTGGTGATGTTTTGCAAGTTGCGAAAATGATGAATGAGGTCTGGTCTGAAATTGGGATTTGAACAAGTTGCGGGAAAATTGAGATGTTCAAAAATTCTGAAATCGGAGAAATACAATTCAGAAATGTTGCCCTGAAGTTATTATTATTTTTCGTGATTCGAATCAACTTTGAGGTTTTTCAAAAAGTCTGTGCACATTTAGAAAAATTGCGAAATTTCAAAACTGAAGTGCGGGTTTTTTTTTCGAAAAAAATGTTTCTGAAACATATTTTTTCATGTTTACAAACCGCAGAAATTTCAAGATTTTTTTAGGAAATTAATTTTTTTGAAAAAAAATTCAAAACATAAGTTTTTTTTTATTAATTTCAGCCCAATCCAAATATTCCTCAACACCAATAAAAGTAACCGGGAAAAATTGAACAAAACAAAACAACAAAAAAAAAAGAATAGCCATCGAAAAACAATTTGTCGCCTAATTATACAACTAATTATATTCATCTTTTCTTCTTCTCATTTCCTAGCTCAACAAAAAAAATAACAACAAAAGTTCTGTCTCTGTGTTGTGTGTGTGTGGAAAAAACCGCACAAAAAATTGAATTTTTCGGAGAATGGAAATTTTTTGACTTTTTGAAGGGTGAGAGAGTGGACAAATAGCCAATTTATATAAGAAACATTTTGTTGTGTTGCAGAAAAAAAAAATAAGGAAGAGATTTTCGGTCGGATAAAATGAGACAAACTTTGAATCGGGCCATTGTTTGAGGTTTTGATCTAATTTTTAGAATTTTCTAGAAATCAAATTTAAACATTTTTTTTCTTGAAATTATTTTCCGTGACGTTTTTATCTAAAATTATATTAAAATTACCAAGTTTCGAAACGTGACCCAGAAAAAAGTGAGGAAAAAAAGTTGACGTGTGCTAGAAATGTGCAGAACCCAACTATTTCGTTTTATATCGTCGGTCGAAAGTAGAAAATGAAAAAGAACGATCATAAAAATAAGACCAATAATAACAAAAATAAAAATAAGGTGAGTTGGCAAAGTTTTCTTGAGAAATCGGAATACTTTTATAAAACATTTTGCAGCCAAATGCTCAGCTAACTGCTCGAAACTCGAAAGCAAGTTTAACTGACGAGAAAAATTCGACAACAGGCGGAAAAGACATCAAAACAATCGGATCAGGCCGAAAAAAAGGGGGTCTCATAACACCAACAGGTTCAAGAAAATGCCTTGCCAAATCGAGATATGTTGAAGGGGAAGAAATCGAAGGTGTTACAAATTATAAAATCACGGCATGTATCACACAAACATCGAGACCTTTGGCACCTGATGTTTATGCTGTAAAAGATTCGGAAGAGGAAGAAAATCGCATGAAAATCTGCAATTTGGAATTGGGAATATTGAAAAAAGAGGCAGCTCTTCTCAAAAAACTTGGCAAATTACCAGGAACTCCATCATTTCTCACTTTAATCGATTATGGAACAATATTACTGTTCGTTTTTCAGCGAAGGAAACGCGCTCCAACTACATACCGTAGTTTGCTTTTTTTGCCGACCCAATTTTTTTCATTTTTTTCCGTTTTTTCTTGTTTTTTCCTCTTTTTCCCCAAAAAAGAAGCAATTTTGTAGTTTTTCTGCTTTCAGAAGTTGTCAAAACTCGAATTATACTTATCTTCCAAGTTTGCCCGAACAAAATGGTTTTTGGTAGCGATTTATGGATTTTTTTCGATGGAATTCGATGTTTCGATCGAAAAAGTGTTATAAAATCGATTTTTGGAGTGTTTTGTAGTCGCAGTTCAATTCAAATCGAAGGTTAGTTGTTTAGTTATGTATTTTCTATGACAATGATGCAATTTTCAGGTTGTTGATTGAAAATTGGTGATTTTTGCGGTTTTCATCGCAATTTTGAAATGAATGGCGATATGTTATGGATAATTTGCTCAAAAATGCCTCAAATCAATCAATGTGCTATTCAAATGATGCAAGTGCACATTAGTGACAAAGAAAACAACTTCTCAACAAGATTTATGCGAAAAAGACATCGGTTCGCTCGGAGTTTTGATAGAAATGATGAGGAAGTCGGGTTTTTTGGTCAAAAATTGTGATTTGTCACTAATTTAATCTATTTTCTTGATTAATTTTGTTGATAAACTGTTTAGTTTTTGTTTTCCAACTAGTTATATATCGTTTCCAACCGAAATAAGAAAATTTCACTTTTTCTATGCTCATTTCTGTCCAAATGCACCAATTTTAAGTGAAAATGGTCAGGTAAAACCTTTTCAACTCAGTAGTTTCCACAATAACCAATTTCCTCATTTTTCAATTAGTGGAAATGCCTTTTTTCGCATGAAAAACAGTAAAAGAATAAAAATTATTGTTTGAATGGCCGCACAAAAATGCGTTGTTTATCAATGGGGCGCGTTTGGCCGCGTTTCCTTCGCTGGCGAACGGACAGTACCAAAAAAATTGGAATTTATTGTTGTCTCACCGTTTGGATTCAATTTAGATCAAATTATAAAAAAAGTCACTTGCCAGGCATTTTCACTGATTTGTGGATTAAATGTAGCTGGTCAAATGTTGAAAGCGATTCGAGAATTGCATTCGATTGGAATTTTGCATCGAAATATTCATCCGGGAGCATTTTACTGTGGAATTGGCGGAGAAAGAGAGGGAAAGATTTATCTGCAAGATTTTAGAGCACATCGCAGATTTTTGGATGCGAATAAGAAAGTTATTGTAAGTTTTTTCTGAGGAAGAATATTGTAGAAATTTTTGAGAAAAATCTGTATAGGACTTTCAATTTTCAGAACATTTTCTAAAAAAAAATCTCAATTTTTACAGCCAGCTCGCTCAAAAGTCAAACGCTATGGTTTCACTCGTTTCTCATCCCGTGCAAATTTACAAGAAAAAGAACAAAGTCGAAAAGATGATCTAGAATCATGGATTTATTCAATTTTCTCAATAATGGACCTCGATTCACTGTTTTGGAAAAAAGACAAAGAAATTCAATCAATAATTGAGAAAAAAGAGGAATTCATGAGAAATTCGCCACAAAAAGAGGCAGAAATGTATAAAAATGTGCCGAAAGAAATGCGATTATTGATTGAAAATATTGCCCAGCTACAGTATGAAAGTGAGCCGGAATATGAGAAATTGTCGGGAATTTTGGCGGAGATTCAAAGTGCGCGAAAATTCGCTACGGATTTGTGTGATTGGATTGGAATGGGAAAAGAAGTTGCGGGGAATATGGAAGGCGAGACGAAAAATAGTGCGGGAAATCGAATGAGTGGAGAAGGCGATATTAAGTAAGGGTTTTGGGTAGCGAAGGTGTTGTGTTCGGGATTTTTTGAACAGGAAATCGTAATTTTTGGAAGATTTATAGCCTCAAGAATTGTAACATAAGCAATATAAACAGAAAAACATTGTTAATGTTAGGAGGAACTTTTTGGCTACAGTACCTCACAATTCCACCTACTTTCCAGCATCAACATTGCAAAAAACAAAAAAGGAGCTCGTAAGAAGCTGCTTCCTGGAGACATCATAAAATCGGTAGATCAAAAAACGGGCTGGAAAAATGTGTGTCTTCTGGGAAGTGGTGGATTCGGCGATGTTTATAAAGTTCATCGCGAAGGAAGTCCGCCAGACAAATGTTATGCTTTGAAAACAGAAAGTGAAGAAGGAGAAAAAAGATTTTTGAGATTGAAAATTGAGGTTACTGTAATGATGAAAACATCGGATAAATCCAAGAATTTCGAGCATTTTATCGAATTTATCGATCGCGGAAAATGTGATGAACTTCGTTGTAAATTTGTTGTGATGGGATTGGTTGGACCAAGTTTGGATGATATTAGGTAACTGATTTTTAAAAGAATTCGCCACGTAGCCTCAATTTTACTGCAAAACAGTCTAGAAATCCTTATAAATAAAAATTTCAGAGTCAAATATTTGGTGTCAAACTTCACCAAACACACATGTTTCAATATTTTCATTCAATCAGTGATTGCAATTCGAGATTTACATAGTTTGGGATATTTGCATCGAGACATAAAACCGGCAAATTATGCGGTTGGAATTGGTGAAAATGAGCAAATTGTTTATATGTTGGATTTTGGAATCGCGAAATTGTTTGTGGATTCTGATGGAAAACATAAAACACCGAGGAAAAAAGTGAAATTTTTGGGAACTTTGAGATTTGCAGCAAGAGCTTGTATGAGACAAATTGAACAGGGAAGGAAAGATGATTTGGAATGTTGGATTTATATGGTAAGCATAGCGAATGGATTTTTTCGTAGCCTAGAAAAACAGACTTTGGTTTTCTATGTCTCTTGAGGATGAGTTTCTGGAAAATCTACACTTGTTTTCTAGGATACGGAGCCTTCTGGATCAAATTTAGTTTTCTATTCTCTCACTATAATTTAAACTTTCATCAGATGTTCGATCTAATCGATGATATGGCTGGATTACCGTGGAAAAGAATTGTCGAACCCAAAGCTATTCTCAAATCAAAAGAGAAACTGTTCAATAATGAACGTAAGTATTTTTTTATTTGCACCAAAAAAATATTCAAATTCTCTATTTTTGTAGACCCAGAAGTGTATAAAAGAATGCCAAAATCAATGCAGCAATTATTACAATATGTCAATAATTTGGAACACGAATCGGCTCCAGATTATGAATATATTTTGCAATTTCTACGAACTTGTGCAAAAGATCACGGAATAAAAGTCGACAAAAAATTGGATTGGATTGGAAAATTGAAAAAGAAGGCATTTGATAGTGATTCGGATAAATCGGCCGAACATAAGAATTCCGGAGATGATTCGGAATAACTGATTAGATTTTTAAAGAATAAAAATTTGGGATTCATACCTTATTTCTTGACATCATAATTTCCGAATTTCTAAAATTGGTAAAAAATTTTCGATTAAATTTTTTTCCGAATATGGTCCAATTACTAGTCCAATTAAAACTGATCCAATTCTAATAAAGAAATCAACAAGTTTTGCTGTAAACTCTGAAATAAGTAGGAAAAAAGTTGCGAAAAAGTGCAAGTGACACACTCTCTATTGTTCCTTTTGTTTCAAAAATTAGGGGCTCAATAGCATATTAGGGTATTGTTCGAATTTACTCGTACTTATGCATAATACAAACAAAAAAGTAAAAAATAAATAAAGTTAGCGTAAAAAATGAAATGGAAATTCAAAGTAAATATATTTGTGAGTATCTGAATTTATTCGTCATCCGAATCGATTGCAATTCTTGATCTTTTTCTTTTTGGTTCTGATTTCTTGATTTCCTCTTCTTCTTGATCAGAATTATTATCAGAACTTTCTTCAAACTCATCTTTTGGTTTTTTGGTTGCGGAAGATTTCTTGGTGTTGAAAATTGCAGCAGGTTTTTTGGCAGGTGATGAAGAAACGTCTTTTTTCGGTGATTTCTTAGGTGTTGGTGTTTTTTGAACTTCTTTTTTCGGTGAAGTTTTTTTGGCAGGTGAAGAAGCGAGTTTCTGAGAAAACATTTGTTTAAGATAGATGAATTTTCCAGTTGAAATTTCAAAACTTTGAAAATAGAGCTCGAAGATAAACAATTTTAATTAAAAAAAATCGATAAGAATAAATTATCAGAAACGTTTGAAAAAAAAAGAAATTTGTGGAATTTTCATCGCGCAGCAGACAAAAAAGCGCGTTCGCGGCGAATTCGCGGGGTTTTTCGACCCGCAAATCGCGGAGATCTCGCCCGTGATTCCCTGAGTACATTGTGAAAATCAGCGTATCGAGATCTGTGCGAATGACTTTATTTGGAATTTTCAGGGGTCCTCGGAAAAAAGTTAGCCTCCGCTGCGAGACCAATTGAAATTAAAAACACATGCGCCTTTGATACCGAATATATTTTCTTCAGAATAAAAAAATAGAGCGTGGCAAACGAGGAGAGTGCGAGAGATGTGTGAGAACAAAATGTGTGCAAACACCGCTGTTGTCGATTTTTAAAATTTCCACGTGAAAGTTCGCGTTTCGTAATTTCCAACATTTTGATAATTTAAATCCCCTTTTCTTTCAAATTCACTCACCTTTTCATTTTCTTTTGCGCTTCCAGCTGAACCAGTTGAAATATTCTTCACATCCTCTTTTTCCTCAATTTTAGTCTTATCATTTTCAGCTTCTTCATAATCTTCTTCCTCATTTCCTTCTTCTTCTTCATCTTTTCCTTCAATTTTTTGATTTGCAATTGCTTCTTGACTATTATACATTTCCAAAACTTGTTCCGAAGATGTCGCATCTTCCGCATTTTTATCATCGCGAATTCTCAAAAATCTTGGGAATCTCAATGAAATTCCCCTTCCATCTTCAGTCAATCCACTGGCTGCTTTATGACGTGGCGAAATTGTGATATCCGCGCATTTGACTTCAAAAACAATGCTTGGCTCAAAAATATCATCCGGTTTCAAAGTTGCATCAAATTGATAATATGATGGAACTTTGTTGACTTTTTTATCTTGCAAAATCTTATATTGTTCAGCCAAATCTTCGTCAGTGAATCCGGTTCCGATTTTACAAACACTTTCATATTCTTCTGTGGTTGGATTATAACAACCTAATAAATATCCACCATAAACACCAGTTCTTTTTCCAACACCAAAATAAGCGCCCATCACAACTAAATCCAAAGTATCTCCAACTCCATCAACATAATCTTTCTTCATTTTCAGCCAACTTCTTGATCTTCTCGAAATCTCATAAGTTGCTTCATTATCCAATGTTTTGATCATCAAACCTTCACATTTGTTCTGCAAAAATTCATCAATCAATTTCAAAATTTAGAAAAAAAACCAGAACTCCCCAGATGTTTGAGAATAATCTTTTTTTTTCACATTTGATCTACCCGCCGCCGTCAGCAAAAAAAACCATTATGATTTTTTTCCCAAACTTTTTCTTCAAAAAACCGTCATTCGAAAAAATCGGCGATGAATATTGGATATTTCGACCACGAAAATGATCGTTTCAACAATTTTGTCAAGAAGAATCGAAATAAAATGTGTGGATTATGTTTGATTGATGGATCAATTAATGGCGTGAGTTTCACGGGGATTGATATTGGGAAATTAGAAAAAATCAAAAAAGAATCTTTTTTCAGGCTCGTCACTATACAATGTCAATTATACCAGTCGGAAATCCAACTCAAACGTAAGCTTTTTCAAAAAATAAATCTGCACAGAATTATAAAATTCCTGATTTTCAGGTATAGCATAAGATTCGAGGAAAACCTGGATACCTCAAAAGAAACGCTTAAAACTCTAGTTTATCGAAGTGTCAAAAAAGGAAGTCATCGAGCTGTCGAACTTGATGTGATAAGTGATCATGAAGATACATATGATAAAGTTTGCATTAAATGGCTTATCGAATTTCTATTCACAAGACAATATAAATATCGGGAAGTTGATATTATTCTTGTGAGTTGTTAATAAGAAATTTGTTATAAACTTTGTTATCTTTTCAGCCGCCAAGATACGAGCGAATTTCAAATCACAGTTTTTCAAGTAACATTGAAAAATTGACATTGAGAGTTGCTGGAACTGAAACAGATTCAGGGATTGCTGATTGGTGGATGAGTAGATTCTCGATTCCAGTCGAATTTCTTCAAATATATTCGGATCCACATCAAAAAATTGCCGACAATTTTATGCTTCATCGTTGTAGAAAAGTGCAACTTTGCGGCAATTTTGATGTCAATCTTAAAACTTTCAAAGAATTTCAAGGCGTTTGTTTTTTCTATAAAGAAGTGCATTCGTCTTGGTATATGGATGAAGAAGATTTCAAGCGATTGTATATTGTGAGTCATTTTTTTGAAAAATTTGAAATGTAAATATCGGACCCACAAAGTTCCGAGCTTCCCAGATTATCCAAAAACAAAAAATCAATATTTTTTGCAGCACTTGAACGAGGATATAAATCAAGTGAAAAGCATCTTCCTGCGTTTCACATTGCCATCAAAAGAACACGAGCTCAAAACGTTTCTTCGTCACAGATATCCGGATCATCGAATTGGAGAACACAATATAATTCGAAAAAACGGCGAAAACATGTTCTATTTCAGTATGGACAATGGAAAAACAGTTGTTGGCAATTTTCATGTTCTGAACTGTTTTGATATTGATGATGCAAGCGATTATGGATTAGTTGTCTAAAAGTGTTCCCGTCTTCTTCTTCTTTTTGCAGTTTCTTGTCTTCTTATGAATTACTCTTTTTTGTGAATAAAATTTTTGATTTAAAAAGCTTTGCTAAATATAACCGCCAATTAATTTGTCTTGTGAGTATACAATTTTTTCCATTTCCATTTCATTTTATATATTGACAAAATGATCACCTGGGGAGATGGCGTTAATTGGGAAATCGGACAATTTGGAGCGTTTCAATCGATTTTCGAAGATTCATTTTTATATCAACGAGATTTGCTATCTCCTTCATATTATATTAAAGAATTGGAAGTTTCAAGAGGAGAACACGAAGATGGTGTAAGTTTAACAAACATGTTTCATGAAAAAGGAATAATTCAAACCGGACCAAACTTTGGGTGTAGAAAAACTTGCGAAACTCATTTTTTCTCAAACGCGATCCCATTCCGGAATTTTCTGCGACTCGAAACGAATCGATTTTCAGACGAAATTCTATAAAATGGTTTTCAAATCAAGAAACAACAATGCGGAATATGCCACGTTTACAGCAACTTTTGAAGATCGAGGAGATCCTAATAATTCAATAAAAAAATCAACAACATTGTTAAGTATTGATAAAGGAAATGCAATTAGTCAAATGAAAGAACATTATGATATTTTGGATTATTCTTCGATGTGTGAAAGATGGATTATTGATGCGATTTTTACTAGAAATTATCTTATAGTTCAATTAATTCTGATTTCGGTGAGAAACTTCGATCTGACTGAATCTAAGTAGTTATTCAGCCACCGAAGTGCAATAATTCAATTCCGAAGATTTACAATATTGAATGTATTGATATTCGAACAAATGAAGATGAAGATGATGAATTCTATGTTCAAAACTGGTTGACATATTTTAGAACAACGGATATAAAAAGACCGGAATGTCTTATTATCACATCACATTTTAATAAAATGATGATAAGTCATCATGAAATGGTTAGTTGAATTGAATTTAAAATAATGAATAATGATTTGTAGTTACGGACAACTTCAAAAATTGAGCTGAATGGGAAATTTGATATCAGAACAAATACGATAAGGACTTTTGATGGAATGTATTTCTTCTGGAGAAACATTGATGAATCTCAGAAAATAAAACTGGCTGATTTGCAAAACTTGTGCAAGAATTTTATAAACTTGAAAAGAATTAAAAAAGATCGAACAAATAATATGTTTAAATCAAGGAAGTGAAAAAGAAAAACAAGAAATGAATAAATGGCTGATTGAAGAATATGGAGCAAGTTCTTCTGAACATCAAGATTACCTAATTATTCGAGAAAATCCAGATGAATATTGTTTTGCATTTTTTATGAAAGAAAACAAAACGGTTTTTGGATCAACCGAAACTATTTCGCTTTTTGAAAAATTATTTTGATCTTCTTTTTTTATGAAAATTACATTGTTTGGTCTACCCGCTAAAAATCTTGAATTTATCAAGGAAAACTATAATTTCTCGATGTTCCATCATTTTCTTTGAAGGCAAATCACAATCGAAACAATGTCGTCGTGGGGAGATGATGTGACATGGCAAATCGGAGAATTTGGCGAATTTGATCGACAATTCAGAGCACTTTGTAATATGCGTATTGATATTGGGCCAACTGAATGTTTTGTTGAGATTTTGGAAATCAAAAGAGGAAAACATCCAGATGGTGTAAGTTATTTTCCAGTGAATAGAAAAATAAGATACCTTATTTCATTTTTCAGACAAAATTCTACAGAATGATTTTCTATCCGAACAACTACAGAATGAATGATGATATCAAATTTATAGCGACTTTTGAAGATCGAGGAGATCCTAATAATTCAATAAAAAAATCAACAACATTGTTAAGTATTGATAAAGGAAATGCAATTAGTCAAATGAAAGAACATTATGATATTTTGGATTATTCTTCGATGTGTGAAAGATGGATTATTGATGCGATTTTTGTTCGGCAGTATAATATTAGTCATCTTGTTATTTGTTCGGTGAGTTAATTACCTAATTGAAATGAACTAATTCTGGAATTCTGGAAGGAAGATAATATATATGTTACAGCCGCCAAAATGTAACAGTTCGATTGAGAAAATATGCAAGATTTACACGCTAGAAATTCGCGCTGAGGAAGATGAAAAAGATATTGGATATGTCAAATATTGGTTGACATTTCTTACACCTCAATGGGATTGCCCGAAACCTCGAACAATTATTATAAATTCACCTTTTGTCGAAATGTCAGTAGCTAGTGATCAAATGGTAACGTGTATTCTAATTCTAGTATAATTTAATTTTAAAATATGTTTTTTTCAGTTGGCTATGACTGCGAAAGTCGAATTGAATGGTTTGTTTGATATCAAACATCTTTGGTTCGTAGAATTCGGTGGAAAGTGTTTTATTTGGAAAAATATGGAAGAACGAAGAAAACTGGGAACTACAATATTCCAAACTTTGTCGATTCTCTTTAAAGAATCCGAAAGACATCGAACAATATATTTGGAACAAGGAAGTGATGAAGAAAATCGAAGAATAAAAGAGTTTCTTGAAGAAAATTTAGGAGAAAATATGTCAAATGATGGTGGTTATCGATTAGCCGAAGAAGATGATTATTCGTTTTTTGCATTTTATATGACGGAAAATTGGACTGTTTTTGGAAGATTTCCAGATGAATCGCTTTTAGATGTGAAAAATGTTGTGGATTGGGATTCTGACGATTTTTGAACTATTATTCTTATTTTTATGTATTTTTTACCTTTTTTCTCAATACATTTTTTATCTTAAAAAAAACCCCAAAAACTGACCTGAACCGCCTCATCGAAAAATGTGTTGATTTCATCTGTATCATTTGTATCCACTGAAGTTGCGAAATAAAAACTTCCTTCGATTTGTTTAAAATTCTGGCGAAGAATTTCACGGCGTTTTCGAAGAGATTTTCGAACCAACGGTTTGTTATTGTAGAATAGAAGATCAAAAAAGAATACGCCAACTTTGACACCATTATCATCTGTTGCATTCTTTCTTTTTCTTGTCGATAAAACTTGAAACGGTAAAATTGAACCACTTTCATCAATTGCAACAACTTCTGCATCAACAATAAATGAAGTGACATCTTCACCAATACATTCGCCAATTTTCTCAATAATATCTGGATATTTTGTAGTGTTGTTCTCTTGATTTCTACTGTATATGAAAATTTTGCCATCTTCTCTTTTATGAATTTGTCCTCTTTCACCATCATATTTCCATTCACAAGTCATTGCATTATCTCGAAATCTTCGCATAATTTCATCAATTCCTTTTGTTGGATGAGCTAACATTGGTTTTAATGGGATTCCTGGGGTTAGTTTGCATTTTTCTTCAAGCATTTCAATTCCTTCTTTTAGTGCAACTTCAATCAATCTATTATAATTTGGACATTCACTAAATTTTTAAGATAATTATGGTTTTTATCAAAATTTGAAGTCTTCACTTACCAATAAGCAGTTTTGACACGTTTTACATTTGTATCCTTCATAGCGTCAAGTTTCTCACTTTTCATTGTTTTCTCTCCAATATCCATCAAAGTGAAAGCATGTCCCAAAGCAGATAGCACACTTTGCTCACCCAAACCAATTCTCATTTTCCCGGCAAGAGTTCGAACAAGAAAACGAGCCTCGATTCCTTGGCAAGCGATTAAAAGTCCGCGAATTGCGTCAACTTTTTTGTTCATCGAAGAACTTCCACTCATTTTTGCGATTTCTGTGAGTTTTCCAAATACGTTTAGAACAGTCAATGCTTTTGGAACACTGAGCATTGTCTGATTGTTTCGAGATTGTTGGGCAACAGTTCCAAGATCACCCTGAAAATTGATCAAGTTTTGATTTTTATTTCTAAAGTGTGTTTGATACCTTGATCTTCAAATCTTCCTTGATTTTATTCTCTTTTCTTCCAGTCGCTACAGCTACTGCTTTAATCAATGAATTTTCAGCGATTCCTAATTCAAGTCCTTCATAAGTTGGTCCCAATTGATTTACAGATAAATACACACATGCCGGCAAATCTTCTGGTGAATAATCCAAAACTTTTGTGAAAAACTTGGCCAATTCATCAATCTTCTTTTTCCTGACAATTCTTCAATCTTTTCCAAAGTTTGTGCAAACTCCTTATATGGAACTCTGGAAATACAAATAATTACGAAATCTACTTTAATTCAATAAATACCTTGTTCCTTTAGCCCATTCAGCCGCTGCTTTGCCAGCTTTTGAGAAGAACATCTGAAATGAAATTCTGGGTTTATATAGGAATGAAGAACACGCGGAAAACCGAGAAACTGGGACGCGTAAGCCCCAAAACAAAAAAAAACAAAAATATTTATTTTGAAAAACGCTGTTGGCGGGAAATGCGTTAGAGCGCGTTTGCAGTATTTGACGGTTTTTGATTTTTGAAATTTGCAAACCAAATTTGGAAATTTTGTATTTTTTTGTGTTTCAGTCAAGTTTTGCAATTCGTTGGTTCGGGATGGAGTATAAACGGGTATTATTTGATGAATATCGCGATCAAATATCGGATGTCCGGCGCAAAGTATTCATAGAGGAGCAAAAATGTCCAGTACACACCGAATGGAATGAGCAAGAAGATGCCGATTCGATTTATTTCATTTGCTTGAAAGGTATTTTTCTTTGAATATTATGAAGATAATAGGAGTTTGATTATAGGAGAACGAGTAGTTGGAATTGCCAGAATTCGAAATGTTGGAAAAGATTTACGAAAATTAGAAAGAGTTGCAGTTTTGAATGAGTTTAGAAGACGAGGAATTTGCAGTGAACTTATTAGAAATGCAATGATTTATGTTCAAACAACACAACCGGATGCCTCAATTTATGCGTATGCTCAAGTTTATGCTATTCAAGTATACGTTAACTTAGGGTAAATTTCAAAGTGATCTTTTTAAATGTGATTATTCAACAACATTAAAAATTTCAGATTCTCCGTGATTTCAAATGTTTGGGTTGAAGATGAAACATTCCTTCGACACCAAACTATTTTCTGGTCTCATCCTCAAGCAGTTCAAAGATTCCTTGAAAACGAAAAAGCTAGAAGCCCTGAATCAATTGAAGGATTACAAGAATATGATGTTCATCATCCAAAAATGATTGCGAAAATTGAAAAATACAAAGAGAGATTAGAGGTGTCTTTTTAATTTTTCCTATCAACTTCCTAGTCTTTTTTTTTCTAGAACTGTGATATTTTCTAAATATTGTGATATTCTTGCCAGGTTGAATAAAATAAAGTGATTTTTAGAACTTTGGAAATCTTCAAACCCTTCATCTTCATCTTGACGATTGGATAATATCAAGGATTCTGCGACAAAGATTTGGAAGATTTGCAAACATCTCATTTTCTTCAGAAAATTTTGAAAAGGAATATGAATTCTTGGCAGGTTTGGCTGATGAGAAATTGAATACTGGCCATTTTAATGAAGTTGATGAAAATTGGAGGATTTTTTATAGTTTGGTCAGCTATGTAAAATGTGTTCATCTTTTTGAAAATGGTAATTATGAGGTGAGATTTATTCAGCTTTTCTATTTTATGTGGAATTTTTTGAAGGAGGCTATCAATTTGGCTGACAAAGGATTATGTATGGGTCGAATTGATGAGGAAAAAGTTGCGTTTCGAAAATTGGCATATATTATTCATAGTTGCTTAGATGTTCCGAAAATTAAAATTCACCCAAAGTTCTTGGAAATCTTGAAATCGAAAAAGTTTTCAACAAACAATCCGATAGCTGAATTTCAAGAAGAAGATGGTTTCGAAAAATTGATTGAAGCGGTTCAAAATCAAAAACCTGTTATTATTCGAAATTTTGCTAAAAATATGAACGCTTTTGATAAATGGAGGTAAATACTTGAAAATGTTTGAATTTATTTCAAATTTTGTTTTTGCAGCTTTGAATTTCTTCTATCTGAACTTCATTCACGAACTTTTCCAGTTGAAATTGGATCAAAATATTCGGATGAAAATTGGTCACAAAAAATGATGAGTTTCTCGGATTTTCTGAAAAATGAGGAGGTGAGAAATCTTGTAAGCTTCTCAATTTTATTTATTTTTTCTCAAATTCAGAACGAAACCGTTTATTTGGCCCAACATCGAATTTTCGATCAAGTTCCCAGCCTCAAAGAAGATTTGATTATCCCAGATGTTTGTTTTCTAACCGAAGAAAATCCAGAGAATATTGATATAAATATGTGGTGTGGTCCAAGTGGAACTGTTTCTCCTTTGCATACCGATCCACGAAATAATGTATTTGTGCAGATTTTTGGATCGAAAATTGTGAAAATGGTGGATCCGAAAGAATCTGAATTTGTTTATCCGTTTGATGGAATGTTATCTAATACAAGTCAGGTAAATCTTTATTTACAAAGTTCGAAAACAAAAAGAAAAATAATTATGCGGTTGTAACTCGAATTGAAGAATGATCGACTTCTCCAAGTTCACGAGCAATATCTGAAAATCAAACATTATTTTAGAAATAATACTGTAAAAAAAGTAGGTTACCTAATCTTGGTTCAATTCTTGATGTTGTTGGACGATTGATAATCAATGGAGTTGTCTCATCTTCAGTTTTATTATTTTTGAAAAGCCCTGTCCAATAGATACATGTATAAATTGCCAAAAATGATCCGACAAATATTCCAACCAAAACATCGCTCCAATGATGTTTATTATCTGTAATTCGTGTAAAACTAATAGCCATTCCACAACCAAGAATAATTGTTTGAACAATTGGAACAAAAATTCGATTGTGAAGAACATTCGAAAGCCTCGCTTGAATATACAACGCTGTCCAAACTGCACAATAAAGCGAAATCGCTGAATGTCCACTGTAGAAACTCTTTCTGGCCTCGAGAATTATTTCTGGTTTTCCTGTGCATTCATAATTTATAATATATCGATGTTCATTTCCTGTCACACATGTATCATTTGCCAATTTACAAACATCCAAAAAATGTGGTCTCAATCGTCCGACAACATGTTTTGTCGCCGTATTCAATGCCATATTCATAACAAAACCAATTTGTGAATAACCGAAAAATGTGATCATTCTAACAAAAAGTATATGAATATGATTGTTTCTCCAACGATATTTCGGATTATCAATGTTCGATTCGATTTTATACATTCGATAATATTCAACAATCAAAACACCGAAAGCATTCAAACCCAAATTGTACAAAATCAATTGAACAGTTCCGACTGTATCTGGTCGATATTCATAGCGAATTGTGTCGTCGTCGCAGAAAAATCCACGTTGAGCAACGCCGAGATATGTTGGAAGAGTTAGAGAAATAGCGGCTGAAAATTTGGATATTACTTGTCAAATTTGGTTAGTAACTGACCTAAACCTTCCAAAACGTCTCGCATTTTTAATTTGGAATGAGAGAATGTGTGTTTTTTCATGAAAATGGGAAAAAAGTAGGTCACGTCAAAATTTCACGTTTTTATTATTTTTATTCTGATTTTAAAATTTATTTTTTTTCTATAAACTTCAAGAGTTTTTGAAGGCTTGATCAAAATCTATAGAAAAAACTCACCAAATCCATATAACATAACCAAGTTAATTGCAACCGCCATCCCATTGACATCATAGGTTTTTGGGTCCAAAGAGGGTTCCATCACCTAAAACTAGTTATTATTTATTTTTGAATGTAGTTTCAAGTTTTTGATTTACAACAACAAAAAACCAACCCGTTGACCATATCTTTCTGGCATTTTTTCGATTAGTCAGAAACTAGAGGTAATTTTTTGTTGACTGAATAAAATTTCTTATCGATAGTAATTGTGAAGAAACTTATAATTATTCTGATAAGAACACGAGATTTTTCAATACTGCCAATTGAGCTAGCAATTAAATCTGGAATTTTTGACCCCAAAAAGTTGTTAACTTTTTTCTGCTGAATTCTTTAGAGTTGTTAGGTCACGTAAAGGCTGTTAAACGATTTTTATTTAACAAGGTTAGAGTCAATAAAATCTGTCAACATAAGTCATAATTTTTATCAGTGCGTGATTTTGAAATGCAGAAAAAAGAACTATGAACACATGTGTGTTTTGTTTACATTTATGTAAATGTATTGTAGGCCAAGTGCAAATTTGCATTTGTTACAAAAATAGTTTACGAAAACAATACAAAAATGATAAGTAACCTTTTTTGAGGGAGAAATTAGAGGCATGAAATGTCTAAAAATTGAAATGTGAAAAATTATTCGGAGGTTTCCAAACTAGAAAAATAGACATTTCCACCTGGAAAAATCACAAGTTACAAGAACTTCAAAATATAATTGTCAAAAAAATTTAGGTTAAATTGTTTCTTAAAATTTGAGTAAACAACACTATGAGAAAAATCCCATTGAAAAAAATAATGACGTGGCAAATGTTGAATTTTTGCTCAGAAACTCGAGGACTATATTTTTGAAAAGAATGTGCAGATTTTTGCGAAAGGAACGATTTCAGAGTTCGAGAATTTTCAAAGTTCCAAGATGAAATTTGAAAAAAGTTTCATATTTTGGAAAAATTAATTTTTTCAAACTCACGAGTTATAGGAACTTGAAAATAGAAAATAATTTAAAAAGTGTCCAATTTGCAATATGTTTTTCCTAAAAAACCAAATAAAATAACTTCAAAAGGAATTTTGATGACAAACATTTTTTCAACAACAAAAAAACAACATCAATTGTCATAAATAAATAAATATGAACATAGATACATCAATCTCTATTTTGATGGTTAAAAATTCCAACATTGTTTTAATTTTTGTGTACTCCCACTAATCCCCTTCCCCTTTACTTGCCTGCAAAAATGAATATTCGGATATTTTTCGAATCATTGGTTGAATTTTTGTCGACATTTTTCGGACAACATCGGACATTTCGAAAACGAATTTGGAGCAAAAATAAGTGACACTGATAAGCGATCAGTGTGTTTATGTAGAAGGAGTTTTTTGTCCTCTAATGTCCAGGAAAACAATGGGTTAGACATTGTAGTTTATTTAAATTTCAAATCAAAAAAATTATGATTGAGATTCTAAGATCATTGAAAAATTACAGGTCGACGTGGAAAATGCAAACCTCTCGGAATTCCCATTATTTTCTTCTGCTCACATTTTGGAAGCTGAATTATCAGCTGGCGATGCACTTTTTATTCCTGAAAAATGGTGGCATTTTGTGAGATCCACGTCATCATCTATTTCTGTGTCATTTTGGTTTGATTAGACTTTGAGTTTGAATTCGGAGAAACTCATGAATAAGCAGCTGGAATTATGATGATTTTGAGAAAATCAGAAACGTGTGTATTTTGAAAATACATTTTCTCGGTGAGTTTTTTTTATCGTGTGAAAAAGTTGTTGTCTGGAAATAATGAAAACCTGTAATTATTTTGATTTATTTTTGGAACTTGGGTTTGTTTTTGAAAATTCAGTAGTTTTGTTTTCAAAAATTGTCTAGTGTGAGACTAATTTTCAAGTTGCGGGAAAAACTTCGGAATTCCCAGAGATAAGAATGAATTTTCTCTCGAAACATTTTTTTAAAGTTTTGAGCTTCAGATTCATATGAAAATTTTAATTTCTGCTCTTTCCAAAGTTGTTTAGAACTCTATTCCAAAACGAACATCAACCTTTTTTTCAAGCTAGATTTAACCCCCAGATAAATCTTAAAGTTTTCTCGATGCCATTTCCTCCCTCCATTTTTTTCTTTCTTTTTTCGCGCCCAAAATAATTGCACGTTTGAATAAAAATTCATAATTACTACTTCGAACTAGTTTTCAGTTTTTCTTTCTTTTTTTGTCTTGACATTTCTCAATCTGACTCATCGAGAACATATTTTGAGAACAAATCCGTGCAAGGATTAAAAATACCAAAAAACGAAATTCATTCATTTTTCTGTTTTCACGTAAAACTGGAGAATTATTTTTATTTCCTCATTTTTTTGCTATTTATTTCTGGAACAGACAAATAATAGTATAAAAATAATTGTGAGAACCGGAAACTTTGAAACACAAAAAAAATCTCTTCGAATCTCCCCAGTTTTTGAGCTTTTTCTCTTCTGTTTTTTGTGTTTCTAAGGACAAAACGCGAATTTTTAAGCGGTTTTTTCTCAAGTGGATAGAAAAGCTAAGAAAAAAGAAGTCATTTTAGAAAAGACGGCAAGATGAGCCTTTTTCTTATTCTTGAATGATGTTTGAAGTGAAGTGATCTCTTTGTTGCCGAATTTTAGAACAACGCTTGAAAAGAGTACTGTAGCTCAAAAAATTTCGAATTTCCGGATTCTCAACCCAAAACAACGCCACGTGGCAGAAAACCAAGGAAAACATTTCCATAAAGATTCAAGTGATAAATTCACAAATCTGAAGGCTCCACACCTAGTTTTTTTTGTAGTTTACAATTTTTTTTTCAAAAATCTTCAGTGAATTAATACTGATAATTTTTAGGCTCTACTTCACTGGCCCATTCTGATCCCATTAGTTGTTTTTCTCCCAAAAAGTCAGATAACTTTTTCTGATAAGGATTAATAACTTTCGGTTATCTTTTTAGGTATCTAAAAAATATTCTAGGAATTTTCTACTGTGATCTTTTTTGTTTTTTCTTGATCTAAAAAATCTATGACAGAATAGAATACTAAATATTTTTCATGGAAAAAAGGCAAAGCAAAAAATATTTATGTTAAATTACCTAATCTGTATTCATGGTTCGTAGATCAGTTTCAGCTTTTGCTTCAGAAAACAAATAAATCAGAAGAAATCGGATTTTTCCTAACATCACAACCTAATAATAACAATAAGTTTATTGAGTTATCCAAAGTTGCCTTTCTACTTTTTCTTCTTCTTCTTCTTCTATGTTATTATTATTATTATTTCTAGATTTTCTTTATTTTTTTATTCTCAATTTTTCTTGTTATTGACACTTTCTTTTTCTTCCTTCTTATTTTATTTTTTCTGAGTCAGTCACTAAGATTTATACTTATTTTTGACTTGTTTTTTCCTTCCTTTCTCACTTTCTTTCCGTTTTTCAGTCTGGAATAGATAGGTCAATCGAAAAAATACCGGGAAATAAATAAAGAAATAAAATAAAGTGTTTTTTGTCGCCTTATATGCATATATGGGCACAACAATATGAATATAAGTCAATTTTCTGTTTTTTCCCAAAAAAGTTTTCTTCGTCGGTGGAGGAGAAGAAGTTGAAAAAATGGGAAACGAAGAGGTTTTTCTGCAAACACAAACCCTGTCGGTTTGGATTTTCAAGAGGTTGACGTCATTTTTTTTCTTGATTTGGGGTGAAGTCATTTGATTCTGAACTTAGAAGTTCTGTAGTCAAGTCTTGTAGAATGTTTTTAAAGTCCTAGATTTCCAGAAATTTTGTCTCGAGTTGTTGTTTTTACCAAGTTCTTATATAATTTCCATTATTAAATCACCATTTTTCGAGAATTACAGGCGGTTTCAATGTTCGCTCCAGCTTCTCAGAATTTTCATTTCGAAATTTGGATTCCAGATTTTCTGGAAACCAAGCTATTGTCTCCATATTTATTTCTAAAAGTACGTCAGTCTGGCTGAAAACTGAATCTAGTCTTAAAAATTTGAGCTCTTTAGTGTTCCAGAGTTCATCTGCTTTAAAAATTATGTGTTCTTTTTTGGTTCAACAAAATCCGAGATCAGATCATTTTTCACTTCAAGCTTTTTTTCCAATTCTTTTCATTTTCCACACAATTTCCAGAAGTTCCTCGAACTTCCGAAAATAAAACAACAAACTCTTCGTCCCATTGTTTACCTCTTTGGTTTTTGTTGTTGTTTTTTCTGGCTCATTCCGAAACCCGCGAATATTTTTCATTTTTTCCCTCTGCGCTTTTCTTTTTTTCGGACCTCACTATAAATATTCTAAAATTCACAAAATGCAAAACTGCACTTTTTGCGAACAAAAAAACAAAACCAAAACAATCTTCTTTGTCTTTTCTTTTTTTCTGACATGTGGTGGAGAAAAAATGTTTTATTGGTGAGTATAATAAGATTTTCCGATTTCGTATTTCTTGTTTTGGCTTCCCAACATTTTTCATTTGACTTTTTGAATCGCGAGTTTTCAAAGACAGCTGAAAATTTTCATAGCAACTTCCAGAATTTTTTTTTTGAAAAAAAATAACCGTAGATAATTTTTGTTCCAGGAAAAATTTAACAAGTGAATTTAAAAAATAGTCGAGTTAGGTTAAATTTTAAAAAATTCCGATTTTGTATTTTTTCCATCCCACTATCGATTGTTAATTTTTTTTAGAAATTCAGAAAGCAGCTGAAAATTTTTAGATAAACTTCTAGAACTTTTTTAAAAGCATTTTTTGTTAGAAAAAAATTTATCGCATATAACATTTGTTTGGAAAAAACCTGAAAATGGTCCAGTTGGAAAGTACAAGCAAATTTTAGAAGATTTTTATTTCTTATCAATTTGCTTTGTTTTATTCATTCAATTTTTCTTGAAGTTTATTTCGAATTTGAAAAGCAGCTGATAATTCTACTTTTTTTCGAAGAAAATATATCTCAAACAAAAAATACAAACACTTTTTCTCCCAAAAAAAGTTCTAAAAATAGTCCAGTAAGTTAGTACAAGTAAATTTTAAGTTTCTTTCTTTTCTTCATTTATTCATTTATAACTACAATTTTTCTTCCTTTTTTGGCATCTTGAAATAATTGGATTTCACATCCTCTTCTCACACTTTTTCTATTTTTTTGTGTTAGATTTGTTAAAAATACATACACCCACAAAACTCATAATTATAGAAGATTTTTCTTTTTTCATTTTTTCTTCATTCAAAAAGTGCACATTCATATTAAACGAAGATTTTTCTTGTTGTTGTTATTGTTGTTGCTTTGTCAGTCCCCAAAAATACTCATACACTCATGAATATAAATATCTGGGTTTTTTATCTATCCATCTAGCTCTATCTATAGATAATCAAGGGGGCGGTACTGTAGCTCAGGGCTCAAAATATTTTCCATATTTTCATACTCATTCCCCATGAGAATGACGATGCTCTCGACACCTTTTTTCTTGTCTTGTGCTCCTCGTTTTTTCCTTGAAGTACATTTTTGTCGTCGGGGGTGGATTATCGTCTTGGCGCTCCCTTATCCAAGTATTTTTTCGCTCATATAAATAATTTGTCATTTTTTTTTCAAACTTCAAAATAGTTTTTTTTTCCAGTCTCCAAGAAAATGGGAAATGATCATTCGACATCGACTTCGGCTAATATGGATATGAAAGCGAGAAGAAGTTTGGATGCTTCGATGTTTAACAAGGTGAGTTGCGAAGAAAACATCTGACAAGTTATTTTTAGAATCTAGAAGAAGTTGAAATCTGATCCCCCTTTTCAATTCCCCGTGAGAAATAATTAGATTTTGTTTTGAATTCCAGTTCCTCTGGTAGACGGGGTTAGGTTAATTGCGTCAGTTGACATATCTCCAAGGATTTTCCGACTAGACACCTGCTTTTTAATTAGTCTGACATTTATGGTGATATTTTGAGCATACGTCATTTGGTATTCGGAAGGGAATTGAGAACATTTCTTAGGATTTGTGGGAAATCAGAAATAGAAAAAGGTTTTTAGAGTGAAACTTTTTTTTGAAAATAATTTTTGTAAATTTGTGAATCGAATTTGAATAAGCAATTTTTGATGAAGTCCACCCGTTGTGAGCCATAATACAAAATCTCAAAAAAAAATTCGAAAAAATTCTGCTGTCCGAATCCCCTTTTTTCAAATTTCCAGAAAACGTTTCGAACCACCTAGTTTTTTTTCAAATCTCTTGATCAAAATACACAAAAAGTGTCGCCTTGTCCATCTTCAAAATACGCTGTCAGATTTCAAATCGGAAAAGGAACACTTGTCCTTTTTTTTCTGCTTCACAAAGCAAAAAAAAAATCGCAACACACACAAAAGCAGGAAACATTTATAATCGGTGTTCTCCGATTCTCGTGGGACATCTTTTTTTGTTCTTTTGTCTGAAAATAACCTTTGACATTTACACATTGACTTTTTCTCTTCAATCCATGAATAGAAAAGATTCGAATCAATATTTTGACTACAGTTCAGCTGAAAAAATTGCAGGGAACTTCAGTGTTCCTTTTGTCGTTCGTTAGAAGAAAGCAAGTCTAGGATAAGAAGAGAAAGCCAAACAAAGTGGAGAAAATCCTTTTTCATGATCAATCATGTGGAACTTTTGGCACCTTTTTTTGCGTTTTGTCGTCGCGAGTTCCCAACTTCTTCTTCTTAAAACCTCCGTGTCTGTCTAAAAATACGTATCCCTTTTTTTCCAGCCAGAAAATGTAAAGTTTTTTTTGAGACAAACTAGAATTACCATAAATGGGTGAAATGGAGCTCGAGGATCGAGTTACAACATCTCGCCCAGTTTTTTCGGTTTTTTTTCGTGTCTGCGTTTATTTGAGAGCACGTCATCGGGTTTTGGGTGAGGTTTTGGATTTGTTTTCTATTGCATTAGAAATTCATACAATTTTTCTGGTTTTTTTTTGCTCGAAAAATCGGAGAATGAGGAAAAAGACAAATGAGTTGTCGATATTTGGATTTGTTTCGTTGGTCCGATTATTTTTAACATGAGGTCGTAGTTTTCGAAAGTAACAAGTAGATTCCCAATTTCTTAATCTAAATTTTAAGGGCCTAGTTTGAATCTGGAGACTAGCAGAGCCTGGAGAGCCACAGTTCTCAGACAGTACTTGTTTTCTCCAAAGTTTTCACACATTTTTCGAAATCTACACTTTTATTCTCGAGTACTTTTTCTTCGCTTTTCCCTTCATTTTTTTCCACGTCATAGATTTTTGCTCGCTTCTTCCGATTCGATTCATTTCGTTTTTCTCAAGCCTTCTCAATTTCAAAAAAAAACCCACCCAGTCGGTAGGAAAAAATAAATAAATGTGATTCGATTATGAACAGAAAAAAAATAGAAAAGATTTAGGGGTTTCCTCGATCTTCTTTCAGTCAGCTTTCAGCTTTCGGTGGATTTCCGCCTTCAAAACAATTATAAGTGAATAATGTCGACCACCCAGATACATTTATCATCACATTTTTTGCTTTGCTTTTCGGTTGTCTTGGAATTTTCCTCTATTTTTATTTTTTATATAGTTTTTTTTGTGCTGCGTCGAAGAAAAATGTATGGCTCGACTCGTAAATCCTTTATGTATGCATGTATGTATTTGCTTTGTTGGACTACTTATCCGCCATTTTTTCGAACAAAAAAGTGACGTGATTTTGTCTGTCTGGAGTGACTGACTGAGTGGATTTTTCTTCGCCAAATCAATTAGAATTCCCAGGTGACTTCTTCTATCATTGAGTGACAACTTTTTCCACATTTTTTTTTGAAGAAAGAAGGTGTTGTTTTGCAAAAAAGGCAGAGTTAAGCCACCATTCGGCAAGTATTTTTGAAACACAAAAGGGCATCTTTTTTTCAATTTTTCGAAGACATTCACTTTTATGAGGCATCACATCACTCAAAACAAATCTGGTATATTGGATGTTGAATGAGGCGTGGTCCTTTTGGTCTGTCATGTTTGTGTGTTTCGAAACGAAACTCTTGACTCATTCCCATGAATTATATTAATTATATATCAGCGCAAGTTTTAGTTTTCAAGAAAAAAAAAGAAAATATCACCAAATTTGGGGACTAATTTTATTAGACATATGTCATGCATGATATCATATATTCCTCCGACAAAATAACTTGTTAATAATAATTATGAATACATCAGTCCAATCCGGAAAAAATGCACGTTCTCTTTTTCTCGGCCGACGACAAAACAACAAGGTCCGTCCTTCCGTTCGACACGTGCATATCTAATCAATTCAAAATTTTCTTGTCCTCTCGTTTTATTCCGTTTTTCACCCTACCCCAAACTTTTCCCTCCCTCCCTTCTGTTTGAATTCCGGGTGTTGATTAAGGAAGTGGTGGTGGTGAAGCGACGGCTGATTTCGGTGGACTCGCTTGATCTTGTCGCGTTTTTTGCTCTGTCTGCTTGCAAAAATTTTGGAAGACTTGTGAACGGAAAAAACAACCAACAAAAATAGTAAAATGTTTGCCGCCAGCAGGGGTCGAACCTGCGACCTTGGGCTTATTAGACCCACGCTCTAACCGACTGAGCTATGGCGGCTGATATTTCTTGTTGCGAAAATGTTGTTGATAAGAAAAGTTGATTGAATTGTATGTTGTAATATAAATATGATGAGTTGTTTTTGCTTCTTCTTCTTCTTCCATCATATTTTGGGCACATCATTCATTCATTCATACTGAAATAGAGAGGGAGCGCGTCCCTTTCTACTCTCCTTTTCTTTTTTTTTGTGCTCCTTTTTTGATGCTCTTCCTTTTTTTTGCTTGTGCCGTGCCTATCGTGACAAATCATTATAGTTAGCAAAAAACACTACTACTACTACTTGACTTTGGAGAGATGATGTGCTTCTTCCTTTCTATTTTTCTCATTTTGATTTGAATTGGTTTGTCTCTTTTTTTCCTTCTTCCCGTTATTTTGTTTTTCTGTTTTGCTTTTCCTTTTCCCTTCATCGCAACGCTTCAATTTTTAATGAGATCTTCATTGTTTCAATAATTGGTTGTCATAACAAATTTTGGCAACATTATTTCCTATTTTCAAATAGTCATTAGTTTCACGTCCGCTTTTTTTTTTTGCTATAATCGTATTTCCGAAAAGGATCAGTTTCAAAAGTGCAGCAATTTCCGGTCATGCGGAAGGACGATTTTTAGTTTAGTAAAATTAGTGTTCTCAACTTTTCCCATCTATTCTTTCATTATTTTTTTTCATATATTGTTTCATTTTTTCAACTAAAACTCTCTGAATTCATTTTTTTTCATTATCAAAAGTCCAACCCCCTTTCAAAGAAATCCGAAACTTTTTTATTTACTTTCCGAATTTCCAAGCTTCCAAGAACCAACCACCATTTTTTCAAGTGATCTCATTTTTTTCAAAATGTTTTTTTCTTCTAAAAAATTAGCCCCATCAGGCTTTTCTCATTCTATAAACAAAATCCATGAACACCTTAAATTATTCAAATATTTATGACGTGCAAGCCGAGAAATAATAAAAATCCCGAACCAAATCAAGTGCATATAATTAATTTCATCTTTTTTTTGCTACTAATTTTTTTTCATCCCATCTTTGGCTTCTTTCAACTAACCCCGCCCATTTTGAGATTGAACACTGACAAGAAAAAAAGAAAAATCTCTATCAAAACTCACAATTCAGTTGCGTTTGAAAAGAATGTCGTCGCGATCTTTTCAGGCTAAACATTCGTGTTCGACACCTCGATCATCGGTTGCTTTACCAGGAGGTGGCGGAACTATTCCACCATCGCCGATTCATCGAACATCTACTGATTATTCAAGCCCGTCGCCGTGAGTTTCATTATTTTTTGAATTTTGAAATGAAATGACAAAATTATTTTTCTGCCAACAAAAAATGGGACACGTTCATACATAAAATAGGTCCCCCGAGTCAGTTTTTCAAAGTTAGGGTCCCTCCTTGAAAATTTTCCAAAGTTAAACACCTTCTTCACATTTTTGAGCGAATTTTGGACAAATCTGGGAATTTTGGTAAATTATCAGCAGAAAATTGGCCAAGTTAGGCACCCTTCCCTTCAGATTTTTGAAAAAAGTTAAGCCCCTCACCCCGATTCTGGGGACCCATTTTATGTATGGACACGTTTAAATTTTTTAATACGTGAAATTGTTTATCTAATTTAATTGTCTTTAGAAATGATGGGTTTATAAATGTGAAAATGAGCGATTTCTTCGCGTGATATTTGGTGAAGATGGTTAGTCACGTGACTACCAATTTAAAGGTCCGGGTTCGATTCCCGGGCTGGCCAAATTAGGCGAGCGACCGTTTAGAATTCGTTATTCACTGAAATAATTAGAAAAAAATAAGAAAATTCCAAAAATTAGGAAAGTTTACTTGTTTAGTATATCAAATGACTCAAGTTGAAAAAATAAAAAAAAATTAGGAAATTGGAAGTTTAGAAAAAAAATATGAGAAGTTGGAAAGTTGAAAGTTAGGAAAAGAGAACCTTTAGAAATTTCGAACAAATATTCAGAAATTCAGAAAGCAGGAAACCTGCGAAACTTGAGATTTCGAAAATCTAAGAAATCTTGAACTTAGAAATTGTCTGAAAAGACTTTGGAAGTAGAAAGCTAAGATTCTATCAACATATCCTGTTCAGGATCTGGGAACTGACAATATAGATATAAATTGAGAAAACTAGCATGAAGCTATTAGGAGATTCGGGAACCTGGAGACTCTAGAAATCCGGAGAACTCTGATGAACCTTAGGAGGCCCTAAAATCACCCCAAGACATTCAGAGACCTCAAAAATCTGGGGAGAAGCGAACCTTAAGTACTTGGGAACTTTACAGCCTGCAAGCTTTTAACTTGAAAGACGACAGGCAAAAAATCTCTAAAAATCGGATTAATGTTAAGTCTCAGAAATTTTGGTAACTAACTTGTCCTAAAAGTTTGAAATTTTTATGAAAATCTTCAGGATTTTACGAAATTTCCCCACATTTTCCAGAAAAATCCAATTTTCGAACATCGAAAAACAAATCGATTACATCTCTGAAATCCTTCAAGAAACCTTTGAGCGAAAAACTTTCAACTTTCTCATATTTTTCTGACTCTATGAAATTAGTCAGTCTCTCTCTAAAAATCACCAAATCTTATTTCGAAATCATTTCCATTTCTAAAAAATGCCCATTTTCATCTACCGTACTTTTATTTGTATCTCACGTCATAATATTTTTCTTCTTTCTTCCTTCCATTTTACATTAGATCTTGTTGATCATAAAAACCAGAGAGTCATAAAAGGATTTTTCACATAAAAAACATAGTGCACATTTGGGGTGAGGCAGCAAAAAATAAGGGTGTAAGAGTAGGATGTACAACACATTTACTTTATGTACATCATATACCGTATATGATAATGTGCTGCTGCTGTTGAAGTGAGATGGAAAAAATGGGTGGAGTTAGTTAAAAGCATTTTGAGTATCTAGATTTTCATTTCATTCTCATTTTCACTTCGAAGACTTTTCAGTCGTCGGTCGATCAGCGAACAAATGGGCAACAATGTACCATCCCGAAGAATGAGTCGAGCAACTATTCATCTCGAGAATAGTATCTCTGAAAATGTGTCATTTGTGGATGCCTTGCATTTGTCACCGTAAGTTGAGCTCTATCAGAATCTCTTATAAAAATTCAATTTTTTAGACATCAAGTTCAACTTTTGGTGTCTACTTGGCCTCGCATCAAATCGTCCAGCTCACTATTCACACAAGTCTTCAAACTGTTGATGACTCGCTCGCCGGTTTCTCGTGAGATGTTTCAAAAAATGTCGATCGTCGGTGGCTTCTCAAGTGGCAATGTTTGCGATCTCAATTCGCATGCCAAACTTCTCAACGAACTTCTCGATTCGTTGATGGCGGATTTGCATCAACCGGCAAAAATTGTGCAGGCAAAATGTCAAGATGTTGGAGCGGCACATGTAAATATGAATGAGAAGTGCTGCGGAACTGTCTTCGATCAATTGGGAGAATGCTTCACGGAGGTGAGGAATGAGTCATGGTGCTGAGGTTCTCAACTTTCAGCATCTAGCTTCTAACCTCCATTCATAAATCTTCTAATCAATAATTCTTCCAGCTGATCACCAAAGTCGAATGTGTTCGCTCAAAACGTGAAGCTGTCAAATCGTGGATGTGTGTTGTTTCATACGTCGTCGACAGCATCAAATCTGGTTACATGGAAGAATGGGCGAAAAAAAGACGAGGTGGTCCAACTGCCAGCAATGGAATCGCTGGAAATAATGGACAATGCCCATATTCCGCATAAATGACTCATATCCATGTTTTTTCTTCTTGCAAAAAATCGCTGATCTCTCAACTTTTTCCCTTACATTTCGCTAAAAAAAACATACACACACAAATATTCCTGCGTCTCATCAAATTTATCATATATGCACTGTGTTCTCTTTTCTTTTCGTCTTCATATCTTTTGTCGTCTCCCGTCTCTTTTGAACTCCATGTTACTTTGCACCTTTTGACCCCCCTTCGTGTCTGTGATTTTTCCCGCCCAGTTTTTTCTTGATTTCTTGGACATTTCCAGATTTTTTCCTGGACACTGAAATGTTTTTTTCTTATTTTTTGCTTCAAGCTTTTTGAGATATTTTGTACATTTTTTGAAATAAAAGTTTTTGGAAATATTGGCTAATTTTTAAGGGGAGAAGGAGTTTGGACCTTTTAATTATTTCTAGGATTAGAGAACAATTTGAAAGTCTCTAGGCTCTGATCCTTGACAATTGAGTTTTCTAGGTTCGGCTACTTCACAGCATAAATTTCTTAAACTATTTTTTTCTTTTTATAATTTTCTTATTTTTAAAATTCAGGGTAATGAACTGGCGAACAACAACCGCAATTTTGTGCATTTATGGAGCTGTCAAAGAATTCCGACCCGCCACTCCATTTTTGACACCATTTTTAGTTTCGTCGGAGAAAAATTTGACACTTGAAGATGTCTATTCACAAATCTATCCATATTGGACATATTCCTATATGATTGCATTGGTGAGATTTTTTACACTGATTTATCACCAATCCTCGCAATTTTTTTCAGATTCCAATGTTTATCCTCACCGACATCCTCCGTTATAAACCAATAATTTTGATTGAAGCATTTGGTCTTACAGTAACTTGGCTACTTTTGGTTTTTGGCCAAGGTGTTTGGCAAATGCAACTTATGCAAATATCATTTGGAATATCTTCAGCTGCCGAAATCGCATATTATTCATACATTTATTCAATGGTAGATCAGAAACATTATAAAAAAGCAACTTCGTATGTCCGAACTTCGGCACTTTTTGGAAAACTTTTAGCTTTTCTACTTGGTCAAATATTGATCTCATCACATTCTACGAATTATTTGATGTTGAATATTATCTCATTGATTGCTTGTTGTTTAGTGACAGTTATTGCTATCTTTTTGCCAAAAGTCAAATCTAGAAAATCAGTCGTAAATATCGAAACTGTTCAAGAAGAACCTCTTCAATCTTATGATTCTGTAATCATCGATGAAACTCCGAAATCTTCAAGCTACACTAAAGAATACTTCCGGAAAACTGTTGAAGAATTGAAAGTGTGCTCAAAAAATCGAGAATTATTGAAATGGTCAATTTGGTGGGCATTGGCGAGTTGTGGAATGTATCAGGTTCAAAATTATATTCAATCACTTTGGCGAGAAATGCAAAATGATCCGGAGAATGTTGCAAACGGATTTGTAGAACTCACCAATACACTTCTAGGTAAACTTCTACTTTTCCAGAATTTTCGAAAAAATATGTTTTTTTTCAGGAACTGCTCTCTCATTTTCAATTCAATATTTTTCAATAAACTGGTCTCAACACGGTCAATCTGTGTTAACAATCACATCTCTTCTCGTCGCCGGGTTACTGTATTTATGTTCGAAGACTACTGTAGTTTTAATTGCTTATGGGTCATATATTGTTATTAGTTCAATTTATCACATGTTAATCACCGCCGCCTCGTGAGTTTGATGTTTTGAATTCAAATTAGATTTTGAGCTAATTTTGTTATAGTTTGGGGTCGGGGAAATCAATGTGTTCCGATCTTGAACATCGGACCCTCAAAACCAAACTCAGTTAAATTTTTCAGAGCAAACGTTGCAAAAGAAATAGGAAATGGTAATAATCATGGACTGATTTTTGGATGCAACACTTTTGTCGCAGTTTTTCTTCAAACTATTTTAACATTAGTCGTTGTGGATTCACATTTTCTGCATTTCGATATTCGAACTCAGTTTATGATTTATTCAGGTTATTTTGGAATTGTGTCAATAATTTTTGCAACTTTTTGGATTTTATCCAAATGTTCAAGGAATGCATAATGATTTCCGTTGAAAAAATAAATAATTAGATAGTTTTTCGTGGTGTGATTTGTAGACGTTGCTTTTCCAAATCGATTTTGACGTTCAAAAGATCTGGCATCAATTGCATTACCTCGTATTTGAATGATTCTCTGAAAATTTTACAATTTATTTTCTCATAAATTCAAAATAATATTGAAAAGAGAAATAACTTACAGAAAATATTTGACATCGTCTTTCACCATTTGAGTTGACATATTAATCTCAATTAATTCAAGATTATCTCTCCAGTATGCTTGAACAATTTTTGGATAAACACACAATCCAGCGATTGTCAACACAATTTTGTATTTTTTCAAGTTTGGCAATTGATTCATAAATTTTTTCATATTGAAAAACATAATCGGTTCGGATATTTCGATTGATGTCACATTTGGAAGATATAAACTGTTTTCGGTGAAATTACGTGCAATTATTGTGATATCTTTTGAGAAATCATGAAGATATCGAAGAAATTCTTTGTTAACCGCGTTGTTTCGAATCACCAATTTTTTAACTTTCCAAGTATCCATTATATCTTTAAGTTTTGGCAAATGTCCATTGGTGAATTCAACAATCAATTTGTCACAGCAAACGTTTACCAGTTCTAGGCCAGTTCTTCGACATCTGTCATTTTTGAAATAAACATCGTGCACCTGATTTATAGTAACTTCAGGAATTGGTGCAGCCATCAAATCTTGATTACTTTTTGTGAGAAACGAGTTGTTCAAAGATGAATGGGTTTGTCGCAAATTTTGTGAAGCTTGGTATGGAAGCTAAAAATAATATAATGAACAACTGGAAATATCTGATCCAATTTTTAAACTTTTTCCAACTGTTATGTCAATCAAAAAATTAATTACAAAAATTTTTTGAACAAAAAATTAACAATTTTTTTCATTCAAAAAAAAAATAGCCAGCCGGAAAATTTTGAACTCACCCACTGCCAAATATTTCCCATCATTTCAACCGGAAAGTCTTTGAAAAATTCGAAATCCATCTTTATTATAATACCACAACGCAAAAAAAAATAAATAAGAAAAAACAGAGAGAGAATTAGAGAAATATATGCAAATGATTATTGGGGAGAGTTGGATGTGTATGTGTGTAATAATAATGCCATGCGGCTCAAAAAGAAACAGCAAAAAAAGGACGCCACTTTTGGCAGGTGGGACACGCCTACATTGAGACAATTTAGATAGCATTAAAAAGAGCTTGCTCCAAATCTATTACAATCCTTTTAGGAAAATGATATATAGTGATGTGTAGAGGAGTTATTATCAAATCCTTACTATCCAATCTATAAACAATGTTGAGTTCATTGTGAAAATGATCATAGAAGTCTTGGATTAAGTCTCTGTAAAATTTATTTATCCAAATTTCTAATGTCCAAATTTGTGTCAAATGTAGTGAAAAAAATATACCTGAATTGTGGATAAAGAAATCCCTCCGGAAAATGTTGTTCGTTTCTCCGGATTATGATAATTTCTAATTTGTCTGGCCAATGTTTTTTCAAACTGTTGAGAAGCGGCATCAAATGGTCTCCTTTCAAATTAACTATTATACCCTCCAAGTTTGGTGTTAGTTCGAAAAAACTTTCGTAATCAGGAATATGCAATGGCACTTCGTGTTCCACAATCAGAAGTTTTGGCAAGTACATTTCGAGGTAATTAGAATTGGGTGAAATTATGTGTGAATATATCCGTAATGATTCGGATTTGTCATGAAGATATTGAATGACATCGTTGGTCATTCTTGAGCATCTTATTATGCATTGGTTGATTGTCCAAGTATCAATTATGGTCATTATGTTCTCCAATACAACATCATTACAAAATACAGAAAGTGTTGTGCAAATCACATTTATATTATTATTGTGACCCATAAGTTTTTTCTCTAGTTCTTCTAACCATAAATATCCTTCAGCATCAATCACAATTTCGCAAATTGGACCATCAATGTACCTACGGTTTTCATGATAATCCATACTAATCACTTTGTTCACTCTTCGAAAATTTTGAGCATCGCGATATGGAAGCTAAAAATCAAAATTCATAGATTCTAAAACATCAGAAATTTGTCAATTTTTTTTAAACCAGATAATATTTTTTAATGATTCAGGAGCAACTAAGTTCTCAAATATAAAAAAAAACACTCACATATTTCCAAATATCCTTCATCAAATCAAGTGGAAACTCTTTGAAAAATTGAAAACCGTTCTCGTCGAATTCAGGAGAAGCTTCGTCAACTTCAATAGGTACCTCTTCAAATTGAAAAAGTTGCTCTATCTCGTCATCCTCCATCATATTTGAACCTGAAAATGATGAATATAAATTTGATAGGTGTTAGCAATAAAATAGTTTGGAAAAAACAATTTCTAGGAACATAAAATAGTTATCAAATATATTGTAACTTTTTGTAAGCACAAAAAAGAAAAATCGAGAAACAGGAGAAAATAACAGTGTGTAATAAAATGAGGAAATATTTTTGGTGATTCATTTTGTGCGACACATTAATGTGATTTTAGAACAAAAACTACAGTACCCATTTATCATTGTTTGTTCACACGAAGAACATTTATGTTTCAGATAATTAAGGAAATACACAACCAGAAGATTTTTAGTGAAATAAAAATGTCATTTAAATTGAATTAGTTTTATAAAAACCGACTTCGCGAAAAAAACAGATAAAAAATAATTATGAAACATTTTTCAAGGGAAGCGATATTCACGAATGTGTGGAAGGCACAGTATTATTTTGAGATCTGACCAATCTACAAACACTCTTAGGCGATCTCCGAAATGTATGTAAACGGCTTGAATGAAGTCACTGTAAAATGGGTTTCTCATTCATCAAAAATATTCAATCTCAACAAAAATCTTACGCATGTTCTTGATAAATATGTCCTGGTAGAAGAGGTCCTCTAACAGCTCTTTTGATAACAATCATCTCAATTTTGTCTGACCAATATTTCTTCAAAGTTTCGTAAAATTCCATCAAATCATTCCGTTGCAAGTTGATTTGTAGTGATCGCAGATTTGGTGCCATTTCGAAAAAGTTGTCCAAGTTATGAATACGCGATGGCCATTGAATGTGGACGGAATCAAGTTTCGGCAAGAACACTCCGAAATGATTGTAGCCGAATGATTTAATTTTCAGTTTATCTGCTTTTTCGTGGAGATATTGTATAACATCATCAGTGAGCAATGATCCCAATGTCTCGATTCTTCCAATTGACCAAGTACCAATAATGCTCCTAATATCGGACAAAACTAGATAGTCTGCTTGAATCAAAAGGTTGCGGCAAATCAAATTTACAAAGTGATCTCCCTGAATCAATCGTCCCGTTTGTTTCAAAATGACTTTTCCTTGATGTGTTATGATAGCATCGCAAATTGGTCCGTCAATATAACGTCGATTGAAACGATAAGAGTCGTCGAAAGCACTGTGTGTTCGGCGAAGATTTTGAGCATCGCGATAGGGAAGCTGAAAATAAAATATATGAAAATAAAGAAAAAATCGAGTAAAGTTTTTTGTCATTAGTGTAAAAAATAGTTCAAATTAAAAAAATTCAAGTTTAGGCAAGGATTTCGTGGGTGGTCTCAGACAGCCGCAATAGCTTCCTGCCAGCTTTTGAATCTAGTACAATCAATACATTAGACTTTTTATGCCGCATTCAAGGCTAAAGCCAGAATTGCGCAACAAGTGTCCGAAACGTGTTTTTGGCAAAGTGCCAAAATTTTACAAATCAATTTCCACACATCATGGTTTTAGGGGAGTGTGTTCAACAATTTTATTGAAAATTAGAGACAGATACTATACTTTGAAACCAGAAAACATAAACCTAAAATTTTCTAAAACTGAACCCACTATGTCCCTTTAAACTTTCAAAAACTCACATATTTCCAAATATCCTTCATAAAATCAACTGAAAAATGTTTGAAAAATACAAAAGGTTCCACATTTTCTCCACACTCAGCCATATTTGAAACTAACAAATTGTGTGGAAAAAGATGCAAAAATATAAAAATTCTCACAGCTGTTAGTAAGAATATCTATTCAAAATGCCTGTTTTTAGGATCATGTGTTTACGAAAAATAGTCGTCAAATATATTGTAACTTCTGCACAAGAAAGAAAAAGCCTCGAGAAACATTGATTTGAATGGAATAGATAGACAAAATAGTGTGTAATGAGATGAGGGAACCTTTTTCCTTTTTCTCCTTTTTTTCTTGATTTATTTTGTGTGCGCCGCAATTAGTGATTTCATTTTGTGTGCGCCGCAAATACGAAACCTACAGTAACCCTTGAGTAATCAAAATGATTAAAAATTTTTTGTTTATTTTTCTTCTGTTTTTGATTCTTCACTGAATATGGGAAAGAAATCAAATCTTTTAAGATTATTTAAAACTCTCTTATATTTTCAGTGGTTACCTGAAATTGGATGATTTCTGTTTTCTTCTGTTTATCTTATATATCTTGATAGTGTTTTTCAGACGTGTAGCAATTTTCTAAATTCTATCAATTTGAAAAAAGTCATTGAAAAACTCGAGGTATCATTTATTAATTTGAACAAGAGAGTCGTGGATCTTGGCAATTCTTTAAATATTATTCGAGAAAAAGAGTTGTGTCTGAAATTTGATTCCTTGATTCAAGATTCTAAAAAATTTCTAATGAACCACAACAATTTTGTCAAGTGTTTTCATTGTTTCGAGTATTTACCTGTGTATTTTTTAATTTGAAAAAAATCATAAATCATTTTCAATTTCCGTAGTTTCAAAATGTAGTTTTCAACCTAACACAACTCAACTCAAAAAAATCTTACAAATGATGCTAAACAATTTCAAAAAATGTTTCGATTTCCGATTCTAATCTTTTTAATACTTTTTTCACATTTCCCAAGCTGGAAATATTTTGAAAACTATTCAATCATGATTGTATCTATCTTGCCAAACTTTTTCAAAAAACAAAACTCAAAGACTATTCAAAAACTTCCTTGTTGATCTATTTGATAGAAAGTGTTTCATTTCAGTCAACTGACTGATTATCTGAAACTGAATAGATCATAGTGTAAAGCTGATTCGTCAAATAACAAAATCGTGTTTTGTTTTACTGATGTAAGCGGAATTTTTTGAAATTTCCAAATTTCAAAACTTTTTTCTCTCACTATCATTCAAAATTGAAAATTATTAACTTTCACTGTCCACTTGTCCACATTAGCAAGGTCATTTTTAAGGTCAAACAATTTTCAGATGAGGTGGCCAGTTAAAACTATTTTTTGTTGGTAAGAGGGGGCGGAGCTTAGATTTAGTATAAATATATAAAGAAATGGGATGATGTGAAAGATAAACATTATCATGTCATCCACTTCTATTCTCATTGTTCTTGTTGCCATTTTGGCTGTTTTTGTAGTTGTTGATGCCCAGTGGGGATGTAAGTTTCAATTATTTAAATTAAAAATCGAGTGAAAACCTTTTTGTTTATTCAGACGGAGGTCCATACGGAGGCGGATATTACGGTGGCGGACCATACGGTGGATACGGACCATATGGCGGAGGTTTCAGAAGATCGTTCTACGGTCCAAGATACGGTGGATATGGCCCATACGGAGGAGGATACGGTGGACCATACGGTGGATATTACGGAAAATAAATATTCCTACAATATTCCCGATCCTGTATTATACATGTATTATTTATTCGAGTAATAAAAACGGTTTTTCTTCTATTTTGTATGTTGTTTTTTGCCCCCGAGATAGATAATTATCTATGGGGTGATAAGGATATCCTGTTTTGTTTTGATGGTGATGTTGATCTAGTTATATCAGATGATGAAAAAAAGATCATGACTAGAAAAAATAGATTTATTGGATTTTCTTATAAAGTAATGACAAATTATGCAAAAAATATATTTTACTCGCATTTTCACAAAATAAAACAATTATTTAACAGTGAAATGTTTGACCATTTTATATTGATCGACTGATGTCAAATCTTTGGTTTCCATATGTCCATAAGTATTATAAATGATTGAAGCATCGGAAGTTGGAATCAATGAGGTTTGTTGTCCCCAAACCATGTTATTGTATTCGATTAATTCGTCAGCATGACTCCAAGCACTGAAAACATAGAGAGCTTCCTTGGTTTTGTCGGAATTCAAATTCATCAAAAATGTTGAATAAGAGTGGCTTGAACATGGCCATGGAAGTGGACTCAAACCGCAATCGAGGTAGTTCAAACCGCACGAATCACCAGGCCATAATCCATTTTTACGATTGCATGTTTTCTCAAGAGTTGCTGCTCCACCTTCGCAATTACAAAGTCCATAATTTGCTCCACTGATTCCGACGAAAACTTCAACTTTTGATGCCAACGATGCTCCAAGATCACATCTTCCATCAGCGGCTTCCATCGTTCCTCCTTTCACAATTTTTCTTCCAAGAGTTACACCCATTGAATGAGTGACTACTGAGATTTTTGGTGCTTTGGTGTAAGCCAACACTGCTTCGAGGAATTTTCGAAGTCTGACAAGATCATAACAATCATGAGTTCTTGATGCGGCATTCAATGCATTTGTGTCTTGCCAGGAAGTTGCATAGAGTTCAGCAGTAGTATACCCTTGTTCTAAGAAGTATTCGATTGAGTTCGACCATCCTGTGGCAGCTGAAGATTTATGAAGTGCAGCATCTGAGTTTCCATGGATAAATACGACTGGAGTGTTTGAGATTACTGTATTTGCATCAACTTTTCCACCATAACTTCCTTGAGTACCGTAGTCTTCTCGAGGAAAATCATAAGACGAATAATCGTTACTAAAAATAATTCAAATTATGATTATATTGTTGAAAATAAAAGTCACTCACTCTTTGAGCCACGATTGAAAATCGTCGGTGAATGGTCCTGTGATACTATTAGAAGTATGCACAGAACCAACCAAAAGGACGAAAAAAGATTGAAAGTCGCGAGTTGTTGATAGATAACATGAAATGAATGGCGTCAAACCGAGCACGTTGCCTTTTTATATTAAGAGGAATTATCAGCACATGGCGATTTTTTACACAATATAGTTTGATTTCGACAGAAAAGGCCGCTGTTTGGAGAAAACACGTGGCGGGTGTGTTTTGCTCAATTGAGTTTGTGTTTTAGATATTGTATTGTCTAGTTCACCACGTTTTCTCTACTTTCCTGCTCGTGATAGATTGTTGTTGATTCTAATTTTTTGTTGCTGATTATGTTCGGTGACGTTGTTATCAGAAGAAAAATGTGAATACGGTAAACTTGTGGCCCATTTTATTTATGGTTTCTGAATTTCTTCAAAATAACATGTATATCATTTTTTGACTTGGCCTAACAAGGTCATTTTTCTCAGAAAAAAATTGGAAATTTGATACATATTTTGAGAAACATAATATCAGTTTTGTTGAAATTCATTTCGAATCCAGAAAGTTTGAATTTTTCAACTTTAATAAATGTTTTTTTTTCAATTTTTAGAACTTTGGAATCCGATGATTCAGTTCTTACGTCTAAATATTGTTCGGCTAGATGTTTTTCCTTAAGTCTGAAGCCCCGATATGTTTTCAATTTTTTTCCAGAAAAAATCCAACTTTTGTGGAACATTTTGCACTTTCCCACGGTGGTCTCTTAACTATTTCAACGAAATGATTTTCGAATTAATTATTGTTGATGGGAATAGTTTTCCCCACAAAACACAACTAAAAATTCAGAGAGCGAAAAAAAGCCGATTAGAAAATACCTCCCGATAACAACTTTCTCATCAAAAATGAAATTTAATCACCAAAAAGAAAATGTTTTTACTGGGATGGCCACATTTTCTCATGAATGCTTTTGAAAGATAGGGTTGAGAAAAGTAAAAAATTTATAAAAAGTTGGAAAAATATGTTTTATCCTTGATAAACTCCAAGGAAAAGTGGATGATTATCTTTGACCAATGCGAAAATGAAAGGATGATCTGCAGTGAAATCAACAGGTGTTTCCATTCTTCCAGACATTGGAACTCCTTTGATTACTGTAGCCGCAGCAGCTACAGTTCCTTCTTCATTAACTTCAATAATTGTTTTATGATTTCCATCGGAGATTTTGATGTTTGGAGTGATTCCAGATAAACCAGCAGAATCAGTGAAGATTTTTGTGATTCCCAAAGATTGCAAAATTGTTTTCAATGAATATTCTTTTTCAATTTTGAATTTTGGAATGACAGTCTGAAAAAAAAAGAAAAGTTTTAAAGTAATTTAGAAAATGTGAAAGTGTCTTACATTCAACAATGTGCTTTTGGTCGCTTTTATCAATGCTTGGAATTGTTTTGGATTGAAATTGCGAAGAGTTTGGAGAAGAGAATGTCTAACTTTTGGCAAGAAAATGACAAATCTATAGGATTTATCCTTGTATGGCAAAGATAGAACTTGAAATTTATCATCTTCTGCAAAATCTCGATCTTTGAAATATTCAGTCATAAATTCGATTTTCTTCTTATTTATTTTTGTTGTTTCGAAATCTCGTTTGCTGGTTGCATGTCTTTCAAAATCATCCAACCAATCTCCTTTGAAATATAAAGCATTCACCAAAAGTGTAACTGCATCTTTAATCGAGTTTGAGTTGACCATATTTTGAATTTTTCCATTGGTAGAGTCAGATATGAATTTATTGATTTTCTGAAAAAAAAAGAAATTTTGAGTAACAAGAATTTTAGCATGAAATACCTGGGCTGAGTCGGGTTTTTTGAAATCTAGATTTTCAGCTGATGCCGCGTACAACTTTTGAACATTGTCCAAATATGATTTCTCAACTTTCAATCCATCTTTCAAATAAACTCGATTCGCTAATTTTGCCTCAACTCCATTTTGAACTTTCCTCAAAGCTTCAGAAATAAAATTGAAATGATTTTGAAATTGCTCATCACTTGCTCCACTCAACAAAACTTTTCCAATTTCACTTTTCGATTCACCTTTTGCTCCAGCATGCACCAAAGAAAGAGCCAAAGCAATTGAGAGTGGCGAGAATACGGTAGATTCATTTAAAGGAACATTACGGAGAAAATCGAGACCGAAACCGGTCTCTGCTTCGAGAAACATTTTACTGATTTTTTTTCCGTTGTTGAGATGTTTGTTAGAAGACAACTGTTGTGAAAAGAACATTTGAAGATCAGAAAAAAATTGTTGACAGAATGTGATTTTTTAAAAGCTTCATTGAACCTCACAACATCTGGTCTTACAGAAAAAGAATTACAGCACAGGTTTTTCTATCATTTAATGTCTTCTGTTTTTATTTTGTTTGAAAATATTTAAAAAAAAAAACATTTGAAAACATTTGATGTTTCGGCCAAAAACTAAAGACAATAACAATAAATCTAGAAACGAATAAATAAAACACAATTCAAAGAGATAGAAAGTGCAATAATATTGATATTATCATCTTGGTCTAGATCAAAAATTCTCAAAATCTTCTGTGTTTGTTCATCTCTCTGCAATTTCAGAGTCGACCAAAATCGATACCTATAAAAAGTGTAACAACAAAACTCGAAATGAACAGCTGGTCTTATCGAACAATAACATTTTCTCAAGAAAATGTCGCAAATTTCACCGCTTCCTCCAGATATTCTACAAACTGAAGCCAATTTCGGTCTCAAAATTCTGAATGATTTCGGATACGAGCAAAGTTCGATCGTTTCGCCACTCTCAATTTTGCTCTCTTTGAGTTTGGTTCATCTGGGTGCAAAAGGTCACACCAAGGATCAAATCAGAAATTCGATCTTGAACTCGACACATGAACAATTTATTGAGCATTTCAGTGGATTGAACAAATTGATTGATAATGATATAAATGATGTTCAATGTAATATTGCCAATCGACTTTTTGTTGGGTAAGCTTCTAAAGTTGTTCTTTATTTTTCAAAACAAAACTTTATCGGTTACAGAAGGGACCAAGAAATCGAAGAATATTATTTGAGAGATGTTGGAAAATACTACAATGCTTATGCGGAAAAAGTTGATTTTGGAATACCATCAGAAGCAGCCACAGTAATCAATAAATTTATTAATGAAACCACAAAGGGAAAAATTGATGATATGGTAAAAGCGAATAATTTGAATGGTGTTGATGCGATGTTGGTGAATGCAATTTATTTCGAAGCTGATTGGAGACACAAATTTCAAAAAGACGCTGCAAAACCGGCCGATTTTCATAGTTCATCGACCAAAAAACGAAGCGAACAATTTTTGAGCGACTCGTATTATGAGAGAAAATATGCATCAGATGATTATTTCCAGATGGTTTTGATTCAATACAAAGATAAATCGGCGAATTTGGCGATTTTTATGCCGAAAAAACGATTTGGATTGAGAGATGCGATGAAGAAAATGGATGGAAAACGTTTTCACGATTTGATTGAAAAAGCTGTTTTAGAATATGTTTTCGTAAGTGCATTCGGATGGTTTTCTACAACAACTTGAACATTTTTTCAGTTATCTTTCCCCAAATTCAAAATTGAAAAGCAAATCAGTTTGAACACCGTTTTGGGAAATCTTGGACTCCGCGAAATTTTCACAGAATCTGCCGACTTTTCGGGAATTTCTCCAGGCCTCAAACTCTCCGCTGCTGCTCATGAAGCTATGATTGAAGTTAGATATAATCTTCAAACAGAAGTTCAATCATTTTGTTCAATATTTTCAGGTTGATGAATGGGGAACTCGTGCGGCCGCTGCTTCCGAGGTCAAAATCTATGGTGTTTCAGCGCCAGCTGGAGTTCCAATTGAATTCAAAGCTGACCAACCTTTCCTCTATGCAGTTATCAAAGACAAAGTTCCAGTTTTCATGGGAATTTACACATAACTTTTTGAATAAACTTTTTATTGAAAAAAAAAATGGTGGCCGAGGTTTTTTGCGCGTGTACTTCTCCCGGACAATTTTTTTGTTGTTTTTGTTTTCATCATCATTTTTATTTTTTCCGTTTTTTCTATTTCGCGAACATTTTGAATTGAAAACAGAAGGCAGAGAGAAGAAAACATGAACAATTTGGCTGATAAGAAAGATTTTATGGGTGTCAGTTTCGGTCAACGCCTGGAATACACAGAAAATGAAAAAATTCAAGTGAACAAACAAACATTCGTCCTATTTAGGTGGGGTTCATTCCATCCCATTTCATTTTTTCTTGCAGTACTTTTTTCTACTTTTCAGTAGTTGTCTAATCTCTCTATCTTCTCCACACACTCTATAATCTTTTCACTCTCTCTGCCCTCTTTATGTTTCGTTCGAACGTTCCTTCCTTCAAAAAAATGTTTTGGTTTTTTTTTTCATTTTAAAAATGTTGGGTCGTTTTGTTTGTTTCGTAACTGTGATTCATAACAGTCGTTCGCTTTTTGTTTTGGTTTTTATTGTCTCATTTCAATTCTAAATTTGAAATTTTCAGAAGATCAATTTTCATTTCATTGGTTGAAAATGTCCTTCAGTCATCCACTGTAAGTTTTCTTTTTTTTTTTTTTCAACAAAAACATTCAAATCCCTTTTCAATTTTCAGTGTTTTCTACGATGTCGAAAGTGATTTTGCCCTCAAACTTCTCTCAACTCTTCCAACCAATACTTCCAGTGTGATTTCACCTCTCTCTATTTCCCTTGCTCTTTCACTTGTTCATCTTGGCGCCAAAGGACTCACCAAAGAACAAATCACTCAAACTATTTTGAAAGGACGAACGGATGCAGAGTTTGAAGAATATTTTTTGACACTGGGTGGCGCTGTTAGAAATTCGCAAAATGGAGTGGAAACACAGATTGCAAATCGAATTTTTGCAAAGTAAGAAATTTCAAAAACCTTTTTTGAAATGAAAATAAAAATACAAATTGCAGTGAAGGATCAAACATCAAATCGAATTATCTCATTGATGCTCAGATGAAATACAGTGCTGGAGCAGAAGTTTTGAATTTCAATGATAGTGAAACATCTGCTAAAAAGATCAATGATTTTGTTGCTGCCAACACTGGAAATAACATCAAAGATCTAATCACAGCTGACACATTGAAAGATGCATTTTCACTTCTAGTAAATGCTGTGTACTTCAAAGGAGAATGGCAAGATAAATTCGAAAAAATTGGAACATCTCCTGATAACTTCCACTCATCTGCCACATCTCAAAGAAATATCCCATTTTTGCATGAATTCGAAACACATCGAGATTTTGCCGAAGATGATATTTTCCGAGTTTTATCTCTTCGTTATATTGATACTTCTTATACTTTTGCAATTTTCTTGCCAAAACAACGATTTGGATTGGAAGAATCATTGAAGAAATTGAATGGAACCAGATTTCAATCACTTATTAATTCACTAGGACATCAATATTTGAATGTGAGTTTTTATTTTTAATTTTTATCTGAAAATGTTATGTAGATTTCTATCCCGAAATTCAAAATCGAAAAATCACTCGATTTGAAAGATGCTCTCGAAAAAGTTGGGATTACTGAGATCTTCAAAGATTCTGCTGATATCTCTGATTTCGCTGACAATGTTCATATTTCTTCCGGAGTTCATAAAGCTCTCATCGAAGTTGATGAAGATGGAACAACTGCAGCTGCTTCAAGCGCATTGAAAGCACGTCTGGAAATGATGATAATGGCTGAGCCAATTCAATTTACAGCCGATCATCCATTTGTTTTTGCCTTGCTCAAAAATCGCAGTCCGTTGTTTTTAGGAATTCATGCGTAATTGAAAAGTGATCGAAATGTGTTTCATATGTAATGATCAAGCGTTGTCATAAAAGTTCTATGTGAAATTAGCACAGAACCAAAGGTTACTGTTTTTTCTGTGGAAGTTCAACTAAAAGAAATCTACTTAATTTTCAAGAAAGTTTCAGGAAAATTTGTAGAATATTGTTGTCACTTTGATTTCGTTGTTCGTAGGAAGCTAAAGTTGCAGGTGTTATGATGTTGATATACTTGGGACGTCGGTTTTCATCTGGCTTCTTTATTGTTTGACAACCAACTATAATCTTGAGATGATCTTAATGATTTATGAGCAGCTGTAATTTCAATACCTATTTACTATTTTTTATTCCACACACACTCGAAAAAAAGTTTGTTTGTCTAATGTACTGTTCAAACTATACATCTTACTTATATACTCCAGAATTTCTAGAAATTGGACTTCATATAACTTCTATTTTTTCGATACCATGTCATATCATGGCTCTGTACTGTGTTATTTTCAAAACTCCTGTGAAAATGGAATCTGTTAAAATGACAATGTTATCTTTATGCATTTGGACAATTATTCTCGATCTACAAATTACTGTTTTGACTGCACCATTTGTTATGTTTCCTGTTGTTGCTGGATTTCCTATAGGATATTTGACATTTTTAGGAATTAGTACACCTGTTCAAACTGCATTCACCGTTCTTGTTTTAATAGGTAGGAAATTGTGGATTCGGAACACAAAAACCAATAATCGCTTAGGATGTACAACATCAGTTAGTTGTGTACTTGGAAATCGATATTGTCGAATAACTTTAAAAGAATCGAAATATCAACAAGTATATCTATATTGCTTCAATATTTCAGCGACAGTATTAATATTAGTTTATCTTCTGTCAGATGTACCTGATCAAGTTTTCGCTATTCCAATGGTTTATGAGGTATATATTTTTGAGAATATTTGTTAGGTAATTGTAGTCAAATTTCAGAAATTTCCGTGTATTTCTGAGGAAGTTCGTCGTCGCAAAGTTTTTGTAATTCATAATAATCCTGCACTTGTTGGAATGTGCATTGGAATTTGTGTTATATTCATACTCTCTGAATATATCTATTTTCTAACTGCAACTATTTTTCACCTAAAGTTTCATTTTAATCCAAGTATGTCGAGAAAAACGAGGGAACTACAAAAAACATTTTTCTATTCAATTTCATTACAAATCCTGATTCCCATCTTTATCATTGTTGTTCCTTGGAGTTATGTAGTATTTTCATGTTTTTCCAATGATTATAACCAATCTTTCAATAATTTATTCACTTTGAATGTTGGTTTTCATGGAACTATCTCATCGATTTCTTTACTCATCACTCATAAACCCTACCGACAAACTATTACTTGCCGCAATACTCAAAGCAAAAAGGGAATCATGTTAATTTCTGGATCTAACATGATTTTTCGGAAAAATCATTTGAAACCTGTTAATTCATCAAGTTTGCGAAAATAGTAAATGACGTTTTATTTTTGAGTTGCAAGTAGGAAAAGTTAGAGAATTGTTGATTTTCAACTTTCAAATCAGATGAATGTAACATTCCATAGTATTAGGACAAAATTTATATTTATTCATTTCTATCTGGCTTCATTTTATGTTTGAACTTTAGTTTTTTCTATACTCAGAATTGCCGCAAAAATTGTACAGGTGTTTTTTTTCAGATTTTCTAGTAAATTGATCAAAATCATCCAAGTTTTTGCATATACCATTAGATTTCCGAATTTTCTATTTTGTCTCCACAAACTTTTTTTGAATTTTATCCCGTTTAGATTATTCCGCATTTCATGATATTATCCTTGGTTAAACTTTTGAGAGTTCAAAGGTCTATGGCATTTTCGTCTGGCTGCCATAGCTCTAAAAAATAACTAATCAGAAATTCGAATGATCATTCAGTCTCAAGAACAGGTGTAATTTCCTCACAATATATTTTTTCAACCCAATTTACATCGAATAACACGCGACCAAAACCTTATTAACTTTTTTATTATTATAATGTGTTGTTCAATGTTCTCGTCATATTTATATACTCCAGAATTTCTAGAAATTGGACTTCATATAACTTCTATAGTTTCGATACCATGTCATATTATGGCTTTATATTGTGTTATTTTCAAAACTCCTGTCAAAATGGAATCTGTTAAAATGACAATGTTATCTTTATGCATTTGGACAATTATTCTTGATCTACAGATCACTGTTTTATCTGCACCATTTGTAATGTTTCCTGTTATTGCGGGATTTCCTATTGGATATTTGACATTTTTAGGAATTAGTACACCTATTCAGACGGGAATAACTGTTTTGGCTTTAGTAGGTATGCATGATCTCCAAATAAGAATTTTCGAATATATTATTTTTGTAACAGGTTGCACAACATCAATTGGATGTTTACTTGGTAACAGATATTGTCGAATAACTTTGAAAGAATCAAAATATCAACAAGTATACCTTTATTGTTTTAATATTATAACCACAACTCTAATATTAATTTATTGTCTGTCAGGTGTACCTGATCAAGTTTTCGCTGTTCCGCTGGTTTATGAAGTAAGCACTTTTAGGAGATCAAAGATCTATCTAATTATGCCTATCATTTTTTAGCAATTACCTTGTGTTCCGGACTATGTTAGAAATCGAGCGGTTTTTGTTATTCATTCCGACGCTGCTCTTGTTGGAATTTGTATTGGTACTTGTGTATTGATAATGCTTATTGAATACTTTTATTTTCTGACAGCTACAATGTATCATTTGAAATATAACTTCAACCCAAATTTATCAAAAAGAACAAAATCATTACAAAAATCGTTTTTCTATTCGATTTCCTTGCAAATCCTAATTCCAATTTGTATTATTTGTGTTCCTTGGGGCTATGCTGTTTATTCTTGTTTATTAAAATATTATAACCAAGCGTTCAATAATTTATTGACTATGGATATTGGTCTGCATGGCATAATTTCATCACTTTCTTTACTTTTCATTCACAAACCCTACCGTGAAACTATATTTTGTAAAAAAACTAAAAAAGTATCTGAATTAACTTCGTACGCTGGATCTAATATGATTTTTCGGAAAAATAATTTGATTTCTAGACATATATCAATTTCACAAAAATAGAAAATGAAAATATTTTTATTGATGTCGACAAATAAAAACAAAACAAAATATACAATATACCTGTGTGAAATGTACAAAAAAAGAATAAATCGAGACCTAATATCCATCCGAAACAAGTTTGTCATAAGCATCAGAAGTCAAGAAATCAGAAAGTTTTTCTTCAGTTGCGAATTTCTCCAAAAGTTCAGCAGCTTCTGGAATCCTCTTGGTCTGACTTTCAAAACAGCGTGATTGTTAGCCAATGTGTATTCTTTTTTGGTTGTTGGATGAACATATGAAATATTTCCACGAGCTGCATCATAAAGATTGATTTGTCCTTCGAGTTGATTTCTCCAGGTTGGTGAATTTGAATCTTCAAAATCAGCCATGAACACATTAGCTCTTCATTTTCAAGAAAGTTTCAGGAAAATTTGTAGAATGTTTTGAATCCAAAATTCGATGATTTTGGGACGAAGCTCTTACGGTTATCCTTTTTCATCTTGTTTTATCTGTCAATTTTTATGTTTGAACTTCTAATTTCTCTATTCTCAGAAATGCCACAAAAATTATACAGGCAAACCACGCCCAGGGGTCAACATATGCACGGCGCCCATAATTTTTTTCCAATATTTTAATGCGCCAAAAAATGTTCAAGTAAGTTTTGAGTCGCTTTTCAAGTATTTTTTGAAAAATGGGTTGTTTTCACCATGCCAAAAATTTCTCGGAAATCACCCGGCCAACTTTTATTTTTTCATTTATACGTATGTTTTTTTTTCAGATTTTCTAGAAAAGAACAGGTGTAATTCCCTTACAATATTTTTTCAACATTATTTCCTTCGAATAACGCGACAAAAACTTATTAACTTTTTTTTATTATAATGAGTTGTTCAATGTTCTCGTCATATTTATATACTCCAGAATTTCTAGAAATCGGATTTCATATAACTTCTATAGTTTCGATACCATGTCATATTATGGCTTTATATTGTGTTATTTTCAAAACTCCTGTCAAAATGGAATCCGTCAAAATGACCATGTTATCTTTATGCATTTGGACAATTATTCTCGATCTACAGATCACTGTTTTATCTGCACCATTTGTAATGTTTCCTGTTATTGCGGGATTTCCTATTGGATATTTGACATTTTTAGGAATTAGTACACCTATTCAGACGGGAATTACAGTTTTGGCTTTAGTAGGTATGCATGATCTCCAAATAAGAATTTTCGAATATATTATTTCTCTAACAGGTTGCATAACATCAATTGGATGTTTACTTGCTAACAGATATTGTCAAATAACTTCGAAAGAATCAAAGTATCAACAAGTATACCTTTATTGTTTTAATCTTATATTCACAATTCTACTTTTAATTTATTGTATGTCAGGTGTGCCTGATCAAGTTTTCGCTGTTCCTCTGGTTTATAAAGTAAGCACTTTTTGGAAATCATAGATGTATCTAATTATGATGATTATTTTTTCTAGCAATTACCTTGTGTTCCGGACTATGTTAGAAATCGAGCTGTTTTTGTAATTCATTCTGATCCAGCTATAATAGGAATTTGTATTGGTACTCTTGTATTATTATTTATTATTGAATATTTTTATTTTCTGACAGCTACAATGTATCATATTAAATACAAGTTTAACCCAAGTTTATCAAAAAGGACAAAATCATTACAAAAATCATTTTTCTATTCGATTTCTTTGCAAATCCTAATTCCAATTTGTATTATTTGTGTTCCTTGGGGCTATGCTGTTTATTCTTGTTTATTAAAATATTATAACCAAGCGTTCAATAATTTATTGACTATGGATATTGGTTTGCATGGCATAATTTCATCACTTTCTTTGCTTTTCATTCACAAACCCTACCGTGAAACTATATTTTGTAACAAAACTAAAAAAGTATCTGAATCAACTTTGTATGCTGGATCTAATATGATTTTTCGGAGAAATAATTTGATTGTTGGACATTCATCAATTTCACACAAATAGAAAATGAAAAAGTTTTATTGATGTCGACAAATAAAAACAAAACAAAATATACAATATACCTGTGTGAAATGTACAAAAAAAGAATAAATCGAGACCTAATATCCATCCGAAACAAGTTTGTCATAAGCATCAGAAGTCAAGAAATCAGAAAGTTTTTCTTCAGTTGCGAATTTCTCCAAAAGTTCAGCAGCTTCTGGAATTCTGTTAACAACACTTCCAGCTCGAATAAGACGACGTTCCGCTTCAGCAGCAATTGTTTGTTTAACAAGTCCAGCATCAATAGTTCTTCCATCCTCAAGTTTAGCATCATGGCGAAGCCATTGCCAAAGTTGAGCACGTGAAATTTCAGCAGTTGCTGCATCTTCCATCAAATTATAAAGTGGAACACATCCAGTTCCACGAAGCCATGAATCAAGATATCCAAGTGTAACACTAATGTTATGTCTGAATCCAGCTTCAGTTCTCGTTCCTTCTGGAATAACAGTCAAATCTTCTTTGGTGACTTGTGAGCGACTAAGAAGTTTATCGATTTGATTAGCATTTGTCATTCTCGAATCAAATACTTCTCTTGCCAACGGAACTAATCCTGGATGTGCAACCCATGTTCCATCATGTCCATCAGTTACTTCACGTTCTTTATCAGCACGAACAAGAGCGAAAGCTTTGTCATTTGCAGCCAAATCGTGTTTGATTGGAATTTGTGCAGCCATTCCTCCCATCGCATGAATTCCACGTTGATGACAAGCTTTGATAACTTCGAGTGAATAATTTCTCATAAATGGAGCAGTCATTCCAATTTGGAATCTATCTGGCAACAAGAATTTTCGATGTTCTTGGAATGTCTTGATGTATGAGAAAATGTAATCCCATCTTCCACAGTTCAATCCAACGATGTTATCCTTCAAAGCATAGATAATTTCATGAAGTTGGAAACTGGCCAACAAATGTTCGATAAGAACTGTACATTTGATGGTTCCTTTTGGTAGTCCAAGTTTTTCTTCAGTATATTTGAACACATCAGCCCAAAGTTGAGCTTCTTCAGCAGATTGAAGTTTTGGAAGATAGAAATATGGTCCAGATCCTTTGTCAATAAGAGCACGAGCATTGTGGAATACGAACAATCCAAAATCGAATAATGAACCAGAAGTTGGTTGATTGTGAATCAAAACATGTTTTTCTGGCAAATGCCATCCTCTTGGTCTGACTTTCAAAACAGCGTGATTGTTAGCCAATGTGTATTCTTTTTTGGTTGTTGGATGAACATATGAAATATTTCCACGAACTGCATCATAAAGATTGATTTGTCCTTCGAGTTGATTTCTCCAGGTTGGTGAATTTGAATCTTCAAAATCAGCCATGAATACATTAGCTCCCGAATTGAAAGCATTAATTATCATTTTGCGATCAGTTGGTCCAGTGATTTCAACTCTTCGGTTTTGTAAATCTTTTGGAATCTCAGCTCCTTTCCATGACAAATCATTTCTCAATTTTTCGGTATCAACATTGAAATCTGGGAACCAAACCGAATTATTGATATCACTTTGAACTTGTTTTCTCTTGTTCAAAAGTTGAAGACGACGTGGATTGAATTCTTGATTCAAATCACGGATGAAGCGAAGAGCATCCGGTGTAAGAACTTTTTCATCTCCAGCAACTGATGGGGCAGTGAGCTAAAAATAACATTTTGTTGATGTGGAAAATTTGGAAGTATGAAAAATCTTACGGAGAGAATTTCTTCATCTTCTGAAGAAGCAGCAGCGGTGACTTGAGAAGTTTGGAATTGCGCTTCTTCAGTTGATCCAGAAAGTGCAGTTGTGCTTGACAATCCACCAGTAACAGCTCTCGAAACAGCATCGAAATATCCAGTTCCGACTTCTCTTTGATGTTTTACCGCGGTGTATCCATGTTTTTCCGCAGCGAATTCACCTTCTTGAAGTGCAGAATAAGCCAACATTCCATGGTCCTTGTAATTTCTTGCCAAATCAAACATACTGTAGCTGTTAGCGTGGAAACCAGCCAAAGTAATGAATTGATATTTGAAGCCCATCGCTCCCAATTCTTTTTGGAATTTCTCCATTTGTTGTGGTGAAAGATGTTTCTTCCAGTTGAATGATGGTGAACAATTGTAAGCGAACATTTTATCTGGATATTCTTTGCGAACTCCTTCAGCAAATTCACGAGCATCAGCAATTGTTGGATGAGAAGTTTCCATCCAAATAAGATCACAATATGGAGCATATTGAATTGCACGATCAACACAATATTGAATTGCTGTCGAATCTTTAAGACGATAGAATCCTTCAATTGTTCTTCCAGCTTCATAATCAATATATGGATGATCTCTTGGATCAATATCTGATGTTAATAATCTCGAAGATTCCGCATCAGTTCTAGCAACAATAATTGTTGGAACACCACAAACATCAGCAGCAAGACGAGAAGCGTTGAGATGTCTGATGTGTTGCGCAGTTGGAATCAAAACTTTTCCTCCCATATGTCCACATTTTTTCTCTGATCCAAGTTGATCTTCGTAGTGAACACCAGCCGCACCAGCCTCGATGTACGCCTAAAAGTCTGGTTGTGTTGTTTTTTTTTGTTCGGGAAAAAGTGAGAGAAATGACCAACTGTCAATGACCAACCTTCATCAATTCAAAACAATTGAGAGCTCCTCCGAAACCAGCTTCAGCATCTGCCACAATTGGTGCATACCAATCACGTTGCGCCAAATAATCTTCAGCTTCACATGCCTCGATCTACAAATATTTGATAAGTTTTCTCAAAGATCCCTAGGCTCTTCCCATGTGTTTTTGATTTGATCGAAACAGGTGTACAAACACACATTATTTTATTTTGATGATAAGATAAGATGTTTTTGTTGTGTGTTCGCTATCGTTTTCTCTAGTGTACACTGATACTTTGATCGACGATTGATTGTTGAAAACAATCAAAGTGTGAACTGGTTCATAACAAAGGAACAATAATTAAAAAAAACACATACCTGATCAGCTCTTCTCAAAGATCGGTTAATTCTTCTAGCAAGATCTGGTCCTGAATTTGCTGGATACAAAGATTGATCTGGATACATATCTCCAGCACTGTTTGCATCAGCAGCAACTTGCCATCCTGACAAATAAATCGCTTTGAGACCAGCTCGAACCATTTGAACAGCTTGATTTCCAGTTTGAGCTCCGAGAGCTGGAACAAATGGTTCGGTGTGAAGAAGTTGCCATAATTTGTTGGCTCCACGTGTTGCCAATGTGTAATCAATGTCAATTGATCCACGAAGTTTCAACACATCTTCAACTGTATAATCTCTCTTGATTCCCTTGAAACGGCCTTTTGGTGCTGATTTGACTACCTAAAACAATTCGCAATTAAAAATAAACAACTCCAAGAAAATTGTTCTTACCTGATAGAAATTCTTGGCGCTCATCTTGATTTTAGTAAATTAAGTACTAAACGTGTTGATGATCAACTCGCTCTTTTATACTCGATGTTTCTTGGGGTCCCAAAATGGGCGGAGCTTGATCACGTTTTGTAGAAGAATAATTATCAAAAGAGAGGAGAGATAAGAGAGTGGCTAGAGAAAACAGTTGTTTACTACTTTTCGATGTTGCTATTGATAGTGGAATATAGAAGCCATGGTAGTCTATTTTTGGAAGATCGGGAAGTTTTCAGAATACATCTAAAGTGTGGAAGGAGTTGCTGGAAATCAACTTGAAAATCATGAAAACAATAAAAAAATTGAATAAACATCGCTGGATTTCACAGTGAAAATTCAAAAATACAAAAATTCATACGGAGTGAATCGATTTTCATTTTTTTAGAATTCAAAAAATAGCTTGGACTGGCTGAACATTTTGAAGTCCAAATTTCTGAAGCTTCCCCCCTATTTTTCAAATTCTCAAAGTAAGCCTCTTGTTACAGAATTTGAACTTTAGATAATCTACAGATTTTCTGTAAAAATTGAAAAACTTTGAAAATCCCAAACCCCTCACACGTGACCTTTTTATCCCACGTGGAAAATATCAATCTTCGATCATTTTTTGCCTCCCTAATCAAAACTATCATCATTTTTTTCTTTCGATGAAACCCAGCAATAAAACTAATATGTTTTGTTCGATTTAAGACACTTGAACACAAAGAAGCATCAAATAGATATCACACATCGATTTAACAATGAGTTGGAAAAGAAAATCGAAGAACGATCAGATGTTGGAAATAAGTGGTTCGACAGATTCGAAGTGTGGTGACTGATCAAAGATGTTTTTCAATGAAACACGTGTTCGAAATAAACAACATGTTGCAAAACATGTTCTTTGGTTTTATTGAATTTATGAAGTCAAATCAAAACGCACCTTGAAAATTTGGTTGTTCGAATCCGATCATTTCTAGATAGTAGAAAATTTAAAAATGAATCAAATCTGACAAAAAAGAAATTCACGTTTCGAAAAAAACGTGACATATTTTTTTTTTGGTTAGCCTCTCGTGTATTTTTTCGTATCAGTTATCCTCATTTAGGGATTCCATAGTTATTAGAAATGATTGGGTCATAAAAATAAGTAGTGTTTCAATAATAAGACATTTGAAATCTTTGAAATTTTTCAGGTGATGCTGTAACTTGCAAAACGAAGAGTATTTCGATTTTGAAGCTGAAAATGAGTGGATTTTCGGAATCAGGAGTTGGAATGTATGTTCTTAATTTCAAAGGATTTGAAAGAATCTCGTGTATTTTGATATCTTGGGATGATAAATGAACAAAGAATGATTGAATCTGTCTGAAAATGGAGCATCCTGAAATTTCGGTGAGTCTTAACTTACTGTTTCATAGGTTATTTTTCCAGATCATCTCATGTAGCTACCGCATCAAATTTATCTCATCAATTTTGTGTGATTTTGGAGAACATCAGATAGTGACGTCGAAGTATGGAATATGTTTTGTTCAAAAGGTCAACAAAGAGGAGAGGATCAGCAATATTCGCAATCAAGTTAGTTGTTTTTTTCTGGGAGAGGGTTATTTTTAAAAGAGGTCTCATCATCGATAAGTTTTATTTTTTGACACTCGCAACTTTTTTCGTTGACAAACATCTAAAAATGTACTGTTTCACAGTACATAATGAAGTTAAATAACATAGTTTTTCTGATAACCAAACAACAAAACCGATAAACAACTCTGTATCTCTAAGTTTTCTGGTTTCTCTCGCTGTTTTCTTTCCACGTGGTATGTATCTTTGTAGTCCCAATTGGTTTTCTATGTTGTGTTGTATCACAACGGCTTCTCGTTTTGATTGTTCTTTCAGGGGATGCCCCTCCTCTCATTTTATTTCTCAAGTCACGTTTTGTCTGGGTCTCTTAATAATTGTGTTATCTCTCAAGTTTTGTTTTGCGAACAGAGGGGACAAAGTTTGAAAGTACAACAATGATGATATCAATTGCCAGCAAAAATTATGCGATTTTCAGATTTGAAAATTAGTCTTGAATCAGATTTGGATCAAATTCAAATTCAACTGATAAAATGTGACAGAAAACTTACACTCATATTCATCCTGATTTTTTTCCGGCTTCGCTCCTGATAATCAGATTCTTGAGATGTTTGAATCCAACTAAAATGGGAAATTAATTTTTAATTGAACTTGAAAAGGAGTTTGCTATTTCTGAATTTTTCAAAAATCCGGGCCAGGTTAGAAAAAAATGCGCCGCCGATTCGAAATTCGTCAAAATTTTCCCACTCTTTTCTGAAATTTCAGACCCCACGTGGTTTTTTTAATTTTTGCCAATAATAATTGGTACTTTGCTCCTTTGACCAATTGCTGATCCCATATTATTTTATCTTCTTCTTCTTCTTCTTCATCCGTCACATGTCCTTTTGAAAAATGTGTTGTTGTTGCTCGCGAGTCCAAAGTACTTTGAAATACCCCACGTGCTGTTGCTATTTAGTCCAGTCTTATCTTTTTTATTGTAACAACTATTTTGAGGTGACCACAGAGAACGATCAAACATTTTGTATACATTTCTATAGATATCATCATTGTAGTCGAGAAAATATATGTATATTGTTAAGGGGAATGTGTAGTGTATAAATATGTAGGTAGGAGATAAGGTGAAACTATAGACTTATTGGAAGTTTGGGATATTCGGGAAAGGTACATAATGAAGAGCTATTTGTAATTTTTTTTGTAATTTGTTGTCTCGAGATTTAAGGACCATTTTTCTCTCGGAAATAAATCATAATTCTTTAGCGATGTTCCAAAGAACACATTTTTTCTTTTCTGAAATTATTTTTTATCACAAAAAAAAAACCAACAAATGTTATTGTATTCTTCCTTTTTTTTTGCAATTTTGATAAACAATGTGCGAAGATCAACGCGTAATTCGTATCATCACATGGTTTTTTCCCAAATTGGATTTTCCCATTTATCAGTTTTCAATGCTATTGGAGAGATTATTTGTTTTGGAACAAAGTTTCCTATTTTTTGTTTTAGAAAACTGTCTTCAGAACAAGGAACTCTATTTTCAGTTGAATGATAATTGAATGAGAACACTGAACATCGTTCTCGAACATTTTTAAAAATTAATTTTTAAATGAGTCACGTTTGAAACTTTAAACTTCGATCTTTATTAAAAAAATGTGACAATAGATTTACGAGTTGATGTACTTTGTCTCCTCTCTTGTGAATTATCAAAAGATAACAAAAACTTTGGAAGAACCATTTTTCGAAAACTTGGTGTTGTTAGAATCATACATGTTGTTTCAACAATTGAATGCATTGAAACGAAAAATGTTGTGGTTGAAGCCAGGCCTTGAATTCTTTTTGATAAAATATTTAAAAAACAATTAAACACACCATGTAGACCTGTGAATTGTCCGGCTACTGTAATATAGGCTATAACAATAGGAAAACCAAGTACACAACTTGGTCCAGAGACTTGTGTAATTAGTGAAATTATTGATGAACGATGAAGTTGATAGGTTTTATAACTCATAAAACTTTTAAACTCGTTAAGAATTTTTACAATTTTCCAAGCTGTGAGATATGCTATTGAAAATGCTCCAACTATCATTGTTGAAGAAATAATCCCATAAACTATAAATGTCGGATTCTCATTAAAATCATAAATTTCTAGAGTGAAATCATTCAAAATATGCAAACAATCTGGATAGTTTTTACTTATCACATTATATTTCTGTTGAGAAGTTAATCCTGAATGATATAGTGAAAATGCCATCAAAAATGGTAAAAAGTGATATAAACCAAGAATTAGGTTAATACTGTGTCGAATAGATTTTGTTAGAATTTCTGGAGAAATGTAAGCTGTTGCGAAAAATCGATAGAAAAAACATGATAGAATTGCAGGAACTTGGAATGAAAATAAAAAGATAAAAATTGACTGAAAATTATGTATGAAATGATTTTTTGAAAGTGAACTTACGATTAGGAAATTTGAAGTTATCCCAAGTCTTATTTGATAGGTTTTCCAAAATCCACAGTTTATTCCACCTGTTATTGGAAAATAGAAATATGCTGGCATAGCCAAAGAAATATGTAATTCAGTCAAAAGTGCAGTTATCTAGAAAAAACCCGTATGAAAAAAATAGAAAATAAATTTCAAATTTTAAAACCTGCATATAAAATTGACAATATCGATAATTATATTTTTTGTTAGTTTTTCCTAATGTCAAATACATTCCAAAAATACTCAAAAATGTTGAAAATAATCCGATTGATCTTAAAATTGGGTTATACCAAAATGGCGGTTCTGATGGACAAAAACTCGACCCGTTAATCATTTCGTCGAAAGCTGCAAATATTTTTCAAGCTCGAAAATATTCAAATGCCAAGAAAAAAGTTTTTTAAATTATATGGTTCGAAGTTTGGTTTTTTAGATTTTTCTGAGAGAAAAACTTTTTGATGAATTATCATCGTTGAATTTTTTGATGAGCTGTTCTAATAATAACATCAAAAATTGTTTGTTTTTTGTTTGAGATGAAAAAACGCCTGCGCTTTTTTGGTTAGATTTTTGAGCTATAATTTTTTGTGTGTGAGATCAAAGTTAAAGTTCAGACTAACATTTTGAAGGAGGAAAAATATTCGAACAAACTTGAGGCAAGTGATTAGATATAATTATAATTAGGGGTTTAAAAATTATTTTGTGTATTAAGAATGCGCAGAGAACACAATTTTTCATGGAAAAGTTCATTTTGAAATGTTATGATATATGTAGTTTGAAAAATCAGTTGAAAAATCAGCAGTGGTGTGGATTATGATAATGATTGTCAAAATTATGATTGTGAGAATGGTGCATATCTGAATAGTGAACTTGATTGTGGCGATGATTATGGTGTGAACCTTCTGTGACTGTTACTACTTGAGCATAGTGAGAATGAGAAGTTTGATGGATTGGTGTGATAATTGGTGCAATTGTTGGTTGAGTAGTCATATATCCCATTGGATAACCATTATGTGTAATAGTTGAAGGAACGTAGGAATTATCGCAAGAATTGTGATGATTGTAAGACATGTTTATGTTTTTAAATCTCAGAGAACTGATAATCGACGAGAGTAACAGGCTACTTTTAAATTGTTTTCTAATCAGGAAAAGTAGGCGAAATTAGTTATCAATGAACTTGGTGACAAATTTTGGTTCCGCTTGGAATCAATCTAGCAAGAATTTCTGACTCACAGAAGCATGACACATCTTGGATATTTTAATTCTGACATGAGCAGGTTGAAAAAGTGAATGAATTTCTGCAAATTGATGTAGGAATATTTTATAGGGTCACAAATTTTTCACGGAGAAATTTGAAGGCAAACAACGTTCTTCTCTAGTGAATTTTATGAATTTATGGTTCATAACTGTAAAACGAGAGTTATCTAGATTTCAAACTTTGATGGCATAATTTTTGATTTCGAAGGGAATAGTTCAATTCTACTGAATTCCAGACTTCTCAACAATGAACCAGATTAAATAGAGATTTTATGAATTCAATTTTCACATAGTTTTTTTGAAAACACATTCAAAATTTATTCGAAAAAATATTCATTGAATTTAGCGTGTTGCAATATTTTTCTCTCAACTTTTTTTCGAACTTTCGAACTTTGACAACTAATTCCTCGAATCATTTCGATGAATCAAAAAAAGTATTTCGAATGTCATCATTTTTATGGTCGGAAGAATTAAGGTTTCTCGTAGAGTATGCTTTTTCCTGATAAAAAATCATTTATAAACAAACCGCGACATCATTTTTCTTTATCATTTGTCCCTAACAATGTCTTCTTACTCTAATACCTCCTTTGCTCACGCTTCATATTCAAATTCATCAATTTCTTCGTCTTCTACTTATTCTAATTCAACGTATTCTTCATCTTCTTCTTCTTCTTCTTCGTCTACATTTTCTCATAATGGAGCCGCGATTGGATGTGATTCATATTCAGTTGGATTTCCAAGAATTACACCGGCACCTGCACCAATTCAAAGTTCCTGTTTAGCAGTCACTGAAAGTTGTCACCATGATTGTCCAAATGAGACACAGAAACCAGGATTTTTTACAAAGATTATCACAAAGGTTCAAGAAATTACACATAATCATTAGTTTTGTGGTTTTCCTGAACCTGACAATTTAATTTATCAATAAAACATTTTTAATTATTTATTTGAAACATTTTCTTCCTCGTAAATGATCGACTTGTTTCACCTAACTTCTGATGATTTTTCAATAAAGTTCGAACAACCAAAAATGATTCGATTGCACAACCGAACATTTTAGTAACAGCTCCATACGGTCCGATATTTTCAAATGAAAAAAATCCGGTTGTGCTCCACTGATTGGCTATAAAAGAAGGAAGAAAATCAAATATGGTAACTGTTCCGGCATCTAATAAAGCGAGTCGATTAACCTAAAAATGCTCTTTTTTGTAATCTTTTTCTCATATATCAAAGAACTCTGCTTACTTTCGACATGTTGTTTTTCAATTCATTACCAAGTACAAATAATTTAATGCATAAGAAAGCGGAAAATGTGGCTGTTAGGGCAAAGATAATCTGAAAAGAACAAAGTACAATTATTTGAGAATTTATTCGAGCAAACACTAACCGTTTTATGTGAGGTCCAATAAAATCGAAAACATGTGTTGATAGCACAACCAAAAGCTACACAGTTTTCTTGAATTTTGAAATCGAATTCACAAATTCCGAAAAGCATAAAGTTTTCAAATAACCCGAAAACAATTGCAAGAATTGCTAGCAAAGAAGTTGGAAACATTTTTGAATAATTATGAAAGAAAACCGGGGCATAAACAGCTATACAACGTTCGAATGTGATTGATAAAGTGATGATTGATCGCATTGCTCCGATGTTTGAAGCGGGTAAAGATGTTAGAAACATCAAATCTGTTCGATGATTAAAAATTGAAGGATTTATACAGTAAATTATGATAAGAGCAAGGTAAATTGCAACAAATAAGGCAAGGAAAATATCAATCACAAATCGATAGTAGAATAGATGCAGATCGTTTTTCTTTTTTTCGCCATCTGAAAATAAACTTAATGTTTCAGAAGTTTTTGGATAATCCAGTTTGTTCTATAGGAATAGTTTGAAAATTTTTATCATGAAGTCTTTCGTCCCAACTCACGCATTTGCTTTTAGAACCATGAACAAATTAAGAACCAGTGTGAAAATTGATGAAACACATCCGATCACAGAAATTGCCAAAACTCCAAACATCATGCTAAAAAAATGAGAAAATCAGAAAAAGTGTTATTTTCAAAGAAACGCACTATCCGAGAAAATAAGGAAAAATAAAATTGAGTTTTCTTCCAAATGTGTCGAAGATACATAAATGAATTGAGTTGTTTTTATTTTTTCTAGTATGAGGAACAGAAAAAAGAAAAGAAAGAAAATAAGGATGTATTAGTTCAAGAATGAATTAGAGTGAAAACATAATCTAAAATTCGGATATCAATTAATTTGAATGAAAACTGGGGAAAATTTGAACCAACAAAAAAGTTGTTTTTCTGGAACATTTATTTGCTCTGAAAAAGGCTTGGGAAAAACATTTAAAATGAATTATTTTGACATGAATTTGGGTGCAGTCGGTTTTATTAATTCTTTAGAGAGAAAAACAGAATACTAAAAATTTTTCCCGGAGATTAGACTCTAACTAGTCTCGAATTACACGAACATAAATCTAGAAAACATGTATGTTAGAAACTTGAAGTCGTAATTGGTAAATTAGTTTTTTTGGCAAGAAATTTCATTAAAATGCAAAATAAACATGATTTCATAATTATTTCTATATATTCACTAATTTCTTTGAGTTGAGACAACTGATGGAGCAGTTTGTTGAGTTGGATTAGATTTCGAAGAAATAATACGGCGAGCATCGGTATTATTAACAATAAATATAAGAGCATTGCAAATTCCTGTAATTATCAGAAAAAAATTATTGTTATTTTTTAACATGATTATTGGTTAACTTCTTGTTATTCCACATTGATCTTTATTTTGTGTCTACCTACAACACAAGTTCTTTTGACTATAGATAAGCTCATGGGAAAATGATTTGTTTACGTGCTTACCACTCGACAATAAAGAAGTTGAATAAAATGGGCCGACTAGTTTGAAAATTGATAAACCGCATATTTCGAAAATTCCAACAAATACACTTGGAATTGTCAGAAATGCCATAGCGGAGACTGGAATTTTTCTTTTTTTTAAGTCTGCATTTCGAGAGAAAATTGTGTAGCTCTTACCTAAGATCCCAAGAGATGTTCGATTTGCTTGTCGAAATCTCGCCTCGTTTGCTGATTTACGAAGAGTTAAAGTTTTATGATGACTGATTTTCATGAAAATTGTGCACGAGAGAAAAATGACTATAACTCCAAGGATCTGAAAAGTTTAGAATTTTTCAAGATCATCTGTGAAGTCGAAGGAAGCCTCATGTGTTTAAATTGAACCCTAAGGCTTTTTATAATTTTTTCGAAATGTTTTTGATCACTAATTCGTGGCATTTTCCTAGCTTCGTATCAATCAGATTTTTGATTAATCAGGCGACCATAAAAAGATCAGTGACCAACATAAATCAACACACACATTTGGAATTCAATTATGACAAATTTGTTTATTGAAATCATTCATGTGTCCCCTTTTTCTTCTGTTTTTGTTTATTTTTTTCAACTAACCATATTTGAAATGCCCCAATAATATCTGAAACTATCACCAACAAAACATCCACTTGTTCCACAATCTGGTTTCGGTATCAAATCAGATAATGAAAAATATAGAATCAGATCGAAAATTCCGAATATTATTGCGATTATAGTTGTAGTTCTTGCATATTTATCCTGATCCATTTTTAAGTAAAATCCTGGTTTTATCAGTGCCTAAAGATCTTTGATATTCATTTTATTATTTTGTTTTTGTCAAAAACTCACAATATTTCTGCTTATTGCAATTGATATCGTGAAAACGGCTGAAATTTTCAGCTGAAATGGAAGTGGTGAACTTGAAATTAGAATATATAATGGATCAAAGTTTAGTTGGTAGGAATTCCAATTTAGAGTCATATAAACGGAGTATGGAATTTCTGCGAATGAAAATATGAAATCACTGATACAAAGGTATAAAACAAGTAGAAGATGTTTGTTTTTACGAAGGTTTGATATCCTAGAAAAGAAAACTTGTTTTTAATTTAGAATTCAGCTTCTCAACAACAACTAAAAATATAAGTTACCTGTAGAACAGTGATAAAATGAAACCATTTGACACAATTCCAGTTAGTTGTAATAATAACATTAGGCAATAAGTTCCTAGATGTATTTCGTTTGACATTTCCATCAATTTCAATCTGTCGAACAACGTTAAATTCATGATTTTTGAATACGAAAATATATCAGAAAAATTAATAAAACGTGGTTCTGAGACAGTAATTAGAGGAAACTGGAGGAAAACAAACAAAATGTTTTCAGCTGCTATGATTTCAGATATAAGAAAGAAATAATAAAAGTAAAGATCTTCTACATGGATGATTTTATCATCAGAGCATTGTTTTATGTGAGAGCAAAGTATATACATTTTTAATGAGATCAAGTACATTTTCAAAAAATGAGAGTATAAAACTATGAATTTTTGGTTATGAATTTCAATAATTCATTCCATTTTTGGAGGCTTAATTCGCCATTTTATATCCAAGAAACAGATTTTCAAATTTTTCAAACAAGTTCAAACATTCAAAAATTATAATTGCAGCTGTTCTGACATTTTTGAGAAAACACTACCGATTTAACCATTTTCTAATTATGCTCCATCAAAAAGTGACTAATTCAAAGTTTATGAGTTCGAAAAATTAGTTTTTTCCATCAGACATCTTCACACTTCATATCAGTCAGAAAAATGAAAAGAATAATTAATTCTGTGCAAAATTCCAACGTGGTATTTCCAAATTAAATTAGAATAAATTAGAATTACATTTGCTTCTGATCAAACTAGATTCTCTAATGACATATTTTCTAAAACTTGGCTAACAAGGAGAAACTAAACAATATACAAAAAAACCTTTTCTGAATACACCTGCAAATCCAGTGTGAGTTAGAAATCATAAAACCTGGAGCAACAAAACAACTTTCAAATTATAAGTTACAAAATTTGAATCATATTCATTTTAACATGACAATAGAGTCTACTCAAAACAAAATACGGAACATTTTTTTCTCAAACAAATCAAGAAAAAACTGATTAAAATATTAATGTTATGTGTCCCGTACGATTAAGAATTTTTCACTGCAGCAAAAATAAAGGCTCTGTTCGGAAATAAAGGGTTTTAGAGAAAATAAAGGGTTTTTCAGGAAATAAAGGGTTTTTCAGAAAATAAAGGGTTTTTCAGAAAATAAAGGGTTTTTCAGAAAATAGAGGGTTTTTCCGAAAATAAAGGGTTTTTTCAGAAAATAAAGGGTTTTACAGAAAATAAAGGGTTTTTCAAGAAAAAATGGTTTTAAGAGCCTGAAAAAGTAAAAAGAACTCCCCAATAATAAGTCCAAAAGTTAGTCAATTTTATCAACTATCTATTATCTGACTGAAATTTCTTAACTTGATGTGGATCTGTAGTTTACAGGACCTCACTAAGCCTAAGCTTTGAATGCTAGGAAAGCTTTAAAAATTCAATTTTTATGTTCGTGCTACTCTGGAATAAAGGGTTAGGCTTAGTAAATTTCCAATAGACAAAAATTACTTTTCTTTTTCAGATATTTTTACCCCTATAAAACCTTTTTGTTTTTCTAAAACCCTTTATTTTCTGAAAAACCCTTTATTTTCGGAAAAACCCTTTATTTTCTGAAAAACCCTTTATTCTCTCTAAAACCCTTTATTTTCTCTAAAACCCTTTATTTCCGAACAGAGCCAAAATAAATTGCAAAGGAAAATAGAACAAAAACACGAGGTAGCACAAAAAATTCGAATTGGTTACAAAAAACACAGACTGAATAAGTTCGTGTGTGAAATATTGGAAAGATGCGCTTGATTAGGTTTTGAACAAAAAAGGTTCAAGGAGATAAAAGATCAGTGACGTTTTTTTTTGATTTCAGAAGATGTCTGGAGTTAGAAGGAAACTGTAAATATTACCAAGAAAAGTGATAAATATCAGGCAGCTGATTTGAGAAGAAAATAAGCGTTGACTCTATGATAGAGACATTTTACTCCAGGTCGTTGAAAAATTTTAATTAGGAAAAAATATCACGAAATCTGAGAAGTCCAATGATTTTTATTGTAGAATGAGGTTTTCCTAGATTTTACTTCAAAGGTTAAATTTTTGGAATTCAGGTTTTTTGTCGAAAAAAAATGAGATGACGTAAATATTGTAAAATTTCTCACATAATGAAAATGAGAAGTGCATTAGTTTTGTAGTTTCCGAGTTTTTTCTGAGCTGTACTTTTTGAAATTTGGGGCCGTATTCATAGGAATGGTACACCGATATTACTACAGAAACATTTGACGTATCAAAAAATTTTTTCACTAATAATTTTTGGTTTTTCCTTTATTATTTATTCAGATCTTGATTGATGCAGTGATTCTGAAAATCAGTGTCAATATTTGTAGCCTTGTTTACTACTTTGAAAAATCACTCTCATAAATAGTAATGACCCTGTTGCAGATCTGAGATCTCAAAAAAAAACCAATAATATTTATTCGATCTGTCCGACATTTTCTTTATATTCTCTCAAATTGTCTTTTCATAATACACAAAACCTTGTAGGCTTGATCAATTGAACAAACTTCCTTATTAATATTGTTTTCTCTATTCGATTTCCTTCTGATTATAGTTGGATAACTCACCGAGCGAACAGGTGCAATTTTCATCATCGGTAATAAGAATTAATCGTTCAGTTCATCTGGCATTAGTCGTCAATGGCAAAGGTATTTTGATTGACTGGCTCATTTTCTCTCCGAAAATCCTAATATTTCTGAAAAAATGTCTGACTTGATTCAGGAAGAAATTGATTATCTTCTAACACTTCCAACGAACTCAACATATTCTGAATGGTCTTTGATCGGTTCATCTTGTCAACATATTCATAGAGAATATATTTCGAATGATGATTTCTTATTGATTTTACACTTGGTTACTCTTGTATCGACGGTTTTCAATGTCGCAGGTAACAGACTTCAACTGGTTTCTGCCTCAAAGATCGAAAAGATCAATTAATCAAAAAAGCATTGTAGGTGTCTACTGTATTGTGACTCAATCTAGTGTTTCAATGGGAAATTTTAAATGGTGTTTAGCGAATCTTCAATTTTGGATAGCATTCACAGATCTTTGGGTGACTGTTTTTGTAGCTCCCCGCTTCTATTTTCCAACAATTGGTGGAATAGCTCTTGGCTTATTTTTCAATCTTGGATTAACAGTTCCTCAACTGATTTATCTTGGTTTTGCAAGTTTTGGATGTATGGTAGCAAGTGTATTTGTGTTGTTTCTTTATCGTCATCAAGTTGTTGTTCCATCTGATAGTTTCACTAAGTTTCCGAAAAGTTTGATTTTTGTTTTTGTTGCAATTAATTATTTGGTTTACGGGAACATGACATTGCCAGCAGTTTTGACAGCACCGTATGATCAAATTTCCGAAAAAGTTAGGATATTGAGAGTGAGCGTTTAATGAAACATTTTCTCAATAATCAAATTTCTTTTTTAGAAAGAAACATGCCCTCCTAAAGATATTCTAAACCCAGATGTATTTTTATTACAATCATCTTACGATCTACTTCTACCTTATGTATTTTTTCTGTTATTTTTTGTTGGAACCGAAACTTTGACAATGTCTCTTCATTGTGCATGGTGTTTATGTTTCTCAACAATATTTCCAAAAATTGTCAAGGAGAACAAGAAAAATGCAATTGAAATTTTTGTTAGCATTAATTGCTCAGGTTGCAATTCCTACAGCTTTATGTTATGCGCCAGTTATTTATTGTTTGGTATCGACTTTGATAGATCACTATAATCAATGTAGGTTGAGAGAGTATCCAATTTTGTTTCCTTAATCAAAAAAAGTTTAGTCGCTAATGATATTTGTGTTTTTGTATTCGTCACTCATGGAATTGTTTCTTCCACGTGTCTTCTATTCTTCTATGATTGCTATTTTGATTATATCAGTTTTCTAATTTGCCGGAATCGATCACATAAAAAGTTAGTTCAGAATATGTTCATAACATCACCTACCATTTCCACTTTCAGAATAAGCATGGTCAACTTTCGCTCAGAAATGGTATCTCGGAAAAGTATCGTAACAATGATTTGAATATTTTCAATTGGAAAATAATGTTTGAATCAATGTTTTCTGAATAAACCCTTTTGCCATTTTCATTTCTCATTCTAGTTATATTAACTCAATGAGCAGGTGTAATTTCAGTTTAGCTCAAAAATGTTATTCGAATTTTCATTTAGTATTCGTCTAACATCAGTGAATGACAAAGCCTTTCTAGTTTTCACCCGGTTCCAATTCTCCTAATTTTATGATTCAGGAAGAAGTTGATTATCTGTTAAAGGGTTGGTCCTGCCTTAGGAAAACTTAGGCTCAATCGATAGAGCTAAGGTGCTCCTGAAACATTCCATATTTTATTTTGATTTTAGAGCGAGTTTTCACCATTTTATTCATGTTTTTGTTGGGTTTTAAGGTTTTAGTGCATATAAAAAACATGTGTGCTCTTCACACACATAATTTATTTGTGTGTACTTCTCGCGAAATGCATTTCCTAACATTTTTCAACTATAGAAGGTGATTTTAATCAACTTTAGGCTTGCTTATAGTTAGTTTTAAAAAGTGATGCACTATTGCGGACTTGATTTTCGACGTAGGAGGACCAACCCTTTAACACTTCCAACGAACTCAACATATTCTGAATGGTCTTTGATCGGTTCATCTTGTCAACATATTCATAGAGAATATATTTCGAATGAGGATTTTTTGTTAATTTTACATTTAGTTACTCTTGTATCGACGGTTTTCAATGTTACAGGTATATAAGTCATAAAAAACTATGTTTTGGTGTAGGAAATCTGTTGTAGACTGCAGATGTTTTTGAGATCAAACAATCTACAGTTCAGCGAAAAACAATTATTTTTAGGTGTTTATTTTATTATAACACGATCCAGTAGCTCAATGGGTCAATTCAAATGGTGTCTTGCAAATCTGCAATTTTGGATAGCTTTTACAGATCTTTGGGTGACTGTTTTTGTAGCTCCAAGATTTTATTTTCCAACAATTGGTGGAAAAGCACTAGGAATATTTTACAATCTAGGTTTAACAGTTCCACAAATTGCTTTATCTTGGCGGTGGATGTTTTGGATGTGTGATTTCGAGTGTTTTTGTATTATTTCTCTATCGTCATCAAGTTATTGTTCCACGGGATAGTTTCTATAGTTTTCCAAAACGTGTTAACGTTGGTTTTGTTGCTATCAATTATCTTTTATATGGAAATATGGCAATACCAGCAGTTTTAACAGCTCCTTCTGATCAAGTTAATCAAAAAATAGAGTTACTCATGGTATTTTTCATTTTCTTTCTGATTCAGATTTTTATACGTAAATATTTTTATAGAGAGAAACATGTCCTCCGAAGGATATTTTGGATCCTGATGTTTATTTATTACAAGTTTCATACGAACTTCTTTTACCGTATGCATTATTTCTATTATTTTTCATAGGCACCGAGTGTTTTTTAATGGCTTTTCATAGTGCATGGTGTTTATGTTTTTCAACAATTTTTCAAAATTTATCCAGCAAAACTAGAAAAATGCAGATAAAGTTTCTATTAGCTCTAACTGCTCAAATTGCAATTCCTACAACTTTATGTTACGCACCAATTGTTTATTGTTTGGTATCGACTTTGATAGATCACTATAATCAATGTAGGTTGAGAGAGTAGATTTCGTTTTGTTAAAATTTTGTGAAACTTTTAGTCGCCAATGATATTTGTGTATTTGTATTTATTACTCACGGTATCATTTCTTCCACGTGTCTTCTACTTTTCTATGAATGTTATTTGGATCATATTATTTTTCTGATTTGCCGAAGACGCACAAGAAGTTCGAAGTGAGTATAATTTTTCCAAACTTCTACATCATTTCTATTTTTTTCTAGAGTCAGCGTTGCAAATTCTCGAACAGATCCAATTTCTCGAAAAAGTATTGTCACAATTCAATAACAGTTTATTTTTATTAATTTATTAGGTTCAATTAATTAGGTAAAACTGATTTTTTATACATCAAAATGACTCGATCAGTTCCATCGTCGCATTTTATCAATGGTTCTTTGGTTATCTCGTCGACTTCAGTGTTCAGCAAAATTTCATTTATATGCTGGAATAAAAATTTGATATAATTTTTGAATCTGCATTGTTTTGTTGCTCACTTTATATCCTCTTTTATCCATGAGACATTGATTTGCAAATGATGAAACTTCAGCTGCAATTCCAGACAAACCATATTCAGTCATTTTTTCAAATTGTGCTTCCACATGATTCATAAGTTTTGAAGCAAGTCCTTTTCTTTGATGCTCTTTTGTGACACTGACAATCTCTCTGAAAATTGACCTTTGCCATCTTTGTTAAATTTAGACAAAAAACTTGATTAGTTTCATGTGACGTGATGCACTTTATTTCATTCATCCTAATAACAACTAATCAATCATTTCATTGATAATAACCAAACATTACTATATTTAAGCAAAATCAAGGAACTGAAAATCAGAAACTTCAGAATGTCTTCAAATCTTATTTCTATTCTTATTCTTGTTGTATTTGTCTCAACAACCTTGGCGTGAGTTATTTCCATCTGTTGAGTTTACAAAACAAAACTATACTTCCAGTCAGTTTGGCTTTGGTGGTCCAATGATGGGTGGACCTATGATGGGCGGCCCAATGATGGGAGGATATGGCCGCCCGTATGGTGGATATGGGGGATACGGTAGACCATACGGTGGTTATGGTTATCGTCCTGGTTTTGGCGGATGGGGAAAGTGATTTCTGATCTTTGCTGTTTTATAATTTGTGTATACTTGTATTCTTATTTTATTGATTTTGCCGGAAGAATAAAAACTGCAAACTTTAACTTACAAATGTAGAACATTTTTCAAATCGGGTCTCAAAACGAAAAGGCTGTCATGAAGTTTTGATAGAATATTTCCGATGGCTTCAATTGATTTGTTTTCATTTTCAAATGTGAAATCACTTTCATCGTGAACATCTGTTGATCTCCAGATTGATGACATTGAACAAGCTACGATCTTGTTATCTTCTGAATTATTTTGAATTGGAAGCTTCAAAGTAGAAATTAAGTGTTACCTTTTGATCTATAGACAAATGTGAATGGGATATTCAAAGTTCTTGAAATCAATTTTTCAACAAACGGTTTGAAACAATGTTCTGGCATTTTTGCGGCGCGATTCAACGGTTCTTCCACAAGAAAACTGGAGTTTAAAAACTCGGAAATCTCAGCCGCGTGCGATTCATTCAATTGTTCCAAAATGTAGTTGCTCATCGCTAAAATTCAACATAATATAACAAAAATAAATATAACATAACATAATAATAATAATGAAAAATGAGAGCAAAAATGAGAGCATGTGTTTATTTTTCGAGCCAAAAATAAAAAAAAGAGTGTGAGAGAGAGAATAAGAAAAGCCGAACGAAAAAAAAAGAAAAATTGAATTTGTTCAGTGTGTTTTTTTTGGCTGGCGAGCGAGCGGAAATAGGGAAGAGCTCAAATTTTTTGAAATTTCTTTGCCCTTTTATTTGGTTTTTTTGCGTGCTGGAAATGGGTGGTCCAATGGCATTGACAAGTTGTGCAATTGACACTTTTTTGAAACATAAAATGTTCGGAGCACATCCATGGAACGTTCCAAAAAAGATTGAAGTTTGATTTTTGACTTTAAATTGAACTTGTTTGAAAATTGAATTTGAATATGAAATCTAATTTCAAATTCAAAATAACAATCAAAAAATTGAGATCTTTAAAAAATCTGAAAGAAATGAAGCAAAGGCCTAACCTAGAAATAATGTATGTCAAGTAACTGCGCCGTCGAATGTCAAGAAGCAGTTTAGAAAATTCAGTTGTTAAATAACGTGTCTCTAGAAAGCTTCTGTTAAAGTCTAAAAAAATGCAAAAGTTTCTTGGGTTCGATTGAAAATGTTTCCAAAATCAAATTATATTTTCTCAAAACATGCATTTGAAATTGTTCCAATATTATTTTCCTTTCGAACGTTTATTGTTGAATCACTATAGAAACCGAACATTTTTCAAGAACTTTGACTTTTCAAAAAGTACTATATTGCTGGCTGAAAACTACTGCAGCAAAAATAGAACAAACATAATTGAAAGATGTGCACTTGATAGCTGGATATATGTTTTTGATGGGTGTTCGGTTATTTTTTCATCGTGTGTGTGGATGTGGATGTGGTTGATCTTTATTCAAAAATTGGATGTTGCAAACATATAAAACTTTATTTATTTCAATAAATTATTAATCATTGAATACTTATTATAAAAAAATCGAGGAAAGTTTGAAAAAAAAAGAAAGATTACAATGTTTTTGGTATGTAGTTAAGGTACCCATAAATAATCACAAAACGCTTGAAACCCCCAAGAAAATTACAAAAATATGTTCCAATAGCAAATTGCTACAATTATAGCAACTAGAGAAAAGGGAACTGTTTTCGAAGAGTTACAATAATCTGTGTTGCAACAACAAACTTCGCCAAGATCTCCACCATCGAAACACATTGTTGAGCCGATTTTCGATCGAGAATGTCGAGAATTCTTATTTGAGATTTGTGAGGATTGAATTGGACCACCCATATTAACTGGTTGACTTGAATATTCGGTGTAGACGTTTTTTGGATAGCCATGCATTGCGTAGATTGAACAAAGCGAGATTTGAGCTAAGTTATTGCCTGGAAAAATTGAGATGGATGAAATAGTTGAAGAGAATTTGAGAGAGGCGAGGTAACCTCGGCTGAAAAAATAAAAGAAAGATACATGATTAAATTGGTCTTTTGAATTCTGTTAGAGTTCAAAGGTTAAACATTTTGAATTTAGTTTCAAAGACTGAAAAAAAAAGTTCCAATTTTTAAAAAAGGTTTCAGATATTTTTCTTGATAATTAGTTTCCAGAAAGAAAAATTATTTTAGCTCAGAAATTTTCAGAAGAATGAGGTCTGAGAGTTCTGCATACCATCACAAGATCTCTGTATTTGTCCAGACTTTGAGCGAATTGTTACACAATATGAAGTAGATGTGCATTGATTGGCATATAATGTGTGACCTAAAAACGATATTTTTTCAAAAAATTAATTTTCAAAATAAATCCAATTAATTAATCACAAACCTGATAAACATTTGAGAACTTGTCCTGGGAATAACAGTTGTGAAGAGTGAAAACAATATTGACCAATTGAATCGCATTTTTTTTTCTGGAAATCAAAAAAACAATTTTAGATTCTCAAAAAAAAGCAGAAAAGTAAACGACGAGAAAAAAATTTCATCGAAAAATTAAAAATTCTGAATCGCCGATGAAGTAAAAGAAGAAAAAATAAAAAGAAAAAGAAGAAGATATAAATTCATGTAGTTGGTAATTTGGAAACCAAAAAAAAGAAATAAAAAAGGTACAGATTTTATGTGCTTTTTTAGCTAATATGTCAAAAACTACATTGAAGGAAAACTTTTTTGTTTGTCCAAAAAATTAGGCTATCTGTTAGATTCTGTGAATATATTTTTGTTTTTATTTATTTAGGTTATATTGCGTCATGACCTACCAATGGCACGTGTTAGATAAAAGTTATTATTATTCAAAGAAAAAATATAACAAAATATTTTTGGTAACTAGGAGAGCTCTAATATTTTTTTGAAATAATTTGAAAACTAAAAAAGTAGGAGACACCTGGATACATATACCGCACCCTTTTGGAACAGACCATAACCTAAAAAAATTGGGGGAGGAGCGAATAAGTGTGGCGAGCGAGCACAAAGTTATCAAACATTGCGCATATCTTCAAATAGAGAAAATATTACAGTATTTGTTTGTTTAACCAATTAGAAGAAGGTACCAAAAATAATATGTCTTTGACTATGGGAAACGAAAAAAAGTTTTGGTAAATATATATTTTTTTGAAGAAGGTGATAGATAAGTCGAAAAAGATGAAAGGAAAAGCGGTGAGCAAAAAGCAAGCTCATTAAGAAAAAGGTATGTTTTATTTTATCTAAAGACACATGAATGAATGAAATAATGAGTCAAGATTGATGAGATTTTGAATGGATCGAGGAAATGGGAGAGAGGTTTTTTGACAAAGCTGACTGACATCAATTTTCGTACATATATCACTAACTTTTTTATGAAAAAAACGTGAGAAATTTGAAATCATTATATTTTCAAAATCATAATTGCTCGATGAAAAAATGTTCAAAATGTTCCCAAAATTCACTAACTAAAAAATCCGAAAAATTTAAGTTTTGAGATGAATACATGAAAAATTCTGAGAATTTTCCAACGTTTTTTTCTTAAATTTCTGAATCTTTTCCATATTTTCCTACTGAAAACAGTTTCCGAAGTTCCAACAAGGAGTGTTCAGAATAACTAACACATAACGATTAGAGTTTTCAAAAAATCTACAACACTCAAAATTTTGAATAATATTCTTCTGAGCTACAGTAATCTTTCCCTTCTGGTCTAACTTCAAAAAAATAACTTTTTGACCGACCGGAAAAATGACCACATCTCACAAAAAAGCTTTACATATACTATTCTGAAATATTAGGAAGTACTACTTTTTTGCCTCACATGGAAAATTAATAAGTAAAACAATTGGAGCGTTAAAAGTTATAAGAAAAAGGAAAAATTATGAGTGACTGACAGAATTAATGAGCAGAAGAAACACTCATTTGAAAAAAATGTAATAATTTTTGAGTTTCCGAAGTTCCAACAAAAGCAAAGAAAAAAGTTTCTAGTAAATTGTCGAGTTCCTGAAAAAAGTAAAGTGCGAAAAAAGGTTATATAATTGTTATTAGGTAGTTTGGTGGCTTTTTTTGAATTGAAAAGAAAAAAAGGTGAAAAATTGGCTGACGCACGCATTATTGTTATCGGCTGACTGAAAAAAAAGACAAATTGTTCCGAAAAAAATATGAGAAGAAGTATTTTGAAAAACGAACTTTTTGAAGTAAGTAAGAAACACGAGAAGAAAGTGCGTAAAAGTTAATTTCATTTCAATGAGTTTGTCGCCTCGCAAAATAAGAAAGAACAAAAAGTTGACGGAAAATTGGATGGCAAAAATGAGGAGCTAAAAAGGAAGGGGAAAAACGGATAATAATGGTTGGGGTGGGATACGAATAACATAGATAGATAGGAGATAGATATATTTAATTGACTTTTAGAAAAACTCATTTTTTGTATGTGGAATAATATTTAATTATTTTTTTCGCAAAGATATTAGGAATTGGAATCGGGTTCTCAACTAAGGTCATAGTTTCCAAAAGAAAATTGTATTCAAATTTCAAATTTTGAAAAATGTCGCATCAAAAGCTCCAAGGAGCCGCGCCTTGAAAGCTTTTATGCCAAGTAGCCGAACCTAGACATGTTAGTTGTCAAGTAGTCGCGTCTAGAAAGTTCAAACTTACAAGGAATGGTTTTCAATGTTCCCCCAAGGAAAAAATCGAGAGTATGTGGAATGTTGAGCGTTCCCGTGGGTAAGAAAAACCCTAACGGGAATAAGGAGAAAAATGCCTTATTCTCGAGAAAAAATGTATTTTAGGTCGATTTTTACACCATTTTTTGATTTTTAGAGCATCTGTAACTCTATTTTGAATCTATTTCATGAACTTTTGAGTCGTGGAAGTTGTTCAGAATGGTCGATTACGTGTTTGTGAAACTTTTTATCAAAAAATTAGACATGGTTTGAAATTTGGTTTTTTCAGTCGGGGTTTTTCTGATCAAATGGTCACCAAAAAACACAAACAATAATTTTTTCCATTTTCAAATGAACGGAACTTGAAAAATTTATGACGGTCAACAGACGTAATTTGGTCCGTAGATTCCAAAAATTATAGTCTCGATTCACACAAACTTCTCCTTCACAACGAAAACGTTGATTTTCTATGAATTTTTCAAACTAGAAATTTGATTTAGTGGACTTTTGGGACCAAAATTATTTTATTCCTAATTTTAGTCGAAGTAATACTAAAGTACGCCGTTTGCGCTACAAATGGATTTTTAGACTGACATTTTTCATCAATTTTGAAAAAAGTTTCGATTTTTCTAAAAAATTTCATCGCAAAAATCAATAACACCAAAATTTTCTAAAACAAGGCATTTTTCTCCTTATTCCCGTTAAGGTTTTTCTTACCCATGGAAACCCTCAACATTCCACATACTTTCGATTTTTTCCTTGGGGGAACATTGAAAACCTTTCCTTGTTAGAGTATCAACGTCAGAAATCTGAGTTTTCAATAATAGAAACCTTCTGTTATATCTCTGAAAAAGTTTCAGTTTGATTTTTCGAGACAAAACCAAAGAAATAAGAAGAAGAAGAATGAAATGAGTCTGAAGAGTCACTTGAAAATAAAAATGCAAAAAACAACGAAAAAAATGAACACTTTCGCCTGTTCCATCACATTTATCAATTTTTTTCTTCTTATTTCGTGTTAAAACCAGCCAAGACTCGATGACAGCTGGAAACAATGAGTTCTGGAAAATCAGGGAAAATGAGAAAAAGTACAAATCGATAGCAGGTGAAATATGTGTATTTGGAAAATATCTACATCTATGTTTTATTTTTTCATAAGTGATGAAGAAGAAGAAGAAAAAATAATATATTCGAGATGAAAGAGAAAAGTAAACAAAAATGAGGAGATATTCTGAAAATATATTTCATACTTAATTTGAATGCACAAAAAAATATCGAATATGTTTGCTCTGAGCTGCGAAAAGTAGTCAAAACTAACATAAGAAAAAGAAATCTTACCTTATTGAATAAATCGGAAATATTCTGAAAATTAGGTTAGTGTATAGATATATTTGTTTTTTTTTTCATTTTTTCTCTTGTCTCAACAAAAATAATCATAAAAATTCTATATAGTTGTGATTTTCTTAGAAAATTGGTGGATTATAAAGATTATCCTAGACTCCAGGATCTGAAATGAAGTCTTGGGGTGAAAATAAGAATGTTTGAATAAAAGGCAGTTTTTCTCAACGTGTTTTCTTACGGGCCATTTAGTTAGACAAATAATCCCTTATTTATTTTTACATGAATGTGAATGACACTTTGTATAACTATGAAAAATCTAGAAAAAATATATTTATTATGAATTAATATGAATTCGATTCGGATTTGTATAACTTCTTATAACCTTGAAAAAAGTGCAAAATTAACATAAATTGGGATGGAAAAGACGAGAAAAAACGAATAATTACATGTATCTACACTACTTGTTTCTTCAAATATTCAGAGGACGAGGACAGGAAAAAAAGAACGTGAAAAAAATGAGAACAAAAAACAAGATTTTGAATTCGCGGAGTGAAATCTGCAAACACCACATAGTTTTTTGCTTACAGTACACATTTGTCATTTTCAAAATTTTCTTTTCTTTTTTTTGCTCTTTTCGTTTTCGCCTGATTTTTGGAATTTTAAGAAGTAGAATTGAATTTTAAAAGTTATATTTGTGTTCTCTGGTAGACAAAATCGAAAGTCGATAAAAAGAAGAGAAATTTCAATGTGCAAAAAAAGGCTGAAATGAAATATCCGTTTTTTTTTCAAAAAAAGTTTGACTTCAAAAATCGAAAATGTCTCATTTTTTGGAAAGAAAGAATGAAAAATGGAACAGTTGTACTCTTAAATAAGAATTAGAAAGGTCATCTACTAAATACTTGATTCTCACTCACTAATCTCTAAATTTGCGCATTTGCAAGTAATTTTCCGATTTTAATCGGAATAAAGTGGTTTTTCTTTATCAAAAAATCTTGGTGTTCTTCCTAATGGATAATAGAATCTATAAGTATTATTCTGTTCAGCGATATTTCTCACAAAAAGTTGATTATTTGAATTATGTTTCAGCTTTCAATAGTTGATATTCATCATTCTTGATTTTTAATTGTATTCATTCAAATCATCTCCTTATTCGTTATAATCACGGTCATTCATATTCGAACATATAGACCAGACCTGCAGGTGTTCTTTTTCTCCCTGCTTCCTCTCCGTCTTTTTCTTTGTTTAGTGTCTCTGCGCGTCACTTGCTATTTTCTCCCTTTCCCAACTGCGTCTATTGTTTTCCACACTATTTCTTATGCAGTGTTTGCGCGTCTCTTCGCCGCCCCGCCAATTTCTTTTTTGAATTGAACGAATATATTTTGTGCTCTTTTCTTCCGTTTTCAAGTAATTTAGAATATTTTTAATTAAAAAATTGTTTATTTTTCTAGGCCAAAATTTCGTCGTCAAGCAGAAGCGCGAAAAAATCCGGTGGTTCCAAGCGGAAACGCGAGGATGACGATGGCGACGTTTCGATGACCGGAGATGATGAAGATAGCCGTGGTCCACAAGTTAAAGTGGAAGTTCCAAAAGGAAAAGAAAAAGAGCCAGAGTTCAGTGCACCAAAAGGACAAAAACTCACCGATTTGGATGATGAAGGAATTCAAGCTTCGAATGGAGCCAAAGTAAGTTTTCTTCATTCAAAATATATAATTTTCTTAATATTCTAATTTTCTTCCAGGACACTGAAGGCAATGTTATTGAGCAAACTCATTACATCGTTGTTCCTTCTTATTCTGCATGGTTCGATTACAATTCTGTTCATCAAATTGAGAAACGCGCTTTGCCGGAGTTTTTCAACGGAAAAAACAAGAGCAAGACTCCAGAAGTTTATCTCGCTTATCGTAACTTTATGATTGATACTTATCGTTTGAATCCATTTGAATATGTTTCGGCGACTGCTTGTAGAAGAAATCTTGCCGGAGATGTTTGTTCAATTGTTCGACTTCATTCATTCTTGGAGCAATGGGGACTTATTAATTATCAAGTGGATTCTGAATCTCGTCCAGCTCCAGTTGCTCCACCACCAACATCGCATTTCATGGTTTTAGCTGATACTCCAACTGGAATTCAACCAATGAATCCAATTCCATCCAATTTTTCATCGGCAAGTGGAGAAATTAAGAAAGAAGGAGATGTTCAAGTTAAAATCGAAACTCCAGAAAGTCTTTCGGAAGTTGGATTGAAAAGTGATCAATATCAAAAACAAGCTTTGGCTATGCAAGTGAGTTTCAAGTTTTCTTCAGATTCTTTCAAAATAAATGTGTTTTATTTTTCAGGCTAAAGGAGCAGCTCCAGGAAAAGAATGGACTGATCAAGAAACTTTGCTACTTTTGGAAGCCTTGGAAATGTTCAAAGATGATTGGAACAAAGTTTGTGATCATGTTGGAACTCGTACACAAACTGAATGTGTTATGAAATTCCTCCAACTTCCAATTCAAGATCCATATCTGAGCGAAGAAGGAGCTGCTGCAATTGGAAATGGAACAGCTTCATCTTCTGGTCCAAAAGATGTTCTTGGTCCATTGGCTTTTCAACCAATTCCATTTTCACAAACTGGAAATCCAGTTATGTCAACTGTCGCATTCTTGGCATCAGTTGTTGATCCACAAGTTGCTGCAGCTGCAACAAAAGCTGCGATGGAACAATTTGCCAAACTCAAAGAGGATATTCCACCATTGGTTATTGAAGCACACGAAAAGAATGTGGCTGCAATTCAAGAGAAAACTGGGAAAACTTGATGGAAATGTTGGATTGACCAAATCTGGAATCTCACAAAATACTGATGAGAAAATGGACGAAGGAGATGATGTTCCATCAACCGAAGAATCCAAGGAGAAAATTGCTGAAACTGTTCAAACTGCAGCTGCATCAGCTCTCGCTGCCGCTGCAGTCAAATCAAAACATTTGGCACAAATTGAAGAACGAAGAATCAAATCGCTCGTTGCTCAACTTGTCGAAACTCAAATGAAGAAACTCGAAATGAAATTGAGACATTTTGATGAGCTCGAACAAATTATGGATAAAGAGCGAGAATCATTGGAGTATCAAAGACATCAATTGATTTTGGAGCGCCAAGCATTCCACATGGATCAATTGAAATATTTGGAGAATCGAGCAAAACATGAGGCACATACAAGATTGACAACTGCTGGAACTGTAAGTTTTTTGCAGACATTTTTGAAATACTAAAATAACTCACGATTTTAAGTGAAATGGTCCACGATTGCAATATTTTGTAAAATTAGAAATGACCAAACATTTCGAAAATTTTAAGACGATTTTGAAACGTGAACCATTTAGTACGAAAAATTTCACATTTCACATTTCATTTTCGTAAATGTTTTGCACCAGAACTCAACCAGTCTTTGAAAATTCTAATAAATTTTTTTCCAGTTACCCGCCGGTTTGCCTCCAGGGTTCGAAGTCACTGGCCCACCACAACCAACTCCACAAATCCAAGTTAGCTCATTGCCAAGTGATGAGAAACTCGAGAGCGCTGAAAACATTCGATCATCTTCTACTCAACCGCCACACGCTGCCACAACTCAACAACTCCAACAATCTACACCTGCACCGCAACCAATTCAGCAACAAGCTCCACAACAGCCGCCACAGCAACCGCAGCAACAACAGGCTCCACAGCCTCAACAAGGATATCCACAACAGCCTCAAGGTTATCCTCCACAACAACAAGCCCAACAGCCACCTCAACAAGTTCAACAGCAGCAACAAAACCCAGGATATCCACCCCAGCAGCCACCACAATCAAGATATCCTCAACAAGGTGTTCCACCTCAACAACAAGGCTATCCAGGTTATCCGCCACAAGGATATCCTCAACAACAAGCACCACAAGGATATTATCCACCACAAGCTGGAGGAGGTTATCCAGGTGGCGCTTATCCACAACAGCAACAACAACAAAGGCCGCCATATCAAGGCCAACCTTATCCAGGTCCACCACAAGGTGGAAGACCGGGCGGATATGGTTATCCACCACAACAAGGTTATCCACCACAACAATATAATATGGGACCTGGCGGATATCCACCACAACAACAACAACAACAACACATTCCACAACAAGCACCTGTTCCACAAATTGCTGATCCTTCTTTGGCCGCCGGCGATAATACGGCAACACCGCCTGGCGATAACATTAAACAAGAATAAGAAATGTAATTACACCCCCATCCCGCCCCCAAAACATTTTTTTTATCCAATTTTTTCTTTGAAACACTAATTTTATCCATCTCCAAGAGCCCCCGCCGGTTTTTTCTGTCTGAAAAACTCATTTATTTATTTTATTTTATTTATTTTTCCGATATTTTTACAAATAAATCTGTGAAAACTAATGATTTTTATTCGACAATTCGATCAAATCCAGTTTGTAAAAATCTGGAATTTTATATTTTTTAATCCTGAAATTTTCAGAAACTCATTGGAATTTTTAGATGGAAGAATCGACTTCGTCTTTTCACGAGAATTTGGAAGATGAAGAAGAGGAGGAATTTGTGACACCGGATGTGGTGAGAAACTTTCGAGAAACTTCAATGAAAATCAATCGATTTGGTTTTTAGGTGATGAAAAGGATGTGTGAAAGTTGGCAAAATGAATTGGCATCGCCTTGTTTGTTACCGTCGAAAATGGAATTGGTCGAGATTTTATTGGATCAGATTCAGGGAATGGAAGAGAATATTGGAAGGCAAAGTGATAAGGTTGAGATTTTCTCAAACAAAAAATTTTGAAAATTACATTTTCATTAATAGACCATTTTAGTTATGATTTTCAAGAAGTAAAATTTGTCAATAAAAAATAATGAAACTCAAAAATTCCATTTTGTGTTTTCCAATTTTAACCCAAACTTATTCTTTGCCAGGTGCAACTTCGCATTTCGGTTCATCGAATGGAATTGCAACGGGTCAGTTATATGACTTCGGATTATATTCGATGTCGACTTCAAAAAATTGAATCAAATCCAAGATATTATTTGAATGAACATAATCGACGAATTGAAGAAGGACAAACTGAATTATTATCGGAGTTAGAGCTCAAATTTGCAACTGAATATGCTGAAGCTGAAGCACAACTTTTTGGAAAAACTGTACTAGGTAAGTTTTTTCTTGACTCATATTCAAGTAGCCTAATTATGAATGAAAATCGTTTTAGGTTTTATGCCACACGCTCTGCAAAAAATGCCAGTTCCAGTGGATGATTTGAATGTTGAAATGGTTTATGCGAGAGTTTTGGAAGATGATGTTGGAAATGTTTCGATTCCTGATTGGACAGATCCGAATTCTGAAGTTATTATTGAACTCGAAAAAGATACGGTTCACTTGATTCCATTCACTTCGATTCGACATTTGGTTGAGGAAGGAAAAATGATTTTGCTATGATATTTTGGAATAATCTCGACACACAATACTGGTATTATTTTTGTTCTCAATTTTTTTGGTGATTTTTTCACTTTATTTATATGCAAGTGAATTTGGATTTTCGCGATTTGTATTTCCGATAAAATCGCTGAATCTCGCGAGCTGCGGTATCTCGTAATTCCATGAATGTCAAAGCGTCCAAACTTTTCAAGTGATCGCTGATCTAAAAAAGGAAATTTAGAAGTTTTCTAAAAAGAGAAAAATTTTCTTGAACAAACCATTTTATGCTTGAATTGAATTGCACAATCAAGCGGTGTTTTTTCATCATAATCGATTGCATTAATTGCACTTCCACCTTTGAGAAGTGAAAGAACGCAATCGATTTTTCCAGCAATGCAAGCTTCATGTAATGCTGTTTTACCATCTTGATCCCGCCATCCGACCAAAGGGGATTTTAGAAAGTTGTCTTCTTGTTCGATCTTTAAATTTTCAGATAAATTTTAGAGAAATCTTTTGAATCCTATACCCAAATCCTCAGGATATCAGAATTGAATTAAGTTTACAATTAGATCAACTTACATTTAGCATAACATTGATACATGCTGAAAATCCGGCATAAGCTGCCGCGTGCAACGGTGTTCTACCTAATGCATCGATAATTGGTTTCGTCTCACTTCCTCCTGATGTTCGCCATTCAAAACTCAACTCTTTAATCATACAATGCAATGTATGACTTTGCCCTCCTAAACACGCCCAGAAAACGGGAGTTCTGTCCAACGAATCGCGATCACTCATATTCGCTCCAGAAGTGACCAAACAGCGAAGTACATCAGTGTGTCCACGACCGGCTGCCAAATGAAGAGCCGTGATGCTTTGATTATCGCGCTCGGATATGTTCCAACCTTGGTTGATCAGAATTTTGCAAACTTTTTCGTTTCCAACCATTGCAGCGAGATGGAGAGCTGTGTAGCCATATTTGTCCTGCAAAATTATTTGCCAACGTGAACTCTGACGTGGCAATTTGCACAATTATCTATTTCATTTTCAAAATGGAAAAAACTAATTTCCAACGTGACCTTCAATTTTTCTACTCTCGGAAAAAAGTCATTTCGTGATTCAAAAGAAAATGGAAAATGGTTTACCACAGCTCTCCGATCAGGTGCATCTTCTCGTTGAATCAGGTAATGTATAACGTCGATGTTTCCCGCGCAAACAGCCCACATCAAACAACTTCGACCCTCGTTGTCTTTGACTTCCTAGAAAACATATGCCGAACTTCAGAAAATTAGATTTTTCTTACACTAATCCGACTTTCGGTCAGAATAATCCTCAAACAATCAGCACTGAATTGTGCGGCATAATGTGCTGGAGTCACTCCGAGTTTATCTCGAGTCGAATTTCGTGCGCCGTGATTCAATAAATATTGCACAATTTCGGGATATGCATGCTCAGCAGCATAATGAAGTGGTGTTCGTTGCTCATTGTCAACTAGCTGAAAAATATTCTATATAAGAATTTCAAGGGTGACACTCATTGTTAGTTACATCAACTGAGCAATCGAGTTCTTCAACGAGAAGTTGAACTGCGTTGAGATTTCTGGCAGCGACTGCGATGTGCAAAACAGTCATTCCATCTTTGTTTTGCCTGGTCTTCGAAACTGGTTTCTTTCTGAATTCTAAATTATCTTTAATAATTTTTTCTGACTCACTTTGCTAATAATTTGATGACTGGAAGAGCTTGTGGTAGATTAACTCCGACTGCACACATCAGTGGAATAATACCATTTCGATCTCGTTGATCTATTGGAAAACCAAGAACTGGTGAATCTGGTTGAGCAATATCTGAATCAATCATCAATCGGATTGCCTCGATATTCACTTTACAAGCTGCATAATGTAAAGGAGATCGTGATTTCTTGTCTTGTGCAATTTGATATACATTATCTCCAACTGTCAAATTATCAATGAAAAGTTTCAAAACTTTTATATTTGATTTAGTTGCAGCGATGTGAAGTGGAGTCACCGAATCATTATCTTTGGCTAATATTATTTTACCCGGTCGATCATTCAAAAACATTGATATTATTTCTTTGACAACTTTTGCTGATGCATATTGAGTTGCCCAATGTAAAACTGTTGCATTTGTTTTATCCAGTATTTGAATTATAGTATCCGGTCGAATTGCAGCTCGTTTTATAATAAATTGAAAGTTTTTGATATTATCCGTCATTGCTGAATGAAATAACGCATTTCTACCTTTTTCGTCTTTCTCGTCCAACCAATTTTTTCCATCTTTTTCGGCTTTCTTGACACAAACTTCGAATTCACCTGACGAACCTTCAGCAGCATAATAAAGAATAGGTTTAAGATTTTCCATAGCTATTATTATTATTTTTTTTTGCAATTTGTTGAATGAATGATAACCGGGGAAAAGAAATTGAGAAACCGGTTTTTGTGATAGGTCATTTCGCAAAAAAAGTGGGAATTTGAAAAATAATTCGAATTTTCTCAGCTGGGAAGTTTTTTTTTGTAGAGTTTGAAATTTTTTTTGGAAATTATTCCAAGTTTCAAATTTTCCAAAACTTTCTTCCGAATTATAGATAATTTAATTTAATTTGAATTTTGAAATCAGATTTTTCAAGTTAAATTTTCTAGAAACAAGATCCATATTTGTTTATGTTTGCTCAATATTATTTTCAAATCGAAATCCTCTCGACAATTCCTCTTTCCTCCCAATAATAAACATACTACTGTTCTTCCACGAAAATGAAGAGCGGCGGTGTTTGCACACTTTTCGCAGCTACCGTATACAAATTGGAGGGAGTTTAAAAAACAATTTTTTTTCTTTTCTTTTTTTTCAATTTTTTTCGCGGATTTCGTTTGTTCGTGGTTTATGAGTCAGAACGCCAATTTCATCAGGATGTCTTGTGCTCATCTGAAAGCCCGTCTAAAACTGGTCATTTCGCTGTGAATAGATAGTCATGAAAATGAGAAACCGACGAGGCACAGGCGTCGAAAGGGAAAATGCACACAACATGGCAAACACACATTTTCAAGTTGAGACTTGTGCATCGTGCAAAGTGAAAAAAAAATGCGAAAAATCAAAAAAATAACGTGCAAACAGACGCATTTTTTTTCGCAGAATTCGCATTTTTTCGCGCATTATTTTTGCATTTTCTGGTGTTTTTCGAGCCAAAATGGACAGAAATTGAAAGAATTTGTCTGAAATAGTCTTTTTATTGATAATGAAGGAAAAATCAGTGGTGAATCAAGAAAAAAAATGATTTTGAAAATTTAAAATTTTTTCGACTTTTTAGACATTTTTTCGACCATCTAAATTTTCTTGATTCACCACTGATTTTTCCTTCATTATCAATAAAATGACTATTTCAGACAAATTCTTTCAATTTCTGTCCATTTTGGCTCGAAAAACACCAGAAAATGCAAAAATAATGCGCGAAAAAATGCGAATTCTGCGAAAAAAAATGCGTCTGTTTGCACGTTATTTTTTTGATTTTTCGCATTTTTTTTTTCACTTTGCACGATGCATTGGTGTTTTTTAGGTCGATCGATTTCAGTTCATTGTCAATCAATTTCAGTCATCTATATATCAATCGAACCAGAATTTTACGGAGAACAATCTCATCTTTATGGATTTCAACAATTCGATTGCTTTCGACTTTATTTTGGACTGAAATTTGAGTTTTTTGGATTTTTGAGGGTTTTGGGAGGGGTTTTCTAATTTTTTCGCAATTTTTCATCTATTCAATGCTGGAAGTTGCTCTACAGTCTAATTTCACGATATTCCACCATCCAATCTGATTTTCAACTTCGAATCACACAATTTTGGCCTGAAATTTGAGTTTTCTGGTATTTTTGGAGGATTTGGGACAATTTCTTCAGATTTTTCGGAATTTCTGATGAATTCAGTGCTGGAAGTTCGTTTACAGTATATTTTCACGAAATTCGACCATTCAATCAGATTTTCAACTCTGGATCACAGGATTTTGGGCTAAAGTTTGAGTTTTCTGGATTTTTCTTGAATTTTTAGTGCAGGCAATCTCTGCAAATTCACAAGTAAACTAATTTAATGACTTATTGATAAGTTCGACCATCTAGAACAACTTTCTATGATTTTGTGATTCAAGTAAATATCTCAAAATAACTAGCTTATATAAAAAATGAAAATTTGAAAAAGGTCGAATTTTGTGACATTTCGAAAAAATCCTCTCTCAAATACCCAGAAAAATCGAATTTATACTACTAAAAATCGTGTGATACAGGGTTGGAGATTGAATTGGATGGTCGAATTTCGTGAAATTAGATTGTCGAGGAACTTTCAGCGCCTAATTCATCGAACATTTCGAAAAAAGCTGAAGAAAATCTCTCAAAACCGAAAAAACCGAAAAAAAACTCGAATTTCAGTCGAAAGTCGTGTGATTCGAAGTTGAAAATCAGATTGGATGGTCGAGTATCGTGAAATTAGACTGTAGAGCAACTTCCAGCACTGAATTCATCAGAAATTCCGAAAAAATCTGAAGAAATTGTCCCAAATCCTCCAAAAATACCAGAAAACTCAAATTTCAGGCCAAAAATTGTGTGATTCGAAGTTGAAAATCAGATTGGATGGTCGAATATCGTGAAATTAGACTGTAGAGCAACTTCCAGCACTGAATTCATCAGAAATTCCGAAAAAATCTGAAGAAATTGTCCCAAATCCCCCAAAAATACCAGAAAACTCAAATTTCAGGCCAAAATTGTGTGATTCGAAGTTGAAAATCAGATTGGATGGTGGAATATCGTGAAATTAGACTGTAGAGCAACTTCCAGCATTGAATAGATGAAAAATTGCGAAAAAATTAGAAAACCCCTCCCAAAACCCTCAAAAATCCAAAAAACTCAAATTTCAGTCCAAAATAAAGTCGAAAGCAATCGAATTGTTGAAATCCATAAAGATGAGATTGTTCTCCGTAAAATTCTGGTTCGATTGATATATAGATGACTGAAATTGATTGACAATGAACTGAAATCGATCGACCTAAAAAACACCAAGTCTCAACTTGAAAATGTGTGTTTGCCATGTTGTGTGCATTTTCCCTTTCGACGCCTGTGCCTCGTCGGTTTCTCATTTTCATGACTATCTATTCACAGCGAAATGACCAGTTTTAGACGGGCTTTCAGATGAGCACAAGACATCCTGATGAAATTGGCGTTCTGACTCATAAACCACGAACAAACGAAATCCGCGAAAAAAATTGAAAAAAAAGAAAAGAAAAAAAAAAAATTGTTTTTTAAACTCCCTCCAATTTGTATACGGTAGCTGCGAAAAGTGTGCAAACACCGCCGCTCTTCATTTTCGTGGAAGAACAGTATATTATATCTCTGTGTCTCTTTTCCTCTCATTTGTGCTCTTCAAATATGATGATCGGCGCTGAGCCAAGGCCGACTGCATTTTGTATTTTTTCGACACACTTTCAACCGCCCGAACTTTTTTTTATTTATCCCGTGCGCGAGAGAAAAATTTTATGAATTTTTGAAATATGAACTCGTTGTTTTGAGATTTATGAGTTGGGAAGAAGCTGCATAATTTTTAATGGTTTTTTATTTTTCAAAGTGATCCAATTTTTTTGGATTTTCTAAATTTCTCTCTCATTTTTCCTCAAAAATCTCAATTGTTGACTTGAAAAGACACCTAGTTCATTTCCTGTCATTCATTTTTTGCTCTTGACATGTTGCAATTTTTCAAGCAAAAAAAGAAAGAAAAATTCTCATTTATTCTTTTTCTACTGAAAAAAAATAACAGGACTACATTCATTTTCTAAAAAAAGTTTCAAATTTCGATCCATGTGAAACTCAAATTTCTTCAATCTTCGTCTTATTTTCTTTTTGTTTTTCAAGATTTTTCATCTCATCCGCTCTCTTTTCTCTCATTTTCTTCATCAATCTCCTCATCAACATTTTCAATTGCACTTTTGTCCTCCCATGTGGTCTAGTGGTTAGGATTCGTGGTTTTCACCCACGCGGCCCGGGTTCGATTCCCGGCATGGGAAGCTAATTTTTGCTCTACATATTTTCGCATGGTTTGTTCAACGACTAGACAATTCAAATTTCCTCGCAAAATTCAATAAACCCCTCTTTTCTTTTTTCGCCATTTTTTCGTCGCCTTTTCTGGCAGATCCTTATTTTCTTTTCTTTCTTCGTCGTCCTTCTTATTCTCATCTCTTCTTCTTGAAACCCTTCACTTTTTTTAGTATTATTAGAATTTGTTGAAAAAAAATAAATAAATATAGAGCAGAATGAAGCCAATTATTTTTATTTTCTGTGTATTTTTTGCTGAAAAATAATAATAATAACATGATGCCGAGATTTTGAACAAAAAACCTAGAAATGAATATGATTTCAGGGAAAATGAACAACCAAATAGTTTCACGTATTGGTATTTTTTTATTATTCCGATTTCTTCATTTACTATTTTTATTTGAATCTGATATTTATGCATTAGTTTTACGATTATTCGATAGTTCAAAGAAAAATGAAGAAGTTGAAGTTTTCAATATTTTTGCAAGGTTGGTTTTTTTTTTTGGAAAAAAAGGTTAAAACTTTGGAAATTCAGATTTCGATTAGATTCAACTGACGCAACTCGCGAATCAGACTTTCTCTCATTTCATGAGAAATCAACAATTTTCGAGGAAATCTGTGAAGAAGGATGGTTTATTTATAACATAACTAGTAATTATGTATATCTTGTTCGAGTTCCATCAATCGATCCAGAATTTTATGAATCATCGATTAGTGTGGAAAACTGTTCGAAAATGTCGAATTATCTTTTTGAAAACGCTGAAAGATTGGCAAGAATTGATATGGAAACATTTGAAAGAGCAGCAAAGAGTTTGGGAAAATTTCAAGGTCCAGTTGTTATGATGTATTCAACGCCTTGTAGTGGTGGAACTGTTGCTGCCAAATTATTGCAAGCTTGTGATAATTCAAAAATGTCATTGTTGGTTCTTGGAGAACCACCATTTCTAACATCACTTAGTTTGTTATACAATTCAATGAGTATTGAAAAACTTCGATCTTTATGTCGATCCACAATTCGATTCTCAGTTCAACATCAAAAACAAAATCAAACGATTGTAATGAAAACGAGATCAAGTTGCACGAAAATTGTGCCATTTATTCATTCGAGATGTCCTTCTATTCAACATATTTTTATTGGAAAACATAACTACGAAAATGTAATTTCTCGATTAGTTATTTCAACATCTTCTGAATTCGCTGTATTTTCGTGGATTTGTTGGTTATTGAACAATTCGAAATATTTAGTAGATAGTGTAACTTCTTGGAAAGGTCTTGAAGAAGAATTAGTTACTCGAGTTGGTCCAAATACAGATGTTGAATTTGCAATGGCTCAAGTTTATGGTTGTTTGGTGAATTTCAGAAGGAATCAACAATTTTTCAGTAGCGAAATGATTATGGTTGATGATCTAGTAAGTATTTTCTCGTTGTGAGGATTTCATGTACATTTTTTTAAATTTATAGATATCTGACACTGTGCCAAATATCCGACCACTTCTCAATATTTGTCAAGTTTCTGATCTTGCAATTCCCGAATGCATTGAATGGAAAAGAAGTGCTGAAGATATTCTACAAAGCGTTTTTCAAACTGTCAAATTAACAGAAGAAGATGCTTCAAGAGTCGAACATCTTGTTGATTTAATTAATAGAGATTTGTATATGCCTTCACCGTTATGATGATTTCATTTTTCACTTTCCACAATTTTTGAAATATTTTTTCATGATGATATTTTGATTACCGGTTCAATTAATTAAATCTTTCAGTTGTTCAAAAAAAATCATTTATTAATTATTAATTGTTACCCAGTGATATACAATCTTTTACATTCTGCATCAGATACATTAATTAGAACAAGTCGAATATAATTAACAATGGGTACTGTATATGGTCGAACTATGATGTATTTTCCATCTTCGACGATTCGAGTTATGAATTTTCGGAATGTGATTTTTTCATTTGTAATTCCTTGCATGATGTTCAAATGGTACTTAAAAAAAGGTTTTTTTCGTATATTCGAAAGGCGTTTTTTTTTCAAAAAATGTTCTCTTGTCGGTGAAATTAAAAAGCTATCCTACCTCAACATTAATTTGACAAATAACAATTCCTTTTTTATCAACTTCTTCTCCAAGATGCAACATTTCCATCATTCCAAATTCACTTCCCTCTGTATCAACCCACATAATATCAATTTTCTTTTTTTCTCAAAATCTCGCTCAGAAAATAGTCCAATCCAACATTCAATGCGATTTCCTCTCGATAAGACTCTTTTAAAACTCGCGAACTTCTAAATCCTCCATTTTTCCCGATTGCAACTGGGAAAAATGTGCCAATCTTCTCGTAAATTGGTTTATTTTCTGGAACTGGATCAGCTCCATAGAAATCGATGTTGGGGTAAAGCTGAAAAAGTTACTGTATATTTTTCTGTGAATAAATTCAAAATCAAACCCTTCTGAGTTCAATTTCCCCATCGATGTCTTTTCCAACTCCTAATGTTAACATTGTCAAAGTTTCATTATATTTTGGATAAATAATATATTTAGTTTCATCAGTATTACTAACAGCTCGAATATCCAAATGTTTCACACTTGTTGCATAATCACAATTCTTTGCAAAATATGTATAATTCATCCAAAAATTATCGAGTGGCCCTGTGAAAAACGGCAATTTACTTCGATAACACTCTTGAAAATCCTCCAACAAAGTGTTTGGTGAAACTTTCGATATATATCCAACACGGGATTTTCCATCGAATTCGTTCACACTACTAACATTCATCAAACAATACAAAGCAATTGAATAAATAACACAATATATAAGAACCGTATGACTTCGCTTCATTTTTTCTTATTAATTATATTCAATAAAAATGAAAATGTGAGAGAAATTTTTTGATCGGTAAGTTTTTATATAGCAGTCGCTTAATGAGATAAAATCCGTGAAATCCATATTTTTCAGATGTTTTTTCATGTTTTAGCCAGTATATTTTTTTTGGAAACATTTTGATTCTCATGGAGATATGCGGCTATTTTTTGGACGCAATTTAAAACTGGAAAGCATTTTCGAATTTTCAGATTTCTCTTTCTATTTTTTATTAGATTTGGGCCCAAATATAAAGAAAGAACCCTTTTTTTGAATTTGATGAAAAGTTCACTTGTCAGTTTTTTCAAGAAATATTTTGAATTTTTGCAAAACTAGCCTTATTTTTATCAAAGTATGACTTCTTGAAACATGAAAAGTTTAGGAGTTTAGGAAACAAAAATCAAAATTAATTTGAAAATCAATGGGAAGTTTATTTTTGGGTTCGCTAAATTTTTAATTTTAATTTCAAAAAATTCATTTTTCAAAGTTCCAAATCTCAAATTTCAATTTTTTTTCATTTCTCAAATTTAACACGATTATAAATCAACTTGTTAATGCTCCTCTTGTTGGGTCTTTCCTCTGTTTTTTTTTCAGAAAATTTATGTTTTTCTGAAAATTCTAGAGATCCAGTTTGTAACCCCAGATCCAGATATTTTCGAAAAGATAAAAATGCCAGTCGCAGATCGAAATGTTCCCGGATGGATGTTATCTATGATTTCCACATGTATTTATTTTTCAATTGGAAAAAAGCAATATTTTTCGAAAAGTGTTTTTTCATAATTTTCTTGAGGAAGAAACAAGTTGAGAAATGAAAAACGATCAGATAAAACATATTGTGGCAAGGAAGGCAAGCAAAAAGAAGAGCAGTTGCTGTGCTCATTTCTCCCATTTCTTACTTGTTCATTTTCAACCGCGAACACCTTTTCTTTTTTCTGTTTCTCATGATTTGTTTCTCCAATTTTTTCTAGATCCAAAAAATCCAATTACGCTCGCTCCCCAACCAAAAAATTTCACTTTCATTTCGAGAAAACAACAAAGAAGTTTAGTTTGGGTTTTGTTTTTGTTTTGGATGAGTTGGGCGAGAGCCAGATGTTTTATGAGATACTTAAAGATTACGAAATTTTTTCCATTATTATTCACTCATTCATTCATTAAAAATGCTCTTTCTCCTGAACCTCGTAAAGCCACACTTATTTTTTTTGCGCCTTTTTCAACTAATCCGAAAGAACAAACCCATTTCCTTTTTTTTGGAAAAATGGAGCAAAACGAACGAATCATTTAGTGTTCTCGATTTTTTCTCGTCGGCCAAAAATTATTCATTTCTCTTTTTTTCTGGGTTTATTTTTCATAAGAGGTTCATTTCTGAATGTGAGTTCAATTTTAGATTATTTACTACAAACTAGTCGTGTTTGTGTATGCAATAAAACATCAATTTATCAACCACAACACATGTTGGAATGGTGGCTGGTGAGAAAAAAGAAGAAATTGCGATGAGAAAAACGAAGAAGAAGAAGAAGAAGCCGCGCACAGCTGACTGCAGTTTTTGAACTCAGACCAGCTTGGATTATTTTTTTGAAATTATTTTGAATCACTGTTTGTTTTTGGAAAAAATTAGATGCACTTTTTTTGGAAGTTTGTTCGAGTTTTTTAATGTATAAAAATTCAAGCTCCAACGGAATTTCGAAAATTTTCAGAAATCTTATTTTTTACTTTCACTTTTAGAAATGTTAATTGGGCCCAAATTTTGAAGTGAGTTGAGAAAACAGATTTTCTATTGCGAAATTTTCAACTTGAAGACTCCGAAAAAATTCTCAGAAAATTTTAGGACCCATTTTGTACTCACAAAATCCCTCTATAACAATACATTTTCTCTGCGTCTCTCCAATTTCTCTCACCACATCTGAAAATTTATTATTATGAATTCAATTTTATTTATTTTATTTTTTGTGCTCGAATATTTATAGTCAATTCCAGCTGCTCTGCATGGATGTATGTAGATCAATCTTTTTTTTCCATCTTCAAGTCAGAAAAAAATAATAAAAAATCATTTTTCAGGAAATGTTAGTTTCCGGGAACCATTTTGTTTGAATATTTATTTATTTTTAGTTAGTTAGTTAGTATTTTTCCCAAATGTATATATTTTTCTGATAATCCAATTTTTCTCGTTTTTTTTTCAATCCAGCTGTGTAACAATGAAGTGCGCGGTTGCCATAGAAAACCAAGAAGCAACAAAAAAATTTATATGTTTTAGTTTTTTTCGTACTATTTTTTGCGACCTCATTTTATTCAACACAAAAAAAACGAAAAATCCTTTTCAGGTAGATGTCGAATAGAACGCTTTTAGATGAATTGTCTGATTTTCCATCGACTTCGAGTGAAGGATTTGGAAGTGGAGAAGATGAAAATGATAGATTTCCAGTGCCAGTAGATCCATTTGTTGATGTTCAAAATATAACAGAAGGAAGAGAAGGAACTTTTTGGGAAGATTTTGATTCGGAAAATGGAACTAGTATTTTGCCAGAGTGGAGAGTTGTTAAAGAGTTTTTAGGTGAGTATTTATTTAACGAGATTAACTGTTTTGAGAGTTTGGGTTTCCTCTTTGTTTTAAAGTTTTCAAAAACGATTATGAATTCCAAGTCATGAAACATCTAAAATTTTTAAGCCGCTTTTTCAATAATATTTTTTTTATTTACTTGAAGTTTCCACGTCGTAATCAAGTTTTCAGAAATAAACGAATGGTTAATTTATGCCGCGTTGGCTTTTGTGATATTCATCATTGTGACTGTGATAACAATTATTGTTTGTTGGATTTACAAACATAAAAAGTAAGTTTTTCACTCCAACTCCCACAATCCAACATAGTCAATTTCAGAACTCTAATCAACTCACAATCAGATCCAATTCTAAATTCCACCTATGATCAAGGATTCAGCTTCCGATGTTGTTGCTGTTGTCGAACTGCAGAAAAAGAACAAAAAATAGAAAACCGTCAAAATTCCGCCAGCAATCTAGAAGCCTATGGTAGAAGGGAACCTTTGCCAGATACAGCTTATCGTAATCCTCAAGATGTCATGAAAGGTAATTTTGTTAGATCAAAAATAGAATAAGCCAGAAACTAGAAATCTGTAATTATGTTTTACATATGTCAAGTTATCTCAAGCAAATATTGCGAAATTTTTTTGATGCCTCTGAACTTTTGCGAGAATTTTCCCTGATCAAAAACGAAGAGCGATGAAAATTATATGTGTATTCATAATTTGAAAAGCTGTTATCAGAGTGATCTCTGTCATTATCCCAAGAAAAAAATCAAAATGATCAAAAACCTAGTGATCTATGGAATAAATTAGTCACTGAACTGATGTGATCTTGTTTTATCAATCTGATCTTTTGTTCTTTTTTTAGCAACTTCAACTCCAAAATCAACAACTTCGCCGAAAATGTTGAATGAAACTATTGATGATCGAAGTCTTGGAGTTTATATTAATGGTAGGTTTGGGAAATTGTAGATGTAAGGGTTCGGAGAAACCAAAGTTTTGAGAATAAAACATCGAAAACGTCATCACTGATGTTACAAATTTTTCATAGATTCCTCAGAGAAATGTGCCGAAAAACTGAGAAATTTTCTGAACTCGAAGCTATACCATTTTGAAAGGCTGAGAGTTTTAATAAAGCAAGATAAAAGAATTCAAGAAGTTTTTGAAATTTGATGCTTATCTCAAATACAGGGTGACCCAAAAAAAACGTTACAAGGTTTTTTCGAAATTATTACTCGAAATGTTCTGAAATTTTGTATACACGATTTCGAGCTAACTACTTACCCCAAGATACACACTGAAAAAAATTTGTTTCATTATACCTTGTGTTTCACGTGAATTACACGTGAAACAAAACTGTGAAAAAAAGGCCTTGACGCCGCAACTCGTGAAAATACAACGTGGTTGAACTTTCACAGCTAACATTTATTCATGAGTCAATTGGGGTAAGCATATCGCTCTCAGGCTTTGTAGAGAAACTCTCTGGGATCATTTTGAGTACTTGACTTCCTATCCAAAAATGGTTTCAACATGAATTAGAACTCATTTTGTGTATTGGGTCAAAATTTTTCACTTTTTCTGAAAAGAGAACTCCGATGGCTGAAATATGGGATTATGATTATGTTTATCTTGCTAAAGCAGTGTGACTAGGTTGTATTTACCCTGTGAAAATCAGTTTGGGGTTATATAACTAATATTTCTCAAATTGGGTTCGATAATGTTAAAAATTGAGAAAAAAAATATTTTTTCGAATTTTTTTCAACTTACATCTGTCACTTCTCTGAGACTATGAAGTTATTCCATAGCTTATTTGCACTGTAAATTATCAAGCTATATGGTTTCGCTAAAATTTAAAAAAAAATTGAGGTAGTTTGGTTCACTTCCACAGACACTGTAGGGTCCAGAATCGAAAAAGAGCTGCGGCGCCAAGGCCTTTTTTTCACAGTTTTGTTTCACATGTAATTCACGTGAAACACAAGGTATAATGAAACAAATTTTTTCAGTGTGTATTTTGGGGTAAGTAGTTAGCTCGAAATCGTGTATACAAAATTTCAGAACATTTCGAGTAATAATTTCGAAAAAACCTTGTAACGTTTTTTTTGGGTCACCCTGTAGATCCTGAATTTTCATGCCTTTAGTTTCTTTTGCAGCCATCAAAGATGTTCCATCTCGAGTCATTCCTCAATCTGAGTTCCGCGAACTTCCACCGCTTCGTCTTCCTCGAACAAATGTTTATCAATCATATCAATCCTAATTTTTCAAATGCTCTCAATAATGATAAATCAACAGAATTTCTCTGTGTTTGTGTTTTGAAAATAGTAATGTTTACCATCTTCAAAAATCTCACTAAATTATAGGTTATTTTTTTATCACAAGTTTTTATGCGCTATTTTTGCTGTTGAATAGAAGACAGAAACATGGGTAGGTATTATCTCTTTGTAAACATGCATTGTGCTTTGATATTAGTCACACCGCGTGGGTTTCGGTTTATTTTTGAAAATTGGAGATCTTTGATTTGGGAAAAGTGCATAGTGAATAAATGGAATGGTACAAGGTGCTACATTTTTTGTTTTTTTTTATTATAGTGACTACCAAAGAAGCAAATAATGATAGCTTGGTATAAAGTGCATGTCTACGTCTAGAAATCTGATTTTTTGATTTTTTCTGGAGAAGAAAAAAACGGGGCAAGCTGGAAATCAGTTGAAATCCTGTGACGATTTCAAAGAAACTTTAAATTAAAATTAAAAAGTTAGGGATAACTGTAGACATACAGTAAGTCAACTACAATGTTTCACGATTACTGAATTATTTTCACCAGAAAAAAACTTGGATCAAAAATTGTTGAGAAATGTTGAGGAACGTTGCCTAGATGGTGACGTTATACAAGATTGCTGTACTATTTTTTGTTTTGAGCTCTCTCGCGATGTTCAAAAAAGTTCACTGACAATATCAAGAGCTTTTTCGAAAAAATGTCCCCCCCCCCTCTCGTCCAAAGTGGTAAGCTAGAATATTCTCGAAAATTCTTTACCCTTCCAGAACATTTCTCACTTGTTTACATCAAAAACTTCTCAATTATTCGAAAAATCTACAGTATCCCCTTCTCTTAATCGTCAACAACTTACCCACGCATTTTCAGCTCGCATAATAATTACAGACTCCATTTCTTTCGCTTTTCACTCCATCAACTATCAATTAATTGGGCGGAGTCTCTGGTTTTATTATAAAACAACCGTATCTGCTTCGACAACTCTCACTATTTCAAATCGACTCGCAAATGGTCTCATTCTTGAAACATTTGCGAATTGATCACGGCGATTTACCGCACTGCGACCGAACTCCACCAATGACACCAAAAACACCAATGAGCCCTTTGGCTTCACCATTTGTTCTCAATGCAACTTCATTCTGTTTCAGAAAAGGTTAGTTTATCCAAAGCTTCTAGAAAGTTTTATGAAAATAATTCGGAAATTTCAGGTCCAGCAAGATCGGTTGTTTATCAACCAAACGGACATCCGAAACAAGTTGTAATTGACGGCGAAATTTGGCCACCAATTTTCAAACCCAAAAATGTTCGAACTGCCAAAATGATGCAAATCAATGAGAACGATGTGGTTATCGCAACTTATCCAAAATGCGGTACCACATGGCTTCAACACATAACATCTCAACTAATTAAGGGTGTTGATTATAAAACTGGAAAGGGTAATGGTAAGTTATATGACATTTTCGATGAAATTATCGAGATCAAACTTTATTTCTTCTTTTTTTCAGAGCTTTGTTTACAAAGTCCGATGATTGAAAGAATGGGAGCACAGTTTGCGAATAGCATTCAAGGACCTAGAGTTTTGAAAACTCATTTCAATCATGTCAATATTCCAAGAAGTCAAACAGCAAAATATATTTATTGTGTTCGAAACCCAAAAGATTGCTTGACCAGTTACTTCCATCATAATCGAAACTTCAAAATCTACAACTGGGAACATGGAACTTGGGATGTTTTTGTTGATCTTTTTGCATCTGGCACAACTCGCTTTTGGAGATTATTTTGATCATTTGCTTTCTTGGATTTCACACATCGATGATGAAAATGTTCTTTTCTTGAAATACGAAGACATGGTTGAAGATCTTGAAGGATCAATTTTGAAAATCGGACAATTCCTTGGCGGCGATGCAGCAATGCGTGTTCAGAACTATAACAGTCTTCGTGAAATCGTTGAGAACAGCACAATTGATGCAATGAAGAAAGATCAGAAGCGTTGGTTCCCGGAAAATATTTTACACAAAGCGGAATTCATTCGAAAAGGAGGATCTCGCGATTGGAAAAATCATTTCACTCGCGAACAAAGTGATCGAATCGACTCAATTTTCCAACAAAAATTCGCTGGAACTGTTGCTGAAAATTGGTGGAAATATGAGATGGCTTGGGATGACAAAGTCAGCTCGATGGACAATCTTTCGATGTATAGCAGTGGAGAAGGTCGCGAGTTATTCCAACTTCCTCCACTCTCGCAACGTCGTTACAGTCGAGCATCTTTGCTTTCGTCCGGTTATGGTAGTGTATGGAGTTTGGCTTCGGTTGCAGCAGCAAAAAATGACTAACCATTTTCTTTTTATTTTCTGTCCCATGTATTTTTGTACTGTCCCTATTTTTTCCCGAAAACATCCTAGAAACCTTTGTAGTCATGCTTTCTTAATAATTAGTGATCTCATTTCATTTCCTTACCCAATTTAATTGATCTCCCCCCGTATCTGGATTTTTCATCCGGCACCCCCGCGGCAATTTGAAACATTTTTCTATGTTAATTTATATTTTCGAAGAAAAATCAATAAAGTCGCATGTTAACAATAACTACTTTTAATTTTTCACATAATTGTGCACACTTTTGTCTTCAATTTTGAGTCGGCTCGAATGTCGTCACATCGACATCGTTGTTTTCGAGAAGGATTGCGGGATAATTGAGACACCTGAAAAATTAGGTATTTACTTTTTCGATATAATTCAAAAAAATGAAAATGAAAATATTAAAATAAAACTCACGGATTCTTTAGATTCTCTTGATTTTGACGTGGGCTTTGCTGTTATCTTTTTGGCAGGACGTGTCTAAAAATTTATTATTTCTAATATTTTCTCAAGGGTATAATGGTGAGCTTCTCAATTTGACAAAAAAAAACACATTCACAAATAATAGTTTTCAGATTTTAACAAGGAAAATAATTCGACAAAAACCGTTTGCGACAAAAAATGGAAGATTAAAAATTGCCACGTGTTTCGGCGGATCGTTTTTGATCGGGCAAATTATTGGATTCGAGGCTAACAAATATTTGACAGAAAATCACTTTTTAGTGCCAGCAGATCCCGATGATTAATTTGTTAATGAAATATTAATAGAAGGAAAAAAGGAAGTAAATGTTTTAAGGTGTTCAACGTTTTTTAGAAAGGAGTGTAGAGTTTGAAAATAAAAAAAAAACACTCACATCTTCTTCAACACTGCTCACAGATGAAATTGAGACTCGTTTTACCATTTTCTCTGCTTCTTCTGGATCTGGCAAAGCAACTCGAACGTCTTGTGGAATCTAAAATCAATAATATTTACTTCACTCAAAAACAAGTTTTATAAATATAACTCACACTATCGCTTGGAATCTCGGCAAAACTGGCAGTTTCACTAGCCTCCACCATATCCAAGACTGCACTGATTGAATCCGCCTCCGCTACATTAACTGGTTCTGATTCCTCTTCTTCAACTTCTTCTTTTTGAATCACCGTCTCTTTCTCCTCAACTTCACGCACACTTTCCAAATTTCCACTCTGCGCCTTTTGCATTTGCTCCATCTCATCAGTTGTTGGGCGTGGTGTATCTTCTTCTTTTGGCTCAAAACTTCGACTTGATGCGAGTTCTAAGAAAAAAAAACAAATCATTTTTGATGAGTTGATGATCTATGAATTCTCACTCACCACTTGTGCTAATTCGAGAGCTCAATGTGAGTTTGCTCTCAGATTTTTTGATTTTTTTATTGAGTCGTTCATCGGAATGTGAAGAAGACCAAGCTGGCCGATTATTTTCGTCTTGCATATTATTCATATCCAAAATTGATGCAGCTCGCGAAGTTATCTCAATCGTATGCGCAATCGTCTACAAAACGTGTTTTTTTTTCAAAATTTTCTCCCGTTTTCCAGTCAAGGTTACCTTATTCAATTCAAGTTGGGATGCTGACAAACTTCCACGTCTCGATCCACTGCTATCTTCAGATTCTCTGTAAACACACAAAAAATAGAGATCTCTTCAGGAGAAGTTTTCAAAAAAAAAAGAGTTTCGTGACTGAATATATTTTGATGGCTTTTTATAAACATCGGATGCATATTTACGCACATCCGGCATTAATTTTTCTTCTTGGCATTTCGCATTAAGAATTCATTTTCCGGAATAGATGATCAGCAGGTCAAAGAAAAACACATGACACGCCCATTTTTCTCTTAACACATATATTTTTTTGCCAGGAAACGAAATGGGGCAAGAAAAAAAGCAAAAATAGCAAAAATTAAAAATGACTCACGCTAAACTCATTCGACTCAATGCACTTCCCCGATGCCCATCCATATCTTCATCCATCAATTCGTCATCCGCCTTCGCTTTTTCCTCAATAACTCGTTTTCGTATCGGCTCCACCTTCTTATATCTTGCTCGCCCTTTTTTCTTCTCAACTTCATAAACCTTCATAACACCTTTCCCTTTAATTGTTGCACTTCCTTTTGGTTTAATTCGAAATGCACCGCTGTTATGTTTTTCGAGACGATCGCGAGTCCTTTGACCGATTTGAATTGTCATTGGAGTTTTGTTTGATGATTCCATTCGACTTGCCGTGTTTACTGTGTCACCGAAAAGACAATAGCGAGGAGTTCGAACACCTACAACACCCCCAACAACTGGACCAGAAAATATTCCAATTTTTACTTGAACCTTTTTAACATTCTCTAGATTTGGATATTCAAAGTTTTTAACAGCTTGAATCATTTCAAGACAACAATCTGCAATCATCTCTGCGTCTCCATCATCTCGATATGGACAACCAGCAGAAATCATATATGCTTCACCAATTGTTTCAATCTTATAAACACCGTGTAAATCAACTATTTCATCAAGAATCGAATATAACCTGAAATTAATTGTGAAAAAAATATTTGAAAAAAAAGTACAAAAACTTACGTGTTCAATAAATTAACAACATCAAATGCTTCAATTGATAATGAAATTTTCGCAAAATCACAAACTCGAATAAACCCAATTGATACACATTCAAAAGCCTCACAATGTTCAACATTTCCACTTCTCATCATTTGTTTAGCAACTTCAAATGGCATCATTTGTGATAAAAGTTTTCTAGTCTTCCTTTTTGCTTCGGATATTTCCTTGGTCATTTCGGTTAAAACTTGACTTCTTCGTTTTTCATTTTCCAACATTTGTTTTAGAGTATCACTTTTCTGAATTGTTGACATAATAATTTCTCGATTACAATCAGATTCACCAAAATCGTTTAAATATAAGCCCATCTTAAACATTGCATCCAATGTGTCAACGCTTAAAAAAGTTTAGGTAAAAAATTCAAGAACTTCAAATCGAAAAAAACTTACACACAAGTTGCTAGAAATAAGAAAGTGTCACAAGTTTTGAGATAAATAATTGGACCTCGAAGTATAACATAGGGTAAACTCTCATAATCATTATCTGTCACAGTTTTCTTCTCTAATGATACTTTATCTTCAGTCACATCATTAATCTTCACTAAAATATTCTCATTTTCAGATTTCTTTATAACTGGATGCAATGATTCAACTTGAAAAACACAATTCTGATGAACAATAATTCCTTCAGCTGTGAATTTAATACAAGGACGTTGTAAATCGAAAATATCAGTCATTAGAAGTCCTTGACTATTTGGCATAATATTATGAAGACCTTGTCCCATCATTATAATTTCCAACTTTTTGTTGAAACTTATATGAAATGGAAACATTCTCAAAAAGCTTCTTGTATCGACTGGCAAATATTCATTGAGATTTTTAACTCTTTCTCTCAATCTCACATCCAAGTTCAATCCAATGTTTTCAAAGTTTATTTTCATGACTACAAATTGGAATTTTCCCTTTTCTTTTTTCTTGAGCACCTGTAAACACTTTAATTTAAAAGCATTCTCAGAATTTCTAAAAATAACCTGTATTCCAATATTGAGATGATAAAAAACTCTTGCTAATTCGACTAATTGACCGATTACATATGACAAATATCCGGTCCGCCGACTACGGTAGTGTAAAATTAATCCGTCTTCCGATTCGGATTGACAATAAAACGATGGAGCACGTAGTTTTGGATAGCTGATCAAAAGTTAAAGATTTTTTTCAGATGACTTGAGATAGAAAGAGAGAGAGAGAGGGACTAATTATGAAAAAAACCTGAATCTGAAATATTCGTGGATGTTATCAAGTCCTTTGATGAAATCCGAAAATCGTCGGCCCATAACATTCATCAAATCACCATAGCCATTTCGAATCAGGAACTGGACAAAAAATCGACCTGGAAAGTGTTGTAGAATTTTTCTCTATTCAATGTTTAATGTTATGTTTATTTTCAGAAAATTTAAAAGTTTATCTCATTCAGCTTTCCTCGTCATAAAAATTCAGAAGCTCTGAAAGTTTCTGATCAACAATTTTTTTTTGAATTCTCAGAAATTTTTTTGAAATTCAATTTTTCTTTCTAAAAGAAAAAAATTGTTTCCAAAACTTGTAGATTAAAAAATTTTCAAAAAAAATTACTCAGTATCAGACTTTAATCTAACTCTAAAAGCTTTTTAAACCTTTTTTATTTTTAAAACAAATATGTTTTTTATTTCCACAAAATTCAGAATCCTCAATTTTTGGCAAAACCTCTCTGACAATTCTCCATCAATTTTTTGCAAATAATTTTTCTTATCATAAATGTTTTTCCAAAAATTGTGGATCAAAATCATTCCAAAAAATGTCACCAACCTGCCAATACTCCAATTTGTTCATAAGGTGTTCCAGTTATTTCATGAATTGCTTTGAACATTTGTGGAACAACGTGTTCTGAATATTGATCATGGGTAGAAATTGACTTTTCAGAAAGTAGTGTCATTTTTTGGACCTGGAACAATTTATGGAATCTTCTGGATATATACAATAGAATTACCTGATCAAGAACCTGGGTTCCCCAGTTCTCTTGGATCATAAAACGAACACCTTCAATAACCAATCCGTACATGTTTCTAGAATATTTTGAATGATAAATGAAATGAAAGTCTCCAAAGATCCGGCTCTAATGGATTGTACATCCGGTATAAATTTTGTGAGTGATTTCTGTTTTCACAATTTTGCACATCTCAAATCCTAGATATGTGTTTCCCCTTATTTTTTCTTCTCCTGTCTTTTTCTTCCTTGTACACATTCTCTGCGTCTCTCCAATTTCTTCCACTATTTCGTGTTCCCCGTTCGCTATTTTGTGCGTTGTAACGCCTTGGTTAGAGCGGTTAGACGACATGAGAAATGTGTATGTCATTGAACACAGCTGCCTAATGTGCCCCATTGGCGCAGTCGGTTAGCGCGTGGTACTTATAGTCTATAGGGTATGCCAAGGTCGCCAGTTCGAGCCTGGCATGGGGCAGATATTTTTCTTTTTATTGGAACTTTTTTTTCAGATATCTTCATATAGAAGTTTCGCTATGAGCTTCGCTATATTTGAATACACAATTGAGAAGATTTTGGTAAGACCAACAGTTCAAACTATGACCATCAGATTCAATGAATTCCGGTTTTATTATCAATAATTTATGCCCGATAAATGTTTGAGCTACTAAATATGAATTTTATCAGCAAAAAGCAAATGTCGACAAGAATCACGAGGAATTTACTGATAACTAAAAGTTCCTATAAAAAGCGAGGGCAAAATTCAGAGAGACTCGATTTCATTTTTTGCCCAAAAATGGTGAGTTTGATTAGAACTTTCATTTGACTTCAATAGAAGAATTGTTTTTTTTCAGAAGTCTGTCGCAATTCTTCTCGCCTCTTTGGCAGCTGTCTCAGCCTATTCCCTCGATGTCAATCATGCTCAATCAGTTCCAGTTGAAGCTCAACTTCTCGAAGGAGAAGAACTCGTGAAATATGTGAACAGCAAACAAAGTTTGTTCACCGCCAAACTTGGATCACATTATTATTCATGGCCAAATAAGATCAAGAAGCAATTGATGGGATCAAAGATGGTTGAAATTCCAGCTGAACATCGAGTATTCGAACAATCGCATCCAGAAATCAATGATGATACTATCCCAGATTCTTTCGATTCAAGAACTCAATGGCCAAATTGTCCATCAATCTCTAAAATTCGTGATCAATCAGCTTGTGGATCATGCTGGGCTGTTGCGCCGCTGAAACTATCTCTGATCGTATTTGTATTGCATCAAATGCTGCCACTCAAGTCTCAATCTCTGCTGATGATATTCTTTCATGCTGCGGATTCATCTGCGGAAATGGGTTAGTTATTGATTTGGAATTTAGAATCCTGAATTTACAAACACTAATTTCAGATGTCAAGGAGGATATCCAATCGAAGCCTGGCGTCACTGGGTTAAAAAAGGATACGTGACTGGTGGAAACTATACCGAAAAAACCGGATGCAAGCCATATCCATATCCACCATGTGAACATCATAATAATGCAACTCATTACAAACCATGTCCAGATGATCTTTACCCAACTGATAAATGTGCTCACACTTGCCAAGCTGGATATAGTTTGACTTATGCTCAAGATTTGCACTACGGAAAATCTGCATACGCAGTTTCGAAAAAGGTCACCGAAATTCAAAAAGAAATCATGACTCACGGACCAGTCGAAGTTGCTTTCGAAGTTTACGCCGATTTTGAAACATACAGCGGTGGAGTTTATACTCACACAGCTGGAGCTGATTTGGGAGGACATGCTGTGAAAATGATTGGGTGGGGAGTTGATAATGGAACACCATATTGGCTTTGTGTTAATTCGTGGAATGCTGATTGGGGAGAGAATGGATATTTCCGTATTTTGAGAGGTGTTAATGAATGTGGAATTGAAGGAGGAGTTGTTGGAGGAATTCCAAAATAAATTGTATTTATCTATGTATTTTATTTTTGTAAATAAAATGTATTCATTCTTAATATTTTTTTTTATAAGGGAACCTTTTTTTGGAATCAAAATCTGGAAATTTTGAAATAGACTTAAGTCCAAGTTTATCTGATATTTCTCAAACTCACAAAACATTTCAAAACAATCATTTTCTACCGTAAACATTCATCAACTTACTAACAATAAGTGATTCCGAAAAAAGGTTCCCTTGACAAAGAAAAACTCATTGAACCGTGTAAAATCTGACAAAACAAAATAAAGTGATTATGTAGAAAATGAAAAGTGATAAGGAGAAAATTGAATATGCGATTAACATGTATTGCATCATTAAGACAAAATCCTGAGGTAGACTTGATAAATCCTGAAACTAACAAGTTCTCATGATTTCAACAAAATATTTGACTTACAGTAACTCCTAGTGGCCACCTCGCCGTTGAAAACTGCAAAATTTTGGACATTTTTTGATCCATTCCTTTCACCATTGAATTTCGATCCATAATTTGACTTATTTCAACACTTTCAATCGCATTTGTCATAAAAATTGAATATTTTGGGAACACGAAATTTGGCACAATAATAATTAGAAGAAGAATTGATACAAATTTAGTGAAAGTTTTCGATGGATTTAAAACTGAAGTAAGACATGTGAAACCAATTATAAGAGAGAAAAGTGGAAATATTATTTGAGCAAGCTGAAAATAAATCAAAAAGTTGTTTCTGAAAGTGTATTTAAAATAAAACAATTACCATCTCCATTTTAGTGGCACTAAGTTGAACATAATTCCAAAGAAGAACAATTTTGGAAACATCAGTTACAAGAAGTATTCCAGCAATGAAAATCTGCGCATAACTCAAAACTCGAATATAATAAATTGAAGAATCATAAATATCCAACTTTTTTCCATAATCTCTCGCATAACTACTTTTTCCCAAATAATTTTGGATAATAATCCGAAAAATATGGGGGATCTTCTTCAATATATGGTCGATTTATATAGTAGGGATTTCTGGAAACAATCAAAGAATGAATGTAGGTGAAAGTTGTTAACCTCAAAAATTTTTATGATAGTTTTCGGATGACTGATTTACGAGATTTCCATGTTCGAGATTTTTTTTTTTGAATAAAATAGGATTACCTGTATGTATAAGCAGGTGTTGAATAATATATTTGTCGATTTGGATAATAACCAGTTGGGTGATGGTAATCTTCATCCATAAGTGCTCATTAACTGAAATAATTTTAAAAAAATGTTGTGTAGAATAAATAAGTTTTAAAAAAGTTTGTCTGACAAAAATGAACATTTAGTTTCACTTTTAGTTTTCAACAAGACAAGACTATAATAATCCTACTAGCAAAACCTGTATAAAGCAAACTACGATTGACTTTTATATTCATACTTGAGTCAAGGATAAGAAGTAGCGGAACAAATATTTTCCTATTGTCAGAAAAACAACCTTGAAAACAATTTTAAAAACAGTTTTCACACAAACACATCACAAAAAATATTATAATCCGAGTGAGAAAATTTGTAAATACTAACAACATATGTGGAAAAGGGTAATAAGGTAGGCAGGTCTCTTGGATCTTCGCCTTCTTCTTCCAAATAACTTTTTTAGTCGTCAGGGTCGTTTGTTGACATGCTGCTGCGCGCGCGAGAAACGCCTATTATAATTCAGAATTTTGGGGCGGAGAGGTCACTTTCACGAGATGGAGAAGAAGTATCAACTACATAATTCAAGATAATTCAAAAATAAATAAATTACAAGAAAAAGAAAAAATTAGCTTCCCATGCCGGGAATCGAACCCGGGCCGCGTGGGTGAAAACCACGAATCCTAACCACTAGACCACATGGGAGGACGAAATTACCTGAACAAAATTCCAAGATAACCAAAATGTGTCAAAACGAAGTATCTAGATAGTGTGAATTGGTGTCAAGTATCTATTTGTTGTTGTAACTCTAGGAGGTTCGGGTTTTTGTGTACTTTGAAGAGCGGGAAAAAGAGAACGGTCAGTCCAAACAACGGGTTCACAAAACATACAATTAAACTAGAAGAAGAAAAAAAAGAAAGGCGAAAAACATTTCGAGATTTGCAATGAGACGTCTTTTTGACCTGTTTTTTTCAGATACGGTGAGGTTTTTCTTGAAGCGTATGATTTTTACATTAGGAAGCAGACATGCAAAAGAAAGGAAAAAGCAATTAGAAAGGCAGTCCGGAAAGTACTTTTTTGTAAGACAAATTAAAAGACACGAAAAATCTGAATAGTTACAAGAACGAACAATTTGTTGGGAAAGTTCAAAAGATATCTGAATTGTAATTGTCGAGAAATATTTGAACTGAAAGATGTTCCACAAATATTTTCAGGGGAACTTTCGGAGAAAAAAAAAATCAATTTGTGGCAATTATGAATTCAAGTTTAATGGAATTCTTTGATCTACAGTAATCTTAAAATAATTAATTATTGTAATTAGTTGTGCTCTATCGCAATACCATTTTCTTTTTTTTTCATTGTCAAAACATTTTTAAAAGTTCCTGCTAAGTTCCTCTCACAATAGTTCCAAAAATGCAAATTCCAACATTTTTTTCCATTTTCCAATCGTTCAATGCGATCAGAAACAACAACCAATCCACACTTTGATTGTGAGTTCATTCTTTTCTTTTTTTTTGTCAATTCGTTGCCATTCCGTGGTTTCTACTCTGTTCCATTTGTTTAGTGTCTCTTATCAATTCTGATATGTGCCAATTTTTTTGCGAAATATTTTTTGAGCATGAAAAAACTATTGGGAAATATATTTTTTATTGGTTTGACGAAATTTGAACTTTTTTGATCATGATGAAATTCAACATTTATCAATAAAACTTTTCCGGCTGAATATAAAGTTCTCACTGTGGAAGAGGGAGAAAACTGATAAAAAATTAATTTACTATTTTAATTTGCTAATCCCCAAACTTTTCAATTGTTTCGTGGTAGATCGAAAAAAAAACTTTTGATCCGTTGAATTTTATATTTTTTCTCGCACTCACAAAATATAATCAATGTTTTCACAGTATATTTCCAAGTTTTTCTTTTTTTTTGCATTTTCCCTATTCCCATGAAAATTCAAAATCGGGTCTAAAAAATATAGAACAAAAGCTGGTAGTAAAACACACACCAGATGTCAAATAAAAATTTTGGGACACATTTTCGGATTCTGAATTGAAACAAATTTTTTCATTAAAAAAATGGTAACTTGAAATTCTTTTCTCTGAGAAATCAGAGATCTTATGAATTATTTACCGGATGTCGTATAACCTAAAACGGAAATCTCTAGTAACTTGTTTACATAAAGTTCTAAAGATCAGAAAACTTTCCAAAAAATCTCGAGTCCAAAATGTTAGTCTTTTATTTTTCCTGCCATTCCACTATTTGTTTTTTGGTATTTGTGATTTTTTGATAAGTTTAGTTTGCTCTTTCCCTTCTCCTCGATATATAAAAATAATATTGTCTTCTTCTTTCTTTGCCAATGATCGCCCAAACTTTTTCCGTGAAAAATGTCTAGTCTTGTATCTAAAATAAAACATATCGCTGATACAAGAAGGTGGTAAATTTTTTTTGTCTTTTTTTCTGCAGGCGATAAAATTCGGCACAATCAGAAGAAATTGATAAAATGAAATAATTATGATGCCATTTCATTCCATTCCGATTTTTCTTTGAGTTCACGTTGATCTTTAATTTAATAAAATTTTTTTCAGAAGAAAAATGGGGTTGTTTAAGAAGAAAGAAGAGAAAAACACGGATGAATCTGAAGAAAAAGAACCCGAAGATCCACCACCGCCATCAATATCGATATTCCAACTTTTTCGATACACAGATCTTAAAGATCGAATTATGCTATTAATTGGATTGTGTGTTTCATGTGCAACTGGTCTTGGATTTCCATTGATGTCTGTTGTAATGGGAAATGTCTCTCAAAACTTTATCACAATTGGTCTAGTTCTTACTAATCCAAATTCTACAGGTTAGTTATTATTTTCATTTTTTTTTAATTTTTAAAAAACTTGAACCCTAATTACCAAAAATATTGTAGCCGCTGAAATCGAAGCTGCAAAACAACAATTCTCTCATGATGTAATTCAAAATTGTCTGAATTACGTGTACATCGGGATTGGAATATTTTTCTCTGGCCTCATTCAATGCACATTTTTCCTAATTATTTGTGAAAATCTTGTGCATCGACTTCGAAAACAATTTTTCCGTTCTGTTATGCGACATGAAATTGGATGGTATGATAAAAACACGTCAGGAACTTTGGCCACCAAACTTTTCGAGTGAGTAAATAAAAAATCTTTGTGTTTTGATTTTCTTTTCATATTGAATTTATAGTAACTTGGAGAGAGTAAAAGAAGGAACTGGTGATAAAGTTGGTTTGGGTTTCCAATTGTTGGCACAATTTATTGGTGGATTTGTGATTGCTTTTACATATGATTGGCTTCTAACTCTTATTATGATGTCGCTTTCTCCATTTATGATGATTTGTGGTGGATTTATTGCAAAACTTCTGGCAACTTCTGCAACTCGTGAAGCTAAACTTTATTCGATTGCTGGTGGAATTGCTGAAGAAGTTTTGACTTCAATTCGAACTGTGATAGCTTTTAATGGACAAGAATATGAATGTAAAAGATATGAAGACGCTTTAGAAAAAGGAAAACAAACTGGTGTCAAAAAATCATTTTTCATTGGCGCTGGACTTGCAATGTTTTTCGTCATTATTTATTCTTCATATTGCCTCGCTTTCTGGGTTGGAACTGAATTTGTTTATAATGGAAGACTTCAAGGTGGAACTGTTTTCACTGTATTTTTCTCTGTTATGATGGGTTCGATGGCACTCGGACAAGCTGGACAACAATTTGCAACAATTGGAACTGCAATGGGTGCAGCTGCTGCACTTTATGAAGTTATTGATAGAACTCCAGAAATCGATGCGTATTCTGGAGGAGGGTCAAAGACCATCGAAAGTTCAAGGAAAAATTAGTGTGAAAAATGTGAAGTTCACTTATCCAACTAGACCAGATATTCAAATTCTCAAAGGTGTTTCAATCGATGCAGATCCAGGAAAAACTGTAGCATTAGTTGGATCAAGTGGGTGTGGTAAAAGTACAATTATCCAACTTCTCCAAAGATTCTATAATCCGGAAAGTGGAAGTATTTCTATTGACGGAATTCCGATTGATGAATTGAATATTACTTATTTAAGACAACTTGTTGGAGTAGTTTCGCAAGAGCCAAATCTATTCAATACTACAATTGAACAAAATATCAGATATGGTAGAGAAGATGTGACTGATGATCAAATCGATGATGCGTTAAGAAAGGCTAATGCTTATGAATTCGTAAAAAGTTTCCCAGATGGATTAAATACTTTGGTAGGAGATCGAGGTGTCCAAATGTCTGGAGGACAAAAACAACGTATCGCAATCGCTCGTGCTTTGGTTAGAAATCCTAAAATTCTTCTTCTTGATGAAGCAACAAGTGCTCTCGATGCTGAATCTGAACATGTTGTTCAAACTGCACTTGAAAATGTGAGTATTTAATTAGATTATCAAAATAATTTAGTTATTTTTTTAGGCATCAAAGGGTCGTACCACAATTGTTATTGCTCACCGTCTTTCAACTATTCGAAATGCTGATAAAATTATTGTTATGAAACTTGGAGAAGTTAAAGAAGTTGGAACTCATGACGAACTTCTTGCTGCTAAAGGATTATACCATGAACTTGTTAATGCACAAGTTTTCGCCGATGTCGAATCGAATCAAGAAACTGATGAATTTGTTGAGAAAAAGCGAAGAATGTCGAAACAAATTTCAGTTGTCAAAAAAGAGAAAGAATCTACTGAAGTCAAACAAACTGGTCAACCAGATCCAAAACAAACTGAAAATGATATTAAGAGATTGAAAAAAGAACTTGAACAAGAAGGAGCAGTTCGTGCAAATCTTTTCAAAATTCTTCGATATTCTAGACCTGAATGGAGTTTCATTGCCTTGGCGTTGGTTTGTGCTTTGATTCAAGGAGCTGTCACACCTGCTTTCTCTTTATTCTTCTCTCAAATTATTGATGTTTTCTCAAATCCTGATCAAAATCAAATGAGATCTGATGGGCATTTTTGGGCATTGATGTTTTTGGTATTGGCTGGAGTTCAAGGAACAACAATGTTAGGACAATGTTTCTTTTTTGGAGTTGCTTCAGAAAGATTGACAATGAGAGTTCGATCAAAAGTTTATCGAAATGTTTTGAGACAAGATGCCACGTATTTTGATATGCCAAAACATTCTCCAGGAAGAATCACAACTCGTTTAGCAACAGATGCACCAAATGTTCGATCAGCTATTGATTATAGACTTGGAAGTGTTTTCAATGCAATGGTATCAGTTATTGCTGGTTTAGCTATCGCATTTTATTATGGATGGCAAATGGCTTTAGTGACTATGGCTATTTTCCCATTAGTTGCTGTTGGACAAGCAATTGAAATCAAGTTTCATACTGGAAAAGCTACAAATGATGCAAAAGAAATGGAAAACAGTGGAAAAGTTGCGATGGAAGCAATTGAAAATATTCGAACTGTTCAAGCTTTGACACTCCAACAAAATCTTTGGCAACAATTTGCTGATCATTTAGAAAAACCACATCGTTCAAATCTTGGAAAATCGATAATTCGTGGAATTCTTTATGGTTTTGCTCAATCAATTATCTATTTTATTTATGCTGCCGCATTTAGATTTGGTCTTTATTTGATGTTTGCACCAAATGTTATGATGGAACCAATCAAAGTTCTTCGAGTATTGTTTGCAATTTCTTTCTCGTTTTCAACTGTCGGATTTGCTGCATCATATTTCCCTGAATATATCAAAGCCACATTCGCAGCTGGTTTAATTTTCAATATGCTTGAAGAAGAGCCCAGAATCGATGGAATGACAGAAAATGGCGAAAAACCTAGAATCACTGGAGATGTCAAATTGAACAAGGTGTACTTCAGATATCCTGAACGTCCAGCTGTTCCAATTCTTCAAGGACTAGATGTTGATGTTAAACCAGGTCAAACATTAGCTCTCGTAGGACCCAGTGGATGTGGAAAGTCTACAGTTATATCACTTCTTGAAAGATTGTATGATCCACTTGAAGGGTTTTTGAGTATTGATAATAATGATTTGCGTAAAATGAATCCAAAACATCTTCGAAAACATATTGCACTCGTATCTCAAGAACCAATCCTTTTTGATACTTCAATTCGAGATAACATTGTTTACGGTTTGGATGCTTCTGAATACACTGCAGAAGATATTCGCAAGGCTGCAATTTCTGCAAACATTGACTCATTCATCACAAATCTACCCGATGTGAGTTTTGATAATGTTCAGCTTATTAGTTGATGTGTAAAAATTTAAATTTTTACAGGGATATGAAACAAGAGTAGGAGAAAAAGGAACACAACTTTCGGGAGGACAAAAACAACGTATTGCAATTGCTCGTGCTCTTATCAGAAATCCAAAAATTCTTTTACTCGATGAAGCAACAAGTGCTTTAGATACTGAAAATGAGAAACATGTTCAAATTGCTTTGGATGAAGCTGCCAAAAATCGTACTTGTATTGTCGTTGCTCATAGATTATCAACAATTGTGAATTCGGATTGTATTATGGTTGTGAAACAAGGAAAAGTTATTGAAAAAGGAACTCATGCGGAATTGATTGCATTACGTGGCGCCTATTATGACCTCACTAAAAAACAATCAATTCATACAGCTGTTGAAGCCGACGTCGATTCTGAGAAATTCTAGAAAATTTTTGATCTCAGTTTTTTATTTCAACTACTTGTTTAAATAAATTGGTACATAAATATAACAGATTAGATTAATAGAGAATATTGCTTGGACGATGAACACGGATAACATATGGGTTTTGGAGATTATTTAAGTTTTGAGGATAATTAGATTGAGGTGGAACTTTCAAAAGTTTGATGAGTTTTTGAATGATAAACTCATCAAACATCGCTTTGACAGCTTTTTTGTAGTCACGAACTAAATATAGAACAACCATTGGGTCAAGAATTGGATAAAGGACAACAAGGCAGAGAAGAATGAAATCAATCTTGGAAAGATTCCATTCGAAAAAGGGACTTATGAAAAGTGTGATCAATGGGACATAGAGAAGAAATGTGGGAATTAGAGTTTGGAAAACGAGTGCTCGAAAAAGTTGACGTTGCATTTCAGTTGTCCGTTTGCTAGATGTCCTTTTTCCCCGACATTTCCTTGTAAGTCCTCCAACCGCAAAAGACTACAATCACACCAGAAATAACCTGTAATTACACATGTTCTTGCTGAAGTTTGGTCGGAAATGTTGTTTACTTACCACAATTTTCAGCAGAATTAGTGCATATGAAATCGATTTCCAACAATGATTCTCTCTACCGGTTGTCATATTTTTGATGGTGTATTTGACACCAACAAATACAGTAATATCAAGATTCTCATTTGTATTGATATTATCACTGAAATATGTTAAATTGGTTTGTGGAGGAAAACTTGTGAACTAACATGTCGAAGGAACAACTCGAATCACCCAAGCCAAGAAACAAAGAGGCAAAGTACCATTCGAGACCAATTAGAACAAAAACTGAAATCCAAATACCAAGGTAAGGCTTATCGAAAGCACTGAGTCGTTGATTGTGGCAAACAGCAAAATATCGATAGATAAAATGAATTGCGAGAAGGGAAATTATCATTCCAGAGAATGTGAAATTCAGAACTGAAACAAATTTATTTTAGAATTAAACTTAACAAGATTTTTTGAGATTTCTTACTATTCAAATGTCGAGCAATGGATATCGGAAGATGTAAAGGATTCGTGCTGAATAACAAAAATGTGCCATCTTCCACAAAGATTGTCTGAAAATAAATGTTGTGCCCTAAAATCTGAAGCAGCTACAGTAATCTTACCGGTTGGTTGAGTACATCGACAGTTGAGAAAATAAGTTCTAGCAATGAAAAAGTCTGCATTAGATATTTGTACGTTCCCAATTGTTTTGTTGTCTTTTTCTTGATCATGTATAAGAGAAAAGAGTTGATGAGGAAGGAAAAACAGAATCCAATATAGACAATAACATTTTGAGATGTAATCATTTTGATGGTAGATTGAAGAAAAAAAGAGACAAAAACCAAATAAATGTAAATAAGTAACCAAATAAATATATATGTAAGAAAGTAAAAAAGTGATGTGAGCTGCCGGTTGAAACTTGTGATTTGCCCGGGTAGCACTCAAATTATGAGGTTGGATAATTACATGTGCGCTGTGCTGAGTGTTGAGAAAAAAAATCTGTGTATATGTACAATTCGAAGAACTTGTGATTGCTCGAAATATATAATCACATATTAAGCTGAGTTTCTGTGTCTCTAACTTTCCCGATTGGACAGCAGATGTTAACATGTTGCGAGGGGGATAAAAAGGCCCGGGGCCACTTTTCGCGTCTTTTTATTGATCATATCATTCAGATCCCAACAAGCTTATAAAGCTTTGCCATAAGTTGAATTGATTTTGGGCACCCCGGTTTGGGAGTTTAAACGCGTTTATGAACTCATTGAAATTCAAACAAAATTTTATCGAGCTCTCATTTGAACAAATAATCTATGGATAAATATTAACAAGAAGACAAATTTTGATTTTCGTGTATATAATCAACAAAAATTAAAATTTTGATCAATTTTTGTGCATACACGAAAATCAAAATTTCAAATTTGTTGAATCTATACACAAAAAACAAAATTTCAATTTTTGTTGACTGTTCCCTTTTTCCCAAAACAACTAACTTCTGATTTCGCCTCGTCAAATTTCCTCGAAACACACATTTTTGATTCCATAGCCAATCGATAATCGAAAAACCGTCGATTTGCAATCCCTTTCCTATCATTTTCGAGTCCAAAATCAAACATCACCAAAGTTCTGTAATAATTTCTCAACCTAACCAAAAATGTTTTCAATCAATTTTCAAATCGTTACCAACCTGAACTTGCAGCTTTTCCTTTATAAAAACGCATTTTTCGGTGCAATTGATTGTTTGATGCTGAAAAAACAATATCATAAACTTTGGAAAAAAAGACAATTCCGCAGTGCAGAAAACAGTTCTTTTTTGCCTGTGAAAAAACAGAGAAAAAAACCAAAAATAAAATGATGACAACTTGCCTGCTAAACAATATGCAAGCGGAGTGTCGTTGCGTTGCCTGGTGGAATTTTGTTTGAATATTTTGAGACTTTGTAGAATTACTAGGGGCTGTTAGCCCCCAGGCGTAACAGTCCTCTCATTTATTTCAGTTTTTGTGACTATTGTCAATTTTCTGTGCAAAATTCACTTACAATCAAATTCATTAAAAATTTCAAGTTTTTTGATCGAAAAATGACTCGTGGCTAATTTTGCCATGGATGAAATCGATCAATTTTTCGAAAATAAAACATTACGCCTGGGGGCTAACAGCCCCTAGTAATTCTACAAAGTCTCAAAATATTCAAACAAAATTCCATCAGGCAACGCAACGACACTCCGCTTGCACATTGTTTAGCAGGCAAGTTTTCATTTTTTTTATTTTTTGTTTTTTTCTCTGCTTTTTCGCACGCAAAAAAGAACTGTTTTCTGCACTGCGGACTTCTAAATTGTCTTTTTTTCCAAAGTTTATGCTATTGTTTTTTCAGCATCCAACAAACAATTGCATCGAAAAATGCGTTTTTATAAAGGAAAAGCTGCAAGTTCAGGTTGGTGACGATTTGAAAATTGATTGAAAACACTGGTTAGCTTGAGAAATTATTACAGAAGTTTGGTGATGTTCGATTTTGGACTCGAAAATAATAGGAAAGGGATTGCAAATCGACGGTTTTTCGATTATCGATTGGTTATGGAATCAAAAATGCGTGTTTCGAGGAAATTTGAGGCGAAATCAGAGGTTAGTTGTTTTGGGAAGAAGGGATTTTGAAAAGGCCGGGCTTTTTGGGGATAAAAAATATTTGGGCAAGGAATTTTGAGAAAGTAAGCAAATACATATAAAATTGACTCGAGAACAATATAGTAATGAAATACAGTTTTTCTTATTCGTAAAATCTTGGTCACGTTTGAAAAATATTATTTGCATATTTTATGTCATCTCTAAAAAAAATTCAAAATTGAAAAAGATTCGTCTTTCAAAATGTTTTAATTACGAACACAAATTTCTGATTTTCTACATATCTTCAATTTGTTCGCTCACCGTTCTAAAAGCAAATTTCAATTTTTTGACTCGTCCATTTTCTTCTTCAATTGTCGAACTAATTATTGCATCATGTTTTCGATCAATTGCACATTTTCCTGAGATTTTACCATTTGCCAAATTAAATGGAAGTGCTTCTGTATTGTTGTTTTCCGTATTCAAAACTTCTACTCGAAATGTTACACTCATACAAATATCGCCCTAGAAATTATATCATTTTTCAATTTTCGAAATTGTTTTTCAACTCTCACAATGTCATTTTCTAAAAGGCGTCGTCGAAATGTTTTTGAAGAACAGAAAAGTGGTTTTCTGGTTGATGACGAACTATTTGAAAAACTTTGGATGGAAGATACTGAAATACATAATATCTAGTTTTTATGAAAAAAAATACGTGGAAAATTTGAAGCGTGGTCATTTTCAATCCACGTTTTTCTAGTATCTATGTTTCATTTCGATTTTATTTTGTTCTCCAAATATCGAATTCATTTTTACGGAAAATTAGCAACAATGAACGGTCAAAAATTGTTTTCCTACATTTTTTCTCCAATGGTCTGATCGTTTTTCTGCCCATTTTTTATCAGCTCCTATTTCCCTATTTTCACCCCATTTTTGTTTGTTTTCTTTTTTATTTCTATTTCAATAAACATGGTTGAAGAATTGAAAATTGAGAATTTGAGTCTTGGTGAGTGTTTTGATAAAACTAACTGAATAATAATTATATTTCTCATAGATTCGCTGAAATATTTGAAATTCGAAAGAGTTGGAGCTGGAAATGATGTAGCTTTGATAACTTTGAACCGACCACAAGCACTGAATGCATTATGTAGAGAACTAATGGTTGAATTATCGGATTTGGTTTTGAAAATTGATTCGGACTCATCTTTCAAGGTTATAGTTTTAACTGGAAGTGAAAAAGCATTTGCAGCTGGAGCGGATATCAAACAAATGTCTGAATTAGAATTCACCGATCTTCTCACTGGATCATATTTCCAAAGTTGGGATACAATTTCAAAAATTCGTAAACCAATAATTGCTGCTGTCAATGGTTTTGCTCTTGGTGGCGGCACGGAACTTGCTTTGATGTGTGACATTGTTTATGCTGGAGAAAAGGCGATTTTTGGTCAACCAGAAGTTACGATTGGAACTATTCCTGGACTTGGTGGAACTCAAAGATGGCCTAGATTTGCGAACAAATCAGTTGCGATGGAAGTTTGTTTAACGGGTGATAAATTCAACGCAGTTGAAGCGAAAACTATTGGACTTGTTAGTAAAATCTTCCCAGTTGCTGAACTTGTTCAAGAAACTATCAAACTTGCTGACAGAATTGCGAAGAATTCTCCAATTATAGTGCAAACTGTCAAAAAATCAGTGAATCTTGCATATGAAACAACATTGGCTCAAGGTCTTCAAAGCGAGCAACATTTATTCCAACAAACTTTTGCAACTGTGAGTTTTTTTTTTAGTTTTTTTTACGGTAAAATGTTGAATTACAGAATGATCGAAAAGAAGGAATGAAATCTTTTGCTGAAAAACGGCAACCAAATTGGACATCTTCGTAAGATCATGTAAAAGCATAACAAATATTTTATTAGTGATAAATGAATTCATTCTACCGTAAAAATTATTCTCTTTGTTTCTCCTCATATATTCATTTTCAAAAATTGTTAACTCAAAATGGATGGCGCTGATATAAATCAAAGTGGTTCTTGCTCAGTCCCTGATGTTTCTGAAACTTCAAAGCTTATCAAAATGATAATTCAATTATCATATATTCTCCCATTAACTTATATTTATATCAAATTCCTGGTTACTGTATCAAGAAAAAACTCAATATATTCGGACACATTTTTCACTCTGTATATTGTCGATGGAGTTTCGGTAACTCGATTTTTTTTAAATTTTATTGTTCTTGTGAATCAATTTCAGAGCATTGGTTATATAATTGTTGAATTTTCAATTATCAGAATGATGAACTTTTTCACTTCGTATTGTGAATGGATTATAAGTATTTTTTGCGTACCAACTTATTTGTTGACACCTTATTTTTATTTATATTTGTTCTTCCAATTTATGAAAATTATTTCAACAGTTACACTTTGTGCGAATAGATTTACAAGTGTTTTTCGACCAGTTGCACATAATTATGTAAGTTTAACGTTCAACAATAGGAAACATTTTGAGAGTAATTATTTGTTTAGATTTGGAAGACGTATCTTCGTCATATAATAATAACTCAAATTATTGTATCAGCTCTTTTCTCAACTCCTACTTTAACCGGCCCAGCTTATGCTTCGATTTATCAAAATCAGCCATACATAAACTATGTTCATAACATTCCGTACTTTCGAACAACTGTTTTCCGATTGATAATTATGATTCCCTCATTGATTTTTATTATTGTATCGAATATCATAATAATCTCAAAACTCTCAAAAATTTCATCGAATATGAGAAAACTTGAAACTTCAATGGTCTCTTCAACAATTTTTATATCTTTTGGATTCATTCTTGTGTTGATGTTATCTGTTATCATTCTTGTCATATCAATTGATTTTGCAAATCAACATCCTGGGTTTTTCGAAGTTTTTGCGTTGTTCAACCAGATTGCGAATGATTTCTACATGATTAGTGGTCCTGTGGTTTTGTTGATTTTGGATGAAAATATTCGAAAATCAATTCTCCGATGTAGTTTGAAACCAAGAAGAGGTTCCATAACACAAGTTCATACAATCACTGGCTAATTATAATTTTCTGACTATACTCTTGTTGTTTACATCACAAGTCACAATTTGCATAGATGAATGAATGTTGTTATGATATAACCATTTTAAATAGAAAAAAAACAAATTTATTGGTATTATCTCAAAATTAGCAAATAAATTCCACAAAGAAAAACAGTAACACCAGTGACAGTCAGCCACAATCCGTCAGAGCTTAGAGCAAAGTCTAGAAGTGCAACACCAAACATCAAGGTAGTAATTAAATTTAACAAATTATTTTTAATAGCAACGAACGATGTTCCCGTCAACCAATGAACACAATAAATTTGAACCAAAATAAAAGTTGTTGAACTGATTAATAATAGAATCCAATATGAAAGAACTACGGGACCAAAGAATTTGTTACCTTGTTCAAACATTTCACGAAATTCAACAGTTAGTACAGTAAACGATTTACTTATTTTTGGAATAGACATCTTGCTGAGATGGATAATTTTGTGAGAAAAATATACTTATTTTCTATAACTCTTTTGTTACAATACTAAATTTCTAGTAAACATCATGATTTTTGCGATTGGTGTGAGAAAACTCCTGCTGAGCAAATGATGAAACTTGTAACTCATGTACTTCTTGTTTGGTGATTCTCTGAGCACTTGTTTAGTTCATCAAATCTCAATTTTTATAGATGGATGAGTTTTTAGTATGACAAAATTGAGTTCCCTTGAAAGACACATTTATTCGTTGATGTGAAAAAAAATTGTGAAAAACAGGTATTCAAAATTTGTATAAGTATATTTATCACAACCAATCGGCAATAAAGAACAAGTTCCACAGAACAACACAGAAACATAAAAAGGGACCAGTATATTCACCGAATGTTGTTGACAGGCACCAACTAATGTAGATAAATTCGAGGATTAACAATGAAGTTGGAACAAAGTTAGCATAAAATCTTCTGATTAAATCGAAAGATATTCCAAACATCCAGAGAGTTATTTGAATTTGTAAGAGAATTAAGGTTATTGATCTGGCTAATAATAGAAACCAATAAGAGAAATCAATTGAATGAAATAGATTTTCAAGATTATGTTTGGTGAAGTTCATTTTAGGTTTTCAAAAAAGATGATGCAAAATACACGAATTCAATTCGATAATTTTGGTGGGAGACATCGAATTTATAGAAATTGGAAACTGTATTTTCACGAAAACAATACTCATTTTTATGAAAAACAGATTTTTTATTGTTGTGAGAAAATATCACTTGCTTTAAAATAGCCCAGAAAAATAATCTGAAGAGTTTAGACATGTTTTTTTGGCGCAAGCTCCAGACTGCTCTTACAACTTGTTATATGGACTTGTTAATAAATTTGACACAAAAATTATTCCACGAAGATTTCAATTTTTCCTCACAATCAGTAGCATTTTTTTGAACATTATGTACAAACTAGAAAACATACCACATAAGCTAATATTGTTTATTCACACAAATTATTTTAATTGGTGAGAAAAATTTAAAAATCATTCTACCGAAAAAAAAAACTCTTGTTTATTTTTACATTTCCAAACTTCATTCATAAAAATGGAAACTATTCCTGTTAATCAAAATGAGACTTGTTCTATTCCCGGTGTTTCCGAAACTTCAAAAATAATCAAAATGTTTATTCAGTTATCTTATCTTATTCCAATCACTCTTATTAACATTAAGTTTTTGATTTGTCTGTCGAGAAAAAATACATTATATTCTGACACGTTTTTCAAACTTTATATTGTCGATGGAATTTCGGTAACTGAAATTTTTTCCATGTTTTCAACATAACGTTTTAGAGTATTGGCTTCATAGTTGTTGAATTTTCTATTCTTCGCTTGATGCTTTATTCCACTGCTTATTGTGAATGGATTATAAGAGTATTCAAAGTTCCGACGTATCTTTTATCGCCTTACATGTATTTTTACTTGGTTTTTCAATTTATGAAAATTATATCAACAGTTATACTTTGCGCAAACAGATTTACAAGCGTATTTCGTCCTATTTCGCATAAATATGTGAGTTGCAAATTTTTCTGGGAACTCGTAGATAATTTTAAAAAATTTTCAAGATATGGAAAACATATTTTTTTCGAATTATAACTACACAAATAATTGTCTCGTTGCTTTTTTCAACCCCAACTTTAACTGGACCAACTTATGCGTATTTTAGTCAAGATCTACCGCAATTGAACTATGTTCATACAATTCCATATTTTCGAACATCAACTTTTCGATTGCTAATTATGATTCCCTCGATTATTTTCATAATTGTATCAAATATCATAATTATTGCAAAACTAACAAAAACTTCGAAAAATACAAAAAAACTAGAGTTTTCCATGATTCTTTCAACAATGTTTTTATCCATTGGTTTTCTTCTTCTATTATTTTTATCATTTGTAAATATTCTAATACCAATAACTGGAATATCTGATTCTAATCCAGAATTACTGAAAAATATACTATTTTTGAATCATTTTACAAGTGATTTTTATATGATAAGCGGACCTGTTGTTTTAATGATTCTTGACAAAAATATCAGAAAATCAATAATGGAATGGAATTTCGATCGTCGGAAAGTTGTTCAAATTCAAATGTCTTCTGGATTGGTAGCCTAACAGTTATTGAATTGGTTTTTGAGGTGGAATGAAGATTTTTTGAAAAAAATATTCACTTCCGCTCTAGAGATTTAGAAAAAAACAATGATTTGTTATTGAAATTTTGCTTTAGTCAACTCTAAAACCATTGAACATTTATTAATTTCAGAAAAAAAAACAAAGACGCAATCAATTTGGGATACATAATTTCCAAAAAGTCCAAGAAAGAAACAAAATTAATTGTGCTTTGACGATTGCTTCAATCTGAAAACAAATACATCCAACAACCAGCAGAACAACGAGTAGAATCAATAACATCTTTTTTGGATTCGGTTGATTTCCCATAAAAAATAGGTTGATAAAAGTTCTCACCAATACTAGAACTATAATATTTTCCAGTTGAAGTGTGATGAATTCTTCAGAATTTGAAGTTGTCATTTTTTTTTGGAAAATAAAGACAGAAAATATGGCGATTTGAAGAACTCACTCTTAGTCGGACTGATTCTCGTGAGAAAAATATTCCGATCAATAATAACTTTTATAAAATGTATATGCATACATAAAAAACTTTTTTGATTTTGGTAAAGATGTTCGAGCTGTATGTAGTTTGATTGTTCAATAGGAGTAATGAAAATGTGCATGAAAATTCCGATTGTAAATAAGAAAAAAAACAATAGGTTCCAATAAATATTTATTCAATCAATAAACAGTTAATTATTCAATGTTCTTCTTAATTCAGTGAAAACCCACATAATGGATTTCATCAAGATTATAGAGGTGATCGTAATCTCAACTAATACAGCCAATATCACAAAAGGCAAATGTCCGGTTAAAACCAAAATGCATCCGAAAATGAACAAAGCGGACAGCTGGATAAGGTAGTGTTTCCCCTTCAAAAATACACTCATAGCAATAAAGAAGAAAAGTAGAACTAGGTTGAGTAGATTTTGAAGATTAATAATTCCATAAAAATTGCTCAAAAAATTCTGAACAACCATCTCTCACGATTCAGATTAGAGAGAATGAAACTATGGCGTATAGCAAATCCCACCCAATTATGAAGGACATTAAGACAGTGAGATTAATTTTTGTGAGAAAACAGAAACAATAACCTTCAGAAAATTTATATACAGAACAAAGAACTTTTTCAATTAATGTCAATTGATTCAATTACTTAATTAGATCTTCCGATAATATTGAGCAACATTAGGAAAATGTTCAAAATATCCAAGAAGATTTGCATGGCGGCAAAAATATAATCCTCTGGTGATAATTCATATTTATGTCCTCCCATCAACATTTGAATATCGATTGCCAAATAAAACATCATTAAAAGAGCAGCAAGACCGGAATAAACCGAATATAAAAATGCCCATTTGAATGCCAGAGTGAAGATTAGTGCGAAAAGACCAAATGTAAAAAGAACCATGCTCAACATAAACGCAACTCCGATTTTACTCGTCAAATCATATTTTGTTTTGATCGAGAAAATAATAACACTTGCACTACAAACTGTTGTGATCAAAAGAGTTATCAAAACTGATTGAACATTATAACAGGCAGTTACAAACATTGTCATAACTCCAGCTGCGATTGTCTAAAAAATTAGAACAATTTTGATTTTGAGATGAAAGAAAAATAAGAACTTACAAATACAGTAAGAAGAATGATATTTGTTGGAAAAGTTCTGCGAAGTCCAGAACAACATGATAAGGCAATCGAGACGACCAAAAATACAACGCTGAAAAGTTTACAAGTTAATGAATAACAATCTCGAAAGTGTCTTACATTGCAATTATATAAATCCAAAAATTTTGAAAAACCCATTGTCTAAAAGCCGGTGAGGCAATTGGAATCACACAAAGTCCAGCAACAAATGTGAACATCAAAGTGACCAACATGAAAACTTTTCGCACAAATCCAGCTCGAACACTTTGTTGACTGAATTGCAGACTGTATTTTCCATCAGGATTTTCGTCATAGCTTGCAGCTCCATAGCCTTGCTCCATATTTTTTGTCTAAAAAATGAAAATTTCACAAAAATGTGTTGAGCTCAAAAAGTGACTAATATTGATTTTCGAAGAAAAGTATGGGAGACCAAAAGAGAAAAAGAGCAAACAAAACAATTTTTGTTGAAAGAAAGAAAGATGAAATTTGAGAGCTTACTTATAGGTAACTCATACTTAAATACATAATGAAAATTAATTTTTTTTTTTTGTGAGACTAATAAGAAAATAAAAAAAAATGTACAGAAGTAAGTGAAGAGGAATAAAAGATGACGCATTGTCAGGTGAACTGATAAAAACAGTATATTTGTTTAGCATGTGTGTATGTACATTTATTTTTTGAACACGATTCACACATATCTGCTGACTCATTTTTTCGAAATCTATATATGTTTGGAGAGGATTGCGAAATAACACAATAGTTTTTCTCACACAAAAAATGTGATGAAAACCAAATGAGGAGATAAAAATAATACATACATAAAAATTCGAACATTCTGGTCGAGTCATTTTTTATCAGAAATATTTCACAAATGATAACGGTTATAATAATATACATATAAATTATCGATTGATTAATTCTTCAAGTTCTCCGATGTGAATTTTGAAATCATGTGTTCAACTGAAGAATTTTGTGGACAACATAGAAGTTCGAGAACAATGTGCTCTTGATTTTTGGAAACCTCACCATATCTGAAAACTTTTTAATTTCAAATTTTGATCCTTTCATTAGAAAATATTTACCTGACGACATTTATAATTGTGACTGCGTATAAATGATCTGACAGATGAATATTATTCAAAAATCTTGTGCAATTCTGTGCACAGTCATTTGCAAAATTTCGAAGTTTTGCGGGAAGTTTTTGAAAAGTTTCATCAAACTCTTTCCAAATTTGAACATCTGGCAGAACACGATTTTCCATTTCCTCAACAATCGATGCAGATCTTGTGAACTTTTTCTTCTTTTGTCCATTTTCAGCACTTTCTTCACCATTTTCTTCTTCTGGAATTGTAGGAGCTCCGGCTTCTTTTTCCTCACCCAAATCTTTTCCAGACGATGTTGGTTGATTTTCAATAACAGCTGGAAGAGTGCTTTGTTTTTTCAACACTTTCTTTTTGACAACAACAGTCTTCTTTTTCTCAGCTGGTGGTTTTTCTGGAGTCATATCAATAATCTCATTTATATGTAATATTCCACCTTCAACTTTCAATGCTTTGCAAGCAACCAACCAATGTGCTCGACAAGATGGTAATAATCCAAGATAAATTCGATCAGCTGCAAGATTCGGAGAAACTCTTCGACAATCACCGTGAATTACAAGAAGTCTATCATCGACATTGTTGATTTGTGCACTTCTAACTAAACTTTCCAATATTTCTTCATTCCAATCAATTGCAATAACTTGACGAGCTTCGCAAGCAACTAGAAATGTCAAACTGTAATATCCAAGACTGCAATATAAATCAATGATAGTTTGTCCTTGACAAGCCCATTTTGAAATTCTCTTCATCTCAGTTTTCTTCGAATTATTGAAAACACGAACAGTTGTATCATAGCAGAATCTGAAGGAAGATTTGGATTATAAAATGCATTGGAAGGAAAAGATAGTAACCTACCGTACTTCTCTTTCATCAACATAATCAACCCATCCATCTTTTCCGAAAAGTAGATCAACATGAGCAGTTCGCATCTCATCGATTTGACGTTTTCTAGCGATTCTGGCAACGTTTAATGATTTTGCCACGATTGGCCAAAGTTCACGACCTGAAATGTTAGATTGAGATTCGAGTATGGATGTTTACCAAGTTCTAGTGTTCTATGTTTTCAGAATTTGGAGTACCATTTTTTTCAGAATGTGCTGCGGAAATCCATACTAAAATAACATTTCTACATAGTTTCCCAGTTTTTCAAAAATCTTTATATATTTTTAAATTTTCTATAGAGTTATCAAAATAATTTGTGGGGTTTCAAATTTCTAGAAATTCTTTGAGAATCCTAGTTTTATATCTAGTGAGTATTTTTTCATTCTACTTAAAACTTTTTTCGCGCTTCCAAAGAATTAAAATTTTCGAAATGCTTTTCTTCAACAACAAATGTTTTCTCACGTGACCCTCTTTCTAACCACAATTCATCAATCATTTCAACAAAAAATGTAATTTTCTCACCAATAAATCTCCAATTAATATGAGTAAACGAATTTTGCGGAAATACAATCATATCTCCATGTTTTTCCCATTTCTTCGGCAAATCTCGTTGCATTTCATCATCCCACAAAGATTTTGAGATTGCCAATTTCTTAACTTCTTCTAGAAGTTGCCCAAAGTTTGAAGCTTTGGCCAACAGAGCATCGCTAGTTTTTCGAATTGGCGGGGATAAAATTTGTGGTGGTAAAGTTGTGGCCATCACTGGAAAATGAAAAATAGATCAACAATCAAAGAATTTATGAAGAAGAAGAACGTGTTGAGTTAGGTGTTTTTTTACGAAAAAAAAAATCATATTTTTCTAGTTTTTCTAACAGCTGCTCGACGAGAAAAACATAGAAAAGAGTGATTGTGAGAGGGTGGTACTTTTCAAGGTAAACATAAATGAGGATCAGAGTGTCAAGTAGTTAACAAAATGTCTCTTTTTTTCAACGAGAAGTTCTCCGAATAGATTTATCTCATATTCTTTCATACAAAAAAGGTAGAGACATCCGGTAAAATTTACAATACGAAACATAACACCACAACTCTCACATCAAATAAAAAGAGGAGCAACAGAAAAAAATTGAGAAAAATGTCTAAAAATACACATCATTCATTCATTGGCAAGCAAACACCCCGATCCAACCCATCACATATCTTATTTTCTCGATGTCTCTCAGATATCCGTACTCTCTCGCATTTTGGCCACTGACCGGAGCCGGGAGCCGCGATTTCGGTGAAGTAGTATGAGGATTTGCATATTTCTTGTGTTTGCCAATAAAAAAGAGAAATAAAAAATTGCATTGATTTTATTGGGCACCCGTAAAAAATATGGAACATATTTGAATTAAATAAATACAAAATGAAGAAAAATGGAAAATGTGAGGTCAACTCAAATGTTTTCGCGTCGAGATCCGCTATCCGAATCAACTGCTGTGTTCGAAATACTTCGTTGTTCTGCATCACCCGGATGATAGTCGATTTCTCGATCTTCGTTTTCTAATCCTCGATGTGCTCGGAGTTGTTTTTCTAGTTTCCATTGAGGTCGCATCAATAAATGGATCACACTGAAAAAATCAGACTTTTTTGTGTTATGAGATTCGAGTGTGTCAAAATTGAAAAGATTTTGGTGGAAGATGCTACAATTTAAAATCTGTGGTTTGGTCGGACAACCATTTTTCACCCGTTTCATTTTTATTTGTTTTTTATAATTTTTTCAATAAAGTTTGTGTAGATGAAATACCTTTTTTTTTCAAAGATTTCCAAACTTTTTCAATCCCTAATCCAACTCACATTTGTCCAAAAAACACAACCGTCTGAAAAATGGCAGCCACAAAAAACGAGAAACCAGCCCACCAATCAAGAGTTGCATTGAAAATTGAGTTGAAAATAATTGATGACAAGATTGGCGAAAATGACATGATTATAGTTACAGCCGTCAACAGTCTTGCAGTCTCTTCTTTTGCCACCATTCGAGGTAAAAATGAGCGATAGGCTGGCTGCATTCCACCCATCAAAACAGCAAACATGCACGCTGGAAATATTTTAAGACTATACATATCTGTGTTTTAAGTCGAAATCTTACTGTAGAAAATCTGATTCGTTGTGGTGGCGAATGCTGTGAGAAACGATGCTCCGGCTGACGCTGCCAATGCAAGAATAATCAACAAGGAATCTTTGCCAAGCCAATGGAAAAGTGTTAGAAGAAGTGGACATAAAACCATTCCAACTGATGTCAAAATCGTTCTCAATAATGAAAAATAGCTGAAAAGTTTATCATTCCACGCAAATGGCATACGTTTAACCAGAAGAAGTAGAAGTGCCGGATCTGAATTTACATTGTTTGATGTTTAATTTCTTGGCTCACAGATGTTCTGACTTACCAAAAGAGAGGAATTCGATAAAAACAAAGAAAACCGAAACACACAGACAAAGTCTAGTCCACCCAGGTCTTCTGGCAAGTAAAACTCCGAAAATCTGCCCGAAATAGTTCTGGAATTTTCCAATAATCGATTTTTTATGTGTCGAAATTTGTCCAGAAGTTTCATCAAGTTCCTCTTCAATATTATCCAATTGATCAAATTGATTGTATTGAAAATCTTCCCGTTTCGGGAAATGAGTTTCTCTCACGAAAAATATTGCGTAGATCAAAGCGATCAATGAAAAACCAACTTCTGGAAAATATAAATATGCGAATGGGAAAATAGAGGAAAATCTTACGAATAAATGCCACTTTGAAGTAACTTTCAGCATGTCTTTCAACTGAAGTTAAAGCTGGAACGCTCATTTGAGAGACAATAAAAGTTCCAGTTAACATTCCGAGAGATTGGATGAATGAAGCCAAACCAACACGAAATGGAACAGTTGAAGAACCCTGGAAAAAAATTTGGTTTAGCTTCAAACTTTGTATATAGGCACCGTAGAAGATTTTAAGATCTACATTTCGGAATCGCAGATGTTTAGTTTCTTATTTAAGTTCAAGATCAGGTGGAATTTATTTTCAGAAATTTTTTTTAATGAATACCTCAGAACATTATAAGAACATCCTATTTAATGAGAGCCAAATTCAAAATCCCTCACCGGTTTGAGTTTGTGTCTACAGTCATCCGTCACAATCGCAAGAGCCGTTGAAAATGTAGCAGCTCCTCCACCAAACAGCGCCATCAACAATTCACCACTGAATGACCAATAATAAATATTGATACTCTCATAAGTCAAAGTGGCTAGCAATTGAATAAGATTGGACAGAAAAAATCCGAGAAGAGAAAAAAGAAGTGGAGCTTTTCTTCCATTTCGATCTGACCAATTTCCAACAATTGGGCTTGTTATTAAAGTCGGCAAACATCCACAGATCTAAAAATATCTCACTCATTTCCTTTCAAATATTATTATTATTCAGAAAATTTCACCTGCAGCCATATTTTCATACTTGCAATATCTCTTTCCACCTCATCTTGCAAAGTGTTGTTGGATTTCGCAATTAGAGCACATGTGTATGTCACATTGTGTGAATATTTTTCCTGAAATACGCAAAATTTAAATGGACGCCGTAGAGTCACCTTGACAACTTGTGATGTTTGAGACCCCATATATACACTTTTGAACCTGATCTTTTATCGTGAAATATAAATATTTTTTTTATTACTTTTGAAGCGGAAATAAAAGTGCCAACCTGATTTTCGCTAGCAATTTCAACACATCTCGCCCAATATGTGAAAAGCGATGAATTCGTCGACATCAAACCAAAACAGCATGTTATCAAAAATAGAATTGGTTCCACATTTATGGCACAGCTGGAATTTCGATGATTTTTTATAAAGGAAAAAATAATAATTGTAAAACTTACCATCCTGAACTTCGATCTCTTAATCCATAAATCGTAGATCGCCTCCGGATATTCTGAAAAACGTTTCATCAAAAAAAATTCTGGAAAAAATTGCAGACTTCAACTTTCTCCTCAATCTCAAATTGTTGCATTTTTTGTTCATAAATAAGTTACCATGCCAACATTCTCATAAAAAAACCAAAACCTTTGATCTATTTTCAAAAACCCTTCGAGATAAATAAATAAATACAAAATGAGTCAGCGATTATATTAGTTAGACCAGTAGAAAAAACCTATTTGTTTAAAAAATTGCAAATAAAAAATTCGGCCGACGAACAAAAAATTCAGAGGCTCCGCCCACTAGAGTTTTGTTTGTGGGAAATAGAAATGGAGATGAAAGCAAGATTCTTAATCTTTTGAAATCCTATATTGATATTGACAAGAGATAATAGAACTCTACAAGGATTAAGAAGGGATATGATGTGACTGATAAATTTTTTCTAAAAAATGAGAGTTTCTTGATTATTTGATTTTCGAATTTCTCCCTCCCACGTGACACAAACTTTTTGTTTACTTGTAAATACTTTTTAAACATCAAAAATGTGTGATCTATTTTTGGAATCACTCACAGTCTTTGGCTAGACAATTTTGAGTAAAGATCTGACATTTCAAAAAAAGTTCAAACTCACTTCAAATCTTGTGTCATCAGTGACCACAGACATTGAAATATCTGATTGAGGAACTGTATGTTCTGAATCGTATCGACGTCGAACTGGATGAACTGCTGTTGTTGTATATCCATCGGCCATCTTTTATAGCAACTTTTTATTTGATGTCTATTGACACATCTGGAATAAATTATGGAGGAGGTACTGTAGAACTCGTAGAGGAAAACAGCTTCAGAATCCCAGATGTACCTAAATTTTCTTACTAGTAGATTTTTGAGACAGAGATTTCTCGCCGACTTTAAAAGTTACAAGATTTTTAATTTTTCAATTTGCATTATGCCTAAAAAAACTTCAAAAAATTGAAGATCTCCAAAATATATCGCTTGAAAAATAATATATAGCCTATGTATATCCAACTACAAAAAAAAGATTTTTGATATTTTATGAGATAAAAAATTGGAATTCAAAAATCTCAACAAAAAAATTTTGGATTATTTCAGAAATAAACGAACGGTTTTTTTTTTGAAATTTTGTTCAGACTCGAGGAATTCGGAATCTCAAAATCTCAGGAAAAAAAAAATTTCAGAAACTAAAAAAAAATGAGACAAAATTCAATGGAGTACAATTTCCAATTTTCTCTCTATGATTTCTCCGAAAAAAAAAACATTCAAAAGTCAAGATAACAAGTAGTAACTATACAGTTTCTTTCCTTGACCTCAAGTAAAAAAAATATGTTATCTCGGAAAAAAGAAAGCATGTTCAAAATCAACGAACATGTTATCAGGAGAGAACAAAAAAGTCTCCAGAAGTTCCAAAATTAGATAAAGAAATAAATCGATCACAAAAAATCGACTCAATAAATATTCATAAACAAATAAACAAAAAGGAAATTGGGAGGAGGAAAACACAAGTCTTCCTCTTCCTTTTTTCTTTATTTAGAAGTAATATATCGAGAGACTATTTGGAATCGCGGAGACGTAGACAATGGTCAAACCGCGTGTGACATCTAAATATAAAGAGACGCAGAGAAGTAGACAGACAAAATGTCGTCAACAACAGTACTTTTTGCATAATATTTAAGTATATTATTCAAAAAATAAAATCATAAAAAATGTTTCAACGGTTTGTCAAATAAGCAGTGATAAACTTTTTTGTTATCAAACCATTCGATTCGAAAAAATTTATTTATCATCAAAATCATCACAAATAGAGTTTTTTGGATTTGGGCCCGACTTTTAATAAATACCAAAAAAATGAATGAATAAAGCAGAGAAAAACACACGGAAACAGAATGAAACAAAAAAATAAATAAATGAAAAATACCAGAGAAAAACTAGAAGTCGATGTGAATTTGATAGTTAGTTGTGATAAGAGCTTCGGGTTTTCGAATTATGAGAACTCGAGAATCGCGATCATATGAGAATTCCAATGGTTGGACTGGATCCGAAACACGGGTGATCTGAGAAAATTATGAGGTTTTAAGGGGTGTGAGGTTTCAAATTTTTTTGAAAAACATGAAATTTTAAATTTTTCTTTTTTTTCATTCCATTCTCGAAATACCAAGTTTTTGAGCGAAAAATTACAAATTTTTGATATTGGAAATGATAATCGAGACTTATAAAAAAAATGAGTCACATTTATGAATTTAAATTTGAAAATGCACATTTTATAATTATTTTTTAACTTTTGAAATGCATCTCATGTCAGGTCACGTTTGAGAAAAAAATACAATACTTTTGAAATTTTTTTAAAAAATATTGTGAAAGTTTCTTACAATTGTTAAATTTAGAGTTTTCGATCGAAAAATGGTTGAATTTAAAAATTCAAAAGGCTTGGACTGAGAAATGTGTTTTTTTTTTTGATAAATAGAAATTTATTCTGAAGAAATTGATCCAGATTTTTCAAAGAAAACAATTCCCGAAACTCCCCAAAAATGCTCACTTCAACTTTTTTCGGTGATTCAGCAACTCCTCTCACAACAATTCTCTCAATCCAATTTTTCGCTTCCAATTTTCCACCAATATGTTCACCCAAAATCGTTGCCCGTTTACCCTCATTCTTGTAAACAAAACTAGCGCGAACATAGAGTTCCTTTTGATAATCATGCGTTTTTCCATCATCCAAATATACTTGTCCTTTCGCATTTCCATCTGAATTCAAAGCAACAAATAATGTGAGTGGATCATCTTTCATAAGTGGAGCAGCTCGACGAATTCTTTGCCATGTTGGAATTATACTTCCACCTCTTTGGAAAACTGGGATTTTATCGATTGGCGCATCAAAATATCCAGATTTCACTTCATTTCCAACAACCCAATCATACCATCTTTCTGAAGTTGGCAGATTTACTTGAACATTGTAGGTGTCTTTTTCAACAACAGCTCGAACAAGAAGATCAGATCCAACCATCCATTGTTTTTGCTCTTCAAGAATTGAATCATCATTTGGAAATTCGTAGAAAAGTGGACGCATTGGTGGAAGTCCATTTGATGTATGCTCCTGAAAATTTCAAGTTTTACGTACTTTTTTTTCTGAATTTCAACATACCTGGAACAAAGTATACCAAAATGGTAATAAAGCATATCTTGATCTCAAAGCTTCTCTAACAATATTTTTAGATTGCTCTGAAAGTAACCATGGTTCTCTTCGTTTTGTGTCAATATGTGCATGTCCTCTGAAGAATGGTTGATAGGCTCCAGCTTGATACCATCTTGTTAACAATTGCTCATCTGGATTTCCGAAAAATCCACCAACATCAGCACCAACAAATGGGATTCCAGCAATTGAGAGGGAAAGAACCATTGGGGCAGCGATTTCTAAATGTCCCCATTCAGCTGTATTATCACCAGTCCAGATAGCTGCTGTTCTTTGAGTTCCGATAAATCCAGATCGAGACAGAATGAATGGTCGATCTTGTCCATTTGTTCGAGCCAAAAGACCATCAAAAGTTGCTGAATGATACATCATTCCATACATATTGTGAACTTCACGATGTTCAATTCCACCATAATGAATCGCATCTTTATCCATGGTAATTTCTGGTCCTGAGAAAACTGATGGTTCATTCATATCATTCCATGTGAAAAGATCTTTTGTTGATCCAACATATCTTTCAAAAGTGAATTGATCTTTCCAATAACTTCGAGTTTCTGGATGCCAAAAATCTAAATATTCACTGGCTCCTGGCCAACAATGTCCTTCAAAATCAGTTGTTCCATCAGCTCTTTTCACAAAAAGACCTTTGTCTTTAGCATCTTTATATACATAATAACCATCATCTTTTTTAATATGTGGATCGATAATTGTCACCATTTTTCGGCCTTTAGCAGCAACTTTATCGAGCATTTCAATTGGATGAGCAAATTTATGTTGATCCCAAGTGAAATATTTCTTTCCATCAGTATGTTCAATATCTAACCAGATAACATCCATTGGCATATCGTGATCATCAAATCCTTGATTGACCTGAAATTAAAATTTTGATTGAATTATATATTACTAATGATATATTTCAAAAGCTAACCTGTTGAACATCTTGTTCATCATTATAATTCCATCTACATTGATGATATCCAATTGAAAATAAAGGTGGAAGTGGTGTGACTCCAGAGATTTTTGAATTTTGACGTTGAACATCACGAACTGATGGTCCGACGAACAAGAAAATATCAACAAGTCCACTTTCAGATATGAAATGTGCATCAAAATGTGGAACATTGTCTGATCCTCCAGTTACGGAATCGTAAACTTTTCCGAAAAAGACCACGAGAAGTCACAGAGGATTGTGTATCTACCCAAGTTTCAGCAGCGTTGAACCTGAAGAAAATTTTTACTGATTTGAGTACAATATTTTCAGAGACAAAATTAATTACCATAAAGCTCCAACAGATCGATTAGCTCTGTGAGCCAAAATATATGGAACAGCAACATAAAGAGCCATTGGATTATTGAGTTCGTATTCAAAAACATCCAAATTATACAATCTATATGGATCTGTGTTTCCAACAGTTGTTCGGAGAGCTAATGAATCAGCGTGTTCAGGAAGTCCGTAAGCGGTTTTGAAGTTCACGAAGGAGATATCAACCTAAAAGAATTGTTTATAAATATCGAGAAACCTTTTTATTTTTGAAGAACTCACTCCGACACTGCTTGAACCATATGGTTTGCTATCCTTGAAAGATTTGAAATGTTCCTCCCAAAATCCTTCTGGATATTCTTTTCCTTCTTCTTTCGTTCTGAACTCTTCGATTTTCAATTTTCCATCGCGATTCACTTGACTGACAAGTTCACCAAATTCATTGAAAACATTGACAACGAATGGTTTGAAACTGACAACAACTTTGATTTTTCCATCTCCAGCAATAATAGTAGATTCGGAACCCGAATTGTCAAATGATTTGAATGCGAGTGGTTCAGGAGTTTGTGCAAATGATGGAGTTGGGAATATATCGTTTTCTGATGGCTGCTGCTGTTTCATCAATTTGAACACGGATTGTTGAATCAGCCAATCCGGTGATTGTCAATTTCAAAGTGTTTTCCGAGTTTTGCAAATTGGCAGTATATTCGGCGCCGTGACTAGAAATTGTGTTGGAAAGCAATTCGTATCCCGTTTCTTTCACATTTCGATGTCTTTTGCAAAAACTTGATTGATCGCAAGTTTTGAAATCTTCTCTTTTCACCATTTCCACTGCCCCCGATAATAACAAAATAATCGCCAAACAGCTCCCAGCGGCCATTACTGAAAAAGGTCACTTTTTCAAATTCGAGAAAATAAGCGTGAAACACGATAATCAAAGCGAAAAAGTTAAGCGATCGCTAGCGAAAGAATTTTTTTGAAAAAAAAATAGAAAAATATTTTTTCGTAGTGATACCAAAACAAAAACATAATGTGCCTTCAAAATTTTCTACAAAAAATACGGTATTTTTAAAGGCACACAAAAATTTCGCAGAGAGGTCTTGTCACCTAAAAACGTTTTTCATTTTCAATTTTTTTTCTCGTCGAAAAAATATTTTTGACAACCAACAAAATCGCTTTGAAACTACGAATATTCATGTTTTTAGCTGACGTTGTATTATTATCTATCTATATTTGAACGAACGAAACGCTGTCCGGTGGAGCGAATTTGCATTGTTTGCCCAAACAACTCTAGTTGACATAGAACGAAGAGGTATGTGTTGTTTTTGGGGAAAAAACTATATGTTTAACTACTAAAATATAGGACAACAGAAAAATGAAATATTGTTGCAAATCTACAACAAAAACCATACTGTTCACCAAATATGAAATCATGAGAGAGAAAAAGATAAAAAAGTGTCTTCGTGTACTTTTGTGATGACAAACATCAAATGATTTCTTGCACACAAAAATAAAAAATTAAATGTTTCAATCAAGAAACAAAGGAAAAAATTTTCAAGATCATTGTTTCTAGATTCAAATTATTATGAGATGATTCTTGTCAGATGAAAAACACACGCTAAAAAACTTTTTTCAACAACAATTTCGATTCGAATGGATAATCAGAAAATGTGTGAAATTTTTCAAGAAAAAAAGTTGTTTTGACTTTTTCTGAATCGCAACTTCGTAAAAATATTTAATATGGTTTTTCTAGATATTTAAGTCACTCCATAATATATCATTCAATTTTAATTGTATTAATTCGCGTGTGGTTTTTGCACAACTTTCATTTTGTTACAGTGTGTTTTCCCCGAAATCATTTTTCATTTGTAGGTTTTCCTCTCATTTTTCTTTTAAACATACGCCGATTTTTTTCATATATAAAAAACCGAACGTATATACACATATAAATATATAGCACACAGACACTCATTCACTCGCTCGTTCGGCCCGATCAATTCCACTGCCCACCATTTTTCTGTCTGCGTCTCTTCAGCGCCGATGTACAGTACTCAACAGAACCTGCGAATCATCAACATGTGCTGCTATATAAAACGGGCCGATTTTCGTCATTTCTCCTCGTCGTAGTCCACTTTTTTTTGTTCGCTTGTTGTCTTTTTATCTCTAGCATATTCTCTATCTCTACTCTTATTACCCTGCTTCTCTGCGCTCTCTCTATCGCTTCAATTGTCGAGGATTGTTATCAATTGGGTTACTTCTTTGCGGGTTTTTGAATGGATGCCAATACTTCATCGCAGTTTGCGGTTCCAATGTTACCCACTTACGGTGGAGGAGGCGGAACAATTAATTGTTGGTTTTTCTTTAAAGATTGAGATGGGCAAAAAAACGCGAGAGAATGAAGAAAAAAAGAAAAGAACAATGTAAACCAACCGGAAGTTGATGGAAGATTTATAGGAAATTAGAAAAATGGCTTGAAGTGGGAAAAATAGATTTTTTCGTTTTTTGTTGTGCAGGTGTCACACATCTGCTGAACATTTTGGAATACAACATTTCATTTTTGTCTTGAAGCCAAATTTGTTTTATTTTCAAAAACATTTCAATTTTTTCAATGGAGTTAAAAATAGAAATTTACGAAATACAAATTTCCGAACTTGCGATCTCTCTAGAAAAATCTAAATCTAACTTTGATTTTGAAACAATAATTCTAAATTTCCGAAAAATTCTGTATTCATTTTTTTTATTTCTGGCTAATTAAAAATTAGTAAAATTCAAAATAATATATTTTCATCAGAAAAATCTTTTTAGAATTTTCTTCGGGAAAAAAATTCTCAAGTTTTTTAGAACAAACTTTTTAATTAAAGTTATTTTATTTGTAACTGAAACTTCCCTTGTGATACAACATAAGATATCATGATGGGTGGTCTAATCAATAAACCTCCAACAAAGTTTCTTCATCAACAATTTTTACAATGAAAACGAAACGTTTTTAGACTTTCCAAACCAACATAAACTTTTTTTCAGCGATTTCAAATCGAATAATAATGCCAATGGCCTCCACATCATCTTCTTCCTCTTCTTCTTCGGATAATTTTGCCGTTCCAAATGGATCAACTTCTTCTAACTCACAACAAGCCGGAGTTATTAGAAGACGTCGATTCAGCACTGCTAAAATTCAACCGGTATTTGTTTTCTAATCTAGAATTCTTCATAGAAGTATATTGATTGAAACTTGCAGACTCGGATCAAAAAAGTCATGCAATCTGACGAGGAAATCGGTCGAATGGTTCAATCAGTTCCTGTTAGTATTGGTAGAGCGATGGAACATTTTGCTGAAAAGTTTTTGCAAGCCTCAGCAGATGCGACACAGTTTACCAATTCGAAAACGTTGACACCTCAGCACATGTGAGTTTTTTGCATTACAGAAGTTTTTTTTTTAATTCAAAACTTTTTTTCTAGGAAACAAGCAATGCTTTGTAATCCGCACTTCGCGTTCCTTGACACCGTTCTCAAAGATATTCAAATTCCTCAAGGAATCGTCGAAGCTTCGACAGCTCGAACTGTGGTTTCTCAACAAAATTACCAAGATCAACAAAATAATGAGATGGCTAATGCGATTTTGGCAAATGCGCAAATGCAATTACACCAACAATATATGGATCCGTTGTTGATGAATGGAATTGGTGGAATCGAAGGAACACCGGCACTTGGATATCCAATTATTCAAGATGTTTTGACACCAACTACGCAATTGGTGAGAAACTTTATTTATGCATCTATTCATTTGCGAAAAAAACCGAAAAAAATGTATTTTTTTACAATTTTTTTCTATTCACCAAAATGCACGAAATAAATGTCAATCGTGACAAGACCCACACACATTTCAAGGAGAAAAATATGCGAGAAAAAAAAACAAGAAATGAAATTTACGAAAGCATGCATTTTTCACACTCGTTGCCTTGAAATGAGTGTGGGTCTCGTCACGATTGCATGTATTTCGCGACAATTTGTGATTTTGGTGAATAGAAAAATATTGTAAAAAAATACATTTTTTTCGTGTTTTTTTGCAAATGAATAGATGCATTATTGATTTTTGGCCAGAAAATATTTCAAAAAATCGAGATTTGAGAAAAGTAGAATGTGTTTTAAAAAAAAGTTTTCAAAAATATTTCGACAAAATTTGGAAACTTGAAAAATTCTGACTTCAGTATTTGGAAATTTTTAGTTCTTGATAAAGACATCAATTTTTTGTCTTTTTTTTTTGAGATTATTCTTTCTCTCAAATTAATTTCCAAAATATGATTTTCCAGGCCAACGATATGATGGGAATGTTGAAAACTGCTCAACAAAATTCGCAATTCATAATGCCGGCCAGAATCCAAAACGGTGTTAAACGAGCATCAATCGATTCAGCCGGTGATGAGGATAGGAAAAAACGAGGAAGACCAAAGAAAAAGAAATCTGAAAGGTTTATTAGCTCTCTTCAATTGTTTTCGATAACAAAATACCTCAATGTTTACTTTCAGATGCATCGATGATGATTTGTTCGAAGAAGCATCTCGAAATGTGGCAAAAGAAGATAAAGATCGCGAAATGATGCCACCTCCACAACTCCCCGGGTTTATCCCATAACAAAATTAGGCACCCCATTTTACATATTTTGTCCTTTGCTTTCTTTCTTTCTCTCTTTAATTTCAAAATGAGCAATCTCACTACACATACACAACAACTTTAATTGGTCTCGCAACGATCTATCAACTTTCATATTTTGACACGCCCAACTTTATTTTTTTATTTAGAAAAAAGGAATATTTTTTTGCTAGAACGGGTTTGAACCGTTTATAAATTTTATTTGTTTCTTTCAAAGATCATCCTCAATTATTTTGTTTGGATTCAAAGTCATGGTTTCGATTTCACGATTTGTCGCCTAAAAATTATCTGGATTTTTGAGAATTTTCATGAACAACAAAATTATTTTAGAAAAATATTCTGCCAGATTTTTATAGCCTGGCTCAAATGTCCTTGAACTTTTTTGGTTTGAAAATTTCAGAATAAAAATCCACTTACCCTTGAATATTCCTCGGGTGTCATTTTCCCTTTCACCGGATCAAAATCCTGCTCAAAAGTTCTCATCAATTTGCTCGCCGTCGAAACATAACCAGTCCATTGTTGATAAAAATAAAATGAGGAGACCTGGAATTAATTTTTAAGAATAAGTTGGCGGTCAAAAGCTCACATCACTTCCACGATCTCCCAAATTCTTTTTCATTGTGTTGAAAGCTGTCTCCTGAAAACTTTAGTTATTAAATTTTTTTAAATATTTTGTGGGGAAAAAAGAGATAAAAAACTTGCCAATTTTTCAGAGTTGGTCTCTTGAACATAGTGAATTGCACGAGTTTGATGATTTATTGGAATATTTCGAGATAAATGAATTAGAATAAAAAGTGTTGGAATCCAGAACATTGCCATTGTTATTATTATATGAGCATATTTCTAGAGAAAAAAGGAGTACAAGTGTCTCGAAAACAGAAATTTTTGAATGGAGAACTCACAATTTTGATTTTATCCGATTCCAGAGTTTCATCGTTTTTTTCGAATTCTTTCGCTTCTCTATTCAACAATGGTAGATAATCTCCATTATTCAAATACAAAACATTTTCAATTGAATTTGATTTTTATCACGAAAACAAGAAACACAAGCAGAATTATTTTCAACATTTTTTAAAATTTGAAATGAATCATTTCTCGATCAAAATCCCCATTTTAATTTTGGTCCACGTTTTTATTCTTATTTTTAATTTTCAAAAAAAAAAGTTTATTTTTCAGACAAAAAAATTTAAAAAAAACAGTCGTTTTTTTCTCTGCGCCTCTACACACAGAGCCACTATCCGCAGACCCGTTTGAATGTCGGTTAGTGTGTTCTTTGAAAATGGGGAGAGGAGGAAGTTGATTTGGTTTACACCCAGTTACTTAAGGTAATTTGGAGTTCTGACCATTTGTAAGAATGTGTCAACAACTTAAATTTTTGGATAGCAGCTTCACCGGGGAATCCGGAGAAGCGATAAGAAAATAGACATTCGAATGAACGATCGTTCAGAAGGAGTCCATGTTCAAAAATAACTATGTTGATGTTTGTTATACATTTGAGGAATTTAAATTTTATCAGCTTCAGCAATTTTCTGGAAAAACTAAAGTAATAATTATTTCAACTTTTCAGTTACCCCACAAAAAATCTCCGCATTCCTTGTTTCCTTGATTCTTCCAAAATTAGTGACGTTTTGCAAAATTATCAAAAATCATCACGTCAAACTACAAACCTTTCTCATATTTTTCACACATAAGTGCAATGACATTCTAAAGTCGTTAATCACCTTATCAGTTTTTTCAACACTCTGTTTTCTGGTCATTCAAATAATAAATGCACTCAAAAAAATAAAATCATTTATTTTTTGAGAACCTCTCTAGTGCTATCATGTTGAGCGGATTTGATCTTTTCCGTTGTGAAGGCCTTCATTTGAACAATCGAACAAGCTCCTTGCTCATTTACTTTAAGAAAAGCACCCAAGTTCTAAAATATATCATAATTTTTGAACTTCTTCAGAATGGGATATTTGTTTTAGGATTTAAACTCACATTGGATTCGAGCATGTATCTTGGTGCGCTAAAAATAGTGAGCATCTTTTTTTGAGCAAAAAATTTGAAACCCTCGTTTTGCATTTGATGCGCTCGCACAATCAATTGAAGTCCCAATTTATTACAACACTCTTTGACAGCTTGCTCATTAAATGTCACCGATAAGCCACGCATCACATTTGGCGAATATTCAGGACGATCAAGCATTAACGTGGATATTGCAAAATTGTAATGGATCACTCCATAACAAATCTTGTGCAAGTGTTCCGTCGCGAAGATCAACCAGTGGTCGTTTGATCTTTCGAATATCGTTCAATGATTGCAAATGTGGTGATATTCCACCGTGCATACATAATATCTGAGTTCCGACAAGTGCAGCAAGTGGCATCAAAGCAAATGCATCATTGAAACGATTCCACACATCCAAACCCTCTGCAAAAAACAATCTTGAGTTATTCTTTCGGAAATTTCGCAGGACTCGATTTTTAGAATGTAGAGAATTCAAGTTTTGATCATTCCCTTCTCTCTAATCTTACCATCATTATCCAATTTATTCATAAGTTCCTCTCGAAGACCATAAACATAATTGATTGATTTAGTCTCATGATTTCCTCGAAGAAGTGTATATTGTGATGGATAAATGATTTTGAGTGAAAATAACAAACATATGCATTCCACAGAATTTGGCCCTCGATCCACATAATCCCCCAGAAAAACAAAACGATTCATAGAACATCCCAAATCTTGTCCTCTTGATCTTCTTTTCTCAACTTCTGGTGTAGTTTGATAAAGAATTCGAACCAAATCTCGATATTGGCCATGAATATCACCAACGATTGTGCAAGGCGGTGAAACTTCTTTGAGTGTTGGCTCAGATTTGAAGATGTCCACCACGATTTCAATCAATTGTCTTAACTCTTTGGCAGTGTAGACTTGCTGTAAATCATAATTGTTTCATTATAAATCAGAACGAACTCACATTTCTCTCATTTCGTCCACGATTTAACTCTCAAATGTCTTTGACAAAATGCCACTACATTAAAAGAATCATCAGTGTCTTCCATTTTAGAATCATTTTTGCTTGGATTTACCATTTATTTCAGTAAATTACGACTATCAACTTACTAGGTACTAAAAAATCTATAAATAATGAAAACGACTGACTGATTTCACGTCCAAATTTTGAAAAATCAAATTGGGCCACGTTTGGAAATACTGACCTTATTTTTTAATTAACAATTTTTTTTTGATTTTTTTGGTCTGAAAGAACGGCTCTTATGATCTAAAATAGCGGCTAAAGTTTTGAATAAAAACCATAAAGTACAATTTTCACATTTGGAAACCACGACCAGAAAAATCAATTCCAATTTTTTAAGACGGGTGGGGGTATACTGATTTTTGAAGCGTTCAAAAGAGCGTTAATCCCTCTCCTTATCTGTTGTTTTTTTTCGACAGACAAACATTCCTTCTTTTTTTCTTATTCCTATTTAGCGGCGAAAATGGGTGGAGCCAAAATGAGCACAGAAAAAAGATACAGTGATAAGTTTCAATCATCATTTTTTCAACAAAACCATGGTTTCACCAAGCGAAAGTCGTCCTCCATATTTGTCATCATACGGTGTAAGTTTGACTTGGGAATTGGAATTTGCTAAGGTTTTTTTACAAATGATTTTTAGGATGAAGATGCTTGGAGTCCACGTTTGAAGCGCGAAGAATTTGTGCCAGCCAAACGAGAATATTCGTTGTTCACAAAATGTTTGGCTGAATTTTTGGGAGATTTGACTTTTGTATTTGTTGGTATGTTCAAATTTGAAAGCCCGGATTACTGTAGTGGGATGGAGCTCAGACTCGAGCTCAGTTTTAGGTGTGCCTTAAGCCTCAGGTTCAGATTTTAGGCCTTGTATGCTCAGAAATCAGGAGTTCCAAAATTTTGAAAAAGTATTCATTTCAAATTTCTTCTTAAATTTGAATACTGGTCCTCTTACTTTGGTGTAAGCAGAAATATCCACGTAAATTCTAAAAAAAAATTCGAACCCGAAAAGTTTCTAGGTTTCCAGTAATCAGCATCAAAAGAGTTCCGGGAAACACTTATCTTTATTAGTTTTTTCTCCTACAGTACCCTTTTCTAGGTGTTATGCAAGCAGCTGCTGGAGGTGATGGAATTACACACGCTGCACTTGCTCACGGATTCACAATCTTTATTCTTGTCACGGCATTTGGTCATATCAGGTTAGACATTTGTTTATTTTTAGTACAAAATATCAACATGTTTCAATCTTAATTTTTATGTTTGACATGAGTGCTTCTTATCACAATAATAATAATAGCACAACGATCGTAAAAGTTTACAATCTTGAATTTGATCGTGGCAATAATAGAAGAAATATTAATTTTAATGGACAATAAATTGAAGTGAAGAATGTAAATATTTTTAGCGGAGGGCATTTCAATCCAGCTGTATCATGGGCAATTGCTGGAGCTGGAAAAATGCCAGCAATTCATCTGCCATTTTATGTTGGAGCACAACTTTTGGGTGGAACTTGTGGTGCATTTTTGGCTGCTGCAATTTTGAGCAATGCACAATTGTATGTCATTGGCGCTGGAGCGACTTTGTTATCTGATGGCACACAATGGTGGCAAGGATTGATTTCAGAAACTGTTGTCACATTTTTCTTGGTTCACACAATATTGATCAGTGCTGCAGATTCAGATTCGGTCACTTTGGCACCTCTCGCGATTGGATTGACTTTGTCAATTGATATTTTTGCAACGTAAGAGTTATTCTAACTTTGTGCATGTTTAATACAATGTTTTTTTAGCGGAGCAATAACTGGAGCATCAATGAACCCAGCGAGATCATTGGGCCCAAATATTGTTGCCAGTGCACTTCTCCCATCATCTCTCCAAGTTTGGAATTATCATTATATTTATTGGGCAGGTCCACTTCTTGGATCAACAATTGCTCTCTGCGTTTATAAGTGAGCCGACAGATTAAATCTTAAAAAAAAAAAATTACAAAAAAAACATATTTTCAGATTATTCGAAGCACGTGAAGACCGGATAGTCTCCTAATTTTTTATTTCTAGTTTTTTTTTCCAAAAAAATTAATCTGTTATCATTTCTTCTTTCATTTTTCGTTATAAATAGTTGCTCAAAAAGAATAAACAATGTCATCGAAAAGTACATCAAGTAAAAAGAGTGTTAATTCGCTTTCTTCAACTCAAGTCGAAACACCAAAACCAAAATGGATGTTCGGAATTTCGCCAATCTCATCGACATCTTCAACAAATCGTTGCTGTCGAATTTGTCAAATGTCAGAAGATGGAATTTCGATGGTTAGACCGTGTGATTGTTCGGGTACTGTAGGTGATGTTCATGTTGAATGTTTGACAAAATGGGTGAATATGTCGGGCAAAAAAGATTGTGAAATTTGTAAGGCGACTTATGCGAAAAGTGGAGAAGTTTTCAAGCCGATTCGAAAATGGACAAGACCTACACATATTTTTTCGGTGAGTGCTTCGAGGTTCTTCACAATAAGCCTTTCTAATTTCAGAGCCTCTACAGTATTCTGTTATTCATCGCGTTCATTCTTCTCTCCCTCTATTTGGTATTTTTGATGAATGAAAGATGTTTTTATGATCGAATTATCAATCAGAAAATGTTCTGGAGACCAGACGACACTGGTCGAGCATGTAAGTTTCTCTTTCCAGAGATTTTCTCACTACCAAATCCAATTTACATAATCTTTTCCAGGTGTTCTTGCAATTCTTGTCACAACTGCTCTTATCAATCTACTCGCAATCGCAGCCGATTTTATAAAATATCTGAAAAGTCAGCGCGAAATTCGCTTTATAAATAAACATGAATAATTTCTCTTCTCTACCTTCTCGCTGGTCAAAAACGGGTTTTTCTATTCTTCATTTTTTCTCGATCGATTTGAATGAATTTGACATTGATTTTTGTTTACACTTTAAGTTTTTTTTTTCTGTAAACTTTTTGTTCTCATAACATTTTTTAACGGTTTTCTTCAAAATAAGTATTTATTAAAGATGACGTCATCGGTCGTATCCGACGCGATGGACGTTGAGTCATCCTCCGCATTTTCGCCATCTGAACCTGTTGTTGACGCAGTCTTCGTCTCGAAACATAATGTGAGCGCAGAGATTTATCAAAACTTCAAAGATTGTGCTGATACACTTCTATCAGGAAAAGTTGCTCAACATGAACAACTTGCTTTTATTCAAAGAACTTTACAAATATGTGAGAATGTTATAATGACTTTTGAAGATGAAAAACAACATTTGATGAGTGATGTTCTTCTACAATGGGCTATGAAACAGCAAAAAGTTAGTTTTTTTGTTAAAAATATACCTATGATATATAACATTCTTTAGCTGAGCATTGGAACTTTGTACACTCAACAACTTCATTATAAAGAACTAGATCTAATTCATATTCAATTCGAATATTTTGGCGAACTCCTTCAACAAACTTTATCAGGGTTAGAATATTTGAAACAGTATTATCCGAATGTCGGATTCGAAGAAGCTCATCAAAAAGTTCGAAACATGGCTCACTATTTTTTATATTATTCAATTATTGTTAGTCGACAACCACCAGCTGTAATTGTAAAATGTGGAGAGGCTGAAAATCATAGAAGAAGTCGGTTTTGGTTTAACACAGAGATACGGTAAATTTTCTTCGAAATTTTTTATTTCAAAACAATTTTTCATGCAGGGTTCTCGGTGGACGGTCGTTTGGAATTGATGAGACTAATGATAATGTGAAAGTTAATTGTTATTTGATTACTGACGAAACAGCGAAACAACTTTTAAATAACGCATATTTGGATATCTTTGAATCTGAAGAATTTTGCATTGAGCCAAATACAACAAGTTTCCAGAAAAAGGATCAACGAGGTCTAAAAGCAAAGTTTGATGATATGAAAGTTGCGAAAAAAGTTCAACTTCGAAGAGATTCTGTAGCCACCAAAAGATATTGCCTTTGTTATAATATTCAACTTCAAACCAATTGTGGAATCGAATTAATTGGCAAAAAAGTATCACTTCCTTTTGCAGTTCTAGTTGGACCAAAATCGGATGTTGAAGCAAAATTATTTCTTGAAAGATCTTTTGCTGATTTGGTGCGACATCCTTTGTCAGATATTCCTACTCATATTTCATGCGCTGAAATGGCTGATGCTCTTGAAATGAAGTTCCAAGCTATTGTCGAAACTCCAATTAAAAATACTGATGGTCCGAGTATAGTTCAACCCAAAAAGTTTACAATGCAAGCGAAACAACATCTCGTAACAAGATTGAAACCAGACCAACAAGGATTTTTAGTCCTTGATAATTTTATGCGGCTTCCAGTGTCTGAAGAGTTTCAACAAAAGAAAACTGCAAATGGAGGAGAATGGAAATTGGTGCCATTTTATGATTGGTTTTTCAAATTAGCTGAAATAACTAATAAATATTTATACAGTATGTGGTATGATGGATTAATCTTTGGATTCTGCAGCAAAGAAGATTCGGAAAATATTCTGCGATGTTGTTCTCGATCAGTTTTACTTGTTAGATTCTCGGATATTGAATATGCAAAAATCAAAATCTCAACAAAACATCGAAATGGTGAAATTCGCCATCACTGGTATGAACACTCTGATCTCAACGCCCGTTCACTTTCTTCTGAACTTTTGACAAATCATAAATTTGCTGACGTCGATCTCATTTATCCGGATATCGATCTAGAGGTATTCACATATTTATGTTAGAATAATAAAAATAAAATGAAATAATGAAACATCAGATGAATATCTCATTATTTTTCAGGTCGCCTTAGGTGGGCGGGAAAAACCGCGGGTCTCTCGACCACGAAATCTTCTTCCTGATGATATATACTTCGATAATCAAGGATCAGCTACATGATTTTCAAATATTTTTCATTAGATTACCAATATAATAATAACATAGTTACAATTAGATAGCATATATTTTTTGAAACACTTGTATATCTTTTTTTTCCTCGAAAACCAGTCCGTTCCACCTACTTTGCCCACACGGCTTCATCTCTTTTTTTATTCTTCTTCCCACTTTTTTGTGTGTTTTGTTTTGCATTTTTTTTTCACTTACAAATAATATCATTGTTCAGTTTTTTATGATGATGAATATGAAGATTGCGATTTTTTGTGGCTTTGTGATTTTTTCTGTGATGGCAGCTAGAGATGATGTAACTGTTCCGGCTGTTAGAGTTGTCAGACTTCAAGTTGAATATAAAAATGCGTCGATTACGGATTTGCAGAAAATTCATAAGTGAGTTTTTTGGAAACAATTAGTGAGGATCTGAAGATTTCTTGAGCTCTCTTAACGGATTCTGGTGCTGTAGAAGCTTCTTGAGCAGATTCAGAATTTCCTGCAGCTAGAAAAACTTTTTTTTTCAGATGGAACGCTATTTTGCGCAACAGCGTTCTTGCTTCCCTCAAATTCATCAACAAACATTGGATGATTTGTGGAGGATCACCAACTGAACCTGGAGAGTGAGTAATCATTTCTTTCTTTTTAGCCAAATTCAATTTTCAGTACCAATTCGAACAATGAATGCGGAAAGGCTCAAGTTACCGGAGAAATCGTTGGAAGCAATAATTATCGAATTAATGTGACGCTGATTGCTGAAAGAGATCCAGTCAGAAATGCAAAAGTTGATGCAACTTCGACAGTTTATGCTGTTGCTCATATTGGACTCAAAGGTGGAATTTTCCAATACACAAATGCGTTGAAGGTAATTTTTCCCATAAATTTGTTGATTGTTTGCATAAGATATGCTTTTTAGGTTCTTGGGAAACCCGAGCCAAAATTAAAATTCGATGAAGCATTTTTCTGTTATCGCGGAGCCACTCTCATCGACACTGATAAATGCCGTAAGGAACACCGACGACTTCGCGATTCACCGATTTTGGAAGAAATCGATAAACCAATCGCGTTGTCAAACTTACTTGCACTTCATCATTAATGAGCATGTATAAATAAAATAATAAATTATTCTAATAAATCGGGTCACCTCACAAAATCACATATTACTAAAGAATTTTGATTGAACCAAAATACTTTTCAAATTTTCTTTAGAACTTTGCCAACCTGGTTGGTTCTACGAAGAGTTTGATGAAAAATGTAAACTTTGTTCGCGTGGAGAATTTCAAGAAGAGTACGGTAGAACCACGTGTAAAACTTGTCCAGAAGGAACGACTACGGTAGCCACAGGATCTTTCAAAAAAGAGCAATGCATACGTTAGTTTTTTCTTTGAATTGAAATAAGTAGAATTCAAAATTCAGATATTTGTCCAGCTGGTTATTATTTTGATATGGGCACAAGAATGTGTGAGACCTGTGGTCTTCGAGGATATCAACCGTTAACGGGACAAGATAAATGTATTGAATGTCCAGAGGGAACTGTTCCAATTTATCAGAATTCGACAAGTTTGACACATTGTATGGATAAATGTCGAGCTGGAATGCAAAGAAGTTCTGATGGTTCAAGTTGTCAACCATGTGCAATTGGAAGTTTTAAATCAGATGATGATATTGTTTGTATGATGTGTCCAACTGGAAGAACAACTATGTCGAAAGCATCAAAAAGTTTGGCAGCGTGCCATATTAGTCAGTTTTTGAAATTTCATTTTTTCAAACTAAAAAAATTAAATTTTAAGAAATTTGTTTCCCTGGCACAATTCTCAACGCTGCCAATTTGAAATGTGAACCTTGTGATTATGGAACTTATATGGATGAATACGATGGTCGAATTTGCAAAAAATGCCCTGTTTCAACAACAACTTATCAACTTGGAGCAAATAATGCAAAAATGTGTGAATGGACAAATCAATGTAAATCTGGAACACATAATTGTCATTGGTTAGCTGCTTGTATTGATTTACCAGATGAAAATCATAGAAAAATGTATTCGTGTAAATGTAAACCAGGATTTGTTGGAAATGGATATAAATGCTCGGATTCTTGTGAAGGATTTTGTCAAAATGGTGGAACATGTTTGAAGACTGGAAGAGGAGAAACGAAATGTGTTTGTCCGAAAGGTTTTGAGGGACGAAGATGTTTAGATAAACAGTGAAACAGTGAAAAAATATTTAATTTTTGATTGAATGATATCAGGAAGTAGTTTGATAAGAATCATAATTTTTGTTATGATGTTATATGATGTAAAACATTTGAGTATATAAATTATTTGATTAAGTTTTTATTGTTGGCTCAGGTGTTACTATTGACCTATTACTATGAACGTTTTCGCACTCTTATCTTTTCTTTTTGGGAATATTAGTACTATTTGTCGATTCTCGACCGGTGAGTTTTTTGCTTTTTTCTGTTGAAAATGGAAGATTTTTTGTAAATGGTTCACTTTTTTCAAATCAACATTCAGGTGGTCAAAAGTGGTTATTCAAAAAATCACGCACACTGGCAAAGTTCCCAGGTTCAATCAAATTCTGGATTCTGGTCTGATTTTTTCTCGATAATGTCTACGTGTGACTCATTTTTTGGTGGATCTGCATAATAAATTCTTTATTTTATTTTCAAAACATAACCCGATTTAGAACTCGACATCCGTCATAAGTGTATTTGTACTTGAACTATTCGCACAATTTTGCATTTTTATCGAAATTTCTTCCGATGGTTGGATATTTGTTAAATGATAGATTTGAATTGAGGAGGAGAGGTTGAATATTGAATGAATCACAGCTACTGGAATTTGTTTTTGAATTGAAAAAAAGTTTTGAAATTCAACTCACAAACTGATAAAGGAATGGAAACTGATGGATCAGAATGAGGTAGAAATAATTCAGCGATTAATATTATCGAACATCCAAACCTCTGAAATTTGTTGGATTATTTGTAATTTTTGAAAAGCTCCGCGACTTACAAAAACTATCAGTGATAATATCAGTCTGAGAAATGACGTGGTATTTTGACGATTCTGAAAAAATAGTAAATTTTTTGAAAAACATTCTGAAGCAGATAACTTACGAAATCAAGATAAAGTAATGAAGCAAAGGCTAATACCGAGTCAAAAAGTAAGAGAAGAGCTGGGAGCCAAGCAAAAAATGGAATGTGGCGGGTGAAAAGTGCGCGAGCTCCGAGGATGAATGTGCATGTTGTCTGGAAAAAATCTTTCGAGAATTTAGGAGGTATTTACATTTTGTTTTTTGATATAATTTTAATTTAGAAAAATCTCAAGCCATCTGAAAATTTCTATAGCATTTCAAAAAACAAACATGATTTCAGAATTTTTCAAATAAATTTTCTGGATTCTAGAAAATGAGTTCGTCCAATTCTAAAAAAAATAATCAGAAAATGGCTTGATTTTCTAAAAATTTCTTGTCCACATCCAAGTAAAATTCAAAACTCACGAAAAAAATCTGTCCATAAAAAACCTTGGCATGTAATCTGGCTCGTTGGCTACTTATAGTAGTGCTATTGGTTGTTGTCATATTTTTGCATCCTGCAAAAAGAGTGTAACCACAAAATACTCCTCGAATCCCCCAAAGAATTCTGGCGCCGCGCCCAAAAGATTTTCAATCAAAAAATTGTGGGGATTTTTTCGTTCGTGAGCAAGTAGTAAACAACTGTTTTTTGTTGTTGTTGTTTTTTATATTAAATTTTTCTGGATGAGAAAAATGAAAAAAAGAAAAGAAAAAAAGATTGTATAAAAAATAATAATAAAAAAGAGAAAAAGAATTTTGTTCGAGGATGAAAATTTTGAGATTAATTCGATGAGCGTGCGCGACAAAAGGGAAAAAGAGAAAAACATATGTGACCTTCGGAAATTGTCGAAACAGTGCGAACAAATGGGTTGAAATAACACAACACAATAATAAAATGAAACGAAATGAAAAAGGAAGAAGGTATAGGTGAGTAGTGAAAACAAACAAAACAAATATAGTTCCCGTCGAAAAATAATTCGACATCAGTTTGCGAAAAGAATATCGGGTTACAAATCTGTTTTTCTTACGGAAAATGAATGAGTAAAACATTTTTGATAACAATGATTTCTTCTTTTGACGTTTTTTTTCTGTTGACTGATACTTGACTTGAGAGCTTACTCGTTTCACACGAAATGACCAAAATTTGAAATTTGAAGGGTAGGAAATTTGGAAATAAAAAAATAGAATTATTATATCAGCTCTTATTAACTTTATTTTTCTCGGTTATTATTTTTCACAAGAGCGTCGAGGGAGACCAAATTGATTGTCTAACCGTCTATAACCCGAAATTATCAACAGATAAAGGAACAGATTTTATAAACTTTTAACTTGAAACGTATTTATAAACATATTTTTCACCTCACATTTTTCAAAACAAATTTTTTCTGTAGACAGCTTTATTTTTATAAAAACTTATTCTTATAGACGATCACAATCTACAGATTTTTATCCTTTTTCCCAAAAAAACTTTTTGTTCGTAGATCAGTAACCAAAGATTCAAACAGAATTGCGGAACAATGTATTAATTTTTCAACAAAAAAATGATGTGAAGTTTACAATTTACTGTTGAAACAATTAAAATCTACTTTATCGAATGAACATTGGAATCTTGTATTTTGATATAATCAGCATAATCTTCTTTATATTTTTCATCCCAATAAGACTCCTGATATTCTGGATCCAGGTGTGATCGATCAAATGGAAATATTAAATAATCATTGAAATATATTTTATGCAAATATTTTCGAACAACTGGATCATTCTTGATTTGTTCAGCAGCAATTTTTCGCCGTGTTGATGTATGAGTACCATGTTCCGTTTCACCAACTGGAATTACACCGTTATTCAATACCCTGATAGTTCAGTAACTCACCCAATAGCTCTTCGACAATCTTTGAAATAAGGTAACTTGGAACTCCCTTCTTTTCTAAAATTTCGGATAATTTCTTGACAGGTTCTTTCCGTTCTTGTAAATCGGAACCAATCACTAACAAATTGTATGTTTTGAGATATTTTTGGAACCCGCAGAACCATGAAGTTGGAGCACTATGCTTATCCATAAACGTTTCATCGTTTATTGTTTGTTCCTTGAGAGATTTATAAATTTCTCTCACTACACATCGCATATCTTCATCACAATCATAACATCTATGTTCTCTGAAAACTCACCAAATCGTAAACAGAAAATTCATTATATTGAATACCTGACACATTTATCCAAATACAATGATAAAAACCTATCAAACGGATCTCTTATGAATACCAAATTGGTGAAGTTAGAGCTTGGTGTATAGTTTTTTGAAAATGTAGCGAATTCTGGATCTGAATAACTGCATGCTCTGGAAATAAAATTTTCAGATGATTTCATATTTCTAAATTGAGTCTGACCGTTTTTTGTGCCATGTTTCATTTAATTTATGATTTCCTTCTAGAAAGTTCTCTGTATCATATAATAAACACATTGTATTAAAAGCCATCTGAGACATAGATTTTCGAACCAAACAAGTTGTTATATTGTAATCAGACGATGTCTGTAACAAAACTCATAAACTTTGTGAAAAAAATAAAAAAACACTCACCAAATAATCAGTAAGAATCGAGTGAAATGGCGGGATAAATGTTATATTATCATCATTTTTTGCATCTGGTGAATAGAAAGAGAATTGTTTATAATTTACAAATTCTCCAAAAAATGATAGAAATACAACAGTGAAGGCTAAGATTATAAAATATATCAAGCACCTCATTCAATCGAAATTTTAAGATCTATGATTTCAAATAAAGTGAATGAGGTTCTACTTTTTTTCAATCGGAGAGTTTTGATCGACAGAGGCGGTCTCAAGATTCATTGGCATTAATTTGTGTGACATCAGCATCGTTTTTTTAAAAAACGGAGAACAGAGATTTCAAAAGATTACGATTCTCAACCGGTTTATAAAACTGAATATTCACGAGTCTATCAAAATCGAAATCAGATCTTTCAAAAACAACATCCGTAACTTCTTTTGAAAAAAAAAATTCAAACTTTAAGTCACATAGATTTCAAAATTCTTTATACAAAAAAATCCTTTTTTTTCTAGAAAAATATTTTTATGCAACAAATAAATAATTGACATCTAGATATTTTGTAAATCTCAATTTGTCAAGAAAAATTGCATTATTTTTTTTCACACAGCACGGCGAGCTTTTTTTGGTAGAAAAATTGCGGTATATCTAAAAATTAAGCGATTTATTTTTAGATGACAATCTAAAAACAATCTCTGGCTTATGCAAGATGTGTTTTCTTCATTTTTAGCCGGGAAATGAAGCTGCCAAAAAATACTCGCATTTTCTCGTTTCGATTCTGATCTCAATTTCGATCCAGTTAAACTTGAAACAATTTGAAAACAATTTTTTCACACTTTATTCTAAAAAAATATTTAAACTAATTTAGCAAATGAGCATTTGAATCCTGTTTTTTGATGTAACCAGCATAGTCTTGATTGAACTTTTCTTCCCAGTAAGCATTTTGATATTCCAAATCCAAATGAGATTTATCAAATGGAAATATCAAATAATCATTGAAATATATCTTATGCAAATATTCTCGAACTATTGGATCTCTTTTGATTTGTTCAGCAGCTTTGTTTCGATGAGAAGAATCACTTGTACCATGAGATGTTTCACCGACTGAAAATTAATCAAGTTTTCTACCATGAGTTTTTAATTCTGATCTTACGTAATGTCTCATGAACAATTTTTGAAATAATATGCTCTGGAACTTCTTTTCTTTCTAGAATTTTCGATAGTTTCATAATTGGAGATTTTCTATCTTCGATATGTCGTCCAATAATCAAAACATGATATGCTTTTAAATATTCATCGAAATCACAAAACCATGAAATCGGAGCACTGTGTTGATTCATAAACCAATCATTTTCAGTGCTTTCTCCTTCGGCTATGAATTTTTTCAGAGACTTGTAAATGTTTTTGAGAACACACCGCATATCATCCATACAATCGAAACAGAAATGTTCTCTGAAAAAATTGAAAATTTTGAGAATCTGATTATTTCATTTTAATTACCGTACACATTTATCCAAATATAATGACAAAAATCTTTCAAATGGATCCCTGATAAAGACTAATCGCGTGAAATCAGAAGTTCTTTTGAATTTCCTCGGAAATGTAGCAAATCCATCTGGATCTTCATAATTACAAGTTCTGTAACAAATCCAAATTCAAAATTATCGGAATAACTCATTTTCAAACCGATTTTGTTTCCATGTTTCATTCAACGTATGATTTCCTTGTAGAAAATGTTCTGAATCGTGTAACAAACACATTGTATTGAAAACCATTTGAGACATTGATTTTCGAATTGAACAAGTTGTTATGTTATACTGAAATGCTGTCTGAAATTAGATTTTGAAACATTTTTACTTGGATTTTTTAACTTACAAAATAGTCAGGATTATAATGATGGAATGAAGGAATAAAAGTCAAGTTTCTAGCAAATTGTAATTCTTCTTCATCTAATTTCGATCTGCGTTCTCTCTCGAAAAACTGCCAAAAAAATATTAAAAATAAAACACTTATTGCTATTGTAAACTTATAACTTTTACGAGTCATTAATCTGAAAAATTCATGAAATTGGAAAAGGACAATGAGAAAAGGACGATGATGAATAAAGTCATCATAAATAGCAACCGAACCTAATCGTAGTAATAAAAATAAAAAAAATAAAAATAAAATAAAAAAAATAAACCTCTAAATTGCTGTCAAGGACAATTTATACGATTTAAACTATTTTCGAAATAAAAACAATCTAAAATATATTAAAGTAATATAACTTGACTAGGGGCAGTGCCCATAGGCGAAACAGTCAGAAAATCCTCAAAAATTCTAAATTTTGAAGAAAACCCTATTTTTCGTAGCTAAACTGACGTGAGAAAAAAAATTTTTTTTTTAAAGTTACGCCCGGGAATAAAAATTGTGAAGTTTAATGAGACATAGATTATAAAAGAAAAATAAAAAAATTCAAAACAAACTGGAAATCGCGTGCATAAAACTATAAAAAATTAATCTACCTATGAATTATTTCATAGTTTGTTTTTCAATAAAATCTGGAAGCTGATCCTATAGGTTCAAGTGTAATTCAAAGCTTCATCTAATCATTCAAACATAGTAATTTATAAACAACTTTCCTCTAACATCAATAGTAATTATGAATTAAAAACGTTACCCAATATTTTTCAATGAAGCTCTAATCTCACCTGTTAGTTTTGTTGTTCCCCCCCCCCCCAAACGTCAAAATAAACTAACTTGATTGGACCGCTTCCGTGAAAAGTTGTTGCTCTCATCCGAATATCCTGTCCAAACAAAACATCTTCTTGTTCGGAAGCCTGAAACTTCTACATTCTTTTTCTCAAAATTTTCGCCTATTCTTAAACTTACATCAGAAAATAACAATTGTGGTTTTTATGGGACCGCTGCATTCTGAGACTGTTGTCGAAATGTCTCTAAAAAAATAAGAAAATTAAAAAATGTACCAAATCACCCCATTAATAACATTTTCTGCTCTGAAAAAAACCAGAAAAATGATTCAGTTCGAAAAAAAACGTTCAATCAATAATATTCAAATAAAAAACATATATATCTCTTTCTCTCTAACCCTCTCTCCATTTCCCACACTCTCTCATTCCCCCCTGCAAAAAACAACAAAATAAACACGCTAAACAACGCGCACGCGGAGTATCGTTGTTTTTCTTTTATTTTTTTTTTGCACGACATTTTTATTTTTTGTTTTTTTTCTGGTTTTTGAGTGGTTTTTTTCAGCGCAGAAAAAGTTATTAATGGGGTGATTTGGTACATTTTTTTAATTTTCTTATTTTTTTAGAGACATTTCGACAACAGTCACATAATGCATCGGTCCCATAAAATGCACAATTGTCATTTTCTGATGTAAGTTTAAGAATAGGCGAAAATTTTGAGAAAAAGAATGTCGAAATTTCAGGCTTCCGAACAAGAAGATGTTTCGTTTGGACAAGACATTCGAAGCGATCAACAATTTTTCACGGAAGCGGGCCAGTCAAGTTAGTTTATTTTGAGGTTTTGGGGGGGGGGGGAGCAAAGCTAACAGGTGAGATTTGAGCTTCATTGAAAACTATTAGGTAAAGTTTTTTGTTCATAATTACTATTGATGTTAGAGACAAGTTGTTTATGAATTACTATGTTTGAATCATTAGATGAAGCTTTGAATTACACTTGATGGTATAGGATCAGCTTCCAGATTTTATTGAAAAACATATTTTTCATAGGTAGAAAGATTTTTTTTCTATTCCTGATTATCTGGGTCACGTGAAATTCTGATAAATAAATATTTATCAAAAGTGCCTCATTTCTTATCTACACGCGTGGTGTAGTGGGGAAGAGCTCTGCCTTCTATTCAACCCGTCTAATTTTGTGGGTTCGAGTCCCACTGCTCGCTGTTTTGTCCCTATATCCGGTAACGCAAAATGTCCGCCGTTGTCACAAAAATTCGGAAAAAATATTTCTATACGAATTGTACACTGGGCGATTTTATTGTATGGTAGAAAAATGTCTATGGCTGGGATGGGACAATCTATTTTTTCGAAAGGAGTGACATGTTTCACTGTCGTGGCAACTGTCCGCAATCACAATATGTGTTTCTTTTTTTTCGTCTGTCGACAACCTTTTTAATACAATTTGTTTTGATAATTGGATCATCACCATGGCTTTTTAAAGTTAAACTTTCAAATTTCCAATATTTAAAAACTTCACAAAAAAATTGACGTTGACAGAAAACACAGTGAACCAATTATGTTCTTTAAATGTCAAATGTATAATTAGTTAACAATTGGATCCTTGTATCTGAATATAATAAGCATATCCTTGTTTATATTTTCCATTCCAATGAGACAATTGATATTCTGAATCCAAGTTTGAACGATTGAATGGAAATATCAGATAATCATAAAAATATATTGTATGTAATTATTCTCGAACTATTGAATCTCGTTCGATTTGTTTAGCCGCTTGAATTCGACGAGAAGAACTTGTTCGATGATTTCAATTGAAAATGAACTAACCTAATAGCTCTCGCAAAAATAAGTGTTCTGACACGTTTTTCTTTTGCAAAATTTTTGATTATTTCTCAATTGATACGATACTTTTCTATCCTCAATATCAGGACCAATAGTTATCATGTGAAATATTTTCAAATATTGTATCAAAATAACAAAAAAATGGAGCAGTATGTTGATCCAAAAAAATCTTATTTATTTATTTATTTATTCATATATCAGAGAAAATAATATAACTGATTTATCATTCATCTCATCCATCACTCGTTTTTTATTTGCTCTATAAATTGTTTGGATACACAATGCATTACATATCTTCTACACAATCGTAACGTATTAACTCTGTAAAAAACTGTTCGAATTTTAAAAATATCTTTATATCTGACACATTTATGCAAGTTCAATGATAAAAAATGTACTAAAAAACAGATGGTTAGTGTCGCTTTTTTATAACCAAAAACTATATATTACATGCTAATTGTAAGATTTTAAAAGGCAGACACATGGCTGTATGAAAAAAACGATAGATTTCAACAGATAAATTAGAAAAACTAGTAAGACTTGTTTTTTTTCATAAAATTTCTAAATTAAAATATTTTATATACTATTGCAAAACAAAGATTAACGTGCATTTTTCTCGATAATTCTCTCAATATATTTCAACGATTTCATTCATACAATTTTCAAACTAATAACGTTAAATTTCTATCAACAAAAAAATACATATTGTTAATCCGAAAATATAAGAGCCGTAGAAGAAAAAGCCAAAATACAGTAGACTCATGGGGCTGCGTTGATCTTTCGTATTGAACTAGGAAATATCTGGTTTTCTATGGTCATATCGGATCTCTTCTAAGCGGGGCTGGGGAAGTTGGCAAAGATAATAATTCATATTTTCAATCGATTTTGTTTTTGTGTACCGAGTTCCTATTTCCGTGAACAAAAACAAGATCAAAATAGAAATTAAAAATCTTATGTTTTCTTTGAATACTCATGAATCTGTCAAATAAAAAAATCAAAATTATCTGGTTGTCCCAAAAATTGAAAAGCATAAAACATAAATCAATCATTGAACTTTTCTCTAAAAATTGCTGTAACTTTAATGAATCAATTACATTTATTTTGAATAACAAAACACAAAAAGTATTCATTTATACAAGTTGATGCTTTTATTTGGAAATTTCAGATATAAAGATATGAATCTAAATTACTAGTAATACTTGTTTATCGAAAATCCTAATTTTTATGTTTAAAATTCGCTTCTTCTAGATTAAAATGATCAGCAACCATAAAGGCTGATTCACGAAAGAAAAAAAATGTTAAAAACATATTTTTTTTAACATCGAAAAATCATTTCACGAAAAGTCAAAAAATGTCGAAAAAACATTGTAGGTCAACATTAGTTTTTCGAGTTTTTTCAGTCAAAAATGATGGCAAATCGACATATTTGAAGTTTCTGGAGTAATTTCTGATGAAAATTGACTTTGGAATTCACTTTTAAGAAGTTTTTACTGAATTTTCGTAAAATAAATAAAATTTAAATTTTGATGAATTTCAAAAAAATTAATAAAATGAGGTAAATTAGGTTTCTCAAAGCTTATTTTCATCAGAAATTACTCCAGAAGCTTCAGAAATATCGATTTTTCATCATTTTTGGCTGAAAAACTACTTTTTTTTAATCTACAAACTATTTTTGGTCTGCAATGTTTTCTCGACATTTTTTGACTTTTCGTGAATTAAACTTTTAATGTTAAAAAAAACATTTTTTACATTGTTTTGTTCGTGAATCAGCCCTTCTCATGATCACTTTTTGAATTTAGAAAAACAAATAACATGAAATTGTTTTATTGTCGGTCAAATGAATGAATAAATGTATTATCAATACAAAAAAGTTTGAATTTCTACAAAAAGGGAATTTCTACAATTGTGAACGAATTAAAATTAAAGACTTTCGAGTTAATTTAAACAGTCAATCTGTGAAATCTTTTTGATCGTCGAAGTGGTTTCAGCTCGAGTTCGACAAGTTCCAAATCTCTGACATGGTTTTCATTTTCTGGTTGCTCGCCATCCAAAAAATTAACTCTGATAACCTTTGTGAAAAACATTGAGCAAAAACAGAAACATGCGACGGTAACAGAAACGATTATGAAAAGACAGCAACTGAAATAAATGTGTTATAGGGTCTGAAAATAAAAAATGATACATTTACCTGGCAAGAAGAAAATGACCAAGCATAACCAATTGATCAGTTGTATTATTTGCATATCTGTTATCTGTTCCACAACATGTAATTCCACAACAATCTGGATGTAATAATGGGCAGGCCCATGTTATTTCAGTCAAATTATTGCGCGATGGAAGTTTTGCAGATTGCAGAAAATATGTGAAATTGATGATTTCCTCTTTTTTATGAGTCAGATTTGAATTACGAATATTGGCGAGATGATCAATTGTCATAAAACATTGTTTTGTTCTTCTTTCAAATTGATGATTCTCTTTTCCCAAATAAAATTGATTTCCTTGACTTTCAAATGATTCTTCCGGATTTTTAACAAAACCACTTTTGTTGAACAAATCTGAATGACAATCAATATACCAATTTCATTTAATTAGTCTTACCTTTCTCCATCATTTTCAAAAGAATCACTTTTCCGGTGAACTCATCTCCAAATCTTCCCCATAATTCAGTTGAAAAAACCGATTCGTGGAACTTTCTGTTTTCGATATCTTCTTCGATGTATGGATTTGAAACGTCAAATCCAGTCACAGATTCGAAATCAATCAACAAAAGAAAAATGAGATTCATACTATGTATGAATTTCATAGCGAAATAATAAATAAAAGTTCGGGGCGAGCAGTCGAGAAAAAGGGCAGCAGATAAAGCTAATGAGTAAAACTCTTTTTGTCGCGTTCGGATGAAGACAAAATTGTACCCGCTAATTCCATTCTCGAGGTGTTTTTTCTCCGAAATTATACACTTTTCACGATTGTACGATTTTTCTAGAAAAGGAATTGATAAGAGAATTCTGAAAATTTATAAAAACTACAATTTCCAAACAAAAAATCATTCATTCAATATCAATTCCACGCAACTTTCAAACCATTAAAATACACATCAATATTACTTGCTTGATTATTCATTTTCCGCCCAAAAGTATCTTTCAAAAATGTGACTTTTCTGATTCTTTTCAAATACCGATAAAGCAATCTTTCCCAACGTGGACAATTTTTAGCGGTAACATGTGGAAATGAAAAAGCATAGAGAAATATACAAGCTTCAAGTATAAGTGTTGCAAGTAAATCATACTCCACAGAACAGCTAATACTTTTGAGGTATAAACTGAGCAATAAAAAACAATTCATTGCTCCCATGTATAAAATCAAGTTTTTCAACATCTGAAAAATGAATTTTGATTATAGCACATGAATCATGTTCATACCGTCAATGCTTTAATATTTTCAACAATCTGAAATCGTTCGGCTAGAGAATATTCATTGTAATTGTTTTCAATAGTTTCGTGTTTTCTACAATTCCAATCTCTCAAAAAACTCATTTCAATAATAGCAAGGCCATTCAAAGTACATAATATACAAATGACACTTCCTGTGTTTTCTTGATTTTGTAAAGCAAAAGAGGTAAAGATTCCAAACATTATCTGAATGAAAATTGCAATTCCAGTGATATGAGATCGTTTTTCATTTTCATAGTCAGCAATATAATAACTTGCTAAAAAACGCTCGAAAACAAATAATGGAACACACGTCATTGCTAAATACATTTTGAGTATACTTTTTTTCCAAAAACCACAAAAATAGTACTTGCCTGTGCCGACAAAAAATTGAGTAGAACATTGAAAAATAACAAAAAGGGGAAAATTTTCAGGATCTTGATCATCGATCAATTCAGAAATCATCATTAGCTTGATTAGAATCACAACACACGAATCCAGAAAATGAATGACGATGAGAAATGCAAGAATGTTATTGAAATTCGAATGAAATTGTTTTGCTCGGAAATTTAACCATAAAATAAACACGCTGTGCAACAGACTGAAATTTTTTTAAAAACAGAAATCAAATAGTTTTTCCCTGAAACTTACTCGATGAAATAGAAAATAATCTGAGCTCTCAAAAACATTTCAACCCCAATAAATTGAGTTTGAAAATGAGTATTGTTCCAATAATGAATTAATAACATATTTATTTTTCTCTTTTCGATTGGCAAAAAAATGATATTGGAAATGGAAAATAACAAGAAAAATATATGAGAATTGTAGTTACATTTGATTTTTATTCTATTCTATTCTATATAATTGAGCCGTCAATTAGTACAGAATTCCCATCAGACAGTCTGGTGTACTTTTTTCTGAAGATCATGTTCCCAAGAACTTTTCAAGGATTCGAAGTGATCTTCAACTGTTCGATCTTGATCCATTTTGAATCCATAAGTATCTCGAAGTGGTGAAAGTTTGGCTTGTTTTCGGTTGAAACATGGCAGAGTTTTTCGAAGTTGTGATTTCCATTTATCCGAACACATTGTCATAATTTGAGGAATCGAGTATCTAAAAATTACTATTGGTAAATAATTTTAACTTTTTCATAATCCTTGAGGAGCGAATGGAAATTTCAGAATAGAAAACTACGGGTCGAAAAGCGTCTTTTAGGTGAACATTTAGTTTTAAGACCATCTTCCTCACTGTGAAATCATTCTCGTTTTTTTTCAAAGTGATTTCCAAAAATCCGTTCCCTTTTTTTATACTCACGCATAAATAAAAATACAAATATCCATTGCAAGTGCACTTATAAATCGAAATTCATCAGTTAAATGAAAACTCGATAACATCATAACAATAACTAAAGTTGAATTCATTACCCCCATATACAAAATCATTTTGGTAATCATTGAAAGAGATTTTATGTTCTCCGAAATTTGATATCGTTGAGTCAACGAATATTCACTAACTCCCTCGTGATATCTTTTATACTCCTTATTATTATACATTTTCAGCATAACCAGAATTATCATAGCAATGCCATTTAACCCAACTAATCCACTAACAACAATACACGTGTTTGTCTCATTTTGAAGACAAAAACAAGTGAAACATCCTATTGAAAATTGGGAAAATGTGATTATATAAGAAATGTGATGACGTTTCTTGACTTCGTAATCTGATAAATAATATGTTGCACAGCATCTTTCAAGCATGAAAAATGGTAGACAACAAAGTGCTGAAATTTGTATTTGTTTTGAATATTTTGGTTCTTTTTTTACCTGCTCCCATTGAATAAATCGAGACATTTATTGTTGATTTTATCAACATCGGGTTAATTGAATTAAAATCTTTTGTAATAATCATAGAACATCTAAGAGTTAGGATCGCAATATCGTGAATGAAGTGAGTTGTTAGGAAGAATCCAACAATCAAATTAAAATTGTAATGAAATTGTTTGGCTTTGAAAACCATCCAGATGTAGAAAATCATATTGAACACACTGTAATCACACACTGTAGTCATGGGGTTCAATTTTAATTTTTTGAGATGTCTACGATCTATGAGTTTGTTTTTCTGCTTTTAAACATTGGACTTGCAATTTTCAGTGCGTTAAAAAGAAGAGTTCGGCTGGAGAACATTTTTTTTTTGATTGTTCTGTTGAATAGCAAAATAATGATCAGATATGTTAATCTTTGCAATATCATACGAACAATAACATTTGGAGAGATTACAAAATTAATTATTTCTTATGATATCATGAATTTTTGTCTTACAGAACTTGACTCATAGAAAAATAAACCAAGATTCAACGCCAATGAGCAAAAAATGAAAATTTTATTTGGTCACGTGTTTTTTGTTAAAATTTCTAGTTTTCTCAGAAATCTTCACGACTAAATTTTGACTAATTTTGACTCTAGTGAACTTTTTTGAACTCTTGTTCTGACTTGGTTTATTTGAATGAAAATTCCATTGAAAATTTTCAGAACTTGAAAAATATACCCACTACTAGAAATTGATTCCATTAAAATCTCAACTGAAAATTTGAACAGTTTTCTTGTAAAATATTGTTCATTACGCGAAATTAATTGTGAGCTATATTTGTTTTTTTTGTTAAAAATTTGAATTAATTCTTCAGAATCCAATTTTTCTCTTCCAAAAATCAAACTTACTCGATTATATAAATTATCGTTGAGATGTACAAATATGTTCGAATGTATTCGAACCATTCTCGATTTTCATTTAGAAAATATGAAACATTCCAATAATGCAGTAAAAGCATATGAGTTTTCAACATTTCGATAGTCAAGTTTTAGGAAAATCAATTTATCAAGGATTATCAGACAAAAAAATGAAGAGACTAACAACAATAGAACAATTTACCCAAAAAGAGTAGGCGGGGCTTCATTTCTATTGAGAGGACAAAAAATGTCTTTTTGACGGTGGCGAATGAAAAGAATTGTAGCTGTCTGCACTTGACAGGTACTAATATCTAAATTCACAAAAAAATCCAATTAACAAAAAACCACAAAATCAAAATTTATTGTTTGAATGGTTATCATCAATATAAATCAGAAATATTTACTATTTATTTTAGTTTAGAATGACAAAACCTGTCATTCCCTGTTCCAAAATTCTTGCAAATTCACAAAATGCTCATCAATTGTGGAAATTGGCTCGATTTGTGTTGAAAGATGAAGAGAAAGAGTATTTCGAAATGGAGCAACTTTGGTGTTGGATAAAAGTTTTCGAAGACATTTTCTCCATTTTTCACAACAATAAGTCATGATTTGAGGAAGTGAAAAACTATAAATAAATATGAAAAGATCGAGAAAAATTGTTGAGACGAGATTGATTTCTGGTGAAACATTGAAACTTGTTAGAAGAACACTTAGAATCAGAACTGTGTTCATAAATGATTGAAATATCATAAATGTATTGATCATCTGAAAAATTAATTTTGTTATTCTTCACAATCAGAAAATAAACGAAAATGTTGCGACAGGTTTGATTTTCTCAGGTTATCCCTAAGAAAAGTTTTGTATCCAGGCAACAAAATGCCGGAATCGTGAACCGTAGCCAAAATCGAGCCACCGCTGCTGATTTTTTCCTGACATGAGTGATTAAAAGTTTCACCTTCAATGATTTTATGTTGTCTGAAACTTGATATCTCGCGGTAAGAGAATATTTCCCAGGTTGACTTTGATAGTAAATATGTGTTCTTTTATTCCATTTCTCCACATATTTCTTCAAAGCCAATGCCAAAACATTGAAACACATTAAAATTGCAATAACGTACTTTGTCAGAGATTCTGAAATCTATTTTATCATATTGTAATTCAAATTTTATCATGATATTTTATTTTTCGTTAGCTGTTTTGTTCGAGCTGTTGTGTTCATCTTTTTTTCAAAAACACTACAAATATCTTACCATCTTTGAGTAAAATTGCACTTGTGACGCCAATTGTTATCTGAGCTATCACTAAAATAATAGAAATCCATCGTCTTTTATTTGATTCATAATCAGTGATGAACCACGTAGCAATATATCTTTCAATTATAAAAAATGGTAAACTACACATTGCTGCGAAAAAACTTGCAATTGTTCCATCAATAACCAAAACAAATAATGAATTTGATTGAAAATCTTGATCATTCAAAGATCTATTGAACATTAGACTTCTCATTATTATTAAGAAAATATTATCTATTGCATGAATTATGTATTGACTTCCGGATATAAGATCGAAATTAAAATGAAATTGTGAAGCTTTGAATAACAGAATACAATAAGCGGAGATGTAAAATGTGCTGAAAAATTTGAGGAAATTCGGGGCAATTTCAGAGAGCTTCTCACTAACTCAAAAACATAAATACCGGTCTCAATTTTTAAAATATTCAAAATAAAAGCATTTGAGGAATCTTCCATGAAATATGTCATGTTAAAATAATGAAGGAGTAACATCGCAAAATTAGACAAAAAACAAGGAAAAATTCGGACAAAATTTTTAGAGTACAAAAATGGAACGAAAATCGTAGTTTGATGGTTGCTGTGGAGATATTCAGTGAATCAGTGAATCAGATCTAGGATTTCTTGAAAATTGAAAATTCTCGATGAAACTACACATTTTTGTGCTTCCAACACAGAGAAAGCAGAGCAGAAGGAATATTTTATGACGTCGTATTTTTACCATCAAAAATCAAACATTGAGATTTTTGTAATTGTTTTTTGTCTGCGAAATTTGCAGGAAATTGAAAAAAAAAACAAAGTTCCATTTTGCAACAAAATTTTTCTCCAAAAACTTCCTTGTCTATCACAAAAAAAGTGATGCCAAATTATCAGTTTCCAAAAATGTGCTTCATTGGTAGTTTCAACAAAAAGTAAATCCTTTGAAAATAAGAATAATAATTTTAAAAAAGTCAAGTTTTGTATAACAAAAAATGAGGTGCATTATCCGAAATGATTCCCGGTCGATGCACCATAAATGAATTAGCTTTATGGTACAATAAATAATAGCAAAAATAAGAAAAATAATATAAAATGAAGGATAAAAATGTGGGGAATCGAGGGCTTTTTATATTGCACAAACTGTAAAGATGTGGACGAGTGGCACAAGATTGGGGATATTAAAAAGATAAGAAATATATTAAAAATATTTGATAAATCAAAAATATCAAAAGATCAAACTTAAAACAATTTAAGAATAATTTAGTCGAAGAATGGGAATCTTCGACACTTTTTTTTGAAATTGATATTTCATGGGTGGAATAAGTGTTTTATAAACTCAATTTTTACCGCTTATCTTCTCATATTCCGGTATTTTGAAATTGTTTTTGAAATGAAAATTCAAAAATGTTTGTATGATTTCTCTTCTGATAATTTCAATTTTTCTTCAAATTCAGGCCTGTCTGCTAACACTGATCTCTGGTATTTTCTTTTCAAAACTTCTCTTTTACTTTCATATTTTCCCACTAGACACATTTTGTCTTTCGTCAAGAACTTTCAGAATACAATTTCTTTTTGTTAACAAATACTTTGTAGTCAACAAATCTGCAACACTTGTTTTTAGTCTTCAGTTTGCAAGTAATAAATTATTCAAACTTTCAAAGATCAACCCAAAGCCCTCCGGTCATTCATTGTACATTTCCCCCCTAATATTCACATATTTTCACATGTTCAAACAACCAAACATCGGTTGACGTAAATTTTTAATTGAATTTCTTGTTTATTTATTCGTCCCCTCCCACTTCTACTTTAATTTTCACATGTCCGCCACCGCCAATCCGTATTAAAATAGATAGCAATGTTTTTTTTGTTGAGCGCATCGGAAATTGTCGCATTTCCGGAGGCAGCGTTTCATTGGTGAAACAAACATAGAACAAGTTTGAATTGTCTTCGCCCCGAGTTGCTAAAAAATGTGTGGAAATATCCCAGGATTTGTGCACTTTTTGTTTTTTTCTTCGGCAAAAGTTCGACACAACTTTATGAATATTTCGCTGATTTATATATGTCTTCGATACTACTGTAAACAAGAACAAAATTCGTCATCTCCTTTTTCGAAAAAAAATTTAATGAATAAAAAAGGAAGAAATTTTAATGAATGGTCAAGCTGTAAATAAACTAAAAATAGGAAGAATCTTTCTTTTTAATCTTGTTTTTGTTTAACAAATAAAAAATAAACCCAAAGAAGGAAATTTTGCAGAATCTTCAGATAATCTATAGATTCTTGATCGGCTTCCCTGAAAAATTGAAAGATCTTTTTCATTGTTCGAGGAGGGGAGAAAAATAAATGAATAAATTTCGAAATGAACCTAATTTATGTGAAGATCAGAGGTTACGAAAAGGGCAAATTGATTATTTTTTAATGGGAAATTAGTTTACACTTTTGCGTTTTTTATAAGTGTCTGTGGAAACAATTAGCTAAAATTGTTATACTACTCAAAATTCGAAGATTATATAGAGGTTGTAGATCTTGAAAAAATGGAAACTTTTGAATTGAACCTGAGAACACGAGCCTGTTTTTTTTAGGAATGACCAAACTAGTAAGTTCTGTAAATTCCAAATTTGTTTGAAATCTGATTTTCCGAAACCTCAAATTCACTTCCTTCAGCGCATAGATTAATTTACAACCTTTAATTATGATGGTTCATTTTTCTCCGACTGAGAAAATGTCAAAAATAATTTATAGTTTCAAATGAAACTCTAGAATTTATGAGATTGTATTCTTAACTGAAACCCCCCCCCCCCATTTCGACAAGTTTCCGGAATCCGGAAGCCCCAATTCAAATTTCAAACTTCTGATTTTGCTGATCATCTGACCACAGATTATTAAGTGAACACATCAACAAATAACTCACTAATTGCAAAAATTTCGAGCGGAAATTGAATTACAATGAATCATATACACAAAATCATTTTGTCATGACTCCCTCACCAAAAATTTTCCCTTTCCGGGCCATGTTTTCATTTTCACATCATTCTATTTATATCCGATATTTATTTTAATAATATTCCTTACGAAATCCTTCTTTTTTCTCTATTTCAGAATATTCTAGCAGCCTGAGAAAACAACTATTTATAGGGTAAGAAGAAATGCAAAGTGCTTGTTCCAATTAAGAAAACCCTCACATATGTGCATAATTTGGAATTCTCTCAGTTCGATGGTCTTTTTATTTTTTTCGTATTGTTCTTAAAGTGCGACCAGCTAATAAGTATTTTGAAAGGGTATTTCACTTATTGTCTACAACTAGGATAATACAGATTTTTGTAGTGTTTTTTAGACACCTCCGTATTTTTAAGAATGATCAAATCAAAAGAACATAATACATTTGTTTTTTCAATTTTCAATTTGAAAATGAAAATGTCCCAATGTGGACTTTGTCAAAAAAATCCAAGATCTACCCTAGTTATCAAGTGCCAAACTTCCTAGGAGCCGCATCGAGAGATCCACCATAGTTCTGAAGAAGCTGCGTCTGAAGGTGGTGCTTGTTAGAGATTTTGAATAAATTTTTGAAGATGTTCCTTTTTTGAAAATCACAATCCAAATTTTTGATATTCCAAGTATACCCAACTTTTCACTTGTTAGATTTTCTTCTCCTTTCTTTTTTTCTCCCTCTGATCGTTTTTTTCCCACAATGTTGTTGTTTTGTTTCGTTATTTTTTCTAACTACAATTCGTAGAATATTCAAACAATTTTCCGAATGATTGAATGTTTCTATTTTTTCTCATTTTATTATGTCTGCGGCACATTTTCGTGTACTTTCCAAATCGTAGTACACGATGATAATTCGGAAAATCATTGTCTCTCTGCTCAATTAATCAGTTCTGTCTGAAAATGATCTTTGTAAAAAAAATTTGATTTCGAGTGCATATTGAGTCATTTACTAACAGAAGAATTTGATTCCTGTATGGTTTCCTATTATTATTTTCGGCCAAGGATTGAATTTTTACAAAAAGGAAGGATGAATCCAAGATAATTCAAACATCCTTCCGGAGGATTTATTAGCTAGCAAAAAACACATTTCTGATCGCGTGAAAACTTTAGATAAGTTAGTTTATCACATGTTTTATATATGATACAATTTCAAGCATTAATCCATAAATTAGAGCGGATTTTAGTCATCGACCAAATTTCCATTGTCCAAATCCAAATTAATCCGTCTCCTCAATTGTTATTTTTTCATGTTCTTGTTTTTGTTCTCAATCTCATTTCAAGAAAGAAAAAACTGATAGTTAGTCACGTATCAAGTAAAAGTACAAATATATGAGTTTTGCTCTTAGCTTTTTCTTATTGTTTTATAAATTCCTTCCTCTTTGGCCCCAGTCAAAAGACCTTTTAATTCATTAGAAAAGAGTCTGCAGGAAAAAAACTCAGAAAAAAGTCGGGTTTCAAAGAAATGGGATTTTGTAGCTGACAATTATCCATTCTTCTTTTTTCTCATATATTTCTCAAAGATCTTTTATTATTTTTTTTGTTTGGAGCAAGAAGAATGGGTTTTGGTTTTGAATTATATGTATATACATATATGTTTGCAAAAAAAATAGTGGATCACATACATAGATCAATTAGTTTGTATTCTCAAAAAATATGAAGCAAACATGATTTTTCTTGCTTGATTGATGATATCATCTCAATTTTTTGATATTTCAAAAATTTCTTTTGAAAATTATTCAAAACCCGCCAGGCTTGTTTGAGTGGGTGGAATGAATTGAAAATTTGATCAGTGAACGCTTTGAAAAAATGTAATTTGAGTTCTTTTTTCGAGCTTCAAAGCTTTTTAGAGAACTTTGAGAGCTCCATCATCAAATAATTCAATCTTGGAATGTTTTTGGAACAGCTTGTAAAGTTGTTTTCCAAACTCCATTAACGTCAAAGTTTATTATAGATATCAAATGTTCATTAGTCCCATCCACTTAAAATTCTTCTTCCTTATGTTTGTGAAACTTCCGGTTCTCTGATACAATTTTCCTTCTTCATTCCTTAATCTTGGCACTCATTCAAATCCCAAGCCCCGCCTCCTATTTTTTTTTCCAAGCTTATATGTTCGCATTGCCCCGCCCCGCCCCAACACATCTTCACTCTCAACAAAAAAACCAGAATTTCTCTGTGTGTCTCTCTTGTAAAATTGTTGTAATATACAATTCACTTACAAACCACAATATTTATTTTTATTTATTTTTTATAACATTAGTCACTTCATTTTTGGCAGAAGAAGAAAAAGAAAAGTGTGCAGAAAAAATCTATGTTTTCATTTCTTCTCTTTTTTTTATTCTACCTATTGTCTCCCGTATTTTTTGTTCAAAAATTGTATCTTTGTGAATTTCCAAGTTTCAGAGCAAAAATGACTATCTGTTTGAAACAAGCTGTCGGAAGTTCACCACAAACATGTGGAACAGCATTGGCTGTTCGGATAATTGGTGGTTCCTTTTTGTGTTTGTCAATCATTTCGAGCATCATCGCGTGCGCTTTATGGAATACTGAAAATCATACCCTTTCCAACAATATTATTTATTATGGTTAGTTTTTTTTTCTCAAATGTCTACTGTAAAGATCAGCAAAATGTTGATTTCAAAAGGTTATATGAATATTCATAAGAAATATTCTAACTAACTAACAACATGTGAGAAAAAGTGCGTAATATTCTCAAGTAGGTCGATGAGAAAAGAAAAAAAAGAGAGAGTATAATGCGAAAAAAAACGAACATCTATTCAAAAACTTCCTACTTTTTTTTCAAAAAGAATTTTCAAAAGTAAAGATAATTTCAGTTGGATTGTTCGCTACACAAATGCTCAACATTTGCATCGTTTATTTATTGAATCGTGGAATTACCTTGCAAAAGGCGCATTATTTGCAACCATTCATCATTTGTGCACTGCTTCATCTAATTATCTGGTTTGTTATTTTTCTTTGCTTCTTCGGTTTTTTTCTGGGAAAATTGTTCAAGTAATCCCACTTACTTCTTTTGTTTTCCGCGAAAATTAATAGAAAACGTCAGAGATCTGATTCATATCAAAGTTCATAAACAAAACACGTGCTAGGATAATAGATTATCTTATTCTATCCATATAAAATATTATTTGTTTCCAGCATTTTGTTGTCGGCAATCTTCTTCCTTTACGTCGTCACACGTGCCACATTCTACACTGCCTGGTCGGATTTCGGTTTCTTTTTCATATTTGTTATTCTAACCGGCTTCTGGATTATCGCAATCTCATTGGCTCGCGAATATCGTGATTATGTACGTGAGATTAATCAAATTGATTGTTATACAATTTTGAAAAATGATGAAAATTATTGTTAGCCTAACCCATCGCTTCTTTTTTATAGATAATCTACGATGATTTTCTACACGAAACATTGCCGAGCTATGTCTAACCAAAGAAATGCTTGTTTTTATTATTGTCCTGTCTAAAATCAAACTACGGGTCTTCTAATGCTTGTTTTGTTTTGTTCTGCTTTTGCTTTTGTTTTTTCTCCATTTATTTTTATTATTATTCTTGTTCCGGTTCAAATTTTGCAAATGTAAATACTTATTTTTTGTCGAAACAATATTTATTGTGATAGTTTTTTGTACATAAAATATTTTGAAGAAGAAGAAGAAAAATAAATATTTTTTGAAGTTCAAAATGTATGTACTTTTTAATCATATAAGAAGGATTAGAAGAAATGAATATTCGAAGAAAAGGGAAAAATCCCAGTGATCAGGAATTCAAAAAATTCGCACGCCAAAAAAAAAACAAAATAAGAAACTGGGGAACGAGGAACTTATTTGGTGGATAGATAAAAGTTGAAATTTCTGGAAATCTTTGGAATCATATTTTATAGAGTATTTGGAGCAAACCGTACGGATATAAGCTTTTGAATCGGTTCAAATTCTGATGAACATTTCGAAAATGTTTATTACTCGGATATTCAAAAAGGTTCTTTGAGAATTTGAGATAATGCCAAAAATTATATTTTTTTGAGGGAACTTGGTGAATTCAAATGGAAGTCAGAGAAAATCAAAACGTATTAATTCCATGACAAATCATCCGTTAAAATCATACAAATCAGAATAGTTTTATAGTTTTATTTGTAATACACAATCCGTTTTCCTTTATTCAGCTCATCTTTTGTTATTCATTTTATTTTTTCCAATAAAAACATCTATTCATCAACAGATTCAATCTCGTATGGCACGTAAAATGACCTGATACACATTCAATTTTTCATTTCAATGGCTTCATTACGCCTACCAGTATTAGAAAGGATAGACATAAAAAAATCTAGCATGAGACGATGGACTTCAAAAAAATATCCAAAATTTGTTAATCCATGCGGTGGCGGAGAAAAACTCATAATGAATGACGAATAGACAAAAATAGACACTGTGCTAATCCGTTTGTTTTAATAATATGTACTAATTATTTTATTGTCTACATATATTTTTCCGGAGAAAATTCATCATAAAACTAAACTACATATATATTTCAGGGTTTTTTTTCTCAAACACAAAATACAAAGATTGACAACATTTTATATGTAGTATGATCATTAAAACAGGATAAGTTTTTTTTTCAATTAGTTGGGCATGATTTATAGACAGCTTATAATCTGCCGAAAATTCGTTACTAATCTCAAGACAAGGATATTCCAAAAATCGAAGGTCGGGAAGATTGCAAAAAAAAATTCCAACAAAAAAAGAAAACATTTGTTGATGAAGGTCATTTCGCAATACTCAACACTGGCGCATTTTTTGTTGACACACGAAAATATTGCTCATGCTATCGCTTTTTTCTTCAATCGTTATTTTTCTCTCATTTTTCTTTAATTAAAAGGAGAGTTTTCAAACATATTTTTAATTACGAAGTGTATTATAATTTTTTTGATGGCAGGTGCACAACAATATTTTTAATCCGCTAAGGTGACATTTTTGTGTCACTTTTCATTATTTTTCCGCTTTTACCTATTTTAAATTTTTGTTCGAAATAAATTGAACTTTTTCCTTTTTTTTCTTATAGCCCACTAAATTATTATTTTCAGAAATTAATTTCGCAATACGAGCTCAAGCAACGTTCTGACGAAAAGGTATGTCATTCTAGCAAAAAAATCTGATTTCCAAAAATATTCGCACTTTTCAGATGGAAGAAGTTATCGAAGAATTAGACTCGATGAGAATTCGAGATGATTCAGTTCATCCGTGGCAACAATATTATGAATCCAATTCTTCGCGAAAAAATCTCAATAAAGGACTGAAAGAGCTATTTTTCAAGTGCAATCTTCAAGATATTCAAAAATTCAGAATAACTTCGAAGAACGTATGGCTCAACGAACCAAGAATAACGAATGGTGCTGATTTTGATAAGACAACATCGAAAATAGTGGACTATATTCCGAAGAAACCATTTGCTTTTTATTCAGTGATTTCGAAACGAGGAAATGTTATAATTTTGACACCACTGTTCAACGAAGTTGTTGCTAATGATCGGCTCGATCTTCGTTTAGTTCATCTCAACAAACATGCTATTGATCTATTGAATCCAGGAAGATTTCAATTCAATGATTATCATATTGGAGACATTTTGTGTGTTTTTAAACTTCAAAAGAAGCAGAAGACAAGAGGATCAGAAATTCTTCAGTTCACTGAAAAAGATGTTCTGAGACCAGATGGACTACACTTTTGGGAAGTTGCAGAATATTGCGAAACATTGCGTGACCTCAGTTCAGTCGATATCTTGTCTCCATATCGTACTATGAAAGGACATTTTCTTTGTGTTTCTTCATCGTTTTCAACAGTTATTGAAATGAATAAAAATATATTGCCTGGCGCTTATATCAATCAACTTCTATCAGCTGAAGTGTTTGTTTCAATATTGAAACCAGGTCAATTTTTGCACAATTTGAAAAAAGATGACTGGATTACTGTAGCGAAAATGTCGCCAAGATTGATAACTACAAATACTTACGCACCATTCGTAATTTCTGCTAAAGAAGCATGTTCAGAGGTGAAAGAAATATTCGAAAATTATCAAAATGCATTTGCAAAATATAATCGAGAAAAAGCATATGGGATATTAGAAGTTGCAGTTGGATTTGGATCAAATGGATTATTGGCAATTAAAAATCAAAATGTTGATTCACGTCGTTATAAAACAAAACTCGAAAAATATACCTCCAGAAATCCGTATGCATATTTCAACTTCACAATTTATGGTTCAAATGGCCCAACTGCAGCAAAAAAATGGAATCGTGCAGCTTCGGTTAAAATCAGCACCGAAACCGATTTTTTCTATGCGGATGTTCTTAGCGCACAGAAAAATGGAATCACATTAATGGTTCGAGCAAGATGCGCATTGCAATCATTGGATTCGGCAATGTTCAAAAGATTAGAAAATCGAACTGTTGAAGTGAAACAAAGCAAAGAATATAAATCATGTCCAATAAATTATGAAATCGATGAAAATTCGAATGCTGATAAACTTATTCAAGCGTTATATGGCGGAAATCCAATCCCATTTATTGATTTTGCTGTTGAAAGTAATATTAGTATTGGAACATTTAATCTTCTTGAAACTCAAACAAAATATGCCAAAATGGTGGCTGATGAGAAATTGAGTGCATTGATCGGATCAAGTTCATTTGGATGTGGAAAAACTGCTGCAATTGCATCAGCCGCAATTCATTCACTTCATGTCAATCCAACATCACTCCAAATGGTTACAGCTGTTACTAACAGTGCTGTTGTTGCTTTAATCGAGAAGATAATTCAATTGCAACCAAATATCAAAATTGTTCGAATTATTTCCGCTCACAACACGACAGTTCTTCCATCAACTCAATTGACAGACTTTGATTATCCTACTGTACTTGCTGAATTATTGAAAGAATATATAATGCGAGAGGATAGTTTATCACCACCAAATTACATTGCAGAAAATCTCTTGATTCAAATGCTAGCCTATTTGAAAAGGAGATCCTATCTTCAAGAAACCTCTTTCAGAACGGTTAGAATGAAAAACATGTTCCAAAATGCTAATGAATATAGCGATGAAGATTTATTAAAATTCTTTATGGAACATAAGAAACCAACAATTATTGTGGGAACTGTGGCATCTATTCTGAACTTCTTTTCAAAATTGTGGAACGCTTGGATTGATCATGTGAGTACAATTCAAATTGATGAGGCTTCCACTTTGCCGAGAGAAACACTTCTCCAAATTGCAACATGTTTTCCAAAATCGAAATATTCATTAGTTGGAGATTATCGACAACTTCAACCCTATTATGAAGGTGACGCTTCACAACTTTTGATTGATACTGCGATCGGAGAAACTCTTCGAGATTGTGTTACTCAAAATCTACTTCCGTCTGTTTATTTCAACGGAGTTTTTAGATGTCGGCCAGAAATAACACAACAACTTGGAAATCTTTTCTATGATTCGACATTGGAAAGCTTGCACATCAACGCAGTCACTGAATTGCAATTGCAAAATAGTCCAGCTCTCAATCTCAAAACTTCGAATGAATATCCAATGATTTTCATAAACACCGACATATCGGAACATTCAAAACGAGGAACATCATTGAGAAATATCGAAGAAGCGTCGACTGCAAAGTGTTTAGCGAATCATCTGTTGAAATATATCAAAAAAGAAGATATTGCAATTTTATGTTTCTATCGAGCTCAAATGAACGAGTTGCGTGATTTTGGTGCAGATAGTGGAATCTACGTTGGTAGTGTAGATTCTGGACAAGGTAATCAAAATAGGTTAGCTGAATTCAAAATTCATTGTGTTCTAATTACAGGTAGAGAATGGCCAGTCTGCATTATTTGTACAACACGAACATCAAACTACGACAAATCACCTTTCATGGTAAACGCTCGTCGTATAAATGTAGCACTTTCAAGAAGTAAACACATCAACTTCATTTTGGGACATACTAAAAGTATGGCTGGCGCTCAATTCTGGAATAATATAATCTCAACATGCTCACAGAATAACACTTTGGTGAAATCAGATGACTTTGAGAATATCATCGAACCGGGTTTGTGTTAATTTGGAAGCAAAATTATTAATATTGTTTTTTTCACAGAAAATAGAAGCACCGACTCTGACGACGAATATCATTTCATAAATTAATTTTTTTGTTTTTTCGAGAAATTGTTTCATTCATAAAGTTCTGAATATTATCGTTTTCAAAAAATTATTTCGAGCAGGTTTCAAAAAAATGTTTGAAACGTAAAACATTATTTTTTTACCTTTCCTGATACCCAGCTTCTTCCTTCACTAATAAATAATAAGAAAAAACCTTCCCAAAAATGGTTTCCCATAATTCCTTCCCCTTTCCCCACTTCTCTCAACCATAGTAATAATGGCGTCCTATTTTTTGTCATATTGATTTTTATCTACATATTTTTTTACCGAGCTGTGCTCAAATTTATCAACAAAACAAAAATTTACTTATTTATTTATTTTTTCATTTTTTATTCATCAATTTTTTCTCCTGTTATCAGTTTTCCGTTCCATTAGAGATGATTTTAGAAAAAATTCTATCTGCTATTCTGTTTGAAAACCTTGCAAATTCTAATATCAAAAAAAGGATATTTCAGAAATCGAAAGTCTGAGGTGAATGAAAAATTGTGCCAAAAAATAGGAAATTGATGAAGGTCATTTCGAATTACAACTCAAACAACTTTATGACGGAAAGGTATGTTAGCAAAAAGAATCCATTTTCAAGAATAAAAATAATCGTACTTTTCAGATGGAAGAAGTAAAAGAAGAAATAGAGTCGGCGAGAATTCAAGATAATTCAGTTCATCCGTGGCAACAATATTATGAATTGGGTACTTCTGGAAAACCAAACAAAAAAGGACTAAAAAAAATATTTTTCAAGTGCAATCTTCAAGATATTCAAAAATTCAGAATAACTTCGAAGAACGTATGGGTCAACGAACCACGATTCACGAATGGTGCTGATTTTGATAAGACAACATCGAAAATAGTGGACTATATTCCGAAGAAACCATTTGCTTTTTATTCAGTGATTTCGAAACGAGGAAATGTTATAATTTTGACACCACTGTTCAACGAAGTTGTTGCTAATGATCGGCTCGATCTTCGTTTAGTTCATCTCAACAGACATGCTATTGATCTATTGAATCCAGGAAGAATTAAAATCGAAGATTATTATATCGGAGATATTTTGTGTGTATTCAAACTACAACAGAAGCAAATGAGAAGAGGATCGACTATTTTTAAATTCACCGAAAAAAATGTTATGAAACCAAATGGAAAACACTTCTGGGAAGTTGCAGAATATTGCGAAACTCTTCGTGATATCAGTTCAGTTGAGATCTTGTCTCCATATCGTACTTCGAAAGGAAATTTTCTTTGTGTTTCTTCATCGTTTTCAACAGTTATTGAAATGAACAAAAATATATTACCTGGTGCTTATATCAATCAACTTCTATCAGCTGAAGTGTTTGTTTCAATACTAAAGCCTGGCCAATTTTTACTAAATTTTAACAAAGACAACAGAATTACTGTAGCGAAAATGTCGCCAAGATTGATAACTACAAATACTTATGCACCATTCGTAATTTCTGCTAAAGAAGCATGTTCAGAGGTGAAAGAAATATTTGAAAATTATCAAAATGCATTTGCAAAATATAATCGAGAACAAGCATATGGGATATTAGAAGTTGCAGTTGGGTTCGGATCAAATGGATTATTGGCAATTAAAAATCAAATTGTTGATACACGTCGTTATAAAACAAAACTCGAAAAATATACCTCCAGAAATCCGTATGCATATTTCAACTTCACAATTTATGGTTCAAATGGCCCACCTGCAGCAAAAAAATGGAATCGTGCAGCTTCGGTTAAAATCAGCACCGAAACCGATTTTTTCTATGCGGATGTTCTTAGCGCACAGAAAAATGGAATCACATTAATGGTTCGAGCAAGATGTGCATTGCAATCATTGGATTCGGCAATGTTCAAAAGATTAGAAAATCGAACTGTTGAAGTGAAACAATGCAAAGAATATAAATCATGTCCAATAAATTATGAAATCGATGAAAATTCGAATGCTGATAAACTTATTCAAGCGTTATATGGCGGAAATCCAATCCCATTTATTGATTTTGCCATTGAAAGTAATATTAGTATTGGAACATTTAAACTTCTTGAAACTCAAACGAAATATGCCGAAATGGTGGCTGATGAGAAATTGATTGCATTGATCGGATCGAGTTCATTTGGATGTGGAAAAACTGCAGCAATAGCATCAGCCGCAATTCATTCACTTGATGTCAATCCAACATCACTCCAAATGGTTACAGCTGTTACAAACAGTGCTGTTGTTGCTTTAATCGAGAAGATAATTCAATTGGAACCAAATATCAAAATTGTTCGAATTATTTCCGCTCACAACACGACAGTTCTTCCATCAACTCAATTGACAGATTTTGATTATCCTACTGTACTTGCTGAATTATTGAAAGAGTATATAATGCGAGAGGATAGTTTATCACCACCAAATTACATTGCAGAAAATCTCTTGATTCAAATGCTAGCCTATTTGAAAAGGAGATCCTATCTTCAAGAAACCTCTTTCAGAACGGTTAGAATGAAAAACATGTTTCAAAATGCTAATGAATATAGCGATGAAGATTTATTAAAATTCTTTATGGAACATAAGAAACCAACAATTATTGTGGGAACTGTGGCATCTATTCTGAACTTCTTCTCAAAATCGTGGAACGCTTGGATTGATCATGTGAGTACAATTCAAATTGATGAGGCTTCCACTTTGCCGAGAGAAACACTTCTCCAAATTGCGACATGTTTTTCAAAATCAAAGTATTCATTAGTTGGAGACTATCGGCAACTTCAACCCTATTATGAAGGTGACGCATCACAACTTCTGATTGATACTGCGATCGGAGAAACTCTTCGAGATTGTGTTACTCAAAATCTACTTCCGTCTGTTTATTTCAACGGAGTTTTTAGATGTAGGCCAGAAATCACACAACAACTTGGAAATCTTTTCTATGATTCGACATTGGAAAGCTTGCACATCAACGCAGTCACTGAATTGCAATTGCAAAATAGTCCAGCTCTCAATCTCAAAACTTCGAATGAATATCCAATGATTTTCATAAACACCGACATATCGGAACATTCAAAACGAGGAACATCATTGAAAAATATCGAAGAAGCGTCGACTGCAAAGTGTTTAGCGAATCATCTGTTGAAATATATCAAAAAAGAAGATATTGCAATTTTATGTTTCTATCGAGCTCAAATGAACGAGTTGCGTGATTTTGGTGCAGATAGTGGAATCTACGTTGGTAGTGTAGATTCTGGACAAGGTAATCAAAATAGGTTAGCTAAATTCAATATTCATTGTGTTCTAATTACAGGTAGAGAATGGCCAGTCTGCATAATTTGTACAACACGAACATCAAACTACGACAAGTCACCTTTCATGGTAAACGCTCGTCGTATAAATGTAGCACTTTCAAGAAGTAAACACATCAACTTCATTTTGGGACATACTAAAAGTATGGCTGGCGCTCAATTCTGGAATAATATAATCTCAACATGCTCAGAAAATAACACTTTGGTGAAATCAGATGACTTTGAAAATATCATCGATCCGGGTTTGTGTTAATTTGGAAGCAAAATTATTTATATTGTTTTTTTCACAGAAAATAGAAGCACCGACTCTGACGACGAATATCATTTCATAAATTAATTTTTTGTTTTTTCGAGAAATTGTTTCATTCATAAAGTTCTGAATATTATCGTTTTCAAAAAATTATTTCGAGCAGGTTTCAAAAAAATGTTTGAAACGTAAAACATTATTTTTTACCTTTCCTGATACCCAGCTTCTTCCTTCACTAATAAATAATAAGAAAAAACCTTCCCAAAAATGGTTTCCCATAATTCCTTCCCCTTTCCCCACTTCTCTCAACCATAGTAATAATGGCGTCCTATTTTTTGTCATATTGATTTTTATCTACATATTTTTTTACCGAACTGTGCTCAAATTTATCAACAAAACAAAAATTTACTTATTTATTTATTTTTTCATTTTTTATTCATCAATTTTTTCTCCTGTTATCAGTTTTCCATTCCATTAGAGATGATTTTAGATAAACATTCTATCTGCTTTTTTGTTTATCATTTTGTTTGAAAACCTTACAAATTCTAATATCAAGAAAAGGATATTTCAGAAATCGAAAGTCTGAAGTGAATGAAAAATTGTGCCAAAAAAATAGGAAATTGATGAAGGTCATTTCGAATTACAACTCAAACAACTTTATGACGGAAAGGTATGTTAGAGAAAAGAACCAATTTTCAAGAATAAAAATAATCGTACTTTTCAGATGGAAGAAGTAAAAGAAGAAATAGAGTCGGCGAGAATTCGAGATAATTCAGTTCATCCGTGGCAACAATATTATGAATTGGGTACTTCTGGAAAACCAAACAAAAAAGGACTAAAAAAAATATTTTTCAAGTGCAATCTTCAAGATATTCAAAAATTCAGAATAACTTCGAAGAACGTATGGGTCAACGAACCACGATTCACGAATGGTGCTGATTTTGATAAGACAACATCGAAAATAGTGGACTATATTCCGAAGAAACCATTTGCTTTTTTATTCAGTGATTTCAAAACGAGGAAATGTTATAATTTTGACACCACTGTTCAACGAAGTTGTTGCTAATGATCGGCTCGATCTTCGTTTAGTTCATCTCAACAAACATGCTATTGATCTATTGAATCCAGGAAGAATTAAAATCGAAGATTATTATATCGGAGATATTTTGTGTGTTTTTAAACTACAACAGAAGCAAATGAGAAGAGGATCGACTATTTTTAAATTCACCGAAAAAAATGTTATGAAACCAAATGGAAAACACTTCTGGGAAGTTGCAGAATATTGCGAAACTCTTCGTGATATCAGCTTGGTTGAGATCTTTGTCTCCATATCGTACTTCGAAAGGAAATTTTCTCTGTGTTTCTTCATCGTTTTCAACAGTTATTGAAATGAACAAAGATATATTGCCTGGTGCTTATATCAATCAACTTCTATCAGCTGAAGTGGTTTCTCCAATACTAACCCCTGGCCAATTTTTACTAAATTTTAACAAAGACAACAGAATTACTGTAGCGAAAATGTCGCCAAGATTGATAACTACAAATACTTATGCACCATTCGTAATTTCTGCTAAAGAAGCATGTTCAGAGGTGAAAGAAATATTCGAAAATTATCAAAATGCATTTGCAAAATATAATCGAGAAAAAGCATATGGAATATTAGAAGTTACAATTGGATTTGGATCAAACGGATTATTGGCAATTAAAAATCAAAATATCGATTCACATCGATATAAAACAAAACTTCAAGAATATACCGCTGAAATTCCATATGCATATTTCAGCTTCACAATTTATGATCTAAATGACCCACCTACAGCAAAAAAATGGAATCGTGCAGTAATGGTTAAAATCAGCACCGAAACTGATTTTTTCTATGCGGATGTTCTTAGCGCACAGAAAAACAGAGAAAACTTATTGGTTCAAGCAAGATGCGCATTGGAATCGTTCGATTGGGACATGTTCAAAAGATTAGAAAATCGAACTGTTGAAGTGAAACAATGCAAAGAATATAAATCATGTCCAATAAATTATGAAATCGATGAAAATTCGAATGCTGATAAACTTATTCAAGCGTTATATGGCGGAAATCCAATCCCATTTATTGATTTTGCCATTGAAAGTAATATTAGTATTGGAACATTTAAACTTCTTGAAACTCAAACAAAATATGCAAAAATGGTGGCTGATGAGAAATTGAGTGCCTTGATCGGATCGAGTTCATTTGGATGTGGAAAAACTGCAGCAATTGCATCAGCCGCAATTCATTCACTTCATGTCAATCCAAAATCACTCCAAATGGTTACAGCTGTTACTAACAGTGCTGTTGTTGCTTTAATCGAGAAGATAATTCAATTGAAACCAAATATCAAAATTGTTCGAATTATTTCCACTCACAACACGACAGTTCTTCCATCAACTCAATTGACAGATTTTGATTATCCTACTGTACTTGCTGAATTATTGAAAGAATGTGTGATGAATCCACGATGTGACATTGCAGAAAATCTCTTGAATCAAATGCTGGCCTATTTGAAAAAACACAATATTCTTTATACAAACTCTTTCAGAACGGTTAGAATGAGAAACATGTTCCAAAATGCTAATGGATATAATGATGAAGATATATTGAATTTCTTTATGGATCATGAGAAACCAACAATTATTGTGGGAACTGTTGCATCTATTCTCTATTTTTTCTCAAAATCATGGAAATCTTGGGTTAATCGAGTGAATACAATTCAAATTGATGAGGCTTCCGGTTTACCAAGAGAAACACTTCTTAAAATTACAACACTTTTCCCAAATTCAAAATATTCATTGGTTAGAGATTACCGACCACCTCATATTTATTATGAAAGTGACGCATCCAAACTAATAATTGATACTGCGATTGGAGAAACACTTCGAGATTGTCTTAGTAAAAATCGATTTCCATCTGTGCATTTCAATGAAGTTTTTAGACGTAGGCGAAAAATCGTACAAAAACTTGGAAAAATATTCTATGATTCGACATTGGAGAGTTTCCACATCAGAGACGGTACAGAAACAGAATTGCAAAATAGTCCATCACCCAATCTTCAAACTTCAAATAAATCTCCAATTATTTTCATCAGCACTGATAGATCAAAACATTCAAAACGAGGAACATTATTAACAAATACTGGAGAAACAAAAACAGCAGTGCGTTTAGCTAAGCATCTATTGAAATATATTGATAAAGAAGATATTGCAATTTTATGTTTTCATCGAGCTCAAATAAACGAGTTGCGTTGTGCGAAAAGTGGAGTTTATGTAGGAAGTGTGGATTCTGTACAAGGTAATCATAATAAATGAGCGGAATTCACATTAAATTTATTTTGGTTACAGGTAGAGAATGGCCAGTTTGTATAATTTGTACAACACGAACATTAAACTACGACACGTCTTCTTTTATGGTGGATGCTCGTCGCATTAATTTTGTACTTTCAAGAAGCAAAATACTCACCTTCATTTTGGGACACAGTAAAACTAAATCTGGTGCTCATTTTTGGAAAGATATTATCACAACAAGCTTGGAGAATAAGACTTTGGTGGAATCAGATGACTTTGAAAATATCCTTGATCCGGGTATGTGTTAGTTAATTTGGAAGCAAATTCATTTATATTGTTAATTTTTACAGAAAATTCAAGCACTGACTCTGACGACGAATATCAATTCATGAATTAATTGCTGGTTATGAACTTTGCTTTCTCGTAAATAAAGTATTATTTTTTAAAATTATTTCAAGCAGGTTAAAAAATGACTTCGCACTATAAAACAACATTGTTTTTTATTCCTTTTCCATCGCCTCTCTCGTTTTCAATAATAAATAATGAGATACAACATCTTACCCAAAAAAGGTTTCCCATAATTCCTTCTCCTTTTCCCACTTCTCCCAACCATAATAATGGCGTCCTTTTTTGTTTTTCGTCACATTGATTTTTATTTATTTATTCATTTTTTTACCGAACTGTGCTCAATTTTATCAACCAACAAAACTATTCCGTTATTTATTACGTTCAACTTTTGATGAGTGAATTTCTCCTACTGATAACATTCCCCTATTTTTTAGAGCTTCACCATTTTGTCGAGATAAAAAAATAGGCTTTTAGAAAAAATGGAGCATGAAATTTTGTCTGATTTTTTGTTTATCTTTTCAAAAGTCATATCCATGCAATTTCTATTTCACATAAACACTTTTTTTCAAATAGTTCAACCAAAAAATGAACTTTTTCTCTCTCATCCCTCTCTTTTACCCTCGTTCTCTTGCACTCTTTTTTCTCTCGATAAAAACACACAAACAAACAAAATTCTAAATGTCAGATATTCAAAAGGGTAAGGCAACCTGAACAATCAGTCAATTGCTTCGATAAAGAAAAACATTCAAAGTAAGCAAACACTGTGAAAATTTTCATTTTTTTTAATCAAATAATTTTCAGATGACTGATGTTTCACAACTCATGCAAAATTTGAATATCAGTGGATCTGGTCACCCTTGGAATCAATATTATAGTTCCGAAAGAAGTAAAAAAGAACCAGTTGGATATAAACAATTGTTGTCGAGATGCAGTCTTGAACAAATTCAACGTTTTCGAAACGCTTCTGAACAACTATGGCTGAATGCACCTCGAACTACAAATTCGTCACAAAATGAAAGAGCACAACTTCTGACATCGGATCTATTTCCACAGGGACCATTTGCCTATTATTCAGTTGCATATAAATCCCGAATCTCATTGATTTTGACACCGGTTTTCAACGAAGTTGCAGCACACGACAGACTGGATTTGAAAATAGTTATATTGAATAAAAATGCTCGAGACACGCTGAATGAAGGAAAAGTCAATTTAGATGATCATCCGATTGGAGATGTTTTATGTATTACCAAACTTCAGCAGAACCAAACAAGACAAAATATCAGAAGAATTGACAGAATCGAACTGAAAGATGTGCTAACTGTGCATGGAAAAAACTTCTGGGAAGTGTGTGAGTTTTTTCCAATGGGAAATGATATTATCGAAAAAGTCATTACAACACCCTACATCGAAGTTATTAAAAAAGATATTATAAAAGGAAAACGAAAACAAAAACGGGGAAAACCAGATGAAAAAATATTGATGTGTGTTGGATCAAATATGGGAAATGTATTCGAAATTAATGATAAAATTCAACCCGGTGTTCGAGTAGATTCTTATGACTACTGTTTTTATGCCTATTATCAAACCTGGACAATTTATATCATCATTGGAACAAGAACATTGGCTAACTGTTGCAAAAATCTCACCAAAACTGAGAACTACCAACACGTATCTACCAGTAGTAATGGACTCCACAACTGCTCCCGAATATGTTCAAAAACTTTTCAAAGATTATCAAAAAGCATTCGCAATTCGAAATCGAGCTGGCGCTTATGAAGCATTAAAAATTGTTGTTAAACATGGTTCAAATGGTCTGAGAGCAATACACGATTCAAAAATTGATGATAATCGATATACAACCAGAATTGAGAATTACAAACGCGTTGAGCCATTTGTATTTTTCACATTCAAACTTATTGGAGCAAGTTTCACACCGCCAGCAATGAAATGGAATCGAGCCGTGTCAGTTCAAATAACTTCTCCAGTTTGTCTACCTTTTGTGGCTGATGTTTTGGGTGCACATAAAGATAAAATGGATTTGAGAGTGAAAGCAAGAGCTCCATCACATTTCTTTGATGAATATATTTTGCGTGATTTGAAAAGATGTGAAATATCTGTAAAACAACGACGAGAAGTTAAAAAATATGAAATCGATTGGGATATCAAAGAAGGTACAAATGCTGATAAGTTTATCCAAGCAATTTATGGCGGCCGATCCCTAGTAATACCAAATATTCCCAAAATTCCTTCAATTGAAATTGGCGGTTTACAACTTCTTGCTACGCAAACTCGTTATGCTCAATTAATTGCTCATGAGAAAGTGCCAGCATTGATTGGATCAAGTTCATTTGGTTGTGGAAAAACTGCAGCAATCGCAGCTGCTGCTTTATATGCTATCAAAAAGATTCCCGAACAAATACAAATGCTGACAGCCGTAACAAACAGTGCTGCTGTTTCAATTATTGAAAAACTTGTTCAACTTGATCCAAAAATTCGAATTGTTCGAATTATTTCACCAGCAAATATGTTACAAATACCATCCACTTTGTTGACTAGATTCGATTATCCAACAGTATTGTTTGAACATATAGAACATATCATTCTGAGAGAAGATGCTGCTTCAGATAGTCATTCGTATACAATTCCTGAAGGACTTCTCAAACAAATGTTATATTATATCAAAAAAACACAATCAACATTCGGAGGATCACTAACATCTGAGAGATTGAGAAGATTATTCATTCAAGCCAAAAATTGTAACGATGGAGAACTTCTCAATTATTTCATGGAAACTAGAAAACCACAAATTATTGTTGGGACAATTCAAACAATTATTAATTCTTTTTCAATGTCTTGGAGACCTTTTATAAATATGATTTCAACGATTCAAATCGATGAAGCATCTACAGTACCAAGAGAAACTCTTTTACAAGTTGTCTCACTATTTCCAAACTCGAAATATTCATTAGTTGGAGATTATCGACAGCTTTCACCGTATTTTGAAATGGATGCATCCAAACTTTTGATTGATACTGCGATTGGAGAAACACTTCGAGATTGTGTTACTCAACATCTACTTCCGTCTGTTTATTTCAACGGAGTTTTTAGATTTCGGCCAGAAATAACACAACAACTTGGAAAACTGTTCTATGATTCATCTTTGAAAAGCTTATACAGACCATGTCACACCGAAGAAAAACTAGCAACATGTGAAGCTTGGCGACTTCAACGCTCTAATAATTTCCCAATGATTTTTATTGATACAATCCGATCAAAAGCTAGAATTAGAGGGCAATCGTTGAGAAATCATCAAGAAGCTACGATTGTAAAAAATTTGGTTGAACATTTGGTTGAATTCATTTCAACTGACGATATAGCGATCTTATGTTTTTATCGTGCTCAAATGATGGAATTACAGAATTTGAGTGAAGATTTCGGAATACATGTTGGTTGTGTTGATTCAGGACAAGGTCGAGAATGGCCAGTTTGTATCATCTGTACAACCCGAACATCACTAATAACAGACGACCAATTTGTTTCGAATGCTCGTCGTATCAATGTTGCGTTGTCTAGAAGTAAACATCTAAACTTCATATTAGGTAACAAACAATCTTTCACGCAATCAAACTTATGGAGTGATATCATAATGACCTGTCTAGATGCTGGAACCCTAGTCAAATCCTACGAATTCAATGCAATTCTCAAATCAGGTTTGTTTTGTAACAAATTTTGTAACAAGAAAAACAAATTTCTTCTTTTAGAAAACCCTATCGATAACGACCCACAAGGTTATGACGATGCATACATCGATGAAGAACAAATTGTTGAAGACGAACCAGAAAATGTGGACGAAAACGGGGAAGAATAACTTCATTTAAATTGTTTTAAAATTCTATTAATGTTTTATTGTTTGGGTAAATAAATTCGATTTACAAGTTCAAAATGATATTGAGAAATCAACAAGAATTACAGTAAACTACTATTTTCTCAAAATTTACAGGTAAATTTACGGCTGATTTTCAAAGGTGCACACTCCATTAAAACGGCTCAAAACTTTGAAAACATTAAACGATTCCTTCAAAGTTCAAACATCGTCAGAATCGTCTCTATCACATTATCTGCCCAGTTAACTTTAAAATCGATAAAACTCTCACTGAGTCATCATAAGAAACAACGATAGCCAATAATTGTTTTTTTTAAATTGATATGAGAAAACTCTTGTCATTTTCCAAATATTCACGAAAAATTGTTTTCCCTACAAAACGAAATGTTCATTAGTTTTCATCACAAAACTTTTGCCTAAAAAAGTATATCCAAAAAATGTTTTTCTATTTTTCATGCTATTCAATTTTCGGTAACAGATGTTTCGTCGGCACCTTTTCTGTCTTTTTTGTTTTTTGTCTCATTTTTTTCCAAACAGACCGCAAACAAATGTTCGTGTGAAAATCAGAAAACTAAATAAAAATTCTATAAATATATATAATAAGTATAAGTTATTGCACACCTCCAATAATTTTTAATTACTAGGATTATAATTTTATATATTTCGTTGTTACCTTTTGTGCATTACTAATTTCATTCATCATATGACACTTTACTTTTGTTTATTTTCTGTTACTTTTCTTTTTTCGTTTTCAAAACTAAATTCATTTTCAGTCAAAAATGGAAAAACACCCATGGTCTCAATATTATATCGGGCGAAACAGATGCTCTACAGATATATTTGACTCCAAGTTGGAACAAATTCAAGAATTCCGAAAAGCATCAATAATTTGGAATTCAGGAAATGAAATTCGGCAAATTTCAAACAAATCGGTCTCAACAAATATAACTTCAATGAAAGTTCCACATATTCCTTATGCGCTTTATTCGGTTGTCAAAACAAATGGAACAACCATAGTTCTGACTCCAATTTTCAACGAAGTTGTTGCAAATGATCGATTTGATCTCAGATTTATTCGTCTCACACCATCTGCAAGAGACACTTTGAATGAGGGCAAAATCGACATTCAGAAATATCATCGTGGTTCAGTTATTTGTGTCACGAAAATGGTGCCGAACAAGAGATTTAGAAGAGAACAACGTTCACAGATTGAGTTGGCTGATATGCAAACTCCAGAGAGCAGCAAACAATATTATTGGAAAGTTTTCGAATTCTTCGAAGTTACTCCAACAATCAGAGATAATATTGTGATAGTTCCATATCGTACAAGTTCTGATGGTAACTTTTATTGTGTTGGGGACAAGCTTCAAAAAGAACTGTATTTGAAACGATTGGATGCACCATTGGGAACATGTTTGAATACTCTTCTTGTTGCTAAACTATTCACACCAAATTACCACCCCGGCATATTCTTGAAATCATTAATTTCATTGAAAAAAAGAAAAGAGATTATGATGAAATGTCAAGATATTATACCTATTGATAAGATTCCATGGCTCGTTTTGAGGTCTCAAACAGCACCACATGGTATCTATGAAAAATTCGAAAGTTTCAAACAAGTGTTCGCTTTTTATCCCAAAAACAATGCATATGGGAATTTGATGGCTATCACTGAATTTGCAACAAATGGAGTTGATGTTTTTCGGAAATCAAAAATGGATCTCGATGATTATTGCACAACAATTGATCTTTGGTTTATTGAGAATGAAAAAGTTTATTTCAATTTCAAACTTCGTGGTTCGAATATTTTCGAAAAATGGAACATTCCAAAAGCTTTCATAAATGCGAGTCTTGGTTCACAAAACGAGGAATTTATTGCCAAAATAATTTCAGTCACAAAAACTAACGATCTCGAAGTTTTGATTCAAGCTGAAGCAATGGAAATAATTGCCGAATTACTTGCCGATGGTGAAACAACCATATTTGTCAGAGCAAAATTTTGTGCCGGCACACAATTTAGCCGCTTGAAAATGACAAAAATTCCAGTCTTCTCAAACGCTGATCTAATTATTCAATCGGTTTTCGGAAATTCAATAATTCCAAAATTCATCACCGACAATCCTCTGGTCAACAACATGATTCCTCAAAACATGTTGCCATCACAATATGAATATGTAAAAGCTATTTGCGATCCAAGTTTGCCCGCATTTATTGCTTCAAGTTCATTCGGAAGTGGAAAATCAACAACGATTGCAAGAGCAGCTGGAATTTTGTCTCACTTTCAACCAGATAGATATCATATCATTATGGCTTCGACAAACTCCAGTGTTCTTGATTTGGCAGATAAAGTCTCCAAAATCGAAAATATTTTCCAAGATGATATAGTTCGACTTGTAAGTGACAATGTTATGTTACAATCGGAGAAAACTTCACATTTTGATTATCCTACTGTTTTGAGAAACAAATGCATAGAAGTCTTCGAATCCCATCAGAAAGGTATTCAAATCGCTATTTATTCTCATTTTCAACAAGTTGTGGCTTATTTGAAATCGAAAAATATCATAACACCAACAAATTCGAATTTATCAAAATCTGTCAATATAACTCGGGTATGATTTGAATAGTAGCGAGTCAATGTTTTTTCATGAAAGAATCCACAATTTTCCCACACAAATGTGTGCAGTATAAGCACATTCTGTGTTTTTTGGTTCGAAACAATTACTTTTTATTCGATGCTCTCAAAATGTCATGAAAAATCATGATAAATCGATGTATTTGAATTTCACTGTACATTTCCATGGGTGTGTATGTTCTTTCCTTGTTTATTCCCTTTTTCCCATTCCAATCGACATTTTTTTTTCAACTTTCCAATTCTCCGTTCCGATTTCCACATCTCTATAGAAAAATGTAAACTCTATTTTACCTAAAAAGTCATATACATTTTCTATCAAAAATGTAAAAGAAAATTTTGCGAAAATTTTCTTTACATTTCCACTGTTGAAAAAATGTAAACTGTTTTTCGTGAAATTTTTGTTTACATTTTTGATTTTCGAAAAAATGTGAAGAAATTTCCGATATGATGTTTTTTACAAGTTAACTTTTGAAATTAAAAAAAGTAGACAAGCAATAGGAACATTTTATTGATACAATTCTATCTTTTGAAAATGTAAACAAAAATTCGCAAATTTTTTTTCTTTACATTTCTAGTTACAGCAACAAAATGTCATTTCTCTATGATAATGCAATATTCATTTCCATGGTGTCTTTTCCGAGATTCTGACAAAATATATTGATTAGAAAATTCTCAAAATACAGCATCTATTATGAAAGAAAATAAACAAAGAAATATTTTTTCATCACTTTTCAAAGAAACTTTAATTTTGTTTCACAATCAGTGAACAACTTATGCAAATCATAATAACATTTGAATCGTGATTTTTTTACTCGTGATTTTTTAATCATTACTTAAAACTCGTTGTGGAAATCGGAAAACGGAAAAAAAGGAAAAAAAAAAAGAAAAAAACACGATTCAAGGGACATGATGACAAATGTGTGTCTCGTCGCGATGGGCGTGTTGTGTACTTCTCTTGGAAGAGTGCATTTTATTTTATTTTTCTTTTTTTTTGAGAGCTTCTCGTTTTCCATTATTTATTGATCGCTAACAAAACAATTGCTATACGATTTTGATAGTTTGGAGGGTCATTGTCATGGGTAAGCAGACGTTTCATTATGTAAAAATGTTAAAATCATGTTTTCAGACCATCAAAGTCCGACAATTCGACATCTATAAAAAGTGAAGTGAATAATTCACTTGAAGCAAAATTCGGCTGCTCGAGAACATTGGTTAGTAGTTTATTGATTTTTCATAAACTTAAGTAAAATTTATCCTATTTATAGACGAATTCATGGATTATGGCTACAGAAGGTGCTTGCCAATATGATTTATCGAAATTTCAAGGACCATTTAAAAAATCAACGGAAAGAACCACAATAACTGATCAAACTGCCGACTTCAGTCCGTCAAAGTCTGTTATCAAAAATGTAAAGAAAAAATCGACAAAATATTCTTTACATTTCAAATCTCAAAATGTAAAGGATTTTTTGCTATAATTTTTGTCTACATTTTTTGAATTTTGTGAGAATGGTCTTTTTATCGACAAAATTTTTACAAAATTAGTTTCAAAATCAAAATGTAAACAAAAAATCTCCGAAACATCGAAAAGTTTCGATAAAAAGACCATTCTCACAAAATTCAAAAAATGTAGACAAAAATTATAGCAAAAAATCCTTTACATTTTGAGATATGAAATGTAAAGAATATTTTGTCGATTTTTTCTTTACATTTTTGATAACGGACATTGTTGGATTTTTGTAGGTTGTTGTGACTTTCTATCTATTGTAAACGATATTTCAGCGAGATTTTTGTCTACATTTCCTCATTCAAACAAATGTAGACAAAAAATCGTCGAAATTTTTTTTTACATTTCAATTTGCTCGAAAGTTAATGTTTGTATTTTATTTTTTTATTGCTCAATGAATATATTGAAATGAACTTGTGTTGGAACTTGTCATCAATGAAAATCAGGGGAATTGATTCGGAATGAATCTGGAAAAAATCAAGTTTTAAACATACATTCAGTCGCAATGTAACATAAAAACAGAAAATTTTCGTGAATGATTTTTTTCAAAAATGTATGTTCAAAAATTGGATTTTTTCATCTGATTGAAATTGACTCGCTACTTTTCAAATCATACCCGAGTTATATCGTTCCATATCAAACCGAATTTAACTCATCTCATTTGGTTAGGTTTTTCGAAGAGCACCAGAAACCGAAAATTATTCTTGGAACAATTGACACAATTTTGCAATATTTTTCAACAAACTGGAAACATTCATTGAATAGAGTTGCAACAATTCAAATTGATGAATTTTCAATGGTTCCACGTTCCGAATTTCTACAAATTCTTTCAACATTTCCAAATGCTCGCTATTCTTTTGTTGGTGATTATCGACAACTTGCTCCATTCAATGATTTACCTTATGTTCCAGTTTTAAGCGAAGCTGCTCTTGGATCACCATTGGAACATATGATTCATTCGGAATCACTTCCCATAATACATTTTGACACCGTATTCAAATGTCGTGAAGAAATCACACAACTTCTTGGAACAATGTTCTACTTTTCAACACTTCAAAGTATTTATTGTTGTGATGATTATGTACAAAGAACTAATCAAATGTTGCAACAGAGCCCATTATTCGATCAAAAACAATATCCGTTGATTTTCATCGATACAGAATCGGAACAATCACAAAGTGGAACAAGTGCCGAAAATGAATCCGAGAGAAATATTGCAATTGCATTGGCTGAACATTTATTGAAATATGTCGAACCCAAGGATATTGGGATTCTATGTTTTTATCGAGGACAAAGTTCGACATTTGAAGAATGGAGTAAGAAAACTGAAATATTTGTTGGAAGTGTTGATGCGGCTCAAGGAAAGACATGGCCAATTTGTATTATTTGTACAACTCGAACTCTTCCTTCACACAAATCACCATTTATTATGAATCCTCGAAGAATCAATGTTGCACTTTCGAAAAGTAGCAATTTCAATTTTATTCTGGGTAATTTGGAAACATTTGAAGATTTGGACAATTGGTCAACAATTATTGATAAGTGTGATAAAGAGGAAACCATAATAACTGGAAGAGCTTTATTGTCTCTACTTTGAAAACTGGTTAGTTCTAAAATCATGAGGAAAGAAGGAAATAAAACAATTTTTACAGAACATAACTCTCACTAATCAATATGGAAAACATTATTTTTCAATTTTATGCAACCTAACAATATCAAAATCAAAATGTTTTAAAAGTAAGTTTACTTTAAAAAAATGATTATGTCATATTTTTTCAGTCATTTACTCTACAATTGCCATTCTTACCGATGAGATTATTTATCAATATATTATACTAGTAGGTCAGCGAAAAAAATAAAAATAAAATTTCTCTGGATTTTAAACAACCCATTAAAATGTTAACCTTCTCGAAAATTAATTTTTTCTTGTTTCAAACAATAAACCACTTTTTTCAGTCACATATCTTCTCACAATTCAATTTTTGCCCGATGAAATTACCACCAAATTTTTTGAAAAGGTAACATCTAGTTCTAATGTAAGAAAAACGTTTGTAAAAGATAAAAACGTTTTCAGAATCTTCCTACAACTTATCCCGATGCAACTTTATCTAACCGCAATATTCCTATCCTCAATATATCTGAGCAATGTAAGAATTTCAAATTTCACATTGGAAATTTCAAAAAATACAAAAATACGTTTTGCAGATAAATTCTTCCCTACATTTTCTTTCAACTTCCTCAACTTTAATTAATTAATTTGAGATGTTTTTATTATTTTCAATTTGTGACAAAGTACAACAATAAAGCAGGGAAGATGTTTTACAGCTGTTTCTTTTTTCAAAAGTTTTGTTTCTCTTATCAATAATGTGCAGATGTTTAAAAACAAATCCGCAAGGTATACTGGCAATTACTGAATGGGAACTTCTTAAAGGGAACAGTTCCCATTTTTATGGGAACAAAAATGGGAACCGTTCCCTTTTTTATGGGAACATATTTGCATTATATTATCTGTCTTAATGGGAACCAAAAATTGTACTGTTATTTGGCTTAATGGGAACACTAATATGTCATGCTTTATGGGAACCAAATAATAATTGAGAAGATGGGAATTTTTTTCGAAAAAATCTTTTTGATTTTTTTCCAATATTAATTAGAGGTACGATTTTTTAATATGACTAGGGGCTGTTAGCCCCCAGGCGTAACAGTCTTCTCATTTATTTCAGTTTCACTTTTTTCTGTGATTATTGTCCACAGAACATTGACTTACAATTAAATTCATGGGAAATTTCAATTGAATTCATTCAAAATTTCAAGTTTTTCGATCAAAAAATGACCGGTGGCTAAATCAGGGCTTCCTAATTTTGCCATTGATGACGTCATCGATCAATTTTTCGAAAAAAAAAACTTATTTTATTATTTTTTGTATTAAATGTACTCGATAGGAGCTGTTAGCCCCCAGGTTAGCCCACAATAGTTGATAAATTTAGCATTTTCTGGCTCTATCTACAGATTCACCTGAAAATAATATTTCAAATAGATGAATCCACATGTTTACCCTGGATTATTTCTGACAAGTACTAGATTTCCCAAAACATGCATCTCGGTCTCTTCAAAATTCGTGCACTCTTTCTCGTTTGACGCGGTTTTTTAGCACCAAGGTGCGAAAATTTTTGACGGGTGTCAAAAATCTGTTCAAAATTTTCGATGTACTTCGAATTTCTAAGAATTGGTCCGATTTTTAACAGAACTAAAGCTTTGCATTGAGTTGTTCATTTCAAATTTGGATATTGTAATTGTCTGGTCGAGATTTTTGGCACATACATTTGAAAAATGTGTTTTGAAATTTTGTAGAACAAATGTTTTGAAAATATTTGAAAAGTGTGTGAATTAAAACTATCTGAATTAATTTCAACTTTCAGAATTCATTAAAAAATCGTACCTCAATTTAATTAATATTGGAAAAAAATAAAAAAGAATTTTTCGAAAAAAGCTCCCATCTACATTCGAAAAAAGCTCCCATCTATTATTATTTGGTTCCCATAAAGCATGACATATTAGTGTTCCCATTAAGCCAAATAATAGTACAATTTTTAGTTCCCATTAAGATAGAAAATATAATGCAAATATGTTCCCATTTTTAGTTCCCATAAGAATGGGAACCGTTCCCTTTAAGAAGTTCCCATTCAGTAATTGCCGGTATACTTTATATCAAAACTAGTAATTATGGTTTAGGAAAAATGAAATATCAGGCACATTATTATCAAACCAGTAAATAGAATAACTCAACATTTATTTCAAATATGGCATTAAAAACTTATTATTAAAATCTTTAAAATTTTGCTTCATTCGATTAATACCTCTTCTGTCAGCAACAACTTCAACGAAACTCATAACATGTCCAGATACAATTTCAAACCCTTCATTTTCTTTCTCACAATCTGAATCCAGTTTAATTCTCATCATTTTTAACATCGGTCTGATTAAACATCCTTGAACAATAACACTGAAAAAAATGACGGCAAGAGTTGTTGTGACAAAAACATTTTTTGCAGCCACTTGTTCCGGGATTGTCAAAACAACACCGAATGCAATAGCACCACGTAATCCACTAAAGCTGATAATAATTTGTTCATTCTGAAAATATTCTTAGAATTAATTTTTGGAAAGAAATAAAAACAAGAGAATTACTTACGATAAGAATGTGTTTATGCGGTATTAGACGGGATAAACCAAAAATCGCCACGACTCGGAAAAGCAAACAAAATATTATAGTGAAGATCACAAATAATGTGTTCCATGATTGAGGGATTGAAATTGTAGCAAGACCGAGAAGACTGTAAAATTGAGGAATTTATGCAGGTTTATATTTGGTAACTCTTACATAAATGTTAATGACTCCGATGAAAGCGCCAAATTTCTTGTCATAGTTTCAAGAGCCAACAAATTTCTCTCAGTCAAAATTGATTTCAAATAATACTGTAGAATCATGCCAGTCACAGCAATTCTGAAAAATATAGAATTTTATCATAGAGCTCAGTTTCGATCTCACCCAATGATTGATGAAAATGAGCAGATTTCTGAAACAATATATCCAAGATATGAAACGCACAAAACTATTCCTGAAACAATTATCAAGTCTTTTGAGAACTTTGCAATAATCACAGAGAGTGATGCAAATACTATTCCAATAATTGCTCCACCAAATGAAACTAAGAAAAATCCAAGAAATCCGTAGAAATAATCTATTGATCGAACTTTATCAGCAGCCAAAGCAAATGACTTGAATATTCCAAAAAGGACCACAGAAATCGCATCATTGAAAAGTGCTTCACCAAAAACATTGACAAATAATGATTTATTAACTCCGATTTCTTCAAAAACAGCGATCACAGCAACCGGATCGACAGCTGAAATTAGCGAAGCAAACATCATAATATCCGACGAACTCATAATAGATCCAAACATCCCGAACATATTTAACATAGACAAACTAATTCCAATAGCCAATGTATTGAAGACAGTTCCCATAACAGCAAAAACCATGATTGAATCAAAGTTTTCGAAAAATTGCAAATTTGGCATAAATAATCCAGCATCGAAAATGATTGGTGGTAGAAGGAATGCAAAGAAAATATGAGCATCAAATCTGTAGAATTCGGGTGGAAGTCCGATAATCCAGAAAATTATGGCAAAGCCAATTCCAATCAAAATCTGACAAGCAGATTCAGCAATCCTTTCAGATCTTAACTTTGCAATCAAGATTTTTGAGATGAATGTAACCAAAAGCCAAATAATAGCTGTGAAAACAAATTGAACCTCATCCCATTTTGAATTGAGGATCTATAAAACATGTATAAATAAATAACAACAATTTGAAAAACTTACATGAAATCCATCGGAATCGGAGAGTGAAGACTTTATTTTGACAAAATGTATATCAATGTCAGAAAATGTTCAAATGATAGTATAAAAAAAGAAATTGTCATAAAAATATCAAGGTCATAATCCGATTACAGTTACTTTTGTTCGTGTCCCTTTTTTCATGTAAATGCAAGCACGAAACTCTTTAACTCGAACTATCAAAATTGTTGAATTAATCATTGGATGCATTGATAAAAGTATTGAAAATATATCAGTTATTATAGAATGCAATCCAATTCCAGTCAAACCTAATAAACAAATCAATGTAGATGGGATAATTATGCAAATTATTGGTGAAATACATTGACAGATTAATAAGTTATGAATTGCAGGATATTCTAAACGATTTGATAAATCATTTTGAATAGTTTCTTTGATTTTAAATGAACAAATTATTGAAATAATCATCAAAATTGCAGAAACTATCAAAATATTCAAAGCGCATCCAATAAAAAGTTTATCATCTTTCACGAATTTTCCAGAAATACCTAACATAGTTTTGTCTTCGAATGGAAATATATCATCTTTTTTCGATAATAAAAAACAATAAAAAATTGAAAGAATATAATCAAGAAGAATTATTATATTGAGAATTGCAGCGATCGCTTTATATTTCGGAAATTTCCGAAAAATCTCATTATTACTAATATGCAAACATTGAAATATGAATGAAAAAACTATGAGCCACATTGATTGGATTATTGAGATTGAAAAAATCATCATAACAATTTTCGAGAAAAAACCAGAACATTCTGTGGAATAAAGAACTATTCTTGAATCTTCTGAAAACCAAATAGCTGTCAAATAAATATTACAAGAACTATAAAGAATTCCATTTAACCCGATAAGCCTAAAAACATATTGATAACGAATTAGATAATCTGGTCGAATTTTGAGCGAGACCAAGATCAGGAATATTGAAAAAATCAACGATGACGTTGAAGTTACTTCGATTATTTTGGCTAACATAATAAAAGTTTCGAAAATAGAAAAATCTATACATTGAATAAGAAAAAACTGCTACCTAATTAGCACCTGCGTATCGAGTTTTTTTCGACGTTGAACAAAGAAAAAATGAGAAAAACATTGAGAAAAACTGAACTCCGGTAAAACAATGAATGATACATGACAAAATGAAAAAAACAAACAAAACAACATTGACGTTCAGAAGAAAAAAACTTTTCTAGAAAGAAAACCCACCTTATGATAATGTATAATTAACTTCGCATGACTTGATTTTTGCTCATTATTTAAGAAGCACTGATTATCAAACAAAAAGTATAGCTCAAATTCATATATTCAATTTTTCTTTTAGGTATGTCAGCGGATTGTGAAATAATGGCCGGAGTTGCAAATTCCTGGTATCTACGATTCTCACTAATTTATTCTCTATTATCCTCAATTTTATGTACACCTTGCGCACTTTATTGTGTTTATCGCATTTGGAAAAGTTCAAGATTGCATTTTAACACAAAATCAGTTTTTATGTCTCATACTGTAGCTGTTATTATTCATTGTGTCAGTAGGTACATGAAAAAAACAACTGAATTTTATATTTTTAACTCACACGATTTTTTTACAGATCAATACTCCACTTTACGGATCTTTACTTCTACTTTAGTGCCTGGGCATCAGCATGTCAAATTCTACCAACAGAAAATCGATGCCTATTTCGAAAACCTTATAAATATACTCAATTTATGGTTGAGACTTCAACAATATTTTTAACAGTTGAACGAGTTGTTGCAACAATTTCAAATAAATCTTATGAGCACAGACTACAATGGATCGGGTTTATTCTAATTTTAGCGCATGTACGTAATTAGGGTTTATCAAAATTGATAGTTTTCTTTTTGTTTTCAGAATATTTTGGCTTTGTCATTTGTAGAAATACTATCAATTGGAAATGATACATCACAAATATCATATTATTGCGCTGTTTCGAATGCAGCTTTTAACATACAGAAAATCATACCTGATATAATTATTTTCACACTACAATCATTCACATTTTATATTTCAATCAAAATGATTCGAATGAACGAAAGATATCAGAAACAATTTCAAATCACACATTCCTTAAGTCAACGATACCAAATAAAAGAAAACTTGAGGTATCGAAGAATATTACGAAACAATACATATCCTAAACAGCATTTTTCAGAACTATAGCAACATTTAAAGTAACTTGTTTAATAACTGCGATATATGTACTTTCAAGTGGATTAGCCTCAATTATATCCAATATATTGTTTCTTGATGCTTCGCTTGCTGTTAAATATGGAAATGTTGAACTAATTCAATGTATTCCAACATATTATATAATTCTTATTTATGTATTTTTCAAAGTTGACAACAAAGTAAGCCTAGAATTAAATTTAGTTTTGTGTTTGTTTCGAAATATCAATAATCAAACTAGATATTATGTATTTCAGTATCTTCCATCCAAAGTTTTTCAAATAGTTCGTCATCAACCAGAAAACCACTTTTCTGGTCTTCAAAAACATTTCGACGACGCCTTCTTCCATAAACGAAAAATGTGAAGAAAAAAACGCGCGAGATTCATCAAAAGAGCTTAAAAGTGTGCTTATTTGTTTTCTTTTTTCTACTCATCTTCTTGTCTCACCATAATGGTGCTTTTATTATTTTTCCTATTCTGTTTTTTGGGTGAGATTGATTAATTTTCCTGGGATTTACTATAATAAATATTTAATTTTTAGAGCTTTGTTTGAAAAGTCAATGTGAGACAAGTTATACAAGCGAACACACAATTGGATTAGAAAATGACATTGTGAGAGTTGAAAAACAATTTCGAAAATTGAAAAATGTTATAATTTCTAGGGCGATATTTGTATGAGTGTAACATTTCGAGTAGAAGTTTTGAATACGGAAAATAACAATACAGAAGCACTTCCATTCAATTTGGCAAATGGTAAAATCTCAGGAAAATGTGCAATTGATCGAAAACATGATGCAATAATTAGTTCGACAATTGAAGAAGAAAATGGACGAGTCAAAAAATTGAAATTTGCTTTTAGAACGGTGAGTTATCAAACTGAGAGCATGTAGAAAATCAGAAATTTGTGTTTGTAGTTAAAAAAATATTGAAAAACGAATCTTTTTCAAGTTTGAATGTTTTAGAGATGACATAAAATACGCAATTAATATTTTTCAAACGTTTTCATATTTAAATCATATAGCTTACCTTTTAAAATTCTTTGCCCCAATCTTTTTCCACCAAAAAGCCCGCCCTTTCCCAAATCCCTTCTTCCCAAAACAACTAACTTCTGATTTCGCCTCAAAATTCCTCGAAACACACATTTTTGATTCCATCACCAATCGATAATCGAAAACCCGTTCATTTGCGATTCCTTTCCCATCATTTTCGTTGCCAAAATCGAACAGCACCAAAGTTCTGTAATAATTTCTCAAGCTAACCAATGTTTTCAATCAATTTTCAAATCGTCACCAACCTGAACTTGCAGCTTTTCCTTTACAAAATCGCATTTTTCGGTGCAATTGTTTGTTGGATGCTGAAAAAACAATACCATAAACAGAACATTTAGAAGTCCGCAGTGCAGAAAACAGTTCCGTTTTTTGCGTGCGAAAAAGCAGAGAAAAAACAAAAAATAAAAAAATGACAACTTGCCTGCTAAACAATGCGCATGCGGAGTGTCGTTGCGTTGCCTGGTGGAGTTTTGTCTGAATATTTTGACACTTTGTAGAATTATTCAGAAGCCACCTGTTATTTGACAAACAATGTCAATTAATGACGAGCGGTTCGAAAAAATAGATGGACTGTGGAAAATAGGTCACGCGAGAACATTTTTCACGTGAATAAATTTTATTTTATTTTTTTTTTGAAAACTGAACTTTTCGTGTTTATTATGAATAAAAATTTAGCAGGAAGTTCGGGTGAAATCTAGTTTAGTCGGTCATTTTACTGAAAACTAGAAGGTATCTGAGAGAGTTAGGCTATTGAGTGTTAAACCATCAAAATCTCGAAAAAAAATAGTAAATTCAGGAAGAAATGCATGTGAAAAGAGTTGATGAGCTCCGATGGCAATTGAAAAAAGTTGAATACACGGAAAAATATGAAGGTTTGTTTGAAATTTCCAAATTTTTACTTTTTTTCTGTTTTTTTCAGGAAATACTGCAGTTTTTGAATCGGATAACTCTTCGGTTATTTTCTCTGCACCATTGACTCAAAAATATGTTTGCGAAGATAGTCTCAACGTGACTCTTCAAAGTGATGAATTCAAGTGAGATCAGATCAAAAATTCATTTTTTTCGTTTTCCCAAGCCAATTAATTTTTATTCAGTTTTCCAATCGTCATTATGTTCTATCCGGAAATTGATGTTCAACCCTATGGACCCAAGAGTAATTGTGAGTTTTTTGTTCAGTTATTTTTTGCAATGAGTCAATGGGAACTAAAACTTTTTGATTTACTCAAATTCGATTATCAAATGGGGGAAATGTAAACAAATAAAATTGTTGTTATTTAGCTTTTCTCTGCGAACGAACTCGTCGTCGAACTCTTTCCGATTCTTTGCAACATCGTTCAACAATTTTCGCAGGTGTCATTTTGGCAATTTCCTCGATTGCTCATATCATTGGACATATGGTTCGACGTCATTTTATGCCACAAAGAAAAGAGATTTATGAGAGTCTGACTAGAAGTTAAAATCATTAATTAGTCATATATATACTGATGTCTTCTTTTTCTTTTATGTTTTTGTACGAATCATAAGAATCATGTTTTGAAAATAATTCATAAAAATCTACCTTTAATTGGGTTTTCAGGTTTAACTCAAAAACGATTTGAGTCAGCTGAAAATATTTTCAGATTGTTTTTTTTTCTCATTTATTCGAACTATGCCACGTAAGACAATTTTTCACCACCTTTCAGAATACAAATGTGGAACTACTGTAACTTTTAATTCGTCTTGGAATTTTCGAGAGAAAAAAAAACATCGGATACAATTTTTTTGTAAAACACATTCCTGTTATTCTTGCCATAATAATTATAAGATTTTTTCTATTTGTGATTTGGCACATTTTCCGAGAATTGAATTAGAGGGAAAGACAATATGAGAAACTTAATTTTTTGATACGTTGAAAAAAAATTATATGTTTCTGATCTAATGTCATCAACTCTCTTGGGAAGCCGCGTGTCGTTTATTTTTTTTTCACATTTATTTTTTGTCTGCTTTCGTTGAACCTTTCTCATCAACGTAAAAAAATTGGCAAAAAAGAGAACAGGGATTCAAATCCTAAATTTCCCAAGTAGGGTGTATCCACTACTTACACCGCTTCTTGAGAGAATACCGCACTTCGGAATCGATAATTTATTTTTTTTTAATATTTCAGGATGAACTGCACGCGGTTCATGTTGCGAAATGAATATTTCGTCGTAAGTTTTATGTGTTTCCAAATTTCATAACCAGCCATCAAAATATTTTAGAACATGTATGCAAATCCAAGAAGTTCTCTTTTAGTGAGCAGCATTTTCATTTTCATTCTCCTATCTTTGGTTTCATTTCACTGCCTTCTTTTTAATTTACATCTTCGAGTTCGTCAAAAACTTCATCCATTTTTTGCGATTATTTTTGGAATTGTCATAATTATGCACGTTTTATACACTTTTGGAGAACTCGTATCACATTGTATATTTTTGATCTTCCCAAATAATTCGGCTATGTTTTATTCGATGGTTTTAACAAGATTATCGTATTCCGCGATTTCTCCTCTTTGTTTCGGATGCGTTTTTGGTGAGTTCAAAAAATCGGCTAGACGTCTGACATATATTTATATATTTGCAGAACGACTTTTCGCTACAATCTTGGTTGCAAAATATGAATCTTATAGGAATTGGTTTCTATTTTTAGTTATAATAATACCACCCATTGTGAGTTCAAGAACAGGCTTCAATAAGATTTGGATTGAAAACTAAACTTTCAGGCTATTTTCATATATTTTGATTTTATTCATCATGACACCGCTTATGAATTATCTGCAGTTTCACTTATCACAGTTCTAGCCTGTATTGTTTTATATTTTTTCAATAGAAAAATGACAGAAAATTGTGAAAATCTGGATTTTGTGGCGACGATTAGTGTTTCTGAAAAATATCAGATTTTGGAGAACATGGTGTAAGTTCGGAAATAGAAAGTTGATATTAAGAACAACTATGGATTTTAGGGTTGTGAGAAAGGGTCTTCTACCAATTCTTATTCTTGGATTATTGATAAATTTGAGTGATTTTGTTGCTTATCGGATCACTGAAAAGATGATTGATGGAAAATCAGATTGTCAACAACACAAAGTTTATATTCCGTATATAATTTTCAATGGACTTTCAGTATTTTTGGAATATTGTGTACCTCTGAGTATTATTTTGGAATGGAAACACTACAGATCTAGTAAGTTTCGAAGCTCACAATCAAAGCTCCGCTTCTTATCTCACAATCAAAATTATTTCAGATTTATCTCCTTGTTGTCGACGTTTTTTTGGTGCAACTGGAAAAGTAGCAGCAATAACTGAAACGAATGTTCAAATCAGAAATGCATTAGGAAAAGTAATAAGCAAACATCCGACTACATCGGAATATTTTGACAATTTGAACATGCAATGGGGTTAATTTTGTTTCTTGAATCCGGGAGAGAAAAAACACCAAGAAATAATGAAATTTTTTGTTTACCGTGTGACGTAATGCGATAGACGAATGCATGGATTTTTTGCGTTGTTTTTCTTTTTTAGGATTTTCGTTCGTCTGATGATTGAAATTTCCAGTGTTCATTTCGTTATGTGATGGAAAAAATGTGTTAATAATTTTTTGGCATTTTCAAAATTGGGTTTTGCTTACATTTGAGCAAATGGCCAGTTTTTTATCTTCATGAGTGAATTTCGCTCATTTTTTAGAACGTGAAATGAGCCATGAATCAAATTTAATTAAAGAAATCCTAATTACCTAAATGTCTAGGAAAAGGGTTTTGTGTTTTGTTACTCAAAAAAAGAAACGAATATTTGAAAGAATAATCTCTGAAGTATGTGACCTAGATAATAAATTATTTTTGAAATATTGAGTGGATTATATAACAGTATTATTTTAAGAACTTGCCATTTCGGAAGATTGCTGATACTAATATTTTTTCGGAACGAGAGATTTTTCACCAAAAAACTTTTTTAAAAAACTGATCCGAACAATTTTAAAAATTCAGAAGAAACATGTGCACCATTTTTTTTAAATAACAAACATTTTCAGAACGAAATAAGTTTTTTTTTCTCAAAAACGAGTAATTCATTCATTCACAATTTTGCACGTTCGATTCAATTTCCTCCACCAATCTGTCCACCCACTCCTTTTCTTGTCTTCCCTTTTTTCCTTTTGTTTCTCATTGTTCTTGATACATCGCAACATATCCCAAAAAAAGTTTCGTTGTTTTTGGAGCTGCTGGATCTAATTCGATTTGAGGTGTATGTTGTGTGTGGTCCGAGTCCATTCGATTCTAAAATATTTTTTGCTCTCCGTATGTTTTTCTCACATCATTCCATTCCAACTTCTTTTTTCTTTTCTTTCATCCTCCTGTTCTATTTTTAGGGTCCCCGAGTTTTTGTTTCTCCGCGTTTCTTTTTTGCGTGCCCGTGTGAAGCCGACACTTCATCTAATTTGTTTCGTACTTTTTTTCCTTCTCCATCTTCTTCTTTTCCTTGCCGCCTTTTTTGTGTTAATTTGACCGAGCAAAAAGCGATCAGATGTCGAATTATTCATCTTTACTCGTTTTGTTTTTTCCTTCAAATTGCAGTCATGCGGAGTGAGAAGAATAGGAGAAAGTTCAGTTCAATAGTTTGTGTTTTCTTCTGAATATGATAATAATTATTCTGACGAAAATGAAGAATATTCCCATCTCACATTTCTAATGATTAATTTCGCATTTTTAAGTCTCCGCTTTTAAGTAGATTTTGAATGATGATAGAATGTCATTCAAGAATACTGTAGCTGAATTCTTCATTTTTTTTTTGAATAACTAGACGTTTCACAAATTTTAAAAAATCGGCTCTGAATTTTCTAAATACAACCAACAAGGTTTGATAATGAAGATCTCCCGAACTGTAAGTACGGAAGTCTATATTTTGAGCGCCATACGCGAATGTAAAATGCAATCTAGCAGTGTGGTCCGGAAGTGGACAGTCCAAAGGCTAATCCTGATTTTTTCGAAAATAAGTTATCTTCCAACTTATTTTCAGATATTCAACTTTCAAATCTGTATCTCTCTGATTTTTCAAAATCTTCGAATTCTGATTTTTTGAAAGTTCATCTAGTCTACCATTAAAATAAGAACTTCTTAAGTTGTTGTTCATTATCTCCATATGTACCTCATTTATCTTGTTTTGAACTTTGTTATTGCCAAAACTTCAAATGACATCACTTATCCCTCTCCAAGAAGTCCTTCCACCAAATTCTCACATCAGACACTATAATCAACCAAAGCGTGACTAATTTCAAGACAACATTAGCCCCTACATAAATAGATAGATACAAATTCAAGGCATCACACATCAATCCACTGATTCGTTTTGTGTTTACTCACACTCATTGCTATTATACACACCCTTTCCCCTTTGGCTAATCTAGAAAACCTACTCGCAAATTCATTCAAATTAGCATTGTTATTTATTTATTTATTTATTTTTATTTTTATACTTCTCTCAACCACACCAAGTACACCGTGTTTTCCTCCAACTACCCCCGTTTTTTGTGGCTTCCAACCCACCAAAGGTCAATCGAGTTAGCTTAAAATTAAGCGATGCGGCAATTTGTGAGACATGCTCTCATTTCTTTTTTTTTGCTTCTTTCTTCGTGTGTGACGTACACTTTGAATGAATGTTTTTTTGTTTCAGTTTCGCTTCTCAGTTTCTCAGTTTCATCTACGTCTTCGTCTTCGTCTTCTCTTTTTTTCCCTCAAAAAGTCTCATTTTTCAGACGAACGAGTACGAGTTATTATAACAACTTCATTAGTGATGGGCCACGGCCAATCAAGCGGCTTACATTTGACAGCGGTTAACAATAATGGGGGAGAGAATACGAAGGATAAAGTGGAAAAGTTATTTCGACAAAATAATCGGACAAATCGATCGAGAAGTCTAGATAATCGAACTATTGTGCAAGAAAAATTGCCGACTCGGGCGATCGGATCAAGTCATTCTGCAAGATTTCCAAAATCTCGACATATTCCTGGACTTCCCAGAAGATCTGAAGATGGACGTAAGTATCTTTATCTAGTTTCTTGTAGTTTCATCAATTAATATTCTGAAACCGAAACATTTTCTTTCAAAAATAGAATACCAATTTTTGTTTTAGCTAATGGTGCAATTTCTGGTCTGTCAAGAGAAGATAAACGAATAATTGAGACTTGTTGGTTTAAATGCTCACAGAAACAATTACGCAAATGTACCTCGGATATATTTTGGGATATTTTACATACGGATGAGCATATTTTGAAATTATTCCGATTGGATCATGTTGCAACAAATCGATTGAAAGACAATGATTATTTCAAGTCACATGCTGCCAATCTCGCATTGGTTTTAAATTTGGTTGTGACAAATGTTCAAGATCATTTTGAAGAGGCTCATGATGCTCTTCAAGCTCTTGGTTATCAACATTTACATCTAATTGATCGATCAAATTTTCAAACTATGTATTGGGATATTTTCACAGATTGTTTTGAGAGAAATCCACCTCCATCATTCAAAAAAGGCAAAGAGCGCGAGGTAATTCAATAGAAAACAAATCAATAAGTAACCTTTGAAAAATCGAATTATCTTGAAAAAATTGCAGGTTTGGAGTAGAATGATTTTGTACATAATGGCTCAAATGAAAACGGGTTATCAACGAGCACAACACGAGGAAAAATGTGAACGATTAAGTGTCCCAATGTTGATGTAAATTTTTGAACTGATTGTGAATAAATATATATCACCTTTTTTTCTTTTTCATTTTGCTAAAAAAAAACTCTGTGAGGATTGAAGCGAGATTAATATTCTCTGGTCTTGTTTTCTTTTCTTTTTTCTCTATTTTTCTTTTTTTTTTCAAAACAACATTATGAAGAAGTGTAAAGTTTGTTCGGAGCCTTCAAATGGTCGACATTTTGGTGCGATTACTTGCGGGTTAGTTATATTTAGCTGTTCTTTATAATTCAAATTTTTATTGATTGCTAAACTATATTATTTATATTTTCAGAGCATGTGCGTCATTTTTCAGAAGATGTATTTCATCTGACACTAAATTCAACAAACCTTGCGAGAAGCCATGTGAATTGAATCTTGAATGTAGAAAATTGTGTTCGATATGTAGATTTCAAAAAATGTAAAGCTGTTGGTATGCGTGAGAATTATGTGAACCCGACTATTGAGAAACACTTGAAACGATTTTCAAAGTTTTATAAACAGTTGGAAAAAAGAAAGTTTGAAGAATGGCCAAACAGAGAAGAACAAATTAGTGATCATTTCATGTTGAGTTCTACCATCAAAAAATATTCCATAATTATTCTCGAAAACTTGGAATTTGCTTTTCCCGAAATCAAAAAAATATCTGATGTTCAACTCAAAATCATACGTAATAATTTTCTACCATCATTCATGATTGCCGAAGTTGCTTATCAATCTGAAATTCCAACTCAATGGATGTTACCAAATGGTACATATGTCGATACAGAGAATGTTGGTTCCTTTTATAATAACCCGAGAGCCGCAGAGTTAGTTTAATCCAAGTTTAATCTGCGAAGCATTGAAAAATCATTTTCCAGACTGTACAGACCGTATTGGGACATAGGAATTAAAAATTGCATGATTCCAATTATCGAAGCAAATCTTGATAGATTTGAATTTCAATTTTTAGCTGCTTTGATTTTCTGGGATTCAAAACTACCTAAATTAACCACCGAAATAGAGAATTTATGTGAAAAGAATCGACAAGAAGTCATGGAAGAACTCTCGAAATATTTAAAATGTTTGCATCAAGATGAATCACCAGTTCGAGTTGCAAAAATTGTAATGCTTCTGAAAGGAATCGGCGTAGCAGTTGAGAGTTTCAATGACTCTTTGATTATGACACAATTGCACAGTTTCGAAGAATATCATAGGACACTTTATGAATTGAACGGATTAAAGTTGTAAATTTTTATTGTTTTTGATGTAATGTTATATTGTCAAGCCAAAAGAAAACCTCTTTTTAAATTGGCGCTCTCAAAAAATGATAATTAATGAAAAATTAGAAGAACTATCAACTTATGCAACATTATATATATTGTTTTTTTTGTTTTAGAATTCGACAAGTTTGAAATGAAAGATTAGGATTTCTCTAAAAATTTCTCTCGAAAATAACTGGACTCACAATCAGAAAATGTGTTATCAAAGAACAAACATTGATGTTAATATTGAACTAAATAAATACATATCACTTTTTTTGCAATAAACAACTTTGAGATGACGTCTACGCATGCAATTATCTCTTTTCTATATTTTTTTTTCATATTCTCTTTCCATTTTTTTCAAAACAAAACTATGAAGAAGTGTGAAATTTGTTCGGAGCCTTCGGATGGTCGTCATTTTGGTGTAGTTTCTTGTAGGTTAGTGATAGTTATTTTCAACTTCACAATTTTGAAACTGGTATTAATTTTCAGAGCATGCGCGCAGTTTTTCAGAAGATGTCTTACATCTGACACTAATTTCGTCAAACCTTGCGACATCCAATGTGAATTGAATATTAAATGTAGAAGATTATGTTCGATGTGTAGATTTCAAAAATGTAAAGCTGTTGGAATGTGTGAGAAACATGAAAAACCAAAAAAAGGAAAAATGTTGAAGCGACTTTCCAATTTCTACAGACGACTGGAAAATAGAAAACTCGAGGAATGGCCCATAAGAGAAGAAGTAAGAATTAATTATATTTTGATGAACGCGACTATGAAACAGTATTCGATAATTATTTCAAAAGAACTAGAAATTGCATTTCCCGAAATCAAGCAGATTACTGAAGATCAACTTAAAATAATACGTGATAATTTCATACTATCTTTCCTGCTTGTCGAAATTTCTTTCAAATCTAAAATTGCAACGAGATTGTTATTGCCAAATGGTGCTTATATTGATTACCAAAATTTTGATTTGTTTTATGATAACTTAATAGCTTCAAAGTCAGTTTTCTATAAAAGGCTACTATTTAACTTCATGAATCAATTTTCAGATTATATAAGCCATATTGGGATTTCAGAATGAATAATTTAGTGAATCCAATCATCGAAGCAAAACTTAATGAGTCAGAGTTTCAATTTTTGTCCGCATTGATTTTCTGGGATGCAAGTCTGCCGAATCTAAGTTCTGAAACAGTAAAACTATGCCAGAAAAATAGACAAGAAATATTTAAAGAACTTTCTGATTATACAACATTCATGCATCAAGATAAATCCTCAATTCGAGTTGCAAAGATTGTTCTCCTTTTAAACGGAATCAGTGTATCCGTTGAAACTTTTAATCATCAATTAATAATATCGAAACTACACGGCGTGGAGATTTATCATGAAACAATGCATACATTAAATGGACTAGAATTGTAACTTTTTAAATTTATTTGGATTAATTTTAATTGGCTTCATAACTTCTGTTCAAACATTTGTTAAATCTATTTCCAAAACTCATTCAAATTTTCAAAATATTGTATCTGATTTTGTGACACATCCATTCTCATTCCACTCAATGTTCGAATATCTTTGAACTTTTCCTCTTCCACTTATCATCAACATACTTCGAATCTATAATTATCTCAAATATAATTGCTCCCCGCTTAATAACATACTTTTTTTCGAAATGCTTTGTGCAAATATAAAAACATTATTGGCAAAATAATGCAATCAATATTCAGGCAAAGATTCCAAATTTGATAAAATGTATCAGGATTTGAAAATTGAACAATTTCTGCATAAACAAGAAAAATAGAAAAAATTAGAATTAGTTTGACAATGCATCCAAAAATAACTGGAGGTAATAGACTTTTGCTGAGTTCGTGAGATTGAGAAAGTCGGAAACGTTTATCAAGAGAAAGTTTTCCTTGTGTGCTATAGTATATATTTTCAGAAATATGAAATAAATACACAACAAGCTGAAAATTGAATGTGATTCCTTGAATAAAAAGACACTTACTCCAAGTGAAATGAAAAATACAAAAAATATGATTATAATCGCAGCAAGAGTGAATATTTTAGCTGATGCCATAACAATTGCGTAAACATAAATAAATATCAAAAAAATATTAGAACTCATTAGAACTGTATAAAACTGTGAGTAACTCTCTGAATTATGATGATTTATATTCAAAATTGAAAAGAGACGATCTAGAACAAGAACAAAGAATGGTCCAACATTCAAATATTCTCCCATTGAATGTAAAACTGCAAAGAACGTATGTAAAGCTAAAAATAAAACACATTGACTATATTTTTAAAGTCACAAAAGACACGCACGATACTCTGAACATTCTTCAGATTCAGATTCCAAATCATAAAATGTGCACAATCCTAGAATCCCTGAATATGAAATTAACACCAATAATTTTCCGAAAGACATCAGGAAAAGAGAAAATCTGAATTTTACATTGTGTTAAATCCTAGCTATAAATTTTATGTACCTGCAATAAACATCAAGAATCTTTGTGCAAACTACAATTCTAAAATAAAGTAATAAAGTCGAAACACCAAGCAGTGTGACCATAAAATGAATTGGTAACCAAAAATACATCTGAAAATATGTTTTCTAATCTATCATTCAATAAAATCGGCCATTGTACAATTTGTATAGAAATATTTTTTCCGAAAATATGCGTTACCGGATATAGGGACAAAACAGCGAGCAGTGGGACTCGAACCCACAAAAAAAGGCGGGTTGAATAGAAGACAGAGCTCTTCCCCACTACACCACGCGTGTAGATAAGAAATTAGGCATTTTTGATGAATATATATTTATCAGAATTTCACGTGACCCAGATAATCAGGAATAGAAAAAAATCTTTCTACTTATGAAAAATATGTTTTTCAATAAAATCTGGAAGCTGATCCTATAGGTTCAAGTGTAATTCAAAGCTTCTTTTAATGATTCAAACATAGTAATTTATAAACAACTTTCCTTCAGTAATTATGCATTAAAAACTTTACCCAATATTTTTCAATGAAGTTCAAATCTCACCTGTTAGTTTTGTTCCTCCCCCCCGCCCAAACCTCAAAATAAACTAACTTGACTGGCCCGTTCCGTGAGAAGTTGTTGATCTCTTTGAATGTCCTGTCCAAACGAAACATCTTCTTGTTCGGAAGCCTGAAACTTCGACATTATTTTTCTCAAAATTTTCGCCTATTCTTAAACTTACATCAGAAAATGACAATTGTGGATTTTATGGGACCGCTGCATTATGTGACTGTTGTCGACATGTCTCTAAAAAAATTAAGAACATTAAAAAATGTACCAAATCACCCCATTAATAACTTTTTCTGCTCTGAAAAAAACCACTCAAAAAACCAGAAAAAAAAACAAAAAATAAAAATGTCGTGCAAAAAAAAAATAACAGAAAATCAACGATACTCCGCGTGCGCGTTGTTTAGCGTGTTTGTTTTGTTGTTTTTATGCAGGGTAGATGAGAGAGTGTGGGAAATGGAGAGAGGGTTAGAGAGAAGGAGATATATATGTTTTTTATTTGAATATTATTGATTGAACGTTTTTTTTTTCGAACTGAATCATTTTTCTGGTTTTTTCAGAGCAGAAAATGTTATTAATGGGGTGATTTGGTGCATTTTTTAATTTTCTTATTTTTTTAGAGACATTTCAACAACAGTCTCAGAATGCATCGGTCCCATTAAATCCACAATTGTCATTTTCTGATGTAAGTTTAAGAATAGGCGAAAATTTTGAGAAAAAGAATGTCGAAGTTTCAGGCTTTCGAACAAGAAGATGTTTCGTTTGGACAGGACATTCGAAGATATCAACAACTTTTTACGGAAACGGGCCAGTCAAGTTAGTTTATTTAGAGGTTTGGGGGGAGGAACAAAACTAACAGGTGAGATTTGAGCTTCATTGAAAAATATTGGGTAAAGTTTTTAATTCATAATTACTATTGATTTTAAAGGGAAGTTGTTCATAAATTACTATGCTTAAATGATTAGATGAAGCTCTGAATTACACTTGATCAGCTTCCAGAGTTTATTGAAAAACAAACTATGAAATGTGCACCGCGCCTAGTCGAAAAAATAATATATTTGGGAAAGTATAAATATAAATAATTCGCAGATTTAGAACAACACAATTATGTGTCTGTTACGTGTTTTTGTTTTTCTCACACAAGTACAACACTTCAAAATAATTATCGGGAAATTGTTGGTTCTCTGGAAGAGAATGTTTGAATGTTTGAATTTTTGAATGAGAATTAATGAATTAGTGAACTGCTGATGAATGAGCACATGGAAACACAATCACAAATACTAATTCTAGGTTAGGATAGAAGCTCAAAGATTTTATGACAAAAAAATAATTATAACGTTTATCAAAAGCTTGATGCTCTAAATATTTGATTTTTATTCACATAAAAACACATACAATGAAAAAAAATGAGAAAATCAATTTTCCCAGAAAAAAGTCGTAAATAAAATGATTGGCTTTCAAATACCCATTGTTTCGAACATGCCTTTATGTTTTTCAAAATCAGTATACGCCGCAGTTAACCCGGATGTTTTATGAATCGCTTGAACAGTTGACTGTAAATTGTCGTTGAGATACGTTTTCAGAAAACGGTTGTCAAACGTACCTGAACTCCTTGTAAAATCATAATTATTCTTGCAACTTGAATGCTCGCATCATCTTTTGATAAGCATTTCATATTTTCGTATTTGGTTATCTCTTCAATAATTTTCTTGCGCATTTTTCGACTAATTTCTACAACTTCTTCTGTTTGTTTAGGCAATCCATCATCCCAGAATATCAAAGCTGATAATAGAAAATATTCATTCAAATCCATTTTTGCTTCTTCCATTCGACCTCGAATATTTTCATGCATAACTTTCCAAGAGGCTTGATAAAGTTTGTGTGATTCTTTATCTTTCAAATTATTTTGATTTTCATTATAATAATATTCTGGATGATTATTATCGATTAAATCATCATTTGGAAGTTTCCACAAATTATATTTCTTTGCTCGAATTGTTCCTTCACAAATTATATAAGGTGTTGTGAAATGATCAAGAAGAATTGCTTTTTGATCATCGGAAAATTTTTTAGCTTCTGGAAATGCTTCAAAAATATTATCTTTCACAATATTCCCATATTTCATGAAAATATCATTAACTTCTTTATAATTAGCCATCCTTGGTTTTGAGTTGTTCCTCTGGGAAAATGTTTTTCTTCGGAGATTTTGAATATGTTTATAAAAGCTTGAAAATTTCTTGAGCAGTGGGAGTTTTTTTGTTGATACTTTTTTACTTCCGCTTGGTTTTGCCATTACTTTCGATTCTCTCATTCCACAACTCAAGCATTTATCAAATCGACAACTCACACAAAATTTCCGATGTTCTGCTTCTAGACTACACTTTCGATCGCATCTTCGAACTATTTTCTTACGAACAACAACCTGTCGGCGGAAAAATGCTGCGCAAGCTCTGAATAAAAGTTCATAGAAAAATAGTTTCTAGAAAAAATCACCTGCACGAAATTGCTCCAAAATGTTTAGCATCCGCAATATCGCCACAAATTTCACACTTATTCGACATTTTCAAAATATTCGGTTCATTTTTTTTTAATATTTGATAAAAAGCAGAACGAACAAAATATAAAGGCAGATTTATATAATATAAACGAATGTGAGTTAATTGAATTGTAGTTGAATTTTTGGTTCTCTGCTTGCTCATTCATTCACGTCAATAATATGAGCTCTTCATTAGAAATTCTAACAGACAGAAAAAATAAAGAGTGCTGCTTTTTTATCGGATAAAAACAACAAAACACATGATTTTAGTTTCCCCAAGACACACTGAAAAATTCAATTAAGACTGAAAATTTGCAGAAAAAATCACCTGATTGAATAAAAACACAAAGTTCAAGAACAATTGTTTATTTCAAATTAATTATTCTAAAAACCTTTTTTATAAGCCTAAGGATTGATGGACACTTTTATGATGATCATAAACATCATAAATAGCATTTAATTTTGCAGATTCGTCAATTATTCGAAGAGTTGATTGAATTGCAGGAAGTATCATAAATATTTTTGCAATTCTAATTGATGTTTCAGCATCCGAATTGTCTTCATTTTCATAATCAATCAATTCTTTTATAACTTTCTGCCGCATTTTTTGACAAATTTCAGCCATTTTTTCTGATTGATCAACAAGTCCATCATCCCAAAAAATTAATGCAAAAAGATAGAAAAACTCGATTTGGTTTAAATTTGCATCTTCTAATGGTCCACGAAAAGCAATGTGTATTCTATCCCAATATGGTTGAAATAGGCTGAAAGTAAAAATATGAGATTTTATCTTGAAAAAAAACTTCGACTAACTTTTTGCCCTTTTTTGCCTTTTCGTCATTCTTGTTTTCGATGTAAAACGATTCGGGTCGATCTTTATCTAAATAATCGCCGTTTGGAAATATCCAAAAAGTTGTTTTTTCTGCTTTGAATGCACCTTCAATAAATTATGAATGGAGTTATGAAATTTTTGAGAAGTATATTTTTTTGTGTTTCATCAAACTTCCTAATCTCAGGAAAGGCAATCTTTATATTTTCCAGTACGATTTCAGAATAACGAGCATAAATCACATTGAAACTTTGGAAATTCCCCAATTTTCTTTCAGATTGTTGTTTCTTCCCAAAATTAATTGTTTTCATTTCTTCCAATTTCTCATAAAATTTCTCTATTCGAGATAAAATTATAGATTTTTTCAATAACACAATTTTTGGGAGCAAATCTTTCAACGACATCATACATCCTCATTCCAGAATTCAAACATTTCTCAAATCGACAGCTTTTGCAAAATTTTCGAAACTTTTCGGATACACTACATTTTTTCTCACACGTGTTTATAAGTTTATAATTTTCGAGGACACGTCTTCGAAAAAATGCTGAACAGGCTCTGAAATGTTGTTATCGTGAAAGTACTAACTAAAAAACAGTTAAACTAACCTACAACATAAAGCGCCAAAGTGGAATGAATTAGCAGAACAATTGCAAACTTTGCAAGATCCAGTCATTTTTTTTTGTTGATTATTCAGACAAAAAGGAAATGAATCACATAACCTAAAATAATTTTGGAAAAAATTTGAACATAAAAAGAGAGATGGTTACCATGAGAGCGAGTAAGTTCAAAACGTATAGACTCTGATTTTTTGACCAGATAATGAAAGAATTACGAATACTTATGGGGTGATTCAGTCGTATTAATTGACAAAACTCCGAGACTTTTTGGGTGATTAATTTTACATTTTTTTCAATTTTTCTTCATTTTTCATAAATTAATCTAGTGAAAATTATAATTGACAAAAACGTGAAATTAATCGCCCTAAATAACTCGATTTTCTGAATCAAAGACAAGTTTTAACTGGAAACAAATTCGATTAAACGCACCTAAATTATATGAATCAGCAGAAATTGCAAACTTTGATCATTTTCTCATTATTTTAAAAGGGACCTAATCACAAAATGCAAATTGAATTTGGCAAATGAAAAAAAAATTAGATGGTTACCATGAGAGCGGGTGAGCGTAATAACACTATATACTTTGATTTTTTGATAAAATAATTTCAATTCCTCGGAAAATTGTATGCTGAGGAACTAATTATTTTTTTTCTTAAAAATAAATAACATTTGTACGAGCAAAAAACATTCAAATATTTATAGGCAAGAAGTATTATCTGAATTATTTCATTATGATGTTTTTCATAATCAGAGGTTCATCGTATCAAAAACACACTTGTAATGCTCGAAAAAATTATAGACATATGTCAAGCTCGAAGATTTTTGTAGCGTCTCAATCACACTCTGAAAAAAGTTTCTGGTTTTACTTTTTAGTAAGTATTGTTACCTGGGTTCCTTGTAATAATAAAACAATTTCTGCAACTCTCATTGAAGCATTTATGGAATCATGTTTCATATTTTCATATTTTGATAACTCTTTCATTACTTTCTGACGCATTTCCTGACAATAAACTGTGACATCATTTGATTGTTCTGGTAATCCGCCATCCCAAAAAACCAATGCTGTTAATAGTAAGAACTCCTTTCGATCCATATTTGCTGAAGCGATTCGAGATCGTAGATTTACACTTGTGGATTTCCATTCTGCTTTGTTTAATCTGAATGAATAGATTTCATATCTAAATGGCATAACAATAAAACTCACTCATACAACTTTTGTGCATCATCTTTACTCTCGGGGTCTTTATAAAAATCAACAGCATTATCATCATCAACATAATCGCCATTCGGAAGTATCCAAATCTTCTCACTTTTTGATTTGTAACATCCTTCGATTATCACAAAAACTGTTGTAAAATTTTTGAACAAAGTGTTTTTTTGATCATCCGATAAACTTTGAACTTCTGGGAATGCTAGAATAATATTTTCAGTTATGAGATCCGCATATTTTTTAAATGCTTCATTGAATACTTTATAATTTGCCATTTTTGGAAAGGAGTTTTCCTGAAAAAAAAATATTGGTGATAAACTTTTCAAAAATGACGCACCTTTCGTAAAAATTCACATTTCTTCACATTTTCTAAATGTGTATAAAATGTTTCGATTCTTTTCAATGATATTGCATTGTCTGTTTCAACTTTTCGCTTTTTTTGCTCATAAATTTTTGATAGAACTTCTGATTCTCTCATTCCAACTTTCAAACATCGTTCAAATCTACAACTTGCGCATAATTTTCTCATCGTCGAATTCATAACACATTTCCGATCACATCGCCGAATAATTCGATTTCGTGTGGCAACTTTTCTTCGAAAAAATGCCGCGCATGCTCTGCAAAACTTCATTTTATATTTTGATTAATTAAAGCCAATTACTATAGCTAACCTACACGTCATAGCTCCGAAATGATTAGCATCTGCTGTTTCTTCACAAACTGTACATTTTTTCTGCATTCTACAAAAACCTTTTTTTCAATTGACGCTGGCAAGAGGTCCATTTTTTCAGTGGCCCGAAAAACAATATTAAGGTAATTCGTTGGAGAAAACAACTCCATTTCTACAGAATCTTCTGAAAAAATTCAACAACAACTTTATTATTTAGGAATCGTGTCAAAAAGTGAAGAATGATGTTCAAATATATCATAAAGCAAGGAAACTTCAAGTGTCTCGCTGAGAAGGTCAAAAGATCTCTGAAATATAGTTTAAAAAAACAATATTTTGAAAAATCCAAACCTGTACTGCTTGAAGTATGATGACTATTTGAGCTACACGATAAGATGCATCTCCGCGAAAATTACTCTTCTCATAAGACGAGAGTTCTTCCAAAATACTTGTCTTTAATTTTTGACATTTTGCAATCGAATCTTCAGTTTGATTAGACAATCCAAAATCCCAAAATACCAAAGCGCATAGAAACAAAAATTCAAATTTATCTAGTTTAGTTTCATCCATAGGGACTTTCAAAATATTTCGATTGAGTGACCAATAAGGTTTAAATGTCCTGAAAGTGATTATTCTTTAAACATAAACTTTTTGTCGATTTAAACTCACTCATAAGCTTTTCTCCCTTTTGAATCATCTTCATCTTCAGAATCCTTATAAAACATTTCGGGTTGATCACAATCGACATAATCATCACTTGGCAGTACCCAAATATTACGATCTGCAGTAAAATTATAATATTAATCAATAATATTTCTATGAAAACTAACTAATAGATTTGAATCCACCTTCTAGAAAAACGAATGGTCCAATGAAATGTTTGACTAGAATTTTTTGTTGATCTACGGGAAAACTTGATAAGTCATCAAATCCAATTAACAAATTGCTCATAATTATTTCCAGATCGATGTTGATTATTCTATTCATTACTTTATAATTTGAATTTTTCGGAGTATTCTTTTTTTCTTTGAAAAACTTCATCTCTCGAGTTCTCTATTTTATCATAAAATTGTATTAATTTATTCAAAAATGTATATTTCTCTTCTGTTGAAGTCAAAGCTTTCGAATATGACACTCTTGATAAAACAGATGTTTCCTTCATTCCGACAGCTAAACATTTTTCAAATCGACAGACTTGACAAAGTTTCCGAAGATGTGGCATATCTATTGAACATTTTCGCTCACAACTATTTCGGAATTGTTTTTTACTAGCAATATTTCTACGAAAAAAAGCAGCACATGCGCGACAAGAAAGTGCACCGAAATGTAAAGAATCTGCAGTTTCATTACATACCAGACACTTTTGTTTCGCTGACATTTCTGAATAAAGTTAACTGATGAGTACGAACAATTTCCTAAATCCAAAACAAACTTTCACTACGTCAGAAACACCGAAATATGTTAAAAAGACCGAAAATTACCATTGAAATATTTAAAGTGAACGAGCAAACATAAATAACTGAAAAGACATGTTAAATAATATTTACACAACTCGGAAAAAATGGAAATGAAGAAGACAAAAAGATAGAATCAATAAGAATCATGTGGGTTATTTCTGTGTAGTTTATAGTGGACTTTAGAGTGTTTATGGTCACAATTAAAACGTTTGTTCTACAAAAATTATGATTTGTTATAAATAGATATACATTGAAAAAATTTCTTGACATCAGTTAGGAAATTTGAGATAAAGACACACTCAAAAATATTTGTCAACATTGAGACGCGGGAAAAACTAGTTTCAAACAGATATTTGTCGTTTACGATCAGAAGTTCATTATGTTTTTTAATTTTCTGAAGCTTTTTAATAAACTCCCAATATCTGAAATGAAAGATGTTTTTTTTAATGGGATCCCCTTCGATTTTAAGAAACAAATAGTCATTAAAAAAATGTTAGTGAAAGTTTCAAAAAATCGTTCATTCTTTCGGAAATGTGTGAAACAGTGAGGAATGATGTTCGAATACATCACAAAGTAGTGAAATTTCGAGAGTTTCGTTTAGAAGATGAATGGTCCGCTAAACATTAATTATTGTTTTCAATGTATTCTTTAAAAAACAAAACCTGTATTGCTTGAAGGATGATTACTATCTGACCGACTCGATAAGACGCATCTCCTAAATAGTTTTTTCTTTTCATACGACGATAGTTCTTCGAGGACCTGTTTTCTCAAGTTCTGACAAATTTCAATAGACTCATCACTTTGATTGTTTAACCCGTAATCCCAGAATATTAGAGCACATAAAAAGAGAAATTCAAATTTGTCTAACTGTGCATGATCGATAGCAGCTTTTAGAATATGGCGATTAATTGACCAATAAGGTTTGAATGCTCTGGAAATTCTCTCTTTTCTTGAAATATATGAAAATTTCAAACTAACTCATAAGCTTTTTCTCCTTTTTGAATCTTCTTCTTCAGAATCCTTATAAAATTCTTCTGGTTTATCGCAATCGACATAATCATCATTTGGTAGAATCAAAATGTTATAATCTATAATATAATTATAAATTGATATTTTATGTATAAAACTAACTTGCTGATTTGAATCCACCTTCTAGAAAAACGAATGGTCCGATAAAATGTTTGACTAGAACTTTTTGTTGATCAATTTCAAATTTTGACAGTTCTTCAAATCCTATAGATAAATTGTTCATTAAAATATCCAAATCTTTTTTGAGAATATCATTCATCATTTTATAATTTGCCGATTTCGCAGCTTTCTTTTTTCTTTGAAAAACATCTTCTCTCGATGCCTCAATTGTCTCATGAAACTTTGTCAATTTGAATAAAAATGGGTATTCAGATTCTGTAGAAGTCGAAGGTTGAAACTGTGATAACTTGGATATAACAGCAGTTTCTTTCATCCCAACAGACACGCATTTTTCAAATCGACAAACTTGACAAAGTTTTCGATGCCGTGAAATTTCAATCAGACATTTTCGATCACAATTAAATCGAAACAGTTTTTTTCCAGCTACTTTTCTACGAAAAAATGCAGCACATGCGCGACATGAAACTGCACCGAAATGTAAAGAATCTGCTCTGTCGTTACATATTAGGCATTTCTGTCTTTTTGCCATTCTGAAATTTTTAGAAAATTCTAATTTTCGAGTGTTCAATTTTCAAAAAAAATATTATTTTGAAGATAAAAATTTACCACAAAATATTATTAAAAGTGAACGGAAAAACATAAATAATTCAAAAAACATTGTAGATAATATTTACACAACTCGGAAAATGGCAAAGAAAGACAAAAAAAAGAATCAATAAAAATCATGTGTCCTGTGTCCTCTTTGTATTTTCTTGTAGTCTGTAGTGTATCTTGTATTTAGTGTGATAGGAACAACCCATTTTTTAAAAAACCAAATTTGAAAAATGAACCATAGATCAATCGATTTCGCAACATCAATATGTATTTGATCGTGACATGACTCATGGGATTGCGCACTAAAAAATGTTGAGCTATCTTTTGTCTAACAAATCGTCCAACTCCTGCAAAAAACCTATAAATACATAGTTTTTTCCGGTCAAACTTTCATTTTCATTTCCTTCTCACTCTAGACAGTAGCACTGTTCAGTTCAGTTCAAAAATCGTTTCCGATAAAAAGGTGAACGAGCGACGAGATAGTATTTAATTAGTGTGACGCAGAGAGTATGGTGAGAGGAACATGAATGATCGATAACGAGTCGTTTATTTGTACTTTTAGCGTCTAATATACCGAATATTATTATACTAATAATACGTTCTATATATATAAATTTTCCTCATTCATCTTTACTCTTTTTTTCGTGAAAATTTATATCCTGCTCTATAATTTGTCTTATTCAGTCAAACAAGTCGTTTAAATTTCTTAGAATTTATCATCAAACTTTTTGCATGACCAAATATTATGTTCTGATGAACATTGATCTTTTAAAATACTTCAAGTTATCACAATTTTTTGATAATTTTTTGCATATGCGTATGGGTATTTCAAAATTTCATTATAATCATAGCAAAAAATCCAGGTGTGAGAAAGGAGCAAACACTTTGCGCACCGAAAATTGAGTTTCACACCTGGCTCACAAAACTTCATTTACTTTTTATTTTGTTCTTGAGAAAAACTCATTGTCACTTTCCCAACAAACTTTTTATCGAATCTAATTTCAAATGAATGCAGTCGATCTCCCGCGGACTTATCCATCACAAAAAATTCCGAAATTTTCGAGGTCAACCAAACTAAAGTCTTGTTTATATCTTGATCATTGTTTGATTTCTTAGAGGTCAGATATTTCGAATAATGATGCAAATTGTCTCAATTTGGATTGTACTTCTCTGATTAATTCTTGATCGCCTTTTCTCACATCAAATAAAAAGCGTATTTATAAGTGCATACAATTGAATGTTTTTTGACGTTTTGTTTGATTTCATCTTTGCTTTTTGATATCAAACGTCTAGATCGCCTCAACCATTTTCTTTTTTCCAGTAAATAAGTAAATAATGAATTGCTGTCCAGTTTGTAATGGTCCGAAAATTGAGAATCATTTTGGTGCCGCAGTTTGTCGATCATGTTCCGCATTTTTCAGAAGATTTGTATTATCAAGAAAAAAATCCATCGAATGCACAGGAAACAAAACTTGTATCATAGATCACAGTAAGTTATAATTGAGACGTGACAATTCGAAACTCAATAATTATCTTATTTCAGAAATCAAAAAATTTTGTCGGTCTTGTCGAATGATGAAATGTGTTGAGAGTGGAATGATTGCCACAAGAATAAATGAACCAATTGTCTCAAAAAACACCGATAAAATAAATAGCCTAGTTAGCAATTATCCACGACTTATGGAAGAAAGACAAATTGCTTATGGGAACTCAGTAAGCTTTGATTTTTTGAAATAGTTTTTTTTGTGAGAAACATCAATTCATTATTCAGGATCATGCACAACGTTTGAATATTGGAGATGCGACAATAATAATGGAAGCTGATTATAAATTAACAATGAGACATTTAGACAGGTCATTGAAAGAGTTCAAAAATTTATCAAAATCAAACAAAGACGCATTATTTGTTCAGTTTTATAGTAGATGTATTGGAGCCGAAAGTTTTTATCATACTTTGAAAGATGGAGATATGAATGAGACATATATGAATACGGGGGATAGTATTTTACCGTGTGAAACATTTTTCTGTGGAAAGAAAAAACATCCGAAATTAACGGATAAAGAAATTGGACAAATGTTTAAACCATTTTGGGAAATGACAACATTACAAGTTAAGCAACCTTTGGCTCATTTGAAATTAGACACTTTTGAATTTGCTTCCTTGGTTGGATTGATGTTATTTGATGGAAGTTATATGGGAATTGATGATTATTGTGTTGAAATGTGTTATCAAATAAGAAATATTATATTTCGTGAAATCTGCGCTTATCATCGTGAGAAAAATGAATATGCAGATCCAGCTGTAAGACTCGCTGAAATTGTTAGCGCATTAACACTAATGGAGGTGAGTGTTATGTCGAAAGAAATGAATAACGGATGTGTTCAGAAAGCAAAATACAATTTACAACAACAATTACAACTTTGTTGTCTTCACAAACTCGATCACAATGAGCAAATTTGTTTGATTTTCAATGCGTTTTCCTAAATTTCTGCAGTTTGGATGATTCCGATAAATGGTGAGTTTATATTTCGTGGTTTATGACCAAACGCCGATTAATACTTTGTGACAAGTTTGATCATCTAAACTAATGTGTATGTAAAAAAAATGAGAGAGAAGATAGAAATAGAGAAAACTTCTGAAGTTTCAGTTTATTCAAAATTCTGAAAAAAATTGAGGAAAATTTGATTTTGACATATTGAAAAATGAAGAGAAGTAAGTAGTTTAGATATTGAAAACACATTTCATTTAATTTATCTTCTGTATTTTTAAGTTTGAATAGTTCCCTTCAAAAAGTGTCAAATCAATAAGATTTCATCGTTTTCAAACGGCCCAATTTCACAAGAAAGGCAAGTGCGCCAGATAAAATCAGTTTTCGCAAAATTTAGTTATTCGATCTTTTCTCAAAATGTCATTCATATTAAATCGATAGTTCCACTCGATATCAAAAAAATTGATAAAAAATCAATTCAAGTATTTGTTCTTCGCATATGTTGTTTGCTCTCGATTATTTTTGTGTTTCATAATGAATAGATATCATGTAACTTTTGTTTTTATTTTTGCATCTTTGATCTTCTTTTGTTCCTATTTTCTATTTTATCAAGATGTACCTAATATGAAACAACACAAAAAGTTGTGTTTTCACCCGATCAACATTTTTATCTTCACAAATCTCTGTTGGCCAATTATTTTTCTCACAGAACTAAAATGCATACAAAATAAGTCTAATTTTCTGTGCCAAGTTATTATTCGATTTTTTTTTCTCTTCAATTAAAATTTTTTTAGATGATTTCTTGTGCTGTTTGTGGTGCTCAAGTTATCGAAAGTCATTTCGGAGCCATGGTTTGTCGTGCCTGTTCGGCATTTTTCCGAAGATATGTTCTATCAAAAAACAAAACTATATTATGCGAGAAAAATGAGAATTGTGTCATCAATCGGAGTAGGTGAATTTGAAAAAACATGATTCTTCAGAAATAATACAAAAACATTTTAGATATCAAAAAAATGTGTCGATTTTGTCGAATGGTAAAATGTCTACAAGTTGGAATGATTCCGACAAGAATAAATGAACCAATAATTTCGAAAAGCACCGATAAAATATTGGAATTATTGAATAACTATACACGTTTCCAAGAAGAAAGATTTATCGTTCATGGACCATCGGTTAGTTGGTTTTGCCAAACATAAAAATTACTTTGAGATTTGTGTCAAAAAAATTTTTTTTTGAAGGTTGAAAAAATCAATTTCTTGACTGCATCTACAATAATGGAAGCAGATTATCGATTAGCACGAAACCATATTGAAAGATCATCAAAAGAATTTGTGAAAATTCCGAAAAAGAATCAAAATGCGCTATTCGATCATTACTATACTGGTTGCATTGTTGCAGAAGGTCTTTATTTTGTTGTGAATTCTGGAAGAACTGATAGATTTTGTGGACAAACTGGACGACAAACATTACCAATTGAACAGTATTTTCTTGGCGAACATAAAAATACAATTCTCACCGATACTCAAATTAATGATATATTTCAACCATTTTGGAGAAGAGGGCTAATTGAACTTGTCAATCCATTAATTGAATTAAAATTAGATTTATTCGAATACACATCACTTTTTGTTTTGATGTTATTTGATGGAAGTTCGAAAGGAATCGACGAGGAATGTGTTGAAATATGTTATCAAATCAGAAACATTATTTTTCGAGAGATCAGTTCATATCACAAAGAGATAGATCATCCTAGACCATTTGATCGGATGGCTGATATAATGCATGCATTGACATTGATGGAAAAAGGAAAACAAATGTTGGCTGATCAATTTACACTTTGTTGTTTACATAAATTGGATCACAATGAACAAATCTGTCTAATTTTTAAAGAAACTTTGCAATAATTTTATGTTAGATTATTTTTGTCTTTCATTTTTTAACCGGGTTTTTGAATCGGGTAATTATTTCGTTTATGAATGAATAAATTGTTAATTTGTTAAATTAATTGTTAATTCCTTTTTCGAACAATAAAAACATTTTGTCGTAAAAAATGTTCAAAAAATGCCATTTTTTTGCAAATTTGTTGATTTTATCTGTTTTTCTTCGGTCTTATTCTACTTGAAAGAATACCTTTATCAGATAATTTTAGAATTCGAAAAGCCGAACAAAATTTAATCAATAAAACTCACTTTTTAATGAAAAAATTCTCCCAGAATTTCAATAAGATAACTAATGAAATACTCATTGTTGAAAGTCGTTATGTTTGTTAACTTAGTATGTCTCAACGTACTAGTTTTCTCTCGCACATAATAAACACACACTTAACTTGAAACTTGTACTTTGTTTTTTTATCTTTCATAGTTGAATGTTGAACCAAACCAAAAAACATTCATATTTTGGTCATTTTTATCTTACAATCGATCTTGTTTGGCCGAAATAATTTATTTTCTTGCATAAAACGAAGGTTAACTTTTATATTTTAGTTTTATTTTCTAGTAAAATAAACGTCTCCTGTTTTTTGCTTCACTTATCATTATTTTCAGATAATGCAATGTGCTGTTTGTAGTGCACAAGTTATCGAAAGTCATTTTGGAGCAATGGTTTGTCGTTCGTGCTCTGCATTCTTTAGGAGATATGTGTTAACAAAAAAGAAACGAATAGCCTGTAAAGCAGAGAAGACATGTTCCATAAACCACAGTATGTTAATAAATTTTATTTTGATTTAATCCTTTATTTTTCTAGATATAAGAAAAATGTGCCGTTTTTGTCGAATGGCGAAATGTCTCCAAGTTGGAATGATTCCAACAAGAATAAATGAACCAATAATTTCAAAAAATACTGATAAAATATTGGAAATGTTGAGTAATTATTCACGTTTACAAGAAGAACGATTGATTGCTTATGGAATGTCGGTTAGTTTTTCTGAACTTGTATTGCACAGCGTTCTCAAACCATCGAGAAAAAATCTTCATAACGTAAATTTTTTTAAGGATGAGAAAGTAAACTTTTCGACTGCAACTACAATAATGGAGGCTAATTATGGGATATCAAGAAAACACATTGAAAGACTCTCGAAGGAATTCACGAAACTTTCAAAAAAGAATCAAAATGCGTTATTTGATCATTATTATACTGGTTGCATTGTTGCTGAAAATCTATATTGTGCTGCGACATCTGAGAAATCAGAAAAATTCCGTGTTCACACTGGGCGAGAAACATTACCAATTGAACAGTATTTCCTGGGAGAAAACAAAAATACATATCTCACTGATATTCAAATAAATGAAATGTTCAAACCGTTTTGGATTAACGGAATGAATCAAGTTGTTAAGCCATTGCTTGAATTGAAATTAAATACTTTTGAAATTACTGCATTATTTGGTTTGATGTTATTCGATGGAAGTTCAAAAGGAATCGATGATGATTGTGTTGAAATATGTTATAAAATAAGAAACATCATATTTCGAGAGATCACTGCCTATCATAGAGAAACTGAACATTCTCGATCATTCGATCGAATGGCTGATATTATGTATGCACTAACGTTGGTTGAAAAAGGAAGACATCTTTTCGGTGAACATTTGATATTGAGCTGTTTACATAAATTAGATCACAATGAACAAATCTGTCAGATTTTTAGAGAGACTTCACTATGATCAAATAATTGTATTTTCATTTGTTACGAGTATTCTAATCATGTGTGCATAATGAAATTTTTTGAAAATTATACATGTATTATTCATTTCGAAGACTTGACAAGTCTTTTGAAAAGTGCGAATCTTTGTGGTTTGTGATAGATTGGTCTAATTCAATCATCACTTATCTAATGATTGATGTGGTCGACAAAACAACAGAATGTACTAGTTTCGAGGAAAATCATTTTTTGTGCTTACAATTAGATTTCGAAAAAAAGAATCAATGAAAGAAAGTTCATAAAAATTGTTCAAACTTTGAAAATAACCACCAATTATTGTTTTTCTTCAATATTTTTAAAATAACGTTTCTCTGTTCTTTTGACCGTACTCATTTGTTTTTTATCAAGATCTCTACAGAAAAATTGTACGACAAAAATTATATCTTTTCTTTCAATCTTTTTCTTCTCGCTAGCAAATTCCACGTGTTATTAAATAATCGAATAAAATCTATTTTTTTAATTGTTCGAGCAACTTCGAGAGCACAACATATTCATTATTCAGATGTTAAGTTTGTGGTGTTTGATTTATCGAAAGTCATTTCGGAACAATGGTTATTCATTCGTGTTCCAGAAATTTCACAATAGCTAATCATTCATCTTTTCATCGTTTGTGACGGATATTAAAATTGGGTTATATAAAGATTGCTACATATGACTTTGTTTTTGAATAGAAACGGAGAAAAAACGTCAAAATATGAAATTTTGAAATTCGATTACAGCTAAATGTTGCCCTTTTATGAAGTTTTGTCTATTTTCCAATGAAAATCATTGAAGCAGGTTATTTTATTTCCACCTGTCTAGGTTTTTGCAAAATAGAACATCAGACTTATTGAAAGTTCATTAGATTTATATTATCTATTTTCTGATGAGAATCTCACGTCACCTTGTTAATTTCAATTTTCATCAAGGTTTTTTCCATCTATTCTTTCTCCTTTCTTTTTTAAAAGCGATTTGTTGAATTCATTTTTTAAAAACATCGAATTAATATTTCAGATGATGAGATGTGCTGTTTGTAATGCTAAAGTTATTGAAAGTCATTTTGGAGCCATGGTTTGTCGTGCCTGCGCAGCCTTTTTCCGAAGATATGTTATTGCAAAAAGTAGTCTAATAACTTGTTCAAATGAAAAGAAATGTGTTATTAATATAAGTAAGTTTCTTTTTCATTTTTTATACTATTTGAACTTTTTTGTAGATGTCAAAAAAATGTGTAGATTTTGTCGAATGGCAAAATGCTTGAAAGTTGGAATGGCTGCAACAAGAATTGAGGATCAGATAATATTGAAAAGCACTGATAAAATATTGGCATTTATGAAAAACTATCCACGTCTACAAGAAGATCGAATGATTGTTCATGGCCATTTGGTTTGTTTTTTTTCAAAATTCCGAGGTTATGAAAAAAAGTTGTTTTTTAGGAAGAGAAAATTAATTTTTCCACTGCAACAACAATAATGGAAGCTGATTATCGAATATCAAGAAATCTTATCGAAAGATCATTCAAAGAATTTGGGATTATAAGGAAAAATAGTAGAAATGCGATATTTGATCATTTTTATACTCGTTTTATAGTAGCGGAAAGTGCTTTCAATGTTGTTAACTCCAATAACACGGAAAACTTCCGTGTAAAAACTGGACATGAAACATTGCCAATTGATAAATTCTTTCTTGGAGAAAACAAAAAAACAAAACTCACAGATGATCAAATCAATATTATTTTTGAACCATTTTGGAGAAAAAGCATGACTCAAATTATCAAACCATTTATTGAATTGAAACTTGATGAATTCGAATTCACCGCAATGCTCGCAATAATGTTGTTTGATGGAAGCTACAGTAGAATTGATGATAATTGTTCAAAAATGTGTTATCGAGTTAGAAATATCATTTTTCGAGAAATCAGTTCATATCACAAAGAAATAGATCATCCAAGATCATTTGATCGAATGGCTGATATTATGTATGCAATAACATTGATGGAAAAATCCAGACAAATTGTATCTGATCAATTAACATTATCTTGTTTGTTCAATTTAGATCACAACGAACAGATCTGCCAAATTTTCAAAGAAACATCGCAATAGCTGCTCAATATTGTGTACTTTTTGACGGGTATTTAATCAGGGTATATAAATATTGTCATAAACTAGTTTTTATTTCAAAGTTTCACATTGTTTTTACCGAATATTTGTAGATTATTGACTATTGCAACAAATCCATCAGACAGACTTACAACGATCTCTGGAATATACGCGTATAGTTTTCCTATTGGAACCACCTCGTTTTCACTCTTCTCCGTTCATACTTCGATCGCAGTTTCGTTTCTATCAAGATGTACGGAACACAGACTGTGTATCTTTTTCCAATCGATCTCATTTCTTTCACATTTTGATACATTTTCCGTATTATTTTGAAAATAATGACAAGCTGTGAAGTATGTGGTGCTCGAGTTATCGAAAGTCATTTTGGAGCAATGGTTTGTCGTTCGTGCTCTGCTTTCTTCCGAAGATATGTGTTAACAAAAAAGAAACGAATAATTTGTAAAGCAGAACAGACATGTTTAATACATCACAGTGAGTTCATTTTCTCCTACTTTGAAATTTTGATGTATTTTTTAGATGTCAACAGAATGTGTAGATTCTGTCGGATGAAAAAATGTTTGCAAGTTGGAATGGCCGCAACGAGAATCAATGATCCAATAATTTCAAAAAGTACTGACAAAATTTTGGCATTTATGAATAACTATCCACTTCTACAGGATGAAAGAGCTATCACTTATGGCAAATGGGCTGGTTATGTAAGCTCGACAATCAGTTAATCACTATCTAAAAATTGATATTTTTAGGATAAAAAAATTAATTTCGCCACTACTACTACAATAATGGAAGCCGATTATCGATTATCAAGAAATCATATTGAAAGATCATTCAAAGAATTCATATGTATACGAAAAAATAATCAGAATGCATTATTTGATAATTTTTATAGTCTTTTGATGGTTGCTGAATCTGCTTATAATGTTGTGAATTCTGGAACAACTCAAAATTATCGTGCAAAAACAGGACATGAAACATTACCGATGGATCAATACTTTCTAGGAGAAAACAAGAACACTAAACTTACTGATGTAGAAATTAACAGACTTTTTGAACCATTCTGGATGAAAGGAGTGATTTACGTCATCACTCCACTAATGGAATTGAAATTGGATTTTTTCGAATTCACAGCAATCCTTGGTTTGATGTTATTTGATGGAAGTTCAAAAGGAATCGATGATGATTGTGTTGAAATATGTTATAAAATAAGAAACATCATATTTCGAGAGATCAGTGCATATCATAGAGAAAATAAACATTCTCGATCATTCGATCGAATGGCTGATATTATGTATGCACTAACGTTGGTTGAAAAGGGAAGACAAATTATGAATGACCAAATAACATTGTGTTGTTTACATAATTTAGATCACAATGAACAAATCTGTCTAATTTTCAAAGAAACTTCACAATAATTTCATGATTTTTATATTACATTTTCTCCGATGGTGTTTTGATCAACTTGTTGTGATAATAAATTGTATTACTTGTAGACAGATCATATTATCAGTATTAAAGCTATTCTTTATTCCGGTGTACTTCTACTGCTTCGAATACTTCAAGTCCTTATTCGTTGTGATAATAATATTAAATACATAAGTACAAATTCCCTTAAAATTAATTTAAGGCTTCACAGATCACAAATATTTTCAAAGTCCCAAAAAATGTGTACTTCGTTGTTGATACTGTGTGTAGCCCACATTATTATTTTTAATCATGTGTCTTCTTTCATTCTTTTTTTTTGGAATACAAACTAAAATTCGCGGAGTTAATCAAAGTGTTTTCTGTTTTTCCCATGAAAAAAAAATTCACCAATTTATTTTTTGCTGTTTTATCAAATAAAACAACGGAGCAAGTTATTCAATTTTCCGGAAAAAAATCGTAGATTTCAAAAAGTAGTAATTATCTATCCTATTATTCATTATTCGACCAAAAGCTGTCTGAATAAATAGTAACATAATTAGTTTTTCTGGCTGGAAAACAAGTTGTTTTTCTGAAAACAAATCCTGACCATTTTTAAAATAATTCCACTTTCATAATGTTTCTAGAATCATTGAAACTGAAGCCGGAAATTTGAAGGAAGTCCTAAAATGTTGTAAAATCATTTCAAATAAGATTTGATTTGGAATATACGTAATTTTAGTTTTCATTTTATTTTCAAATTCTAAATTGGTCTTTGGTTGCATCCATATGCGAAATTAATGAGGAGACTACTATTCAAAATTCTAATTTGTATGTTGTTCATCTTCATTCCTCTATTTTGTATGCACTTTTTCTATAAATTTTGAACTTTTATCTTCTAAAAAACTGCCCACGTCAACCAAATCAAAAGCAATTCATTGAAAAATCCTTTTTAACATAACTTTTTTCTGATTTTTTATAAAGGATAAACATCCGCTAAATATTCTCATTTTGAACTTTGATACAAGTTATTCCAGACCTCAATGTTGCTGCTCCATTATATCAATCTAACCTATTTTCGAGATACAAAAACTCATTGGGAAGCCATACAGTTCTATATTTATTTTGAATTTTTTCTTTATCTTATTGAGTAAGTGGATTTCACAACTGATTTTTTGAGAGTTTTCTAATCGGACCAAGGACTTTTAATAGAAATCGAATCACCGCACAATTTTCAAAAGTGGTTTCGGAATTTTTTCTAAAAAAAACAAACTTGGTACGATTCCAAAAATCTTCAATAATAAAATTTGATTTTTTCAAATATTCATAAATTACAGTACCCTTCAATGCGCATTTTTCTTCTGGGTTTCTATAACCGCAAAACAGTTTCATTACAACTTCCGCCTCATTTTATCGTGTATTTATATGATTCATTGTTGTGATAATTTTATCATCATAATCTTGAAGCTAATTCTGATTTTTCGAATCGATGATGAAAATCTGACAAACATGTGGTATTTTGCTGTTTTGATGCATTTAACAATAATGTTCGTTATGATGGCAATGTGTGTTATGCCTTTTTTGATTTTTGAAAGATTTTTCGCGACTTTATATTTGAGTGATTACGAACAGAAAGAACGGAAACACATTGCACCAATATTGATTACTTGTATGATTTCATGTGGAATTATTTCGAGTTACTGTGTTCGAGATAGTAAGTTTTTCATATTAATTTTAAAGAGAACAAAAACAATCAACTGAAAATTTCAGAGGCGAACACAGCTTATGTCCTTCTTACACTCTCAGTTTTCAACGTTTTTGCAATCTCAGCTTTGCTTTATATGAGAATTTACAATAAAAAACAGTATAACAAATCTCACAACCTTGGAAACAAACAATATTCTTTGACAAAACGTTTTCAAATATCCGAAAACATCAAAACTCTTAAACTTCTAACAACAATCATTTTCTATATGGGTTTTATGGATGGCCTCGTATTAGGTAGTATTTTAATATCAAGCTTTGATGTCGATCAAAAAACTCAAGCAATTTGCACAATTGTTTTGGATGTTTGCATTTTTACATATAGTAATTCGCTTTCATATATAATTATCTGCTTTTGTGAAAAGTGGAAAAAACTTGTATATGGAACAATTTGCAAGGTATGTTGAGATGAGATCAAAATCCAAAATAACAAATGTTTATTTTAGTCTGGATGTGCTCAACAGACCAATGTTCAACCGCTAAGAGATTCATTTGGAACACAAATGAATGAAAGAGTAACACTTGAATCACATTTCAAAAGTTTGCAAAACACGTGGAAATAAATTGTTTATTTGTTTTGTTTTTTTTTCATTAATTTGCATAAAATTTGTTATAAAAATGGTTGAATATTAATATCGGGTAAATTCCTGCAATCTACAACTCGACTCAAAACGTGGAAAATTTGAGTGCTCACATTTCTCGCAAATGCATCAGTGTTTTCACAAACAGTTTTTGAAAACGTCGATTTTCTGATTTCGGCAAGTTGTGAATCCGTTAAAACACCTCGATTTTCATAGAAAAATCTATCTCCTTTCTTCAAAGCCATAAAACCTTCTCCAATCATATTTGCTCCAGTTGGCCCAATTATTCCTCCATCCATGTGTTTTTCAGTCAGAATTCCAACGTATAAATCAATATCACCAACAATTCTATAAACATTTCGGAGTAAATCAATATTTTCTTGTGTAAATTCTGATCTCAAATCATTGAAACCTTTCACTTCTGATAAACCCGAAAATGTTCGATATGAAGTATATGGGAGTAGTCCAATATCCCGTCCTCTCATAATATTCATAGCTGCCATATCGACACCTGAACCCTCTTGACCACGTATTCTAAACATTTCATTTCTCATTGAAAATGAGAAATCTTTATCAACTTCCATTGATTCAGATCTGATCATTCCAATCAAAATAGGTTCCCATCCACCAATTCCATCCAAATACATTTGACTGGCGTAGAAAATATCATTTCCAAGTCTGTAATCACCACTAGGATGACCATTCCGATCGATTCTGAAAAGTTTCATTCAGAATTTCAATATAACGTATTGTGTTTGTTACCTTTGGAATCTATTTCTAACTTGACTATGACCAAATCTAAATGCAGCTCCAGCAAATTCATTTGTTAAAGATGGATCTTGATTTCTATCGTATCCCCGATAATTTCCTCTTGCTAATGGAACAATGTCAAACTTTCGCCTGACTGCCATTGGTAGAATATTTGGTAAATACTCCGAATAAACAAAATGCTGCCATTGAGCAATCATAATTTTGCGAGCAATTTGGAAAATTTGCTCATCTCTCAAAGTATTTCTTGCCTGTCTAATCATTTGTGCAAGTCGATTATGTTGTTTGATAAAAATTGTATGAATGGGAATAAGGGCTGGATGGAGACTATTTCGGAAATCACCACATGTGAAACAGTATTTTGGAGATGTAGATTGACAATTTTCGTCTTCTTTATTTTGTGGTGGAAGTACATAATTAGCATGTCTGTATTCTAACAATCTCCCATCTTTAAATTCTCGAACTGTCACAGCTTCACAATCTTCTGATCCATAAACAGCTGATAAATCAATAAAATGTGTATTTTGATTTATTTGTTGTCTGATTCCAAATCCAGTCTGGCCATTCAACGCTCTTGTCAAACGAATACAATTTATCTTGAAATATGGATCATCAGATGGAACTGGAATTGGTGCACAATTTGGAGATACTGTTGTTGGTGAATCACATTGAGTACAATTCAAATCTCTACCATTTTGTGCGACTGAAGAAGGCATAAAAATTATGTCGTGAGCCAAAAATTGCCCCATTTGCATTAGAAGATGGTTGTATGTTTTGGAAGTAGTTTCTCGATTTCCAGAGTCATGAATTCTATTTGAAATTTCTCTGGCAGATGGCAGAACTCGTCCTGTCGACCCTCTTGTTCGAATTCTGTTCAATCCATCAGAATACAAAACTGATCCCAAAAGTCGACGAGTTGTTGTTTCAGCACTTCCCCATGTTGGATTTCGTATGTTATTGCAAGCACCACTAATTGTACGAGTTGTTTGACTGAAACATTTATTAGTTCACAACGAACAAAGAAGAGAGTTTCTTACTGAAATGGATCTGAACAGGATTGTGGAGGCGATGGACATTCAGCATTTCTTTTTTCTCGAATAACTTCAGCAGCAGATTGATTTTTCCAAGATTCAGCGATTTTATTCGCAATTGGAATAATATCAAGCCCATATTTGCTGACTAAAACTTGAGTTGCTTCTTCAAAAATTTCAGCATGTGATTGAATAATTTTCGATGCTTCGTTTGCTTGTTGTGAATTCGGTATATGATGTTCTTCAACGACAACTTGTTTGGCTTGAAGTTTTGAAAGAATTTCGATTGCATCCATAACAGCTTCTTCCACATCAGTGATAACATCACATTGAACCACAACAATAATTGAGAGAAGATTTATGAGAATCATGATCTCTATGAATTTTTGATGACTGACCCTTTACTTTTAAACCATTTCAAAGTCTATTTATTCAGTCTTGTTTATTTGGGATGTTCACATTGTTTACTAAAACTATGGTCATTAGAAAAATACATTTATATTAATATCCGCGAGTTGATCGCAGTTGACCGATTGACTTGATCTAAAAATACAAATAGTTTGTTGGTTTTTGTCAAATTCATTGTTTTTCATTTCAAACAAAAAACTCACAATGAGAAAATATCTCTGTTGATTGTTTTGAGACCATCCGTATTTTGACAAATTATTTTTGAAAGTTTGGACTTCCTGATCTCCGCGAGTTGCGCTAAAAATTATTAATTAATTTTTGAACTTCAATGTTTATATTTTTACCGTTTGTGAATATTCCCTCATTCTCATAATAAAATCGATCTCCAACTTTCAGACCCTCAAATGTTTCAGCAATAATATTTGCAGCAGTTGGTCCAACTATTGATTCTCCCATGTGCTTTTCACTTAAAATCGCTGCATACAAATCAATATCATCGTATGAATCATAAACTTTTTTCAAAGCATCAATATTTTCTTTTGTGAATTCTTGGCTTAATCCATCCCAACTTTTCACCGCCGACAAACCAGCGAACTTTCGGTAAGATGTATAAGGTAACAATCCAATATCTCTACCTCGCATAACATTAACTGCAGCCAAATCAACTCCAGTTCCTTCTTTTTGACGAATTCGGAATATTTCATTTCTCATAGAATGTGAAATATATCTATCGACTTCCATTGCTTCCGATTTTATCATTCCAATTAGAATAGCTTCCCATCCACCGTTTCCAGCCAAATAATTTTGATCAGCATAGAAAATATCATTTCCAAGTTTATAATCACCTTGACTTTGTCCTTTGTTATTAATTCTTTGGAATCTATCTCTAGCCTGACTGTGTCCAAATCTAAAAGCTGCTCCAGTGAATTCATTTGTCAAAGATGGATCTCGTGTTTGCTTGTATCCTTTGTAGAAACCATTGTCCAATTCAACCAAATCATACTTCTTACGAATTGCAAGTGAAAGAATATTTGGTAAATATTCCGAATAAACAAAATGTTGCCATTGAGCAATCATAATTCTGCGAGCAAGTTGGAAAATTTGTTCATCTGTTAAACCACTTCTCGAATTTTTGATCATTTGTGCAAGTCGATTATGTTGTTTAATAAAAACTGTGTGAATTGGAATAAGGGCTGGATGGAGACTATTTCGGAAATCTCCACATGTGAAACAATGGAACGGGGATCTGGATTGACAGTTTTCGTCTCTCACATTTTGTGGTGGAAGTACATAATTGGCATAACGGAACTCCAACAATCTACCATCTTTATATTCACGAACTGTCACAGCTTCACAATCTTCTGATCCATAAACAGCTGATAAATCGATAAAATGTGTATTTTGATCAATTTGTTGTCTGATTCCAAATCCAGTCTGTCCATTCAACGCTCTTGTCAAACGAATACATCCTATTTTGAAATATGGATCATCAGATGGAACTGGAATTGGTGCACAATTTGGTGAAACTGTTTTTGGTGAATCACAAGATGAACAATTCAATGATCCGCCACCATAACTTCTAGCAGTCGATGATGGCATAAAAATCAAATCGTGAGCCAAAAATTGTCCCATTTGCATAAGAAGATGATTATATTGTTTAGAAGTCGCATTTTCATTACTCGCTTGGAAGATCTTATTCGAAATTTCTCTTGCTGATGGCAAAAGTTTTCCATTAACTCCTCGAGTTCTAATAGTGTTCAACCCATCGGAATAAGATACTGCGCCTAACAATCGACGCATTCCCGTTTCCGAATTTCCCCATTTCCGATTTTTTACATTATTGCAAATACCAGAAATCGATCGAGTTGTTCTACTAAAATGTTGAGATATTTCGGATAAGTTCTCAAAATATAAAAATATAAAAACTCACTGGAAGTTATCTGAACACGAAGATGGTGGAGATGGACATTTCGCATCTCTTTTAACTCGAATAGTATTATTCAACATTTGTGTTGTCTCTAGAACTTTGTTAGCAATTGGAATAATTCCCATTCCAAATTTCTGTACTAAAATTTGGGTGGCTTCTTCAAAAATCTCTGCATTAGCTTGTAACATTTTAGATGCTTCATTGGCTTTCTGCGAATTTTGAAGGATATTGTCATCGACAGTAATTTCCATAGGGATTCGCTCGTTGACAGTGGAATTTGCTCGAAATAAAGCATCTTGAATATCAGAAAGAAGATCCGCTTTGGCAAAAATTAGAAGAAAAGAACAAAATATGAAACTTTTGATGTTCATTTTTTTTGATATACGTTCAAAATCGAATGGCTACCTTTAAAGGGTTTAGATTTGTTTGATCAGCTTGAGTTCAATTATTCGCCCATAGTTTTTTCACACCACGCAAAATAGTAAGTGTAGTTTGATCACCCACGCATTTATTATAATAAAGAAATTATATTCATGATGTCATTTCCTTTTCTAAATTTTCGTCGTTCAAAAAATATACGTGTTCAATATATTTCAGAACCATGTTTCAACATTGTATGTTTCCTTTGCCTTCCGTGCCAATAAAAAAATAATCGGATTGAAACTTGGAGTGTGAATAATAATTTTTTTTACTATTTGTTTGCATTTGAATATTCGATTTTGATAAGAGTATATTTGTTCAACTCAGTTTTTTTTCGTATTTTTTGTAGACTTTTTTGTTATTTTCTGAGTGAGCAACAACAAAAATGTGCGATATGTCGATTCATGTGAGTTTCACAGAAATTTACGGATTTTCATTTTTATTGTCGAGACTTTTAGGACCAAATAAAACTGGCTTCTGAATGGGGATACAATCAAGATGACATAATCGCAGCTCTGAAAGCAAATACAAAATCATCGGATAACTCAAAAGAATTCGAAAGATTTAATAGTTTCGATGAAATGTTGGACATTTTGAACAAAGTGTCTGGTAGAAATGATAACGCATTGAATAATAATTGTGGGAGTTCAAGTAGCAACGGAAAACCAGGGTGATATATTCTTATAGAAATCAATCTAGCTGAATCTCTGAAATTTCAGAGATCTAATGTCAACTTCTACCTACGAATATCCATCTAGACGAAACTTGTCAGTAGGAAGATCATCCTCGTTTCACTTATCGACACCTAGGTGATTAATTTTTTAGGATGAAAATATCTCATTTCCAAAATTCCAGATCAACTCGCGATTCTCATGACATTGTTCGTCTTTTGGCAACTTTGGAAAAGGAAAAAGAGAGAGATCGAAAAGAAGTCGAAAGTCAATTTATTATTCTGAAAAATAGAATAAATCATCTAGAAATTGAAAAGGATAGTCTACAAAGAGAATTTCGTCAGCTCAAAAATGACTATGAAATTGGAGATCAAGAATTGAAAGATGCTCAACAAGAATTGAGACATCTTATGGAAGAAAAAATCGAGGCGGCTGATAAACTCGATAAACTGGTGAGTAATTTTTTGTTTTTTCTCTAATGATGAGTTTTCGTTCAAGACAATTCAAAATTATCGACAACAACAAGAAATACACGATCAAAAAGAATTGGCAGAACATCGAAAGAAAATCTATCTCGAGGAAAAAGTTCGGAAAGATGAGGAGATTTTGTGTCTTCAAAAACAGATAGCGAACCTTGAAGAAGACCTTCAAAGGAATATTGAAAATCTGGAAACTCAGAAAGGTGTTGCTCAACGATTAGAAGAACAAAACTATCAACTTCAACCCCTGGTTTTGTTGGATGAAATTCGAAATAAGAATTCAAGTTTGGTAGAGCTAACAAATCAATTGATTCCAGGAATAACGCAAGTTCAAGGTCTATATAAACAAATGGTAAGTTCAATGATGAATCTGAATAGTTGAAAAAATATGTTTCAGCTCGAAAGCTATCCAAATATGGAGCGAAACTTCCGCTTGGAAATGGATAAAAAATCCAAAAGGATAGCAGAAGTTGAAGAGAAGCTGAACTCAAAAAATCGTGAATGTCAAAGACTTCAAGAAAAATGTGTGAACGAGTGTTGCATTTGTCTAAATACGAAGCCATCGATTGTCTTTTTACCTTGTCGCCATCTCATTTCTTGTTCTGAATGTTATGAAACATCAGATATTCGTGAATGTCCAACGTGTCGAACATCAATTGATAATTCAATTACTGTTTTTATGTGACTTTCTAATAATATCATTTTGAAAATAAATACATTTTGTCTGTCGAGTTCCTTATTAAGTAGTAAAAGTACTTCATCATTGCAAAGTATAAATAAACAATAAGAGCCGCCCTATCATCAAAACATATTTGAATATTATTTTTATTATTTATCGATTTCCAATCAAACATTGTTATTGTTCGACCATCCAATATTGTTTTCTCATATATACAATTTTTCTATATATTATGATACGAGAAAGACGAAGTGTACTTTACGCAACTTTCTATGAAAAATATGCGCAAGCAACAAAAAAACAGCAAGATTCCATTGACCCTTTCAATTTAGACAACATCGGTGACGGTTACGGTCAGTTTTTTCTGTTCAAAATAAGTTTTATGATATTTTGAAATATTTTACAGATGCTTGGACACGATCTGAAACTCAACTACTTGTCCTCGCGGTCATTCTAATTATTGTAACTCTGGTTTTTGCTTTAATTGTTGCAATGGATTGCACCAAAAACTTCCAATTGTGGAGTTTCCGTGATGTTATTCAACGCCAACCAAGAAGATCAAGAGGAAGATCAAGAGCCCAACCAAATAGTGGAATAGTCAATCTACCAATGGATGACCTAAAAGCTCCACCAATCAATATTCTTGCTCCTCCACCATACCGTAATTGATTTATGAGAAGTTTTGGTTTTTATTCTCATCATTGTTAAACGGGTCAATTACTTGGAAATGAATAAATTTTTTTGAATTTTGTCGAAGCGAGAAAAAAGAGGTCACAGATTAATGTTTCGAATATTTTTTGAACAAACACCTGTTTTTTTATTTGTTCCGCCTTTGATTTTTCTTTCGCCTCAACTGTTTTTCATCCATGTTTCTTCTACTTTTCTTGGTGACTTTTTGCTTGGCGCAATTCCGCCCAGAATGTCTGATTCCTCTGCATCACGGTGTGACTAACTGCTCGAATTCTTCATCAATTCGTTATCATTTGGACTCGGAAACCAAAACATGTCTCGCTTTCAAATATACTGGATGCGGTGGAAACTCGAACAATTTCAAAACTCATTCTGAATGTCAACAATTTTGTGTTGCAAGTAAGTTTGAATAACAGATGAATTTGGAGAAAACTGAAATTCTTCAGTGGATTATTTCGAATGTCCTCGATCTTCTGCTCCACTCAAAAACAATGATGGAACCAATCTTTGTTGGACAGAAGAACATTCAGATTGCGACCATCCGGAAGCATACTGTGATCGCGGTGAACATGTCGGATTTTGTTGTAACGCTACTTTAAGAGGTGAAAATGTTGTTTGGCTTCCGGAAACGTTTCTCACAATTTATAAATAATGCGAATTTCTCAACAAAATATTTGTCGAAAAATTACAATAAAAATATATCGGGAAATTAACAATTCAAATGTTGAATCAAAGTCGCGAAGTCCCCATTAACCAAACTTGAATTCCAAGGCAAGGTAATTCAAATTACTTTTTTCAAAAAAAACCACCAAGGAATTGGGAGGGACCAGGAATCCCCTCAACCTAATTATTCCAGACCTCCAAAATCAAGACTACTCACAAGGGAACCTTTTTTACTCAACACTTCAAATCATGATGAATTTTTGTCCATAGATAGCTTTTGGGACCATAAGAACACCCTAAAAATTTTAGTCTCCCAATGGACCTCTGAGCCAAGTTCTGGGCTCTCAAAAGTTCAAAAAAGGCCTAAAAATGGTCATAAAAGTCATCATAGCTCCATTTCAAAATTTTTTTGAGAGAAATAAAGTTTCAGATATTGATCAGCATAGTCGATTACCTAAAAGTACATCAATAAAAAACTTTATTTCGAAAAATTTTGAAGTTTTTTATTTTTCGGCTGAAAATTCGTGAAAATTCATATGTGCCCCTGCTCATTCTTTTTTTCAAAATCAAAAATTTTTCTGAAAATTTGCTTTATTGATGTTTTTTGGGTAAATCGACCACGCTGATCATCATCTGCTACTCAGTTTTTCATAAAAATGATCGAAAATTGAGTTATGACGTGTTTCATGAGCCAATTTTGGCAATTTTCGAACTTTTGAGAGCCCAGAACTTGGCTCAGAGGTCCATTGGGAGACTAACATTTTTAGGGTGTTCTTATGACCCCAAAAGCTATCTATGGACAAAATTTCATCAAGATTTGAAGTGTTGAGTAAAAAAGGTTTCCTTGTCAAGTGAATGCGGTGTGGGTCAAAAGAAAGAGCAAGTCCAATTATCTGGCTATACAATTCCACTTCTCGGAAAATCGTGCGATTCAAATTTCTGTTCTTCTGGCTACAAATGTCATCAGGGAAATTTTTATGCATATTGCTGCAAGTAATAAACACATATAAATATTGATTTCAACGAATTCATTCATTCGAAAAAATAATAGCATGTGAAATAACAAATATTTTTTGAAAATTTGATTTTGGTCACGTGACTTTTCTAATTTCTCGATTTTCATTTCTCATTGCGAGAAAAAACAAGGTGAAGTTTGGCCTCAAAATAAGTTCCTCATTAAAACGAAGAACTTCGGAACACATGCTCTTTGTTTCAATCAACCACGCCTTTGCAGAAAGATATACACACAAAAATTTTTAGAAAAGGGAACCAATTATTTTTTCGGGTTCTCAACAGTTGTTTTCTCACAATCTGCGTATCCCATCTTTTTCCCCATCTCGTTTTCAATAATATTTTGGCGTTGTCTTTTTATTAGTCTTGTTTTGTTTCAAGGTCGTTATGATTTCGGGACTATTTATTGTTGGATTGTTGACAATCTCGATTGGACTTTCAACAGCTCAATTCAGAGGAGAATGCGAAGTTCCGTTGCACAAAGGAATTCAAGAATGCAAAAATACATCATCAATTAGAGTAAGTTGAACGAATTTATCAGATATAAATAATTCCGATATTTTTAGTATCATTTTGATAAAACTACTCAAACTTGTCTCGCTTTCCGTTATTCTGGATGTGGCGGAAACACCAACAACTTCAAAAGTCATTCGGAATGTCAACAATTCTGTCTCCCAAGTTAGTGTTTTTCCCAATGCTCTCATCAAAAAAATCATATTTTTATAGTGGACTACTTCACATGTCCAGTCGCATCTGCTAAAATCAAGAGCAAAGATGGGTCGGTCAACTGTGCTGGAATGGACCAAAAAGAATGTGATGGTGAACATAGCTATTGTGTTAGAGGATCATTTGTTGGATTCTGTTGTGACAAGAGAATTAGAGGTGACTAGAAATCATATAAACCTGTCTATAATTGTTGATTTTTTTCTAGACAAAGTAAACCAAGACTACGATGATGAATGTGGACCAAAACAAAAGAAGGAAAAAGTTCAAATGTCTGGATATTCAATTCCACTTTTGGGAAAAACTTGTGACTCAAACTTTTGCTCAACTGGATACAAGTGCCAACAAGGAAATTATTATGCCTACTGTTGCAAGTAAATGTGAAATTATTGATAATGAAGATTTGAATATATATATTTGTAGGAAGTATTTTATTTTTCGTTATGGGGTGCGGAGAATTTTTTTTTAAATTTACAGGCCGTAAAAAAGTGCATAAGATTTCCATTAACTGCCTGATAAACAATAGTACAACACTAAAAAATTATTTTTGATTTACAGCAATGGTTTTTGAAAACATCAGAAACCCAAAAATCTATTTTCTTCTCAAGAAAATAATTCGATCAACCAATTTTTTTCTGAAAATAAGTGATCCCACATGTGACATTTCTTCATTTCCACCACAATCATTTGTCTGTTTCTCTAATCCTCTCTAAGACTACAGAGACGCAGAGATACTTTTATTTACTTTTTTGTTTTTTTTTTTGCGTGTTTCAACTATCTGTGAACTTTGACTTTGTTTGAAAATTCTCCAAATACTGCTCATTTCTATCATCAATGACCACGATTTTATTAGCATAAAAGTAACAATGTGGTTTGTAGTATTACACAACATTAGTGTGTGTTGTGTATTTTTTGTTATCTCAAGACTTATGTTAATATGATAGTGCCTGTTCATTTTATCAACCCCAGAAACGTTTTTTTCATTTTCCTTTTTCGATTTCGAATTGTCATTCTCTATTTGTTGTCCGTCAATTCGTGATTTTTTTCAGAAAGAAACAAAATGTTTATGGAAATATTCACTGTTTGGCTTGGTGCCTTTTCAATTTGCTTCACATTTTTGCCAATGTAAGTTTGGGCGGGACACGTTTTTACTTTCTTTTTTGATAAAAAAGCAGTGGAGTAGAAAATGAGAGATGCAGAAAAAGTGCAATGTTTGCACTTGTAGATTCTGCTCTGATGAGATCTTTGATAAAGATTGAGAAAAATCAAAGAAAAACATTTTAAAAACCAAAAAAAAAAAGAAAAGTGAATAAAATAGCCTAATGCTCATTAGAACTTTCGGATGTTTTTTTTTAAATTTCGATTTTTTTTTGCATTTTCCCCAAAATTGAAAAAAACCCAAAACTAACCGGAAAAAATCGTAGAAATAGAAGTCCTTCAAATCCTCATCAAAACCCAAGTTAGCCAATGTTTCCTTTCGAATTCGATGTCACATAAACCAACGTCGAACCAATGCTTCGTTAAAATATTCTGAAAATTTCATATTTTTACATATTCAGTGATGAATTTCTAATTTTCCCACCATTTTCTATCAAGTTTTCAACGAAGAACTTCACGATATTCACATCAATTTTGTCGATGAAATCGTTTCTGAAAAAAAAATATTAGTAAAACAGCTCGAAGCTCATTGAAAACCTAATTCAATATTTTCCGAGAATCGAACAAAAAGTAAAAATGAGAAGAAATCTATAGAAATAAATTTTTAGCGCGCTAATTTTCAGGTAGATCAAATATAAACTAGAAGACCACGCAGTGAAAAATTTTTGTTTTTTTTGCCAAAAGAAAAAAAGAAAAAAGTAACTGTCGTAAAATAAAATGTTTTGTGTGTGGTGTTTGCAGAAAATGCACACACAATGTGAGACAACAGTAACCCCACAAGAATTTTAATCGATTTTTCTGTGAAAAAATGAAACGTGGAAGGAAAATGAGAGGAAAAAGCAATTCAGAAAATGTTTTTAATTTCCCACTAGACAAAACTATGATGATTTTTCTTACCTTCGAATCTCAAAAGTTGACAGCGAGATTTTAGAAAAAAAATAGAGGCGCTAGTTTCAGCCAAAAATACAACTCGAACTGATTACTTGGGCAAAATTTTTAAATATTTATTCAGTTAGTTTAAAAAAGGTCACGTTTCGAAATGCAAATTAATTATTATCTTTTCTCATTTTCTTTGGAAAATGAAATGAATTTGTTTAAAAATTTATCGAAATTAGGCCACGTTCAAAAATATTTACTTTTTTGAAAACTTTCAAATAATAATAATTTTCATTTTCAGTTTTATGGTTCTTGAATGGAAGAAACGAGGATCAGCTGATGGTTTCAGTTCAGTCAATTTCGTTCTTCCAATGGTCATCCAATCTTGCTGGCTCAAACACGGTTTCTTGACAAATGACCAAACAAATATTATTATCAACTCATTGAATTTGGTCTTTTTCACTTTCTATGTAGCAGCCTTTGCATATTATCAACCAGTTAGGGTAAGTTGATTGAATTCAAGCAATTAATTGTAATTTCTCAACTAATTTTCAATTACAGAAATATTTGTATGCTCAAGTTTCATCCGCAATTATCTCTGTTTTTGTTATCTACAATTATGTGAACACTTATAATGATTCCGAGATTGCTGATGCTATGGGCTCAATTGCAGCTGGTGCACAGATTTTCAGTCTTGTTGGTGGACTTTATGAAATTGTATGTAACTGAACATATGTGTTTGGAAAAAAATGTGTTTTTTGCAGAAGCGAGCAGTGTCAATGGGAACAACTGAATTCATTCCAGCCGGATTCCAATTCGCACTTTTCACCTTAATTCTTCAATGGCTCATTTTCGGTGTTCTCAATGGAAATCAATTTATTGCTGTAAGAGGAAATTCTAATTTCACAATCAGATTTGAAATCATAATCTTTTACAGATTGCAAATGTTGCTGGTCTTGTTGTCAATATTGCCACAATTGCTCTTTACTTCGTTTATCCACCACAAACATGGACTGTTCCAATTTTCAACATCAAACCAATTGCCAAAAAGCAAGATTAAATTTAATTAGAATCACAATTTTATTGTATAAATTTTATTTTTCGTTTTTTTTTTTGTATTTCTCTTCGAGAAATATTCATCCAGGAAGTTGAGAGTGCGGGAAACTTCCAAAGAACCATCAAAAGGTGATAGATTTTTTTGCAAATCATAAAAATGTGAAAATGCCGCCATCAACTAACAGCTAAAATATTCTGAAAAAATTTAACGCGGAAAAATGCAGACTGTTTAAAAGCTAATCTGATAAGGGAAGAATCAACAGTCACAAATATTTTTGTTTTAGGTGTCTGCGAATTTTCAGAATTTTTTTTGGAATCAGAGTTTCATGATTTCTTGAATAAAATTCTCGAATTCCAAAAACTAAAAAAAAATTAATTCTGAAACTGAAACATAATTTCCGACTGTTCGAAGTTGAGCTTATTCAGATCTTCCCCTTTACAGAACAGTAATAAACCGTAATTTTTCGTATCAGATCGTTGATTCTCTGATTTTGGTTGGTTATCGCAAAAATCATCATCACCTTCTTTTTCTCCTTCTTCTTCTTCTCCATTTCCTAATAATGTTCGCGTACAAAAGTGCAGAAATAAATGTATAATAAACCATTTCATTTTGTACTTTGCCCGACCACCCATACCACTATTTAAGCGCACGTACTTTACCCACTTTCTTATCATTTTTCATTTTTGATTTTTGCCATCCATTTTTGCTGAAAATAAAATAATATGATAAACAACGATCAACAACAACAATAAATATTATTTTTTCAGAAAACTAGGAAAATCGTGAGAAAAATGACAAATATGAGTAAAATGCCGTATCCAATGCCCAAAAAATTTCCATCAAATTTGGAGAGACTCGGTTATCGAAGCTATGTGAGTTCAATTTTAAAACTTGTGTTTTTCCAAACAAACCTATTTTTGATTTTCAGAACTGGATTGAAAATCGAACTTGGCCTATCCGACCGCATCTATTTGTTGGCTTCACTCTGATCGGTAGTGCTGCTCAACTTCGAGATTTTGCTGATGTTACAATTGAATCTGTCCTGAAATCCTTGATGATTTCAACTGTTTCCACCTATTCAGCCACATTCATTTTGCGAAAATTCCTTAAATATTTCTATTTTTCATACAAAGCTTATTTATTTGAAAATCCAAAAAAGCCATCAATCCGAACTAAATTATGGGGAATTCTTCGAATGATTTTACTGAAATTGGCTCCTCCAAAATTGAACAGTTGTGATTATCTTCTTCCAAATCTACCACTTCCAGCACTCAAAAATACTGTTGACCAATATATTGAATCAATGAAATATATTTTGACCGAGGTAAATATGTACTTGAAAAAAGAGCAGACCATTTCCTGATATTGATAAGACATCTAGCAGTGATAAGATGTTTTCTTGGCAAAAAATAAGATAACAAAAGCATTTTTTCTATGAAGTATTTTTAGGAAGAGCATGATCAACTTGTCAAAGATGCTGACAATTTCCTATCTAACGAAGGAAAAACATTACAAAGATTTGCTTGGATTATGCACAAATTTAAAGACAATTATGTCACATCATTTTGGGAAAAATATATCTACTTTGCTGGTAGATATCCAGTTTTGATAAATAGTAGTGTTGCTCAATGCACAATGTATGGAGAAAGTGGACTTTTGCAACCATACCAAATTGCAAGATTGATTTATATTGAGGCAATCGGAAATTTGGCATTAGATAAACAAGTTGGATATAAACCGGTGAGATATTATGAACAGAACAGAACAGAACAAATGTATCTTATCAACAAATCACGTTTACTTTTAGATTGGTGATGGTTTGATGTCTACAAGACATTATAAGAATATTTATAATGGTTCAAGAATACCTGGAAAAGAATATGATCATTTTCAATGGAACAAACCATCTCGACATGTTGTGTTAGTTCATAGAGGAACTTGGTATAAAGTTGATATATGTGATGAAAAACGAAACATCTACAGTGTTGACCAAATTGCAAAGTGAGTTCATTATTTTATTCAACTGTTTTTATGGATCAAAACTTTCAGAATTATTTCTGAAGCTATCACAAGAAATGATAAATCAACTGGATCTTTAGCCAAAATTGCTGCACTTACAACAGACAGAAGAACTGAATGGTGTGAAAACCGTGAGAAGTTCTTCCTGAAAAATCCAAAAAATAAGAGACTTCTTGAAATTATTGAAACAGCAATGTTTGTGATGTCTGCAGATGATCAATTGAAATGGGATGTGAAAACATCTGCTGATCTTTCCGCTTATATGAAAGACATGTTGGCTGGAGATGGAATCAATAGATGGGCAGATAAAACTATGAATTATGCAGTTGACTCAACTGGAAGAGCAGGTGCCACAGGAGAACATTCACCATGTGATGGAGCAGAATTAGATCATCTTTGTGAAAATGTATTATTTGCTGATAAGTGTGTTATGAGAGAACCAAGTAAAGAAGAACAATTTGAAGCTATGAAATGGTCGGAAAAAGATTTGAAAACTGTAAAATTGGCAGAGAAATTAGATTTTGAGTTGGTTGAAGGATTAGGAAATGAGATAGAGAGATGTTATGATAATCATAAGAAAGCTATTGATGATCTTCATGTTTCATCAGTTGTATTCAAAGATTTTGGAAAAGGTCGAGTTAAAAAATGTGGAATTTCTCCTGATGGATTTGTTCAAATGGCTTTGCAACTTGCAATTTATCGAGATCAAGAAAAGTTTGTATTGACTTATGAACCAGGATCCGTCAGATTTTTTGCAAATACTAGAACTGAAACTCTTCGCCCAGTTACCAAAACTTCTTGTGATTTTGTAAAGGCAATGATGGACCAAACAGTTTCGGTAAGAATGAAATTAGTAATTATCAGGAGAATGTGTAAGCCAATTTTTTTGCAGCGTGAAACCCGTCGTGATCTTCTTCGTCAAGCTTGTGGAGCACACGTAGCAAATTGTAAAAATGTGATGATTGGAAATGGAATTGATAGACATTTATTTGTCTTATGTGTACTTGCAAAAGGATTTGGATATGAAAGCAAATTCTTGGATCACTACAGTAATCAAAAATGGATACTCAGCACAAGCAATGTGATTTTTCTTTTTTACATAAGAAAATCAAAATTAATTTTAAAACTTACAGATTCCAAACATGACCAACCAAGTAGATGAAGATAATGATGAAAAATATATAATGACAGGAGCCTCATTTGGAGCTGTTGCACAAGATGGTTATGGAGTTTGTTATCGATTTGGAGGAAATCGAGCAATTTTAGTTCACGTAACTTCATATCATTCATCAGAAAAAACGGATTCGGATAGATTTATGGGATATTTACGAGAAGCCTTTCACAGCTTGGCTGATCTTTTTGAAACAGAAACAAATAACAACAAATAATTATGTATTTTGAATTGTATGTACAGATATTTATGAAGTTTTTTTTTCGGTTGAAATTATCGAACTTGTTTTTGCAAAGGTTATTTTATTTTGAAAATAAAAAAAATTGTTGATAGAAGGAAGGTGAGTACAAAGTCCTCTGTCAAAACAATCAGCTGTTGAATGCACTTCTTGAACAATACAATGAAATCTCAACTTGATTTTTCGAAATATGTAGTTCGCACATCTGTTTCTAATACATTTTTTTCTAATTTTCATATAATCCGAAAAAATATGTTCTGTCACAATTTGGTTGAACCATTGTTTTTTTTTGGAAAAAGAAGATCATGTTTTTCTAAATTTAGCGCCACTTTAAGATGACTATTTAAACACACGTAGTTTACCCTTTTCTTATCATTTTTTTTTGTTTTCAATTTGAAAAAAAATAGTTTCAGGATTGGAAAAACATGACTAATATGAGTAAAATGCCTTATCCGATGCCAAAAAAATTTCCATCAACGTTGGAAAGACTCGGTTATCGAAGCTATGTAAGTTCCCATTTTTGCCTATTTTTAAAAAGTTATTTTTGAGAACTTGATTGAAAATCGAACTTCTCGGGATGGTGCTGGCGGTGATTCGGCGGCGTTGCCACATTTGGCAACATTCCGGCGATGTTGCCAAAAAGGCAGCAACGCCTGGCAACGTTGCCACAAGAAGCAGCAACGTTGCTTTTTATCGCCAGATTTTTTATTTCATTGTTCGCTCCAAGCGACAGAGAGCAACGTTGCCAAAATGTAAAACACTGCGACGCAATTCTGCACAATCAAGCATTTTCGAAATTTTTGTTTTTTTCTTTTTGGCCTAAATTGTGTTTTTCTACTCCTTTTCAGTGGATTTATCATGAATACTAACATATTTCAGCATGCCGTAAGCAAGAGATTGATGGTTTCGTTGGAATTCTTCAAAAAAATTAGAAAATTTCATAGAAAACAGTAGAATTTTGAGTAAAAGGTTAGTTGAAAAATATAAATTGTGATTTACACTGAAAAAATTAAGTTTTCAGTTCGCGTCATTCAACGAGTCATTGATAATATGGAAATTGCTAAAGAATGTTCGAGGAGACTATGATTGAAAAAATGTTGATGAAAAGTGAGTTTTTTTTCAAATGTTTGATCCCAAAATTAACCTGAAAACTATGCTCACACCTTTTCAAAAATTAATCGTGAACACTGTTTCGAGGGTTTTGAGCAATTTCATGATTAAAGTAAACATCAAATTTGAAACCTGTTTTCCAGGAAATTTTTTGTAATTTTAATATACATAGCTAGATAGGGGTAGAAATAGTTCACCAAAATACACTTCGTCCACTTTTTTCTTACCGGAATACACTTTCAAAAGGGAATATTCCATTTTTCGATAATTTTCCTAATATTTGTTTTTTACATAAATATAAAAATCGGAAAAAAATTGAAAAGTTTGGGCTGATATCTGGAGGTTTTTAATGAAAAATTAAGCTATTTAGACTATTTGATAATAATTTTCTATTTTTCAGATAAATCAAGTCATGCCAATCCCCAACACATCAATCTCACAATCAGTCATATATGAAAAACGACAATACAACTACATCAAGCCAATCCTATCACTATTCTTCTTTTATAATAATGAGTTAATTGCATTTTTATATTATGTATTCAATTATTTTTATGTATGATTTGATCTTAATTATCTGATTGTGAATAAATATGTTGTGATTATGGAATCATGTTAGTATTGAAAATCAGATATATCAAACTGGCTCAAACCGGGAGAACTACACTGACGCCGCCTCTCGTTGCCGCGTGCTGCTCGCTTGTTGCCGAAGCTGTTGCCGATCCCCGCCCGCTCAATTTTCCTACTTTTTCATCCACTGCCACACCTTGCCTTTTCTTGCCGCTTGTGGAGGCAACGTCGCAGATTGCCGCCGAGGCCGTTTTCCAGATGGCGAAGCACTTGCCTCTCTGTTGCTACTTATCGCCGTAGCAAAAACGTCAGAAAATTATCGAATGGCGACGTCGCCGCGGGGCTGCCGGCGACGTTGCCGAAAAAAGGGTCGGCAACGTCGCCGAATCGCCGCCGACAGCACCCCGAGTTGGCCTATCCGACCGCATTTATTTATTGGATTAGTTGTGATTGGAAGTGCTTCTCGACTTCGAAATTTTTCCGAAGTTTCTCTTGAAGTGTTCTTAAAAACTTTAGCAATTTCAACTGCTTCTACTTATGCGGCCACGTTTCTCTTACGAAAATTTCTCAAATATTTTTACTTTTCATACAAAGCTTATTTATTTGAAAATCCAAAAAAGCCATCAACCCGAACTAAACTATGGGGAATTCTTCAAATGATTTTACTGAAATTGGCTCCTCCAAAATTGAACAGTTGTGATTATCTTCTTCCAAATCTACCACTTCCAACACTCAAAAATACTGTTGACCAATATATTGAATCAATGAAATATATTTTATCGGAGGTACTGTGAAATCTTGTTTTCTTCCAAGTTTGTCCACTCAAATTTTCTAGGATGAATATTGTGAACTGGAACAAGACGCTAAGAAGTTTTTATCGGAAGAAGGTAAAATATTACAAAGATACGCCTGGATCATGCATAAGTTCAAAGACAATTATGTCACATCATTTTGGGAAAAATATATTTATAATGCTGGACGATATCCTCTTCTTATAAATAGTAGCGTGGCTCAATGCACAACTTACGGAAAAAGTGAATCACTTCAACCATATCAAATTGCAAGATTGATTTATATTGAGGCAATTGCCAACTTGGCATTAGATAGACAGCTTGGATATAAACCGGTAAATAATCCAAAAATGAAAATAAATAATTTTTTATCATTGTCATTTTTCTCAATAACTTGTTTTCAGATTGGTGATGGTTTGTTATCAACTCGTCATTATAAAAACATTTACAATGGTGTCAGGCTACCGGGTGAAGAATATGACCATTATCAATGGAACAAACCCTCACGACATTTCATGATTGTTCATCGAGGAACTTGGTATAAAGTTTATATATGTGATGAGAAACGGAACATCTATACTGTTGATCAACTTTCCAAGTGAGTTTACCAAACTTCAAACCTTTTTCAAAATTTTGATTTTTTTTAGAATTGTAAATGAAGTTATGAGTCGAGATGATAAAGAAGTTGGAGTGTTGTCAAAAATTGCTGCTTTGACAACAGACAGAAGAACTGAATGGTATCGAAACAGGGAAAAATATTTCTTGAAAAACTCAAAAAACAAGGAACTTCTCGAAACTATTGAAACCTCAATGTTTGTTGTTTCTGCTGATGATCAACTTATTTGGAATTCAGAAACTGCAGCAGATTTATCAGCATATATGAAGGATATGATGACTGGAGATGGAAAGAATCGATGGGCAGATAAAACAATAAATTATGCAGTTGATTCGACTGGAAGAGGTGGAGCAACTGTTGAACATTCGCCAGCCGATGGAGCAGAATTGGATCATCTTTGTGAAAACTTTTTGTTTGCTGATAAATTTGCGATGAAACTTCCAAGTAAAGATGAGCAACTTCAAGCAATGGAATTGACAGCTGATGATAAACAAACTTTGAAACTGGCAGAGAAATTAGAGTTCGAGATGGTTGAAGGATTAGAAAATGAGATAAATAGATGTTACGATAATCACATGAAAGCTGTTGATGATTTTCATATTTCATCAGTTGTATTTAAAGATTTTGGAAAAGGTCGAGTTAAAAAATGTGGAATTTCTCCTGATGGATTTGTTCAAATGGCTCTGCAACTTGCAGCTTATCGTGAATTGGGAAGATTTGTACTGACTTATGAATCCGGATCTGTTCGATTTTTTGCAAATACTAGAACTGAAACTGTAAGACCTGTTACTAAAAAATCGTGTGATTTTGTGAATTCGATGATTGATCCAAATGTTACGGTAATACAAAAAATTGAATCTAAAATAACATTTCACAAGTTTTTGCAGCGTGAAACCCGTCGTGATCTTCTTCGTCAAGCTTGTGAATCCCACGTAGCAAATTGTAAAAATGTGATGACTGGAAATGGAATTGATAGACATTTATTTGTGTTATGTGTACTTGCAAAAGGATTTGGATATGAAAACAAATTCTTGGATCACTACAGTAATCAAAAATGGATACTCAGCACAAGCAATGTAATTTATGGTTACAAAAAAATATTCAAATTGTATTTTTCAGATACCAAATATGACTAATCAAATAGATGAAGACAGTGATATGCATAATATAATGCTCGGTGGATCATTTGGAGCTGTTGCTCAAGATGGTTACGGAGTTTGTTATCGATTTGGAGGAAATCAAACTATTTTAGTTCACATAACTTCATATCATTCATCAGAAAAAACAGATTCGGATAGATTTATGGGATATTTACGAGAAGCTTTTCACAGTTTGGCTGATCTTTTTGAAACAGAACACTAGTTTTTAGAATACGTTTATTTTCACATCATTTTTTAATCATAAAGCTTATTTTATTTATTAGTAAAGTTTTTAGAAAAAATATTTACAGATAAATTTGATATGTTTACTGAGCCACTGTGACGACTTGATTATTCATTTCAAGTAGTTTTCTGAGAAGCATCAAACATGGTCCTAAATTTGGAACAATAAACATTGCAATATTGAAATTGACAGTTGTAATTGGGAAACCATTCAAAAGATACATTTTTGTATCATAATTCAAACTTCGATCAACCATAATTCTATAGATCTGATAAATATGTGCATCAGCAGTTGTTTCGATATCTTCATTCAAAATGAGAATTTTCGAAGTAGCTGTCAAATGATCTTGAAGAGCAGTTGGTGGTTTAAGCGAGAGAATTATAATTGCAATAATGCAAACAACAAATCCAAACATACATAACGAATAAACTCCTGGCAAAGTCTCAAGATAGCTGAAAAAACATTTTTGGATTATTGTTATTTCAACAAACAAATGCTTACCTGCAATTGAAAATAGCACTTATAAGACTGAAAAAGCCGAAAAGTGGAGCAAATTTGGCATAACTTCCCAAAGATTCGTTCGAAGATTTGACTAATTTCAAAATTTCGGTTTGTCTATGACTGAATGCTGTGAATTGTTGTCTGTCGAGAAGAAGTTTTTCATCAGCTGCTTTTTGGAGTTCTTCGTTAAAAAATTCCATTTCACGATTCAATGCAGAATGCACCAAGTTGTAAATAATCAGTGTCAAAGAAACAACCATCCAAGTCAAAAACATGAGAATAGGCATCACAATATACAAATAAACTTCGACTTCAACTCTAAATTAAAATTAGGTGTTGATAATTTTTTGAAAATTGTTATGCTCACCCTCCGTGTGTATATTTATTATAAACCGCATTGAAAATAGCAGAAACCATAAGAACTGCAAAAAGTGGAATGGGGAAAATAAAGCATTTTTTGTGTGTTCCAGAATAGTCATCAACTGTATCACTGATTGAGAGTCTGAGTCGTTTAACTTCTTCAAAGTTTTTCAAAAAGTTTGAAATGAATCCATTTTTTGTCCAACCATATAGACAAAAAGTGCAAACAATTGCGTGAAGTGACATGAATCCGAAAACATTAGCTTCTGACCAAGCAAAACTGAGAACCTGAAATTAATTTGAAATAGAGTTCTACTTAGATTCAAGTCTCCCATAACTGGGTTCATATTCAAAAACTCTCAAAATATATTCATTTACCTTTCCATCAACTGCCATGTATTTAGTCATTCTGAAAAACATTGCAAAAATAACAACAATGGCAAAGATGTGTGATAAATATCCGATGCATCGATTTCCTTTTCCATCTCGATACTTTTTCAAAGCCGTGCAATCCAAACCAGTCAATTTGATGAACTTCAGAAATGGTCCGAATATTTGATGTTTTGCTGACTTTTCTATAATAATTAGCATGGTAAAATAATGAGTATGCAACAACTTATTTTTCATTTTCACATTTCTAATGTAAATGATAAGACAGTGCAAAAAACATACCTCCTGCAAACACCATGTTTTTTCCAACAAAGTACTGAAATTATATGGTATCTACAATGTTTTTATACACTTTTATTTTTTTTTTGTTTGGATACGGATGAGAGAAATTGTAAGAAAAAGGGAAAAACAAGATGGTATTTTGAAGTTCGCGGAAGTATTAGTCACGAGAGTGAAAGAGCACCCAACACAAATCATAAATTTTTGAGCAAATTTTGCAAAAATTCCCGCGTGATCTCAAATGAGTTTTCTACCCTTTTTTTTTTAAAAAAAAATCTAAAAATGTTCGATTTCCTATAGAAAATGATAATTTCTGCGTGACCCTTCATGACAATTTAGAATTAATTTCTATTTTTGTTTTAGAAATTTTTCAGCTTCCTGTGTTTGAATTTTTCCAATCGAAAATTGATACATTTTTGATATTCAAAAAAACTTTGTTCCAATCATCAACACAACATACATAATTTTGTGTGTTATGTTGGTGTTGAACTGATAAGCAGTTTTTTTCAGACGGAAAACAAGTTTGGAACTTATTGATGAACATAAATGAAGTGGAGGTGAAAATTTGATAACTAACATAGATGAGTATGATAAAACATGATTTTTGATCGCTGAAAAAATTCAACTTAAAAATGAGATTTTAAAAATCACATTAAAAAATAAATGTTTGTGATCTTCAAGAAAATGAGAAATTGTATTTGAAGAAAAATAGAAATGAATGAAATTTTTGAAAAAAAAGGTTCCTAGTTTCAACTGTAAAATTTGATTTGAATTTTATATGAAAATAATGCATAAGGTTTTCGATCGCTGAAAATTTTTGACAACAAAACTTAAGAAATCATATCTCGAAAATCATCGCGAAATTATAGAGTTACAGGAAATTTCGAAGCTTACAAATTCTGATGATACTCCAAATGGAAATGGAAAAAAAAAATAATGAAACAGAAATTTTTTAACAAAACTACAGGTTGGAAATTTGTAACCCGAATGATAAAATATAAAGAACATCGCCCCTGACATTATTGGAATTTTTCCGAAATTTAAAAAGTTCTGTTAGTCCTCAAAAAATTGTTACTCATGAACAATTTTTAAACGTTTTTCCGAAAATTTTTTCAAATAATTATGAACCTATTATTTTCGCAAGCCGGTTTTTTCGAATCTCAAAAATCAAAACTCACCATTTCCTACAGTAACCGTGTAGGACATCCTCATCAAAATATTCAAAAACCACAATGATTACTACAAATGTGAGAAACAAAAATATTTGTCTTATCAATCAGTCTGTTAATCATTTCCTTACACAAACAAATGACATCCCTCCCCGAAAAATAGAAATGAAAATTGACCAAAGCAAACTCACTTTCAATATCAACGAGTTCTTCGAGTTGTAATCTCTCCATTTTTAACCACCCTGAAAATTTATGTAGTTAACGTTGTTTCGGTTTTTTCTAACGTAAAGTATAAATCACGATTTGATAAAAAAAAATTTAGACTGTGAATAAAAATTATATTTTTCGTATTAGTTTTGATTTTTATTTAAAAAAACAAATGAAAAAATAACAAAGAGTATAGGATGTTTGCTCGAAAAAACTCAAAAGTAAATATAAGTCAGACAGAAAAAAGCTTGAAGGACACAAAAATATTATTTTTGTGGCTTGTGCGCGCGAGACTCTAAAAGTTCAAAAAAATGATGATTTTTCATTATTCAGAGAGATCTTTGGTTGATTCGCTGACCTTGAATTCGAAAAAAATCGTGTTTTGATTTTAACACCTAATTGTGAGTGTGAAAAAACATTGCCTTATTGACCCAAAAACCTTATCATAAAGTATTTTTAAAAAAAAGTACATAAGAGCTCTAAAATAATGAGAACATTTGTATTTTGTATTTATTGTAGTGTTTGCTCACAAGACAAGACACAAAATTAGTTTGGGTTGGGTTATTTTTAAACTGAAAAATAAAAAAAACATAATGAAAAAAGAAAAAGGCAAAACTTAATCAAGGGTTGTCGCGGTAACTAGGAAACCGAAAAACAACAAGACACAAAAAATAATTGTGTGAAAAGGGAATTTCAAAAGTCTTTTTTAAAGGTACTGGAGAATTACTTATAAATGCTAGTAGCTTTTCAGGAAAAAGGGCAAAATTTTTTCAACAAACTAAAAAGTGAAGTGTGGGAAACGATTTCCCTCCGGTTTATAAATATTTATTCAAATTTATTGGTTGACTCATCGATATAACTAGAAATCACAAAAATGTTTATATTTTTTTTGCAATTTTTCAACAAAATCATAAAAATATGACATGCACTTCAAAATTGAAAGCAGGTGTACAAATAACATGTTTTATGAAAATGACAAAATAATATTTCGCAATTTATACCCGGTTAGTTCAGTCCATTATGAAAATTGGAATGAACAGGGCGAGCAAGAGATTATCTGGTATTTGAATTCATAATTCGAAATTTGAAACCGATTTGGATTATAGATCACTTCAGTTGATTAAATTTGGCACTTTTGTAATATCAAAATTCGTGGGTGAAGGGATTAGAAAATATATACGAAATTTGATATCGGAATTAGACTTATCGATGTACTAGAAAAATAGAAAAATATTTGATTATTTGATCTTAAAGATTCATTGAATTTCAAAACTCTTTCACTAAATTTCTGGTTTTTTAATGATCATTAGAACGAACTAAACTATTTTGAATGGGTGTATAATTTTAAGTTTAGCAGTTTGATTTTTATGTGAATCCGCGTTATTGTATTACTTCTTTAAATGAATTTTGAAAAAATCGCAGAATAGATTCACAATAACCTGGAATAGTTGTGAAAGTTTTTTTTTTGAAATTTCAAGTTTGTGTTTTACGTTTTCTGGTGATCTAACAAATCCGAGCTATTTCAGTGCTAAACGAACTCTTTTGTCAATAAAATTTAATTACGCGTTACCGTAGTCTCAAGTGAAAGCCGACAATTGTCAAAAATAGAAACCTCGAACGCTTCTCTCACAACATTTTATCACTGTAAATTTTCCTGGAATCAATTCTGATGACGTGAAATCCTGCACTCTAAAGAGAAGTATTTGTTGAAACAAATTTTACTTGACATGATCCCATTGATCAGCAAAACATCTGGAATTCGGCCAGACCTTCGAAACTGATTAGCTACAAAACTCCGCTGTTTTGTTAATCAAAAAGCTGGGAAAAATTTGATTAACGATTTTTGTTGGTCGTTCGTTCAGTTTTCAGTTTTCATTTTTATTCAGTTAGTTTTTCGTTTATCAAAGGATTTTTCATTTTTTTTGTGAAACTGCATTCTTTTGGATAACAATATAAAAAGCGTGTTCTTTGTTTTTAGGTGTTCCCAGTTGTGCAAAATTAAAACTGTGAGAAAAAATACACACATTTTTATTCAAACAATCTTCACTCTTGTACCATCTCTTATATTTCTTATAATTGATTCAGTTGGCAGAATAATTGTGGTAACTTCGGGTTTGGCAGAAGTTGGAGAAGAAATAGTTGAGGTAACTTCGGATTTTTTAGCTCGAATACTTGTTACAAATCTGCCAGGTGTTGGCATTTTCAAATCATTGTCTTCAATCTTTGACTTTTCACCATTTCTTCCATCAAATCTTGAATCAATTTCATTTCTTCGGATTTTTCGATCCGAAGTTTTGGGTGTAACAAGACTTGGTTCTTCTTTTCCAATGGTGGATGATGTAGTTGTGATTGGTGCAGTTGTTGGTGCAATTGTGGCAAGGGTCGGATGATTGTTTTGCTCTGTTGATTCTCTTTCGTCTTTCGAATCTGGTCGTCGGTCATTTTCAGATCTTGATTCAGGTTCTTCAACGTCGTCTCGAGACGATCTTGGCCGTTGTTCGGCAGATCCTCGAGGTTCGTTCCAAGGACCACCCGCAAAACCGCCAAAACCACCGAATTGTCTGGGATCTGGTTGATGGAATGGGAATCCGCCAAATCCTAGAAATTATCATGATTAGATATTGACATAAAATGAGGGGATTGTTTCAAAAACGTCGCCAGCATAAAAAAAATATATTTATAGGCGGGGAGTTGAGTAGGAAAAGTTATGCTGATTTATTACCGCTCTAGATTATTTTTTGGAAGTTTTTCTGTTCAAAAATCTACATAACAATGAGCAATTTGCCGTCTAGAATCAATAATTTGATTTTTTTTCCCAAGGAAAAAATTACCTAATTACAACTTTCAAAATATCTGAAAAAATTAAATGATCAGAAATTTCTAAAATTTCAAAATTTTTCTACCGTTCAAATTTTCGAACTCTTCAAAAAATGTGTTTCATTGCTTTTTCTAGTTTGCCCCAAAGTTTGATCTGAGAAACATGCATTCAGTCGTAAAGTTGTGTCTTAATCTAAAGTTCCTTTTTTCAAGTCTACGTATATTTCATTGATCTTCGTAAATTATTCACCTTTTTTCTCAAAATAACCATATAATTTTCACCTCAACGTAAATTTCCGGTGATCAAAATCCAATTTTATTGAACTCTTTATTTTTATTTTTCTCCTAACAATAAGTTCATAATACTAACCTAATTTATGTTTTTTCTCAATCTTTATTTATATTTATTTTTCTTTGATTATATGTCATTTCATTTTCCCGATTTTTTGATTTCTCCTTTATATTTCCCTATTTTAAACTAACCTGGGAACTTGGGAAATGGTGGGAATTCGGGTGGAATCGCTCCCGCATTTTCATCAGTCTCTTCTTCTCTTCTTTCCTTCTCAGGTCTCCGATGTTCTTCATATTTTTCCTGATCTCCTCGTCGTTCTCGATGTTCATTTTGCGAATCGGGGTTCCGAAAAAACTTGGTTTTCTCTTCTTTTTTCGGATATACTCCAGCTACCATTTGCATATTTAATCCAACAACTTTTGTAGCTTCTTTGGGTTTATCTTCTTGTCCTGATCGCTCCTCGTTTTTGTGCCTTGGCTTCTCATCATTTTCTAAAGTTTTTCCGTGTTCTGATTCTCTGGATTTCTCATGTTCGTGTGGTCGCTCGTTCGGCCTCACGTTTTTGGGTCTATCAGCTGGATGATCAGGTTCTTTTCTCTCTTCGTGGTGCTGTTCAGGTTTTCGATCTCTGGATCTCTCGCTTGCATGTGGCCTCTCATCTTCAGTAGGTTCTGGATGTCTATGCCTCTCCTCTTCATGAGGCTCTGGTTGTCTCGATCTCCCGTTTGCTTGTGTTCTCTCCTCATCGGTAGATTCTGGATGACTGGGTCTCTCACCTTCCTCGTGCTCTCTCGATCTTTCTCTACCATGTTCTCTGGGTCTCTCTGATTCTTCTTGATATCTCGGTCTTTCATTATGTCTTGGTCTCTGTTCCCTATCTTTCCATGTCGGTCGTCTCTCATCGTCGCCTTCTCTCTCACCTGACGACTCTCGCCGTCCATCTCCTCTCCGTCCTTTTTCACTCTGCTTCTCTTCCTCTGGTTCTCTCTCTTTTCTAGCTTCTCGTTCTTTATCAAATCTTGCTCTAACTTCATCTGCATTTATCAATCGAAATTTTCTATCTCCAAATTGTTGTTCTGGTTGTTCTTCTTCTCGATTACCATTCTCCTCTGAGTTGTGTCCATCCTCGCCTGAACCATTTTTTCGATCTCGTTCTTGTTCGGGTCCACGAAATCGGGAACGGAAAAAACGCGGTGGTCCGTGATTTCTATCTCTATTGTCTTCACGTTCCTCGAAAGGTGAGCCAAATGGATTTCGACGATTTCCATGTCCAATTCCAAAAACAGGATCAGGTAGATCTCCGGCCTGTCGATAAGGTGTTCTTTTACTATACCGAGGCTCTAATTCTCCTCGATAAAACTCTGAAATCCATATTTTCTTCTTTTTTTTAAATAAAATTTCTGAAACTCACGTCCATTGATTTCCAATACAAAAATCGCGACCAAAATCAAAACCTTCATCATCATAAGTATAGGTAAACACAAAAATAATAAAGTATGAATATATGAAAATTATGAAGACAACAACAAGAATAATGTGACATTTTATGTTTCTTTTGTACTGAACAACCTAAACTTGTTCGTCGAAAAGAAAACAAAAAAAATATGCGAACAAAATAATAATCGCGCAAAGCATGCTTGATGAGCCATTCATAAATGAACATTCAAATTATCTTTTTTTTTTTCAGGATGAATACATTTCTTCGATTATTTGCCGCATTTGTTATGTTATTCGTATCGCTTTTCGGAATTGTTGTCAATCTTCATGTGATGTTCGCATTTTTGAAAAAGCGAAAAGCATCGACCGGATTCTTCAAATTATGTTTAGGCAAAACTGTAGGAAACACAATAACTTGTTTTGCATTTTTCTTTTGGTCAGCGCCATGCACTTTTATGTGAGTTATTATTGACAATAACTCTCTGAAACTACGTAAATTTTTAAGAGACACGTATTATTTATCTCACAAGTTTAACGTAATTTGGGGACAAATCGCTGGTTGGGGAGCTTATATTGCAGGAATGTTGATACAACTTTGTATGTCATTAAATCGACTATTTGCATCATATTTACCCATAAGATCTAGTATACATCATCCAGTTTTCAATATTAAGGTTCGGTAATTACTGGAGGCTTGTGAACACGAATAATTTCGCATTATTGGGAGATCGAAAAACAATAAACAAAAAATTTTCAGAATTGTCTAATCATTATTTTTATGATTAGCATTGCTTATACTGTCGTTGGTTTAAAAGATGGTTGTGGTTATTATTATGCAGTTGACTTATTATCTTGGAATCCTGAACCAGAAGATTGTGCACAGCGTCTGGCTGATTTTATGTTTTATAGCATTTTCACATTATCCGCAATTTCAAATACTTCAAATATTGCAACATTTATCAAACTTTTCAAAAATTTGAAAAATAATGAATTTGGTTTGCGCGAAACTGAAAGTGCGGAAAGAACCAAGAAAAGTCGAATTATGTTTGCTCAAGTACAGTGATTTGTTTGAGTAAAAATAAATCATTCGAACTTTTTTCAGAGTGTAACTCAAGATTGTCTTCATGTTTGTGATATGTTAGCCTGTCAAGTAGTCTACAAATTGAATGATGCATTATGGTTCCAATTTATCTGTATGTCAGTTGTATGGTTGTCAATACACGTATTAGATGGGTAAGTATTTGGAGTGACCTTCAAATTTTTCTGAAATTCATTCATCATTTCCAGAGTTGTTATCTTATTGTTCAATAAAGACATTCAACCAAAAAGAATGAGGAAAATAATGAATAACGAGACTGCTATTATGAATGTTAGTGCAAGAATAACTGTATATTGATACTGATATTTTATGTATGTATGTATATAACATGTTTTATTGTTTAAATAATTTTTGAAATTTAAATCACTTACAATCTTGATTTCAATTCAAGTTTAGCAATAGTTTCTAAATGTACAGCATCAGGTCCATCAGCAACTCGAAGTGCTCTCGCCCAAACATAAAACATAGCCAATGGTGTAAATGGTGTGAGTCCTCGAGCTCCTTGTTGTTGCATTGCTCGATCGATTATTTTTATTGCCATATTTGGAGCAACAACTTTGATCATTGCAATTTCAGATTTGGCTTCTTTTGGTCCGACAGTATCAATCATATGTGCAGCTTTGAGAACTAATAATCGAGCTTGTTCAACTTCACATCGAGAAAGTGCCAATTCTTTTCGGAGACTGTCGAATTTCACTAACGGTTTTCCGAATGCGATTCGAGTCATCAACTGAAAGTAAATCAAGATTAGAACACTTCTGTGAGACTGGTTCGGTTCCAAAAAAACCGATAAATTATGCAAAATTTTTAATTAAATCTGAAACTTGGTCCTCCGAAAAGCTACGTTCATACCACGCCCAGCTTCGTGCAAGTTAACTTTGAAAATTGGCGGTGTGGGTATTGAAATTTTTTGGCGAGGTCAAAACAACGTTTTCGGCCGAAAAATACCACTTTTTAACGGAAAAACAAGCAAAAACTTGCTGTTTTTCAAGAAAATCTCAAATTGGCGAGGTGAATTTCCGTAAATTTTTATTGGCGCCGTGCAAATGCCTCACCCTGGGCGTGGTATGGCTACGTTGTCATTAACTTACCCGATCTTTCATAACATCAATGGATCTTTCAGCATGTCCAATCAATCTAATTGCATGATGAATTCTTCCAGGTCCAAGTCTTCCTTGTGCAATTTCAAAACCTCTTCCCTCTCCAAGAATCATATTTTCAACTGGAACTCGAACATTTGTGAATAGAATTTCAGGATGTCCGCCTGGAGCATCTTGTGATCCAAAAACATGAGTATTTCTAACAATTTCAACACCTGAAGTTTGCATTGGAACAAGAATCATTGATTGTTGGAATAATCTCGATTTCTTTTCTCCAGCAACTTGTCCCATAAAAATAGCAATTTGACATTTTGGATGCGACGCATTTGAGATGAACCATTTTCGAGCATTTATAACATATTCATTGCCAATTCGAACAATTGATGCTTGAATATTTGTTGCATCACTACTTGCAACATCAGGTTCTGTCATTGCAAAACAACTTTTGATTTCTCCAGCCAATAAAGGTTCCAACCATTTTTTCTTCTGCTCTTCATTTCCATATTTTATGAGAACTTCCATATTTCCAGTATCCGGTGCTTGACAATTAAATACTTCTGGAGCAAAAACACTTCTTCCCATTAATTCACAAATATGAGCATATTCAACATTTGTTAATCCTTTTCCATATCTTTGATCGGGATCAATATGATCCGAAATGAATAAATTCCAAGCTCCAAGATTTTTCGCTTTCTCTTTGAGTTTTTCAATTTTTGGATGTGAAATTGTCCAACGATCTGGGCTAGTCTCATAATATTCCATAAGTTCAATTTCCAAAGGAATCACATCATTGTGAATTATATCTTTCACAATTTTATAATATTTTTGAGCTTTTTCAGACATTGCACTTGGCACAACTTGAAGAGAACCATACACTTTAGCAGAATGAAGTTGTGAAACCATTTGATATCCTTCCGATGCAAGTTTTCTAACAAGTGGTCCCAATAATGAAGCTTCAGTTGATGATGCATTTTTGAGAAGTGATCTCATATGAACACCTTAAAAAATTGTTTGTTTTTTTTCCAATCATGCAGTTTTTCTCACCTTGTAAAATACTTGCAAATCTGAAGACAACAAATGCCATATAAAAAGTCCAAGTTTCAGAATCCACAACATTTGTATTTGTATATTTCGCATACAATTCCAAACATTCTGAAACAGTTGGAATTCCAAGTCTCCGAAGATCTGATTCAGTATAATCTCCAATTCCTGGCGAAAGTCTCATTCGATTTGGAACATAATAAATGAATACAAAAGTCGCCAAATCACTTAATGGATCTCCGATTGTTGAAAGTTCCCAATCAAGAATACCACGAACATTGATTGAATTTTCATCGATTATCAAATTATCAATTCGAAAATCACCATGAACAATTGTAGATTTTGCATTTTTTGGAAGATGAGTTTTGAGATAATTTTGAAGTTTATCCATTTCAGGAATCTCTTCAGTTTTCGACATTTCAAATGCATCTGTCCATCTTTTCAAATTTCTTTCCATATATCCATCAGCTCTTCCAAAATCAGACAATCCAGCCTTTTTATAATCAATCGAGTGAATTTTCGCCAATGTTTTCAAAGCTTCCTCATAAACTTGTCGGCGTTCTGAAAAATTATTGATTAGGGTAATTTTTAAACTTCAAAAAAACTTGATTACCAGTTGGTTTCAATTCCGGTAAAGCTGGGTTCAAAAATATGCGACCTTTTTGATATTCCATGAGATAAAATGGAGTATCTAAAGTTTTTTCATCAAGAAGAATAGTTTTTGGGAGTGGAAGATGGGCTTGAAGAGCATTTATGATTCGGAATTCACGATCAACTTGATGAGCTTTTGGCAAAAGACTTCCAGACTGAAAATATTCAATTAACATTGTACAAAAAAAAGAAAAACCTACCGGTTTCTTTCTTAACACGTATTCCTGATTTTTCTCGGTTTTGATATAATAAGTTGGATTCGATTGTCCATGTCGAAATTTTCGAACAGTTTGAATCTTCTTACTCAAAAGTTTCTCAAGTTTATCCTGTGGCAGAACTTCTCTTGGAATACATTCTCTAGTTTCTGGTGGAAATGATAAATCCAAGTTCAAAACTTTTTGAAGATCAGAAATTGCTTGCCGAGTGCTTGTCACTTTAATAGTTGCCATTCCGAGTTCTTTAGCTGGTTTGAGATTTGGGCCAAGATCATCCAAAAATACACATTCTTCTGGCTTCACTTTATTTTGTTGGCAAGCGAGGTTATAAATTTTAGTGTCCGGTTTGCGAATTCCAAGTCGACAGGACTCCAAAATATCATCAAAAAGGAATTTGATTTCAGCGGGAATTGTTGGAGAAAGACGAGCACGATCGAACCAGAAATTGTTGGTGATTAGAATAGTTCGATAACCAGCAAGGCGCAGAGACTGAAAAACATTTCAGATATCAAGGTGCCAATTAATTTAAAAAAAAAATACCTTAACAAGTTTAACCATCTCTGGTTCTAATGGAACAGCTGACATTCCTTCGCAAAACATTGAAAATAGTGGCATAACTCCGCGATTTCCACCATTTTTCAAATTATAAACATGGCTCAATAATGGATCAACATCTTCAGCTGTCAATTGTCCTCTTTCAAAAGTTTTGAAATGCTCGCGAAATTCTTCAGATAAAATTGCTCCAACAATTGAATTTGGTGACAAGTTGTTCTTTTGCTCATATTGAGTCCAAATTTGCATTGGAGCTGGAATGAGAACTCCACCCAAATCAAATATTACAGCCTTGATGGTCATCTGAAATTATTTTGATTTTGTTTAGAAGGAAAAACTTTGGAAAGCTCAGAAAAATTTAATTGGAAACATTGAAAATAAGAAAAAACGTGGGGTTGATGAGAAAATTGCAAAATAAAGAACAGAAAGAATGGATGATAAGGAAAAGAAAACAAGGGTTAGAGTACACTGTAGCCTGGCCCTTTATAGTAAAATGTAGTGTTTTTGGTATTTGGGAAATAAGGAAGAGCATGGAAACACTGACCTTTCAAAGACAAGTTGACTCTTTTCATTTTTGATCTCGAGCAGCTGATATTTGCATAATTTTTTCAGTCGCGATGTTATTCAATGTGTAACTTTGAACTGTGATCATCTGAAAATGTGATTCCAGAAGTCTGGAGTCAGTTTTCTGATCTTCTGAGTCATCGATATTCCAACACACATATCTGTAAAAATTCAATTCAAACCAACGATATTTATGATTTTCGGGTAACAAAACATACAAATCTCACCAGATCGAATGGATCAAGAGCGTCTGTTCAAATTAAAAATGACTTTGAATATCCTTCAATGTCAAAACAACCGGAAAACAACAAAATTCGAGCTTTTTTAAATGAAAAACCTGAAAAAAAAAGGAAAAACAATTGGTCGTCACATGTTCGGTGTTTACACAAACTGCACACATCGAGCGAGACCTACAGTAGTCCGTGAAAAAATTTACGATATTTTCCGAGACGAAAATGTTCAGAGTTTCAACGTCCAGTCCAATGTTTTGAGAAAAATACACTGTAAATGCGCTTTTCAAATCTTCTGCAAATTTTCAAGCTCGCCCTTTTTCTGGGAAGCAAAAATCGGAAATGATTAATTTCCACTCGTGCACGAAATTTTAATTTTAATTTTTTTTTTGTTTTCTCACGTGACCCAAAAACCTGAAATGTTTTATAAAATTTTATTTCTCTTTTTTTTCACATTTCATTTTTTGAAAACGAAGAATATTATTTTGAGAAACTTTCGTCCGCCTACTTGTTTATTTTAAGCCTAATGAATCAATTTCTATGAAAAACTACTCTTCCCTCATTATCCATTTTTCAGAGATTAAAATGTGATTTTTTAGAACTTGTTTCCACTCTGATTCACAATATATATGTTATGAGAAAAAAATTAATGAACAACAACAAATCCCGCCTCCGTTGACTGAAAAAGTTTTCTTTCTCACTCGTTCTCCAATATTCTTTAAACCTAATAACATTTTCGACGCGTTTTTAAGCAGGTGAAACTCTACTTTTTTCTATATAAAATTTTGCAAGGCTTCTAACCAATAAACATGATCGATTTATCGCCCGAAACTTTTCTAAATCAAACTTGTAATCAAAGTTCGACTGCATTCCAATATGTTTCATTTTTTATCCAAGTTTCCTATGTTTCACCATTCATTCTGATTTATTTTATATTTATGATTCAAATAATTCAAAAACGAAAAGATCATGTTTTTGATAACTCATTTTTCAAAATTTATTTGCTTGATGGATTTTCAACGATTTTATTTTTATCTCTTGATTTTGGATGTTTGAGACTTATTTCGTATCTTGAAACACCTTGCGTATATTTTACAAATACTTTCCGATGGCCGAGTTATCATTTTACTCCATATTTTTACTTTTATAATTATTGCCAATTTTCGAAAATGTTGACAACCGTTGCAATGAGTTTGAATAGATATACTTGTTGTAACTTTCCATTGGTTCATAAAAAGGTTGGTTTTATACTTATTCTATGCTCAATAATCAAATAAACTCGTATGTAAAAATACATACTAAAATATATTTTATTATAGTTTTGGACTAGACATATGAATAAAATAATTGCATTTATTATCATTATTCCACTTTTATGTTGTACTCCGATTGCAATCGCAAAAGTATTTATTTTTGTGTACAATGGACATGGCCAGATGTATTATATTCATTATTTTTCTTGGTTCAGAACAACTTATCCAAAAATAATAATTGGAATTCCTTCAGTTATTTTTATAATTTACGCGAATATTTCTGCTGTTAGAAATTTGGAAAAACTGAATCGAGATATGATTCGAGTTGAATTCGCTATGACTTTGGCAACTATTTTTGTATCTATTGGATTTTTTGCAATGCTGATTTTCAGTGCCTCGTATACAATCGCATCAGAAAAATATTTGGATCAAAGTCCAATGCTTGTTTCTGCAATTCTTGCTCTTCAACAAATTTGTAATGATTACTATATGTTGAGTGGACCTGTAGTTTTGATTATTCTGGACAAAAGAATACGTCAAGCAGTTTTGTGCTGTAGAAGATCAAGGAAATTTTCTGTTCGACAGAAAACAACAACTATCACAATGTCGGGGATAATTCCACATAATTAGAAAAATATCTTGTATTCATAGATCAACGATCTATGAATACAAGAGTTTTCAAGTTTCCAAAAAACCCAAAAAGAAGGTTCCACCGAGATTTGAACTCGGGTCGCAGGATTCAAAGTCCTGAGTGCTAACCGCTACACCATGGAACCACACGAAAACTCCACCGCTGATGCCATAGAGAAGATAGCCGATAACGAAACATATTGGATAGGTAGATAGAGACAAAGACGAAGAAGAAGCAAATAAAAACATGTTCATAATACGATTATTTTTTGAGGAGACTTAATTTTACTGTTGTTTGTTTTTCACTTTTCGTACTGTTTGTGAATAAATGAACATTTAGGAATTCTTTGTTTTTTTTTTGTTTTCGCTTCATGTTTTTGGGTCTTTTATTTTTAGAAAAAAAGGAAAAATGAAATATTTGTTTCTGTTTCTAGAAGTGACTCTTGAATTAATTTTCAGATATTTTATAAAATAATAATTTTCAGATGAGGAATATTCATAACTCCGGATTCCGAGCTAAATTAACAATTTTAGATTCTTAGATATTTTTTCAAAATAATCACAGCTCTGTTCAAAACTGTTGAAAAATATTTACTATCCAAATGTTTTGCTATCTTCGTTCTCTCAAAGTTCATCGGCGTTCACAAAAAAAACATTCAAGAGTCTTGATAGAAAAAAGTTGTCACTCTCAGAAATCAGATACGTCGATCTTATTTCATCCATCCACTCATCTTCCTCCTCCTCATTCCATCCACTCTATTTATTATAATAAAAATATAATTTGAAACAGAGAAAAAATTATCCATACTATCACTGCGCCTCTCATTCCTCCCAACTATTTTCATCTCCGCAATCGGTGTTTGTATGTGTGTGTGTTCGGTTTTTTCTTTCCCACATCTATATTTTCTCTTCTCCCGTCTTGTCTCTCTCTTTCTCTCTCTCTCTTTTTTCCACCACATTTTCTTGCTTGTTTTGTACACATTTTATTATTATTATGTGTATTTAAGTATGTAGATGTTAAATATGCGAAAACCGTTAACTTTTTGTTTTTTTTTTAGTTTTGACATCATAATTTATACAATTTTCCATTTCAAAATAATCTCTTCTTTTTTCTATCATCTGTCTTTTTTTTTCCAAATTTCAACATAAATATTTCGAAATAGGGCTCGATATGGATCGTGAGAAGCGTCGAAGTGCGGAAGACGAACTCGAACTGGATCGAAAAATCGCCCTCATTCGGGAAAAAAACCTGAAACTCGAGCAACGTTTGAAAGAAGTCGAAGAGGATCGTGTCCGCGATCAACAACATCACACCAATTCGACAAAAGTTTGTGCAACCAGATGTTAGCATTCAAAATCAAGTTATTTTCAGACATCTGCTCTATCGAAACCAGTGGCTGAAAAGAAGTCTGGTCGAGAATGGGATAAGGGAAAAACTCCGTTAGTTTTAATTTTTATGCTTTTTATGAGGAGATTCGAAAAATTTATTTCTATTGGCCAGAAATCAGATATGAAAAAACAGGCTTCGTGTCATTTTTGCGCCGAAATATAAATTACTGTAGATCAAATTTTGGAATCACATTTTGGCCCAAATTTTTTTCCATTTATTTTTGATCCAGTTTTTCAGCCAAACAATTCCCCAATAAAATATCCATTTTTAGAGCATCCACGTGGCGTGAGAATGTTCCATCGATTGATTTGAAAGGAAAATTGGCAAGTCAGAAGAAATCAAACAATCCAAACATGCACAACACTAAAATAATGATCACCATCAATAACAACAATAATGTGAAAAACCCCAAAATTCCATCCCGATTGGAAGGACGTGTTTCATTTGTAAAAGATGGTGGATCTGCCAACAGCAACTTGCCGCCACAAAAAAATAACAAAAAGGTATATACCGAATGTAAAATAATATCATATTTCTTTGGTTATTTACAGCAGCAGCAGCCAGTTGTGGCGGGAGGAGGAGATCAACAGAAAACTGCTGGCGGAAATCAGAAAAAGCGAGAAAAAAGACAGCCGAAAGTGGAAGGAGTTGTTGCTGGACAAAATGTGGAGCAGAACAAAAAGAAGGAAAATATCAAAAAAAAAGATGGTGTTGTTGTTGAAAAAGATGAGATTAAGGTGAGATTTTGGATGACCGACCTTTGCCGACAAAAAAACTCTTATCAGATTATTTTTTGGAAATGTCAAAAATCATTATGGAAATCGAAATGTAGTTGACAGGTGTAAATTGATAACTTGACAATTTTTCGAGATTGGGAAAAAAACCTTACTGAATTCTTTGGCGTCATCCACTATTTTAATATTTAAAATTCAAAATTCAAACTTGACGTCGAATTTTGAAAACGTGGATTTTCCAATTAAAAAACCTAGGCATCATTGAAAGTTGTGTTCGTCGTTTCTTAAAACTGTTCTGATTAAAAAAAATTCAAGTTTTTTTTCTAGAAAACCGCGAAAAAACCACGTGCTCGCCGTGAAAGTGATAACTATGCTGTGAAACAAGTTGTTCGTGGAATGATTGACAAAATTTGCTGGCTGGAACGTCTCGAAAAACGGCAACTCAAAAAGGAAGCTGAAGAATTATTATTGAAGAAATCGGAAGTCGAAGTTGAAGCTGAGAAAATCCCTGAACCAGAATCGACAGAAAAAATCGAGGAACAAGAAAAGAAAGAAGAGGACGCTAATCAAAATTTGATTACAGCTGAAAACCCGACGGTTGTCTCAGCCTAAATGCATGTGTATACAGTACAGATTTCTAATATACATACATATTTATTATTTTATTTTGAATATCAAAAAAAATTCTAAATTGCGATATAATAATTTTCTGTGATTCCAAATCCTTTCAGTCATATTGATTCGAAAATAAACGGTTTTTTCTTGCTTTCTGTCTTCCGGGAACTCTCATATGAAATCCGACACTTGAAAAAGTTATACGAGAAAAAAGATAAGACTTCTGAAGCATTCTCAGTTTTCACTGATGCAATCAACATCGTTTCATCATTTCGTGTAAGTTTTCAAACAATTTTTTTCGAAAATTAGATCATTTTCAATTTTTTTTTGAAGATGCGATGATCCAACTCGATATTCCGAAGATCAAGTTGCATGCATTTGTGATTGTCTAGCAAATGATGTTCGAAAACTTGTAAGACAATTTTCAGCCTAATAATGATTCTTGATCATTCTGTATTCTATTTTCAGAGTCAATTTGTATGGATAATTTCTGAAAGAGATGATATGCGTGGAAATCAAGATATTCTAAAGGCACAAGCTAATATTGCATATCACTCCAATAACTTCAAAGAACTCTATCGGATTATTGAAACACATCAATTTTCTTCCGAACATCACGCAACACTTCAAGAATTCTGGCTAAACGCTCACTATCATGAGGTACAGAGTTTCTTTCGGAAGTAATTATGAGAGTCAAAAATTTAGGCGGAAAAGTTGCGAGGTCGTCAACTTGGAGCTGTTGGAAAATATCGAATTCGGAGAAAATATCCACTTCCAAGAACGATTTGGGATGGAGAAGAGACCAGTTATTGTTTCAGAGTAAGCATTGAGTTCAAAAAATTTTAAAGGAAAAATTTTGTCAAACTTTAGGATAAATCTCGAGTGTTGCTTCGTGAGTGGTACTGTAGAAATTCGTATCCGAGCCCAAGAGAAAAGCGAGAACTCGCGGATAAAACACATTTGACAATTACACAGGTGGGATTTGAAAGGAGGTTTGAAAGGGATCTGGGACCTTGGAGGGAAATTTTTGTCTGTTTTTTAATTCGAAATTAGTCTTTTCATTTCCAAGTTTTTTTTTTGAAAAAGTTTAAAAATAAAAATCAAAAAAGCATAAAAAATTTTGAATTCAAAGTTTTTTATCAGTAAGCCCGAATTTCGCCATATCATAATTTTTTCCAGGTCTCAAACTGGTTCAAAAATCGTCGCCAACGCGATCGCGCTGTTGATCCCCGAGAATCTAAAGACATTGGAAGTGAGGAGGAAGAAATTCTCAAGATCTCGCGAAAAACCAAGTCTCTCGCATATCCTCCAACTTATACTTCAAACTTTCCCAATTTTTACAACATGGTTAATTACAACGACATGATGACCAACTTTGCGCAATCCTCCAATCCAAACTATCAATCGCTTTAATAACACTTTATTAATTTATTTCAATTATTATTTATGTTCTTGTTAGAAAAAATAATGAATTCAGTTCTGAAAATGAGTCCCTTTCCTTTTTTTCTTCTTCTTCCACACATCCATCCATATAAGTAACGTCGATTCTTCGCGCGCTCGCCCAAAACAAAACACGCAAATGTAAAGAAAAGTGGTGGCGAGATAGTGTGTAAAGTGATGAGGGTTGCGACACGTGTAACTTGATATCATGCAGCCAACTACCGTAGTCTCGACGACGAAACAACAATTGTACAAGACGGGCGGAAATCGATTTTTGTTCGTGTTGCTTTAGTAAGGCTCCTGGAAATTTTTTGAACAAAATAACTATGGGACAACTCGAAAAAAAACCCAGAGGTTTTTACAAATTTTAGACTTCAAAAGTTGCTTTCTATGAGCGTCTTCTTTGCAATTAGACTAAAATTTTCAGAAGCTTCCAAGGTGCAGATCTTCAAAGTCTATAATTTTCAAAAAATTTAGAGCTCAAACTGCTGGGAATCACGACCTTAAGTAAATGTGCTCCAAAAAACTCAGAGATAGTTTTTCTCAAGACTTTACGACATGTCGAAAGTAGTAATATTGCAATTCGATCCAAAACATACGCACATTTCGCGCACAACTTTTTGAAGTGACCGCAATTGCCCCCGAAAAAACAGAAAAAAACACAACTTCTGTTTAATTACTTGTATCTCAACGTTTCATTCGTGGGAATCAATGTGTTATGTTTATTTTTCCAATTTTTCACATTCGAAAAAAAATGTTTATTTATTCCGGTCGTTGCAACAAAAAAAGAGAAAAGATACACAAAATGTTACCTGTTCATTTAGAATCTTGTTGATAAGTGCATTTTGATTGACAATAGGCAGGTGTTTATGAGCTACAAGATGAGGTACAAGATTTTGCAAATGTGAAGCGAAATATTTTTCAAATATCTACCTGGCACATTTGTTTCTCTAGAAAAGTACAACAATCATAAACATATGTAATTGACTTTCTGGTCATTTATTGACAAAATCTGTCTTTATTTGATTTGTTTCAAGCTTTTACTCATCTACTCACTCAATAAGGTGCAGATGTGTGTTCCGAAAAAAAGAAGGCACATGGACAAGACAAACAAATGACAGATGATGATAACTTGTAAAAATATAGTAGTAGTAGTAGTAGTTGTGTGTATACAACACTTGGAATAAGTACGGGTATCATATAACTTCCCGGGAGGTGTTAGTTTGTTAATTGGAATTGGGGGTGGCTTCAAACTGTGATATCAAAAAATAATAGAAAAATTGTTATGAGATTTTTTGGAAATGAATTACAAATTTTACATTAGTTGGGGATAAGAATTTTTTGGGAAGTTACTGTAACTTTTTCAAATTTTTCAAAAGTTTTAGGTGCCATTATGATTTTTATTTAATTTAATAAAATGTTTTTCAAAATTACTAATAATAGTCTTCGAACCGAAAGACATATTTAGAAAAATTGTCTTTCAGAAATTCAAAAAGTATTGTTAAATAAAATTTCCCTTTTTCTTCAAACTTTTGGTCCAACTGATTTACAGAACTCAAAAAATCTGTTATCGTATATAAAAGTTAGTAGAGATGTATCAAAAATTCTTCAAGATCTCAAGTTCTTGTCGGAATAAATTCCGAAATTGTAAAAAATTTCTACCAGATATCCTCTCTCTTGGAATTCAGAGTCAATAAAGGTATCACTGTAATCAAACGTGTTATTCGAAAAATTCTAAAACCTGGCACGCCACAACAACCGAGCAACAAAAAAATAAAACTGAAATGAAATAGATATCGGGTACAGGTGTAAATTGATATTCCATCGTGCCTCTATCGAAGTATTGAGATACCCCTTATAGTGTAGAATTTCACCTATATTTTCAGAACTCAAACCAAAATTCCATTATCTGATTTATCTGATTTCCAAAAAAGGGTCCTGTCCCAATGGTACCACCACCAAAAAAAGGCGGAGCAAAGTGCGCGTATTGGTTGAAATGGGCGGAGCAAACAACGAAAAACAGAAGAATGAAAGAAAAAAGAGCACACAAGCAAGCAAGAAGAAGAAAAGAAGAGGAGCACCAGCAGTCGATTGAGTGACTGACACAACAAAATGCAAGCTTATTCCAATAATTTAACGTGAGTTTCAGTAAGGGCGGTCGATTTTTTTTATGGTTAAAATGAAATTTGATTTTTTTTTGCTGTGTGTTGTTGATCCAAAAAAGTTTCGGGTTACGATTTTGCGAATGGTTGTGTATTGGCGGGGTGTAATTGTATACGACGCGGTGTCGCGTTGCCGAAGGATAGTTTTACTTTTTTGCGTCTTCATCTTATTCTTATATTTCGAGACAGAATGGCGCAGCCACAAAAGTTTTAGCTTTGAAATTTCATTTTGTTAGACTTGTTGGGAGATTTTTTATATGTTACTTGAAATTGAAAAAATAATCTCGGTTTTTGTAGAGCAACAACTTCATATTCGGAGCAAGAAGTGATTTGTATTTGTGAATCGTTGTTCAATGAAGGCTTACAAACTGGAAGAACTGATCAATTGGTGAGTTTATCGGGGTGGAACAATTTAAAATTATAGACATGTGTTAGAAGTTTCTATAAACTTCAGAGAATATGGATGTTAGCAAACTTTAGAAAATTTTCTGATAAACGTTGGGAGCAAGGTTTTATGGACTGGGCTGATCCATGTAAAATAATTTTCCAATATAGACAGTGTGTAAATCAGATCACACTAATCAAAAATTTCTTGATTCTTTGAAACTGATCCACAAAAATATGAAAATGTCTAGAAATCTATAACCCATAATTTCTAATTTTTATGACCTCATGTTGTTTTTTTTGCAATTTCTCTTTTGTTAGGTTCAGAGATTTTTTCAACGTTCAAATGTCACTCAAATTCTCCAAAAAAATTCCTGCATTTTTTTCAAAGTTTTACTCAAATTATCCTAACTCTTCTCATAAATCACCGTCACCTTTTGTCTAAAGATAATCTAAACATTTCTGCTTCAACTCTATTCCAAACTTTTTGTTCTGTTCTGATTGCACAATTTGTGTATAAAAACCTCAAATAATCGAATAAATCGAACGCAGGTGTCATGTGTCACTTATCAACAATTTTGATGAACATTTGACAGATGATGCGGTGAGGGACGACTTTTTGTGCCTCACTTCTTGTGTCACAAGAACAGAAAAAAAATTTCATGGAGTTCACCAGAAATTCCAATTTTCATCCAGGAAGCTAGGAATACGGTAGATACATTTTCTAGAAATGCAAGCAAAACAAACAAAAGTCCATTATGGGCAGATGTGTGCTCTTTGACTATTTCGGCAAAATTAAGGGACCAACACACATTTTTTCCAGGCAAATTTCATCTTCACTCTGCCGCCATGTTATCAACAATCCGAATCAGCTCTCAAAGCTCAAGCCTTAGTTTTTTATTCAAATCAGAATTGGAAAAGTTTATATAGGCTACTTGAATGTCACAAATTCTCACCACACAATCATCAAGTTTTACAAAATCTTTGGCTAGATGCACATTATAAAGAGGTAAGAGCTCATAGTGAAGAATTTTATTGTTAAATGAATTCGTTTTATAGGCAGAAAAAACAAAAGAGCGTGAACTTGGAGCGGTTTGTAAATATCGAATTCGAAAGAAGAATCCATTTCCACCAACAATTTGGGATGGAGAAGAAACGAATTATTGTTTCAAATCGAAATCGAGAAATGTTTTACGAGATGCTTATAAAAAATGTCAATATCCATCAGTGGAAGAGAAGCGAAGATTAGCTGCGCAGACTGAATTATCAATTATACAGGTTGGTTAAACGCTTTGAATGAGAAATTCTAAATAAATATCAACATTTTTTCTGATAAAATGCTGATTTTTTCACAATCAAAAGCATCATTGGTTCAATTTTTTTGGTTCAAAGAAGAAAAAGAAAAATTATTAAAATTCAGAAAATGGTTTTGGATTAAAACAGATTCAGGTTTGAAAAAATTTACGAGGCTACGGCCAGAAATTAGGCCCGAAATATAGTTCTGGCCAAAAATTAGGACCGAACAACCAGATGTTTTTCTTCAAACCCAGAATTATAATCTAAATTTCCAAATCAGGCCTGAAAAATTCATGAACCAAAAATAAAAATTTGAAATTGAAAACTGTGGCTTTTGGAATTTTCAACATTCATTTCAAGAATTCAGTATTTCAGCAGATTTGCCAGTTCTTAATTTTTATAAGATCTAAAAATCAAACCTTCCTGATTATATTACTGTACATATATCTAATTTCCAGGTGTCAAATTGGTTCAAGAATAAGCGACAGCGTGAAAGAGCAGCCGGCACACTTGACAGGTATGTTTCATTTTTCAATATATATTTTTGGTCCTCTCCATTCCCTCCAAACTACAGTACCCATTTATCTGTCTTTCTGTTTACCAGTGTAAGAATTCATTCTGTGTGTGCTGAAATTGCGTAATCGGACATATTAGTGGGGGGTACTTGGCTGCAAAGTACCCCTACCAGAACTTTTTCTCTGACTTTTCTCGGATTGTGTAATAAATCAGCCAACAAATATTGAAGTGGGTGATTTGTTGTGATTCGATGAGATTAATAAGTTTCCGGGGAAAAATATAGGACTTTTTAGAACTTGTAAGAATAGGCTAGAACTCTAGAATTCAAAAAAATAAGTGTGAAGAGGTGTTGGAATAAAAGTAGATGGGGTCATGTTTGTTGACAGTATCCTGTGGATACGAAATATAGAAGATGTAAATGGGTGGACACAACAATACGCTTTGTTCTACTTCGAGAGCTTCTCAAATAGGCCGCGCGTAAACAACGCAAGTCGTATTGCTTACATGACAAAAAAGGCTAACATAATGAAAGTTTGGGGTACTGTAGAGTGGTTGCGGGGGAGTGAGAGAGGTCTAAAGATCAGCAACGTTTTTAAGAAACAAACTTTAGAGAGCTTTTTTGATTTTTTCCGAGAAAAAAACTTGTAAGATTGATCATGAAAACTTAATTTTTTTAGAAGTTCTGCTCGCTCAAATGACAGCGACGATGGTTCGTCAGGTTGCGAATCAACAATCAACAAACAATCAATGAATTTGGACAGTCCATGTGCTCCGCCACCATTAGCAACCACATTTGATATATCTCCATATGCCGCTTATCCAGCTCCAGCATATTTTGCACCAGCCTGCGATTTTTCCTATATTCAGAATTTGTGATGATGGGTCCTTCGCTATCTCATTAAAAATTATATAATTTTTTATAATATCTCAATCATTTGACAGTATTTTTCTCACAGTATTTCTATTTATTAATTTTTTCGGTTTTTCCATGATAAATAGTCATTTTTTGATTTTAAAATAATTTTCACGTGAACTTTTTTCCAGAAAAAAACAAGATTTTATTTCTAAAAATCATCATTCCTAGTTTCTAGAAATGTCAGATATCGAAGCGTCAATTTTTTTCTTCAAATGGAGTGTAAGTTTTTTCATGAAACTGAAGAATCTCATATGACCTCACTCGAAATGAATTCAGAAAACTGCGCTTGACACGTATACAAGCACAATCAAATCGAATTATTTCAAACTTCTTGTTGAACATTGTACAAAAGCTCGTGCAAACGATGAAGAAAGTTCAAAAATGTTCGATATTGATGAACTTGGAGCTGATCCAAGAGTTGTCAAAGATGATCGAGAAGATATTAAAAGACGATTGAAAGATGCGCAAAAACAAATTTATTTGAAAGAGGAAATTGTGAAAACTAAAAAGGTACAATTTTTGAAGGTTCAACTGGCGAAGCGATAACATAATCGATTTTCAGAGAAAAAACTATTAGCCGATTTTGAAAAATTGGATTACTTTTTAAAGATTTCTTTCTAAAATATTACAGTAATCATTTCCAGCCAGTGTCTTTGGGCGAATTGGCGACTTTATACCGATTGAAAACACTTCTCAAAATGTGCGAAAAATTGATTGAAATAATGGCAAGAATGGTGAAGTGGATGGATGAAAATAAAGCGGTAAATATTCCTTTTTTCTCCGTGAAAATATAAGAATTTCAAAAATAGTTTCTTTCAGCTCCTACGTAAATTTTCCGAAAGTATCAAAATATTTCCATTTTGTCGAAAAATGTTTGAAGCGGTTTGTGCAGTTGGTGAGATTTTCCAACTGAAATCAATTGAATGGCAAAGTTGTAAATACGCAAAAATGTTGGATCCATCGAAAACTGATTATTCGTGTAAATTGAATGCGGAATTGCAAATTTTGGAAGCTAAAGTTTATTGTCCACAATTTATGACTATGGTTAACTATTTTCGGTGAGTGTTTTACATTTGAGGGTGTAAATGTTTCACTTTTCGGAAAATTGTGATTTTCAAAAAAAAATCCCATAACTTTTCTCAAAACTTCACGTTTATCATTTTTTCCAGTACTGTTGTTTATATAATGGGTTGCTCATTTACTGGAATGCTCGAAACAATATTTCTAAAAATCTCGCATGAAAGATGTGAAATTCGAAGTCGTGAAATCAACTCGATTCTAAAATTGTTACCACCACAATTTTTGTTCACCAAAGATTATGCCAAACTTTCGAGAAGAACATCAATGTTACTCGAAATTCCACCCAAAAATGAGCGAAGTTTTCCAATGGTTTCAGAGGTTTGTGAATTTGTAGCTTTGACTCGAAATATCGAATATTTTTCAGCGACCAATTCTTGATGCTAGTTCGACTCGAAAATCATCAAAATCAAAATCGAAAAAAGATTCACACAAAAGCGAATCAAAAAAATCGAAAAAAAGAATCAAAAGTCAAAAAACTTCTCAAAAAAGTGGTCACGAAAAAAGGCGATGCTTCAGAGAAGAATGAATCGGAAGAAAAAATTTCAGAGAAAAAGTCGAAGAAATCTGAAAAAAGAGAAAAAATCGGAAAAATCATAAATATGTTTTGTTTTATTTTTAGCGTGACCTTTTAATAGAAAATTCGTAGAATGGAAAAGATGTTTCATTTTTAAATAATGAATAAGCAGCAAATTTTCATATTTTTGGGTTTTGTCGATTTTGTAATCGCGGAAGATTCAATTGTGATCAAATATTTTGGGTAAGTTGCTCGAACTCAATGGAAACTTAGATACTAAATTTCAGAAGTTGGTGTGTTCTTATCGGTTTGGTTGTTTTCACTGCGCTTGTTGGAGTGGCTTTAGCTTATGCATGTTACATTGATATAAAACACTGGAAGAGAAGTATTGGTAAGATCTAAAATTCCAATGTAGAGTTCCTAAATCATCTTCAGATCTGAAAGCTCAAGAAGATCTACCAAAGGCAAGACGAGAAGATTTCATATTCGATAAATTTGTAGAAAATCAGACACAAGCTGAGACAACAAAATCGAGAAGTGTTGATCGAACCGAAAAACAAGTTCGAATTATTAATGGTAATTTTCTATGAACTTTCTAAAACAAATTGGCGTTTCAGCAATTTATACTTCATCGAATCGCGAACCACCGAAGAATTTGAAAATTCGCAGTGCGGAAAGAAATACAACCAAACTTGAGACTATTTCGGAAACTCAACAATCTACCAAAACTGAATAAATTTGTCCCAAAATTTGGAACTAAGTAGACTTGAATTACTGTAGCTCTTCATGTTGAAAATAAGAAGAATGCAATATGGTTTTTTATGTTTTTCTTGTTTCGAAATAAACAACGTTCCACGTTCAAAGGTCACGTGGAAATTGAAGCCACGTTCAAATTAAAATCGAGCTACAAAGATGTTCCCAATTTTTCCGCGCCATGACATAGTTAAAGTCCGAAATCTTCTTTCAAAATCGTATAGTTCTTTTCCTCAAATCACATGTCTTTTATACCTCACCCTCATTCCAATTATCATCAAAACAACTGCGAAAAAACTAGCTTATTGTTAACCATCGGATATATTTTTTTGCCTTACGAATGACCTCCTCCTGCCTTCTGTCTCCTCCATTTTTCTCCACCCTTAGATTCGATTCCGGTTCTTTTTTTCATTTACCTCATCATCTTATCATCAGAATATTTTTCTCCAAGGTGTATTTATATGTTCGCTTTCAATTTCATTTTAATTTGAATAAATTTCACTTTTTTTCATTCATTTCACATCATTCTTTTTTTCTTTTCGAGATCGGTTCCACTGATTTTTTGGAACAAAAAAACTATATAAAAATATATTCAGATCGGTTTTTTGTAAAATAAAAATGTCCGAAATTAATCTTACCAGTTTTCCTTGTTTCTAACTACATAATCCCAGATTTTTTGTTTCTTTTTCTATTCTCATATTTGTTCTTATTTCAGATGCTTCTTCCTCTATTTCTTATTTTTTCAATTTTTCAAATCACTGTGGAACAATCCGAAGATACTCTGCCAAAAGCATTCAACTCATTGAAAATCCGAAAATTCAATAAAAATCGCCTAATAATTCAGCGCCTCAAAATTGGTTCCAACACAAAATTCGTGGGTGAATCTGAGAACTGCCCAAAATTTATGAACTTCACCGCTTGTTCTTGTGAACCAACTTGCGATAATTCGAATCCCGTAAGTTTTTTAGTAATGTGATTTTCTCTCAAAATATTTTTTAGCTGTGTATAAATTGTCAACCTGGATGTGTATGTCGAAATGGATTTGTGAGAAATCAAGATTTTCTATGTGTTCTTCCTGAAGAATGTCCGAATTTTGAAATGAGAAATGAAGAAGAGAAATATGAAGCGGAACCAGTTGTTCCAATAATTAAATTGACAAAGAAGCCAAAATTTGTTGAACCCACAACTACAGTACCCTTGGTCATTTTCAGACATGGTACGTTAATGGGACTGGAATAATAGGAAAATCGCTCAAAAATTGACTACTCAAGATTTTTAAGGTTCAGAATTAGTTTTAAAAATGTTATGATGCGCAAAAGTTGGAACAATCTTTCATCCGCAATTTTTTTCGGACTTTCCAAAAAATACCCCAAATTTTAAAAAATAATTTTAGAACGCTAAAAAACACTGAATTTGGGATTGAAACTTGGACTTTAAACAACATCTTGAAAATTTTATCAACATTGCTAAGGTGTTAATGAATTTATGACGTGGCAAAGTTGCCGAAGCCAGATTTTTCAGAAACGTTAAATTTTTTAAACCAGACTTCTTGCGAAAAATTCCCAATAAAAACTTCAACTCACTTCTTTTTTCGTATAGGTCCAACACCTCCACCATCTCCGCCAATGCTTCATACATTTCCACCAACCGATCCTGAATTAATTGGTGCTCCATCCGCCACTCCTCCACCAGATTTCGGTCCACCAGGTATGACTGCTGAAAGGGTTAATGCTTATGAGAAATATCTGAAAGAACGTCGAATCATGCGAGCATTGCGAAAACGAAGACAACAGCGAAAACATTAATTTATTGACTTGAATCATGGATGAAAAGGAATAAGTTTAAGTTGAAAAGTTGAAAAAAAATCAGAAAAAGTTTGTTTGTAAATAATGTATGAAAAATGAATAATTTTGATCTCAAAAAATTAGATTCTTTGATGAGCCATCAAATCGCTCTTGACGCTTTTCTCGTCAAGATCCGACATTTCGGAGGCTTGAACTTGGAAGAGAGATTCGAGACCGAGTGATGCTTTGAGAGCACGGACTGATGAAGCGTAGAGCATACGCCGGCGGACTGGAGCATTGTCTGGGCAACTGGAAAAATTAGAAATAAATAAGATATTTGGATAATAGTACGATAGGAAGAAGAGGATAACTTACTATTGAACAAAAATAACTTTGTTCAGTGTGCTTGTTCCTTCAGCTCCTTGTCTTTGAACAGTTACTTCGACATCAACGGCAGCGTATCTATGAAAAATTGAGTTGAGATTGGGATTTCAACAATTTCTTGGAACGTAATTTGTTCGGGGTTCGTTCCGGTCAAAAATAGCGTCAGTCTCAAAATCTTCCGAAATTTCAAGGTTTTAGAGCTCGAATGAGCTATGAGCTTTGAAGTTGGAGAGGAAAATCGAGATTTTTTTATTTTTCAATTTTTTAGAATTTCGACTTGAAAAGACCGATACTAAATTTCTTAACTTATTTTTTTCTGGATTTTCTACTCCAGACCTTTGTGAGAACTGGAGTTTAGAACTTTCCGATTGAAAATTGATGTTCATCTTTTTTTTAAATTTGAATTCCAAAGTTTCAACAAGATTTTCAAACTTCCAAAAAAATTACCTGCATTCTTTTCCATCTTCGACAAGTTTCTTCATTTCTTCCACAAATTCTGAATATGGTGCAGATTTGTCTCCGACTTTCTCAACAACAATTACTGTATCATTTTTGTCGATCTTAAAAATAATCTCATTTTTCTGACTATTTTTCTTTGAGGAAAAAAACAACGTACCTTGAAAATAATATAACTATGTTGATGTTTGTTGTGCAACAAATCGTAGGCATTTTTGCATGAAGCGTCAACTTTAACTCCAGAAGCCTAAAAACCAATCGAAAAAATTATCAAAATATTCCAGACAACCGTTAGATCACTGCCATGTTAATTTGTTTATATCACTTCACTCCGGAAGAAAACAGTTTTAAAGAAAAACGTGTGTATTTAGATGCAATAAAAAAGAGAGAATGAAAATAATAAATAGAAAAGAATGAAGATAAAAACCGCGCATTTTGTTTCTTTTTGGGGAAATCAAACAAACAACCAAGCTAGAAAACAACATGGTTTGAGCTTAAAATAGTAGTAATTTAGATGAAAAAGATAGGAGACACTTCAAAAAAACACACACGACAGACACAGAAAACACGGGGAGTTTTGGTTCGAGTTGCATATGAATTAAGAAGAGTTGATAAAATTGCAATTGCGAGTTCTTATTTTTGTCTCAATTTATCGTTTAATGATCTCCGTATTTTTCAGAGAGCTTGTTCAACAATTCCTTGTGCGACATCTCAGATTCGTCAGAGACCTGTAAATGTTTATTTTGAAAATAAAATACTATTGATTTTAAAATTTAAAAAACTCACTTGGAATTGAAGGATCTTTCCAGTTCCGAGAGAAGCCTTGATAGCTGAAGCAGATGAAGCGTAGACCATCTTCTTTTTGATTGAAGCACCATCTGGGCAGCTGAAATGTGTTTTATTGAAAATAGAATTATTCAATTTCCGCTTCTTGTCAGAGAGGAAGTTCATATTTTTCACAATGAAAAGGATATGAAAAATTTAGTTTAAAAACTTACATTTGCAAGAAGACAATCTTGTCCATCTTAGAAGTTCCGGCTCCAACACGACTGCAGGTGAACTTGAAATCGAAAACAGCGTAACGACAGTCGGTCAAATTGTCAGTTCTAGTCTTGACATCTTCGACGAATTTCTCGAAGGCAGCCTTGGAAGAATCATCATAATCATCTCCGGTCACTCCCAAGTCTTCTGGAGTTACGGCGGTTTCGACGATAACTTCGCGCTCCTAAAAAATGAAAAATTAGTGATTTTATTTGGATTCTCATGGGTTTTTGCAAAGTTTTTGATGGATGAAATTGAAGGAAATCTTGTAGATATTTCGAAACTTTTGAATATTTCGCAACCCCTTCCAGAAAAAAAAAACTAACCTCAATTTTGAAAATGATGTATCTGAACTCCTTGCGTCCTTCCGACAATTTTTGGAATGTCGATTGAACATCTGGATGGACCATAACTCCGGAAGTAGACTAGAAAAAACACACAAAGTTAGTTGTTAGATCAGAAACAAAACTGTTATATTCAATTTGCTGCATTCCCATTCTTTTCACACCAAGAAAAATCCAATAAAAAACTTACCATTTTGTTATATTTGGTTGAAAGTGAAGAAGTTAGAAAAAATGCAAGTTGAGAGGTCTGAAAATGGTATATATTTTTAGCTTTATTTGAAACTTTTTAGGGAGGACACACGAAAAAAAAGAACTGGCCAGGCCAAGCAAGGCGAGGAGGAAAACGAACAAACATGGAAAAAGAGTGAGTAAGAGAGATATTGTTGGGGCGAGCGACAAAAAATGAGAGAAAAATGATGAGAGATGGTGGTCAGTGTGTTGGTACAATTGCAAAAATTGCAAGAGACGCAGATAGTAAGAGCCGCTAGCCAAACATTTGCCTCCTTTTTTCTGTCGTCCGTTCGCCACTTACTCACACCATTCATTCATTGTCTGACAGGACAGGATGATGGTCACTTTTTCTTGTCCAATCGATTGAATCTCATAGTATTTCATTAACTGGAGATTTTGGAGAAAACAAGTGAAGGAGGTCACACACACACACAACAGTTGAGTATTATTCAAAATATTTTTGAAAAACCTTCAGGAATCTCTCTTTCTCTATAAAGGAAAACATTCAGAAAGTATGAATTCAGAAATCGGAGGAGTTTAAAACTATACGCTTTTCGAAAATACTTGTCATAAGACGAACACAAACTGATAATGAGAAAAAATATTTACGGTATATGAAATCAATAATTTAAGCTGACTCATTTTCGTATCAAACACACAACACGTCACGATACGATAAACTAAAAGCATGACTCATTTTCGATCTATCTAGCAATGAAAATAAAAATAATTACTCTCTTCGGTCAAAAAAAAGTGCGTAGAAGAAAAGGGAAACGACGACAACCCAAGCGTACGTATATTTAATCTCTACTTATATATTTACCGTCAGAATTGTTGCTACTAAATACGACTAAATGTATGTTTTGCGTGTCTCACCGACTTGTTATAAGGAAACGAAAAGAAACAAAACAAAAAACATATTATATGTAAAGACCATCATATATTTCAACGAAGGCCAACATATTGATTGCTCGGAGGGACAAGAAATGGGCGGCAGCGGCGGGAATAAGTGCCAGATGTCATCTGATTCAAAATGAACCAACGCGGGCAGTCGAAAAAAAACATTTTCTGAGAACACAACACATTGAATGAAATAAGCGGGCTAGCGCAAATGATTCATCATTTCTGTGTCATCGTTATATTTTCCCCGCTTTTTTTCGAAATGTAATTTTAGAAAAAAATGAAACAAAAACTGAAATTTTGGGGACACGTGATTTTTTGGTTTGAAAAACATGAACAGATGCTGAAAAGGTTCAAACACCATGGAGAAAAAGAAACAACACTTGTTGGGATATTTCAACACAAGACAATTTCATAATAGTCATCAAAATAGAATGAACAAGCTATGTGGCCACGTGGATTAGGCTATTTCGAAAGAACTGAACCAATTTTTTTCGAAAAAAACAAAACTCTGCAAAAATGGATTTTCGCGCGCACACAAAACAAACCGGAATATTTCGAGATCACAAACATTGACACGCAACAAAAATTGTGCAAAATAATTGACAATTGGCACCACTTTGAACGAGCAAAAACAAAGAAATGGAACTGTTTTGTTTTTTCGAAATGAAAAAATTCGGGCGTTGCGGGACCACACCATGCGCCTTGATAAAATTCAAACTTCGCGGCGATCAAATGTGTGCGCTAGAGCGAACATTCTTCTATTTCATTATTTTTTTTGGTGGCGTTTGAAAAAAATATTTTCGGGGACTTTTTTGAAACAACAAAACAAAATGCTGAAAATGATTTGTTCTCGAGAAAATCAAAAATGCATTAAAAGTTCACCGATTTGTGTAACCTGAAAGCTCGCAATGTTTTAAAAAAGTGTAAAATAGCGCGGAGACAAACAATAAATATGTAAATTAAGAGTGCCCAAGAGCAGATTTGAAATAGACCAGCCTATCAAAAGCTCTCTTTTTCTCTCTCACAACCAGTCGCGCGCGCTGCGCCAACGAACAGATTCTCAAAATAGCGTTAAAACGCGAGAGAAAATAAGAGAAATGAGAACGCAGCTGTTTGTTTTGTTTTGTGTACAGTGGACGGCGAATGTGAAGAAAAACGGCAGGACGAAGGACGTGGGTGGGTAGTTTGGGGGTAGAACGAGAAAAACAATCAGATATCAGATATTGTGGTGATGGATTTCGAAAGAGTTCATTTTTTATCAAGGAAAACACACATGTATCTGGATATCCGTAATGATATTAAGGTACAATTAAAGCACAATGAATAAATTACAAGGTTTCAAGAATTGAAAATTAGCCCAAATTTTTGGTGAGATCGAGTGGCTCTTTTGAAAGTGCGAGATTGATGAAGTCATCCCTGGAAATGTATTTTATCTATCTATTTTATATCAAAAAAAATAAACTCACAACTTATCTGGTGATTCGAAAGATTGTCTCGCCCAATAATGTGAATTATGTGGTGGATCCAATGCTGGAGTGTACGCAATTTCCGCTCTTGCCCAAGTTATGAGTTTTGTCAATGTCTCCAATTTCGAATACTTTCGCTTCCCAAGTTTTCCGAGTATCGCACTATTTACATCCCGTGAAATTTTGTCTCTTTCACTTTGATCATATTGATAATGGAAAGGGGAAGTATCTGTGACTTCGTAAGCCATCAAAGCAAATGTCTTTTCCAAAATTTCCAATGATTTTGAATCCATCGCTTGACTATCTTTCAACAAATGAGTTCTTGCGTAAACAATCGGCTCTTCAGTTTGTCTGGAATTATCAGTCATTTTTGGTATTTCAGAGCTTTAAATAAGAAACTTACCCAGATCGAATCATTTCAACGATATATTGTCGTCTAACGGAGAATGCAAGTTTTTCTTCTTCCTTCAAAAGAGTTGGACAAATCTCGTTAATTTTCTTAATTGCTTCTTTCAAATTTCCTTCAAGAATCAAATTTTTGACAGCCATTCTTGTATGCATCAAACGAATTTCTTCGTGAGGAACTTCAATTCCCATTTCTCTACAAAATGGTTCGATGGGATCTTCATATCCGTTCCAGATGAAAAAATCAAGAACAATTTTTTTGAGATCGTCAAGTGTTGGATTTGGTCTTATGTTCTTCAGAGCATTTTGATAATCTTCGTCAGCTTTTTCCGATTTTGTTTCATTGTCGTCATCAGTTTCTTCTTCTTCGTGGTTTGTCGAAGTTTCTGGTAAATAAGATGCAGGTCTAAAAACAAAACATTAGAAACTATCAGAAATTCACAGAAAAACTTACGTCTTATCAGGAAGATAAACATTCGGTAACTCTCTGCGATTTTCTTGAAAAGGATACCATGGATCTTCCTCGGCATCTAGTTCACCATCATCCGAGCTCAGCGAGTTCTGAAATGTATTTTGTTCTTAAAACAACATTTAAACAACTTACATTATCCCAAGTCCAATCACTTTCATTTCCATCTTCAGCCACTTGATATTCATTTGGCGAATCATTTGGTTCCAATTCATCTGGAGAAGAAGACAAGGTTGAACCGCGAGAATCTCAAAAAAAAAAGATTTTACTCGGAGAATATTCAATGGATGACTTACCTGATCGATTATCATTATCAATTTCTTCTTGGGCTTCTTGTTCGTTGGTTTCAGGACTGACTGACTCGAAAGAATCGTTCATTTTTTTCAAAATAAATCTGACCCGCAAAAAAACAATTTTTATTGATTGGCTGCAGTGCTGTTGTCATATGAACATAAATGTTCGCTCTAGCGAACAACGCGCGGCCATTCAAAATTGCAACTTTGTAGGTTTCTACGCAACTGCATCCCAAAACACCACTTTTGCAAAAAGAAGGAAAAAGAAAAATAAATAAATTCGCAACGGATATTGTTTACTGTAACAAAGGCACACAATCTTTTCAATAAATGGTCTCGACACACTTAACAAAAATACATTTTTTGTGTTTTCAAAAAATAAATATTTTTTTATTTCAAAAAAACATTTTCAAACGCGAATCAACGTGATTTTTGTGATTATTGCTTGAAATGAAGAATCTACATTTTGTCGGGAAAAGGTTGGTTTTTTGGGTGCTGTAGATAACTAAAATTGTCGTGATACAACATTTTTAGAATTAATTTTTCGCCAAAAAATATTTGCACAGCGTAAATTAATCATGATATCTTTCTTATATATTAAACGGTGAACTGTCTGTCCGCTCGACGTACTTTTGTGCCCTAGATTTAAATTTAAATAGTTTGACTTGAATAATTTTGCTCATTTCTGATTTTTCAAAACGCTTGGATTGCCGCCTTAATTTTTTGAAATTTATCGTGAGTTTACTTAAAGAAAGGTGTGAATATTGTAAAGCTTTGAAGGTAATAGACTTAAGATTGTAGTGAGATGATTATTTTTGGTTTCAGTTTTGGGATAAAATTTAAAATCTATAGAATCTCTAGTTTTTTGTGATAATTATACTCAAACAATGTTAATTATAAGATATACAATGAATTTGATAAACAAATTTCACATCAATAATTTGTTATTTTTTCAACTAAAACACCGCGAAATTATTTTTTTTGTTAAATTTAAAAAATTCCTAACCTAGTCCCGCAAGTTTTTAAATCACTGTAGATCACGCGCGATTTCACTATCCTTTTGTCTCTTTTCTCTCGTATGGACGCCCATATTTTTAAAAAGCGTTTTGAATCAATAAACAAACAACCAAAAGTTTTATTAAATTGAAAATATTTTTCAGATTAGTGGATGTAGATAAAAATATTCGAGATGCTTTTTGTTGGAAAATATGAATGCATCGATTTTGAGCGATGAGATGATCGAGGAACGGACGAAATTTCAAAGGTTAGTACTTTTTTGGGGTTCGATTGAGTAGTGAAGTTTTAGTCGGAGGGAGTTCTGTAGAGTTCGAAAATTGTTCAACTGCTTTGCATTTGAATCAAGAATGTTTTTTTGAAACGTAGACGTTGGGAGAAATAACATTTTTTTCGAAAATATTAATTAGGCATGTGTTCTTTTCAAAGGTAAGGTTGTTAAATTTTTGAGAAAAGAAGGGGGATATATTGGGTTTTTTTTGTGGATATGGACAAGTATCTTGGCGAAAAAAATGAAAAAAGTTATTTGATCAAAAAGTCGCAACACTTGATGAGGTCATCACCAAATTTTTCGGAATAATTTACTGAATCTCTAGTTTTTTGTGATAATTATACTCAAACTATGTTAATTACACGATAGATAATGAATTTGATAAACAAATTTCAATTTTTTGCTCTTTTTTTTGAAAATGATCCGTTGTTTTGTTTTCAGTGTTTTTTTGTTTTGGTTTTAATTTATGTGTTATATTGCAAGACTCAGTCAGTTGTTTGAAATTTCAGTCATGTAAAAGTTTCAAAAACAATTTATTGTTCATTATATACATAAATTGTATCAAAAGGTGTTGTTTCGTTGATTTACTTTCTGCGACAACATTGTCCATTTCCACATGGAGAATAGTTTGATTGACATGAGCAAGAATTTGATGAAGTATTCGATTGATCACATGCAACTGTAGCTGGTTGAGCAGCTTGGCAAGATGAAGAACATGAAGATTGGCAAGCTGATTGACATTGTGAAGCTGGTTGTTGTTGAGCAACACATTGATTTTGGCACGAAGATTCACATTGTGGAGTACATTGAGAAGATTGAGCAACTGAAGTTTGCAAAACAATTTGAATAACTTGTTGAGATGGAGCAGATTCAGTTGTAGTATCTTGATATGGATTGTACATTGGAGCAATTGTTGGAGTTTGTTGAGATGTGCAAGATGTATCACAAGCTGGTTGACAAGCTGAAGCACAGTTTGATTGTTGTTGTTGTTGTTGTTGATTGTTGTATGGATCATACATTGGTGCAACAGTGCTGGTTTGGGTTGTTTGGTATGGATTGTATGCGGTTTGAACTTGTTGAGAAACTTGTTGGCAAGCATTTGAGCATTGCGAATTACAAGCTTGATTACACTGAGCGGCTGGTTGTTGTTGTTGGGTATCACACGACGATTGGCATTGTTGTTGACAAGCTGGTTGACATTGAGCTTGGATTTCCAATTGGATTTGGATAATTTGTGGAGCTTGGGTAGTTGTAGTTGTGGTGGTAGATGGTGAATCACATGCAACGTTGCATTGTTGTTGGCATTGTGGTTGGCATTGGGCAACTGGTTGTTGTTGAGCAACACACGAGGATTGGCACTGTTGTTGGCACACTGGTTGGCAAGCTTGAGTGTAATAAACTGGGGCTTGTGTAGTTGTGGTTGTGGTTGTTGAAGTTGTTGGATTGTACATTGGGGTGCATTGAGATTGGCACTGTTGTTGGCATTGTGGTTGGCATTGTGATACGGAAGGGCTTGATTGGCATTGTTGTGAGCAACTTTGTTGACAAGCTGGAGCACATTGGCTAGATTGGACCTGGAATTCAGCAAAATATTAGTAACAAATAGAAAATCAATCTCTTTTGTTCTACAGATCTGAGATAAGGTCTCATTTCATATTTTTAATTATCATAGATTACCTGAATAGTTTGAGTTTGTTGGGTTTGTTGTTGAGCGCAAGAGCACGATGAAGATTGTGTAGCAACTGGAGCAGATTGGCATGAGCATGATTGAGTTTGTTGAACTTGTTGGCATGAACATTGTGATTGCTGAAGTGCTTGACATCCACATTGTCTCTTCTCACGAAGAACGCTGCTCTGAAAATTTAATCAAATTTCTAAATTTTTCCGAGTTTCAAACTCACTGAAACTACAAGAGCACAAGCAAAGAATACAGCGAGTGTTGAGAAGCGCATCGTAGAAATGATGAAGATTTCTAGGTAGAAACTGAAAGGGTTTTTCTGAAAGGGGGGTTGACCCCCTTAAAAGGGGGTCAGAGCAAGAAGTCTGAAAGGGGGTCAAGTATAGTAAAAAGGGTTTTGCTGAAAGGGGGTTAATCTGAAAGGGGTTTGACCCATATCACAAAAAGGGTTTTTCTGAAAGGGGTTGACCACTCAAAAAGGGGGTCACATTTTTTTCAAAAAAAGGGGGTCAAATTTTTTTTTTTTCAAAAAGGGTTTTTCTGAAAGGGGGTCAACTTTTTTTTCAAAAAGGGTTTTTCTGAAAGGGGGTCAACTTTTTTTTGAAAAAAGGGTTTTTCTGAAAGGGGGTCAACTATTTTTTCAAAAAAGGGGTCAACTTTTTTTTCAAAAAGGGTTTTTCTGAAAGGGGGTCAACTTTTTTTTCAAAAAAGGGGGTCAACTTTTTTTTTCAAAAAAGGGGGTCAACTTTTTTTCAAAAAGGGTTTTTCTGAAAGGGGGTCAACTTTTTTGAAAAAAAGGGTTTTTCTGAAAGGGGGTCAACTATTTTTTTCAAAAAGGGGGTCAACTTTTTTTTCAAAAAGGGTTTTTCTGAAAGGGGGTCAACTTTTTTTCAAAAAAGGGGTCAACTTTTTTTCAAAAAAGGGGTCAACTTTTTTTTCAAAAAGGGTTTTTCTGAAAGGGGGTCAACTTTTTTGAAAAAAGGGTTTTTCTGAAAGGGGGTCAACTATTTTTTCAAAAAAGGGGGTCAACTTTTTTCAAAAAGGGTTTTTCTGAAAGGGGTCAACTTTTTTCAAAAAGGGGTCAACTTTTTTTCAAAAAGGGGTCATTTTTTTTTCAAAAAGGGTTTTTCTGAAAGGGGGTCAACTTTTTTTTTTCAAAAAAGGGGTCAACTTTTTTCAAAAAAGGGGTCATTTTTTTTTCAAAAAGGGTTTTTCAAAAAGGGGGTCAACTTTTTTTTTTTTTTTCAAAAAGGGTTTTTCTGAAAGGGGGTCAACTTTTTTGAAAAAAAGGGGTAATTTTTGGAGGAAAAAAAGAGGGTTAAATGTAAAATAATCTGTTATTCAAGGCTTAGGCTTAGTGAACGCCCAGACAACTTAGACACTCAGGACCCGCTTTTCGTCCCAAAAATTTGACCCCCTTTTTTTCCTCCAAATATGACCCCCTTTTTGAAAAAAATGTTAACCCCCTTTTTTGAAAAAATAGTTGACCCCTTTCAGAAAAACCCTTTTTGAAAAAAAAGTTGACCCCCTTTCAGAAAAACCCTTTTTGAAAAAAGTTGACCCCCTTTTGAAAAAAAAAAGTTGACCCCCTTTCAGAAAAACCCTTTTTGAAAAAAAGTTGACCCCCTTTTTTGAAAAAAAGTTGACCCCCTTTCAGAAAAACCCTTTTTGAAAAAATAGTTGACCCCCTTTCAGAAAAACCCTTTTTGAAAAAAAAGTTGACCCCCTTTTTGAAAAAATAGTTGACCCCTTTCAGAAAAACCCTTTTTTTCAAAAAAGTTGACCCCCTTTCAGAAAAACCCTTTTTGAAAAAAAAGTTGACCCCCTTTTTTGAAAAAATAGTTGACCCCCTTTCAGAAAAACCCTTTTTTCAAAAAAAAGTTGACCCCCTTTCAGAAAAACCCTTTTTGAAAAAAAAAATTTGACCCCCTTTTTTGAAAAAAAAATGTGACCCCCTTTTTGAGTGGTCAACCCCCTTTCAGAAAAACCCTTTTTGTGATATGGGTCAAACCCCTTTCAGATTAACCCCCTTTCAGCAAAACCCTTTTTACTATACTTGACCCCCTTTCAGACTTCTTGCTCTGACCCCCTTTTAAGGGGGTCAACCCCCTTTCAGAAAAACCCTTTCAGTTTTTGCCAGATTTCTATACTGATTTCGAGTTGCTATCTTTCTTATATAGTTCTGTTTCCCGCCACGCCTTATACAAACCGGACGAAACTTAGTTTTTTCTTTACTTTTTTTTAACTGTCTCGCCAAACTCAAATGCGTTCGTTTTTTTTGTCTAGAAAAAAGTGCCGCACGAAATTCAATGATACCATCAACAAACAATTGAGTGACACTACAATTATAACCTTTAATATTGACATAAAACCAGATATTTTGCAACTTGATACGAGTTGTAGTTCATTTTGCAAAATCTAAATACGGAACTATTGTTAAGCGCTATGAATTATGATCATCTTTCTTAAACATATGTTTACGCATGTTTATCTCTCAATGTATACACCGCATACTTGACGCGCGGCTTGTTAGAACTTTGATCGGTTACATTTTCTCATTGTCAGTAAAATTAGCTCATATAACTATGTTACTTTTTCTTTTTTTCCGGAAACTGTTAAACATCAACGTCATATCGATGATTATTTTACGCAACACTCTTCTCCGCAATGATAATGTTTTTTCTCTTGACTCATTGACAAAAAAGTTGTGTGAAACTCCGGTTTTCAGTTCTCCAAACAGTAAGAAATGGGCGTGTCTGCAATTAGTATATAAGACTGAACTAACTGAAAAATTACATTCGACTATCAGTTCTTGAGTAATATGCGCTTCTCAACAATCGCTGTATTCTTTGCTTGTGCTCTTGTAGTTTCAGTGAGTTTGAAACTCGGAAAAATTTAGAAATTTGATAAAATTTTCAGAGCAGCGTTCTTCGTGAGAAGAGACAATGTGGATGTCAAGCACTTCAGCAATCACAATGTTCATGCCAACAAGTTCAACAAACTCAATCATGCTCTTGCCAATCTGCTCCAGTTTCTACACAATCTTCATCGTGCTCTTGCGCTCAACAACAAACCCAACAAACTCAAACTATTCAGGTAATTTATGTTAATTAAAAATATGAAATGAACCCTCATTTCAATTCTGTAGAACAGAAGATATTGACTTTCTATTTGTTACTAATATTTTTTCGAATTTCAGGTCCAATCTAGCCAATGTGCTCCAGCTTGTCAACAAAGTTGCTCACAACAATGCCAATCAAGCCCGTCCGTATCACAATGCCAACCACAATGCCAACAACAGTGCCAATCTCAATGCACCCCAATGTACAATCCAACAACTTCAACAACCACAACCACAACTACACAAGCCCCAGTTTATTACACTCAAGCTTGCCAACCAGTGTGCCAACAACAGTGCCAATCCTCGTGTGTTGCTCAACAACAACCAGTTGCCCAATGCCAACCACAATGCCAACAACAATGCAACGTTGCATGTGATTCACCATCTACCACCACCACTACAACTACCCAAGCTCCACAAATTATCCAAATCCAATTGGAAATCCAAGCTCAATGTCAACCAGCTTGTCAACAACAATGCCAATCGTCGTGTGATACCCAACAACAACAACCAGCCGCTCAGTGTAATCAAGCTTGTAATTCGCAATGCTCAAATGCTTGCCAACAAGTTTCTCAACAAGTTCAAACCGCATACAATCCATACCAAACAACCCAAACCAGCACTGTTGCACCAATGTATGATCCATACAACAATCAACAACAACAACAACAACAATCAAACTGTGCTTCAGCTTGTCAACCAGCTTGTGATACATCTTGCACATCTCAACAAACTCCAACAATTGCTCCAATGTACAATCCATATCAAGATACTACAACTGAATCTGCTCCATCTCAACAAGTTATTCAAATTGTTTTGCAAACTTCAGTTGCTCAATCTTCTCAATGTACTCCACAATGTGAATCTTCGTGCCAAAATCAATGTGTTGCTCAACAACAACCAGCTTCACAATGTCAATCAGCTTGCCAATCTTCATGTTCTTCATCTTGCCAAGCTGCTCAACCAGCTACAGTTGCATGTGATCAATCGAATACTTCATCAAATTCTTGCTCATGTCAATCAAACTATTCTCCATGTGGAAATGGACAATGTTGTCGCAGAAAGTAAATCAACGAAACAACATCTTTTGATACAATTTGTGTATATAATGAACAATACATTGTTTTTGACTTTACTTCATCTTTGAATCTATTCGGAGTCATTTTTTTATAAAACCGAAAAAAAAGTCTAGTTCGAAGAACAAACAAACTTTTCTTCCGTAAGAGTTCACAGATTGATCTCGGTTCGTTTGCAGGGAAACGATGAATTTAATTAGGGTCGAATTTATTTCATATATGATTTATTAAAAAGGTAGAAGAAATTGAAAGTTTATTGTGAGCAGAAAATAGTTATTTATTTATTTATTTCGAATTTCCCCAAGTCGCGTAGAGTGTGTGAATACCGAAACACAGTTTAGTGTACAGAGGATTTGATTGTCCATGTTCTTTTAATATTTTATCGGGTGAATCGCAGAACAGGCCTCAAACACCGCCCCTTGTTTCAGGTTTTTATAAATTTTTCGCATTCATTTCAGCAAAAAATGCGGGAAATTGACAAAAAGGTGAAATTGATCGTCCTAAATTTTCATTTAAATGGCTCTGATTTTTTTTCAATAAATTCGACTGAATCAAAGTGTTTTGATAATTTCGTAGGCGGACTCTTTTTTTACGGTAAATTTTTTTTCAAAAAATATTAAAAATATAACGCTTCAAATGGTAAGTCACTGTTTTTCGTTGCCCATGAAAATGTCAATTCTCATTGATAATTGAGTGTTGCGGTTGTTTGCGCATATCGAATACAAATCTCACTTTAAAAGAAACAAGTTTATTAAAAAATTAGGAACAAAAATTATTCGGTATATACAAAAAAGATGGATGAGACTAGAATAATCTAATACCCATAGATCTTCGTTCGGTTTTATCGATCGGTCCGATTTACTTTCTGCGACAACATTGTCCATTTCCACATGGAGAATAGTTTGATTGACATGAGCAAGAATTTGATGAAGTATTCGATTGATCACATGCAACTGTAGCTGGTTGAGCAGCTTGGCAAGATGAAGAACATGAAGATTGGCAAGCTGATTGGCATTGTGAAGCTGGTTGTTGTTGAGCAACACATTGATTTTGGCACGAAGATTCACATTGTGGAGTACATTGAGAAGATTGAGCAACTGAAGTTTGCAAAACAATTTGGATAACTTGTTGAGATGGAGCAGATTCAGTTGTAGTATCTTGATATGGATTGTACATTGGAGCAATTGTTGGAGTTTGTTGAGATGTGCAAGATGTATCACAAGCTGGTTGACAAGCTGAAGCACAGTTTGATTGTTGTTGTTGTTGTTGTTGATTGTTGTATGGATCATACATTGGTGCAACAGTGCTGGTTTGAGTTGTTTGGTATGGATTGTATTGTTGGTTGGTGTTAGTGTTCATGTTGCAATTATTCGAAGATCCACAGTCGTTTGATTGAGTATTGTATGGATTGTATGCGGCTTGAACTTGTTGAGAAACTTGTTGGCAAGCATTTGAGCATTGCGAATTACAAGCTTGATTACACTGAGCGGCTGGTTGTTGTTGTTGGGTATCACACGACGATTGGCATTGTTGTTGACAAGCTGGTTGACATTGAGCTTGGATTTCCAATTGGATTTGGATAATTTGTGGAGCTTGGGTAGTTGTAGTTGTGGTGGTAGATGGTGAATCACAGGCAACGTTGCATTGTTGTTGGCATTGTGGCTGGCATTGGGCAACTGGTTGTTGTTGAGCAACACACGAGGATTGGCACTGTTGTTGGCACACTGGTTGGCAAGCTTGAGTGTAATAAACTGGGGCTTGTGTAGTTGTGGTTGTGGTTGTTGAAGTTGTTGGATTGTACATTGGGGTGCATTGAGATTGGCACTGTTGTTGGCATTGTGGTTGGCATTGTGATACGGACGGGCTTGATTGGCATTGTTGTGAGCAACTTTGTTGACAAGCTGGAGCACATTGGCTAGATTGGACCTGGAATTCGAAAAAATATTAGTCAAAAATAGAAAATCAATCTCTTTTGTTCTACAGAATTGAGATAAGGTCTCATTTCATATTTTTAGTTATTATAAATTACCTGAATAGTTTGAGTTTGTTGGGTTTGTTGTTGAGCGCAAGAGCACGATGAAGATTGTGTAGAAACTGGAGCAGATTGGCAAGAACATGATTGAGTTTGTTGAACTTGTTGGCATGAACATTGTGATTGCTGAAGTGCTTGACATCCACATTGTCTCTTCTCACGAAGAACGCTGCCCTATAAGAAACAAACGATGAATTTTTCAATAAGTTTCAAAAAACTGAAACTCACTGAAATTACAAAAGCACAGGCAAAGAAGACAGCGAGCGTTGTGAAGCGCATCTCGAAAGTAATTAATCGGATGATTTGTTTCTTTCCAATCACTGATATTTATACCTTTCCGCATCGGCAATGCCACGCCTTACCAAAGTTGCGCAAAAGGGGCAAAAAAAAACCGGAAAGTTATGAGCACATCTCATTATAACAGACACTGTTTACTTATTGTGTTCGCCAATAAAAAGTAAACGATAGGTTGGTTGTTTGCGGCAACCGCGGAATATTTGAATCGGTGCAATAGGTTAACCGGATCGACTCTTTGTGTCAATTTGAGTTCACACTTATTGAAGTTTCTATTTGTAAGTACAAATACAGACAACCAGAAAAAAAAAACTAGTAATTTTTTTTGATTTATTTTCTTTACAGAGCTCATTTGTTACAAAACGGAAGATTCCAGTTGTTTTTTCACATTCAATAAGTTCGTCTTTTATGTATTTATTTATTTGTTTTTCGATGAGACATACATGCAAAAAATACGAGTGAGAAAAAAAAAGATAGAAAAACAGTAAAAAGCAGAAGAGATCGTTTTGCAAGTCAATACCTATGAGTAATTCAATCTGTAGAGGAAAAAGGAAAATAAATTTGTGTCACAACAATATATTATTGGGGTTAGATGAGAGTAGACCGGTTATGATGAATGTGGCATATCTTCGAGCTGTAAACAGATTATTTTGAATGTCAGATTAGATCTCCTTTGAAACTTACAGCTGCTGCCAATTTCTTTCCACCAATTGGCGCTTCTTTTTTCTTGTTAGCTGCTCGTTCCAATGATTTTCCAATATTACCTCCACGTTTTTTATTATCACCTTTTGCCTTTTTCCCTTCTCGTTCCTTATCTTCGCCACCACGTTTACCGTTTTTCCCCTTTCTAGCTCCTTTTCTTGTTGCATTGGCGCATTCTCTGGTGGCTTCTTTCAACGCCACTTTCTTTTTTTCCAACTCAATTTTATCCTCATTACGATGACACCTGAAAATTGTTGTTTGGTCAAGTGCTTAATGTGACGCCGATTAAATGAGGAAGAAAAAACGAACACTCGAGCAGCTGAACAGCACTTGGCGAGTCGGGCGCATTGAGTTTTTAGTCGGCGAGCGTCTTTGTTGCATGTCTGGAATTTTGAATATTTGATTTCTACATTTTATATTTCTGTCATTCACACGTACCTTCGCAGCAACTTTCAAACTATTCTTCTCTTTCTTCGATCTACGTTTTTGTGGTTCAATAGCAGCTCGTTTTGCATTCTTTTTCAAAATTGATTGACATCGCTCATGTTTCTTTTCACTCAATCCAAGAACATCTTCTGATTTGTCACGAACACAACTTTCAATCTCATCAGCAAGCTAAATGATCCATATGAAAAACAACTATGAGTGAAAGAATGAGAAAACAACTCACTTTATCGTGGATCGTACGAATTTCCAAATGAATTCGTTTCGCTTCAGTGCACTGACCTTTCTTACCATTTGTTACCTGTAATTTAAAAGTTTCAAATGTGAAAACAAGGTATTTTTTTGATACGTGCCCTTGGTATGCATGTTAATAAGTAAACTTATCGCGCACTGCAAGGTTTTGGAAGAAATGCAAAGAGTTATTTATCCAAAATATGATAATCATAAAAATAGTTTCATGCCTACTCAAAAAAAACCTTTCTCCGATAACACATTCTCCTGACTGCTTTTGACCAAAGTAATAGCATATTCTAGAAGCGACATTGATGAGAATTCAATTTATTTGTCTACTGATTCATTTTTTATTCTAGTCATGACAAACCTCGGTGTTGTTTTCCAAAAGGTGACACTCTTCAGCCTTCTGTTGTGCTTTGTGTATACAATCTGCATATTCGATGCACAATGGAGTCTGCAATTGATGAACAATATTAATTTAGAATTCTGATTGATTGAGTGATCGATTTTTTTGGATTCGATGAATTATTTATTGAATTACACAGATGTTCACTTTTGGGACGATTTGAAAAAATTATTCTTTGGACAAGGAATATTAGAAATTTGCAATAAAACAATATTTATAAGAAATATATCGTTTGAAACTGAAAACTAGAAAAATGTTAAATTTAGAGATTTTGAATTATATCCACTTCCCAAAATATCTGAATCGGACTATTTTTTTTTTTGAAATCACAAAAATTTCCGTGAGTAAAAATTCAGAGAAAAACTGGTTCGATTGGGTTTATGAAAAATTGGGCCCCGTTTTGGAATCTCAAAAAAAGTTCCACGAAAAAATAATAATTTTTGCGTGACCTTCGATTATAAATTTATTATTTGAATTTGAATTTATCCTTTAATTTTTGGCACATCCTGAATTGTCTAATTTCTAACTCACTGCATCAATCAAAGTCGAATTTTCTGTTGCAGTAATTCCAACCCATAAGGCGGAAAAAATGAACAATCGAATCATTTCCAAGTTATCTGAAAATTCTCGAAATCAATTTCACTCAAAACGCTCAAAAAGAAACATTTAACCAGAGAGAGGAAAAATTGAATGAAGCCATAAATCTGTGTGTGGTCACACACAAAAAAGGCGCAAAAAGAGGGCTTGGTCATGAGTGGTGGCGAAAAAAAAACACGAGGAAAATGACCATAAAATTGGAGATGACTTGTTGGTAGAATAAGAAAAAGGAGAAAAAGAAGACTCTGTTGGGAATTGTTGTGGGGTATTTTTTGCGATTTTTTTCTTGTTTTTTATGTCGTCTTCAGTCGGGAAAAAGACTGGAAGAAAATGAGAAAAAAATAGAGGTTTAATTAAAAAACAGAAAAATAAAGGGCAGGAAACACATAGAAATGAGAAAAATATAGATCTTGGGGTTCTATAAAAAAGAACGTATGGAAAGTCATCTAAACTAAATATGAAATATTTTCTGGAGTTGAATGAATGAAAAGTTAATCAACTTTCTGCCGTGTGTCTTTTTCTTCGCTCTTCTCCTGGTAATTCAATTGTGGATGTCAGAAAAAAGGAAGAGCCCCGCGCGGCATATTGAAGTTAATATATACATATACAATATTTTTGAGAGAGCAAAAGTTTTTCGAGCTCACAAATCCCCAAGGAGATGGCTATAATTGTCACACTTGATTAGTCAAAGTGAATAATCAAAAGCTGAACAGCCAAAAAACGCAGTGTGAAGAAAAGAAGATAAAAAATTCCGAGTGAAAACCAATAAATAATTTATTGGAGAATAGCTTTTTTCGTGGTTGACTGGTTGGTTTGCTCAATTTGGGTTTGTTCTTTTTTCGCGAAATTGGTTTGTTTTTTTTTTCGCCAAATATTTTCGGAATGGTGGGAAATTGGATGACACTTTCGTTTTCAAAAACGTATATTTGAGATGAATTGAACTCTGTGGATTTTTTAAACAAAAGTGCGAGAGAAAAGATAACTCTATCAATCAATTTTGTAACACAAAACTCAAACTTCAAGGAATTCAAAAATCGAAAAACATGGAAGGTTTCCAAAATTTCACGAAAAAGAAGAAAATGACACCGGAACTTTTGCTCATTAATAAATGCAATGATGAATTCAATATTTTTTGGGACAAATTGGGTGCACTGCATTCTAAAATTATTCATAAACAAATGTAAAACACAAACAAGTATAAGAAGTGGTGAGAAAATTGGTGCAATTGTTGGGTGGCGACTGGGTGGTGGTGGGGGATTAATTGAATATTCACCCCCATTAAGATAGTCATCTTTTCGCAGAAAGATGGCAGATGAAGATAAAAAATAAATAGAAATTTTTTTTGTGAAAACTATATTTTTCGTTTGGATTTTCAAACCAGTTTTAAAAAATACAACAAAAATTTTTCAAAGATAAACGAAAAAAAGCGAAACATGGAAAAAGAAGAGAAATGTTTCTTGGCTTCTCATCAAAAAACGCTGGGCGGCACAAATCGCTTCTTTTGAAGATTTGTTGCTGGCCGCGTGAAAATAAATATAAAAAACGTTTTGAACTTTATGAAGTTTTGAAGATCTCTAGATTATATCTTCTATAGTAAACAAATAAATAAAACACTTATATGACGCAGTTGTTTTTTTCGGGATTTCAATTGTTTGTTGCTTCTTTTTTCATTGTGTGTGGGAGGAGTGTGTAACTTTATCTTTTTGAACGTTTTTCAGGTGAAAAATCAAAACTTGCTTGTTAGCCATGGTATCATACTTGTTCGATTGCAAATTTCATAAGAAAGACATTCCAATGATTTGTTTTTCTTTTCAGTTTATTTTTCGCTGAAAAAAAACTGGAAACTAAAAAATTCCTTTCCGAAAAACTGTGCAAACACAGCACACACATTTAATTTGACGCGCAAAAAAATTATTTTCTCATTTTGTTCATTCGAACACATTCCCAGAAAAACAACCAAATCTCGTGTTTTTATTACAGAAAACAAATGGGTTTGTTAAAAGAAGATCTGAAAACCGCCAAGGGATTATTGAAAGATGGAAAAAACGAGGAAGTTGTCGAATTGTTGGAGGTATTTGATAGCGAAAAAATAAGATGTATAAAAAATTGAAAAAGCAATAAACTTGTAGGAACACATAAAAAATGGAGTGCAGGATTATTTTCTATTCATATTTTCGGGATTAGCCAACTCAAACAGCGAGAATTATGTAGATGGGTATCAAATGTATAGAAAAGCTGTCATTTTGGATGATTCGAAAGGAGATGCTTGGAAAGGACTCTACAAGTTGATTGAAGGAGATGGAAAAGTGAAAGCTGAACAGTTTGATTTAGAAATTTGTGAGAAAATGAAAACATTCGTGTAAGCGAGAATGATAATTTGTGACAATTAAAAACATTATTTTTTTCAGACCCGATAAAATTTCGGAAATCGAGAAAACGTCTCATCGAATTTTATTCCAACTTCGAGATTGGAAAAATCTATCCAGCTTGGATTTTTCGTCTGATTTCGCACCAAAAATCATAAATCTTCTGGCCCCAAAAATAATTAAGTTAGAAGATTCTGAAAGAGAAATTGTTGCAAAATCCTTCAATCTCATTGAAGAAACATTTGAAAATGATTTGGAACTTGTAGCGATATACTGTAAATTTGTTCAAGGGGTGAGTAATCATCAGGATTTTTTGAATAAAACACAACATAGCGTCATATTTGCAGGATCAAAGAATTCCAACTCTGGTAAAATTCTATAGTAAACTTCCGGAGCCATGGATTCTTGCAGAACTTTCCATCTTTGTCTATGAACAATATTTCGAAACTGGAAAGTTTCCAGATTTTTCTGGTATTTTTGAGAATCCTCTCATTGCTCATCTTCAAAGTCAAAATATCACTGAAGCTCTTCAAATCGTCGATAAACTTCCAGCAGAAGCAAAAGTAATCTATCCAGAAGCATTGTTGTATGTTGAATTGTTAGCAGAATCTGAAAACTGGGCTCAATGTGAAACGGTAAAATAGATAAATCAAATCTTATCATATATCAGCTTTTTCAGACTGTTCGGTCAATATTAAACAACACGAAAAACGAAAATGTGAAATCAACATGTTTTAATTGGATATCAAGAATAGTTCTCGAATCAGATCAAGATATCAAAAAGTTATCAAGTCTTCCGTTGAAAAGGCCAAAGTTTTTTATTGAAGAAGTTAAAACAAGTCTGATTCAAGGAATTCCCGTCAAAACAAATGATAAAAAAGAAGAACTTTTGGTGAAACTCTTATCTGCACTTTATAACAAAAATGTCACTGAAAATGAAAAAAATATCGTTGAAAGCTTTTTGAAATTACCCGAACTTGATTGGAAGGATTTGTTATTAGCCGCTGAAATCAAATTAGCTTTGGAAATCGATGCGACAACACTTCTTGTCAAAGCTGCAAAATTGAACCCTCGATCAAGTCGCGTGTTTTTTGTTCTCGGAAAGTCTCTGATCACCAAAAATCCAACAAAATCTCGTGCTTGTTTGGAAAGAGCTGTGAAAATACAACCTGGAAATGAGGAATATGTAAAACAACTTGATGATGTTTTGATAAGTCAAAATGCGACAGCAACTGAGAGATTGGTTCATTTGAATAAGCTTGTACAAATTAGGGAAAATCGAAGGAAATCAGCATGGTTGACAGATGTTTTATCTGTGTAAGTTATCCATTTTTTTTACAATATCTCATCATCAAAGTAATTTTCAGATTGTATTTGGAAACGAATAATTATGATCTGGCAATTGAAGAACTTCAACATATGGTTCGACTCTATCAAGATAATAAATTGGCTTGGGCTCGTTTAGCGAATGCATATTTCAAAAAAGGACATCTTCGTGCATCAGTTAGTTCGTATGAACATTTAGCCGAACTTGAAAATGGACATCGATATACAATTCCAATGATTCGAGTTTTAATCCAACTTCGAGAATTCGAAACTTCATTGGAAAAAATATTGGAATATCGAGAGAAATTTGGAAATTCAGAAGAGGATGAGAGTTGTCGAATTGCACTTGATACATTGGAAGCGCAGATTCGATTGAATTTGATGAATGATACTTTTGGAGAAGAAAGAAGAACTCATCTTCGAGAAAGTTTGAAAGTTTTGAATCGAAGTTTATCATCAGAAGAATCATCAAATTATTCGATTGTTTATAAACTAATAGGAGATTCGCTTCTCAAAGTTTCTGAATATCAAACCAGATTTTATGATTTCTTCGAGATGAATCCAAATTGGAAAGTCGTTGATCAACTTTCTTGTATCAAATTGAGCGTTACATTCTATTCTGTAGTCCTAAAATTACGAAAAGATGATGCACTTGCTTGGCATGATTTTTCAGTTTCAATTATGCGACAATATAAAATCGAAAAGAATCCTGAACTTCTCACTAAATCGAATAGTTTCATCAAACATGCGATCAAACTTACCAAAGATGAATCACTTCTTTCAACGCTTTGGACACTTCTCGCTGAAAATCTTCGACTTTCTGATGAACCAGCGAATAGAATTCTTCATTGTCTCACAAGAGCGCTTCAGTTGAATAAAATCAACGATGTGGCTTGGCTCGAATTAGCGATTTTATGTTTGGCAAATGGAGATGTACATAAGTTTTCACAATTTTTCGATAACAATTATTTTTATTGTTTCAGATGGAAAATTCCAGTCGTTGCCTCGAACAAGCCATCAAATATAATCCTCATAATGGTGAAGCCTGGTGTACTTGGGCGCAACATGCTCATCTTCAAGGTGCAGCTTATGATGCAACTGTTATGTATCGGCAAGCTCTTTGTATAAAACCAACACCTTCTTCAATCAACGGATATGCTGTTTATATTTGTGAAAGTCTTCAAAAACAAAATTGTCGATTCGATTGTGCTGGAACTGCTTTAGATTTCCAACCAGTCGCAGATCTTTGTGAAAAAGCAATTTCTGATAAAACAACTTTATATCATTTGGCAATGATAGCTGATCTTTTCGGTTATTATCGAGAAGCTTTTGAATGTTTTCAAATGGCTGAAATTGAAGGAGATGTTATGGAAAGAGCTAAAATGAAGTTGAAATTACTGGATGAAACATTTGATGTCGAATTGAAACCAGTTAGCCCGGCGAATTTGAGACTTGCTACAATGTTGCCATATTCTGCACCACAATTACTTTGTTTTTTGACACAAGAAATGCCGATTTATGCGCAATTATTCGAATTTATAGAAATGGGACAATTTGAGAATTCAGAAAAATTTATACAGCAAATGTTAAAAATATTTCGGTTCCGCTTTTTGTATCAGCAACGATTGCATTGAAAATTGTGAGTTTTTGGAGAATTTGGGAAAAAGGCGATATGGATTTTTATTGGAATTTCTAAAATTACATGTTTTCAAACGTTTCTGAATTCCGGCAAAATTCGATGTCCAAAATTTTTCCAGAATCTTCCGATTGATTGTATTGCAACAATCCACGATGCTTTGCCACGTCATGAACTCATCGATTATTTCCCAACAATTCTTCCAGAAGGAATGGATAATGGTTTACGACATTTGGAAAAAGACGGTGAAATCCCATTCAGATATCGAAATCATGTGGCACAAGAACTTTTCGAAGAATTAAAACAACTTCGAGAAAATTATGAAGCATCTTTGGAACCCAAGAAGCCTGAAAAGTGATAATAACCCGTGTATTTGTTATATTTATTTACTGTTTCATTGTTTGTTCTTTTTTCATAAATTATTTTGTTTCCGGAAAATTTCTTCTGAAAGAGAGGAAAAAAAAATCTGAAAATGTATCGAATTGCTGTTGTGTTTTCCTGTAATCGGATATTTTGGACATTTTTTGTGTGTTGCTTTTTCTTTCTTTTCAGTGTGCACTACTTCTCGGATTTTTTTCGAAAAGCTGCTTTTTTTGTTGATAAATTGACCAACCAACTGTGCACATTGGAATGTGCGAAAAATGTTTTGGAACCTTTGGAGATGAATCTGTGAGGTCAGTGATTTATTGATAGATATTTTTTGATAAGGGGAGGTATTTGTAAGCTCAAGAAAAACATTTTCTCCCTAACAAGACCTAGGAAAAATCATCATTCCAAGGTACAAAAAACATCATTTGCAAAAAAAAAGTGTTAAAATTTTATTTTATGACAATTTTTATCAAAAACTTTCCCATTGTTTTCTTGACTACGAACAATTTTAGAAGAAAAAAATAAAAAAAGTTTATTTTCGTGTTCGAGTCAAAGAGTATTTGATATCTTCTCATTTCACATACAATCAGCTGCTTTTCATCTTTTCAAGTCAACAAATATTTTATTAGATATCTCTCTTTTTTTTGATAGATAAGTTATGTTCCATCAGGTAGATATTTTATTTAAAATCTATGTTCTCGTGGATTATTTTGTGATTAATGACACATTAATTTGTGTCTTCAACATTCGAACAGCTGATGTGATCTTTTGGAATTTTTTGGTGTGTGTCAGAACAAAAGAGATACATTTATTTTAGCTTTATTTATTGGAGTCGCTTGAAAATGTTTGTAGTTTTGCCGAAAACATTTTTTTTGTGTTTTCATTTTCATTAGAAATTCTTTTTTTGCTGGAAATGAAAATTCAGAATAAACTATGAAAAAAAAATGATTTCGACGTGACCTTGCTTGTGACGTGTGACTTTTTTAAAATTACTATTCATTTCTGCGAAAATGATGCTAGAAAGATGCTTGATGATTGGTCGTTTTTGAAGTAAGTCCAATTTTTGGGATTAATGTAGATCTTTTTCTGATTTAGGATGTTGAAATTTGAAGCTGTAGCATTTCATGTAAATCCAACTTTATTCAATTCCACTCTGTTTTTTCACTTTTCAAAGTTTCGTTGAACAATTTTCTAAAAAACGATTCATGACCTAATATTTTTCAACTGAACAAAAATTATGTTCCAAAATGTCTTGTGTAATGAAACCAATTAGTCAACCTTCTCATAATTGACCCTCTCGAACAACCCTGCAAAACTGATTTTCATGAAATTTATTGACACGTCATAACTCAAGATTTATTTGAAGTATAAGGTGTTCCAAGTTAGTTTGATTCTTGCTCTTATCAAAATTCAGTGCAAAAACCAGATCAGATCAATTTCAAACTCAAGTGTTCTTGATCAAACTACATGTCAACAACGAATCACAGCATTTCATTCTTTCCCAAAAAAAAACATAATACAATGAGTTCGTTCATTCATTCTTCTTATTATTATTATTTCAACCCACCTCTCCTTCTCCCAATCGGTCTTTTTTTGTCCATTTCATTCCACAATTGTTTCCTGTTCCGGTATTTTGCACTTTTAGACGATGTGAACAAAAAATAAAATATGAGAAAAAAGAGAACGAGAAAAAAAGGTTGGCAACATTTTTGTCACAAAGCTGTGTGTGTCCTGGAGACAAATGTTCGCTCGCCCCTATTTTTTTGTGTTGAAATCGATCCCGATTTTTTCTCCTATTTTATTTTGTTCCATGACAATACAATGAAAAATATGTTTAAGATCGAGATTCTAAAAATTCTCATAAAAATTGCATCTTCTTTTTTTCTTATAATAAATTCCACATGTTCTCACCATTCTGCAACATTTTTCATTTTTTTTCATGATTCAAAAAAAATTTTGAGAACCTGAGAAAATCTTATGAATTAAAGATGATTCTCATTTCATTGTGTCTTTGTTTCTTCACACGAAATGAAAAAAAAACGAAAAAAAAAATAATTATACAATTTTTGGATATTTATTAGTTTTTTTGGAATATTAGTTTTTTTGGAATTTCTTTCGTCATATTTGAATTATTTGATGGCAAGGCATTTTTTGAAAAAACAATAGGATTTGGCTGAAATTAACCCGTGTGCCAAGCCTTAGAGCTCCATTTGCGCGGAGCGTAAATTACAATATTAACATAGAGTTTTTGATCTACCACGAAAAAGTTCTAAAAATTTTGATGGAATAAACTACACACTGTGTTATGTGAAGCAACTTTTAAAAATATCTCAAAGCACTGAAATCTGAAGAACTCAAAAAATCTGAAATTTTCCAATATTGTTACATTAGTTTTCTGAAGATCTCTCGTATTTATTTCGAACTCGCTCATTTTTTTCATTGAAACTTCAGTGAGATCTTCAACACTTTCTAGAATCCTCAAATTTCAATCTTGATCTTTTTTGTTTACATCTCATTTTTCCTTCCGTAACTTCTTTATTTATTTATTTGTTCATTCACTTTTCTTGTTATTATTATTATTATTTTATTTTTTGTTTTCGTTTATCACAAACAGATTAACTAAATCCGGATTCTTTTTCTTTTTTTTTTGCACTTCGATTTTTTCGACCCTCGATTAATTATTGATGTATGTAAGTAAGACCACTCGACTTTTTCCCAGCTTTTTTGAAATTCTTTTTTTACATACAAAGAAGTTTGTATTGTTTTGCCGAAAGTATCAGAGTTCTAAAAAAGTTTATGTAAATATTTGAAGTACTAGTAATACTGTAGGTTTTATGTTCCCTCAACTCAAACAAATATATTTGACCTACAGGAAAAAAAGATGAACATGCATGCAGCAGTCAAAAAAAAATTTCAAGTGTCCTGTTTTTCACAGAATATTCGTGCATGTGAAAGTGCAGGAGGCTAAATGAGATGAGTGAAATCCACTTGAAAATATACACATTTTTGAGGAGGAATATTTTTTGGGTGGTAGTTTTGCACTCACTCAACAATTGCCTGTTATTATTATTATTATTCAAATGTATGCAGGAGAATTTGAGCTAATAGTGTTGAGATTTTTTTAAAGAGAACTTTTGACAACATTTTTTGTTTTTGTGGAACTTGGAATTTTTCCCAAGAAAAAAATTGTCATGAGATTCAAAAGAGTTACCGATTTTTTTGAATTCACAGGACATATTCAGAAAATCTGACTCAAAGCGGCATGTCTCAAATGACTAATGTATCTTTTTTTATTGGAAAATGTATCATGAGAAGAAAGATTTGTAGTACTCTACATCTACATTTTTGAATTTGTTAATGTCTTATTTTTCTCCGTGAATCTCTAGAAGACCCGGGAAAAATACGTTTGAAAAAATAGGCTATGATATTTGACTGATTTGAAAAAGGCGTTATGGTTATCAAGAAATTGTAGATCTCAGTCCGAATAACACATACGCTTTCTATTGTGGTTAACAAATCTTGGGTTTTCGTATACTTTTTTGGTTTATCGTATGTTCAAAAATTGAAATACTACAAAAGTCGTCACATGTTGTTCCATTTACGTAAGCAAGCATACGGTAGATATATATTATTTGTTTGAAACAATTGCTTTCACCTACCTCTTTTTCATTTTTTGTTCTTTTCAAGTGTCCATCCACTCATTAAAGAAGATGTCTCCTTCTTTTTCGCTTCGTTTGTCTGTAACAAAAACAAAACAATAACAAAAGCCGATATTATCTCATTTTTTGATCTCTTTCACTTTTTGTTAAGTGTTGTATTGGACTTGTTTCTTTATTTTATTTCAGAATTTATGTGAGTGAATAATTTGTGAACGATGACTAATAATTTTACAACATTTTTGTGACTCAATTACTGATAATGAGAGAGGCGTTCATTTCATTTTATATGGAAACAATTCCAAAAATGTCATTTCACAGAGGAAAAAGTTCAGTTATAATCCGATCAGCCTTTTTTTTCCATCTTCTTTGTTCATTTTTTTCTCGCCTTTCAATATTTTGTAGTATGATGACTACTATCATAAAGGAACCCATCATCAAAAATATTACACTTCGTTTTTTTTTCAGTCATTTCATTCATTCATAATAACAAATAGCGGAATATTTATTTGTAATTGCTTTGTACTTCTTTTTTCTCTCGCGTTTTTTTTTCATTTGATTTTATTAGTAATCTGATTGTGAGTGAAGTGGAAAAGGTGTTCTGTTTTTTTTTCTGAAAAAATTATTGGATGTTTAAAGAAAATCCACGTAGCAGTGAATCTGTGATTCTATCTTAAAAATCCACGTGTCAGCTTTTTTTTAATTCTCCGAAGCCACGTCTCAATTTTTTTCGAAAATATGATGACGTTTTCTCTCATTTTCGAAAATTTTTCAGTCATTAACAGATTTTTCTCTAGAAAATCTGTCAGAAATCTGAAGATTTCTTCATTTTTTAAAACTGAAACTGATAAAACAGTTTTTTTTCCCGAAAACCGGAAAGTCGTCTTTTTTTGGTGCCAAGATTGATACGAATGTCTACCGATCAAATTAATCAAATTAACCCAACAAGAAACGAGAATTCTTTTTTCATTTTTTTTTCAAGAAAAAAGCGAAACCCAAGAATTCAGTTGTTTTTGTTTGTTTTTTCGCATTTATTTACTCGTATTTCATTTTCTGAAAAAGAACTTGGCCTTCCTCATTTTTTCTCTTGTGTCATGTCAAAAACTTTTTTTTTCTTCTTATTCGTTTTTTTCGTGTTTTCTTCTGCTGAAAAAATCTGGGTGCTCTTTGAGCATTCGAGAGACGACTAGAAAATGAAAAATGCAAAAAAAGCGAAGAGAAGAGAGAAAAACGAACACATATATGGAGAAATTTCAGCCAGAGACTCATTTTTCTTGTCACTTTTTTCTGCATTTTTTTTGAGAAAAGGGAAATTTTTGAACCATCTCTTTGAGAAAGTTTTATCGAAAAAAAAACATTTTATCAGAAGCCGAATCCTCTGCAAACATTTTCCCATCACCAAAGCTTGTTTTGTAAAAGTCTTCGCCCAATTAAATTATTACATCTTTTTTTTCATTAAATGTCCAATTTGCTCAAAAACTGTTGGTCGGTTTTTTGATCAGTTGTAATGTTGACTAATATGAAATCATCTCCCCCAAAAAACTTTTTTTCTGTGCAGTGATGACAATGATGAGCAATCAAAATAAACATTTCCTTGAAGTTGCCTAAAACAAAACAAATTGTTTGTTCCAAAAAAATAATTTTCTGAAAATCATGTCTTTTGGGACCTTGTGACTCTATCCAGATGCTATATATTTTTTTACAAAAAATAACGAACAGTACGATTTTCTGGTAAAAGAACATATGTGAAATGTAGCAAAAGAATTTTCCTCATCATTTCTTCTATTCATCTAAAATGGAAGGAAAACACTTTTTATGTGTTCTTTTTTCGCTTCTCTCTATGTTTTTGAGAGGAACAACAACAACCACACAAAAATGTCTGAAAATCGAGATAATTGGCTCAATTTCCATACTTTTTGTGTTTTTGTTATGTTAAGTTACATACATATTTCCAGTTTTCTATTGGAAACACATTTTTTTGTATAAATAGAGAAATTCGAAGGTGGAAAAATTTGCATAAGTGGTTTTTTCTTCACTTTTTCATTTTTTCAAAGAAAAACCCAACCCAGTTATTTTTGAGAAAAAATAATTTATTTATCATTTTTTACACATTTTTTGCGAGGTATATTTTCCCGTTTCATGTTAAACTGATATAATATTTGAAGGTCGTCTAGTTCAGTTTGGTAGAAAAAAGTCTCGAACCGTTCTCATTTTTTGATTGGTGGGTTTTGCAATCAGTTACGACATCTCATATTTTATTTTTTATTCATTTCTTTTTTTTTGAGAAAAAACCAAGTGGCAGTTTTTCATGCTGGATTAGTTGTGTACTTCTTCTTCTTCGTGGAGGTCAGTGTTTTAGTAAACATTCTGTTTTTTGAAAGTTCGCGTTTTTTGTTTGAAATATGTTTTTGGATTTTCTCACCAGATAAAAAAAGAAGAGTCTTGTGATTTTACAAAAATTTCGGTGGGAAAATCAAATTCGAAAAGAATTGACAACTTTTTAAAAGTCCGGAAATCCGGAGTTCAAAAATCGGATATAGAAAACTTAAAGATTTCGAATATAAGGAGATATTTTCAAGTTTGAAAAATTTCCGCGATTCCGAAAAAGTTCATTTTAAAAATTGAGTTCCTTTTTTCCAGACTTGTATTTTTTGAACTTGTTGGATAATCTTGAAACTATTTTTTGTTGTTAAGAATTATTAATCGTTTTTAAAAGTGTTTAAAATTTGAATTGTTAGAAAATCTTCTCGAGCCTAAAAATAGCTACCAGCACATTTTATTTTTGAATTTCAGTTCCATTTAATCTTGAGACCGACATAATTTTGTCCATATGAACTTATATTTAAACTCACCAGCCTTTCTTGAAGATAATTTGCCAGATCAAAACAGTCCGTGTGAAATTTTCGAGATTCCCTCTATCATAACAAAATTGACGTGACCCAAAACCACCCACCATTTTTCAAGTTCAAGTTGAGAGCTAAAAATAGATCTCATCAAAATCCAAATACCATATCATCTCTCACTCTATTTTCCTAAACCACCCACCCCGATCGGATATATTTCAAAGATTTGTTTCTTTTTTCTCATCATCATTTCTTCATCCTTCTAAAGACCACTAAAGATCATTACGTATATGCTCATATATTTGTTTTGTTTCTCGCTGCTCGTTTTCCTTTCGTTTCCTTTGCTTCGCCAAACCACGCGCCATCATTTTTTCGGACACAAACCGTTCCTTTCCTCCTATCCCTCCCATTCTTCGTTTTTTTCCCTCAAAACTCCGCCCAAAACTGGCCACCGACTCCTTTCTGTCTATGTTTTATTATTTTTATTATTTTGTCTTCTTGCTTTTCGGTTCCGAACTCTGAGAATAATGACGTGAACTTTTGCAGATGATCCAAAACACACGGTCTTCAATACTTTTGCCAATTTTATTTTTGCTTTTGTTAGTTGAAATTGCGAATGGTTTACAATGTTATGATTGTTATGGAACTGGACCCGATCACAAAGAATGTACACAACAAAGAAGTTGCAATGGAGTTGCTTGTATGATTTGTGAGTTTTATTTTTGGAGTTTATTTTGGTGGCGGGAAAGCTTCATTTAAAATTTTGAAAAAAATGTTAATAAATTTTGAATTTCGAAAATATACCAGAAAATTTTCAACATTTGGAAATTTTAATGAAAACCAGAAAAAAAGTTGGAATATTCCCAGATTTCGTAGTTCTTTTTTTTCAACTTCAATCTGGACGCAAATAAAAACAAGAAATTCGCAATCTAGAAAATTATTCCATTTTGCAGTACTGTAATTCCAAAATTAACTGGAAAAAACCAAACTGCGAAAATCACAAACTTTTTTCGATTGCAATACTGAATTTTCCGAAAAAACTTTTTCAAAAAATTCAAGAAAAATTCAAATCTTCAAATCTCGCAGGAACTAGAAATTGAAAAAACAACAGAAAACTCTCCTCGAAAAAAAACTGAATTTTTTCCAGTCAATTCCAAACTTTATAGATTTCCCTATGTTTTTCTAAACTTCAAATATATTTTATTTTCAGTCGATGCTGGTGATAATCAAACAGCCTCCGCATTTTGCCTTCTCGCAATGAAAGGTCAAAAACTCGATGAAGCTAAAGATGGATGTTGGTTGGAACCGGATGGAAAAGGAAAACATTGTATGTGTTTCAGCGATTTTTGTAACAAATTGGTTGATCGACGAAATACTGATGAATGTAAGTATTTTACTTGTTTTCTAACTAAAAATTATTATAAAGTTCAAAAGTGTTTTCCTTTTTTTGCTGCTCGAGAAAAGCAGCAAAAAAAAACAAATATTTGGAAAACTGATAAATACGAAGAGATACAATAACAGTTGCGAAAAGCTACGCAAAAAAAAAGAACGGTTGCGCGGCGAGCAACGAGCAATTACGTCAAAGAGAAAAGACAGACAGATTGGCGACTAATTCGAGAAACCAAAAAATGTTGCGAATAGAAAAAATAGAACTTGAAAAAAGACACGTAGAAATTTATAATATGAATTTTGTGTAATTTTTTTTTAATTCAAATTTGTTGAGTAATTATACAAACATATTGATAATGATAGAAAAAAAATTGTTATTATTAAAATATTAATCATAACAAAATTCTGAAACGTATCTTTTCGGAAATTTTTATGGAAAAGTAAATTTTGTATACTGTTTTCGAACAATTGAAAGCGTTTATCCTGGGTTCTTTTTGAGACCTGACACAATTTCAGGAGTTCAACCCGAAAGTGAGAAAATCAGAGAAACATATTTTGATCTACAAAAGAAAACATTTCGAAAAATTCTCCACATTCCTTATTCAATTATTTTCAGCTGATCCAATGGCTCCACTTCTTCCAACAGCCGACTTTTTGAAACAAAACCCGCTCGTCGACTACGATTCTCCAAATCTTGGCGATTATGTCGATGACGGTTCACATCCGCCACCAAGTCATGTGCTTTTCCCATCCGCCGACAAGCCTGATCCACGTGTCGCTGGTTCACCAGATACTGATGATGATGGTAAGAGATTCTGAAAAATAATTTATTTGGAAACAATAATAATTCCAGATCTTGTCGCTGTGAATTTGGATGAATACGATGAACAGGAAGCTCAAAAGGCTGAAAGACATCGATACCATCATCATAATAATCATCATTCGACAACACCTTCAACTTCAACAACTACAGATGATGCAATTGTTCTACCAGTTGATGATAATTCAGAAGATGACACTGAAGATCGCACAAAACTTGCGCGAGTTCCAGAAAATCGAGATGAAAATATTGCGAAAGAAGTTTCATCGAGTTTCAAACCACCAGCGTGGGTTTTATTCTTCTTCCCAATGGCTGCATCGTGGGCCAGATTTGTCACCAGTTTCTAATCGCAAATTCGCTTTTTCTAATGCTCCATATCCTTTTATCGGGTTTTGTATTATATTTGATATGTGTTTCGATCTCCAGACCGAAAGAGTTTAAAAACATATAAGGGTCTTCATCATTTTTTTCGTTTTTTTTCAATCGAGATTGCTGTACCATTTTACTTTATTGCTATATCTTGCTTTTACATTGATTAGTTTTGTTAGTTTTTCTTTTTTCTTGAAATGGGAATAAATATGATTTATTATTTAAAAGGTCATGTGGTTATAAATTGCTATTCGTTTTGGAGAAAATAAGAACCTTCAAAACTAAAAAAAACACTATATATGAAAAATTCATTAGTTTGTTTTTTCACATGCGCATGTGAAAAAAAAAACAAAAATTCTTGGAGGTATGGGGAATTGAACCCCAGCCCTCTCCCATGCTAAGGGAGCGCTCTACCACTGAGCTATACCCCCACGCGCTGCCATCTCTTCGAATTGCCAATTTGTTTTTGATGTGAATAAAAGAGATACAGTATTTTTGTTTCACACAAAAGGAAAAATGTTGATGATTATGATTATTATTCGCTGGAGCACGCTCATTTTTTGTTCGCGCATGAGTTTTTTTTTGCTATGACAACCTGGGCGAAATTTTATTTTCACATTTCATTATATAACTCATATATATCCGTCCGATAATAAATAGCGGAATAAAAAGTTTATGAAATTTCATTTTCCTCCTCTTTCCGCACTTTTTTCCTCTTTCTTGTTTTTTTTTTTTGGTTTTTTTTTGCGGTTAGTAATTTGTGTGAGTAAGTAAGTAAGTAAGTAAGTAAGTGACAGCACAAAACATGGACAAAAAAAGGAGAAGAAAATGAATGAAATTAAATTATGTGGGTCGAAAAAACGAAGAAAGCAAGCAAGTCGCGAGAAAAAGGAGCTGCAGCAGAAGGCTATTACGGAAAACCACAAACTTCTTGTTTTTTCCGGACTCTCTCACTCAAAAATCACTTTTTTTCATCAACAAGTTTCTGTTTTTGGCTGTTTTTGTGTTATATTAGATGATAGGCTCCATTTCTGCTCATTTTTGATCTTCAGAATGTTCAGAATAGCAAGAAAATGATGCCATTAACATTAGTATTCAAAAAACTCTTTTCTACATTTCTCAATAATTTTTTTTGTTGGAAAAAAACGTGACCTTTTTGGTTTTTTTGTTTGGATCGTTTTATTTCTCGTTATTTTCGAAATTTTTTATTCGGTAAATGGCGGAGAAACGAAAAATGAGGATTTGATATGAATTCATGCGAAAAGTGAGTATTTTGGGAGGAGTACTGTAGTTTTGGGATTTCTTCTGAATTTTTTCTGTGCATTCCTTTTTCTTTTGAACTTTGTTATTTTCAAATAATTTTCGTTTCTGGATCGAAAAGTTCTTGAATGACCGTAATTTCATATTTATTTATTTATTTATTTATTTATTATACGCTATTAACGTGATTAAGTACACAAGAAATAATTAAAGAAAATAGTCACATAATAGAATTTTCTAATGTTTGATTTAGGCAATTTAGGCAATATCATTTTTTTCCTCTAACATCAATAGTAATTATGAATTAAAAACTTTACCCAATATTTTTCAATGATGCTCAAATCTCACCTGTTAGTTTTGTTCCCCCCCCCCTCCCCAAAACCTCAAAATAAACTAACTTGACTGGCCCGTTCCGTGAAAAATTGATGATCTCTTCGAATGTCCTGTCCAAACGAAACATCTTTATGTTCGGAAGCCTGAAACTTCGACATTCTTTTTTCTCAAATTTTCCGCCTATCTTTAAACTTACATCAGAAAATGACAATTGTAGATTTAATGGGACCGCTGCATTATGTGACTGTTGTCGACATGTCTCTAAAAAATAAGAAAATTTGAAAAATGTACCAAATCACCCCATTAATAACATTTTCTGCTCTGAAAAAAACCACTCAAAAAACCAGAAAAAAAAAACAAAAATAAAAAATGTCGTGCAAAAAAAATAAAAGAAAAACAACGATACTCCGCGTGCGCGTTGTTTAGCGTGTTTATTTTGTTGTTTTTTGCAGGGTAGATGAGAGAGTGTGGGAAATGGAGAGAGGGTTAGAGAGAAAGAGATATATATGTTTTTTATTTGAATAATATTGATTGAACGTTTTTTTCGAACTGAATCATTTTTCTGGTTTTTTTCAGAGCAGAAAATGTTATTAATGGGGTGATTTCGTACATTTTTTAATTTTCTTATTTTTTTAGAGACATGTCGACAACAGTCTCAGAATGCAGCGGTCCCATAAAATCCAATATTGTCATTTTCTGATGTAAGTTTAAGAATATGCGAAGAATTTGAGAAAAAGAATGTCGAAGTTTCAGGCATCCGAACAAGAAGATGTTTCGTTTGGACAGGACATTCAAAGAGAGCAACAACTTTTCACGGAAACGGGCCAGTCAAGTTAGTTTATTTTGAGGTTTTGGGGAGGGGGGGAACAAAACTAACAGTTGAGATTAGAGCTTCATTGAAAAATATTGGGTAATTTTTAATTCATAATTACTATTGATTTTAAAGGGAAGTTGTTTATAAATTACTATGTTTAAATGATTAGATGAAGCTCTGAATTAAACTTCACAATTTGTATTCCCAGGCGTAACTTTTTTTAAAACAAACTATGAAATAATTCATAGGTAGATTAACTTTTTCATAGGGTTTTCTTCAGAATTTAGAATTTTGAGGGTTTTCTGACTGTTTCGCCTATGGGCACCGCCCCTAGTCTGAAATGAAATCAGATTCAACTGGAAAAGCATTCTTGAATCAATTGGACGTCGAGAGAATTTTTATTAGGAAGATCAAGTTTTCAGTCTAGAAATGAAAAAAATTCTGTATCTGACTAAAAAATCAAGAAATGATCTTCTTCGATTCAGACATCGTGAGGTTCGAATAATTGAACCAATTCAAAATTGGCCGAATTTCGTGATCTTTTTTCTTTCGGAACCTTTATGTATTTGTAGTTCCTAATAGATGCATCCACAATTAGCATTTGGTTTTTTCCAGTTCTTTTTTTTTTCTTTTTCTTTTTCATATGTCCTCCATCGTTTTTCTGCCATCACAATGCCAAATTTACATTTTTTTGGCCTCTGTTTCTGCCTGCTCGGTTTATTTTTTCGTTTTTGCGTGACCATCTTCATCATCATCTCATATTTCGATCGTATTCGTATAAGTGTTTCTCATAAATCTTTCTTTTTTCTTGAAGCTGTTTGCTATTGACAACCATCAAGGGTGTCGACAACCAAAAACGAAATAGAAAACACAAGAAGAAGAAGCTGCATTTCATTTTGACAGAGTGTTTTTTGAGCTTTTCCAGTATTTTTCGGCATCTTTTATTTATTTATTTATTCACTCCAGAATTATTTTGTGTTGTTTTTTTTCTGGATCATCATTATTATTATTATTCTGGATGTGTCAGCTTCAAGATTTTTTCAAAATTGAATAAATAGATATAGTTGGGATACTGTAGGTTCTAATTCAAAGCATAACCTAAATTATGAGTTTTGATGTGACAACATTTGAGCTCTTCAGATTTTTGCAAAAATTTTAAGCTATAGAACTGCAGGTTATTCTAAAGATCTGACCGTCTCAAAAGTACCCTAGTGGGGTTCTGAAAAACAGATTAGTGGATTTCCTACCTGTGTCTTTTCAACTGAAAATCTTAAATTTTCATTAGTTTTCAGTCTGGTGATCATGATATTTTTTCAACTCTTTTTGTAGCTCAATTCTGAAAATGTGTCTTTTTTTACCAAATATCCAATAGTTTATTCATACATTTTTCTACAGTTCCCATATGTTCTCTGCATTTTTCTCTTTTTTCATCGATCTCTCATAAATTCTCAAAGTTCGAACACATAAATTACAAATTCCAAAATAACTCACCCAGAATAATTTATGATGTTCTTTTACCAGTCAGTCTCATGCTCAAAATTTTTAAAAATAAAAAGTGTAAAAGTCAACTCAGCTCAAAAAAAAAATATCAAAAGCCAAAATCTAACCTTTGCTTTTCAACAAAACGTTTGTGAAACATTTTAGTTTTGTGTTTCCGTCTTCATTTCCATAAAAAAACCAGAATTTCCCGGGGGAATTTCTGAAAACATTTTTGTGAATATTTGCACTCTTCTCCCATTCCTCATTTTCTCCTTCTTTTCTCTTTTCATTTTATTTTTCTAGTCTCATTGTCAGTTTTTTCCTGAATTCAATTTATCTGAACTCAAATAAATGACAGCACAAAAAATGGGATTTTTAAGGGCAAACGGATTTCCTGTTTCCCCCGAAAATCCAGTAAACTGTGAAATTTTAACCGAGAAGTCTTTTTTTCCAGAAAATTTTCCAAAGAGTTTTTATTTCCTTTTTCGTTTGATTGATGTATTTTTTTCATTTTCTTTTCTAGCAAAATTTTATGTTTTGTAAGTAACTGAAAATAACACCCAGAAAAGAGCTCAGCTTAGCCTAAGCCTGATTGGTCTAATTTTTGGACCTATTTTTTCGTTGTCAAAAAATTTAGGCTCTCGATTCGAAAATATAATTGTTTGATCATTGTTTCTTGACAAATTTGAACTTTTTTGGATTCTTTCCCAAAAAACTTCAATCCAAACTATACCAAAAGTCCCGGGGTTTTCTTCAATTTGGAAACAAGTAAAGTTAGCACACTCACTTTTACGTAAGCACTTGAGAGCTCGCGGCTTAAGATAGATACAGTTGAGGGAATTTGAAATCGCTGATTAGATAGTGTGATTATTTGTGAGACGCCGAACTCACATTACTGTAGTAGTTTGGCAAATAATAATGTAAATTTGTAATGTTATAGAAAAAAGAAGTGAGTGATTAGAAAAGAAAAGAAGAGACAGAAGAAAATAGTAGTAAGGTAGAGTTTCGTCAAGTGTTCGACACACATTCATTCATTCACAAATGTTATAAGTTGAAAGTTTTTTTGTTGCCAACATTTTTTTTGGAACAGCAAAAAGTTGACCTATCAAAAAACAGCAACGAGAAGAAAAAAAGCACATAAATTATCCGCACACATTTTTTGAATTTTCGCCAATTTTCTTTTTTTCTCAAATCACTTTCGGATGATCGGATGGAAAATGAGAAAAATGTTGTTGGAAATGAGAGAGTTGAGAATTTGAAGAGACGCAGATATGTGTATCATTTTATTAGAGTCTGGGAAACATACTGCTCTTTTTTTCAAAAATCACGTTCGGAAAATAAGTAGAAGAAAAAATACGATGAATTTATTCGGTTGAGAGCGGGCAGGAAGATCAAGATTTAGGCTCAAATTAAGATGAAGTAACATTCTCGAACAGTTAAAAAAAACAATTGAAATGAAATCCGAAGATTATAAATTTTTAATGGATAACGGTCAGTTTTCAGATTTCTTTACTCAAAACAATCTAGATTTGATTTTTCAATGAAAATCTGAAATTTTACCTGAGGGTCGGAATTTTTCAGAAATAACCTTGTTCAAAATTGTATATTTGAATTTTTGAAAATTCAAATTTCTCTTGCAACCAGTGAAACAAAACAAATATTGTTTTTTTGGTCATTTCAAAACAAAAATCTCGCAAAACCCAAGATGCCTTCCTACATATTTTGCTCCTTTTCTTCTGTTTCAGCAAAACATAGTGATCATCACATTTTGATGCATTTTTTAGTTGATTTGCTCAATGTTCTTCTTCTTCTTCTTCTTCTTCTAGTTCTCAAATAGTTTCTTTTGTTGCCTCCATGATTCTTCTTCGTTCAGTTTTTGTTTTTTTCGGCTGACTGCAATGATAATTGAATTCTAAATGTTGTTCTTCTTTTCGCTTTCAAATCTAATGATGATTCCTCACATTTCCATGACTCGAGACAGTTGTTCAAATAAAAATGGCCCCAAACCCAAAAAATTGATGATTAAAACACGAGAGGCAAAGATTTTCTTCCGGATATTTTTGTCCAACTACACTCTTCTTTTTTTCGCTGACTTTTGTGCTTTTCCTGAAGATCTTTACATCATGTTCGAAAAAATTGTTGAACTTTTTGATTTCATTTGGATACTTCTCACCCGCTCAATTTTTTGGGCTCAAATTTATCATTGACGCGAAAGTCGAAAATCAAATCGGCCGGCGACGCACAATTTCAAGTGCTTTCCAAATATCCTCCTCCCACCCACTGATTCTTCTCGTATTGTATGAGAGCAATTTCGCAGCTCGGGCCATTTATTTTTGCAACATTTTCAGTTTCACGGCTCACTCATTTGAGTTTAGGTTGGCTGAACTAAAATGGTCTTGGGAAAATATTTTTGTGATTTAGAAGGATTTGTCTGTGATAATAGTAATGGTGCTGATTTTTTCGTTTAAAAATTGTCTAGTTTTCAGAATCTTGATTTTTTGAAATGAAAATTTTATTCAAAAACTCTTAGAGTTTTCTTTTGTGAATTTTGTTCGAAGCATTTGATATTTATTTCGGTATTATAGAATTAAAAACACGTGAGAAATAAAAAACTAGGTCAAGTGATGTGGATTTAAAAACAGTATAGGTAGCCATGTCGTCAATTGCGATGCGGTTCTGCGTTGCGTGTTGACCTCGATATTTTCCATTGAATTTGCCAAATTTTCATTTCTAAAAACGTGTCGCTCACACGCATCGCAACTGACGACATGGCTACCTATACTGTTTTTAAATCCACGTCACTTGACCTAGTTTTTTATTTCTCACGTATTTTCAATTCAATAATACATGTTTATGAGCCCGAAACCATCTGAAAAATTATTTTAAAATTTCGAATTTAATCATCAAATATATTTTCTATAAGTTCCAAATACTTTATGCCATGAACACGTGTCCTGATTAGCCTCTTCTTAGGCCACGCCCATTTTCCCTTATTTCACATGTTCGAAATTCCTCCACCCTCTTCATCTTCACTATTGAATTTTATTTTGATTTTTTCTCAACTCGGTCTAAGTTTCTGAAAATCTGAAACATATTTGTTCTTTCCCCCAAAACATTCTTCGAAGATCTCATTTCATTTCTCATTTCTAAATAGGCTCTTTCTTAATGTAAATACCTGATGAATGAATAAGTCAACAAGTTCCTCCCAGACGTTTTTCTCATTCGAAAAAAAAGAAGAAGAAAAATCTCGATATTTTTTACATGTGTACTTTTGTTGAAATGTAAATATTTATATATGAATTTTACATAATTCATAGATTGTAGTTTTAGAATGAAATCTGTGGAATGAAATGATTTTTTGTTTTATTGCTCGTGGTTTTTTCGCGACACTTGATCTTTTTCACAGCGAATTTAAATAGAAAAAAGCTCGGTCGCGGAGCACAAAAAGCCATTATTATTTGAAAAATCTGGTCGATGATGAGATCCAATAAATCAGTCTTGCGCAAGCCTTGGCTTTTATTTGGTTTTGTTTTTTTTTCGTTAAATTTTCTCAAATCGATAAATAGTTTGCATACTGACCAATTTTATTTTTATGATTCGTGAATGAAAATATAGTTTTTTCTGCCTATTATTTTTTTTTATTTTTCCATAGTTTTTTTTCATTTTCATTTGAAAAGATGGTGTATATTTAGAAAAAAAATAGGCAGAATAGACAAAAAAATATATATATATAACAATAGAAACGAAGAAAACTGAGAGCGTCCGAAAACTGCAAAAAATGAAATATTTAACTAGACCACAAGCAAAAGCATCTCTGAAATTTGATACATACACATTCACATCCTCTATCTCTCTATCTATTATTGTGTTGTTTTTGTTGTTATTTTTGTGTTTCGTTTTCAATTGGGCTCTGAAATGGGGCTTTTTCAGGACAGGGGTAATTTTTAAGATGTTGAGATTCAAAATTGAACAGTTTTTTTTGTTGAAAAAAAAAATTCAGGTTAAAAATGTTTGTAGATCTTTATTGTCTTTTAGGGCGGTAAAAATCAGAATGGAATATTTAGTTATAGATTTTAATTATGATTATCAAGACCCGACACTTGAACATTTTAAGATGTGGGCTCAACACTATTTACCATTTTCTAAAATTCTGGTCAAAAACTAAATTGTTTTCTAAAATTTGGGACTATTTTTGGGGCCCGAAATTTTCATAGCTTTCAAAGGCTCTCAAATAAGATTTTATTGTTATGCTTAAAATTTGAAAATCTGGCCTATTTTCAATTTTCTAGTTTTCAAAGAGTCAAGTTTACAACAAAACCCATCAGGCATGCAAACTCCTGGCCCAAAGCGAGGCTCCACTTTTTCAAAAACAAATTTCAAAAAACCAATATTTCCCACATTTCGAGGTGTTCTCAAATACATTATTCACCTTTCAAATGAAAATCTGCAGCAGAGCATTTGTCGACCGATCGCACAAATCTCAAGAGCTCTAAAGTTAGAAGAATAAGAAGAGATTTTTTGCTTGTGGCTGTGCTGCTTATTAGCTGCGCAAATAGACCTACGCGAACTCATCCTTTTACTGTCTTCTTTTTTTCTTCTTGCACTTCTTATCCGATCTTTTATCTTTTTAGCAAGAACAATTTTTTGTTGGATTTTTTCAAAGTACCTGACCATTGGTAATCGATACAATCATCTCTTCTCAAGTTTCCACAAAGTTTTTTTTTTGAAAAAAAACATTTTCAAATCCTCTTATGATGTCACCTACATACTCGCATAATTTTTCATGAGGTTCACAGAAAATTTAGCAAAAATGAAAAAAAAATTTGATATTGGTGGGATTTGACAAAATATGATGAGGATAAGAGGATTTGCCAATTTTGTTTTTATTTTTTATTTTTAAAAATGTATGTGTATGTATATTTGTTGGTTTCACTACACTCCACGCAATCCAACTTTGTGTTTCAAGTGTCTTTAAAAATGTGAGATTTTTAAGAAGAAAAAAATAAAAAGTGCAAAACTTTAGCAATTGATCTCATTGATCGTCAAAATCTGTCTCATTATACAGTTCAAGTTTTCTTTCCTGCCGCGCTTCTCAATATCTCTTTCTCTCTCGATTTCCCTCCTGTAATGGTCGAAATACAAGTTCAAGAGGGCTTCTCCCTCTCTCTCTTTTTCTCTGAATCTCTTTTCTCTCTCTCCCTCAACTATTTTCTATCTTCCCGTTGGCTCCTCCTGCTCTTCTTGGCTGGCTCATCTCGAGTTTTTCTGTGTATGTGTACGTATGTTCTACTTGGTTTTCCCCCGAATTTTTTTCTTCATTTGAAAATATTCTTACTTTAATTTAGTCAACTCGAAATTAATATAAGTTGTTTTACAGTTGAATGACTCGATTGGGGTGTTGGCTAGCGGTAGCCTCATTGGTGGCCATTTTTGGTCTCGCCCAAGCTGGTTCCAACTGTTCGGCTGCTGATGCCACACGAAATTGTATTGATGGATTGATTGTGCCGATTTGGTAAGTGAATAGGGAACGGGACAAGGGATCGGGAGGGGTGAGAAAGGAATTGGAATTTTTGACATGGCTTTCAAAAATTCTAGATAATGACTGAAAGATTTTTAAGCTTTGAATATCAAGATTTTGAATCCTTTCGAAGTTCGAAGATAGGAGACTTCTGAAAAACAATTTGAAGATTTCAATAAACCTTGAAGACAACACTTTCGATCTAATTTTGGGATCTGAAATTTATGAATTAAATTTTTTGGTCCAAAATTTCCAGCCCTGAATTTTTTTTTCAAAGTTTATGTTTCACTTTTTCCAAAAACAAAAATATTCTCTATTCAAATACTTCTAATTTGGGTTCTGAAAAAATAACTGCTTTCAGAGAACTTTCAAAATAAAATTCACAAATTTAAAAAAATCTTCAAAATTTCCCAAAAACAATAGATCAATTTTTTGAGACTCGGGTTAAAAAAGTTCAAAATAGCCTAACCCCAATATTCCCTAATGACGTCAGAGTTCCAAAAACAACCAAAAATAAACCAAAAAATGTCTAATAATCAAATAAAATCTAGCGTTTTTGTCTCTCGTAGTTTAACAAAAAGATTAATGTGTGTTGATTTATGTCACACACAAAATTATTTGAAATTGCAAAAAAAAAATTGATACGCATTTAAAAATATTTCCTGGAGAACAAAAAATGAATGAAAACATCTGGAAATAACACATGTTTTTCAAGCATTTAACACAAGACTTTTATTTGCAGGCGACCATTCTTGGATTTATCATCAGCCGATCGAATTTTCCGTGGAGTTATATACTTTTTCATCATCGCTTATATGTTCTTGGGAATTTCGATTGTCGCCGATCGATTCATGAGTTCAATTGAAGTTATCACATCAATGGAACGAACGATTGTAGTTAAACGACCTGGGTTAGAACCAATGTCTGTACAAGTTCGAATTTGGAATGATACCGTTTCGAATTTGACTTTGATGGCTCTTGGTTCATCTGCCCCTGAAATTCTTCTTTCGATTATCGAAGTAAGCATTATTGGAATTTTTGAAAACATTTAAGAGTGTTTTCAAATCATATTCTGAACTCCCACACTTTTTTTCCAATTTATTTTGATCTTTCCTAGGTTATTGCCCGTGGTTTCGAAGCCGGAGATCTCGGACCAAACACCATTGTCGGTTCAGCCGCTTTCAATTTGTTCATGATTATCGCCATTTGCGTTGTCGTTATTCCAAAAGGCGAAATTCGTCGTCAAAAACATTTGGATGTATTCTGTGTAACTGCCACGTGGTCAGTCTTTGCCTACGTTTGGCTCTATATGATTTTGGCTTTCTTCTCACCAGGAGTTATTGAGATCTGGGAAGGTCTTGTTACTTTTGCATTCTTCCCATTGACTGTTTTGACTGCTTATATTGCTGATATCAAGATTATCCAAGTGAGACTTTTGATTTATAAGAACAAAATAATTTTTAAAAAATAATTCAGACCAAATTCCTTCCACACAAATATCGTCGTGGATCACACGGTCAAATGATTGCCACTGAAGCTGAAGAAATGAAAATGCTCGAAAATGGATTACCACAGGCAATTACTGATTTCAGCGGGGAGGTAAAGCAAATGATGGAATCACGACTATTTTTGGTCAAGTTTAACCACTTCTATGATCATCTTTGCCTTACCTTCTTTCTTTTTAACAATTTTGAACCGTAATCTTTTGCGTCAGCGACACTTTTTATCATTTTGGTAGCCACCTGGATTATTTTTACGTAAATAACCTGGCTTCTGAAGTGATAGCCTACGCGGAAGTTTGCGGCTCTCACTTTGCTCATTTCTAACATAAATCCAAAATTATAATTTTACAGGGAGGTGTTGACCCAGCAATCAAGGCTTTCGAAGAGCATCGTCAAGAATTTATCGAATTGATGCGCGAAATTCGCAAACAAAATCCACATATTACCCCAACCGAATTGCAAAAACAAGCCGAATACGAAATGATCTCACGTGGACCAAAATCCCGTGCATTCTATCGTGTTCAAGCCACCAGAAGACTCATCGGAGGTGGAGATATTGTTAAGAAACGTATCGACAAAGAGCATAATAAGGCTCTTGATGCTGTGAGTTACACTATTAATTGAGATGTCAAATACTTACAGGGATGAAAATATACTTATGGAAATGTATTTAGATTAGAAATCACAAACTATTACAAAAAAACTAAAATTAAAATATAAATCAACAAAAATAATCGAGTGTTGCTCGAGTACTAACCTAACTTACATTAACTTGTGCTCAATTTCAGTTGGTACAGGCACAAGAGAAAACACATCGCGACAACACTTGCAAGATCTATTTCGATCCAGCTCATTACACTGTTCTCGAAAATGTTGGAAGTTTCAACGTCGTCGTTGGAAGGTTTGCCTTTTTTGTAAAGAAAACAAAATATTTTAACAAATCTTTTGCAGAGATGGTGGACCAGAAGGCCTCACTGTTATGGTTGATTATTACACCGAAGATGGAACCGCCAATGCTGGAAGTGATTATGTTCCAGTCAAAGGGAACTTTGACTTTCTACCCAGAGGATAAGCACCAGGTATTTACATTTGGGAGTAGGAATAGTAGCAGATTGTTTGTCTACACCACTTAAATCCAACAATGGAGACCTGTGCTAATAACTACAAATAATAGTAGTAATGAAGAGGATTGGGATTTGAGGAGGGAAAATAGGAAAAAGGAGAAAAGATGAGAATGAATGAGGGTAGACAGTTTACACGACAAAATAAACATCATCGTGTAGTTTGGTTTAAAGTGAAACATTTCGATTCTGTAAAATATATAAATGGGGTTTGTCAAGAAGTTATTGGAGCAAAAAAATTGAAAGAAAGGGGGATTCCTACCGTAACCAGGGGCCACCCTTAGAAAGTCACGCTGAATCTTAAAACAAAAATTTCAATGAATTTTTTGTTGCGAAAATTTCAGGAAGTACTCTCTCAAACCAGACTTTAAAAATTAAGAAAAAAAAAATCTTGAAATTAATTTTGGATTTTTAATTTTCAACGTGTTTTTCTGTCGTGGCCATTCTCTTTTCATTTTCAAAAGTTCTACAACCCCTAACATTTATTCTCGCTTCCAGAAAATCAATATCGAAGTTGTCGATGATGATGTTTTCGAAGAGGATGAACACTTCTATCTCCACCTTCGCAATCTCCGTGTTCGCACCAAAGACGGACTTATCCTTGACCCATCAAGAATCGGAGGTCTTCCAGTCGCTCAACTCGAAATGCCAGCCACCGCCACAATTATGATTCTCGATGACGATCACGCAGGAGTCTTCGGATTCGAACATGATCATTTCGAAATTGTTGAAAACTGCGGACATTTGTCACTCAAAATGCAAAGACATTCCGGTGCTCGTGGTAAAGTTGTGATTCCATTCAGAACCGTTGAAGGAAGCGCCACTCCAGACAAACATTTTGAACACAAAGAAGGTGAAATTGTATTCGAAGATAATCAAACTGAAGCATTCATTGATATTGGAATTGTTGATACTGAACAATACGAGAGAGCTGATTCATTCTTCATTGAATTGTCGCCACCAATTTGGGCCAAGAAAATGAACGGTAAGCGATTATGTTTTCCATATGAATATTCCCTAAACCCACACACACTTTGCTTCCTTCTTCTATTCATTATTTTTCAACGAAACAAAAAACAAATCCACTATTTGTTGTGTGTGTAAATCTATCTCTGTCAAGTATTCACTTTTTTCTTATTGTTTTTTTTAATTCACACAGATTTGACCAAAGTCCAAGAACGATTCCAACGTCGAATGGAACGAAAACGTGGATCATCTGTTGCTTCAGAATCGAAGGATTCGACAACCGATCAGGGTAGGTGATGTAGTTCAGTGAACTTGAAAATGTAGCAGTGTTCGAAACTTCCTTATTTTCCTTTCCCGTTTTCAAGAAATTCCCTTTTAACATGGATTATGTATAAATATAAACAGAAAGCGACTCTCGAGATCTTATAAAACGATATGATAGTGGTAAGATAAATATATATATATATTCAGTTCAGTGATTTGTCAATTCACGGTTATTAGGCATGAAACAATTTCGGGCACTTTACAATAAAAAAATCAAAATTTCATTTCAAAACTTTCATAAATCAAAAACAATCACCTCTATCATTTAGTTGAACCTTTAACAATCTCCCACACTTTTCCCTTTTCTAATAAATCCAGCACAGACTCAACAACCGGTGTCTCCAACAATAAATCATCTCGTGCCGGAAGTGTTGATCATTTACACCCAGCTCGTTCAAATTCACCTCACCTCACAACACGTTTTCGTAATCGGCTTGGTTCATGGATTGCTGGAATGAAAGGGGGTACTGTATAGATTGATTGATGTTTGCATGAAATAGCTAGCTTCGCACTAACAACAACATTTTGCTTATTTTTGACGGCTGATTTTTGTGCTGTTTTGTGAAATGTTGGGAACCTAATATCGATTTTTTAGGAGATGAGGAACTCGGAACCGGTTTGACACCATCGCAATTAGAAATTGCGGAGATGGGTAAACCAAGATTGGGAGACATCACCAAATGTCAAATCACAATTCGTGAAAGCAAAGAATTCCAAGGAATTGTTGATCGAATGATCAAGAATGCCAACACAAGAATTATGTTGGGAACTAGTTCATGGAGAGAACAATTCGCTGAGGCTTTGGTTAGTTGTTTTTTTGAATTTTGAAGAACTTAAGAGTTGAAATTGTTCCATCCTAATTTTATTTTATGATAATACGGAAACCAAATTCACTTCTATGAGCCATCTTGAATTTTTCAGATTGTCTCTGCTGGAGATGACGATGACGATGATGAAGATGAAGAAGGAGGAGATGACGAGAAGGAACCACAAGAACCATCGTGTATGGATTATTTCATGCACATTCTCACAGTTCCATGGAAACTCACCTTTGCTACAATTCCACCAACAGATTATCTTGGTGGATGGGCCACTTTTGTTGTTGCTATTTTCATGATCGGTGTTTTGACAGCCGTCGTCGGAGATCTCGCTTCACAATTCGGTTGCTGGGTTGGATTAAAGGATGCCGTCACCGCTATCTCATTCGTTGCTTTGGGAACATCAGTTCCAGATACATTTGCCTCAAAAGTTTCAGCTGTTCAAGATAAATATGCTGATAATGCTGTAGGAAACGTTACTGGTTCAAATGCAGTCAATGTTTTCTTGGGAATCGGTATCGCTTGGTCAATGGCAGCCATTCATCATTGGTATCACGGAAGCGTATTCGCTGTTGATCCAGGAAATCTTGGTTTCTCAGTGTTGATCTTCTGTGTCGAAGCCCTTATTTGTATCGCGGTTCTTGTTGCGAGAAGATCGGAACGAGTTGGTGGAGAATTAGGAGGACCAGTTGGATTGAAATGGTTGACAGCAGCATGTTTCGCGAGTTTATGGTTCATTTATTTGTTATTGTCAGCTCTTGAAGCCTATTGTATCATCCCAGGATTCTAGATTATTCATTCTCTTTTTTCTTCCAATCCCTGCATTTCATTTCTAGGTCTCATTTTCCCCTTATTTGTTTTTTGATTTTACAATCTTCTCTCTTCCTTCTCTGTTCTGTTTCATCCTATCTTTGTCTAGAAATCTTCAAACTTTCCGAATGTTTCGCTTATTTTGTCTCTCCCGACTCCCCCTTGATATATTCTGGTCTGAAAAGGTGCCTAAAAAACTAATACAAGATAATATCTATAGAAGAATTTTTATTTGATTTCATTCAGTTTCCATTTTTGTGCTTCAGTTTTTTCTTTTTTGAATAAATAATTGATAAAAAAAGAGTTGTTTGAAAAAGAGAAGTCATTTCCGCTAATTAGCGTCATTTCTTTTTTTGAAATTCTTTCTAGCCGGAACCAAGTTAAAATAAAAATAAGCAAGATATGTGTTCGAACCCTGCTCCTGAGCCATATCGAACTATAGTTCATGCAACTGAATTCTTCACAATACCTGTTTATTTAGCAACTTGTTATACAATGATTTTCAAATGTCCTTTGTATTTCAAATCATATCGCGATCATTTGTTATGTCATATGATTGTCAATATTTTAATTGAACTAATATTTTCATCTTTATACATTCCAGTTCCTTATTTACCAACATTAATGGTAAGATCTGCAGGATTTTCAAAAGACTTGAATTTATCAGGATTATTTGTTATTGAACTAATAATCATATTTGTTTTGATAAATGGTGTTACTGTAAGTAGTATGTTCAAATTTCGATTTGAAAGTGTTTTGAGTATTAGCACCAAGAAGAAAACTAAAACATATTTGTATTTTTTCTATTTTTCAAATCTGACATTTGCCATAATTATTGTTGTTTTCTTCGTAACATTCAATCAATTATATATTCTAATGGAAAAACAAAAACTTCTATTATATTCAACAATCACAAATATTCCAATTGAAGTTCTCTGCAAATCAACAATTCTAGCATTACCACTAAATAATTTATATTGGTTAATATTTGTTTTATCAATGGTTATTTGTATGTCCGTTTGGTTCAATTTCATTTTATATATCGGTGTCTCAATAATTCTAATATTTTCTGGTGCTCCAAAAGTTCTTTCCTCAAAAACTTTAATCATGCAAAAATCATTTGTCCGAAGTTTATTTCTTCAAACTTTCACTCACATGTTATTTCTTGGTTTTCCAGTTGCTTGTGTAATTGGAGAATTGATTTTGAAAACTGGTTGGAATTGTGGGTTTGATTTTCTGATTATATTTAATTAATTAGCTCATTTTGTGTGTCGAATATTTTCGTCATTATGATTTCAGGGGCCGCATTCATAGTAATGTATATGTTTTGTTATCGAGGCTTCCCTTCAGTTATTATAATGATAATATTCCATCGACCAATATATCAACCATTTCTCAATATTTTCAGAAAATCAAAAACCGCCGTTTCAATAACTCAAAATATTTCAGCCATGATTAATTCATAACGCATTTATTAGCTAACTTATCTATGAAGTTTTGTCTTTTTTAGTTTTTGCAACAAACAAATTCTTGAAAATTTTGAACACTAAATAAATCACCAAAATTACAACAATTGCTGTGAAAACCAACGCATCAACACAATAGTATTCAATAATTCCCATTCGACTTCCAGGCAATTCGAAGATCTGAAAAAATCAACTGTAGTTGGCCAAAAAAATTTAATTTTCAAAAAACCTTATGCAACCCTGGATTCTCTGCCGCATATTCAACCCAATTCACAAATCGATCTTTCGGTTGTCCTGGTTTTTCAATCAACATTTTTCGAAGTCGAAGTGCATTCTCAAGATATTTTGGATCTTCCAAAATAGCTTTGATCCCTGCTTCAATACTTTGTTCACTCAATTTTGTCTTATCTAAAATATAAGTTGTTCCACGAAGTAATCCATTTTCAGCATTATGTGGTTGATCAGCAAAAAGTGGAATTGCAACAATTGGAACACCAGCATAAGATGCCTCATTGAATGAATTCAGTCCAACATGAGAAATAAAACCAATAACACGTGGATCATATAAAAGATCAGTTTGAGGCAACCAATCTAATGGATATACATTTTTAGCGTTTTTGAACATTTCAACTTCTGATTCTTGAACATCATATTTCCAAAGAAAAGTGTAATCCGAATATTTTTTAAAAACTTTCACAAAATTTTTAACAGCATATCGAGGATAAACCTCTCCACCAACTTGAGTTCCAAAACTGAAGATAATTGTTCCTTTTTTTGAAATCGATAATAATTTATCAAGATTTTTATCAATTGGTTTAGGACTTCTCAAATTGATTCCACCAATATATTGAATTCTATGACTAATTGGTCGTGGTTTTTCCATAACTTCATTCGAGTTAATGAAACTCAAATCAACTCGAGCAGCAACGCTATCAATATCGTAATTTTCTCCATATCTTTTCGCAAATATTTTTTGTTGTTGCTCGCGAATTTCGGGAATTTGCACATAATTTATATACGCCCAATTTGCCAAATTCCAAAATCTTCCAGAAAAAGTTCGCAGGTTTGCACGATGGAATAATGCTAAAGATTTTCAATAATTTTAAAAACCTAAAATAAAGATGTATAAGTTTTACTACTCACGGACGATATTCGAAGCTGGACTTGGAAGTCCGGCAAGAATTGCTTGCTGCGATAAGATCGGAACAGCATTGAAAGTTGCGATTGATGGAACTCCAGCATTCACAAATAAACCAATTCCACAATAATCAAAAGTTGAAACCAGGCCAATTTGATATTTTCGGAATTTTATGAACTCATGAAGACCAGTGTCATCCAAAGCAACTGTAAAAAATGTTATTTGGATTTTAATAACAAAAATCATTTGTGGTCAAGAAAAGTGTAGACTACACTGAACAAAAAACTCTGGAGATGAAAGTTTGCAGTTAACAATGTCTGAAAATTCTGAAAGTTTTTGAAATTTCAATGAAAAAATTCACTTTCACAAAGATTATTTCCAACATTCGAATATTGTCGAAATCCGCCAAAATCAAAATTTGAATCTTTGAAAGGATCAATCAAATGCGCAGTCTTTTTCCAATCACTTCCACCTTTGAAACCAAATGTATAAACTCTCGATGCATTATTCTTGCCATTTCCCGCCACTTTATCATTCATTCGAGCAATTATATAATCCTACAATTTTTTTACTTTTTTGAAAGGCTGATTGTTCTTTGGAACCTACCACAACATGTCCTCGATCGGTCAAACTATTAATCAACGAGTCACAAAAATCCAAATGACTTTTTCCGATGGCATTTATGTAAACTAGAATATTGTGACTTGATGCCAAATCGATAATAATCAAAAATAATAATAAAAATAATCGCATTTTTTAGGCGGTTGAGCGAAAAAACAAAGTAGTGTTTTTTGTTATTATGATTATTATTTTTATGAAAAAAGTTGCAATTATTGATAAGAACAGGTCAGTCAACGAGGCAGGCAACAGTTTTTATCAATAAACAGAAATATTTCATATTTATATTAAAGAAGTTATTGAAACTTATAGTCTAAGGGTATACTGTAGTATGGTCATGATGTTTGTTCCAAGAATCTGATGACAATTAATTTTGAAAAAATGTCCTTTTTATATTTGCGCAGATTTGTCTGGGTGACAAAAATAACAAAATAAGTCCATTTCCCTTGCCAGCTGGTCACATAATCTGAAACATATAAAAATCCAGAAATTAGCGAAACAATATCAGTTTGAAAATGTTCAAAATCTCAGCTTTTCTCATTATTTTCTTAATTCTGAAATTGTCATCTGTGAATTCAGTATGCGTGGATACAAGCACACAGTATGTTTCAAAAATAAAATTGCGACTTTGAAAATAATTTTGAAAAATGTTCCAGTTGCGCTGGATGGGTCAAAAATGGTTTCTGCAAAAGTTCAAACTACAAACAAGCTCAAGTTTTGAAATATTGCGCTAAAAGTTGTAATTTATGTGAAACTTCTACTTCCTCAACTTCTGCATCTTCTTCAACTTCTCCAACTTCCTCAACAACTTCAGCAACTTCTGTCTGCAAAGACACTGAAGAAAACTGCGCAGAATGGATCGCTAATGATTTTTGTACTTCTGATTTCTACATCGATGCTGAAAAATTAGCACAGTGTGGAAAAACGTGTGGATTGTGTTGATAAATTATTTTTTATTTACAATAACCTTCACAGTTTTGTTGAACTTTGAATGAAAATCTGAACAAATAATTAATGTATAGTTTAATTGAAACAAAAGAAGGGTGTGAAGATTTTTGGGAAAAAAAAGTAAATATTTAATCAGATGGGGAAAGTACAGTAATCTGAAAATAAAAATGAACTTTGAGAAAACAAGTTTTTGTTATGAATAGAAAAAAAAGGGAAAATGAAATAACACGCACTTCTGACGTATGGGAAAATTATGATAACTCGTTCAAAAAGTATCTGAGAAACTAGAAAAATTCGGTCAAAAAGTTCTAGTCAAAGGAGATTTGTTTTGAACCGAAATTTCCTCTTTTCTGACTCAACATTTTTGAAACATCCAACTTCCTAAAAATAAATATTTCAAAAAAGATCATTTGTAAATTGATCTCATTGTCTTCCAACACCTGATTTCCGTTTCCAGTTGTTCAAACATTTAAAAGTATAAAACAAGGTTTCAATTTGGTTTCAAACATACTTCCACAAACTTCCAAAATGAACTCATTCTTCAAACTCTCAATCGTCTTTGCCTTCTTCTTCGCTCTGGGTGAAGCTTGCACTGATTCCGTGTCAAGGTAAATCCAATTCTAACCAGGAACAAAATCTTATGAAAAATGCATTTTTTCAGTTGCGCTAGCTGGAAGGCCAATGGTTTCTGCACGAATCCATTCTACAACGACGCAACTCGCTCCAAATACTGTGCCCAATCTTGCAACCTCTGCGCCACCTCAACATCCACCAAAGCGACAACATCTGGTGAAGACAGCACTGAAAGCACAGTTTCTGGAGCAAGTGAGGCATCGACAAGTAGCTCGACTACAACAAAAGCAGCTTGTGTTGATTCAGTCAAAGTATGTTCGTCGTGGGCTGCTAATGGATATTGCACCAATAGTTTCTACAATGACACAGATCGCAAGAAGAATTGCGCAAAAACCTGTGGACTCTGTTAAAAATTATTCTTTCCTGATTTTTTCTAATTCCTGTTACCTCTTTTTTCTTTGAATTTATTCCTTTTTCCAATATTCATAGATAAAAATTTATCCAGAATCTCAAAAAATAATACACTAATCCAAACTTTCCCAGAACTTTTATTTACGTACTTGGCTGAATACCTAAAAAAAATAAAGCGAAAAACAGCCAAGCCTCTTAATCTGACGAAGGTATATAAAAGGAAAAAATTAATTATTTTTCCATCTATTTATTCAAACAAAAAAGAGATAATCTTCTTATATTTTGGCAACTGACAATGGTTCTGATAGATTCTATTTTTATTGGAATTCATACGGTATTATCCACTGTTGGTTGTGTGGCGAATCTTTTGGTGTTCTATTTGGCGGTTTTTAAGTCACCAAAGGTAAATTTTTAGGAAGGTGTAGTAAATTGGGAAATATTTCTCGATTGAAATCTTTTTCAGAAAAAATTGGTTTTAATTAAATTTCTATGAACTTATTTAGTTTCAGGATTCACGCAAAACATCAAATGATCTGAATATTCTCTGAATATTTTTAGAAAATATAAATTACGTCCCATCTAGAAAAAATTGAAAGTATCAATTTAGAAATTTCTGATCTTTAAAATAATGTGATTATTAGGTAATCCTCGATTTGAAATAGAAATTCTAGTTTTGATAACTAGAACTTCGTTTTTTTTCAAAAATAATACCACTTCACTCAAATCCTCACAGGCTATTGCTTCCTACACAACTCTAATTATCAATGTTGCCATCACCGATTTCCTTTGCTGTTTCACCGATTTCTTCATTCAACAACGTCACATTCCAGCTGGTTTTACTCTCGCTTACACTTCTCACGGATTCTGTACTAAAGTTGGACCACATTTCTGCTTTCTCATGTAACTATAACTTTCATCTTTAACAAATTCCAGACGAAACCCTTGAAAGTAAGCAGTTTTTTTCAGATACAGTATAAACATCCACTTTATTGCTCATGGTTTATGGTCTCTTTTATTAGGTTTTGCCTATCGATATTATATTCTATTTCATCCATCACCATCTCGAAGAACATTGATTTTTGTGTTGATGATTGTCTATACTCCATCTTTCCTTCAAATGTTTATATTTCTTTGGGCCGATGATGATCCGAATGAACTTCTGGCTATTCTTATGAAAAAGTTTCCAGATTATCATCTTGAAAGTAAGCACAACTGTATCTTCAATAACAATAACAATTTCATTCAATTTTTCAGATGAAACTGTTAGTGGTACTATTAATATTATAAATTTCCCTGCATTATATACAATAATCCACATGGCTGTTCCAATTGGGCCAGTTTATGTTTGCATCGGGATTTTGAGGAAGAAAATTATCAACAAGCTCATGAAAAACTCGGGAGATATGTCAGCAAAAACACGTGAACTTCATTCACAACTTCTTCGTGCTCTCACTTATCAAGCAATGATTCCGGCATTCTACTCGATTTCTATTACTTCTTACACAATTGGACAATTTTTCTACAACCATCCAATTTTCGAATATACAACTCTCACTGGTTTTCTATTTATGCCAGTTCTTTCTCCAATTTCTTCGATGGTTTTCATTCAAATTTATCGAAAACGTGTTACTATTTGGATTTATAAATTGATAAGAAAAGATATTCCAAAAGAATGGCTGATGAATTTGAATAGCACAACTGGAAAAGGTCATTCGGCACAAGTTGGTGGAAGATCTGGACAAATATCACAAGAAAACACAAGTGCACGAAAAATATAATGCATTACTTATCCTGAACTTTTGAATAAACTGATAATTTATTTTGAAATTACACATTAATTGACAAGTTAGGATAACTTGCAGGTCTTAAATACATCCATGATTGTCCCAATGTTCCTTGAGCCCATCTCAAATATCTTTCAGTTTCAATCGGGATATTTGCACAATCATATCGAACACCGTTCAAATTAGCAGCTCCACAAAGTTGATCTTCAACATACCACCAACCAGTTCGTAAATTAGCTTCAGAACAAGATGAATAAACTGCGTCATTAACTGTAATTTTCTGTGATGATTTAGTCGATGATTCCAAATCCCAGGTTGAGAATTTTGGACCAACTCCATTCAAATCCCATCTTGCCCATCCATCTTCATAATAATTGTCTCCAGCTTCAGATCCTGAACATGGTTTTGGAATAACAACTGAATATTGTGTTGTAGCATTTAGAATTTGGAAACTTGGATAAATGCATTCGGTATTTTTAGCTGGTCGATTATTTCCAGGACAACGGAAGAGTTCAAGTCGGAGAGTTTGTGGAACATATTGTGTTGATTGATAAAGATATTCTAATCCAATAAACAGATTCTGAGTTGACGAATCACCAAAACCATCAACGTATTGTTGATAAGTTTTATTGATATTCAAACCAGCAATATCTGAACTGACCAAAGTATATCCACCGCCATTACTCATATCACATTGAACTTTTAATGGGGCAAAAGCTGGAAGATTTGGTGTAGGGAACGGTGGAAGAATTTCATATTGTCCACTTTCTCGAATACCCCAATAAACATAAAGATCCGCGCAATCTCTTTGTGGTTTGAAAGTGTTACAATTTGATCCAGTATAGAAATTATCACAAATGCATTGATAAGTTCCAGGAAGATTTTGACAAGTTCCGTGTCCACAAATTCCCGGTGTTTCAACACATTCATTGATATCGTTACAAGTATAACCATCTCCACGATATCCTTTTTGACATTCACAACTATAACCGTAACCAATATCAGCACAATAACCATCTGAAGAACATGGACGATACTGAAATGAAATCGTTATAGATTTTCAGAAAAAAATCGCGGGGAAAATTTTTGACTTACATCACTGTACATAGAACCATTTTGACAAACATGATAAATTGTGCAATTATTTGTGAGCCAAGGCACATTCGCGGTATGAGCATTTCCATTTTCATCAACACAACCACATTGATCAATTCGAATACAAGATTGAACACGGGTTACTGTATTATCAATAACATATCCTGGATCACATTCACAACCATCTGAACATGGTTCATAACAATTTTCTGGATATGGTTCAGCACAAGTTGATGGACAGGCAGATGTGCAAAGAGAATAATGAGAATTTGGTTGACAAGCAAGTTGGCAGTCTACTTGTGCACGCCAGTTTGGATTTTGAGAAGTGGCTAAAATTATTTTGAATGAAAACATGAATGAAATTTATAAATATGATTAAAGTACACATGTGAACGTTCCAATGAATAAACAACTTACTTGGAAGATTCAATTGACAATATTGGAAGAAATTCGAAAGCGCGGTACATTTATATTTTGAATTTCGGCAAACATCATAAATACAATTATAATAGAAGTTTTCAAGTGTATCATTTCCTAATCCTTGACATCCACCAAATGGTCCAAGACCTAATTCAGCTTGTTGAATCGGATAGCAATAAGCAGAAACAGTTGTAACATCCTGTTCAAAACATGATTCCAAAACTGATGAGATTTCGGCCAAATCCTAGAAGTTGGCCAAAATCTCATCGTTTCTAACTAGAAAATGTTCATAATTAGATTTTCTCACTTACACAATCAGTATTGTTATCGATAGTTTGTCCATTTACACAAATTTCTTGATTTGGTCTCAAAACCAAAAAGTTATCAGTGATCCATGTATCTTCAGTTGCCATAAAATCTTGACGATTTTTGTTTGTTGGTTGTCGACTACTGGAAATCGGAAGAACACTTCCATTTTTATTTACAACATCATCACTCCATTTTCCATCAATATTTCCTGCCAAACCACAAAGTGTTGTGGCATTTTGGAAGGCTGGAACATCTGGGACTTCAACACAAAGTGAATTATAAGTGCTGAATGTGACAGTAACTCCTTGATCATTTTGCAAAGTGAAAGTAGAACCCGAATATCGGACTCGAACTGTCCAATTCGATTTTGTTGGATAATACCAAGGAACTAGAACTTGAACACCATTTACAAGAACAGTTTTTGATCTACCATCAACGTGGATTGTCAATTGATCAAAATCAACTTCAACTTCAGAAACTTGTGAAATACTGGAAAGAAACATTCAAATGTTTTTCCTATGTGTTTTTTATAACTCACTGATATCCTTTTCCTGGCAACTCATTTTTTGCTCTCACAGAATACCATTTAAATGGAGATGGAAGTTGTGAACAAGGTTGACTGAAAACATATGGGCAGGTTCCTTGATAGTCAAACCGAAGATTATCGAATGTTTCATAATGTGGATCTCCATTCATACAAGCTCTTTGAACTTTCAAATCACAATCTCTACCGTTTCTTTTGGCTGTATATCCAGGTTTACAGATACAATTCAATTGATGATTTGCAACGTAGCAAATTGCATTATCACCGCATGTGTTGGCTTTACATTGAATGATATTTTGACAGTTTTGGCCAGATGTGTTGTCTGGACAAATACAGCTGCAAAAAATTTATTTTTGAGGAGGCACTTTTTTGAGAAAAAAGGAAGGTTTGAGAAAAAGAAGAAGGGAACTCTGATCACAAATTCAGCATTTATCGGTATATTTTTTAAAATTATAACGTGGAAAAGTTGGCATTTGACATTTATCATAAGGGCAATTTTTTTACTTTTACGTAGTCTTATCGAATAAATTGTTACTGAACCAACATATTTGAAAAAAGAACTCACTGATAATATCTCCAAGGATAAGATGGATCAGCAACACAAGTTCCACCATTCAAACACAAAACTGGATTATTACAAATTGAGCAAGTATAATTGACAGTAGCTGAAACACTACTAACAAACATTTGGCTAGTTGCCAATGGTTTTTTCAAAGCTGGTGCCATATATTGCTCATGTTTATCTTTTTGCATTTCGCTGATCATTTTCAATAGAGATTCTTTTGATTCGCATTCCATTCCATGACATTGTTCTCTAGAAATCATTATTTTTATCGAAAAATATTTGGAGAAAATCCCACCGAAAATGGTAGAAAAATAGAGGAAAATAAAGATAAATAGTGAAAAACATACGTGTCTTCCAAATATTGTCGAGTTCCCTCCTTACATTTTTGTCCATAACATTGTGTTTGGCTGGAATTTGAAAAATTGAACTTTTGAATGTTTGTTTTATGTTGTTTATCAAAAAAAGGTTATTTGAGCACATTTTGCACTTTATTGCAAACTAGAGAAAAGATTTTAAAAAATTCGATGACATCAACGCTGTAAACTCGAAGTACACTACCTACAGTAACCCTAAATTTAGAAAATTTATATCTTCACAGTGATTTATTACCCCAAACTACAATCTAGCTACAAATCCTGACTAATTTACTCACCTCACATCAATCGAAATGACAAGCAATACCACTAGAAATATCAATTCTTTGCTCCTCGTTTTCCCGATAAGAAACGTCATTATTTCTTACGTCCCAGGAAAAATAATGACAATTCCAAACGAATTTCGAAGACCATTTTAAGCAATTCTCTTATCATTTTTTTCATCGATAAAGTACCTAAAAGCTGATTAATTTCTTCATTTCTTGTGACATTAGTTGAAATTTTGAAGTGATTGATAGCGAAGAAAAGAGAAAATTGTGCAAAACTCACAAAATATAGCGTCAATTGAGATAATAAAATGAGTCAAATGGGTCGAGGTGCAAAAAAATATGAAATGAGTCAGAAATAACACTTGAATCATCAAATATCACGTAAATAATTTATTTTTGTATTCAGTTTGTTTTCTCATTTTTCAAATTTAATTTCTGATTTTGAATTTCATGATTACTTTCAATAAAATAATTGATTCAGTAAAACTTTACTAGCAATTTCATTGAAATCAAACTTTATACATTCCAAGTCCAAAAATCAAGTACTTACAGTACTTCTTTTTCCAAAAAATAATCCACTTTTCCAGTCTTTAGTCTACTTTGCTACATTGGTAAAAATGTTCGCTGATAACAAACAAAAAATTTATAGTTTCCCCTTCTTTATTGTTTTTTGAGCCACACCTAATTTTTATGTTGCCGGAAATAATCATCAAATATTCCTAACATGCAATGGCTGCCTTCTATTGTGGAAATTACAAATTTTAAATTAAATTTGGGTATTTTCTTTGAAAAGAAAAATGATGAAAAACTACTTTTATTGTATTTTATATTACATTATTATACATCAGTTGGCAAACTAGGATAACTTGCAGGTCTTAGATACATCCATGATTGTCCCAATGTTCCTTGAGCCCATCTCAAATATCTTTGAGTTTCAATAGGAATATTTGCACAATCATATCGGACACCATTCAAATTAGCAGCTCCACAAAGTTGATCTTCAACATACCACCAACCAGTTCGTAAATTAGCTTCAGAACAAGATGAATAAACTGCATCATTGATTGTGATTTTCTGTTTTTAGATTTAGTTGATGATTCTAGATCCCAGGTTGAGAATTTTGGACCAACTCCATTCAAATCCCATCTCGCCCATCCATCTTCGTAATAATTATCGCCAGCTTCTGATCCTGAACATGGTTTTGGAATAACAACTGAATATTGTGTTGTAGCATTCAAAACTTGGAAACTTGGATAAATACATTCGGTTGTTTTGGAAGGTCGGTTATTAGATGAACAACGGAAAAGTTCAAGTCGAAGGGTTTGTGGAACATATTGGGTTGATTGATAAAGATATTCCAGTCCAATGAATAGATTCTGAGTTGACGAATTACCAAATCCATTCACATATTGTTGATAAGTTTTATTGATGTTCAGACCAGCAATATCTGAACTGACCAAAGTATATCCACCATCATTGCTCATATCACATTGAACACTGAAAGGCGTAAAAGCGGGGAGATTTGGTGTCGCAAATGGTGGAAGAATTTCATATTGTCCACTTTGGCGGATTCCCCAATAAACATAAAGATCAGCACAATCTCTTCGTGGTTTGAAATCAGTGCAATTTGTTCCAGCATAAAACTTATCACAAATACATTGATAAGTTCCAGGGAGATTTTTACAAGTTCCATGTCCACAAATTCCCGGTGTTTCCACACATTCATTGATATCGTTACAAGTATAACCATCTCCACGATATCCTTTTTGACATTCACAACTATAACCGTAACCAATATCAGCACAATAACCATCTGTAGAACATGGGCGATACTGTAAAAAATCGTTACAGATGAGATCATTTTAGAATAATAATATTATTTGGACTCACATCACTGTACATAGAACCATTCTGACAAATATGATAGATTGTGCAATTATTTGTGAGCCATGGAACATTTGCAGAATGTGGATTTCCATTTTCATCAACACAACCACATTGATCAATTCGAATACAAGATTGAACACGGGTTACTGTATTATCAATAACATATCCTTGATCACATTCACAACCATCTGAACATGGTTCATAACAATTTTCTGGATATGGTTCAGCGCAAGTTGATGGACAGGCAGATGTGCAAAGAGAATAATGAGAATTTGGTTGACACGCAAGTTCGCAATCAACTTCATTACGCCAATTTGGATCTTGAGCGGTGGCTGGAAATTTTTTATTTAAAAAATTACTTTCTGAAAATCCATAAAATATTTGACATCAAGTTTCAAGCTAAATAGAGATTCCTCAAAAAACCCAACTTTTTCCGAATGTTACACAAAAACTAACTTGGAAGATTTGTTTGACAATAGTGGAAGAAGTTTGATAGTGCAGTACATTTGAATGACGGATTTCGGCAAACATCATAAACACAATCATAATAGAAGTTGTCAAGTGTTTCATTTCCTAATCCTTGACATCCACCAAATGGTCCAACACCCAATTCAGCTTGTAAAATTGGATAACAGTAAGTCGATGCTGATGAAACATCCTGGAAAATTTATCAGATTTCAGAATTGATGAGTTTTTTAATTAATATTTTTCAACTCACACATTTAGTGTTATTATCAATTGTTTGCCCGTTTATACAAATTTCCTGATTTGGTCTCAAAACCAAGAAGTTATCCGTGATCCATGAATCCTCTGTAGCCATAAAATCTTGACGGTTTTGACTTTCTGGTTGATGGTTATTTGAGATCGGAAGAACAGTTCCATTTTTATTCACAACATCGTCACTCCATTTTCCATCAATATTTCCTGCCAAACCACAAAGTGTTGTGGTATTTTGGAATGCTGGAATATCCGGAACTTGGACGCAAAGCGAAGTGAACGTGTTGAAAATGACACTAACACCCTGATCATTTTTCAAGGTAAAAACAGTTCCAGAAAATCCAACATAGACTGTCCAGTTTGATTTTGTTGGATAGTACCAAGGAAGAAGAACTTGAACACCATTCACAAGAGCAGTTTTTGATCTACCATCAACGTGGATTGTCAATTGATCAAAATCAACTTCAACTTCAGAAACACTTGAAACACTAGAAAGAAAAATGTTGAAATATTGTCATCTAATGTTTTTGTAACTCACTGATATCCTTTTCCAGGCAACTCATTTTTCGCTCTCACAGAATACCATTTGAATGGAGATGGAAGTTGTGAACAAGGTTGACTAAAAACATATGGACAAGTTCCTTGATAATCAAACCGAAGATTATCGAATGTTTCATAATGTGGATCACCATGCATACAAGCTCTTTGAACTTTCAAATCACAATCGCGACCATTTCCTCGAGCTGTGTAACCAGGTTTACAAATACAATTGAGTTGATGGTTGGAAACATAGCAAATTGCATTGGCGCCACAAGTATTGGTTTTGCATTCAATTATGTTTTGACAGTTTTCACCGGATGTGTTGTCTGGGCAAATACAACTGGAAAATATGATTTTGAAGAAGAGGAAGACACAAAATAGAAAGTTTAAATATACATGAAGACACAGCGTGTAATTCATTACCAGAAAATTCTCGCGCTTTTTTGAGACCTTTTTTTGATCTACCAGAAAATTTCTTGAAAATTTTCGAAGCCTAGAGATTTTGGGTAGTAATTTACATCCTGTGGCTAATTTTGTCTCTTAAAATTGGAACTTTTATTTATAAATATTTTTAACCATCAGAAACTGGTCCTAAATATGTGTCAATCAAAAGTGAAATTCGTAACTTACAGTAGTCTTATCAAGAAAAATATTTCTGATTCAGCACATTATTCTATCTAACGAAGTTTTGCGAATAAATGACTATAGACTCTAGATTGTTTGCAAAAGCTCCCAACTCACTGATAATATTTCCACGGATCAGTTGGATCAGCAACACAAGTTCCACCATTCAAACACAATGCTGGATTATCGCAAATCGAGCAAGTATAATTTTGAGCTGTTACAACATTGCTCACAAACATCTGACTGATTGCCAATGGTTTTTTCAGAGCTGGCGCCATATATTGCTCATGTTTACTTTTTTGCATTTTACTGATCATTTTCAATAGAGATTCTTTTGATTCGCATTCCATTCCATGACATTGTTCACTGAAAATATCAGTTTAGGGGGAAAAAGTTTAAAAAAAACATACGTGTCTTCCAAATATTGTCTAGTTCCCTCCTTACATTTTTGTCCATAACATTGGGTTTGGCTGAAATTAACTTTCCAGTTTTTCTATTTACTGGGATGAGGTTATTCAATTCGATTTTACAGTTATTCTACCAATCCTAACTCACCACAGCTCAATCGACAAAGCAAGCAAAACTAGAATAAACAGTTTCTCGTTCATTTTCCTGATAACAACGGACATTTTCGTTCCAGAACAAAAAAACGATAATTGGAACACATTTGGAAGACTCTTTTATGTAATTCTCTTATCGGTGCTTCCTACCTGATAAAGTATCCGAACAATTCATTGGAACGTTTCTTGTGACATTTTTGGAACTCTTTTGTTATTGACGGCAAGATGGAGCAGATGTTTGCTCATTGTTCGATGTCAGATTATTGCATTAAGTAGTTGAGTTCACAACACTGTTTTTCAAAAAAGAACAAAACGACGTGGTTTACTGTATCTCTGAAAAGCTCGAGTCCAATTTTAAAGTCGGAGAAAAGTTCACAGCGGTTTTCCCATTTCCAGAATCGGACCAGCGTCGAGATGTTGAGATGTAAGAAATATGAAATGATTTTTTCTTGCCACGTGAGATCATCAAAGTTCACGTAAATAACGTAATTCTTTGTTTTTTCGATTCACAATTTTGTGAATCACAACAGAATTTGTTTTGTTATCTTTAAAAAGGTGAGAAATCTTTGTTGAAATTTGAAACATCAGTCAATTTTCAGTATGTTGTTGAAATCAAACTATACATTTCGCGTCCAAAAATCAAGTATTCCTATCTCAAAAAATAATCCACTTAGTTCCACTTTTACAATCCTTAATCTATTTTGCTACATTGGTAAAAATGTTCGCTGATAAAGAGAACAATTGACAGCTTCCTCTTTTTTATGATTTTGGAACCACACCTAAAATTTTGAATTTCCTGGTTTTCAAATGATATTTTTAATTATGAGAGTCGATTGAAATTGAAAAAATTTACTGAAATTTTATAGATCTCAAACTACATACAATTCGTATCGAAAAATCAAGTAGTTACAGTTGTCTTTTCTCAAAAAATAATCTTCAGCCATTTTTTCTACGCTGGTAAAAATGTATACAACTTTTGTAGCTTCCTCATTTTTTAAACATAATGTTAATATCTTCGGACAAAACATTTCAGCTCAATAACGTCTCATGAAAATTACTTATTAATAAAAAATTGACCAACATGACATCCTTATTCTTTTCGCATCAAAACATTTCCCTACTCCTCCATATCTTTCACCAATTGCTCTTTGACATTTTGTCACCGGAAATATGTGCATCAAATATTCCTAACATGCAACGGAAGCTTTTTCACCTTCTTCTAATATTTTTCATCTGTTATTTTTTCTTCTTCAAAATCAATGTCCTCCAGATCATCAAATCCAGAGACTTTTGGAGGCATAGTCTTTCGAATATGGGTAAAGAAACTGGCTCAATTTCTGAAATTCTCTGAAATTTCAGAGTCTTCGAGGATGGGTGAAACGAGCGAGATTGAGGCTGAAAGTGTTTCAAGGGAGCGATATTGATCTGGCAAATACACATGGAGATGTTATCAAAGAAGTTGAATGTAAAAAGGAGGAAGAGAAAACGTAAGAATTTGAGATTTTCTGAATCAGAAAGCTGAATATTTTTCAGCGGTATTTTGTATACAACTTTCGACGACACTTCATTGTTTTATTATCTTTGGACATGTATTGTTTGTTTGGTTTGCCTTCATCCACTTATTTTCACAGCAATGTCTGTCTTCAATGATATTCATCCATTTTTACGCTCAACTTCTAATCTCAATCATTTTTTCGATTTTATTTTCCTCCTGGACCTTTTCATTCAAACTCGTCTGCAAATAGTTGAAAACGGAGTTCCGGTTAAAAATTTGCGAAAACTTTTCGACAACAGAGTTCGAAGGTTAATCATTCACTAATGGGCCTATGCAGAATAATATTTTGTAATAAAAAAACATTAAAAAACATTTTTTTCCTATGCAGAAAAACGTCGAAAAAACAAAATAAAGACAACGTGAAATTGAGAGAGCGCAGACATAAAATGGGTTTTTTGTCTGCACTCTCTCAATTTCACGTTGTCTCTACTCAAAATAATAAACTGTATATTTTGTTTTTTCGACGTTTTTCTGCATAGGAAAAAAAATGTTTTTTAATGTTTTTTTATTACAAAATATTATTCTGCATAGGCCCATAAATATTATATGTATATTTCATTTTTTTCAGCAAGCAATTTATAATCGATGTTATTTGCTTGATTCCATTTCACTTGGTTCCTGGATTCTCTTCCAGTTTTTTCTTCGCAAAACTCAATAAATTATTAAAATGTTATCGGCTTTTAGATTTCGCATCGTTGACTGAAATTCGAACAACTTCTCCACACGCTTTTCGACTTTTCAAATTGGTTTTCCTTTGCTTTGTGATCTTCCATTGGAATGGATGTCTATATTTTCATCTCAGCAAGATCTATGATTTTGAACGTAATTACTAAAAATTTCTGAATAAAATATAAAATGTATTTTCTTTCAGTTGCATTCCTTGAGGATTGGATATTTTCCTATGACAAAATCATAAATCCAGTGAAAGCTGAATGTATAACAGATATTCCAAGTGATTCAGGATTTTGTGATACTCGACAATGGAATTCTAGTGATTTGCAAGATCTGAGCGAAGATGAAATTCAAGAATTTTTTGATGATCTCATGCCAACGGAATGGGGAAATAAGTTAGTTTTGTTTTTGTTTTAAAGAAATCTCTTCAATTTAATTATTTCAGAACAAAACAGATCGAATTCACAAATTTGACACGGCAATATGTTCTTAGTTTTTACTGGTCTGCTTTGACTTTGGTTACTTTAGGAGAACAACCATCACCAATTAATACATTTCAAAATGCTTTCGAGATTTTCGACACTTTATTGGGTCTTGTTATTTTTGCGACAATTGTTGGAGATGTTGGTAACATGGTTGTAGCAATCAATTTAGGAAAATCAGAATTCGAAAATGTTTTGGATGGTTGTAAAAGATTTGCGGTTTATCGAAAAGTTCCATTTGCTCTTCGCAAAAAAGCTGTCGAATATTTCACATATTCTTGGGCTCACGGAGGTGCTCAAGTTGACGAGGAAGAAGTTGCTGATTTCCTACCTCCCCGACTTTTCGGTGAAATTGCTGTTGAAATTCATATGGATACATTAAAACGTGTCAAATTGTTCGAAGAATGTGATTCAAGACTTCTTTACGAATTAATTCTTAAACTTCAACCCCGAATGTATAGTCCAATGGATTATATTTGTAAAAAAGGTGAAGTTGGAACTGAAATGTACATTGTGAAAAAAGGATTCGTTGAAGTTGTGAGTGAAGATGGGCAACAAATATTTGTGACACTTGGAAGTGGTGTTGTTTTTGGCGAATTATCAATTCTTAATATTCCTGGGAATAAAAACAAAAATTTACGAACAGCGTCTGTTCGATCGAAAGGATATTCTGATTTATATGTGTTGGACAAAGAAGATTTGTGGGAAGCATTGAGAGAATATCCACAGGCAAAGGATTCACTCATTGAGAAAGGTGAAATTATTTGACTTAACTGTTGAGCATGATAATGCGATTTGTGAAGTCATTAGAATTCTCGAAGCCACGCAATAGGTCAGAACTGAACTTTAAAAAACCTAATACATAGTTTTTAACGGTCAATCCTATTCTCAAACTCTCTCTTATTTTCACTTGAAATTAAATCCAATATTACAAATCACGCACTAACTTTTAGACATTATGAGTTAGATGATTTTGAATCTCAAATCTCCATCCAAGAAAAAACTTGTTTCAGGTAAACAAATTCTTGCAAAAGACAATTTGCTGGACGAAAATATGCCAAAAGACGACGAAGAAGATGAAATATGTGGACCGATTGAGGAAAGATTAACGAGATATCAAGAAGAAACAGCTGAACTCGAGAAACAAATTGAAGAAGCTGAGATTAGAATCAGGGTAGGTATCTAGAAATACTAATACTAATTATGTCATAGCAGATCAAACAATGTATTCATTTCACTTGAAAATGGGCGGAGTCACACATTTCTTTTCTTATTTTCATTTATCTAGCCAGCAGCTAGCCAGACCAAAACTTGATAAATTCAAGGTTATATTCGGGTTCTTTTTCTTTTTTTGCATTTATACATCATCTGTCTTTAAACATTTTAAATAATATACAAAATAGAAGCTTTTTTGATGTTTGGCTACAATTGTAGGTAAATATTTGTTAACATGAGTCAGTATTTCGTTTTATTTTGGGTCAGGGAAATAGTCACTTGTTTTCAAGTTTTGGAAGATTACTGTGACTGTGGTTTGGGATTTGAGACTTTTGCGAAGGGCGGAGTTAGACTAGAATTTTTTAAATAGTCTAGAACTTGAGTTACCCCTATAAACGTATACTTAGAAAATTAGTCTTCCGTTTCCTCTTTAATTTTTACTTTTTAATTTCTAGAATTCACACCGTGAAATGAAAATGCGACTTTTTCGTGTCGAGACCAATCTGATTGACATGATGAACCGACAACAACAAAAATAATAATTACTGTATTTTCCTATTTTCATTTTCTCCCTATTGTTTTCGATTTCGAACCGTAATATTAATAATAGTACAACGACATGAGTGAAACTGTCTGCGTCTCTTCTCTCTAACACTCACATTTTTTAATACTTTATTTATTTGTTTATCTTTCAATTCAATTCATCCACTTCGGGATTTTTCATTTTTTTTGTTGTAAAAAAATTAAAAATTGTATTTAATTGTTCACCTGTTACAAACGTGACCTTTTATTCATCGATTTTTTTGCCAACAAAAATTTTGTGCCATTTTTAGATTTTTATGTTCAATTGATTTCACGCGAATTGTGTGTGAATCGAGCCAGCAATCAACAAAACAATGACAGAACTTCGAGAATTTAAACGGCCTCTTGTTCTACACAAAAATCAAAGAACTCAATTGCCAGGCACTTATTTATCACCTGATGATGTTTCGATTTGGGATATTATTCGACCGAATTTGGGCAAAGATTTTTCGCGTTTCACTGTACCTGTATTTATGAATGAACCATTGTGTTTTTTGCAAAGATTGTCCGAAAATGTTCAATATAATTATTTGCTGGAAAAAGCAGCGAAATGTGAGGATGAAATTGAAAGATTAGAGGTGAGCTTTGGGATTTTGTGGTTTTTTTCAATTTTCTAGAAACTAGCAATGAGGCCACTTTGAAAGAAAAAGTAGATCACGTGAAAAATTTAGATTTTTTTAATAGAAATTTTCTGGAACAGTTTTTTGGATTAAAATTTTTCAAAATTTTTTCGTGAATAAAATTCGTTATTCTTCTGTTGCTAAAATTGTTCAAGTGTAAATCTAATTTCAATTCACTTCGTTCTCCTCTAATTATGTTTTCTGCTCGAAAAAATTCTGAAATTTTTGAAGACACTTCAAAAAGGTTCACGAATTTTTGTTTATTTTTGCTCACAAGATATTTATTTTTCAAGAATCAAACAATCAAAAAACTAATTTGGTTTTGACTAGAATGAAGTTCAAACATCAAAGTCTCATCGACAAAAATTTTCAGAAAACTTTTAATTTTATAAAAACTCTCTAAATTCAGAAAATAGCTGAAGAAAGACCTTCAGGTACTTCTAGTTTTCTTCATTCGTATTCCGACTTTTCCGGTCAAAATCGAGGAATCTCCATAACCCAAATCAAAGTTCTACAATTTCTCAGAAAAATATTCTAATATCCTATTTTTCTAGTATGTTGCCGCATTTGCGCTCGCCACAATTTCCTCCAACCACAATCGTCTTTCAAAACCCTTCAATCCTCTATTACTCGAAACTTTTGAACTCGAAAGAAATGGTGTTCGTTTCATAGCCGAACAAGTATCCCATCATCCACCAATTTCTGCAGTTTATGCCGAATCCGACGATTTTATTGTTGAGGTGAGAAAATAATAGAAGCAGGTTTTATTTCTTCCTGGACTTTCTCTTTGGACACAGAGAAAAAGAGAAAACTGGATTCGATAATTACGTAATGATGATGGAAAGATCAAGGATTTCAACGCTTTTTTTTGAAAATATCTAGATCCAGAAAAAAACTTATTGCAGGGAACGGTCGAGCCAACTTTGAGTTTTTGGATGACAAAATTAATCGCAAATCCACACGCATCTCTGAAACTCACTTTCAAAAAGTAAGAAAATTATCCTTGTGAATCAAAAGGTTACAAAATTTTTACAGAACAGGGGAGACTTATCATTGGTCAGCTCCAAAATGCACAATCTATAATGTGATTATGGGAAAAATGTATATGAACTTTGTAAGTTTCCAAAAAATAAATGCTCCAGGAATAGTAAAAAAAATTCCAGACAAGTCAAATGAAAATTGAGTCTTCGGGAGATTATGATGCCGTTTTCAATTTTGAGAATAAAGGATATTCGACTCCGCGAACTGGCGATGTTCATGTTGAAGGACATATATTCGAAGGAAAAAAGAAGATCAAAGCTCTCTACGGAAATTGGACTCTATATTTAGCATCTTGTGATAATGATACATTCAAATCACATCGAAAAGAATATGTTCGAATGTTCAATGAATCAATAAATCGTCGAGATCATGGTCCAATTCTTCCCGATTCAACAATTCTTTGGATATCCAATCAGATTCCTGTCAAAACTTTTGACGAACAATTTCATTTCACATATTTCACTTTGTCGTTGAATGAAATGTATGAGGGAATGGCTGATAGTTTGCCACCAACAGATAGTCGAAGAAGAAAAGATATGAGAGCATTAGAGAATTCGGATAATGAAGAAGCTGAAAAATGGAAACATCGATATGAAGAAGAACAAAGAGATAGACGAGCCGAAAATGAGGGAAATGAACCATTGTAAGTACTTGGGTAAAAAGAGAAGAGTTTTAGAAAACCCTTTTCGAACTTTAAAAAATTAAACATTTTTACTCTGGCTCACAACAGGTTGGTGTGATTTTTGAATAAATTTGTCATTTCATTTCAGATGGTTCAAAAAAGTGGATGACACGTGGCAATACAATGGCGAATATTTCAACCGAGATTTTTCGAAATGTCTCGAACTTTTCGGCGCTTCGGACAGCAATGGAAATTCAATATAATTACGCATAATTATTGAACAGTTTTTGAAAAAATAACGGGTGAAATTTATTAGGCATAAACCATTTTTCCATCGCTTTTTTGTGTTCCTCAAAAATAAGAAGAAAAAACCAATTTTGTTTCGAAGCAGGAGAAAAAAAGAGAAAAAAATAAGGAGGGAAATTGAGTTGTCGAAATGATTACTTACTTGAGGGTAATAGGTTTTTGAGGTGAAGATGAACATGTTTTTCGGTGAAATATTTTGTATTTCTATTTTCATTTTATCTACTTGTATTTCATCGATTGAAATTGGCTCGAATTCGAATTCAACTTTGTCATTAACTTCGAAAATTGGAAAAACTGAAAAACATGAAGTGAATATTGCAGTTGTTTATCGAAATTGGGGTGGAAAATCGAAATCATATGATAAAGCGTTTCGAGAAATTATTCGAAAAATCAATGATGGAACTGCGGTTTCGTAAGTTTTAATTTAAAAACTTCAGTTATTTCAATGTGTTTTTTTCAGGAGTATACGAAAACTATCACAAAAATACACATTCTCCGCAGTTGATTGTATTCTTCCAACTGGCAACTTTTTCGTTAACGAAGTTTTAGATTGTCTTTGTAATAATGTGACTGCGAATAATGTGAGTTATCGAATTTAGCTCTCATGCCAAAGATTTGAATTTCAGGTAGCCTTGATAGTTTTCGTGACAGCTTCTGAGACTTTTGATTCAACTACGGTTGCAGAACAATATTTTCTGACAGCTGCCAGTTACACGGGAATTCCGATAATTGCTTGGAATGCTGATAATTCGGGATTTAGTTTTGAGAAAGATTTGACACCGTATAGAATTCTTCAAATGGCACCACCAATTGAACATCAAATACGGTACGATATTCAGATAATTTTTTGTAATCTTCATCTGATTGTGAAAATAGTCATAGCTCAACTCTAAAAATAAGTGATGACGTGGCAAAATTGATAAACTGAACTTATCAATTATATTTTCAAAAAAACTAATGTTCCCGTTTTCAGAGCAATGATTGCACTTTTACAACGATATAATTGGCCGAAATTCGGAGTTGTCACTTCTGAAATGGTTGGAAATGATAGATTCATAAGTGCTGTGAAAGATGAAATTGAACGATTCTCAAATAAATCAACTCCAAAATTCGAAATGATTCATCATTGTAAAATTGACACAAGAAACACAACAGATATCGATATAAAATTGGCGGAATTGAAGAAACATCAAGCAAAGATAGTATTACTTTATGCAAATTCAGCACAAGCTAGTGTCATTTTTTCACACGCGGAAAAGCACGAGATAACTGGTGAAAGATATCTGTGGATTGGAACACAATCAGTTAAAGGAACACAGAAAACGATAAATTCGAAAGGATTTGCACAAGTTGGAATGTTATGTGTCAATTTTCATACGCTTTCAAATGCAATGTTTGCGCCAAAAGATGATATTTTACCGTTGATATTTCAACAAGCACCAAGACTTTTTGGGTTTGCTGTCGATAAATTGATTGGAAAAACAGCACCGTCACTTCGATCAAATGTTTCTTGTAAAAGTTCAGAAGGTGATCCATATTGGGATTACGGTGGAGTTATTTATGAGTTAGTTTTTTTATTGAGAAATGGAGATCCCCTCGAGGAGCTCTTTTTTATGATGAATTATATTTTCAGGCGAATGAAAACTGCATTCATAAAAGGAAATCCATATCATGTTGATGATGGATATGATTCATTTTTCTACACTTTCGATAATAATGGTCGATTAAAAAATTCAATGTTGGAAATATCGAATCTTCGAACAGGTAAAAAGAAAGGAGAGAGAGTATGGGAAAAAGTTGGCGAATTCACAAATAATCAATTGGAAATGACCGATGTTCAATGGCCTGGCGAAAAAGCGAATCCACCTCAAGGAACCGCTGATAAATTTCATGTGAAAGTTGTGACACTTCATGAACCACCATTTATTACAGTATCAGATGTTGATCAAGATACACAAAAATGTCCAGGAAATCAAGGATCAATTTGTGATTGGGGTGATATTGAATATGTTGATGGAGATGGAATTCGAAAAAATCGAACACTTTGGAAATGTTGTAGTGGATATTGTGTGGATTTATTGAATAAACTTGCAACTGATATTGGATTCACTTATACTTTATATAAAGTTAGAGACGAAAAATGGGGATTGAAAACTGAAAATGGATGGAATGGTCTGATTGCTGATTTAATGCATAATAAAGCAGATATGTGTGTAACATCTTTGAAATTGAATTCTGAAAGAGCAAGAGATATCGATTTCTCTCTACCTTTCTTGGATACTGGAATTTCAATTATCGTCAAAATTCGAAGTGGAGTTCTATCGCCAACTGCATTTTTAGAACCTTTTGAATATTCAACATGGGTTATCATATTATTTGTTTGTATCCACGTGGCAGCAATCTCAATATTTGTATTTGAATGGGTTTCTCCATATTCATTTAATATGCAGAAATATCCTCCACCAGATCATAAATTCTCATTATTTCGATCTTATTGGTTGGTTTGGGCAACATTATTTAGTGCAAGTGTTTCAACAGATGTGCCAAAATCAACAGTTTCTCGATTAATGGCACTTGTTTGGGCTGCTTTTGGACTCACATTCTTAGCTGTTTATACAGCAAACCTGGCTGCTTTTATGATAACTCGAGTACAATTTTATGATTTGAGTGGAATACATGATCCAATGCTTAATTATCCGCAAGATCAGAAACCACCTTTTCGTTTTGGAACTGTTGATGGAGGAAATACACATGAAACAATGAAAAGAAACTGGCAAAAGTGAGCATTTTCAAGGGTAAAAATTAGTATGAAAATATTTGTTTCAGAATGCATGACTACGTTGAGAAGAACAAATTTTTCCGAATGAATATTTCAGCCGGTGTTGATGCAGTTAAAAATGAGTAAGTTATGAAATAAATTACAATTTTTTTTTAGAAAAATCTCGATTGCAGAGAGTTGGACGCGTTTATCTACGACGCTGTAGTTTTAGATTATTGGGCTGGAAAAGATGCAAATTGCGCTCTGATGACAGTTGGAAAATGGGCAAGTATGACTGGATATGGAATTGGTTTCCCAAAGAATTCACCATATACAGCAATGGTTAATCAATACATGTTACAATATCAGCAGAAAGGAGACTTGGAAAGACTTCAGAATTTTTGGTTGACGGGGGCTTGCACACCGGATAGTCATAGTCAAACACAATCAGCGCCGCTGGGAATCGAGAATTTCTTGTCAGCTTTTGTGTTATTAGCCGGAGGAATTGTGAGTGAAAAATTAGGAGTTTGAAAAATAAAATCAATTTGGCCCCATTTTCGAGCCAAGATTAAAAATTGTTTTGTTACCCAGATACTCTAAAAATAGAATAAATAACTAACCTCTACAAATATTCAGATCGTGAGTATAATTGTTCTTGGTTTCGAGCATATATATTGTCGTCATCTTCGCAAACCTCTTCAAAAAATCGATCCAAATGGCTGGTGTGGGGTTATAAGCATGGCAATGGGAAAATCATTGACATTCCGTGAAGCTGTTGATCGTGTACAAGAATGGCGATCGAGAACACAATCCTTGGCCAGTTCGAGTTCTCCAACATTAAGAAGAAGGCGATCGAATAATAGTCAAGTTGAGGTGCCTATTTTAGAAAAACAATCTCAAAAACCATCAACATCTCGACAATATCTTCAAGTTGAAACAAACTTGTGAATAATAAATATAATTGATTAATTAACTGATTGAATATATAATATAAACACTTTGTTCACTATTCACAAGATATATATTTGAAATTGAAATATATTCACATTCGCTGAAGTTGTTCGACCCATAATTTGTGTTTGGCGACTAGATATTCGAAATCCGATGGGAATGAGAGCTGATATTTTTTGATGAGCTGTAAAAAATCGTTTTATTTCAAAAATGCAAAACATTAAACAATCTTACTTTCGCCAATTTTGGAATAACCCATAGATCTTTTTCCTTGTTTAGAAGAACATGAATTTTCAATTTTACAGCATCTCTTGTAATCAATCTTTCCATTTCGTCTTCGAAGATTGTTTTACAAAATCTAGGCTCCATCAAATCAACGAAAATCACCTAAAAATAGTTTTTCCTTAGAACAAAGATCGACTTTTTTGGAAAACTGACCGAATCAACGATTCCTCGATTAATCTCATGAATACTTCTCCAGTCAACAACACAAATGTTCGCTTCATCTGACCGGAATTCGAAATTCACGCGTTCTGTGTTGTCCACGTCATCATATCTCGTAAGAGAGCAGATTAGCAAGTCTGGATTTTGAATTTTCAAGATCAACGCCATCGAATTTGCCTTCTCAACATTTTCGGTGACAATCAAGATTTTTTCGTTTCGATCTCCTGAAATTTTTCCTCAATTTTCAACACACAAAACATATAATTTATTCTTACTATGTCTTCTTTCGTTTATTGATTCTCTAATCGATATCAGTTTATTCACAATTTTCATGCATTTATCAATTTTTTGAATTTCAGGAGATAATCCAAAATATTTTGAAGATTGAAATCCACTCGGTGTACCATCAACCGATTGTAATACTAATAGATCATTTTGAAGCTCTTCAGCAGATGAAATTTGATGAATTCTTATATAATCAAACATGTCGCGTTCTCGCAATTCTTCTATTTCAAGCACCAAATTTCCACGAATCATTTTTTCACAAATATTGAAAACTGAAGGTGACAATTTCGTTGTGCGACAGAAAAACAAGATATTCACACATTTTCCGTGAAATCTGTTCAGAATTTGCATGACATTACGGACAAATTCGACATCGTTGACGAATTCTTCACAATTTTCAATTACTATAAGTGAAGCACGCTGATTGTACATCATTGGATTATGTGAGTACAATGATTTCAATTCTTCACTAATATTTTTCGAACTTCCAACGATAATATCACATCTCCGTCTTCTTTTCTCTCCACTTTCTTCTGATTTTTCTTCAATATGATTTTCTGGATCTAATAATTTGATTCCAAGACGAGCTTCCCGATCACTTGATTTTCCTTTGAATAAATCCGTGCAAGTGCTCTTAACTTTTTCAGTCGTTTGTCCAATTATCAAAGCTCGCGGAAAAAATTTTGAAGAAGATTGACCCATGTTTTTCAAATATTCAATAGCTGTTTTTGTATAATAATGGAACGGTTTCTTGTAATTGGTATAAGCCCAAAAACTGCAATTCGCTTCTTGATCTCCCAATAGAAACTTACGAATCTTTTCACGAAATGAGATATGTTCCTTTTTTTGCTTGGCTCTGAAAAATGACGCATATTTACTATTTTTATTTTCGATGGGAACTCACACTGAAATAGAGTATTTTTCCAAATCCTTCGGATCTTCGTTGAGTTCGATATACTTTCCAATAGGATATTTATAAGCTAAAATAAATGAATAATTATATTTCAAAAAATAAGGTTAATTATTGAACTCACGGAATCGAGGAATGCTTTCGGGAAATGACGATTGAAACTAAAAAATAATGAACAATTTGTTTAACATCGAAAATAAGAGCAAAACTTTACATTAAGTGAAATCAATTCATCTTCAGGTATATCCAATCCATGCAACAACGAATTCAACTTGAATACGCATCTTTCCATTCTGTATTTACTTTCTTTTCGAACCAAACATTCACAAATGAGCAAATGAGCAAAACGAAAAAAAGAAAAATTTAAAAGTGAGAGAAGCAAACACGCTCTATTGCAAATAGGTCTCGCAGCGCGGCCAAGCCACAGTAACCTATGTGCGTCAGAAGAAAATAAAAAAAGAAAATTTTTTCTTTTCCCAAAATTTTTTAATGTTTTTCGCGTGTTTTGGTGGTCCCTTCACGTCAATTTTATCATTTTTGAGTAATTTTGAGAATAGTGGTATGATTCCAGCCGATTTCAATTGGCAGGAGCGTGATTAAAAACTTGACTCTAAGTTTAACATGTCGTAATTCTCAATTTTACTCGGCTTCACAAGGCTGAGGTATGTATTTATGAAGTTTTCGCCCTTTTTGTTCTTTGCTACCTATTAGATTCAGAAGTATGGGTCGTCCAGAGTTCAATCGTGGAGGTGGCGGAGGTAATTTTTAAATTTCACAAGTTGCAATTTTTATTTCGATTTTTTAGGATTCCGAGGAGGTCGCGGTGGAGACAGAGGAGGCGGACGTGGAGGATTCCGCGGAGGCAGTGATCGTGGTGGTTTTGGCGGTGGCCGCGGAGGTTTCGGAGGCGGAGACCGTGGTGGTCGCGGAGGATTCAGAGGAGGAGATCGTGGAGGTTTCCGTGGCGGTGATCGGTGAGTTATTTCAAACATTTCAATGAATTAGTAATTATCAAATTTTTAGCGGTGGTTTCCGTGGATCCCCAAGAGGAGGAAGAGGGTCACCAAGAGGCCGAGGAGCTCCACGTGGTGGTGGTGGAATGAGAGGAGGAAGAACTGTTGTCGTTGAACCACATCGTCTTGAAGGTAAATTTATTGTGGTTTTTTATGCCTGCTTTATCATTAATTTTGCGATTTGCAGGTGTGTTCATCGTCAAGGGAAAAGAAGACGCACTTGCCACAAAGAACATCGTAGTAGGAGAATCCGTGTACGGAGAGAAACGTGTTTCTGTTGAGGATATTGAATACCGCGTGTGGAATCCTTTCCGTTCCAAGTTGGCTGCTTCCATCATGGGAGGATTGGAAAACACTCACATCAAACCAGGAACCAAGCTCTTGTACCTTGGAGCTGCTTCAGGAACCACAGTTTCTCACTGTGCTGATGTTGTTGGACCAGTGAGTTTTCTACAGATCACCGAAATTTTGTGTCTATCAATTGTTTTGTAGGAAGGAATCGTCTACGCTGTTGAGTTCTCTCACAGAAGTGGTCGTGACTTGCTTGGAGTTGCCAAGAAAAGACCAAATATTGTTCCAATTGTCGAAGATGCCAGACATCCACACAAATACCGAATGCTTGTTGGTATGGTTGACGTCGTCTTCTCTGATGTCGCTCAACCAGATCAAGCTCGTATCGTTGCTTTGAACGCCCAAAACTTCCTCAAGAATGGTGGACATGCCGTTATTTCCATCAAGGCCAACTGTATCGACAGTACAGCTGAGCCAGAGGCTGTTTTCGCCGGTGAGGTAAACAAGTTGAAGGAAGAAAAGTTCAAGCCACTCGAACAAGTTACACTTGAGCCTTATGAAAGAGACCACGCTGTCGTGGTTGCCGTATACAGACCAGTGAAGGGAAAGAAGTAGAGGTTTGATCTCATTGTTGTAAACCATGTTTTATTTGTTATGTTGTTATATATACCACTGATCGTTAACACTTGTTTTATTTGTTTTCAATGAATTTTTGTTGATGCTCTTTTATTGTTAAATTGATATTTTTATACATTGGTTATCTTACCATGCGAATATTTTGATTATAATTTTTCTTAATCTCTTTCTAATATTGTATTCAGGGTCATGACGTCTACCGTCCAATCGGTCCAGACTTTCGGTCGCAAGAAGACTGCTACTGCTGTTGCTCACTGCAAGAAGGGACAAGGACTCATCAAGGTCAACGGCCGTTCCTTGGAATTCTTGGAGCCACAAATCCTCCGCATCAAGCTCCAAGTAGGTTTTTTTTAGATGTTATCTTTTGCAATAAAAACCATTCCATATTAAAATTAAATATTTTCAGGAGCCACTCCTTCTCGTCGGAAAGGAACGTTTCCAAGATGTTGACATCAGAATCCGTGTCAACGGAGGAGGACATGTTGCCCAAATCTACGCTATCCGACAAGCTCTCGCTAAAGCCTTGGTTAGTTTCCCTCATGTTCCGGAAATATCACAACAGAATTCTGTTTCAGGTCGCCTACTACCACAAATTCGTTGACGAGCAAAGCAAGAGAGAATTGAAGGAAATCTTCGCCGCATACGACAAATCACTCTTGGTTGCTGACCCAAGAAGACGCGAATCCAAGAAATTCGGAGGACCAGGAGCCCGCGCTCGTTTCCAAAAGTCTTACCGTTAAGTGTCTGTTTTTGTTGCATCATGAAATTGTTACAAATTTATATCGTTGAGATCATTTAGTACATAAACCGGTGGGAAATATTGAAAAATTAAAATGTAAAACTCAAAAGGAGCATGTCTAGAACGAATAGAAAAAGAATTCCCGCAATTAAATCAAGTCGTGAATGTCTAGATCTTCTTGTAGTCGGAGCGGTTTCGGTCGCGATTGGCGAAGTTGTACAAAAACATTCGGTTTGAATAGAATTGATAACTCCAGTTCCATTCATTGTGCATGTAGATCGTTTCTGCCTTGAACGACTACATCGAAAATCACAACAAGAATTGAAAATAGCACATGACGAATAATCGGCCTATAAATCAACAAAACAGACAATAAGTGCATAAATCACCAACCTTGACAATACATTCACTGGTGAAAACCTTTGACTCCACCAAAACAGGCAAAAGTAAAACGGCAATCGTGGCACCAAAGTTCATAAGTTGTGTTAAATCTAAAATGAAAAAAAATGTGTAAATAATGTGGCGAAAAATCTAGTTTTCTCCAAGTTTGTTGACAGGTCGGAAGACACGCAGAGCTTTTTCTAATCGACAAGACAGAAAAAATTAGGCTAACTATTTAAACTGATTAATGATATTTAACCTTGACCTATAATAATAATTGTGATAACTTCAAAGAAATTTTTTGAAAATTGAAAAATGAAGAAGAACGAAATGAAAAGCAGAACTTTCAGCAACAAACAACTGCTTTTAAAATGAAATGGTTTTTTTGCCAACAAAAAGACATTTGACAAAGAAATAGTATATCAGAATGAGAGACGCAGACAGTTATGACCTTGTTTGGACCGAAGGGTCACTGAAAATTGATTGACTGGTATTTTGAAAAAGAAAAAAAAAACTACTTATTTATTTATTGTTTTTTTTTTCACAAGCTATAAACATTAAAACTTTAAAAAAAATACCCGAGAAAATAAAAAGGATTTCAAAAAATTAGACTTTTGGAACATCTCCAACTTTATTTGCGCCCTGATTATATCCTGGTTTCGTCCATTCAGCAGCCACACCTTTTCCAAAAATAAGGAATGTAATATTGGCGAGAAATAGAACAAAGAAATGAACAATCCAAACACTCCACCATTCATCCCACGTGTCATCGACAACAAAAATATTGACAATTACTGGAGCCAAAAGAGATGCGAGACAATTGAGAAATGAATTGACGCCCATTATGAAATGATAGTGTTGACTGGAAATAAAACTGATTTATGGGGAGATCTGATAATTCAGCAGTCCTTCGAAAATTTTTTCTAAAAATTCGGATCCAGAATTTCAGCCAATTTTTTTACAAAAAAAAATATGGAAGTTAATTTTCAAGATCTCATTACTATTTTGCAAAATGTTCTGAAAAATTCTTGAAAAAAATTTGAATTCCAAAAATTTTTCATACGAAAATACGTCTCTTTTTGATTTTCAGAAAAAAATCAATGTTTTTTTGAAATTAGAAAGTTGCGAATGAAGCTTGAAGCGAGGTAAAAAAACCGTACTCCCGGTTTTTCTTTCACTTTTCGAAATTTCAAAAAATTCTTCTCCCAATTAAAAAACTTACGCCGCATAAATAGCAGCACTTCTGAAAAACGCGCCACAATTGAATCCAATAATCGAACACGATAAAATCAACATAATTAATCCAGCAATTGGCATCGAAGTTGGAATAAAAGCCAAACCCAAAAATGTCAAACTCATTCCACCCAAAGCCAAAGTATTGAATATTTTCACAGATGTTTGTGGTGTACAACACGCCATTTTATCAGCCGAATAACCAGCAATTAATTTGAGAATAAATGTGAAAACTTGTGGAATTGCACTAAATGTTCCAGTCATTTCAACAGGAAATCCCATAACTCGATTCAAATATGTTGGCGAAAATTGCATTGTTACTTGGATTCCCATGAAATTTGCGATCGCACTTATCCAAACACAAATAATTGCTGGATCTCGAATGATTGCTAAGACTGGAACTGCTTGTTTTTGAGCTGAACCTTTGTTTCGTTGTATTTTTTCGATTTCTTTAACTGACACCATTGCGTGACGAAGTGGACTTTCTCTGCAAAAATTGGGGAATTCTAGGAAATTGTGAAAAATGTTGGATTCATATTTTTGAGTTGAAGTTTGATTGTGAGACTCTTTCGCATTAAAATTTTTGAGATTTTCAAGTCAAAAAAGTTAAATTTTTTTGTTTGGATTTTATTTTTGTGCAATTTTTTATTTTCCAAAATTTTCAGAAGTCTCTGAAACTTGATAGAAAAATGTTAAAAATTAGATCTGAAAAATTCTACGATTGCAAAAAATCATTTTTGTAAAAAAAAATTGGTGCTCGTGAAAACCACATGTTTTCTCCAATTTTTATGCAAATTTTCTAGCACTCGAAAAACGTGAAGTTTGTTTCCAAAAAATCAAACAACCAAAATTCTCCCAGTAGAATTTCCACGGAAATTTCAAGAATTCCCAATTTTTCAGTGGAAATTTCTAATCTCGATTAATTTTCAGATATGGATATTACTGTAGTGTAGATGCTTTGAAGAATTTTAAAATTCTCATAACTTTTGAAAATCTTCCCCTTTTGTAAGTTCCCACAACTGACCTATAAAAATAGTAGAACAGAACAAAGAGTCCAAAAGTGACCGCAGCATGAACATAATAAACAGCCGGCCAACCCCAAGAAGAAGTGCAAAGTGCTCCAGCAATCGGCATTGTGAAAATTGGACCAATCTGAAATTCAACAAGATTTGTAATAGGACCAGGAAAATAATAGGTTTAGCAAATGCATATATTTTCGCCCTTAGCCACCTATTTTTTCAAATGATTTTCAAATCAAACCTGGAAGAAGCACGTGAGAACAGCAATATAAAACGCATTTTGAACTTGCATCGACCATTGTCGAGTAACAATTCCTATTAGTGTAAAACCTGTGGAGAGACCAGTTCCCTGGAAAAAAATATGCAAATAAATTGAATCTTTGAACTACTGTATACAAACCTGGAGGAATCGCATGATAGCAAGAGGATAGAAACCGAGAGAAACCATCCATGGAATTAAACCAGTTGTGAGGGCGGAAAACATACCCATCCAAAAACAAATCGAACGAGAACCAAATCTTTGAATAAGGAACATTATTGGATAAACAGCAACCATTGCACCAATTGCAACCAATGAGAATAACAAATTCTTTTCATTTGGTGTGAACATTTCTTTTTCCAATAAATGTGTCTCATTTGATCCAGAAGCCAAGCTGATATTATCCGATTTTTCAGTCATACAAATAATTGTGAAGTTTAATGTCAAAGTGTCGGATTGAGCAATTGATAAACATAATGTGCAAATTATCAGAATTATGAATCGAGTTTTGTGAGCAAATTGAAGTTGATCCGATTTTTGTTGTTGATCTTCTGAATCGACGTCCAGATGTTTGCGAGAAATTGAGAGATTCACCATTTTTAGTTTGGTTTTGGTTGAAAATTCGCTATCATTTATAAGTGATGGGAAATGGGCGGAGTTTTTATTTTGTTTGGAATGGAAGGAAAAAGATAGATTGCTATTTTTGGAAGATCATAGGTATCTTTTTTGTACTACAATAAATTTTGTAGGCTTGGAATGTGATGGAGTTGGAAGCCTAGGCTGGAAAATTGCAAATTTATCAGATCCCTGAAAATTTGTCTGAAAATAGCTAACCTTCATCATCAATTGTTAAAAGGTGCTTTGAAATATTGAGAATTTGTCCCCACATCGTACTTATTAAAAATTTGTAAATGAAAATAAGTGCAAAAAAAAGTTCACGTCATAATAAAAACACGTACCGTCATTAGTTTAAATTTCATTCCATTTTTGATTATTAAAAAGGTAGAATAGCTATTTTTTTCAGTGTGAAATTGTAAGTTCTAGAAAACCAGATATTTTGCAGAAAGTTGAAACCTGGAAAATGGAAACTCGGAAATGTTCGATCTTTTTTGAACCAAAAATTCAGAAAATCTTTTAAGTATCTAATATTTTCAGGAAAATTTTTGAATGTCTTGAAAAAATATTCCGAACTTTCAGAAAATCGCGGCTCAATTACTGTATTCACGCCTTGAAAAGATCTCCTTGTTTTCCTACTCCAATAATTGGAGTCTAATCTCTTGGCTCCTCACAATTCTCTTTCAACCTCCTTATACTTTAAAAATCATTCCAACCACAAAACACACTTCAAAAGATCAACGCGATCATTTCTCTTTTCCTTATTAGCCCCAGAAAACTAGAAAAACATATATTCCCCCATCACAAAATTGAACATTTTCTACCGTACTCCTGAACCACAATGACTTCGTGACGTATCGGAAAAGTGTACGACGATCATTTCATCTTTTGAAAATGAAAGATGCAAGTTTAGAATGTATCGTTCTGTGATACCAAGAAAGACACGAGATTTTAAACTGTCATGTTATAAAAATATATCTGAACCTATGAATCAAACCAAAACGATCTTTCAAAGTTTTTCTATCAATGATAAAAACAGTTGAAAAGATCAAACAATCACAAATCCATGTTTACTAGACTGTTGTTATTTGAAAATGCAAATCTTCTAAGTTTCGTTATTTCAAAATAAGTTTTAAAAACCCTTTATTAACTGCACTAATTTGATTCAGTTTTTTTCCGGAATTTCTGAAACAAACTTATTTATTCATTGAATCAAACACTGAAACAAAGAACATACAATCATATCATTTTCATCTTTCAAAAAAGAGATCGGAAAACCGTTGTACACATCAAAGATACGTCACGAAGTCATTGTGGTCAACAAAAAAATGAACGAGAATGGGATACTGTAACAGAAATCATACAGATGTTGTTCAAGTTTGTGATTTGAAAATAAATACGTGTATTTAAGGGGTTTTAAAAAATGGGATTCGGAGTTTCGAAAAATAAGAATTTGTGATGAACTTCTAGGAACTTTATACATTTTTAATGGAAGTGAGGGTTCTGGGTTTGATTAAAAACCAACCCATAACATTTTGGAATTTTCCAAAAACATCTTAAGTCAGTAAAGTAGAACTAAAAATTCTGAACTCTCCGATTTTCAAATATTATAAAAATTTTTGGAAACGTAAAACATCCGTTTCCATAACTTTTTATGTTAGTGCCAAAAATAGGTGCCGCGTATTACTGTAGTCGATCCTTGTCACAATTCATTGGCTACAGTAATCCAAAATTTTGGTGTTAATTGTTTATCTATCTAAATTGTATCCTTTCAAAATCAACCTTCAGAAAATTTTCCCACCTTCATCAAAACATATTTATTTATTTGACAAAAATCTTTGATCCTACAGTACCCCAGTCATTTCCAATTTTCAAAAAATGATACCAACAATGATTTCATGACGTATCTTTGATGTGTATCATGATCGACTATCTTTTTTTTGAAAGATGAAACACAACAATTTTTTCCTTCCACAAAAGGGAACTTCTTTTTCTTTTTCTTCTTATAATTTCTGTTGCCATGACAACTTGGATTTTTATTCTACTTTTTGTTTCGAAACATCTGGATTATTTCATTTTATTTTCCTCTCTTCATAACTTGAAAAAAAGTATAAATAAATGATTCCACAAAATGCGCATCGTGAAACTTTGTCTGGAATCGATGAAAGAATTTCGGTGATGGAAAGACGATTGAATAATGCGAAAAATGCGAGAGATGCTTATGTCAACTATTTGCGCGGAAAATATCCGGATTGGCAAAATTCTGCTGGGAAAGTTGTGAGTTTTTTTTCTAGGTTTTTCTAAAAGTTTATTTGAAAAGTAATTAACAAAATAATAAGTGAGAGAACAATTCGAAAAACAGTGGCCTTATTATTTTTACTCGCAGAGATCTATCTAACTAGCGACTTCACCGCACCTAATTTCTTTTACAAAAATTATACCATTATTTTTCTCCTCAATTTCCATTTTTCTGACTTTTAAATCAGGATCATTTTCCTTTGCTCCTTCCTCGATCACAAAATTCTCCCTGAATCGGAGTTTGGATTTTTCTGGAAACGACAAAAATTGTTTTTAGGGAAAAAAATTGATGAAAATTCTCGAGGGAAATCGAAATAATTGATTATTTAGCAGCCTTCAACTCACGTTTTGAATTAAGAGAATTTGATGATTGATCATTGATTCCTTCTAATAGCTTATAAAAATAATCATCAAATAATCGATCCCTTTTTTCTCGAAATTTTTCAACATTATCGTTCTCGTTTCGAAAACTCATCCATTTTTCAGCATTGTTAAAACTATTTTTCAGTTCCTCGATCTGTAAGAAAAAATGTGTTCCTGGGTTTTTACGGTGATTGACAACAATTTGTTGTGATCAAAGAGTACCGATTAATTGTCTTATCAAAGGTTTCACTTTTATGAATTGACACAAGTTTATGAGGTGTGAAAACAGATGGGATTGACTAATGAAATATTATTCCGCCCAAGCAAAAAACAAACCGTCGCTTTGGATAGTCCTCTGTATAAAATCGAAAATTCTGATCGGTTTCCATCAATTAAATTCATATCATCCTCATCGAATTCTCCTCCGATTAGAATTCTTTGTTCTCGAAATTCGCCATAATTCCAATCAATCCTGGTTTCAAGTTGAGGAATTTTCGCTATATTACTGCAAAACCTCAAGCTAACTTTGGTCACATCATACTTTTCAAACTTACACTTGGAACCTTTTTCTGTGAACTTCGCAGCCTTGTAAGATATGATAACCGCGTCTGATTCGAATTTGAAGTTTTCGGTTACCACGACTAGTTTTGCAACGAGCCATTGGAAAGAGAAAAATAGGAAATTAGAAAAGAAGACGAAAAAATAGAAATTCCAACGTTTGCCGCGAAATCCTTCAGGCCGTTGCGAGACCATTTTCCCCACGTCACAGCTGTTTTTTGTGAGAAAAAAACGAGAGAAAAGGGGAGATGGAGAGAGACAGACAGGAAAAGAAACACACCGAACTGTAAATAAAACACGATATTTTTGAATTTTTCTAATAATAAAACACAGTGAAAATTTGGAGGTTCGAAAAACAGATGTTTTAATGACAACATTTTTGCAGCAATCCTTTGAGCCACTTGTAAATCGTCTTGCCACGTCAGAATATCAATGGGATGTTGATCGAAAACCCATACAAATTCCAAAACTTCCTCTAAATAATCGAGAACTCGATCTTCCAACAAATGGTATTTTATTGGAAACAGATTTGAGGAATGTGAAAAGAAGACTGCAAGAAATATCAGAACAATTAAAAGTTATTCGAGGAACAAGGATGAGTATGAGCACTGAACAATTTATGGGAATAAGTGCATTTACTGGAGGAATGGGATCAAATGATGAAAGTGCACTCACAAATCAATTGAATATTTTGGATATTCCTGGAGCGGTTGAAAAAAATGTTGATCGAATGGATGAAATTCGACAAAGACTTCGAGAGGTTCGAGTTGCGAGAAGAAGTTCGCCGGTTTTTACACCAACCGATGAAAAGAAATTTGAATTAGAGATGATTGAAGAAAGGGAAAAAATGATTGAAGAAATTCGAACACAACAACCTGTTAGAAGAAGTTCGGTGAGATTTGAAGTAAATTCGAGGATTGAAGAAAGATCCGAAACACCGAAAGAAGAAAAAGAAGAAGAAAAACCTTTGGCACAATTTGTTTTTGAGAATAAGAAACAACCAGAAACACCAAAACAAGCAGAAAAACCAGGTATTTCATATAGAAACTTTTTTTATTTGGTGTAAAAATTGAATTTGTTTAGCATCACCTCCGCCAGCTGGACCATCTACAACATCATATACTCAAATGATGTCTTTGCTCTCACAACAAAATGCAGATTCATCAAGTGATAGTGATGATCCAGTTCCGATTCGAAAAGAATCTGCAGCCAAACCATCAATGGGACTTCTTTCGCAATATTTGAATAAGCCTGGCTCAGATTCTTCTTCGGAAGATGAAAAACCACTACCAAAACCCTCTCTAACTGCACCAAAACCTTCTACATCAAAAATGTACGCCGATGATGATTCCGAAGATGATTTTTTTAATTGAAAAAAAGTTGAATTTGTTTTTACTAATTGCAGATTTTTTGAATTTCAAAAATGTTCCGATAACGAATTCGTAATGCATTGAACAAAAACAACACAATTTTTCAAAATGAAAAATTTGAAACGTAAATTTTCCTTCCGAAATTCCAAGTTAAAGCTAGCTAGCTATCAACAATTTCTATAAAATTTTGGAAAAAATTTGGAACGCTTCACGAATTTGCGTGTCATCCTTGCGCAGGGGCCATGCTAATCTTCTCTGTATTGTTCCAATTTTAGTATATGTTCTCGGAAGAACAAAATAATTGAAAGACAAAATAGTTATATAAGTAAGGAAAACGATGCAACAGACGAATTACGGGATGAGCAGAATCGTATGAAAAGGAGAGAGGTGCAATGAGAAGGTGCGAAAATTGGCACATTTTTAGATGTCAATAAATCTAATATTACTAAAGTGAATTGTACATTTTTTTAGAAGAAAATATTTTGAAACGTATTGAAGTATGGTTTCTCATAGTCATAATTTTCAGATATGCGCTGAATTCGAACAACTGGAAATCTTTGAATCAACTTAACATTCGAAAAAATGAATAATTATTCATGTTTCTTGGTGCAATAGAAAATGTAAATATTTTAAAATAAAAACAAAAATATTGAAAATATATTGTTAGTATTTACTTATCAGAAAAATTAGTAAATTATATTTACGCAAAAAATTTAAAAAATTATTTGACAGATTTAAATACTGGTGTTATAAAGTGTAAAAAATACTTACAGTATATTACATGACAATTTATACTATTCACATGTTCTCAATATTCGTCTTCATCGCTGTCTTCTTCAATAATCATATCACTTCGAAGATAATCAATTAAATCTTCAACAATTGGTTGAGCTTCTCGAAGTGACGTCATATCTTCATCAACTTCGAATTCAACACTTTCATTTCGATCTTCAGCAATCAAAACTCGTCGATTCATACATTTGACGGTTTGTTCCAATTCAATGTATTTTGTTCGTTTTGTTCCATTCATTCTTGAACATCCATTATTGAGATATGTGATTTGTGTTTGAACATGTCGTTTTCCTTGAATTGAACATGTCAAATAAACACGTGATGACATCAATTCACCATGTTCATCTAATCCTCTTTCCAATTCAGCATATTCCTCAAGTCTTTCAGTGGATAAACGATGAGTTACTTTCTGAAAAATACTAATATTTCAATAAAAAATCTCTTAAATATTGAAATTCTTACCGGCATAAATCCGACATCTTCAATCAAAGTTGCAACAACTTTCCCGTCGGTTATCATCATTCCATCATTTTGCTCCTTCAATCTGTTCACAATTTCCCACAATTTTTTGAACCCAAGTTCTTCCGTGCATTTGATTGCAAAACGAGCAAGCGATTGTCCATTTGATTGCGGTGGAGCAAGAAGTGAAGTGAGAATGATATTCTCGACATCGCAAATGTTGAGTCGTCTTGATTGAATTGCGAAATGACTTGGACGAGCGTTTGGATTGAGAAGAACATAATTGATGAGTTCGAGTTCAGTTTCTGCAAAATCATTTCGTTGTTGGTTAAATATTAGAAATATGTCATTCTTATAGCGTAAACACGTGTTTTTAGTTCACGCTATAAAATTATTGTTTTGCCAACAAGAATTTTATTGATTAAAAAATTCACAGTTGCAATCAGTGAGTTTCATTCGGGTTGGGTAACTTTTAAAAATTTTTCAACATACCTTGAGTTGTATTGAACCATCTCGAATTGTAATAGTCATATTTTTCAAGTCTCAATTGTTCCACAGGCCCTTTCTTCAACTTTAGAAGAACTTTGACCGCTTCATCGCGCGATCTCGATTCTCTCGCTGGTTTTGCGATTAGTTTTGGCGTGTCAGCGACTCCGTGAAGTGGTCGATCTTCAACCAAACAAACATCTTCGTCATTTCTTCCGTCAATCATATCAATATCACCTCCAGCTCGATATGCTTCCACTTTTTCGCATTCTTCATGTTCTCCGTGTTGTGGAACATAACGAGTTGTGAGCAAATCTCTCACGTCTTGTCGCAATGCCATGTTTGATTCCGATTATCGATGAAAAATGATTTTTCAGCTTTTTTCTGCTCATGTCGACTTCAGAAATTCGAAAATTTTTGCGCGCACGATCAAAACCAAAATTTTTTTACTTCAAGAAAAACACTTTTTCAAATTCCCTCGCTTGGGTCTCACAGCGAACGCTCACAAACAAGTGTGTGTACTTTTCCCGGAGTATTTTTATTTTCGAAAATTTGTTTTTTTTTCAAGTTGTTTAAACGTTTTAACGGTTTGAATTTGATTTTAAACTTTTTATTGTTGTTCCAGGTAATCAAAAAAATGACCGAAGTGTCAGACGATCGAAGGAGATCTGATGAATCGAAAAAATCATCGAGAAAAGATAGAAAACGTCGTGATAGAAGTAGATCACGTTCTCCATCCAAGAAATCGAGGAGAAATGAAGAGCCGGTAGTTGAAAATGGAGAATCTACTATTGAAGAAGGTGAAATCGAAGAAAAGCCACGCGAATTGACAGCGAGAGAACTCGAAAGACAACGACTTCTTGAAGAAGAGTTAAAAGCAGATCAGTTGGAAGATGATGAGCCAGTTTGGTCAATGAGAAAGGCGCAAGAAGAAAAGAAAAGTAGAACTTGTCCATATCTTGACACTATTGATCGAAGTGTTCTTGATTTCGATTTCGAAAAACTGTGTTCAGTCTCGTTGTCACATCTCAATGTATATGCCTGTATGATTTGCGGAAAGTATTACCAAGGCCGCGGAACAAACACACACGCGTATATGCATGCGTTAGATACTGATCATCACGTATTTCTCAATTTATCAACTCTCAAGTTTTACTGCCTTCCAGACAATTATGAAATCGCTGATCCAAGTTTAGAAGATATCAAGGTAAATTTAATTTTTTTTGAAAATGAATTATAATTTTCCAGTATGTGCTAAAACCAACTTATACAAAAGATATGATTTCATCGGTTGATAAACAGACAAGAATGGCTCGAGCTTATGATGATTCTACATATTTTCCTGGAGTTGTTGGATTGAATAACATTAAAGCTAATGATTATTGTAATGTGATTCTTCATGTAAGGCAATATTTCAGCAATATCAAAATCAATATAAAAATTTCAGGCTCTTTCTTCCGTTGGCCCTCTTCGTGATTATTTTCTAGCCGAGGAAAATTACGCTAATTTGAAAAAGACCACCCGGTGACAAACTATCACTTCTACCACAAAGATTTGGTGAACTCATCAGAAAGTTATGGAATCCACGAGCTTTTCGAACACATGTTTCACCTCATGAAATGCTTCAAGCTGTTGTTGTTTGCTCGAAAAAACGTTTTCAGTTTATCAAACAAGGAGATGCTGCTGAATTTTTGACTTTTTTGATAAACACTTTGCATACAGCATTGAATGGAACTCAAAAGAATAATTCATCAATCATTTATAAGTGAGACTGGGATATTTTTTTCGGAGGAATTCTATTCAAAAATAATTAAATTTTCAGAACTTTTCGTGGAAAAATGCGTCAATATTCTCGAAAAGTAATACCATCGGAAGATTCTGAAGAAGAGCGACGTCATAAATTATCATTGCCAGAATATCAAGAAACATCATCTGAAACACCTTTCCTCTACTTGACTTTAGATCTTCCACCTCCACCTTTATATCGAGATGTTCAATTGCAAAATATCATTCCACAAGTTCCACTCAATGTTTTGCTGGAAAAATTCAATGGACAAGTTGAGAAGGAATATAAAACATATAAGGATAATATTATGAAACGATTCGAACTTTTGAAATTGCCCGATTTTTTGATTATCACTTATAAAAGGTTTCAAAAGAATCAATGGTTTGTCGAGAAAAATCCAACTATTGTGAATTTCCCAATTTGGTAAGTTTATAACTGTTTTTTATATTCAATTTCTATGATGATTTTGTTTCAGCAACATTGATTTGTTCGATTGTTTAGCTGAAGATGCGAAAAGTTCTCATAAATTCACAACATATGATCTCATTGCAAATATTGTACACGAAGGAAAATATGAAGATGGAAGTTATCGTGTTCAAATTGTTCATGAAGGATCTGGAAAATGGTTTGAACTCGAAGATTTACATGTCAAAGATATACTGCCACAAATGATTGTTTTGGCCGAATCTTATGTTCAAGTTTGGCGATTGAATAAAGGAAAAAACGAGAGAAGAAAGAACATCGGATGGTATTGATATGGACACGCTATAAATCGAATTTATATCGTTTTGGATACTGGTATTTTTATTTTTGTTTTGGGAATCTCTAAATTTTTTTAAATTAAGAATTTTGTGATTAATACACAAAAAAGGGGTGTTGAAAACAATTAATTAAAATTTCCAGAAAAAGTTATAGGAAACATTTCCCCTGAAGTTGTCTAAAATACGAACAAATTTTTTTCGATGAGTTTAAAAACCAAATTTGAAACATTCCTCTGAACATTTATAGACACGTGAACTATGACGTGGCAGTTTAGCGAATTGAAAATTTAAATTTTTTAAAAATTTAATTCATTTCTTGTTTATTAATTGTTAGAAGAAACGGAATGTACAAAAATACAAAAATATTAAATCGAAAAGAAATAAATTAGGATTTTTGAATTTCTAGCAAAATAGTGGCAATTGGCGCTTTTCCATTGCGAATCAAAGCATCGGTTAATGGTCCAACCCAATGATTTTTTGTTTTAAGAAGATCGATCAAAGCATCGACTTGTTCTTCAGACGAATTCTGAAAAAAATATGACGTTTTTTGAATTTATGAGGAGCAGCTGCTTTTTTTGCTTTGTGTGTGTTTATTATTGCTTCTAATTATATTTTATTTAATTAGGCGAAAAAAAGGAAGGAACATTGTTTTGCCATTTGAGCAAAGGCAAGATTTAAGATGTAGATAAACGCAGGAAATGGAATAATGTGTTTTTGAAGAAAAAGAAAAACCAATTAATGGGTTACAGTTAGCAGAAAAATGGATTCCTAAGAGACTCAAAGTCTAACTAGTCTTGACAAAAAACAGAATCATTTTAAGACAGAAATAGCTAGAGATGATATTCGATTTTTTGAATTTTCTCGAATTTTCAGTTTGTCTGGCTTCAATTCCAGCTAATTTTTTGTTTCTTTTCATTATCAAAATTTCGAAAGAATTACAATTGAAATGGAGAATTTCGATGTTATTTATTTCAATTTCATCTATCATAATTTGTATAACACATCTTATAAAAACTATAATAATGTTTAACAGTATTGGAAGTTCATTTTCTGAAAAATATGTGAATTTGACAGGTTTGCTTTGAAACCAATACTCCAAAAAGAATGATTTTTGTTTCCAGAAATATATTCTTTAATGTATTTCCACGAACTTGGTTTGTTTTTACAAACCCTTTCTGTTTTTTTGCTCTCAATTTTTCAATTTCTAACTTTTTTTATTTTCGAAACTTTTTGGAGTGATATATTATTTTGTCTAGTTTCAATATCTTTTATTTCTACCTCCAATTTTTTGGCGTACATGATATATTTTTCAAATTATTTTGATTTTTATCGAGCACTAAGTGCACGAATTATTTTGATAATTGATATTTTGGGAGTTATTTTATTGATTACAACATCTAGAATTTCAAAAAGAAAACAGAAAAATCAAGGAAGCCCATTGGAAATCAAATTTCAATTATCACAAGTTTATATTTGGTCGAAAAGTATTATTCCAAGTGTGATAATTGCGAAAATATTTCGATTTGTGGCAATGTCAAATGTTATTTTATCAGAATATTTTCAAGTTTCACATATAACTTTAGCTGAATCTTTTATCACTTATAATATTGGCTTGGACTTTTTCATAATCTCATTAACAATTGGAATTTTGATGAGAAATAAGAAACTGAGAAAATCAATTTTTGGATGTTTTATTAAAAATCAAGTGAATCCAAGAATTGATATAATTCAAAGTGCGAGCCAAAGAGATTATTTCAATTATTTGGAAAATCAATGGAACTCAAAACTTGGTAATATTACTAATAGTTAATAACATTATAGTTTTATAACTAAAAAATAACAAAAAAAACTAACTTTAGCATACAATGCTCCCATTTCATAAGTTCGAAGAACATTTCGAGCAACTAAAAGTGGAACAACATCTCGAATATTAACTTGTTGAAGTGTATCTCGAAGACGATCCAAATTATCAGCTTGAAGTGCTCGCATATCAGCCAAACTTGGAGAACAGCTAATTGTTGTTGTCATTATTTTTCTCTGAAATTTTTGTTATTCATTTTTTTTCGTTTTCAGAATAGCCTCAGTCAGTCAAAAGAAATTATTTGAAGCAGAAAAAATGTTTATGTTATTTGGGAAAAATAACAAAAAAAACTTGAAAAATATGTGTGACGAAGAAAACACGACAATGAGAAACTTTTTTTGGTTCGCGTGCCGAAATAAGTAAAAATGCAAATTTTTAATCTGCTTCGCAACATTTTGCACCAAATGACAAAGAGACTAAAGAAGAATTCTCAAGAGAACACAAAATCTTATGAAATCATCAGAACGAAAAAAAGTGTGGCGAAAGAGAAAAGCTAAACGGAAATTCAATTCTATCTGAATCCCGAAAAATGACTAACTCGAAAAAAATGCAAAAAATTTCGCTCCCGGGTGGGCTCGAACCACCAACCTTTCGGTTAACAGCCGAACGCGCTGCCTATTGCGCCACGGAAGCAGGCGATGGGAGCGGCCGAAATTTGTCAATTCATTATCGCGGTCATTTCATCTTTTCTATCAAGCTATAGATCAAAGAAGAATGGCGGAATGCTGACATTTTGTAAGTATTCTAAATATTTATTTTACACAAAACCAAAGCGAGTATTATTATTACACAGGAAAGAGTGAAAAATGGGCGGAGTCAACCCCGAAAATCAAGCCACGCCCTCAATTTTTTCTTCAATCGCGTTTATGTTTTGAGCAGAGAAAAAAAAAACAAAAGAAAAGTAAATGGGAGGAAATATTTATAAGAAAAAAAGGAAGAAAAAAAGAGGAAAAAGTCATACATAAATGAGTTTCGGGTTAGAAGATTCTCCAAAGGAAAAAATACACAAAAGCGTCTTGCAGCTGACAATCACTCGGAATAATAAAAAATGTCGGTCATAAAATTGGACTATAAAATTTTTATCTGCTGATTTTGCGGGTTTCATTTTCTAAAGCTCTTTGTTATTTCAATAGGTTCGAAAGAAAAATCTTTGCTCCAAACTAGCAATTTGTCAACTGTGACACAAAAAAATAAAACTGAAACGAAAAAAAATAAGTGCAAAAAGAAACAAAGTGGAAAATGGGAGGAAGGACGGAAAAAGAAAACCATTTGTAGAATTGAAATTTGATCCTGAGAAAAATTGGGCAATTTTCCGTTGGATTTGTTGGTTTTTTTTTTGGTTTTATTTGAAACAATAACGGAATAACGAAAAATTTTGGTCCGGAAAAAGATTCTTTTCGAAGAGATGAAGAGGTTCCAAAATTTCAGGTTCTCTCAATTTTAGTCCAATTATTAAAGTTGGCTTAGTTAAAGGTTGAGACTTAGCTAATAGTCTAGAAATAGTGTGATTTTCTAGATTATACTTCGTCAAAGTTAGTTAGGCTTATTATAGACTTAAAAGCCGGCCGAGAATTGTGAGTTTGAAGATTAGCTGTTAAAAAATTAAAAAAAAATGCAAATTCAAAGAACCAGAACTTCAATTTTTTTGAGCCTTCAAATTACAGCCAGAATTTTTATATAATTATTTTCAAAAAAAAAATAGAAAACCTGACTACTTTTACCTTCCCAGTTCTACAAAAAATTGCTTGGATTTTTCTGCAAAACAACAACAACAACAATAAATGTGTGATATTTTTACGTTCGAGGAAGAAACTGAAAAGTGGACAAGAAGAAGAAGAAGAATACGAGAAAAAAAAAAGATAAATGGGTAAATACATAAAATGAACATCTGGCTCTCATGGAAAAGAAGAAGAAAGAAGTGACCATTGAAAAGTGAGAAGAAGCACATCAAGATAAAGCTAAAGCTTTTTAAATTTGAATAATTTTTATTTATTTCGGGAAAAAGGTCCTTTCTCGAAAATCTAGTTATTCATTCATTCATCCATTATCTAATTGAGTCAAAACAAAAAAACGAGAAGAGGACAAGGTCGTTTTTCTTTTTCTTTATTTTTCTCAAATCTCATTCTCGAGGAAGGAAATTTCTTATTAAATTCGAGTTGAGTTGAATGAATGGATTGTTGTGAGAGAAAAAAATAATAATTAATTGGCTTGCTGACAATAATTTTTCTATTGAAATATAAATTATGAATCCAAAAATAACCTTGCTCAAAAATCCAGTGAATTATACGTTACACAATTTTTTGATTTATAATTTTGAATTTTCTGAAATGTTCGATCTTTTGCCTCATCATAAATATCATAATATACTTTTTTCAACACAACAATGCACAATAAAAAAGACGATACCTATTCAAAAAATTATATCCCAAAAGATAGGCGATTTTTCCAGGAGTTGTTATCGCTGTTACACAATTAAATTCGACATCCGATGGTAGAAATTGACAAACTGTTGCCTGAAATTTTCAAGCTTCTATTTTCAAAAAAAAAGAAAACTTTTCAACTCACATTCACCGAATTATCTACTCTTTCATAAGCTTCGTAAATATTTGAAGGTAGGAAAAATTCCAAAGTTCTGTTGCACGTTTTGCAACCAATTCCGAAGAGAAGTTGGAAGTTCGAGGAAGTTTTCTAAAAATATTATGTTGTCTGGAAACTCTGAAAAACATACATTTTCTCCGTTTACTGTAATCACAGATAAAATTGAAATTATTAGAATTCTGTGCATTTTCTTTCAAACTATCCATTTCACAATCGATTTCCTTGATTAAATGTGTTTTAGTTGTTTTGTCATTCAAATTAGTTTTTCTTCCCACTCCTCCATTTTTTTTAAAATAAAAATTCAAATTAAATTCAGCAGAAGTTTTCTAATTATGAGAATTCGAGTTGCTTTAAATGCTGAAGTTTTTTTTTTACAATACAAAAATACTATGATTTCTAAAACTTCTCTATTCCTACTCCTGGCACTTTTCAGTGTTTCAAAGGCTGATAAAAAATGTGAAATTTGTTTGGAAGTTGTGGAAAGTATTCAAGAAACCAATTATTTGGAATCGATGGCAAATTTGTCGACAAATCAAATACGAACATTTATCAATCAACAAGTTAAATCAAAATGTCACGGTCTTCCAGAATGTAAAAGTATTGCAAGAACTTTGATTGTGAATGCAGAGCAACTTGATTTCGATGTTTCATTTACTCCAAAAGTTTTGTGTGCTTTTGCAAGACTTTGTAGTTCATAAAGGAGAACTATTGGGAATATACATAGGGGTTTTTGGTATCTTTTAATCAATATATAATAACTTGTTGTGTGAATAAATATTTATATAAATAACTTTATTTCAAAAACTTGTTAACACCACAATTTACAATAAGAATCACGATTATAATTCAAAAAATAATAAACGATGTCGTATGCTGAAATTAGTGGAGTTGAAATCGCATCAACGCAGGTGTCCTGGATTTTTTCAGTCAGCAAATTGCAGATGAGAAACTGGAATTCAATTTTGAACTTCTAGAAACAATTTCGAAACTGTTACTTCCAAAAACTTACACTTGTTGCTTGTTCGATCAAAGCATATGTCTCATTTTTATCCTCCGGAAGCAACATTTCGATAGTTGCATTGCAAGTCACACAAAAATCACCACCGAATAATTGAACTGATGCACAAATTGGCTGAAAATTTTCCGAAATCTCATACTTTTCCGAAAAATTGTTGGCTTTCTCACCAAAAACACCAAAAGTAAAAACAATAAAGATCTCATTTCTAAATTCAAAAAATCCGGGGGATTATTCCTATTTATTCTAATTTTTCGATGTTTCTCATGATTTCAATATGAAAGAAAATAAAGAGAATGGAAATTTTAATTTTTGTTCCAATTATTTTAAAGATGAGGTCTCGAATGATTCTGTTTGTTGTGGTTTTGGCATTTGGGATTTCGGAATCAGAAGCGCAGAAGATTTGTGATTTTTGTGGAGAAGATGGAAATTTTGAAATGAATCATGAGTGGAAAACTGTGAAGATGTTTTTGGTTGGTTTAGAAATTTTTTCGTAAAATCAGCTGCCAAGTTCTCTCTGATGTACAGAGCTTGATTTTCAACCAAAAAATCAACCCCTTATTCGAGTGGGAGTTCTATCAAATTCGCCTCGATGATTTTTTGAATTCAGACAAAAATAATTGATAGCTACGTCATTTTCAAAAATACAAAACAAGAAAAAAACAAATTTCAGCATATAATTTGTGCATACAAAGCTCACAAACATCTCGTTTCCCCGTGCAAAACTCTAATTAATCTGGCCGATTCTTCAAATTTCTATTCAAATGTTCAACCGGTTATTGGTCGAATTGGAACATTTGTTTGTCGAACTTATTGTATTGAAAAGTTTGTTGATTCTTGGAATTTGTGCCTTTTTTCAAATTCGAAATTTTATTTCAGATTGAATGCGGAATGGGAGAAGAAATTCGAAATTTGAGGAGACGATCAAAAATCTTCTCTTATTGCACCCTCGAGTGTTGTTCTTATGAATTTTTTAATTTCTTTTTTTTCGTGTTGTTTTGTTCGAAGTTCAAACACCTTTTCCCTTTTGTTTTTTATTTAAAATTAAAACTTCATTCTTTTTTTTTCAAATCTATTTTTGATTTTCGAGTTTCTAAAAATAAAAATGTTTTTCTACGTCACAAGGGTCATGGGGAATAAAAATCTCAAGTTTCACATCTTTTTTTGCTTTATTGAAATTTTGATTCTGTTCTTTTTGAGATGTGTGTTGCTCATGTTATTTAATTGAAAAGGCGGCGATTTTTAATGTTTTGCCCCACCCATTTTTAGCCGGAAGTTCAAATGACGTCGAGAATTTTGTTTCATGACGCGCGCGGTTGGCTATACTGAAATGAAATGATTTTTTTTTAAGTTAGTGAATTGTTCGGTCATTTTAGAATCTGGAAATTTTGATTGGGAGATTTCACAGTGTGTTGTTTGTAACTTTTCTGGTTGATCAAATATTTTTCTTCTCTCACTTTTTTGTTGAATTTTGTCGGACCTAAAACATTTGGACTATCAAATATTAGCTCAAGTCTGATTTTCTGACAAATAATAAATGAATCTCTTATTTTTCCCCTAAAAATTGTATGATTTTCTGAGAATATTTCCGTTTCCTCCCCAAATAAAAAACAATTTTGTAGTTCACACTTTTTTTATTCCTATAACAATATTTTCTAGTTGATCAACAATACAATATTTTTTCCCACGAAGTTCAAAAAAAGAAAAAAATTAGCTGATCTCCAACCTTTCAAAAAAAAAATCCGGCTCTATGTGCTCTATCACAAATACATATTATTATCATTCAACTTTCTTGCATTATGTTTTACAACACACTTATGTCTAAAGGAATATACATAAAATAACTGGTACTCACCCCCTTTTTTCCGCCCAAGAACAAATAATACAACATTTTTTTGCTTTGCTCATTTTCATTTTCATTTTCTTGAGTAACTTCCCGCTTCATGCGAGCATGTCAAGTTTTGCCGCCAAGCGGATTATTTTTGAAATTTTTTTGATTTTACAAGAAAAAAGAAAAAAAGTTTTGAGCCTTGAGTAATAAAACAAACGATGAGTATATTGTAAATAAAGGTGTTCCTAAAAAATTTTTTTCAAGTATAAGTTATTGTAAGTTACATCATAATTGTTTTACTAACCAGAAATATGTAGAAAAATTAATTCGTAGCTTGTTCATTAGTTTTTTTTTTGAAAATGAAACTTAAATGTATTCTGTAATATTTCTTATCAAGCTTTTGCTTTAAAATTTTTTTCAGTATTCTGTAGGTACATTAATCTTTTTTTCCAAATAAGTCTTATCTATTTTTCATCTCAATGTTCTCACGAACCAAAAATACGTAGAAAATTCAAATTTGTAGCTTCCGCGGAAATACGATTAGTCAATCAAACAGCCCCTATAAAAATCATAATTTTTCATCTATTTATATTTAATCTGAGATTTTCAAATCCTTGAAATCCAACTCAATCGCAATTAACCCACACCTAACAACAATAAGTGGAACTCGCGAGTTAGTCTAAATATTTGTGTGCTGCTCCCAAAAGTAAATAATATATCTTTTGCGCGCGAAAAAACTTCTCTTCCCCCACCAATTTCATTTTTCGCCTGCTCAAACACCAGGTCAATCTTATTTTCTTTGAACTCGTCTTCCTTCCGGAACTTGTCTTCCTTTCTCGAGTTATTTTGCATAATATTGTGGCTCAACAACAACTTGTTTGTTTTTTTTTCAGACAAAAGAACAGAAGAAAATGTCAGAAGTGAACTGGATGAATCGAGAAAAATATCTTCATGAGAAGGTGAGTAGTTCGAAAAAAGTTCAAGTGAAATGTGACTTTTTTGGGTTGTTTTCTTTTATTTTTGTTGTTTGAAAATAATAAGTTTGAAGGCACTATGTTTTTCTTGTGTTCAAGTTTTTTTAAAGTTTTCATGTGTCTATTTTCAAATTTAGCACAGCAACGTTAGAATTCATTTGAACTTCCAAATTTCAAAAAAAAAATCGGATTTGTTCAAACAAACATTTTTCTGGTTGCCCACGGTTACTGTAGCTACCTATAAAAATTTGAATTGTCTCGATGAACGAGCCAATTTCCTAAAAGTACTGTATTTCTTTTTTTCTTCAGGTTTTCGATACTTTGGGCCGCCCATTATCCCGTGCTGCAAGCAGACAATCAAAAGAGCCAAATTCGACATCACCGTAAGTTTTTCACACACGGGAAAATTATCTGAAGAATTATTCTGTTCAGTATTTAACAAAACAATTCGAATAAAGTTCCTTTTCCACGTCATTTTTATTAGACAATAGTACCTTTTCCATATATATTAGTACATACGGGTAATTGAATATTTATATGGCTGAAAATCGTGTATTGTGACAGCTTTGTGTTAGTTTTGAAATACGAATATACTTACTTTTTATTTATTTTTTTTTTGAGAAAAAGAAAACTAAAAAAAAAAGTAAAGTAAAAAAGTATCTAGCTTAAAAAATTATAAAAAAGAGCCACATTTCGATCTAGATAATCCCCTCCTTCACTTCATTTTTATGTCACCAATGATAATAATATTTCCGGCGATGAAAAAGTTCAAACTTCTTCTTCTTCTTCTTCTCCCATAAATTCCACTTTTTTTGTTTCCTAAAATATTCTATTTCCCAACCGACATTAATCATCTGAAAAAGAGTTTCCTGCATAGAAGTTTTTGTTGGCCTTTCCTTGTTTTTTGATTTTTCCAGGAGATTATGTGGGAAAAACAAATAGAAGTAAAGTTTTGGTGGTTTTTGATGTGAAAATTTTGGTTTTTTGAAGTCTTTGGGATTTCCTTTTGATGTATTCAATAGTTCAAGAGTTTCTAGACTGAAAAAAAGAAGAAAAACTAAAAATATGAATTTTTCAAACCTCGGCTTTTGTCTTTCTTTAAAGAATTTTCTCACGCCAAAATGAACGCGGCGGCAGAAAAAATATTCAAAAAAAAAAACTATATAATAACTGGAACTTTTTTGTTTTTCGATAAATAAAATATTTCATTATTTATTTCTGTCATTTTTTTCGCGCGAGGCGAAAAAACAAGAAAAATTTGCATAAAAAATTCATAAATTAACATTTTCAAGATTCTTGGACTATGACTAGTCACTCTCTTTTTTTTTCCAATTTTCCTCGAAAATCGTAACTTTAACTTTTTACTTTTTTTCGAGTCAAAAATATGTTTTTGCCAACTTTTTTCCTTCCTTCTGAAAAACCTCGTTTTTTTGTCGTTTTCTAATTTAATTTTTCGATTTTCTTAGGTGTTTACATTCATACAAATTCTATTCTTCGTTACAGGAAAAAGTCATAAGATGTTAGTTGACGAGATGTTATGCTGGTAAGTCAGAATAAATGCACTTTTTCTCTATTTTTCCCAAAGAAAATGCCCTTTTCAATAGATATCTATTTTCTTTTCATCAAAAATGTCTAGTCAATCGAGGAACAGGTTTTCACGTGCAGTCATGTCCGAGTGGTTAAGGAGATTGACTAGAAATCAATTGGGCTTTGCCCGCGCAGGTTCGAATCCTGCTGACTGCGAACATTTTTTGCTTAACTTTTTCAAGTTGAACAATTTTTGTAATACTTTTGCAAAAGTAAATTGCACTTTTCGCCCTCATCCCTATTTTATTATCTTGTTTTCTCTTTTTTTCCAAAAACATGAGGTGGTCCTAATCTTCTTGCTCAATGATGTTTTGTGTCAAGGTCGGATGCACATTTCGTCTTTTTTAGCGCAGTTTGATTTTCTATTCTTACGACAATAAATTTTTTTCCGAGAATATTATTCATTCAAGAAAAGTTCATAGTTTCTGAACTCTAAAATATATTTATTGGTGTAAAAATAGCCACTTTTACACTAGATCAAAAGTCCTTTTTCTTCCAACTTTATTCAAATTTAGTCATCCAGAACTCTTCAGCCTGAATAATATAAACTTTAAAATAAATAATTCAAACGTTTTTCGATGTCACAGCAGGTGAAACATGTCTATTTATCATCTGCTAGAATTTTGTATTTTTCTGGAAATTTTCAGCAATATCATATTTCACTACTAGTACTTTTTTACTTTTCTTTTATTTTTCTCCCCGGACATACTAGTTTTTGTTTTTTTTTTCTCTGGTGACGTTCCAGAAATTTTTAATCAACGAAAAAATATCTGGGCACACACCAGGCAAATTTAATTAGAGAATTTCATTTATCCAAACAAAAACAAACACATAAAAAATCGCTGTGCACAGGTCAAAAATTATAAATATCTAGAAGGGGCGGAGTCAAAGCTCCACCCATTTCATTTCATTTTTTCGCTCACATCGGCTGTCAGTTATTTGATAAACCAATTTTTGCAGTTTCGCAATGTTTTCTGGACGTAAAGTTAAATGGAATCATTTTGGAAAGAAACATTCATTGAGATTTTCGGATTATGAAATGGAATATGTTGATTTATATGATGTAAGTTATCCGAACTTGAAAATCACGAATATCTAAGATATGTTTTAGGCTCTCTTGAAAAAGATTCGTGAAATCCGCCCAGATTTTGAGGGTGATTTGGCGTTTATTGATTTGTATGGTCGGCAAGTGATTGTGACAAGTGATAAAGATATTCGAGAGGCGATTACACAGTCAAAAGGAAAACTCAAACTACACACAACATTGAGAGATGGAGCAGTTATTTCGGCAGCTGATATGGCTGAAGCTGCGAGAAGACCAGCAAGATCACAAAGTGTTCCACCAGTGAGTTTGACGGGGAGTGAGACCTTGTTTTACGAAGTTTTAAATCTTTTCTAATGTTCTATGAAACAAATAATATCATTTTATTTTTGAGAAACTATTGAAGTTTTTTAACTGTTTGTGAAAGTACTATGGGCTTTTTTTCAAAATACCGACTGGACACATATGTACATATTTTTCCCCATTTTTGGCTCCCCATTTTTTCTCCAATTTTCTGGAACTCGTTTTTTTTCTGACTGCTACTAGTACTAGGACTACTGTAGCTTTTCTTAGAAACCAGGTGATTATTTTTGAAAATGGAAATGTTAACAAATCTCTGATTTTGACATCACCAGCTTTCACAGAATCTCAGACAATTATTCGAGACGTATATAATTTCAAAACCTAGCAATTATTTTTCGAGATAAAAAACTGATTTTTTCGAGCCAGCTAGTGCAATAATATCATGTTTAGAACACAGACGATCGCATTTCAAAAAAGAAAAAAAGTTCGAAAAGATATGGATTACTGTAGTGTCTTGAGAAAAAAACATGAACTTTTTCTGATCGTTTTCGAGAAATTTTGATGGGAAAAATAAAAGAAAATCCTATTTATTTTGAAGTGCATTATAAATATGTTATGATTGATGTCCATGAAAAATCACATAATCTTTTTTTTTTGGAAATTTTCAGAAAAAGAAAAATATTCGAATTTCCTGCCTCCATCCTGATAATTCTTTTTCTCCTCCACTTTTCCTCGTAATTCTTGTCCAATGAAGTGAAATAAATTAGTGTTGAGGAAGTGAAAAAGGTATTAGTACTATGTATGAGAAAAATTTGAATAGAACTAATTTTTTGCTTTTTTCTTCTTTTATTTACGTCAGCGAAAAAATGAAGGATAATTAGATACAAACAACAAAACACTTGTTTATTAGATTGAGAAAAATTGGAGCAAAAAAATATCAAACTTTTTTTCGAATATTTTATGTATAACAAGAAATTTGAAAATAAAAACAAAACATTCTTGCAGGAGAGAACTTATAACACTTATCCACAACGTTCGCCATCATCAATGGATAGTGCGCCAGCGACAGATTATTATAGATCAAGAGCAATGTCGCCGCCACCAATGTCTACTACAAATTCGCATTCTCCAAAACCAATCGGAGAAGTTGTCAAGACAACTTATTCGCATCATGGAAGTTTGAGCGGATATTCAGGGGTTAGTTTGGGAGATCAACAAAAACATTTCAGATTTACGCTATTTTCTTACAGTACCCTGGCCTAAAATATCCATATTCGCAAAGTATTCTCTATGGAATGCCACCTCATAATAATATGTTATGGCGTTTCCTTGCAAATCCATTCCCATTCGGACATCATCAAAGTCGTGGAACATTTATTGGACCAAACAAATATCATCATTTTGGTGGATATCAACACGCTTATAATCATTGGGGTGGACCAGGTCCAGTTTGGTAGATAAAATGGGCTGGATTTGAGACAAAAAAACAGACAGAGGACATATCGTTTTGTATATTTTTGCGCTTCATTTTTGATTTTTAAATATTTGGTGGCTTTTTCTTTAAATAAAGTTTTAAAATTACAATTTGTGAGGTGTAGAAAAATTAAAATATTTCCCAAATTTCTGATTCAGATTTATCGATCAGCTCCTAAATAAATAAGTACAACTTAAAATTTCTATCCGAATTTAGGCGTAGCCGAAATACAATTTGCCTCAATTCCACATTCATTAACAGTTTGAAGAACTCGAAAAGTTCAATTTTCTCCCCATTTTCTTCCCCATGAATTTGCCATCAACCAATATGGAACACCATTATCAACACCCCATCCAAGAATTCGAACTGATAATTTGCCAAGTTTGTCGCCAGCTAAATGTACGTAGATTCCAGTTGTATATTGAAGGAAATCATCGAAAATTTCCATTGTTGTTTGAATTGGACCACCAGTTATTATATCACTTTGAATTTGAGTTACTGATTTTGGAAGTTGAGTTATATCGTTGTTTCCTGAGAAAATATAAGTGAAAATTGAGAGAAGTTTTCTTCGGAGAAAATTAGGACAACTTTAATAATAATTAAGAATTCAAAACCTCGCTTACCGAAATGTTTATCATCTTTATAATTTCCAGAAAATCCATCGTCACATTTTTGTGTACAAGCTGGTGTTGATTGCGTCACATTTGTGCATTCTGGATATGTCACATTTCCAATTGTCTCTCCACACGGCGCAATCGAATATGCTCGACAACCATTATGACTTCCATATCCTCCGCCAGTCACAACACCGTGTTTTTCCCAGAATTGCCAAGCTTTATATGGATTTCCACCATTACAACCTTCACCACATTCAAGAACTCCACCGCCACAACAAGTTAGAATATCTTGAGCGGAGAGAACCTTCTTTATCATTCCACCTGAGTTTATACAAAGACGATCTGACATTGAATCGGTGGCTGAGATTGCCCAACTTGATTCTGAAAATGTTTTGAATACACACCCGTTCAAGCAACGCAATGAGTGTTTTCTACTGTAAAACGAAACAAAAAACTGTGCAAACACTTTTGTCTAATTCTCTCTGTTCGCCGTTATATTTCGCACTACAGTATTAAAGGAGCATGATAAATTTCATGCGTTGGGTCTTGTTGCGATTGCTAACTTTCTTCGCAGGACCCTAAAAATTTCGAAATGCGTAGTCTCACACAGATCTCGATGCGCTGATTCTAATGGTATATTTAGTTTTGGCACTTAGTTAGCTAATTCCTTTGCAAATTGTGGCGCAGTGTGAATAAAAGAAATTTCTAATTTTTTCATTGTTTGAACGGGTGTGAATAAAACTGAATTGGGCAAAAATTGAAAAAAAAACCAACTGCATTCTGATTGATCATTTATAATTTGAATAGATTCACATTCTGGCCATTGTTGTCTAGCATCAAATCCATTTGAGATCTCATTAATTATTGGAACTTCTTCTCTAATTGGTGCTCCAAGATCTCCGAAATCCTCTTGAATTGTGCTCAACATTTGTTCCCTTGTTTTACCCTCCGATTTTCCGGCAACCCATATTATTTTGAATTGAATTGATGTGTTGGATCAGCGAAGCTTCATCTTGAATCAGAAGTTTTTAGAGAGAGAGGGAACAAGGTTGGTTTCAAAGTGCAAACCTGTTTTGACGTAAATCGAAGCGAAAACCAAATATAGAAAAACTGATAGTTTTATCATAATTGTTCAAATGATGCAAAACTCACTGATTAGGAAAAAATGGATTGTTATCAGAGGAGAAAAATTTTGATTTTTGAATCGAGCGTTTTTTGGAAACATCAACATGAGGACTGACTGTGTTAAAGTGGGTTGAGATGAAAAGATCAGAATGAAAAAAGAAACTAATTTGAAAATGACGAGTTTCCGAAAAATTGTATTGTAAGAAACAACAAGATCATCAGAGCTGCGCCTTGAGAGCTTGAAGAGCTTACGGTTAGAAAACAACTTTTAAGTTTCAAAAGTAAACCATGATTTTTTTTTTTGAAATCTGACTGTGTTTCTCACCGAATTATCCAAGATGTGCACCAAATGTTAACATTAGTGTTCGAACAAAATTGTACAAACACTTTTTGTAAATCAAAAATGGGTATTTTCAGTCGTTGGATATTATTTCCAGTCTCTTTCAAACTTTCTGATTTTTTCTAAATCAAACATCAAATAAAATAGTACCAGTCCGTGATGCGTCAATTCAGGTCACAAGTCTACCCAAAAACTTTCACTTTTCAAAATTCCGTTAATAAATCAAAAGAGAAAAGTGCACAATCAGCGGCTACTGATAACAATGAATTCTCCTTTAAAAGTGAGCTCAAAATTCGAGATTTTCACAGCAAAAATGCTTGTCTTATCAACTCTTCTTCTTGTCGCCGGTTTGGCCTCAGCTTCAGTTTTGCCTCGTGAGTTTTCTCATTTGTGGATGCCTGAACTTAATTACAATTATTTCAGCAAGAACTGAAGAACAAGTCATCGAATTCGTCAACGCCAATCAAAAATTATGGACCGCCGGTAAACATTTGTTGCCAAGAGAGACAATTCTCAAAAAATTGATGGATTTGAAATATGTCGCTCCACACGCTGATGAAGATATTCAACAAGTTCCAGTCGCCGCTTCAATTCCAGACACTTTTGATGCTCGTCAACAATGGCCAAATTGTGTTTCAATTAATAACATCAGAGATCAATCAAACTGTGGATCATGTTGGGCTTTTGCTGCAGCTGAAGCTATTTCTGATAGAACTTGCATTTACTCAAATGGAACTGTCAACACACTTTTGTCATCTGAAGATTTGTTGTCTTGCTGCGTTGGAATGTTCTCATGTGGAAATGGGTTAGTTGATCACCCTTTCCGATTCAATTTCCTTCCCTTTCCCCATATGTTTTCGATTACAAATAATTTTGCAGATGTCAAGGAGGATATCCAATTCAAGCATGGAAATGGTGGAACAAACATGGTTTGGTAACTGGAGGATCATACGAATCACAATTCGGATGCAAACCATATTCAATTGCCCCATGCGGTGAAACTGTCAACAATGTTACTTGGCCACCATGTTCTGCTGATGAGGAACCAACTCCAGCTTGTGTTTCAACTTGTACATCAAAGAACAACTATGCTACACCATATCTTCAAGACAAACATTTCGGAGCCACCGCTTATGCTGTTGGCAAAAAAGTTGCTGACATCCAAACTGAAATCTTGGCTCATGGACCAGTCGAAGTTGCATTCACAGTTTATGAAGATTTCTATCAATACAAAAATGGTGTTTATGTTCATACAACTGGTGAATCATTGGGAGGACATGCTGTTAAAATTCTTGGATGGGGAACTGATAATGGAACACCATATTGGTTGGTTGCTAATTCATGGAATATCAATTGGGGAGAGAATGGATATTTCCGTATTTTGAGAGGTGTTAATGAATGTGGAATTGAACATTCGGCTGTTGGAGGAATTCCAGATTTGACAAGACACAATTAGATTTTGTATATTTATATGTATTAATTATGTATTGAATTGAATAATAAATTTTGAATTTCATTGAAATATTGGAGTTTTTAAATTTGAAAACTGAATATGTTCTTCATTTAAAATTCCGAAGAGAACCAGATTCCAAAAAAAGTTTGTTGGTCAACAATTTGTTGTGATTTTTGTCTTTTTCTCTTTTCCAAAATGAAACCCCATGAATATTTAAGATGATGTCCTTCTTCTTTTTTTTTTGCTTTTCAACAACAACAAAAAAGTTGTTGATCGATTTTGGTTCAAAAACATTGTGTTTTTACTCCATATTTTTTTAAATGTATATGCCATTTTCGAATATTTACTAGCTACACATGTTTATTTTTCGCAGCTTTTATGGTGAATGAGAAAAAGCTTTTATTTCATGTGTTGGTGACAAAACACTCGAGAAAATATGGCAAGAAATTCAACTACCGGAACTCGAAGAAACTTGATACTTGGTTTTTTTTCAGCTTAAAGTGTTCCAAAAATAATTTGAAATTTGAAAGAACCGCGCTTTGGGAGCTTATATCGCGAGCAGCCACTGCTGAAGACCAAGTGGGGTGTGAGTGTCTATGGACGGCGCCTAGAGATCCACTCCAGCAAGGATCAGCGCCTTGAGATTATAGTTCTCAACTAGCCGCGCCTAAAGAACCTGAGTGTCTATGACCGACGTCTAGAGATCCATTCTAGCAAGGATCCGCTCCTTGAGAGCTTCTATGCCAAGTAGCCGAGCCTAGAAATTTCAATTTTCAAGGATCAGCGCCTATGGAACAAAAAAAAACAACAAAAGGAAGAAAATCAAATTTCCCACACCCAGCCCAACCACCCTCGTTTCCATCGTGGGTGGCTGTTTTTTCCGTCACCGCCCAAACTCATTTCATTTTTTTGCTCTTCAAAAAAACGCGTAAAAGTTTTACATACATTCAATTTAAGAAATGGCCGGCCGTCGGTGTCATTTCATTTTATGTCTACTTTTTCGTGTCGTGTTGGAATTTCAGTCATGGGACCAGCAAAAACTTTTTCTTTTTTGCTGTTATTTATGTATGTTTGCCGATATTTTCTCAACGTTCCACTTATTTTTTTTATTTATCGAGCATGAAAAGACGGGGAAGCGAGAAAAAATGGAAATTTATGAGAAAATATTTGGTTATTTATTTTTGTGACATTTTCTTCGATTTTTTTTTATTTTGTTCTGTCGGGCAAAATTTATTTGAGGCTTTTTTTTGAAAATTCTCAAAATATAAGTTCTGCAAGACCGAAGAATAATTTTTGGTAGCTCCAGGAACTTTTCAAGAACTAATTATTCCAAGGTCCTCAATTCGCACAGAACAATTATGACGTGGCACAAAACATTTCGAGTTTTGGAACATTTCTTTAGAAATGAACATTCCGAAGAATTTCACATCATTTTTCAGAAATATTGAATTTTATTATAAAAATCTTGTAAAGATTTGAGATTTGTATAATTAAATTCAAATTCAGTTCAAGTTCAGAACACCCAATGCAAACTCTGCCAAAGATAAAGTTTCGTAATCCTAAACGGCAACCTTGCCACGTCATAACTTTTTTTTAAAAAGTTCTTAAACTCAAAAATTTCTCAACATTTTCATTCTTACGAGGGATCTCGTTTTCTTTCTTTCATAGTTGATTTCTCGAAATTCCGAAACTTCACCTTTAGCCTATTTTATTCAAGTTCTTTCGATCTCAAAAACACTCACTTTTTTTTATTTTGCTGAAAAATTCCCATGAGATCAAATTTCACTCTTCTTTTTCTTTCTTCTCCATCTTCTAAACCTGAATATTCTAATTTTCTTCCATTTTCTTCTTATTCTTTGAGCCGTTCGTCCGTCCTATTCTATTTTTATGCCGCTTTTCCTTTTTTGCTCTTCTTCAGCCAGTTTCTTCTTTCTTTTCTTTTCTTTCTTATTTTTTTTCAGTGGGCAAAAGAATGTGGGCGTGGCCTGAGCATCGGCCCTTCGTTTTTTTTCTTTTCTGCTCCCTCGGCCTCGTTTTTTTTCCGTTTTCTCTTCTTTTCTTGCGGTTTTTTGTGTGTTTCTTGTCTTGAAAAGAAATAAACATATGTGATTTTCGAAGAAAGTGTGGTCTTTTCTTTTCATTTTTTTTTCTTGATAGATCAAAAAAACGTTTTTCTTTGTTTCCAGTGAAAAGAATGACATACAAACGGACAATTCTGATAACTGGTTCAACAGATGGAATTGGTAAACAAACTGCTTTGGACCTCGCAGCACATCCTGATAATTTTGTTATTTTACATGGAAGAACAGAGCAAAAATGTATTGTAAGTTTGTTGGGATATTAGTGAGTGAGCAAGAAAAAACGGAAACGAAAAAAACTGTTGTTTTGTTCGGAAATGAAATTTAATTAGAAGAAATATATATTTTTTATTTTTATTGTAGCTGACTCAATTTTCAGACGACCAAAGAGTTTATTGGAAAAGAGAATGGAACAAGTAGCAATGTTGAATATGTGTTTGCGGATTTCACAAACTTGAAAGAGGTAAGATTTTATTAAACTGGAAAATTAGGAGAATCAGAATGATATCAAAATCAGCGAATCTCTGTAGTTCTTCTTGAAAAGCCCAAAACTTGTGACAAATATTATACCCCTCCAGCCGCTCGCTTAGCCGCTCAAAGCGAGGCGCTCGCTCGAGCTTCTGAGCGCCTAAGCCGCTCGAGCCAACGAGCGGCTTGAATGGCTTGAGCCGCTGAGCGGCTAGAGCCATTTGAGCCGCTCGCTCGCTAAGCCGCTCGAGCATGGAGCCGCTCGAGCGCCTCAGCGGCTTAGGCGCTCGAGCCACCAAGCCGCTCAAGCCGCTGAGGCGCTCGAGCGAGCGAGCCGCTCGAGCGGCTCGAGCGGCTCGCTCCATCACTGGTCCTGGGAGGTTGACCAAAAATTGACCAAATTTTGGCCAAAAACGAAAATTGGTCGAATTTTGACCAAAAATTGATCAAAAATATTTATTGGCCAAAATATTGTCAGAAATTGGCCAAAAAATTGGTCGAAATTTGGCCAAAAATCAGTGAAAATTTTAATTGTGAAAAATTTCGAAAATCTTAATGTTGTTGGGCAGACATGTCGTTTTGCGGCTTTTGGTGAAGTTAGGTTGATGAATTTCGTTGTTTTTCTACTGATGAATCAATAAATAGGAGTAAAATACTTCGTTTGGTGAATTTTGGCGCCACTCACACCAATTTCACCATTGACGCAAATTTCAGCCCCAAATCTTCAACTAAAATCAGTTTTGACTTATCTTGAAGCTATTTTTACCAAGCAGAGACCTATCTCGAATCTATCAGTTGTATTGATCGATCCTTGATTTATCAAGAACAAGGGCTCAGAGAAATCAGAAGTATTGGGTTCAGGGGCAATAATTTCCATTATTTTTTGAAAGAATATTGTTGTGATAGCCATCAGCTTCGAAAGAAATAACACCAGTGTTCCAAAAATCGTGCATTTTTTCCCAAAAACGTGAACTCAAATACTTCCACACATAGAGATGATTTTTATATCATTTTACTCAGCGTGAAATTCTGAATCGAATGGTGCAAACTATTTATCACCAAACACTACTAATTGGTGCGCGAAAACAATAGATTAAAGGCGCACATATTTATGCAATGTGGTCCTGCAGCGAAATGTGTGTGCGTACTTCTCTCGGACGAAATGCACGCCACCAAATTTTTTCTTTTTTTTTTTCGTTTTTTTGTGTGTTGCCCTACTTATAGAGAAATTGATTGTTCACGACTGCTAATAAGATATAAAGCTTGTTCCCCGACTAGGATCTACCAGCAAGTTTTACCAGAACTTTGAAATTCACATATTAAACTTGAATTTAGGCCAAAAACAAAAAATTGGTTTTCTTTGAGTTTTAGATTTTTTTATCAGAACGGGGCTGTTTCTCAATTTGACAAGTTTCCAGCAACATTTGCATGAGTTTCTATGTTACAATCAGAAGTGTCTCAACAGCCGGTAGATGGCCGTCGGGGTTTTAAAATTCGATTCTTATCGATCTTATTTCGCAATATTGATATTTCTGCTGTTTTTAGAAACTACTAACCAAGAAAGAATGACTACTGCTCTTGCTGAGACTACCAACACGACCGGAGAAACCACTGTTCCATTTGAAAATGTCAAGACCACCACTAATGAAGAAGCAACTCGAGTCCAACTACTACTGAAACTTCCACCGCTGCCACCAAAGAGCTCACTGCCGAGGAAAAGTCAGTTTTTCTTCTGAAGAATTTTAATCAAAGTTGGTTCTTATTTCCAGGACTACATAATTGAAGAACAACTTGACATCTAAAAGCGTCATTTGTTGACAAGCGAATTCAGCATGGGTGCTGATCTCTTGAGTTTGGCTTCTCAACTTGCGTAAGTTTTGAAATTTTCATACATTTTCTATTTCTATGCATTTCAGTGGTAAACTCTTCGGAGACGACAGCGAACAATCATTTGAACTTTACTTTACTATGGACAAGCCCTTTGGATAACTTGAAGATCAAGTTTTCTCAAATGCCATGACTAATTGCCAACCGTAGAAGAAGGTGATGCCAACAACGATTCAATCGACGAGGAACAATATGGTAATCCGGATAAATTGTCAGAAAAAGGACGTGAGCGAATCAAGGAACAAGTTGACAATGCTCTTTCTGCTGGTGCAGAGAAAGCAGAAGTATTTGTCGAAACTGATGCAATTTTTATTGTTTGTAAGGTTCACAAACTGTTAGGAGTCTGCGATTGCTCTAAAATTGACTTTCTTAGGTCAAAATTTACATTCTTCCGAGCACAAGCCTCCAACTCTTTTCTCTAATTAGCTAAAAATGTTTTTCAATGAAAATTAAAGTTCATAATATAAGCAGATTCCTAACAGTTAGAACCATTTTTTGTTTCTTTTTTGTTCTTTTCAATAAATTTTTGTTAAAAAAATGTGTTTTTGATTTGAAAAAAGTTGGGAAAAATGATCAAAAAATGGTGAAAAATTGGTGGGAAAAAAGTTGAAAAATTGACCAAAAAATGGTGAAAATTTTTTTGGTGCATTTTTAGTCAATTTTTGTTCAAAATTTTTTGACCAAAAATTGACCAATTTTTGGTCAAACTCCCAGGACCAGTGATTTTCAAAAAAAATTTTTTTTTCTATACGAAAATTGTGAAACAGTGGTTTTTTCATAATTTTTTGGTACTTCGAAAATGAAATATTTGTATTGGGACATGGTCCTTGGGTCATGAAAAAATTTTTTTAATTTGAAAAAGTGGGCGGGGCTTATTTTTCAGTTTAAAGCTGAAAACACTAAAAAAATCAAAAAATTCAAAATTTACTAAAAACTTTCTGGTTTTTTTCAGATGACTTCTAGTTTATTTTTGAATGTTTTTGACAATAAAAAACACACAAAATTCTCAGATAACTGACGATTTTCAGCTATTTTTTATCGAAAATCTGCAATTATGTGTTTATTTTTTTGATATTTCAAGCCGGAAAAAAGCTGAAAATTGTCAGCTATCTGAAAATTTGAAGTGTTTTTCATCATCAAAAGCATTAAAAAATCATCTAGAAAAAAACCAGAAAGTTTTTGGTGAATTTTGAATTTTTGAATTTTTTAGTGTTTTCAGCTCTAAACTGAAAAATAAGCCCCCCCACTTTTTTTTCAAATTGAAAAAAATTTTTTCATGACCCAAGGACCATGTCCCAATACAAATATTTCATTTTCGAAGTACCCAAAAATTATGAAAAAAACCACTGTTTCACAATTTTCGTATAGAAAAAAAAAATTTTTTTGAAAATGGAGCGAGCCGCTCGAGCCGCTCGAGCGGCTCGCTCGCTCGAGCGCCTCAGCGGCTTGAGCGGCTTGGTGGCTCGAGCGCCTAAGCCGCTGAGGCGCTCGAGCGGCTCCATGCTCGAGCGGCTTAGCGAGCGAGCGGCTCGCTCGGCTCGTGAGCCGCTTCAAGCCGCTCAATGACGAGCGGCTGGAGGGGTATAACAAATATTATTCAAAAAATTACGAGATGTTCCTGTTAGATTTACGATAATAATCCCAAAGGTATCCAAATTTTCTGATCTTCTCCCTTCTTAATACCAAAAAAAATCACGAGTTCTCATCACATTTCCACGAAAAAAAACCGAACTTAATTTGAATGAGCACATTCTTTGAGATTTATGGCGTTCCTTTTTTCCCAAGTCAAAGATCAAATCTTTCTTGTGGTCTCATGATTCTTTCGCTTTTTTTCCCTAGATGGTCCCGTGGTTCCGAAGAAAAAAAACAAACGAAATAACAAAAACAGGAAAAGATGATAGAGCGGTTTGTGTCAAAATATTTTTTGTGGTCAAAGAACAAATCTTGGCTGAAAAAAGTTTAGGAAAAAACAAAAACAAAAAAATTTGATTTTTCTGAAACTTGTCTGAAAACAATGAAAAACTTCTAGGTTTCAATGATGGCTGAAGAAATCGAAAGGAGATTTCCTGAACTAAATGTGATGCTTTGTAATTGCGGAGTGTTGTTTCCTCGTCGACTCGAAACAAAAGATGGATTCGAATCAACTTTCCAAGTCAATTATCTTGCACATTATCTTCTTTCAAATCTTCTCATTCCAATCTTAACTCAAAATCATGCAAATATTATAATGATTGGAAGTGTTTTACATACTTGGTAAGAGCAGCTTTTTGGATTAAATGAATGACACAAAAAGAAGTGGGCAACCTAAACAAAATGCAACAGATTTTATGTATTTTTTCCAATTCTCAAGAGACAACTCGCACCGGAAACGGAAGTTGCTAACTTTTCGAGTTTTTTTTTTGAAAAAAAAATGGAAAGAAAAATTATGTTATTTTTAGTTCCAAAGAAATTATGACCAAGAATTGGAAGTACCAATTTTCAGGCCAAGTCTAGATTGGTCTGATGTGATGGCCGAAAAAGACTACGAAAAATACCTGCAATACTCAAGATCAAAACTGATGTGTCATTTGTTGGCTTTCGCTTTACACAGAAGGTATTTCTAGAAAAAAGCCAACATAAATAAATAAAACTAATTTTCAGAATGAATATTGCTCGTCAACCAGTTAATGTAAATATAATCGAATTGGGCAAAGAAAAAGAGCCAAATAATAATGGAAAATTAAGAACAACATCTGCATTATCTTCATCAATGTCGACTTTATCTATCTGTAGACAAGCCGGGAATTTGGCACAATTAATTGAGGGACCGTGTCTTGAAAAAATATCTGGAAAATATTTGGATCCTAATGGAAAACAAATGAGGTAAGTGACCAAACCTAAAACAACCTCACGTCGTGCCACCACACAAATTCGAGGAGACGCAGACATTCATTTTCGGTTAGAAAGTCGCTGCGAGACCTCAGCACATCAAAGGGCGACGCCGATGTGGTCTATAAACGCAGCGACAGACGAAAAAGCGGCGCGGCCATGCGCTATGTTTTGTGTGTGTGTCTGCTTGTCTGCTGTGTCTGCCAACAGCACACTGTATCGCCCGAGGGGGAAGGAAAGGCGAGAGATGTCTCTGCCTGTGTTAAAAGTCTGCGTCTCCCAGAAATTTAATTTTTGTATCGGCTGGCATAGCGTGACCTATCTGAGAAATAAACGCTTCTAATTTCAGAAGTGGTTCGGAGGCAACAGATGAACGACTACAAGAGAAACTCTGGACATATTCCAAAGAATTGTGCGAGAAATATTTGTAAAAAGTAGTTTCTAGATGAAAACATTTCTAAACCGGTTGAAAGCGCTTCGCATTCCAAACAGAACATTCGCTAGTTTTATTTTATTTTTTAAAACGTCACCTGTATTATATTGGACAAAAAAAATGAGAAATGAATATTTAATAAATATGTATAACTTGTTTTTGAAACGTGACACATATTTGTTATCTCAACGTGGAAATCTACACGTATACAGATAAGAAGAGTATAAAAGGAGAGACTGAGATTCATTAAAACCATCGAGTATCCAAAAATGGCTCAATCTGTCCCACCAGGAGATATCCAAACTCAACCAAATGCCAAAATCGTCTTCAATGCCCCATATGACGACAAACACACTTACCACATCAAGGTAATCAACTCGTCTGCTCGTCGTATTGGATACGGTATTAAGACAACCAACATGAAAAGATTGGGAGTTGATCCACCATGTGGAGTTTTGGACCCAAAAGAAGCTGTTCTTTTGGCCGTTTCATGTGATGCTTTTGCTTATGGACAAGAAGACACCAACAATGATCGTATCACTGTTGAATGGACCAATACTCCAGATGGTGCTGCAAAACAATTCCGTCGTGAATGGTTCCAAGGAGATGGTATGGTTCGCAGAAAGAATTTGCCAATCGAATATAATCCATAAGCAATTCTTTTTTTGATTGAAATAAATTTTCATTTGAAGTTCAACTGTTTCTTTTTCAAACGAATATAGAGTTTACGGTTTTTTCTAACAAGATTTTGAAAATGCTTTCCATCGAAAACCCGAGAACACACCCGTTTGAGAGTAGAAATGTTTGGGTGAAGTACGGTTGGCGAACTGTGCACACACCGCACTGTCACAATGCACAACTTTTTCGCTGAAAAATGATTTTTTTCGTTTTGTGTGTCTTTAACGCGCTCAACTGCTAAGAAAACTTAACACCAAATCCTACGCGCAACCTTGGCGCGAAATACGGGCTGTGTGTTTTCGCGAAGAAATTTCTGGGGATTTTTAAAAATTGGGAACCCCCCCCCCCCCAGATTTTAGAAATGGACACGTTCAAATTATAACATATGGGAACCCTGAGAATCTCTCCAATGTCGCTTTTCCCTTGGAGAATACTAGTCAGCGAAAAAACGAAAAAAAAACGAGGAAATTCACGAAAAAATAAAATGGCCGAGCTTTGTGTGGCCGAGAAACCCAAAGTTTGCGAACCGCGCCGCACGTTGCCAATCCAACGGGCGCTTGACTCCGCCCACTTTTATGAAAAATTTTCAGTTTTTAGCGCAGTTTTAGTGCTTTTCCATTAGTTTTCAGAAGTTAAAAAGTTCCTTAAATGAATAAGCAATTTTTTTTCATCATACCGCTAGCGGTACCGCTCGATTTTTCGTTGAATTTTCTCCCCGAAAACGTCTGGAAATCAGTTTTTATTTTTTTTTACATTTTCGGAATCATTTGTCTTTAAAAATTCTGATCATGCTTAACTTACGTTATTATTAATTTTTGCTTGATCTATTTCTGAATTTTTCCTCTTCATTTCTGATTTTTCTAAAACGCATTTTGCAGGTATGTCTGGAGCCGCAAAGAGGGTAGCAGCATCTTCTGTCAACTGGTCCAAGTTGGGTGAGTAGTTTCAAACAAAATTCATATTCTAAACTGTTAATTTTTAGCTGAGCGTCTCGTCCCAGAGCACGCCGCCGAACTTGTCCGTGTCAAGGGAGTCAGTGGAACTTTCCAATCGGCCGTCAGCCAACTTCCAGCTGACCTCCCAAAAGTTGACTTCGCCGCTTTGAAGAAATCTCTCCCAGCTCACTCTGCTGTCATCGATTCACTCCAAAAGCAATATGAAGCTATCAAGATCCCATATGGAGAAGTTCCAGCCGAATACTTGAAGGTATGTATTGGTTTAAGAATTAAGAGGTGTAAATTACGTGGTTTCTGACGAGAAACCGAAGTTTTGAGCATATCTTCATTACTGTTTTTAATCGATGCACAAGTGCATTAATTTTAGGAAGTTGACCAATGGGTTGAGTTCAACAATGCCCGTATCCAATTGCACGACACCAAAGTCGCTGACGGTCTTCAAGAAGCCAAGAAGGTCGAAGAGAAATGGTCAAAGGCTCCACCAGTTGAGCACTTCGATCGTCAACACTTTGTCGAATATTTCCCAGCTCACTTCTACGATCTCCGCTACCAAAACAGGTATGTTTTACATTTTCCGAATGTTTCCCTATTTATTGAATTTTTCCAGAATTCCTGACCCATGCAACGTTGGATTGAACGAAACAACTGAAATTGAGACTAGATTCAAGGACTACAAGGTAATTATTTATAATTTGTGATAATCAATTGAAACGAGTTTCGTTTTTTTCTGATTTGAAGACAATAATATAATCAAATCAAAGATCGCTTACGGTTTCATGATAATTTCTAATCAATGCATTAGTTCCACATGAAATTCAACAATTTTTCAGGTTTTGCGACGTGCCGACAAAGTTGACGACCATTAAACATCAATTTTCTACGCGAAAAGTGTGTTAATACAAGAACCAATTTATGATAAGAGATCCACATTTACTGTGTTTATTTTTTGTGTTTTGTCTGAAATTTTAGATTTTCGTCGTTTTATTTCATAAAGTAAATCAGTAAGAGAGAAAAAAGCAAACAAATGTTTTGTCGTTCTCAATAGGATGTTTTTGATCCTTCAAAATGATATTGGAACTAGTTTTTATTTTCTGCCTTTCGTTCTTTCTTTTTTCTTCACTGTTTTTCTTTTTCTTCTGTTTTGTTATTGTTACACAATCAGCTTCCTGATCGGTTTTTTCATTTAGTTTTCAAAATATGTTCGCTTTTCTCGACGAAAAGTTACGACTCGAACGAATTGACAGCAAAAAAAGTTGCACTTTTATTTATTTTTATATAAAAATACTTATCATTTTCTTTATCAAGTTATTTTTTCAGTCGAGATGCGACACGCAACATCGGCGACAATGGTAAACAAGTTCAACTTTTTTAAATTTTAGTTCGAGAAATAAGGAATTTTTTAGACGCGCCGTCGACGACAAACTTCAGAAACATCGACGGCAGCATCAAGTCGAAGATCTTCGTTCGCAGTTAATGGGAATGGAAATAGTAGGAAAGAATCAGTGAAAGGGTAAGGTTAAAAAATATTAATTTTGAATCAGGAAAATAAACATAATATAATCAACGGGGTTAGAAAATCATTATATTTTCAGACCTTGTGAACGTGTTGTTCATCAAGCTCAAGATTCCCTTTTTTCGACGAGTTCTGGTTGGACCAATTTTCGCGGATTTTTCAATTTATCCATTTTGTTATTAGTAAGTCTCTCTTTAATTTCCCCCTTCAAAACAATTCATTTTTTCAAATAGGTTTTATCAAATGGCCGCGTTGCTTTGGAAAATGTAATAAAATACGGAATTCTTATAACTCCACTTCAATGGATCTCAACATTTGCTGAAGATTGTTGTTTATGGAATTGGCCGAATTTGGCATTGATTGTTGGATCGAATATTCAAATTTTGACAATTTTCGGAGTTGAAAAGATTTTGGAAAAAGGATGGCTTGGCAATTATTTTGCTGCTGTTTTTTATACTTTACTCGTTGTTGTTCATTTGACGATTCCGGTTTTGGTTACTTTTGGGACCACTGTAAGTCATACATTTTTTCTCAAAGTTTCTGCTAAATTCATCAATTTGTAGTCAAAAAATCCAATTTGGTCAGTAGCTGCAATGGGAATTTATGTGATTGAATCTCTAAAATTCGTTTCATATGCTCATGTAAATTATTGGGCTCGAGATGCGCGAAAACGAATACAAGAATTGAAAAAAGAAGTAGAAGATTTGGCTCGAAAAACCACAGATCCGAAACATTTTTGGGATTTGAAAGATGAATTATCGATGCATCAAATGGCGGCCGCTTATCCATCAAATTTGAAAATATCCAATTTATATTATTTCATGATTGCACCAACACTTTGCTACGAATTCAATTTTCCGAGAACTCCAAGGATTCGCAAACATTTTTTGATAAAAAGAACAGTGGAATTGATATTTTTGTCGTTTTTGATTTTGGCATTAGTTCAACAATGGGTTGTTCCAACTGTTAAGAATAGTTTGAAACCTTTGAGTGAAATGGAAGTTAGCAGGTTGGATTTTTGTTTGATTTTACACGTATGAATACCTAAAATCTTTTTTCTAGATGCGTCGAACGACTTCTAAAATTAGCAATCCCAAATCACCTCATTTGGCTCATATTTTTCTACACATTTTTCCATTCATTGCTCAATTTGATTTCTGAACTCATTCGTTTCGCTGATCGCGAATTTTATCGTGATTTTTGGAACTCGGAAACAATCTCATATTTCTGGAAATCCTGGAATATTCCAGTTCATCGATTTGCAGTTCGACATATTTATATGCCAATGATGAGAAATAATTTCAGGTTTGCTATATTCTCATTTTTTTGTTGTTGAAAAACTTTAGAAAAATCGAAAAATGCTGAATTTTCAGCAAAATGTCAGCGTTTTTCGTCGTCTTCTTTGTTTCTGCCTTCTTCCACGAATATTTGGTATCAGTTCCATTGAAAATGTTCCGATTGTGGTCATATTATGGAATGATGGGACAAATACCGCTGTCGTTTTTGACCGATAAAATTGTGAAAGGCGGAAGAATTGGTAAGTTCATTTTTGGTTGAAAATAGGAGTAAAAATTGAAGATCTAGCCAACGGCTTTTAAAAACTATCACGAACAAATCTAGAAATTTTGAGCCTGAAATAATATCTTCCAGAAATGTTTGGGCTATGCCTCCAATTTTTGAACCATTCAGATTCTCGGCCTGACAGCATTTACCAAAACTTCATAAAAAATCGATAATTTATTTCAGGCAACATAATTGTTTGGCTTTCTTTGATTGTCGGCCAACCATTAGCAATTCTTATGTATGGTCATGATTGGTACATTTTGAACTACGGATTCGCCGCTACAAATTCTACAACCCCAATTCCAATTCTCTAGATTCTTTATTTTATTATCTCAAGGTTTTTTGCATATCTTCTCATTATTATTTTTTTTTTGAAAATGTTTATATATTTTTATTTATTTGCATGTTTTTTCTCACAAACCACGAGTTTTTTACTTGCCTTTTCGCTCCCAATTATTGATTGATTTAGTGCCATAATTCATCAACTGGTAGACCCATTTTGAGTACGGTAGTTTTTTGAATCGAATTTTTTAAAAACATGTTTTTTGTTCTTGTCAAATACACTTTTATTTAGTCATTTCATTTCTATAAATTATTAGAATTTCAACTTTTATCATTAAAAAAATGAAAAGAAAAATTGTAATTTCATTATAATTTATATTTTTATTTATGACTTTCATTTCATTTTAGATTTCAAATTTTAGATGTCGAATATTTCGATTTTGGTTTATGAAAGAGAATTTAATTTGAAAAAATGGTTTATTTATTGGATACCGAAAAACCGAATTTTAGGTGGGATTTTTTTATTTTTGAAAATGAAAACTTATAATTTCAGGAGTCAAAGACTCGAAAAATATTGCCTATGAAAAAATAGTTCCAATTCAAACTCGTATGGATTTGATGAAAGTTTCAAAAACATTAGTCGAAGAAACATGGAGGTATTTTTGAAAAATTCTTTCAATTTTTGGAAATCTCAAAGTTTCAGTGATATATTCGCTCAATCTGCTTTACATATCGATCAAATTTCGGAAAAAGAACTCGTTTTGACATTTGCTCTTCAAAGAAATATAACATTGGAAAGATGTGAAGAAATATCGGGACAATTTGATGAATTGTTATATCAAGAATATACGGTGAGGAGTTTTTGGAGCAAAAGGTTTTTTTTTAAATAAATGAATCTGAATGAAAAAAATAGTGGGTCTTTCGGTAAAAAAAATTAGTTTCATGTTTTTGATGAGTCCAAAAATATTGATTCTATTTAATTTAGAAAAGCAACGCACTTTGAAAAAATAAAACTTTTTCACTGCCATTTTTTTTGAAAGAAAGTGATTCATAGCCCAACTTCAAATTCCTATTTTCAGCGTCTCAAAACAATTCTAAATTGTTCTCCAAAACCAGAATCGACTAGAAAACGAACATCTTCAAAAATCGAGGAATCGACAGATTCCAAATCCGGAATCAAAAATGTTCCAAATATTGCACCACTTCGAAAAAGAACTTCAAAAATAATCAGTAAACCAACTGGTCCAACTTTTGAATATGACGAATAATTCTTGTACCATATCAACTCAAATACTAACTTTCTAACTTCATGTGAATAAATTTTGTGATTTGATCTTGACGTTTGCAGCTTTTTAAAGTCCACGTAATTTACAGTAATATCTCATTTATCATATAAAAACATAAACTTTAGACACTAGACTCTACACAGACAAAACATCGAGAGAGAGAAACCGAGAAAAGCAGAGAAAAAAGAATAAGAAGAAGAGGGTCGGGGTTGGCGCGAAAATAAATAAGTTTTTAAAATAATAAATATATTTAAAAATAGATGGGGGAGTGTTGTGCAATTGCTTTGATCTGTCACCGGATTCTTTTTCAAAAACAACGACACAAACTTCTCAAATCGGAATTTACACACGAAATATACAAAAATAGAAATAATTAAAAGGGGCTGGTTGAAAAATAGCAGAAAAAAATCAAATTTGAGAGTAAGAAGAATGTGAAAAAACCGGGGAGGAGAGTATTTTTAAGAAATTAAAATGTTTGAATTTTGTACTTTTGAAAAACGGTTAGTTCAAAATTCGAATTGCATTTTCGTTTGAGTGAAGAACTGGTGATTTATGATCGATTCCAATATAAACTTGAGGAACTGAAAGAACAGAAATTTATATGGATTTTTGAGTGAAAAATTGAAGTTCAAAATTGTTTATTTTAGCGTCAAATTTTTTTTTGGTATTTTTATAGAGCTCCAAAACATGGAATTCAGTTTTTTTTCAAAATCGTACTTTGGTCAATAACAAAGCTTTCGGAAGAAGTTTTTTGTGACAAAATACAGTACTTTCAAATTTCGAGAATATTTTTTGAAAGTTTCAAATTCTCCGTTTTGTACGTTCCGCATTTCCAGGAGATGCCATATTTTATTCAAAAAAAAACTCACTATTTCCGGTTGTCTGACATGACAAATCTTGCAAGTTCACCTTATCCGAATCACCAAATTCAATATACCGGCATAGCTGAAACTTTGGTTTCTCATTGTTTTTTTTTTGCTCAACTGGATAACTCACTTTATCTCTGGCTAACAGAGCAAATTTATACTTGTTGAATTCATTATCAGCAACATCCGACAATTTTCGACGTAATCTTTCGCGCACATCATTCGTCAATTCACCATTTTTCACCTGAAGACAATTTTTAGTTGGGGAAAAATGATGAAAATTTTTTCGAAATACGGTTTCAGACTTCTAACATAAAAAAATCTTTGGGGTTCCAAAGGGGCCTTGACTTTTGAAAAAAAAAAACTATTGTTAGTTTACTTTTAAAATTGAAATAAAAACAAACCTTGATGATAAATGATGTTCCGAATAATCGACTAGTCGGATCTCGATCAAAATGTACAACTGGACAATAGAATTCACCTGGTGAGCATTCAAGTTCATCTTCGGGAATCTCTTCAACTCGACACTGCAAAATTGAATTAATTTGAATTCGCTGATCGATTCTGCTACATAAATTTTCCCCCAAAAACTCACCTTGTACAAATATTTCGATTGAATATCAACCAAAGGAATATTATCCGTATAAATTTGATAAACTCGATGGAAATTTGGTGTTGTTCCAACTTGAACTAATCTGCAAAAATCATCCAAAATATATGAAAATCATTTCAGAACAAAAAAAAACTCACCGCAATTTTCTGGTTCCGTTTGGCGCAAATTTGAAATACCTTGAAGCTTCTTCCAATATATTAGCCACCTGGAAAAAATATATGTTTTGAGGGGAAAAAATAGGAAACATCTTCTTACAGTTCCATCTTTTGGTGGGAAAATGGTCATCTCGTTTATCATCATTTTGTCATTCATCTCAAATATCTTCATTTGTTGTCGTTTATCCATTTCAGATACCGGGAATGGCATAATTGTATAACAAGTTGAATATCTGCAAAAAAAAATAAATAATTGGAATATTTCTGATCATAATTTTGGAAATGTGTGTATAAAATTTAAATTTGGATTTTCATCCGATATAGATTTTAGAGCTTTCGATTCGTTTTGAAGCCAAAAATGAGATTTTGATAATTAATGAAATGAAACTCATTTTTGTATAAACTTTTTCAAGCTTTAAAAATATCTGAAAATTCAATAGTTTAATGGGAATCAATTGTTTTCCAATGAAATTATTTTTTTCGAAATCCCCCTATTATAAATAAAAAGAACTCACTTTTTGGCCAATCTTGGATCATGCAATCCTCTTCCCAAAATCGAATTAATCACCAATTTTCCACCAACATCTTCTTGTGGTATTTCATTCTTTCCATTAATCGATTTTGTCCAAATCAACACATTTTTCGGATCACAATTCAATTCTTTGGCTAATGTTTGTGCAACAGAAGAAAGCGGCGCATCAAGTTTAACTTTTTTGGTGAATGGTTCAGTTAGAATATCATCCAATTCTTCATTGTTTCGATTGAATTTGAATTCATTGAATTCAACAAAAGTTGTTTTATACATTTCATCCATTTTTGCTACAACATTATTGTTTTCTTCAAATAAATCACTTTGTTCAATAATAATAATTGTTCCATCATCATCAATTGCTGAATAATTATTCTCAAGTTGTGAAACTCGATTTGCCGCAACTTCTTCATAATAATTCAATTGTGTTCCAGGTGGAATTCCAGCCATTTTACAGAAAATATCGCGATAAACCGAAATCCGTTGATTATGTTTTATAACATAATGTCCCAAAATTGTGAATCTTTCACTTGTTGTATCATAATATTTCACAAATATCAAAACATTATCATTGAATGTATATTCTTGTAATTCTCCATATGCAGATGGTGTTTCAATATAAATCGAATCACGTTCAGCCAAAAACCATTTATCAATCGTTTCTTTCGCAAATGGTTCGAGAAGCTGGAAAAATAAAGAAATGAGGGTTTGAAATACTAAATTAGGAAGAAAAAACCTTGTCTGGTCTGAATCTTGACAATGATTTTCCACCTTCTGACGAATATTTTTCACACATTTTCCAAAGTCGAAAACGGAAACTTTTACGAATGAAATCATCATCGTCGTCTTCATCATCTTCTTCTTCACTTCCAAGGTCTTCGCCTGGAAAAACACAATTTTTGAACCTAGGAATTTTTGAAATGGGTAGAAAATTTGGTAGATTTTGAAGACTTTTCAGCAATTTTTACTAACAAGTTTGAAAGTGTAAAATTTTTAAAAATTTAAAAGAAACTCCCTGATTACTGAAAAATTATCACAATTTTCAAAATGTTTAGTTTTCAGAGATCCGAAAATCTAGAAAATATGAAATTTCTGGTTAAATTTTCAGAGCCTTTCAACTTCTAATTATCATTACACTTACCATCTTCAATATCCATAGCACTATCTCTCGATCTTCGATGCGAATTCGATGAGAACAATCGTTTCTCAATAAAACGATACAATTGATAATTCGAAGTTGATTTTGGAAGACATTCGCGTGAAACATGGTTATCTAAAATTGGTTTATCAATCAAATCAAAACCATGATATCCTGTGATTATATTTGGTGTTACAATTGGCAATTCAATACACATTGATTGTTCTTCCTTCTTTTTCTTCATTCGATTTCTCTGTTGACGTTCAATTTCGAAAGTTGTTGACACAGATTCAGGAATTTCTTCGTTTGGAATTGGAGCCAAAACGGAGGAAATCGCATTATTTCTGACATAAATCAACATATAAGCAGATGTATTCATTGATCTTTCTCCACCGAAATTTGAAGTAATTGCATCATCAATTGTAGTTCGAGAAACAACATCATCATCGAATTTACACCACTAAAACAAACAATGAATATTTTTTAATTCAAAAAAAAAACACTTACTCTTGGTTTGACATCAAGATTCGAGTTAGTTTCATGCAAGTTTGTATTGATAAAAGTGACATAATGTCCTCCATGAAATTCTCCGCTATGAACCAAAACCGCGTGCAAACTATATACACAATCTTCTTTCTTCAACTGATCTGACAATTCGCAACAATTCAACAAATCCATTTGTTCGGGGAATGTAAATCTTTCATTGACTTTTTGTTCGACTCCGCAATATTGGAAACGCATTAATTGAACATGAAGAACTGGTGGAAGTTCGACGAATTTCACACCCTTTTCAGCTCGTTGAAGACCAAAATCACCCGCATCATATTTATTGTCACCTTCGAGAACTTCAATTGCTGTGTATGCTTCGAATGCTCGTTCCACTGAAAAATTTAATTTTTGAATCGTAAGACAACCCCCGTAAACTTACAACTCTCCATTCCAAGAACATTCAATTGAACATCGTAGAATGATTCAGTTCGAGAACTTTCATATTCAACATCAGTACATTTGATGAAAGATTTCATATTACCACGGAAAAGTGAGGGAATACTTTGTTCTTGCTGAAAATACACTTTGTTTTTTCTCAAAAAAATGTTGAATAATATTCGAAAGAAACTCACCGATGTTCCCTTCATTTTTGTTTCCAAATTATCCAATAAAACTCGGCAAAATTCTTGAACATCGTGTTGATTGAAAGCATCCAATTTATCCCATCCAAAAGCTCGTGTTAAACTGTTCGTTTCAACTGCATCATTCGAAGTTTGAAGATCATAGAAAACTCGTTGCATTGCTAAACAAATGTTCGATTCAGATGGTTCAGTTCCAGTTTCCATTTGATAAACTGTTTTTCGGAATCCGGTTGTGAAATAAAATGCTTGAAGTATGGAATTCATATAACAAGTTGCTCCTTGATTACGAAGACCAATACATCCCGTGTGTAGTTTGCTGTCCCAACTGCAAAACAAAACATTTAAGATGATGAAACTTTTCTAAAATCCAAACTCACAAATAACCATTTCCAGTTGGAACATCAGCCGTGAAATGACATCGCAATTTTAAAGTATCGTTCTCCAAATACCCGTTCTCTGGATTTGACAAAACTTCATAGCTTTCAAAATTAGTGAAACCCCAATCGACTTCATTATTGTGAAAGTTGTGAGTTATTTTTTTGCTCAAATGTTCGCCCGTTTGGCTCAATACTTCGAGAGTTGCCGAACCAAAACATCGCCACATTCCACGTTTTGGCAATGAATCCTCGTTGTTGCATTGTAGAAAATAGCCGAGAGAATAACCGCGAGGTTGTCGACCTTGATTTGTTCGTTGAGGAACTCTGTAAATGAATATTATGTACAAAGAGCATTAAGATGATTTCACTTTTCGATCATCTGCTGAGCACATGATAAGGTTACTCATTAGGAAAAATGATAAAAATTATGAAATATCTCTAACCTGCACAATGCCAAAATTCTCCATGGAACTCCTCGAACAATAACTGGTTTTGACAACAATCGATTATCTGTTTTCTCCATAAATTTGGAAAACATATCAATATCAAGATATAACATTCCTTCGGGACCATACGGATCATTTGACTCATTGAAAATTGGAGAAACCAATGAGGTATCCTCTGGTTCGGTTTCTGGTGTTGTCCGCATTTTTTGGATTGATAGTGGTTCCTAGGTTATCCAACCCAGTGTCTGAAAAGTGGTCGTAACTATTGATAAATACATTAAATTAGAATAGCAAAAACAATTCTCGAAAAACGCGTAAACAAGTAATGGTCAACAAAAAATCAATAAATTTGGTCAGCTAGATGATTTCTCACGATAAAAAGCAACTTTTGTGCTTTTCATGTGGTTTTCTCATGAGTTTCGAGAGAAAAAAAGATGGAAAAGCTCAAGTTATTAAAAGGAAAAGTCCGGTTTCGCAAGAGAAAACAACGTTCGCTGTTTGCGGCTTCGAAAAAATAAAACAACAAGTGACCCATGAATCGTGCCAGACCTTGCAAAAAACCGCGCCGCATTGCTTTTACAGCCCCGCCCCTTATTTTTATTTTTTTGCACAACATTTTTTTTTTGGTTTTTTTGTCTGCGATTTCAAAGAAAACTTAGTCATTTTTATTTGAAAATATATGCAATAAAAGAGTTTCTTTTGAATTTTCGTAAACTGTTATAAGAAATCTTGAATATAGGTTAAGTAATTGAATTTTTAGGAAAAATCGATAAGTTTCGAATTATATAATAGGTATCATTATAATTGAGAACATTTAAAACCAACGAAAATTTATCTTATTTGCCTTATCAATTTTTAGAATACATAAAAGTTCTGATTTCTTAATATTTCAAAATTTTGACTAATCGATTGTCAACATTTCAATATTTATATTTCACATTTTTGTATTATATTCATCTCAATGTGAAAGTAAGTTGTTTTAGGGGCTTCTTCCTTTTTGATTTTAGACAAAAACATTCGAAAATCTCAATTTGACCCGTTTTGAGTTCTCAAGGTCGTATCAACACAATTCATTTCAAGTTGCAGAAAAATACGATTCGTGTCCATTTCTGATTTTCTCACTTCTCTATATAATTCCGAAGCTTTATATTTCTAAAAATTAATTTTCAGGGTAACAAAAATGTCTGGCTGGAACGTGAATGCGTCTTCGTTTGTTCCAAATGTGAATGCTCGTCCATTTGTCCCAGGACAACAATATGTTGCCCCTCCAGTTGAATCAGTTCCACCTCCACCACAAGATTGGGAAGATCAAGCAGATGCTTCGCCAGTTGTTGAACAACCACCAGCTCCAATTGCAGCTGAACCAGTTGCACCTGTTCAAGTTTCTGAGCCAGTTGCAGCCCCCGTAAAGAAAGAAACTTCTCCAGAAGATGATGTCATCGCACCTTTGGCAAAGAAATTCCAGCGAACAGTTTATGTTGATGATGGATCACATAAAGAACATATTAATATGGTTTTTGTTGGACACGTCGATGCTGGAAAATCGACTATTGGAGGTGAGAATAAATTCCGAGCGATTTTCAAGTTATTGTATTTTTCTAGGACAATTGATGTATTTGACTGGAATGGTTGACAAAAGAACATTAGAAAAATATGAACGAGAAGCTAAAGAAAAAGGACGTGAAAGTTGGTATCTTTCTTGGTGTATGGACACAAATGATGAAGAAAGAGACAAAGGAAAAACTGTTGAAGTTGGTCGCGCATATTTCGAAACAGAAAAACGTCATTTCACAATTCTCGATGCTCCAGGTCACAAAAGTTTTGTTCCAAATATGATTGCCGGTGCAACACAAGCTGATTTAGCTGTGCTTGTTATTTCAGCAAGAAAAGGAGAATTCGAAACAGGATTTGATCGAGGAGGTCAAACTCGTGAACATTCAATGTTGGTTAAAACTGCCGGAGTCAAACATCTTGTTATTTTGGTGAATAAAATGGATGATCCAACTGTAAAATGGGAAGAGGAACGATTCAAGGAAATTGAAGGAAAATTGACACCATTTTTGAGAAAAATGGGATTCAATCCAAAAACTGATATCACTTATATTCCATGTTCTGGTTTGACTGGAGCATTTTTGAAGGATCGACCAGCTGCATCCGATGGATCATGGTACACGTAAGTTTTCCCCAATTTTTTGCTAGCAAAATTATTTCTGTAATTTATGATGAAAGGCGCTAGATCGAAAAAAAATCAGTCACAATCTAAATTTTCAACTCACTTTCATCCATAATTTTCTTACTGATTCGGGCCGAACTAGGATTGCGAAATGAACGAAATTTATACAAAAAATAAAACGCTGAGATAATGAACGTGAACTGACCAATTTATTTTGAATAAAAATATTTTCAATTTTCATATTCTGAAATAACGTGCCTCATTTGTACAATATATTAATTTACCAACCTGTAGTCTCATGTAAATTTTATTCTTGAAATTTTCAAAATACAATAAAATATTCTCAATTCATTCCAGAGGTCCAAACTTTATCGAATTCATCGATTGTCATCTTCCATCATTCAAACGTGATTACAATGGCCCAGTTAGATGTATTGTTGTTGAAAAATATTCCGAAATGGGAACTGTTATTATTGGAAAAATGGAATCTGGTTGTGTGCAAAAAGGAGATACTCTTGTTGTTATGCCAAATAAGGTAACATTTGTTTTAATTTTTTTCAAAAAAAAATCAATGATATTTTGTAGCAACCTGTTCAAGTTCTTCAAATTTGGGCGGATGACGTTGAAACTGATCGAGTTGTTTCGGGAGATAATATTAAATTCAAACTGAAGGGAATTGAAGAATCTGAACTTCAAGGTGGATTTATTATTTGCTCTCCAGATTCATTGGCGAAAGTTGGACGAGTTTTCGATGCTGAAGTTTTTGTATTGGAACACAAATCAATTATTGCCTCGGGTTATTCATGTGTTTTGCATATTCAATCTGGAGTTGAAGAAGTTAATGTTAAGGTAGGCTATTTTGAAACGAAACCTAAAAGCTAACGAATTCACCCTTTCTGAAAAAAAAAATGAAAATCGTCTTGTTCGAAACACACCTGACGAGACGTGTCCAAAATGGACACTGTACGAAAATTTTCAAAGGTCACACTGTACATTTTTCCCGAAAAACGTGTAGTTTTCATTGATTTTCAGCCGATTTTGATGAAAATTTTCAAAAATTCACGCTGCACAAATTTTTTTTTGCAAAATTTCCACGCTTCACAAAAATTTTAGGACACTCTCTCGCCAGGTGTGGTTCGAAATCTGAATTTCTTTGTCAATAGATTTTTTTAAAATTTCCACGTCATAGTTCAAATTGTTTTTTTCAGGGCGTCATTGCTACAATTGACAAGAAAACAGGTGAAAAGAAACGAGCGAAGTTTGTGAAACAAGACGAAAAATGTATTATGCGATTAGAAAGTGCCGAGCCATTTGTTATTGAACCATTCAAGGTAAAATGTTTTTTCAGATGATTTTTTAAATTTCCAACTTTAAAATCTAAATTTTTAATTGCAGGATTATCCATATTTGGGTCGTTTCACACTTCGTGACGAAGGAAAAACAATCGCAATCGGAAAAGTTTTGAAAGTTATCGAATAAATGTTCGAAGTTACCCTAACTATATACACTTTTATTTATGTTTTTCCTTCTTTTTTATAGTTGTTGATTTTTTCCACCGGTTTTTTCTCTGCTGTCTTCTTCTTTTCTTCTTCATATTATTCGTATTTTTTGAATTCCAAAATAAGTAATTTTTATTGCGTGTGATACATTTTTCATCTAATATTTGTTCTCGAAAATATCTGAAAATCTCGCTTTCAAATTTTCTTGTTAGATGAATCTTCTCTGGTTTTCATCGTCATTTTTTTTTGTTTTTTACAAGTTTTTTGACCTGAATATTTTATCCAATGGTTATTTCGTGGATTTTTGGAAACAAAATATTTTCAGAGGAGTTATGCGAAGTCGAGTCATTGAACTCTATAAAAATTTGTATCACATGGGAAAAGAGTATCCGAAAGGAAGTCAATGGTTTCATGAGAGACTGAAAATTGCGTTCTGGAAAAATAAGGTGGGATTTTTTCGAAAATTGTTTTGTAAATAATTCATAGGGATTTTAGGATATCACGGATCCTGCAAAAATTGACGAACTATTGAAACGCGGTGATTTTGTTGTCAAAGAGATCGAGGCACTTTACAAACTTCGAAAATATCGTGCAATGAAACAAAGATATTATGAAAATGATGAGGAAAATGAAAAAGAGACGAAGAATTTTGAAGATAAAGTTCAGAAAGTCTAGAAATATTTGATTTGCCATATATTTTATAAATGCGTGTAAAAATGTAAAATAGATAGATAGTTTCATAAATTTTATTAAATATTAGGAAGATAACTTCTATTATTATTATTGTGATTTGCTTGAAGGCTGAAATTTTTTGATACCAGATTTGTTGAATTTCCATTAAGAAGAGGAAGATAATTGGGACTCTTTTTCTGTATTTGTCCTCCACTACTACTTGTCGCATTTTCAGTGTCGAGTCGTAATCGAAGAGTCCAATTTTGAAATATTGGATGTTGCATTAGTTCGCTGCAAGACCAACGACGATCCGGTGACATTTCGAAACATTTCTGGAACAAAATATGGAGGTTTGGATTTTTTCTTATTTCAACCCTAATTCAGTTTCTAAAAATTCTAGAAATAAAAGACTACAGTAATCCATCTGAAATTCAACGTCTTCTTCGTATTTTGCTCAAAAAAAACTGGATGGTCCCATGTTCCCATAACTAACATATAAAAAGTCAAGTTGTCCACTCGAAGCATTCGGCAACTTCGAAGCCAACGGCTCTTGATGTTCTGGTTCCGGAATCGATAAACCGTAGAAAAATTGATTATTTCGAAAAATCGTCAGATGACGTGGCAAAAATTCTCCCAATGTTTTTCGAATCAAAAATAATTGATCAATATCCGATCTTCCAGGCCATAATGCTTCTCCAGTTAATAATTCCGCATAAACACAACCAACAGCCCAAATATCAACTGGAGGACCATATTGAATATCACCAACAAGAAGTTCTGGACTACGATACCATCGAGTTGCCACGTAATCTGTGTACATTTCGGTAGTGTCTGAAAAAATAGGAAGAGAAATGATTGGGGGAGAGTTAGGAGAACTCACTGATTATCCTGGCGAATCCAAAATCTCCTAATTTGACTTGATCATTTCGAGTCAGAAATATATTTTCAGGTTTGACATCTCTGGAAAAATTGGAAGTTTTGGAACTTTTTTTTTGAAGTGAGAAAGATTTCTCGGAACTTGCTGAAAAATTTTTGGAGAAGTTTTTGGATGTAAAAATCCAGCAAAATTCAATTTTTCTTTTTGAAATTCCAAAAAGTTTTCGAAAAAATTATTCCCGAAAATTTGAAAAATTTTTCAACTAAACAAATTCATTTTTGAAATAAAAAGTTCAGTTTTCAATTTCTATTCAAAAAAATACCTGTGTATACATTTATGATTATGACAAAACCGAAGTGCCTCCAAAAGTTGAAAAATAATCTTCTTTATCAGATCATCGTTTACTCTGAAATGTTTCAAAATAAAATAAAATTAAATATTTTTCAAAAAAAAAAACAAACCCAGTCGGATTTTTCTCTAACTCGTGTAGAACAGTTCGATCGCACAACTCAAAAACCAAGTGCAATTTTCGATTTCGTTTGAAAACTTCGATTAGACCAACTAGATTTTGATGTTTCAGTTGCTGCAAAAAAATTACATTTTTCTGAAACTTTGAAAATATGAGGATTATAACAAATTAGTGAATTGGGCCCGGTCCAATTTTGAAAGAAATATTCTGGGATCACAAGCTGATGTGATAAAGCCGGGTCCGATTCCTCAGGTCCAATAAAAAATCTGCCAACCTTCAGCATTCGAATTTCTCGAAGTGCAATTTTCTTAATATGTGGATCATCTTCAGTTTCAACAAACTTTTTGATAGCAACAATCTGTCCATTTTCTTTATTTTTACACTTAAAAACGACTCCATAAGAACCTTCTCCCAATTTAGAAATCCTTTCATATTTATCCATCGCTTCACATCGACGACGACTATTGCTGCAAAAAAACTCGAAAATTCCGAAAGAAAAATTAAAATTAAAGTGAACTAGAGGAGAATATGTGTGTGTGATCCAAAAATTGTATAAATGCGCAAGTGTGAGACAAAAAAATATAATGGAAATATACATATCTCCATGACTACAACATATACTAGTTACTGCCAAAAACTAACAACACAATTTTCTGATTAACAAATATAGATTAGGCCTATGTTTTCGTGTAAGCTGACCAAAAATACTACTGTATAAATATTTTTTGGGTGAAAATTGGAGTTTTGGAAAAAATTACGAATTTAGTTTTGAACAGAGCAGAAGAGCATTTATATCATCTATAAACCGAGTTCTGAAAATGGTGCTTCTGAATCTTTTTATTTTGAAATTCAAAATTTCTTGTGAAAATACTCACGTGAGTACTGTGGTTTCCAGATTCACAGAAAGTTTTTGTTTGAAAATTTCTTGGATTTGATTAGGTTCAGCGCACATTTTTTAATAAGCTATATTACCTCTCTCAAAAGGGAGTCCTAGTATTTTCACAATCTTTTCGTCCAAAACTAGATCTCAACTTTTAATTTGAGTTATGAAGTTTCAAAGTCTGAAGGTTATATCTAGCTTGAAATGGTATTAATGAAAATCAGCGTAGTTCAAGAGAGTCGATCACCTTTAAACTTTGCCACGTCATAACTCATATTAGAAGTTGAGTTTTGCAGTTTTGGAAGGATTGTGATAAGCGGTTCACAAAAAAAACTAGAAAAAAAAATGTTTAAACAGAAGCTCTCTATTTTTTCACTCGCAATTCTAGAAAATCCACGTTATATTCCCATTTCCCTCAGGCTCTGTCTGAAACCCAATAAACTTCCAATTTTCATAATTACTTCCCTTCTCTCTGCCTTCCCAATACTTTTTTATTTTCCTCATTTTTTGGCCTTCGGACCTCCTGGCACTCAAAAAAGGACCTTTTTCATCCATTCTTTTATTTTCTCTCCATGGAAACCAAAAAAATCCTCTTTTCTTTTTTTGTCCGGAGAATATAGAAGAAAAAAAGAGGAAATGACGGAAAAAAGGATTATTCTTGTGAAATTCGTTTGCAAAGAGGATAAGGATATTTTTAGAGATTTCCGAAAAATGAGGGGGGAATTAGTTGAAGTTGAAAAATATTCCGATTTTCACGTTTTCCGTGAAGTCGTGACAAAAAAAAATATTTTGAAATTCATTTCTATAAAAAATTTCACACCAACCTGCAATCTAGTTACATGTTCATTACTACAGTACTCACCTTCTCAATGGAAAAAATAAATTGTTCTCCATAACTGTGAGTGCTTCGATCTCCGCAAAAACCATATCTTCGCTGAAAACATATATTAGTTGTGAAAGCGAAAATAGGCAAAAAAGAAGAAGAAAATGTATGTTTGAATAATTTATAATCACGAGCAAGAAGACGAAAAGTCCGGAAATGTAGTTTTCACTTCTAATAAGCTATCTTCAATATAAGAAAAAATGATAAAAGTTTTGACCCAGGCAGGGATCGAACCTGCAATCTTCTGATTAGAAGTCAGACGCCTTATCCATTAGGCCACAAGGCCACATTTTTCACCTGTCAAAATTGTCAATATAAACTCACCTTGTCCTTTTCATCTTCACAATTTTCTGCACTTGTTTTCGGCTCCAAATTAGCCAAAAACGATAAACATCTTTTTCTAGGAGCATTCGGAGACTTTTTCGTCTCCAAACACCATTTTTGAAACATCCAGATGCTTCTTCAGCAATATGTATAACTAAATATGAAAATGCGCAAAATCTTGAAAAATTCCGAAATAATCCGCTTTTCTCTCAAGAAAATTGAAAACAGAAATGAAAACTTCCAAAAATAAGAAAAAGATCTGAAAAATTTCCGGTTGTGAGTTGGAAAATATCTGGAAAAAAGAAAAACAACACCAAGACAACACACGAGAAAGTGGTCCTTTGTGAAGGAAAATAGAAACGAAAAAAACTAGGGGAAAAAAAGAGGGCAATTAGAAGGAGACATAGACGAAAATAGAGATGATGTTTGTATAAATACAAAAAAATGTCTGAAATACATGAATACAAAACTGAAAAGTTCAAATTTGAATTTGAAAAATTCGCGGACTGAAAAAACACGCTGACGCAAAGTTACACACAGTTTTATCTCAAATCGCTAGACCTCAAATTTTTTGGTAATTTTTTTTGGTAGATCAAAAATAGAAAAATGCGCGGAATTTTTCGGGTTGTAAATTACACTCTGTGTATCCCCACACATGTTTTTATTCTAGTTTCTCTCAAGTTCCAACTCAAACTTCCAATTGGATAATTTTTGGTTTTTGTCAAGATCCACCTTGCAAATTTATCCAATGAATAAAATTATTCCAAATTTTTTCGCCATATTTTCATGAATTTTTATTTTGATCTTCTTTTTTTCTTCTCAAAATTTTCTAGGTTTTTTTCTCACGGATCTTCTTCTTTTTTCCTTTTTTCATTGATGGCCAAAATAAAATTAGGAAGAGGAGGTCCGGAAAACAAAAAAAAACGAACCACTTAATTCAGTTTTGCAACACTTTTCATTATTATTCTGAAGCGAGATAACCTGTCGTTTTTGTTAATTTTTTGCAGAGGGGAATTTATTTTTGTTTTTTTTGCCGTAATTTTTTTTCGAGTATTTACAGTATCCTGAAAACTTCAGGCTTTTTCTTCACTTCTTTCAGTTATTAATTTATACTTTCTGATAATTCAAAATTAAAGTTATTTTAAGATAGAAGCTTTGTGGGTGTTCTTTAAAAATATACATCAAGTTGAGAAACATCAGTTAAAAACTGGAAAATTGAAAAATGCTCGGACTTATTTTTTGACAGATCATTTTTCTTTTTCGGAGCCACAGATTCATCTTTGTTTTTGAACCTTTTAGTTTCGCTAAACCTTTTCATTTTCGAGAAAACTCAAAGTTTATTCATTCAATTTTTCAAACTCAAATAGTTGCACAAAGTACCGTGTATACATTTTTATTCTCTGCATACATCCATTTTTCGCTGACACTTGTATTACAAATCAAATTGTTTGTTTTGAAAGTTGGTTGATATAGGTTTAGTTGTCCCTGAAAATATTATAATTTTCAGCCAAAACAGAATATGTCTGATCTCACATAATAATAAGAGTTATCTCCATAAATCCAGTATAATTCAGAGATTCCAGATTTTGTTAAATCTCCACAATTAAAAGTTATTGTTGAATTTTTACAACTTCCAGTAACTTTATAAGAAGCAGGTTGAAAAACTGTCGAATTGGTAAATTTTTTCTGCATTTGAGTGCTTGATGCGGTGGCTAACAACTTTTCTTTGGTGATTGCGGTGATTGCAGAGCAGCCACAATCTGAAATTTTCAGTATTTTGGAATTTCTGAACTTGGGTACGGTAATTCGATCTCAATTTTTAAGATTTACAAATGGAGGTTTATTTTTTCCCTTGGGGTTCATTTTTTTGCAGTTCTAAATCTAATCTACAGTAATCCGTACAGTTTTCGGGTCATAAATTATTCATTTTGAGCCACAGTAAACCCACAGACTGGTAGTTTTAAAATTGACGCTGTCACGTCAATTTTAAGATTTTAATTTATGAGAGTGTTTACCTAGTGCGTGTAATACCCTACCCAGAAAAAGCTTTTAAAAGTCAGTTCAATTCAAAATTATCTTACCAATTGGAACATCACAAGAGTAAATAACAAATACAAATTGAGAAATTAGAATGAGAAATTTCATTTTTTCCTCTTCTTCCTCCCTCTGAAATTATTTATATTTATCATTTAAATATGTTAATTAGTTAAATAATTATGAGAACTAATTCTTTTGTGTTTATTTTTTCATCAAAATTCGCAAGAAAAATAAAAAAGGGACCATCCAAAAAAGGTCAATGATCTTATTATTTTTGCAGAATTCTCATCAAACCACAAAAATATTCTTTTCATCTTCATCTTCTTCAAAAAATTCTCGTTTGAAATAATTAATGTTGCAAACTTTTATCTCCTCCTTTTTCTTCATCGAATAATGTATTCATCCTCGGCTGCTTCTTCATCTTCTCGTTTTTCGCCGCGGCGTCCATTTTCGGCCGCAATCGTTATTCTCATTTTGACATTTCTTTGCTCGATGTTCATTGTTGGTTTTATTTATTTGCTGATTATTGTGAAACATGTCGAAACTTCGATTTATGAAAATCTCGAATCAAAATGGCATCCTGATCAAATTCCAATGAATCACAAACCATTTTTATACGATCTTCGACTCAAATTATATTTTGCATGGAATAAAAATCTGAGTTTTGATCAACAAGAAAACACATTTGATGGAAGTGTTCGAATAAATTTCGAATCTGGTGGAGGATCAAGAATTATTCTACACTCAAAAAATATATCAATTGAAGAATGTTTTCTTATCAAACCAAATGGTGAAGAAATTATTGTGAATAATATGACTTATGGAGATGATTTTGATATTTTCAATATTTTTTTGGATTTTGAAATGGAAAATGAGAGGAATTACAGTTTGAAGATTAATTATAGCGGAAAATTCGAGGAAAAGAATAAATACGGGTTATTTCAAATTCCATACGCAAATGGACAAAAGTAATTTATTTGGGAGAGGGAAGATTGTCGATATCTAAACCTTTATTTCTTACAGATACATTCTAGCAACACATCTTCAAATGACCGAAGCTCGAACCGTTCTTCCGTGCATTGATATTCCAAGTGCAAAAGCACAATTTGCTGTGACTTTAATTCATCCAATCGGAACTCATGCGGTTGGAAATATGATGGAAAATAAAATATCAAATGATTCGAATTGGACTACAACATCTTTCAAAACAACACCATTTATGTCAACTTATTTGTTAGCTTTTGTAATTTCTGATTATCCATATTTGGAAAAAGTAACAAAAAATGGAATTAGGGTGGGTTAATGTAACTCGAACAAAAGACAGGTTTATTTTATTTTCAGACACGTGTCTATTGTGATCCAGAGAAAATCGAGAATGCCAAATTAGCAATTTCAGTTGTAGAACCGCTTTTGGATTTTTTTCGAAAAATATTTCAATGTGTCTTATCCTCTCGATAAACTGGGTGAGTTGGGGTTTTTCGGGTTTTGCAGTTGTTTTTCGAGAAAGTTTTTGTTAGGTCTACTTCTAATCATATAATTCTAGTGAATTTTTATTTTGGAAATCTGGTTTAATTAGATTATCTATCGTCTCAAAAACGCAAACAACAACTCAAAAATATGTTTATTTCTTTGTTTATAATTTAGCTCCTTTCGCAATACTTCTACACAATTTTTCCATCCAACCCGTTTGTTCATTTTGATTTTTCCCACGTAAATTTGTCAAAATAGCCACTTGCACATTGTGATAACTGAAACCAATAGCCTCAGTTCCAGCAAGAGATCCAATATGATAAATTGATCCATCAAAACCTAATTGTATTCCTCTTCCATAAGTCCATCGAACAGCAGATGGTGTTATTATCCAACGATATTTTCGAAGTTTATTTTGTTCCAAGTGATTAAACAATTTAGCTACCTGAATTTTGATATTCATACAGTTTATATCTCATTTTCATATTTCCATAATTCTACAGTTCGGAAGTTCCGTGAATAAGTCTTAACTTCTTATCCTCTTTTCTATTAAACTTACATTTTTTGCTGTCATTGCCCAACCTGCTGCTGAATTTAATCGAGTTGTATTCCATGATGTATATGCATTTGCATTATCATGTGAATAATAAACAACTTCTTCTTGATCATCAAATTCTTTGCCAATTGTCCCATTTATTCCTAATGGTTCAAATATTTTTCTTCGAATATATTCTTCATATTCAATTCCGGATACTTTTTCAATAATTCTTCCTAATAAAATATATCCGATATTCGAATAAATATGTGATATTCCTGGATATTGCAATGGAATTTGTTCGGCTAAAACAGTTCTTAGAAATTCCGTTTGATTTTGTTCCATTTTTTCGAACTCGTATTTTTTTGTGTGTGGCCAAGCTCCAGAAGAATGCTCGAGGAGATGAATAATCTTCAAATTTTTCAAAACATGGTGACATTCTGAATGACAAAGTTCTCTAAGAATTCCGAATTCTCCAAAAACCGGAGACATCAAATTGATAGAATATTCTGTTAATAATTCTCCCATTCCCATTGCAGTAATCATTTTTGAAACAGAAGCAATTCGATATCGAAATTCCGGTTTAGTCTTGAAAAAAGGTATTATTTATTTTGTAAGATCACAATGAGATGCAAAAACTTACAGTAATATTTTTCAAAATATCTGCATAACCATAAGCTACCGTATACTCTTCTAAATTATCTCGAAAAATACTAATTGAAATTGATGGAATGTTGAATTCTCTGATGTGTGATTCAACAACACTGTCTAAGCCTGGCCAAGAATTATTAGTTGAAATTACTTTTGGAATATTTGAAGTTGATGACCATTTAAAATCTTCACCTTGCCAGAGAAGCCATTTTGAGTAATTTGAAAGACCAGGTCTAGAATAAAAACAGAGTTGGGTTATTTTTTGTAATGATTTTTTTTTTGAAAAGCATTTTGAATTATACCTATTGTTTGAACCGTTGCCAAAGTCTGGTCCGATTCAAATATTTTCGAAAACTAACTAACCTTTTCGGCGGCAAATTCGAAAACTGCACAACTTTCAAATGATCTCCTTCCCAAATCTGACTCTCATTCAACATTTTTTCGAGATTTGTTCCATACGAGATCTTCGATTTTCTTCCAAATCCTTTTCTCCAAATTATTATTGCTTTATTTGTGAGATTTTGTGTTTGATAGGTTTGAAAACAATCACAATAATATCCGCGAAATGTTTGAAGATCATTTCTGGCGACGATTTCTGTGATTGGGCCAGATTCCACAATGTAGTGATTTACAAAATCAGCTGAATGGTGCCAAACTGCGCTGGAAGCAGAATAAGAAATGAGAAATATAGATTTTTATATCACGTGGAAGTTCACGTTAAAAATATAATTATCAGAGAAATAATTTCAGAAATACAAAAATTTGACTCACAGTCAGTCAAAAACACGGGAGTTCCAAAAATTCCGATTCCAAATTCTACTGATTTTACTAGTTACCGTACCTGTATGTATTTTCATTTGCTCCGACACAAATATAATTAATTTTCACTCGTTTCGCAGTCATTGCATTCACTTTATTCTCAATTTCAGTCATGTTCGCATCAATTAAAACTTCAGAAAATCCTGATCCTCGAATCTTATTCAACACAAAAAATGTGGAGTTTAGATGACTGAAAAAGAAATCAAATTCTTTTTTTCAAAATGATTTGAAACTCACTGATATGAGCAAACTGAGTGAACCAACCATTCTCGTCCACCTTGAATTTCAGTCAATTTTTCAGCGAGATTTTGAGAAGTTAAGTGGAAATAAGATTGTCCTCTTGGAATTTCAGCAAATTCCGGGTAGATTTTGGAATTTCTTGTTGGAAAAAGATGGCTCGGTTGAGCTTCTCGACGATTTTCCCATAGTTCAGTAAGAGTTCGAATTTGAATTTGAGAAGCATTTGCTTTTAAGAAAATTATAAATAAAAACAATAAAAAATACATAAAGAATAAAAAAGAGGGAGGGAAGGCTTTGTGGGAGGTGAAAGAAAGAAAAAAAACAAAACTGGAAAATTATGATAAAAAAGAGATAATTGATAATGTTGATCTATTGAATGTTTCAAGGACTATTTTCATTTTTTTTTCCAGATATTTTTGTTCTTCCAAATCTCGAAGTTGCGGCAATGGAAAATTGGGGATTGATAACAGTCAGGCAAGCGGAAGCACTTTTTATGGAGAAAAAATTTCCGATTTTGCAAAAACATCAGACACAAGAAGTTATTGCGCACGAAGTTGCACATCAGGTGAAAAATTGAATTTTATCGTTGTGAGGAAACGGAGTTAATTGTGTTATAACGTGACAATTTTTGACAGTGTTGTTTTTCCGAATAGTTAGAATAGTGTAGATCAATCCTATAGTTCTTTTCAAATTTCAAAATAATAGAACACTTTAAAAATCCTGAAATCTTTCAGTGGTTTGGTAATTTGGTGACAATGAAATGGTGGAATAATTTATGGTTAAACGAAGGATTTGCGACTATGATTGGTGTCAAAGCTATTGATTTTTTGGCAAATACAACAACTCAATATGTAACATTTTTCTATTTTTCCAAAATTTTTTTCCTGAATTAATGATACATTTTCAGTCTGAAATGTCTCCAGAATATATGTGTCTTTCACTTCGACAAGATCAAAAATTGAATTCAATCGCAGTTTCTCACGAAAGAAATGATTCAAACGGTTTTTTGGATTCAAACAGTCGAATTATTGTTTATAAAAAAGCTGCGATTATAATTCGAATGATTGAAAGATTAGTTGAAGAGGATGTATTTCAAGAAGGACTTCATCGATTTTTAGACAAACATCGATATTCGAATGCTGATCATATGGATTTATTCGATGAATTGACACAGTACGAATTACAACTTTCAGGATTAAAATTGAATAATATTTTTCAGTGTTCATAGTTCATCATCCGGTGGTCATTTGAGTGGTCAAGTTTTTTCATTGAATGATGTTATGGATACTTGGCTTCGTCAGCCATCATTTCCGGTGGTTCATGTGAGACGAGAAAACTCGAGTCATTTGGTTTTGAATCAGCAGAGATATAATGTAAGAAAATTTATACAGAATAGTTCATTTTTGAAAAATGTTGGAAATTTTACATGTTCCTAAAATTTGGTGGAAACTGACTCGAATTAAATTCCAGCACAATCCAAGAATACGAAGTGATCGCGAAAATTTCACATGGATAATTCCAATTTTCCACGATGATCCAATAACTCAAAAACACAAAGTAGTCTGGATTGTTGATAAAAATGAAATATTATTCAATAACACTGGTCAAGTTGTTGTTGATCCACATCAATTAACATATATGCGATTGAATTATAGCGATGAAATATATTCAGAAATTACACAACAATTATCATTGGATCACACAAAAATACCAATTAATTCGCGAAGTCGATTAATCGATGATAGTTTTGCGATGGCTGAGAATGGACAAAATGATTATTTTATTGCTTTTAATATTACAATGTATTTAACAAAAGAGGTTGGTTGGTTAATTAATTAATTTGGTCCAAGAGATCGAGAACGATACATAAATCTATCACGCAATGATAATTTATGATTTAATTTTGAAACATCGCTTTCATAAGGAAGCATTGGAACAGGAACACTGAAATTAAAAAAAAGTTCCAATTTTTGATAATCGAAATTTGAATAGCTAAACAATCTTCAATTCAAATTATAAATTTGGAAAAAATCAAATTTAAATTTCCTTGATCCAGAAGTTGTTCCCCCAAAAGTTTAAAAAACTAACCCATCTTGATCAATAAAAGTATTTTCCTGTCGTGTTTCAATCGGACGATTTCCAAAAGTTCCAATAAATCGTTCCTGAAAAATGTTTACCTTTCTTCAAAAAAATTTTTATTGTTGCAAAAACCAACTGATTTCATTCCGACATCGGCATCTGAAACTCTTGAATCTTCTAAAGGATCAGCTGGTTGAATTGGATCCCCATCCTGTTCTTGAAAATATCTCGATAGGAGAGAATTCGATTGAACAAATCCAAACAGAAATAAAAATAATATTAGTTTTCGTGACATTTTTCAGAGAAAACAAAAAATAATCAACCAATAAAACAAAGAAAAATAAATGAATTGGGAAATGATAAGATATATATAAAGTGTAACTAAATACCAGAAGTCATGTGAAAAATAATCAAATCAGAAAATTACAGACCCAATTCCGACCATTGTACACCTTTTCGGCTTATTTGGACTTTTTCCTTATGCGAATGTATTTACATGAAGATTATGATATTTTTCGAGTAAGAAAAGAATTTTTAAAAGGATTGTTGTTGGTAAATTTATTTTTTTAGGAATATGTTTTGACATTGATAACACCGGCATTTGATAGAATTCAAAATGATGGATTTGATAAAAAATATGATGAAAATTATGATGATTTGTGAGTTTGGAAGAGGGAGAAGTTTTAATTCGAGTTGTGACGTGGAAAACAGAGATTTTCGGAATTTCAGAAAAAAACATTTGTTGTACTTAAAAAAATCAACAAAAAAGCTTGAAATTCGGGTTGTAACATTTTTTCTTGAAAAATTTAGAACTCACAAATTTGGAACATTTTGGAAGATATTATTTGGAAACAAACTTTTCTTTATTTGAAAACTCACCACATCATAGCTCATCTCAACAATCAAATTTTAAACTTCAAATTTTTCAGCCGATTTCGAGAACTTATAATTTATCGATCTTGTCAACTTGGCTATGAACCTTGTCTCAGAATGTCACGTGAAAAATTCGACGAACTCCAGAAAAATTGCTCAGAAACTGATCAAATTCTCAGTGACATCGATTGCAATCAGTAATTTATTTACTTTTTAATATTGACATTTTAGATTTTTGTTTTTCAGAATTCCATTTTATCTTCGACCATTTGTATATACAACAATAGTTCGTGAAGGAACCGACGAAGATTTTGAATTTTTATTTGAAAAATGGAAAAATGAACATTTGATTGTTGAAAGAGAACGAATATTTGTAGCGATGTGTGCAACTGAAGACACTAAAAAACATCAGAGGTATTTATTTTTCGACAGAAAAAAATTTGAAAAATGATTTTTTTCAGGATTTGGCTAGAAGTGTTCTCAAAAATCGACAGAGAAGATGTTAAAACAAAAATCTTTGCTTGTAGCAAACATTTACATACAAAATGCAACGATATTGATTTATTTTTAGAACATTCGGAAAAAATCAAAAAATCAAAGTTAGTTTCTGTACCGAAATCGGATAATTTTTGAGCTTTGGAAAAATTGTGATATGGAGAGATTACTGTAGTCTGTTTCTAGAGCTAAAAACTAAATAAACGTATTTGTAACTTTGGTAAACTTCAAGAGATGATTACTCCAAATATCCTAGGGTTTACAATTGCCCAAAATATAGTTATGACGTGCCGATTTTCTTCAAAAAATGTTATCTTTCAGAATCACCTCACACATTTATTATTTGTTTCAAACTTTGATGGTCAGATGTATAAGTACGGACGAACAAATCGAACAAGTGACACTTTTTTTTCTTTCTGAATTCCTATTTTTTCTAAAAAAATTTCAAATTTCAGATCAAAAAATTGAAGGAGATCTATAAAGAAGATAACCAGTTTCAAGAGGTTCCTATTTTTATGAGTAAAAAAAAAGGAAATGAAATGTGGCGAAGACATGTTGGACCAATTATAATTCACTACTCAAATTATACAATGCATAAAATTCGACAACAAAATATGGGTTAAATTCTGATCTTTTTGCTGTAAATAGTTTTTTTTTTAGAATTTCTACGTGTCATTTTTTCTTCTTCATAAATCTGATACTCAAAAAGCCCAGAAGTTTATTAATTTTGAACAAAATATGCACAAAACAAAAAAAGAGTGGGTGGGGGGTTTGGAAAGGGATTTTGGTGTGGCAGGATCGGATAATCTTTTTTGATGATGGTGACAAAAAATATTTATAAAAAAGAAATGAAAAAGAAAATAGTACGATAGAGAGAAAGTACTGTAGATGAAGATGGTAAAAGTATACAGTTTAGAAGCATTTGCGGTGGACAATTGATGGGCCGGATTCGTCGTATTCTTGTTTCGAGATCCACATTTGTTGGAAGGTTGAGAGGGAAGCCAAGATTGATCCTCCGATCCAGACAGAGTATTTACGCTCTGGTGGGGCGATGATCTTGATCTTCATTGTGCTGAAAAAAGAAACAAATTAGAATAAGTTTGAAATTATATTTTGAAAATTAATTTACCTTGGAGCAAGAGCGGTGATTTCTTTTTGCATACGATCAGCAATTCCTGGGTACATGGTGGTACCTCCAGAAAGAACTGTGTTGGCATACAAATCCTTACGGATATCAATATCACACTTCATGATTGAGTTGTATGAAGTCTCGTGAATTCCAGCTGATTCCATACCCAAGAATGATGGCTGAAATTGATTTAGAGTTAGGAATGTTCAATTGTGTTTTACGAATTTAAATAAACTTACTTGGAAGAGGGCTTCTGGACAACGGAATCTTTCGTTTCCGACGGTGATGACTTGTCCGTCAGGAAGTTCATAGGATTTCTCAAGGGATGATGATGAAGCAGCAGTGGCCATTTCTTGTTCGAAGTCAAGGGCAACATAGCATAATTTCTCCTTGATATCACGGACAATTTCTCTTTCAGCGGTGGTGGTGAATGAGTAACCACGTTCGGTGAGGATCTTCATCAAGTAATCAGTCAAATCACGTCCAGCCAAATCAAGACGGAGGATAGCGTGTGGAAGAGCATAACCTTCGTAGATTGGGACAGTGTGGGTAACACCATCTCCGGAATCGAGAACAACACCGGTGGTACGTCCGGAAGCGTAAAGCGAAAGGACGGCTTGGATGGCAACATACATGGCTGGGGTGTTGAAGGTTTCGAACATGATTTGGGTCATCTTTTCTCTGTTAGCCTTTGGGTTAAGTGGAGCTTCAGTGAGGAGAACTGGATGTTCTTCTGGAGCAACACGGAGCTCATTGTAGAAAGTGTGATGCCAGATCTTTTCCATATCATCCCAGTTGGTGACGATACCGTGTTCAATTGGGTATTTCAAGGTGAGGATACCTAAAATAATTCATAATCTTTTGTTTTCTGACCGAGAATTTCTAATTGTTTTACCTCTCTTGGATTGGGCTTCATCTCCAACATACGAGTCTTTTTGTCCCATACCAACCATGACTCCTTGATGACGTGGTCTTCCGACAATTGATGGGAAAACAGCACGTGGAGCATCGTCTCCGGCGAATCCAGCTTTGCACATACCGGATCCATTGTCAACTACAAGAGCGGCAACCTCGTCGTCACACATTTCTGCTGATTGTTTTTCAAGAAGAGTTTAACCTGAAAATATTATGAATATGTATTTGATAATAATATATAACAAATCAAAAATTGACACGAAATGAATCGAATTGAACAAAAAAGAAATAGGCAAAGCAAAGACAACGGCAAAAGTGTGTAAATGTTGTGGGAGCAGCAAGAAAATGGGCGGGGTTCGGGGACCAAATACACAGTGTAAAAAAGAAATGAGGCGGCGGAGGAGGGAAGAGAGAAAAGACAAGGATTCCTAGAATCAACGGGCGGGAACAAAACAAGAAGGAGGGCGGATAAGAGAAAAAGAGCAAAAAAGATATTGGTTTATGATTCCAAGTGTAACAATAAATATTTAGAAGAGGGAGAACTAAAGAACAATACTTTCTTGTTTTGTTTTCAATCATCAACCTGAACTGACAAAAAATCGATGATGATGAAAAAATTGAAAAATAAAAATGGCGAATCGCACTTTTTGGCTGGTAGATCAAAAACAAAATGTTTCTCGAATCTGTCTCTTTTTTCACATCGTTCCCGCCAGCCATAAAAATATTTTCTGCCATTCAAAAAGTGCACCTTTCTTTCGTCCTCTCGTTTTCAAAAAAAAAATTCAAAAGAGAAACGCGATGAATTTCTTGGAAAATAGCCAGATGTTGGTCATTACAGATTTTTATTTGATGTGTTCGCGCGAGCCAGTTCAAAATTTTTGTGTAACAAGGAATGATTTTTTTCGTTGATTGGGGGAACGAAAGGAGGGGGAGGAAGAAAAGGAGAAAAAATGGGGATTTGTGGTTTTTTGCTTTTAATTAATCGGTGTTCAATTAATTTTGTGGTCAGTGGTCAAAAACCCATTTTTCGGAGAACTAGGAGCTTGTTATCTAAATTTAAGACTTCCAACCCAACCGGATTCATTCATTCAAAATCCTTCATAAATTTTCTGAAGTACACTCTCACTCAATCTCTTGGTTTGCGTAATCACAAAAATTGCAAAATGCAAAAAGAAAGAAGAAGACGCGCACAAATCAAATAAGTCTCAATGTTGACTATTTGTTAAGCTCTCGACTGATTAGTACATACTTATTGCTTCATCTTTTTTGCCATCCACGTTTCGAAAACGAAACATTTGCGCACAGAGAAAATCAGACAAAAATTTTAGAAAGAGAGAAAAGGAAAAGAACTGTGCTTCTGTGTTTGTGGATTGATGTAATTCTTGGAAATGTCCGACGGCGCGCTATTGTTTGCATTAGCGTGGCCAATTCCAAGAATTCGTCTTTTTCTCTATACCAAGGTATTTTTAGGCCGAAAAAAAGAGAAAAAGAAAATGAGAACGGGAACAATAGTGTATTTGGAGGATATTTTGAAACTATTCAAAATTTAGATTGGTTTCCTTCCTTCATGGTAGAAAGTTTTCCGATTTACAGAATTTTTCCTATTTTCTGATGCTTCTGGAAAACCTAAGATCGTCTTTTTTCCTACCAACAAAGAAACCAACATAAATTTTGAAGAGTTTCAAAATATCCCTCAAATACACAATTGTTACGGTTCTCATTTTTCGACACACCTCGTTCAAAATCGTGGTTCCCTAAGGTCAAAATTAAATTCTAACTTTTTAAATTGTAAAAAATTTTCAGTTTTTGAGCCTCTAAAATAGTCAAATTCAGACATTTTTCAAAATTGTACTGTGGCCCACAACAGATTGGCCGAGGTATGTTTTTCGACCTGGTATAAAGAAAAGACGAATTCTTGGCGATGAGTTTCCTGATTCTCGACTCAAAAATCGAAGCTATGGGCGAGAACAAGGCAAGTCGCTACAAACTCGGGCGACTTGCCCCAAGCTCGCTTGAAGTGCCTTGGGCTAGTCACCCGAAACGTGAAGCGATCGGTAACAACCAAAAGGTAACTTCCAGAAAACAGCTTCCAGCTTTTTTCACTTGCAAGTTTAATAACTCATCAGAAACTCATAATTCTGCTCGTTTCCTAGTATCAGTGAAGATTTCAGTATAGTTATCAGCTTTCTGACAATTTCTAGCAACTGCTATGAAACCTAAACTAAAAAAAAATAATAAACAAACTCATCTCAAATTCAAATGGCAAAATAGTAGAGAGAGAAGATCAAGAAGCTCATCTGAGGATCTCTAAAATCCCGATATGAAACCATTTCAATTTTCAGCTCCACTTTCTTAAAGGGCGTGTCCTCTAATTTTACACAACAACAAATATTTGTGGGATCGGCAAATTAGTTGATCAATCCGTCCGTTGCGTGGGTAGGCTTTTCTTTATTGTGTATTATTTGAAAGAAAAATAAAGCTGTTGGAAAAAGAAATAAAAAAAAACGAAGAAGATAAGATAGCAGATTCAAAAGCTCACTTGAAACAGTGGGTGGTTTTAAGAAAAGAAAACGGGGGAACACACAAAAATCGACGATGCTGTGTTCTTTTCAAAAGAAACCAAATTTTTTATTTCGTTTTTTTATATGTGTGCATAAATATATTGATTGATGTTGTTACAAAATCGAAAATGATCAACGAACAGAGAAAACTATGGTGTTTAGATCAAAAGATTGAAAATCATTCTGAACTTGAGCAATTTCAAAAATAATCTAGATCTGTACGTGATAATAAAACAATCAGACCAGAAGTGATCCAAGCTTCATTCAAAGCTTTTATTATGGGTAAGGCAACACAAATTAAGCTCGCATTCAAAAAAAGGTTCTGAGAAGAAATTCAGACAGAATCACAAAATATCCCGCACCTGTGATTGCAGGGATTCGTTCTTTTCTAAATCAGGGACAGAATTCATACAAGTGCTGATTGTGAACTAAAAACATTCTCAATAAATTTTTCTGTACAATTTTTATGAATCCGGTCCCATATATTCAAATTTATTTAATGCTGTTGAAAGCTTGTTAAAAATTCAAAAAACGATATTTTGAAAAATTTCGGTGTGGACTTTCATTTCTCCAAAAACCGAAAACAGTTCGATTCCTTTTAGGTGGCCCATAAAAAATGATCTCCGAATGTGATATCTCGAAAAGTTAGGTCTGATTAATATAATTCATCTGATTGTGAATGTCTTATTTTTCGGAGAAAGTATTTAAACTTTGAATTCCTACCTAGAAATATGTCAACTGAAATTCAGTTAAAACATCCAAGATGACCGAATCAAAAGTTTTCACTATACGATTCTGATTAACTGACTTCACAAGATTGATTTATAGGATATCACAGAGCCCTCAGCCCATAAACATCACATTTCAAATTTCAAACATGTTCTAACCCCCAAAATAGCGTATGCTCATTTTGACCACAAATCAAACCACACAACAAATACACACCCATATGTTTGATATTTATTTTGTGATTTTCCTGGAAAATGAGTCATGAAAAAAAGAAGCAAGGGCACGAGAA